GGGGGGGGGGATTCATGAATTTTTACACTATTGATAAAGAATACTAATATAGGATCGAAATAAAATGTTTAGTGGGAGGACTGCGCTGTCACTTAAAACATAGCTCTGCTGATTATATTTTAACTTCATGCAGATGGTTTATGGAAAAAGGTCTCGTTACTACAAAGTGTTCACAGGTCTTGCGCCATACTCAACCAGTAATTTGGCTTATCCTTCTAGACTGGTTTGACCGTCTGTCCGATTCTTGACTGAATGATAATTGGTGTGGTAGCTGAAGTGATATGAATCGCTACGAACACAAGCCGCGAAAGACTGTACAAGGGTATTGTTTCGAGTGGGCTTACAATTGGTTAAAACAGATGCTCGATCTCGAGCCCTTGACATAAACACCAGATCACTTTCTCCTTCGGTGGCACAGAAGATTACGTAACCAAACAAACCAAACTTTCAAAAGTTCCGCAAGAAATATACATATGCGACTTCCCGCACCATACCACGCTAGTTTCAGAGACTGGACAACGATTGAGTTATGGAGTATCTTCTTACATTTGCACGCCACAACGCTGAGACCGTGTTAACCAACATAAAGACCAGATCACTTTTTACTATTATGTCGCACATAAATGCACAATAAATTCCTTCATATTTTGCGCGTCCCAGGGCAAGGGAACTCGCAGCAAAAGAATATAAAGCCCCTTCCACCAGCATAACTGGTGTCCTCCAAGAATTGTTTACATTTCCAGCTGTTTCCAGTCTAAAGCCAACATAAAAACCAACCAGCCAAAATCACAACCGCCAATAAAGAAAAGTGTCCACCCGCACAAGATTTCTATTCAGCCTAGCCTCAATTCCCTACCCCATTCCCTGGTGTCCGGTCGACCGTTTGTCGTTCGTCAATGCTGGTCTTTAATACTGGTTGAGAAGTGAAACAATAGTCGCTACATCATCACATGAGCATTGTTCGAGCTGGGGTCATGCTTACATAACAAGGGTTACCTGTGCCTCTCGACGAAATAAGGGGCGCGCGGTCCACCGGGTCGGAGGAGAAGAGTCGCCACATACGAACAACCCCTTAAAAAAATTCGGGGTATATAAAGGGTAAGGGTTGTGCCCCCCTGGGCGGTAAGATCTCAAGGGATAAGGACCACTTTTGTTCAGATCGCAAGGGAGAAATAAGGGGCTTGACAAAGGGGAATTAGAGCTCGTTGTGATTGCAGAATAGTGTAGTGTAAGGCCCAAAGATTACTACCGCGCTAAGATTGTCACGTAAAAAACGGCTCTATTCATTTATTTAATACTTTTGTTCATTCTCGTTTACTTTGACAACTCAATCATTTCTGTAAGCCATGCCTAGAGATATACAAAACCATCTCTTGTTTGAGATTGCAACAGAAGTGGCCAACCGCGTAGGCGGTATTTACTCGGTTTTGAAATCCAAAGCCCCCATTACATGCGCGAAATACCGTGACAATTACACCCTTTTGGGTCCCTTGAATCGCGCCACTTATCAAACGGAGGTAGAGCCATTGGATTGGACAGATCCAAGCACGTTCGAGTCCCGTGGCGTGCACACACCAGAAATACGCACGGCATTGGAAAACATGCAAAAAAGGGGCGTGAGTTTTGTATATGGCCGTTGGCTAATTGAAGGAGCACCGCGTGTGATTTTATTCGATTTGGACTCTGTGCGGTGCTATCTGAACGAGTGGAAATCGGATTTGTGGGATATCGCAGGCATTCCATCCACCGAGAGCGACGCAGAGACAAACGACGCCATTTTGCTTGGCTATTCCGTGGCTTGGTTTCTCGGGGAGTTAGCGCATTTGGACCAACGCCACGCAATCGTGGCTCATTTTCACGAATGGCTCGCTGGTGTAGCTCTGCCCTTGTGTCGTAAACGTCGAATTGACGTTGTCACCATTTTCACTACCCATGCCACTCTCTTGGGTCGGTATTTGTGTGCCGGAAACGTGGATTTCTACAATAATCTTGACAAATTTGATGTTGATGCAGAAGCGGGCAAAAGAGGCATTTATCACCGGTACTGTGTAGAGCGTGCAGCGGCTCACACCGCCGATGTTTTCACCACGGTATCACAAATCACTGCATATGAATCGGAATTCTTACTGAAACGAAAGCCAGATGGCATCTTGCCTAACGGTATCAATGTGGTCAAGTTTCAAGCGGTTCACGAATTTCAAAATTTGCACGCTCTGAAAAAGGAGAAGATTGACGATTTCGTAAGGGGACATTTCCATGGGCATTACGACTTCAATCTTGACAACACCCTTTACTTCTTCATTGCTGGAAGATACGAGTACAGAAATAAGGGTGCTGATATGTTTATTGAAGCCCTTGCTCGTTTGAATTATCGTCTCAAAATGGCGGATTCAAAAATGACCGTGGTTGCCTTTATCATTATGCCTGCCAAGAACAAATCCTACACGGTAGATGCCTTAAAAGGACAAGCGGTCGTTAAGTCTTTAGAAAACACAGTGCATGATGTTACGAACTTGATTGGGAAACGGTTATTTGAATACGCCATGCGTAACCCCAATGGCGTCGGAGCGGAAATTCCTACCGAATTAGATCAATTGTTGAAACCATCGGACAAAGTTCTTTTGAAAAGGAGAGTTTTAGCGCTCAGACGACCAGAGGGAACCTTGCCACCTGTGGTAACACATAACATGGTTGATGATACCACCGACCCAGTGCTCAATCAAGTCAGAAGGGTCCAGTTGTTCAATCACTCTAATGATCGTGTGAAGGTTATATTCCATCCTGAATTTTTAAATGCCAACAACCCCATCTTATCACTCGACTACGACGAGTTTGTTCGAGGTTGCCACTTGGGTGTGTTCCCATCTTACTACGAACCTTGGGGGTACACCCCAGCAGAATGTACAGTCATGGGAATTCCCTCTGTGACCACCAATCTGTCTGGGTTTGGTGCTTACATGGAAGACCTAATCGAGCAGGACCAAGCCAAGGATTACGGTATCTACATTGTAGACCGGCGATTCAAAAGTGCAGACGAGTCTGTGGAACAGCTTGTCGACTACATGGAGTCTTTTACGCAAAAGACTCGCAGACAAAGAATCAATCAAAGAAACAGAACCGAGAGATTGTGCGACTTGCTGGACTGGAAGCGCATGGGCCTGGAATACGGCAAAGCACGGCAGTTGGCATTACGCAGGGCGTACCCGGATTTGTACAAGGCTGCTGTGGGTGGAGAAGAGATCAGTGACGTGAGCATGAACTCGCTGGCCGGGGGCAAGAAAATCAAAGTCTCACGTCCACTCAGCGTTCCTGGGTCTCCGCGTGACCCTCGAGCGGAGAGCATTGGAAGCACTGTTCTCATGACGCCTGGCGATCTGGGAACTTTGCAGGACGCCAATAATACCGACGACTACTTCTATCTCAGCATGGGTGTAGAGGATGAAGAGGAAGAAGAAGTAAATTATATGGCGGCAACGCAATAAGCTTGGACACTCGAAGAAGAGACCCATTCTCTAATCGTAATTAATGTAGCACCGATGTACAAAAGGTAAAAAGTAATTTTTCACTAGCGGGCCGTCTCCATCTAATTCATGCTGGTGTAAGTAGTATGCTGGCTGGCTAGCATCAATAATTTGAAGTTGATCGTTTTTTAAAAAAAACACAAAAGACAACAGATAACAAGGCTGTAGATATAAGTACAGTTGTAGAATGATCGTATTGACCGTCAACGGGTTACTTTCACGTATTTGAATGACCTGATGACAACAATTTCGTTTTAGCAGCGTCACACTAGTATATAGTGATATAACCGATGAACGATCTTACATCGTTCTTCTCGAGCAATACGTTTTCCGTACCGGTTTGGAGGCATTTTTGCTGTGGTTTGCTAGTGATTTTCAACCTCTCAGTAGCTATCTTCCTTTCTGTTTATCCAGCTGGTTTTCCGCTCATGGATAATATAAATATCATATCTGAATACTGACATCAATAATTCATCGAGAAAAGCCCTGAAATTCAAGAAAAAAGGTGAACATAAACCAACAATCTCTCGCTTCGGACCGTCACACTCTCTCATCAGTCTGTTGAGATATATAGATCGGGTACTTCTTTTGAACAGACCGATTGCCAAAACGATCCTTTTTTCGCGGGAAAACAAGAAGAATTGTCACTTTTGAGTTGAAAACACCCTTTTTGAAGAACTAGAGGAAATCATCATGGGAGATAGGCCCAGTGTATCGCCAGGAAAACCTAAAGAACCGGATCAAGTAGAAGGACATACTTTCAAGAAGTTTTTCAACAAGATCAGTGGGAATCCTAACTCGTACGTCAACAAAGTGGATTACGTATTTGGTCGCACTTTGGGAGCAGGTGCATTCGGAGTAGTCAGACAAGCCAGAAAAGTCTCCACCGGTGAAAATGTAGCGGTTAAGATCCTTTTGAAAAAGGCACTCACGGGAAATGACGTCCAAATGCAAATGCTGTACGATGAACTTTCGATTTTGCAAAAACTGGACCATCCAAATATCGTCAAGTTCAGAGATTGGTTCGAGTCTAAAGATAAGTTTTACATTGTGATTCAGCTCGCCACGGGTGGTGAACTATTTGATCGAATCTTACAAAAGGGTAAATTTACGGAAAGCGATGCTGCTACCATCGTTTACCAAATTTTGAAAGCCGTGGAATACTTACATTCTCGCAACATTGTACATCGTGATTTGAAGCCCGAAAACCTACTGTATCTGACGAAAGAAGCAGATTCACCGCTGGTGTTGAGTGATTTCGGAATCGCCAGAGAACTTAACAGTGACGACGAGCTGATACGCAAGGCTGCAGGCTCCATGGGGTATGTTGCGCCCGAAGTGCTTACTACGGAGGGCCACGGTAAACCCTGCGATGTCTGGTCATTAGGGGTCGTCACATATACTTTATTGTGTGGATACTCACCATTTGTGGCGGAAAGTGTTGAAGGATTTCTGGAGGAATGCACCAGCGGGAGATATCCGGTAACTTTCCATAAGCCATACTGGTCAAGTATATCTGAGGAAGCCCAGGATTTCATCCTTCAGGCTCTGACCGTTGACCCTTTGAGAAGACCAACGGCTGTGAAGCTGTTAGAGCACCCATGGATCGCTGGGAAGACTACGAAGACTGATAATCTGTTGCCTGTTATCAAGAAGGAGTTCAATGCTCGGAGGAAGTTCCGTGAAGCTGTTGAGATTGTTAAACTAAACAATAGAATCAAAAAGCTCAAACAGTTGTACTCCACTGGTGAAGAGGACTTGGATATTGAGGAAAACTCCGCGTCTAACGTTCTACATGCCTCCATGGCCAAATTGGCACTTGATGGTGGCAATGTTGGTCAAGACAAAGAAGATTCGCAACGTTTAAAGTCAACTTTGACGCAGGATGCGTTTGCTCAAATTGTTAAGGCGGCAACACAAAATAAAGACCGCATAAGGAATTACAAGGAGGATGGCTTGAACGAAGAGATCTCTGATCAAAGCGAACTGTAGTAATGGAGCGAGAACCTTCGAGTTAAATAGTCACGTCAATACGTTGCCAATACAAACTGAAATTTCACGATCAAACAAAAGACCTGCGTCAAGTGCTTATTTACCATTACAGCTTATATGTCCGGAGTACCCTGCCAGCCGCAGTCGTGATAAACTTGATGGTTGATTAGATTGTATACACTTTAGGTGGAAACCCTAAATAGAAGAAATATGTAGGGCAAAAACAACTGTGCTGATTCGATGTAAGATTTGTCTTATAGGTTTTTCCTGATTTAGAATTTCAACAAGTGTGGCTTGTCACCGCTCTTCAAGGAGAAAGAAGAGGCCAAGTATTGCTTCAACAATGGGGTTTGCTTGATCTGGGCCAAAAGAGCCTTGTCGACGACCTTCTGGTCTTCAACACGGTTGGCAGAGACCTCCTTCTTGGCCTGGTCCTCACCAAAGAAACCAGCTTCGGCCTTTTGCTTTCTGGAGACCTTTTCTCTGGCAAAGTATTCAACGTTAAACTTTTCAACGTCAACACCTTCCAAACCGACCTTGGTGGAGGTGGCAATGACGTAACGAGAGTTGACTCTTCTCAATGGGACACCGTTGACCTTGAAAGGACCGGAAACCAACAAGGTGTTGTCTTCCAAGTTTTTCAAGTACACGACTCTCTTACCTCTGAAGCGGCCGGCCAACAAGATCAAGACGGTACCTGGAACGAGCGAGGCACGCAACTTCTGTGGGCGGTTGGCCTTTCTGGTCTGCTTGGCGACTTGAACGTCTTCGGCTGGATACCACTTTGGAACCTGGTTGGAAAACAGTTAGTATTATTGTTGATCAAATGAAATACAAATCAACACTTGTGTGGAAAGTTTGACAATATATGGGTTTTAGAGGGATGAATCAAGTTGATGGTTCAACATATTTATCCCACGTCATATCACATTGCTGATCGTGTTTCGCCCCAAATCTTAAACGCTTTAACGTATTTCCCACGACACTTAAGTTCCTATATTCTTGTTTTTGGTGGGTCTGACCTCCCAAAACTCGGTCATTTCTCATCGCATTTTCGTCAACTTTTTGATCAATCCGACTAACCCTACGTCTCACAATTCATTTCCGGTGTTATAACGCTCTATAACATACTTTTTGGGCACTCATTTCGCTTGGATGTTTCGCTTATTACTTCGTCTTCCAGGTGTACGCAGTATCCAATAACTGGCAAATTTCAACTTTTTTCAAGAGTATCACTGGATTGGCTATGCTACCAGGTGGTTCGCTCGCGCTAGTGATGGTGAGTGAGCTCGTCCAGGCTACGCGGTCCCAGCGCTGGGCTGCTGAGGAGGGTTCCCACCTGGAGCAGAGAGAAGGTCCGCCTAGGTCTCCAGACAGGGCTCTGCCTAGAATCCTCCGGTCCTGGAAAGGAGGTCAGGAGAAAGGATCCAGCCTAGCGCTAGACAGGGAGGAGTAGGGAGCCTGGGATCGTGGTTGGTTCGGGCAGTGGCTTGGGCGTAACAAAGAGGCTATACACATACACCGACATACACTCACCTGTAAAGTTTTGAGACCACGCAGGTTTTTTTATCTTCTGAAAATATCAATGTACACGTTTTCAAAAGATGTATGGGTGCACGAAAACAGTCAAAAGCGAAATTTTGATTACGTAACTGAGATTGTGTTGACGACACGAGATAGAAAAATGACAATGTGCGGTCATCAGAAAAATAACGCAACATGAGGACCCGAAATTTGGAACCGAAAAACATTAGGTGTGCGTTTAATTCGATTTTGACTGGCTAGGGAAATGTGTGCGAGTACGTGATAATATACCGGTTCCGTTTTCAAACTCTCGTTATTGGGTAAAAAAACGATTGCCAAATCATTTTCTGGGCAAGTCTGAAAAGCATCGAGGGCACGTGATCAGAACCAGGGAAATGAAATAGTTCGTCGCAGAAGCACATCAAAGCGTCCTGAACGCCATTTCTTCTGCAAGCGACGGTTTTCGCGAGGTTTTTGGAATGTCAGGCTTAGTGAAAAGTTTCTTCCTGGGGTAGTTCCTCGAATAATCTGAGAATGGTAGAATTTCAAGACGAGGCAGTTGGTCGTCCTCAAAATTCACCTAGCAGGATGGATACAAAGTTGCTGTAGCATTCATTCGAGCTTACTTTCGTCATTGAATCAGCTGAAGCTCGAGTATCAGATCTTGAGCGACGGTATATTTTTGTGATCACGTGACTAAAAACACCGCGACATAGCTGATAAAAGTGATCAGATTGAAAAAGGTTTACCGCGACAACGACTGGTGTCGAAGCCCAAAGAGATATGGCATGCGTTATACTTTATGACTCCTGTATCATACCATTAGCATAACAAGGCCAGTAGATTGTGTCAGAACTACTTTTTCCTTTTGACGCATCTGTCTCTCTTTCAAGCTGGAAAAAAGGTGAACAGCCGATAAAGTAAGGTAAGTATCCACACAGTGAGGTATCAATCTTTAGTATAAGTCTCTAAATCACGACAGATACGCCAAGGCGGTAACCATTCATTTTATCTTCCTCGCAGGTTTTGCATTGAGGTGAGCAGGTTAAAGATATTTACATGGTTGTACTCCACCCACTATGGTGTCGAACTGTAACGAAAACATCGCGGCTCTGCCTATGGAGCTGTTCGATCAACGTCCAATTGGCCATGTTGATATCATAACTCACGTGACGAGCGTCAGCGACACAGTACAACAAGAGTGATTTGCAGCTGTGTTTCTGCCCCGCCGATGCCAACAAGAGCCCTTTGAACTATCTCGCGATCACAATGAATCACAACTTCAGCTTCCTTGGATTCAGGAAAGTTTCTCACTGAAATGGACAAGACACGATTGTTGCAAGTCACCTTACCCAACACACCAATAGTACTTAGCTGAGTGCAAAACTCATGTTATAACTCGTCACTTGCATACACGACTAATACATACATAAACGCTAACGAAAAGCCTCATGCGTACCCCCCATGAAAACTTGTCTCTTAGTCCTGGGTTTTGTACTCGGATGGAATTGCTGGCACAGGTGGTGCCTCGTTGTCACCGTATTCAATTCTCAAGAGTAGATTCCCTTTACCGAGCTTCAAGGACAAAATCCCCTCTTGCTGTATCCTAGCGTCACCTAGCTGAACTTGTGCTACCCCCAGTTCGGTATCTTTGCCGAAGCGGTGCGTAGATACACCACCAAACACTAAATTGGCGTCTGGGGAAGCCTTGAATTCGCAAGACTCGTTGTAATCTACGCGTCCTTCCGAGTTAGTTTTCCGGCTTTCCGTCCGATACATATGCTTCATACGCCCACCTTGTGCCAAAGAGATGCGCAATTGCAAGGAAGCTTTACCCATGTTTTGAGCTCCAACCACAGTGACTTTACCTCTGTAAGTACCGTTGGGAGCCAGGGTACGTGCAAAGCTGCTGGCCGTTGAAGAGGAACGTTGGTGTATCGGGCCGGGTGCGCCAACGACGCTCGACCCTTCTCCGTTTTTTGTTGTACTTGAAGCAGTTTCGTGGCCAGGAGGGCTGCCTGCACTACCACCATGCACTTCCGCGTAACTAGTGTTGGGTCGGGTCACGTCGTAATCCATTGAATGCTTAGGGGCTTTCCGAACGTTAGGGTCCTGACGCTCCCCACCATCGCGCGAAGCTTTCCGGGTCTCAAGCTCTTTCTTAGATTTTTTACTCGCGAAACCTTTTAAAAACTTACCTCCTTTTTGTACACCACCAAAACCCGCACTTGCGACACCTTGGGCTGTTCCGAAACCAGCACCTGCTACACCTACACCCATATTAGCAACACCGCCCAGAGCTTTGAATGGCTTGATGGCTAAACCACCTTTCGCGGGATCCAGTGCGGGGAATAGATATTCGGGCACGAAAGTGGCCTTCAGCTTAACTGTACCTTGAGGTTCCAACTGCAATTCGAGGTCATGGGTCTTACCTGGGACAAACATTTTGGCGTCTAAGGCAGTGGAGCAAAGCAAATCATTGGAGCCTGCCCTGTCCCAATCGTAGACCTCTAGTTGAAGATCAGACCTAGCCCTTGAAGGCACAGGTATCTCAACTGTTGCATTCCAAACAGGGGACAAAGTCTTTTTGATTACCTCTGTTTTTTCCACTCTCCTTCCGTCCACTTTTATCTCCACGAAAGGATCGGATTTGTTGTTCCTGTCATGCGAAGGCACATCACTGGCAGAAATGATGTTCAACTTCAGTATTCCTGTATCTTCAATTGACTCATTGGGCGACAAAGGAGCTTCGGCGGGCGAGTATAAAAAGCGCATTTCAATATCGGAGCCCTGAGCCTTGACGACGGTGGGGTTTTTGATTCCTTTTTCTAGTAATTCCTTAACAGAAAATGATTGCTCGGCTAGGATGTCACTCAAATCTTTGGGTTTAGAATTTTTCGATAACCGCAGAGTAATACGACTGTGATTAAGATCGCGGATAAAGCATGAGCCACTGTCTGGTACGACCTCCCCAGCCCTTGACTTCATAGAGGTTGAAGCAGGTGTTGCTATGTCGTCGAATAGAACCTGTAAATGCGCAGACTGCTTTGATAGTTTGCCACGCAAGATCTGATAGTTGAGAACGCCTGAATTGACACTTAGAAGTTTCTCGACTGACCATTTTTCCTTTCCCTCTATTTGGACGCTGCTCTCGTCTTCCACGTCCATTTTGACGATTTCATACTGATCAGGATGTACCTTCATTTTCTCCTTCAATTCCTCTTGCTCTTTCATAAATTTGGCTTTGCGCTCCTTGATCTTATCCTCGAGCTGCTCAACTTTCATGAGCTCATCAGGGCTGTAAACCTTGTGTACTGGAATGAATGATAGTTCAACGTTAACGAAACTTTTCGTGAGGTTCATGTTTTTGCCCAATAGTCTGCATTGACTTGTTTCCGGTCTCTTGGTTGATACGTATCGGTTAGTTTCGGGATCTTTTTGCATCACCTTATTGGCCTGTATGGTGTATGAACCAATTGGTCGATCCTTTCCAACTTTCTGATAATCAAATATACCCAAAACGATTGATTGACTTTCGGACGTTATTGGCACATAAACGACGCTGTTGAAGTTAGGTTCACGATTATCCGAGAAATACTGAGTCTCATATCTCACTTCATTATTCAAGGACACAGTAACGTAAGGGTCAATATCACCAACGCCAGAAAGATTTTCATCAATCATAGCATCCTTGATGTGCACTCTCATAACCCCAAGCGGGTCTCGAACAGCATTCACTGGCGCGAAGGATCCTGTCATAGCAATAGGTTTCCAAATTGCCGAGAAAAACAACTCACCTTGAGGCGACGCATTCAAAGCTGTCTGTCCCATTTCGGCAAGATTTAGAATATCAGCCATTGATGAGGAATATTCACAAAGTAGCTCCTTTCCTGTCATCTTAACGTCAAAGATCTTGACGGATAACGTGGAATTTCTTTTGGATGGAACTAGTACTTCAATGCCCTCTTCCCACGAAGGTTCATTGATGCGACGGAGAGTTCTATACTCCTTCACCACTTTACCATCAATTGACATTTCCGCACAAGGGCTCAAAGCGCCAGAGGATGATCCAGAACCTTTCAAAAATCTAGCTTTGTGAAAAGTAGCTTTCAAAATACCAACATCAGAAGCAGACTGGTCATCTTGCTCTTCATCTTCCCCATCCTCTTGTTCTTCTTGTTCTGACTCCGAATCTTTGTCAACTTTATTTTTTGTGCCGTTGCCTGAATCACGTTGAGCTTCTTTAACAGCAGCCGAGTCTTGTTGTACAACAGGTAGCCAGTGAAGGTCGTAATTAAGAGTACCTCTTGTACCGCCTCCCGAAATCAATTTCGCTTTCTGTCCAGTCACAGCCACCGTTTGCAATAGCTGGCTTAAATTGTACTCGGCCTTCCCAATAAGAGTATCCCTGCGGATGTCGTTGAAATCGTAGCAATTGAGAAATAACTTTTGGTCGAGAGTGTTAACCAAAACGTATTTCGTCTCGTTCCAGCGAGGTGATTTGTTGTCGGATTTGACTGAGGTTCTGATAGTCGTCTCGCCAATGTTGCCGTTTTCTGCTGTGAGGGTGATATAAGGGTCGATGGTGTTCCCGAGGAATTCAGAGCCCTTTAAGCCATCAGCTGAGTGAAGGGTGACTGCCACAACCCCAATTGCATCTTGAGCTTGTGCAGCCACGATCTCCTCCACGTCAATATCTAATTTATGAGGATTGTATAGCATTGGACCCACATTCGAGTTGATCATAGTCTTGACAAACGTCTTCAAGCCCGGCAAGAAAGACATAATGTCAAGACCCAAGGTGTCGCCACCAACAGGCTTCAAAGCGAAGTCGATATATGGTGGTTCCATTAAAGACAAGGACACAATTTTAATGTTAGGGAATGATTGCCCCAGTTTGATGGTGATACGCATTCTCCCCTTGCAGTTGATGTCTTCCACAAGAACGGGCAAAGATTTAGAAACAAAGCCCTTACCGACAGTGACACCAAGTGCGATTTTAGGATTAATTTTCTCCTTGGCTTCTTTGGCCGTCATGTTGGACACGTCGTTTGGTGTGAAAGAAAACTCCCAGTCCATTTCTACGATATCTTTACCCTTCTTAGTGTAGGATGTAATTCCATCAATTGTGGGCGATTTTGTTCCCAGCGTGAACTCGTCCAAAGAAAGTGCATCGATACCATATCCGGGGGCGACACCAGCTAGTTGCGGGTTAGCAATGTCCTTTACTTGCTGCGATAGAACTGGCATGTAGATAACCCAAAATTTCGATAAAAATGAGTTCAGCCACAACGTCGTTTCCTTTCTGTCCGAAAGAGTCTCCTCAACCACGATACCCGTGAGATCGTCACGAATATTACGATTGAAGCGACGGAATTCTGTGCGATACACGGATCCCGCACAGAAAAAGACGAAAAACAACGATAGCCACGAAAATCTCCAATAAGCCAAAAGCCATGAGAAATAGCACGTCCCTACTAAACCTGCCATGTTGTAGTACAAGTCATTGTAGAATCTTTCGGTAATGTACCCCTTTACAGCAGCACCGTCGGCGCTTGATGGAGCTACATTGCTGCCAAAAAATCCCCCGATAGATTCCCACGGATAAGTGTCATCGGATTTACCGCTTTCCAACTTTTCTTTCATCTTTTCTATAGCTCGTTCCTTTTCTTCGTAGGCGGCTGTGTCGATACTGGTGTCGTGCAGATTAATGTCCCTGGATGGTGCAGTCCGAAATTGTTTGGGGTCCGTGATTTCCAGCGGTGCTGGTCCTACAGTACCGTTTTCATTGGGCACAGGTAGTTTCATAAGTCCCTGGGCATTTGATGCAACCAAAACTTCCTTGTTTGACCCCGCTTGCGATGACATCGAGTGTCTCTTTTTATTGCCAGAATCCGCCATTTCGGAATATGCCTTCTGTGCCAAATCTCCGCCAACTTGGGCCTCTTTGGACTTCACATTCGAGTCCACGGGCAATGTGGCCACGTTCTTAGACATGTCTGCTAATCCAATTGGGTTCTTATGCTCCTACGTGTTCAGTTTTTTGGGTTTAAAATAGTGGTAAAGGGTTTGATAAGTTAAATTCTTGCCCTGGAGTTTTTCATGCAAAGAAAACGGACAGACGTCTTTTTTCGTGTGTGAAGACATCGAGAGGGCACGTGAATAACACGTTAAAGAATGTGTCAATGTCAGTGTCAGCGTCATCGATGGGCGGAAGAAACTTGACATTCTTGGATCAAGGTGGTTTTCGTATCATGATAGAGCTAGCATTTGTCGTGAATTTTTTAACGCCTTGACGTGCTAGGTTACGTTTAGCAAAATGAGTTTCGTGGGACACGAATATTGTGAATTTTAGTTCACATTAAGCGTAGTGCAGGGCTTGGAAGGACCATTTTGAAGCTGTTTGGGTATTATTTAGCCATGAGCCCGAAAAGTACTCTCGTAATGCAATACAAAACATGCATTACCATCCACGAATGTTGTGCCAGTACACATCGCCGAATTAGGCATTCTGATGGAATCCATTCAGCTTGGCTTTGATTGTTTCCGCAGCCTCTTCGTCCCGTATGGTTATTTCCCATGCCTTTTCAGCTTGGACTAAGTCTCATAATTGCCATACTGCAGAAGTCGGGAAATTAGCTTCGATTCCTTTCGTAAGGTAGCACTTTAAGCGTCTATTCGACGCCTTCCGTAAGTAGACATTGCATCGATTGCCCTGTTCTAGCCTCGTTCGTCCTTAATATATGTGCTCTCACATCTAAAATGAGAAGCACACATCGTCACATTAGTAGTATTTGTTGGCTAATTCCCTGCGTTTGTCCATCGCGGTTGCTAGATCGGGTGCCGAGATTAAATGTGATTCTTGCATCTTTCTGATAAACAAATGATGGTAATTGGGGTTGCAATCGGCCAAACGGAACGAGCAGTACACCAGCTGCAGACAAACGGATACGGAAATCGAATCCTTCATGGGCGCAAGTGAGGATATCAGTGCATCGCAGCATTTTTCCACAAACAAGAGCATAAAGGGATTAGTTGCGACTGGCTTCTTGGGTTCGTTCAACAGCGGCATCGAAATTTTGAATCCATGATATTGGTCTTGTTTAAAGTTGAAAAGATCAGACTGCGATTGCAGAATCGATAAGGCATTGTATACATGCTCCCGAAACGTTTCAATTCTACGCTTCATGAGAAGCTCACGCATGGTATCATTGGTCAGCTCAGTGATTTCAAACGAGTTCATTTCCGAGCACACAAATTTGTGGCGCATGGTAAGGAAGACTTGAAATAGTGCTTGTGGATTCTCAGAGAAAGGAGAAATGGACGAAAGATAGGAAAGAATTTTTTTGATCGGATTCGCGCTGAGATTTTGTTGTAGCATTTTAACAAGGCCTTGCAGCATAGTAGTAGTCATTTCCTGCGAGATTGAGTCCGCGATGTGTCGTACTATCGCAATATGCGGAAATTTGTCTACCAGACTCCTAGCATGCTTATGACACATCAATGCTTCTTGATAGTGGCCGGTTTTGATACATGTGCTAGTCAGTGTTGGCAACTCTAAAAGCTCGCTAACGGAGTTCCAATGTGTCAAAACAAGCGCTAAGTTATCCTGCGCATTGTTGAAGTCACCATTCGTATCGTTCACAGCACGCAATGCGACTTTCTGCAATGCGGTATTCAGCTCGTCTAGTCCCTCTTCCTGTTGTAGATCTTCCTCGGTTGGCTCGTTCAGTGAGGCCCAGAAGTCTCCATGTTGTCCTTGTAACTCCAGGGGCCGGTCTGTTGCCGCAGTTTTCTCCACCTCCCACAATTCGTCAATTTGGGCAAGCATGGTTGCTAATTGAGGTTCAATCTCTTCATTGCACAAACTGTCACAGAGCGCCTGTTTGTTTTGAATAAGTAAATCTCGCAGTTTACGCTCCTGTGCTGAAATTTGGGCCTCAATTTCGGCTATATCTTCCACGACACTGCCCGGCAGCGGCATGGAAGAAAAATACGCATCGTACGAGTCTCTAGCTTTCAATTGTTCTGTCAGGAAGGATTCTGCGGCAATGGGATCGTATTTGGTAGCGTTAAAATCGCTCAAAAGCACAGCCAAAGTATCCATACGTCCTTAATAAATTTCGAAAGGTGATGCCGCGGGGTACAAACAGAAGGAATAGAACGCTTGGCGGGAAGTAATGGATGTGGAGTTTTAAAATATAAGAGAGGGCAGCTTATAACTGTAACTTGTATATAGAAACTATTTCGTGGTTAGTGATTACAATAAATCTACGTTCATAATGATTTACAAGTTAAATCACGTGCTTTGATAATGATTAGGTAATCATAAATGTCACATGACATTTGCGCTTATATAATCGAATGTTCACGTGATCCAATGTATCATTTGATACGCTCGTAAAGAAAGGATTTGTAGATCTCTAAATACGAGCCGGGTTCATTTCTTTAATAGGGTGGTCTAATTATTGTATATATACTATACTACTATAATATGAACTGGTGATAATCTTACAGTTCAAATACTCTGAAGAAACCAGTAGAAACGCTCTTCTATTTGGCAAACCGAAGTATCCAGCTCTTCCAATAGTGTGTCTCAGTGTTCCACGTATTGATCGCCTCTTTATTACGGTTCTTCTCTGACTTTTCCACCCGAATTTGATCAAGTTTCAACCCATCTACCTCAAGGTCCGAAATATCTTGGCTTTACAGATTGAACGCTGCAAGACTTCCCATACAATCCTTCCTTCTCGAAACCAAATAGTTATCATGGAGGGTGTATTTTTCAACGTCGACAACGGCTTCATCGAAGGTGTCGTCAGAGGTTACAGAAACGGACTGCTTACGGGCAATCAGTACATCAATTTAACCCAGTGTGACACGTTGGAAGATCTCAAATTGCAACTTTCTGCAACTGATTATGGCAATTTCTTGTCGTCGGTTGCGTCGGATGCACTAACGACTTCCATAATCCAAGAAAAAGCGTCTTCCAAGCTGTACCAAGAGTTTCAATATATACGGGACCAGACCAGCTCTACGACAAGAAAATTCTTGGATTTCATCACTTATGGTTACATGATCGACAACGTTGCTCTTATGATCACGGGGACCATCCACGATCGCGACAAAGCGGAAATTTTGCCTCGTTGTCATCCACTTGGTTGGTTCGATACTTTGCCCACGTTGACCGTTGCCACAGATCTAGAGTCGCTTTACGAAACTGTGTTAATCGACACACCACTAGCACCATATTTTAGAGATTGCTTCGACGCAGCGGATGAACTTGACGATCTCAACATTGAAATTGTTAGAAATAAGCTGTACAAAGCGTATCTATCCGACTTCTACGAATTCGTGTCCACCGAAGTCAATGAGCCCGCTCGTGAGGTCATGCAAGCCCTATTACGTTTTGAAGCTGATAGAAGAGCTATAAACATTTCCTTAAACTCTTTGCAAAGTGGCGATCTAATCACCGCTGATATGAAACGCGATTTACTGCCAGACTTTGGTAAACTGCACCCAATCGGCACTCAACAGCTAGCCACCACCGGATCTGACTTTGAATCCGTCAGGGCAATCGTGGACAGTGTCTATGAGTACCGTGGAATTTTCGAGTCCGGAAATTTGGAAGATCATTTTTACAGGATGGAGATGGATCTATGCCTCGACGCATTCACTCAACAATTCACCGTCAGCACCATCTGGGCTTGGATGAAGTCGAGGGAGCAGGAAATTAGAAACATCACCTGGATCGCAGAATGCATTGCGCAGAACCAGAGAGAAAAGATCACCAATTACATTTCGGTGTATTGATGTGAGCCCTAACGCAGAATACATATACAATTCACATTAAACATCATTGTTTAAAGTTTTAAAGAAATACTAATACAATTTTTTGGAGCATCAGGCACGCGAATCGCACTGATCGCAATACTAATTTCTTAGCCCCATTATCGTGAAATGAAAAACCATTTCTTCAAATCACAACCTCAACACAACGTTCTTTATTATCCTCCATTCTCAGAAATACACTCTTCGAATTGCCCACCGGTTCAAATTTTGTAGCTTGAATGCCTCCTTGGTACATATGAGCATTTTTGCATTGCGAAATATCAATGTAAGTGAGAGACGTAAAGCCTCCAAGTAGAGAATCCAAACCGGACCTTGTGACTCTTAAGCAACCTTTTAAAGTGATCTTTCGCAATTTTCTTAAGTGCATCGACAGTGCTAGCAGTGAAACATCGCTTACAGCTCTGCCGCAGAAGCTAAGATCTAAAACTTCTAAATTTGGGCAACCCAAGCATAGTGTCTCCAGCGAAGCGTCTGTCAAAGAGCAACAAAATGACAACTGAAGTATTCGCAGTCCACTTGCGCAGCTGGCTATGGACCTGATCGAATCATCAGTTAAAAAAACACACTCACTGAGCACCAATTTCTCCAGATTTGGAAATGTATGATATCCCCAATATAAAAACCCCACATCTGTGATTCCTGTGCAACGAGTGAGATCTAGCTCTCTCAAGTTTTGCCGCCCGTACAGAGCAATATGGCGAAGAGTCGAATCGGTAATGGATTTACAATGACGGAGGGTCAACACTTTAAGACTTGGGCAGCCTATGTTTAACGATGTTCTCTCATTAGCGTCAAACATTTCCATACCTTGTATTGGTTCGTCTAGCGGGTAGATCCAGCTATTCTGCTCAGTTCCTGCAGTCGAAAGTCCAGCATTGCCGTTTCGCTTATGATCATTAGATCCCAAAAGCCTCTGAACAACATCGTCTTTCACCTTTCTACAATTGGTCAGGTCAATTTCTTCGATGCATTTACCTACGTGCGGTGCCCCGATATCCATAATCGCCATTGCGCTAATTTCCCAGCAGCTCCTCATCCTAATGACCCGTAGCTCACCTTCTATTCCTACTTCATTGATCATGTACGAAAACCCTGCATCAGTTACATGAAAGCAGTTTGACAAGTCTATCAATTTAGGTCTTGAACCTACGAAGTTGGTGATTTCCGTCAAGGCATTGTCATCTATAGAATTACTCCATGGTTCCAAATCTAGAATGTCAAAAAGACCAGGTGCAACATAAAGCAGCTGTCTCCATCTGCGACAAACTAGCCGAAGCTTCATGAGGTCAGGAAGTTTGAGAAAGTGAAAACATCTCAATAGCAGGCGATCTGGTAAAGGCCCGACGCTTAAAACAGAGTTCTTGCGCCGTTTGCGCCCCCCACCAAGGCTAAGTAACCTTGTGCGCTTCCTGTGAGACATATAATTCAAAGGAGGAGGTTGCTGAATCTTGAAAGAGTGACTTGAACCTGCTACTGCATTCATGGGCGGTGAATCTAACTCTAGTAATTGTACAGGTCCGGTGGCTGGGGATACAGGCCTAGGGGGCACAGATTTGCATTTTGACTTTTTCGAAGTAGTCTTTTCATCAGAACAGTCGCTTGTCAGTGATTTATTAGAAGATCCAGAAACCGGACTCGACAAGTTGTTGTTCGTGATTTGTTTCTCAGTGCCAAAAGTGAAATTCGGGTTTATGGGAAACGATGACCTAAAAGGACTTGTTGAACGAACGAGATCGCTAGAGGATGCCACGGAGTTGGCGTCAGCAACAACATAAGATTTGCTTGTAAAGTCTTGCCTTGACTTTTTCGAAGGGCATTCTGAGCTCGTTACAGAGTCAGGACCGCAATCTGTTTCACTAGTGTCATCCTCACTTGTAAAAGTTGAATTCCGATTTGCCCGATCGTCTGCAGTTTTGATAATCTCTCGTTTAACTATTGGATAGCTTTCGCAAAAATGCTTGAGGGTTTCTCCAGTAAGTACAAGTAAGGTGCTCGAAGACACTGACCTGACATCGGCCGATCTTATTGATTTCGCACTATCGTCACTAATAGAACCCAGGAACCCCATTTCCCCAAAATATTGACCTGGGCCCAACCTTGCCAGAAGTTTCTCGCAACGCTTTATACAGTTGTTGGTATCCGATGACTCACGAGTTAAAACCTCAACTTCTCCGCTAACTATGAAGTAAATGTTTGTACCGCGATCTCCAGCGTGAAAAATGTATTCGTAAGGTTCTGCCTGTTCTAATTCCACGCACAAGGCAAGCCTATGAGCGATTTCGGCCGGCAATGTTGTGAATAGAGGTAAACTTTTTAAAAATTGACGAATGGATATGGAATCGTCAACCACCTCTGTAGATTTCAAATGAGAGGAGAATTGAAGAGCACTTTTTGCATTATGAGACTTTGCTATCTCGTGAGCAATAGGAGTGCTGTTCTGGAGACTGCTATTCTTCCAAGGCATGTTAGCGGTGATAAGGCTGGTAACGCCAGAGTGCTTCTTTTTATCCTGCATAGCAAGCCTTTCCTGGGCTTCGTCTCGAATCTGTCGCTCCACCTGAGGAAAATTGGGCAAGATCTGATTAAAATTATCGGCAGTTAGCACCCCAAGTAGCACTTTAGTCTTTGCAACTATGGTTGCCGTCCTGGATCGATTGAAAAGTATGCCTATTTCCCCAAAATAGCTGCCTTCCAGTAACTGAGCATGCACAGTCTCGCCATCTGGTGAAGTGACATTAACGCAACCTCTCAGGATCCAGTACATGGCTTTGGCTGGCTCACCAGCCTTCACAATATGGTCCTGGGCATGGTATGTCATAAGTGTGAGCTTACGAGCAATCTCGACAAAGAACACATGCGGGGCATTTTTAAACAGGGTGAAACTCATTAGCTTTTCCAGCACTGGCTTTGGTATTGAGATCGCCAATTTTTTCGAATTTGACGTATAATCCAAACCAGACGTGTCTGAAAAATCCTCAAGTCCTTTTAGACTACTGTCGCAGCAAGGCTCGTCCTGTGAAGCAATGCAACATTCTGGCTTGTTTGTAGCTTCATCAGAACAGTTGACAATCCCAATGGATTTTTCCACTCCGGAGTCCTCATCTTCATGAGAGATTTCTCTCGACAAATTCGATCTCCGTCTTGCACTGTAACGCCTGCCCTTGAAGCCCCTCATTTTAAACCCGGCAAATGGCACACAAATGACTTGCGTATGGATCTTGGTCGCAAGACCGATAACTCTTCAGCTCAGAGTTTGTCAGGGCAGGACGAACCAAAATTTCTCGTCCGTATTCAAAATTACCCGAGGAACTACTACACACGTCTACAAGTACGTGTGTAGTGGTAGTCTCGAGCGTTTCAAAAGTCTTGAGGCTATCTTGCAAACAAGCGATGGTTCTCAAACGGTTGATGAACTCGAAAGCCGTTGAGCCTTCATGCTAAAATGGTAAGGCCCTTTAAAATCGTTATCCACGGTGTAAAAGGAATGGTCGACGAGAGAAAGGAGCAGATGGACGAGTAGAGGGATGAGTGACTGGCGAACCTAGGGAAACGGTGAAAGTAAGTCAGGAAAGTGTTTATACTCGTTGTGGGATTCAAAGTGAGTCCCAGGAATTTCTTGGTACGATATCCCTTCCATATCTTTGGTGATGTTCCGCATTGTGATTAAGTTAATATTCCTGGTTGAATAGCCGATAAGTGTATCTTTTAACACCCTATAAAGTGCGCAGAGGATCGTCCTGCAGGTTGAGCGGACTATATGTTAATGCGTTTCTCCGAGAAATTTCCAAGCTGTGCGTCTATGTATTTCTGCGAAGCATTTCATCATCGAAGGAAGTGAAGAGGTTTCATTTGTCTTGAGGTGGTGTGAAGGCAAATCGGACCATCAAAAAAAAAAGTACAATGGTACCAAAGATCCGAGGATACTGCGTTTCAGACTCACTTTGAAAAATGGTAGTAGCATCTCGTGCTGTTTTAGGCCACAGCGTTGAGGGTTTGGGAATGTTGTAGCTCAGTTTCACTGGTCATGCTTATTCTGTCGCTGTGATTTGGTCATGTGCCATTCATCACTTTGTACTTATTTTGACACCAATCATAAGAACAACAACAGAAAGAAACATCCCGCCGGTATATTTGAAGAATGACCTCTTAATTCACCGGTCTATTCTGTTCGAAGGATAGGCCGGCGGAATTTGTGGTAACCTAAATTCTCCGACCTTTTTCTTTCCGAAAGAAGATTTCTCAGTTCAAATAAATATCATTTCTAGTGCCTTGGACGGAAAGAATACAAGCCCATAAAGCCGCGTTTCTTTGATTGATATTCAACTCTCGAAGAATCGCATTAGGGTGCCAATTCTACCAGACTTCGTTTACGTCACTCTGTACTAGGCTGACATTTCGACCTTCGTGTGATAATAGTGAATAGCGGTATATTGGCGAATCGACTGTCAACTTTTGATAGAAGGGAATCTGATCCCGCCGCCTTTCAGGAAGCTCAATTGTTGCCCTTAGCTTTGTTGTGAGTTGTTCTGGCATTCTTGGAGCTCTAACTTTTCTCTTGGACCGTCAACTCTCCATATAATAGCATCAGCAATCGAGATCAATAGGTTTAGGCGATCGCAGCACATTCTTTAGTTTGCGCGGTTCAAGAAGTTCCATCCAAAAGATCCCAACAGTGATTAGTTTCAAATTTCAAAAGTCAAAAAAAATCCAGACTTTGATCTTCCAATGCTTAGAGACCGTAGAAAGGTCGATAACGGCTCGAGTGTCCGTGTAGGTCCGGAAATACAAGACGAAGACGATGACGATTGCTTCGCTAGAACACAATTCACAAACGGCGACATATTTAGAATGATAGGCGGGATACTAATTTTGGGACTTTTAGCAGGAAGGTTAATTACAGGATCAGTAACGTGGAATATATGGCGCAGGTCGATTTCTCAAGTAGACTTGGTGAAGCCTTCGGCATATTGGGTAGGTCAGGACCTACCGCGAGCATTTTCCGTCAATCAGTTGCAACAATTCGATGGATCGAACTTAAATCTTCCAATATTACTAGCCATACGAGGCCAGGTTTTTGATGTCAGCAGAAAAAGTGGCCTGTACGGTCCACGAGGTCCGTACCATCGTCTGGTGGGCGCAGATTGCTCCAAATCTTTCAGTCATCCTACATGGAGTATGCAAGCTTTTCGGGAACCCTGCAGCAATGACCTAACGGGGCTTTCAGACGAGGGGCTTCAACGAGTAGTTAAGTGGGTTGACTTTTTCCAAAATCGGTATCCGCACATTGGATATGTTACCGACTCAAAGCCCTTACTGGCTTAAAGTGAACCATCCAGCTACCAATGACCTCATAGTTTGCACTAAACCAACATACAATTCCGTGCATTTCTTCAGGTGTTATGAACGGCTGCAATCGAACATCGGCGGGCGAATATCGACGAGAGTTTTGGCAAAGCCATATCCCCGCGTTTCCTTGGCGGGTTCACAGCGAGCTTTTTTATGGGTAATGACACCTAAATGCAAACTGTTGAAAAATGAACCTACCTCGCGTTGACAAGCGACACAGTACCTCGATCATGCTTTGTTTAGATATGTAAGCATGTGCAGTGATTCGACCTTTAAAACGATTAGCAGCATACCTCACTGTGTCGTACATGGCAAGCGAAATCACCAGCACCTTGGATCACCAACTTCGATTGCGCTCGAAGAGCTGTGGGGATATAGCGTATGGTGGCTCCACACCTGTCACAATATTCTTCAACTTGCTTCGTGATGCTCGAAAATAATATTCGAAGCAAACTATCGAGGGTGCTGTGTGCTCTCAGCCTACAGTCGACTTTACTTTGTCCTCGCAAAGATCGACTATCTATCGAGTACATTTTCAGCTTATCCTCTTGCCCTCTTGCCAGTACGCAATCTCACCCTTCTGCCGGTTGCGCAGCGCAGAACCCGGATATCAAGCTCTCTAATTTAGGTATATCGCACTTTTCAGCGCTTTCTCACTATAACAAACCTTTGCACCAATCCTTTTGACAATCCCCGTCACCGTTAAAACATCGAGCTACCGAAATGTTGAAGCCACTTCACGTCAGCGAGATGAATTTACATGGGCTCCGATTAAATTGCTGTGTTCCAAAAACTCCAGCTCAATTTTGCCACCGCTAAACTTGTTTATCAGATCTTTGTATACCGGACAATTTCTAAGAAACGATCCAGCGTACCCAACGCGTACTACTTGAAGCATGTCGTTATTGGTGAATTTCAAAATGCTTAAAATAGCCCCTGTAGCATAAAATGCCGCTCTTTCAATCAGCATGAATGTTAAGGCTTCAATGACTGGTTGGTAATCTCCAAACACTGTGAGAGTAGAGCCCTTCAGTATCTCGCATATAAGCTTCCCGTCAAATTCCAGGTTTTTGGCAACCTTCGATACCAAGTTATATCTGAAAATGATTTTTTGGAGTGTGAGAGGGATCCATTTACCTGCCGTAACGTATTCAAGAGGCATGAAGAGAGTTTCGTCTTTAGGATCAAACTCGGACAGCTTGATAAAGTCCTTCCCCAAAAACCCGATTTCGGAATTTATTAGATGCGCTGCAGCACCATGCGTCCTTTTTTCTGAGCATTTACGAGAGGGGACCCGGTCACTGGCCAGCGAGAAACACGCATTGATACCAGTTCCCAAGATCAGCGATACGTCATTGCCTCTTTGGGTCGCAGCGTTGGCCAAGTACACGGCTACGCTATCGTTGACAATGCCCCGTACTCTGACTTCATAACGATAGCCTACTTCTCTTTGTACTTCTCGAAAAAGCCGTTGCAGAAGCTCTGTAATTTTCACGGACCTTATTTCATCACTCAGCTGGAAACCTTTGCCCATAGTTGTAATTTGCCCATTAGTAGTCAAAGGAAATCCAAACGTAACGCCGAGCTCAAAAATCACGGTGGAAGGTTCAATTCTACCTTCACGAAGAAATTTATCCGCCCGCCGGCATATCCATTGAACAATGAACTTAAAAAAGTCGATGTTTACGGAAACTGCATGAATAGCCATGCTGGCACAATTCAAGACCTGCAAATCTGCAGCGTTGACGAATCCCATCTTGGCAAAACTTCCACCCAAGTCCAGGGTGATATGCAACTTTCCACTTCTACCATTTTCTTGAGCAGAAGGCAAAATTGAGGAACCTTCACTCAGCATCGATGTATCGCTTTCTTGCAGTCTCATCTCAAGCTCCGAGCATCCGTTTTTAACCAGCTCTTCCATAGTTATATCGGGAGTAAAGACATCCGTCAAGTAGCTCAAGTCTTCATTCTCAATGGTCATGAAATTTCCGTTAATCTATCGTGCTTCCCCAGGTTTTTTCAGGTTGTTGATGTCCGCGATGAGCTTGATCTGGCATTAATTGACATACTTTTATATAAAGGAACTAGCCGGAAGATAAGAACTTAACCTCTGGACAAGAGAAATGACGAACTGAACTGAAGTCTTCAGGCACTAACGTAGTTTCTCTCTCGAATAAGGCTGTGAAAGGCGTATATAAGTAATAAGAATCTAAGAGACATGCAGTTTTATATAGAATGTCCGGTGTCAAAAATGGCCGTGGAAGAGATGCGTCATGGCATTTCGCCTTTGAAGCATGTAATGCATCTGAAGGGCGTTCTGTCAACAATTTTGTTTCACAGAACAAGTGGATCAATAGTGCCAGCTATAGACTGTGCAGATGCAGATTGTCGGTTCCCGGTTGTACGGAGCGTCGGTAATAGCGAAAGCCAGGATGCTTCAGAAAAGATGAATCGGAAAATTGACGAATGCATCAAGGAGCTAAGCATTTGGTTTGCTCAGTTTGACGAAAGCCGGCTGGATCAGCTATCGCCATCGCCATCCAGGGAAGACACTCCACCAGAGGGAACCGTCAATTCGTCGAAATCGAGGTCGGCATCTTCGATAACCTTGAAACTTTCGCAAAACAGTGGCGAGTGCTCTGAGCCGTGGGAAACCTGGACCATTGCCTCGCAAATGACCAGCAGCTACAGGATAGCCATCGAAAATAACGGGTCGTTGTCAGGAGCGGAGTTTGGCCGGTCGAGCCATTTTGAGCAGTTCCTCATCAGTCTCGCAGCTTTTTGTTACGAAATGGGCATTCAACACCCACCAGAGCAGCAGAACCAACCCCATATAGACATGTATGTTGGAAACTCGGACCCCAGCCAGACTGGTAACGAATTTGCCCGCTGGAAACGGTTTATTAAGAAAATGCTGCAATCCGGTTCTGGACAAGACAATGAAGCTTTTTGAGCACGAAAGAGCGGACAGACTCAGGTCAAAGGAATGTCTTCCTATCTGGCATTTAGCGGGAGCTCACTTTTGGTGTAGTACGAATATCCATTCACCAAAATGCAGTCATTGATGACCTTTGCAGGATCGATATGAAGTCTTTGTTGCGCCCATTCTATGCATTTGCCATCCCAGGATCCGGGCTGGAACCAAACGCTCTGAACGGTGAAAGACTCCTTCTCAAGCTGTTGTAGGATGGACAGTGTAACGGGCGGAGGCGTCACAAAACACACGCTGGCGCCGTCGATGTTCTTTTGAGCAGGGTATTGCGCCAATCCTTCTGCGATAGATCCAAAAACGGACAAGTTCTGCAGCTTTGTTCTGTTTTGCGTTGAAGAATCGGTAGACAGATCTACCACACCGCCTGAAGGTGTGATTGGGAAAACTGGCAACTCATGCTGCACAAACCAATGCACTACTCTGTTGGCATATGAGAGATCCTGGTAAACTTTACCACACACGAAGTAAAGACGATTGGGACCGAAAAAGGCGCTGAGTTGTTGCTTCACCATTTTGCTACGAGTTGGATGACGTTACTTAGTTAGAAGATGTATATATGATAATTTTACAGTTACTTGGTTGAAAGAAGCTAGCTCAGTAAAGTCATCACTAATCGGTTCATGGCCGATATATTCATTGTAGAACGTATTCTAAGCAAAAAATAAAAGCACTCACGGTGGGGGTCGAACCCACAATCTTCTGATTAGAAGTCAGACGCGTTGCCATTACGCCACGCAAGCGAAGTTGAAAATTGAGTAAATCAATTAAAAATATAAAGCAGTTTTATAGTCATTAGGTAAAAGACTGTGGGAAAGAGGCATTGTTTCCACTGGCAGAGACCTGGGATTCGATATCGAATAAGCGCTACCTTAAAATTTTGGGTATATACCTTTTTTGCTTGAAGTTTTTAGTTTCACGAAGATTTATAGTTTTTTGCTTCAGGCATCGTTTTCGAATGTGTTCTTATGTCACAGTACTCAATTTTCCGGCACAACACTCAAATACGGGTGTTTTGAACCCACAATTTGAGTTCAACAGCGCTTTCGATGATTTTCCATCTGAACTGTTTAGAGATTCCACCCCACAGTCTATCGCTGACATCTTTATCACGCGACTTCGGAGGTATATCCATTTGAAAAACTCAGAAACTAACGACTTTGATGATCAGATGCACATTCATATTTCAAGTCTCAACTTCTTAAAATCAGCTCTACGTTACAAGAGCTTCACAGAAGAGGAGACAGCACACTTCGGCTAGCAATTGTCAGGAACAAGTCCCGATATTTTCAACAGTAATTATCTACGGATGTGTCGCTCATCAAATTAGTACGCATGTAAAGACAGTTTCCATTTTATATATGCCAAGACCTCTTCTTGAACAAGAACCACTTTTTAAACGCCACTAGGGAACCTTCACCCAGTAGCACTACCGCATCTTGTACTTGCTTATGCAAAGATGTAGAACGAGCGCTCTTCAGGATCGTGACCTGCCCATCACCACCTGCATATATTGGCCATATTTTTATCGCCAACATCATGGTATAGAATGCTCTTAGTTGCAGTGAAGTCGTTCGTGTCTTATAGACTGCTATGCTATCTCAGTTCGTCATCTTGACTCATGCCTTAATCCAGGCCTTGCTGGGAACTTGAACACAAGAGCTAGCCGAGATAATGGTTATTTCCATTGAGTGCGATTTTTGGTATTGAAAGGTTATTCCTCGGAGGTTTTCATTTCAATCCTTACATGCAAAGGTAGCACCCTGGACTTCCATCGCTGTTTTCGGTTCTCCCGTAGTTTTAGCCTATCCTGAATTGGCAGCTGAGTCGTAGAGACACTCCATACGAAGATGGGCCATCTTTGGCCATATGATGATCTTTAATGTCATGTCATTGCACTCTTCATGGCACTTCCATCTTTGTTCTTAAACTCATGTAGAGCTGATGGCTCACAATGAAAGCCGTAAGCGTACTAAACCATGTATACTGTGCAAAAGAAATAAGGTCAAATGTGAGTATGTGAACTCACTGCCCTGTGAGCGGTGCGCTAAGTACGGTCTGCGATGCCACTTTGAACAACAGAGCATTGCTGCATCCTTGGCCGAGCTAAGGACTCTGCCTTCTATGACTCAGGTACATACATTAGGCTCAGAAGAGACCCAGGTGACTGAGCCAGCATCTTTAGCCCTTTCAAACGACTCTAAAGCTGTGAACTCACGTCTCAGCACGCTAGAAAGTGCCCTGGAATCAGTACTGTCGATTCTCCAAACTAGTCAATCTCAGCAACAACAGCAAATGGATCTGATCCAACAGCAGATGTCACAAAACCAAACTTGGGATAAGTGGCGCTTTCTCGATCTTCAACCGTCAACGACAAACGACTCATTTCAGGACGCAGCCGCCTTTCCGGAAAACCCACAAAACTTGCACCTTTCGAGAATTTTGTCAAAAACTGAAGTTCAAGAGCTCTGTGAACTTTTCAATGATCGATTTGCACCTCAACTTTTCGGATACGAAATAGGACCTTTAGATGTAAGCACCCTCTGGAGAAGGTCGCCTTTTTTGTTGCTCTCGATATGCACTGTAACCTGTCTTCATCATCCTTTCATGAAGTCAAAGTTCAACATGCTCAAGCGAAGTTTTGAGGTCGGTGCTTCTCAGTGTTTAACGCAGGAGGTCCCAGCTATCCAAGTAGAACACACAATATTGGCACTTGTCATCGGTGCACTATGGCTAGAATCTGGCCAAATGCTCGTATCTGTTGCGATACAATTAGCTAGATTTCACAGATTGGATCAGCCTAACACGTTGACCTCTTCACTTGGGCGCTCGCCACTACAAAGACTCTGGTATTTGCTATACATCGTTGATGGAAATCAAAACCTCGTATTTCACAAGAGCCCATCTATTCATAAGGAAAGCGAGCCGTTAATTCTAAATTCGCGGAGGGATGTCATAGGAAGCCTCACGAGCCCACAAGTCCGCGGAGTTTTGAGTGCTAATTACAGGGCTCATGGGAAAGTTGTTAACAATCGGCAGCTGGAGCTTTTGAATGAAGTGGAATGCCGCAAAATATCTATACCAGGGACTACTTTACGCGAGCTCCGACTTCTCGGTCAACTTGAGTATCATATGGCCATGGAATCAGTGTTTTCAGGCAACAGGAACAATTCGCCAGATCTAGAGCGCTCCATGCAAGCAACAGCAACCTTGTTGGACCCGTCAAACTTTGGAGTACCTTGGGTGAGCAATTTGGAGCTAGACAAGTGGATGATATCGTGGACGATCACATTGCAGAACATAGACTTTCGAAGTGATCCTTGGTGTCTGAAATCTACACTCTTGTATTATAATTTTGCTCGAATGCACATCAACATGAAACCTTCATTGGGTGGTGGCAGATCCTCCGTTTTCAACAGTGGCACAACTGATTTGATGAAAATATGGCAATCACCAGACCCAGCAGTATTTTCTAATCCGACTAGGGGGAAAAGTGCTTCTCATGACATTTCGTTTTCTGCTGCTCAGTCACTAATCAAACTAGCAACCGAGGATAATGATATCACAAGTATCTTTCAATTTCTCCCTATGCATGTTCATGCCATGCTCTACTATGCATCTCTGGTTCTCTTAGACCCTACAGATGTTTTGCACGGTCTAAGTCCGAATCGCAAAGTGCTTGCTACTCGGTATAAAACCGTCAATAACTTGAAAAGTCTCATTTCAAAAACACCATCGTCTGATCCAAACTTTAGAGCCAAGACTCTAGATTCATTGAGTCAGCTTCTTGACAACTTTGCCGCAAAATGTTTGGCTGTTGACACAGGAAATACCCAAGATGATCACGGTGCTAGATTTCAGGAAATAATCGAAGAGGAACACCCAGCTCGGGAAGAAAGGAAGCCAAGAACAATTATAGCATGGCCGGGAACCAACCCGGGTCACCCATAAAGATCTGCACTGTTCGCGCGAAAGTGTTTTGTCGTCAGACCTAAAACGTCACAAAACCAGAATAGCATATAGCAGCCAATTTTGACTGACAAGCGAACATGGATGAAGAGATAAGTGTATCGATCTAAAGGAAGTTCATAGGCCATTAGGCGACTCGCTGTTTTTCAGTCATGGTGGTCGAGAAGAGAATTCAATGTAGAGTCCGGAAGCTCAAAAAAGACCGAGATTTCGTACAATTCAAGAAAAAAGTTTACCGTTTTCCGAAGGTGTTCAAAAGGAAGTTCACATCTGAGCTTCGAGTAGTAGACCTTCAGTTCGACATTCTTAATTTGGAGTTCAAGCGACTTAAACGCTTAGTCGACTGCTTATTGAAGAATTGCGAATGGTTTTGGAATAGTGTTGAATGCTCTGTTGACAGATCGCTAAATCTGTCAAGACTATTTGAGTACGTTCTTGGTTACTGTGAGCAAAGTAAGCACACTCAATTCGATATTTCGTCAATATGGAGATTTAGGGAGATGAGTGGCGATACCAAATCATCCGAGGTCGGTATCATATGGCCGCTGAGTTCGCCTGCGGGGCCGAAATCATTTGAGGGTGGCAACTTTTCTGCTGGGAGCAGAATCATCTTGAACATAGCTCAAAGTCGTGAAAAATCAATGCGAAGGCTCATTGATGAGAAACTGAAAATGTTCAACGCCAAGGTTCTTCAGCCTTTACGCATACTCCTCAATTTATTCACTCAGATAGGACGCATTCTCAAGGAGCGCAAACTTTGCATGATTGACCTGACAACGTATATCTCCAAATACAGGCGTCTGAGCAGCACAATGCGCAAACCGTTAAGACCGCGGCAAGTGCGTAAAAAGATGAGATACGAGCGTGACGCTGAGTTACAGAAATTGAAATACGAATCGCTCACAGCCGCAATCAAGATCGAGTTGCGAGCGCTGTTTACTCTTTTCAGAGAATTCTTTAGAAACTGGACTGCCAATTACCTATTGACGACGTTCTCTTTGGCATTTACCCTGTACGATAAGCTTGGTGATCGAGCTAAAGTGTCACCGATGTCAAGCGACAATGGAACTACTGGAAAGGTCCCAACGTGTGAGCCTTTGAATACGGGTGTTTCTTCGCGTTTCAATGACCCGTTAGTAGGAATTTCAGAGGGCCTGGAGTCTGTTACTGAGACCGTGACACGATTTCGATCGAATTTTGACGCGGTTGAGCGTCGTTTGAGAAATTTGCAACTTATCAAATTCGATTCTTCGAGTCATAGTGGTGCTAAAAAAACCGTATCCGTGCTCTACGTCACTGCAATGTACGACTACACACGATTGGACGCGGGGTTCAATTTGGGCGATCTATCATTTCGCTGCGGTGACCTGATCAAGGTTGTGCTGAAAGACGAATCCGGATGGTGGCTCGGCGTACATTGTAACACAAACGAAAGAGGCATTTTCCCCGCAAACTACGTCAAGAAGGAAGAAAGATCGGATGATCGAGGTTCTTCCTCGTAGTCGAATCACAGGAGGGTTTTTTCAAGACGTTTTGACAAATGCCAAGAGACACACACCTAAAGAGATCCAAAACTTATGAAGATTCTTGTGACAAATTCCAAGAGACAAACACCTACTGAGATCTACAACTGAGTAAGATTCTTGCGACAAACGCCAAGAGACATACACCTACAGACGTACAAAACTTAGGAAGATTCTTGTGATGTCTACGTTTGTGTATAAGCGCTTACAGGTAAGAGTTTGTTTATGGTTATTATACCTTGCACGTGATCCGAAAACACACCCACACACCACTCAACACGTGCCATCAATCACATGACCCAAAATTTCAATCACACTGCACGGCACCTTTTTTTCCCTCCATTTTTATTTTATTTATTTTCTCGAGCTACTTCCGCGATATTAAACTATCGAATTGTATTGTAATAACGTACTAATCCCATCTCGCATACAACTTGCGTTACTAGCATCATACCATTTTACTCCCAGAAAGTGGCGCATCTATTCCGCTTGTTTCTGCCGTCTTTAAGCGTGTGCTATAATAGCAACAATCGGATCAATCCCCCGCAAAAAAAAGGGGAGGCAAAGGTATAAAAACGGTGCAATTGTTGCCAAGAAATTGGAACGGAAGACATCGAAGTTGTGACATTTCTGAAGTTGTGAAGTTGTGAACACAAACCTGATTGCCGTTAAGTAATCATTAGAAACAACAATAATCAAAAATGCCAGAAGTCAAGTCATTCGAAGTATCGGAACCATTGAAAGCAGCCCTAAAAGGGTTTGCTCTGGCTAACCCGCAATTGACGTTCGTGGAGCACGAAAATGTGTTTATCCGCGAAACGAACGCCAAGAAAATCAGTCTTATTGCTGGCGGCGGCTGTGGCCACGAACCTACACATGCGGGTTACGTTGGACACGGACTTTTGGGCGCTGCCGTGTGTGGTGACATCTTTGCAAGTCCCTCTACAAAGCAGATATTGAATGGACTCAAACTGTTGAGCAAACAGTCTAGCGGCGTGCTCTTGGTAGTCAAGAACTACACGGGTGACGTGCTACATTTCGGACTGGCTGCAGAACGTGCCAGAGCCCTGGGAATCAACTGCAAAGTGGTCGTCGTCGGCGATGACGTGGCCGTGGGTAGAGCCAAAGGTGGCCTGGTGGGTCGTAGAGCGTTGGCAGGAACTGTCTTGGTCCACAAGATTGCTGGTGCCTTTGCTGAGTCCTATTCGGACAAGCATGGACTCGATGGAACGGCCCGTGTGGCAGAGGTGGTAACTGAAAACCTGGTGACCATCGGGGCCTCATTGGATCACTGCAAAGTTCCGGGTCGCAAATTCGAAACCGAGCTCAATGAAAACAAAATGGAGCTTGGTATGGGTATCCACAACGAGCCGGGTGTCAAGGTGCTGGAGCCAGTCCCCAGCACCGACGACTTGATCCGTAAAGACATGTTGCCAAAGCTTCTCGACCCTCACGACAAGGACAGACATTTTGTCGAGTTCAGCAAGGAAGACGAGGTCGTGTTGTTGATCAACAATCTCGGGGCTATCTCGAACTTTGTGATCTCCGCAATCGCAGCGAAGACCGCAGAATTTTTGGAAAAAGATTACGGTATCAAACCGGTACAAACCATCACAGGCACTTTGATGACTTCTTTTGACATGGAAGGTTTCAGTATTACGCTGCTGAACGTTTCGAAGGCATCGAAAGTCGTGCACAAGGAATTCCCAGAAGTCAAGAGCATTTTGGAGCTTTTGAGAGCCCCAACCGATGCACCAGGCTGGCCCAACATCTCTCATGATGACGAAAAGGCACCTAAGATAGATCATTCGCTACTTAAGGATGAAATTAAAGTGAAACCTGCTGGAAAATTCGATTTCGACCATTTTGCCAAGATGATGAAATCTGGTGCCGACCAACTCATCAAAAGTGAACCCCACATCACGAAACTGGACACAAAAGTTGGCGATGGTGACTGTGGCTACACATTGGTTGCCGGTGCCAAGGGTATCACGGAAAACTTGGATGGCCTCGACAAGACATACCTATCGCAGGCCCTGGCCCAAATTTCTGACCACATTGAAAGTTCAATGGGCGGTACCTCGGGTGGACTGTACTCGATTATGATTTCGGGACTGTCCCACGGGTTGATTCAAGTATCTGACAAACCCGAAGAGCCTGTTACTCCCGAAAAGCTCGGTAAGGCAATGGAAATCGCTCTAGACACTTTGTACAAATACACCAAGGCCAGACCAGGTGCTTCTACGCTTGTAGACGCCCTTGAGCCATTTGTCAAAGAGTTTGCCTCCTCGGGCGATCTTGCCAAAGCCATCGAGGCTGCGGATAAGGGTGCCCAATCCACGGGTTCGATTGAAGCCAAATTTGGCAGAGCTTCGTACGTGAGTGATTCGAGTGCGATCCCAGACCCTGGTGCCATTGGGTTTGTGGAATTTTTACAAGGTGTCAAAAACGGCTTGTAAATGAACTGGTTTGAACCCGTGCGACGTGAAATGAAATAAACAACGATAGAAGTAGGCCGAATTCACCAAGGCCGAAATACGCATGTATATGATTGATAAATGTGTCTGGACTATGTATGAATGAAACTCTTGCCCTTACGGCTGATGTAAAAGAATATAACACGGTTTGGTTCTCAACTCGTACAGCAGACTAACTGCGAAGGGAGAGATGAATGCGCGAACATGACTGTTGACTAGCCACGCTACCATATATAGCAACGGATTCGAAATAAAGTGACGAAAGAAACGAAAATGGGTTGTTTGGATAACGAAAAATCGGATTGAAAGCCTAACTTGCTTCACAAAATACGGAGTAACAATGGAGAAGTTTCTCAACGTATGAATCGGTATGAATCTCAGCCATCTTCGGTTTTCTTGAATATATATTGATTCGGCTGAAATTAAACCAAAGGATGTTAGCATGAGAGAGTGATTCAAAAAACACTCGTTGGCTATCACGGCAGCGAACCACTAATTTCATCAAATCTCCCGGTCAATATGATTGAATGGCCCTACAAGTATCTAAAGTCCTGTCCGTCCAGCATCAGGTAGCTTGTGCTACATATCGCACACCACGTGATTTTGTGACAGCGTCAGACTTCGTAGAACTTTAAAAGTGAAACTCAAAGAATAGCGATTATCGATCGAACTAACTATGAAAAGGTCCCACCCAAATATTCCCCACATATAAGTGAAGCTTAAAGATGAAAAGACGAGGCTATTGGCTATTCTAAAGACATGAGACATTCACCGTGAAAAGCTACTCCAGGGATCGAGTGTAACAACGGGTAAAACTGAACAAGATCCAGACGATTTTCTAGTGAAAACAGATTCGACAATGTCCCTGAATCTCGAGAGTTGTGAAACATATCCAACTTTTACTCAATGTCACATAAGTACACAATGATAAACATTGTTCCCGGAAATTGGATATCACATGTCACGAAATCGAAATTGAAATTTATTACGAACTCAAGTCGACCTGGCTGATCCAAACATGTTCTATCCATGTTCAAACCCCTTGACGACTCATTTCACCACCTTCTTAGCGTCTAATCGATCAATCCGATGAGTACAGATTTCGAACGTATCTTTTTGAACCAGTCCAAGTCCAGCGGGAGGTTCCGGATAGCGGATTCTGGTTTAGGATGGAAGATCTCGAGCAGCGGTGGTTCAGCAGCAGGACAACAAAAAGCGCCATTACTTTTGCCCGCAACGGAACTTGCATCTGTGCAATGGAGCAGAGGGTGTAGGGGCTACGAATTGAAGATAAATACAAAAAATCAGGGTGTTGTACAACTAGATGGGTTCTCACAGGAAGATTTCAATCTGGTTAAAAATGATTTCAAAAGAAGATTCAACGTCCAAGTTGAGAGTCGGGATCATTCACTGCGTGGGTGGAACTGGGGGAAGGCCGATATGGCTCGGAATGAAATGATTTTCTCATACAATGGAAAGCCAACTTTTGAAATTCCATACACTCATATCAGTAATACCAACTTGACAGCGAAAACCGAGGTGGCAATAGAATTCGATCTCACCAAAGAAGACTATAATCCAGCGGGCGACGAGCTCGTGGAGATGCGCTTCCACGTTCCAGGCACCATTGTGGAAGACCAAGACAACGAGCAGGACGAAAAGCCTAAAATTGAAGGCGAACAAGAAGGTGTGGAATCGCAAAAGGAACAGAAGCCTGTCGCGGAATCCTTTTACGAGGAACTCAAAGAAAAGGCCGATATTGGTGAGGTTTCAGGAGACGCCATCGTTTCCTTCCAGGACGTTTTCTTCACTACTCCAAGAGGGCGCTACGATATTGATATTTACAAAAATTCTATCAGGCTAAGAGGTAAAACTTACGAGTACAAATTGCAGCACCGCCAAATTCAAAGAATTTTCTCTTTGCCCAAGGCTGATGATATTCATCATCTAATGGTGCTGTCAATCGAGCCACCACTACGCCAGGGTCAAACTTCATACCCATTCTTAGTAATGCAATTCCAAAGAACGGAGGAAACTGAAGTGCAGCTAAATGTTGAAGATGACGAATTCGAAGAGCTTTACAAGGACAAGCTCATGAAACAGTACGATGCACAAACACACGTTGTCCTGAGTCACGTTCTGAAAGGTTTAACGGGCCGCAGAGTGATTGTTCCTGGTCAATACAAGTCGAAATACGATCAATGTGCCGTGTCATGTTCTTTCAAGGCTAACGAAGGTCATCTGTATCCCTTGGATAGTGCGTTCCTTTTCCTAACCAAACCAACTCTGTACATGCCATTCAGCGACGTCAGTATTGTCAATATTTCCAGAGCCGGTAAGACTACTACATCGGCAAGAACGTTCGATTTGGAGATAGTAATGCGTGCTAACGGCGGATCCACAACTTTTGCAAATATTTCCAAAGAGGAACAACAGCTACTGGAGAACTTTCTGAAGTCCAAGAACTTGAGGGTCAAAAACGAAGAAAAGGAAGCACAGCAAAGATTGGAAAATGCGCTTGGATCTGACAGTGGGGACGAAGATGTAAATATGGGTTCTGCTGGCGAAGACGATGAGTCTGTTGATGAGGACTTTGATGCCGGTTCGGAGGACGACGATGTCGCTGAAGAGTTTGACTCTGATGCCCCAGCCAGTGACAGCGAGGCCGAAGGTGACGAAGATAATAGCAGGCCGGTCAAGAAGTCGAAGCTTCAATAAAACAACACAGGTGAAGAAGTACAAAACTACATAGCAGGGTTAAAAAACATTCATTCTAGCAAAACAGTAGCGACACCTGCGGTTGTAGTTGCAATTGCAGTGCCACCTCATTTGCGAGACAGGTCTTCCAGCGTTCGCTTAATTACGCGGGCTGACGAAGATAGCTCTTGGCGCATGTACTCTAAATGAGTCTCTTTACTAGCTATCCACCTCTCCGCAAGACCAATCCTGGTTGCACCTCGATGTGAGTCCATCGTAAAAGCTGCCTCTTGCCATAAATATTGTTTCTGCACCAAGTTTTTGGGTAGTTTGGTTAGTAGCCATTCTTGAGGACAAGGCTCCTTTGATTGAACATAACAAGTCACTTACCTTATAGAAGTTATCGAGCTCTGTTAGACAGATATCAACTTCTTTGGTATACGTATCCATCAAATTCGCAGAAATTTCGTACAAGTCGTCCCAGTTTAACCGCTTTATGGGTGCATGGTCAGCGGCTGTGCTGGATTTCTTGCATTCCGCGTTCACGAGTCCCGTGGCCTCGCCCAATCGCTGTAAAACTTCCAGTTTCATCATTTCAGCGCGCATTTCGTGTTTGCTGTGCTCATTGGCCTGCCACTCCGCGGCTATGGTTTCCAAGCTGAAAGGCCCACCACTGGCACAGTTAGAGTTAGAAGACATGGCAAAAGGCTATTTCTATACGCGTATATAGGTATATATAAAGACTATTTCGAAGGTGTTTTCTATTCTGTTCCTTGATCTAATGTACAAGTCGGTGACGTTTACCAAGAATCTAGTTCATATCAGGTATAATGAACTTTTATTCTAAAATTCCAGAATTTTGACGATTGTCGTTTTGATAGCGAAGCGACCATCTAGGACCCAAACTGACCACCAGTAGCTTGTCGGTGAATCTAAAAGTCCAGGAAACGATGTAGACGATGAATGACAAGATTGCGACTAATCGCACAATAAACTGCCAAAACGATATACGTTCATCGCTTACGGTTATAGATAGTGCTTCGAAATCATAAGAAAGAGTAATACCGGCCACGGATCCTCTTCTAACTTGATGGATCGGAACTGTAGACTCTGTCTCGCCCAACGAGTATTGGTTGGTGTATACTTCCGCACCCAGTTTTCTGTAGGTGGTGGGGACTACGGACGTGTGGTAGCGGTAGCTCATACCAGGATCGTTGGTAAGGCGGCCCGCTCTGTCGAGCGGGTTGTCAATGTAGGGATAGAAATCGCCGAACGAAAGCTCGTTGAACACATGGGAAAAGTTGATGGCCTCTGGCGGGGTTCTTTGAAAATCAGAGAGACTAAAGCCACGAACGGTAATGACAAGATCACCTCGTACCATGTTCACAGGAATCGAGCCGAAAATGTGACATCCATCGAAGTCCTGGTTCTCACTAAGGGCAGAAAAGTCCAGCTTTTCACGGAATTTCGCCGGAATGGCTTCTGAAAGAATCTCGTCCAAACCGGGAGTCTGAATTTCGTTCCTGTTGTTCACGCTGGTGCCATATGGGATGTAGAAAGGCATGTCCTCAAACGAAAGTTCCTTCTGCACCATTTTTCGATCTCCAGTGATATCGGTGGCGAAAACATTCAACCACTTGCACTGAGTGTGCACAAATAGGTCCATGTTGATCTGTGCGGTCTCCCGAACATTACTGGCAACTCCATATTGCTGATCAACGTATCCACCGAAAAAGCTACCAAACTCGCTCCAGGCGATGAACGCCAGGAAAAGGTAGGTAAAAATACTCGAGAGCCCACCTTTAGAGGATTTTTTGACATGTCGGTCCTCCGTCTTAGCTGTTGGAAAGTTCTTTGAAGTTAGTAAAGTGTTTGTCGAGTTGGTGAAGAGCAGTGTTCAACACCCCATTTATCTTAGAACAAGACGTCTACGATAACCCAAAACTTACGGAACGCATCAAAACTTCTCAAGCCAGACATGTGTGGTCTTTAAACCTTGAAAGTAGCGATCTTTGATGGTCTTTTGCGTTTAAACTTTTCTTTGAGGTTGGTTCATGTTGTTGATGGATGGCTCGCTATGTTATAACTAATTAGACCCAAGTACGTAACAATGACAAAAAGTTCGGTTTACAACAAGCTTATGACGATATTAGCAGTTATTTCAAACTGTTGTGCTCGAGGATAGTATCGAATCCATCTCTAGGTCCTTTTGCCAGCTTCCTAGAGCCGTTGGGCTTACCTGTAGCTCATTTTCCGCGTTTTTCCTATGTTGGTTGAATTTTAACGTCTGCCAAACCAAAACGCACTCCAACACCAGCCTCACAACGTTCATGTAGAATGCACCACCTATTTGAAGATCGAAGTACTTCTTGGAAAGCCCTTGGGTCACAGAAGCCTTGTTCAGAGATGAATATAGTACGGTAGAAACGAAAACACCGAAAAAACTTACAATAGCGGCCAGAACGGGCAGGACCTTGAGGAAAAAATGTCCCCATATACCCACGGTCCGCCACGTTGTTTCAAACCTTTTATCTCTGCGTTTGCCCGTAAACGCTGTTGGCGATGTGACGACAGTAGAAATGATGACTAGAATGCACAGCGAAAATTCAATCAGATTGATGAAGCTTATCGACCAGCATAAATGTTGAAGCACTTCCAGTAGCTCGGCGGCGCTTTGCCACTGGCTTAAATCGCGAACGGGAATCTCGCTGTTGGAGCCGGAGTAAGGAGACATGTATTTGGCGAAAATATTGTTGCTATCGTCCGCAGAGCCAGTCTCGTTTCTACCTGCTTCGAGCAAAGCACGAAGTCCTAGTTTGAACGCGTACACGAAAGAATTGCCCATCATATACGGATTTTTGGAGGAGGTAATACCAAATTGAACACCCACGTCCCGCATGAGGGTAGAAACGGGCTCCAGCCCATTTCGATTGTTAATGCAGTAGCGAGGAATCTTCGCTACTGACGGCTGATCTTTGCAATATCCAAGGTGGTTCATCTTGTAGCGGTTGGGAGCATTGAAAGTGTTCACCAGGTTCACGTCATCATAGTCTTCCAAGTTAGCAGCTTTTCCATTTGCGTTCAGGTCCAATGCAACGTAAGACAGTAGAGTCAAGAGACTTTTGGCTCCAACGAATATATTTTGACCGGGGTCTGGGACTTCCAAAAAACGAAGTGTGTACTGCGGGATGCAAAATCGTGGGCCCGCCAACGAGTTGCAAGAAACGCTTGGAAGATGCAGGAGAATAATTGCTAGGAGTGATATCAGGATGGAAAACCAAAGACATGCCGTCGTAGCCAGAGCTAGAATTGATGGTCGCAACTTGTTCGAGATGCTATCTAGCTTCATTTCAATTGAATATCTTGATGCGGATTGTGGCTTACTCTGAGAAAAGGGACGCCATGCTTGAACGTGAAGTGGGTTTTTGATTTCGTCGACATGATACACGGACTGACGTTTTATGTCGATAGGCGCCGTCACATGTTGAATGCTGACGCCGGCACCACTGGTTCCTGATATATGATATTCGAGTTCTCCGTCTGGGTTGTGGCTAGAAGATTTAGCGACTCCACCGAGCTGTTTTCCAAAAATCCTGCTTGAGAGCTGTCACCTTTTTGGTAAAAAGGTTTTTGCAGCCTTTCGACTTCCGTGTCTGCTTGCTCTAGCGAGTGGTCACGGTGGTGGACACTTTCACTGGCAGATGCAAGTATACCTAACTCATAGGATTCATCTCGTTCCACAGCGTTATCAGTAATGCACCACACTAAACCGGACCAATTAGCGCAGGAAATGCAAGAAAAAATGGCCACCAGCCAAAGTGCAGCGGACCACTCCCCTCCCAAATGGTAGGATATACCCATCACGCCAAGCTCACTATTTATCTTTGATCGGAGCTCCATGTTCATTACCATCAAAGATATCGCACTCACCAATGCGCATATGCATACTAGCAATGAAAGCACAGATATTGTATGCACGAGCATGAACTCTTTGAACTGGTTAAGATTTCGCCCTTTGATCGAATAGTACCACAAAGTCAAGGCCAGAACAAGTGCTTGACACACTGCCACAATATACAGTAACACCACCATTCTCTCCTTTGTATTTCTTCTGGAATCCATATAGCGTGTGTACGAAGGGCTTGTTTCATAAGTGCCGCCATCGGGAGTTCCATATGCATAATCCAGAATTACCTCAAGGCCCACGTCTTTCATCAGGCTCCTGTAGTCAAAAATGTAATCTGAACCTTCTCGTATGCAAGCTGTATAATTTTGAGCCCTGGGACCTGTGGTTACTGTAGTTCTATTTTCAACCTCACACCAGCCATAAACGGAGGAGACGACGTACTGCGGTGCTGATTTGGATTGCAATGCTGTGTATTCCGTCAGAATCAAGATCTCAGAAGTTGTGAGTCCAACCCCATTGCTAACGTAGTTGGCTGTAGATGATTCAACCGAGGATTGAAGAAACTGAAACAACCCGTTAGCGATGTCAATTGACGACGTTTTCATCTGGCCCATGTAAAGTCTATCAGGAAGCGTCAATGCTCCAACTGTAACTATCATTGTAAAAACTATGACTAAAATTGATGATCCTAGCCTACAGAATTGAACAAGACGGCTCGAGGCACTGAGATTGTCGAAAGGTTTCGCCGCTGCTTTTTGAAGCCGGCGTCCTAGCATTCGAAGTTCTCTATATAAATGTCTTTGGGCTCATCAAAATCGACCTGACTTGAGGAGCAGCCAGGCTGTTCAAAGGACTCGATTGTTCGAGCAGCCGATGAGTATACATAGACAAGATGTATGTTAATTATAGACTTGATTTGATATTGATAATTATATATGAGGTCACGTGACCAGGAAGGTTTGAGTATAAAGAGACAACTTTGGAACTGGAACGAAGTCTTCTGAGTATTTCAAGAGGTTTATAAGGTGATTTGTGGAGTATGGCTTCGAGATATGCACCGTCCAGCCAAATTTTGTAGATCAAAAGGCGATCACGTGATTCAACGGCCTACACAACTATACATGGGTATGCCGTCTTTGACGCGGATCTACACCATTTATCGACCACTATGCTACACATGATACACATTCTATATGTCGTGGCTTGCTACGAACTGGGGCTGTATACCGTTTCGCACAATTTTTTAATTGATCACTATTTCCCGGTCTGACAGTTGTGAAGAAGTTGGCAAGTTTTCGGGGGTGCGAGATGTGAGAGTATGATTCAGAGCCAGCTGTTTGTCTTGTTGACAGCTTTTTAAATGGTGGACCCAGCTCAAGATCAAAATACACGAAAATAATAGTACAGAACTAGAATTGACACTTTAGAGGCGTGATAGGACATCAACATCGAAGTATAAACTCGTTCCACGAGTTTTGGGCCTCAAACGAAGCATGACGATTGGTGCTAGAAGAATTCAAATACAACCAAGTTGAAGATACTTCTAGTCGCGTGACTCCATGAAGATGTGATAGCCTTTTTTTTTTTTTTCTTCTTTGAAGTGATCCATTGATGTGAGATAATGCTGCCAAGAACATCCAGCCGATTTTTCAGTAGATGTACTGTGATGTTTTACTATTTTCCAATTGCAGCAAGTGTCCTGGCTGGTGGCTAGTGTAGCTTTGATTCCTGTTATCGTGTGTAATAATATTTGAAAACTGATTGGGTCAAGCTAGTAAACTGTATAGGATTCAATGATTGTATTAAAATGTAACACTTTGGAATATATAGGTAAGAGTATGCATGTTTGCCAAACACTCTTGTTACGCCTAACGTCAGACGCGCTCTTGAGTGATCTCAACACGTGACGAAATCTCAGCGACGTAATTTGACAACAATAACGAAGACACTTGAATGATTAAAGTTCCTAGTGCTTCAAGGACCAAGAAAACGATAGCACCGAGTAGCACCATCCATCCTGATGTCATCACATCTCAGGTAGCTGTAATAATCGTCGGTTCGTCGTCGATAGAAGTGAAAAGTTTCAAATGCATACGCGATGGATTGGACTACAGCATCGATGAGTCCGCAAACCAGATCAATTTTTTTCGCTGCTACTGAGCCTCAAAGACCTACCAGCTCAGGACTCTAGTAGTCCAAATAGACTATTTACGTCAATTCTGTCGCTGTCGTTCTTATCACGTGACTCATATCACTCTATGACAAATTCGACATTTGACGTGAGAAGTGGATTTGACAAGAAACAAGAAGTTTAGGGCATGATTTGTCCGCTTAAATAACTTTGCACTTATTCACTTTCACTGCTGGTCGCAATTCTATCATTTTTACTCTCAAGTGAACGATCTTCTTTACCCGCTGTACTCGAGGATCATTAATTGAAAAGTACTCGAGAATTAAGATTAAAGAGTTTAAACTACATACACTGCATCGCTTCAAACACAACATAACCCATCAATAACTCAAACCACCAAAAACTCTTAGTGACCAGGGTTGTAAGCTGATGCAAACCGCTTTTTCTAGTTAGAAACTTACCTGTTTTTTCAATGGCTACCTCTCAACAAGACTTTGAAGGTTGGGAGATTGTAAAGAGAGACGAAAATCAAAACATAGTGTATGATGACTTGGGTGGGAGAAGAGCTCGCAGAAGAACCGACAAAAAGGGAGAAAAGGAGTATATTTCGCTAAGACGGCTACGTGACGGCCTGGAATTTGGCTGTGGTGACTCAATTGTCATGCGAGACGCTGGCACCGATGACTTTTCCGTATATATGGTGCATGAGATTCGATTGAACACGCTCAACCATTTGGTCGAACTTTGGGCATTTGCGTATCTACGCAGGTTTGAGCTCAATGAAAGGGAGTACCTCGAAGCGTGTGAACCGATTAAAGGACTTCCGGCCTCCAAATTGAAAAGCATGTCTGACGCTGAGGTGACCGCATCTTTTGCACAGATTTGCGATTCATACGAACTTTGCTTGACAGCAGAACTCTCTGAACTTTATCTATCCGATTTTCTGGCTAGGGCAGAAGTGTATGACCCCGAAAATCTCCCACCTCATGATTTTGAAACAACAAACAGTGATAAAACGACGCCTGACTCATTTCTTGTTCAGTTTGCGTGCGAACCTTTGGGCCTGTCTTTTAGGGAAATTGATATTCATGATGTGGGTCGTTACGTGGCTAGCCAGAATTCAAGAGATTCGCACACATTCATCAAAGAATTAACAATCAAGCCGGTTCAGAATAAGGGAAAGAAAAGGATCCCTCGCATACATAAAAAGCAAGATCCCAAAAAGACAGGCCCAAGTGTACGCCCTAGTCCCGTAGAACAACACAATCCCGAAGATGAGAAAGGGCCGTCGAGCTCAGACAATATCGAAATTTTCCAGGATGCTTTAGAAGAACCTGGAAATTCGAAAAATGAGCCACGTAATGCGCCTACGCGCCTCTTTTTAGCATCCGACTCTGAAAGTGGAAGTTCCACTCGAGGTGACCAATCGCCTGACCAATCGCCTGACTCTGGCTCTGACTCTAACTCTGAAGATGAAGATGAAGATGAGGATGAAGATGAAGAAGTCGATGGTGAAATCGATGAAGAAGTTAAGGACGACTCTGAAGTCAGTGATGACGATGATGAGGAATCAGGTGCAGAAGGGACTGCTAGCGACGAAGAGGACGATAGTACCACCAGCTCAGAGGAATTGGATGCAAGTTTCGACGACAGTACAGTAAAGCAACCAAAACGGCCTTCGAGAACTACCTCATCTAGCTCTCGCAAGCGAAAAGTGACGCAAAGATCGTCAACTCCGTCATCTCCTCCAAAGAAGGCTTTGAAAAGTAACGCTTCTAGTGCTAGCGGCATCAAGAAGTATTCGAAAAAGAACGTGTCAAGGGCCAAGAAAGCATATACTCCTTTTTCTAAACGATTCAGAAGGCCTCAAGATATCCCTGACTTAACAAAAATTGCAGAGTTCAATCAAGATCAGATAGATATGGATGTTGCTGCTATTGAAAATAGACTGCGGAGTCCCAAAAAGCAGCATACCACGGAGACAATCTTTTCGAAGGTAAAAAAACAGCTATACACCTCTCACGGTAAAGATGAAATTATGAAAGCTGGAAATTTCGATGACTATTTGCCCGCTCGTGAAAATGAGTTCGCTTCCATTTACTTAAGCCTCTACAGTGCCATTGAAGCAGGAACAGGCACGACGATTTATGTGGCAGGAACTCCGGGTGTCGGTAAAACATTGACTGTTAGAGAGGTAGTCAAAGAACTTCTTCAATCGGTGGAACAAAATGAGCTTCCGAATTTCCAGTATGCTGAAGTCAACGGTTTGAAAATGATAAAACCCACAGACAGTTACGAGGTTTTGTGGAACAAAATTTCTGGTGAGCGGCTGACATCTGGTGCTGCAATGGAATCTCTGGAGTTTTATTTCAACAAAGTACCGAAGAGTAAGAAAAGACCTATCTTGGTTTTACTTGATGAACTAGACGCATTAGTGACTAAAAGCCAGGACGTGATGTACAATTTTTTCAACTGGACCACTTACGCCAATGCCAAATTGATAGTGGTAGCGGTAGCCAATACAATGGATTTACCAGAAAGGCAGTTGGGTAATAAAGTTTCTTCCAGAATTGGTTTTACAAGAATAATGTTTACTGGCTACACTCATGAGGAATTGAAAATTATCATCAATTTGAGACTCAAGGGACTCAATGAAAGCTACTTTTATGTCAACACGGCCAATGGGAGCGCGCATATGGTTTTCAATGGGGAAGAAGAACCTGACCTCGATACGAGTGGCATGCACAAAGTCAAACTGAGGATAGCGCCGGACGCGGTCGAAATTGCTTCCCGGAAGATAGCCAGTGTAAGCGGAGATGCTAGGAGGGCATTGAAAGCGTGCAAACGAGCAGTGGAAATCGCAGAACATGAATACATGGAGCGCCATGGATATGGGTATGATGGTGTAACAGCTGGCAAAACAAACGGCGCGGGCTCCATTTTGACTGAAGAAGATGAAGTCCAAAGTGTGCAGATCAATCACATCATGAAGGCACTCAACGAAACTGTGAACTCTCCATTGGTAATGTTCATGGCAAACCTTCCATTCACTACTAAATTATTCCTGTATGCAATGATTAACCTCATCAGAAAAACGGGTAATCAGGAGCAACCGTTGGGTGACATCATCGATGAGATCAAATCTTCGATCGATTCCAACGGCAAAAATAAGTTTATCGTGGAAATGCAAAGAGTACTTTTTAATCAAGGCGACGAAATGTCATTGGAGCAGCTGCGAATCATATCCTGGGAATATTTGGTCAACCAGCTTATTGAGGCCGGCATCGTGATTCGGCAAAATCTCAAAAATGAGCGCCTAAGTGCAATCAAATTCAATGTTTCGACGGAGGACGTCAAATCTGCTCTTAATCAGGATAAAGTTATGAAAACGCTTTGAGCCATCGGGCACTAGCAAGGGCGAGGGTGATTGACATCGGTTTAGAGGAGAAATGTATAAAAGTTGGTAGAGTGAATGAACCGGAAGGGGAACGCCTTTATAAATCGTGGTGGAATAATAAGTAATGCTAAATTAAATGAGTAGTCGGGATTGCGACCTTTTAAGTGATGGCCTATCGGTTACCGAATGTTTAAGGCCCCACACTATTATGTGGACGTACCCGGCGGTGAGCTTGACGAAGCGGAAGCGGACCTGCGCGTACCGCCCAAATGCTTATATATGAGCAGCGGGTCGCCAATTTGTTTAATCTCTGAAGCACGCATGGTCAAGTTATAGAGTTTGGCGATGATGATTTTGAAGATTTTTTGAACGTTTATGGAATGTGACGTGGAACAAAAAATGAGCGGAGCGTCCATTGCCTGGGCATATCGCATGCTTTGCTTTGAGATCTGCGCTTGCAAGTCCGGATCCAAATTAACGAACAAATCATATTTGGTTCCCACCAGTAAAGGTACAGCGCGCTCGTTAAATCCGGTGGCTTGCCGATGCCATTCTTGAATCGATTTTAGCGTTTCTGGTCGTGTGAGGTCAAACAGAAACACAATGGCCTTGGCTCCTTCAGAAGCCAATGGTAACATATTTATAAACTCTCGCTGTCCTCCGAGATCCATTATATAGAAAAGAATATCTGCTGATCCCAATGTAATCTTTTTGCTGAGACAATTCACGCCCAAAGTTTGCGTGTATTCTTCGTCAAACACATTTTCCACGTATTTGACCATCAAAGATGTTTTGCCCACTTGTGCGTCCCCTATCAGTCCGATTTTGATGGTAAAAGTGTTTTTAGGTGGCGGAAGAGACGGTACATCTGATGCCATGGTGTGTGCCCTTGCAAAGAGCCGGGTTTCCACTTCAATTGGGGGGTTCAAACGGTGCAACAGATGCGGGACCTTGAAATTTCGAGATGTTAAATTATATCTAGATCTATATCATTAATATGTCATATATGGCATATAGCCCATTAAATTGTGATGTATTGACCGGGGAAAGTAGAGGAAAGCCAGGAGCAACAAAGGCTAAAATTAATGATCCAATACACGCATGTGTCTCGTTTTAGGAAGCGAACCAGTCTCCAAAAAAGCGCGATCTTTTTCCGACCTTTTTCAAGATCCTAGGGCAACTTTCAAGATTTTTGGATCGCTGAACAACCCAAGAGAATAGAAAAAGAAGAAGAAGATTGAGAAAGTGTGTGAAAAAGCTTTTGAGAGTGCAAGGAAGTGCGAACTAGATACGAATTCTTTCTCAAATCGCTTGAAATGACAAGAGTACTCACTCATACGTTCAAACAAAGGAGTACATCACATCAAACGAAAAACATGTTTAGTTGTGACTGTCTCTTTAAGCTACACCCATACATTTTCATTTTTGAGAGAAATTATTTTGTTTTTGAAGCGAACAAACTTGGACATACTTTTCTCCATTTGTTATTGTGCGTCCTTCCTGGAGTCGAGTCTCCTTTCTGTCTAGCGGTCCGGCCTAGAGACGGTTTGCCTCTAGGCTCGCCTACCCCTTCCTTGCAACTTTCTGTAGTGAGCCCGCAGGGCTCGGCGGGCAACTCTGGTTGGGATCTCTGCCTAGCCTGAAAGGGGGACTCTTCCAAACTCTCTCTGCGTATGCTGTCGCTGCAGCTAGCGCAAGCAGTGAACAATTTCATCAAAAGTTCATCAGGAAGTTCATCAGCTATACAACTCCATTTCCAGTTAGTGTGCTTCAGAACCAAACTATACATCATCCCCAGACAATATGGCTGTTGGTAAGAACAAGAGACTATCCAAGGGTAAGAAGGGTTTGAAGAAGAAGGTCGTCGACCCATTCACCAGAAAGGAATGGTACGACATCAAGGCCCCTTCGACCTTCGAGAACAGAAACGTTGGTAAGACTTTGGTTAACAAGTCTACCGGTTTGAAGAACGCTTCTGACTACTTGAAGGGCAGAGTGGTGGAAGTCTGTCTAGCCGACCTACAGGGTTCGGAAGATCACTCTTTCAGAAAGGTGAAATTGAGAGTGGACGAAGTCCAAGGCAAGAACTTGTTGACCAACTTCCACGGTCTAGACTTCACCGCCGACAAGTACAGATCTATGGTCAGAAAATGGCAAACTTTGATCGAGGCTAACGTCACTGTCAAGACTGCTGACGACTACGTCTTGAGAGTGTTCGCCATTGCCTTCACCAGAAGACAGCCAAACCAGGTCAAGAAGGCCTGTTACGCTCAATCTTCTCACATCAGAGCCATCAGAAAGGTGATTTCCGAGATCTTGACCAGAGAGGTGCAGAACGCCACTTTGGCTCAATTGACCTCCAAGTTGATCCCAGAAGTCATCAACAAGGAAATCGAGAACGCCACCAAGGACATTTTCCCTCTACAAAACGTCCACATCAGAAAGGTGAAGTTGTTGAAACAACCAAAATTCGACTTGGGTTCCTTGTTGGCCTTGCACGGTGAAGCTTCCGGTGAAGAAAAGGGTAAGAAGGTTGCCACCTCTGGTTTCAAGGACGAAATCTTGGAAACTGTGTAAACTTTATCTGCAATTATCACATAACAAAATCGACAAGAGTTCTATAATCATGTTTTGCCCGTTTATTAGAGACGCATGCGCGCGGTAGGGTCAAAAGGACATCAACCAACAGTACATTGTCTCACTATCACATAAAGTAATGCGTCTATGAATTTCCGTAGTATACAGGGTCGTAAGTAACACAGACCTTTAGGTCAGTCCTTTTCATCTTCATCCTCGTCCTCATCTCCATTCCCAATATTGCCCTCACTATCATCCTCATCCTCAACGTCGTCTTTTTCGGGTTCAGATCCACCGGTCTCAATTTCTTCATCTTCGTCGTCTTGATATGCTTCATCGGGCTCACCAATATGTACTTGTTCAGATGGAACCAGATTTCTACTGACAAGTTCGTCTTCGAGTACGGTGGCTATTCTATCGAAAAGCTGGGCATTGTGGCTCCACTTGTCTTGATAATCTTGCAGTTCTTGTTGCAGTCTGCGAATACTCTGTTTCATGGATTCGTTTGTGCGCTCCAGATCGCGGCCACTCTTGGAGAAATTCGCCAGCACCGACAGTTCTTCATATTCCACTTCTGCATCTTCTTCTCGCACTTTGACCATCTGTCGTCTGAACACTTTTGCACGTAGCATTTGGGCCACTGCTCGAGCACCCAACCGTTTTTCCCACTCCTCCTGTGACGCGCTCAACTTCGACTTCGATTTTTGCATACCTTCAACCTGTTCGTTTACTAAATCGATGTGCGAGTTCATATCTCGCAGTCTTGCGTTTCTCTGTCTCAAAATCTTGTTTCTATCTCTGGTAGTCGACAAATCCTCTGTCAAAGTTCGCTTGATATTCGAAACATTTGCAGTTGCACTCGAATTTTCGACACCAACTCTCAATTTCTCCGCCTCCACATACAGCTCTGCATCTTGTCTCTTCAATTCATACAGATTCTTCCATTCTTGGATCTTTTCCAAGCTCAGTTCATGTTTGTCTTCCAGTTTACCAACTATAGCTGCAAAAGACACACTTGAAAGCTCTGAAACCGCATTCAAATAGGCGTTTAATGAATTATCAGGGTTGAACACTGCTAAGCGCTTCTCAACAGCTTTCTCGCTGGCTTGATCGCTCATGTCCGTGGACCATTCTGTCAGATCTAGATGTTAGTTCATATAAATTCAACATCATCACCATTAATAAATTGATCTTTGCTCATCGAAGAGTTTCAACTTGACAGAAACGTTGCAAACATCATCGTTTTAGCACCGATATGGACTATTAAGATGCTAGAGGATCAATTGTATGTTTTGTGCTGTTTTCTAGCTTCAAAAAGTGACGCTTTACGAGTCGTGAAGTTGATTTTGGGGCAAGATCGGTTAAAATTGGTGGAAGTCTTGAAACTGATATGTGTCCTCTGGCCGGAGCTAGACGATCCGCTTCGATTGCTAGCGGTATTTCAGAGTGTTGAAGAGCTTGAAAATTCCGAGAAAACTGAGCTGGAAACTTTAGAAAGTTTGATCGGTGATGATCAAGAACTTATCGCTGCAGTGGAAGCGAGTCCCGAAACTTTATCGCAACGGAGAAACGCACTGCAACGATATGTAGAAATTGAATTGAAAAAAACCAAGATTGGAATTACGATAGAGAGCTCCAATTGGCAATTCGCGTTCTTTCAAGCACGAGTATTGATTTGTAATTCGGTTGTCGAAGATCCACTCTTTTACAAACCTTTATGGTCGAAGCTAAAGTCGGCCCAGAACCCTAATTTTTTGAGCTGGGTATCAGGTATCTTGAAACCCTTATCACATTTCTATAATCGTACAGGGGCACGGCTGCGCATTGCCGAATTTCAGTCGTTTCCAGCTTCCAAAACGTTGGACTTGCTTTGGCAGTCAGTCCAAGATGCGGAAGAGTCCAAGTTCCGAGGTGCGCTTACCTATGAGCTTCTACCGTATCTAGATTACGTGGCTGGCTACAATGACTTTTTGGAGACTGTTTTCAACGCAAACAACTTCCGTCTCGATTCATTATCAAACTTCAGGCGATACAAAATGCTGGCATTGGAATTGCTGAGTCAAATCCCCGCCGAGTTTCAACGATTATTCCAAAGCCGCGTGGTCGCAATCCTTTTCGAGAATGGTAGCAATCTCCAAAACCTCAACAGCCTTGATTTGCGCGTCGAACAAAGCTTGATTTTATCCTCTGTGGATGAAAATGTCAAAATTCATGGAATCGACCTCGATATCAGGACACTTCAGATGTTCGCGCAAAAAATGGATCTGCTACAGCTATATGGTCTTAACGATATCTATAAGCTATCTCAAAACTCACAGCTCGTTCAAAAATCCTGTTTCTCCACAATGTGCAAACAGCAGCTAGAATCTGCAAAATCATACGATACACTCGACACCTTGAGATCTTTCATGTATGATGACCCTATATTTCCAACTCTCGATGTTGTGACGAAGAAACTTGTCATCGTAGAATCCCTCTTAAGCAAGGGTCACTTTGACATGTTGCAGCAATTCGCACAAAACTCAAAATTTGACCTCGAAGATAATGTGTTACTCAAGTTCTTCTGGAGTTTCTTCAACTCGGCAACCAGTGGACGCTCCAATGGACCCAATATGCTCAATGCAAGGAAAATCCTGGGGCTCTTGCCCATCGGTCAGTATCAGGACCTTTCAGCTTTGCTAGATGTTGCTGAAAAACTATCAGATTATTCGTTGAACGTCTCAAAGGGTGTCCCTCTCAGGCCATCTGCATTGTTTGAATACAAACACCGGCCCTTTGAGATCATATCTAAACTCTTGGAATTGAATCAGGGCCTCTACAAGCGTTTGGAAGAAACATTCGAAATAATGAGACTCTTGTACTCGGCGCTACACTTGGAGCCATCTACCTCTGGCTTTGATGATGAATATACCAAAATCTGCGCGCTGCATATCGACTTTGCCCTTGCGAATTCAGACTTCGAGTATGCCTATCAGGAGGCCACAAATCTAATCCAACGGCCCAAAAGCGGTGAGTTCTGGTCAACAATTCTCCAAGTGGGGAAATTCTTTGATCCTTCTTGGGCTGAAAGTGAGATACCAACCGAAATTATCTATCTACAGCTAGAAATTCTGGGTAAATTACTGCATGTATGCCCTGTAGATGAGGTAGAGGCAGTTATATCTCAGTGGAGCGGACTAGAATCCGAACTTTCAACCAGAGACTTAATCAATGACTTTTATTCGCTTGCTCATGGCGATTCAAGTGATTTCAAGGCCAAAATCATGGGGGAAGTTTCGACCAGTGCGTCGAAATTCTTCTCTTCCGGAATCAAATGGGCCATTGATCGTGATACGTAATGAAAAATCTGTTTATCTCTTCGTTCTATCCTGTTGGCTGAAAAATGTAGCTACAGGAGTTAGCCGTGAAAATGATTACCCAAGAAAAATCAGAAAAAGCGTATTTATTACAGCTTGTTCAGCTGCCTGCATCAACGTCTATATATTCATCTGCTACCGCATCTAGTATTTCGGGATCCAAGTCATGTAGGTTCTTTTTGTTTTTGCGCTGAAGCATCGAGGTGATACGGTCCTGCCGCACCTCGTGTTGTTTGTGTATCATTTTTGTTGTAGTTGCCGGTGCGTGAGAGCCACTCTGCTTTCTTACAGTACTATCAACAACCCGTTTTCTTGCCTCTTGGGCCGAAGTGAGCGTGCGATAAAACTCTATGACACTTTCATGAGCTTGCACTTTGGATTTGTTGAAGTTGAGTACCTGCAGCCCTTCTCTACATGTAGCACGCGATAGTGCCACATAGGCTTGCCCTTTCTCAAAAATTCGTCTCAAATCTACCTTGACTTTCGGAAGTGTCTGTCCTTGGGATTTGTGGATCGATAGCGCCCAAGCGAGCATCAAAGGCAGCTGTATTCTGCTGACGAGGGGTTTTTGATGCTCGTCTTCGACCGCCCAGTCTTCAGGCTGTACTAGGACCAGTCGCGAAGAACCATCCGGGGTAAGAAACCTTACGAAAGGGAGTTTGCGCCCGCCCGAGCTTTCTTTAATCGCCTCTAGTAGTTCTTTCTTCCTCTCAATGTTACGTTTTTGACTGACGGTAAGATTATCAGTGTCAGTCATTAAGAAATCGAAAATGCTTTCGTCTAATTTATCATGAGGTAGTTGGCTTCCTACTCTGCAAAAAGAGTCTTTGTCACTTTTCCTCCTTATAACTTTCTGATTGTTGTCGTCTTCATCGCTGTTGTCATTGACTGGTATCTTTCCTTCAATCATTGATTCAAGCCGGGAGGTTTCTATCTCGGGGTTTTTCTTCACAGTGTCATAAAACATGTAGGTCGTCTGGTCTATAAAGTCAATAATCTTTCCCAGCGAACCGTTTACTAAAGTCTCGTCCATGTTTTTGATCATCATTACCTGCGCTCCTATCTTGAGTTTGAGTTCCTTAGGCGCCAAAAAATTGGACAACAGTTTCTGCTTTTGAAGTTCATCTTTCATGATACCGCCGTCAATGGCATTGTAAGTGTGGCATCTACCCGGAAGGCTATTGAGACGGGACATATTTGCCCTGTCAACTTCATTTCGAGTGCTGTAAAGCTCGGCAGGTATGATATCATCCTCTGGCAGTGATCGACTTAGTTTTTTGAAATCCGCTTCTGTTTCCGTGGAAATGTTGCCCATTCTCATCTCATTTAGCATTCTCACAAACTCCGCATCACCTTGTTGTCTGAAGACCTTTTGTAGCATGATCGTTGATTCAATGGCCTCTTTCCACGCGCCGGCATGGAAGGCAAATTTTGTGGCACTATTGTTGTTCTTGTTAACAGGAGGTAGTTGAAAAAAATCACCGGACAAAATGATCTGTATGCCGCCAAATGGTGCCCAGCTTTTACGCAGCGATTTGGCAATAAAGTCCAAGTTGTCTAAAAGGTCGCCGTCAATCATAGACACTTCGTCAATAACTAAAGCATGTATCTCTGACCAGCGGGCGCAGTGCTTTTTAGATCTTTTCACCTTCTTAAGCAGAGCCTTTTTGTCCCCCTGTCCCAAACCAATCCCGGCAAAAGAATGTACAGTAATGCCCCCAATATTACAAGCAGCTAGTCCTGTGGATGCGGTGACAGCAACATTTTCATTTCCATATTTCCTCCTCAGAGTCTTGATTAGGACCCGTAAAAGCACTGATTTTCCTGTCCCTGCACTGCCGGTGTAAAAAAGATTGTGTCCCTTCTTCGCAAGCTCTATGACATATTCTTGTTCTTCACTCAACACTAGACCTTGCACAAGTTTTTTGGTGATGTTGCTATTTGCTCTAGAAGCCACTTCCTCAGAGCCCTCTCGCTCCTCTTTTTGCGTAAGGAACACCAATTCATGATTTTTGGACCGTTTTGAACTTCTTTTTTGTTGTGGTTCAATCCTGTCAGCGTCGTCATCAGTAGTGACGGGAGGCGACGAACACTCTGGGTCTTCAAACGACGGCGAACGACGCAATTTTGGTGGTATCAGAGGCAAATCTTGAAGATCTTTAGAATACGATGCAAGGTTGTTTTTGTGGGTACTTCTGGTCTGGGTTACAGCGCTTGTCGTGAAGCTTCTTACACCTGGTTGGGCACTTCTTTCACGGCTTACCGGTGTTTGCAGTGCGGAAAATACTGGACCCATCGTTTTCGAACGTAGTGGCATAGAATCAATCGTTGTTGCTGTTGCTGTTGCTGTTGCTGATCTTGACGAAACTCGTTGTAAAAACTGGTCCAGCTGTCGCTTGTTCTCCGTTTTAATCGCCACAATTTGCACATCGTCGTCCTCCTCGTCTTCTCGTATTCGCTTAGGCGTTTTACCGTAACGAGTCTCAATTTTTTTCTCTTCTTTCACCACATCGTCGTCCCAGCCGTCTGAATCTGATAACAGCTGACATAGTTCATTAGAGTCCCACGTTGGAGCCGGTCTCACGTAGCGTTGCTGCAATCTCGATATGTTGGTTTCCATAAGTCTTATGTCACTCTTAAGCCCTCTGTGTACGTTTTTGAATGTGCACAATCGTTGTAAAGCTGTGCGATGCATGTAAGGTCAATTTCGGCCGTCCGAATTCGTGCAAACCTCCAATTCCACTCAAATTAGACACCTAATTGAGCATTTGGGGATATGACGTGCAAATGCTAAACAGAAACCCGAGCAAACCAGGTTTGTTTCCACCTTTTCCTTTGGATATGGTTCGATGAGATGGAATGTGGTTAAAGTTTCGCGTCCTTTGTTCTTATTTACGAATCAATTTTCTCGAAAGTGTCAAGTTGTCATTTTATACGTTTTCGATAATTTTCCAGATCAGAATCATTTGGCACGAATTGAGATGAGATGAGATGAGACGCGATGAGATGTTAAGAAATAGACTCCAAGTTCAAACTTCAAATAGTGAGCTCGTTGAGACCAGTCTTGGCATGTTAAGCTTTAGGAAACTCAGTTTCAAGCGTGGGGAACTGTACCTAAACAAAGTTTTGCGTTGTGGACAAGCTTTCAGATGGGTTTTTCATGAAAAATTGGGCGAATACTCGTCAACACTGAGAATTGATGGCCATTATAAGATAGTTGTGCTACGGCAAGAGTCTGACGACTTTATCGAATATGCGACCGTCGGAAAAATCGAGGATCCCGCTGTACCGGCGTTTTTGCGGCGTTATTTCCGTTTGGAAGTGGATTTGGCCAAGCTGTATATGGAACAATGGCTAACACAGGATCATCGATTTGCAGGTAAGAACCCGAATGGAGTGCGAATTTTGAGCCAGGACCCCTGGGAAACACTCGTGTCGTACATTTGCTCGAGCAACAACAACATCGCCCGCATCACTAAAATGTGTCATGCGCTATGCACGCATTTTGGAAACCCAGTGGGCCACTACGATGGTGTGGACCACTTTTCGTTTCCCACAAGCCGGGAAATCACACAAAAGGCATCAGAAGAGACGTTGCGAAAGCTTGGGTTTGGCTATCGTGCCAAGTTTATTGTGGCAACGGCCCAAAAAATGGAATCTGATCGTCTCAACATGTCTGACAGCGATTATTTGGAATCCTGGAAGGACCATTTGCAATATGAACAGGTTCGTGAAAAGATTATGAGTTTCAATGGAGTGGGCCCTAAAGTAGCAGACTGTGTTTGTTTGTCTGGACTGAGAATGGACGATGTGGTTCCCGTGGACGTGCACATCGCGAGAATTGCTCAACGGGACTACAAGTTCAGTGCTAGAAAGCAGGACATTGAAGAACTTCAAAAAGAATACAAAAACTTACCCATTACACGGAAAAAGGTGAACTATGAGCTGGATTCGGCTCGTTGCATGTTTAAGCAGAAATGGGGCGAGTTCGCAGGGTGGGCTCAAGGAGTTTTGTTCGCACAGGAAATAGGTAGAACGACAGGTGTTTCTAGTGAGGGCACAACGCTCACACAAAAGACAAAGCTGGATTTTGTGGTTCAGGTGAAGGAAGAGAGTGCGTCGCTCAAGAGACGCTTATCTCAAACGGAAACGGTAAAAGTAAAGCAGGAAGATACAATAGTCAAAACGGAGATAGAATACTCGGTCACAGGTAGGCCGAAACGGAGAACCACTAGAAATGTTGAATACGTGTCTTAGGTATATGCTATGTACATGCTAGTAACAGAAAGTTATGATTAAAGCTCCTGAATCTTCAGTCCCATTTTTTGCGGCGATTTTTTTTTTGACTTTTCCATTCACACGCCACTGACAACGTTCTTTTCGACTTGCGCGGCAGCGAGTTGCTTGACGTAGTCGTTGACCGTTTCTAATTCGTCATAGCGAGAAACCGAGTTGCCCTTTGACCTGAGTTCCTTGACGACGTCGCTAGCTTCTTTGACCGCAGTTTCGGAGTTTTCCGCCGTAAACACAACAAAAGCTTCGCCTGCGTCCGATATGCTGTGATTTGACTGCTCCAAAAGCTCTCGTATATCGTCGCTTCTGGAAGCAAACTTTTTGAGTTTGAGATTTGCAACGTATTTCATTCCGTCAACGAAAGTCCGATCCACAATATTCTCATCAATAAACTCACTTATACCAAAAACACTGCTCTGTAAGCGTGTCAACTTTTCAAAACATTCCTCGTCCTCAACTATGGGAGCCTCTAGAAAGTCAGTTTCGAACTCCTGCAGAAATTTGTTCTTGTGAGAGTCGAATTGCTCATTTGCTTTTTTAAAGGCCCAATCACGCTCGCTTAGGACGTGCCTTATTCTCCACATGGACGTTCTGATCTTTTCGGCCACGGCTTCATACGAGTCCTGATTAGAACCCATGTCGTTTTTCAGCAGGTGATTTTCGCGCGCCAAAACGTTTCTTTCGCGCAAACTAGTGTACCACAGCGAATGCAAGTCGTCGAAAGACTTTCTCCTGAGCTCCGGAATGCTCCAGGCTCTGGAATCGTTATCCAGTTCGTCAAACTTACGCATGTACTTTTTATCTGCAAAAAACTGCCACAGTGGATGATCATCTGGGGTCACAATGTTGGCAGCTGCAGGAGGAATGGGTGCAGTAACGCTCAGGTCATTGCTGTGGTGCGTGTGCTGCGTTGGGGGTCTCACATGGGGTCTTGATTTGGGCTTGGGCTTAGGCTTCGTGTATTTGGTTCGTGCCAGGGACACAGCGGTGCTATGAAGCCCGCGTTTGAACGATAGCATTTTTCAGAGCCGTTTTAAACGTTCTGACCTGATTCCAGCCTTGCTGATAGGCTATGGATACCCCTAGGATCGTCAACAATTCGCAATGCTATGTCAAAGGCTTTCCTCTTAGCTGTGCATGTAAATTCTGAAATTTTTCATAGAATCGTCAAATTTCTTCGTCAGAAAGCATTATATCACGTGATCCTTGAATTGTAGTCATTTTGTACGGACTTTTATTTTTGGATCGTTTTGGACGTAATTGATCCGTCGGAGATTTGCCGAGTCACGTGAGTGGTGTTCAAAAGTGTCATTTTAGTCTTCGAAGCACCATAGGTTTCCCGGGGCCCTACTAGGAAAACAACTAGATCTTTGTTCGAGAGCTAGTCCTTCCATTTCATCCAAACCATCCAATGCTAATCGCGGATGAGACCAAAATTTCTGTCATTGTCGTGAGAACACAGAATGCAACCAAACTCCTTTAGAACAAATAGATTTCGGCACATTCAACACGGTTCCTTACATCTGAATCATTTGGATGGTTTTATCTTGATGATCTAAAGCCTAGTAGATCGTCTTTGATCACTTTTTCCCTAAGTGACACTTAAGAATGAACTTTGAAAAATTACCATGGGTAATAATGAAATGAAATTAACGAATAGCCTTTAACTCTTGGTGAATGGTACCCACCTGAATCATCGAAACAGAGCCTTTGAGACCCCAAACCTCACTAATTGAACCCCATATGTCGATCGAAACTCCATTGGACTTGTTGAAACTTAATCTAGACGAAAAAGTTTTTGTCAAACTACGCGGTGCTCGCGAAATGACCGGAACTTTACAGGCTTTCGACACTCATTGCAACATTGTTCTTTCGAATGCCACGGAAACCATATATGAACTTTTGGAGGGAGAGCTGAAGTCAAACACAAAATCTTCGGACATGGTATTTGTCAGAGGCGATTCAGTAACGCTGATCACCACTCCATCAGAGGACTAATGTAAGTGTCGCGATGTACCCTCAAAAGTTAGCGACGAAAAGGGTACCGGACCACAAGACACCACTCGTAAAGAGTGTAGCAGGGTGTGTAAATTAATGAAACTGTCTTTTTTTCTATCTCTCGGATTTTTTTTCCTGCAGGGCATCATCTCAGGTCTATTTTTTGTTATGTGGAAGAACGATGCTTCTCCAATTCATAACAAGCTTTAGCACTTTATGTTGCTAAATGCTGTTTCTCCTATGTAGCAGCCCATCTCTGAGTTCTCCTTCTTCTTGCAAAGCCTCGGAACCTGGGATCTTGGGCATCTTATTCTGATTTTGCAGCTCCTGGAAAAAATCATGTCCATAAGCGGCTCCCAGTTGATAGATCTCTTCAAACTTGGCAAAATCAAGCGTGGCATAGCCTTCAATTGGAGGTCTTGCATATATAACGCCAGGGGTATTCTTCGCTTTTTCCAATGCGTTCACGGACGCTACATAACCAAGTCGCATTTGAATCTCTGCCATATTGGGAATGTTTGGATACTCGGAAAATGGATTCCAACGGTTGAACACAATCCAAAAACCGTTCAGTGAGTCCCCATACCTCATCGGGGTGCGATCATCGACCGATCCAACGTCTATTGCGAAAATCGTGTTACACCCGCGCGCCTTCATCTCCCATACGGGTAGGTTGTCCACGTATCCACCATCTAAAAGCATAGAGCCATTGTCCTCTATTGGAGGTAATAGTCCGGCCAATGACATAGAGGCTCTAATGTACCTCCAAGCGTAGCCAGTGGAGTGAATCTCCTGAATAGACTCAGTGATGTTGGTAGAATTGCAATAGTACTGAATCCAAAAATCTTCGATGCGCACATCGCCAAAAGTTTTCCAAATACCACGATTGAATTCGTGACCGGTAGTATAAGAAGTAACTGGCCATGTCAGATCCGTGAGTAACCGCCAAAAGGACCCTATGCGACCTGCAAATTTTTTCATACGTCCGTAAATCGGAACGATATCACACTCCTTAGCGTACAGCCCTCCCACAAAAGCGCCAATCGAGGTTCCTCCTATCATGTCGATGGGAATACCGTTCTCCTCGATTGCACGTAACACGCCCAGATGACTGATTCCTCGGGCTCCACCACCGCCTAAAACCAACCCGATAGCTTTGCCGGATATCACTCGTGCAAGCCGCAGAAAGTCATCCTTGTGAGGTTGTACCGGGGTGTAATAGCGTTGTTTCCTACTCATGTATCGAGAGGACAAATTTTCCACTGTTGTTTTAAGGGAGTCTGGTAACAGCCGGGATATATTTTCTTGGGTTTGCTTCGTAATAGTATTGAAGCGTTCTCTTGTCTTCAGACTTTCGATAAAGTTCATAGAAAAAGGTATACTCTCGGCAGAAGATTTTGGATCACTCATGAATTTCGAGTTCGAGAATTGAACGTGATGGTGGGAATGAATCCAAACTCGGTTTTTAAGCCATTTATGAGTAAGTCCTGGTTCGACATATCTCTCTGGATGTAACAAAATAAGCTCGATTCTGGCGTTCGGTTTCATTCTCATCAACAGCCGCTCGAATTCGCCAACAGCAGGAGACATAGCCGAATCTGCAAGAAGCAAAATACAGTCGCCCTGATTTATGCAAGTGGCTGTCCAAGTGGAATTGGGAGGCGTATCGGCTATATAGACCACAGTGTCATATAGCTCTTCCAATTCCGCAAAGTAGCCAGATTGTTTTAATTTTGATAACCCATCGAAGGCATGTCGACCCAAATGGGACAGAGTAGCCGATTGGTTCAGGCCGATTGTAGACATACCGACCTGCTTCAAAGCATTGACTAATTTTGATGCAAAACTTTCCACAGGCAGATCACGGGTTATGGGGAGAACTGATATAGTTCTGTAATTGTGTCTACCTCCACCATCATAACTGGCTCCTTCTTCTTGGTCAGAGTTTATGACTGACCCGTTTGTGGTCTGGGTTGGAGGTATGAGTAGGTTGAAGTCATATCTGAAGTTCTGTCCATCTTTTGCCATCTCGGAAGATTGAACTCCACGCTGTTGCTGTAGGACTTTCCTCGCTACCAATCGACTAACGCGAATCATTATCGATGGATACTCAACGGCCAATAGTTCAAACAGCGCTCTGGGTATGCGAGCCAGCTCTGAGTCCCTAAGCGCTACAACTGTAGAAAGCCTGTTTATTGCCGTCAAGACATCAACTTCTCCCAAACTTTCACCTTGTGCATATTCTCTGATCGCTCTCACTTTGTGACCGTCTCGAGATTGCTGCTTCTTGATTTTCTTCCCAGCAGAATCTTGACTTGTTTCTCCCACTTGATGCAATTGTCGTAACCTACCACTCAATACGACATAAATAGCGTTTGCGGGATCATTTTGGCGATATAAAACTTCAGAAGCATCCAAGTGAATCCATTCCAAAGCGTAGTCAAGCTTTAGGATTTTAGGATTCAAGAAATTGGTCAAAGTTTCTGCAATCCTCAAATAGATTAGAAAGTATTTGTCGCATAGTCTTTCGAGCATTGATGCGGGGAGGAATCCCACATACACATCCGATTTAGCTCTAAGTGTGACAAATGATTTGCTCCCGACGAGCGATGCTAGGTACCCAGCGATCCCACCCGGCTTGATGGTGTTAATTACATGCTCTTTATTATCTTCTTCATTTGTCCACACAACTTCGATGGCACCAGATATGACATAGAAAAGACCCCGATTGTGAGCATTTTGTGAGACTATAATCGACCCGCGTTTGATCAGCATCATTTTCAGCCCCTGTGCAAATTCATCTTTAACCGTATCGAAATCGATGTTGTGAGGAATCTCTTCTTTATACTCAGACTTTGATTTGGCCCTGAGCTTCTTATTCGTGTTCAACTGGTCCGGGGACAGAAGACGTAAAGCAGGAAGAGTAGGCACTTGTGAAGACGGCGTGATTGAAGCGTCCGACGACTTCCTGAAAGCCACCGATGATGCGTCGTCCTCCAAAGAATCTGGCAAAATGTTTTCTTTAGTGATTCCGAGATATGAAAATACGCACTCAACCACGGCAATTCTCCAAGAAGATTCTTCAGTTTCTTCTTGAGCTGCAGAAAACGACCTTGCCCTAATTTCATCGTCCTCTTTAGATGATTTCAAGATCGCACTATGACTGCTCTTATTTTTTTGCATTGCTTGATCTGTGAGAGGTGGCAACCCAGAAAGAGATCCTTCGACAGGCCCCGCTGAAATCTTGGTACTTTTAGAAGTGCTAGTACCATCAGATGGGTGAAAAGAGCCACTGGATGTACCCCGCATCACAGGTTGTTCTTTGCGAGAAAGGGGAACGTTTGAGAGAAGATCGCCGGGGTTAAAATGATCTCTGGAGTCTAAGACAACATGACGGGAGCTACGATTCTGCAAAAAACTGTGCGGAGTAGGTCTTTTCCGACCTTTAATTCCGTTGGGGCCAATGTTCGTTCTTGCTGTTGTAGGTTTTGCTTGTTTTTCGCCAGGTTCAGCTTTTGAACTTTCTTGAAGCTTGATTCTACGAATCGCTGCTTCCTTTAAGTAAAATGGTAACTCATACTGGTTGGACCGGTTCAAAACTATCTCGGTGCTCATTATTTCTTTTGTTAGACCCATGTAGCTATGAGCGGTCTGAAAAGTGACTCTGTAGAGTTTGGTGAGAACCATTTGAATAATGTGCGATGCTGACCGCGGATACCGCGACATCAGCTTTCGAAAGGCGGAAGCCGGAATAATAGCGATAGTGCAATCCTCAGAGGCAGAAGCGATGATATCCGGTAGTGCACCTCCCAATGGGGTAGAAATGTCGCCCTCGATAGGAATGTCAGGCTGTAAGATGTCACCTGCGCTGAGAGGTCCAATTTCAGGCTCGAGATCTTCAGGGGTGCCTGGATCGAATGATGGCCTGGGAGTTCCATTAGCACTTAGAAGTTCTGATTTGTGACGTTCTAGTGTGGCGTCCAAAAAAGGTGACATTAAATTGCGATGAGAATCGTTCCGCAATTGCTGATTTGTTAGTCTACCCCTCAAAGTCGCATGGTCATCGCTGCCCGTGAAGAGTTTCAGTATGCTAACCAAGGAAGATACAGGGTTTCCAGCCCTGATCGTATTCAAAAGTTGGTACTTTTCGCCGTTCAACGTGTATGCATCGCCATCAGGTGGTAGTTCATCGTCGCTGGCGCTATCACTTACATTTTCGCGATCGAAAAAGTCCGGTTGCGCTTCCTGGGGCGAATGGTGAACTTTGTGGTAGGTTTGCAAACTGCCTTCGACAACAATGGCGAAACCGAGTGTGTCATCAACTAGAAGCACCTCACCCTTCTCTAGACGACGAGTTTTCATATTTTTGGTCAATTCGTGGAAAACAGGCTTCTCCAAATATCCAAAGATCTTGATGGCACTCAAAAACTCATCGAGATACGAGGTGAACCCACTTTTTGGAGTTTTTTCGTTTTTATTCATGAATAACGCCTCTGCCTCGTCTCGAGATTTTTCGTCTTTGATCATCTTTTCTTCGCTGTCATCGGGTTGCAATCGCTTGTAAGCATTGAGGAATCTAGTCCTTAGCAAGTAATATGTAGCCAACATGGAAGCCACGAACAGCAGGACTAAAGTAGAAAAAGAGACTGTGATGTGGATGCTGGATGACAACACAAGCCACGACGGAATTCGCAGCAGAAAGAACCGTAGCGTTTGCCAGAAAACTCTGGAAACAACGCTAGCACTCATTTTAAAAATCGCATTAGACGCCTGCGCCAACAATGATAATGCCATTGACAATGCCACCAGGGCATTGTCACTAGCCACCGTAAGACCTGTTGAGCTCAGAATCGAGTCATTGGCCAAAAGGTTCTGTGCAACACTCCCATTTGCCATAACTGGCTGGCTTATCTGGTCTATAGCGTCTGGAATTGTGTCAAACCGTTGAAGCTTGTTAAGATCAGAAGCTAGAGTTAAGTAGCAGTAAGTGCGATTATTGCAGTACTAGTTATTTTATACGATCAGATGATTTTTTGGAAAGTGTCTGTGGAATCCCAAGCTTGAGAAGGATGCTAGAACAGCTTGAGTGTCTGGTATGTTGTTTACATTATTGATGAAGAGTCTGGGGGCTTTAGTCCCGTCAAGGACCAGAAAAAAAACCAAAAAAGTAAAAAATTGACCAAAATCGGTATATTGTAGACTTTAGAGATTGCTTTGGCCCGCTCAAATAATGCGATTAGAAATAGATGGTAGCATGGGAGTTCTCCCGGACAGCATTCATTTGTTTTCTTGCATTATTTTCCGGATGTGTATGAAAGTTCATTGATTTGTACATATCTTTAAAATAAGTTGTTAGAAACAGGACAAATCTGAATGTGAAAAAAAACAAACCGTTAATGGAGGTCGTGAATGAGAAACTAGTGAACAGACAGAAACGATTTTTAAGTAGTTTAAAGTCTGAGAGACTGCGGAGTTTCAGCTTCTGGATTAGTCAAAGGTGTAAATAAGTTTGTATTTAACTGTCACGTGATACGTGTCAGCGATGTATGAAACCTGATACGCTTTGAATTCTTCTTTATCACTCCGGTATGCGACTAGTTGTCCTCTTATATAAACTGAGTCCCTAAATTGTCGGAACCTCTGTCTGTCTAGCGTCGGGTCCATGACGAAGTGATCACGTCCACGTGACAGATGACAGCGTCAGAATTAACAAGATGCCCGAAGAATATAGAACAAGTACTGATCTAACGGAAAGGACGTCGATTGAACCAAGTGATAACATTTGCATTTAATCAAGTGCATCCTGATCAGCCCATTTATACCATTTGCACCCGGAATGCTTGAAAGTTCTCTTATTCGTCAGCGGCGGAACATCTCAGAGAACTTGTATAAGAAGGGACGTTTTGTCTACCCTGCAAGATCATTCCATTTATGCTAAATAGACCACGGAGAGATAACTCTAACTCAATAAACAATAGTTTACACTTTACAATAATGGACAAGATCACCCATATGGAACGTTTATCGTGCAACGACACTCCAGAGACAGAGTTTCCACACGAGTATAAACAGTTCCGACAATAATAAATATCATTGATTGTGTCATTTGTGTCGATTGTGTTAGTCAATAGCTCTTATTCACCTTTTCTCCTCTTCAAAGACCCCCCTTTTATATGTTATTCTTGATGCGTCTTTGTGTCACTGTCTAAACGCTGACCTACCGAAAATTACCCTGCTTTCCCTCACACACCACTTTTCACCCCCTATGAGTTCCCCCCATGTCTCCTCCAATCTCAACAGTTGGTTTCGTGGTCTAGTCGGTTATGGCATCTGCTTAACACGCAGAACGTCCCCAGTTCGATCCTGGGCGAAATCATCTTTTTATTTTTCGTCTTTTTTGCCGACTCTCTCGCGAACCCACATCCGCTTAAATGCGTCAAAAAACTCACGTTTCTTCCAAATATCAGCGACACAAAAGTACAGAGTGACACATCTGGTGCCCATCCGGTTATATGCGCCGGATGCTCGAAGAGATTGGCGCAGGGACCTGTCTGGGCACATCAATATAACCAACGGCCGATCAACCTGGTCTCTACTAAACTGTCAAATTCCACACTCCATCGCTCCAGCTAGTACATAAGAAACGTCCGTTACAGTGTTTCCCATCACTGAAGATCTAAACTTTACTAGCGAAAGCAAAACAACGGACAGGTTTCTTAGTAATGTGAGGGCCTTGACATGGTGCTGAGGAAGTTAGTCGTTGTTGTCGCTGTCGTCAGACTTGGTGTTGATGTTGGTGTTGGTGTTGGTGTTGGATTCCTGTAATGACTCAGAAAGACTTCCTTGTCTTTCCTAATGTGTGTCGTTTTCTTTGAGAGTCCTGAAACTCAAATAACTGCACACCACTTGCTACCGGCTCGGTTCGCGGGAAACTTCCCATTGTAATGAGCCCAGGGTCAAACGGCAACCATCACCAGAAGTCTCTTTCACAAACGGACGCTTCTTTACTTGTTGGGTCTAGAATCACCAGACATAGAACAGGACCCGTTTCCCATCCGTGTCCGAGCTGAGTGATAATATACCCAAAAAATGGCGCACGAACCCAAAAATTTGGTCATCCCACGCCTTAACAGGGATCCAGAGGTTGGTGTTTGGCCCAAAATGGTGTATAAAAGGACCATCGGATTGACTATCCCAGGATGAAATTCCAGTCGTATGGTCTTTTTTTACTCTCTCTTAAAAAAAGCCAGCAACACTGTTTTCTAGCAAGAAGACTATTACATTGCACAACTCATCGCTTTATTTCATCAACCTCACCATCCAATCATCATGACTAAAATTGCCATCAACGGATTTGGAAGAATCGGAAGACTCGTTTTGAGAATCGCCCTTCAGAGATCGTCTCTCGAGGTTGTGGCCATTAACGACCCTTTCATCGGCCCGGAGTATGCCGCGTACATGCTGAAGTACGATTCGACCCATGGACGGTACCCTGGGAAAGTCTCCAGCGAGGGCAACAACTTGGTTGTTGGAGGCCACAAGATTGCCGTTTATCAAGAAAGAGACCCTTCGCAACTTCCTTGGGGCAAATTGGGTATCGATATCGTTATCGACTCCACTGGCGTGTTCAAGGAGCTTGACACAGCTCAAAAGCACATTGATGCCGGTGCCAAGAAAGTGGTCATCACGGCTCCTTCCAGTACGGCCCCAATGTACGTGATTGGCGTCAACGACAAGAAGTACAAGGGCGAAAAAATCGTCTCCAACGCTTCATGTACCACCAACGCTTTGGCTCCTTTGGCCAAGATCATCAACGATGAATTCGGTCTCGAGGAAGGTCTCATGACAACCGTGCACTCCATTACCGCAACCCAGAAAACCGTGGACGGTCCCTCTCACAAGGACTGGAGAGGCGGTAGAACCGCTTCCGGTAACATCATTCCTTCGTCTACAGGTGCTGCCAAGGCCGTTGGTAAGGTTTTACCGGAATTGCAAGGAAAATTGACTGGTATGTCGATCAGAGTTCCAACCGTGGACGTTTCCGTGGTTGATTTGACTGTCAAATTGGCTAAGCCTACCACTTACGATCAAATCAAAGCCGCTCTCAAGAAGGCATCTGAAGGTGAGTACAAGGGCGTCGTTGGCTACACCGAAGACTCGGTTGTATCCTCGGATTTCTTGGGTGACACTCACTCATCAATCTTTGACGCTAGCGCCGGTATTCAATTGTCACCTAAATTTGTGAAGTTGGTTACCTGGTACGACAACGAGTTCGGATACTCCAACAGAGTCGTTGATTTAACCGAACTTGTGGCCAAAGCCTAACCGGGAAACAACTATGACTTTATGATACATACACTGTTTAAATTTTATTTTACTTAGTTGACGATCAATATCAAATGCCTTATGACACACATTACTTGCTAGCACTGATCTGTCAACAAATCATGATTTTATATTTAATGAGCAGATTTTTCAGCGGTTGGAAGCAATTCCAAAGACTTCTTGATGGCGTCAACACCCTTGTCCAAGTCTTCCTTGGAGATAACCAAAGGTGGAGCCAATCTGATAATGTGCTCGTGGGTAGGCTTGGCCAAGACACCTTGGTCCTTCATTAGCAAACATAGATCCCAAGCGGTTCTACCGTTGGCGTGCTTTGGGTCGATAACAATAGCGGTCAACAAACCCTTACCACGGACTTCTGAGATGATACCGCCAGCAGAAGCCTGTAGCTCCAAAAGTTGTTTTTGCAAGTAGTCACCCAATTCTTGAGCCTTTTGAACCAAGTTCTCCTTTCTCACCACTTCCAAAGCAGCAATGGCCACACGAGAGGACAATGGGTTACCACCGTAAGTAGAACCGTGGGAACCTGGCTCTAGACATAGCATGATGTCCTTGGAGGACAAAACGCACGAGACTGGTAGAACACCACCAGAGATGGCCTTACCCAAAAGAACCATGTCAGGCTTCACATCTGGAGAATGTTCGTAGCACAACATCTTACCGGTACGGGCAATACCAGTCTGAATTTCATCGCAGATTAGCAAAACGTTGTATTGGCGACACAATTTCTGAACTTCGGTCAAGTAGGTCTTGTCTGGAACAACGATACCAGCTTCACCCTGAATAGGTTCCAAAATCAAAGCAGCAATGCGGTCACCGGCGTTCTTGAAAGCGCGTTCAACGTCTTCGACAACACCGTAACGGATGTATTCGCCGTTTCCACCTGGGATCTTGGCGGTGGTGTTTTCCAAGAAAGGACCAAAGTTGTTACGCGAGTCATCGTCAGTCGAGAGGGAGATGGCTCCGAAAGTACGGCCGTGGAAGTTGCTGTGAGCGCCCAAAATGATGGCCTCGTTAGCTGGGATGTTTTTCTTAGTGTAACCCCAACGTCTGGCAAGTTTCAAAGCGGTTTCAACGGCTTCGGCACCGGTGTTCATGGGCAAAACCATTTCGTAGTTGAAGTATTCGGTGACGTATTTGGCAAACGCAGCGAAAACGTCGTTGGAGAACGCTCTCGAGGAAAGCGTTAGCTTGGAAGCCTGGTCAACCAACGCAGCGATAATTTCTGGGTGACAGTGACCTTGGTTGACAGCAGAGTAAGCCGACAAAAAGTCCAAGTACTCTTTTCCCTCTGGGTCCCAAACATGGGCGCCAGAAGCACGCTGGAAGACCACAGGAAGTGGGTGGTAGTTGTGAGCAGAGTGTTCTTGCTCCAATTTCACGGTTTCGCTGGAAGATAGGTTGATAGACATGTTGGCGGAAAACGGTTTTGTAGAATATAGACAAGTGGTGGCAGTTCTTGAAATTGGTCTGTTAACTAGACTTTTCAAAAAATGATGCTTTTTTGGAAGGCACGATAGAAATTGCTTGGAACACGACATCTTTGGGAAATGTAGACCAAAACGGCATCGCTGGCTCAAAAACTTGTGTCCTTTTATAATTTTTCTTCCATGAACTGATACTTGCACGCACGATGCCGTAAAGTTCTTCGCTGCTGGCGTTTACAGTCGCTTTTCTTAGCCTATAGGGTCATAATTCGCTTTCCTTAGCCTATAGGGTAATAATTCGCTTTTTTTAGTGCTTAGAGGAACTTAACGACAACGACGATGACTGAAAATAATAATGTGGTCCAACTCCGCAGCTGAGCGTGGGAATTAAATGTCTGAACGACATTAGATGTTGAGCTTGGGATTCGGTGTTAGGCGTTGTAAGTAGCTACTTCTTCAGTAGTTTTGCCCAACTTTTTTTTTTTGAAAGAGAATTTTGAAGGTCGAAACGACTCTGGGAACGTTGATTCTTCGAGAATGGCGATGAAAGAGTGGTCCATCAGCAGAGGAAGAGTAATCGGTCAGCTAATGAAGGTTTTTCATTCTGGAATTTGTAATTTGTAGTTCTTACGGGTTGTTTTTAATCTTTTTCGCATAAAATTCGTGAGAGACTCCGGAGCGCAGGCTAGTTTTTCATGAGGGAAGGGGGACTGACCCAGGAGAGCTCGGATTGCTGATGAATAACGTTAATCTGGATTGAATTTAAAGATTTCAAAACGATCATTTCAAAATTGTGTTTGGGAAGGCTAAATTCTCACATAGAGAAGAGCCAACACGCCAACTGATGAAGGCGGCAATCAGATATGCTGCTTCAATAACGTTCACGACTTTTATTTTTCCATATCTTTCCGTCCAACAATGGACGATCTACCAGTTGGTGTTTCTTTCTCTTGCCGCCCAGTTTTTGGGGGGATTTGGCGTTCAAAACAATCCTGTCTGGGGCTACCGGGCTCTCATACGTCCTGATTGAGAAAACCCGCACACTTTGAAGAAGGGGGGTTCTTAACTTGTTGGTGAGCTTTGGCGGCTAGTGAGATGAGCGCTGGCAGGAACGAGAATGTCAGGATCGGAGATGAGATATAAGTCACGTGGACAAGCGTAACCTTACACATACACTTTGTGAGACAGGAAATCCGTTGGGAGAACAAGCTAGATGGTATTTCAGGGCTAGAAGATACGATATCGACTACGATTGGATTCTAGTCTATTTCAGAGCGTTCAAAAAGATACACGTGATTAAACATTTAAGAACAGTTTATCTACTAGCAGAAGCAGAGAGAGAGAGAGAGAGAGAGAGAGAGAGAGAGAGAGAGAGAGAGAGAGAGAGAGAGAGAGAGAGAGAGAGAGAGAGAGAGAGAGAGAGAGAGAGAGAGAGAGAGAGAGAGAGAGAGAGAGAGAGAGAGAGAGAGAGAGAGAGAGAGAGAGAGAGAGAGAGAGAGAGAGAGAGAGAGAGAGAGAGAGAGAGAGAGAGAGAGAGAGAGAGAGAGAGAGAGAGAGAGAGAGAGAGAGAGAGAGAGAGAGAGAGAGAGAGAGAGAGAGAGAGAGAGAGAGAGAGAGAGAGAGAGAGAGAGAGAGAGAGAGAGAGAGAGAGAGAGAGAGAGAGAGAGAGAGAGAGAGAGAGAGAGAGAGAGAGAGAGAGAGAGAGAGAGAGAGAGAGAGAGAGAGAGAGAGAGAGAGAGAGAGAGAGAGAGAGAGAGAGAGAGAGAGAGAGAGAGAGAGAGAGAGAGAGAGAGAGAGAGAGAGAGAGAGAGAGAGAGAGAGAGAGAGAGAGAGAGAGAGAGAGAGAGAGAGAGAGAGAGAGAGAGAGAGAGAGAGAGAGAGAGAGAGAGAGAGAGAGAGAGAGAGAGAGAGAGAGAGAGAGACGCTATCGGTCATGGAGATACCACACACACACACACACACACACACACACACACACACACACACACACCACCACCACCACCTCTTTTTCTCATCTATAGGTTGAGTAAGTAGTACACCACGTAATAAACTCAAGAGAACCTTGGTGTATAAGTGCAAGACTCACCACACGTCCTATTACAAGAACGGTTCCCTACAAAGTAAACGAGCAGAGATGTTGGCTCGTGACGCTATACAAATCTTTTTTAAATGTCACGTGGAAACAACCCACACACCCATTGTTTATTAACCCAGACACCCATTGTTTACAAAACAATGGGTGTCTGGGTTCTAAACCGCATTCCAGGTCACATGACACCACAATAAGTCGTTACCCTACCCAAGATTACATAAGTCTCCATTTATGCTCCCCTTTTTTCCGGTGTGTATCATCCATTTCCTCAATCTTGATCACAACGATTTGAGGACTATATAAAGGACAAATTAATTTTTTCCCCGGCATCGCGGACATGGGAGTTGGCGACAGCGACAACTAGTTGTTTAAGCGACAAGAGGAAAGAAGAGCACCGGTAAAACCCAGACACCACGCACCGGAACGATTCCAGGTATTATCATCATCACCTCACCAATACCATCCGTTTTGCTTCACCTTCTCCCAAGATATAACACTCCACAATCCCTATCTCCACACAATACACAATAGAAATGACAGGATCGCCCCAGAAAAAACATTTGGGTCAAGGGATTCAAAAACAAAATGAGCTATACCAGGGCCAAAATGAACTCTCAACCATCGGTATGCGTATTCGTCAGTCTGTGGATCGTGGTTACCAAATAGGTGGTAATCATCAACAGCAGTTGTCGTCGTCTTCGACGACGACAACATCCACGATACCACGTGACGCATGCATGGTACAAGATAATTCTGAATTGACGATTCCTATGTACAAAAGGGTGCCCATGCCAGGTGCCAAGCAGCCACCAATGTTGGTGAATGCACGCACAATATCGAGTTCGAGTTCCCTGGAGATATGGGAGAACGAACTGGACCAAAGACTCGAGCTCATCGACAACGACATTATGCGCAACAAGCGGGCGTTCGACCAAGTAGAAGACTGGTGAAACAGCGTGTGCAAGACTAGGATATAACCACCCACTGCATTTTCCGCTCCTGTCCTCTGTTTTTTTCCCCCGGTCCTGGTGCTTTGCACCTCTTTTCTCTTTTTTTTCTTTATTTTCCTCTACCCTTCACTTCTTCTCCGATGCATTTGCCTCTTATAATACAGGTCTCTTTTCACTTCTGTCCCTTATGATCCGGGCCTTTTTTACTTTTGTCTACTGTTTCTATCCGATATTTACATGTTAAAACGAAATTTGGTTAATCCAAGCGGGCGATCAGCTTGTCACCAGGCAAACATGGCTGTTCCATCTTGTATGAACCTTTGACAAGTGCGTTGGTTCGTCTATCGCCTTTACAACACATCTTGATGCGAGACGTTATTATTACCTTAGACTTTATCACCTCGACATTGATGTAATCGCCTAGAGGAAGTCACGTGTACGTGAAGCAAATGTCAGATTGCCTGATGATAATTTAATATCTTGAAATATTACCTACTAGAAAAGAGAGCAAGCTGAAATATACCATTCGGATCCAACTTCTCGACCAAACGAAACAGTTTTACCCAGGGTGTTGACCTTCACACAGGTCGAGTATGGGCCAATCAGACTCCAAGCTTGCTCAGTACCGAGAACATGTATTCAGGCTTGCCGATCATATTTCAACACCGTTATATTCGCCGTCAGTGAGTTATCAAGAGATTATTCGGTATTATAATGACCCCAATTCTTGGTCGCGAAAAGATTTCCCAGACCCGTTTTCAGCTTATTTCAATGCATTTGTGGTACCTTCCGCCGAAGCCCGCGACATTTACTCGATGGTTTCGTCGCAAGAACTGCAATTCATGTGCGATTCAAACATGACAAATTTCACCAATTTTGTTCGCTTTGTGGCATTCAAAATTCACGTCTTATCATGTTTGCTACAAAATTGCGATTCTGCAGCGACCTTCAAATTGCGGGAGAGCCAATTGCTTACTTGCACGCGGTTATTGACCAAAGTGATGCCCATTTTTTTCGAAATGGATTTGGACCAGAAAGAGGAGGATTCGGTCTTTTGGAACCAGAATAGCTCCCGTGTTTTGCAGTGCGACGGTCTGGTTTCCGAAGAAAATGCTAGACTCAACGTAAACCATGTATCCACCGAACCCCAAGATCTGGTACCCTTGGGCGTTCTGATCGTCCAGGCATGTGTGAAATTACTCTTCATCAAGGGTTTTACTGTTCCCCTCACACGACAAGCTCCCAAAGAATTTGGCAAAACCTCTTTTCTCTTGTGGGAGAACGGCATAAATACGTCCGAGACCAACTATACGTACCCAAATCCAACGTTGGATTCGAAACGACTAGAAATTCTACGTCTGTTGCTGACATTGTCGTCCAAGCAGCTGTATTCCCAGAATATTCCCAAGTTTCTAGTTGTACTAACAATGTCAGTTCCAGAGTTTCATAGCATTTGCCTCACTTCTTCGCTTATAAATCTCGCATGTCGTTCCTGCCGAAGTAATGATGACAACAACGGCCTTCAGTACTTGTCAAATTCTTATCATTCGTCTTCAAAAAGCAGCCAGATGACATCGATGAGAAAAGCGCTAACCATGACTGGGCTCCAATTGCTCAACGTATCCATGTTATGCCCACTTGATGGGGAACACCGAAATAAGACGCAAGAGTTTCTGTACGGGCTCAATCTCTATTCTACCAATTACAAGATCAACAACTTGGTCCTTACCTACCTGGGTACCCTAGCAAGGGAGTTCGACCTCAAATTCATCTTGGTTAATCTCGCCACCCTCCTAAAGAGACCAATGGAACAAGCAATTGAAATTGAATCCAATCCTTTTTACTTGTTAGGTACTTCCGCGGGCGGATCTACCAACGGGAAGAGGGCTTCTCAAGCCAGGGCTAACGTCTCCAAAAGCATTACTCAGGCACGTCCTTTACCTCATCTACCCAGGGTTACATTGCAAGTTGTGATTTTGATGTGGGAACTGATGAAATGCAATAAATCTTTTGAAAACTATGTGGCCGACAAGTATGCGAATAAATTGATTTTAGTGTGCGTTTATTACATCAAGAATTTTTCAGAAGGTTCTGAGCGGCACACAGATTTCATTCCACTTATATCGGGTTTTGCAACCTACCTGTCATCCAAGAAGCTAGTCCTATCGAAGATGCAGTGTTGTTTCAATGTCAACTATTACGCTAATAAAATTCCAGATTCTTTCAAAATCTCAGTGGGTGATGCTAGTCGACTCACTTTCCGGGATTTCGCTATCATGCATCTATCTAATATGGCTTGCATACAGGTCAAAGATAATAATGTGCTGAACGCATCGTTATTCGAAATTATTTTTAATCTGCTATCCATTCCTGGTGAGATCCAAGATGAAGATCTTGTACAACTTTCGTCAGACAAGTCGAGCAAGACCACTGGATTGGGGTACAATGCATCCGTTGCATTATTGAGGTTGGTCGCTAGAATGACCTCTAAAGAATTTCTGAAGACCTTTTCCGATGAAAGTAGCCATGATACTTTGGAATCTTCAAATGAGGACCTGGAGAACTCGGGCAAGAAAGTGATCAAAAGAGGCTATGGGACATCCCCTGGATTCAAGCTAGACCTACTTGCTCTACTAATTCAGGCCTTCAACAGTTGCGTGATCAACCATTTTAAAGACAGCAAGCATCTTCTTTTCGTGTTTTGCAGGCAACAGAATGTGATAAAACAACTAAAAAGCATTTTAACCGAGATTTCTTCGGAAGTCAATTATGACTATTTCGACCAAGCGAGAAATTCCGGTAAGAAACTGGCCTTACACATTGATGACTACTTCGATGATTCTGTGCCAAAAGATATTAGGTACAATTGGCAAAACGATAGAAGCTATGCTGACCATGACGAATACGATATGATAGAGAAAGCTCAGCTTCAGTCCCTAATGATTTTCGAACCCCATAGGCAAGAAATGGAGGAAGTGGAACGGGCTGCCGAAAAGATGGCCCAAGGGTCGCCTAACAAGACAATTGAGCTCTATGAGCATGCTGATGATGAGCAAGACATTATTTCGGAATCAACAGCACTGTTGCTGGCGCTACGACCTTATAGACCGTTTGGACTCACTTTTCGGAAGAAACTCAAACTAAGGAAAGAAGAGAGTCTTGAAAACTCTTGGCTCGGAGCAGATCCTTTATGTTTAATGACAACTATTATTCGCGTGGTGACGAAAGAATTCCCAGCAATATTTGACGTTTCGGGAGACAAGTATTTGGTGCAGTTACGCTTAATTCTCAAATTTGAAGATGCTTTGAAAAAACAGGTGAAATTGCTGATTCCCTCTCAAGTTAGTTTACTTGGTAGCGATTGTAGAACCCTGAAATTGGATTGGAGATCAAATAGAACTGCATCAATATGGTACCGTTCCGCAGTATGGAAAGACATTTTCAACTTCAACAGCGTCCCATTTATCAGTACCTTCAGCAAAGAAGGTGCCCCACAAGATGCAGGGTCACAAAGTTATCCACAAAGTCTTTCCCAACCTCAGACGCCCAAACTGGAAAGGTGGAATTCTCAAGGCTCATCACTATCGCGTACTAACAGCAATAACAGCTTGAGTACCAACTATCTTTTACATCAGGAATCGAATTCAATCCCTAATAGCGCACCTAATAGCCCGGTTGTAGGTTCAGGAAAACCAACATGGGTTAGCGGAAAATCTCATTCGGGCAATCAGAATGGCGAAAGGTCTTCTATATTCGGGTTTTCTTGGGCAGGATTCCACAAGCCCCAAACAGCAAAGATTGACGAAGAGTCAGAGGACCAAAACAATGACCCAAATAATTCACAGAGCGGTTCTTTTGTGCTTGATCCGGGACTCTTGAAACCAAACGTTTGGGTTGGCACAAGAATAAGTCTTTTTAAAGTAAGAGTGGACGAAAGAGAAAACTACAGTTTAGTTGACATGACCTCGAATTTTCTGCGGAGACTGCGGTTTGGAGGCTCTCCGCATGCAAATGCCCCAGAGGGTATAATGGTGACTTCCGGGACCCTTACTCCCGGAACTTCTCGTCCTTGGACTCCACGAGGCTCTTTGACCGGTACTGCACTACCCGCAAACTCTAAAGCTATAAAATAAACGAAAATGTAACAAGAAAAGAGCGACTTTTCGAGGTTAATTAATATACAATTGCATGGTTTGCCAATAGACAATGCTCAATATCTAGGTTTTCTACCTTTTTTCTGCACAAGCTCGAACCCATCTTCATCGACCACTGGCTCCGGTGTATCTTCAGCCTCCATGTCTACGTCTACGTCTACGTCCATATCCTTGACCATAGCGGGAGGCTGTTGTTCACCATCTTCTGCATCACTTTCGTCCTCACATTCAGACACGTCCGGATTCCAAGGATCGCCGCCGATCTGAATATCCTTCGTGGACTGTCTGGTCTCTTGCCTTTCCTTCCATTGAGCATAAAGGCTATCCACGGTCGAGAATTCCAGTTGTTGGCATTGTTTGTACAGGTCGATGACCAACGCTGCGATCGGCAGAGCTGAGTCGTCATCACAGTTGGTCTCAAATTCATCCATCATAGCGTAGAGTAGCGTCTCTTCGATAAGCGAAACATCTACAATTTTACCGTCTTTGAAAAGGTCAACAATGATTGCCGATACCCAGTCTCGCTTCTCTGCAGACTCTGGTCCTCCCCAGCTATTCTGCACCGCCAGATCCAGCGCTTCCCACTTGTAAACGGCCATGGAAACGCCCAGTTCGAACCGAGCCATTTGTTTCTCATCCTCGAACTCCAGGCTGGCTTTACCCTTCTCAGCTTCTACATACGCCAACTCATCGACGTTACCAGACATCTTGTTTTCCTAAACGCTAAGTGTCTCAAAAATCACTCCTTTTTCCGCAGAAAAAAACTAGTATGAAAGATAATAGTTGAAAGAACCTACGAAAGCTCTTAGACCATACGAAATTCCAAAGAATCACTCGATATCTGACCTTCAAGTTGATCTCATCTCGAGATCGATGCGATGCGATGCGATGAGATGAGCTTCAATTTTTCAATAAGTTTCAGGCATTTTGTACGAGGCGGTCTATACTTAAAATATCCTAAATTAATGTGAACTAACAGTACCTCTTGAGTTTGAAAAATGGGAACTACTACTCCGATAAGTCGGCAATTAGAAGCTTGTCTGGAAGATAGAGGCTTACACGCTTTCCACGGTATTTCTCACCAGGATTTCGTATCTTCTGAGACTTTTAGTGTGTTTTGAGGTGCCCTGGTTGTCCCGTTGTGACGAGAATTTCGAGTAAAACCAAATAGGTATCAAGAGTGGCTCAAGATGTCAAAGAGTGACCCTAAAACCAAGGAAAACCTGAGAAAAATGAACGCAGCGCTCAAAATCATCGAAAATAAGCCCGGAAAGCTCGACAAAGACCCCAAGCCAGGCGTGGTAAGGCCGGATTTGTCGGTCTATACGCTGGAAAACGGCGTTAAAGTATCCACTAAAGAACGGGTTTGCAGCTCGGTGAGACCAGTCAAACTGGGCACACCGAGTGATGAAGAGTTGTTCCTGGATAATGGGTATCCGGACCCGGATTTTCTAAAAGAGCATTTTCGTCGTGAAGGGAGGTTGACGGAATCACAAGTCTTACGCATTTTGGAAGCGGGAACAGCGTGCTTATCTAGGGAACCTAACTTATTGCGGGTACCTGCTCCTGTGACAGTCTGTGGTGATATTCATGGCCAATTTTACGACTTGTTGAAACTTTTCGAGGTGGGCGGAGACCCTGAAAAAACGCCTTATCTGTTCTTGGGCGACTATGTTGACCGTGGCTCCTTTTCTATCGAGTGCTTGCTGTATCTTTACAGTTTGAAACTCAGTTACGACGACCACTTTTGGCTTCTGAGAGGTAATCACGAGTGTAAGCATCTAACGTCGTACTTTACTTTCAAAAGTGAATGTCTTCACAAGTACAATTTGAACGTTTACGAGGCCTGCTGTCGCTCCTTCAATGCCCTACCTGTAGCTGCAGTTATGAATGGACAGTATTTCTGCGTACACGGTGGTATTTCACCAGAACTGAAAACACTCGACGACATAAACAAGATGAACAGATTCCGCGAGATTCCATCACGCGGCCTTATGTGCGACCTTATGTGGGCAGATCCGACGGAGACTTATGACGAGGATGCAGACGATCCGTCAGTGGGCACATTTACGCCGAATTCCGTCAGGGGCTGCTCGTACGCATTTACCTATCATGCGGCGTGTGAATTCTTGCAAAAGACAGGTCTTTTATCCATTATCAGAGCTCACGAGGCTCAAGACGCGGGGTACAGAATGTACAAGAATACCGAAGCTCTGGGATTTCCTAGTCTTCTTACGCTGTTCAGCGCCCCCAACTATCTTGACACTTACAAAAACAAGGCGGCGGTTTTAAAATATGCTAATAACGTCATGAACATCAGACAATTCAATATGTCACCTCACCCATACTGGCTACCAAACTTCATGGATGTTTTCACTTGGTCATTGCCGTTTGTTGGTGAGAAAGTAACAGAAATGCTGGTTTCCATTCTCAACGTCTGCACTGAGGAGGAACTTGGGGAAGAGATCGGTTCAGCAACTGAAGCTATTGGAATGCCAGATACAGAAGCTGTAGCAGCAAATTCAAATGCAAGCAATGCTGAAAGCGCGGCACAACCTACCAGCACCATTCTAAATGATGAAGCGAAAAGACGGGCCTTGCGCAGTAAGATTCTGGCCATCGCAAAGGTATCCAGAATGTACTCCATTTTGCGAGAAGAGAGTGAAAACGTAGAGTATCTCAAGACTATTAATGCGGGAACGCTGCCTCGTGGTGCACTGGCTCACGGTCCGGAAGGTTTGAAAGAGGCTCTTAGCACATTTGAGAAAGCACGTCGCGATGATTTGATTAATGAAAGGCTACCGCCAAAGCTAGAAGAAGTTGGAAAAAGACGGGATAGTTATTACTTTAACAGGGTAGCGAAGGAAAGTGGCAAACATAAGCAGTAGCTTTTCAAGGGCGGCAAGAATAATGATGTTTCTTGATCATGCTTCATAGATTAGTGTAGAATGTTGGCAAATGACTTTTCAGTTAAATTTTTACATACGAAGAAACGGACTCTTTGAATCTGGATTATGATAAGCGGCATGCGATAGCACTAAAGATATTCCTAGTTGTGCAAACGCTTCTCATAAGAGTGCAAATTGTTAATTCCACCCTCTAGTTGAGCAGATGCGGTTCTAAATTCAAATCTGATGACAGAGTTATCCACTTCCTCTCTTAGAGAAGCCAAAGAACGCACACCAATATCTTGACAAGAATGTTGCAAACCACCGTACAAGTATGGGATGAACTTGTTGATGGAGCCCTTGTCGACTACGGCACCCGAGACACCTTGAGCCACAAAAACTTTATCAGACTCAGAGAAGTAACGCGAAGTAGAGGCGTTGCCCTTTGTGTCGGTCTTTTGCATAGCATCGACGGAACCCATACCACGGTAAGTTTTCAAACGCTTGCCGTCCTGGAAAAAGTATTCACCTGGAGATTCGGTAGTACCAGCGAGCATACCACCCATCATAACGCAAGAGGCACCCAATGCCAAAGCCTTGACAATGTGACCAATGTTGGAGATACCACCATCGGCCATGCATGGAACGCCGAATTGGTTAGCAAATTGGGTGACGTTATAGACGGCAGAACCTTGAGGTCTACCACAAGCCATAACTTCTTGAGTAATGCAAATAGAACCGGAACCCATACCAATTCTCAACCCATCGGCACCGGCTTCGATTAAAGAAGCTGCCTGTTCTCTGGTGACCACGTTACCAGCGATGACTTCTAGTTCTGGGAAAGTTTGTTTGATCCATTTGATCATATTCAATTGGAAAACAGAGTTACCTTGAGAAGAGTCGATCACCACAACGTCTAGACCGGCTTGCATCAAAAGCTGTAGTCTTTCTTTGTCAGCTTCGATAGTTCCGATTGAAGCACCACAGAGCAATTGCTTAGTGGTGGCAGACTTAGAGGCCAATGGATAGCTTTGATTCTTCATCAAATCGGTTCTAGACAACATCGACACCAAGTTTTGGTTTTCGTCCACGATTGGTAGTTTTCCCTTCTTGGTGGTTTTCAAAATGTCGTTACCTTCGGCCAAAGTAACACCCACCTTAGCGGTGACCAGTTCCTTGGTCATAACTTCGGAGATGGTCAAAGAGTTGTCTTCGATGAACTGGACGTCACGGGAAGTGACAATACCTACCAATTTGCTTGGAAGCGATCCGGTTTCTAAAATTTCGAAAAGTTAGTAAAAGTTGAAAGCAGCGAGCACAACGCTAAGTTGCCATCATAGAAAAACTTCCCACCCAGTGCTTCTTTGTTATCAGATCAAAAAGGTGTCTACAAGATCGTTTGATCGATAATCAGTAGAACGAAAGTTAATAAAATTTAAGTCGATCATCATTTGTAAGTGTGTGGAGGGGGTCTGAAGCACCGAGATGGCTCTTTATTCTCTCGAAAGGAGCAGTTTTCTTCATAATTGCGTTGTTTGAGCGGGAGGAAAAAAAACACATACCAGTAACGGGGAATCCGCAGAACCCAAATTTTTCACGCATGGCCTTAACTTCGCCAACGGTGGCCTGAGGACTCACCACGATAGGCGAGTTGATGAAACCGTTTTCGAATTTTTTCACTTTTTTGACCATTTCAGCCTGCTGTTCAGCAGAACAGTTGTGATGGATGATACCAATACCGCCCAATAGAGCCATTTGAATGGCCATTTCCGCCTCTGTGACGGTATCCATGGGGGACGACACAAAAGGAGTGTTGAGCGTTATTTTCTTGGTGATCTTGGTCTGGAGACTTACCACAGACGATGGGAAATCGATTTTGCCGGGCAAAATCAAAAAATCGTTGTAAGTCAAACCACCTCTGGTCTTGGAGTCCATAAGCTGTTCCGCAGACAACCCATCTTTCTCAGCGTATTCTTGCAAATACGCAAGCGCCTTAGAACAGTCTTTCAAACTAACAGACATTTTAGTATACGTGGAAGTCTTTTTACCTAGGTTGTTTAAGCGATGAGCTATTGAACTACAGAAAACTTTAAAATTAAGACAAGAAAAGAATTCATTTTCAAATAAAACAAGGTTCCCAAATTCCACACAACACCAACCCCAACGAAACAAATCCCAAAACAAAGTGAAGGTGAGAGAGACGAAAAGTTTGGATAAAATCTTCTGAATTTATAGGAATTTTTCAAAGCTTCTTTTTTTTTTTTTTGCTTTGAGTCGCTGTGAAAGAAATTAATTTTTCAGTTGATAACGTAAGCTGAAAGCTTAGGTAATCCAAAAGTACCAGAGTATCTCTACTAACGGTGAACGGAAAACCCCACGGCACGGCCGACGAGACGGTTTTTGAGGGTGGGAGAATATGATGGTGGATAAGATGAAAGAAGCGGTAGTTGTTTGCACGTAGCTGAATGGTAAGTATTGTTTTAGGGACGGTAGACGCCGGAGGAGGTTTGGGTAGAAAAAATAGGCTTGAAATTTGAAGGTTACAATGATTTGACGGGACCGCAAGGGCATCGTGCGGTCGCAAAACAGTAAAACAGGTGCCCTGACGCGGAAGGAAAATGATCAGACAATGGTTTCGGTTGTTTTTTACTATCATTATCTGAAATCTGCTTTTTGATCACTTTGTATGAGTGCTGACGTAGATCACGTGACCTAAATTGACCCGAACTATTGTTAAACTGTTATCGATGTGATAAATGGTGCAAGGGAGTTAGGTCTTTCTTGAATTGGGCCAGTTCCAGTAGTTCGATGCTACCGTGGCCTCTATGAAAATATTCGTGGTGTTAGCATCCATTCATGTCATTTTTCTGTTAAGAAACCCGAAACGCACGTGACCAGAAATTTTAAATTCAATTTCCTAATAGACGGGGATTTGATACCCTCACGCTCATAGCGGACATCACCGATGTGATAAGAAGTGATTGAATGGTCACCGATTTTAACGCCCGGGTGTTTCGTGTAATTGCATCAACTCAGCAAATTTGGGTCGCGCTAGGAGCCATCATTAAGGCGTTGTCCCCGCTTGCTGAGCGTCGAATTCTTTTACCGTCCACGGTTGCAAATCAGAATCCAATAAAAGCTTCTTCACAGCATACAACGTTTATTGTTCATACTATCGAGTGCCTTTACGGCCAGATTTGCCTATTCTTATCTCCGTACCCCATGGTGACACCTGAGTACAAAGTGATATAACCTCTATGTCGCGTTGGGTAAAAGTGATATGATTGTTCCACAACTACCAACCTCTACAAAACAAGGAGTAACACAGGCATTGACGTCTCTCCGGTCACAATTTGAGTGTGATTTTGTATATCGCGATCTAAACTGTACTCATCCTGCAGCAGCACCTGAAAAACTCTTGATGTCATAAATAAAACCGATTCTCCAGAAAAAATGGACGACAAAACCGACCTGCTACATCGATATTTTCGTAATATGTACAAATTTCCAAAATCTATTGCCCCACAGGATCCGAATTGCATGCCGCGTCAGTAAATAGACGAAGCACAGATAAATTCGACGACCTAGAGAAATACCTAAATAGAAAGCATTTTTAGCCGGGAAAAGACTCTATGCTGCATAAAATGCTCAAAATTCATGTTACACTGCTGCTAGCTTACTCTCGTAGCGCGTTCGGTTCACTACGTGTCGTTGACGCATATTTCTAACATCCCACACGTGACTAATCATAATAAGAATAGGACACTATATATAATAAGATCAACAGCGTCTTATACCAATGCCCTTCGAAGAGTTCAACAGCACGCTAAAGCCCTTCGTTTCAATGCACATGGATGATATTCTTAGGAGAAAAGCAGAGATCACAGCATATCTTGATACTTTGGTGAAAACTCATCGGAGATATTTGTTCGATGTGCAAAATTCAGATATGCTAGACCAGCTGCGTAAGGACGTATACATATGCTTTAACGATATATGCACTTTGAACACGATGCTTACATCTAGCGATGGTGAAGGTAGTATAAAACAAGAGCTGGAGCGTCTCACAAAGTATTCCCGTAAAATCGAGAAATTGGAACAACAATCAACTGTTGCAAGAGATGCCTTAAAACGATGGAACGATGAATCGGAGACAACGTCCCAGATTTCACTTGAGGAAACCCAAGCTGGCGAAACGTACACGTTCAAAACAAATTACCGACAGTTTTTGAATCGATACCTCGATAATGTAGGAATATCAAATACCTCCGTCGCTGACGTCTCCAGAGACACTCCCGCAACATCAAGACCAGAAATCAGAAATGATGGTACTTCTGGAAGAAAGTCCTCATTGCAGAATATATCATTGCTGCGATCAGCAAGCTTACAAGCTCAGCAGGAAATACAGCAGTTGAAGTCTGTTCTTGCTACTTTATCAAAAGATCAAGCGTTCATCGATCACGAATTGCAGAACCAACAGAACGAAGTGCAAAGCGTGAAGGCCGCTTTCACTAATGATCTTGAGAAAATCCAGCGCTCGCAAGAAAAACTGCTATCCAAACTGAATATTGCCAACGGTAAAAATTCAAAACATAAGGATATCGCTCTCTTTGCGCGCTTTAGTACAGCTGGAGCCGAGAGCAACAACAATAATCTGAGTGATAGACTTGCTTATGCAAAAGATTACGTGAAGGCCCGACAAGAAATCTTAACCGCTGATTTGAAAACGTACAAAGAAGATCTACGGCGCGCTGAATCTACACGGAGCTCGTGGGATGAGTCGTTGGAACGAATACGCTCATTAGAAGAATCGCTCAGGGCCATGCTAATTGAAGACCCTAATACATCGCCGCTGAAACTATCGACTGAAATATCCACTGTAATCAGTCAATTGCAAGATACAAACGCATCAACGACCTCGGACACGCTCAAGATGTGTCTGGGAAATGAAATTGAAATTCTTAAACGCGCCAATGAAGAGCTTTGGCCCAGCGCCGAAAATGATTTTGCCAAGGGACGTATAGAGTCAAATGGTGGTATTACTATCAGTGGAGCATCTCCACCCAAAATCGGAATCAACAAAGAAAACATCACTTTCTCTTCACGATCTCCCTTCTCATCCAATAAAGCAAACGTCAGTGCTGAGAAGATACAGAAAAAAGAATGAGGTTTATAATTTTGCGGTTAGAGTTCGCAACTTAATGTCCAATGTATCAACTTGTCTATCTTCTTAATGGGAAATGTTTCTTACGTTTCGGAATGAATGGATTACTGCCACTATTTGTCCGCGCTGATCCCCGATCTTTATTAGTCTCGTCTCGTTCTTGATTGGGACCAACAGAGCCCATGCTGCGGTTCAAGTCAAGGGATGGTGAAACCGAGGGATCGTAGCCGTCCTGTTCGTTGTCATTGGAAGACGTCGACAAAGGCTTTTCGGCTTTTATGTTTTGACCTTTTTTGACCTTTGTTGTCGGAACTCCTTCACTTGAAAAAATGTCTGGTCCGTTGCCAGCAATTGGTTGTTTAGACTCATTCAATCTCATCTTTTTCTCGTCAATCACAACCGGGGAATCATCAAAACGTACACGTTTTGAACCTTTGCCAAATGAACCTGATTGAGTTGTGGTTCCCTCTGGTTTGACTTTTGGCGGCTTAGCTTTATTTTTATCATGAATCAACGATGTGCTGCTCACCTTGACGGGAAGTACAGAATCAAGAGATGGTCCACCGAAAATGGAAGACTTTTTTTTGGTTCCAGAGAGACCGTGAGAGGGTTTTTCCTTTGGACCAAGAGGCGCTTTTCTGTTTTGTTCCGGTTGGGCTGGATTAGAACCATGTTCTTTCCATACCTTTTTGTTTTTGCCAGCATAGGGCAAAGCTTTTGTATTTGGTTGCTGGCGAGAATTTACATGAGCTGGCCTAGTTTCTTCAGCCCCATGACTGTATCTGCGTTCCGCGCTGCTGTTCTTAACCATAGCTGTTGACGGATCGTAGTCGTCTCCAGATATGTGATCATGAGAATCCGCAAATTGTTTGAGAACTGAAGCGGCTTTCGGATTCTTGGGATTCAGGAAACCTGCGCATGCTAGCTCCAAGCAGTTCCTATCTTTCGCATCAGTAATCAAGTTCCTCCACAGTTGGTTTTTGAAAAGTGAGTTATGATGTCCTAAAATCCACATTGTAGTCTTTGCTCTTGTTAAGGCAACATTCATGCGTCGAAAATCTTTCAAAAAACCAACACCAGACTTCGTATCGTCAGCTCTGACGCATGAAATAATGATGACCTCTTTTTCTTGCCCTTGAAACCCGTCGATAGTATTGAAATCAACATAGTTCATGACAGGGTTCCCGAAATATCGTCTGAACTCTCTTTTAAGCATAAGCATCTGTTCGCGATAAGGTGAAATTATGCCGATCTTGCCCGTGAAATTGTAAGAATTCTCATACTGATTCAATAGGTTCTCCACAAGCTCCACAGCGACTCTGCACTCCTCAGGGTTCACGAAGGACATTGACTTCCTATTTTGTTCTTGTTTACCTGTCGCGATATCGAAAAATTTGTATGGTCCTAATGAACGTCGCTGATGCCATGGACGTAGGTTTATATTCTCCATCCCTGGACCATCGCTTAGTTTCCCGTTATAGAACTCCGAAGATGGAAACTTGCTAATGGCTGGATGCATTCGGTATTGAACATTTAACAAATAAGGAGAGCATTTTTTCTCCATACGAACAAAGAGAGACTGATTGTACTTGAAGTTGCTTGCTGCGCCGGACAACACGGTGGGTGGCAACTGATTGGGATCACCGACCATGATACATCTTCGTGCTCCATACCGCAGGGGCGTAATCGTGGATAGTTCGGTACATTGGCAAGCTTCGTCAATTATAACTGTGTCGAACTTGACGCCGAGGGAGGCCAAGATATCGTGCGCGGAACCAGATAAAGTTGAGCAAATTATGTCACTTTCGGCCAAAACTCGAGACTGCGCTTTTCTTCTGTCTGCCTCCTTATTCCTGAAATTTACTGAGTTTCGTTCTCTTATTTCATCCTTTTGCTTGCCGAGCTCATTGATCTTTCTGCTAAGCTCCCTGATACTCAACTGAATTTTAGTTATATCGTCTGTTGATAAATCACTCGATACTGATCCGCCTTCCGGATCTAACTTCTGACGCAGCTGCCGGCGTTCGCTGAGTGTCTTCTGCAGGTTCTGCTCCAAAGTAGGGTCATGAGAGAATTCATAATTTTTGTTTCCAAGTTTTTTGTCAACTTGCTCTTCTAAAGTCAGGTCTCTTATTGCAGCATTAACGGCGTCGGGCCTTCCAATGCGGACCAGCTTTGGACTGAATGCCCTTCCACTTTTATCTAGAACACCGCTTTTCAGTCTCAAAACGAGTTCATCCACAGCTGCATTACTTGGAGCACATATCAAGACCTTCTGTTTTTGCAGAAGCTGTTCGGTCGAAGTACCGGCTCCGACAAGGTCCACGGGCTGCTTGATAACACCTGCGGGCAGATTCCTTTGGGTACTTAAAAAGAATCCGATGATACCCAAGATGGTTTTGGTTTTACCTGTGCCCGGAGGACCTTGGATCAAAGAGAATCCTTCACAAGAGACAGTCCCAACTATAGCTTCCGCTTGTGAATCGTTCAGACTGTACCTGGTTTTAACTTCCTCAATTTCTGCCTTTTCTATGCGAGGGTTTTCTGTCGAAACACCAGACGTGATCTGTCGAGCCAGGTCGTAAAATGGTAGCCCGATCAAAGAAGAGTACTCTCTCTCAACAGTAGTCATTTGCATAACCTTAACGGCAAATATTTCGGTACGCAACGTGAGAAATCTGCTGAAGTGAGTGCTTCGGTCGATTCTCATTGTCAAATCCATGTTGTCGCCCTTGTTATTTTTCATGCCCCATACTTTGGCAAGACAAGTGTTGTCAGATTTCTTAAAATCGGCAGATCTGACGTCGTTCAAGTTCCTCGCGTTAGGAAAGTGGGATAGAACCAACAAATCCGAGTCAGTTATGCCAGCATCTATGACCATCTTTTTACTGACCGAAGCATAGACTTCATAAAAGTTCGAAACGGCAGTGCGATTTCCGACAATTAAACTGAAAGGCTTATTCTCTTCGCGGTCTCTCGCCGCACAAAGCCCTTGCCAGCATTCAAGAAGTAGAAGCGGTTGCATGGTTTTTTGGTAATCTTCTGAAGAACTGAATTTGTCCTTGACATCTTGGTAGGAATCCGCTTGCGATCCAGACGGGTACTCGCTGGAGCGCGTATAGTTCCATTTCAAAATTTTTTCGTAAAATGGATTCAAGTCAACATTCAGTCGCTTACGCATGTTTTCTTCTTCTTGTTTCTTCTGCTTAGCATTGTCCACTTTTTTGATCGGTTTCCCGTTTATATCTAAAACGATCGGGGTGTGGCGTTCCTTACTCTTGGACAACGAGAAAAGCTCCTTTGCATTTTCCAGATCGTTATCGCTTTCGTCGCTACTCTCTTCTTTTGTACCATGTTGTGGCTGAGGCCTTCTGGAATTGAAAACACTTGAGCTAGGGGGATGGACTTTTCGACCAGCCAAAAGTTGTCTCCTAGCTAGTTCAAGCTTAGAAGGTGGCCCTTTCACGTTCTCTTCGGCCTTTGGGACTACCCCTGGCTTGAGAGTACCAAAAGAGGTTATTTTGGCCTGGCTTTTGGGTCTTCCCATCAAAGACGACGACATAGCCTTTCTTTGTAGAAAGTCTACTTTTGATTCTGTAGGTGTTTGATATGCAGTTTGGGCTTTGTTTCCAACTGGTACGGGGACGTTTCCCGTAGTGCCAGAGCCGGTACGCAGTTTTGATTTTTCCTTTTCTTTATGATATAGGTCAATCTCTGCCGTGACTTCATCGACTAGGCGCTCGTTGAACTCTTTAGCTCTTGAAAGTAGCTCTGAAGATTGCTGTGGTGTTAACCTATTTGAAAACTTGCGGGCTTTTAGTGCATATTTTGTCATTGTCGTAACCAGAACATCATCAAACTTTAGTCCCTTTTCGATAGCTAGATCTGCGGCCTTCACAATGAGTTTGACACAAGAGGCCAAGAGGTATTCATCACTGAGACGTAACCAGTATAACATATCTTGAAACGTTTTCAGAACGTGGTTTAGAAGACTTTCCGACTGCTTTTGATCATTATTCGTTATGAGAGCTCCTGAAAAGTCTCGATATGCTTCTAGTAAAGAAAAACTGGTATCGAGGGTGTCCTTCGTGAAATTTTCAAGTTCTGAATAAGGATATTTCGACGCCCACTTCAATGTTGCGCAGTAAATCATATTCAAGAAATCCCATGATAAAGACCAGAACTTCTCCAAGATTTTTCCTGTGTTTTCATCTTTCAAGGACCCATAGTTAGCAAATGTTCCATTGAGTGGATCTGAGAAAACATTGATAATATCCATTAATACTCGTATAGCTCTGGGGCAGGGTTCAAAAAATTCATGCTTTGTTAGCTGTGCCAGAACTAGTATAATCGACTCCAGGCTGTAGCTGAGACCGCGTTTGAGCATTTCTTGAATCCCCTCCAATCTTCCCTCAACATCAAAAGCCTCATAGAGTGTGTTCGTCGCTGTCTGATAGATCTCCATGTCAGAGGTGAAGACACAGGACCAGAAACCACGGGAGCCGCCCTCGTCGATAAGAACATTGATCAGTTGCGAAGGTGAAATATCTGTTAATTTCACCAGAAGGCCCTTCAGCAAATCAAAGTAGAGCCTGACGCAAGCATTATGTTGCGTAGCACCGGGATCTGATGTTTTTGGTCTTAAAAGACCATTAACGTTCCGCATGGAGGAAAGTAACAATGCTGCCAGCTGTGCGGGCTCTTTGCTTCTACCCAAATTGAGGTGTTGGACTATTTTTGAGAGAAGTGTTGTGCTAACTTTAACATCGTTAGCCTTTTCTCCACGATATATGCGAAAAGATGCTTGGCATAGTAATAATATGTCATAGTCAATGCAATGAGCCAAAACTTTTGTGGCTGAGTATGATACTGAGTTCATTGGCTGATCCGCACCCAAAAAAGCCTGTACGTTAGTAGCAGATTGCAACACTATGGTAAGGACCATGTCGTTATTCAGCAGAGCGCGAGAGTCGAGCTTGGTGAAAAGTGTAGTCTCAAAACGCTCATCTGAGTAAAGCATCGATCTCTCCTCGTCTGTTACCGCCAAAACCGCACTTAACAATGCTGTAGATGAATTGATCAAGCATGCTTTTGGAATAGCATGCAAAGTTGGATGATTGGAGACAATGCGAATGAAAGCTGTTGAAACTTTCTTCACCATTTGAATTCTTTTCGGAGAAGACAAGGAATGAAAAAATGGCAAGGTCCACGAAACCAAATCAGTCAGGGTGAGTGTTTCGAGAAGAAGACCGTCAAAGTTCTGAGATGCAAGGGGATTGTTCTGGATTTTGATGATAGCGACAGAGAGCATACTTCTCTCCAAAATTAAATCGAGGATGCTGTGAAAAGTAAAAGGTTCGATAAGATTCCATAATGAATGTCCTTCTTTCTCTAAAAATACTCTAAGTGTTCTTAGAAGAGCCGCGATCGGCTTTTCTCGGAAGTTGTGCGCCAAGTGGTTATACCACAGTTTGTAGACTGATACAATCGGATGTCGAATGGACTGAACCAAAGAGTCTAGATTTGGAGGAACAACAAGGTATTTTTGAATCAAAGACGAGCTCAGTAGAACATAAATGGGATCAAATTTGAGCCAAAAGTGGGAGACAAGCGCCTCATGAAAATTGCTAGCATTTTGCAAATATAGGAAGTGCACGTTGATTTCTTCAAGAAGATCTTGCGTAAAGTTTTCCTCTGTGAAAATAAATTTCTGCTTCGCCAAGTTCTCGAGAAGGTTGCGAGACCACTCTGACTCTTCCTTGGTACCCTCAAACCAACAGTATATCAGTCCTGCGGTAATGTGCTTTTCAATAGGTTCCTCAATCACTTGTTTGAGCATATGATGCTGGGACCTGTATAAGAACCTAAAAACGGCATCGAACGCGCTTTTAAGAGTATCATTTACCCTCAAAACTTGTGGATTACAAAAACACTCGTATATGGCCACTTCGATGTCCTTGGTAAAGTTTATTTCTGTGTTATTGTTGGCGGAGATGCCCTGAATCACAGTTAACAATGCTTGAGATCTCCAAAGGGAAACAATGTTGTTGAACTTGGTGACGTGCTCAAATGGTACTTTTCGCAGCACCGAGAAGTGTTGAAGCATCCTGCATTTCCCTTGCGTAAAATGACGAACGCAATCTTCGCATTTCGCTAAAACTGGGGCAAAACGGCCCTTGAGCCAAGCAATTGTGCCCTGATTGCTGAACGAAAAAAGAGTCAAACAAAATACCGCAACTGATCTGTAGTTCGCATCACAGAATAGATGTTCTTCTTCAGGAATTCTGTCGATAAATTTCAGCAACTCTCCAAGTAGCTTGGACTCGTCGATATCTTGATTGGAGCTTTCGTAAACTTGCTGAATCTGCAATGCATATTTCGCAGCCGTCGCTTGATATTCATTTCTACTAGCGTCAACACTCATCGAAGATCACTAAAATGTTCTTCTTGATCTACGAATCTTGCAATAATGCTCAAAATAAGGCAAACTATATCTGTATATACAGTGTACCACCCCGAATCAGAAAAACTTAAAATCGAGGCTGGTTCTAGCACTGAGGAACCGACACACTTGGTAGGCCGATGTTGTTTAGGAGCTTAAGTTATCAAGTCTTGCCAAGATGATGTTGATCGTTAAACTTAAAATTTTTGTTAGCGTTCTACAGGTTATATAAATAATAATAACAGAATCAAGAATCCGATATGGACGCAATTCATGATTTCAAGAATTGATATACGTTTTATAGACTGTTTCGTTCATCTTATTCGACTTTTGATTTAACGAGTGGCGTTGAATCTTCAAGACCATACATTTTCCTTACATTTTATTCTTACCTTTGAGTAATTCTTCAACCTTAGACTCTAAAGCCAGTAGACGGTCGTCCTTGTCGAGATTCGCTTTCTTCAGATCTGCCACAATCCCCTCAAGGTATAGGACCAGAGACGAAAGCTTTTCTGCGGACTGTAAAAGACCCATTGACTTGGTAGCGGCAGGTTTGCTTGTCGTAGACAAAGATTCGGTCCCGTTAGGAACCTTAGTGTCAGCATTTGACGTGCTGGCTGTGGGCTTCACCGTAGGTTCCGCCTTAGCATTGAAGACCGAGGTGTTGGGAATAGTCATAGCTGGCTCAGGTTGCTTGGCGGTGGATGGCTCGTCTTGGCTGATTTTCGAGGTAACCGGACTTTCCTCCTTCTTGCTCGCCGGGGATGCTACTTTGTGGCTGACAGGGGTTTCGTGACGCGTAGGTTGCTGTTCATCATCTTCATCCCAAGTCGAAACTCGGTTCGATGGGTCTTCGGCGTCGTTGATATCATCCAAATTGCTAGCTTTTTGCAGAAGACTGTTGACAGATTTGTCATCCTTGAGCTTTGCATCAACTCCCTGGTTGATCGTTTTTTCGAAAAGTTGATCCGATTTGACTTCCTCGTCCTGCGAACTGACTGTTTTATTTGCGGCCTTCTCAGTAACTTCGGTAGCTGATGGGGAAACACTCTTACCTGAAGCAGACAAGGGTGGATATGTCGAAATCGGCTCTTTCTCAGGTCCGTCAGTACTCGAATATTTGGTGGTCTCCGTTGACGCACCGCGCGTTTCGAGTGGTTCGGTTCTCGAAGACGACGTCAAAATGGGTTCAGATCCATCGTACAACGAGCTCAAGTTGAAGAGGAGAGGCCCCTCAACAGATTTTCCTGATGCCCATTCGTCAGAAGTAAGCGCAGCCACACCCGATGGGGCATCGGGATAAATATCGTCTTGGAAACTATCGGACTTCCTGGGAACATGAAAGGAGATGGGCTCGATGCAATGGTCATTGACAGTCTTGAAGGCTTTCAAAATCTCGTTCTCTTTGACATTTACAGCCCTCCTTGGAGCGGCTGCGAATCCTCTCTGAGGATCAACGGACTGAAACTCAGAAAGTTCAAAAAGTTCGTCATTTTGAAATTCGAAATAACGGATGTTACCGTCACCCTTGCCAACCAAGTACAGAATTTTGTTGGAAGCGTCGAAAAAAGGCATCATGATCCCTGAAGATTGATCCACCGTATAAAATCCTCCCAAATCGCCCTTTTCAAGATCAAAAGCGTCCCAGACACCGATTTGGCGATCGCTCAGTTTCGAAAAACCTGTGGTTGCCACTCTCGATGAATTTCCAAGCCATACAACTCTTTGATTCTTGGCTCCAGAGTGGGCTTGTGTTTCACTCACTACTTTTTCCGCTCTGATGTCCCATGTTCTCAGCTTTTTATCACGACTAACCGTTACCAGATGATTACCGTCGTAGCTGAAGGACATAGACGTGACCATATCCGGATGCTTTAGGGTGAACAACTCTTTGCCAGAGTCAATATCCCAAATCTTAACCGTGTGATCAAGGGAAGAGGATGCCAGCACGTTTTTGGCGGTAGGGTGAAAAAGGACATGGCCCACCTTGCGTCCGTGGCCCGCCAAAACTTTCTTAGGTGAAATATCCTTGGGATCGCCGTCTGAGTTGCAGTAATTATGGAAAGAGTAGTCCGCAGGAATTTCCCAAATTCCTATTTTCCCATCATCTGATCCGGAAGCAATGGAGTAGTCGTCGAAGGGGTTGAAATCGGTATCAAGAACAGGTGCCGTGTGACCTCTGAAAAGAGGTATTTGATCTGGGGCCTTCCCCACTTCTTCCAAAGGAATAACAGCAAATGCACCTCCTCCAGAAGAATTCCAGTTCACCGTCAAAAATTTACCATTGGCTTTGATCAAATTAGAGTCCCAAGCATTGTTGGTGATCCTAATGTTCTCGTAGTGGCGCTCTTTTTTGGCAACTTGGCCATAAACATGTCTATATTTCGAGGCCCTCACGAATTTCCCACTTCACAACACAAGGTACTTGTTAGCTAAATTTGGTTTGTCAATTGCACTCTCAAAGAGATACCGAAGAGCAAATAGATACTGCATACCTCATTTTCAATTGTATTTGACTTCTATTCCTCGAGCAGGGTGTTGACCCGTTAGTTCCCTGTTGTCAACATCACTTTTTTGATTTTCAAAGGACCGACGAAAATAGGAATGATCACGAGCGCCAGAATGGAAATAAGTGATTTGGCGCTAAGACGTGGGTTAAACCCAATCTTTAGCCGGCTGAAGTCTCAAAAACTCTGAACGTTGTTCGCATCCGAGCTTACAGAGTAGCGAGCATCTTGCCAATGTACTGGGCTTTGCTTGGAGATTTCATGTTTTTTAATTTACACGATACGAGAAGAGAAAAGTTGAGCTGTGCTCGAAAGTAATTTCTCTCCGGAAAACTGACCCGTCTAATGTCACTTTCACAGCGCCCTGCGAGAATTGCCTGAGCTCATCAACGTCACTCTTCTACCCTTCTTTTTGCCGCTAGACAGGGATCGTTTCTGCTCGTCTATGTTTTGCAGCATTCGCTCAAATTCGAGGTCCTCATCAGATTTTTGCTCTGTTCTTGGAATAGACGTTCCCCAGATGGTTTTTTCTAATTTTCCAGAAGTCTGCTGCGAATCTTTGCTCTCTTGTTCGAGGTGTGAGCTACCCAAATTTTCAGCGACCATCTGTCCCGAAGATTGCTGTTGAGCACGGCCATGCTGAATTGGTATAGGCACAGAAGGTGCAGCAGCAGAATCGGGAAGTTCGCCGTTTTCACGCATGTAAAATTCTTCTTGCTGTCTCTCTAGACGTTTTTCATGACGACGCTTTTCCTTGTCTTCGCGTTGTTTCTTCGAGGCCGATTTGCGACGCCTCGAATTTAGTTCTGGGGCAAACCTCTGGTACACATCGGAGGGCAGATCGGGAACGCTGCGCCAGTCCACATCAACGAATGTAACATCGCTACCAAAGGGCAGGTGTCCAATATATTTGAATTTGTGCAAAAGCGATTCAGTTACGACAGCTCCATGATGAACATCTTCTACTTGGGCAAAGAGAATGGAAGGAAATTTCGAGTACTGTGCAAAGGCAGTGATCAAAACTTTCACATCGAGCGGAGATAAGTAGTAGTGCGTGTTAGCCTCGAAAGCAGTCTGGTAAAAGAAGAACGCATTTTGGTCATCGTATTTTTCGTGAGAAGCCTTAATCGATAGCTGAGATAAGTCGGCCGGCAATGAATGATGTTGCCTGTGCTCTCGACGCTCCGTAGTCGTCTCCTCGTATACCTTGATCCGTGAAGTTATGTTATTCATGGCGATAGTAGAAAACTTACCGTCATCATTGTAAATGGCACGATCGAGGTCCGCTTGTATCTTGATATCGTTCAAGTCCTTTTTGTAAAGATCAATTGCGTGTTCATAGCTGCACCTCATAATCCGTGTATAGGGTGCCAACTCAGAGAGTTCCACCGAGGGAAAATGATTCAGAGACATTGGATCAATATCTAACTGTACCGGTAGAGCTAGCATTGATCCGTGGGGCTTGCACATAAGCTCGAAACGAGTACTTTGCCCCGCTTGAGGCAAATTCAGAGACTCACGGATTTCGGTGAATTTTACTGGCACTGCTGTCTCTTGGCGTACAAATGTGCTGCATAAAGGACACTCCTTTCGCTTCGATTTCTTACGCATAAAAGTAGCACCGTCTTTAACTGACGACTCATCATCGTTGTTATTGGCGAAGAAACTCAGCATACAAGTGTAGCAGAACAGATGTCCGCAACTAATCATCCTCGGGGCAACAATATCTTCCGTCAAGCATATTGGACAGCTCTGGCCTTTCAAAACTTCAACTCGCACGATCCTTTCCCGCGGTATAGGAATATTAGGATCCAAAGTCTGTTCCTGGTACGGGAACTGATCCTCCACCAAAAACTTGAAATTTGCATTGATAAACGATTCGCCATGTAGGTATACGTGGTCTTCTTCTGAACGGCGGGCTTTTCGTCTTGCCGTTCCACCTGCGGGAGTACCAATTTCCAGAGATCTTTCCGGAAGTTGAAAGTCCAGCAAATGATTGATTGAAATTTGCGTTTTACGGCCCCTGGCCTTAAAATTACCTTGAACAAGCTCGTCCTGCAAATTGAACTCCAGGTCACTATTTGAAGCCGTCTTCGATTCTCTAGTCCCACGTCTGGAATTTTTCTGCGTTTTCGCTTTATTGGTGCGGCGGCCTTGATGATGCGAGATTCCGCGTACGGGCTTTTCTTTCGGCACTCTTGAATGACTATCATTTGCTTTAGAGGCTTCCACCCCATTGACCTCCTGTGACATTGGTCTATATTATCATTAGGAGAGGCAACCCTCTGCTTTTTTCTTAGTTGTGAAGTTGAAGGGCGACGGTACGACAGCTATTCTTAATTTTCAAATAACATCGTGGAAAATATAACATAACACACATCCATATTCGGGAACATAACCCGAACGTTGGTGAGTAAACCAATCAAGGTCTCCGAATCCAGTTAAAGGAGTTTTATTTGAGTGTTGATCATTCAAAGTATCTGAGCGGTTTAGCTGTTAAGTTTATCAAACTGCTTTAAAATCGTAATAACGACGAGTCATCATGAGCAAGCCAATTAACGTCTATAGCACGCCCGATTTGCGCCAGACATTGGACGAAGCACTTCCATCAACTTTTCAAAGACTTGGATTCACGCAATCATTCGGTCTGATCGATACCAAATTGATTTTAGGGTATTCCATAGCAGTTGTGGCAGGCATTTCGTTTCTGTTGGACAAGAAATTCAAATTCGAAGAAAGTCTTGTGTACCAAAAACTGCTGGTCGCAAGCTATGCTATTTTATCGGGTGCCTTTTGGTGGTTTTGCAAGTATGTAGAGAAGGGCGCCAAATATTCGGGTACTGCCAAAGACCGAAAAATCTCGGTAAAGACCAAGATGGACAAGTACGATTTCAACTACCAGGTTTTGGTACGGGACAATCATGGTCGGTCTGTGGAAAATGTTTTGCCTGCAAACACTGTCTTCACTGAAGCAGGGTATCTGCAAGCGGACAAGCTTTTCAATTGGTTCGAGCAACAACTTGATTCACTAGCCAAAAAAGCCAAATAGTGTGGGAATGCATCTCTTCGGTCAGTCTTTTTGTATAGCCATTGCTTAAGCACCACGCTTTTAGGCATCCGTTGGGCTGCTAAACCGCACGCTATCAATTCGGCTCGTGAATAGGTAAGCTGCTGTCAATGCCTGAGATCCTGCGGGCATAGTGATTTAGCATGTATGGTAGTACTCTCATTAATCCCATGAAGTTAGCATATAAGGGAGCACTGATCTCTCCTCGCACTCCCAGTCTGCAGCACTCCACTATGCGTTGAGCCAGCACGTCAGGGTCTACAAGTGGTGCGAAAAACTGTCTTGGAGGTTCGAAACCGGCGAACATTTGCGTGCGAAGTTGACCGGGAGTCACCAGTAAGGTCCGTATATTACCGTTTATTTCCAGCTCTTCTGTCCATGCCTCATGGAACGCAATAGAAGCGGCTTTAGAAGCACCGTAGGATGATCCACGAGCAGGAGGACAGACCCCCAAAGCACTAGCGATGGTTACACAGTAAAATTGCGATTTTGCAGAAGTCTCCGGGCTCAATTCTTGCGTAAAACGCATGGGGGCAAAAACGTTTATTTGGAAAACCCGATCAACCTCATCTCTCTGCAAATCTAAGTACCCTTGGTATCTGGACCTTACGCCTGCGTTGTTGATCAGCACATGAATATTTTCGTGGGTTTTCTTGATCAAACCAAGGGTGATCTCCACACTCACAGGGTCATTGAGGTCGCACTGGTAAAAACTCAGGCGTTGGTTTACCAGTTTCGGAGTGATGATATCCACCACTACCACATTTACATTTTTAAATCTGGCCAAAAAAGTCTCCACTAACGCCAAGCCCAAACCACTGCTTCCACCTGTCACTATACAGGTGGAATTGTCTAGTTTGTCGAGAGGAACCCACTCACCTCTAGTTTTTGTGTGCTCGTTAAGCCATACTACGAAACTTACCACTGCCGAATATCCAACCAAGGAAAGATAAAAGTTCTCGAGATCAAGCCTGGTAAATCTTGAAGTAATCGGGATAATCATTATTTAGTAAACTGCTGTATAAAACTCGTCTTGTTTGGGTACTTGTACCATTTCACATACGTGCTGATGATCACTGCTAAAAAGACTGGAAATCGTAGCACAGGGTACACAAAGCTACGAAATATCAGGTCTATATCCATGTTTCAAAGTCGTGAGTCGCGCTACCTATCGTATTGCGGCTAATGACGCTGTTTTGAACTTGCAAACCTGTTTGTCAGAGTGCTAAGAACGATCGGCGGTAAGGTTGATTGATATATCAACACCCATCGTCCGATACGGTTGTACGCTTCGAGGTCTGATCTACAAAAGTTTAACAAGAAGTTGGGGCAAGGCGTTTAACTGCTCAATTGCCGATACTTTCTACATCGAAACTGTCGTGTTCGAATTGAACGATCAAGATCTCAATTGGTGTCAAGGATTTATAAGCGTAAATTTAAAGAAAGTCCGGTGGTCATATCGAGGGCCAGCCTCATGACATGGCAGAGACAACTCCTTAGCGTGTTATGTTAATAGCTGGGCCAGTTGTCTTGCCAGTACCACAATGCGTGATGTGTTGAATTGATGTGAATTAAACGTTTCTTTGGAACCCTAGCACCAGTTGCCTGCCAGGTATGTAGGGATGACTCAGAGTGATAACTGGACTTTCCATAAGATCGGAGCTGAGAAGCTTTATCTTTTTACCCTTTATGATCTGAACAGGCGTAAGCCTGCTTAGCTTTTCTTGAAGAACTGTACCGGCGTAATTGAGATCATAAACCTGTATTAGGTTTTCTCCGAATAATGTTAAAAACCCGTCTGAAAAAGCGACTGACATGCAGTAGAAGTCTAGAACCAGCACGTCAGACATCCAATTGGGTATCTGGCCGGTCTTATTGATCCTTACAACCGCTTCATCGTAAATGATCACAAAGTTGTCCTCATTCAGCCGAAAACAGCCTAGAGAAGCGGTCTTGCGGTTCACAATATCTGTCTTGACATACTCTGCCATCTTTTGCTTGGAAGAATTAGATTTCGAAAGAGTTTCTTTGTTGGATTTGAACGGATGATGAGGAAAATGATGTTTTTGCCCCATAGCTTTTTTGTCATTATTGAAACTTGGTAATGTCAAGCCTTCGTCATTGAAAGATTCGTTGAAGAGAAGTGCACCTCTAGACGAGCACACAATAAAGCTTTTAGCAAAAATCACAATATCCCGAATTTCTGCAGATAACAGCCCATTGGTGGCACCGGGCAGTCTGTATTCTTTGTAGACCTTGAAGAATTTTAGTTTCTTTGTCAGCCTGTCGAACTCGGGCGTAAGAACCACAATTTTCCCTTTCCGCTCATAGAAAATCTGGCGCAAGTTACCAAAATCGTCAGCAGACTTGAAAAACCCTACCTTCTCTTGAAGTAGAACTCCCGTTATTTGATTCTCAGGCAAATATTCAATGGCACCAAAGTATGCACAGATAATGCTGGGAATATTGAAGTGACACAACCTACGGTCTGCTAATACAAACAGTAAGTTCAATCGCGCATTCACTTCCATGCGAGTGATTTTTGGTAATACGATAATTTGTTTCCACCCTTCGCCGGTTTTGCTCATAATTGTCATGTAAATACCGTAATTGGCGGCACACAATAAAAACGTCTTTCCCTCGAAGTGCAATTGAGCGGTGCATCTTACATCCGCTTGAACACTGGTAGGAGCTTGATGTTCCTTTCCATAAAAGTTTCCTAGAGCTTCTGCAATTGCACTTCCTTCATGCACGATAGGCAGGTTGGTAGGAGCTTGTCCGTCCTCGTAACTAAACATGTCAGTGATACACGCGAGTTCGTATATTCTTGAGCTGTTGTTAGCGAGATGTGATGTGAAAGATGAAACTAAAGCAGTAACCCATGTTTCTTTTTCCTCTATGCTGGACGCATAAAAACTAAAAGATTCATTCGTCGCGGTGTTTCGAATTTTGAGTGAAGCAGCCGCTTCTTGATGATCAAAAAGCTCATTTCTTCCTTGGCCGACAGGGCTTGAAAGATAAGCAGACATCGGCCTGTAAGAGGTGAGGCTTTTGGAGCTTACATATGCGGGCCTGACGTTTTTCGAGTTAGAATCTTCTTCGCGAAGGTTGGATTGCACAGGTGTGGGACGATCCGATGCAGCAGGTCTATTCAGGTTATACCTGGACAAGGACGCATCTTCCTTGGCTTCTAGACTAAGATAGTCAATTGGAATAGGCCTTTCACAGAGTCTAAATTTCGTATCTGAGCCTTTTGTCACTACTTCAGTCATGAGAAGGTAGTTATCCAAAAGAATTAGATACACTGGGGAATTTTCCAGCCATAACTCTCTTTTCTTGTGAAGGGTTCCGGTTTTTATAATTTTTCTGGATTTTTCGCTCAGACGAAGATCCAACTTTTCCTGACCTATTGATGGACTGGATACATCATTGCTGATATTAACATAGCCGATTGTGCTACTGTTACGCCCTGTGCTTATTGCAAGCTGTCTTGAAAGTCTAACAAGTTTTCTTTGATCAACTGCTGCGCCATGAACTCGATTAACAGTAGCGTTCAATCTTTCAATCTCCTTTATGGCTAACACCAAGTATTCATAGTCTTCGAGCGATTTATCTGTGCATTTGAGAATGGAGTTAAGGGTAATCGGGATATTCTGCAGCGACTTGAAAAACCCTCCAAAAAAGACTACATCATGGTACAGTTTAGATCTTGAGATTTCAGGGGATTCATCGACCTTTTTAAGCCACAGGGAAAACACCGTGTCATGATCCTTTTCCCATTTTATGACATCATGAACTATGGCCATAGACTCGGCATATTGTATATACAAGTCCCATGCTGCATTGCACCATTGCAAGTACATCTTTCCTATTCCATCAATGAATTTTCCTTGCGATTTTAGTTTCCAAAAAATTGGCGACAGCAAGTATTCTTTGTGTAGTTCTATCATAGGTTCAAAACAATCGAACGCCAATTTACTAAATTCGGGATCATGCGGGAGCATTGACTTATTGAATCTTTTGCCATATACTTCGATAGCTGCGTGTGCCAGGTTAAGTGATCTTTGTTCCAAAATGATCAAGTCAAAAATAAAACTTTGGCGGCTGACCTCACGGGGATTGAGTTCTGCAAGCTCCTCTGAAGACAATTTCCAATAATCGCTCCACAGGCCAACTGACTTATTGATAATTTCTGACAATTTGAGAGCTGGCCTAGACTGCTTCATGTACTTCAAAGGACACCTTGAACAGTAGCAATATTCGTGCTGTTTATCCGAAGATTGTTTGACATCGCACGAATAACATGGAAGTAGGCTTGTGAATACACCTTGGATCGGTAGACCAGCTACAATGAAAGTGATTTCGTCATTAAAAGAATCTTCGGTATCGGTCTCAAAACGCACCGCACCCTGTAATACCAAAGACTCTATTACTTTATCCACACTGGAATCCACAACATCCTGGTTACAAGAGGCCGGTAATTGAAACTCAAGTAAAAGTTGCACCATTTGGTAGAATTCGATTTTGCGAAACACGTATTCATTGAACCATTCGAAATAAACTTTCAGGAGCCACTCATATATGTCCGATAGCAAGGAAACGTTATAGCATTGAAAGAGTTTGTTTTCATCCAAATGGTCAATCGTAAACGGCTGCATCGGTACCGTTATGCTGGGTATTTGCTGAAGCGGCCTATTACCAACTACAGAGTCAAAACTCCTTTCTTGCGTAATTTCATCGTTGAAAGCATACTTTGAGTTTGAATAGTAACTGCTAATACTGTCGGAGATGGCTCTCGTGTTGCTGGATTCTGTTGATAGCCCCGCAAAAGGACGAAATGGCTGGTCCAGTCTTTCAGTCAGGTCTTCACGTTGCGGCCAATAAGTTGTTGCCGCATCAGATTTGTCAGAAGGTTGTTGTTTGCTGTTGGACTTTTTCATGGGTAGAGGCGGCAGCGCTTTAAGGCTATTCGTCATGTCAATGCTATTTTCCGTGTTTTGATTGAATTGCTCGTCAGCAATCCACTTAGACTTGTCTGATCCTAGCGTCGTGGAAATAAGAACGCTACTGTCTCCGACAAATGGTGATTTGTAACTTTTTTTCGAAGGTGTACGTTCGTTGGGTGATCTGGACACAGAAATCGTATCTTCACCCACAAAAGGAGATTTGTAGAACGCTGGAGTCCTCGGGCTAGACGTATTCGTTCCGGAGTATGCTTTTGCAGACGGTTGACTTGATTCAAAGAAGCTTGGTGGTGGAGGACGTCTTTTCCCACTCCGACCACTGTGGAGCGATTGCGGACTTGGCGAACCAAGACTAGAGAGAGATGGACTTGAAGGTACAGCATTGGACAACAATGAGCCCCCATTGATTTGCGACCATCCTATTGACACTGGCGTTCCGTTCTTCCCAGGCGATGTCTTCTCTGGAGTCGAATATCGACCGGTCTTAAGCGGCGGCAGTGCGGGCAGCCTGGGGCTCAAGCCATTTGGTAACTCGTCTTCCCGTTTAATTGGTGATGGCATTGAGTGCCCAAAGTACACGCTTTTGTCACCGTGCAGATCAAAGTTGTGGTCATTGCATCGAGAGTGCGATGAACTCTTGAACTTAATTAATGTTGTCTGGGTGACAAATTGGGAAGGTAGATGGTCACATGACTCTTTCCTTCAAAGAATATGAAAATGGGTATTCGTTTCAAATGTGCAAGAAAATGAGGTTTGAGTGCGTATTAGATCTGTCAAAAGAGCATGTCCAGAGATAAGAGATATTTGCTCGACTGAAATCCCATGAGTTCGTCTGTATTTGTCACTGTTGTGACTAAACCAAATGCATCACGTGATCGCATTCTAGATCAACCCTGATGCATTTCCATGCAGTCATTTTATTTGGTACTTATTGGACGACTTCGCACGGGGAAATTATCTGGCACTGGCTTCACGTCCGACAGGGATTTTCGTTCTATGATGTGTCTTTCACTATCATAACTTAGATGTCATATATGATACTGACACTGCGCTACAATAAATACGTTGAAAACCTAATCTTCAGGCGACGGAAACGAAACAGACAATCGAGTTAAAAATGTGCTAAGTTGGCTAGTAAAGTATTCAAAAGGGATGCTCACCCATTCAGTGGTATTAAAGTATTCGACTTTGTCCTAAACCCTGTATTTGAGAAGACATTTTAATTCGGACTTAAACTGACATTGAGTCTCGTTTTTACCGATGGACAGTATATCCATTGTTGGTAGCTTCCAACTTCAACAAGTGACTTCGTGGCCAAGCTGGTTAAGGCGTGCGACTGTTAATCGCAAGATCGTGAGTTCAATCCTCACCGAGGTCGTTATTTTTTGGATTTGAAATCGAAGTAAACCCCACATGTTTAACCTCTTTTAACCACAGAAAGTGTGAAATCCTCCACAACCAATACAGAATCCATTCCTATCAATTCAAAGTTTACATAAGTACACAGCACGAATTTGTCTTTTTTGCTTGCTTGTAAAACATGCGTGAACTCGCGGATAGACTTTCAGACTTATCGACAAGATTATCTAGTTTTTCGCCTCTTTGCAATACTGATTCGATTGTCTTATGCAGAACAATTTTAGTTTCGTCTAGTTCCTGTTGCACCCGCATGATGGAATCAGCCTGAGACGGGTCTTGGTACTTAGCAATGTATATGTCCAATTCTTTCAGACCCAGACGATCGTTCGTTGCGGTCGCATCTTTCCATTCAACGGGAGGATGAGCCACTAGATACTCATCCAAGACTTTATTGAGCAAGGTGTATGCAGGTCTCACAGGGTATTCTTTGTCGGTGATGAGTACGCCACAGCAACCTTCTGATCTGCTGTAGACGTGTCCGATGTAATTGCCCTCTTCGATACTTTGCCTCTGGCCAGCGGAGGTTCGGGCAGCCACGGTTTCTGAGAAAAAAGTCATGAACTGGGCTACCCCGCTTCTTTCAAAGAAGCCAAATTGTGACAAGTCCTTAACGGACGTCAGCTCAAGAGCTTTTTCGGTGGTGTTTCTCAGGACACCAATGTAGTATATTTTCATGAGAGGTTGATTGAAGGTGAGTATAGAAAGCTGGAAGTTTATTTCGCCAACTCAACGGTTTCTTTCAAGATTCAGCGTAGGAACGTGTGTCTCTCCTCTCGATGAGTTGTGAGAGTGTAGAAGGGTTTTGCAATTTACTGTTAATGTTAAATTTCAGTAACTATATACGGCGAGGCTGGATTTCCAGGTCACATGAAAGAAATCGAAGTAAATGAACGCAAGTTTTTAACCTCTCTGTGTGGTCTTGAATGATAATGTCTTTCGTGTCTCTACGGAGATGGTTTCGGCGTCGCTGAGTAGGACCAAAAATAAGGATTGTAGAGTCACGTGACATATGATTACTTGTTCTTTTTCAAAATTCAACTGGTCAACTATGTCAAGATAGAGACATTTAGACTTTTGAGTACATAATTCAAGGGCTATCTCTTAAACTTGGTTTGTATGCAATGCAATTTGAAATATCTTCTTCTCCATACACTAGTAACTAAAGTCTACATTACGTAATCGTCTGGTCAATAAATTCAAAATGACAGGGCAGTGTGAAAATGATATTTAGAGATATTGTTTATTCTTTTCGAAAGAACGATGTGAAAAGCTGTATCAAGGACGTCCTGTAGATTGATTTAGATGTCATTAATTTCAAATAAGGGCAAAAAGAGTGATGTCTACAAACAGTGCCAAATCTCACCTTCATCGATGATCCAGCTTACACATTTGTTATCGTTGTGATATTCAGGTTGAGTTATTGTATACAGGAAATTATTCCTGAATCTACCAGGCACTATGAAATCACGACGACTGTTTCTAGTCCAGAAGCCTGTCATTTCTTAAATCTAGTAAGCTGTCGTCGCATCACGTGACTATAATTATCTCATCACAAATCTGACGCTAGAAAATCAAAAAGTTTTCGATATTAGAAAACACTCTGAAGCCAGATCAAAACGATGAAATCTCAACCATTTCTACTTCATATTCATCTTCCATTCAGCTCTAACAATAAACCATCACCAGAAGTTTCATGTTCCTCTATATCATTGTATACGCAAAAAGATATCATACTATACGTATAATGTAATTCACCTATAGCAAGACCACCCAAATTTCTTTCAATTCGAGTGACTTCCCAACTCGATTAGCTAAAACAAAATCAGCTTAAGGAGACCCCTAACGTTATTCAACGATATGTTTCGCCCCGGTTTCGCAACTCTACGTCGCAGTTTACCTAGTAAAGTTCTATTGAACTCTTCAAGACACTTCTTCACCGTTAACAATGGTGCCAAAATATCTTCCCGAACTCATGTGAAAACCGCTGCTAAAGCATTGACAGCTGGCGCTTTATTGGGCTTTTTGATCTCTGGGTCTCTTATCGGATTAGAGAAGAAAAATGGCTCTGAACCAGCACAAGCTGCTGTGGAAAGCTCAGATTCTGCACCAAAAACCAAAGAGGCTAGGGAAAACTCAACGGATAATGGCGAAAAAACCGAACCCCAATCGGCATACGACCCAGAAACTGGAATCATTAACTGGGACTGTCCTTGTTTGGGTGGAATGGCCCAGGGGCCTTGTGGTGAAGAGTTCAAAGCCGCTTTTTCGTGCTTCGTTTACTCAGAAGAGGATCCAAAGGGCGTCGATTGCATAGAGAAATTCAAGGGCATGCAGGAATGTTTTAGAAAATATCCTGAATACTACGCCGAGCAGATCAAGGACGAAGAAGAAGCCGCTCATGCTGCTCAAAAGCTTGAGTCTGAAAACGACCAAAACCAGATGCTCCATGACGCTCACAACGTACATCCAGAAGAGTCGGCTCCTGTTTTGCAACAAAAATCTGAGTTCGAGCCTGCTTTGAATCTTGAGGAACCTCAGCCAGAAAAAGCTGAACCTAAGGCTTAAAAAGGTACATTCTCAAGAAAGAAAACTCACTCACTTCTGTTCATTCAATTTACAATCTCAATTCTTAAACTTGTAAATATCACTAAACCTAGTCAAAAGGATAAATCAAATTAAAATTTCGCCAAGTTGCCATAGGAAGACCGGCCTGCAGTCTCCTTGTGCATCCAATAACCAGAGTACGTCCTCATGAATAGCAACAACAAACATTGACTTGTCCGATTGTAATTCAAACACCGGTACTGCAACTATTCTTTTCCCATTCAGCGGTAACTTTGCAGTTCTGTTCTGAATTTTGCGAAAAATAAGGCCGTGTTCGTCGCAGTAATCTTGAACAACATCTCTAAAAGTCGCAGTCAGTTTCGACAACGGAATAGATTTGAAATTTAGATCTGCAGTGTCTTTGCTCCCCAGGCCCAACGCCTCTTCTATCGTTTGTGATTCGTTATGGATAGGACGAATTGAAGGCGATTGCAAGAAGTGAAGACTTCGTTCGACTTCAGAAAATTCGAAAGTGGTTGCGTCAACATAAAATTGGTTTATGAAGGCGCAAAACCAGGACTTGGCTTCCTTGTCAAATGTGATTCGAGAAAAGCAACACCATTGATACAGAATCCGATTCATTTCGTTGAAAATCGCTCTGGTAAAAACGTTTAAGTAATTCTCAGACAGTAAAACCTTACAATCGTTGAATTTGGACAGGAAATAAGCCAAGGACTTATCAGATGGGTCCTCTATGCTTAGAAGAGGGTCAAAATACCGGTTCCATACTTGTTCCACAAACTTCGGTAAAAACTTGTCTGCAACAATTGCATCGTAAACGGATGGCGACAGAGCTTTTCTTAAAAATCGTATGTCGTAGGGTTTCACTGGGCTTTTGCTATGATACCAATTTTCGCAGTAGCCGGCAAACATCGTGGCTATTTGGCTCTCAAGAGCTTTGCAAGCTGGCTGGGGGAGAAAGACGCTAAAATCGAGATACCACGCGCTAGGCGGATTCTTCGTGTCTCCACAAACATCCCATAGACCTATAGCGCGATTTAAAGCAGGTATGATGTAATTTCCCAAAGCGTAGGATGTACAATTTATGAATTCCAGAACCTTTTCATAGTGTAGAAGTAGCGGCAAAAAGAACTTGACCTGCTCTGCGGTTGGCTCGAATACTTCCAATAGCGGTCGAAGTTCTGTGAAAAATCTATCGTAGACCGTCGTTTGACTCTTGTTCAGCTTTCTGGACGTGGACTCCATACTGTACGAAAGCATACCGATGATATGGTTTAACACTACCAACTGCGCATTGTCAAAATCGAGCAAGTCCCAGGAATATTTTTCGAGGAAATCTTTCAACAGAAATGCCACTATAGTGTCTACAAGATCTGGATTGTCAAGAGCTAACACTGAGTTAACTTTATCGGTTATTGTCACTGAGTCATCATTGAGAACTTTGTTTATGCTGAGCAACTCCTCTTCTTCCTCAGAACAATTCTGCAATTCCAAGTCAAGAGCAGACAATTGAAGCTGAAGTCTCTCAAGTCTCTCACTGATTTCTGTGAGTTTCTTGACATTTCTTCCCACTTCTCTTGATTGTGCTTGGTGACTGCCATTCTTCTCTAGCTTGTCAGCAAGCTCTACGTGACCAATGGCCCGCAATTCATCTAGTCCAGTATAAGCGATCTCTTGACTTCTACCAGAAGTAAATTGGACCTTTTTTGAAGTACCAGAAACGCCCGTGCTGAAATCATCATCAGAGCTCTCTGCGTCGGAATACTCATCGAAACTTCTCCTCGCACTCATCATCCCAGGCATGCCCAATCCAACTCCCTGGGGCCGTTCTTTTACCTCAATTGGTGCAGTAATACCTTCGTTATTTTTCCCCAGTCCCGTTCCCTGTCTATACCCCATTTTTGACATGAGCTTGGCTCCGATGCCGTACCTGCTCATCGCAGGCGCAGATGGTTCGTCAATGCTGGAGTCACCGATCGAAGACTTTTTGGCCGCAGTTTGTTCCCCATTTTTCTCGTAATCAACTCTAGAAGCCGAGAAGTCCATTAGCGATCTTATGTATTCTGTTTTCTGCAAGTTTTACGTCGATGCTCAGTTCACTGGACTACCTTTTTATTAATATTAGCGATGAGATTGAATATTTCAAAAACAATGGAAAAAGCTTGAGCTTGAAACAAGAGTTCAGGGTTCGATTCAACTCTTTCGAACACATTATATAGTTACTGTACGTATGGGTATTTCAGCCAAATTTCCAAGCGTTTTCAGCGAGGTTTTGCAAGCCATATACATGAAAACAAATGCTGAATCCGACTGTTGTAAAGAAACTGGTGTTTGAGCGCCGCAGAACATGACTGCAGCTGAAGGTACCTTTTGCGTAACAATTCAATTACTTCCGATAGACATTTCAGTTCAATCGTTAGACGTGTAGGATTTTTTGAGAAGAGCAGTGTGCTCGATAAACTTCATTTGTCTTTCAACAAGGAATCTTGAGAAATTGCAACATTTGTAAGCCCTTAGAATTCAACTGGTACCGTTCAAATATACTCACGGATTTGATGTTGGCATAATAGACAATGAACTGATGGCCATTGCCCAGATACTACTACCGATCAAAGCGACAGATGTCAGAGTGGTACAAAGTGACTAAATTCTTTAGAGCAGTTGGGTGACATAATAGTAAAAAGTGATATAGAAATTAAAGTCCGATGAACTCGGATTCAAACTACAAGGGATCTTGGTTGTACCTTTTTTGAACGTCAAACACAAGTCTGTAAGGACCACCAAACGCTCTTGTAGTAATTTCTCGATGCGTCACCATGATCAGTCGTAACATAGAAGCGGTCTCCGAAAAATCGCGGCGATTTTTAGAACAGGCCCAGTTGCTATGTCATGAATCCAACACCCAATTGTCTTTGGTTAAGACAAGAATACGGGATTGGCAAAAGTACAGGTCCAAACTACTGTTTATTTTGGATTGTATAACCGAACAATGCACCTATTTAACTAATGTGTTGTTAAAAAATGGGATTGGGAAAAAGCTCATCGATAATCAATGGCGCAGGGCGATTCTTGTAGATCTGGCAGACGAGATGGAACACTGGCAGAAAGACATCCAAAATATGATCAAAAAACTGGATAGTGTGCACAACTCGTTAGAAAAAGAGCGGGACTCTACTTTGGGTGACTTCATTTCCAGAGATAACTCTCATGTTCTTGACGACAAACTGAACGAGCTTCCGGTCATACGCAAGCAAGTTGAAAACATCTCGCGGCAATACCAGCAAACGGTTACTAAGGTTCAGCTTCAGTTGATAGAAACCAAGCTAAAGAAAGTGGAAAATGAATTTATCGTCAAGTTCGGAGATCAGAATGAAACGAATATAAGATTGGATGAGCAGTTCACTACGGAAGCAGAACAGCGGGTCCACGAGCTTGCAGATTTTCTCAAGTCATTCACAGATCATTTTGATAAATGTAGCATCTTGATGTCAGGAACGCTGACACCGACAGAAAGTAAATCACTCTACGAGATAGTGGAACGCGACGATAAGGAGCTTCCTGCCATCGAATCGTCTCTGCATGAAGCTTTTAAAGAGGCTTTCAGTTTTGCTGAGGAGGTAAATGCACTTTTGGACACGAAAGAAGCAGAAAAGGCAGAAATAGAGGCTTTAGTGATGAAAATACTAGCGGATCTGCAGAAGCATGAGGAATATATCTCCGTATTTGAGGGGATCTCTAAGCTTATAGAGAGGTTCAAAAACTCGTGTTTGGATAGTGTCCGGCAAACTAAAGAACTACTAGGCTTCTACGTCAACTTCGAAAACAGCTACTACAGGCTGCTAGCTGAGGTGAAAAGACGACAAGGAGCAGCAGAAAAAATGGCAGAAATCCTAACAAACTGTGAGGCTCAGCTGAAGAAATTGGATGCGGCAGATATTCGAGAACGGCAAATGTTTTTACTTGAAAATGGGGATTTTCTTCCGGAGACCATTTGGCCCAATGAAATCGGCAACCTCTCTTCCTTGTACACCCTTGATTACCACGTAAGAAATGTTTGATTATTTACAGGACTACACTTTTTCTTTTGCAGCTGGAAAACATTAGAGGTAGTTTTCTTCGAGGTCCCGAAATTTGTTCATAATCTGATCGATTGACAAATGGCTCAATTCTCTAGATTCCCTAGACCTTATTGCATATTTGCCTGACTCAATCTCTTTTGCGCCAACCATAATCAAGTAAGAGTAGTTTTTCATGATAGCATCCTTGATTCGGTACCCTGCCGGCTCAGCACGGTCATCAACGTCCACATTAAAGTGTAGTGAGTTGAGCTTTACCGGAATATCCACGGGTGTATTCTCTCCCCTCAAAATACTGGTGATTTCCTTTGCCTTTTGAACCATGCCCTCATCTTTAGTATTCAAGGGGATGATCATGCATTGATGAGGGCTTAACCAAAATGGCCATTTGCCGTTGTTAGAGTCTATCAGCATTGCCATAAATCTTTCTAAGGATCCGAACACAGCTCTGTGAATCATGATCGGTCTTTTATAGTTGTTATCTTTATCTTTGAATTTGAGGTCGAACCTTTCTGGCAAATTGAAATCCAATTGTATAGTTGCGACTTGATGGGCTTTGCCACGATGATCAGTAAGGATAACATCGATCTTAGGGCCATAAAAGGCACCGTCGCCTTCACTGACTGACCATTTTTTACCTGAACTTTCAAGAATATTTCTTAATACGGATTCTGCTTTGTCCCATACTTCTGGGCTCCCAATGTGATTTTCAGGTTTTGTAGAAAGACGTAAAGAATAAGTGGTCGCTGTTCCGTTTAGTCCTAGGCGGAAAATTCTGGTATAACATAGATCCACCAGTTCTAATGAGCTTTTGATTTCCGATTCTACTTGATCGGGCGTGCAGAAAATGTGACCATCATCTTGATGAAACTTCCTGACACGAGTTAAGCCCGACAGTGCACCAGATGCTTCGTTGCGGTGCAATGGCGAAAAATCCGAATATCGCAGCGGGAGTTCGTTATACGATCTGGACGAACTCTTGAAAATAATACAATGGCCGGGACAATTCATGGGTTTTAAGCCGTACTCTTCCTTTTCAATATCCTGGCCCTCCACTCTAAACATGTCCTCTTTATAGTTCTCCCAATGGCCAGATCGTTCCCACAGAGATTTTCGATATATCAGAGGTGACATAACCTCTTGAAACCCAAATTTATGCTGCTGTTGCAGTTTCATGAAATTGACTAGCTTGTTGAAAACCTTAGTGCCATTCGGTAGGAAGAATATAGAGCCTGGTGAAATTGGATCCGTTATGTAAAGCTGTTGTTTTGCAGATACATTATGCGATACATTTGCGACAGTATCTCCGCAGGTAGAGGAGCAATAAAATCGCGGGAAAGCCGAGTATAACGGCTTCAATGACCCGGCTTGTTTAAGCATATTTGAAGTACCTGGAAAGCCTCGACCGTTCTTGTTAATCTGATTCTTGAATCTTGAGTTACATGTATTTAAGCGATGATGTTAAACCATCCAGTGAGACGAGTATTCATAGTACATAGTGACAGTATTCATATTCAAAGACACACTTCACAACTGTTTAGCTCGAGGACGTAACGGTTTGTCGGTCAACATGACACTTCAGTCTGCCTCACTGATCCCTCTACTTTATTATCCTGTTGATCGCCTTGTTAGTAACGTCTGAACAGCAATATTATTATGTCTGTGATCATGATGAAGTGCTGTCGCTTGCCAATGACCTTTTCACAGCTTCAAAGAGAGTATTTCACTGCCCACAGCATTCAGTACCCACGATTATGAAAGCTCTTGTTCTCGTCTTCTTTACGTGGGAAAAGTATTCAACGTTGCAAGATTCTCAGCAAGGTAAAAGCACTGTATTCGTAATTTGGGAGTTTCGGTAAGGCTGATCGAGATGCGAAGTGTGTTGCTGTCACATTGTTGACTATAGGCTTCTGCCATTTGTTTCCAATGTAGACTTCATCCGCGGATATAGGTAGCATCAATCTTCTGCAGACTACTACCCAAGTTGAGAACAAGTTTACGTCTGTAAACGGTTCCAGAATTTTTCTCGATAGGATTTCCCTCGAGATAAATGGTTTCAAACTCCGGCAGGTCCCGCAATTCGTCGCCAACAGATTCGATCGACTGATCGATCTGGTTAAAAGACAACCATAGATCTGTGAGTTTGGTGAGATGGCGCAGATTTTCGATCTTGGTGATCTTGTTAGACGTGATATCCAAGGTGTTGAGCCGAGTGTTGTGTTCGAGGCCCTCTATTTTCGAAATGAAATTGTGTGACAAATACAGTTCTTCCAAGTTGGGCAGTTGGTCAAGACCCTCGATTTTCGTGAGCTGGTTGGACTGGATGGACAAAATACGCAAATTCCGCAGATGGTCGAGGTGAATCAAACGTGGGATACTGTTCTTACCCAGCCACAACTGCTGAAGGTTTTCAAGTCCCTTGAACGAGTCTGGCTCGATGCGAGAAATTTGGTTACCGCCTAATTCGAGATTAAGCAAGACTTTGAGAGTGCTTAGGTTTTCAATTGTGGAAATCCTGTTTTGCACAAAGTACAGATGTTCTAGCTTTGTGAGCTGATCCACGTTCTTAATGTGCTTGATCTTGTTAAACGACAAATCCAGGCTCTTAAGTTCCGTGAGTTGGTTCACGCTGCTGGAAATATGTTTGATCTTGTTGTCATACAGGTCGATGTCCTCCATAGTAGCCACAGGAAGTACTTCTACCTCACTCATGCTTTCGATCAGGTTTTGTCTTAAACACAGCGATTTCAATTTGGTAAACCGCTGCAATTCCAGATCCTCTATCGATTGAATTCGCAAATGTACCAACTCCACAGATTCCGTATCTTCTGGTAAGTCTTTGGTCAAATCTGCATCTGCACTGATGAACTCTTCTTTCGTGTCCGGATACACGGTCTGGCCCTCTAAAGTCGTGGTGTTTTTTGGCGAAGTTGAAACATTGTTATCAGCTTCCAGAGCATCACTCATTTCAACAGTTTTTGGTGCTTATACGGCTCTGATTTGCTGATCTTATCGAGGTTCGTAAACTTAAGAGGTTTTGGAACTCTTCCCAGCGTTATACACTAATCTAATTTATAGAATATGGTCATAAGAAACACCCTAATGGCATGGAAGAAACCTGATTTGTAGATCGAACAGGAAAGGGGACTAGCTGGATGCAAACTGTAGCACTTTGGCGAGAATTGGCGGTTTAAAAGAGACTAAAATGATAATTTTTGGACCACAACTGAACTAGTTGAGGTATATAAGCTCGACATAATGTGTGTATGACGATTTGTACAGGACTAGGATGGCCACGATGGCTAAAAAATGGCTAGAAACAGGCTAGACAACATATACAGGAAGATAGAACAAGACTTGAAGTGGTACAACATTTGTTCTCGGAAAAGGCAACAAACATAACGCCAGTTTTATCACATCACGTTCAATTGGCCTCTGGGTTCGAAGCAATGTAGTCGACCGCTTGCGAAACGCTCTTGATCTCGTCCGCGACCTTGTCTGGGATTTCCACGTCGAATTCCTCTTCAATGGCGACCAGAAGCTCCACCGTGTCTAGCGAGTCCAAACCAAGGTCCTTGGCGAAATGCGTATCGGCATTTATCTGAGCACTAGCAGTGGTCTTGTCAAACGCCTTGACCACATCGATGACACGGCAGCGGATGTCGTCGTTGTTCAAGCTGGACGAGTACAGACGAAGAGATGACCATAGGGCAGGACTTGCACCGGAAGGACGTAGTGCGGTCCGCATCGATGTGGTTCTGAGCGCCATTGCGCTTCCGCGAAGAATATTGGAAAGCATTTTTTGTAGTTAAGGCAATCGGTACAGACAACTAGACTGAACAGAAACGTGCAAGACTAGTCAACTTCAGATTTGAATATTCAACTATCCATCAATCAATTTCGTCAAATTTCAAATCTCTAACTTTTTTGACTAACTGGGAGTGTAATATTAATCAAAAAAAAAAAAATTTGAGTGCTGAAAAGTTAACGTGACTATTGCGTGCATATCACGCAATAGTCACATGATATGTTTGGGCGTGATGTACACGTGAGGTCTTCACAACACCCAGTCATCCAGAATGAAACAGATCTGGCCCGTTTTTTCACATTACACCGGACCAGACTTGTCCATTCCATGAAATATCGCTAGTTGAGCTGTGTCTAAAGGTTTGTGCGTTTTCGCGCGAACTGAAAATTAATATACACTGGTGGCTGATTATGTAGGTCACCCTTCAACTTGACGCTCCCCGTATTTCAAGCTTTATTTTTTGGGTTTAGCACTTTTACCAAATTTCTTATTCATTCCGGTCCGGAACAAACTCAATTTCGATGAGGACTGCGCTGACGTCCTGGAGTTTTGTTTGGTACCATTAGACGCCACAGAAGCGGATTCGGTGGGGTTCAATGCTACGCCGTTTAAGCCAGCGCTGTTCGGAATCGATTCACCCGATTTTATAGAATGTGCGCCAGAGGTCACCGACTTTGGTAACGTAGATGCTTCTTGCGAGGGTTCGACTACTGGTCCACTGCTTAGACCAGTGTCGGTGGTCCTCGAGGTGATACGACTGACCAGATCCAGGTCGGCTTCGTTCACGACGAGGTTGTTCTTTGCGATTTCGTCGGCAAAATTCTTGTAGAAGAGGCCCAGCAACATTTCGTGTGACTTCTTCATGTACCCGTGACAAAGATGTCCATGCAGGGCTAGACATCTACTCAATATGGATGCCAGTTCGTCGAATGTAGACCTCAACAAACTCAATTGGCTTTGATCACCCAGATCGCTCTCTCCAATTGTGAAGAAATCGCGGTATTGGGCAACACCGCCGTTTACTGGTGCGTCAATAGTACCGCTGATATTTCTGGATAGTTCTGGGAACACAGCGGTATAATCGCCATTTTCCTTCAACATCTTGTAGCACGTGTCTTCCAAACCGGCAAGATCTTGAATCTTCAATTGCATAGAACGAATAGCGTTCTCGATTGGCGATAAAGTTTTGCTGCTCGTGGTGGTGATCTCGGCTCTATTCATCATCGTTGGGAACGTGGAGGCGGTCTCGTAGGTTAGCTCTTTGACCCACAGATCTGTAGCAGAAGTTGCGCCAGGTAAGACTCTATACGTGCAGAACGTGTTCAAATCTCTGTTTTCAACATACAATCTGATTTTGTTGTTGGCATTTTCCTTTTTACTTTTGTTCGTGAAGGCGTCTGAAATTTCCACTCTAGGCTCAACGGTGATTACATGAATGAACTTTCCGATGGGCGAGTTCACCAAAAGATTATCTGCCTCATCCTGCGTACCGACAATTTTCGATCCGGGATGTGAAACTAATAGTCTAGTTTGCATTGATGTAATATGCTCGAATGGAAGACCTTCATAAATAAACGTCTTGTTTCTTGTCGAGCTTGGGAAACCGAATCCTGCAAACGTAACTTTGAAGTATGTTGGTACCAATCTGTCCACGACCTGCAAATCTTCGTAAAGTTTTGAAATGTTGCCATGAACTTGTGATAAGCCACTCAGATCGTAATTGATTTTCTCGTACGCCTGAGCCAATTCTTTGTAAATCGACAAGGCCTTTTCGAGTTTCAAACCTTTATGGAAATGTCTAGCCACTTCTTTGTACAAGAATTCTCTTCTCTGAAATGAAGACTGCTCGGGAAGTGCCGGGAACGCGACTGGTGAAAGAAGGTCATTGGGGTCCCACTTATAGGTTCTCGCTAACAGCTCCAAACTTAAAGCGGCCTGAACATTGTCCTTCTTCTTGATGTTGTAAATGTACAAGTCATTGACGAGTTTATGAAGCTCTTCGGGCTTTTTAACTTCTAAGAGATACCCGAAAATGGTAATTTGGTGAGCAGTTCTATCATCGTCAAATTCCTTGTCGTCTGGAATATCACTGAATTCAATCAAAACAGTGAGCAGATCGCGTACCAACTTCATAACTTTCAAAATAGAAGAAAACATGGCATCATCTTTCGCCAGCCGGATGGTGAAAAGAAGTGCTTTCACATAATTTTCAGATTCCTGAAGCGTTGGTGTAAACCTACCTGACTGATGAGCGGCACACAGTTCGGAAGTCGTCTGCATCATTACAGGCTCCAAATTCCCATAAGTGAGCCAACAGTTGGCAGATGTACCCCATATAATCTTGGCACCGACTCTTCTAGCTTCTGTGTGCCTCTGGAACGTGAATTCCATGATTTCTCTAACAAAAGTTTTGTCAGCGCGAACGAGATAGTTCTGAAACCCATTAGCTCTAGTAATACCATATTTTTCCCAAACTTCGGTGTTAGATACATCCTCACCTAAAGCATCCCAACAGTGCTCCAGCATAGCTGCCACCTCGCTTCTGTAGTCCCCTCCAATCAAATACAAAGCTTTTCTAGGAATTTCGGCTAGAAGTGTTGGATTGGAAGGAATATGGTTTCCAAGAGAAATAAGCATTTTCACCCATTCATTCCATAATTTGATGTCCAAAGATTCCTCTGAACCTATCACAGGGATTTTATGAGCAGCCATAATGTCCTCGCAGAGTTTGAATAAGCAAACAGCACTTCGGTTGTACAGCTCACTCAACGAAAGCCATTTCTTACTGGGGAAGAATTTTCCCTTCATGAAGAGCCTAACAGTGTGCACCACCGTGAGAAGATCTTCCCTTGTAAACTGTGTCACATAAAATACTGAATTGAAAGCCGTATCTTCAGAGCACAGCTCAGTGATCTTCAGAAAAGATAGTGCACCATGGAAGGTCTCCTCCGCCATTTGCGTGATTGTTGCCAATATAGTAGCGAGCTCGACCAAAACCTCAACGACTAGATCTTCTTGAACAATAGAATCAACGGTGATTTCGTCAAAAGGATAAGTGATGGGGAAAAGTTTGGTGAAAGTTCTCCTATGCTTGAAAAGCTCCTTCTCCTTGCAGTACTTTCTGACCAGAATAAAGAACCGACACACTGTTGGTATCAACCTTACAAGGTTACGCTTCGCTACATCTGACGCATGCCTCACAACACTGACCAAAACACCGTTAGCAAGCCTTATGGTAGTCAAGTGTAGATGTTCGCCATTGTAATTGAGGAAGGGCTCAAAAGACCACTCAATCAGTTTCGCAATAAATTTTTGTTCATGAGAACCGACAGTGTCAGGGGTTAAAAGAATATTCCTCACTGAGTCCACGTCGATCAATCGACGCATGACAAGATACTTCGAGGCAACGAATTTCTGTTCCTTGACCGAGAGAGCTCTTCGATAAATCCCATTTGTCCGCTCCTTATCGTGACAAGCTTGGAATAAACCAATAGAAGCATCAACAAGAATCTTGGGATCACAGTGGGTTGATAAAACCAAGATCCAAGCGTCAAACGCCTCCAGAATCAAAACTTGATCTACCAACGATGATTCTTTTCTCAAACGGAAAAATGTTGATATGCCGTCAAAAAATTCAACCAATGACTTTTGAAGACCATCATCATGAGAGCTAGAAAGGAGTACAGCGAGTTTAAACAAATAAACCGAGACTCGACATAGTGCCCTTCCATCGTAATTCCATACTTCGTGGGAGAAGCGGAAAAATTTGGAAGCGAAATGAACGAGCTTCGCCCCCACCTCTGGCAATTCTGATTTCCTCATCGCATATGTTGCCAAGAAGTCATTGAACAAATGTCGATAGTTGTCTTGACGGGCAATAACCATGTCCAAGAAAAACATCAGAGACATGAAAGAAGCCTTCTTAAATTCATCGGATGATCGTTGCTCCTCGAGGATATTGGCGACGTAGAATACGTCGAGAAATTTGGTCAACAAAGCATCAAATGTTTTGATGAGTTCTTTCACTGGAGTGGCTTTGACCTCTGCCAGCAATTGAAGGCAATCTTTTTCAAAATCGTAAAATGATCTTTTGAAATCATAAGAGAACTGAAGGAAACTGCGAATTGACGATTCAACATTGAAGTTTTTCCCAACATAGTCAGTCGTGATCTCCAGATCAACGAGAGGTTCGCTGGTCGTCGACATTAGCTGGAATACAGACTTCTTGGCATATTCGATGATCTTGTCATTTCTTTTAATGTAAAACTTTGACTTGGCCATGAGAAAACCATTAATGTAGGCTGAAATTCTAAGGGTTTCATCATTTTTCATTTCCTGCAATCCGTCAATCCGTATCGTTTCACCAATCACTTCGTCCGGCTTCACAGATACAAACATCCAGTATCTACGTGACACATCATTGACACCATTTCTGAACGTAACAAGTGGATTGCTGGAAGATATTTGAATGGAAATGCTCGAAATGTTGGTGTCATAAGACTTGAATCCACATAGGGACGTCCTGCCCAGAGTTAAATAAATTCTGTCCTCTGGATTCGACAGTGTGTCATATGAGCAAGTCGGTATGCTTTGGATGGCAGACATGTTGTTCTTGAGAACGCTTGAGACGCCAAAGTCGCCGGTGATCTCCCTCACAGTTACAGACAATGACAAGATTCTTGGATTCACTGCAATACCTTTATTGGCGTCTGCAATAATTCTGTCTACCAACTCACCCCACCCATTATTTTCTTCACTTTTAGCAGCTGCTCTCGTCAGAGCCGCGGCACTAGGAGCATTACCAATATTTACCATGGACTGTTGCGAAGGGGCATCCTTTCGCTTATTGGGTAGGTAGGATCCGAACAATTCGACGTTAAACTGGTGCGAATTACCCGGGAGTCTGTGTTTCTTTTTACGGGTAATAAGTCTGGAGATATCAATTACACCAGCCGCCAGGCCTTTTTTCAAATGTGATAATCTGTTATCACCGCCTGTTAGAAAAGGAACAAATGGTTTTCTGAATCCTTTCCCCGACTCCGGTGACATGAGTTGAATTTTTACTGTTTCAGTTAACACCACAACCAAATAAACCTTGTTGTTATCAACCTCGCTAGGAGGAATGTTGTTGAACAGTGCTGCCGATATATTATCCATCGAAACTACATCATCTCGTTCCATGTTCACAATGAAAGGCTCCGAAAGGGTGGTTTTACCTGCTCTCAAGTACATGATAGCAGAAAGATCCTGGAAGTTAGGATTAACGGTAGGATCGCTCAATGCATCTTTGAAGTCCACTAAAATACTCGTAGATTCCACTGAATCGAAGGTTGTGTTTTCCAAAGGAAGCAGTTTTAGTTGGTATACATTGGCACTTGGAAAATTGTTGCTTAGACCGCAGAGCATTGACATGGAAGCCAGAACCTGGGGTTTTACCTCGTTGTATTTGTACAATTTACCTGTGTGCATCTCCCGACACAAAATACTACCATAACCCGAGGCATGCACGACGCTGAAAGAATCCGCTTGAGGAGTCAGTAAGGTCAAATCCTTAGAAGAGATAAATTTGGCGATTTTATACGACATAGAGCACATGTCTTTGATGAGTTGTTCATGTTCGACGCGCGTAGTGAGCTTATGCAAGAGTCTTAGACGAATGTCATCAAGTTTGTAGTACAGATCAGTCATATTTTCTGCGACTTCAAACTCCCCGAAAGAGTACATGGAGTACACATGCGTCACGAGCTGCGATAACATCGGGGTTAGTTCCTGAACGATGTCGTAATCCTGTAGACGGAAGTAAGGAAATGGAGGACGACTAGCCTTTGTGACAGACGACCCACCAAGCTCCATGATGTCATCTTTCGACCAATCGCCCGTAAGATCAAACATTGTTGACAGCTGCGTATTGGTGTTGGAGGGTGAAAAATGCGATGCTTCAGGCGCAGCCAAAAAGGGCAAATCAGTGACCTCCTCTTCGTAATCAAGATGCACAAACTTCTGAGGAAACACCACGACTTTGAATTTCTGTTCAGGCAGCTGTTCACTGAACGAGCTTAGCCGTCCGATAAAATCCTCCGGTAATGGTTGCCAGCATGTATAGCCTCGAAACCACCGGCCGTCGCTGGTTTCTTCGAAAACATATACTTCATCACCAGTGTACAAGTTTGAGTAATTGGGATTTTCAAGTCCCAGACCTGGATGCCTCATCAGTGGCAGAAACTTCGTAACGATACGTCCATGCACCAGACGTTTTGTGGGTACCCATTTAAAGTCTGCAGATGAGTTCGGCATTGTGCAAATAACCTCTGATTTCGGTACTCTCTTGAAGCACTTATGGCCATGCACAGCCCAAAAAGGTGGTGCTAACTTGGATATCTCGAAACCCTCTTAAGATTCCTTCAAATTCATCGAGGAATGACGGTTAAAGACAATTTAAAGAACCGTCCAGTCACTTGAAACGATGTAGGATTTTTTTTTTTAGCGAGACCTTCTATGCGCCAGCCACTGGCGTCAGTAAGGAAAAACACGACTAGTTGTAAACCTCTCAGGTTTTATCAATTTTGGGTTTCTTACTGTCCGGTTCCTTTGGTTCGTGTACTTGTTCTGCTTCTGAAAAACTTCCTATCTTTTCGAGCTGTTTGAGCAAGAATTTGAGTCCATGAATGGCAAATTGTTGCATGTTGTGACACCTGTCCTCGCTATCGGTGTTGTAAGTTGCAGAAACGTCTTCATTGGGTCCTGAAACCCCATAGTACACGGAACCTACGGCTTGTTCGCTTTCGGCGGGCTTCAACATCGGCGAACGCGATGCGTATCCGGTTTCTGACAATGTGTAAGTGGCGCCAAGCTCAAACTTAAGATTGCGCGCCAAACGTAGTGCAACGTCCACGCTGGGACCTGTGTAATCGTGTATTTCTTGCTCGTTCCAACCGCTCAGTTTGAGCCGACTTTTCAAACTGTACACCATGATGCCGCCATGAAACCATTCAGACGCACCTGGGATAGAAACCAAATAGCTTGAAATTAATCCACCACAAGCAGCCTCACTAACGGCTAGAGTTTCATCGCGCTCAATTAATATTTCAGAAATGCGCTTTACAACACGAGAAGCCTCAGAAGGTGGGAATTCAGCCGTCATTGCGCGGTTAAACATGGAGGTGTCAGATTGAGAATACTTAAACATACATTTTTATATTATTGTTAATATTGGTGTATATTTTGACGTGTTCGTGAATAGCGATTTTGATCAATCAAACGGCTGAAGCGACTGTCGGCCAGGGCTTGGAGGCCCATATGCCTCGTAATAGTGGGAGGTTAGTGAGACTAGATATTAAGCTCAGCTCGATTATTATTGAAACCGCTGGAAATGCCCTTTTGAAAGCTTTCTTGTATCTAAATTAGTAAAATACTGTGGCTGTAAAGAGCTCGTTACGAACAACGACGCCCGAACACTTAATAGATCGGTTGGAAACAACTAATTGTTGGATAATTGCCGGTTGTTCAACCCTTTTTCGAAAAATTAGCTTTCGACCCTACTGCCATCAATAATGGGTGAAGAAAATGCATTTCAATAGCGGATTCGGTACTTTCAGAAAACCGTATTTTTTCCTGCAGCATTTCTTGCTGGATGAAAGGGAAAAGTGGCTTGAAATCATCAAGAAAGTGTTCCAACGTCGGTAAACTTGTAATCCACATGTATAATTTGTTGTCATTTTTACACCTTCTGTCGCCTACTATCACGTGCGTTGCGTGTCAGGACTTTATCGAAGTGATAATTATTGAAAGAAATGGTACATTGCATGTTGTTGTTTAGGGACTTGGAAGTCGCTGTATTTTCATAACGTCGTTGTTTCGTAATTCATAGCTTCTGGTTACTTACTTCCCTGTTAGTTATTCCGCTATTGCAGCAATTGGCGCACCATTCAACAGTCCAAATCATATATCACGAGTTTCTTAGTTCTCCTTGTGGAATCCTCCTATATCATGAATTATTATTCTCATATGCATACGCGTTTCTTACAATATACACCACAGCAGTTCTGTTTCCCACAGGTCCCTGTAAGTGCTACCAAAGTTTCGAATCAAACAACAGTTTACGCGCCCCCAAATCCATTCGAACCCTCGGAAACTCCACAATCGCAATGGGAAGCATGCCCCCTCTCGAGGTTTGCATTTGCCATAATATATACCCTTTGACTTAGGCAATGCTTCTCCTTCGCGTGCCTCATCGCTTCTGAATACGAAAAGAGTTCGTTCTCATTATCACTTTAGTCCTTCGTGACGTCAATACACATTTTAAAGTCCTTTTATCACTTTTACCCTTAGTGACACCACCGTCCGATCTAAATTATATATTCCACTTAACTTACGCACGAATCGTAGCGAGATGGTGTGGCAAAGCGTTTGTTAACAGACTTCCACCATCTTTGGCAACTCCTTAAGCTCGAATCTCATGTCTGAAACCCTCAAATTCAAGGCCGGCATAGCCAGTTTCGATGAAACTTCGAAAATCTGTTCTCCAACCCCTATCAAGGGAGAAATTATTGTAAAACCTTCAGAGGAAGCCGAAGATTTCTATGATTTCCAGTGGAAACCCATCGAGAAAGTTGCATCAGGAAATGTGGAACCAATTGAGTTTATTCTGATTCCAGGTTCCACAAAGTGGACTCATATCAAATCTTGCAAAAGCGGAAGAGTGTTCTGCTTGATCTTTTCATCAGACGAACAGCACTTTTTCTGGCTTCAAGAGAAGCACCAGAACTCTGAGCAACTAAATGAACTTTCTGAAGCCGATAAAGCAATAGTCAGGAAGTTCGAGGAGCTTTTAAGTTCAAAAGATGATGAAGAAGAAGGAGAAGAAGAAGAAAAAATAGTACAAGATCTAGAAGCTTCTGAAGTCCAGGAACAAGCTCACGACCAGGATGTTGACATGGATCTTGGTCAGCCTTCAAACCAGTAAGTACGTATACGTGCTGTTCTCCCCTTTTGAATGACCCAACCTGATCCCATTTTTACTAATCAATCGCAGACCAATCGCTCATATTTTCGATTTTTTGCCCAAGCAGCTACTCATCAACTATGTTGAGTCATTAGATCCACAATCTGCTCAATTGAGTCGTCTTCTGGAACATTTGCCTTCAGATCAACAGCGTGACAAAGCCGCTTTGATCGAATGTCTTCGTGGCCCTTTTTTCTACCAAGCAACTGACTCGCTCTCGAGAACTTTGCTGGAGGGTTTCGAGGCATCCCTCGCAATTTCGAACGGCTTTGGGTATCAGTATTCAGGCGACGGGATTTTAGGGTTTCTCAAGGGAGTGAGGGCAAAAGCCAAAGAAGAGCAGCGGGATCAAAGTAAATCAGTACAGGGTAAGAAGTGACGTTCTTCTGGTAACCGTAAGCCTTATATACGTGATCCGTACATATCCTGTCCGTCAGTGCACTTTTCAAATCGACTTGCCAGCCGCTGCTACAATATAGAATACATGATGCGAATTTGACCTTTTCGGATTCTTATTTAGACTCTGACCATCTGGTAGACCACTTCAACTTTTCGCAAGGCTTGAACAATAGAACTACCAATTCTTGACTGTTGGAAAGCGCATCGGGCACCGGTTGTTCGTTGCGGTAGAGAATAAGCTCATCGCGACTCTTAACGTCCTCTTGCTTAATGCCATAGAATGACAATCCAAAGTCGGAAACAAAACCCTTCAACTTGTCTAGGGCATTTTGAGCATCAAAAACCTCTGCGACGTAGGGAATCGCTAGCGATTGTGTAAAAACACCGGCGCAGACGCCCGCGTGCTTTGCCTTGCTTTCCTGTGGGTGAGGAGCCGAGTCTGAGCCAAAAAAGAAGTAAGGTTCACCGGAAACTGCTGCCGCGATAAGGGCTCTCTTGTCACTAGGCAATTTGGCAACCGGCTTGCAGAAATTGATAGGATTACCGGCCCAGTCATCGATAGTCAAAAACAAGTGATGGGCTGTAATTGTTGCTGCCACTTTCACCTGCGATGCTTGCTTGACATTCTTGTTGAGATCTCTTATGGTGTTTATGGCAGCCTCTGTGGTGCAATGCTCCAGGATGATCTTCAAGTTAGGAAAGTCTTGGTGCAGTTTACGAAGAGCGGGCAAAAACGACTCCTCTGCATTCAAAACGTGAATATCGTTGCCCTCTTCACCCACTGACGGCCTTTCTCCGTGTAAGTTCAGAACCAGGTTCTCTTCCTCCATAGCCTTGAATATAGGGTAGAAATCGCTGAAATCGTTTGGGTCCACTCCGGCCGCCGAGTTGGTGGTTACACCCGCAGGATAGCATTTCACACCCTGGATAGCCTTTTGGGCCGCAGCCTTATGGATAAGCTCGGGACTCAAATCTTTGCACAGGTAAAAACTCATCAAAAACGTGGTCTCAGGCGCCAGTTTTTCCAGTTTCTTCTTATACTCCACAACCCGGTTCAACGTCGTCACCGGTGGCTGCAGATTGGGCATCACATACACTACCGATACACCGCCTTCCCGGATAGAAGGCGTCACCAGCTCACACATTTTACCGTCTCTGACATGGACATGCATGTCGCAGGTAACACCAAGATTGATTTCGTCCATGATTTTATGTTGTATCCTTACCGATTAAAGAGCGTTTCAAAGATGCTGGAGACACTTTAAATGGCTTTCTGGAGTAGTTTGAGTCAAGTTCTTAAAGCCATTGTTCAAGATGGGATAATTTTTCAAAATAGATGTAATTTTTCAAGCTCATCGCATCTCATCTCATCGCTTGATGAACAATTGTATAAAAGCATGCAATGATACTGGCAAAAGCCCTGAACTTAGCTTGAACTTTTCTTTGAAGTGGGTATTGGGAGCACATATTTATAAAATTGAAGTTTGAAGAAATGTCTGAAGAATCGGTGGCTGCACCAGCGCTTTCAACGACGCAAGGCGATGAGATATTCGATTTGGGCAAATTTGATGATGTTACGAAAGATCGATCAGGTTATTTGGGCCAAGTCCCTGATAATCGAACAGATCTGGTGCGGCTGATTTCAAAACACTATCTGGTGGAGGAAATCGTGCAGTTTTTGAATCAAAATGTTGAGTTTCGTAAGATTACTTTACAGTTTCCGGATTCGTTGGTCCAGGATGCAGCACTGGTAGCGCAATTACTGGAGCAAAGTATCACTCAGGAGTCTGTCGGTGTTAGTGTTGAAGTACAAGCTACGTGTCGTGAGGATCGTTGCTGTGGTTCTAGCTCTGACTCTTGCCAAAATCGAGAGGCAGCCGAAGAGAGAAGAATTTGGATTCTGGCAGATACGGCCTATAGTGCATGCTGCGTTGACGAAGTAGCTTCCGAACATGTGAATGGCGATCTGGTTATCCATTTTGGAGATGCATGTTTGAACGCCGTTCAGAAACTGCCCGTGCTTTACTGCTTTGGTGAACCGTTCTTCGACGTAGAGGACGCAGTTGCACAATTCCAACAAAGATATACCAGCCATGACGAGAAAGTGGTACTTATGGCCAATGCACCCTACACGTGCCACCTGAAGTCGCTTCACGACAAGCTGCGAGCCCTAGGATATCTCAATGTGCTTCGGAGTGATCTTAATGAAAGCTATGCAGGCCCCACAGCGTCTTTTGTGGGGCGTCAAAAAAAGAACAGCGCATTGCACACTGTCTTCACATTAGACAACAGGGTCATTCTGAGCGACGATCAGACGCTCAGTGTGAGTGAAGAAGAGCTTCAAGACCAGTACGATCTGTTTCATATCACAATACCTGCGGACCCGAGGCTTCTTTTTCTGACGACCAAGTTCAGATCTCTGAGCATATACGACCCTTCTGGTAAGTCTGTGTCGCAAGGTCCGTTCCCATCGCTCATGCGCCGCTACAAATTTATGCATGTTGCCAGAACAGCTGGCACGATAGGGATTCTTGTCAACACTCTATCGCTAAGGAATACTAAAGAGACTCTGCGGCGTCTTGCAAAACTCATCAGAGACAACGGGAAAAAACACTACATGTTTGTGGTCGGGAAGCCGAATGTAGCGAAACTTGCTAACTTTGACTCCGTAGATGTATGGTGTATCTTGGGCTGCGGTCAAGGTGGGATAATTGTTGATCAGTACAACGAGTTTTACAAACCCATTGTCACTCCGTATGAGCTCTCGATGGCTTTGAACCCCGAAGTTACATGGACAGGTCAATGGGTTGTTGATTTCAAGCAAGTATTGGAGGGTCTAGAGGACGACCCTGACATCAATACTGCACCAGAAAACGGCGACACCGATGCTCCGGAATTTAACGCTGTAACGGGACAATACGTCAGCACTTCAAGGCCACTGAGGAACATTGCACACTTGGAAATCAGCGATCCGCGTGACAGCGACAACAAGCAGCATGCTACTCAACTAGTAGAGAAGTTTTCCGGTGCTGTGACAATTGGCAACACCTTGTCAACTTCTGCCATGCATCTTCAAAATCGACAATGGTCGGGTCTGGGAAGCGATTTCACACCAGAAAATTTCGAAGAAGACGGTGCAACTGTTGAAGAAGGTGGCAGCGGGATAGCAAGTCAATATTCTTTTGACAAACAAAATAAAGCATCGCGTTAAGTTGACCGGCAGACGGTATTCCAAAAATTGAAGAATTCATAAAAGATAGGTAATGATTGGTCGCCAAATTTTACAGGACTACTTTAGACACTGGAGAAATGGTGTGGATGATTCTTTATCCAGAAGCTTTGACCTCAGGAACTGGCTACTGCGTGGATGTCGCACTGATCTTGTAAAAATCGCATTGGACGACACCGTCACTTCAAGACGATATTAATTTAGCGAAAGCTCATCGATACCTTCAAATTTAACAACTTCACATCAAGACAGTCATTTCGGAGCCAACCAAGCTTTCAAGATGGGTTCTGGTGTCTCCAAGGTCATGGATGACCTCTTAGAAGACACGAATTGTAGGTAGAGTGTATAACAAAGACCGGTTTCTCTGGCACAAGGTATCAAAAAAGTTACTAACCGAGCTCATTGCAGTTGACAGAGACGAAATCGAAAGATTACGGAAACGGTTCTTGAAGTTGGATAGAGATAGTTCTGGCTCCATAGATAGAATGGAATTCATGTCGATACCTGGTGTTTCTTCTAATCCGTTAGCAGGAAGGATTATGGAGGTGTTTGACGCAGATAACAGTGGAGATGTGGACTTTCAAGAGTTTATAACAGGTTTATCCATCTTCAGCGGACGTGGAAGCAAAGATGAAAAACTAAAATTCGCCTTCAAGATATACGACATTGACAAGGACGGCTTCATCTCGAACGGTGAACTATTCATAGTGCTGAAAATCATGGTGGGAAATAACTTGGAAGACGAACAATTGCAGCAAATTGTCGATAGAACGATCCTGGAAAGCGACAAAGATGCTGATGGGAAACTCAGCTTCGAAGAGTTCAAGAGTGCCGTGGAAACCACAGAAGTGGCTAATTCTTTGACATTGAGATGCGATATATGAGATGGTAGGCAAGAGGCTAAGGGCGTTGTTGATTTTCTCGCAGCCGAGGCAATAAAACGTATACCACAAACACGGTGCTTTCCTTAAGAGTCAAAATTCAGCAAGCTACGGCCTTTCATTGAAATTGTGTCTAAGCCGCATTTTCAACAAACTCTTCCTCTTCTCATGGTCCCCGATAATTTTTAGACTTAAAGACTGAGAAAAGGTCGCGCCGTAAATACCTAACATGTCAGCATGAAAGGTTTCGGTTCCTGGATATCGAGGTGCCTGGGTCGCAGAAACATTTGTAGACTAGCCAAATCCGAAGCCTCATAGGCACCAGGGTTAAGAAATGATTATTGAAAATGACCTTGCATAGGATACGAATGAATGGGGTCGCAGCAGCATACTACAAATAAACGTCCAAAGGTTGGGCTTCGAGAGTTCTCGCCGAGTGCCACGAAACGCGTGGCTCACGATTGAGCTATGCCGGGAAAATAGACAAATAGTTCATATGACTGAAATGTGACGCTTTCCAACGTAAATATGGTATCATCGAGCGGACAAGCGACCACTTAGTGATCTCGGTGAGGCGTGTGATTTGCGTTGCCAAAATGCGTTTTTATTCGGTAGAATCCCAAAGAACTTAATAGCACTATCAGCGAAATAGTGCAACTGTATTGTAATAAACTTGAACGCTTTCATGACCAGCATATTTAGATTCAGCGGTCACCGAAAATCATAAATTCCGGTGATTCATTCGGCAACAACTGGGCTTCTCTCAGTCGGATAAGAACTTGGTCTTGAACAAGTCATGTGGAATATGGAGACAGTAGACCGACCTCGTATTACTGGCGGACAGCCTGCTGGTAATATAAAACATTTGTAACGTCCTCTTCTGGTGCTCTCGAATAATTATTAGATTCTAGCGCCAGACGCACCGCATCTTCGATAGTACTTCGTCGAGGTGCTTAGAACCTTCTCATGTAGAGATCAACTGAGATTGAAGGCTACACAGAAAGGCTCACATACGGGCCCTTCGCTATCTGTCTAATAGATCTTTAATCTACAACAAGAAACCTAAGAAGACTTCTTTCTTCTCACCTGAAAAGAGCCTATGACAGCCTATGACAGCTCTATCGCATCCTTAAAACGTCTTGAACGCAGAGAACTATTATATATATAGTGTCTCCTGAGGTGATATACTCTTAAGTCTTTATGTTGAAACGTAGTCAGTTGGTATTGATTTGCTAGACTCTAATCTTCCTTTCCTACCTCTGAGATTAACAAAAACTATCACCTTTGAAATCAATCGTGCGGAAAGTTAATACCACCGACATGCTGAAAGAAGGTGGTATTGGGATAGAATGAGATGAGCCACAGCGTAGTGAACCATTCAGATTTCTAACAATATGGAGACGTCATAAGGTCCGTTTCGATAAGCAGTAGACCAACGAGTGGAATCTGAATTTAGTAGTCTACCAGAACGTTTGGTATGTGAAGAACTCTTAAATACTGATTCCTTTAGAAGGCTTCGAGCGTCGGTTTCGAAAAAGCTGGAATTCTTCTGACGTAGTGTTCCTTTTTAATGAAAAAAGACGATCCTTAGCATCCAACCAGCAACGCAAAACCTACTTTTGCTGTGTTTGGATCATATCTCCTCACTGGAAACCACGACTCGCTAGTTCCTTTTCCATAGTGTTCCAGAAATATCTCAATACTTCCACATCGCGAAACCGCTTGTTCTTGTCGAGCTCCACTCTTTGAACATTCCATTGCTCCACATGTTTAGGAACCACGTCGCCTGCAAAATAAAAATAGTAACCCTTGCAGCGCTGAAACAGTTCGGACGGGTCGGACCATTGATAATTGTTGAATTGCCAAGCATGGCCCGTAGTGAAGACCGCAACCACTCGGTCCCAGTATTCTGGCTTCGTGAATAGCCGCGTATTGCTAGCGATCAAGAACTTCACGGGTTTGGCAAACCGATCCAGCTTCTTTGTCACAGTAGTAACATCTGATTGTGGTCCTGGTAGGTCACGTGGATGTACGTATTTCGAGTTCTCCAGAAACTGCTGAATGTTGGCCATCGTGAAGATAGACGAGGCCGCTGATGGTATTAAAATTATTGGTTCCTTTCTCGGCACATTTCTTCCGCCACTTGCAGAACTGTCAGCCTTGGAGATACCACCAGAGCTGCGGTCACCTGCTTTACGTTTACTGGCGCTTTTCAGTGAATGCACTAGCTTGAGTTCTGCCTCTTTTATCAAATAGCCGAAATTTGTGGGTTTCGAACCCCTCAGCGACGAGTTGTGGTCCAACAATACTTTTTCGTGTTCCAGAGCCTCTTCCAAAATAGGATCACTTTTTGTAGCTGTAATGGCCGATGCAGTCTTCGCCGCGGCCACCGGTGTTTCTTGCGGATTAATGAAATCGGAAGTCGCTGCATCGCCCGATAGCCATGCTATCAAGTCCATTCTTTGTAGAAATGAAATGTTCAGCAGGTTTTTCGATTGGCAATCGGCCAAATAATCAGCAGCGGTCGATTCTCGATGCTGCCAACAATGCAGGACTACTTTGAGGGGCACACCATTCCCATCAACTTGGAATTCTGTCTTTTCATTCAGGTTTAATATCACATTGTGGTCCCGATCTTTAGAACCTAATAGAACTTCGTCTGCCTGCGATATATCTTCCGTCTCACCGTTTTCGGAGCTTAAAAATGTGATTGGCTCCTTTTTCACCAAATGAGCTCGCAATTGCTCCAAGCTAGACATCCTGAAGCACCTTTTACCTCTACTTGCGACTGTTTTTATTCCTATTCCTCTTAGCTTTGAATAGATGGTAAACTTTAACATAGGTAATTTATTGAATCGACGAATGAATATGTTCGATGAGATGATCCAAGTTTGAAGAAACCGGTGGTAATGAGCTCAAATCTGGACGAATACGAGGACTTGGACGACCTTCTTGAAGATGCTTCAAAATTGGATGAAGAGGCGACTTCTGCGAACGTGCAACGAGCCGAAACGGCCAAGAAAACAAGTAGTAAAGAAGATACCGAGATGAATGAGGTTATTGACGATTTGCAAGGTGAATTCAGCAAATTGATGCGTGAAAATGGATCAGTGGACTCTGCGGACAACGCCAAGACTACAGAAAATTTCAAGGAGCTACTCACAGCGCTTCGAGATGCTGGATCCAGCTCTGAAACGAAACCCGATATCACTACTGAAGGTGAGGCTCCGGGATTCAAAGACATCGTATCCAATACCCTGGACCGACTCAAAGAAGGAGGTACCAAAGTAGACACGAATTTGATGGAAGAGAAAAAAAAGGGCAATTCTGACGATATTTTGTCGCAGTTGTTGAATCAACTGGTGGATGGTGGTGAGGGGGTTGACGGAGACGATGAAGAAGGCGTAGAAAATGCGATCCAAAGTATGTTAAATCAGATGTCTTCGAAAGAGGTGCTATACCAGCCGATGAAAGATATGCAGGCAGAATTTGGGAGCTGGATGGCCGTGAACGAGACGCTTGAAGAGCACGCCCAAAAAATCGGTACGTACCGGGACCAATTTGCACTGGTGAACCAGATTGTGGCTATTTATGAAACAGAGGGCTACGCAGACTCGACGGCGCGTGCTGAGATTGGCGAGCTGTTGGACCGTTTGGAGCAATTGGGCGATTCGCCTGTGAGTAAAGGTTTCAATAGCTCGGACACCGCACCTGATCTGAGTAAACTTTTGGAAGTCGCCGATGGCGAGGAGTTGCCCGAAAACTTGGATAAGGAATTAGAAGATACATGCAAACAGCAGTAGAGATGATATGACGTAACAAATCTCAGTGGAGCGGAAGGGTCTGTGAACATCGTCATTTCATACGGACAGCGTGCAAATGTATTTACAAACGTCTCAATCAGCACGTACTTTGCCTGCTGCTTATTCATGAAGTTTGACGTATGAGAGTGCCCAAATCAGCTGAATTTGGGCGAGGCTGGAAGTACTGTACAGCAATGAAGTGTCAACAATTGGTTGTTTACTTGTCCGTGTAGCCGGCGAGACGTACTGGATTAGACTATACACGTATTGATGTTCCAATATCACAACAGAGTCCGCAGAATGTTCTCTGCTACGCTTGTAAGTGACTACTTCACCGTCATTACATCACGTGATATCTTCATTTGGTAATTTAACTGACGTCCGGACATAAGAAGTCATAATTTAAGACAATGATTCTAGTGTCCCACCTCACACAAATCAAAAGTTGCGTTTCTTGAAGACTAGATAAGAGGCCCACCGTGCTTATTGTGACTTGAAACACAACACAGTCTACATCATATCATACGAATTATCAATTTGCAACATACTCGTGCCGCATACATACAGTCATTCGTTTTCTTAAATCTACGCTGTCTGCTGCACACACATTCGTAACACATCCAATCTTGATCTTCGAGTCTCGACCGAATGGTCAACAAACCGTCACGTGTCTTAAATTCCTCTTATCGCTTCTAACGAACTGTATTTTTAGCACTCGTCCCGCCAAGTACTCGTCACATGCTCACGAATACATAAACAAACAAGCTTTCCAAAAAAAAATTTCGAAAAGTCCATAAAAAGATCTATATCTGGTATTATATATAAAGCTCGAACGATCTTGAACGGTCTCGAGGAAAGCAGTCTCAAATTCACTTTGAAACAACAAGAAACATCGACTATCGCCGATCTCACTAAGAAACTATTCTGCAACACAGAATTCAATTTCATCGCATTAGTGAATCATTCCAATCGTTTATTCCCGGATTTTTTTGAAGTTTCTACGATCTGAATAGCTTTCTCGAGCATTTCAGTACTCTAACAATTTAAAGACTGAAAAAAATAAGAAAATTATGCGTTTTTCAACTGCCGTTTCAGCCGTTGCGTCTGTCGTGAGTTTGTCCAGTGGAGTATTGGCCGCTGCTCCTCCAGCTTGTCTGCTGGCTTGTGTAGCACAGGTTTCGAAACAATCGAGCTGTGACGGGCTAAACAACGTGAGCTGTTTGTGTGAAAATGATAACGGGAGTCTAAAGAGCTGTTTGAGCTCTGTTTGTCCCGACGGTGACGCGGATTCTGCTTATTCGGCATTCAAGGGTTCTTGTTCCGAGCAAAACGCTTCTGTTGGCTCTTCTTCCAGTTCTGCCTCCAGTTCTGCCTCCAGTTCTGCCTCCAGTTCTGCGTCCAGTTCTGCGTCCAGTTCTGCTTCCAGTTCTGCTGCTTCATCCTCGAGCTCTGCTTCTAGCTCTGCTTCTAGTTCTGTTTCAAGCTCTGTTTCAAGCTCTGCCTCCAGCTCTGCTGCCCCATCTTCCAGCTCTGCTGCCCCATCTTCCAGCTCTGCCTCAAGCTCTGCCTCCAGCTCTGCTGCTCCATCTTCCAGCTCTGCCTCAAGCTCTGCCTCCAGCTCTGCTGCTCCATCTTCCAGCTCTGCTGCCCCATCTTCCAGCTCTGCTGCCCCATCTTCCAGCTCTGCTGCCCCATCTTCCAGCTCTGCTGCCCCATCTTCCATCTCGATCTCCTCTCAAAGCTCTTCCTCCTCTTCCTCCTCTTCCTACTCCATCTCAATTCAAAGCGCTGGTGCTAACATGCTTGAAGTTGGATCTGGTCTAGCTGGTGGTTTGGTTATTGCCGGTATGCTATTGTAAAGAAATCCAAACAAAACAAGCAAAGAAACACGTTTATGATACCCCTCCCAAAACCTTCACTTCAAAAGCATAGAACCCAAACATGGTCTTAATTTACCTGTTCTCAACAAGGTTTTATAAAAAAAGACTTCTACTGGACAAGCGCAACTTGCAAATCAAATGCGCAACTACAAGTCCTTAACTGATTCACATTAAATACAATTTAAAAAATACAAGCAACTTTTCTGTTATCTAGCACTGCAACATCACACATCTCAATTGACCCAAAAAAAAGCCCGCTTTTCAACTACTCCCATTATTTCGGTAATCCTGTCTTTACCGACACTTTCTCTTCGACATCAAATAGCCACTTCGGTCCGGTCCGAATAAAATGGAGGCACATCCGATACCACATACGAAGGGAGCTCCTCATGATCCTCTATCGAGAAGTACCCAATGTCACATATCGTTGTCAAGACTTCTGTCTCGAAAACTGATCCGTTGATGTCCAGCTTCAACCCAAGGCAAAACTTAAAGGCCCGCTTTATGTTGCATGATGCAAAGCTGAACAGTCGGTTTCCACGGTATAACATATTAGTTTCGTTAAATCGATACCGTACAAGCTCTGGAATTTGACTGGTATCCAAAGGCCATTCCATCGACCCATCCTGAGAATTCCTGACCCTACAAATTTTCAGTTCGAAATTAGGGTTTATCTCAACCAATGGAATCGTACCAATCATTGCATTTACCTGGCCCTGTGACAGGTAGTTAACAATTTCTATTAAGTTTAGTTTCAGCTGCAAAAGCTTGATACTAAGCATTTCAGCTGGTTTCCTATTAACCGTCACTGAGATTTGATCAAATTTGTTACATCCGGGTTGAAACAAATAGTCCAATCTGAACACACGATTTAGTGATGGAGATTTGACCTCAACTTTAGCAGCACACTTTGGACCAACTTTGAAATCCTTCTTAGACCAAAGTTTTTGCAATGGACCAGCGTCAGAATGTGTAATTAACGGATGCTCGCCGTTGTCGTAAGGCGACGGCATAAACTCCAGTGCTCGATAAACCTCAACAATTGTATTTCCAGGGGTCAGACGCAACCCGATTTTACCCAAAACAAGAGCAGCTTTCATATAGTAAGTGACAGATCCCGTTTTGTAGTAAGTATTTTCGCAATCCACCATGCCTTCGCCAATTACGTCACTGTTGAAGCTAGGAGGCAACCGTGGGTCTGGCGTGGTTTTATTGAATCCTGAGCTTTCTCTGCCATGATCACCTATACATTTGAGCTGGTTGGGCATCAGAAATTCAAATGCGTAGCTGTAATGACCTTTCGATAACTGAAACCCTTTTTTGGATCCACTCGACGCTTCTCTTATATTTTCTGGTGGAAATAACGTCTGGGTTTGGTGGACCAAAGTATGACTGGAACGAGTTCCAAATGCTCCATTTGTCAAATAGTCGGTATTCGTTATTTGTACGTACGTTTGGGATGTACCCCGGAGCGCGATCGATAATGAGATGATTGAGGCTGGTTTCGGCAGTTCTAAGTCCACGATACCGGAAATGGGCTCGTTAGAAACATAGAATTCGCCATTGAGAGGTCTATTGAGGGCCACATTCAGCTTTGGACCCATACTCTTGGTAAACCTTGTTGCTGTATTCGCTTTTTAAAGAGAACGGATCCAGAAGAAAGAGGGTTCAATTTAAGAGTGTATAAGTGTGTCAGATTACTTGGTGATGAGATGAGGTCTTAAATAGTGTCAAAAACGTAAAGCTAAAAGAGACACTGAAGCATAGATGTGAGAAGCAAATGAATGCATAGTTCTTGCTTGGCGTTAGCGGGGGATTGGAAAGCGATTTTTCTGAAAACAGGAAGTGGCATTTTGGAATAGTTAGGAGCAGTGGCATTTTGGAATAGTTAGGAGCAGTGACAGTAAAAAGTGAGATAATATCAAAATGGTAGTTGAAGAGATCGGTAAAGGCCGCCGGAAAGATGGTACTTAAGGGCTGCTACTCAAATTCTTATTAAGAAGCGTATAATTTAACAATTGACTATTATTTACGGAGGTCGCTTGCGGTCGACTGAAGCTGGTTACTATGAATTTTGGGAAGTATTGATTATGAAAATATCGCATTTGAGTGTAAGGGTGAAAGAGGTGTATTTAGAGGTTTCCAATTTATCTTAAAAAGCTCATTATGCTCCGCGAATGGAGGTTTTGGTTATCCTAGTGCGGCCCACACTTTCAAGTCGAGCTATCATTTTGAGCCCTACGTGTCGCTAAACTTTTACAGTCACGTCATCTCTGTTTTAGCAATCTACTATCTCGGAGGTATCGTCGATTTGGCAGATGCTAATGATCTTGGAGCGCGATGACACTATACTGTGGCTTGGTTGAACATAACCTACAAAGCTGTTGCCCTTTGCACTTATCGGAACTTCCGTCTCTCTAGTGTCAAATGCGTCACGTGCACAGACGACAGCGTCAGAATTGATGAACTGATCACTTCAAATACCACATCCACGACTTCTTGGCGCCACAATCAGATTCACAGGCACACCATCTCAACTAATGTGGAGGCGTTCCCTGAGATTTATGAAATGACATACTTAAGTCAATCTACAAGACCAATTTCAGTACGTTCAGGAGAGCACGGAGTGATCTATATATATATCATATAAGAATGACAAATCACCACAAATGGAGCAATCATCGTACCAAAAACACTCCAGAGACACAACTTTCACTACGACCATAAGCCAGTGCTCATCATTTTGAGGTGAGCTACTAAGCTTGTCTATTAGTCACGTGACTGGTGCTCAAAATGCAAAACGTTGCCACAATATATTCATGTCATTCTTTATTAAGTTTTAAAACTTACTGCACTCTCATGTTTTAGCCCCTGACTCTTTGGGGCCACCACTCTACCATTTTTATGGACTAAATCCGCAAGCGTGTCACGATCGTGTAATGTGATATATGAGAACCTACAGATCTGTAGTAATTCATTCCTTCAATCGCAAGGTAGAGTATCTCAACTAATGTGTGGAAGGTCTCCAAACAAATAAGAAGCTTTGAACCGCGATCTCAGATCTATGAACTTCAAAAAACCAAATGTAGCAACTTCCGTGCACCACCGCCTTCAATATTTGTAGTCACGTGCCTTGAGTAGATGGCACACTTTTCCCAAGGCGTGTATAAAGCTACTCGTGGATCACCTTGAACAAACCAGATCCACTCATCCATTGACTCCTTGGCACACCAGTTATACCATGGTGGCTACTATATACAAACGGCTTTTTTCGGGTTCCGCTAATGTGCAAATTTTGGGCCGCTTTCAAAAACATTTGGTCAACACAGCGCCCAAAGAACATGTGGTGAAAGAGCTGGTGCGTCCAGTGGGACTTTCTGAAGCACCCAAGCCCAATGTAAAATACAAGGAAGGAAACGGGGTTCGTGATCTTTTCGACGAGGCCAAGACTACTCAGAGGACGATGGAATTGGAAATGCAGTTCAGCAAGGGCGGACTCTACGACGTTCATACGTTTCGTAAAACGGGCGGTAAACTATTCTTATCACCGCCGTCTTTTTGGAGACGAGACAAAGCGTTATATTTCCCACACATACATGCACGCAGTCTCTCTAATTCGCAAGATCAAGATGTCGAGTCTTTTCTCAAAGGGAAATTGTCTGTGGTACGAATGTTCACCAGCGCTGCCGGGGACGAACTGGGGAAGTCATATTTTCGTGGAGAAGATGGCCTAGACTATCTCCAATCAGAATTGTTGCTTAACCCAGACAATCAAGGCGTGTCAACGCAAATCGTGGAAATCAACCTAACAGAAAACAAACTCAAGGCTCTTTTTGCAAGACTCGCATTGGGGAAAGTACGTTCCAGCGTACCCAAAGAGCGCCACTCACGGTATTTCCTCGCCGACAGAAACCAGCTATCGTTTGGCATTCGTGAAGAGCTCCAGATCAACAATCTATACACTAGCTACATCTTGCTGGTGGACCCTCAGCTAAAAATCCGTTGGATGGCAAGCGGAGGGGCAGACAAAAAGGACTTCAACCTTCTGTGGAGATGCGTTAGAGCCCTTAAAAAGGAGCTGAACTCGTCAAACTCATCATCGTGATGGCTAAACCAACCTGTACATATTATTTTAGCCGTGGTGTACGGGTGTTTGGACCTACTGATGGGCCAATATCTTAAATTAGCCCTGTAAAGTGTAGGTCTATCTGATCAAACGATGACCACACCATCGAACTGAGATCAAGACCTGTTTATGAGGCCAACAACAGTCCTGAGGTATCTGAAGCCTAGCCCTTCACCACATGCATTGATTTACAGACTTTGGGCGAAGCCCGTGGGAAGATCTTTGTCCTTACTCTTGGCCAGTTACTATGGTCTTTTTTGGACGTGGGAATGGCTTGAAAAAGGCGAGAAAGAGTATGAAGTACACCAGAAAGAGTTGTCTTCGAGCAAATAGTGTGAGGTCGTCGAAAACAATACAGATCAACCAATTTCAAGGTCTACCGGGAGGAAGTGTCGTCTACTATAGAAACTACAAAAGAAAAAGAATATGATCTTATGTCCTCCAAGGGACCATTTATAAATCAATTGTTCGAATCATGCGTGTGATGGAAGAATACGTGTTTTTTCCTACGTAGGGCTCGAATTCCTTTAGGCAAACTCCTTCTCAAGTCTCTTTTCCACGGCACTCAAAAATTCCTCTGTTGTAACATAGGCTGAGCGGTCAGAGTTGCCACACGCCAGAGCCAAGTCCTTTGTCATGATCCCATCCTCCTGGACAGTCTTCAACGTAGCGTCTTCCAGTTTGTGGGCAAAATCGGTCACTTCTGGAGTGCTGTCGAGCTCTCCACGCTTGGCCAGACCTCTGGACCAGGCAAAAATCGATGCAATCGAGTTTGTCGAAGTTTCTTTACCTTGTTGATGTTGTCTGAAATGTCTGGTAACTGTACCGTGAGCAGCTTCACTCTCGAAAGTCTTGCCGTCAGGGGTGATGAGAACCGATGTCATCAGACCCAAAGAGCCGAAACCTTGAGCCACGATATCTGATTGCACATCTCCGTCATAGTTCTTTAGCGCCATGATAAACCCACCTTTGGATTTGATCATTTGAGCTACCATGTCGTCAATCAAACGGTGCTCGTACCAAATGCCGGTCTTCTCGAACTCAGCTTTGTAGGTGGAATCGTAAATCTCCTGGAAAATATCTCTGAAGCGGCCATCGTACTGCTTCAAAATCGTGTTTTTGGTTGATAGGAACAGGTTGAGTTGCTTGGAAAGTGCCAGCTTGAAAGAGGCGTGAGCAAACCCACGGATGGATTCGTCCGTGTTGTACATGGCCAAGGCCACACCTGGAGCCTTGTAGTCGTACACTTGCATGACCTCGGGCTCGGAGCCGTCTGCTGGCTTGTGTACGAGTTCCAAAACGCCCGGTTTGCGGATTACAACGTCGGTAGCCTTGTATTGATCGCCATGCGCGTGACGGCCGATTATAATGGGTTTTTCCCATCCTGGCACCAGACGTGGGATACGTGGAATCACAATAGGCTCGCGAAAGACTGTGCCACCCAAAATGTTACGAATTGTACCGTTGGGCGATCTCCACATTTTTTTCAGTTTGAATTCTTCCACACGTTGCTCATCGGGTGTGATCGTTGCACACTTGACACCAACGCCGTATTTCAAGATTGCGTGTGCTGCATCGTGTGTCACTTGATCGTCCGTCTTGTCTCTATTAGTGATGGAAAGGTCGTAATATTTCAAATCGACGTCCACATACGGCAAGACCAACTTCGTCTTGATACGATCCCAAATTATACGAGTCATCTCATCACCGTCAAGCTCCACCAATGGAGTCTTGACCTTGATCTTCTGTACCGATGATGCCAGGGTCCGTCTGAAAAACATTAGTGTCTAGGGGTTGCGATGGCTGATAGGATGATTATAAGCAGTGAAATGAACTCGTTGGAACTGGACTGCAACAAAGCTTGTAAAAAGGATTATATAAGAATATTTAAAGAAGCGCCTCGGTATTTATACACACGCTTGTTCCTAAGATCTGGCTCGTGTTGGTGCTTTTCTTTCTGAAATAGTCATTTTCTCATCATCATCGTGAATAGTGTGGGGGTTTTTCTCTGACCAATTGTTGTCCGGTAAAATAAGGCATTGTCACTATGGATAGAAAGAAGAACGATAAGGATCGGGAGGAATAGCGGCGGTGGCAAGTGTGATTCATTACATTAAGTCAGCGAATTAGGGAATTTCAGGAAGTAGTTTTGGAGTCAGAATTCGTAAAATTGGTGATGAATTGGTAGTAAGGTTGAAAAATGCGGGTTAAAAGACAGATGGGGAAAAAGTGATATGGCAGATGGGATATGGAGGCGTGTAGGGAGGGATAGACAGTTGGGTGATCAACACGTAGATGTGTGCGATTAATCAGACTTCCGCTATTTTCGAACCTGAAAGTTTGGCAGGTATGAAGTCACGTGCTTTCCTTTGACAACGAACTGGAATGATTGTTGTCCTAGCGGGACTTAGGGAGCTAGGTATCAGAACGTTTGTTTCGAAGCGTAAACTGCCTTTAAGTGACGTTTGAAGCAAAGTTTCAAGGAAAAAACGTCGCTATTCGTCAAGTCACGTGACGAGGTGTTGTATGGTAACAAGCTAGCTTGGGTTCTTGGTTCGGTGCTGGTACCACTAAGCGAGCTTCGCTTCCATTGGCCTCTCGACAGTAATATCGCACATTTTTAAGATTAAGTCGATGTGTGGACGAAATTCCAGTCATTTTTTCGGCACACTTCTTTGAAGTGTAGTTTGAAAAGTTGATATGCACAATCAAGTACAGCGGGCTTTGCCAACGATGTCTTCCCCCAGTATTTGGTGCCAACATCATCAACGATTAATATACCACCATGTTTGTAAGGTAATGAATGCTATTGCAAAAGGTCCCCAAAAATAGTGTGTATTTCTTCACGCCCAAAACCGCTTTCATGACCACTTAGAGGCGCTCCATCATTTTAGCACCTTTCAAACCTTCTGTGAGATTTTAGTCCCACGTATTTGGTGCAAGAAAGAACACCAATCATATATGATTCTCCACTTCTTGCAGTCGAGGTTTCGGACCAGATTCTAACAAACCAATAATTCTCAGTTCGAAAGACAAGCATCAGCTTCACTGTAAGTCTTGCTTGAATCGATTTGGAGCCAAGAAAACATCTCCGTATGAAACTAAAGGTGTCCTGAAAGTTTGGAGGCTCTATACTCATTGAATACATTGTTTGAGTGGTTTGATCTCTAAAAAGAGCAGCCAAATCACCCTATTCTCAGGTCTGGGTCTCGCGAGTTGCCGGATTCCTATATAGTAAAATGGTTCCGCCATACTTGCACTGAGCCGGCTTCGTGCTCGACTAATAGCTTCTACGTTGTTCAACTGGTCCAAAGTTCACTTTGTCAAAATTTACGTCGTCAAAGTTTATTTGTTCACCTGTAGCCGCCGAAAGTTTACACTCACGTTAAGTTGACAATTATGAATCTACGGTAGGGATATGACCTTCTGGAATCCCGCTTCTTTCAAGATACTGTGACCTATCCTCGATGATCCATGAATTGGGTATCCGGTATTCTTTGTCTAGGTCTTATGGTAGGTTTTACCTACATAGTGTCAAAACAAGCTACTCATTCGTGTATCGGTACATTTGATGAGTAGCGCAATTGGTCACGTGACATAATACTCGGTAGCAATCTGACGTTAATAGTGATTAAATGGAACGTGACAAATATGATAAAACGTACAGATATGAACAAGTGAAGTAGATAAGGTATCTAGCGTGTCTTCTGTAATTCTGGTCTTGTTTGAGCTTTGGTTTCGGGGAGGGACGACGGTCTTCGTCAAGGTCACAAATCGGTGAGTGTGGGTGTGTGGGTGTGTCACTTTTCATCCAGGTCACTTTAGACGTCTAAGTAAACCGTACGGGACAGTTTTTCGACATTTTATGCAAAAAATGGTAACCCATTTGATGTCTATGAAAGTCTGGAATCAAACTTGGGCGATTGGTTCATCCCAGCCTTAAAACGGTACAGAACGTTGCCTTACGGAGGGGGATGAGTTTGCATCACGTGACGCAAAAACCAAAAACCCAAAATTTCCTCCCCCAAGACGTTCTCGTCCTCTTTTGCCAAATGCCTACACTATTTCATATTGAAACCTCTACCGTTTGGCTTTTGCCCCGCCCTTCTCTCAAAAAATTCCTATTTTCTTCATTTTTATTGCGTACGTTTCGTACATGCTATGTGTGTTTGTGTGTTTAACTGTGTAGTAATGTTAAAGTAAATCAATGTGCCAGCCTGACAACAATACTGTCAGCCCGTCGTCTGTTCCTTGTTTCCAGGGACCCTGCCCGTTTAAACTCATCTACAACACACCGGATTTCTTCAATTGCACGTACGAAGAAATGAAGGGCACCAAAAAGCCCAGCGTGAACCATCCGAAATGGATCAAGGCAAATGGGATCTTTCTGTTGTGTACTTTCACCGGGATGTTCGTGTAAACACCTTCTTTGAAATGGACCCCACACTGTCTAGAAGTAACGGAAAAAGCTCTCTTCGAGGCCACTCTTGCGGCAGCTCTGGTCAACTGGGGGAATAGCATGCTCTTAGATTGATAAAATATGCGGTGAGGACTTAAAGAAACACTGTTTTATCGTCACTTACAGTTCGAATCACTACGTCAAAAGTTCAATGGAAAGATATCGATTCTCGTCGTCCAAGTTTTCCAATTACGCTTAATTATTGGAAAAAATGTATATATATTGAGATTTTGGATTTTGATTGGCTTAAGATCACATGACTGATATTTCCCGTCTAAAGTGAAAAAAGTTAACGAACTTGACTAACTTTTGACCATTATCACTAGAATCTTGAATCGTATCTTAACTCTAATCTTCAAGTGTTTGGACTTGAGATAAAGCTATTATCTAGTATACTTGTTCCAGGTTTTCTTCCTTCCACTACTAAAATGGCAGCTCTTGCACCTATCACCGGAACTCTAAGAAAAAAAATCATCGCCGATGTCACCATTGGGTTTGCCATTGGTGGTGTTATGGGCAGCGCTTACTGGTGGGGATTCCACAAAAAGCTGGTTGGCAAAAGAGAGGCACATTACGAGAAACTAGCGGCCGAAAAAGCGGCTGAGAACTGAGCTGGTGGGAATCATGAAAACACACTTTTAAAATTGGGTTTTTCTGGATGGGGGCGCCGAGAAAGGTGTCAAAAAAGGACAGAACAGGGCTAGAAAGCATTCGCTTTTATTTATACGTACTCACTCACACACACATATTTTGTTTTCGTCCTTTTTCCCTTCACGCTGCTGCTTTCTTTCTCTCTCTCCTCACCATCTCGAATATTACGAAAAAAAAATACTCTTCATAGGTCAGTAGCGTTCAAACGATATCATTTTTTTCTGCTTGAGTGTTGTGTCTTTTCCTTTCACAACATAGGTGGGTCTCACTCCGTATTGCCTGGTAAAGCATTCGCCAAATGAGCGGCGCCAACAATCCCGTCGGTCACAACGATGAATCTCTTGTTCACACCCTTTTTCCGCAGCTGACCCGCCAAAAACTGCAGTGTCGCCATCTCACCGATCGTGACGCCTCCAAGCATCACCACCAACACCGGATCTGGACTGTTTTTCGCAGGTTTGCCTATCACTCTGGTTCGTGCGGAAGTAGACTCATCGCACACTTGTTCCCGTAAAACCCCGGACCCGTAGTGTTGTGTGAAAAGGTCTTCTATCCCACGCCAAGACGGTGTGCGCGATATTATGAAGGGCTGTTGTGCCGAAAATGTCTTGCTCACAATGGAACGGTCAAACAGAAGCTGAATTGCTCGGGTCATTATGGGGACAGTCCCACAGTACGCAAAGGAGCTGTCCGTAGGTTCTCCAGGGTCGCCGTCCCTGTCAGATTGTGGTATCAATTCCAAATATGCAGCAAAGGTATCAAAATCCGTCCAGGGCGAATACTTGGCAAAAAGGGATTTACTTAAAAACCACCCTGCTCTAGCCAGTCTTTGCAAAGCGAACATGGCATCCACCCCCCATCTATCAACGATTTCAGTACGCAACAGATTATACTCGCGATCTCGGATTCCGTTTCGAGTCAAAGAAAAAATGCAGCATAATCTGAGCGCTCCAGAATAGGATAACACACCTTCATATAAGAGTTCTAGGATTTTCTCGCAATTTGACCGTTGTCCAAGGTTTCCAGCAATCGAATCCTGCTCGATCTCCAACACGCGATTGAAGAGTGATTCGTCATCGCCTTCATCTTTATTCGCCACCTCCTTTAGTACCGTGGAGGACAACCCAGTATGAAGTTTTAAAAGCTTTTGACGCTCTTGCAAACCACCCAAATTGTCTACAAATTGCTTAATTTCACTCACGCTTTCAGCTTGATGGCGAGCGTCGTAGCCCGCTTGTAACTCACGGGCCAATTCGTTGAGTCGTGGTCCCAAAGCACCGAAGTTCTTGAATTTAAGCTCGTTCCAAACTTCATCTTTGTCGTTATCAAGAGTGATTATTTCAACGTCTGTCAAAGGTGGTTCGTGTATCAAATTTTTATCTTTCATCTCGTAAAGGTCATCCAAAATCCCAGCATAAGTCAATTGGGAGCAAAGAGGTGTCAATGGGTCTATATCTCTTTCCAGAGCGATGAGATTGCACTGCAACCCTGAATGGCGGTTTCCATAAAGCGTATCATCCACAAACAAATCATCTTCAGTTTTACGGTTGTCAATTTCACGACGAATGTGGTCCACTAACTTATGGGCGTTTGGCCCCAATGATGCCGTATGTGTGATGGAGAGGCCCGACTCTTTAAGGACTGCTTGAACGGCGCTCGATAAATTCTGGATCAGGATGCTTCGTGACGCTTTTTGCATCGACTCTGAGAGGGGCAAGTACAAGTTCTCGCCCTCACTATTGTACAGGACCTTCGTATTCAGCAGATTATCGTCCAGCTCATGGATGGGTAATACGAACCACGGATGAAGGCGTACATTTTGTGCCAGTTGGGATCTCAGGAAATGCGGCAGCTTGCTAGGAATATTTGATGGATTTGTTCGCCACGTCACATATGCAACATGTGGTGCATTTGACTGCCAGGCCTGTATAATCTTGCCAAATTCAGTAGGTACTCGTAGGTCCGATCGAGCATCAACCACAAAAATCATTTGATACTGTGTCTCTTTCATTAGTGAGTCCAAAACCTGATAGCAGTTCTTATCCGCAGTCACTATTTTAGCAACTGCTGTAGATTCTCTAAGCGTACTGTAAGTACAAAGCTTGTTCACAAATGACACCAAAGGGGCCTCTAAGACCAGTATTTGTGGCAGCTCGCCATCAGAGATTTCATTTAAAGTTTGAATCAAGCCATCTCGAACGATACGAACAAATTTTCGCGTGTTTATGGAGTGACTCATCGCACTTTTTTGTTACCATTTTGTTTTAAGGTCAAAGTTCAATATCCTAGGACCCTCTATATTTCCAGCCTATGCTAACCGTCAATAGTGACATCAACACTTTTTTGACCTGGCACCAACACAGGCACTGACCCTGACACTGGGAAAAGTTTAAGCTGAAATGCCACTACGATTCTGGAAATTACGGTAATATTCTAGCATTTCGTCGTCAATCCCTCGTGCAATTCCGCTCAGGGCCTTTTCAAAGTGTCGTCTCTCTACTCGCTCGGCTTCCAGATTTTCCATAATTGCTGCAAGCCCAGCTTCCTGACATAAAAGAACAACCTCTGCACCTGAGCACCCATCAGTTTTCCCTGCCAATTCGGTAAGAAGCTCTTCAGCGTTTTCAAGCTGGAAATTTTTCGTGTTTTTCTTCAAAATCTGGATTCTGGCATCATAATCCGGCGGACCCACGTAAATATGACGGTCCAGTCTTCCGGGTCTCAAGAGAGCTTGGTCAATCTCGTCAGGTCTATTTGTTGCAGCCACAATTACCACACCATTCAGTTCCTCGACACCATCGATCTCGTTCAATAACGACGTAAGCACATGGTTAGCAGCAGAGGTAGAGCCACCAGAGTCCCGGTCTGGTGATAAAGCATCAATCTCATCGAAAAATATAATGCTGGGAGAGGCTGCTCTGGCCTTTCGAAATACTTCTCTAATCGCTCTCTCGGACTCACCGACGTATTTGTTAAAGATCTCAGGTCCTTTTACCGCCAAAAAATTGACCCCGGATTCCGTAGCTAAGGCCTTGGCAGTCAAAGTCTTGGAACAGCCCGGTGGTCCATATAGTAGCACACCTTTTGGAGCCGACACGCCGAGTCGCTCAAATGACCCCGAAGCCTCTAGCGGTAATTGAATCATCTCCCTCAATTTCACTTTGAGGTCTTCTTGACCACCGATATCTGACCAAAAAACTTTGGGCATCTCCAAAAAAATTTCTCTCATGGCGCTGGGACGAATTTCAGCCATGGCATCTTCAACATCTTTGAGTGTTATTTTTAAGCTTTCTCTAGCCAAACCTTGAATCATGCCCCTCTGCACAGTTTTCATCACGGACTCACGACACAGCGCTACCAGGTCTGCACCAACATAACCGTGTGTGCGGGATGCAATATATTCAACATCGTCAGCTGTTAGTTCATGACGCTTCACCGAAACTTTCTCAAACTGCTTAGCTAGAATGTCGTGTCTGGCATCAACATCTGGAATTGCAATCTCTACCTCCTGATCCAGTCTCCCGGGTCTCCTCAGAGCCGAGTCCACCGCATTAGGCCTATTTGTAGCGGCTACAACCACAACACGGCCAGAACTGCCCATACCATCCATCAAAGTAAGTAATGTAGCAACAACTCTGCTTTCCACCTCACCCGAATCATCGCTGGACCTGCTCGGGGCCAACGAATCGATTTCGTCAATGAAAATGATCGATGGCTGGTACAGTTTCGCTTCATTGAAAATATCCCGTAAAGCAGCTTCAGTTTCCCCTAAATATTTGGAGACGATCGATGGCCCATTTATCGTGAGTATATGTGCATTAGCCTCACTAGCAACGCATCTCAACAACATAGTTTTACCGGTTCCTGGTGGACCGTGAAGTAGAATCCCCCGTGGCGGAGTTACCCCAAATTCAGCAAAAAGTGTTGGCTCGTTAAGCGGAAGTTCAATGGTTCTTTTGAGCAGGTCTACTTCTCTCTTTAATCCTCCAACGCTCCCATAGCTAATAGGCTGAGGAAGACCATATTTTATCGAAGGAGCGATATCTGCGCCAAGAATGATCTTGGTATGGCCCTTACGGAAAATCGCAGGCGGTGATAAGTAGAAAACTTGGTTTTGCTCGATGTTTGAGCCGCTTATGTCCAATTTTGCAATGTTGGGTAGCTCCTCGGCAACCTCATCGTTGACAGCAGTGACAACGAGGTCGAGATTTAGGTTTTCACTCACTTCTCGTCCCAGAATCACCATTCCCGGCATTATAAGTCCGCATTCATCCAACAGCTTCGAGATGTGCTTTTCAGCAGATTCCGGAAGTTGCATGTTCTGTCTTGATCCTAAGGTGACACTAGAGGCATATTCCGGTTGAAATGTGGCCTTCCTCACTTCCAAACGATCTCCCAGTAAGACGTTTCCTACCGATCTGAGCGGCCCTGACAGCTGTATCACGTTGCAAGGCTGAGAATCATCTCCTGGCTGAGCTACACCCACCACACCATTTTCACTCAGCTTTCCAACTATGCAGAGACCTCCTGCTTCAATCTCAAGAGCCTTCAACACCTCCTTGCACATGTACACATTGCAAATAGAACGTTCATCGTTTTTAAACGTAGGTCTCGCTATAAAAGTCGTCGGAAGCTTGAATTTTGGCATTTTCGATTCCTCTGGAGTACCAGAGCTAGCCTTCTTCTTACCGCTCGAGCTGGATGTCTTGGGAGCCATTATTTGAGCTATTTTTATGAGTTCTTGACGCCGCTTGTCGAGCAATGAGATGAGATGAGATGAGATGAGCTTCATTTAAATATTTAATTCTTGAACTAACAGTACAAAACCCATAAAATAAGGCCATTCGGGACCATTTTTAAGCCATATTTTCAGCCATATTTATTATGTGGGCAGTCAAACGGGAAGTACCGACTTTCAGGCAGTTTTCGAACTTCAAACCGGCTAAAATACGGCTCTCACAGAGATCTTATAAGCAGGTGAGCTTCCAAACCAAAGACGACGAGAAACTGCGATTAGTTAGAGAGTTTTTACACTTTGATGACTATGGTGTTGAATGTGGCGAATCGAGACAGTTTCGAAAATGTTTATACCCCATCAAAAACGACGTAGTGACTTTTCCGGACGGGAAAGAATATCAGGTTAGAAATTTACAACGATTAGGCGTTTCACTCCTGCGATTGAGTATAATGAGCAGCTTCATGAACGTTTTCAAGAAATCTAGACATGATATTTGTGGGTTAGACTTCAATTACGAAGAGAAAATGGCACATATGAGCAGTTCACGACGTTCACCGGAAATTCTTCTTCGACGGTTCATAAGACACAGATTCGATAGGCTAGCGCGCATCACGATGCCAGAAAACGCAGTACCTCTAAGAATTCATAGAGTATTCGATCAAAGGTGTTTTTTTGCCATCGTTGGGTATGTCAGCGTCATCAACGATCACGACAAAACGACATCTTTGCTGCGAGAGCAGGTAGCAAAGCCCATACTAAAGAAATCTTTCGGCATTTAAAAAGTCGTTTCTTGTCGATGGTTGGGCTTTACTGAACGCAGTACATAATCTATAACAACGAAGGGCTCATCATAAATACAAACTTGCAGCAAACACTATATCTCTTTTTATGGACTCCTGCGCCTGAGACATTTTCATATGCAATGTTGAATTTCCAATGATGATCGACGCCGTTTTCACTTCTCTGCAAATTTCATCGAGACGAGTAATGACCCTTACGATAGTACCTTCCGATTCGACGCTCATCTCCATTATTTCTTTGAACGAAAGACCTCTTGCCCATTCGTACACCACATTCATGAGCGCAAAGCGTTTTTTCTCCAAAAACTCTGCCTCATCCTTAGTTAGCGGGATCTGGTGCTTTTCAAACACGTCAAGCATGGTTTGATAAATCTCCTGGATTCTACTTTTACCCTTAGCCAGACGAGGAGTAACAACTGGAGGCTCTTCTTCTCTAGTTCTGCCCTCATAAACGAAAACAGACAACAGGGCAACGATCTCTTCAGGTTCAAAATCTCCCAAAAAATTGTCGAGGATCAATTCTGTTAGAACGAGTTCATAACCTGTGTTGATTTCACAAGCCACTCTTCCCTTGAGCAAAACGTTGTGACTCATGTCTATAAAGCCAACATCTTTCAAAACTGAAAGACGTTGCTCGTAGTCAGGGAGCAGATTGAGATTTTGTTCGGACATCAGGTGGTAGAGGTCCTTTATTTGCCTTTGAATTTCAAATTCCCTAAACTTCGGTAGGAATTGTACGGCAAAATTTGGGGCTCTCAAGCATTCAAGAGATGCAATTTCTGCCCTTATCCTTTCCCTATCTAGAACAGCTTGATGGGCTTTCAAACTACCCTTCTTTTCGTATTTTGTCTCTTTCAGCTTTCTAGAGATTCTCAAAATTAGCGACACTTCCCCGTGAAACTTTTCAAGTACCTCGGGGTCCTGTTTCATGACATCGCTCATTGACACATCCAGCGTAAAGGCGCTGACAATTTCTATATTTTCTATAGCAATCGTCTCCATGTAGAAATCGGTTTGTTCAAATTTCCTAAAGTTGTTTTTAATAAAGTCCGGGATGCCTGAGAAGTACGGCAGGTGGTTGGGCTCGCCTGTCTCCAATGTATTGGGTTTCGTCACCGTCATTACAACAGCCTGCCCATCTTTAGGAAGGTTTTTGAACACGAATGCCAGTTTCGCGTTATCATTTTCGTCCCTGAAAAGTATCAAACGGCCCACATTCAAAACTCTGAAAATGCTGTTTCCATTCGCGAGCTCTTTCATCATATCCTTTGTGCACTCTCTGTATTTAATTATTGCATCCAGCGCCTTGTTCAACTCCTCTTCTTCGACGCCATCAAAGTACTGAATAGAATCCAGTTGACTCTGCAAGCTTTTAATTTTGTTTTCGTGTTCTGGTAGCAGCGTCTGCTTGCTGTTTTCACTGAACGAATACTTTATCATTTCTTCAACGCGGAGTGCTTCAATTCTCAAAAGGTTCAAAATCATATTGTAGGTGAGTCTGAATTGAGATTGCAGCTTAGTGGGAACTCCTAAAGCAACCTCTTTGAAAGAAGCTTGCTCCAAAGGTGACGTGTAAGACATAACTACCACCGTTCCAGTCTTGTCCAGCCCTCTCCGTCCTGCTCTTCCAGCCATTTGTGTAAACTCACCTGGATTAAGATTTCTCAAACTGTTTCCGTCATGTTTCTGGATTTCGCTGAACACAACCGTCCTAGTTGGCAGGTTCAGACCCATTGCAAACGTCTCTGTGGCGAATAATATCCTGATGAGTCCTTTCGCAAACAGCAGCTCGATCAACTCTTTGACGATGGGGAGTAATCCGCCATGATGTACTGCAATACCACGCTCTAACAGAGATTTTATTTTAGTGATTTGGGGAAGATCCCTGTCTTCCTTCTTGAGCCGCGTAATTGATTTGTCAATGAACATGCGGATCTGCGATCTTTCCTTATTCGCGCAAAAGTTGACGCCGTCTAACCAATCCGCATAGTCCTCACACCGTTTTTTACTGAAAACAAAGATGACAGCAGGCAGTAGTTCATTTGCCTTAAGGTAGTTCACGAGATTGGACCATGTCTTCTTATTCGGACCACTTCTTTTGAAAAAATCGCTTCTGTTGGAGCCCACCGCGCCAGCACCACGCGAGCCCCCACGCATAGCACCGCGTGTTGGCCCCCCGCGGCCAGATCCACCTCCGCGAGCCGAACCACCTCCGCGAACCGCTCCACCTCGACCTCGACTCGACGTTGTAGGAGCTTTGTCACTTTTGCCCGCAATAAGCTCCTTGTGTTGTTTGAAATTCGCCTCGAGAAACTCTCTTTTCTCGCTGATTACCGGGATCATTTTTTCCTTGGCCCATATGTTGATTTCGAGTGGGACAGGTCTTTTGGGTGTTGAGATGACGTATATGTTCTTCTGTTTTGTTCTGCCAATCCAATTAGCAAATTCAAAAGTGTTAGGAACAGTTGCAGAAAGCAAGATGAATTTGACATGCTGCGGAAGCATAATGATGACTTCTTCCCATACCACACCACGATCTTGATCATTCACGTAGTGCACCTCATCAAAAATGACAAATTCGACATCTCTGATCAAATCGGCACCACGGTAAAGCATGGATCTCAAAATTTCAGTTGTCATAATGAGGCAGTTGGCCTCTGGGTTGATCTGGACGTCACCAGTAATCAAACCAACATCAATATCGGTCAAGTCCTCTTTGAAATCTCTAAATTTCTGATTTGACAAAGCTTTTATAGGCGATGTATAAATCGTTTTCGTCATGTTTCTGGTGGCCATAGCAATGGCATACTCGGCTACCACTGTTTTACCTGCTGAAGTGTGTGCAGCCACGAATACAGAATCACCTTGCTCCAAATGGTAGACGGCCTCTTTTTGAAAAACGTCAAGCTCGAAGGGCCATGTTCTCGCGGGATTGGGAACCAGCTCATCGAAATTGTCTATCCTGTGATTCAGGTCCACAACGTGGGCCCAGTTTTTGCGTCCCATCTCATTTTTCGTTTGACGAGCGGTACGTCCAAAATCTATTCCAACTGGAAGCAAATCATCTACCCCTACCTCCGTTTCATTGACAGCTTGGTCACTGGACAGAATGAGCTGCGAGACTTCTTTTTCCAAGTTATCTTCTTCTCTCTGACGACTTTCCGTGATTTCCTGTAAATTCTCTAACTCGTTATCAATACTGTTGAGAGTATTCACTCCTTCGATTTGGGTATCATCAATAGTAGACAGCTCCTGTGGGACAATTCCTCGATCAAGACCTGGCGGGACATCAAAAAGCCCCTGGTCGTCTCGATGCAACAATTTGGTAGCATTAGCCATACCGGATAATTCGCTATCTTGAGCCAAAGCAGACATTGCCAAGCCACCTGGCGCGAAGGGCAATTGAGCGCTAGAGCCTTTCACTGAACTACCTTCGGTGTTAATTTTACGAGAAAGTGATAGTGAATTGGAAGCATTAGCATTTGCAATTTCTTCTAACTTCACAGATTCCTGATAGCCGTCTATTTTACCCTCAATTCCTCTTCTTTTGAAATGGTATGCTGTTCTTTTGATGAAATCTGGAATTTGCAGAAATTGATGGTAATCATAATCGGCTGTTCTTGAGCTCTTGTTCTCATCCATAAAGTTCATTTCAGGAACCTCTTGAAATAAATCCAGCAAATTCCATGACAGCACGTTCGAGGGCTGTAAGAATCTGTCTAGTATCTCCTCACGACTTGTGTTGTCGGATTTCAGATCCATATCTGCACCAGAAATCAAATCCTCAAATTTTTCGGGCTCATTATGGTCGAGCACTCTGAGACGTTCGAAAAGCTCCTCGATTGATTGATCAGAGGATGCCATCTTGGTTTTACAGGGTGAATTGTAAAGTGTAGTCTGATTCAGCTGTATGATGATTTAGATGTTCTTCGAATTGATAGACTCGTCTGACGGTACTTCACCTGAAAGATGGTCAGTATAGAAGTTATGTTAACAGTGGTCCAATGAAGAGCCACCCCTGCATTTTGATGTTTCCAACAATTCAAACGAAACTTTAGCGTTTCTAAGAGCTTCTTTTCAGATTTTTTGGTCAACTGGCTGTGAAGAAACAATTCCGTGACGCTTTGAGTCGAAAGTATGAGGAATCTGGTCATCTCTCCACCTACAACGTTAAACCGCTCAAAAATAGCGATTTCGAGAGACCTGAGAAAACTGGAGATCATATGTGATACAGCCTATTTGGAATTATCAGAATTGTGGACTCTGTGTATGTTGTATGGATTCTAGAATCACGGAAATGTTGAAGTACCAATTTTGGACATTAAAAGCATCTGAATGGTGAAGAGTTAAACATCTAAGTGAAGCCCAGAATTCTTTTTTAGAGGAGCTTCGTTTCTTTGGGCCATTGTCAGTTTAAAGATGGCCTTTGCATAAGAATCGTAGTGTTCTCGCAAGAAAAATAACTTCAGGTGTAAAGCATTGATACTGAACCTTCAAAAACTATGGCCAAGTGTCAAATCTACTTGGAAATATGTGCCATGACTCAGGAGTTTATCTCAACGGCTGTATACCTTTTATCGAATCAAGTTTCATATATTCGTTTCTTGTTTAGGTCGCTTTCGGCCATTTTGAATACAAGTCAATGCTCATAACGACACGGACTATAAAAGTTCATCAAAATCTCAAACAAACAGTAGTTATAGTGTAACTACTTGGTGATACACCACTGTACGTCAAAGCCTTCTTATACAAGAGACATCAACTGTCCTATTCCACAACCGTCTTTTGTCAACATTATTTGCTAGTAATACACGAGGGACGCAATAGCGCTCAACCTCCATGCTATATATGATACTGTAAATGGAAATGGGGATAACGTTAACTGCCGGAACATCCGGTCAATACAGTCAAGGAGGAATAAGGTTGAAACAATGTGCGGTATCCAAGACATTGTCCTCCCGAAAAAAAAAACCTTTGATAATGCTTGTTCCGAGTTCTATATTGTGTTTCTCGTATTGTACACTTATCTTTACCCTTTTTCACCGCAAAATCATATCCCCATTAATGCCAAGCGCCAAGGTGAACGCAAAAAATCTACCGTGTTGTTTCGAATTTCTGGGCATCTACTCTTCTTCGCTTTCGCTGCTTAAGTCGTCATCATCATCGTCCTCGGAAGATTCTCCACCGGCAGCAAGGTTGTTAAATGCACTTGCCGTTGTGGGTGAAGCTCCGTCCAGTATAGCCAATTTGTTTTTGATCTTTTCAATCTGTTTGTTTTGTTCCAGCTCGCTCAAAGCCTTGCTTCTACGCCTGGCCCTCTTTGAACCAGCTGAATTTGGCGACAAAGAATTGCGGTTGTTGGATGTGTCGTCCGCACCAGCGCCATTCCCGATAGCCGACTCAGAATAGGACCTGAAAAACGTGTTGAAAAGAGTTAAAATGGTGGTGTTATCGAGCATGTCGATGTCCAACTCGACCTCATCTTCTTTACCAATGTCCGGCATCGATTTCCTGATCAATTCCACGGCTTTTTCCAGCTTGGATGCCGGCAGGTCATTGATTCGTTCAGAGATGATCTTCTTCATGTCGTAAGTAACCACCGTTTTCAGTTTGCTCTTCTTACGTCTACTGTGGCCGTTGGAATCAACTTTAGATTTCTTACGGCCTGTGCGTCTTTTGCGTGTACCTCTTGCCAACCGACGTTCTTTACGAATGCGTTCCAATTCCTGTTTCTTCAGGTTTTGCAATTCAATTTTCATGCGATCTAGTTGTTGCTCCAAGTACTGGATGGCCGGATTTGTGATTAAACTTTCATCCACTTCATTATCGAGATGTCCTCCAGCACCACCGGCACCAGTGCCAGAGCCACCGTTAATATCCAACTCGTTCTCGTCACTCGAATAATCCGATTCTCCATCTTCATCTTCGTCAGATTCGTCTTCTGGAACAATAGGACGGTCCACCCAACGGGTGTTGAACACTTCTTCCAGACGGTGACCCATCATGTTGACAATTGTGCCATCGGGATTGAACGCATAGCAGTTTTTGAAAACAAGACGTACATCGCTTTCGACTTGATCAACATTTTCGTATTCCCAATTGCTAAGCTTACGGCTTACTGAACCCAAATCCATCGGTTGTTTCACGTAATCGAAATATGTGGGACAATTGAGGGCCACAGGGTCCACGGGTTCCAAAAACGGGTAATTGAAAGAGCTATATTTTTTGGACATGAGTTCCTTTACCACTTGTTGAGCAAACCGTAGTTCGGTTTGATGCTTCTTGGAACGAGGTTTGGAAGACTCGTAGGGGTAAATGTCCTTGGATTTTGGTGGGTGAATCTCCCGTTTTGGTCTACCGTTGTGAGATTCAGCACGACGAATGACCACGGGTGTTTCGAGCTCTGAACGCCGTCTTTTGACGCGTGGTTTTGGAGGTGTATCACGTGCGGGCATTCCGAGCATATGCTTTTCGAAACTAGCTTCGATGTTGCGACCCATTTGCGAGATGGCTGCGGATTCACCATTAAAACGCACACAGTTCTCGACCATGAGGTTGAAATCTGCAGACACCTGTTCTGGAGTCTCGTACGCGTTGTGTTGTAGCTTCCGCTCGATCGTCCCGAGATCCATGGGTCTTTGGATAAAATTGTAGTAGAGCGGCACGTTGAGGGCAACGGGGTCTACCGGTTGCAGGAAAGGCCTGGCGTCTTTCAACCTTTTGACGGCTTTAACGGCGGTGGTGGCGTGTTTATTCTGGTGTTTGGGCAGAGGATTTTGCGGGAGATTGTTGAGATCCGGTTCTGGGGGAGGAGCCGGAGCCGGCTCCATTTTCGCCGGTGTTTGGTCTCTTTCTTCCGGTGGGGGCGAGGGAGGTGGTACGTCAGTACCACCGCCTGCTGCCCCTGTCCCGTTGGCTCTTTCTTCGACCTTGGTTTGCTGGAACGCGGGCTTCTCGACGGCATTAGCCGCCGAGCCCCCGTTGCTTTTGCTGCTGTGGATCACGTGGGCCTCTGGCTCGGCCGCGGTCATGTGGTGTACGCGTGAAGATTTCCCGGTGCAACGTTCGTTATTGATGACAGGCGTCCACGTGCTGCTCCCCTTTATTCAGTTACCCGCCTTTTGCTTTCTCACACTTCGTCACGGGATCAAACAGCTCTCCCCTGTGTGTGAATATATTGTTGTTTTTTTCCCCCGGGGGAACCGGCCTGAAGACGAAAAAGGCCCCGTGTTTAAATACCCACGACCTGAGCTCGCCGAAGGCGACGGGGGGGGGGGGGGGCAAAAAAAAAATTACGCTGGTGAAGCTGGACGAGGAAGAAGTGGAAAAAAAAAAAACAACAAAAAAACACAGGCGTGTACGCGTCAGACTCAGAAACGTGCGTAGGAAAACGGATAGAGATACCATTTCGTGAGGGCGCGGTGTGTGGGTTTGGGGGTGCACGGGTGAACGGTTAGGGTGAGAGAGCACTTTGTGTGGGGTGTATGGGTGACTGGGTGACTGGGTGGTGAGCACAACTAGAGAGCGAGCGTGTGTATAGTCTCTGGGTATGGTTTGGTAAGGTATAGGCGGTGCACTTGGATGAACTGCTTAGGATTCGGATTAGGCGCGTATCCAGCTCATCGTTGAGTCAACACGCGAAAAATACATTGTAGATTCGGGAACGGTAAAGATTGTATGCGTTCCATAGTAGCTTGTTGTTACTCTCTCTCTCTGTTCTAACAAGAGCTATGGGTTCAGCGTTTAAACGGTTTTCAAGACCGGGACTCGTGGTAAGTGATATGCGACTGGGGGAAGAGTAGACTCGAGAAGGTTTACTCGTGAAAAACACGAGTAGATACGCATTTAATGACTATGATACTCGTGGAACCACGAGTAGACTTCCGATGGTATGATTGGTTTACTGCGGTGGGCATTGCACGATGCTCACCGGCAATACTAGTAAGACAGCCTCAGAATGGGCTCCACATTTCGTATGACTAGTGACTTGATTTGGTCTACTTAATTTGAATACAAGAAGGGTCAGGTATGGATGGCTCAAGCGCTCATTTTGCTGAAGTATTTCCTTTCGATGTTAGTATTTGATACCTTAGGGAACCGGAATACCTAGTAACAAACTACCTTTGAACGCGAGATTCAAGATGGTTCGTCGTCTTTTTTGTTAGAAATAAGTTAATGTTACCGCTGAAATCAATATTTCTACTCGCGTTTCTACTCGTCATCAAATACGGCTACTCGCGATTTTTGTCGTACTCTTCCCCAGTCCTGCTCAAAGCAGTAGCGACAGCGACGAAGTTGGCGAATCTGAATGTCGTTTGGTAAGATTATGGACTCTCGACTTTGCCATGAATTCAGGATTGAATGCGTAGAGGTGTAGCTCGTAGTAGTAGATCTAGGGCCCAAGTTCTTATCAGAAGCTGACATTCGTACCTCGTGAACGTCTCTACTAGCTTCTGTTTGGTTGAACCTCGCAACCGCTGGTTGTGAAATAATATACACTCGATTCAAAACGAGGTCGAAGCACGTGAGCGTGAGGCACGTGAGCATGCGACAACTTTTGAATTTGCCCCCATTCCTAAAATACTGTCGTCCTTTTAAGCTATCATAAGCATATGCTAACCTTCAGAGCCTGTCGCAACGATAGTGAAGAGTAGACTCGAGTAGGTTTACTAGTGGAAAACATGAGTAGATACGTATATAGTGACTACAACGCATGGTTAGTTTCAGGACTGGGGAAGAATCCAGCCATATTCCACGGTTGTGGATTCGTGACTTTACCACGAATCCGTCACTGTATACGCGGTGGAAACCTCCAGCCTTCAAGTTTCCTTGCCGCGAAAGCTGTTAGACGACAATGTTCAGATCTCTCCAACGTACATAATAGATCCACCGGCTTACACTGATCGATGGCCTTCTATATATTGATTATTCTTCTGTGATTTACATCAAGGTATTTGACATGGTGTTACTCAAAACAACTCAAGCTGCGGTGTAAATACATCGGGAGGAGGAGAGAACTATGGGATGCGTGAGTCTTTATAGTTTTATATAAACAACTTAACATTTGAATGCGGGCTAAATTAATTAAACCAGCCGGATTCGCGCCCGGATTCGTGATTCGTGCCCAGTCCTGGTTAGTTTACTGCGATGAGCGTCGCACGATGTTCAACGACAGTACCAGTCACAGAGCCTCGTAATAGAGTTTTTTCCAATGACTAGTGGGTTGAAGTTATCTAAATGATTTATATCGTTCTTTTTGGCAGGGTCATGTATCTGTAGCTCACTGAGGTCCATTTTAGCGCTGAAGTTGAATGAATCTACTCGTGCTTTGCTCCAGGTGCTTTGCTCTGTCGATTTCCATTATCAAATCAAATCTCAACAAAGTCCTGTGCACAAGCCAGTGACTATATATACACGACCCTGCATATATTTATACCGCTTACATCACTTTAAGCTACTTGTAATTGGAGATTTCAAGCCTGTTTTCGAAGCCTGTTTTCGAAGCCTGCTTTCGAAGCCTGCTTTCGAGGCTATGTGATTGGTATTCTCGGTGAACATCGCAAGACACACACCGCAGTAAACTAGCCATACCATACCTTTCTACTCGTGGTCCAAATGATTACTCGAGCTGCTCTTCGCTAGTATCCTGGTGACACGAAAAATACACAAATCATCTAATACGAGACCGTCGTCGTCGCGCGCCACACAGTTTTAGCACGTAAACCATCTACACAGCTTGTATCTCAGTAGTATCCACACCATATCAATATCTACTGGGCGCTGTGCTTGAAAACACCCTTAATGGGTCCTTTGTTTGCACAGCTCAAGTGCAGTTAATCATCATGCTGTGACAACACAGCCCAGTGCATGGGGTTTCTGAACAAGGCATGTGCACCACAGTTGTCCCATTTTCGTAAGGGTTACTGGATTACAGGTGCTAGTGGCCATTCCGAAATCTGGTCCGTTCAATGTTGGTTATCTTGTGTTCGAGTGCTCTGGTATGCTTGAAGAGAGATCTGGTCTTGTTATAATTGATGGGCTGGATGACTGGGTAGAGAAGTACTCGAGTACATGTCCTTATGCCATATTAAATGTGTCAAGCGGGTATGTGAAATCCAGCTGTCACTGATTAATGTTTGCCGAGCTCGCTTAGTAGTCAAAATTCTGACGCTACTCAAGTGATTTCCATTTCTGGAGTTCCACTACCTCCAAATCATGCCCTTTTCCACCATATTTTACCGCATAGCGCAATGAATCACGTCACGTGACAGTCATCTAATAATAAAACCTTGAAGAATAGCGGTGAATAAAGAGAACGAACGCGTAGGACAAGCTCTAAGACCAACAAGACGCATTGATAGTGAGTGTATATACCGCTTCAAGAATGCCAAAAAATTGTTGTAGATTCAGATGAAATAAAAGTATCACGTGACCATCAACTGTAATAAAACTGTATCCGGGAGAGATCAACCCCGACCTTACTACTTACCATACAATGTCTCACAATGAAGACACGAAACTGTACACTCTTGTCCGATTAGTTTTCGCGCTAATCGGTACTTCGCAAAAAAAACACTACACAACGTACAAAACGACATTCCATATTTCCCTAATGTTCATAAATCGCTGTCCTATACAACAATTCTTGCTTTGGAAACTTACTCGAACTGTTCCACAAGCGTGCGGGCTCTCACTAACCCATCATATATAGCTTAAAAACATTCCAATACCATGACACTCTACTACACATTTGTTTTCGGCATCTTGGCTTTCGAAATGGTCATGTTTCTGTTGCTGGCACTACCCATTCCGTCCAAATATCGCAAACCTGTTACGATGGCGTTGATTAGGCCGTTTCGACTTACACAAGTTCAAGTAGCCATAAAATGTATTCTAGGGTTCATTTTGTTGCTGTTTGTGGATACAATCAATCGTGTGTATAGTATCAACACCGAACTAGCGCAAACATCCATAGCTGCAGGCGTGGGCGTCAGTGACCGGAACGAAGTCCAAAGTCGTAAGTTTTACGCTCAAAGAAACATGTATCTTACTGGCATTACATTGTTTCTAACTTTCACCGTGTTCAGAACTTACGGGTTGGTATGGGAATTGTTGGAACTGAAGGAAAAGTACAGAAACGAACCTGAAAATATGGACGTCAATGACTTGAAAAAACAGATTGCGGATGCAGACAAGGAGATCGAGTCCCTCAAGGAACGTGCCGAAAGTTTACAAGTGGAGATGTGAATTTAAGTCAGTGCCACAATCTTCAGCATTGTCAGATCCATAGTTAAAACCATGATTCAAAAATGGTTTTGTCAAAGCCACGACGCAATACGCATTTTGGACAGTCATTAGCATAGATTCCAGGACAACCAATTTTGCTGTTCACCTAGCAAATCAAAGCTTACTGAATCTGCTGTTTTCTCCTGCCTAAATCGGTTTTCCAACTTCAAACTGATCTGCACATAATAGCCTTCTTATAAGTTCTAGTTAATTTTCAATCAGCCAGAGTTTATAAATTTCTCATCTCGCTTTCCGTTTCATCTGCTCTTAACGCATCGCTACCTTCAATTTGCATACGAGTTACTCTTATGTTTTGGTAAAAATACAAAACTGTCATCTGTTTTACCAAAAAACATTTCACTCAACTTGATCCAATCGTTCACATCCGTGCTACCCATCAAAGTCTCTAAATCGTTTCTGCCTTTCCAGTTTGGAGGCCTTTCGTTGAGTAACACAGGATATCTCTCACAAATTCCCATAGGAACATAGCGATGGAAAAATGACATGAATTCGCAGAAAAACCGGCGACCTTGAGAAATACCATATTCATCTGTTCCCCAATGATCCATAGCAAACCGAGCATAATCTTTCAAATGCTCTAAACGTTCCTGACTACTCTTATCCAAATGTTGCTGAGCTTCCACTTCTTCGAAAATCCAAGGTTTCACCAAAGCTCCTCTAGCAACCATTACACTATCCATGTTTTCGTCTTCCATATGCTTGTACCAATCCTCAAAATTGTTGATATCACCATTCCCGACAAATTGAATTCGCTGCTGTGACTCTCTCTTATCCTTCTCCCTTTCCTGCGATTCTGCCTCTGCCTCTCTCAACGTTGCAGAGACTTGTTTAACGTAGTCCCAATCTGCATTTCTAGTATAACGCTGTTGTCTTGTACGCCCATGCAATGTGATAGCAGCAACGTCTGTCTCACTGACTAATCGGCGTACTAAACCTTGCGCCATGGGATGACCATCCTTTGTTCCTGTGCGAATTTTTACACTGACTGGGATATCTCCTGTAACGTAGTTCATGCTGTTGAGACATCTAATCATTCTCGCTGGATTATCCAGAAGAGCACTTCCGGATCCCTGTCTGTACAGTAGATCAATAGGGCATCCGGAGTTCAAATTGATCTCACTGATGTCGGGAGCAAAATTGGCCAATGCCTCGGCCGCTTTAGCCGCTTGCCAGGCTTTGGCAGACGCAATCTGGACTCCAAAACCAGGAATTTCAGAAACGTGCGCCTTTGGAAGTGCCCATTCGGAGTTTGTGCCTTGGATCAAAGGTACAGAAAGAGCCATTTCAGAGTAAGTGACGTCTGCGCCTAATTTACGCATCAGACGACGGTATGGTAAGTTTCCGACCGTGGTTAATGGCGATACGATCTTCTTATTTTTCAAATCCAAACGTTTTTTTTCCTGGGCAAAGAACCGGGTATCCTTATACTCAAGATACAGCTCCTTTTGACGGTTGCGCTTATCTTTCTGTTCCTGTTCTCTTTGCAAAACCTGAGGCGCCTTGTCCTGTTCCTGGTCCTGCTCGGTGCCAGAATGTTCCTTTTGTGCCTTTGCTGCGGCCTGCTTCTCCTCGTTGAGCCCATCTCTGAACTCCTGCTGAATAGCATCTATGATTTCCAGCACGAAGTCACTTTTCTCAAACGAAAATCTCTTTTTAATCAGATCGAGTTTCTTGTCGGCGGCAATGACATTTACCTCGTGGTTGGCGTCGTAGAGCAACTTGACATCCTGTTCTGGTTTGAATTGCAATTGCTTGGTTTCTGGGTCACTATGAGAGCTTAGAAACCTACATTTGAAACCCATTGGGCATCGGCCTAAGGTTTCGAACACAGGACAGACCGAGAATTGCTCGCTTTGGATCTCGGGCTTCTTGTGGGCGAGGTATAGATCTATGTCGTGCACGTAACGGCAGCTTTCGCCAAACGGGCATTCTTCGTTTGGGTCTTTCCCCAGTACAAGTTTCGAGCACAGCTGGTACTGTTCTTTGACCTGGGTAATATTACGCTTCTTATTCTGACCGCGTTTTTTTGACTTGCCCTTCTTGCCCGCAGTGTTGCCGGTGGCTATACGGTCAGAAACTGGCTCTTCCTCGTCATTGGCGGTTGAAGACGTGTTCTTGACGGCGGCAGCATCAGCTTTAACTACAAACTCGGGCTTAATGTGAGCTATGCCTGAGGTATTTGGCCGCTTCGAAAGAGGTTCATGGTCCTCTACAGCCACAGATTCCAATGCGTGCTTTGTTGACATCTGAATCGACTCAAGAGACAGCTTTCAAAGAGTGTTTTCGAAACTCATCGTAATCTTCATTAGCTCATCGCTCATCATACTTGATGAGTACTAATGAAAATTTGAGATTGATTGGAAAAAGCTTAGAGGTCGATTACATAAACAAAATGTATTACGTAACATTAGTAAAACACGTGATAGAAAACAAGATTACATAAACATAAAAATCACGTGATATAGTTTAGGTATCACAAAATACGAACATACAGCACGTGCTAGTCACGATTTATACGTACTTACATAATCATTGACCAGCAGGTAGCGCGGCACGAAAACACTGAAATAAAGTCATTAACACAAAAACACCTTTCCTTCTTGAATCCACCACTTTTACAATACAAGAAGGGCATGAAGGCCAGAAATTCCTCAGTTAACGTGCTCGCTGGTGTCTGATTCGAAATCTACGTGTCTGATTTGAACTGGAATGGAAGAAAAAACGTTCGAAACCTCCTAAATCGAAAGATTTGAAAAATTAGCCGCCGATCGACAGAAACGACGTTGAATGATGACCAAAGCCGTCACAGAAGTATTTTTTGCAAAATGAGATACTTGTTGTCTTTTCGTGACCTTCGAAAGCGTTCGAACGGGTTTCATAGCGACCCTGAGTGACTTATACGTTCTACGCCAATCGTGCTGGGTACAAACTGCTTGAAAGAATCTAGAATTTGTCTACTAGCACCCGGTCTTCCAAACGAGAAAGCAGAACCGGAGTTATCGTCGTTGGTTCCTATGCATTTGAAACCCCTGTTCTGGTTTCTACTCAATTCGGCGGCTAAAAACGATTCAAAAAGCGGGTGAAGACAAGAAAGCTCGGTGGCCCCAGCTGCTTGTTGAGACGGTAATGGTGTGTTCAGATGAGCACGGAATGCAAACGATGAGCAGCAGCAACGTATTATCAGCAAGATCGGCCGCTCCACCAGAGTACCCCAACAGTTCAGTCATGAGTTTCCAAGAATATCCACGCATTATCCACGCTTTGGAACCGGCAAAACTGGCATTGCAACAAAATCCACCCCTTCAACGCCGGATCTTAGCAAAACCTTTTACACCATCGATCTGAATGAACCACCCACTGTTCCAGAGTCAACACTGACGCATTAACGTCAGCAACTAAACCCGGAAACATTGTCCCAACCGTTAATACGATGATCGCCCACCCAAACTCACGTTCCGTGTCCTTATGCGGGTGTCTGGGTGAGCACCGTAAAATCCCACAACTAGACCCAGTGGGCCTAGTTGTGGGCATGGAGAAGGACACAAGAATGAGACCAAACATTCAACACCCACCTAGATCGCTGCTGGCTTCAAGATGTGAGATATGTACGTTGCGCGTTCTTGCGCGCAGATGTACGTTGGCATTGTCACTTCCTAGGGACCTGGCGCGGAATTTTTGGATACAGGTTTTCTGAGCTGCGTTGTAGCTCACAGCAGTAACGGCCTCTGCCACTGTGCGACCAAGCAGCGATCGCATCACATTACCACACCGACCGGTGCTAGTGCTGTGAGGTGATGGTAGTGGTAGTAGTCTGTGCTGGCAAGTTCACATTGTACGAAGTGACCAAATCACTAGCATACCATCACCTGCTTCTCGCCCGTAATGGATGCCCACCACAGCAGGATTGAAGTAAGTTTGTGGCGACGAGACTGGCTAAACACTATGGGATTATCTGTGGACGCCAATTGGTCGTCGGTGCTTCTTCGCAAGCTCCTTTTCAGATTTGTCAACTAGACCAAAAATGGCCCTGTGTTTGAGCTTCCGGCTGTGATCAGGACAAAACCAGAAGTCCTCGTAGCGTGTTAGCCATACTGACTACCCGCGCAACTCACTTTTTACAGTGCGTTAAGAACATGCACGGGACTACTGAGAGGGAAAGGAAGAGCCGAAGATTGAGAAAAGCGGGACTTAAATCGTAAGTACAGACCAGCTGGCGCATAAACTGTAGCAGAGAGATTGGGTTTCGTTATGGTTGTCGTCATAGTCATGTTACGTCGTTGCTGGCTCGCTCAGAAACTGTTTCTCGCGGCGCTGACAGCTGACTGCTCACAGGTCACCTGGAAGTCACACCTTCGAATTACGGCAAGCAGGGACGTTCGTGCTGAAGCACGGCGGTGGTAAATCTGTCTCTGTCTCCTTTTAAAGAAATATTGGCCATCTCAGCTTCGCTCAGCTTCGCTCAGCTAGTTAAATCGAACTAAACGCACAGGACACAGTTAAGAAGCTCCACCCACCCGGTTATCGATAACAGAGAACTGGGACAGCAGGGAACTGTACGGACAAAGGAGAGAGTTAGAAGAGGCCGTAATTTTGGGGGAAAAAGCCAGAAGAAAAGCTGAAGTTTTTGGATCAGAAAGTGGGTTTTCTTGAAATCCTGGGCGCGCGCATCAGTAAGAAGTGCTTCAAAAGCAAGTGCGCTAGCAAGAACTAGTGCTTTTACGAAATCATCGTTTAAGCATACATATACACACACAAACATGGACGTGTCATCGGCAACAGCATCGAACGCAGCTGGTTCGACGCCGGGGATTCTTATCAATAATGAAATGTCAGCATCGTCGTCGTCCCAGCAGGTTGCTAATTCGGTGAACCCTGCAAACATGGCAAAACTCAGACGAGAATCGATCGCCCATTCGCAAGGAATGGGAGGGGTATCATGGGGATCGCTCACCATCGGGTCTTGGCTGCGCGACGAAGTGATGATTCACGCTCATATGTCGCAAGCAGCTCACCAGGGATCCAGCGGAGTACCGCAGCATACGTACATTGGGAACACTGCTGGATCTTCCGCGGCCGGAAACCTGGCAGGTGGCTCTTCGTTCTCGCCACCGGGTGCAGCGTCCGCCTATCTGCCCAACCTCGAAAAACAGTATTGCAAGGACTATTCGTGCTGTGGTCTGCTACTTCCGGGCCTCCACGACCTGCTAAGACATTACGAGGAGGCCCATATCTCCACCTCGCCGGGAACCATCAATACTCATGCATCATCGGTTGCCAACATTCCGACCAATGCAGGGCTCTCAAGTGGTGCGATGACTGGCATGGCTGGAGTAAACTCCGCACAAGTTGCCAACAACAACGCTTTGAAAAAGCGGCGAATGACCGCCATGTACCAGCAGCAGCTCCAACAACAGCAGCGCCAAACACCACAGCAACAGCAGTTCCATCAGCGACAGTCTATGCAAGAAGCTCAAGCGCCACATGGGCATCAACAGCAACACCTTAATCAGTCGTCTCAGCATCAGCGACAGCAGCAAGCTGGAAATCAGCAAGGGCTTCCGCATCAACAACAGCATCATAACATTCAATACCAGCAGTTTGCCAAGCAACAGCAACCGCAGCAGAACGCACAACAACAACAACCGCAACAACAACAGCAGCAGCACAACAGTCATGTGCAACAACAAATGCAAAATCAGATGTTCAATCAGGCCATGCAACAACAACTGCATGGCGGACCGCACAATCCGAGCTCGAATACGACCAGTAACATCCAGCAGTTGCATCTGAATGGGAACTTGGTTGATGCAGTTTCTACCAACGAGGTTTTCTTGCAGAATGGCGCCGGTCAAAGCGGGAAACGAGGACCTATGGCGAATGCAGGTGTTTCGGGCAGCGGTTTCAACGGCTCCGCTGGCAGCAACAATAACAATAAGATGCAAGGCGGGTTCAACAACTATTCGTTGAACATGCAGCCCCATGGAAAACAGGGATTGGATGCTTCGGTCATGCAGCAGTTTCAATCACAGCAGCACCAACAACAGTCACAAGTCTCTAACCAACACCATTCCCAACATACCGGACTGCAACAGCATCACTTACAGCAGCGGCAAAGTGCTCTTCTCCAACAGCAGCAGCAACAGCAGCAGCAGCAAATGCTGCATCAGCAACAACAGCAGCAGCAAAGAGTAATGGGCAATGCCTCCAATGCCGCATTACTGAATAGACAGCGATTCCCATCACAGGTGGGCAGCGTAGGCGCAGGTATCGACCTTGATTTCATGGACGCGGATATCGTCGACGACCTGCACGATGGATCTGCCATCATGGGCGGCGCGGCTCCACCTTTACCAGCTGATTTAGCGAAAGCGTGGAAGCAAGTGGACACTGGTGCCGTCGCGGGAACCAAAATATCACCGAAGATTGGAAACGGTCCTGATTCTGAAGACAGTAGCATGAGCGACGACGACGAAGAGGAAGGCGTAGCGGTGGCAACTGTGCCCACCACAGCTGTTAACAAGCGCAAACAGCAGCCCGGTTTTATCGACGATCCGGCCCGCAGACTCTACGTCATGGACCATGAGGAACACAAACCATTCAAATGCCCGGTCATCGGATGTGACAAGACTTACAAAAACCAGAACGGGCTCAAATACCACAAACTGCACGGCCACCAGAACCAGAAGCTCCATGAGAATCCAGACGGCACTTTCAGCATCATCGACCCCGAAAGTAATGAGCCATACCCTGATGGCTTAGGGCTCGAAAAGGACAAACCGTACCGCTGCGAGGTGTGCGGCAAAAGGTACAAGAACTTGAATGGTTTGAAGTATCACAGGGGACATTCTACGCATTGAGAGAATCACGAACTTTTCGCGCCCGCGCGCATGCGACATTGTATTAATATTTTGAACTTTGCCAGGCAGTCACGCACCTGTCCGTTCGCCATCGTCGCGCCTACCACATTTTACTGAGCTTTTTTATTTGGTGCCCTGCTGCTCTACAACGATATAGAGAGAGAGAGAGAGAGAGAGAGAGAGAGAGAGTATATCGGTAAATTTTGAACTCCACGACTATGTTATTTAGCAAGCAAGTAGCCAGGATCTTTTTGTCGAACTGATGGTCAAGTTTTGATTTCAACTAAGTATACTATGTTTCTATAATTCAAGTGAATGGGAATTATTATTTCAAGAAGATGTAAACTTTCGGAAAAACAACAAAAAGACATATCAAGAAGGTACTTTTTTGCAACCCAAGACAGCAAAACTACTAATTGCACCGTTATTGAGCTTTCTGGCGTTTCCAGCGTTCGAAAAGGACTGAAATTGAAGGTTATAAGCCAAAATGCAGGTAAACATAACACTTCCGCTTAAGTGGGCTCAATGCGGAGGCTACATCATGATTTTGATTCTAGTAAATGTGATGATGATTTTCCCGCTCTCTGGTTTCCTGTTTCACGATTTTTACTCTCGAATGATCCCTTCTGACTCAACGAGGACAGTGCTTTTCTCTGAGGGCAGGACGGAAAGGGGAAGTTGGTCAGGGAAATCTACGTTTCATTTCGCATTTCAACGGCATTCTACAGACACGACAGTACTACCACAGATTGAGGCTAACGGTTTCGCGCAAAACGTTCCACTTCGGGCTGATATCCCTTATAATATGAACCTTGATCTCGACATCTTCTGTCTGAACAAAGTTACCGACCTTTGCTTGAAAGATGGGGAAATTACAATTTCAGTAAATAGGCCTGGAGATTATTTGGGAAAGACCTTGTTTCGAAGAACTCTATTACTCAGCTGCGCTAATACAAGAGATATTCCAAATATGGGCGGAACCGGTAGATTGTCGTTGACATTTGCTCAAAAAGTGCAGAAAGAGCTGGTAAACTCTTTCCATTTCGAGAATCCCATTGAAATCGACCACCAATTAAAAAGCTTAGACATAACCCTCAAATTGGCCGGAAATGCCAACATTATCATCGATCCAAATCGTTCCTTCCTCACGTTTTCCATGAACTTCGATCACAGTCTGAGAAATTTGATGATTAGATGGAGGAAGCTCGCTTATGTTTTCGGAACGCTCATCTTCAATGCCATAATTTCCTTCTTCTTCTTGACAGCCTTCGCCATAAGCTTCTTTCGTGCAGGTCACGCAAAAAGTATCAAAGTGGACTGAAAAGTTCTGCCATATGCCTTGAAAGAACTGGTTCGCAAATGACTTTGTTTAAAAAAAGATGTATAGTAATGCTACATGTACTCAATTCGAGCATTGTCCAGATTTCTGTGACTATTTTGAGAGTTTCGAAAAGTGCTTAATTCGGGATCCAACATGAGTCTTTGACCGGAATAGTGTACCATATCCATAAAGTGCAGTCGTTCGGAAACAGTATCGTTGAAAACTGTTATCATTTTGACCAATTTACCGAGCTCCGTCCCTTGCTTCATTGTATAGGGTGTGTTTTGAGCAGATGGTGCGTTCGGAGTATTATGTTTCTCCAATCTCTTTTCTATTGATTTTTCGCTCTTCGCAGAAGTCAGCGTGAATTGATCTCCATCATGAGGGTTTGATGAGGTGGATTGGCTAAGTCCGAGGCCTACCAAATATGGATGTGGTACCATTGGCTGGGATGATATGAAGCCTTTGCTGTTATCGTTGCAGGAACCCATGACAAGACTCTCTGACACATTGGAACTGTTGATGTCTCCCGCCAAAGACGGATGATCAGCAAAATCGACTAATCCTTCACCGGAGTTTTCGTTCGTTGGAGGGAGTGGTTTATCGTAGCTTTTGGCTGTAACTATTCCCCATTTGTCGTTAGCTTTCTGTACTCTTAGCACTGCTGATGGCATCGAGCCAGAAATAGGCACTGTAATAGTACGAAACATCCATCTGATGGGCTCAGCTTTTACAATTTCTGCAGAAAACTTCGATTCTGGTGGAGCTAAAAGCTTTTTCTTTTTTTGAGGCTGTACAACGTCGTCATGCTCATCTTTAATGGAGGATCTACGTGACGTCAATGAATCTTTTGATATCGATTGATGAGTTCGCAGTTCCAATGATGAGCCACTTCTATTAGCGGACAATGAAGAGGCACCGGACAGTGAAGAAAACATCGAGATCATTTCGGCTGACTCACAGTCGTGCTTACCGTCCAAAGTCAACACAGGTTCACCTGCTAGTCTTGAGCTTCCGGAGCTTGTACTTCTGGTGAAACGTTCCGCGAGTGATCCCTTGCTCTTCTTTGAATTTTTTAGGCTAGAACTACCAAATTTCGAGAGGAATGACCCAAAAGCGCTAGCAACAGAACCATCGGCTTCTTCTTCTGCAAGATCACTACTGCTCTTGCTGCTGTTATTAGGTCCGCTGCTTAAAAGGTTTTTTGAAGGGTTACTGTCAGATTTGGAATCTTGGTTGCGTTTCTTAGCTGCCTTCTTAGAAGCCTTCAGAACCATTTCATCTAAAATATCGAAAGGGTATCGACCTTGAGATAAAACAAACATTGGCCTCACATTAGCAGTCATTATGACCGAAGGAAGTAGAAGACTTCTTTCTTTTTCTTTGTTGTTGTTGTTGTTATTGTTCAGTTCACATTCTTTAAGTAAAGAGTCTTCGGAGGTTGAATCGTACTTCGATAGTATCACCTTCCGGTTGATGTGAAAAAGTAGGACGTCTGTGGCTAAACTCGGGTGAAACTCTGCCGGAACTTCTAACTCTAAAGAAACTGCTCGTAGATAGGCTTCTTGAAGTTTCTTTACCACCTGGGTTTTCAAAACTTCTAGAGTGACATTAGTTGAGCTCAGTAACCGGAAAACGACTATCTTGAAAAACAAAATTCGCACAACATCGAAGATTGTGTCTTGAGCCAAGTTTTCCCACCAATCAATCACCAAAGTAGTAATTATATCGCTTTGCACTTGTTGATCGGTTGGGATGTAGTCCCAGATGTTGAAAAGCGAGACCAATGCGACGCATTGGCAATTCACGTTTAGAGTTTGGAGCATGCTAGTGAGACCTTGGCACCACTTTGGCCAATTGAATGCCAATAAATAAGGTTCCAAAGAATAAAACTGGAATAAGACAAACTGTAGAAGCCGATTGTAAATCAAATTTCCTAGCTGATGGTCATAAGCTGGAATCTTGGCTAGCTTTCTGAGAAGAATACCATCGTGAAGTTTTATCCAATTGCAAAGTAAATTAGACATGTTTGGATGAAGACAACCTACAAGTGATCGAATACACTCCCACAGTTTTACCGTTTTGAAGTTTACGAAAACAAAATTATCAGTCTGCTCACTTGTTACCGGGAATGTTTGACCCGTTGGTCGCGTATGCTGAAAGGAGTCATTTTCCTGAGATTTCAGAAATCGAGAGAACGCTGCAATATCACTGTCAAGGTTTTTGCTGATATAGCGAATCAAGACCTCACAGCCTGGTATTGAAACCTTATCAACTTTCTCAATATTGTGCGCTGCCAAACTAGACAGTGCTATATGCCAATAATGCCAGTAAAAAGCCATGAAAATGGTGTCGTTTCTCAAATATGAGATAACGACTTGAAATATTTTCTTGTCTTGTTCGGTCAAAGTGGTTAGGGACCGCGGAGGGCAACTTTGGCCACTAATTTTATGATCCTTGGTTTTCCAAGGAAATGCAGGAAAAGAACGCTCTACGACACATACATTAGGCTCCAGAAACCGCAGCAGTAATGAGTCGTATTCAAATGAGGCGTCCAGATAGAAAAATGCATAGGCCATCAATTTGCCCATGAAAGAGTTCAAAAGCTGATTATACTGATTGTAATAACGCAGCTGTTGTTTTGCATGAGCCGCGGGCAGCTGTTTGTTAGAAACAAAAAACTTGCGTTTCTTGGTATTAGAAATGAGTCTGTTGGTGACATAATGAACACTCAGGAGAGTGTGATATGCAGTGATGTCAAGTTCGCGCTGGTTTGAGGATGCAAGCCCAGTGAGTGTCAAAATCCGGCTGACACTCTCGAGAGCCACAGAACATACCTCAATTGTCAGTAAAGGTGGGATTTCGTCCTGTTCCTGGCTTCGACTGTCACTGTTGAGGAAATTGAGCAACGTAATCCACCATTGTACCAGCAGGTCTCTTTCTTTTGAGTCCAGCGGCCTCTCTGCCTCGGACACAGTCTGCAGGTGTCTGAGCCGTGACAAGAGGTTTAGCCGCAAGTAGTTGGCCAACAGTTTTGCATTGGCAGTTGCTGTACTTGGCGGTAGCGTTCCTAAGTACGCTAGTAGTGCAATGAACTTGTTCAGAGACTGAAGTAATCGGGTTTCGGTCTTGGATTTACTATAGTCCATCTTGCCAGGGACATTCAAAGACCGGACTTTTTTCCCACTTGCGCCTGCAGAGAACTTCTTCCTGACACTCTCCGATCGCCCCGGTTTCGCTCAACAGAAAACTAGAAAGATAGCGATGCGAATAACCTTGGAGTTTGAACGGTTCAGCTTTAATTCTGTCTATTATCGTCAGGTTTGCCAAATTTTGAAACTTATTGAAGGGAATAACTGTCACTTTGTACTAATGTGACGTCGACTTTAACAATGCTATAAATAAGCTTATAGACAGATAAGTAATTCGATGTTTTGGAATAAAGGCAAGAACAATGATGGAGTTGAGGATCAAGATGGACTAACAAGTGGTTAAGCAATGATATGAGTAGGCGGGAATGTAGATTTCAAATGAGGGACATTACTGAGAAAAAAAACGGCGTTAATTAGCTGGATTTCAAGCTTTTTTGGTGGGGATGTACGATCGAGGTTTGTTATGGGAACTGTAAATGATTTTGATCTCACGATGAGGAAGTTACGCTCTAAGAATGGGGTGGGCTGAGAATGGTTGGAGAAGGGGGTGAGACAGACGTTTTGATGGAGAAAGGACGGATCGTTGTGAAGGTAGAAGAACTTTAGGGGTTTCGGGGGGTGGGTTTCAAAAGGGCGCCATTGTGATGAAGAATAAGGAGAATTGAGTGTTCGTGTGAACCAGGGGATAAGGTCTTTCGATTGGTTTGTGCGATGCGTAGCGAAAGTCCTTCAGGAATCAGGGGAATTTCCGGATTTTTGGATTGCGTTTTCTCGAAGGTGGCCAAAAGGCGTCTTGTTCTCTGAATCGTGAAGAAGACATTCGAAAATATGATTCGATTCAAGCTTCTCTAAGGACTTACTGATCTTCGAGTTGATCTTTAGACAGCATGATCTTCTTCGAGCTCATCTTTCGACTAAATAATCCGATTCAAATTCTTCTTTCGATACAGATCTCTCGCTCGCGGATTCTCAACAATAAAAAAACCACCTCCCGTACTGGACAACTGTCAATGGGCCTTTCTTTCCATCATTGAAGCTCAAAATCAAGCTCATTGGGTCCAAGATCACTAAAAACGTTGAGGAAGCTCAAAAGCCAGGGCCTTTATATTACCCATTGAAAAAAGTCAAGTCAAGTACAACTGAAGTAAAGCTCGATTTGACAGAATTCAAAACATTCAACCGAAAAGAACCGCCAAGGGGGACCTTTAATAACTGTTTTGAGCTATTTCACACTATGTCGGGTGAACCAGCTGCCAAGAAGGCCAAATTGGACTGGGGCCTGACCGATCCTGCTGAACCGTTGACTCGAAAGGATGTTATCGCATTTCAGAAGGAAGCACTTTTTAGAGCGCTTAACAAGCACCGTACGCGTGCCGCAAGTCTCGAAACGCAGTTGGGAAAGGGCCATGATAATTTGACACAGCTACGTGAGCAATATGCCCGCGTTTGCGCGACCTTGAGCGTCTTGGCCGCTAAATTAGGCAAGCTTTGTAAAGATGACGTGGATGCCCAGAAACTATGTGATAGCATTGTACAAGGCGTAGAGACCAACGTCGCAGATGTTGCCGAGCAGCTAGCGGTATTATTCGACAGATATGCCGGTGGTGTGGGCGAAGACTCGAGCTTGACGTCCCATTTCCATGCGCTCGAGAAATCCAAGCAAGCGCTTTCTACACACAACCAACAGCTCCAGGAAGAGCTTGGTGCGGTAAGGGACCATTACCAAACCCTCATACGGCGGTATGATCGTGATGATAGCGAAACCTTGAAGAGAGTGCTGAAAATCAAGAATGATAGCGACCCAGTAAAAGCTGATTCGCCTCCGGCTGCTCCAGAAGCTGCTGTCGCCACACCTGATTCGAGTTCTAAAGCGGATACTTGTAAGGAAGAAGAGTCTAATCAAATTTCAAGCATAGAACATGATTTGCAAGTTCAAGATCTCAGTAACCAAATAGAAGCTCTGAGAAATACGATCAACGATTTAGAGAATTGGAAATCAAGGCGGGAAAATGAGATATTGCAATTACGGACAGATCTAGCCAATTCCAAAAATAATGCTACAGAACAACATCCTGAGGGAAGCCTTGACCGAGACTATCTAATGCGTCGCTTAGAAACGCTGCGTGAAGAGAACGCTTCGCTAAATCAAACCAACGGATCGTTCCTGGCTAAGTTTCAGCAACTGGTGCAGGACAAGGAGATTTTCACCAATAAGTTGACGGTGGAGTTTCAAACCGCCCAAGATGCTCTAAAGAAGCATAACGCCATGTTGGAAAAAGATTTAGTGAGAATAAGGAATGCACGGGACGAAATGACAGGGAAGATGGCCATTTTGGAAAAACAGAAAGGCAAGTCCGACCTTATTGAAGATTTGCAAAAGATGATGGATCTACAAACCGACAGAATAGATAAGTTGGAAATTAAAGAAACAGAGCCTTCCAGGGATGTACTGACGAAAGAGCTTCAAGATCTTGAAAGTGCTTATAGGGAGCTCTCGAAACTTGCACACAAGAAATACTCAGACCATTTGACTCAAGAGTCTGTATTAGCCAAACTCACAGTAGAGAAGACAAAGGCAGACCAAAAATACTTCGCGGCAATGAGGTCCAAAGATTCCATTTTGATTGAAAATAAAAATCTTACAAAAAATCTCACAAAATCCAACGAGCTTATCGTGCAGCTGAAAGAGATCGAGCGTAGTATGCAAGGAAAGATTGAAAGCTTGATCAAACAAATACATATTCACGGGTCAAATGAAAAGCGTCTAGTCGACGCAAACAAAAGCACCTCCATCAAGCTTATGGATGTCACTTCTGCTCTGAGTAAATCCAAAAAAACTATAGAGTCATTGAATCAGGACAAATCTGATGCTGTCGAAAAATTGACGAATTTTGAGCTCCAGATTCATTCTGCAGAGAGTGAAATAAACGCTTTGAAGCTTCGGCTTTCTCAAGAAGAGGCCAAAGCTACAAAGTTGCATAAGGCCCTGATATCTTCTGGTGCTAGCGATACGTCCGTTATTGCCGAGGAGCTGGAGAATTTCAGAACGATTATATATTGTTCTTTGTGTTCTAAGAATTGGAAGAACACTGCCATAAAGACGTGCGGACATGTCTTTTGTGACCAGTGCTGTAAGGAAAGACTTGCTGCTAGGATGCGCAAATGTCCTATTTGCCGTATGCAGTTTGGAACTCATGATTTGTTGGATCTTCATATGTGACATGCCTATGGAAGCCTGCTGGTCGTATTAAAAATTCTGAAAAATTGTTTACGTGAACCATTGATTAGAAATGATTTAGATCGCCATATTGTGGTGGTACTTGGGTATGATTCTTTATCGGGAATGTCTCATAGCATCGAGAGAGTGAAGGAGGATGCTGCTATAGCATTTCAAATTCCGATTGTAACAGTTTGAGCATATGTATATACTGATATGTGTATGGAAATTTCACTGAAAGACTGATTCAGTTGTGTACATCAGAATTCAAGAGGAGCTCGAGGTTCTACCAAGCTGGATGTCTCTAGTAGATGATGGTGCTGAGTTGAAGGTGTTTGTATCGTCATTTAGCTGGTATTGTCAGAATGGGAAAAAGTGATAGAAAAGATGTCAACTTGAACCTGAAGAAGCTCTAAGCTTTTTAACTCATCGATGAGCAAGCATATCTGGCCAACAACTCACGCTAGAACGACTGATCAATAACGACTTGATAGTCATAGCCCATGATCCATGACTAACGTACCGCCGCCAGTAAGAGCTCTCACTAAAAAGAATGATCCCTTGTACATTATCAAGTCTCGAAAATTGACACACAACAGATCGGTGACCATTGCAGGTCCAATGGTTCGGTATTCTAAGCTTCCGTTTCGCCAGGTCTGTCGCCACTATAATGCTGACATTGTGTATACGCCGATGATTCTCGCAAGAGAGTTTGTGCGTAATCGTCATGCCAGAATGGCTGATTTTAGCTCCAATGAAAGTGATACACCGTTAATCGTGCAGGTAGGCGTGAATAACACCACAGACCTGCTCAGATTTGCTGAAATGGTTGCTCCTTACTGTGACGGTATTGGAATAAACTGTGGCTGTCCGATCAAGGAACAGATTCGAGAAGGAATCGGATCTGCTCTCATTTACAACCCAGACCTTCTTTCAGAAATGGTCTCTGCAGTCAAGACCAAATATGGCGACAAATTGAGACTGGAGACCAAGATAAGAATTCATGATAATTGGGATCAGACAGTGGAGCTTTGCCATCGACTTTGCGATGCGGGCGTGGATTGGATAACAATTCACGGTAGAACCAGGACAACACGCTCATCGGTGCCTGTGAACCTGGAAGCCATAAAGTACATTACTGACAAGATTAAACCAAGAGGTGTGCCAGTGATTGCAAACGGAGATTGTTTCACAATGAAGGATTTCCAGAAAATCATAGACTATACAGGCGTGGACGGCGTCATGGCTGTGCGGGGGCTTTTAGACAACCCTGCCTTATTTGCGAGCTACGACACATGTCCCTGGGGTGCTTTGGAGCTTTTCTGGCATTATGCCATGGAATTTGGTGGTTTGCCACATCAGTTGCTTCTGCACCATTTGCATTGCATGTTCGAGAGCATGAAGCTCGAAAAACACCTTCACAACGAGCTCATGGATATCAAGACTACGACACAACTTATAGATTGGTTTGACCGGAATTTCGTGCTGAAAAGAGTTGATGAGGTAGGATTTTCTGAAGCTGTTGAAATTCCATACAAGAATCAGTCCAAAGTGTAGAACAAAGACGACAAGAGTTACAAACATGTTGATCAAAGGATTTCAATCATTAAAAGTCAACTTCGGTGGTGGTGACAGTATCAACGATGCCCTCGATGGCCGCTGCTTGAGATGTCTCGATTTCAAGATGTAGGGTAACACTATACTTTCTCCTGGGTATTGAAAAATGCTGAAAAATTCAGTTAAGTTGTAGTTTCCAGCACAACTTCTTAACCGTTGTTTAGAGCGTAAGCGCTCTCGAGTGCTTCCAAAAGCCGGATCATGTCCGGTTTCAAGACTTTTAGGGAGTATGTTATAAGAATTCCACGCGTTGGGAGTCGCTTTTCGATTTCACAGAATTTCCCTATCCAATGATGATAAGTTCAATTTTTTGCCAGTCTAGTAAGAACAGAGCGTTTCCGCAAGAGACGTTTCTTAAAACCATCCCGTACTTGCGTACGTCTCCTTCGTTGTGTTTGGACCGGTTTTCGTTTTGGGATCCGGTTCGTTTGACTTCAATGATGGGAGAATTGGGCGTTTTTTAATGTGATGAGTGGCTGGCGTATTTATGTCATAGTTACACTGAGGATGCGGGAGAATCTGGTGGAACTGTGAGAATAGTCGTGCTTTAATCTACGGAGAATATTATACTAACAGTGTTCAGGCATTGATTGCTGAGTTTGGGAGTATAGAATTGTATAATAATCGTTAAATTTGTCTTTCGATATGAATTATTAGTGGTGTGTGTGGGCGAGTAAGTAGTGCTAATTCTTAGAAGTGCCACAACCGCTAGCAAGCACCCCTCATCTCCAAAAATTGACCGTTTTTATACTATTATTGAAACGTTTTTGTGCTTTACATAAAACTTAAACTACAGTTGGATTCTCCGGTTTGAAGATCTATTCGACCGGATGGAGCATGCAATGCTGTAGAGCCTAAGCTTACTCGTCGTCTTCTTCAACGACAACGGTGTGCAAGCCCTTGACGGAGGCAACGACGACTGGCTCGACGTAGGCGAATAGAGGGAACTTGGCGTTTTCTTCCTCGTTTCTCTTTCTGGAAATTCTCAATCTTAGTCTGAATGGGACACCTTTGACACCTCTCTTCCAGATTTCCTGGTTCAATCTTGGGTCCAAACGGACATCCTCGGTTCCCAAGTGCAACTTGGCGAACTTCTTGATCTCCTTCACGGCCTTTGGAGCTCTCTTTTTGAAGGAAACACCATGCAACTGTAATAATAGTGGAAAAGGTTAGTAAATCGTTCCGAATAATCTGGTTTGTGCTAGAATGGAGAATTGAGGAATACATTTTAGATCTTTAGTTTGGAAATACCATAATGACTGTGATAATGGTCTGCAGATCGTTGTTCCGTTAAAAACAAAGCATGGCCTCTTCCCACGTCGTACGGCAAAACGCTCCCACTGGACATATGCTGCATTTACCGCCTGTGCATTTTGCATCCGTTCCCGCTTCGATTGGTCTTGTAATTCTTGTTCTGTCCGTATTTCGTCTTTTTGGACCCCCACTACAAAACTTTGTCTAAAAGTGCTCCCATATCTCCTACAAACGCAGCTGAAAAGCGCAATATTGCCCACATACCCTCTTGTGCAAGTTGATGGTGTATTCACGAGTAACAGTGTCTTTCAAACCGGCCATTTTCGTTCACTTGAGTTGCTTCTTGACTGTGACTTACGCCTGTGCTGTGTGCTCGATCCTTCAATTTTGTCAACTTTCAAATTGTTACTAGCCTACCGACCCGCTGGTTCGTCGGTCCCATGCCATTGGAGCTGAAAGATTGGGAAGGGAGCTGGGCAGAGGATCTGGAAACGGAGTGTGGAGCTAGGCAGAGGGCCTGGGACGTCCAGGCGGAGGAAGCTCCGGCGCTGGACTGGGATCCCTCCTCCATCCTCTGCCTACGATGTGTCGTGGGCTGGGGTCTGGCCTGACGGGGAGCGGGAGACCAAGCACATATGTTCATGATAGACGCAATCCTCGATTGAAATTTCAGCCCACGCAAAAATATAATTTCTTATTTTACTTTCCCAAAATAAAATAATATGGTGTATGGGTGTTGCAGCAGTCTAAGGTAAGCTCCGAGAAGAAGAATTATATATGGTTAGACGTCAAACTAGCCAAATGAACCAGTTGAAGCAGCAGGCAATGCAGTTTGCAATGCTACGAACTCTAAAGCACGCATAGTGTCATGGCAGCAAGCTATGTTTGGTTCTAGTTGGGAAAGATAGGAGTCAATGTAGGTAAAAATGAGATATCGTGGAAAACGATATATGTTTTGTCATCGTTGATTAAGAGATACTAGCCTCTTCTAGGTCGCCAGACCCACCACATTCAAGTCTCATGTTAATGTAATCAAGGTACAGGCCAAACGTATAGCTGTCATAGACACGCTTTGGTTATGGAATGAACAGTGGACCCTAATAACATCACTAGATACGTAATTGTCATTAGTGAAGTAATAACACAGCAATGACTACCTTCGACCGGCCTCTCCTTCAACACACCTATCTGTTGATCACAGGCGGAACCGTGCTTACGCGGCTCGTCACTCGATGGAATTGGCTACCGACCCAAATGAGGCCTACCGGCAGACCCAATTCCAAATCTATAACCTGCAGCAAACGCTGCTGAACTCATCCAAGGCGGTAGAAAATAAGGTAAATGATCAACAACAACAGGAAGAGACCAGTATGCACGAAACCGGTGAATCTGCGTACTCAAGGTACAGAAAAAGCATTCAAAATGGTGCTCCAACTCGTACACCCACAGAAATCGATTCTCGGCCAATTTTGGACCTCGTGGCAGGCAAACTTGGCAAGCCACACAGACGTCTGGGTGGGATTCGCTACGATCCGTGGAAAACTGGTCAATTGCAGGCTTCAACGACCAAAAGCACCAAAAATGATGTGACCCCTCCAGCTGCTACCAATACAGCGCTATTGTCTCCACCGCCATTTTTGCCCGCATTTGGTTTCGCAAACATCAACGCTCTCGTGACCGTAGAAGTGCGTTTTGAAGACCTTATCGATGCCCAATCACCGGTGTCGTCCACCAACCTTCGGGTGACTAACAATGAACTGTGGGGCTCACAACTGTACACGGACGATTCTGACCCACTACTCGCGTTGCTTCACAGCGCTGTTTTTACAAGTTCCGACGTCGATGGCCCTGCAGTTCTTCAGGAATTGCAAACGCCCGCGAACCTTGAAAATCCTCAGAATGTAAAGGGTGAGATACCTCCTACCCCAACACCGTACGATCTAAGAATGGACTTGTTACTGCTCCCGCCTCTCCAGTTCTACAGTTCCACGGTAAATGGCGCTATCAGGTCCAGATCTTGGACTTCATCCCATGATGGGATAACTTACGGCATCTACAGTATAGAAGTGATTCCAAGAGACCATTCCCTGCAGAAGATCGAACCCAAGGACGAAACTAAAGCCGTCAATTGGTGATGATAGTGATCATTGTAGCGATAATGCGACGACATCACCATCCACGAATGTCGAATTTCGGAAAATGTCAGCCTCTAATTGACTTAGCAGAAGCCTATGCTTAGTTGAGACGCTTAAAAGCTCGCTAAGACTAGAGACGAGTAACATCCACAACATCGGGACGTCTCCAAAGGAAGAGTTACAAGGTGTCTGAAACGTCAGGATATCACCGAGGGTTTATTTGTGCGAGAAAACAATCATGAGATCCGAGAGTCGTAAAATATCGTTATCGTCGAATGGGTCGACAACGACAAAAAACCCGTTTAAACACTTCATCAACAGGTTTCGGGTTGGATTGCATCAGTTTTCAAAAGAGGCTCTGGACAGTGACTCTGTGGAAGATTTTGAGTCTGTTAACGGATTATTTGACAGCGAGGACAGAAAGAAAAGCGAAATGGAAGAACAGGAACATCAGGAACAACGTGGGAGTGAAGAAAGAAACAGCAGCACTTCGATCACTTTGAATAGGGAGATAGCTCTTACCGACGAGGAAGACGATGAAGACGAAATAGAGCAGGACTCTAATGACGAAAACGGCTCCGGCTGCACCAGCCGTAGAGATCAGCAGACTTTTGCAACATACAATGCAGTAGAAGAATGTGTCAAACTGCGATCAAAGCTTGGAGAGCCGTTTGTGCAGGCAGATCGCATTTGGCGTAGACGTCGTGAGCTATGGTGCCAGACGACCGAAAACGCCGAGTTTGGAGTGGCCGCTAAAAATCGCAAACGGTTTGATGAAATTGCACCACGTCATTACGTTCGTGTGTATCGTAAATTAGTGGTTGACGGGGTACCTCTCAAACGTGCTTTGAACTTGCAGGACGCTATCAGAATTATAAATGCCGGTTGGGTGGAAACTCAAAAATGGGAAAGAGCTTCCAAGGGATTGGCGTGAAAGTACGTTGAATACGAACACTCAATGACCAAAAAACAATAAGTCTTAGTTGTATACAACAGATACTTAAAATATTATACAGAAACGAATAGCACGGTCAAAGCATAAGCCAAAAATTGGCGGGTCTTCACAACTCTTCTCGTCTATTGGCCTTAGCTTTTTCCACAGTAGCTTCCAAAACCCTCAAATTGCGATCCATCAGCTCTGCCCAGTTTTGAAGATCCCCTTCCTGAAGATTCAGCTGGCTGTATTTATTATACAGCTTTTGCAAAGGTAGAGCACCTCGGTTCTGTAGGACATTGTCATGCAAGTCCATCAGCTTCTTGAGTTGTGTTTCGTTGATCGATGCATGGTTGGTTTCAATCTCTCGTTGCGCTTCCGAAACGGCAGTATCAGTGCGACATTTGATGATTCTATTAATCTCGCGATCTAATTGGGCCTGGCGTGAGGATACTGACATATATAAACCCAGATTCCCTTATAAAAGCGGCGATTTGCACCTTTAAGGTAGGTTTTCAGGTTTAAATTGTATATCTGGGGTTCTCAATGCATCAACAGAATATCAACAGAATATTTATCTGAAGATCAAAACAGCGTACAAAATTGAGTGAAATAGCGGGTTTCTCTAGCTAAAATTAAAACGGTCACCTTTGCTATCATTGGAGGATCAGGATGCTATATTTTTGAGAGTCAGACTGTGTCATCTGCGATATAAAGCTCTTAATTTGATAAAGCGAGACAGAAGCACAATTTCGAGCTAAAGATGCCATTCTAAGGCAAAAGTTCAATTAAAAGATGGCTTGAACAAAATCTGAGCTATCAGATAAATGTTCTGGAGCCAAATCATGGTGTGAATACTCAAACCCCGTTTTCATCAAACTGATGTCATAGAGGCATCGAAACCCGATCAGAAACTTCGAGAACGGCTCAAATTGTTTGGTGGCTGCTCCAGAAAGGTGAATAGCGCTAGTTAAAGACAATAGATATGAACAAAGTGGCCTGTTCTTGGCTGTGGGTGGATATGGTCCTTTTAACTTACGCGAGTACTTGTCACGCTATCGCGAGTCCTTTCTACAAACCAAATATTAGGCCCTAAAGGTGTGGAATGAAAGAAACACATCTTCAATTTCATATCTGTAGCACGGGCCAACCTGCAGATGCTTAAGGCCACACACCTGTCGTCTATTAGTCGCGATGACATCGTCTCAATTCTTCCGATTACTGAAACGTCCAAAATACTGGCCTCCAACCGAGAAGGACATGTGCTAGTGTATTCTTACGAAGGTCAGTCGTTACGTCTAACGCAAACATACAATCATCTCATGAAAAACAATGGAAGAGATACTACAATTAGCGACTTACTATACTCGCGCCAATTGAGCACGGTATTTGCCGTTTGTGCAAAGAGCATTGTGTTGTTGAACAGCACAAACTTGAACCAATATGATAGAATTGTGGAAAAGAGAGGCATAAAACAGGCATGGATGCATGAGCAGCCCACCAGCAAGCATGGGAATATCACGATACTGCTGTTACAACCTCACAAAACGACAACGTTGAAGCTCTTTCTTTGGAACGATCGCGCCTTCAAAAACGTCTCTGAGATGAGCCTAGGGCATAAAGGCGAACAAATACTATCTATGGACATGGATCGCAATGGTTTAGTGCTGGCGACTAATATGAGCTGCTATTATTGGAGGCTTAAAGATCTTTCATTACAAAAACTCACTAAAATTGTCAGTCCGGTTTGGCCCCAGGGCATCAACGAAGCGTTGGAAGAATTAGAAAACCTTGGAGTCTCTAAAAAAACCGAGGACCACCAAGATATGGCTTCTGTATGGAGCGGATCCAATGTCTCGCGAAAAATAAGCATGGGCAATTTCTTTCAGCGTAAAGAAGCCCGAGGCGGGTTAGACAAGACACGGTTCCTTTTCCACCCGCCATCCTATCCGCATACGATTCTTCTGGACGGTGCGTCCAGAAAGAAACTAGAAGTCATGACTACTTCGTCACACGGGCCTTATATGACAGGTTATGAGCTGGGCCGATTCATCGATGCCAATAAAGAGTTTGATAATATCCAGTACTTTTCATCAAACTTTCTTATACTGAACAACCGCAAGACAATAAGAATAGGTGATTCGCACTATGGTTTAAATTTCCTAGAGTTCAATGTCGGGGAAGGTATCAGAAAAGTGGTTAGGGCACAGGGCTCAACTTTACTTGTCTGGACAGAAGCCGGTACTTTACAACTGTACAAACTGACCATAAGTGATGAACCCACAAGCATTTCTGACAGCGAGGATGATTTTATTGCAGTAGAAGAAGGTGGCCCGACACGAATGCTAAAGGCAATCATTTTTTACCAGGCACTGCTTGATCACAAAAATCCATTTTCTTTATGTGAAAGCTTCGAATGCGAAAATATTGAAGAGACCGTTGATTTTTACGCTATGAAACTGCGAGATTTAGTTGTCCTGTGGAGTTTTTCGAGCTTCGATAAATGCCAGACGCTGATTGAGAAGTCCCAAAACACAGTAAAAACCCAGGCAAGGATACTGGGCTTACAAGAACTCATCATAAAAGGGGTCTTTGATAATCTCATCAAGTTTCTCGCACCGCCTGAGCTAGTTATTGGTCACTGTTTTTCAGGATCTATGGCGAGATTACTGAACCAAGAACTTACACAAGAACTAAACCACCATCAAGGTATAAACGCGAATCATTTCCCTACTCGTGTCATGAATAAGTGGTGTCTACCTTATCTTACAGATATTAGACGAAATCTCCACAACCTCGCTAAAAATGGAACAATAAAATGGGAATACGAGAGGAGAGCGGTCAAAGTGGACCTCCAGTTTTTCTTGCTTGACCATCATCGAGAGCGGAGCATCGAGAGTTTACTGAAGCTTGTTGACACTTCAATTTTTAAAATTTACCTCGAGTTCAATCCTGCTATGCTAGGGCCGTTTACAAGAGTTCCAAATTCCTGTGATTTTGAGACAGTGGTGGAAGATTTATCCAAAAATATGAAAATTCAGGAGCTCGTCGATTTTTATTTTATGAGAGGGAAACATGAGCTAGCTTTGAAGCTTTTGACAGATCTTGAGAACAATGTGAAGTTGGCGCATCCTGAAACCCTCGCAGCGGATATCAAGATGCTTGTTGTTGATTACCTCAAAAAGCTACCTCAGTCTGCATTACCAACCATTTTCGAGTACACACTTTGGCTGATCAAAAAGTTCCCTAAGGATTCTCGCATAATCATTACTAGCATTTTCATGAACTTCAGTCCACACTGTGCTACCCTAAGGTCTTCAGATGTTTACGATTTTATCGATAGAATCGATAGCGAGTTGTCTCTCAAGTATCTGGAGTTCATCGTCGATGCTTTCGATTCCTCGGAAAGAAGCGTCTACATGAAACTTATTGAAAGGTATTTGCAGAAAGTTGATGAACCGAAAGCGGCTCGTAAATTGGAGGCCATCTTAAGATCAGGGGATTCATACGAGCCCCGTGGGGTCATACGCATGCTTGATAATGCTCTTCACGAAAATCGCCCATCCAGCGAGTCTAAAACCCTGATCAAAAGATTGAAAACTTATTCTCTAAAAATGTTGGGAGAACATAACGAAGCCCTTCACATCCTCTTTGAGGAGTTATCTAGCTACACGCTTGCAGCTTCCTATTGTTCTGATCTTTATCATCAAGATTCTCGAGCAGGCGTGGAGGTGTTCAGTACCTTTTTTGACATGGTGGTCACAAAGAGTAAAAGAGACGATACCGGGCCTCGTACCATCCTTCGTTTCCTCGAAGAGTTTGGATTCAGGCTCGACAGCGCAAAAACGTTAGCAAAGACACCCTCAGACATCTCTTTAAAGGATGTTCAACAAATTCTAGCCAAGGAAATTGAAACCTCATCCTTGAGGAAAAATAGGGTCCGGATGGAGAAGAATCTCTTACAGGTAGAACTTGTTGACAAGACTTACGCGCTTGACAAAGAGCTTGCCAAATATTGTATCATTAATCAGGATCAGAAGTGCTACGTCTGCCACAAGCCGCTGTTGAACGGCCGCGACACGACGATTATGTGGTTTCCTAATGCTTCAGGCCGAATTCTGTCACACTATAACTGCCGGAAAGTTATAGAAACTAGTTAATGTCAAGACATCAGGAAATGCCGAAAACTGCGTTAAGCTGTTTAGAAGATATACAAAAAATTTCATTATCTAACCGCTATCAGGCTGTTGAAACAAAATTCGCAACACTCGAGCAGTATTTTACAACGGAGTCAAGCCTCTTGTTCTGTGACTGTGCTTCGCGAAGGCGATCAAATGCTTTTCTCAGTTCTACATTGTTGCTGTTTGCATGGAGAACGTCGCCGTGTGCTTTGAAAAGCAAACTGATGAAAGCTTCATACAACTCAAAATTAGCATTGGAATTCAGACCTTGTGCGAGGGCCTCCATGAACCACACAAGTTCATCGAAAGGTTCGAACGACTTCAATGATCTAATTTCCATGTCTAAAGATGCTGGCGACAGATTCACCAGACCCTCCAGGAATAATTTGTAGTTCGTTGCCAGGTGCCCTTCGCGAAGTAGTTTGGTGAACTTGGATTCGAATGTAGCTATACCGGGCTTTTGCTTCTGTAACTTTTCTTCCATATCGGAGGACAGTTTTTCCTTTTCTTGCTCGACTCTCGCATTTGCACGGGATTGCTCGTAGTCAACATTCTCCCTCGCGATAGCATCGTCACCAACTTTTTCACCAGAAATTTGTAGAAAGAAGGGGGCCTTCTCGGCTTTTTTAGGCTGTTCTACAGGTTTGGAACGTTGCCTTATAACATCCAAGTTTAAGAGAGTCTTTAGTCTGTTTCTTGGTCCCAACGACAGTGTTATCAAGTTAGCATTTATCTGATCCACTGATTGGTACTGCCCAAATTCTTCTGCAGACACCTCACTAGAAGGGACATTTTCAAATGCACCTTCTAGCATTGATGCATGCCCGTATCCAAACGACGAGTATAAAGAGACGTGAGCAAAGTCTTGTTCTTCAATTTGACGAGCTGGTAAGGGCTTAAACTGGGCACGATTGGTCCAGATCGAGATACCATTTCCATGCACATGAGTGGTCGCAACATAGTCACCGTTCGGCGAGAATCTGATGTTTGTCGCAACGCTGTCGAGTCGAATACCATCTATACAGAGACCTGTCGGTAAATCCCAAGTTCTAACGGAGGAGTCTAGAGAAGCTGAAATTACCCACCGCCCATCAGGCGAAAAATCCAGAGAACTGATCCTGTTGGAATGGCCCCATAGTTGCCTTACAACTTTTTGAGTCACGGCATCGATAACCACAATTGAGAAATCATCGAGTGCTAAGGCAAAAAGGTCGGACGACTTATGGTAGACGAGAGAGGTAATTGGAACATCCAGTTGTAGCTTTCCCAAATACGCCGATTTGCTGAAATCGTAGAAACCAACGAGTCCGTCCAAACCACAAGATACCATTTTTCTGTTCATTCCATCGACAGCAATCCCACTAACAGCCTTTTTGTGTAGTTTGTACTTCTTACGGGGAAGCCCACTTTGCAAGTTGTAAACACCAATGCCTCCGTTGGATGATCCAACGAAACCAAAATTTCCACAAGCAGAAATAGCCACACACTTCGCTAATCCGCCATCAATAGTATCCAACGTCCATCTCCCGACTCTTTTCGTCGCGAGGTTCCATGTCCTGGCAAAATGTTCATCCTTGTGAGCGGTCAAAAGATTTTCCCACTCACCCTGTCTAGCGTTTTCAATAGCCATGGAAAGTACCTCTGGGAACTTCTCCTTTAGAACGTTACCAGCAAGTTTGCCCCCATCTTTTTTCTTGTGAAGCCTTTGGGATAGCTCTTGGGACTGAGCATCTTTACGCAAAGAAAAGCCCCATACTGATCTGTCCGAGGAGGCAGAAAGAAGAAAATGAGACTCCGTATCGGCGAAAAGAATGGATGTAGGAGGCTGAGAATGCCCTCCTCTAGATCTCAAAAAGCGTGGTGGCTGGACCACGACTTCTGCGTCGCCTTGTGACAGAGATGGATCGAAAATGTATTCCTTCAGTTGATTGTCGTCCCCGGATGTGACCACTATAGGCTGGCCGTTCAAAAAAGAAGCCTTGGAGATACCACCGTACTGTTCCCGGTGCACGCTTTTCAAAATGTGTATCCGCGAACGACGATCCAAATCATAGAAGATCAAGTCACCGTTGGCAGAGCCCACAGCCAAATGGGCAGCCCCATCTGTTCTGAATGAAAGACTGGAAATAGGCACTGGAGTTTTGATAGTCCGTACTTTGCGGCCCTTCTTCACATTGTATAATATAACTTCGCCCGAAGCAGAACCCAAACCAATTATGTCGAGAGCAGGTGCACATTCCGCAGTGGTTATAGTGTAAGGAAACTCATCTGCGGTGAAAAGAAGCTTACCGGACTTCACATTGTACACCAACAGATTTGATTTTGTTACGACAACGATTTTATTCAAATAGGTAGGCAGATGAATAACGGAAACGATGTCAGATCCTTGCAGTTTGGTAATTTCAAACTTGGTGTATAAGGCTGTGGCGAATTTGTCCTGGCCGTTACGTTTGAAAACGTACACTACATTTTTATCAGTCGAGACACACATGAAATCACCAAAAACACAAATATCATTAACTGTAGCATCAAAATCTGGCATTTCAAGCAAATGCTCCAAACGTCCCCTCCTGTAAGCCCCAACTTTGTTGCCAAAACCAGCAAAAACGAAATGAAAATGCGTTGCTAGGCATGTAATTGACGCATCTGTCTCCTTTTCGCTCACAAATAGTAAGTGGAGGTTGTTGGCGTCATAAATTTGAAAGCTTTTACCAACACTGGTGACAATGTAGAAGGTGGATCCCAAAGTTCCAACTGCAAAAGGTACCGCATTGGAAACGTTTCCAACGATACGGAATGGTGACAAAACCTTGGATTTCCCAAATTTTTGAGCGTCACTGCCACTGGCAGTCAGCTTGCGCTTCTTAAGAGTCTCTGTCATCGACTGATTGGGGTGGCCTCGAGTTCTTGTGTTTGGTTAAAAGTTTGACGATTTAAGCTCATCGCGCGATGAGAACTTGATATTTTCGATGAGCCGTGGAAAATGTTATATCATTATTCACGTGCTGAAGTTGCAGTGGCAGGTTCTTTGAAATGTAGAAGGGACCCAGTAAAGACCAAACTGATGAATCCAAACAAGGTATATGTTATATGATATGGATAAGTGATACGATTCTTGTTTTACCCAACAAGAAGAAACTAGCGAGTTTATTGTAGGCTGGGTCACGTGACTGAATGTGAAAGGTGACACCATAAGATAGTGACCCGTCGACGGACAATGCTAGTGATGAGCTTTCCCGATTAATCAAAGAGGTATCAGTTAGCTCAAGAGTGAGGTATTATCAAAAGTGCTGCGCAATGTTGACTTTTGGCCGATACTATATCGCTTAGTCTTTGGTCTTTTCGAAAATATACTTTAACAGAAGTAGCAGTCCCTACAGTGTCCTATGGACTTGAAGCAGGGAAACTTGTACCCTACTGCCAGTGGAGTGGACTGCCAGAGCCCTATCCGCTCTTTCAACCCAATCCTGAACATCACTTTGTACAATAATGACACCTGAGACGACTGGCTTTCAAATGGCTCGAAGCGACACTACTTGGCCCCATAAAATTCACCGCGTAATACTCAGTTCATGTGGTATTCACAGCAGATACTTTGCTATTCAGGTTGATGTTCAATGTTTCAAAAACCGTAATTACGCTGTTGTATGACAGATACAGGGTTCATTTAATCTGCAAGACAGCACGATTATTCGTCTGTCATCTTTACTAGAGACTGCTGAAACGAAGAGAAGAATTCGAAATCAACGGAATTCTAACATTTTTCTGCTCAGAAAAATCAAGAGTTTGTAAATCAGAAAAACACCCGCTGATTTGGAGGTTCTAGAGAGTTTTCTGAGTTTTTGAAATTGTAAATATTTTCTGTCACTTCACCATTTGCAACTGTATTATAAATTCTGATATTCACATAGCTCTCCCCAGTCAAGAACCTTTTCTAGGCGCCATAAACAGTCGAAATCTCAGCTACTAAGCTTTACAAGTTCAAGATATCTCCATATGCGCAAACTCTACACCCTACCAAAAAAAAAAAAAAACACGCTCTCATGACGTCTCACCAATTCCTATATACTGCCAATATATACTCCAAACGGTTTTTGATGGCTTTGGGCAGTCTATTTATCTAACGCGCTATTCTCATCTCTCCAATGATCACTCAACTCTGATTTTACTGTCGTCGATCAGAAATTAACTTACACTATTCACAGATTAAGCAAGAGAACTCCAATCGTATCCATTAGACTTTCCTGGGGTGTTTTATGATATTATCCACAGCTCTAGACAACTAAAAACACCTCTACTCGCTCTTATTGATCAACAAAGGGTTCTGGCTATTTCCTGTCGTAGTGACACGTTCCTATGTATAATGAAATGCAATTTTGACTCTCGAATGAACATATAAAAAGAGAACTCAAATCCGTCAAGAACCCAACAAAAGAGCCCTCAAACCAGACTTTTAACACTTCAGGTAGTTTCAGACAACCCAATAAATGTGTGGTAGCAACAAAAAAGATGCTTCGCACGGCCCTGTGTCGCCGTTATTGTTGAATAATAAAACCAAGAAAGCGATGGAATCAATTGCCCCAATATTGGAAGGCTTCAGTCCCAAAACTTCTGCAAGTGAGAATACTTCCTTCAAGCTGCCACCTCCAAGCAGTCCGTACCAATCGCATGTCGATGACGAGATAGGATCTGAACTGGGATTGTATCGGACGTTGAGCATGAATTCTCAACACTCGTCTGCTTCGTCAAGACCCGGTTTATCTCCAACTAACTCCTACGATAACGCTCCAATGGGAGCTGGACTGCAGAGGTTGAAGAGTAACTCAAATTTAAATCCGAATAGTACTGCCGTTCCGGGAAGTTCTGCTTCAGTTTCAAGCCAGGCCACGTCTGAACAGGGACAAGGCACCAACGATCAAAGCGGAAACGAAGTTAGCCCGGAAACAGCTACCAGTTCTGCTACAAGCTCTGCAGGCTCATCCCGCAAGCCATCGTCGAGCGTCTCAAAACCACAATTACCCAAAATCGGGAAAATTGGAGTGTGTGCGATGGATGCTAAAGTGCTATCCAAGCCTTGCAGACACATTCTGAACAGACTGATTGAAAACGGTGAGTTCGAAACTATTATTTTCGGCGACAAAGTCATTTTGGATGAAAATAAGGAAAGCTGGCCCACCTGTGATTTTCTTATCAGTTTCTTTTCATCTGGTTTCCCACTCAATAAGGCCATCGACTATGTCAACCTCCGCAAACCATTTTTCATCAACGATTTGGTGATGCAGAAGGCTTTGTGGGACAGAAGACTTTGTCTCAAGCTTTTGGATGTGTCTAAAGTACCAACACCTCCAAGATTGGAGATTAGTCGAGATGGAGGACCCCGCGTTGATGCTGCTTTGAAAGCCAAATTGCTTGAAAAGGGTATCGATGTCAGACCTTGTAAGGAACCAGAATGGAGAATGATTGATGAAGATACGCTGGAGGTGAATGGAGTGAGAATGTCAAAGCCATTTGTGGAGAAACCAGTAGATGGCGAGGACCACAATGTCTACATATACTATCATTCCAAAAATGGAGGTGGTGGCAGACGTTTGTTTCGTAAAGTGAGAAACAAAAGCTCAGAATTTGATCCTGCTCTGGTATACCCACGTACCGAAGGTTCTTACATTTACGAAGAATTCATGGACACTGATAATTTTGAGGATGTCAAGGCTTACACTGTTGGTGAAGGGTTTTGTCACGCGGAGACAAGAAAGTCGCCTGTTGTCGACGGAATCGTCAGAAGAAACACTCACGGGAAAGAAATCAGATACATAACCGAGCTTTCTGCTGAGGAGAAGGAAATGGCGAAGCGTGTGACCAACGCATTCTCTCAAATGATCTGTGGCTTTGATTTGTTACGTGTGAACGGGAAAAGCTATGTTATAGACGTGAATGGGTTTTCATTCGTGAAGGATAACAGTGCATACTACGATGCATGTGCAAAGATTTTGAGAGATACTTTCTTACAGGCCAAGAAGAGAATGGATCTTGAAAAACGCAACTTGCCAGTTATCAAAGAGGAAAAAACTCAAAAGTGGGTTTTTAAAGGCTTGGTAACTGTCATCCGCCATGCAGACCGTACACCCAAGCAGAAATTCAAACATTCGTTCACCTCCCCGATTTTCATCTCGTTGCTAAAGGGTCACAAAGAAGAAGTGGTAATCAGAAACTCATCGGATTTGAAGGTAGTACTACAGGCTTTGATGATTGCGAAAGAAGAAAACACCGAGGACCCTCAAAAATTGAACGTCTTAGCTAGTGCCTTGGAGAAGAAGATGGATTTACCAGGCACCAAAATTCAGCTAAAGCCTGTCCTCAATTCTGAAAAGGAAGTAGAAAAGGTTCAATTCATTCTTAAATGGGGAGGTGAGCCTACGCATTCTGCACGTTATCAAGCCACCGAGTTGGGAGAGCAAATGAGACAAGACTTTGATCTACTGAACAAAAAGATTCTTCCCAACATCAAAATTTATTCTTCATCTGAAAGGCGAGTTCTGGCTTCAGCTCAACTATGGGCAATGGCTCTCTTTGGTGCCGACGAACTTGGTAGCGACGAGATATGCATCAGGAAAGATCTGCTGGATGATAGCAATGCCGCTAAAGATCTCATGGACAAAGTGAAAAAACAACTCAAGCCATTGTTAAGAGAGGGGAAAGAAGCACCTCCCCAATTTGCATGGCCCGCGAAAATGCCCGAACCATATTTAGTGATCAAGCGTGTCGTGGAGCTGATGAACTTTCACAAACGTGTCATGGACTACAATTTCAGAACCAAAGATGTCAGCGAAATGCAGCGCAGATGGTGTTGTGCAGAGGATCCTACGCTTTTCAAAGAGCGTTGGGATAAACTTTTCAAAGAGTTTGTCACAGTTGAGAAAGTCGACCCCGCTAAGATCTCCGAGCTTTACGATACTATGAAATATGATGCACTTCACAACCGTCAATTCCTGGAACACATTTTTGCACTGGATGACGCTAGGGCAAGAGCTAATTTGAACCTGTGCAAAGATTCTCTTGTGGACCGTTATCCCATCAATATCTTGGCCATGAACAACTTCAAAATTCCAGACTCTTCGTCGCAGAGCGGCGGTAGCTCGAGTAAATCCAGCAGTGTCGGGTCGTTGGGCTGGGTTCTAGAGAAGAACTCCAATTCGACACAGTCGTCGTCGGTATTTGACGACCCCAAGTTCATGCAGTTGCGAGAACTTTACAAACTGTCCAAGGTCTTGTTTGACTTTATCTGTCCGCAGGAGTATGGTATTGAGGATGGAGAGAAACTCGACATCGGCCTTTTAACCTCGCTCCCTTTGGCGAAACAGATCTTGACTGATATTCACGATATGAGGAGCAAAGACGAGCCGGCGTGTGTTGCGTACTTCACGAAAGAGTCTCATATCTACACTTTGCTCAACATCATTTACGAGAGCGGACTTCCCATGAGAATAGCTCGTAATGCGCTACCGGAGTTGGACTACCTGTCGCAGATCAATTTCGAATTATACGAAAGCACCGATGCTACTGGTCAAAAGTCGCATGCCATCAGACTCAAAATGTCACCTGGCTGCCACACGCAAGATCCACTTGAAGTCCAGCTAGACGAAAAACACTACATTAGCTGTATTCCCAAGTTATCCCTGACGAAGCATCTAGATCTCGACTACGTTTCTCAAAAATTGAGAAACAAATTCTCGCGAGTAATTCTTCCCCAGAAATTCACCCCGGTCAACATCACAAGTCCAAATCTATCATTTCACAGATACCTTTCTGGACAGGACGATGCCTGAGGGCGATGCCAAGAAATTTCATAAGTTGATTACCATACCTCAAGTTCAAAATTGGTTCACATTTTGAGCAATTGCGAAGTCAACTTGATATGCTTTACGCGACCCGGCAATTGAAGCCGAATAGTCATTCAAATTGAGATCTGAAAAACAGCTATGCCCGCCTGCCACATGGTCACCAAAATGTTGATCGAGCAGTTTGAGCAAATTTGACCTTGCTCAAAAATGCGCATGGGGTGTCGGGTCAAAAATGTTTATAAAGGCCCGAAATTTGGGCCATGTCCCATAACCTTTCAGTATGTTTGGGGTATAGTTTTATCAGTGCCTTGTTTCGGATTTGTCTTTATTGTCACCAAGGTTTACTAGACTTTTCATTTCTTGGTAGAACTGGCGCCAGGTTTCGAGTAAGACATTTGAACAAACCTTTGAGAAAAAAAATTAAAAGGACCAAGGTCATACTCTAAAGTTTCTGAAACCTTCTTTTATCATGTCCAGTGAGGTTTTCAGCGATCCGAATTTGAAAATGTCGATGAGTGGAGGGTCGATGAAGAATACCTGTAAAATTTCGATGTTGTGGAATTGGTACACAATCGATACGTGTTTTATCTCTAAGACCTGGAGAAACGACACTAGAGGCAAGTTTGCGGGCTCGTGTATCGGGTGTTTTCTGTTGGTGTTCGTTGCGCAGTGGTTGAACCGAGTTTCGAGACAATTTGACTTGGAATTGGCGAAAAGACGGAAATTCAAGGTATTGAGCAAACAACAAGGAAATTTTGCCGTTGATGATGGCTCTTCGTCCTCCCTTTCTGAACCGGCAGCTAGGACTCTGCAACAGCTTGCCACTGAACCGGACTGGAAAACTACTTTGAAGGCTTTGGGTGCAACTTTGTCGCACACTTGGTATATTTCGCACAAAATCAGTGACGAATTCGACGCTCTGGAACCTTTGGTCTGTTGCTCCGTCTCGGTCAACGTCTACCCAACTGTTGTAGACCACATTCTGCGCGCAGGAATTTTCACTTTACAATGGGGGTTGTCATATATCATCATGCTGCTGTTCATGTACTATAACGGCTATATCATTATCAGTTGCTTGCTGGGCGCGTTGTTTGGCAGACTGTTCTTTAACTTCGAGCCTTTGACGACCTGTGGTGGTGCGACTACTTTAAGCTCTGTTGCCCACGACAAAGAGGAGAATGACCGGAAGTGTTGTATGTAATTCGATAACATCAACTTTAAGTAGGTTACGATGTTGGTAATATAATTCATATTCGATCACGTAATTCGTTTGAATGACATGAATCAAGATCTTTCAGGACTTTGAATCTGCAGTAAGCGATTCTTCATAATAGTTTTACCGTTGGGGTGCTCAAGAGATATTGTACAAATGGCCTACGATTTCAGCATTTACTTTTAAGATGTAGTCGTTTTCAATTGTCCAGAGAAATATTGTGGTTGTACCAGCTTAAGAGCTATAGTCACAAAATTTCAGTGTGCATGCGAATACCGCTTGCACCTGGAACCGAGCCGACAGTCTCATTATCCCAATGCTCCGTTAGTACAATGTCTCTGATCAAAAAGTTAAATTTGTGAGACACGTACTGCAATCCTGTGATTGCAACACTGGTTTTCCCGCCCTTCAATTTTTTTTACTTCTCAAGATAGCAACTTCCAATGATTCTTGACGCTAGATTCCGATATAAATTACAGTGGAGTTCAACACAGTTTGTGGATCTCACCTCACAATGAAGCCAGAGAGTCGAACAATACAGAAATACTCTCTCCGTAGTGATCACGGCGAATGCATTCGGCGAAAATCGAAGACACATCAATAACCACCAATTTTTTCGAGCTTGCCAACTTTTGCTGAGAAATCGGGTATGTGTTGGTAACGACTATCTGATGAATTGATGTGGAGTTTTCCAACTGTTCCAGGCAGTCACCGGTGAAAACACCATGAGTGGCTATCACGTAAACCCTCTTGGCACCACAATTTTTCACCATATGTTCTGCGGCACTGATGAAGGATCCAGGTCTGTCTATCATGTCATCTAGAATGATTGCAGAACGCTCATTCACGTTTCCGACTAAAGTGATCAATTTTTCCTGATCCACAAAATCAGGGCCTTCCTCATCTTCGGAGTCAACAGCATCATACGAACCAAGCGCATAAGAATCGCTGGTTGACGATAACGCATCTGAGTCGTTCTCTGATTCTGAAATACACGCGTCGTCCGCGTAATCGTCGTCATCGACAACGTGGCCCTTAACAACTCTTGCTGTTTGAATACCATTAGTGAGTATGATATTTTCCTCCTCACCTGGGGCCTCTCCTGGCATAACAATCGGCTTGTTTTTCCTGAGCATGGATTGCTTTCTTTGCATCAGCTGGGTTTTGTTTCTGTTTTGAGAATACAGATCTTTAGAACGACGACGATCAGTGTGTATCATGGCGAAATTTATCTTCAACGAATCTGCCAATGCTGTCACTCTCTTGGTACCACCTGGATTTTTGGACACCACAACGGCATCGGTAAACTCATGGACATTTTCTCTAATCCATTTGGCCAAACTGGGACCTCCATATAGGTTGTCTACTGGTTTGCTGAAAAAACCTTGCATTTGAGAAGCGTGAAGGTCCATGGACACGACATGGTCTGCACCAGCCATAATGAGCAGGTTTGCAAGCATTCTAGCCGTGATAGCCCCTCTGTGTTTCTTCATTTTGCACTGCTTCGAATATGGGAATTGTGGAACCACAGCTGTGATTTTTTTGGCAGATCCACCCCTGCAAGCGGAAACCAAAATCAAAAGTTCCATTATATGGTCATTGATCGCTGGAGATCCCGATTGGATCACATACACATCTTCATCACGCACGGAGACCCCTATTTGCACTGAAGTTTCGCCATTAGCGAATTTTTTCAGTGTGCACGGTGCAGGCTCAATACCCAGTCTTTGGCACACCAAATTCCCAAGTTCGGGGTGTGAATTCCCTACAAAAACCTTGCACTTCCGCATTTCCTTGTGTCGCCAATCACACTGCTTTGTAGCTTCTTCGAGCAAACTCACTTTGGGCTATCTGCTGAGAGCCTAAAAGGTCTGCAAACTTGATTGGAGGCTTCTTTTTTTGTACAGTTTACCGTTGAAAACCGCACAAAATTCGTGACTGATTTTCGAAGGTGTTTCTTTCTTTGACGTCGAAGTTGGCTATAAAAGAACAACCCTTTTCACTTGTTTGTCCGACCAAGAACTGGAAATCAAAAGTTTACTTGGGAGGTCAAATTTACCAAAAATGGACCGTTTTGACTACCGAGAGAAGGTTTAAAAAGCTGGGCTCTAGTTTGAAAAGCTAGAAAACGTTGATTTTAACAATCAATTGAAGCATTCAATTTTGAACCTGTAACGGTTCATAAAGCGTTGAGATATACACTAGTGCAAATCGGAAAGTCTCGAATTTTTGGAATTTTTTTTTTCACTATATATAATATATATTATGTATGGAAGAAAAAGATAACAGTACGTGACGTTTATAGTGATGTCGCGGATGGCTATCGGGTCAAGAGATGGATTGAATGATTGATAGTATGTTTTGAAGATATTTGGGACTATACATTGCCTCACTTGGTATCTTCAAAATATTTGTAATCGTTACGGCAGGGTGCGTGTGAGTTTTCGTACGAAGTGATGAATAACTTGAGCTGGATAAAAGATTCTCAGAAGGCAACGATCGCCTGCCATTGCGAAAGCTGAACAGAAAGGGAGAGAGATTATCTGCTCTTGTACTGAGACCCAAGTCAATAGCCTATCCAGTTTTTATAACTTGCTCGTGTAGATAAGCGATCACGTGACTAATTTCGGTGCTCTCCTTTGGCTAACATAATCCCCATATTTCCCACAATACATCTTCTCCATTCACAGAAACCTTCAACCAATTTGGATTGTCCTTTGCAATGTTCCTCTAAAAGACATTTGACATATCGTGATCACTATTTCCATGTCTGACTTAAGATCACGTGCAAAATCGGAGATCACCGAAAACCGCTGGATAGGATGTCACACTCGATTCTGATAAAAGAGACTCTTTAATATCGTGATAAACTGTTTACAGGATCAGTAGCTGGCCTCTGTGTTATCCTATCCAATCTCGTGGTCACGCTATCCAGTCTCATCTTCTCACGCAAATGAACCAAATTTACATTATTTTCGAAAAGCGAAATCTGGTCTTCTTGAAGATCGGACCAACTTCGAGCCTTCCATCGCACAAAAGCTACCGGCTAGAATTGCCACGCATCGATCACTTCAATCTCATTCCTTTCTGACTTGAAGTTCTTCAAATTCCGAAAAATGCGTCACGTGACTTCTATATCTTCACCTGTATTGGCACCGGTAATCAACCCGAGAGCTCATCACGACCAACTGGAAGGTCATCGCCGTTGAAAACATCGACATCTGGCTCTTCAGGATCTCTCTTACCACCGTTTATGACATTAGAAAGCAGCGGCAATGATAACAAGAATTTCAAGAAAGTCAATAGGACAAGTTCTAAGCTAAATGCCACGACTTTCGAGGAATCGCTTCGAGAAAGACGATGCATTGTCAGAAAATCGCAAATGTTTGAAACTCTGCAGCATGAATTGGAATCTTTCTTGGACCCAATTCAGCAGATACGATGTTTGGCAATTGGTAGTTTTTACGAAGAATTCGCTGCGTTGTACCAGCTGGCACTTCTTCTCGAGCTGATAGATCACTTCAACGCTCACAGCGAAAAACCTCTGGAAGTGTCCATCTACGATCCAGTCTTTACAAAAGCAGACAAAGAATTCATAACGAAACAGGGATCAAGCTGGTCAATTGACGAGAGGTTGGAAGAGGGTTCAATAAAACCTGAAAATGTGCTATTCTTTCTACCTCATGCACCATTGGACTTAACAGAAGAAGTCTTGGCGCTGGAGAAACCAAGACTATTGCTAGCAAACCACGTTTCCAAACACGTCGATCGATATACCAAGTCACAATTGTATCAAAAATATCCAAAACTTGCGAAACTAAACCATTTGTTCGCCCCCAACGATGTTCCTGCCACACCTTCAGACTTTCAACCTTTCATTTCAAGACGAGCTCGTCGAAAACTCAAGAATGTGTCATCAGAACACTCCCCAGATTACGACGCTATAGAAACATATTTCAGACAAATCACCATGCTCACAGATTTCGACAGCGGCAAAACACTGTCCAACGAACCCTGGCTTAACTCATTCTCAGATTTGGCACTCCATCATCTGCTTTAGGCCAAGAATGTCAAGAACAACAGACAATACTACTAAGTAAGCCTCAAAGAATAATTTATCTGATAGTGTACTTATTATATGTATTATATTATACATTCGTTAGAGAGCAAAACTGTCTTTGTTCCCGGTGACGGTCAACGCGAATCTTGTTCCAAAATCTGAAAGAAATTATTATCATGTCCTAAGGCGAACTGACTCTCCTTGTAAGATTTCCCAGTCCCACAGGAGAACCTAGCTCTCTTTTTCTTGCTACAAGATATATGCGCGCAATGGTGGTATTTCCCAGCACCCCCATTAGCGAAAGTAAACCCTCTTCATGAACTTTAGTTTTGGTACTTTTCCCAGTTGTCCAAAACCTCCTTCACTTTCTCGGAACCAGTCAATTCGTAAACATCTTGGAAGTATTCTTTTGTAATCTGGAAAGGTTTCGCAGTCAAATTTGGAATGTACTTACCAATCAATCTGTCGGCATTGACGTTCTCTTTGACGATGTTTTTCTTCAAGAAGTTCTTGAAAGGTTTCACACCATTTCTTAGGTATGACGAGTGGAAAGGCACCGAGATACCACGCAATGGAATACAAGCAAAACCTCTTTCCAAATCAATTGGCTGTGGCTTCGCTTCAGATTTCTTTGAAACTTCGTCAATGATCTCGTTCAAATGACTCTCCACCTCTTCGAGAGAAATGGTAGCCTGAAGTTTGACGATATCTATCTTTTGAATCTTGACGAAGTTCAAGACGTTAGTCAAAGTGTCTAGAGCTCTCAGGTCACCAGCGGCAACGTATTGTTGGTTCTCAACATTGTAGTTGACAATTTCAACTAACCATCCTGTTCTCTTGTCAACGCATTCAACAACAAACTTCAAAGCGTCCTGGTTGAATGTTGGTGAGACACGGCCTGGGTTCACGGCAACCATACCGTAGTTCGATCTTCCAACCTCGTCTCTTGGGACTGCAACTTGCATTGTCATACCTCTGTAAAACACGACTTCCACCAAAGATTCGATGGACATCACGTCAGCCAAAGATGCAAGAGCAGCATATTCTCCCAGGGAGTGACCAGCAAAGGCCGCATCCGTTGGGATCAAACCCTTAGATCTCAAATCCTCAAAAGAAGCTTTCTCCATCAGGGTTAGAGCAGGTTGTGTAAATTGTGTTGCAGATAGAAGACCGCTTGGAGACCTGAAAGTGTAAGAGGTAGTTTCTTCCGTAATGTCCTTAAAGATTCTCTCGGTTTTCAATTCGCCATCAACAATGGTTTCGAAGATCATCTGAGTGTAATTGGCTTTAATCTTTCTACCCTTCTCACCACCAAAGTAGATGGTCATTTCAGTAGGGTTCTTCTTCACAATGTCCAGGATAGAGAAACCGTAAGTCTTTTTGAAGTGAGCATCAGCTCTGTCCCAAACAGTTTTAGCAACCTCGGATTTCTCATACAAGTCCATACCCATGCCTTGTTCTTGAGAACCTTGACCAGTGAAGACGAACGTGGACACAGGTTGTTCGACTTCGGCTTCACCAACCATTACGGTTTCATCGTTGTCATTCTGAGTTTCAAACTTGATCAATTTACGACCGTTAATCATTCCGATGTGTTGAATGGTAGTCTTCAAAGGAGTGTTTGGCAAAACCATGCCAACGAATTGGCAGCTGTAAGCGCGAACTCTTGCCGAAACGTTGTCGGCAGCCCAGGTTTCTACTAAAGCACGAACAGCAGCAGATGAGTACATGCCATGAGTGATAGTTCCAGGTAGGTTAGCGTAGTCGGCGAAATGGCGGGAGACGTGGATTGGGTTCAAATCGCCTGATACTCTCGCGTAAGGCTCGTTTGTACCAGGAGCCTGTGTATCCTTGACAGCAATTGGGATAGCGTTTTCAAGGTTGACCTTTTGCTCCAAAGTAGAGCCATTTCTACTCAAGTAATCGATAACTGGGTTGCCATGAGACTCTCCGGCTTCATAGTCTACAACACCAATTTCAACCTTCTCTTTGGTTGGTAATTCCACCTTTATTTTACCTTCGCACTTCACGGTATTGAAAATAGTCTCGTCCTTGAAGGTGACAGCTGTTTCAGTTTCGAAGGTTAACGTCTTACCGAGCAAATCAATTTCTTCGTCGTCCAGCTGGAACCACTCCTTAGAGCGAAGAACAGCAACGTCTCTAGCACTGTTTATCTTAACTTGGTAAACAGGCTCGGTAATTTTCTCGAAAGTGTTTTCAAAATCGGTGTACTTACCACGGTAGAAGAACGAAGAAGTGACCTCCATAACAGGGGAACCTTTTCTACTCAAGATACCGACAACCTCAACGATCTTCCCGTTAGGCTGATTGACGACACTCTTGATTACTGCAGTGGAAGAGATCACATCGTTTTCTTGCAGAGGCTTGGCACCAGGAATCATTCTGTAACCGTTCGACATGTGAACAAGCTTCAAAAGATCACCATCCACAGTTTTTGGGAAAATAGCCTTGATGATAACTCTCCAGCCCACGACAATTGCGAAGTCCATTGGTGCCAATAGCTTCCTGCCTGGTCTCGAGACAAAGTCTTCGCATTTGTTTCCAATAGCGTGAGTGAATTCAGCGATGTCCTTAGCAGTGATGGTAACATCTGTGCCTTGAATAGGTTTCTTTGCATCGAAATCTAGGTCAAAAGGTTCATCGACCCACAGCTTCCAGTAGAGTTCTTTAATACGATCATTACGACCGTCCATAACCTCAGAGATAGGAGCGAAACCATCCTCAGGCTGGTACTTATAGAGCAGTGGTAGACTGACAGGTTTTCCGTCCATCGTTCTGTTCTCAATCAACTTCAACTCCATCACGTTATCTTTGATCAAGCGCAAAGACACTGTGGGTTTCAAATCTCCCTGAACCAGCTCTAGCAAAGTAATGTTGCACTTTGCAGGGTCCTCAGGATTGGAAATCTGAACGACGGATTGAGGGGAGGGCTTGAACACCTTGTGAACAGGATTCTTTGCATAGAAAGAATCTTGAACAACTCTTGGTGTAGAGAAAAAGGCGTGTCTCCAGTTCCTCTTGGAGCCTGCTAGTAGCTTGAACCATTCTTGTTCATTAGCGGATGCAGGGGCGCGGTAAATAATTTTGCCATCGGTTTCAACAGAATCAAACTTGACTGTTACTGGATCCTCGCCCCCGAAGTACTCGACAACAGGAATGCTAGCGCGATCGCCGTTGTAGTAATCCTTTAGAAGTTTCTCGATATGGCCATTGTGAATGCCGTCCATGATACTTTCAATGGGCTCATCCACTTCATTGGTGTACTGAGCAGCGACGGGGCCGTGTAGAATACATGTTCTTTGAACATCTTGGTCAACAACGGCCTCTAGGTATTCGGATTGCCATAGGGAGTCCTTCTTGAAAAAGAACTCAAATCTTTGATCCAAAACAGGAACGAAAGGTACTGGTTTTTGAGCTGGATTTTGACACAAACTCAAAAAGTAGTCGACGTCCTGGGCGTTTAGATATTGGGTTCTGGCAGCAGGGTAAGCTTCAAAGATGGTGGTTAAAACCTCGAAAGGCTTGTTCAAAATGGAGTAGGATTGGAGCAAAGAGGCTGTCTTCTTTTTAGTGAAACGCTCTTCAACACGACGCAAGAAGTCTCCAGTAAAATTTCTCCAGGTAATATCGATCCATTTATCAGCGGATTTCAGATACATTAACTCGACTAATCTCTGAGCAACCTCTTCATAGTTCATGTCGGTGAGATCCCGGACCTGTCCATCAACGGTTGCAAACCAAGGCTTTTGGAAGTCAGCATTTAATTTGCCGATAATGTAATCCCTCTTGGCATCTAGAGCAGGTTGCAGCTTGTTCTTTGGTAGATTGAAGATGGTTTCGTCCAACTCCTTCCATAGCAACACACCTCTAGTGGCAATTTTGTGAATTGGCTCACCCATTTCAGAACGAACAGTGACAATACCACCAGTAGGCTTCTTGTAGGTCTGCTCCCATTTATCATCAGAAATACCACTGCATGCAGCAATAGCCTTTTTGGCGTCAGGTGAAGTCTTAGCTTCTTTCGCGATCATGACCCTCGAACCAAACAAGAAACCGTCGAAGGGCATGGGTGGGTAATTGAACTTGGTAGACCACTCACCGGTTAGGTAGGGATAAGTATCTTCAGCAGAACCAAAACCAGAACCCGCGACCAAGATGATGTTAGACGATCTTCTGATTTTCGAGTACATCTGGAAGATTGGAGAATGCATGTCTTCGAAGGAATGATGACCACCACCTCTACCACCAGTCCATTGCAAAACTATTGGGAAGGTTGGATGAGCCTTAGCGATTGCAATGACTTGAGAAATAGCCTCAACAGAGCCAGGTTTTAGACCCAAGTAAGTGAGGCCCAAAGTTTCAATGTATTCTGAGGCAACCTCTAGGGATGGAACACCGGCACCAATAGTCATAGACTGAATAGGATATCCCTTCTCTCTCAACTCTTTTATCATTGGAATACCCCACTGCAACATTCTGGGGTTAACATAGATTAAGTTAAGACCAAACCCGTAACCTTTCTTGATCTGAGAAACCACAGAGTCGATTGCAGAAGTCATATGGGCAGGAGAAAAGTAACCACCACCAGCCAATTCGATGCTGTAGCCGGCGTTGATAGTAGCAGCAACGAAGTCTGGTGAGACGGTACATGGAGTCATACCAGGTACAAGCAGAGGTGCGCGACCCAAAAGCTTCGAAAACTTAGTATCAACGTAAACCTTACCGCCTTTAGTCTTGACCAGCTTAGGATGAAATTCCTCGAGCCAGTTAGGTGAGTACTTAAGGCCATTGGAGGAAACATCAAAGATTTCTTGTTTGAAACCATACTCATCGTCGTGGTTGACGTCTAAAGCACCAGCAACGATAACGCGGACACCGGTACCGTCCTTGTTACGTTGAGTAAGGACACCGAGGCCAGAAGACCCACCGGGGCCAAAGTCCAAAATGTGAGAAGCCTTGAACTGCGTTGTAACTTCCCAGTTGACTGGCAATTTGGTAATGCACAGCGTAATTCTTTCGGCAATAGATCCATTGTACTCTCTCAAATCCTTACCATCAAAAGTGTCGTAGACAGGAATTTTGAGGTCGGATGCATTGTATTCCAACCCAGCATCTTCTAAGTCTTGCTTAATGAAAGCGTTAGCTGGTTCTAATAGGTGAGAGTGGAATGGCGATGCGATGGGTAGGAATCTGTTGAAAAACTTGAGCTTTCTTTCGCTGTGTGGAATTCTGGCTTGATCCAAACCCGCTGGAGCTTTAGCCTTTCTCAAGGTCAAATTCAAACCGTACAATGATTGAGGGGGACCAGATACAACCAGATTTCTGGCACCGTTCACCAAGGAGATCACAATGTGTTTCTCCGATGGTAAATGGGCGTTGGTCTGATCAACGTATTTTTGAACCTGTTCCTTTGTCAAATTGGACACAGACAACATAGGAGATGGAGTACCTTCACCATTTTCGGCAGAGTCCTCAAGCATGGAAGGAGACATGGAAGTGTTGGGGTAAGCCTGGTAGCAACGCACACCAATGGAAAACAGAAGAGTGATGGTCTTGTTCAAAGCTTTGAAGAAAGAATCCCAAGAATCGGCTTCTGCAATGGCCACAGCGGTCGCAAGGCCCTGGGAGTGACCGGTAGCACCGACCAAATGTGATCTTAGCTCACCTGGGGTGAAGCCCAAGACACGGGCAGTGACAGCATAGTGGACCAGCTGAATTACACCAATCAATGGACATGAAATGGGAATAGACAAAAGGTAAGCGTTGTCAGGGGTGGTTTCTGGGTTTTTCAGCCATTGTAGAACGTCAAAACCTTGAGTGTACACTTTTTCTGTGTCGTCAGTGGATCTGACCAGTTCTGCCAATTTCGAAGCAGCAGACTCGATAACATCGGAGATAACGCTATGGTAAGTGTGATAAAGCTCGCGTAATTCCTCGAAATAATCATCGGTGTTACCTTGGCCGCCGAAAATGGCAACCAGTTGAGATTCTTTAGCACCCGCACTCTTGAACAATGCAGAATCGGACTTTGTGAAAGGTCTTTGGGCTGCGATACGAGCATCGAAGTAGTTCTTGATTAGAGTTTTCACCTTGTCCAAAGAAGTTGCGTACACGTCGTCGTCTGCCAAAAGTTTTGCAGCCAACGCATGTATATCGTTGCCTTGCAGATAGCTAGATTCGAATTCGGCCAAAGCGAAGGCTAGAACGTCGTCAAATTGGCCCCTGGTGGAAGGGTCGACCAAAGTAGCTACATAGCCAAGGAATTGACCCAAAAGCTCTGCTGGAGACGATGGTTCTTCATCGGAGATGAATCCTTCAGTGGCAGCAGGAAGTTGTTTGGAGAATTGGTCTTGGAGCTGGGAGCCTGGGAAAAAAGACGCCGTTGGGACTGGTAGAACGTGCTCGATAGAGCCGTGAGCCAAAGTAAGAGCCCTGGTGCTGCTAGAGGCACTGCTCATTGTGTATAAATGGGGTTGAGATGGGGGAAGGGGAAATAAAATAGGTAAGGCGTATCAAACGTGGGAATCGTTTTGTGGCCTAAAATTTGATCTTGTGTTTAACCAAAGGGGGAACTATTGGCTGCTTATAGGGATTTAAGCACAACAAGAATCGGTGAATTGGGAAAAGCTGTTTGCTGGGTACAAATGGCTGCAATTGAATGGTGGTTAGTAAAACGGACGAGTCCCCGGTTTTGGAAAGCCAATTGGGGAGTAGAAAGACCAGGGAAGAAAAGGCGAAAACCAATGGGTAAAAGTGAATGGATATTATACGCTTTCTGTTTTAGTTTTTTTTTCTTTGGGCAGGGGAACAGGGCAGAAGCAGAGCCTCTCTTTCTCGGTATATTTCTTCTTCAATGCACATGTTGTGAGAGTGCCTCAGGTCAGGGGATTGTGCCAGCGGTTCCCAGGGCGCTCGCTGTTGGTGGAAGCCGCTGAATGAGGGAGAAAACCCAACAGATTTTGGATACTCAGACGAGTCACTGGACCCGCGAAAAAAAAATAGGCCTGGGAGAGACCTTAGAGAAAAGAGAGGGAAAAAAAAAAAAAACCCCCCAAAAAGAGAAGCCAGCAGACCCGGACGGACACTACTCTCTAAACGAAAACGGGCATCAAGGGGGTTGGGTTGAAAGACGACGAAACGGTAAACTGAGATGTGTCAAGTCAGATCATCATAAATAATGTTCGCCAAAAACTCAATTGTAGCTCAAATTTTTTGTTTCTCTCTCTGTCTCTCTGTCTCTCCGTCTCTTTGTCTCTCTGTCTCTCTGTCTCTGTTTTCCTTCATTTCCCCGTCGCCCTTCTCATCCTCTCAATAGCCTGCCTCCCTTACTGCCGCATTTCCACCTCTTTTTGTTGGATTTTAGGTTTTCTCCTCAATGATACCGGTACAGGTAAAGAAACAAAACAAGCTCACTTATCACGGCCGTGTCTCACCGGCTCAGTTTGTTTTGTTTTTGTTTTTTGTGTCCTTTGAAAAACAGGCCCCCCTTAAAGAGAGTCCAGCCAAGCCCTGTAGAAAACGTACCTTTTAGATGTGTGTTGGGCGGCTAATATTGGATATTCACCACAAGGATCACAAACTTGTAGCGTTTCCATTTCCATTCTTGTTCTTGTTTTCTTGTTCTTCCAACTTTCTTCAATCCTCTTCTTCCGGCTAAAACATACCTTAAATTGTAACAAGCAAGTGTGAGTAGCGATGCAATTCCTGGGAAAATTGGAACTGTTACGAGTAACTCTATCTGGCTAGTTGTCGGGAACGTTAGTACTCGAAAGATTCTAAAACTCTTGAGTAAAGGTTGTTTAAGAATCTATCTTGGCGTCAAATTGACTCTCTTTATATATATATACGTATTTTCTTGTATCGGGCTCTTCTACTGTCTCCCTGAACGCTGCCACAAAGGTCCGTGTTGGTGCGGTTGGTTGTTGAGGGCGTTGGGTAAAAAAAAAGGTCTAGTCACAGTACAGTGTAAGTGGGCGTGAATACTTTACGGGTACGGTTCAATATGCGTGGGTGGTGAGTGGTGGTGGTGGTATAATCGTACGCTTCGTCTTCTTTGTTGGTTTAAGGGCGCGGCGCGTTGTTGGAAATGTTGGATTTAAGAACAGAGAAGAGAAGATAGATATGCTTTGTTGGACCGTGTGGAGTGATGTACTCATGAGTACATGGATTGATTTGTGTCACGTGGCCTTGGGTTTCTTGAACCGGCCTTCTAGACCGGAATCCCACATACTACGACGTCCCGCCAGCGGTGTGTCATCGTAGAATTCCAACGCCATCCCTGCGTCCAACCCATCTTCTTTCAAGGTTCCGATGTCACCTTCGACGTCCAGGTCGTCTGCAGCGCCGAAGTTGGTGTACATGGGCACCACCATATCGCTGTGCGACTGAACCCCATCCAACTCATTAAAACCTTCAAGCTGGTGCTGTTGGGAGTCTGTTTCAAATGCTGTTGGGTCGTTTTCGTGCTCTTCGTCCGTGCTAAAAAGGTCCATGCACCGTGAAATCGCAGCATTGCAATTGGAAACCATCCGGTCACCGCGATTCAGCCCAAACTCTCGAAACGTAAACAGTGTCTCGCGCTCGTCGTTGTACACACGCTCGAACTCCCCGTGCTGCGGTCTCAGCACCAATTCCACGGTCTCCAGCGGATATTCCGACGACCATTCTGAAAATCCACCAGACCGCGGAAACAGTTGGTCCAACGTGGCGTCCCGTTGGACCGTCAACACTATTTCCATACTGGAACCCACCGAGTTCGCTTTTTGGTCCTCGATCAAGCGTGTTCCATGGTAAACCACCTTTTGGTACGGGATCTGCAACCCAATTTCCTGTGCATTCATCCACACCACCATACAAGTGCTCAGCACAAAAAAATCCGCCAATTCCACACATTCCAGCGGTAGAGGCTCTCCGGGCGGCGGTATCAGTCCAACCAGCAGTTCCCTACCACCCCCATACAAGATAGGCAATTCATTTTGTCGGTCTAACGCTACACCTTTTATTCTCGGTTGTGTCTGTTGGTAAAGCGCCAATGGCGTCACATTTTCTACCGTAGGCTTGGTCCTCTCCATTCGACATGTCAAAGTATGCTCATGATTGTGGAGCATCACTCTAAGCTTACTTCTATCTCCGTCTTTCTCATGCGATGAGATACTTCTACTTGAATTTTTCGTCAAGAGTCGTCGTCGTCCATTTTTTTTCCACTTATTATAAACATTATTATGTGACGCTGGCGATACTCACTAGTATTAGATAGAGCGCAACACTCATATTTCAGTTCATAGTTAGCAATTTGGTCGGGTTTTCGAATTTGATGCCACCAATTCAAGTTCCCCGGATGGGAGATTCTTATTCTCTTCTGGAGCCGCTTTTTTTAGTTTTTCGATACCAGAAGTCCAAACAGAACTCTGCTGTGCAACGCTGTCATCGATCGTCAATATCATGGCTTGTCTCTCTCACAAGCACGTCAAAACTCTCTGGAAAGCCATGTCACAGCTCGCTCGCAGAGTTTATGTATATAACATCAACTGCTTGCTCGAATCCGTTGAACTGTGTCGCGGCAGAAGACGTGTAGGCCCCCAAGGCTGTGAAATACAACCAATCGCCGACGACCATATCGTGTCTAAAGAAATACTCCTGAGTGACACAGTCTAGGCCATCACAAGTGGGACCCCAGATAGAGACTTTGAGCGGACAATGGGGGATCTTCACGGAAGAAGTCGATGGCTGGTCTTCCCAGTAATGAAACTTTTGATCGTGGTAGAGCACTTTAGGCACAGGCTCCTGGTGGTCAAACAAAATGCAGTTCATATTGCCGTATACACCGTCATTGATGTACAGCATGGATTCCTTGTCGTTGTGGGCCCGTTTGGCAATGACGTGGCACGCTAATGTGAAGGGCGAAGCAGCAAAAAATCTACCGGGTTCAGCAATTAACGTTACGTTGTCCGTAGGAGGGAAAAACTCGTCAAGCGCCAAGTTCAACGTGTGACTGGATTCGTCAAAGGTATCAAGGTGGAAACCTCCGCCAACATCCAAAATATGAACGTTGGAAAACCCGAACGAGTTTCTGGCGCGGTCAAAGACTTCACGAGCATCACGAACGGCTTTGTAGAAGGTGCTAAAGTCCGAAGCGCCCGATCCAATGTGGAACGACACGCCAACCATATTGAGTCCCATTTCCTTTACTCTGGCCAAAAGCTGATCCACGTTCTCCATTGCACATCCGTATTTCGTTGACAGTCTACATTTCGCGGTTGAGTCATCGGTCGCTATACGTAGTAGCAGTTCTGACTCCGGATGGTGTTTTTTGATTTTGGCCAATTCCTCAACGTTGTCAAAAGTCGATTTCTGCACCTCTCTGTTTTTGGCGAAACGAATGAAGGACGAAGCTTTGCAAGGATTGGCATAGATGATCCGCGCGGGATTCACGCCCATTTTCAGCACCATTTCTATCTCTGATTTGGACGCACAATCGAAATTAACGCCCATCGAGGAAAGTGATTCGAGCACCTTGGGGTTCGGGTTGGACTTGACCGCGTAAAACGGATGCACTCGAGGTAGTTTTGCATGCCAATGTGCGTACAGCCGTTGTAACTCGCCCAGATCGCATACGAAAAACGAATTTTCGTCGCCTGCCTCGCAAACATCTTGGTTAACGCTGTTAACACGATTCTGCAAAGCCTCGAAAACCAAAGAATGCGCTTTAGTCCCACCCAAACTCGAATTTGTGGCCGCAGGCACCTTTGCACCATCCAATGGTAAGCCAAGACCAGTTCCTGACGTCACATCAATGGTTTTGAACACTTGATCGCGGCTTTCTGCGGTGCTAGTCATGGTTCTGACATCCTGAATTGTAGCCATTTCAATGTAGAAAGTCGGCTGTTACTTGTTGGTGAGGTCCTCGGGAATCTGGCGATCAAGAAGTACTACCGAGCTGGTCAGGAAATAAACAATTAGACAGGATATCCATCTGGTTTTACATGTTTTGCGATGTACTCAACGGCTTATGTTTAATTTTTTTCATCACTATGGGTAGTAGCCATGGGGTAATGAGCCAGTGACAGCGACAGAAGCATTGATAAGTGATACTGGTAGTAAACGTATATAGAACGGAGACGTATTGCAGTGTTAGAGCCATTTATGGAAGTTTAAGAGCATTGGTACGTACACAAATTTTGGTTTTGGTCCACTGGAGCGTTGGAAATGGTGCTATTGTTTTAAGTTGTGGACCCTGGCCACAGACTTATATACGTAGACAACCTGCGACATGATATAGTCACTTTCACCAAGTACAAGCTCATAAAGATTGAAGATATTACTGATATTTTTAGACATGAGCAATACCATCCAGGCCAAAAGTTGCGTGTACCCCGTTTACAGATAGCTTCAATTTTGAGGCATTTGTACGTAACTCTGTAATGTTGTGACGCTCATCTCTTAAAACTCATGGTAACCCAACTTAAGGATGAAATCATTATCTTCATTCCTTGGATTTATAGCATTTCGTTTCCAATACCCTCCCCCATTTTTATTCATTGGCACCTATTCGATTTTTATGTTTTGGTCGATTATGCCAATGTTTGCTCAGGCTTCTAATATACGCCGAATCCAAATCCACAAGCAGATGTCGAGACTGATAATGTACAACCACCTTTATCACAACCAAAACACATCATGCCTATGCTTTTTCCGTCTATATTACCAGATATAATTATTTATGCTGTAGTTTACCCATTGTGACGCCGATCTTTCCAGCTTCCTGCGCAAGTCATCGGCGATCGATTCAATTCCGGTATTCCCTGATCTCTACAATGCTGTTACAAAATAAGCAGCCCAGACCTTTCGTTATAGTACCATCCGGACTCATTCGAGTCAGGCCACCATTGGCCTTCATGATTGCAAGCTCGCCCTTAGAAGGAATCTTGCGGCAAGAGTCATTGAGGCATCTTGTTTGCGTCTTTTTGTAGCGAAGACCACAAGAATTGCACAATTGATCTTGCTTTCTATTGGTCCAAGATGGCCTCCAACAAGGCGAGTCTGTTGCGTGACATGAAATACATGCACGAGCCGCTGAACGCTTTGGTGACGATAGCTTCCTGTTTGCAACGACAGACGTGTCGGAGGAAGGGCTGTACGTCGTGAAAGGCTCAACCCGCACACTGTTAATCGAAGAGTTTGTGTTTGGTGTGTGGGGGGTCCGTGGTTCGTTTAACATAAATACATGAGTCCTTGGCGGAGTTCTGCTGCGTTGTGGCGGTGATTCAGTACCCATACTTTCCTGGCCGCTGGAGGCTTCTTTTGGGGAGCTTTTTGCGATACTTCGTGGTGTAGTCAAGGCGTCCAGCTTGAGAACGAATTGTTGTGGTGAGGAGGGCATGCTGCGCGTTCTGTTCTTACTAACTTTGGAGACTTTGCCTTTGGAGTCCATGGAAAAAACATTTCTGTCATTCAGCAGCTTTTTCATTTCCCGAGCTTTGAAGCTGTTAGTTTTCTTGTGGGCCTTGGTTCGTTTCTCTTTGACGGTTTGTACCAGTTTGTCGCTGATAGCAGGTGTGAACACAGGTGAGCTTTTTGTCGTCGAGTTTGCGCTTCGAGGGCTCATGGGTGGTGTTACGACACCATGCAGCGATATAGAGTTCGACAGTCCATCAAACTCGTCTCTAGAATTCAGTAGTGAGGGCACTTTTTGAGAGATGAATGCCGCACTAGCAAGAATGTTGAGTCCTGCGGCTGGATAGGCGGAAACATCACGCATTTCTTTGTTGATTTGCAGATAATCGTCGTACTTTTCGCTTCTACACCAGCTCATCAAGCTTTCTCGCCAAAGGGGCGTGTTTTCGGATGTGTCTGGGTACCGATAAGCATTTTCTTGAATTTTTGGGTTGGGCAGTAATTGCAAGTGTTTTAGCGAGGGGAGAGGAGCATTGTTATATGCTTGTGAGACATTTGGATTGTCATCACTTTCTGAATCCTCATTGTTTCTTTGGGTTACAGATGCTAGGTTCAAGGAAGATGTGTAGAACGATTCTTTTGGAATAGACGCCGAAGTCGATGGTTCATAGCGCTGGCTTCCCGAGAGTTGCTGTGGTTGCGATGCAGAATGGTCGCCAGCGCTAAAATTTGAAGGTGATGGGGCCGGAGGCGCACAATTGATTCTGGCTTTGGCCGATAGAGGTGACGCTTTGGGCGTAAGATTGGTGAGAACTCCGATTGGGGAAGCAGGAGCGGTGCGAGCTCTTTTGTGATCAGCCTGGGGTTTGAAAGACGCTTCTTGAAAAAGATAAGTGGAGTCATGGTAGCAGTAGTGTGTAGCGTCAAAAGGAAGCGATGGCAAAAGTAGGTCATCAAACGACCGTTTGCGACGAGCTGCTGAAGATTGACCAGCGTCTGAACCAGCAGAGGTCATTGGAGCGAGGGTTGGGGCATTAAGGTACGTCGACATTGAAATGAGTGTAAGATTACTCCGGAGTGAGCAGGATCGTGACAATTGAGTGGAGAAAGAATGTGAGTGAGTGAGCGAGTGAGCGTGCGCGTGTTAAAGGACGCAAACGAATGGATTGAAGGAATGGAATGTACTTTATTGAAGCGTTGTTAGATCCGGATCACACGCTATACATTGGGACCCTTCCGTATACCTTCGTTCGAGAACCGTTATATTTTATATCGACGGGCGAGATCGCAGGACAGGATTACTGAAATGGGGCGGCCAGATGCTGCAATCGATTCGAAGAGCTGCCCCTAGACAATTTACAAACACTTTCCCCCAAACCAGCCTGATCGCACTCACGGAGTGCTAATTACGACGCAAGGTTCAAATCGAAGCGGAAGAATGCGCTAAGAAAAGAAGGCTCGTAGAATACTGCAAAGACCACAAGAAATCAGTTTACTAACAAACCTGCTGGCTACGATCTCAAGCTAGAAACAAGCGTACTATAAAAACAAAAGATTATTTCAGCGGGCGGGTTCGATGATGATTTTTGGAATCTTTGTTTAACAAACTGAAGGGTTGGTCTGCATATAATTATATATATTGGAAAGGCTGGCGAAGAGATTCGTCGTCAGAAATGATACGAAGAGAGAAGTTTGGACTTGGCAGAACTTCGACGCAAGAGAGATGAGTTCACGCGCTGTTTTCAACCATTGAATGGTTTTCGATAACTGAAGCGAGTGATTCTCCTTTCCTTTCTCCACGTTCTTTCCTGCATCTATGCAAGCTTTCAGATCTCGAGTGATAATAATTTAAATTGATGGATGGATGATGATCTGAAATTTGAAAAAAAAGTTGGCCGCGCGATGACCTCCATTTTGAACCAATTCTAACCATACCACAGTGACCATTGTGATAGCCCTCAGACGATGAATAGCCAGTCACAGGCGGTAGATACATTTATCAAGAAAGTGTTTGCCTTTTTGGACGAGAAAGACTCGCAACAATTGGCACCATTTCTACAGTGTTTCGATCCTGCTAACAGCAAAATCATTGTGAACGCGAATCCATTTGCACAGCCAGCGGTATTTCTGGAAACGTGGCAACGTGCTGTGGTGCAAACGCAACACGTTTTGACCGGGTTGGATTATCATGTCATTCCAGGCACAGGAACCACTATATGCAGTGTGAACGGAAAGGTACGATTTGACGAGAGTGGGAGAGACAAAGAGGGCCAGGACTCGGCTGTTGCCGAACTTGCAGGCGTTGCAAATGCTGGGGCTGGTCCCAGAGCGCCTGCGGCCAAACCACGACCAATGTGGGGTCCATATTTTGGAACGTCTCTGCAGCTCGTTCTTGACGACCGGGTGTTCAATGGTGATCATAACAGCGTAATATACAGCTTCAACTATACAATGGTGTACAAGCCAGACGACTCTTTGATGTCAGTGTAGTGGTGCGAGACGGGGTGGGAGAAGGGGAGGAACAATCTTGGCACAAGACAGTGGAAACTAAAGCGTTGGCACATGTATAGAGGAAAAGTGAGTTTCCCGGCTTGTTGGTTTGGGAGACACCTAGTTTGATGTCACTATATGTCAGTGTGTCGAGATGTATAAACGGTTAATCATAGCAACTGTATGCCAGACGTGGTAAGAGATATCTAGACTAATGGATTCTCCGCTGACTTCCTCTACAATTATTTATACTCGCGTTGAGACTCTGTTTCTGGAGTGTCGTCCCATACATTGGGTGATTTTATCCATTATTGTAAGATGTAGACTATTGTCTTATTGAATTAGGGTTATCTCTCCGTGATGTATTTAGTATAAATGGAATGAGCTTGTAGGGTGGATAAAACGTCCTTTCTTATACAAATTCTCGGAAATGTCCCGTCGCTGACGGATGTAAAAGATTTCCAGTGTTCGGGATGCAAAAGGCATCGATGAATTTGCTACAGGAGAATTTGAACCGCGTGATGCCATTTGGTGCAATCAACATCTGTTGGGATTGGCAAACTATATGAGATAGTGCCAATTGCGTAATAAGAATGACATATTAGTCTGAAATAACATATTCAGCTCTGTGAAATGGACCAATCGTATATGAGGCAAGAATACGTCAACGCTATGCAGGATTTGCAAGCAATGCAGGATTTCTATTAGGTTATCTTTACCAATGGGCTGAGCTCCTGAACGCTACCGATTGTTCCCTATAGTTGCTCCAAAAATCGTTTATCAGTGGGTTGGCCAAGCAGAATGTACCAAACTAATAACCAGAAGAACCACAGAGAGATAGATAGATTCACAAACCATAACCATTCACTTAGAGCAAATCATGACTGAGCAAACGAAGAAGAGCCTCAATAACATCATTCCTGTTAGTTCTAGATTCTTTGAACATCTTGTTAATTCTGACGCTGTCACAGCGTCACGTGTTCGAATCGTTTTGTCATGGATCTGCCGCTAGAGAGACAGAGGTCCCGACAACAATCGCGAGTGCCAAGGGCAGTAGAATTAGCCGACAGATTGACACCATGAAGTGTTTGAGACGATAACCAACTCGCACGATCCTGGATTAACACGGTAACGGATGGTTTTCCATATACTGGGGGAAGATCGCGACAATATTTTTTGACGCGGAAATTCAAACTAAGCTATTTGCGAGATTAGCCGCCCACGGATGTGAAAACAGGGGAGAGACAGCTAAGTGGTGAATAAGGAAGCTGTAGATACCAAGGTGGTCAAGTTCTAGGGTTCGGACAGAAAAACAAGTCAAAAAGACCAGGCAAATAAGTACGTTTGCTAGATGTTACCGATATCACTCATACAAGGCTTTTCAAGCTACAGTTCGCCACTTACACACGAGCTCTACTAACAAATTCAGGAAATAAGAATGATCACAAAACACTGTTCGAGGTCTTTTCCTCCTTGTTCAACATCCTTTTACCAAAACTTCAAAATCATAGAGTAGAACGACCTAAACTTTGGTTAAGACACGTAACTCTTGCAAACATGGCTGTTACCGTCCCAAGAGGCTTCTACTATTCCCATCAGACAAACATGAATGACATCTACACCTAGGCCAACACAAAGCCGCCCTACAAACTTTACCTACACCCAGACACACAGGATCATCGATTTACACCCAGACACACAGGATCATCGATTTACACCCAGACACCAGAATTATTAACTTACACCCAGACACCCAAGACCATTTACCTACACCCAGTCAACCTACACCCACACCCCACCCGGTCACCAACACCCAGTTACCGTACACCCAGTCACCCAACACCCAGTCACCCAGTCACCCACACCCACACCACTCCTCCACCCAGTCACCCCCGGCGGCTACGGTACGAACACTTTCTCGAGCGTTTCGACCATATTCCAACAGGCACGCGAAACTCTCAGTCAAGACCGCACGGGTCTCGACCACCCGTTGGGAAGCGGCTCGTTTGGAACACAAAAAGTTTGTTGACCTTTTTTTTCTTCCACCACTCGCGAGTACCGCCATCGCGAGTACTATTGCAAGAATACACTTCCACACACCATACCAATTGCGTCATGTCATCGAGTACAACAACCATGGAACTATACATAGTTCTTGGCTGCTTCTGCTTCTGCTTCTGCTGCTGCTGCTATTGTTGTGCTGCTATTGTTATTGTTTCACCGACTCTTTTCTCTTCCTAACAGGACCCTTGGTCCACAAAGGGAAACATGAGATGCGTGAAACCCCGAGATGCATGATTATGATGCCGTATCTTTTACTTCACTAAGCGGCCCTCTCATCACCACACCCGCTGCTTCGCTTCGTTCCGTTCCACGGCCGTAGCCCATTTTGTTGGAGAAACTTTCGAGATCAGGCGAAATCCAGTCATCACAACGGAGAAACCTGATGAAACTTGTGGTTTGGAGAGCGTGGCAAGGAGGTTTCTGTGTCAAACGGTTGTGGTTCATGTCCATGGACGACCTCACGCTCAAAACTGGTTTGAAATTTTGGTCTATATAAGGATGCGTTTGCGTTGTGTTTCAGTGTTCAAGAGGGCTTGAAAGGCTCCAGTTAAGGTCGTACTCGCTATTTTCTTTTCGTGGGCTTCGAAATAGAAAAAAATAATGATGCTTTCAGGCTCCAAACCGGTTCCAGTGCTGGCAATAGCAGCACTGTTTGTCTTTACGGCGTTCATCCTGACTATCGTGGCAACCGCAGGCTCATCGTCAAATTACTCACCCATAAATAATGTCTATTTGGGCGAAGCAGACATTTCCCATATCAACGTCACAAAAGTGATCCCGGCAACGGCTCCACTGCTTTCTGTCGTGATCGGTCTGTTCAACAGTCCTACTTTGGTCTCCGGAGGTGGTAACTTCTCCGAAATCTTCGATGCCCTCAGATCTGTGTCTCACACGCCTGCTCTCAAACCCTTGCTCGAGCTTTTGGCCAGCTCCAATAATGTCACAGACACGGTCTCGAACCTAGCGTTGGTTGCGCCCATGCTTGTCTCCAACAACGCTTCCCAAGGCTCATCTCAGCTCTTGGGTGCTGTCAGCCAACTGGTGCAGGATTCGCAAAACTCAACCGAAACCGTACAAGGCTTGGGTCTACTGCTCCAAACCTCGAATTCGACCAATCCTGCCACCCAGCGTGCCGTTTTCGGGCTTCTATCCGACTCCAAAAACTCCACAGCATCGGTAGACTCTTTGGTGGTGTTGCAAAACCAGTCTTCTAGTGATCGTGCTCAGCTTGCCCCCGTTTTGTCCCTGTTCCAACAATCATCCAATGCGACTATCACTTTGGGTGCCCTTAACACCCTCATGACCGCAAATGTTTCCAATGACATGTCGGCTTCTCTTCTCGCTGCCCTTCGCGCCGGTAGTTCGAATCCACAAGCTGCACTAAACCAGGTCTTGAGCTCTGTGCCTGAATCAGTCCGTCCGGCTGTTCTAGCTGTCGAGACTTTGCTCAACAACACGCGTGACTCAACTTCGACACTAACTACGCTTGAAGGATTACTGCAACTCAACGCCACCACTTCTTCCTCTGCGCACCGCTCTTTCAACGCCTTCACCACTCTAGTGTCAAATTCACAAAATCAGACCCTAGTATTGAGTTCAGTGGCAACTTTGGCAAACTCGTCCAGCGACGCTAGCACTACTCAGCTAATCGGCCTTCAAGATATCCTAGATTCCTCTAAAAACTCTTCAATGGCTTTAAGCGTCTTGCAGCAAATCCAGTCATCAAATTCTTCGGCCAGTTCCCAAAATGTGTCACCTATCTTTAGTTTATTCACTGACTCGAAAAACTCAACTGGTACCATCGATTCTGTCATGGGGCTGATGCAAGCTTTCCAAGCGAACAGTACAGCTTTCGAGCCTTTACTCAAAATTTTGGGCGGAACGCAGTTAGGGGACACAGCCATCACTCAAGACACTTTGAACAAAGTGATGCCAGTTGTTCTAGACAATTTGGGAGTTGATTCTACTTACCACTTGGCTATATTCACTTTGTGCAGCGGCTTAAGCAATGGTAAGATCCAGAAATGTACGCCTTCGCATGCTGTACAATCGTTTTATCTCCGCGACATTCTCTATGATCAGCTCGAAAATTCTGATTTCCAACCATACATGCAGGCACTTGACATACAGAAGGATAACCTGTATTTGAACGGGAAGTTGCAGAGCAAAGAATCCTCTTACGTACCCGCGTTAAGGGCAGTCTTGGCTTTGAATCTGCTAACTATTATCCTGTCATTTTTCCTATTGCTGCTAATACTGGGACTGTTCTTTTTGGGCGATAAGTCTAGGTACTGGGTACTTATTGGCGCCAAAACTCTGGCGTTTTTGGCCTTCGTTTTTGCGCTAGTCTCAGGTGCCATTGTTGCCGCGTTGGTTGAGATCATTAAACGTGACACCTATGATGACAGGTACAATGTTCAATTTTATACCGGTTCTGCATATGCTGGATTGATCTGGACAGCTTTTGCCTTAACGTTTATCACTTTTATCTTGCTTTTCCTAGTGAGAGCACCAAGAAGAGGCCGTTCGTCAGCGGCAGAGGACATGCTATCAGCGCCAGCTACAACATCTTCCGATGAGAAACGGAATGGTACGATACCTCAGCAGAGCCATGACGAAGTCGTCGTTGCTTAAGAAAAAAGTTCTTTAAAATGATAGTTTTTCTACTATTGTTGTTTTGATTTCCGCTATACACTAGCAGTTTGGAGCGAAATCATTGTGTAATCGAAATATATGCTTAATTATGAGGTTGGGGTTACCTGGCTTGTTAATCAACCTGGCCTATGAGATGGTGAGCTCAACGGAGGCAGATGTCGTGTCGAATTAGCGAAAGACGCGGAGAGCCCGGAGTGCTAGCTGAATATGCAAAATGAGGGGAATTATACACACCGTCTTTTAAACGAGAGGCTTTTCCTCGATAGGACGCATGTAAGAGTAGCGTCTTGATTTTACCGCAGATAGGAATATCAAATTTAAGAGCGCTGCAGCAACGCTAGCCCATAAAACTGCGTAGAAGTTAAGGCCCAGACTCATTTTAACACCATAGGTGTCGTAGTTAGATTGCAATGCGTTTTTGATGTAAACGTAGGTTCCGGTGCTTGTTCCTGCGGAGACGATAAGGCCTAGGAAAGCAATTACTGAAAGGAAGCGAGAAACCCAAGTGACAAACGCAAAATGCAGGACCCAACGCAACAAGTTGGCGATGATATTGAGACCACTGGCGATAATACCAATGAGAAGCGTTATGAAGCTGCATTTCACGAGGTTATTGTAATAAGTCATGTTATCTTGCAGTTTTTCGGGCAGTGCAATCTGGGCAAGACTTGAGATCAGCTGGGCCACCTGGTTGTTGTCGATGTTGTCCTTGATGACCTGCTGCAGATCGAATTGCTGAATTCCGGACGGAGAAGTGCAGCTGGTGACTTTTTTGGCCGAATCTGCCACACAGTAGGACCACAGACCTACGTTAACGTACGAGGGCAATCCCAAAGTATCAAATGATGACAAAGATTGTGGTAGCTCCGGAAGCACTTTTGTCACGTCTAGCTTGCTGAGGTCCAGCTGAGCTTCAAAAATGTTGTTAATAGGGTAGTAGTTCTTCGTTGATCCCGCACATGCGACACATGCCAGGATCAATGCGGCAAACGACAAAAATGCTGCACAAAAGAGCGATATACAATTGACCATTTTTGGTGTTTTTTCAGAACTCAAAATTAGCTGGCCTTGAATCAAAAACAGACACTTTCCAAAGAACCTTGTCGACAAAAATTCAAAACTCAGATCAAGATTCACAATTGGGGAATCGCAGATCGACGATGGTATTTATGTAAGTTTATATAGGTGCGTGTTCTACTTTACTGACGATTGGTTTTAGTTCCGATATTTTTAGGTCTCTCTCTAGCGGGCCAGTTACCATTTTAATTAATTAACATCTAACTTCATGGATGATTAGTAGTAGAGAACATTGGCCTTGGTAAGACTGTGACGACAGAGAGACAAGATGAAATTCAACGTAGCCCGTCGTAAAAGCCTCGGATAACTAATCTATCGTAGTTTATTCATTCGAACAATTGTAGCATTCTATTTTTTTACGGCATTTTTGAGTTCAAAAATAGGACGTCAGTGGGTAGTTTTGCAAATTATCAGGCACATCCATTCGAAATTTCTCTAAAATGAAAGTTCAGTCATAGACCTCATTCGGGATAATTTTATCGCATTCTCGGGGTTACCAGCCTCGTCATACTCCTTCTTAGTGGTGATAGTGATATTTTTGGAACCCTGCCTTTTTCTTTGAAAGGTTGCTTAGACCAGCCTCACGGTTTTTTTTAGATGAGATCATGAGGCCCTATAGGAAAATGGTTATTACTGACATTGGCTGTGGAAATTTGAGTAAAGAAGGAGACAGGTAGTCGCAGTGGTAGAAAGGGAGAGATTGGACTAGAAGACGTCGGTGTGGGGAAGAAGCAGGGAAGAAGAAGTAAAAGAGAGGTAAGAATGAAGAGGTCACGTGATCCTTTTTTTCGATAGAAACAAAGGTTTAAATTGTGCAACATAACCGCTATCAAGGTTCCTCTCAATTATCAAATGCGTTAAATCGAGCGTACTGTTCTGTGTTCCTGGTTCTTGTGGCCATTAAAAGCGAGTGTTACACAATCAATCACGTGACAAAATGTTATATCTGCATTGAAAGCCTACACTTCAAGCTTCACTACAACCCTAATTTTCAGGAGCCCCAAGAAATATAGCTCACTGCATTAATAGCTATTCAGCAGTTGCTGGTACATTCACACGCTCATCTCGTTCCGTCATTCTGTCACTAGTATGACACATCGCTCCACACGAAACGTTTCCCCTTCCTCACATCGTCACAAACGATCCAATCCATTTCTCGCGCTGCTAATGGTAAATTGTTCCATGAGACCCACCCAAAGTCTTCCGTTTATCTAACTTTCACTGAAACTAACCACCGCGAACTTTCCTTGTCTGTTACATACCTCAACTCTTCCTGGAATCTACCAATAGTTATTACTCACGTGACTCACTATACTCCCCGCACTTTCGAATTGAGATTACGTCAGCGATGTCAATGACCAAAATGAATTGGTGTCCTCGGACTATATAAGGATCAAGCTTATTCACTCCAGGATCATCAACCCTTCTTCCCACTCACCAAAACCCATATCCATTAATATCCCGTTACTACTTTCGCGTTAAGACATTATATTAGAGAAGCCCGACATTTAAGGTAACTGTTAACACAAGAAAACCAGGTTCTTTCCCATCACACAAAGTGTTTCAAAATGTTCAGTTTCTATCAAAAGTATCGTTTGAGGATTTTGAAAACAACATATGTTTTGCTCATATTGGCAATGTTTAAGAGTCTGCAAGCGCGGCCGAAAAATCCCAACGATCAAGAACCATACGATCAATTGTCATTGAAACGCAGTCGTGCCAAAACAAGCTCATCAGCAAGTTCTGCAACTACGGCAGAAACGGAGCTTGCATTATCATCACAAGTCCAAACTCAACCGCTTTCCGATTCCAGTGACGTTTCACAACTCGAAGAAGAAAATAACAGCCCGAAAACGGTACCGCCGTCATCTAGTGCGCATTTTTTGTTCCGTATTCTGATCAGAGACCGCAAATGCGTGGCTTTATTTTTGTTCCAGGCGGCTCTTTTGGTCGTGCGTACAGTTTTATCGCTGCGTGTGGCCACATTGGACGGGCTTTTGGTGTCTAGGCTCGTTAAGGCCGAATACCGCAAGTTTCTACAGGTGTTGCTTGGACAATGGATGGTCTTGGGTATTCCCGCCAGTCTAATAAACTCTTTCATTCATTATAACACACGTTTGTGTGCGGTTACGGTTAACCGAATCGTTTCCAAACACCTGCTTGATCGCTACATGTCGTCCCATCACACATTCTACACGGTCAACAATATCCCACAGGGAGGCCTTTCCAAAGTTGCAGCATACAAAGCGTCCGCTGGCGTCAGTGAAGACACCGAAGAGTTGGCGCGATCCGATCTTTCTGTGGAGTACTTGACTCGGGACGTGGGCGCTTTCTCTTACAATTTGTCTGTGCTCTTAAACCAGCTTTTGAAGCCCACTTTAGATCTACTACTCTGTTCCTTTAAATTGCTGTCTAGCACCGGCAACGGGATGATGGGCGAAGGAACTCTGGTGCTTGGTATCATAGTCCACATCAGCAATTTGCTGCTCAAAATGATCCAGCCTAATTTTACGAAACTTGCAATCCAAAGAACCCATTTGGAAGGCATATTCCGAAGCTTGCATTCCAAAATCCACACCAGTAATGAGGAGATCGCACTCATGAAGGGTCAGTCTACAGAGCTCTGGAATTTGGATTACAAATTCTACCAACTTGCTATTTTCCTCAACCGAGAGCTCAAACTGCATTCCATTTACGATTTCGCTACCACTTTCGTGATCAAATATACTTGGGGAGCGGCTGGTCTTGCACTTTGTTCCATCCCCATTTTCTTCCAAAAGCAGCATAGTAACGATATTACAGCTGATTTCATAACGAATCGTAGGCTGCTGTTAACAGCTTCTTCTTCAGTTGGTAGGTTCGTCCAATTGAAGAAAAGCGTTCAGCAGCTGAGAGGTGTGTCTTTAAGGTTGAGACAATTCGATAACAGACTTGAGGTTCCAGGAGGTTCATTAGGTGTGGAGAACAACGACTCTTTAATCGAATATGATGATTCAAAGATTCAATTTATCAACATTCCTCTCGTTACTCCGACTTTCCAAGTTTTAATTCCAGAACTAAACTTTGAACTGCGCCATGGCGATCATTTACTAATCATTGGACCCAATGGTTGCGGCAAATCGTCTCTTTTCAGAGTACTGGGAGGATTATGGCCAGTAATGAAATCCTTCACACATCCAGAAAAGGAGTCCAAACTCATTATGCCACCTCGGGTTGGACCTAATGGTGAGAAGCCCATTTTCTACCTACCCCAAAAACCATTTATGGGCAACAAGTTCACGTTCCGCGAGCAGATAATATATCCAGACACTATGGACAAATTCGATGCAAAATACCAAGGAGACTATGTGAAGGGGGACAATGATTTGATTGAAATTCTGCATGTTTTGGAACTGGACGATCTTCTAACGGAGAACATGTCAATAGTTATGGCGTCGTCTGTGGAGACCAATCATAACGACGCAGAAGTTTCCATCCAAGATGCATTTGATGTTGTCAGAAACTGGGCCGAAGAGCTGTCGATTGGTGTTCAACAACGACTTGCTATGGCCAGAATGTATTACCACAAGCCCAAATTCGCTGTTCTTGACGAATGCACCTCTGCAGTATCACCCCAAATGGAACAAAAAATGTACACCCACGCACAGGAGCTGAATATCTCACTCATATCTGTCTGCCATAGGACGACTTTGTGGCATTTCCACAATTGTCTTTTGAAATTCGATGGGAAAGGCTCGGCTATGTTTGGTCGCTTTGACCCCCAGCAAAGACTTGGGGACGAGGAAAAGTTGATCGAATTAAATGCCAGACTTGAGAAAGATGTTCCATTGTGGAAAAAGCGACTACAAGAACTCTTAATCGCCAGGAAGTCAAGCATTTTAAGAAAATCTCAGACCAACTTGGCTTCGCTCAGTTCTAGACGTAACTTGCTTCTTTCGCCAAAGGCAGTTGAAACTTGAGAGCAGCATTTCCAGCGTTCACACAACTTTGACACAAGCTGGCTACTGATATGGCTCGCTGACCATCAGTTATACCTCCATTCTCTTTCTGTTTTTAGTAGATCATGTTTAAACGCATATTCATTATATATAATATAGTGCTGAACTGAAGGACATTCACATTCACACCTACCTTTAGGAGAATGGACACAGCCAACCTGAATGCACTTACGACAATGGCATTTTGTTGAGACTACTTCATCTGGACAGCCGGTGTTGAGAGAGAATGAGAAGGATATCTACGTTGAGCATCAAGTGGGTTGTTACCAAGGTAAATCCAAGATTTTGGGCAGACAAAAGGGAAGGATATATCTGACTTCGCAGAGAATAATCTACATTGACGATGAGAAACCTTTAATGAATTCCATTTCTTTGGAGCTGGACGATGTTTTGCAGGCTGACTACTCCTCCAAGTTTTTAAGGAAGTCTGCTAGATTGAGCATCTTTTTACGGGATTCCAAGACTGATGATCTAGACAACAATTCAGTGGGCACAAAAATCTCAGAAGGGAAGAGTACGTGGATTTGCCCGATTTGCGGTCATCAGAATGAGACACCGGGCCATTTGACAAAAGAAAACATGCATTCATTTCCGTGTGCTAGTTGTGGTATTGTACCTGATTTTGAAATGATTGCCGATGTCATCAGTTTCCACAATGTCACTTCCTCTTCAGAGTCTGACAAGACTGCACAAATCGAATGTCCCGCATGTACATTTCTGAACAGGCCATCCTTGAGAAATTGTGAAATTTGTGGGACAAGACTTCCCTCCAAGCATTCAGGAACCTCATCCGACATCAGCATTGATCAACGAGTTAAAATCAGCCTCGAGACGAAAGACGGACTAGTCAAGGGGGAACCGATTTACATACAGCTAAGCTTCAGGCTATCTGATGGAATACTACTCTCTCAAACGATTTCGGAACTGATAGAAGACCGACGCAGAGTGAAGTCACAGAATGTATACAATAAAGGTGTTCAACCGCGGGAAAAGAATCTTCTGGAAATCAAATCTGAGCTGGGCCGAGCTGGAATTGCAAGTCTGGAAAAATCGCAAGAAGATCGACTAATCAGTAATGACATCATGCTGGGTAACGCTTTGAGTGACCTTGACAGTCTGATGGCTTTAGCTTCTGACATAGAAAAGCTGTACGACACGACAGGGCGTTCACAGTTTAAAAAAAACATTCCACTGCTGACCATTGACAGAGAAAAGTTTTTAACCAAGGATCTGTTCATTAACGAAATTTCAAGAGAATTGCACAGTTTTATCCTGTCGGAGTTTCAAGAACAGAAAGAAGCCGAAGGGGTAATATTGATTTCATTGGTGGATACTTATGCATTGTACAACAAGGCAATGCGGATCGGGTCTGGGCTAGTTTCCCCTCAAGAGCTCTGGGAGGCCTGCAAAAAACTCGAAGAGCTGGGGCTAAGTGATTTACAACTTACTACCATCAACGAACGCGTACTTTGTATATCATCAGGGGATTCGTTTGGGTTTTTGAAAAGAAAGATCTGGGATATAGTAACCACATCCCCTGGCGCAGACCTTTTGGAGCTAAGCCGACAACTGAATAAAGATAACGCTAATTCTTGGACGCCTGGGATTATAATGGAAGCGCTAAACAATTGCGTGAAGGGGGGTCAGTTACTCATAGATGAACAAATAACGGGTGTTCACTACTATGCAAACTTTGATTGGAGGATATAGAATGCTAATATATGTGCAAAGGTGGGATTGTTAATGCTGAGGAGAAGTGCCAAAAGAGAAATCACCATTGGGGGAAACCAGCCTTGGTAGTGATTCGATTTCTTGTACGACATACTCTTTCTCGTCCAAGAAGGTTACGTCCTTGCTATCCGTGTTGAAGGACTGTAAATAATGCAAAAGTTTGTCTCTGTTTTTTACCATAATATCCAACACCGGTTTGGACTTACGTGGGTTGGCAACAAAGACTTTAAAAATATTGAAGGAAGCCAATTGTAAATTCTTGGATCTGTCACTTAGCAAAATCATGATCAGTTTTAAGTTATCGGGTGAATTAATGTAAGCTGTGAGTAAATGATTGTAAGCTCTGATCATTATCAAATATTGCAGGAGCTTTACACTTTGGCGTTTAGTAACATAGCTACCATGTGCCATAACGTTATTGATCTTTTCGATGAATTTATGAAGGTTGGCTGGCTGACTGAAGAATTCTGTCGCCACAGGTTTTTGGTGGATCGTTAGTAAATTTGTGAGAATTTGGAGACTTTCTGTACTGACTTCGAAGGACCCACTTTTAGCGAAATCAAAGAAAAGCCATATTTGCGGATCCCGAAGCATTAAACGACAAAGTTGTTCATATTTCAGGCTCTCCAAAATTATTGACCCGGTTTTCAGAAACAAATCGCTAGAATTGGCCTTTGAGAGTGCCATTTGCGGTGCCCGAAGCATCAAAGAGATGGTCTTGGGCCTTGTTACCAAATAGTCCACGGTCACAAGCTTGTTGTCACGAGAATGTCGTAAACAGGTCGCGAAAAGTAATGCCACGTCTTTTCGAGCTTCGAATTCGAGCTCGGCCAGGTTTACCAGTAGATCGTAGAGCAGATCTAGCTGGTAGATGGCGCTGTAAAGTTCGTCAACAGCCTCCACAGAGGGTTCCGGTTCCACTTCTCCCAGTAAAAAATGTTTTGTACCAGCCAAGTATTTGCTACAATCATCCTGTATTTTCCGTCTGCTGTCAACAGTGGAAGCGTTTTCAAACTTGTTTAGCTGTTCTGAAAGAAGTCGAGCATAATCGGAAGGGGTCTTTGGAGTTTTCTTCCACCAAAATGCCATTGGGTACAGGATTCAAGAAACGCTATTGAGTAAGGTACGGTGCGGCTTGGAATACTGGAAACTCCCTCTGATGATACCTCTACAGCTCGAGGTTTGTTGTGGTAGTCAAGTAGACGATTCACACAAAATAAATTGACTATAAGCTAGAGATGAGATGAGCACGTGACAGAAACTCAAATATTGAAGCGTTAGAGGCTGGATCGAAGAGCGGATCTAAGAGCTCAAATAAAGTGGATGGAATGTTGGCAAAGCGTTGGGATTCAGGTCTGATGTGTGAATTGGGACTGTTTAGAGTCCAAATATGACTTTGCTGCACTATGATGATATGGTCATTTCGAACGAAGACCAGATTTTCAACTGAAAATAGCACTCTCAACCGACAGAAACTTCACCAAAAGATAGGTGAAGAAAGAATAGGTTCTCAGTTGTTGAAACACAGTCAAAACATCTGTTGTCTTGGTTGGCCAGAAGGACGACATTTGCGTACAGAGTGATGCGACGTTTGGGGGATTCCTGAGCTTGAAATATGGTCAATGGAGAGGATTTAAACACTCGAAACCGAGTGACATGGCCATTGCGTAAAGTGCAAATGCCAATGGCACTATGGAAATGTCAGTTGAGCTTGCAATGCGGCATGTTCAGAACCATATTTTTAGGATCTTCAGATGTGCAATATGGCCTTGAGGCCAGATGATCACAATCTGAGAAGCGTTCGATTCTCGAAAGGGACAATTCGCAACGTTTGTTAAGTACTCTCGGTGGCCAAGTTGGTTTAAGGCGCCAGACTGTAATGTTACTCACTGTAATCTGGATATCGGGCGTTCGAATCGCCCCCGGGAGACAATTTTTTTGGAAAAGCTGTCAACTCTTTTCTTGACAGCCAAAATACTCCAACCGAGAGTCCAGGTGTCAATATGCAATGGTCCCAAGAAAAGAACAGAGAGATGATGTGGCGCTTCATTTTTTGTCGTTTTTCAATATCGTGGCACTACATCTCAATTTTATGTTCAGTCGTCTTCAATGAAAACTGGATTGACGTTCTTTTACCAATTATAGGACCTAGATATTTGCCTGAAACCCTCGATGGTTTCTTCTGGTCTCTAGTTTCTCTCTGTTCTTGGCAGTTTTTCACATCGCCGTTAAGAATAACGTTCTCTGTCGTCCAGTGCTTGCTTAATTATAGCATTTTTCTGAAAAAAAAACCAAACACAATGAAATAGACCTCATCGACAATACAACTTGCGCCAAAAAGCGGTCATTGTGCCACACTAGAGGCAAATTTGACACCGGGAATCGAATTAACGCAATTGGTTTACCTGGAGATCCAGCTTTGTGGGATCGCTCGCCTTATTCGGTGTAGTATTTGGCAGTGATTTTTTTTGTTATGAGTGGACCAGGGCACAACTCGCGAGTGGACAGCTCAATTCATTTCATAAAAGAACACCACTTTAAAGACACATTTGCATTGCTAGTGGTGTTCTTGAGCTTTAACCATTTTGCGTCATTATGTCTTTTGGCACTTTTCATTGTCACAACCAGATCCCGGAACTTTTTGGCGAGCTGTTTTATTCGGCTGTTTCTCTCAAAACAGCAGTATAAGAAACGCGTTGATTGCCGCATATCACTAGCCAACAAGACCGCAAATCAGAATGGCGATTCGTCTTCATCGGCCGCAGATAACGAGGTGGGCCAAGACGGTTTGCCGTCTGCAGATGGATCCGCTGGCAATTTTATTAGACGGAAATGTGCAATTTTTAAGTTATCACCTTTGCTTATAATCGAACTGATTGTGGCAGGGCTTTTGAGGGCACACGCCAAGCAGTATTTCACTCGACCAATCGAAAACTTGGCAATGTCCATAATTGCATCGTCGTTGATCAACGACCCGAGAGATTGTATTAGCTACGCCACATCATGTTCCATATTATACGGACTGTTAGTAAACCTGTGGCATAGAGCAACTCTGTTCATGGACCTTGAGATCCCGCCCATCTATGGGATCTCGTCTTCCCCTTTGCATCAATGGTATCATACTACCTTAACTTTACCTGTATTCAGCATTACGGTTCCTTATTTGCGGATGTTAGTGAGCTGTTTTGGCAGGTACTCTGGACTATGCCGGTACCTTGCATCCTTCCATATCGTACTCGCCCAATTCTATCAAAACATGACGGATCCTTACTACTTTCGAAAAAACGTTAAACGATCCTCTGCTTCAGAAATATCTGCCTCGGTCTCATTGAGCCCACATAACTCCTTTAGTGGGACAGGACCTCCATCCAATAGCACTTTATCTAACGGGTCTGGCATAAGCACGTCACATCCGAGTGGACCGCCACTTTTGTCCGTTACCAATTCCGTCGCTCAAAAAGCAGCATTTAGTGATGTGGTATCGGAGTACAATATTTCAGAGCTCCCAATGAACTCACCATCTGAAAGCAATCAACAAACAATTACTACGAATGTTACGACCTCCCAACCAAGTTCCGGTCAAAATAAGACAACATACACAAATCAGTTTTTCACAATCAACATGGAACTTGGTCGCAAAAAGTCGAATGAAGACAATCTCGATGATTATTTCATTACTTCAGCTAATTTAGAGAATTTTATTCAGCAATTGTTCAGATGGAAAAATCATCATTTGATCCCACCTCTATGGTCGATATTTACTACCATCAAGACCATGACTTTGGAGAAGAGAAACGTACGAAGCTTTCACGCCGAGTCCCCCGCATCGCCCACTGAAGACACTGACGCATCTCAGACAATCAAACCGACCATTTCTAATCCTGTCATCAAGGGAAGTGTATTCACAGGCCCAGGGTCAAGCGAATGCATGACCTTGATAGCTCCTGCTGCGGATGACTACAATCAGCTACATCTTGTCCCCCACAATCAAGCCGCTGCTTATAAAGTTTGCATTAGCGACACGGGTCCAACTCAGATTACGTTCCGCATTACCAATTTATTTGAAGGCGAGCTGATTGTTTTGGTTAACGGCGTTATTTGGTCTCAAGTTCTATCAGCCATCATTTCTGCAAAAATGGGCGAAGAGTACACTGTAGTTAGTGGATTGGTTCCTTCATGCTCTTACGACATCCAATTCGTCAACCGCTTCAACGAAGGTGAGGATTATCTAGTTGCCGATTTGATGGTCCGCACTAGTGCCAAGGAAGGAGAAAGCAAGCAGTTATTGGATTTCAGTTTCCCTTCTTACTATCATCGGAAGTTTCTATCTCCGTTGCTCACTCTCAAACACTCTGTCTTGACGACCAATACCAATCTTGCTGAAGAGCGGGCCAAGTTGCGGAAAACCAAGAAAGAAATCTCTAAGAAATTGAGCTCGCTTAGACAGGAGAGCGATCATTTGAAATCCAAGATCGCCCAGAATGCCGGTCAAGACGAAAAAAGCGCCTCTAAGATGGACAATTTGAAGATTTTGTTACAACAAAGCGAATCTCAGCTTTCCGTGATGGAGGAAAAGTTGAAAAAAGTGTCTGCGCAGGAGGTTGAGATCGAACAGGAGCATCTCCAGCGCAAGGACCAACATTTAAAGACTCAGATGGAGTACGGGAAATTACAAGCTAATTTCGCGAAAGAGAAAGGCGAACTTTCTACGAAGCTGACCAAGCTCGAGCACGAGTTTTGCCAGTTGAGAAGCAAGCGCGAAAAAGTGAGCGTTAAACAGGAAAAATTGAAGAAAGAGGTCACGCAATATGCCGAGGACATCGACAATTTTCGGTTCCAGTTTCAGTCGCAACGTCAAACCGAGCGTCTTCGTCGCGAAGAACTCCGCAACATCGAGGCCAACGAGAGCGAGCTTTCCATCAAGGGTCTAGAACAGGACATTAGTAGACTCGAGGGCGAAAACGAGGCCATGAACAGCATGCTACGTAATTATTAACGTCTTAGGACAAGTGAATGTGGTATTGTATGTAATCAAGATTTCTTTTCGCTACATGGTGACGACCCTTCAAGAACATAGTTGTGTGTATGAGTTTCTGTCTATGTCACTCCACGTCGTGGTACATACGGCCTTTAGTGTCTTATATACCTTGTAACAACCAAAAACTATCATCTGTCTCAAAATCACCATTATGTTCCATCTACTTATCCACTATTTCTGTCATGAACAACACATGACAATAAGATAACCAAGATCATGCTGAAAGAATCTATGATGAGACAAGAACATCAAGAATGAAGATGTTAAGGATAACGACTACGATAAGACAACAAGGCTAAGAATGGAGGCTGATTGAGGCTCAGAAGCCTAAAGTCTAGATGCGAACATGTCGGGAATGTGACCATTCATGTCTCGAAGTACAAGGTATAAAAGACGAGCATGACATGCTCGGATCACGGTTATCTTATATGCTAAAGAAAGCAAGTAGAGAATCATAAGTAAACATTGAACAAGTGTTTGAATCATTATTATATCCGCTTGGGTATAATAGAAGTTATCGCTAAGTCCCACCTCTACTTCGGATCGATTATCCGGGACCGTAGCATAACAATCTCCCATTGGTGCCTCCTTAGCTTAGTGGTAGAGCGTTGCACTTGTAATGCAAAGGTCGCTAGTTCAATTCTGGCAGGTGGCATTAAAATTAAATTTTTTTCATTTTTGCCATGTGATTTTCATTTCACCGTTCGAAGAGATAGACTCACTGAAAAAATTTTTTTTTCTTCAAAGTCCCTAGGCGTCACTAACTGAATTGAAATTTAGGCGATGAGCTGCGACGCTTACAAGGCAGCTATCTCTATGTACGTATAGGTGAAAAATTATGTGAAATGAGTCGACAACTGCAGAACCGCCCGGTAGTTTCGACTGTAATTGTTAGAGGTTAAGGTCGTTGATTTCAGGCGATTGAAGCGAACTCAAGGAACGCTAATAAAGGCCAGTGGATTACGGGGAGCGAGAGCTTTTTGGGCCTGGTTTTAGCTTCATTTTTGGTTAAGTTTGAGCACTTTGAAGCTGAAAATTAACGTTGAAAGTACCAGTCGAGTGTGAAGTACACTTTTCTGTTGAAAAAAGGTAGAGATAACAGTTGTAAGCGATGGCTCCTTTGAAAAGAGCAGCATCTGAAGCTGTCTCCTCAAGACCACAGCCATGGAAGAATGGAGAAGGTCCGCTGCAAAAGAAAGCACTCATCGCTGCACTTGGAAATGGGGACAAACAGCTGAGGCAGGAAACAAACGGCAAGAAAGAGGATACAGAGGAGCAGTTGGGAGACGCTAGTGCGTCTGACGAAGAAGAACGCGATGAGGATGCCAAAGACGGGGACGACAATGAAGAAGACGAAGACGAAGAGGATGATGACGAGGACAGAACACAAGATAACCAACAACAGCAGCACAAATCGGGCCAGCTGAGTGCACAGGACGTACAGATGGCGCGTGCCACCGCTGAGCTTTTCAAATCAAACATCTTCAAGTTGCAAATCGATGAGCTTTTACAGCAGATCAAACTCAAGGATTCGCGCATCCTCAAAGTAGAAAAATTCTTGCACAAGCTGTATGACACGATCCAAATGGTGCCCGATTGGGAGCCGACCGCGCTGGCCGATGTCGAGTCTTATTTCAAGGGCAAAATCGTCGCTGTTCCGTTTGCAGACCCCAAACCTGCTCCCTCTGTGCAATACAAATTCAGTTATAAGGCTCCAGACGTGTCTTTGATCGGTTCGTTTGCGCTCAAGACTGCAACTTACGATCCCAGGGGTTCTTCAGTGGACGTACTTCTCACGATGCCCTCAGAGCTCTTTGAGAAAAAAGATTTCCTGAACTTTCGATGCATTCACAAAAGAAGCGTGTATTTGGCGTACTTCACGCATCATCTGTTCGTTTTGTTTGAAAAGGAGCAGCTTTCTGACTTCCTCCAATTCAGCTATGAATATTTGAACGATGACCCGCTTTGTCCAGTTCTGCGACTTCAGTGCAAACCCGGTGGCGCTTCTGAGTACAATTTCTTCAAGACCAATTTTTCCATCAACATAATCGTCGGGTTCCCTTACGGCTTTTTCGAGGCCAAGAAACTGCTTCCAAACAAAAACTGCATCCGTGTTCAAGAAGATAAAGACACGATGACTCCCTTGTACAATTTCTCTATTCTTTCGTCTTCTACTCATGAGCACTACTTGAAATTTCTTTACAAAACCAAGAAGCAGACAGAAGCTTTCAAGGATGCCTGCATGCTAGGGAAATTATGGCTTAAACAAAGAGGATTCACTTCTAAATCTGCGCATTCCGGTGGACTGGGCGGTTTCGGCTCTTTCGAGTTCGCCACACTTATGAGCGCTCTTCTCTGCGGTGGTGGTGTTAATGGTAATAAGATTCTTCTTCATGGGTTCTCTTCTTACCAGCTATTCAAGGGTGTCATGAAATATTTGGCAACTATGGACCTCTGTGCGAATGGTCACCTACAGTTTTACTCAGACCTTGATCTGTCTTCGAAGCTGCCAACAGCAAAGTATATTGAAGAGGGTTTTCAAATTCCCACAATTTTCGATAAAACTACCAAAGTCAACATTCTTACCAAAATGTCAGTTTCCTCGTATCAAGCTTTGCAACTCTATGCGCGTGAGACTTTTATTCTGTTGAGTGATGTAGTCAAAGACCAGTTTGCTAGCATATTTCTAACGAACTTGAATAAGTTTCAGGAAATCAAGTACGATATGACCTTTGATTTGGAGATACCGACCCAATCAATCGTCGTGGAGAAATTTGGACCCACTGAAAAGATCAAGTTTATCAGTCTAGAGAACTTTGTGGTCAACAAAATCTGCAATGTAGCAAAAATCGCTTTGGGCGATAGAATTAAGTCGCTACAGGTCGAACTGTTGAATCACAAGACGTGGTTTCCCATTAGCAAACGGAAACCTCATAATAATACAAACATTTCTAATGCTCGCATCCGTATTTTGGTGAATCCTGCCGAATGTGAGAAGCTGGTTACGAAAGGCCCACTAAACTCCGAAGAGTTTGCTGCCGAGGCTCTCGTTTTCAAAAACTTTTGGGGTAAGAAAGCGTCTTTGCGTCGTTTTAAAGATGGTTCAATAACGAATTCGTGCGTTTGGGCAACCTCTGCTTCTGAATCGGTCATCTCTCAAATTTTGACGTACATTTTTAAGTTGCATCTGGCTGAAAACGTCAAACTCTCTAATCTCACTTCTAGCCAATTCCTGGAGTTACTACCTTTGCCAAATTTGCCAGCAAGTTCCAGCATGTCCGTTTTAAGCCTGAACACCTTTTACAATTCACGCAAATCATTCGACAATCTTTCCACGCTGCTGTTCAAGCTTGATTTACCTCTCGGCATCAAGTCTGTCCTACCAGTCGGCTCTGCATTTAGGTACACGACAACTTGTCAACCTGTACCTTACGCTTACGCGAATCCAGATTTTTTACAAGATGTGCTACTAGAATTTGAGTCTTCTCAGAAGTGGCCGGATGAGATAACATCTCTTGAGAAGGCCAAGACAGCATTTTTGCTAAAGATGCAAGATGCTTTGACCGCCAATCATGGCCAATACAAGACTTTTTTCTCCAGAGATGAATCTATCCCATATAATCTCGAGATTGTCACACTCAATATTTTAACTCCTGAAGGCTACGGGTTCAAGTTCAGAGTTCTGACTGAACGTGATGAGGTACTATATCTGAGGGCTATTAGCAATGCGCGCATGGAAACAAAAGCGGAATTGGAAAATGTTTTCTTGAAATTTACTGCTAAATATTTGGCATCAGCAAGACACACTAGGACGCTTGAAAATCTTGCTCATAGCTTTCCGCTATACCCACCAGTGGTAAGATTGTTCAAAAAATGGTTAGACTCGCATCTTCTTCTATCACATCTATCAGAAGAATTGGTGGAACTGATTGCAATGAAACCATTTGTCGACAGCGCTCCTTACTTTGCTCCAGCCTCCGTTGAGAATGGGTTTTTGAAGATTATTGAATACCTGAGCCAGTGGAATTGGAGAGAAGATCCACTCATTTTAGACTTGGTTAAGCCTGAAGAAGTTGATTTGGGCTCCGATCCAAGTTCTGCGAACGGACTTGATTTCACCTCCAAGAGCAGCAGCGACCTAAGGGAAAAATTTACGGTGTCACAAATCAAAGCCATACAGAGCAATTTCTCGACACTGCGCAAAAGCGATCCACAGGGGCTGAACATCCAATTCTTTGTTGCATCGAGGAATGATCCTAGCGGAATCTTGTACTCAAGCGGCATTCCACTTCCAATTGCAACCAGACTGACTGCTTTGGCGAAAGTCGCTTTCAATCTGATTCAGGCCCATGGCCTCAACAAACAAACCGTGGACTTACTGTTCACGCCGGCCTTGAAGGATTACGATTTCGTGGTGAAGCTCAAAATGCCGGTGTCTCTCAAGCTTCCGAGCGGCGTGCTGCACCACAGCGGTTTCAAGAACCTGGAAGAGCAGCAAACAAGTTTCCCATCAGATCTCTCGCAAATGAGCGAGAAGATGGACCCTTCGTACCAACTGGTCAAGTACCTGAACATGAAATACAAGAACAGCATAATTTTTTCAAGTCACCGTTATCCTGGCATCAACGGAAGTGATGCAGGCGATCGCAATGTCATCACCGGGCTGATCAAACCGGCTTTCAAATCGCCCGTCAAGTTCAGAGCAAACATGGATGCCAATGTCAGACCTGTCAACAACGAATTGACGCTATTGAACAAGGAAGCCATTTTCAACGAAATAGCTGTTTTTGGCAGTGACCTCATTACCGCTTTCGAGTCCAAATAGTCGATACAAAACAGAATGTAAATGCATTGTTAATAGAGCTCGAAAAGCGCAATACAGTATTCAGTTAGATCCACAAATCGTACTCAGAGTTGTTTGAATGTGTTTTGATCAAACTTATCGTGTCGTCGACCCAAACTGTCGTCCAGCAAAGAGGATCATCGTACACGAAGAGACTGCTCTACATCCACCACCTATATTATACATACAAATTAGAGCATTGATCATCTTCAATTGAACTGAGAAACTTCAAAAGACCAACGCTGATGTTCACTGCTCTTTGTGATTAAGCTGTTTGATGCGCTTTGGAACAATGCAGGACTCAACCTCTTCGCAGGCTGTCAAACTTCAAACGAAGAATTTCCAAGAGGATTTGGTTGAAAAAATGCGTCTTCTCACAATTAGCATCATTGTTATACATTACTTGAAGTTTGGTTCATCAACAGCGGCTTTTCTATTTAGACTGTTTGTACATTCGCTACTTTCTAAATCGCAGGTTGTGTCAGATCAGTTCAGGAGGGTTTCTTTGCGGGTCCACAATGTGCGTCGAATTCCAGGCCTTTCGTCTGGAAATTCACACCAACCGTCTACAAATGAGACAAACCCCAATCCACCAATGCCCGGGACTTTTGCAGTCCCTAGCAGCACAGAGACAAGCTCAGGTTCAATCGAGGAATTATCAGAAGCAGAAATAGAGGTATCGGTAAACGAAACTCAACGGAGAGTGAAATGGGTTCTTTTTCACTTTGCTTTCACATTCAACTGCATTTCTATCATAATGGCACTGATATGGCCCATTGATTTCATCTCCAAAGCGGGGCATTATGGTTCAGAAAGCAGCGGCAGCAGTTTTGGTAATATTCCATCTCCATTTGCAAACCAGAACGGACTGATCGGCGGAGAACTTCGAAGTGGTCTGTTTGTGCAGCTTGTAGGGGAACAGTTACCGAGCAGCAACTTTTGGAGCAATCTCAATATCGTACTGTTAGAATTTTTGATACTTTCGTTGCAGTTTGGCCAATACATTCTAACAGCTTATAATTTTGCGGACCCTCCATTCGAGTCACCCAACGCAGAGAGAAATGGCACGAACTATAACACCGATGGTCCTGTTGATAAGGACGATGCATATAATGGAATCGTGCTGGTCACGACCATTGAACCCGTGGAAGTGTTAAACGATCTCCTGGACAGAAGATACGAACGCACGACCACAGCCCCACCAACTGGGGCTGACCTTGTATAGATATCACGGTTGACATTGAAAAATTACTGTACATGCTCCACAACCTTTTCTCTATAAAAAACACATAATGCACTAGTAATCAGGATTACTGAGAAATCGGGCAGTTTTTGAGATATTCGGCTTTATTCTTCAAGATTCTAACACTCTTGAAGAAAATTTCCTCTGGAGTCATAGCTCCGGTACTTTCGACGTTGAAAATGAAATGATCTCTGACCCTCCCTAGCTTAACTTTTCCTTCGAATTCTTCGTGTCTCAAAACTTCTCTTGACACAGTGTCATTTCTTGCATCTTTGACAAATGCTTTCCCAGCGTCGTCAATGCCGATGACACCTGGAGAGAAACATTTGGCGAACTTTTCTGCTGATTCTCCGGAAACCGGCTGTGTAATGTTGATGTAAGGCATGAGTCGGTACGAGGCAGTCGAAACAGGAGAAAACTTGGCATGATCGCTACCAATGCCCAGAATACAATGGGCACGTAGAGAAATTTCCTGACCGGGTCTTAACTTAGCGAGTAGAATGTCTGGATCAGCAGGCACAACGGGGTTTTTGGCGAAAGTACTGAGCTGCTTGCCCTGAGGTTCGAATTTCAAGTCCCGGGCGTAAATGTGTGCATTACGGTAAAGTATCTTGGAATCTGTACAATTTTTTGGAGCATCGGGGTTTCTCGTGCATTTCACATTCAATGTGAGAACTATAGTGTTTTCGTCCGTAAATTTCTCTGCTTCTGGCAAGCTGTTATCCACCCAAGAGAGCATATCTGGATCCACTTTGAGAGGTGTAAGTCCAATTCTATGGGCCAGCACTTCGTCTTGTATCACAGATGTATTGTTGAAGAAATAGACGTATTCTGGAGCCACCGATGGCACCTCTGAGATCATGATTCGGCGAAAAGCATTAGTCACCGAGGTGTCGATGTGCATCAAATCAAAATTTGCTTCACGTTCATCCAGTGAGTTGATCTTTACGTCAAATGTATTTTTGAAGTTCTCCACGTCCCATTTAGCGTCCTGGTCCTTTTGGAATCCTGGAAAATCAGTGGATGTGGTGTTTGTGACACGATTATATTCGATGCCGACGATGTTGGACATGTTTGTGGTCGGTAAAACTCGAAGAAGGGACAAGAATCAAGTCAAAAATGGGACTAAACTCAAATGTGATGTATTTTAGCTAATTGAGTCGAAAATTACTCAAACTTTCTCCAGTTTTCGGACAATAAATTCTTTGAAGCCAAGAAAGTTTGAACAGCAGTCGCTATCTGCAAATAGTACTTAAACAGAACCACTTGGGCGTTTAAAGTTCAATTGGTTTGCCTCTACTCATCTCATCGCATGGAAAACTTTTTCTAATGTATTGACCAAAAAAGTGTTGATAGCACTTTTGACGATGAAGTCATCTTTTGATCCTTTAAAAATTAAAGAACTTTTGGGAACTTGACTGAATTTCTTGAAAGGCGGATTGGCGGCAAAACTCTGAGTATAAAACGATACTCTGGACGCTTAAGCTGGTATCTGTTTACGTCAAAGGCTAGCATGAGCAATGCGGAGCTTTTGGAAGATTTAGATGATGATTTCGGGACCGGTTCCGAAAGTGAGGTTGAAGTAAGAAACGACGGAGACGCTTTTTCCACGTTACAGCATTTTGCAACGGAATATAGGCCACCCAGATTGCTTGAGGGCTCAGAAGGAAGTTTTTGTAATATATCTTGGTTGTTTGACCGTCGCGATATAATTTTGCAGCTGATAAAAGATCGTCCAGATAGCTCTTCTGCTTTGCTACTCAGCAAAATGCAGCCCTTAGTACAGGATGAGATTGATTTTCTACATACGTACTTGAAGGGACTATATGAAGAGACGTTTCCAGAGTTACAGTCTATTGTGACATCTGGCGAGCAGTATGCCCGTGTTGTACAGCTGCTTCAACAGTCAAAGGGCTCACCGGACATCTCTGATTTCCAGAATGTGGTGGACCGCGAACAGATTTTGATTTTATCAATGGCACTACAGACAGACTACAAATACAATAAGTCGCCATCCGGTGACCTCATGCATATGCTTACAATCACTATTGAAATTATTTTAGCGCTCTGCGACTTAAAGCAGGAAATGAAAGCTTTTGTGACTTCTTTGATTTCTCAGGTTGCTCCCAATCTGTCAGAACTTGTGGGACCAGAGACAGCTGCAGCATTGATAGCTGCCGCTGGAGGCATTCGAGAATTGAGCATTATACCGAGTTGCAATATTCCGTCCATGGGCAAAAGTAAATTTGCTAGTCATGTACAAGCAGTGGACCAGAGCGGTGTAAGGCAAAAGGGGTTTGTATATTACTGTCCATTGGTTTTGGAACAACCAATCTTGGTGAGAAATCAAGCCCTCAAGATGACATGCGCCAAAGTTTCGCTTGCCGCGCGAGTTGACCTGTCCAAGTCGAGTCCTAACGCCAACTTGGGACTGGAATTTCGAAAAGACATCTTACACAAGCTTCAAAACATTCAGGAGCCGCCTAATATTAGCAATGTCAAGGCTTTGCCCATTCCAGAAGACAAACCCAAGAAAAAGCGTGCTGGTCGCAGATTTCGCAAATACAAAGAGCAATTTCAACTATCTCATGCCAGACAGCTACAAAACAGAATGGAATTTGGAAAGCAAGAGTCAACTGTTGTTGATGTGTATGGCGAAGAAATTGGGATGGGTATGGCGGGCTCAAGCCGAGCTTCGAAATCTGTGCCGACAAAGAGAAGCGCGAAAGTCAGAGCTCCAATGCAAAGAAGACTTGCAGCGGCAGCAAACGAAACGCACAACTTTTTTTCAGAAAATCAGGAGCACGCAGATGTTCTGAAAGCACCCAGTAACGGACCTCAGATCAACGGTGAAACGCGCGACCCAAAAAATCAACCAAACACAAACCAGTGGTACACGAAATTCATGACACATTCAAAGGATCAAGCTAGCTAAATATTGACGACGATCAAGCCGATAACCCACATAGCTCAGTCCTCTTACACTACCAGTTAGAGTCTGGGTACACTCACTCACTCGAGTACACCTGCGAGTACATTGCCGAATCTTAGCACGTGACTATTTCGAGAACTCATAATGGTAAAAGGTAAACACAACGAATGCATCAATTGCTGATCCAGGATAGCTTGTGAGCTCGCAGGTCTGGTTTCAAGGATTCCCAGCACAAGCTTGACCATTCTTAAGAAGCGAGAGACTGAAGAAAGTTGTCTGGTGCTTGTAATTGTCCTTCCCGAAAGATTTTCTCGAATTTGCAACGAAATCAATGTTCTCTAGAACAGGAACCGGGTACGGACGTCATCGCGATATCGAAGCACTAACGGATAACATAGGAAATTTGAGTTTTGATGCTAGTTTGGAAACCCCGTCCAAGTTTGACTTTGAACCCAGCACGCCTTCTAGATACCGTGGCGAATATGGGACACCTTCGCCTACCAAGTCTGTGAACGGAGCGAACACTTCTCGAGTATCAATGATGGATGTTGATGATGGAGTTTCGAATGCTCAAGTTGACTTCACGCAATCCCCGAAAAAGTTGCCATTGGATTTCCACCGCAAGGCTTCATCCAACAATACCAAACGATTAGTTAATGTTTGCCAAATGTATTTCTTGGACTACTATTGTGACATGTTCGACTACGTGATCAGTAGAAGAGAGCGTGCTCGCCAAGTTATGAAGTATCTAGAGCAGCAAAGGATCCAAGGAACAGATGGCGGTGAACTGACCAAGGAGTGGTACTCGTATGTACAAAAAGAGACAGGAATTCTAAGGAACCGCAGATTGAAGCCGAAGAATAAGGACTTTGAAATGATAACCCAAGTTGGCCAGGGAGGTTACGGCCAGGTTTATTTGGCCAGAAAGCGTGATACCCGGGAGATCTGCGCCTTGAAGATTTTGAATAAAAAACTACTTGTTAAGCTGAACGAGACAAACCATGTATTGACGGAGAGAGATATCTTGACCACAACCAGATCCGAGTGGCTTGTTAAGCTGCTGTATGCTTTTCAAGATCCAGCAAGTCTTTACTTGGCGATGGAGTTTGTCCCTGGAGGAGATTACCGGACTTTGCTCATCAACACAAGGTTTTTACAAGCGCCCCACGCTAGGTTCTACATTAGCGAGATGTTCTGCGCTGTAGATGCTTTGCATCAACTGGGCTACACCCATAGGGATCTGAAACCGGAAAACTTTTTGATTGACTCTAGAGGGCACATCAAGCTTACAGACTTTGGTTTGGCCGCAGGAACTGTGTCGATGGAGAGGATCGAAAGTATGAAAATCAGGCTAGAAGAGGTCAAGACATTAGACTTCCCCAAATTCGAGGAAAAGTCTATGAACGATAGGAGGCAAATGTACAAGAAGCTGAGAGCAGAGGATGTCAATTACGCCTCTTCGACGGTCGGCTCCCCAGATTACATGGCGCTGGAAGTTCTTGAGGCCAAAAATTACGACTTTACAGTCGATTATTGGTCTCTTGGTTGCATCTTGTTCGAGAGTCTGGTCGGCTACACGCCCTTTAGCGGCTCGTCTTCCAATCAAACTTACGAAAACTTGAGATGCTGGAAACAGGTATTGAAAAGACCCAGGTGTGACAACGGTCGCTACGCTTTCTCGGACAGGACATGGGATCTGATCACTAGACTAATCGCAGATCCTCTCAGTAGGCTGCGGTCCTTCGAGCATGTCAAGAAGATGAAATATTTTGCCGAGATCAGTTTTGAGAATCTCAGAAATCTAAGCCCACCGTTCATTCCTCAACTAGACAACGAGACAGATGCCGGGTACTTTGATGATTTTAGTAGCGAAGCTGACATGGCCAAATACGCAGACGTTTTCAAACGCCAAGACAAACTTACTGCAATGATGGACGATTCGGATGTAGTGTCGAAACTGGTTGGGTTCACCTACAGGCACAGGAAAAGTAAGAACGGCTCAACGGGCTTTATCTATGGTAGTTCTGAGCAGGCTGATCCCTTTGCAACGTTTTACTAAATGGTGAACTGAAAACGGGATTGGTGAAGGGAGTCAGAGGACTTACATTGAGGAAAACCCCATGTTTTGGTTGGATTATAATTTTTGATAGTTAAAGATAGGTTAAGTTGACAGTTTGGAAGGAGTGGTGACCAGCATGTGGCCGCATTAACGAAGTTGTCATAGGTATTCAATGGTCATACGTTACAAGCGACCAGCTTGTCTGTAAGTCTAGTCTGGATTAGATCCATGAATATAAAAGTTCACTAAGTTCTTTGAAACCTAGACCTAGGTCGACGTAAAGCACTGATCTGCCATTCCTGTAATGTCTAGGGTGTATGTCCAAGAGTTATCTGCTAAGGAGTACCTAGCCCTGGAGCATTCTTACTAACTAAACCAACATAGCTTGGTGCTTCGCGCCAATAGTCAAACTGTGACTGACGTCTTAGAGAAAGCTGAGGTCTTGAATAAGAAGTCTGGTCCATTCGACTGTGCCATCATTCTTGGTCATTTATTTGAATCGACCGAAGCTGTTCCTTGTCCACAATTCCCGACATTTTTCACCAATGGGCCCAAGATTCTGCTTGAGAATCCCGGTACCAGCTCGTTAAATCACAACCTAACGCTTTTAAATGGTTATGGCGTTCTTCAAACTTCCAATGGGCTGAGAATTGCCTACCTGACCGGTGACAGGGACTATCTAGCAAGAAATCAAGAAGAAATACGAACGCTCTTCCAGAGTGCGGCAGCGAAAGAGGTGGATATTCTGATTGCTGATGGCTGGAGTAAAGGCCTGTACTTGAGTGGAAACGAGAGTTTGGGAGAGGATAAACTGGAGGATGAGGCAGTCAAACTGCTGAAACCAAAATATCATTTTGCGACCTTAGCCAAGAACAAGTTTCAGGAAACAAGCCCCTTTAGATGGAAAGATTCCGAAAATATTACTAGATGTCTCAATATCGCAGAGTACAACTCAGGTGCCAAATGGGCTTATGCATTCAATATTGAATTTACACCAGTGGATAACAGTGCTGCACCTAATTCCTTTGTTAACAATCCCTATGAGGTTAAAGTATCTTCCAAGCGTGCACTAGACTCTGAAACTACATCAGTACACGCAGTACTGAAAAAGCCGAAGCAGATTTTACCACAAGAATGCAGATTTTGTCTGAGCAATCCTGCTGTCCAGGATCATTTGATAATTCATGTAAGTGATCATGCTTATTTGACCATAGCCAAGGGTCCATTGACCGTTCCTACCGCCCAAATGAATTTTCCAGGGCATTGCTTGCTTGTTTCCATCAAACACATCCCAAAGCTAAAAGCATCAGAAGATCCTCCTGATGACGTTTTCGATACTCCGCTGTTCAAAGAAATCGAAAGGTATGAGACTAACATCAGTGCGATGAACTACAAAAAGTTTGGAATGTCAACGGTCGCCTTCGCAATAAATTCCCAGAGATCAATCCACTACCACATTCAGATATTTCCCGTTCCGACTTATCTGATTGGGAAGTTCGAGTCTGCTCTTGGAAGGCAAGTTCACTTCAACAATACGAAATACAGCCATAATGCCAAAATAGAGTTTACAACTTTTACTGACTTGAATGACCCTACTTATAGATCTATTGTGAACGCTGCGGATAGCAATTACCTACAGTTCATGGTTTTCGACAAAGGACCAGAATCGCCCAAAACGTTTGTTGCAACCTTCAATCCAGAAGAAAGAATTGATTTACAATTCGGTAGGCGTGTGCTTGCATTTGTTCTTAATCTGCCGAAGAGAGCAAAGTGGGACTCGCCAGCTTGTAGCCAGTCTGTAGAGGAGGAAATTGGCGACGTTAGAGCATTTCAGACACATTTCAAAGGTTTCGAACCCTGACACAGATGAGCTTCGTAAAAGCGGTCATCCTCCATTGTAATAAAATTTCCTTAAATAATCTAAGTCTACGCTCCGTTCAATCCATCGTTGGCATCTTCTTCCTCTTCGCCTAGATCTAGTTTCCTACGACCACCATTTCTCAGCGCAGCGTGTTCCTGTGTCATAACTTGCGACTTTACCTTTCTAGTCATTCTTGCAATCTGCTCTTCAGCATCCTGTGGTTCTTCTTCAGCATGCTGCATAACTAGACGACGTCCCAACAAATGTACACCTTGCAACTGCTCCATTGCATTTTCAGCCTCCTTGGGCAATAAAAACTCAACAAACGCAAACCCTCTGGCAGATTTGTCGAACTTCTTGGGAACTCGTACTGACTTAAGTTGGCCGAAAGAGCTAAACAGCTCGAAGATTTGTTTACGCTCAGCTTCGAACGGCAAATTCTTGACAATAATCTTTCCACTTGCCTTCTTGGTGGACTTTGTTGATCCGGAGGCGGCAGTACCCTGGCGATGCGATAGCTTCAACTGAATTCTGTGGCCATCCAGTACGGATCCATCCAAAGCGTTGATGACTGCTATTGCTTGTTCCTTCGATTTAAACTCGACGAAGCCGAACCCCATCGATAGAGTTTTCCCGCTGTTTCTGCTATCAGGTTTAGTCTTGACTTGAGCGACAACGAATCCACTGAACGGATTGAACTTGTCCGTCAATTGAGCACTAGTGGTGGAGAAGTTGAGATTCTTGACAAAAATAGACACTGTAGGACCATCCAGTATATTATCGGCTGCATCTTCCGCCACTGCTGCCTCTGATCCAACATTCAAAATATCTTCAGCCGTAGTTTTCGCTTGCTTAGCATTAGCGGTTTCGTCTTTATCACCACCGTCTACTATCTCATCTTCAAGTGGTTTTCTGTTGAAGCAATTCTTGGGACCCTTTTCCAGGTACAAAATTCCATCCTTGAACCGCTTGAAAGATAACTTGCCAAACGCAGTTCTAGCAGCTGTGACGTCTCTGTACTGCACGACAGCAATTGTTTGCGCCGGAGGCAACAAAAGTCTTTCGAGCTTGCCAAAAGGCAAGAATAGATCGGCCAATTCAGCCTTGGTAGTTCCAAATGGGAAATTCTTGACTAAGAGTACTCTATCATCGCGGTCCACTGGCGACTTTAATTGTGCGAAATTAGCAAGATCCATACCCTTGGATTCGAAGTATTTTCTAACATCACCAATGACATGAGCTTCCGCAAGCGCTTGTTTGACAGCGGCACCGGTATCTGTCGCGTCCAAAAGTTCAGATTTTTGAACTCCCAGCTTAGTGGCCACACTGCTTAAAACAGCGTCTTGACTCATATAAAGTGAATTCCACGAAAAAGAATCTTGGGAAGCATTTGCCTTGCGTTTGAGGGCTCTTTGTTTCTTCAGCGGGAGATTTTTGAGATCGAATTCGTCTAATCTGTGAGACTTCTTTTCATCTGCAGGGAGAATATGCAAAAGACGTCCCTGGTAAATATTCTTATCGAGTTCAACATAAGCTGTGACGGCGTCGTCTGGGTTTTTAAACATCACGTACGCAAACCCTTTGGACTTACCGGTCCTTGTATCCAACGCAACATGCACTTCCTCCAATTCGCCAAATGGGGAAAAAAGTTCTCTGAACTCTGATTCTTTGGCCGTGTAAAGAATGTTTCGCAGAAACAAACGACCTGTCGTCTTGATTTTTCCGATGATTTTCTCTTCTTCCGTTGTGTCGGCTTCTGGTTCCTCTTGTGGTGTTTCCAGGATCTGTGGAGCCTCTGTAGCTTCCGAAGCCTCTGAAATTGTAACATCATCATTTTGATGCTCGGGTTTGCTTCGAAGATCCGAATTTTCATTTTCTGGACGCTCTTTAATTCTGATACGGCGCTGCTTGAGCCAGTCCAGATCTGAAACTCCCCCGTCTTGAGCAAAGGTGGAATCGGTTCCTTCTTTGACGTCGGATAAGCTCATCATCTGCTCATGCTTTTCCGCGTCGTCGTCTTGGTCTGCTCCGGTGTTGCCTAGGTCAACGTATTCATCGTCACTCTCGTTTTTCGCTATAGAATATGGTTCTCGGTTGTCCAAAAAACCTGTGTTTTCCGTATCATCTGCATCCCCAGACTTCAACGCCAACGCTTGAGCCAGCAGGGAGTTTCCTGGTGGTGCATCAGGGCTTGTCTGTTGCTGGCTCTGCTGCCCTTCATTGGAGGCCGCTGCGCCGCCCAAATTATCCCAAGATGTGACCTGAGAGCTGGGCTTCATCGTATCCATGAACTCTTGCAATTGCTTGTTTCTTTGAATCTCCGCATCAATGTTTGCAGTCGCTGCAGAACGAGCCTGCTGCTTGAACTGTTTCTTGCTGTTTTGTTCCTCAATGAGCTGTTCTTCTCGCTCCCGGACTCTTTTCAAAGCCTCTCGTCTTTTCTCTCGCATTGGCTGTGGTACCCCAGGATCTGCAAAACTCTTAGCCATTGTGATCTCGATCTTAGAAGTGTCGATGAAAGAACCGTCGAAGTATTGTACAGCGTCCAAGGCATCGGCCTCATGACGGTACCCGATGAAAGCAAATCTCCGTGACTCACCGGCCCGGTTTTTCATGATCTTAATGTCTGTAATGAGCTCGGATACATCCTCATTAGGGTGAATTTTAGCCAAGCGCTTGACGAAGTGCTTCTTTAAGTTCCCTTCTTCCAGATACTTCGGAAGACCCTTGACAATAGCTCTGGACATTACTAAAGCAAATGAGTCGGGAAAGATGCGTACAATTGTTTGAAAGCTTTACCAACGGCTGACTGGTGATGCTATCTAGCTAAGTTGGATCTACACTCCAGTACGCTGAGATGAAATGAGATGAGATGAGGTGAGATGAGACGAGATGAGATGCGATGAGCATGTACTACCACCATATAAATTTTTCAGATGATTTCCGATACACGTGATTTATTCTTCTACTTGATTAACTACTCGAGCCTCTACTCAGAAATCTATTTCCACTTATGGATACAGGTTTCCAGAAAGGGCGGTTCTTCGAGCAATTACGCGTTTAGGAAATAGTATAGCCAGATCGGGAACTTTATTTCCTATTTCAGAATTCAGTATGAAAAATTTCATGATCATCTCAAACGAGTAGAAACTTTCATTCGTTTCTCACTACCCACAGTCATCCGGTTTCGACGAATTTACTCGTTATTTGATCGATGAGTCTGATTTTGGCCAAAGGTACATGCGAAGAAGCCTGATTCAAGTCTCAAGACAGTGTTTTTCGTTTCCAGCACGCACAGTTTATACAGGTTTTACCCTCTCAGCCAGAGATACGCCAGAGAGACGCTTGCACAGTTCGAAATTTAGAACTATGAGTTCCGACCAAACACTACCTTTGGTGGATCCCAAGACAGGGGAAATCATCATCAACCCCTTGAAGGAAGATGGTAGCGAGAAGAACGCTAAGGAGATCGAAAAGGAGCGCAAAAAGGCGGAGAAATTGCTGAAATTTGCCGCTAAACAAGCCAAGAAATCAGAGGCAGCCAGCAAGCAAAGCAGCGCGCCCAAGAAGGAGAAAAAAAAGAAGGAAGTAGAAGTGATTCCAGAATTTGTTGACAAGACTGTGGCCGGTGACAAGAAAATTCTTGTGTCCCTTGACGACCCAGCATTGAAAGCCTACAACCCCGTCAACGTCGAAAGCTCTTGGTACGACTGGTGGGTCAAGTCCGGGTTTTTCGAGCCAGAGTTCACCAAAGATGGCCAGATCAAGCCAGAGGGCGTTTTCAGCATCCCAGCTCCACCCCCAAATGTTACCGGTGCACTCCATATCGGACACGGTCTCACCATTGCGATCCAAGACTCTTTGATTAGATACAACAGAATGAAGGGCAAGACTGTATTGTTTTTGCCAGGTTTCGACCACGCTGGTATCGCTACACAATCTGTCGTTGAGAAGCAGGTCTGGGCCAAGGAACAGAAAACCAGACACGATTACGGCAGAGAGGCTTTTGTCGACAAGATCTGGGAGTGGAAAGAGGAATACCATAAGAAGATCAAGAACCAGATTAACAAATTGGGGTCCTCTTACGACTGGTCGCGTGAAGCGTTTACTTTAAGTCCACAGTTGAGTAAATCGGTCACAGAGGCTTTTGTCAAGCTGCACGAGGAAGGTGTCATCTACCGTGCTTCGAGATTGGTGAACTGGTCTGTCAAGCTGAATACTGCTATTTCAAATTTGGAAGTGGAAAACAAGGACATTAAAGCAAAGACTATGCTGTCCGTTCCTGGCTACGACGAAAAAATTGAATTCGGTGTATTGACATCGTTTGCATACCCTGTCGTTGGCTCGGACGAGAAATTGATCGTCGCTACTACCAGACCGGAAACCATTTTTGGTGACACCGGTGTGGCTGTTCATCCAGAAGATCCCCGTTACAAACATTTGCACGGAAAATTTGTTCAACATCCTTTTGTTGACAGAGAGATTCCAATCGTGTGCGACAACGAAGCGGTAGATATGGCTTTCGGTACTGGTGCCGTTAAAATCACACCTGCTCATGACCAAAATGATTACAACACCGGTAAACGTCACGATTTGGAGTTCATCAACATCTTGACCGATTCGGGTTTGTTGAACGACGAGTGTGGTCCAGAATGGGCCGGGATGAAGAGATTTGATGCCCGGTCGAAGGTCATCGAAGCCTTGAAAGAGAAGGGTCTATACGTTGGACAAGAAGGCAATGAAATGACTATTCCAACGTGTTCAAGATCCGGTGATGTCATCGAGCCTTTGCTGAAACCACAATGGTGGGTTTCCCAAGGTGACATGGCCAAGGAGGCAATTAAAGCTGTGAAGGATGGTAGAATCACAATTACCCCCAAGTCCTCGGAAGCTGAATACTTCCATTGGCTGGAGAATATCCAGGATTGGTGTATTTCGAGACAACTATGGTGGGGCCACCGTTGTCCAGTTTACTTCGTTGAGGTTGAAGGGGAGGACCATGATGGCCTGGACGGTGAATATTGGGTCTCTGGTAGAACGGCTGAAGAAGCTCAGGAAAAAGCTTCCAAGAAGTTCCCTAATGTGAAATTCACTTTGAAGCAAGACGAGGACGTTTTGGACACATGGTTTTCATCCGGTCTATGGCCATTCTCTACCTTGGGCTGGCCAGATCAGACAGCTGACCTCTCAAGGTTCTATCCTTTCTCCATGTTGGAAACTGGTTGGGATATCCTATTTTTCTGGGTTTCTAGAATGATTTTGCTGGGGTTGAAATTGACTGGCGAAATTCCTTTCAATGAAGTTTTCTGTCATTCTCTAGTCCGTGACGCTCAAGGTCGTAAAATGTCTAAATCATTGGGTAACGTTATCGACCCTCTTGACGTTGTTACAGGTATTAAATTGGAAGACTTGCACGCTAAGCTACTCGCTGGTAACCTAGATCCAAGAGAAATTGAAAAAGCAAAGAATGGTCAGAGAGAGTCTTATCCAAATGGTATTCCCCAGTGTGGTACTGATGCTCTTAGATTCGCCCTGTGTGCCTACACCACTGGTGGCCGTGACATTAACCTTGACATCATGCGTGTTGAAGGTTACAGAAAATTCTGTAACAAAATTTACCAAGCCACTAAATTCGCTTTGATGCGTCTAGGTGATGACTACCAACCACCAGCCCAGGAAAAACTCTCCGGACAGGAATCCTTGGTTGAGAAGTGGATTCTCAACAAGATGACACACTATGCTAGATCTGTGAATGAGGCTCTGGACAAGCGTGATTTCCTCACATCCACGAGCGGTATCTACGAATTCTGGTACCTGATTTGTGATGTGTACATTGAGAATTCCAAGTACCTAATTACTGAAGGCAGCGAAGTGGAGCAAAAATCTGCTAAGGACACACTTTACATTTTGATTGACAACGCATTGAAGTTGATCCATCCTTTCATGCCTTTCATCTCTGAAGAAATGTGGCAGCGTTTACCAAAGCGTTCTTCTGAGACTTCCCCAACTATCGTAAAGGCCTCATATCCAGTTTACAGAAAGGACTATGACAATGAAAAAGCTGGTAAAGAATACGAATTGATCTTGGATGCAATTAAAGAAGCACGTTCGCTTCTAGCCCAATACGGCATTCTCAAAAACGGTAAAGTTTTCATTGAATCTTCAAATTCCGAATTTTTGGAAACAGCTCTTCAGCAAAAGGATTCTATTGTCTCTCTGATCAAGGCTATTGATGAAGTCAATGTTGTCAAGGCTTCTTCTGAGATTCCTGAAGGTGCTGTTCTGCAAGCTGTGACTCCTGAAATCAACGTTCACGTTTTGGTAAAAGGCCATGTAGACATTGATGCCGAAATCTTGAAGACGCAATCTAAGCTTGAAAAGGCTCAGAAGACCAAGGAGAACATCGACAAGACTATCAACAGCCCCGATTACGAAGCCAAAGCGAACGAGCAAGCGAAGGCTACCAACAACACGAGACTCCAGAATACCACAGCTGAAATTGAAGGTCTCGAAGCCACTATTGCCAACCTAGAGCGTTTGAAGTTATAGAAAATGCCTCTATACCATGACTTACTTGGTCAATTACTTGTAGTTACTAATGTACATCGTTTCTGATTTATTTTTGTGGGATTCGGCCGTTTTATGCCTATCCGCTTATGTATCTATCGCCAAACAAAGTCTTGCTGGACTTTACGCTGCACAACTTTACGCAACTCTTGAGCGGTCTCAACACAGCTTTTTTCTCCAAACTGAAGGACCCGAAGCACTGTATCCTCTGTGAAGTCGCCGTGGCTTTCAAAAAGAAGCACGTTTTCTACCTTTTGGGTACCTTCTCCGAGTTGCAATGCTAGTATATGTGTAGATTTGGATTCGATTAAGTCCAACTGTGCAGGGTCCGTACGAATCTCCTCACCATCAGTGGAAACTGATAATACTACGCTGGCAAAAGAGAATTGAAGACCGATTCCTGCATCCACTATTGCTAGGAAAGCTGCGTTGATGCAGGCACTCAACTCTTTGACACTGAAATTTTCCTCGGGCTCTCCGCTTTCCAGTATCTGGAAACACACCTGAGCTAGCTGTCTGGGATAAAGGTATCTGGCTAGCACAGGAGTAACGACACCACGGATTTGGTCCTCCAGCAGCTTCTCTCGAGTGGTTGGAACGCCTCGGCAGGGTCTAACGATTACTTCCAATGCTAGCTGCGCAGGTAGTTCCTGCCTTGCTTTGGGCTCTATGGGTCCAGTGACGGAGCATTCCACAGTTGTTTGGCCGCATTGAAGCTTACAGGAGCCGTCAACTTGCTCCAGTACACCTGTTTGAGCTGAGAGCATATTTTGGAGACCTTGGTGGAGCATGTCGAAGTTGTCCTTCGATGCCTTCACTATTCAAATTTGTTTCGATATTCTACTCGTTCGAGTAGAGAAATGGATAGAGGAGACGAGTAGGTGTCGCGACCAGATATGGTGAAGTTATCCCTCATGGCCAGTCCGGCATTGCGAGATATCCTGAGTCTTTGAAGCTTATGGTAACGTAGCTTTCTGGCGATGGGTCGGCGTCAGTCATTTCAATACTCACATTCCACCATCGGCACTGCAATGTCAGGAAAACAAGTATGACGCCGCAACATAGGATCGTTGGATTGGGGCCTCATTTAAGCACAGAGGTGGTAAACGTAGTTGAAATTTACGGTAAACACATATGTCTTTCGAAGGCCGACCTTCATAAGAATCGTGCAATGTCTCAAATATTTTGAATTTTGCATGAAGTTGTCTTAGCTAGTCGAGGGTTCAACTTTTTACGGATTTGAGACCGGTACATTTCGAATCCTAGACCTCCATATGTCGAATTGTTAGCATCCACATCTTAAATCCTAGATCTGTACGTATTTTGTTCATTAACTAGTATTCACATCGTGCTCCTGAAGCCATCCGCAAACAATACTCTTCCGGTGTAGCGAGGTTCGAGTCGTTTAAATTGCCCAAAAAATGAACAATGCTTGTCAGAACCTATCTCCGGAAGTCTGTGATGCTGTCATCTCAGGTTCAGCTCGTTTTCTGTCATCTGAGCTTCAGCTCATCTGTTTCCCCAGTTATGGAGCTACCAAGCGCCCGAAAAAAAGGACAAACTACTCCCTATTCTCCTGCAAGACGATGCTGACTATAGCAACGCATATCAGCAAACGTATTTGCTAGAACGGGTAGTGTTTTACCTAGCTCTGACATCTGTCAAGTACCTAAGATATAAATTACTGATCTCATCGAGTGAAAATCCACACCTCTTGACGTATCGAAGATCGGTCCTTTAATGCTCTGCAACCAGCTCTACTGACTCCTTTGGCCTTTGCTGCTTTTTATATGACAGAAGATTTTCTTCGAAAGGGCCAGGAGGTACCATTGCAGTGGTCTTTACTAGCAGGATGTGTATCTGGACTAAGTGCACGATTCGTCACTGCACCACTAGATACTGTGAAAATAAGACTTCAATTACACCTCGTCAACGAAGCGTCTCAGGGAGGTATTATCTCTATAGTACGCTCAATTATACGTGAAGAAGGGGTGCGTGCATTATGGAAGGGAAATGTGCCCGCTGCTGCAATGTATCTGCTATACGGTGCAACGGAATTCGGCGCATTTTCGACTTTAAACAAGACCTTAGCAGGTAACCAATTGCCGGCTCAAATTCATACCTGTGTTGTTGGGGCTCTAGCTGGCTCTTGCAGTGCAGTAACGTCGTATCCGTTCGATGTCCTGCGAACCCGTTTTGTTGCTAACCACGACAAAAAGCTGGCCACAACGTTCGAAACCGCTCGCGATATCTGGGCTCATGAAGGTCTGCGCGGGTTTTTCAAAGGTGTTTCTTCATCAGTGGTGTCAATGAGCATTGCCTCTTCCGCCATTTTTGCAACTTACGAAACGATCAAGATCTTTTGCGAGCAGAGCAAGCACAGAGACTCTGGTCCAGTCAAGTTTCTGGAGTCATCCGCAAGTGTCATAGCGGGGCTGCTATCGAAAACGCTGGTTTTTCCTATCGACACAGTGCGGAAGAGGCTACAAGTTGTCAATTCCAAGAATCTCGTAAATTTAAGCCGACACAACCATGCTTATGACGCGTATAAGGGTACCAACTTCACGCAGTTGGCGCAGAAAGTGGTACAGAAAGAAGGATATCGAGCTCTGTATCGAGGATTCACCTTAGGTGTAATGAAAAGCGTGCCTAGCACGGTGGTTAGCATTGGGGTCTACGAATGGACATTACAAAATTTGGGATCGAGGTTTAGAGCTCAAGCAGATGACAATGGTGCACGCCAAACATGAAACCTGCGTCAACAAGTGGTAGAATTCCTTTGAAACTTCCAGAAGATTAACGGCCCCAAATAATATTCCTTCTGTGAGATACCGAATCAAAACAACATTAAGTAAACTTGCCAGCAGTGCGGTTCATTGATCTTTATTGACCTGTTATGCCAAGACGTCAACCTAACTTTCGATGCATCAAGTTGCGTCACTAAGCGTATTTTGACCAAAAAAAGTCTCAAAATGATGCTTTCTTCGAGCCAGTATCGAATATCCTGGTGCCAAAGCTCACGAACTCACGGGACATTCGACAAAACGCCTATTCTCATCCGTTTCGTCCTCAAGATTTGGAATTTTGAAGGTTAGCGCTTCACCATCCTGTCGTACGAAACCCATATTAGCTCAACTAAACTTATTCACTGAGATTGAACTAACAAACCTGCCGGTACATTCGAAACATTGTCGACTTTGAAGGGCTCTTACTGTGGTGTTAACAATTGAGAATGTCGCAGCGAAAGCTACAACAAGATATCGACAAACTTTTGAAGAAAGTGAAGGAAGGATTGCAAGACTTTGAAGATGTATACGACAAATTCCAGAGTACAGACGCTTCCAACACATCTTACCGCGAAAAGCTGGAAAGCGATCTAAAACGGGAAACCAAGAAGCTGCAAAAACACCGGGATCAGATCAAGACTTGGCTCAGCAAAGAAGATGTCAAAGATAAGCAACAAGTGCTGATGGAAAACCGACGTTTAATAGAATCGGGCATGGAAAGGTTCAAGTCAGTGGAAAAGCTCATGAAGACTAAACAATTCTCTACTGAGGCTCTCACAAATCCGGACATCATAAAGGAGCCGCGCGAGCTGAAAAAACGGGACCAATTTCTGTTTATTCAGGATTGCCTCGAGGAACTGCAAAAACAACTCGAGCTATTCGAAGCTCAGGACAATGAACATCAATGTGAACGTCATATGTTCCACGTTTCTAACTTGGAAAATATCTTGAAGAAGTTGCAGAATAATGAGTTAGAACCGGACACTGTGGAAGAATATCAGGACGATATTCAGTATTACGTGGAAAATAACGACGATCCTGATTTCATAGAGTATGACACGATATATGAAGACATTGGTTGTGAAATCCAGCCTGGTGATGATATCAAAGATGTCGAAACGCCGTCCAAGGCAGCAAGGGTCCCCAGGGCTGAAAGGTCGCCAAAGAAAAGAGAATCGTCTTTGCCTGCACCATCAGTTCTGCCAAGCAACTCGAATGCCGAAAACTCCGGTAATGTCCCTTTCTCACCAAGCATTTCATCAACAAACTTGGCATCTTCGCCATTCAAAAAGGATGAACGACAACAACCCGAGCATATTGAAACTCCGGGTCAAAAAGTTGAAGCTTCATTGAACTTTGACCGAAATCAAATTCAGGATCAAACTCGTCGTCAAGAAGTGGAAACACCAACCCCTCAGCCGTCAAAAGACATCTCGAAGGAAATTGAAGATATTCTGGCTCAAGACAGAGCCGAATACTCGGCTTTTCAAAATCCACTATTTCGTCCCGGTCTGGATTACTGGCTTGAGACCAAACGTACGCTTCTTCAACCGCATGACACAATGCCTGCAGAAATGGCGGCTCAGCTGGAATCTTCGCTTCTGAACTGTCCCGACTCACTCGATGCTGATACTCCAAAACTGTATCAGACACCGTTATCGTTGCCTCATCCAACATCCATATTCTTTCCTAATGAAACTATTCGATTGGTTTCAAATGATCCGGTAGACCCTGCGAAAAATCATCAGAAACACAACGACATTTATTCGCGAACTTCAATGGGACGCATCATGTCGAAGTTCGATTTGGATACTCTCTTTTTTATATTCTACCATTATCAAGGAACTTACGAACAATTCTTGGCTGCCCGAGAACTCACCATAAGAGGATGGCAATTCAACAAGCTCAATCGTTGCTGGTTTTACAAAGAGGTGGAAAAACTCCCACCAGGCATGGAGCAGACCGAAGAGGTTTCTTGGAGATATTTTGACTATCAAAAATCTTGGCTCGCAAGACGCTGTGGTGCCGATTTCATTTATCGAGAAGAAGAGTTCGAAAGGATATAGGATTCTTGTAATTTAATTCATAGCATTACAAAGTCGCATCAGTCAAAGATGCTTCTCAGCAGCTAAGAGGTTTTAGTTGGTACAGATGATATAAACCATTTTATCAAAGCCTTTGTAAAACGAAAAGCTAACACAGAAAACCTGGTTCACAGTTCCTGTTGCAGAAACTGTTCGCTAAAATATTGAATTTGTTGAAAGTTATACTCAAAACCGTCGTCCCCACCGTAGTAGGGGTCGTCGACAATATCCCTGTATTTTCCATCGTGATTCCAATGTCCAAACATGAATAGTTTGGCTTTTGAATCACTCGGTTTTAATCTTTTCAGGTTTCTTAAGTTCATGTCGTCCATACAAATAATGTAGTCAAAGTCATCAAAGTGGTGGCTCTTAATCTGTTGCGCCCGGTGATTCACAGGGACACCATGTTGACGACATGTGGCTGCTGAGCGGGGGTCTGGGGATTCTCCCTTATGCCACCCACCAGTTCCAAAGGAGTCTACTTTAGAGACTCGTTCTTGTAAACCGCCTTTCTTGACGGTGTGGGCGAAGACTGCTTCAGCCATAGGCGAACGACAGATATTACCTAGACAAACAAAAGCTACAGAGATAGGATCTTGAGTCATGACTTGAAAGAACCTCGAATAATTCTGCTCAATTCAGCGCACTAACTTGTTCGTTATGATGCAGAAACGAGTGTTTTCTCCTTTAGATCTGAGATATCTCAAGCAATCTGGACTAGATCTAAGAGCACCACAATGTAATTTCGACTCACAATCTCAGTAATCATCCATAGGAATATAAGAAATTTAAAATCTATATATAATATTATAAACTAAGTTGGATTTCCCAATTGCAGGTTTTGAAACTCATTGTCATTGTTTATCTCGTTACTTATCTCAGCATGAAGCCGTCATTACTCGGGGAACGAATTTTTAAGTCCTCCTAAAAAGATTTAAAAAGGCTTGTGCAAAGGAGAGATCACTTGCTTGTTCTTGTAGAAAGCGATAGTCTTTTCGGCTCTGGTGGAGATTCCCTCTGGAGTGAATTCGAAAGCTTTGTAGATCTCTGGAGCTGGACCGGAAGCACCGAATCTGTCTAGACCGAAAGATTCGTGGGCATACTTGGACCAGCCAGAAGTAGACAAGACTTCGATAGATAGGATAGGGATGTTGTCTGGGAAGACGGACAACTGGTACTCTTCGGATTGCTGGTCAAAAGTGTGGAAGTCTGGCAAAGAAACAACACGAGCCTTGACGTTCTTCTGGGCCAATTGCTTAGCGGCATCGACGGTTATAGAAACTTCAGAACCGGTCGAGACCAAAGTGATGTCAGCGTTCTCAACTTCTTGCAAAACGTAACCACCCTTGACGGCCTTTTCTAGACTGGAACCTTCCAAATGAGGCAAGTTTTGTCTAGACAAGGCGATGATGGCAGGGGTGTGCTTGGAGGTTAGAGCAACCTTGTAAGAAGCAGACACTTCGTTACCATCAGCTGGTCTCCAGACTTGCATGTTTGGCAAAGCTCTGAAGTGAGCCAAAGTCTCGATAGGTTGATGGGTTGGACCATCTTCACCTAGACCGATGGAGTCGTGAGTGGCAACCCAGATGACAGGGTGACCAGACAAGGCGGAAAGTCTAACGGCACCTGCGGCGTAAGAAACAAAGTTGAGGAAAGTACCACCGTAGGCCTTGTAGTTGGCACCAAATGCGGAGATACCGTTCATGATGGCAGACATACCATGTTCTCTGACACCGTATCTGATGTATCTACCGGCGTAGTCACCCAAACCGGTGGAAGGGTGCTGGAAGTCGACGGCCTCCTTCCATCTGGTCAAGTTGGAGCCGGTCAAATCGGCAGAACCACCAATCATTTCAGGCAAAGTACCTTGGATGTTTTGCAAAACAATTTCGGACAACTTTCTGGTGGCCACTGGAGAGTCCTTTGGTGTGAAAAGTGGCAAAGTCTTTTCCCAGTCTTGAGGCAATTCGCCGGCAATTCTTCTGGTGATTTCGGAATTGAGTTCTGGGTACTTGGAGCCGTACTTCTCTAACAATTGGTTCCATTCGTTGAATTGTTTGATACCTGGCTGGATCACGTCGCTGTTGTAAAAGTCGTAAACTTCCTGAGGAACAACAAACGATTGCTCAGGGTCGAAGCCCATGTTTTTCTTGAGCTGTTTAACGTCATCAGGCTTCAATGGAGAACCGTGAACGGAGTGAGTACCGGCCTGTAGAGAACCGAAACCAATCGTGGTGGTCATCTTGATCAAAGTTGGCTTGTCCTTGGACTGTTTGGCCTGAGCGATGCAAGCGGCAATGCTGTCAAGATCCTCGTTACCGTTCTCAACGTGTAGCACTTCCCATCCGTATGCTTCGTAACGCTTTGGAACGTCTTCGGTGAAGGAGACGTTGGTGTTACCGTCGATGGTGATCTGGTTGTCATCGTAGATGGCAATCAAGTTACCTAGTTTTAGATGACCGGCAAGAGAGCTGGCTTCACTGGCAACACCTTCTTGCAAACAACCGTCACCAACAAAGGCAAAAGTGTACGAGTCGCTGAGCACGAATTCAGGCTTGTTGTAAGTGGCAGCGAAATTGGCTTGAGCAATGGCCAAACCCACCGCGTTCGAGATACCTTGACCCAAAGGACCGGTGGTGACTTCGACACCTGGAAGTTCGAATTCTGGGTGACCTGGACATTTGGATCCCAATTGACGGAACTGCTTCAAGTCCTCGATCTTGAAGTCGAAACCGGTCAAATGCAACATCGAATATAGCAGGGCACAGGCGTGGCCGTTGGAAAGCACAAAACGGTCACGGTTGATCCACTCTGGGTGCTCTGGGTTCAATTTCATCTGCTTGAAGATAACGTGTGCGGCAGGAGCCAGCCCAAGTGGGGCACCTGGGTGACCAGAGTTGGCAGCAGCCACCTGGTCGACCGAAAGTAGTCTAATTGTGGAAATAGCGAGTCTGTCAATATCTGTGAATTGCGACATGTTTTCGATGTGTGAGATTTGTGAGGGGAGTAGTTGTGTGGTAAAAGTGTGATTGTGTTTGGGAAATGTTTCTTCTAAAGAAATGTCTTTTAAACCTTTCAAGAAGATGACAAAGAAAGAAGTCTCGACCTTTAAAACTCGAATCGGATTTTGTAGGTGTGTCATATAGGAAATGGGCGTTATCTGGGCCTGGCTTTTATAGTCCCGACAAGGAAGCTCAGGTCGTGCTCGAGTTTTTGCAATTCGCTACGCAATTTTCGCCACCCTTTTTTTTCTTAACCTTTCTTTACGACAGGTCACGCTTTGTGTCTGTGGTGTTTGGGTGGTTGGGTGGTTGGGTTATGGAGGGACGATTGCTTTTTGCAGGATTGTTGGGAAAAGGAAAAGAGGGTGGGTGTGGGTGTTGTGGTGACTGGATGTATGGGTGACTGGGTGTGGATTTTGGGGTGACGGGTGTACCGGTGTGTGGGTGTATGAGGATTAAAATTGGTGACTGGGTGTTGAGATGGGTGTGTGGGTGTGTGGGTGAGCTGGTGTCTGGGTGGCTGGGTGGCCGTGCTTGACAACCCGGTGTCTGGGTGCCAAAATTCAATGTCTGGGTGTTGAGTCCCATATTGCATATAATGACTCTCCGCAAGATCCCAGCATCCTGTGCACACTCTCGAGATCAAAAGAGAAGTCCGATAATCTTTCTACAGACACTGGAATGCCTCAGTGTTCACGATTCATAATATGATTCCAGCCGCTAGCACTGCCTGCGCTTTTCTATAACAGATACCATCATAAATAGCAGTATTTCAATCGTATGTTAGTACGCATTTAGCTGCTGCGTCGTTCAACTTACAAGTTCTCAAATTCTTGAAATATGAATCTGACGTGCTTCTCTCTTATTGCAACTTTATCGTGCAACAACGTAATACTAAACGTTCGACTAAATTTTTCAACTACTTACGAGAGGACTTACCAAAGGACTTGAAAACCCCTCTCAATCTAAGTTCCTTCCCTTTCAATCTGTAGTCTCCTCTTGCCATGGTTTAAGCGTCTTGCATCCCTCTTCAGTTTCTAGCCAAGCCTAAATTTATACATATTAACTACCAGAGCTCATGTTGTTACTCTCTAGCGCTAGTGTTCCATTCCTACATCGAGAATGAAACTGCCGCTATCATCCTCGTCGTCATCATCGTCATCTCCACTCGAGACGCGATGCTCATCACCATGCGGTTCTTCCTGGCGAGAGCTTTCTCCACTCGATGGGACAATGGCAGTGGTAACCCAAGGTTCCTTTTCATTTTCACGATGAATTTCGGACGTTCTGTGAACATGTTCATGGTCTTCCAAACCAAACTCCTTTTCAACGGGCTCCTCGTCTTCTTCCTCGTTGATCTGTACTAGTTTTGGACGGGCCCTAATTGCTGTGGTTAAAGCATCCCGAGAACCCCCAGAGCTATCTTCATTGACGCCTTCTTTTGGTGTGCTTGCCAAGCCATCTGCTTCAAGATCGTTGTCATCGTCACCCAAAATGGAAGACCCCAGCGTGATGTGCGATCTGGTGTCACCGTTACGCAAGAGGTGTCGTGGTAAAGGCGGCAGTTTACTTTGGCTGCGACCGCCAGCGGTGACACCCGGGATGTATGCGATAGGTAATATGTTTGAAGCCTTGGTCATTTGAGTGGCAGCAGAACTTCTATTTCTGGGTTGATAAAGGGACCCAGTCTCCTGAGTGTTGCCAGATGGGCCTCGGCCTCCGTCAAAATCGGTGTCAAACTGTTCATGGGCCACCAAAACTTCCTTATTACGCGTACGATTTTTACGCCAATATTTGAGATATAAGTAGAGCAACAACAGCACTACTATCAGGCCCACACCACCAATAACACCCCCTACGATGCCTCCAATCTTTCCGGAGTCAGAAGACTTGGAATTTGAACCCGTTGTTGCGGTCGAACTCGCCACAGAAGACGAACTAGAACCTGACGACAGTGCTCCATTTTTTTTTGTACAATACGTCTGCGCACACTGGTCGCATCGCTGTAGCGAAATTGCGCACTGTTCGTCTTCGGCACACACGGGACACGGTGGTGTTGATGTGCAAGTAACGCAACCTGAGCCTGCAGATGACGCTGTAGCAGATCCCGAAGATTCACTTTGTGAGCTTGAATCATCTCGTTCGTGCAACTGAACATCCCAGATACCCAATCCAAGGGTCTTGGTGGGTCTCAGCGTGATGCTTGTACCGGAAGACATACTCTGTTTAAAAAATGATGCGAGTTTTCAAAGCCTGATTGTCGTGCAAGTTTGAGAAAAAAGTTGGCTCAAAAAACCCTGCAAAAGCGCTAAAGTGATCCTTGTCTCGCACCTATATGAAAGCTTCTTAAATGTAAGTCGAGAGCTTTTGAAACCTGCACTTATCTGCTTTTTTGATATGTCAAATGAAAAACCACGGCCGATTTTCCAGACTTTATTTTTCAGCTCAGATCTCGCGGATCTCGTTATTACAATTTAATTTGGTGGAAGAATGTAGCTGAAAGAGGTAAGCCCAAGGAAGACGGTGAATAATTAAGAATTTGAACAGTATCCGAACAGAACTCGAACAAGAATTGGTTTGAAGAGGAACACGATAGGATTTTTGAAGGTTTTCAGTGGAAACGTAAGCATTTTTTGGGTGAGAGTTCCTTAAAACTGTAGAGTAAATCTGTGTGCCACGTGACCAGCGACAGTTATAAGTCTACCGATACTTTCGTGATCTGCACCGTTGAATACGTTCTTTTCCGATCCGCTCTCAAAGTGATAACTGGATGGATTAGTTCAATTGATTGCAATTCGGCTAGTTACTTGGGTGCCATGACAGTAAATTACAACTCGTTCTGGCGATCTATCACTTAGATCATAGTGTAATTTCGTATTGATTACGAAGCAGCATACCATGAATAACCTAACAGGTCAGAACCGTAATAATTATCGAAATCTTTCCCCTTACGATCCTTTGACACCATCTTTCAAGCACACACTTTTGCCAACCCTATTCCAATGATCTTGCTCTGTGTAAAACAACGCACCAATTTGGCGCTTATAACTGTACCTTAATTCATTCAAAACAGGTGCAAATGCAGCGAACAACCAGACAGTCCAAATAACTTTTTGTCACAAAGTTTCTTGAGCAATTTCAAATTTTACTCTTGTCTCTCCCCATGGTTATTATGCCACCTGAAGACGCACTTTTGTTCCTGATCTTCCTTACCTCGATCGACTACAAATTTGTATTAACATATCAATTATGAACTAAATAATCGTAAACTCCCTCGAGAAAAGGAAGCCAGCAATCTGGTTTGAACAAACAACTAAAAGGGGCCCCACTCTCCGACAAAATATATCAATTATGTCATTCAAACTCGACTCTGTGCCCTACAAAAAACAGGATCTTCCCACTACGAGGGACGAGATCGTAACGGTATCTAAAAAGCTTATCGATGAGGTATGCACCAGCTGGAAAAAGGGAAAGTCTTACCATTATACTCTTAAAACAAACCCAACGTTGGACTCCGGGAAAATAGAAGTCAAAACATACCACACCAACCGCGGCAGAGAGTACTGGCTAAGCCGTGTTAGTGAGCACCATTTGGATAATTCTACTTACGAGCGTTTGGTTAAAGTACTCAATGGAAGCGAAAAAAAGGGCACCCAATGGGTTTTGCCAGATAATACAGCACGTTCTCATGCTGAAAAGGAATACATAGAGACACTCAATCGGGTGGAAATCTTGGAGACCACCCCTTCCGGCTGGGTAGGCGTGAACCTCGAGTACGAAATGGGAAAGCCCTTGACCACTCGGGAGTTCAACGAATGGGTTTACGTGGTGCCTCCATTCCAAACTGCAGATCCAAACGTGGAAACTGGTTTGGTTGTTAGCGTCGTGGCTGATGCACCCATGAGAGATCCAATAGCGCATACAAACGCCTTCTACGTCAGTGTAGAATCGCTGGACTACAATCGCGAATCTAAAAAACTGGTATGGAAAATGGCCACCACCAGCGACGCGGGTGGAAACGTACCAAAATGGATCCAGAATTCAATGATTGCTAAAACGGTGTCGAAAGATGTAAGCTTCATGTTTGAATGGCTCGGAGACGGTCATGACAACTACTTACATAGCCAATAGCGAGTGACAAGCCAAAAAAATAAACGACTCCGATACGGGGAGTCGAACCCCGGTCTCCACGGTGAAAGCGTGATGTGATAGCCGTTACACTATATCGGATAATGTATAGAATCGATGTAGTCAAGTACGGTTGCAGTTCAGTTAACAAGTCACGTATTATTTCGATTTAAAGAGTGAATCTCAGTACATACAACTAGACAGTAATTGTCAAAAGTGTGAGCAGAGCTGAAAACCGGCCGCTATTCGTAATAGGAAAAGTTGTTCATGACTCTTTACCAGTTTTTTTACCTCTGACTCTGCGTTCTGGCATCTTCATTGCCGGTCCCTGCACATTTGTAGCTATATGAGACCGAATCGTCGATAGAAGTTGTTGAACCATAACGGCGGAAAAAAATGTGGTTTGTGGTATCTAACCTTGTTACTGGCTCCGCCTCTTCTTCTAGAATAGAAAAATCAAATTTTTGCACATCGTAGCCCATGGAATCATAGCTGTTGTAGCAGTCGTGACAGTCGACCAAAAGACGATCTTGTTCTTGTGACTGCATTGCAATACAAGGATCTGAGGGTAAAGTGTAAGTCGAGAATTTCACATTAACTAGTCGAGCCGTTGGATTCAACTTATAGTTTTTGCAAGGTGTTTCAAAGCAATCGCAGTCGTCACAGAGACATAGTGCACTACCAATACGGTAATTCTGGTGAAATGTGACGACGTGCCCTCTTTTTCATTGTGCTGTGGAACTCTAAGTAGACTCTAAACTCATTGTTGTAGATAAAGGGTGAGGCACAGATGTACCAATTCCAATTCATCTGCGGAAAACCACAAAACAGTTTGAACTCACTGACACTTGTGGCACCTTTAGAAAGAGAACGAAACCGCAAAGATGACCACCACCCTCTTGAATTCAAATTTCAGACCGATTCAGTGTATGGCGGTGGCGAGCTATCGTCCTGGGGGCCACCATTCTTACCTTTATGAGGGGCAATCAGTGGTGTTTGTGCTGAGGGTTCATTTCTCACCACGCCACCATCAGACCGCTGTTGCGGCTGTTGCTGCTGTTGTTGAGACGGTCTAGAATCCCTTTGGTGTGTACGACGGCCATCTTCCCAACCACTCTGGTAGTAATACCGTGATTCCTCCCTTCTCAGTGGACTTGTCACTGTAATGTAGTAGAAAGCGTGGATCATCCCTGGAACCACGCCGAGCATCGTCAAAAGCACGTTTAGTAGCAGATCTGAAGAGCAGCATCCGCTTCTTAACAGTACACCCACAGGTGGGATGAAAAACGCTACTATATAGAGGATAAGGTCCGAAACTGTGCAACATGAACAACAGCACATCTCAAATATGTAAAGCTATCTAAAGAAGTGGACTAACTAATTCAAGCCAACTATGTTCGATATGCTAGCTCGAAGTGATGAGTTCTTAGTTTTGTCTGAACTTGTATCTTGATTTTTATATATTAGTCAAGTTTATGAATAAATTGATATAAATCACTATAGTTCAACTGACAGAACAAGTAACATCAGCTTTTGAACGAACTAAAAGGCGATACGGAACTTGTATTTGAGCGTCTAGCATTCATCGACAGTGTGAGAATCTCGAACAGTTAAACTTCGCGTCAAGGTGTTGTTTTTGGGGGCTTGAATTATATGAGATTAGTTAGTATATGATATCAATACCTTATAAAAGGATAATAATAGCATTTTTTGGGATCGGGTTCTTGGTATGTTTGGCAAATTGGAGCCATCAACAACACATGCAGCTCAGTAGTATTGCACGCAGGAATGAGACTCATGCACCACAGTCGCAGAAACATGCGTCAAAACGGGAAGAAGAGGATGACGAAGACAACGACGATCTTTTTTGCGCTGTAATGAACCCACACACAGGCAATTATATCGACTTGTCACAACTATCGGCCACGCCTAATAGTCTAAGAAAGGATTCCCACAGACAACACCGAAAACAACAGGATTGGCAGAAAACTCGGTGGTTGGTGAAAGAGCCCGAGACTCAGCGGAACTACACTTTAGGGATCTGCTCGAGCGCCACGCGTCAAGGGGTGGACTCGCTGGCGAATTCCACAGGAGCGTTTTTTGTGGACCCTCAATCGCATCAGGAAGTGTCGATTGGGGACTTTAACACACAGCCGCGGTTCGTGGGCAAAAAACTGACCATGACGTACGAAAATGGCGACTTGTGTCCCAACGGCATTGACAAACGGTCCACGCTTTTGAATTTTGTGTGCGACAAAGAGATCCAATCAAAGGCCCAGGTCAATTACGTCGGATCGTTGCACAATTGCTCGTATTTCTTCGAAGTGCGTAGCGTGTACGCATGTCCCACATCGCATAAAAGCAACGACGTCAACGTGCTGGGCATTTTTTTCGGCATTTTTCTGGTGTTTTTCGCTGTAGAATGGGGCCGCCGCTGGTTTTATGGTCGTGTGAGAGCGAGGTTGCGCTACAGCGGAGACCCTGCTTTTCTGGACAACAGACCTCATTGGGACTCCATTGAAAGGCCTTCGCGGATACGTCAGTTTTTCAAGCAACTCTTCCAATTTTCGAAACCCAAGAGAACAACGGGCATCAAATTGAGTACGTCGCCGCAGTATCGCAACGCAAGCACTGATTCATTAGCGCGCGACATCGAAGTCCAGAATAATCTTTTGGACAATCTGGACGTGCATACAACAAGCAGTCGTTAGTGGAAAGCGTAGGTCTAGGGTGACGGACTTTTTCAGATGTGAAGTTGAAAGACCTTGTGAAGTCCGAGGATCACATTCCCAAGCTTGAATTGCATTACTAAACAATGTTCCCTGTTAATCTGGTGTGATCACTATTCCATTATACAGACAAGCTTTGATAACTATATATACAATTACACTCCACACTCTATATTTCTTCCTTCTCACTTCTCGCTCTCTAATTGTGTCCTTCACCCAGTAACCTCTACTCGTAGAGATTAGGGACGAAGAACTGACACTTGACTCATGTTTCCTGGCCTGTGACTGTCATCCGTACACCTTCTTGAACACCCGGACATTTTCCAACTTCTCCTCTGTTCGGAACATTTTCGCAATTTCGGGCTCGTTCTTTCCTTTTCGCCCTTCTTATCGCCGTGATCCCAACAAAAAAGAACGGCGACCGTTCTGCCATCGTTTCTAGAGCGTCTCGGTTAGCGCCTACACCTTGTCCTCGATATGCGTCGACCGATGTTGCTTTTTGAAGGACGTCGAACGACCCTCATAGTACCTACGCTCATGTGAGTCTGTCTAGGGTACAAGTGGGTCGCTGCCTAGATCAAATGGGTCTCTGCCTAGACCATATGGGTCGTAGCCTAGCGTTTAGGCTCACCTTCTCCCTGGACTCCCTAGACAGTCGCTCCTTCTAGCCCCTCGGGCGGGCAGACCCACACCTGAACCTAAAACAAGGTCTTCAAAAAACAGTTTCCCTTTACGGACTTCCTGCGGCCGCGTCTGGCATTGGCCTCCAGCTAAGCTCTGTCTGAGACCCCGCCTGAAAAAATTTTTCAGAGCTCACAGGCCCTGCCCACGATGGCAAAATTTTGTTGCCCTATATTGCGGATCAGCTTTGGATATAAAAGCGAAGGTCTCGGGAACCGTAACTCCTAACTTTTATATTTCTCTTATAACAACTTTTGTTTGGTTATTAAAATCCTCAACTAAACACACACTACACAATGGGTAAAGAGAAGTCTCACGTTAACGTTGTTGTCATTGGTCACGTCGACTCCGGTAAGTCGACTACCACCGGTCACTTGATCTACAAGTGTGGTGGTATTGACAAGAGAACCATCGAAAAGTTTGAGAAGGAAGCCGCCGAATTGGGTAAGGGTTCTTTCAAGTACGCTTGGGTTTTGGACAAGTTGAAGGCTGAAAGAGAAAGAGGTATCACCATCGATATCGCCTTGTGGAAGTTCGAAACTCCTAAGTACATGGTCACCGTCATTGACGCTCCAGGTCACAGAGATTTCATCAAGAACATGATTACTGGTACTTCCCAGGCTGACTGCGCCATCTTGATTATCGCTGGTGGTGTCGGTGAGTTCGAAGCTGGTATCTCCAAGGACGGTCAAACCAGAGAGCACGCTTTGTTGGCTTTCACCTTGGGTGTCAGACAATTGATTGTTGCTATCAACAAGATGGACTCCGTCAAGTGGGACGAGTCTCGTTACCAGGAAATTGTCAAGGAGACCTCCAACTTCATCAAGAAGGTCGGTTACAACCCTAAGACTGTTCCTTTCGTCCCTATCTCTGGATGGAACGGTGACAACATGATTGAAGCCACCACCAACGCCTCTTGGTACAAGGGTTGGGAAAAGGAGACCAAGGCTGGTGTCTCCAAGGGTAAGACCTTGTTGGAAGCCATTGACGCCATTGACCCACCAAGCAGACCAACTGACAAGCCATTGAGATTGCCATTGCAAGATGTCTACAAGATCGGTGGTATCGGAACGGTGCCAGTCGGTAGAGTCGAAACCGGTGTTATCAAGCCAGGTATGGTTGTCACCTTCGCCCCAGCCGGTGTCACCACTGAAGTCAAGTCCGTGGAAATGCACCACGAACAGTTGGAAGCTGGTTTGCCAGGTGACAACGTTGGTTTCAACGTCAAGAACGTTTCCGTCAAGGAAATCAGAAGAGGTAACGTTTGCGGTGACTCTAAGAACGACCCTCCAAAGGGCTGTGCTTCTTTCAACGCTACCGTCATTGTCTTGAACCACCCTGGTCAAATCTCTGCTGGTTACTCGCCAGTCTTGGACTGTCACACTGCCCACATTGCTTGCAGATTCGACGAATTGTTGGAAAAGAACGACAGAAGATCCGGTAAGAAGTTGGAAGACTCTCCAAAGTTCTTGAAGTCCGGTGACGCTGCTTTGGTCAAGTTCGTCCCATCCAAGCCTATGTGTGTTGAAGCCTACTCTGACTACCCACCATTGGGTAGATTCGCTGTCAGAGACATGAGACAAACCGTTGCTGTCGGTGTCATCAAGTCTGTTGACAAGACCGAGAAGGCTGGTAAGGTCACCAAGGCTGCCCAGAAGGCTGTCAAGAAATAAGCTTGAAAACTTGAAATAACATCATTTTTCATTCAATCCAATATAATTTTGTAAAGTTTTTAAAGAATATTTCTCTATCGATTATTATCTCGTCCATGTTATTTTTATTAACGTTATTAGTTGATGGGGCTTACTATAAAATAAGTGTTCATTATAATATCTAACTTGTTCTTATAAGTGGCATAAGGTGAATGCTTCGTAAATACTTCATTGTATCAAGACAATAGATTATTATTCGACAAACATGGCAGAGCTAACGTATGATAATAATGCTGTTAGATATTTCTGCAGGCTTACGAATTACTAACTTATTGTGAAGCCTTCATTTGGCCAAGATGCCTCGAAGACCCGCTAGTGAAGACACTTTCACTAGATCTCTTTTGAGTGCAATAAATCCCAACAATTGCTATGCTAGGAATTCAGATCTCCCGTTACCACACTTGGAGCTAGGAGCGTTACCCAAGGACAACCGCAGGATTTCATACCGGGAAATTGGAATGCCAGAGGCTCCACAAGTTTACTCTACAGCCAAGACAGAAGTCTTGAGAAGGACCTTGAACGATAGTTCCAACGTCAAACATGTATTTGAAGCACTTTTCAAGCAACTGGACGCTGTTTACAACGCCGATAGCGCACCGCAGTTTACCATTGGTAACCTACGAAAGATGTGTCGCCAAATCGAGCGTAGTCCAACATTGAACCTAAATTTGACTCTTCTAGAGCTTCAAGTTGTTAAACGCAGACTTCGACATTTGGAACCTAAAATTTGTACGAAGAGTCAAACGCATTTGTTCTTGCTAGATCAGCGGTTTAAGATTGTGTGTTTGTCCAAGGCAACTTGTGACCACTACAACTCGATGGCATTCCTAACATTTTCAGACCACGAAGCCGCGAAGAAATTTGCGAGTTCTTTCGATGGTAAGCTTATCATGGGTGGTCGTAAGATCAAGATCTCCTTTGCTACTCAGGACTCGCTGGTCGGTGGGTACTTGCTTAGCGGCAAACGGGGCGTCGATAGACTACTGTCAAGAAAGGCCCATAAAGAACCAACCTTAGGCCTCAAGACTGGCACCGACAAAAACCAATCGAAACGTCAAATGCGAAGACTACGACACAAACTAGCACTCAAAGGCCTAGATGCTTCTGTCATTCAAGAGATGGTCCACAAAGCTGTTCAGGATCGCATTTCATCGTCCGCAGCGAATACGCCACAATCGGAACTGAAGACCAAGTCGCCGGAACCACGAGATAACAAGAAAAAAAGAGCCGTTGCTGAAGTGGCAATAAACCCACCCAATAAAGTTCTGCTGGTGCAAAACCTGCCTCCTGGCGCTCAAACAGATGACATTTCATCTATTTTCGCTGCCGACGGGTTTATCGAGGTACGGCTTGTTGGCGTGAGAAATTTGGCCTTTGTCGAGTACGCTAGTGCATCGCATGCTTCCAATGTGGTAAGTAAGCTGGGCTCATCGTATAAGTGGGATGGCTCCACGATCTCGATAGGCTTTGCGAAGTAAAAAGTAGCTCGCACTTCCCTAAAAAATTTTGTAAGGTTACAACTATATACATGGCATAGAGCACTTTGCGTATCAAAAGGCCCATATAAATTTAGCTGATGCGATGAATATCATATACCAAGGAATGCTTGTCTCGCGTCTATTTCCCAAAAACAACCGTTCTCATCGCAGACCAGAACGTCTCCTTTTGCTTACCCTCAATCTCATCCATCAGACGCTGATAGTACTCGGGATTACCTTGAGGTTTCATCAGCTTGTCACCAACAGAATAGTAATTTTTGTATTTATTGTTCAAAAGGTCGTTCACGGCGTGTGTTTGTTCTTGTAAAGCTTCCACGCTGTAATGCTCCTGAGGAAGCATGCTATTGACTTTTGCCATAGCTTCTTTTTGCATTCCCAAGGGTCCCGATGTCCGATTGATAATATCTTTTATGTCCTGCATAGATGGTCTTTGTTTTGCGTCCTGTGTATTTGTTTCCAACCCTGCAACTGCTTTGAATCTCTCCAGCTGCGATTCCTTCAATGACACGATGTGCTTTACTCTTTCTTGGGGCAGTTTCTCTAGGCTCTTGACCAGTTGGCTCGCGGCCTCCCTAATGACAGCGGACATTTCGCTACTATTGTTACAGAGGTTCTTTAGTCGTCGAATCAATGTTAACTTCGAAGTCTTTTAGCGTGATGAGTATCGATCACCATATTATTTTTCAGATGGTTCGTAAGACATGCGCTTCTTGAAATCTGGTCAAAGTTCATTTTGATATCCTTTGAAGACTGTCAGCTTAAAGCGCTAACTTCTAGAAACCTTGAAGTTGATTTCTGTATCATTTTAAAGAAATCGATGGAAGTGGGTATTGTAGTTCCCAGAATACGATTTCTGACCTGTCGCTCCATTATTTTATGCGCTGTGACAGTGACTTTATTTTAAGAAAGCAGGTCCAATAAAGAGGTGGGAAATACATCGTAAATGTATCTAAGAAAGGCAGTAATTATTCGGGCCATATTCGGGGGATTCTACGCGGATCGCAAAGTATCAGACTCGGCTCAACGTGTCATTTAAAAACCTTGTCACTTTGTCCTTAATTGTCGTTTTTTGGTGAAGTTTTCCCCAGTGCTCACGTGATTGGGCTCACCTCAAAGTCTCAACAGTGTAGGTTGAATATTATACATCACTACTTTCTATACATGCCATAGAGGCAGTTTACTCCGTCTGTCCGACGAATGGCTTCAAAGCCTTGGTACCTTCGCTCCAGGTGGTGCCGTTGTAGGTGATGTCGCGAATGGCCTTGACAACATCTTCAACCGAACCTCTCACCTGCTTGGTGGAGTCTCTTTCTCTCAAAGTAACAGTATTATCCTTGACCGAGTCAAAGTCAATGGTGACACCGAATGGAGTGCCCAATTCGTCGTTACGGGCGTATCTCTTACCGATCGAAACACCGGAATCGTCTATCTTGAAGGGAATTTTTTCCTTTCTGAAGACCTTCGCCACTTCCTGCGCAACGGCCGATAGGTCAGGGTGGTTGGACAGAGGAACCAAAAGGACCTTGGTGGGAGCAACTAGTGGAGGGAAGGACAAAACGGCTCTCGCAGTGTCTTCAGGTCTTGACCAGAAAGAATGCTCGAAGATAGAATAGATAATACGGCCAATACCGAACGATGGTTCGATGACGTTGGGAACAAACTCACGAACGTGCTCGGTTCTAGTCTTCTGTTCAATTGTCACGAATTTATCATCGAGCTCAATTTGGCCTTCAATTCCCTCGATTGAGAATACGATTTTACCGGCCTCTTTGAGGTCCTTGGCCTTGGACTCTAGCTCCTCTTGCGTCAAGCCCAACAAGAAGCCTTCCACCTTTGGTGCATCTTTTCTGAATTTGGGCCCGAATAGTTTCTTGGTCAATTCAATCTCCCATTTGGTAACCTGGATGGGTTCTTCCAACTTTTGTCTAACAACCATTTTCTCCTTGGTCTTGTTTGCATGTACAGTCAAGTCGTAAGCGGATCTATCAGCGCAACCAACACATTCTATCCACCCGTAAGAAGTTTTCAATTCGGCATCCCAACAGTCAGCAGCGTAATGTGCCATTTCGTTGGCCATGTGTTGACGGAATCTTAGCTTAGATGGATCAACACCAATTGTTACCAAAAACAAGTAGATTCTGGCAATGAAGTAACCCAAAGTTTCGTTGTCGACCATCTTGGAAGCAACGGCATCTCCGACAGTAGATTCCACAGGTTCAGTCGAGCCCGCTTGTTGAACTTCACGGGGCAAAAATCTCAACTTGATGTCTTTGACTTCGGTAAAACGAGGATGAGATTTGTCAAGAGGGTCAACGAAATGCTCAATTTCGGCCATTAAAAACTCACGGACTCTCAAAAGACCAGATCTTGGAGAAATTTCGTTCCTGAACGATTTTCCGATCGAAGCAGAGGCAAATGGAGCCTTATTATTGTTGAACTCCAAAAGTTTGTTGAAGTTTAGGAATTGTCCTTGAGCAGTCTCAGGTCTCAAATAACCCTTGAGTTGACCGGAAGGACCAATAGCGGTTTCGAACATCAAGTTAAATGCTCTTGGAGGTTCGAGGGTTTCTCCGGTGACAGGGTTCCCGATGTTGTATTTGACCATCAACTCACCGAGTTCTTCTCCAGAGTAGCCATCGATTTTAGCCAACACCATTTCGTACTCTTGCACAACGTTGTCGTCAAGCTTGACAGCCTTAATTTCCTTGACTTTCTTCTTTCTCTTTTTCTTGTCAGCATCATCCTGTGCATTGGCATTGGCGTCTTTCACCAACCCACGAGCTTCTTGGTCACCTTTCAAGCGAGACTCAAGGACCTCTTCCACAAGGTGGTCAGCTCTGAAAATTTCACCTGTCTTCATGTCTCTACACATCCAATCAGAGAATTTATCCACATGACCGGAAGTCTTAAGAACGTCGTGAGGTGTCAACATAGTACAGTCGACCTCTAGCATATCCTCCTCTAGAATGAAGTGTTTTCTCCAGGCATCAACGACGTTGGCCTGGAAACCACAACCTGGAGGACCGTAGTCATATAGACCGGAAACACCACCGTACAATTCGAATGAAGGTGCGAAAAAGAATCTTCTCTTTAAAACACTTTCTAGACTTTCTCTATTGAAAGGCACTGCCTCTCTAGCCGTTTGTATATCTTCAACGCTCATCTTCCTAATCTTGACCGATTTCTTTGGAATTTGGCTGTAAAATCGGTTGGCAAACGAGTTTTTCGCTGACTTAAAGAAATTCACTTTTAAAGGCTGTCTACCGGAACCAAGGAAAGACCTAGCCAGTCTTATTTCGATAAGGATGTAGTGCTGTTCCTCGAGTAAACCTCGTTGCCGTCCTAGACCTGGTCAAATTTTTCAATTTACTCTCGACTCGAGCGCTAGTCATTTCGTCAATGGTGATTCATTTTCACCTACCACCAGATTCCTCTAGCTTGGATGGTTTCTGGGCTCTAAGAGATGGTAATAGAGCTTGTGCATGCAGTTGAGTGCATGTCTTGGGTTATTAGTGTCCTTTCCGTAGAAATAGCTTCTGAAAAGATCCCGCTTTTTCGTCGATTAGCGAAAACTCTTGGGATGGGCGCACGGATGATAGGGTAGGCAAATGTGATTGGGGTTGGATGGGAGAATGCTTAGCGTCTCTTCGAATTCGATTTGTTTGCAATAGGGGTGACAACAAAAACCTCACCATTGAACCCGAAAATTTTGATGTGCGCCTATACTTTTAGATTCAACTCACAGGAATGATTGCCCGCTCGTAGCGGTATGAGCATCCATTGTTTTGGAAAGTCACAATTAAATTCGTAATCCCAATTTTCCTCTAATTTCCACATATTTCTCTTATTTAAGATCACACCCGCTTGCTGTTGTAGTCGTACGGCGAAACCACCAGACCTTTGTTTTTGCGAGCACCGCGAAACACAGTCTCTAAGATGTCCACCATTTCCTGTTTGTCGTCCACCACAAAGTTCATCTTGTTGTTATTCCCTGTGCCAAAATCGCACATCATATGCTTATTATTATAGAAAAACATTACCGTCATGGGATCATACAGCTCGTACATGTCGTTAAAATCCTTCACTTCTTCAATGTCACACAAGTAGATCACCGCAAACCTTCTTACCTTTTCGGCGATCGAAAATAAAACCTCATCCATCAACATGCAGTCTTTATCCCAATCTCTTCCAAATCGCACCACAACGAGCCGTTCTTGCTCCGTGACAATGGCTTGATCTACATGCCAGCCAGAATGTAAATGTGGCAAGAAAACGCTACCCATAACGCTTATCTTAGGCCAGCAAATACCTAAATTTTCTTAAAATGTTGGCTGTGCTTTATTGACATATTTTTCAACTTATACAATATTCTTGCATAATATATACCTATATGTCAAACCTGCTATTTACATGCGAACGAGAAGAGTAAAAAGGCTTGTTGGCAACTTATTCTATCACTTCTTATCCCTCTTCTTGGTAGCGAGTTTACCACCGCTTTGAACTTGTTGGGCGTTGTCGTTCAGTAGAGACATGTAATCGTCCATACCGAATTCGTCGTCCTCATCTTGATCTTTCGTTTTCGTTTCCATGTCTGTTTCTGCTTTCTCAGGTTTCCTAGCCTCAGCAGCCGGCTGCTGAGAGGACGGGCTTTCAAAACTGAAGACCTGGTCATATTTCTGTTTGAACTTATCGAGTCTTCCACCAGCATTGGCATCCACCACGACTAGATCGTCTCTGCTCTCATTCCACAACGGATTATTTCTTTGATCTTGAATCAAACGAATCTGAGACTTGGGAAATTGAGACCTTCTTGTGATGACACTGCCATCGCTTAGCTCGACTTGCACGTCGAATTTGTGATAAATAGCGGGTCTGGCTTTCCCTAGTTTGATTTTTTTCAACGGTCTCTTGGGAATCGAGATTTGAACCGCTCCGTGGTATGCACCGGAAGCGAATCTCTTGCTTATCAGAGATTTGAGCATCGTTGACTCGTGAAGTTGAGAAACAGACCGAAAACTGGTAGGAATCTACTCAATTGGATACCATTCAAGAGTTGATGATGCCTAGTCCATCATTATTAGAAGATGGAATTTCAGAAAATTTTAAGATCATCTTGAACGCATGTGACGTCGAGGTTGAGATGACAGAGAAATAAAACAGGACCACTGCGAGGCCACAACCAACTGCGTATTCTTCATTGAAATGGACTCATCCACGTACCAGCTTGAGAGTCACAATTCTGATTCCAAGACAAATCCATCAAGGTTTCTTGCAAGGTTGGCAGCCGCTTCAGGATCTCTTTGGCTGATTTGAGCTATTATTTCCTTGAACGTAGCAGTAGTGACATCAAAATCTGGATTTAGTGAGTCGGTATCGGGTCCAAGGCGGGCAGAATCTGAATTCTGAGGAGCTTCCGATTCGAAATCGCCAAATTCCGCATCTTCGTCTTCTTCATCTTCTTCCTCCTGTTCCAAGACCGCGTCATCCAGTTCCCCGGCTTCGACGCCATTATCTTCGTCCTCGTCTTCCTGGTTTTCTTGGTCCTTGGGCACCTTTCCGTCATTTCCTTCAGACGTGCTACTAGAATTTGTCATTTCAACGTCGCCATCCGCGTCAGGACTCTTTCCCTTATTATGCATCATAGACTCTTTCGTGTAAAGCATGTTTCTGAAGAATTTGAGCTTGTATTCGTTGAAGATCGCGTTTCCTTGGACAAGACAGCCCAGTTCATACTTGACAATCTTTCTTATTTTAGTCAAATCTAGTTCCTGGAGCCATCCAGTCAATTCTGTTGGTTTATCCAGATATGTCGCATCGGCTACAACTGCTGCTATATTTGGTTCCTGTAAGAGAAGGTCAATTTGAAGCATGAGATACCATGGCACATACGTGCCATCAAAGTAGAATCGAGAGTCGATTCCTCCCACTTTATTGCTCCTGTAGTATTTCGATGGCGGCTCCGGAATATTTTTGGCAGCCAACGGCGACTTTTGAAGCCTGCCCTCCACTTTGAAATACTCTGTTTGAAATATAGCATACTCGGGAGAGCTGCGTGGGTCAATACCAAATCTAATGTAAGTATTTCTCCAGGGTCCCTTCGTGAACCGATAGGATACTAAGGATAGGGCAATTTTTAGTGTTCCATGAAGGTCCTGTGGTATCAATCCATCGATGTGGCGTTTCACCCATATGGGTCTCCTTGTAAAAGCTTCTTGTAGGATAGCTATGCATTTTTCTAACTTCTCGTAGAATTTCGAGTCCTTTTTACTCCCAGGGTATACGCCTGTTACTTTGGCTTTTTGGTAGTCCTCTTGTAAAGACGGATGTGCAGTCGTGGGAATTTCGGCATTTTCGCCAAAGCTGTGCACAAGTTGTTGATAGTTCTTAAGGTAGGTGCCCCTAACGGTCGACTCTCCGCTTGACGATTTTGTAGCATACGGATTGCCTCGAAATTTGTAAACGAACGGGATATTAACCATGGAAAGTCTTGGGGGTGGTGGCAGCTGGAAATCTGTGCTTGGGATTTGAGAACTCCGGTTCACCATTAGATTGTTAATGTTTTCGAAAGGCCTAGGGTCCTGATCTGGGATACTGTTCACGTACTGTTGAATGCTGTCCCAGTCCCTGGAAGCTATACTTTCGTTGAATTCACAAGCTGAAGGTACATTATCGAGTCTGACCTGGAAATCTGACATTTCGCGAAATCTGATGGTGTTATTTATGATCCCAACAGGAACAACTTTCTGCCTATTTGACGGTACTGAGGCAAGGGCTTTGCGAATATCACCACCACAGGCTTTAAGTGTACCTCTAGGGAGTGAAGCTTTCATTACAATAGACTCATCACGCTGTGGAACAAGCCTACCAACAATTGGATGCTCGTTGAAAAACGTATTTGGCCCGTCTCTTTTCGCTTCGTGGTTCAGAAACAGCTCTAAACCATCGTGTGTGTCTTTATGAGCGTTCAAGGCCTTCTTCACTTTTGTAAGTCCACCACACATCTCGATTGCCCTGACCACACTTTCTTGCGACCCTGACACCCTTAATGGTAGCTCCACGCTAGGTATTCTTGGAATATCCAACGTGTATTCTTTGGCCAAAACACCAGAAGCTTTCGTTGGGGCAGAAATTTCTCTGGTGAGATCCAATGCCATTGATTCGCCCATGTTCGAAACAAGGAATCTCAATTGTTGTTCTCCTTGGTGTTGAATGGTATCCAAAGATGATGCTAAAGGTTTACTTTTAGTAGTGTATCTATACACTGTAGTGTATGGTTTTTTATCCTGTTGTACGTACTACAGAGAGATGATAAAGTACCGAGTTCCCGACACTGGCAGTCGATAGTCTGGCTATGTCTCTGAGTTCTCCTATACTTCATGCAATTAAACCCTTCTCCCGTTCCAAGCGGGTTTTCATTTTGTTGTACCACTCGGCGAGCGATTCTCCCGGTCGATTGAGAACAACGATTATAATGGTCATGTTATCGAATCCCACGCCGGTGTTGCTGTCTGCAGAGTTTATACCGTGATCCAGCAGTTTGGTAACGATGTCATCGAGCTTTTGTCCAAGTGCCAGATGATACTTAATGAATTGAGTGAGATTCTTGTTACTGTAAAGGTCCCAAATACCATCACACGCCAAAATTAGGAACTCATCGCGGTCGTAGCTTATACGATGGGGCAAAACGTCTGGTTCTGCAGTGACCTGTGATTCTTGAGCTGGTGCCACGTACTTCTGACCACCAGATAACCCAAAAGCATTATTCTTATACGACACACTTGTCTTGAACTGAAAGTCGCCAAAAGCCCGGCTGAGTGCAAGCACCCCGCCAACTCTACCCAGAGATACAGTGCCACCGTCGTCGTTTATTCTAACTAATTCTCCGATGTGCTGCGGCTTGTGGTCGAAAGAGAAATTCTTGACACCTCCACCTTTGGTTGAAAGCACGCATCGCGAATCACCCGTATTGGCAACATAAAGCATCTCCCCGTTGATAAGTAAGGCAACGATGGCCGTTGTACCGCAAGATTCCTTGGCAAAATGACAATATAGCTCACGATCTTGCAACAAAAAGGCATCTTTGAGGATTTGGGAAATGAGGCCCTCGCTAGTATGGAACGAGCGTGTGAACTTTCTGTCTGATTTGGGCGTGACGTTACGTGCTCCATATTCGTGCGTTTCAAATGCAAATTTAATCCACTTTCTGATGCCTTCTTCCCTGTCCTCTTCGGAGCTTACAAATTCCGAGCATTCACCACCACCATGTCCGTCAAAAACTCCGAAAATTGAAATTTGCAGCTTTTCTTCAATGTCTTCGAATGGATTGTAGAATCCAACGCTCAAAACGCTTTCACAATTGGCCACTAGATGTGCATCTTCCTGTGTCAGCCGGTATCCCTGCATCGACCCAACACAGTTGAAAAACTGCGGATGGCTTCCCTTCTCGTGGCTCAAATTCGGTCTGGAACGATGCACTAGGCGGTGTTTTTGTAGTTCGTTTGGAAAGTTCTCGTATTCATTGTAGATAATCGTCTTTTCCGTCAATGGATGTGACAGGAGTTGTCCCATGCTCAGTTTGCCCTAAAATGACAGTATTTCGACCCTAGAAAAAGGTGTTCAGCTTATTTGATTCACTGATTAGCTTTCAGTACCGCATGAAACACTGTCAAGACTTCCTGTTGGGCCAGAAAACGCTACAAAGAGGACTGATGTTGCAATCCCCTTCTTTAGGTTCACTTAAATCTTAAAATTTGATAAATATCACTACAATTTATACAAGGCATCGATTAACGTTTAAGAATGGTAAACTTGAAGCAATATAAAAGCTGAACTAGTTCAGTTGACTCTTCGAACCTCGTCATGGCCGAATTAGAAAGTATCATATACGTAAAATCATGGTCTTGCTGAAAGTGAGGAAGGATATATATCTGTGAATATATCTAACAATGCGTATGGATTACTGCTCTCTCACGGGAAGTCACACGCACGAGCGAATGACCGCTACTGGTGGTTTTCTGTGGTATTTTCGCTGCCAGCTGGTTTTATCCTGTAAAGCTCGTTGACAAAATTCTCACCCCAAAACGCAGAAGTGTACTTTGAGATGTACTTGTAGAGTTTTTCCCAGTTGGCATCTTTCTTTTCAACTGGTAGGGTCAATGACTCCTGAATGGACTCGGCAAGCTCGTCCGTGTTCCAGGGGTTTACAATTAGAGCGCCGTTTAGAGATTGGGCTGCGCCTGTAAACTCACTTAAAATCAAAGAACCTTTTTTCTCTTCCTGACACGCAATGTACTCGTAGCACACCAAATTCATACCATCGCGAGTAGACGACACGAGACACACGTCACTTACTGCATATAGGGAGATCAGTTCTTGGAAAGGAATGCTTCTGTGCATGAAATGGATTGGGACAAATTCCACCGTGCCGAACTGACCGTTGATCCTGCCCACAAGCTCGTTTACCACAGACCTCAGATATTGATACTCTTCAACATCTCCACGACTGGGCACTGCAACTTGCACCAACACAACTTTTCCGATCCACTCCGGGTGCTCGTTCAAAAACACTTCCATAGCGTGCAGCTTTTGAGGCACACCCTTAATGTAATCCAGTCTGTCGACACCCACGATAATCTTAACGTCTTTGAAGGTCTGTTTGAGCTTGGTGATTCTGTCTATCACGCTCTCCTCTTTGAGACCATCCGTGAAAGTGTCCACGTCGATTCCGATCGGAAACGCACCAACATTGACAAATCTGCCGTCGTATTCAACACCGTTAGGCAATGTGTTCACATCCAAAACTCTTTGCACAGAGCTGAGAAAATGCCGGGCGTAATCGTAGGTGTGGAACCCGACCAAGTCGCAGCTCAGCACCCCTCTCAAGATTTCTTGTCTCACAGGCAAGATCCTGTAAATTTCTGACGAAGGAAACGGCGTGTGCAAAAACCACCCGAGTTTAACGTTCTGCAGATTCTTGGCCTTCATACCTGACCTTAGCAACTCAGGCAAAAGCATCAAATGGTAGTCGTGAACCCAAACAATGTCATTGTCGGCAACATTTTTTTCGATTTCTTTGGCAAACGCTAGGTTCGCTTCGTTGTACGCCAGCCATGCATTTTCATCGAAATTGATCTCACCGGGGTGGTAGTGGAACAAGGGCCACAAAATCGAGTTGCTGAACCCGTTGTAGTGCAATTCCGCGATCTCGTCGCTTAGAAAGATCGGGATCGCATTGAACTTCTCCAGTAAGTCTTTTTTCACCGTTTCCTTTTCCTCATCTGGGATCTCCAAACCGGGCCAACCGTACCACTGGAAAGTCGTGGCCTTCTTCAAACCCTGCAATGCAGTCACTAGTCCCCCGGAAGACATAGAATATTCATATTCACCCGTCAAGTTGTTCTTTTTGATTGTCACTGGAAGTCTGTTCGAAACGACAATTACATTTCCAGGGTGATCTTTGATGTCTGCAACATCATCCGTTCCAGATTTCAAAGTGCTTTTAAGCTTGTCAACTACTGATTCTGCCATCGCTATGGGTGAGTTGCTCACAAACGTCTTGCTAGGTGATCTGGTCTGTCCAACTGAAAAAGGAGTGGTTGGTAGCACACAAGGCTAGAAAACCCCTTTCTTGTTTCGGTATGTAACGCGCGCGGAGGAGGTCCGCTTGTACGATTATGGTCACGTGATCAATATAATACAGCTGACAGAATGGTACGAAGTGATATTTGTTTATGGCATTAAAAAAATGTGTCACTGCTACATGGGAACTAGTTGTGACAACAGATTTGAGATCATGCGTTAGCTATGTGTTTTGTTACTGTTGCGCTTATATGTTGTTTTGTCTATCCTGAGAATATTTTGTTAATCTGAGTTTTTAATTTTATTGTTGTTGAAGCAATTGATGCTTTTTGGGAACAGTGGAAGAAGATGTTTCTTAGACAATTATCTAAACTTCCGAGGTGCTGAAAGACTGGGGTGTCTTGAAAAGACCAAAGATATATTGTTTGTATGGTATTTCGAGGGTCTCATAGCTGAGAAACATCAATATCACTTTTGGCCCTGCCGACACCCAGTAATTGAATGTGTCTCTGTTATATAGCCTAGACAAAAACTAAATACAGCACAGACAGAGAAACAAAAAGCGTCGGAGGGAACACCAGAAAACAGCAAACATTTCGGAACCAAGGCTTTTTTCGCTTGAAATTGGTAAATGGCCCAGATAAATTGAAAATGGAAGGGTATCGATTGTTCGGTTTTTTTTTAAAAATATCGTTGGTGGAAAAGGAAAAGAGACAAGAAAAAAAGGGTAGAATATCAAATGTTGAAGAGCCCAATCAACACCACCCTCATGAACGAGAACACACGCTCAGCATACGACTGTGGATTTTCGTGTCGTCGAAACTTATTCAAAAGCCCGAGAGTCACGTGACTCCCGCCTCATCTTGAAATTTGCCAGGTCGAATCCAATAGTACTCATCCTCAAACTCGAATTTAACCTCGCAACAACACAACCAAGGCTCTAACGGTCTCCAAAATCCACCCGGTATTCCTTTGCATGCTGGCAAACTGTTAGGTTTACCAGCTATGGAATATAATGACCCCATACTAAGTCATTTCCATGCTGAAAACCCGGTAAGTAAAGAACAATTATCAGAGCTTGTCGAGCAGCAAAAACGTAGAGCTGGTTCGTCTTCTTCCCAGCGGGGTTCAACACATGGAGAGCAAAGTCTGCGGCGGTGTGAATCCGCTTTGTCTATTTTCACCGATCTTATCAAGCTCCAATTTCTAGTACACAAATCATGGGATCTGCAGGCACTTTCCAAGAGCGTTCTACTGAGATTTGGGATCCAAACCGGCTCAATTCCAACCCAGGATCCTAAAATGGACCACGCGGAGACTTTTTATCGAGAATTGGCCCTCAAAACCATCACACGCTGCGGGAAACTGTCGGAAGCTATCGAAAAGCTTTCGTCAGACTCTCAACGTATTCGCGAATATCTCGATGCTCAGACTTCAAATGACCCCACCGCTTGTCTGGAAGACTGTACTTGTTTACTGCTAGAAATTTGGTTTCTGTGCGGCAAAAACATGCGGTCACTCAAGAGAAATATAGCGGAACTGTTCATCAGAGCAAAACTCTTACTCATAGATTGCGAGCTAGAAGTAATGAAGTCTTTGGCTAGCGAAGATGGATACGGTACTCTACAAGAGACTGTTGTATCTTACAGATCGTTTATCAAAGTGCTTCTACAACAAGTACAGGACGCAGCTGTCAGTAATGACCAAACATCTTTTGAAGAATGTCTGCAAGTTTTTCTAGATGTCGAATCCATGTTCAACGCCATGAATTTCAGCTACTTGCTTTACGAAACACAGCAAGTGGACCCAGAGACTCAATTGACTTCAGTTTCAAGATCCAATATCGTTCAGGAGGCAGCCGAACTGCGAGACATGTCCCAGTTCGCGGATGATGGTGCCAACTCTGTTTCACCCGATGAAGAAGATAATGAATTTGCAGATCTTCTTCCTCGATCTACAAACCGTTCACCGGACCGCAGAATGTCTGAAACTTCTAACTTATCAGTCTCCCTCATGATGGAAAAAACGTCTTTGAAAAGAGAACTACCGAAACTTCTGCAGGCTTTCAATGATGCAAAGAGATTAGAGCAAGAACTGGAAAATGCACGAGCCGCTAAAAATGGGCATTCAGAAGTTACTTCGTCGACCTCTTCGTTGAACGCTAACACTGCATCACCACCCTCGTCTGTGTGGTCCCCTTCATCGAGTCTGTTGATGGGATCAGCTTCAAAGCTGAGTCACGATTTGAATAATTCCATCTTTTCAACTAGTAGCAATGCAGAATCAGAAGATGATGCGAAAGCTACCGACGGCTTGTTGCAGAGAAAAAAAACCCCGTCTACAACTTTCCTCCCCGCCGAAGGCTTTACAAATTCATTCCACAGAGACAACCAAAGCATGTGGCCTTCGGTACAGCAACACCCGTCTTCTCTCCGACACAGTCGTGCTACTCAGGGTTTCAGTAGCAATGTTCTGAACAACCTATACGGTTTGAGTGGTAAACATCCGCCAGGTGGTTCGAATTAGCATAGGCATTCAAATATTAAAAGTTGGTAATATTCTAGGCATTCAATTCTTATATGGTAGTAATATCTTCAGTCACACGCAAGAGAGGGAGCCGGATAGGCTAATGTGAGTTCGCGATTTTTGCAAAGTTTTATGAGATTTTGATTTTATGTACTGTATACTTGATTAATGTCTTTGCAGATTAAAAAAGATTCCGATCAGATCAAAGAGTCTTCCTGAGGCTTTTTGTCTGGATCTTCCTCTTCTTCTTCCTCTTCTTCTTCATCTCTAGATCTGTCATAAAATTCGTCTAAAATTTTTGGAGAGATTCTGTTCAACATTTCCTTTGGATAAATTCTTAGCAAAGACCAGGCTTGATCCAAACTATCGATGATTGTTCTGTTATCGTAAGCACCCTGCGCAATGAAAGTTTTCTCGAATTTTTCCAAAAATTCTAAAGACAATTTGTCTTCGATCGACAAAGCTTCCTCACCAACGACAGCCTTCATGGCTGCAGCATCTCTACCAATAGCGTATTTTGCGTAGAGTTGGTTAGAAACATCACCGTGGTCCTTCCTTGTCATACCTTCACCGATGGCAGATTTCATTAATCTGGAAAGGGATGGTAGAACATTGATGGGAGGATAGATACCCTTGTTGTGCAACTGACGGTCAACAGAAATTTGGCCCTCCGTGATATAACCAGTCAAATCGGGAATTGGATGTGTGATATCATCGTTAGGCATGGTCAAGATTGGAATTTGAGTGATGGAACCGTTACGGCCCTCGACTCTACCTGCTCTTTCGTAAATTGTGGACAAATCGGTGTACATGTAACCGGGATAACCTCTTCTACCTGGCACTTCTTCTCTGGCGGCAGAAACTTCTCTCAAAGCGTCGGCATACGACGACATATCGGTCAAAATGGTCAAAACGTGACGCTCGGTCTGGTAAGCCAAATATTCAGCAGTAGTTAAGGCCAATCTAGGAGTGATAATTCTTTCAATGGTTGGATCATTGGCCAAGTTCAAGAATAAAGAAGTTCTCTCAAGAGATCCATTTTCTTCGAAATCCTGTTTGAAGAATCTAGCGGTTTCCAAGTTAACACCCATGGCAGCAAAAACAATGGAAAAGTTATCTTCGTGACCATCGTGAACATCCTTAGTGGGTCTAACAAGACCGGCTTGTCTACAAATCTGAGCGGCGATTTCGTTATGGGGGAGACCGGATGCCGAAAAGATGGGAATCTTCTGACCACGTGCGATAGAGTTCATGGTATCGATGGCAGAAACACCAGTCGAGATCATTTCCTCAGGGTAAATACGGGCGTAAGGATTGATGGGCGACCCATTGATATCCAAGTAGTCCTCAGCAAAAACTTTCGGACCGTTGTCGATAGGTCTTCCGGATCCATCAAAGATACGACCTAAAGTGTCCTCAGAAACGGGAATACGCAAGTTTTCTCCGGTGAATTCAACAGTGGTCTTCTTCACATCGATACCCGAAGTACCTTCAAAGACTTGAACGATGGCTCTGTCGCCTCTGACTTCCAAGACCTGACCTTGTCTCAACGAGCCATCTGGAAGCGTCAAGTTGACAATTTCGTTGTAACGGGGAAACTTCACCTTTTCAAGAATTACCAGTGGACCATTGACACCGCCCACGGTGTTGTAATTCAGTCTAGGCTTGATGTTGAAACCTTGGCTCACTGCCTTTTTGTTCAAGTCGTAAAGTGCCTTGTCGGAGAGCATTTTGAATAATTACTCAGATTTTAGTGTAGAAAGAGTAGTACTTTAACAGAGAATTCGTGTGGGATAAGCCGCAGGAAACGTTTGCAAAGCTTTTTCGGATGAATTGTGCCCAGTTGGAAACTTTTACAGCTCGAAACCTATAAAAAGGGTTGCTGTATATTAAAGCGAAGCTAAAGCGACCAATTCTTGACCAAAATCCACCAAAATTTGAGCACGAACTAAAGAAAAGCGATGGCTCGATAGTTTGACACGCGCAACAGTGTATAAAAAGTCGTCTATAACCAGATTGGTGTTCTTTTAAAGGGGTAGTTGTCGACAGTTCGGTGGTCAAATTGATGTCGTATTTAATATAGATTAGAGGGATGAAAATTTTGGGAGGAGGGTAACGTCTCATGACGGTAAGTGAATACAGTGACGACAGCGACAGCGAAAGAGTATAAAAGAAGAGTGGTTGACGGCAGGGCACAGGAAAGATCCTAGCTCAGGTAGAGCCCCCTTTTCAAATTAAAGTATTTGAATAGAGTTCGGCATAATTTCTCCCGAAACGCCGGGTACGGTTTTGAACGTAGGACAACGGCATCAAATTAGAGATGTAAAAGATCTTGGACCAAATCTACTGGAATCGGGAGCTTTAAAACAAAGGACGAGAAACACTTTCCATGCTACTTTTCCAAGGATTTTATTCTGTTCTTAAGGGAGACATTTGAAATCAAAATTCCTAGAATTTAGGTGCGAATAAGAACTGTGAGGGACAATTCTTCAATTGAGCGTTGCAGTTGTGGTGCTATTGTGAGACGTTTTTTAAGCGTGCGTCTCAGTCGTGCTGCCATTGTGTGTGTGTTCGTTCCAGTCTTTGATTTTCTCTTCTATCCCACAAGAAACCATTTGTCGTCCACAGACTGTTCCAGAACGCTCAGTTCCGAAGATCCTTGTAGCAGCGTTTGCAACTCGGAATGACAAACCTCATAGTTAATAACAGTCTCGGCTTTGCTCTTGATATCCGTTTCAACATCCTTGTTCATAACCATAAAGTAAAATAACTTGTCAACGTCGTAGTTTCTCAGCAGACTTCGCAGCAACGCTCTTCTGTCGCTGCAATCGCGGGGGACGAGTTCCAAGTTCCGCAACAACACCAAGATGGTCAACACGATTCCAGTAAGGCTGGTGAGAACATCAGTTCCAGGCTCTTTCAAAGGAAGTTCCAGCAGAAGTACTTTGCCCGCCAGAACTAGAAATTCCCACATGCTTCGCAACGAACATTCTATGACATTTTGAGGCAGACGATACAAATGCTGGATGTTTATCACGGGCTGGAAACTAATCGTGTATGGAAACTCTGGATGTTCCCTTTGGCGTACGAGAAAAAGACGTACCAACTCTTGAAATTTGAGAGCTTTCGAGTTGGCTAACACTTTCTGCAATTGAAGTAGATCCGGTTTGAGTGCGTCGAATTGTGACTTCTGAGTACCACTGTGTTCCTGTAATTGCCGAGGCTCGTTAATTTTAGTGGCGTTATCTCTATCAATCTGTTCCCGTAATTGCTTCGCTCGATGAGCCTTTACCTCAACGGAATCGCGAACTTGTTCCAATTTGTGCCGATACTTGTTGGTTTTTCTTTTCAAATAAGCCGTTTTCAGCATTGCCAGGTTGCGTCCCAAAACATCTTGGGGCTCTTTGCTTTCATCCATGGCGCTTTGGAGAATATCGTCTACTTGGGATCTCAATTCATTATTGAAGGCGCGTATTTGATAAAGTTCTATCTTATGCTTCAAAATCAAGTGTGGGCTTGTGTTGATGCAGTGGCGGCAGTACAGTTCCTTGACTTGCTCGTGGCAAACGTAGCATTTCCCTAAGACCATCGTAATGTGCAATGACTTCAGCTTTGTTTCCCCGCCTTTAAATGGTCCATAGCTTGTGAGAACACAAATACAGAGACGGACAAATTAAAATTCTCTATTGTGCACACTCTCTGGGCCTCAAAAGACCTCGGTCGACCTACCAAGTAAAGCGTTTCGACGTTATCGTAGCTGACCTTTTACTCCTAGGGTGAGATTATCGATGATTATGAATGTTGACGGATTAGTACAAAGTGATGATGAGCGGCGACACAGCGACAAGCATAGGAAAGCAGTTCATATCAATGCCCAAGCATAATTACTGAATAACTAGTGCAGGCTCGCTTGTTTCTATCCTCCTGACTCTTTCTCATTAGAGAGGCTAAACTCCGAGTCTAACTTTCTCAACTGAAAAACAATACGAGATGGTTTTTAAGAGAATATTTCCACTGCGGATGAGTGTGCCCAAACTGCTTCATCCTGTATCCTCGGGATTACAGTAGTGTCATCGCAGGCAGTTGTGTCGTTTCAACAACCAATTGTTATGTATCGGATGACGCATTGGATAAAAGTGATCAAACATATATTCATTATACACGTAAATTAATGTGTCATTTGAATTCATAGAAGGAAGCTTAGTACAATAATTCAGAACTTACTGCCGTATCAAAATGAAAACTCACATCAAAGCTATCATAACCTTTACAATTTTGCCGTTGAGGACTGGGCTATTGTGCATAAATTCCGCTGTACGCACGGTAAAGTAGGGGAGATCAATTGAAGCACCTTTCACGAGTTTAATGACATATCCAAAATTAGCGTTCATTGAGAACTAGGTTATAAGTATGGCACATTAGCATATCAAGAAGAAAGAAGACGTTCAGCGAGCAATATCATGATAGTTTCCTTTGATTTGGACTCTTTTTGACAAAAGCCGACCACGTGATTTCTCGGGCATCTGCGCGGTCTTCACAACGTACAAAGTTACAATATAATAAAATCACCTCGTCATGAGCTCATCGCATCTCATCGTATCCCATCCCAGCAAGATCCATCAACTCAAGGCTGCTTGCCAGTGCTTATAATCACCTTCTAGAACACCATTCACATCTCAACAGGGTGCTGAGATCGTCAACAATGGATAGTCTTAGACAAGAGCCCATCCGAGTGGCCGTGCTAGGAAGAACTGGCACCGGCAAATCATCGTTGGTATCGAAAATGACAGTTGGAATTTCACATGAAGTACATTATCCCACAAGAAAACAGAGCAATTGGCTCTTTGCATTCCAACCTCACGAAGATTTGACACGAACTCTCATGGATGAACGACCTCATCGCCGAAGATTGGCCCAATGCGGGAAAGCCGATCGGTCGTTCTTCAAGACACCTCAAGTAACACCGTTGGTTCTGCTTTCACCAGTGGTGTTTCAAGCTTTTCTTAACGAATGGAAAGAGACGAAGACTCTTGCAAACAGCAATACGTCCCGATCGGATAACCAATGGACTAATCCCAAAAACGAGGTTTATCACTATGAAGAAAACTCCCGGAATAACGACGACCACATCGGCCAATCGAGGACATTGTTGACTAATTCTGATGCGAATATTCTCAAGACTCAGCTGTCGAGTGAAAGTAATATTTCACCCTCCTCCGGTGGCTCGTGTCTCCCTCAGGACTACAATCCACCTTATTTCGCCGCTTTGCCCATTGACGTCGTAGACACTCCAGGGTTTAAGCCAGATATGTTTGTTCCTTTTCTTGAAGTCTCACTGTTCCGTAACTTGGGCAATGACGTTTTGAGAGGGCTCGCCAATGAACCGCGGAAACCCACATCTACAAACAGTCTTTTGGTCGCATCTGGCGCCTCAGAGCTCAATGGGCGCATTGATGGCTACATATTCGCTTATAGTGCAGTACCGGAGTTTGGTCGTGGTGCTGGCCCACCTGGTTATGAAGACAGCATCCAAAAAGACGACCTTTCGGCACCATCAGAAGCTTCTCGCAAATCATCGTGCTCTTCAATATCTCCAGTATCAAGCACGTCAAGCGCAGTTGAAAAGGAGTGCGATGGTGGCTTATCTCTTTTAACCACAATACGAAACTGCATGCTCGATGCGTGGAGTGAGTACCGTGATTACCAGCGAAGATGGTCAGAGGGTAAAGAAGGCGACGTCTATTCTCTGGTGTACAATTTCAAGCAAATGTGGAAATCCCAAAAGCAGAGGAATGAAAAGCTTCAATACTTGCGTTCCTTTCAGAATAAACCGAACGCTCTAGATTGGGATCCAACATCTCCAGATTCCCCACCGCCCTGCATCATTATATGCACACATGTAGACGATCCACTAGCCAGCCCTGTACTAATTGAACGCGGTAAAGAATTGGCCATGGAATGGCGATGCGGATTCGTGGGTGTGGACACGATGGACGATTGTAATGTTGAGCTAGCCTTTGGAATGCTTCTTAGAGAGACTGTTGAGAGAAGGAAGAACGATAAGGCTGCTTCAAAGCATAGGAACAAGATGGGAAAGTAGTTCAAATATATTGTTTGCATGCATGGCCTGGCGCCGTATAAATATATGAGTATATCACAACTCAAAACTTTGCATAGCTATAGAGCCGTCTTCATAACCCGTGAAAGTCCAGTTTCTTGCAGCTGCTTGGGATACCCGCTTCCAGTAGCCCGAGCTCAGTGATCTGTTTGGGGAAACGCAATGTGAACCTAGACAAACGATACTACTGGCTTTGACCCATATTTTGGCCCTCTTGTCTGCAGAGAAACTTCCCACATTAGAAGCTTCCACCACAAGGTTGCTTCGTAGTTTAGAGCCAATTACACGGGAGTCCTGTTCATTTGCGACCACGGTTTGTCCCTTCCAGTTCAGTGCCACCAACGAGTTCTTCAAACTCTCTAAATGTGCTATTTCAGTAGTTCCAAGCTCAATAGTAGAATTGTTCAGCGAGAAGAACTGGCTATATGTTACACCATTAGATTGTACGTTCGAACTCTCACTGTTTGGTTTGTAGTCGTGGTCAACCTTGTGTTTTCCCACAAACTTGGTTGTAGACGAACTGTAGACGCTCCGACCGTCGCTGCTACCGCAGAGCGACAAAACCGGTTCAGGGTAGTGCACAGAGGAAGCATGAACGATCGCCAACAGTGGTTTTGATGCTGCAGGCTCGATGAATCGAAGGCCGACAACGAATCCGCTTTCATAACCAACATACACCACTCCATCAACGTTTAGAAACGACATAATAAGGCCAGTTTTCTCCAAAGACGCTTTCCGGTCCCAATTGGTCGCCCCGATCAGGATGCTATAGAGGTCAATAGCTCTGAACTGACGTTTGAGCGACCGTATGTCTTTTACGTTGAAAGTGTAGACATCGAAACTCTCAGATTCTTGCGTATTGCAGCACCATAGTCTGTAGAGACCATTTGACAGCGATTGTAAAGCCACGTTAGCGAAGTTCAAAGTGTTCACCGGTATACAGTACACTTCTTCGAGACCACATTTTTTTTTGTACTCCGTGGTTGAAGTACTACTTTCGCTCTTGATGGTCAGTTCAGCATCGCATTCATCAAGCATACGATAGAAGCGAAGATAATGGTCCTTGGACAAAACCGTAACGTAGTTATCGATACTATCAATGTGAATGATCTGAGCTTTTGAATCCAACGTATAGTTTGTAATAGGTCGACGAGTGATGAGGTCCCACACCAGTAGTAATCCACTGCGATCTCCCGATATCAGTAAGGGAAATGGCTCTTGACCAACAATTTTCAAAGCAGTGACTTCGTGCTCATGTTTCCTCAGGGTATAAGCCAGCTGGTGGCCATTCGACATGCTTTGAGGAGTCCTAGTTTGCTTCTTAAGACAACAATTGAATAAGCAGTTACATTTTTTATAGATACAACGAGCTAGAACGAACACATACAAAGGAATTTCGTAGTTTGCTCAAAGAGTAGGTTGAAGAAGATCATTTTCTTCTGTGCTCTCAGGAAGTAGCGAGAGGGTCCAGCTGTTCCAGCTTCCTTCTGGCAACAACACAACTTTTCAAATTCATGATCCAATCAATGGATTCTTGTTCGCTCATAGCACGAAACTTGAGCCGCTCATCAAAAGTTATAATGGCGAAACCCGTGAAACAGCGGCGATTCTTTTCATCTTCGATCGCATCGACAACCTTGTCGAGATGGATGCGCCAGTATAGTTTCCCAGAAGATATGGAACTGATGTACAGCGACGAGCTATCAAGAGTAGCGGAAACTTTTTTCCACGCTCTGCGTCCTAGCCGCTTTTTAATTCTACAGTAGAGAACTCCCTTCTGAATGGAGCGTGGAGGAACTTGCGTAGGACTGAAAATGGCATAGAACTCACGATCTTCATCTGGAACCGGTACAGATCGCGACGGTGACCTTCGAATATAGGTAGTAGGACTAGGTTGACGAGCTTCCGACAATATTTGGAAATCGTCGTCATTCTCGTCATTTTCATCATTTTCGTCGTCATTTTCGTCATTCTCGTCATTTTCGTCATGTTCATCGTCATTTTCATCTTCCTCATCGTGATCACCAGCTTCCAGCACCCTTGGTTTACTTTCCCCCTTGGTTGTGTGTTCTAAAAGCAGTTCCATCTTCGACGTTGCATGTAGTCTTCTGTCGGCGAAAAACTCCTTCAGGGCATAATCCCAATCCTTGAACACTTTTGGCGAGTCCGCTCTGAGATAGTAGGTCTTGCGGATCGTGTAGAAATCAAAAAGCAGCTCTTTTTCGTTGGGACGAAACCCCAGTATCTCTTCTGCAGGGATAACGTCGATAGCTTTTCGTTCACTTTTGTCTTTATAGTAGCTGAATTGGCCTCGTCTCAGCACACACCAGTATTCATGGTACTTGCTTTTGTTGAACTTATGTTGAGTGGTGACCACAGCTTTCCCATGGTGGCCGTTCGTGGATTCAGAGCCAAGATTGACCGGTTCTTGAACTGCGATTTTACCAGACGTCCCATATGATCTCTTGAAGAGAAAAGATGATACCAGCACATCGTTCAGATGCTCGGTAGCTGTGTAAAGAAGTCTAGTATCGTGATCTGCCATGGACCATGCTCTGGGGCTTCAAATCTGGAGTTGTAGTTTGTAGATGTTGTACCGATGCCCAAAGTCTATGACGATACGACAGGTATAAAACCGTTAGATATCGCGCTGTACGAAATATAACGTGGAACAAACGAGAAATGCCAAGATATTTTATATAAAGGTTTAGTCACTGGGAAGGAGCAATGATAATTGTGAGTTTGGGTGTCGTTAGAACAGTATTGTCGTGTGGTTCAGCTGTAGATTTTTGCTTGAGAAACGCTGATGAATTGTGCTATATTTCTGACTTAATTCTTTAGATCACTTCGTACTACTCCGACACTTTGATGTTAGGACAACTTCATCGTGCTCACGACGCAGCGATGTGGTAACACTTTCAGACGGTAGCACATACAGTAAAACAATGCGAGTAGATCGTGAATATCTAATTTCAACGAGGGCTGGGGCCGGATATCAATAATATACTCCTATCCAAATTTTGGAGACTCCGCAATATGGAAGTGACAGTCTTTGAAAACAAGTTCAGTAGCTAGAAATAAGGTAGTATAGAGTATAATGATATATAACGACTGAGTGCCGGTATTCGTGAGCAAGGTTGATCATTAGATTGCCAGAAGCACGTGACCAACTTGAACACAGCTTTGTATAAAGTTAGCACGATGATCCTATCATCTATGGCTGAATTTAGTTCTGTCTAGCTTCTTGCTAAGGTTCGAATCCACTTCAGGTGAAGCAAGAAGCACATCGGTCGTTCGACTTTCATTTCATTTTCTCGATCGCTTCGTACTGTAGTGTCACCACAACTTTTCGGCCCCAAAGAATCGAGAAAATGAACTGTAATAGCGGCGCTATACGACCTGTATAGATCCCGACAGTGATTCACACATACGCGTTAAAGGAGGATTCTCATGTATCATTTCCTTTTACCTAAGAGGACACCCTCTCACGCTGAATTATCAAAATCAGCTTGAAGTTTTGCCTGCCAGTGTCAAGACCAGTTTCTACCGTTAGGTCCTAAACGCTTAGATAACCTTGCTAGGCAGTATATAAGTGCAAAAGTACGACCACAGGATTCTCAATGCGTTTCGCATTTTACTATATCATTATGACCACCTGGATGTACTCTCTAAACTCACCTACCGATGTATGTTCCGAACCAGTAATAAGAACTAGACACCACTTGGAATATTCTCATTAGCTTTGGACCTCGAAGAAGTTTTCTTCTTTAGTTGACTCGAAAGGGATCTGTTGTGAGTTTTCAAACCATTTGTGTTAGTTTCCGGGCTCGAAAGTTCACCTGATGAGTTTCTAGATGTTGGTGTAGAGCTTCTAATGGATGACGAGCGCCTTACACCTGGAATGCTTCCAGGTGTGGCTGTAGCCGGCGAGGATGAGGCCTGTCTGACCCCTGGCACCGGGGATGCTGGTATGGAAACGTTTGTTCCATAAAAACTGCTTCTTTTAGCAGATGATGAATTGCGTACTTTTGGAACTCGAATTTGCTGTGGATTGACGAAACCGGATGATGAGCCTAAATTAGGACTTAAAGAAGCTTTTTGCACTTCTTGAGATGTTTTCGGCGACTTGGGGTCCGATTTTGTATTACTGCGCCCATGCTTGCTTAAAAATGATGCTGAAAGCTCCGTCCCTGTTTTTGAAGCAAATTCGTGAAGCGAATTACACGACTCTTCATACAGGTCCTCCCATTTGGCTACATTCAGTTGGGTTCTCATAGATTGACACTCGTGGTTAACCACCTCCGCGTGGCCTTTCTGCATCGAGGCCAATTCTTGGTATTTGTTCGCGTATTCATCTACCTTTTCTTGCAAAGCAGCGTTATTATCGAGTAGAGCCTTTAAAGAGCTAGACACGTACGCCTCTTGTTTCGCTTTGTAATCTTGTAGCTGAGAGCTTATTTCTTGTACCTCTCGAGCGTACTGGTCTCGGTACCTGCCTTGAGCATCTATCAGTGCATCATACTGAACCTGGACCATTTGCAGTTGCTCTTCGCGTTCTGCTTCTCGCTGTGTGGATTTTTGCAACCGACCATGCATTGATTTGTTATTAACAGTCGCTTCTTCATACGAATTCTTAAGAAGAGCCAATTGTTCTTCCAGCTCTCGAACTCTTCTCTCTTTCCGGCTAAGCATGAGACTCAGATTGTCGTTTTCGTGTTTCAGAGTAGAGTTACTTTCCAATTGCTTACCGTGTGTTGAGTTTGCGGTTTCCAGGCGGGACAGTAGATTATTTGATTGAACCATCAACTCCAAGTTAGTTTTCGTTAAGCTATCAATCTGAGAGTGTAGTGCCTCTATAACTCTGGTGCTCGAAGAAGTTCCAGGACTGGCATCTCTTGCCGGACTATGACCGTTTTGAATATTGGCCATAAATGCGCCATGATTCATACTTAGTTTCGATGGCGAGAGCTTCACCGGCGAACTCAGTCGATCACCACGTAGCACATCGTTTGTACTTCCCATCAGAAACAACTATAGGCGGCCTTCAATTGTGGTATTTTAGTGACGAAAACGGATCAGTAGATGATCTGACGGTTATATTTCAGATCTGACAGTTTCGATGGTTTAGTACAAAGTGACGATGGATGTAGTGTCAGTTACAACTGTTTGGACACCTCGCCTGCATATCTGCTTCAGAAGTGCTGGAAACTCAAGATCTTATTATTAAGAGGTGCCTAAAATTAATCTACATTCCCATACCAAATTGTTGGGCCATTTGCTGCATCTGCGGGTCTTGCATCATTTTCATCATTTCATCCATGCTGGGCATGCCGCCGCCGCCAGGTCCACCAGCACCATTGAACATGTTCATCATATTCTTCATCATTCCGGGATTCTGTCTTAATTTCTGTTGCGCCTGCTGCATCATAGAGGGCGAGATTTGAGGCATTCCAGGTACTTGAGGCATACCAGGCATACCAGGCATGCCTGGCATTCCACCGGGTCCTCTTTGACCGCCCTTGGTCGATTGCGCCATGCGGGCCATCATCTGTTGCTGCATGAGAATCATTTCGACCTCTAGCGCAGAGGTACCGGAGCCTCTAGCGACGCGAACAATTCGGCTAGGTTGGTCAATGAAGACGCGACCGTCTGATTCTAGTTCTTGTTTAGTCATGGAATCCATCACGAAAACCATTTTTTTCATTCTTTTGGTAGTCTCTTCTTCGCTCACCTGATTCAGCATATTGCCCATACCCGGAATCATATTAGCTATATTTGAGAGGGGCCCCATCTTCATAATGGTTTGCATTTGTTTTTGGAAATCCAAAAGTGTGAATTTACCCTGTTGTATGTTTTCCATAGTGGCCTTCGTGTCCTCCTTGTTGGAAACCGTTTGGAAATGTTCCAGCAAGCTTTCGATATCGCCTATGCCCAGAAGCTTGGATACAAATGATTTCGGAGAAAATTTCTCAAAATCATGAACATGTTCACCGGTACCTATGAAGATTATCGGAGTCTTGGTTGCTGCCACGGCAGAAATGGCACCACCACCTTTGGCGTGGCCATCCATCTTTGTGAGAATGATGGCACCAAAATCCGAGCTTTCTTTGAATGCATTCGATTGCTGCTCTGCTGCCTGCCCGATCGATGCGTCTAGCACCATGATCGTCTGGTTGGGTTTGACCACTTGTGAGATTTCCACCATCTCTTGGAACAGTTCTTCTTCTTGACGATGTCTACCGGAGGTATCCACGATAATGACCTCGAATTTTTCCTTCTTAAACTTTGCTACACCTTCTTGAGCGACTCTGACTGGGTTGGTTTCCGTGTAGGAACCGTAGAATGGAATACGAGCTTTGATAGCGTTTTGTTTCAGTTGATCAAAAGCACCAGCACGAAAGGTGTCCGCACAAACCAAACCTGTTTTGAATCCTCTTTTGGAGTAGTATACTGCCAGTTTCGTACACGACGTAGTTTTACCAGAACCTTGCAGACCTACGAACATAATCACATTTTGCTTACGTTTTTTAGGCAAAAACGGCTGTGTCTCACCATCCACAAGATGACACAGCTCGTCAAAAACGGTTTTCTGTATTAGTTTCTTGGTTTGAGCGCTGTTCACAGATCGGCTCTTGGATTCCAACAGCGTTGCTCGGATGTTATTTCTAAGAGAAAACACCAATTTGATGTTCACGTCACTTTCTAGTAGGGCAGTCACGATGTTTTTCAACATAACATCCACCGTTGTGGTATAGTCGTCCTGTGAGTTTGAAAGCGCACTGTTGACCGCATTATTGATGCGCTTCCCTAAGTCTGCTAAAACCATTACTTCTTACAGAATACTCGAATACAGCCCGGAAAAGTCGAAACGAAAACTCTAGTTGCAGAAATTCAGGTAGCAGCTCAAGACCTGCAATAGTCACAGCTAAAATAGACGGTCCCAGATCTTTCAATCGCTTATTGAATTAAGTCGAACAGCCCAGCAGATCTTATTTCGATCTTTAGTTCAGTATTTCTCTAATTGAGTTTCCCAAAAATTTGTCGAAACGTATGACGCGATATAGCGTCAGGAAAAAACGTGACCAAAATGAAATCACGTGACATCAAATTGATTTTACAAAAATCACCATCATCATGAACGTTGCGAGATAAAGAGCGAACCTTTGGAAAGAAAGATGTGTTCTTGGCACTGGTGAGCTGCGATCGGAGATTGAGCATCTTTGTTTCCAGACTGATAGCGTCGTTTCGCAGCGACTTTGACCTTTTTTCCGCCGGTCCTAGCGCTTAGAAATGTTGAAATTCATTACCGTCTTCAATCCGTCATATAGCAGAAATGAAGAGGACGCCGATAAACAGCTTTTGCTGTTCCACTCTTTTCAAGACCTTCAGGACGGTCAGACGCTGTCCCTGAACGACAAAATTGCGCAACTGGGTGTGATTCAGGCTATGTGGCAGTTCTCAAAAACGTTCAGCGAGTCACAGGGCACAAGCGAAAGTGTCGTAGAGCTTGACGACACAGTCTTGTGCACGATCTTGGTGGAAAATAGCTTCTTCATAACGCTGAGCTTTGCACCTAGTGAATTGCCAGAGGTACCGGCAAATTATGTCCTGGCCAACCTGCGACATTGCTACGATTTCTCGACGCTACATTTCGGACTTTGGAGCACCTTCACCAACCACACACAACTGACAGACCGTCTGAACGAATTCCTAGTGCCATTTTGGGCCGAATTGAACCTCATGCCATACAATCTGTGGCATAAAGGCTTTTTGAGTTGCTGGCCCGATTGCTATAAAGTGGCAGATATTGAAGAAGGGTTTCAAGATAACAAGGAATCGTCCACTTCTTGGGAAGCAGATCTCAAACAACAGCTCTTAATCGACGATTCTAACTTTCTGGGATTACAAGATATTCTTGTATACCATTTGCCTAAAACCACTTCAGGAAAAAGCTACAAGAAGTACGGTTTGGTGAGCAGCTTCACACCAGACTTTGACTGGCTGCCGCAAATCTCTAACTGGATCGAACACCTTGACAATGTCTACACAGTTCTATCCAGTCACGTGCTGGCGGGTACCGTACAGTATAAAGAGGCGGTCGAAGAAGAGCCAATGCAGGAACCGAGCAACAACGAAGGCCTTTCGACCAGTCAGTCAATGGCGGCACAAAGTCGAAAACTTTACAACAATTTCATGTATCCTTTGACGTTTGCTCACGATGCCGTGCAAGAAGTTGGAAATATGACAGGCATTTCCAGTAGCATGTCATTGCTTAGTGACTTTATGCCTAAAATGCCCAGCTGGAAAATTTGGCCCGGTCCAGAAGATAATAAAGCAAAAGTAGCCAGAAGCGAATTTCTGATTTCTCCACTTGCTGCATCTTTCCTTCCAGAGAGCTACAAAGTGAAGAAAATGCATTTGTCATATGGAGGACTCATCCAGAGGTTCAATTGCCTCTTCTGGTTCTACAACGAGACCCTTGTTGTGTTAATTTACAAGGAAGAGTTCGAAAAGATATGGGATCACGAATACCTGCATGACACACATTTCAAATTATCTCAATCAATCGCCAAGCTTTACTCGACTAATCTGAAAACTATTTCCAAAATCACTCCGGACAGTTTTTGCTACGCCGTGGTAACAAAATCCACTCGTCGGCTGAGGTCCTCATTTCCGCTCAATGAAGTTGTGAAAACTCCCGAAAGTACCTCTGCATTGGAACTCGTCGTAAATGGACTAGATGGATTTTTGACATTGGGTCCTAATCGCAAGACCTCTGTAGCGACTTTGAATCCCTCTCGGAATCAGATAGCATTCGAGCAAGAAGCTGCGAAAGAATCGTGGGGGCTAAGTCTAATGGGTGGAATTTTCAAGAAAACTCAAGCTGACAATAATCCCACAGCACAGACTGATACATTCCTTGACGGTGTCCCGGAGGAGAAATTGCGCTTCATGCACTTGGACATCAACAAGTTTATCAATACATTAAGTACCTCTAGAAGAGCGTCTGATCTCAAGGAAGAGAAGCTGATAAAGCTAAACAACGGGGTGCTCTGCTTTTTGAGCGAAAACAGCGAAGAAATCATCGTTTTGGTTGAAAACTGGTTCGACAAAAAATCTTCGAGAACTAAGAAGCAACCCCCAAAGGGCAACAGCGCATTAGTGCAACATATGGGAACTGAGGCGTTTCACTGGTGGCGAAAAAATACGCGGGCGTAAATGTGCCTCAAATGCTGGTAAGACTAGGTTTAAAATTTTTAGTTAATGCAAGTGAAAACCTACATAAATAACAACACCCACGACCGTCTAGGATTGAGGCTCTGGTATCAAGGTATTATGTGTGTTTGATCCTTTGGGATTATCAGATAACGACCAGCGCTGGATATAATGGAAAACTTGGTCAACTCACGTAGAGTCGATGGTGACAGTCCTGTACAGGACGAAAACTGGAGACCCGAAAGCCGTGCGAAAAACTAATCAGCTTCTGCTTGTAAAGTACAGCAGCTTTGCTTTCGGCGAGAATGGGAATGCGTTGGCTTCACCAACGCCTTGCTCGCGTCCAGATGGCCGACAGTCTCTTTCCACAAGCTTTAGTTCTCGTGTCTGTCTGCTATGTTTTGATAGAAACCATGCCACAACGAAGACTGGAAAGCTGCATTTCATGGATTTCGAGTTTAAATTGTGAATGGCATTGATTTTTGAAGGACAAAGGTGCTGCTGAATTAATGACATCATCTAGATTTCCCCTTCAATTTGATTTGTAGCATTTCAGTCAAGTGTGAAGGCGCTCCTGGCTCTCGAGTGGGTCCAAGCTCAAGCTGATGCCAAGGTCACTAGTTGACAATGTTGAGGAACGCCCGGTCGTAAAAAAAGCATATTCAGTAAACCCGTGTTCCAACTCATGCCGCTCAATTTCGAGCAAGCCAGTAGTGAGATCTACTGCACGGGGCTCTAGAGGCCCCGAACGCCCCTTAGCTACGACAAACTTGTAGAAGAGGTAAACCGCTAAGTTTAGGAAAATCATGAGATAGCAAAATAGAAAGTCCTGTACGTTCCACAACGAAGGGTAGAAAACGGAGTAGCCTTGAACCAAGGCCATGGTGACGACCGATACAAGTCCCACGATGGCAGTGTAAGGTTGCCACCAGGATTGAAAAGGTAGTGAAGGTAAGTTCTTCTTTTGTGCTTCGTAGGACCGCCGAAAGTAGAGGTAAGTAATGCATAAGTAGGCAAAGTTGATCAATTGTGAAGTTGTTATCAAGTTCATCAACCAGTTTAAGACCACAGCACTGTTGGAGTTGAGTTGCAGGAGACTCAAAAGTCCCCACAAGAGAGACACCACAACCGCATTAATTGGTACTCCGTGCTTGTTGCACTTTTGGAAAATCGCTGGGGCATTGCCATCCAACGCCATCCCGAGTAGAATGCGAGATGAGCAAAAGGTGTATGCATTTCCCGCAGAAAATGCGGCAGTGATGAGTGTCGCATTTACCAAGTCCGGTAAAGCTCTAATTCCCAAATTCTTCATTGCAATAACATATGGAGAGGCGCCAGCGCCTGGACGTGCTTCGTTAATGGCAGCCGTCAAGTCAGGATTATTTGCACTGCATAATATCCCGACGCATAAGCTGCTTCCTAAGAACAAAATTGTGAGGCGGTTAAAAACATGCTTGAAGGCAACGGGTAAAACTTTCCGCGGTAGCTTCGTTTCTCCTGCGATCATGGAAACATAGTCTGGACCTGCTATGGTGAACGAAGCCTGAATGAGGCAAGCGAGGAATGCTTGGAAATAGCCCGACGAAGCAGAACCGGTATGACCTGTGGGAAAATATTGCTTGAATGGAGCGTCAGCAAAAAACCGGAACCCAAACCTGTCCTTCTTAGGATTTCCACCAAGCATGGCAATAAAGGTAAAAATGAAGAGTCCTGCGGCAAGAAAGATTTTGAAGCTGGCGAGCCAGAACTCCATTTCGCCATAGTAACGCACAGCAAATAGACTTATAGCCAAGTAAAGAACAACCTGGACGACAAGTGGGATTGCTGCGGAGTAATCGTCCCGCCAGTAATGAATGATGGTATTTACTGCGACAATTTCGAATGGAATTTGAACGCATTCTAGAAACCAAAAATTCCAGCCTGCCGTATTAGCCATCGCATCGTCCACGCACCGCGAAGCTATTCGCAGAAAAGGAGAATCCAGTGGCAAAAAACAAACCATTTCTGCTGTTGAAACTGTAATGCAGAGAATTGGGATGCACCACAATGCCATGCCTAAGAGAAGGAAAACCGATCCTCCATGGTACAGTGCTTTTCCTATACTTACAAAAAGGGCGGTACCAATGACCCCAGAAATACCTATGAGTAGAACGTGTCTGTGATGCAATTTTCGATGCGTTGCGTTAACTTTGTAGTGGTTTTCATGCAGTTCACCTTGGGCAGTATTTAACGTTTCCAGATCAACGATTTCTGGCTCGTTGGAAGCATCGGGTTTAGACATTGAGGATGTACTCAAACGCTCATAATTTGATAATGAATTTCCAATCACCATGAATAGATGAGAGAATTATAATCGTCAAGGAAACCAAGGGTCTTTCTTCTAAAAACTTTAGCGACAGATTTCAGAGCTATAATAGGTATCTCTTAGACGGCTATTTTTTGAAAGCCAAAAGTTACACACTGAAAGCAATAACGATGTCCGCAATAAAGCTTACCTTGAGTAGTTACACAAGAGACTGACAATTATTGCCTAAGAATATAAAGATCAAGGTTGTGGACCACTGTTGTAGGAGAGCCTTGTTAGATATTCAATCAATGAATGGGCATTATTAAAGCCGGAAGTCACGTGCACACAAGCTCCACTTAGAGTTTGAGCTTCAGTGGTTCAGATTCTTTCGAGCGATCAGTCTATTCGATCCTTGTCAAAGGTTCCAGAGATTTCGATACTTTCAAGCAATTATGGTGGTATATCAGGAATGGGGTGGGTACTATCTACACTGTTGAAAAGTTTAAACTTCAGTAGCATCTTTGAATAAATCGATAGATACGAACATATTTAGAAGAGCACAAAGAACAAAAAAGCCCAAAGTTAGGCGTATCGTAAGTCTCGAGGGTTAGAACTACGAAGTTTGTTCCTGTTTAGGGCTTCAGTATTCGGATTTAGGCTTGGTGACAGTAATTTAATTTTGAAGTCTCGACGACAGCGACAGTTTAGTACAAAGTGATAATTAGCGAGGTTCCCCGTCATGGCAGCCATCAAGCAACTTCTGCCACCAAGGGCAATACAACAATGATGTTTCTGCGTGACGAACACTGGTAATGTAAATTAGACCGCCTCTATCTGTACGAAAACCTATTCCGAGTAACGGAACAATGTTCCTTGTATGGGTTCATCGCGATTCGATAATTTCAAAAGATGTTTGGAGCAGTGCGACCACTTTTCTTCTGTTAACAGAGCATTCGCTTTGGAGTGCCTTAGCACGCTAGACGTTCAACGCTCTTGGTAGTTTTTGTCAATGTTGTGAAGTGTAAAATATCAAGTGCAGAGGGCTATGCTGTGATCATTCTGGCATCAACAAACTGTTCTCGCATGTAGGATAGGACATCGTGTTCCATGTCTTCTGAGGAAAGTTACTTAACGGCCACCTTCTCACTCAAATCTCAAGGCCATGACGACAAACTCATAATCACTCTAGAGATACTATCATAGGGGTTCATGGCACCGTACATTTCTACTGACTTCATCGTCATAAGGTGATCGATAATCTGAAGTTTTTCTAGTTTTTTGACTATTTCAGTTGATTTTATCGCTGTCATCGTGCCTCGTAATCACTATGTCACGAACCTGACGCGAGTAAAACAAACGTTCGACAACATTATCACCCTGCGAATTCAGACAAAATCTACGAGATAGAGCAACCGACAGTGCTGTATCGAATCACGTATCACATAAACCGAGTTTTGATCCTATTCTCACAACTTAACACTGACATCGGGCAGCTCAGACCCGTTTAGCTACACCTGTCACGTGAAGTATATCACTCTACACGAGTTAATTTAAGGTAACTGGTCATTTGCTCAACTGACAGTGCTTTAACCGATCCGATGATCGAAGTTATATCAGGGAAACCAACGTCTTGAGCTCCCATTATGAACCTTCTCAATGACCCATGGACTTCAGGTCAAGACTCTAGCGCCCACGGCCTTGGTGGTCCTGATTCGAAACTCCAAAGAGTTCAGGACACTTTAGAAAGTTTAGCAGAAACGGATTCGGATCCATGGGCAAGAGTGGCACTGTTGACCAGTGAAGAAGACAACGATGAGGTGCTTTTCAAAACATTGCTGAGGGAGGTAAAAGATATCAACGACACACAAGCCACAGGGGTCACTTTGCTGATCTACTGCATTGTTTTCGACAAATCAAGGTACATAGAGGTGTTGCACGGGATCGATGAGCTTGACCCTAACGTCCCGGACCGAATTTTCAACCATTCGCCCCTTACATGGTGCTTTGAATTGGAAAGAAAGCAATGTTTGCTAGAGCTTCTCAATTTTTCAGATGAGTTGAATTTTGACTATAAAAATCGAGGTGGTTCCACCGCGCTTCAGCTCTTGGTTCCTGGAAGCGCGATGTATGAATTTGCCAAAGACCACGGTTTATTCAAACTTGGTCAAAACGGAATCAAGATTTCACAGGATCTTTATGGAGCTCCAGAAGAGGGTTTTGGAGACACCGATGTTGATAACACTCTGGACCAGATCAATCTGCAAACAGCAGGGCTAGGTTTAAATGAAGATAGTCCATCGATTCCTCTGGATGCTGAAAAGCATCTTGCACAAAACAATAATACAACTTCTATTGATGCTGGAGGGCCACCATTTAGTCACTTCGATTTTGACCATGTGTTACCCAACCAATACATCGAATTTGCCGACTACGATATTCCGCGACTACTAGAACTTATCATTTCGCTCCCGGCAAAGCAACCTCACAAACCTTCTATTCCTGCAACTATTATTTTCCAGAGTCTGCGCTTTGCAGATCAGATAAAAGACAGCCCCTCACTTGTGGAAAGCATGGCCCACCTATCCTTGACCAAAATCCTTACGTCATTATCCTCAACATCCGGTGGTGCTCTTCTGGAAAATCAAAGTGGAGATATTGTCTTACAATCTTATTGGCTGTCGAGTCTTACCTTTTTGTTCTATTACCTTTGTCGACAAGCCGGATTTTTCAAAAGGTACCCGTCAATTCTACAGGAGCTGATAGATGCAATGCGGTCGTTGATAATTGAGATGAACTCATCGATATACTCCAGGATCGAACCCTTGATAGACTCTTCAATTTTGGAGCACACCACAATTGCTGAGGTGAAAGAAACACTGTACAGAAAAGATTGGAACCTGCTGAAAAAAAGGAAACTACGTAAGAGAAAAAACGGGGCTCGCGATTCCTATGATCAAATCATGGCCATGCTGTATCCTCCTTCACTTGACGAACAGAGAAGACTTTCACCTTTGAAAGTTGTTCAGATTTTTGGTGCTCTCTTTTACGTGCTGGATCTTCACCAAGTTCACCCTCTTATCGCTCAGCAATGTTTATCCCTTGCCATCCGATGGTTTTCCGTTACGTTATTCAACAAGATAATGGAAAACAAAAAAAAGTCTCTGTCAAGAGCTCATGCTATTCAGATTAAACTAAACCTGTCTGTTATTCAAGACTGGATCAAGAATCACGATTTCAAGCCATCGTTTCCTTCCCTAATGGACGATTTTATATTCCAAAAGTTCCCTTATACCCTTATTTTCAATTTGGGTGACATTGACAGCACATCAAGGCCTTTTGAACTTCGCAACCTTACATTGTACAAACCCAGCGATGGCTCTATTACAAATGACATGAGCAATTCACTATTTTTCTACCAGTCGTTCTACCAGATCGCCCGAATCCACTTGGAACCGTGCATGCAGCTATTGCAATGGCTTCAGGTGGCCACTTCTTTGAATGATGAAGAAAGTCTCGATTCCACCATACAGCTTTTAAACAAACTCACTCCGTTGCAGCTGTATAAATCTGTGACTAAGTATAGGTATGAACTTGAAGAAAACAAGTTTGCTTCCAATCTGCGAAAAAAGCTGTCTATGACATGCAAGCAGAGGGACGAGGTGGACGTGTACTTCCCAGAGAAAGCGCTGTGTTCTCTTGCGTTGCCAACTATTACAGAGCTCACTGAGTCATACACACAAAGCGATGATAGCGACGAGCTTTTACCACTCCTACCCTTAGATATACAGGATGATGTCGATGAGATACACGAGCAGAATATGAAGTTGAGGGATCAAGAGACGAAAGAATTTAGCCAAAGCCGTTACGAGGACGATCAATCGACTGTCGAAGAGGACGTTGGTTCTGAGATTGAAAACGCCAATGGTGATCAATTGTTCAAAAAGCTAAATGCACCATCGTCTGTTGCACAGCGTCCTCTTTGGGCTATAACTGATGACATAGAACAAAATCCATGGTAAGGCGTTTTCAGGTATCTAAATAAATACATTGGATATCTAGGGAGCTTATATCTCCCTTCTTTCCATTTGCATAACATCTGTTTCTCATTATGCCGTAGATCGCAGGTCGAAAGCGCTATCTCAAATTTATCCAAGAAAACTTGCCTGCAACGTTTTGCATTTCTGTGGAACCTGTTCTCACCCTAACGTGTAATTCTTCGAACGTTGGACTTTGGTCTATAGAGATCTGGGACGATTGCTGCAAGTCAAAGACCGGAGTATTTTTAGAGCCGATTCCATGTATGTCGTGCACGCTCTTCCATCCACCATGCCCGTCCATAAATCCATTTTCACTTCCTGAGTTTTCGAACATATCGTACTCTTCACTCATTGTGTGCTGACTTTCATCTGGCTGGTTGTTGGAAGTGGACTGGAATTGATCGAAGCCCTTGTGGATTTCTAGGGCAGGAGGTAACGCAAAGCGATCATTAGGATTTTGAGTTGTTTGTAACGCCGCATTACTAGCTCCCTGAGTTGCGGATTGCGCAGAACGTACCTTGTTTTCGGCCATAACCAGATAGACGAACGAACTTACTGACCACTCGTACCAAAATTTATGGTTTGCTTGGTCATGATTCCTGGTCATGAATAATTCAAGCTCACTATCGTCAGAAATGAAAAATGGCTGTTTGAGAGGGAAAACCATGGGCGACCACGACATCATATCCGGAGTGTGCTCACCTTTGACATATAAACCAGCACTACCATCCACCCCTTTGATAGGCTCCGCCATTTTAACGGTCGAGCCGTCTGGTAGAATGGATAGGCAGATATCATCAAAAAGAGTGGCCTTGAACAACCCTATTAAAGCGTGTATTTCGCACTTATTTTTTATTTTGAATTCTGTCACTGCAGATTTAGTCAACTTTGAGCCTGCTACTGGATGGTGAAATGACCAAATCTCGTTCAATTTGGTAGAAGTAATGCAATGGGGGATGTTATGAACGATCCAGGGCTTTTCGAAAGCATTGGGAACATTAATTGTGGTCAGAGTTTGATATAGCAATGGTGCTGAAATAGGTGCCACGTAAGAGGAAAAGCTTTGCGGTATGAAAATAGTTGTCTTCTTACAACTGTGTTTCTCCACATTTAGTAAAGATTCTGGGGCGAGCTCGTTACAACCGAACGAACCGAGCAGCTCACTGATACACAAATCGACCTTGAGTTCGCTTCTCCACGAGCAAGCATCGTCTTTGACAAGCTCCACAGAATCCTTCCAGTATTCATGCTTCCTTTTTTGCAAGTAAAGCGCTGCCCGTGAACTCTTTTCTAAGGCAATTATGCGATAGTGAGGGACTCTCAACTCCATTATAGCCGTATATGCTTCATCAACCAGGGGACCTCTTCCCGCGCCGGCAATCAAAACGACTAGTGGAGAGTCCCTTTTGCTCCCCATTATGCCATCTGTAATCAGTCTCTTGAGCGCTCTTTTGATGGCTTTGCCGTACATTTGGTATTTGGTTCTATCTTGTTCAAAAGTATGGTAAACAGCGTTTGATATGTCAGTAGAAAATGGGTCCAACGGTGGCATTAGCCGCGGCTCCGAAAATTTATGCATGTTGGGGTTCGCCAATATAAGCTTGTCACCCCGTTTGAGAAGATAGTTGATGTACTCCAGGTACGCTACTTCACCACCTTTGACTTGAAACCCATATTTCTCGACGCCATGAAGAATGACGCACAGTTCCGATAATTTGGTCTGAGAACTACCGTTGATTTTTTGAAATTCGAAAATGATCTGCTGGTTAAATTTGTTGAGAACGGGGTAGTTGTACTGATTTGTCGCAAATATTGATGAAGAGACCAAGAGGCACGTAACTGGTTCTGCAAGCCACCTTTGTAACACATAAGAGGGAACTCTATCTCGCGGTAGAGCCAGCGATACGGTCAAATTTGAATGGTATCCACAAATTTTGCGGACGGTACACCATAATTCCCATGTCGAAAGTGGGTCAGAGTCTTCGAAAAATGGCAAGGAAATTGACAGTACAGGGTTTTCACCGCTACCACAATTGAGATTGCTGTCCCTTAAAGAGAGAAGACGTGCGACCATGAGCGCATACCGGTTGATGCTTGCCAAATTTTTAGGTGGCGCCAAAATGAGCTGTTTGATCCCAACAAACGCTGCGTAATTGTGCTCATTTGCCAGCACTTGAAAGCTGAGTTCCTGTACATCAACGTCTGCGCTCTCCATGTCTACCCACGAGGCCAGCAGCCCAATACAGTCCGGTGCGGCACCTTCTGGAGATTTTGGGGGCACAGATAGATCTTGCAATTGCAGTTGGGGTACTGTTAGTGCCTCTCTTGTCCCATCAAGCGGTTGTTGATGATGCTGGTGAAGTGCAACTTTGACACGATCGCGATATCTACTATTGCTCACAGGATGCAGGACATAATCATACCGGTCTTCGCTCAGATCGCCCCCTATTGTTGCTGATCCTAATAAAGGTTTGAGCCCCACATAAACATTACTCTTCATGCCTGTAATCGGGGTGCCCAGCCGGTGATCTTGATGATCTTGATGATCTTTCTGTTCTCTAGTAGTTAAAATTAGAGTATGGATTTTTCATTTTAATTTGTTTACTTTTCGATCAGAGCCGCTCGTACGAAGTGCTATCAAGAGTCACGTGCCAAAAAATTGACGAGTAGAATAAAACCAAGTGGGAGGGAACAAGTAACACTTTCGTGAGCGTACTTCAGATGGTTATTTTACAGCAGTGTATTCGCTGTTATTCCAGAGCATTCCTGTGGAATTGATCGTAGTTGTTAAGTAAAATCTGAAAAAATAATTTCTGCACGTGATCTGGAGATGGCGACGACACATAACAGGTTAGGGATATGAGTTTTTAAAGGTTACTGGCGCCCTGAGTGTGAAAGATGGCGAATCGAGCACTTTGGGTAGTTCTGAAACGTGAAATGAGAACCAAAAATGTCAAAACTATCGAATTTACTTTGGTTGTGATTTAGTCAACTTTTGTTTCAATTTTGGAGCGATGAATGCAAGTCTTACGAAATATCATTGATCTGACTTTGTGCAAGCTCCAATCGACTCACACCAGAGGGCTGAGTTTTGCGCTTGTCTGCTGCTAGGTATTAAGTTGTTTTACCTTTCCATCTTATATAGCTTCGCTAACCTGCTTAATTGGTTAGATTGAAGACTGCAATATAGAGATTAGCCTTTTAACGTTCAAAAAAAGCGTATCGTTCAACTCACAAAAGAGCTCGGTTGATACTTGTCTCCAGATTTTGGTAATTGTGTGGCTTACATAACAAGTTGAGTAGATAACTATTAGTTTATATCTGGGGTGGTCTCGAGCGTTTCTTCTCGTAATCGAATGCGAGAATTCTATTTGTTTATACGAGAAACGATTCTCTGTCCAAGAGTGTTCTCACATGGTCTTGTACGTTTGATGACGTTCTTCTGATTTTAAACTGTATACTAAAACCTAACTTGGGTTTGGATAGAAATTAGATCAGCACGTACAGAAGCTAGCGGCGCCATTTTGACAATCAATGTGTATTATTTTCACACGAACCGACTTTTAATAACAATCCAGTTACTCAACGACCGCTGTTTACCACTATGGCTGAATGTCTACGGGGTGGCCGATGTTTTCGGTTTTTTTACGTCCAGTCAGTCGCTGTCACTGAACAAGCGACCTGATGTTCTAAGTACAAGCAATTTGAAACCACGATGCTATCGCATAGGGACAACACTGACACACAGAAATGCGACTTACAGCACTAAAAATTTTCTACTTCGAGAAAAGTCCTCTTTGAGTACACTTGCGCCGTCATTTGATGCTTCCTCGGCGTTTCTCGAACGCAGATCTAAACTACTGAAATAGCTTATCATTTCTTGTACAATTGAAACACTGCGCAATGCAGCTTCACCGTCTAATCCGCATTTCCACGAACATGCGATTCCTAGCCCAAGGTTCCACAATTGTAATACATGATAGAATAACCGGGTGAGAGAGACGGGCCGAAACAGACGCTGACAGCTGGCTTGCCTTTATGCGTCAGCTACTCGGACCTTTTCAAATCCTCGACTCGATCCTCTACTCGCCCGATTTTTTCTCGAGGTCCGCATCAATTTTCTTGTTTCTAGTCAAATTAACAATCTTAAAACGGTAGTTGACTAGACTATGTTCGATCTAAAAGACGACCAACAATCTCGGCTCAACCAGTGCATTGATCGAGCATGTACCAACATAGCCATGCTTTCCAGGGCAGAAAGTTGACTGACCAAGAAAGAGCACGCGTTTTGGAGTTTCAGGACTCAATTCACTATTCGCCGAGATACTCTGATGATGCGTGTGAATATCGTCATGTAATGCTACCCAAAGCTATGCTTAAAGTGGTACCCTCCGATTATTTCAATTCTGAAACTGGGACATTGCGTATTCTGACAGAAGACGAATGGCGTGGACTTGGCATAACGCAGTCGTTAGGTTGGGAGCACTACGAATGTCATGCACCAGAGCCTCATATTCTGTTATTCAAACGTACACTGTGAATGAAATGGAAGATGTAAAGGGTTGTACCAAGGGAAAAATAAGTGACAACCACATTACTGTTTTCTCGAAGGAGGCAAAATTAATAAGATGAGTATATCTCAGCAATAGAAGTGTGAGTCTGCGAATAACACCGTAAACCCCCACATGCATGTACAGCGGCTCCCAATTATAGACTGAGAACGTGGGTGGGGCATATTTTTTTGTTGTTGCATAAATACAACTTGGATTTGAACTCCAGTGGTGTATTGATCAAAACCTACGTAGTGACTTGAAAGTTAAAAAAAATGATTCACGAATAAAATCTTGTTTCCATTCCAGGTTCACTGATTTCAGAGGTTTCAGTGGGCACCACGAAATGCATCAAGAGCACGTACCGTCAATTGTCTCTGGATTATTGAGCATCAACTTCAGCTTATTGAACTAAACTTCAAGGACCGTGAATGCGGCCAAGACTTTTTTTTTCTCTTTCATCCATACAAGGTACACGCAAGTTTTGAAGGCGCACATAAAACAAACCGAGGCTCCCACGAGGTTGAGATTGTATGTCATTCATGGATCGGTCGAGCCTATCCGTCATTAGGCTTGAATATTCAAAAAATCAAGTTTACGTTCGAAGTTTCACCGGGAACACTTCTAAAAGTCAGAGTTCAGTAGTTTGAGCATATTAGTAGTACCAAGACTCACAATCCCAATTACAATTGAACAGTGGTTGTCGTGTGGGACCACTGACGCTGGAACTTTGCTGACACGCGTATATGGTGATACACGTAATTGGTTCATTAACACTAGGATTCCAGTTGAACGCGACACATCTATGTTTCGAAAGAGACAAATGCCTTGCATCACACTGGATGACCACCACTGGCCCGTTCTGAATCTCTCCTCATCATGGAATCCCGGGTTAAGTATCTAAATGAGCTGATGCTGGCAATAAGAGGCCTGACTGATGATAGTGCCAAGATTGATTTGTTCGCGCAAGACACACCTCTAACAAGTGATCCCAAAGCCTTGAAGATCGTTAATATTCTTGTACAAAACCTGTCGTCGAGTCCAATATCTACAGATGTGTTTTCTAAATCGCTACGAGCACTCGATCTACTGCTGCGAAAAAAACCACATTTACTGAGTTGTCCCTTGGATTCAAGCAATAGTCCTGGAATTTTATGGCTTCTAAACCATTTTATTAGCATTGCGTGCATTCATTGGGATCATCCTGCGTATCAATGGTCTATAAAACGGAACATTGGAAACTGGATTCAGTTTTACACTTCTTTCGCAAGTCTGGATGCTGGGCCACTAGTATCACGCCATATTTTTGGTAAATTAGCTGCGTTCGAAGCCCAATTAACCAGCGTTTTTAACTCACCACCAGATAAAGTCTCATTCAATAGCTCACTCAAACAGCTGTATGTTCTTTGTGATTGGATCAATCAGCACGCATTTCAACAGGGCGTCACTTCCATCAATTCGTCTCTCGAGACAAATCGGTGGGACAATGTTTTTCAAAGGCTTATGCGGATAGTTTCGTATGTTCTCGATTGCGTTGATATTGACGTGGTGGCACTAAGTGCACTAAAGACTAAGTTTTTGGCGCTTACAGTAAATTTCGCAGTCGTACGCAGTACTAGATTTAGTGGCTCACAACGGAGAGTTTATTCTGATGCAACATTCAAGTTTGCAATTGAGACTTGCGTGGCTTTCATTTCCGTCAATGCCCCACCTTTTCAGCTTGAGGACGATATCCTGCTGGCAAAGTCAATTTTGCGTCTTTATTTGACTGCTAAAGGCGAACCCTCCACTTTCAGTTTGTTTTCAAACTCAATGCCATTTGACAAATGTAATGATCTTGCTGAAAGCCCGTCATCAATGGGACCGCTGTCGAAAAAGGCCCTTTTAATAACTCTGTTCGACATAAGAAGAAAAGAGAGCATCCAAAAGAAGCCAAGGGTGGCTTTGGAGGTTTTAGAATCAGAAAAAGAGCTCGTTCATAATTGCGCTAACAGCCCTTATACTCAGAGCCGTCAGTTGGAAGCCCTAAGAAAAGAGGCAATTAGCATTCATTCACCAGACTTTTGGTTAGAAAAGAGAATCACACTGCTTGGAGAACCGTGTACTACCAATAGTTCAATCGGGCTATTGCTAAAAGAAGTGCGAAGCAATATTACACTACACATGCAGCAGAACAACGTCAAAAGCCTTATATACGCAGTTAATCTGTTAGGAAAGATTTCCTGCTGCGAGGGAGCTCAATTGAAAAGATCTGTAAAAGCGGGAAGTCCTTGCACTTGTTGTGATAGTACATTACCCAGCAAAATTGTCGCAAAAGAAAACCCCCATAAGTCTGGCGTTGCCTCGGCTAGTAGCACATACAAGGTGCTCCACGACCATTTTTTGAGTCATCCCAAACTTGATGAATTTGGCGAAGCTCTCTTAGCCGCTATAGTCATCGCGCTGCGACGAATATTCACGCATTTCCGCCCCCCTCCTATATTGGGTGACAACGACGCAAAGTCAAATTCCATAAGCCCCTTCACTTTTTTCAAACGAGTTTCCTCGGTTCCGAACAGATACTTGAGACTTTTGGCTGTTCCTTTAATGTCCAGCTGGTCTAGTCCCTCGCCAGAAAATACTGAAGATAAATACTTCACATATCTGGTGAGCTTCCTACAGAGCTTATCAGTTCAATCTATCACTGAAACAGTTCTCATGTCGTGGGTTCGTCTGACACTTGCGTCATCTGGAGAAATTTTTGATCCTTTGCTGGTAAAGCTGATTGATATATTCAATTCCACCAGCATCGCCGAACGCCGGATGATGAAGCATCAACTACGTTATGTTTCCTGGCTGAAGAAGAAGACGCCTTATCGGCTCCTGTCTCCAGTACTACCTCTACTCTTGAAACAAATCGGTAAGAATCTTCAAGAGAAAATGTCATCATTTCAAAGGCTAACAGACTTCGTCGAATATCCCAGCAAAACAATCCTTGAAAATTTTCAAAAGTACGTGGTACCTTACGCAATAACTCAGTACAAGGATGATGTTATCACCCTGATATCTAAAATAATGTGTGATAATGATCCTGAAGAGTTACCAGCACAAAAAGATAAACTTTTGAGGAAAAACAGCCGTGCGATTTTTGCCGTTGCTTTGGTTAAGCATTGTTTTTATTCTGTCGAAACTTTAGAGTCTCTTTTCACCAATTGCCTACCAACTTTCGAAAAATCTTATGTCTCCGCCTACCTGCCTGACTACAAGACACTAGCTGAAGTACTTAAGCTTTTCAAGAATCGCGATGACGTCGAAAATACTAAGGGCGAAAATGAGAAGATGGTTTTATGTGCTTTGAGATTCTTGCTTACGACAGTTGACCCTCAAGTCCGGCGAACCTCCAAAATAAAACTACTTGATGAGTGGACGGATGAGCAGGAGACACTCTTCCAAAAAAAGCTGCAGGAAAACATATTAGGCATCTTTCAAGTCTTTTCTGGTGATATGCATGACGTTGAAGGACGCACGACGTATTTTGAAAAGTTGCGCGTCATAAATGGAATCCGATTCCTCATTACCAACGCCTCGTTGGAATGTATAATATCGGCGCTGGCGCAAATCAGTATATGCTTACAAAGCGGACAAGAGGTTCCAGAGGTTTGTGAGAATGCCTTGAACTGTTGGTTAGATTTAATCGGCAGACTTACAGAAGAACAGCTATCATCAGTAGTTGACAGTTTTGCTCCTTTTCTTCTTCAAAGGCATTCTTCATTCAGTAACAGAGCCAAGAAGGTAACCGAACGTATCATTAAGCTGCTAGTGAATGAAAAAAAAGGCTTAGTGTTGTCTTCTCGGCCTTACATTACGCTTGCTTTAGTTAATGCAACGGAGCTTAAGGTTCTAGAAAGACACAGATCTTTTGCGAGATCTGTAAATAGAGTCCTTTACACCACTGACTGGTTCTTAGTGTATTCCAACAATCTGAAAAGCAAGAACAAGTACCTGATTCACCAAACACTAGTTGACATGAAGGCACTTTTGCAAACAAAAGAGCTAGAAGGCCTCCTCAGAGCCACCTACCATAACGCTGCACAGACTGACATATCTGTCTTGCTGGGTAGTCTGCTCGATGCTTCTTACAGATTTCGAAGTGAGGATATCGACTTATGCGAGCAATGTACAGCAATAATTGGAGTGATAGGAGTCTTGGATACTACCAAACATCAGCTTGCTAGGTCATCAGCTCATATGCCTGAAGTCTATGATTTTAGTGATCACGCCCAAACGGTAAAGTTCTTGATCAGTATTATGAATGAGATACTCGTACCTGCTTTTTGGGAAAGCGAAAACCCTACCAAACAGCTTTTCGTCGCATTGGTAATGCAAGAATCCTTGAAGTTCTGCGGTCTCAGTTCATCATCGTGGGACATTTTACGACCTGAGCTCTACCCTAATGAGGTGCGACTTTGGAACAGATTCAACGATATTGCCAGAACGACTCTGTATCCTCTCAGATCCTCTTTGTACATGGCTCAATCATGGAAAGAGTATTTACCTATCGAATATCCATCTTTCAACCCAAAGCAAGATTACAAAACATGGCTGAAAAACCTCACACTTGACCTCTTGAAAACGAGTACAGATGAATCTCACCCTCTGCATGTTTTCGCATCGCTGATTAGAGAAGATGACGGTTTTCTGTCCGAAAATCTTCTGCCCTACGTTGTTGTTGACATCCTGATAAAAGCTGAAAGGGACAAACCGTTTTGCACTTACGCAGAAAACCTTAAACTAGAATTCAGATACATTTTCGAGTACCCTCTTTCTTCGTTAAATCACTACCAGATTGATGCCATTAAGCGCTGCTACGAGATTATTTTCAAAATACTGGAGTACTGTAAGAAATGGATAACCCAATTCAAACAGTCATACAGCCGAAAATATGGCACCTTCACGATCCACGAGCAAAAGTATATTTTGATGTTGGAGAGGATCGAAGCTTTCCTGGAAATAAACTCATTCGGATTGATGGCACAAAGGTCGCTAGAGACCAGCTCATTTGAGAGGTCCGCTCTTTATCTCGAGCAGTCTTATAGGGCGAGAGACAAAATGTATGATGGAAACGAAGGCCTACTTGCTCATTTACAGAAGACTTATGCGGAAATCGGTGACATCGATGCTGTAGAAGGAGTACTCAAGGTGTTCTCAACTGAAAGCGTTGCTTCCAAAATAGATGAGCTTCAGTACTCTCATAATTGGAACATGGCGCAACAATGTTTCGAGGCTCTTGGGCAAATAACGCAGCCTGTTGAAAAGTACGAAGATCTGTGCTACTCAGGAAACACAAAGATGCTAAAATCCATGTTCGATCATCAGCAGTATGAGCAGGTTGTGAAAAAGCTAAATGTGCTGGCACCAGACCGAGATAGTGCAGTGAGCTCACTACCAGTAGAATGGATAAGCGTGGGTCTAGAGAGCGCTTATTTGAGTGCGCAACCAAAGGATCTCCAAATGTGGCTCGAGAGGATCGAAGGAATAGAGAGCGCCAGTGATCCGATGACACTGCTACATTACAATTTCGCTAAAGTTCTAACGTCCCTTTCTGAGGAAGACAAGGAAAAAGCTTTGGACTATACGCAAAAGTGCCATAGGCTTATAGGAGTAAACTTTTTGCCGCCCTCTAACAATACCACGCTTTTAAAAATACGTGACATAATCCTAAGGCTGCATGCCTTAAGAGACGTATGGCTTGTATCTGACTCAGGAACCCTTCTCCATCCCAAGACGGACAATGAAGTACTGGACAAGCGCTTAGAGAAAATTGGCGCAGATTTCGAACCCAGGCATTTTCTTTTATCAATACAACGGTCCTACAATGTTCTCAAAAACAATGGTATGAACAATCCAGAATTAGTCGAAAACTACTTCAAAATTGCGCAAAATTCTAGGATAAACGCGAGGCCCGATCTAGCTAGTAGTGCCCTTATTCATGCACTCATTTCGGACTATCCGTGTGCAGATTTAGAGTATGCCGAGATCCTTTGGTTTGAGGGCGAACATGACAAGGCCATAAAGCTTGTGGCAGAAATTCACCGAACAATGTCAAACAGCGAAAGGCACCTTCCTCGCGAACGAGCCAAAGTTCTCCTCAAGTATACGGAATGGATGGTACTCTCCAACAATTCCATCTCGGAGCAAATCGTCAAGCAGTATAATGATGTCATTCGCATGGATCCTAGTTGGAGCGATCCCTACTACTCACTTGGCTTGTACTTTAGCAGGCTTCTGGAGAAACGCAGCGCCGAGGGCTATACATCCAATGGGCGCTATGAGAGTAAATCCATTTCCTTTTTTCTCCTCTCCTTTGAAAAGGATGTTTCAAGAACACGAGAAGCCCTACCGAAGGTGGTCACCTTTTGGCTGAATACTGCAAATGCGTATGTCGCCGAAACTAACACTTCGAAAAAGGAAGCTATTAAAAGGTCGATTGAAGACATTTGCAGAAAAGTCGAGACGGCTATCAACAAATGCCCTATTTTCATATGGTATTCCGTTTTAACTCAACTTCTGTCAAGATTGCTTCATGGCCATAAGGTATCTGTTCACCTCATGATGAGTATTTTATTGAATATGACTCTCGAGTATCCATCTCATATTCTCTGGTACATATCTGTGCTACAGAACTCGTCTTCCTCTAGCAGAAGTGCGATCGGGATGCAGCTTGCGAGTCAGTTCAGAGAAAAAACCCGTCAATCGGAGAAATTGGCTGGTTGCTCTGACGAATTAGTGACAAACTTGACTAACGTTTGCATCAAGGACGTCAAATCTTCGACGAGCAGATCCGGAAAACTTCTTGACAGAGACTTCGGCTTTGATCTCAATCTGGCTCCCTGCAATATCGCTGTACCCGTAAGCGCGAATTTAGAGGTGCTAAATCCGACAGCAGCTCAAGACTTGGCCAAGTTTCAACCTTTTCGAAGTTTGATCGCAATTGCTAAAATAGGCTCCTCGTACAAGGTTTTTGCATCTTTAAAAAAACCGAAGAAGTTGAATTTCGTTGGCACTGATGGAAGGATCTATGGAATAATGTGCAAGAAAGAAGACGTCCGGCAGGATAACCAGTATATGCAATTTTCGACCGCAATGGATTTTCTTTTGAGCAAAGACTTGGCTTCGAGGAAAAGAAAGCTTGGTATAACCACTTACTCAGTGGTTTCCTTGCGCGAAGACTGCGGCCTGATCGAGATAGTTCCCAATGTTGCGACTCTCCGATCCATCCTTGTAACCAAATATGATGGAATGAAGATCAAATACAGTTTGAAGTCATTGCACGAAAAATGGCAAACTCTTCCAAGCGATCAGAAACCCGGCTTTTTCAAGGATTTATTGTCAAAATTCCCTCCAGTATTATACGAATGGTTTTTGGAGACCTTTCCAGATGCTAGTGTATGGTACAATTCAAGAAACACGTTTTCAAGGTCTTACGCCGTGATGGCGATGGTAGGTCATATTCTTGGGCTAGGTGATCGCCATTGTGAGAATATTTTACTTGATGTGGAAACAGGGAAAGTACTGCATGTAGATTTCGACTGCCTTTTTGAAAAGGGGAAAAGGCTGCCCATACCCGAAATTGTACCGTTTAGGTTGACACATAATCTAGAAGATGCATTGGGAATAGCTAGGACAGAAGGTACCTTCAAAAACTCAAGTCAGGTAACGCTGCAGTTGATGAGGGAAAATGAGGTAGCTTTGGTTAACGTGATTGAAACCATTTTATATGACCGGAACATGGATCACTCGTTACACAAAGCACTCAAGGTAGTTCGGAACAAAATCAGAGGCATTGACTCTCGTGATGGTCTGATTTTGAGCGTTGCTGGTCAAGTGGAAACTGTCATTCAAGAATCCACATCCGATGAAAATTTGAGTAGGATGTACATAGGGTGGCTACCTTTCTGGTAGCCTCAAATGCTCAGAACATAATTACAGTTTCTATGAAGTCAATGCTAAGTTATTCGTGCTCTTTTGTAAACTGAAGTCGTGCAAATTCATCGTTAGTTATTTCATTTTTCCTCAGCAGTAAAACTTACGGTCCCTGGGGGTGGAGGAACAGGCCTCCGTTTGTTAAGTTCTTGTAAAGAGATGTGGAATTGATCGGTGCTGCCAGATTCAAAAAAACGTGCGACATCCTTATCATCAGTGACTGTTTCCACATCAGAATTCTGAAAAGTGCCGCTTACCGAATTTACTGGAGGCCTGTTACTTGAGGGTCCCTCTTCGGTCTCTTTGGCGCTCTGATTGCCTTCTTTCAACGACTTTTCGACGGTTAAATCCTGACTGGGCCAGCGGGACGAAACGTGGGGTGAATGTGGCGGAGTATGGGAGAACACATGCGAAGTGTTTACCGGAGTACCGTTCCCAGAAGTACTGGACGCAGACCTATTTTTGCTTCTGGCAAACATTTCCGCCGCATCCGAAGTTCGTCTACTATCGATATTATACACAGGAGGGGCCTCTTTTTCTTTTGTTTTTGGAAGGGACCTGCGGTTGCTGATCATTGTCAAGTTTTTCTCCGATGAGGACACCTTTTCTTCATGCTGGTCTTGGTGCTCAGCAGATTGTGAAATACTTTCCTTATACCATTTCCCAACCTTTTTGATCCCGGCGTTGATGTATTTTTTCGATACCATTGCCTCTTCCTTTAGAGCTGAATAGTGAGAATCGGATGAGTTTCGAGGTTTGAGTGAGGCTTCCTCACCTAACTCCTCTTCAAGTTCTTCTTCAACCCCATTACTTGATGCATTATGGGACTTTAAGATTGATTTGAATGTGTTAACTTTTTGCAGCGCTTTTTGACGAACCGATGTGTGCTCCGTGGCATCAGTTTGAGAAGCGCGTGCTTTTTCGTTGCCATCAGACGATTCTAACGAAGTCCGAGAGCGTACTTCTGCGTCATCAGAAACTTTGTTGTGACCAGTTATTTCTTTGTCTTCCATAAACATACCACCACTTTCAGTATCCGAAGATGGATCCACTTCGTTAACACTTTCACTAGCAGCTGCACTTTGACTTTTTACGTGTTCCCAGATTCCCCCTCTGTAAAAATCAGTGGTTGTCTTGTGATAAACAATATCATCCATGTATGGCATTACAAGAGACTCTCTGATAGCTTCACGAAACTTGCTTTTGATGGCGTTAGTGACCATGTTATATGATAATTGCTTTGTGCTTACGATGGGTTCAACATCCATATCCATGAAGGGTTCAGTCTCAAAGCTGTACCAAATTCGATTAGAAGGCGGTGGCTTTATGAGAACCAGCATTGGTCCGCTGAGTTCCTTGATTGTGATTGAAAGATTGAGGGTGACTTCTCTGGGCTTAAATCGAGATCCTAGATTTATGTTGGCTTTAGTGGAGACAATCAGAGATAAACCACCTTTGTAAAACATGTGAAACCCGATTTTGGTAAGCCCCGCCGGCGTGAGCTCTCTTAAAGTTGGATGTGTGAATAAAGGCGCCGCATGTCCAACGTCTACACGATCGATGACAAAATCATCCAAAAACCCTGGTTTATTGATTTTTGTAAGCTTCTTGTACACCTTTTCGCGTAAATATTCCGAAAGTGTTTCAGTTTGTTCAAGGCCTAGAAACAGTCTGCCAATGAGGGCATTGAGCCATTTTGTAGTAAGTTGGCCTTCATTGGAGTTAAGATTTTGAATCAAATACAACATGTCCCGTGTAGGTAAATGGGCCGTTCGGGCGGTTATATTTGGATTCAGTTGCTGTTCCGAGTAGTCTAAATCTGGTTTCGGCTCTGTAACTTTGGATGCATTCAACAGGGCAAAATACCAGTCCTCTTTGTCGACGTTGTTGGTAACGTATACAAAAAAATGGTCCAATTTTTCGGAGCTGTGAAGCTGCGTGGATATTTGAAGTCTACCTCCTTGGTCGGTATGTGCTGCACCGTGTTTGAAAATCGCTATGCACATTTTTTTAGCAAACAAAGAGGCGTCTGGCGCTTCATTGTGAACAGTACGAGGCCACAGCGAGACAAAACTATCCTTCAGTACTATTACATGTGCAACACTAGCATCTGATGAATCGTCCTTATACAGAAAAAGATTCCCGTGTTTAAGAACGCCGTAAAACTTATGTTTCCGTTTCAATTTGTCTCGTGTTGGCATGCTCTCGTTTCCATCCTCAGTTTGCAAAAGCTCTGAGAAGTGATAGTAATATTTGATTGTGACCGTTATCCAACCTTTCTTGAGTACCTCAACACCTTTGAGTTCTTCAAAGTGACCAAGTTTCAGTTCAGGATCGACATTTGGTACTAAAAGCTCCGGTTCGCTTGATGTTCCAGGTTTAGTAGCTTCTGGAGCAGCCCAAAACAACAGATAAGCGACGATCAAAGGGAATGTGACTCCACCGAACAAGTACACATAGAGAAAGGTAGTCAAACTGATCATTGGACTATGGCCAATAGTTTCTTTCGATACGTTAAGAAGGGTTTAAGGGAATCGATGGATGTTTCGGTGATTTTGATATATATTGTAGACAATAATGGCACTTTGGGATGTCAGTTTGGAAAAAAGTGATACAATTCAAGACGCAAGAAAGAAGATGTGCATAGAAATGGGATTGGTTCAAAAGCAAAAGATTCGGGGTTTGTGCTTTTAGAAGGTTTTTAAAAAGATCATATGGATGATAAAGGGTGTTTTCTTCGAAACAGTATTTTGAAAGAAAAAGGAGAGGTCACGTGATTCAAAATGATAGTCATTATTTGATGCTATGGAAGAAAAGTGGGACGTATGGAGTAGCCTTTATTTAAAAAGAGCGCATTGAAATTGACGTGGGCTTCACTTCATGTGAGCTATGTACGTTTCACATCCGCTTTGTCGCGCAGATTTAAATTCGACCGAACTGGTCACGTGATGGTATGACAGCGACAAAAGAATGCTAGTAAGCAAGATAAATCAAAGCTGTTGGTTGTTTATCGACCACGTTTTGGAAAGCTTCAATCCTTTGTATAGATTTTTGGTGAAGTCAGCTATATAATGATGTAACTTATCATCAGAACGGGTGCAACAATAGAACAATTCGCTGAGTGTTTATATACGTTATCGACTTGAAGAGAGTCTCGGGGGTGCTTAGTTCGATAAGCGTTTCTACCCTCGGTGAGCGAAAACCCAAAGTAAAATAGCCGATAAACGGACTTGCTGTACTCTATGAAGTTTGGGGAGAAGGCTTTCGCAAGCGGGACAGACAATGTCCGTTTACAATTTTCTGAGAATCGTTTCGTCACCGGAGGACGGGAACAACACTTGCATTGAGGTTCAAATGACGACTGATTGAACAGCTATAAAGAAGAACTATACAGTAGGGCATCACTCGGCGCTTTTGGCCTCAAATTCGTCCAAACTAATAGTTGTTCAAGTCTTTGGGTTATTCTGTTAAATTGTGTCGCTGTCGTGCGATCACGTGTGTGTAATCACTTTGTCATGGATCTGACGCTAGACAGACAGAGGTTCCGACGACAAGTAAGGTACGTGTTTAAGCTAGCTACAGTATTTAGATAAATGCGAGAGCGGTCGTACCATGAGACTCTTGAGAGACACCAATCGGGTCTCTCAACACGTATAAACAGCTGACAAAAGTCAAGTGATCATCTATGAATAATCTTCACAATGGAGACTGGTCCCCTAGCCTCAGCTTTTATAACCTACTAAAGACCAAGGTGTGTTTCTATCAGCAAAACTACACCCGTCATTTAAGATTTCGAGCTAGACTGACGCCGGTCACGTGACTCTGGAAATGGCTAACGTTTTCCGCCCTGTGCTGTACAAACACCATTACTTTGCTTGTCTCAGACAAGGCCTCCAACCCGATTCCAAGACGACTAACTTACAACGCATCTACAAGCACCAATATCAGAGTCATTAAATCAGTTATTTTGGTTTTGTGATCATGAAATCGGTACTTAAACCGAAAGTCACACAGTGTGAATATAGGAGATCATCATATAATCTGGTGCAATTAAAATCAAGAATTAGCACGCATCGCCTGATGCGTAAGAAGAGTCTTCTCTTACAACAATAAAAAAAAAAAACAAGACTCTTGCCTCTATTTCTAGCTCTCGTCAGCTGTCTCACGACCACTCATCAATTCTTGCTCGGCCAGCACCCCCAAAAATTTGTACACAGGGAGCACCATACGGCCGTGCAATACTAAACTATGTCCGCCCGGTCGGAAATGGTCATCACTCAGAGAGTTAGAAAAAAGAGTTGGTATTCTGTTTTTTTTTTTTGGAACATCCCCATACCGCTCCACGCTTTCTTCACCCAACTCATACAAGGCTGAAACTTAACGATATGCGAGGTTGTCGACACGTAGTAAATAACAACTATTCAGTCGGAACAATTGGTTGATAAGATGTTTAATCACTGTAGGGCTTTGAAAAACACCACCGCCTGGTGGTGTTTTGAAGAATGCGTGGGGCTTGAAGAGGGAGCAGAGCGTAGGATCCAAGTAGAAGCAAAATCACTCCGATGACTAGTGGTTGGTACTGTCTCTTTCACTCTCTGTCTCTCTTTATATACACCAAAAGCTCTGGACCACGGCGAAAAAAAAAAATTTCAGTTACTCGAGTTAGGGCTTGTCGTTCTAAATGCTTTTGCTGAGACCATGATTTCCAGTTTGTTTCCCATTTGTTTCCAGTTTCCCATGTTTCCAGATTACATTTGAAAATCGGCAGCCTGGCCCAATTCGACCATCTGGCGAAAAAAAAAAGGGATGGTACCCTCTCGTCAATCCTCTACCCAATCCTCTGTCCAGTTCTCTACCCAAAAGTCACATGACACTTTCATATCACTTTATTCCAAACAGACGCTTTATGCGCGCTTATGTAATCTCGCGTCTTTCCAATTAAAAATTTCTTTTCTTCTCCCCTCTCCTCCGCCGTTTCTTTTCTTTTCTTTTTTTTTATTTTTTTTTCCCTTTTTTTCCCAAACTAGTTTCTTTTTTTCTAAGAGCTCATCGCGCATCTACAATTCGTCAATTTGTCGTCGCCTGTCGTCGTCACCTTGGGCGATGAGCTGGTTGTAACTGGCAAATATAACAAGGAACCAATAGGAGCACTTAATACAGGTTTTGAACAACAAGAAGTGTGGAATCTAGATATAATCGTTTTCCTTGTATTTCAATCTGTCTCTTTAGATTCTGTCATCTCGCTAGTCGAAAACCCGATTTTTTTCCGACCAGTGAAGTGCGATTCCATTACGAAGCATTGGAAGTTCTCGAGAGTATAAAAGACGATACCTCGAATTTTCGATCAAAACGGATTGCTCGATTGTAAGATCTCATTGCAAGCCAAGGTTTGGAAGAGTGTGTGTTGTTGCTGGCTAGAATCACGCATTTTTTAAACATTTTATCACCATGACTCAGTATTTGGCTTTGCCTCTCGACACACAGGCCAACAACGTCTGGATGGAAGACGAGGAATTGACGTTTCCTTCATATCCCAAACGGTTCCATAGGGCGTCCGATGCCGCACAAACAGCAGTCGGGTGCGATGGTGTGGCTGCTGTGTCGTCGTCGTCGTCGTCGTCGTCGTCGTCCACTTCTTCGGTACGCTCAGATATCGAATCGCTGCTGGACCGAGACGATTCGCTGAATTCCAACGAGGATTTCTGGCGTGAAGTGCGTGCCACGAGCGAAACGGCCGCCGCCACCACCACCGAACTGAACAGCTCCCAGGACTCGGATCTGTCGTTCTCGTTAACCACAAGTCCTGCCACCACGGTGGCAGACCTCTCACAGTTTTCATCGCCGGTGTCAGAAACGTGCGTGGAAGACTATATCTGCGACATGGGACCCTCAGCAAACGGTCCCTCAATGCTGCAAAACCAGTTCCAACCAGACTTTCAGATCAAAAGACTGTGCTTCCGGGATGCAGAGGGCAAACTCGCCCTGACGGACCATTCACGTGCTTCTGTATGTAAACCTTCGCACGCAAGAAGTCACAACAAATCTTACAAAACCAGCAGGAAACTACTGAAAAGGGCGCTTCGTCGTAAGAGCGGGCTCTGGGAAATGGCAAGCCCCAAATTTGCCGTGGCAGAATTCATGTTGCTATGAGAAAACAGCACAACAAATCAATTTTTCCATTGGATATTTTTCACTTCGCATTTGCAAATTACAACACCAGACACTTTAAAGGACCCGGATACTTCAATTCTAACCATTTTATTTTTCTCTACCCTGAACACTTATTTTTGATCTTTTGAACTCAACCTTCCCTCATCAAGCCCACCAGGTGTGTGCGTGAGTCTGTGTACACTTAACATGTGTTTGTCTATATATTTAAAAAAAAAAACATTCATACACTACGCCCAGCTTTTAAGAGCATCGATAACACGATCAAAGTTGAGGTTCCAACGTTACAATTCAGGCTGCTATACAATACTGTGTCGTCAATGTCTGGATACCAGCAGCGACACATAAATCATAATTATAATACTAATGAGACTTATATCGCTATTTCGTGTGAAGTGATGCACACGATCGCTGAGAAAGCCTACCCTAATTCAAACGACTCCGTTCATATCCCTAACGAAAGCTCAAAGACAAGCAACCAATAACATTTTTTCTCCGATGACCTTCTTCTATCTTCAAGCAAATCAAAGAACTACGAAGGAATCAAAATGTCGACGATCATGTTTTACGGTACCGAAAATAGGCTCACTTTCCGGAATATGTCGAGAAACGTCGCCACTATTCTGTTTGAAGACCCTTTGATGTGCTGTGAATTCAGCGGGGGCACCTAGACACCTTGCGTCAAATCAGATCCCGATTTAATACTCAAGAACCTATCATTACGAAAGCAACAGAAGTCCTCAAATTTCAGCGAGTCACCACTAGCATTCCCTGAATTGAAGTCCGTGGGGGAAGAATAGTGAAGCCCCTGGAGTTCTGTGGCTAAACATGCACTCATCTTTAGCGTCTTGAGAAATGATGTGCACGTGACTGAACGTCAAGCACTATGCACGAGTGGACTCGAGAATTCGGCGAGTACCGCTATTGGATGTAATACTATTGTATTTGGCCCTATAGCATAGAGCTAACGAATGACACGAACTTGAACTTAAACCATCATCCTTCTTCAGTCACTCCTTCCGATGTCTAATCAGTCTGGAATAACTGCCAACGAGGCATTGCTATCTCGGATTGGCTCATTGATCAATGACAGCTCTAGCGGCGACGTGGTTGTTGCAGAAATCTCTGCTGACAACACTACTGTTGATCTACACATTGTTCTGTCCAGCTTGGACGAGTTGCAGAAGTATGCCTCTCAGAACAACAAACCTCAGTATTTCTTCATACGCCAAGGCTCCGGCATTGTATTCGTTTCGTATGTCCCAGAATCGTCCCCTGTGCGTTCCAAAATGTTGTACGCTTCGACAAAAAACACGGTCCTGAGACAAATCGGTACAAACCACGTCTCGCAACAGTTGTTATTATCATTGCCTGAAGAATTGGTTGCAAAATCTTGGGAAAATGCTTCTCGAGAAGATGCTCCTTTAACTGCCTCGGAGCAAATCAGCAATAACATTTCGGAACAACAGCAATTGGAACACACTAGACGTGGCCAACAACTCGTTTCCCAAACTGGCGGTACCTCACATACCCTTTCTTTCAAAATATCAAGTGGAGAACCTATTCCAACGCTTCTAGAAAAAAACAATCTTGTCATCTTCACAATTGATCTCACCAAAGAGCAAGTGGAAGTAAAGGAAACTAGACAGGTATCCCAGACATCCGAACTCGTATCCCATCTCAACAGCGAACATCCCACGTACAACGTTTACAAAAATCAGGGAAAGTTATATTTTATCTATAGCTGCCCCTCTGGTAGCAAAGTGAAAGAACGTATGTTGTACGCTTCCAACAAGACCGGATTTATCGAACATCTGACCGAAGTGGACAAGTTGAAGCTTGAGTCTGTCTCAGAAATCGGAGATTCCTCCGAGCTGGACCTATCAAAACTAGATCACGCGGAGTCCGCAGTGCAGGACACTTCAAACTCAGCGTCCAGTCAACTCAAATTTAACAGACCAAAGAGGCCCGGTAGAAGAGCTTGAAGTTTTGAAACTTCCTCTTCATACACCTCTTTTCATAAATTTTTATTTCATCAAAAGATATCTATACAGGACGCGCTCACGTTCCCGTGCAAAGTCTAGACAGCTCTTCTCGAATCAGAACTTGAGCTTCGTCGTCGTAGTTAATAGCATGGGGGCAATATCTGTAACCAGACATTCGATAAAGCCTCCGTGACACGGTCTTATTAATATCCGTAAACTGTTTTTTGTCGATTGCCTTACAGCCAGAGGAAACCTCTTCGTAATGAGAGTGCAAAGCTCTTCGAACATGATTTTGTATGCTTCTTTTGTGGTCTGCGATGGCCTGCACCTGTACTTCCGTTCGTAACTGTGATAACAACATCCATGACTCATCTAACTCAGATCTATTCCTGCTGGATGCAGCTTGTAAAGCCACCTGAGTTCGTGCGTGTGGCAGAACCAGAGCCTGGATAGTTTCACCTCGGACACTAATATCCTGGCCAGAGTTTAGGAAAGCCTGGTGGCAATTGCAACAGAACAAGCCGCTGCAGAAATCGCCTACCTCCACCTGCAATATTCGCAAACAGCGCTCATGAAATGCGGTATGGCAAACAGTGCAATGATGATCGATATCCGAGTTGAGAGCTCCACAAATTCCGCATTCCATTGACCGCAAAGTCCAGCTTTGTCTACGGTCTTCTTCCGATCCAAGTGTCAAGCCACTTAGCCCTTCGACAACCTCGGAAATGACCCGATTTGCACTAAAGTACTTCTCAATGTCCACTACTACATTTGAAACTATCTGCTTCAAATATCGCGACTCTCTACGGCACGTAGGGCACTTTAGATCTTGTGATTGCTGGTGCCATTTCCTGATGCATTCGAAGTGGTATGCATGGCCACATTCTACCAAACAAGCTCTAGTTTCGTCCAGTTGTTCCAGACAAATTGGACACTCGTCGCGACTCATTGGAGCACCGCCAGATGAGCTGGTATCCCCGTGGTATTCGAAAGTGTGCTGCCGATCTTGGACTTTTTAAAAAGATTCAAAGATAGATGAGCTTTCCTTATCATTTTGTACTAATTTGATGATCATCGACTGATGCATATAAGCTTCACAGCTGAACTGGTAGAGGTACGACACTCTTTGGTGGTATATTTACCGTCAAGCTTACCAGGACGACTCTAAAACCAACTGAAAGTGATGTCTCGCCATCAAATTGATCTTGTTATGTGTTTTAAACAGCCGGGAACACATGTGGGTCGACTGTGCGAAAAATGTGATGGGCGATGCCCTATATGCGATTCGTACGTGAGACCCAAAAATAAGGTGCGGATCTGCGATCAGTGTGCGTTCGGTGCCAATCACAAGAAATGTATTATTTGTGGACAAATGGGTTCTTCTGATGCGTACTATTGTTGGGAATGTTGCAAACTCGAGAAGAACAAGGACGGCTGTCCGAAGATTCTGAACGTAGGAAGTAACAGAACTGACAAGCATTTCGAGCGCAAAGACCAGCACGATTGAGCTTGGAAGGGAGCTTCTTCCTTTTCAGCATTGCATATGTTTCTCGGATTCGCAAGTGATATCCAAAGCTGAATTTTCGGAGCTATCGCAGGGTTCCAGCGTCTCGCTGAAAATGAAAGTCGCATCCATGGAATCGTCGTGGCTGCCTTCTAAGACTTCGTCTTTTGCAGCAGCACCAACAAGCTTCAATATTTCCGAAAGCTTGTCGCTTCTAAGGGCCTCATATTTCAGCCAGCCAAAACGTCTTTCCAACTGCGCTAAGTAATCCGCCATAGAAGACCGGATCTTGGAATTCACCGGTACGGTGTTGTTCACAAGATCAATCAACGTCTTCATATCTATGAACTTATTCTCGCGAGCCAAGCGATTGCGTTCAAATTTCTCGAGCTTCTCGACCGGGCTAACCTTCGGTATGCTTGTCATCGTGTCTGAAATGGTTTCCAAAGAAACGGAACAGCTGTCAATTGCTGCAGCGGTGTTGATCGCGTCAATCCAGTTGTCGCGGTCTTGCTTGCTAGGACATGCGAAAACAAATATGTTGTTACTGCTGTGAAGGTTAATGTTATAGCCACTACCATGGGGCTCATCGGACCTGTTCCCGGCTTTTAAATTCTTACTTGGCTCATACTTCTCTGTGGCGAAAAGATTCGCACAATGGAAAATGTGAGCAGCTTGGGTAGATGCCGGCCAGTTAATGATGTAATTGGATATTTTCGTGGTTTCATCAATTTCTAGCTGCGGTTCCATCCAGTCTGCGTCATTGAAAAGAAGTAGGCATGCTGTTGTTAAAATTCCAAAAAAACGCTTGGAAACGAGCCTGTTGACGTTGCCGACAATGGAGAATTTACGATTGATCGACACCTCCTCAATAAATCCCATGTGGACAATTTTGAGATGCCTGAAGTTGTCTTCCTTCTCACTTGGAGCGATGTTCATGATGTTTGAACCCAAAATCAATTCAACTGAAGACTTTGGTAAACGTAAGTATCCTCCTTTAAGCTCTTGTATAATTGAAATATACTTCAATTGCTGTGAACTTCGTTTTTCCACCTCAACGGGTATGTCATACTCATCAGAGCAAGGTTTCCTTTGACATTTCAGTCGAACAGTTGGCAGGCTATTACTCATGATATGGAAGTAAACGTCAATAGCATCCCCCTTCGTTGTTGACGGACCCGCTGTTGAAACGCTGTTAGGCCAAGACTGCAGTAGCGGCGTTAAAACATTCTCATAGTTTGGAGTTGAAGAAGTCGTGCTCTCATACCGGCGGAGGCTACCATCTTGAATGATTTTTTTTGGTGAGTAAACAACTTCCACGTAGTCTGAGCTATCAGAATCAGCAGAGTATGAAGTCTTTGATTCTGAAAAATATGAAGTGTCAAACTGTGAGAACTCTCTAGCTGTAATGTTGTCGAAAAGATATTCGAGAATTTCTTTGGGCACAGGGGATCGGTCCTGTGTGGTATCGTCTCGCATCAATTTTACGAAGTCCTGCTTCGTCATTTTTATTTTATTGTTGGGATTGAATGCGTCCGTATGCAACATGAGTAAAGAGAAGGTAAGGAAAAATACTTCTTCGGCACTTTTCCAGTAGCAATTATCCCGATTCTGTTCGTAATAGACCTTACTGAATTCATCGAGAAGTCTATCAATTTGCTGACTTTCCCTGGGAAGCTCTAAGAACATAACCAATTTCCGAAGAGATATATCGAGTGGTTCCATACTGAAATCAAATTCTGTCTTCAAGAACAGGTGGAGACACGATCGCTTAAAATGGTTGTCCTCGGCCACCAGTATCGCTCCAATAAACTTTTCGTAAAAGGAAATGGTCCGGAGATATTCTTCTTCAATTTCATTATTCAAAGGTTCCGGAGCCTTTGGATAGTCCTCTAGGTTTTTTAGCACCCTCTGTGACGAACATCTACTGGAAACGCTGGTCGACCTCATCGTTACAAAACTGCTCAAAGCCGTCACTAAAAGGCTGCCTCTCCTTGAGCTCGAAAACGACTGCTTTGAGCCATTCTGCTGTTTTAAATTACTAGACGTCGCCGGTGGTGCCAAATAGCTCTTCGCGCCTCCTGTCGTTACCTCTGTGACTATATTGTCTTTTGATGCACTATTTGATCTGAATCTCTGTTTCCCTAGGCTTACTCTCAGAGGAACACCTTTATTCTCATAATCAGAAGCTCCAACTGTACGACTACGTTGACGGAATGAAGCAGAATCCGACAGAGCCACTTCAGTTTTTTCGGCATCATTGCTTTTGGAGATTATGCTAGTCTGACTTGCGATAAGACTTGACTGACAGTCAGCAGAGTTTGATCGCATCATCATCCTCCTCACTCTCGTTTGCTTTCCTCCACGCAGTGAAGATGCACCAGATGACGTTGTGTTTATTTTCGTAAGACTTCCTGAATGCCGACGATCACTGAAATAGCTTTCACGCTGCTTTCTCGGCGATCCTGCGTCTGAGCTTGAGTAGTTTTCGTATGTGACATTAATGACGGGGGATTTTCCAAGCGAATGAGTGCTTGCGCTAGGTGACTGAGCTAGACTGACATTCGACTTTTTGGATAGTATTCCTGGCAGCTCCGAGCCATCTTTGAATGAAGGATTAAGATCTTGTTGGTCCGTTCCTGCGCTTGAAACGCTAGACGAGGAGCGAAATTTCAAATCGGGAAAACTTGCTATACGTTTTTTTAGACCGCGCAATCTTACGCCTTTTACGTTTTTTGAAGAGCTCTCTGAGCTCTCTCTCGATGAATGTGAGCCCATAAGCAGTCCCGAAACAGAACGCTCTTCTTCTCTGATCGAATTGAGCGTGCTGGAGCTGTTGAGCTGCTTTTTAGACACTTGTGCCGGGGGTTCTGTAGCATTTTCAGACACAGCAGCACTCAATTCGGGCTGTTTTGGAGACCCAGAGTGAAAAAGCCCGTTTTTGAATAAACCTCGAAGAGCATACCCCATATTCACCGTTTATTGAGGGCTTCACGTTTGTGAGCTTCCACGCGGTCCTGGACTTGCAATTCGAGTGAGATACAACCAACGCTCAATGTTTTCTTGATTTAAAGGGTACCTTTCAAAAATCGCCAGCGACAGTGACTAGGAGCTCTCAGGAAAATTTGAGAATGAAGGCTAAGGATAAAGAATATCCGCACAAAAACCTGCTTAGTTGATGAACCTTAGTTCTGGGTTCACTACGACAGTAACTCTGTAATATCATATGGTAGCTAATCTAGATTACTGACAATCTCGTGATTCCGTGATACTCGGCGACACGAAAATAAACGACTGCCGTTAACGACACAAAATGTTTAACCAGAGAATACTGAGATTATCCATTTCAACTGGAGAGATTATCATGGCTTTAAGCTATTTTCTTGGGTTCAATCATAAACCAGATTTATCAATTTTGCTCTGCACACGCTGTCGTTAAATGTAAATACAACGATAATTTAATCTTTATGGAATTCTGTTCTTTAATACCAGCAAGTCCTCATTAACATATTTCTTTGCTAACAGAATGAGTCCTGAAAGTACTGGCACTTGATTTATACCTTTCACACTTTTTCTTCAGTTTTTAATTGTCTTTATACTACATTTCGGCACTTGGGCAAGCAGTATCATTCGTTATTCAGCAGATACATTTTGATTCACATATCTTCCTGATTTCACTAATAGGCTCGATTGCGACCCATTTTAAGGTTTAAAACAGGCCCATCATAAAAAAAGTGGTAAGTTGAGATATGCCATTTCCAAAAAATGAAAGATGATTTCGCCCAGGATCGAACTGGGGACGTTCTGCGTGTTAAGCAGATGCCATAACCGACTAGACCACGAAACCAACTGTTGAAATGCAATGAAATTGTGAAAAGATATATCTTGCATAACTTGTCACGGAAACCGTTAATTTTCTTTACTATTCCGGGCTTGGCTATATTCTTCTTCAGTCTAAACCCTTTCGTCAACATACCCAAATACCAAGACTTTCTGCTTGGTTCAAGCTGACAAGTTCTAGCTAGAGCCATGCAACTTCCTCTGAACCCCACGGAAGAGCATTATCTCAAAAGAGAACTTTTGAAACAGGAACTTACACGAGAAATTCAATGTCTAAATGATCCTGAGGCTCTTCGTAAGTTTGGGTTCCCTTTCACAAGCGAGGACCCCAAATTGTCGAGAAAGAAGTCTCATCGTTCCAAGTCCTCAAAATCAAATATCTCTGAGGCTTCATCAGCGACAAGCCTTTCAAGCACTGAGTACCCCCTCTTGAGCCATTTCTTACAGCATTTTGTCATGAAAATGCCATTGTTCTCGAGGGATATGATTGAAAAGGAGGAGTTGTGGCAGCAGAAAGTACAAGTCTTTTTTGAACATTTCATGCAATTGAATTTCAGCTCCAGTTTTGATCGTGAGGAGCTCACAAAACGGCGGAAACTTGGAATCAAACTTTCAAAAATCGTCCTTCTGATGTACAATTCAGGAATCGGGAGCGTGCAAGAACCGCAATACTTCGAACAAGACAAATTTAAGCTCAGCGATGGCATGGAGCCAAGTTTTCGCCAACAGAAGAATCTAGATCAATTCGTGATGCCCAGCAAAGAGACTCTCAAATTACTTCTTACTGAAGAGCCTTATTTCATAAACGGCTGGGACTTCAATGTAGTGGCAGTGGCTCCTTATTCTACGCTATATCCAGAACCACAGTCAAGGCCTAAATCACCAAAGGCTCCTCCTGCATCCTCGTCCGGCTGGATGAAGTCTGCGTTAGCTTTCGCGCCCACAGCTTTCTCGGCACCCACTAAGCTATTTTCCAAACTTTCACTTACAAACGAGTCCAGTGAAAAGCGCTACCATTTCGTTATCAAAGGAAGACAAGAAGGCTCGAATGAACCTTGGCACATTGTCAAAAATTACTCAGATTTCAAGCAGCTTTCATCTAATCTTAACAAGGAATTCCCTGGTAAGGAGCTTCCTAAACTACCGAATCGTAGTAAGGTCGGTCTCTCTACCACCAGTACAGCCAAAGCGTCCGATGCTTCGGATGGTGTCAGTGGGCCAGTAACCCCAAGAGAAAGAATTGTTACGAGCTTCGACAATAGCTCACCTGCTCCAGAAGATATTGCTTCTAATACTGAGGGCGAAGAATTTAATGATGGACCTGATGATTTTGACGAGTTTGAAGATGCTACTGAAACTATTACCAATCATCTTCCAAGGGAGAAAATGAGAACGTCACTCAGGAAGTTCTTACGCTCTATTGCCGAGGACAAAGAAACCGCCAAGAGCGTCTCCCTTCTGAAGTTTATCAACACAGGCAGGTGGAATGGTAGCCAGCTTCCGCTGCAAGTTGAACAAGATATAAAAAACAGAGAAACCGTGGATCTCGATAACTTACAGAATGAGGTCGCCTTTCAGAAGCTGGCTTTTGAACAGACTTTAGAACTGCAGACTGCTATGAAGGAGTTCAAAACATTGATCCTCAAAGACGATCAGTACCTTCTCAAATTGTTCAGGGAAATAAAGGAAAAAGACTCTGTAGCAGAGCTTTCACCAACGCTAAAAAGTTTCATGGGATGGTGTAGAATAAACTTGTCGGCCACAATCTACACTACTTTTCTCGGAAGTGATGGAGGCTACGAAATCTTCACGCAAGTGAAACGGCTGCATAAACTGCTTCCTTATACTGTTATGGTTCAAATACTCAAGATAGCCAACCCAATGGCCATGATGAAAGGAATGATGGATCTTTTCATGGCACGTCCTTTTGGAGGCAATTCTCTACTTCAGACAATGTTTTCATCTGTTCTCACTGACGATTTGAAGTCGCAATCTAAACTAGCAAAGGAATTTGAGGACTTGATTGGGAGCGAAAGCAAATATGGGCTCGAAATTACCCATATGCTTTCTACAACGATCTTTGATAACGAAACTAGCAGTTTTGTCGACTTGGAAGAAATTCACGATGAAGCTTCGAGCATGTCTATGCCTCTAGTTCTTGTTCTCATCATGAAATGGGGCGAAAAGGGTTATGTATCCCAGGATGCTCTTGCTGAAGTTCTGGAATCGTATGCTTCATGGAAAAATCGGAATACCGAGGATCGCGACTTGACCAAAATTGACTCTTCAGTCTCAATTGCTGATGTTCCAGGCCTCTATTTCTCCCACTTGAAGGGTCTTTTCCAAATATACATCCGGGAGCGAGACAAAAAGCTGATGAAGCAGGTGTGGCAAGATCCGGAACTGTCACAACTCCTTAAATCCATGGTTGCCCTTTTCTATGAGCCGTTGGTTCGCATCTTCCGCGTAGCGCGGGTAGATGTAGCATTCCGCAACTTTGAGAAATTTATGAACGATTTAGTTTCTCTACTCGATAATGTTATCAATGGACAGGAAACAGTGACAACGAGTTCCAGTATTGTGGACGCCATCAACAAACTAGTCGAAAAACACGAAGACTCTTTATTTCAGTTTATTCACGATATTTGTATCCATGATGAACAGAACACATTTGAGAACATGATAACCTATCTCACAACTATCGTCAACTTTTTACAAAAAAGCAAGTTTGGGGATGAAAAGGATCGCCTTGATTTGACTCAACTCGTTGATAAAAGTATCGAAAATGGTGTAGATGGTGTTAAAATGAAAGAGCAATTGCAGCATTTGGTTGACAGTAAAAAAGCGTCGCGCCAACTATATCAAAAGATTGTTGAGAGTCGATTATCAAAGAAGTCTAAGAGGGCACTGAATATAAAAGAAACCATGGATCAAAAATGGCAAGAATCAAACGATGCCGCCATGCCAAATGCGATAAGTGAAGTGGGGTTGCAAGATGGCGAACTGGTTGATCTCGACTTGGATGTAGGTGACTTCACGTTTTTGCAAGATAATGAAGAGGACGCTCTACAGCGCGATTATCAAAAAGTTCTTGAAAAGGCGATTGATGTAAGTGAAATCTCAAGGATGACGGAGGTCGCGTTCAAAGGTAAGTTGGTGGATTTACTAGGTCTATAGTACACAGTTTTTGTAGGGTTTCAGCGCATGCGTTCAGTTTTTCTGAGCTTTGATAACCTCTTTGAGGGCCGCAAAAGGGCTTTGCTGGAATTGCTTGTTTTTTAAAACGCTTTGAAATCTATCAATCTCCTTTCCAGTCAGTTGCTTAGCACCACGCTGATTGCGCATACTTGGTTCGTTTTTTCGTATTAAAACAGATCCGGCTTCTGCTTGTGGAATAGGTGCTCTTGATATCCTGGTAACTTTTTTTGCGGGTGGGGCCATCGAATCTTGTTCTTGCGCACTATTAGCCAAATCAGAAGTGGCATTTTCCACGCCATCTTGTTCGAGTGAGACTAGCAAATCTTCCATTCGTGGTTTAAGTTGGTCCCTGGTTTTCCGCTTCCGACGTCTCAAAGCAGACTTTGATATAGAACCGCTCAAAGCGGAATTGTCATGTAACTTCGAGAGGAAAGACTGAGATTTGTTGAGAATTTTATCCTTCTTGGATTCACGGGCCTGATGCAAGAAAGCCTTTGGATCTTCGGGAAGATTCACTTGTTCAACAGTTCCATTATCATCATTTTCGTCTTTCGCGTGGCCAAGCCGAAGCGCAGCTTTGGCCCGTAACTGACTTCTCTTTTTCGCTACCATTCTGTACTAACAGTCTTCAAGCTAATGTGAGCTTCGAGAGCGAAAAGGAGGATGTTGTAGCACGTCTTTTGATTTCTATCATAGGTGATGAGATGAGATGCGATGAGATGAGGTGTGGTACTAATTTGACTGAAAAATTTCCTGTGATCCAAAAGCTAATATGTGTAGATAGAAACACTGACACTTGGATTTAGATGATGAAAAGAGGTCTTAAAGACAGGTTGTGATAATTTGGTAAGTATTTCAAGATCCAGTGAACTTTTTGGGATTTTTCCGGATGAAAAAGGTGCCATTTTGGTCCAAAAAGGTTGGTTTTTGGTCTAATGATTCACTCGATGAAAAAGAGTTTTGTAATCTATTCAGAGTCTGGCTTGTCAAATTCAAGTGATTCCATTTGAGATCTCAGATTGTTTGAAGTAGTTTCCTTTAGTTCGAGCAAGAGTTCAGTCTTTCAAGTCGAAAAACGAAGCTGGAACAATAAGATTAGGGAAGAAGCACCGCGGAGATTTGGTAAGTATTATGTGTTTTAAGGTTCCACTTGTGTAGATACATTATTGACGCCTTTGCATTGTCTGAGAGAACTGATGTGTTTTGTCTTAAAATAGCATGTAGACCGCCTCATATAAAGAACTGGCAAAACCTAGATACACGGATATGCTGCCAGCCGTTGTTAGGAGAAGCAAAATGCGACGCACAAGGCATTTCATATTGTTTTTAGATGCAGCGTCAGATTGATTACCAGGTGATCGGAATTACGCAATGCCGTCCATGATAGCGACAGAATTTGGAGAGTCAAGAAACTTGGACAAACAGCACTTTCGCCAAATCAGCGCTAAAAGCTCTGAGCATGGGGAAATTTTGTCCTTGAAAGTCCAGAGACCCAATTGATGTCTAGCAGTGAGTTCTTCACTCTATCTTTAAACGTCGTAATGAAACCTTCTATGGTCACGTGTCCAATTGATAAAGCTAACAGAAGACTTACAGAACTCTCCGAGCGCCACCTGAGTTATCCACACTGTTAAGTTGTAGTATCTTCATATTTTCTCACCTTCATGTCTTCCATTCGGGACTTAACATATCCTCTGACACTATTCGACCATTGATATCGAAAGTTGAAACTCAAAGTGTAGCATAACGTTTGAATATAAAATATTCCCCAAAACAACTAATATGCTCCTAGAGTCCTCATATAGCTCTTACACAACACTTCACCCGGATGATGTGTTGAAATCCTTCAATTTTCTCTCACTGTCGCACGACTCATTAATACAAAAGTGATCAAAAAGTAGCACCTCATTCTTACAATTCACGTCACCAAACTCCACCCTCCCAAAAAACGTTTTCAAGAGCCGAAAATCCACCATCCACTTGAATTGGACCTCGGTATTTACCACGCATTATTCTATCAACGGTTAACTCCATAAATTCACTCACCAAGTGTCGAACAGTCAAATTTACCAAAACTTATCCAAAAATTTCTGCTGAAATTCGTGGAGACACTCTTTCGACTCCGACTCCCGCCATTTGCCTCATATTATTCAACTTGTGAGACCCAGCTTTGTCAAAACTTTAGTATACCCACCTTTAAACTGACACTGGTGTCAGCTCATCACTGGCTCAATATTGAAAAATTTTAGATATCAAGATACATAGAAAACTTAAGTCCTAACCTGTTCTTAAAATCAGGACAACTCTCCAATCCATCATTGAAAGCCCTCATTAGCGATGTCTGAGCAATCTGGAACTTTTCAAAGAGTGTTGGCCATCACCAGTGTTACTGCTGTTGCGGCATTGGCCGGCTACGCTGTGTACTTTGACCATCAGAGAAGAAACAACCCAAGCTTTCGCAAGAGTTTGAAGCGTAAGCTCAAGAAACACGCAGAAGAAGAAAAACAGGAGAAGGAAAGAGCCAAGCAATTGAAACTAGCGCAAGTGGGCGAATATTTGAGTGCCGAATTGGCCAAAGATCCGGTATCAACCGATCCAGCGCAAAGAGAGACCGTTTTTACGACAAACGTGGAGTTGGGTGAAAAGCTGGCCAGTGTGCCAGGAAACGAACTAGAGGCTGCTTCCAAGTTCTACAAGGCATTGAGCGTTTACCCCAATCCTGCAGACTTGTTGGGCATCTACCAAAGAAGCGTTCCAGAGGCCGTGTATGAGTACATTGTTTTGATGATCGCTATTATGCCACCAGTCAATGTGTCGACTTTTCTAAGTGGCAGTGCTCAAGGAGGTCCTGCTGCTATGGCACAGGCCGTTTCTGGCAATGCTGAGGGTAAGGTGGGTGAGATCGACGAATAATGCGGTTTTTCGTCGCCCATGCGACATGCATAATGAGATTTTTAAACCTTCTAACCTTCCTGACCCTCGCCCCCCCCCCCCATTCTATGATTTCTTCGTACCCTATCTCTCTCCATCTTTCATGGACACAGCACCCTCTATGATAACTAATAGGGCCTGTGCTTCACCATCATTATTCGTCTTCATGTGTTCATAATTCTTTTTTGACTGTATATATATATAGCGGTGTAACCTTCAAGAATGGAGCTGCTGCTACTGCAACATGTTTGTTCTCGAGACCCTGCTAATAAAGACACTGCCAAAGATTGTGGTTGTGATGAGTGGTAACAATCATTTTGGAACAAATCTGATAAGGCCTCTAGTCAAGAAAACTCCGTACGCGAGCATGGCCACGACGTTTGTGGTGTGGAAAAACAAACTCAAGCCATGGGACTTGCCAAATTCTTTTCTCAATGGCTGGTCTTGAGCTTCTAATTCCTCGCCTTGAAGCGTATCAGCAAGACGATGTCTAGCCTCCTTGACTCTGCGAGTCCAGGGCAAAAGCCAAAACAAATTCAAGCATCCACTTAGAGATGCTGATGCTAGTGCCACCAATGAACCCGTATGCAAAGGCATAGGTGCTGTCAATCCCAAAAGCAGGGGAGAAAACGCTTGCAATTGGAAAAAAATGGGGAAAACCTTGTTTTGCAGTTCCGAAAAACTGTCTCTTGGCAAATGCTTGAAAGCAAGTGGAGAGGCTACATACGAATAAAAAGTTGTTCCGCCAAAGCTGTGGGATAATTTTAGTTAGTTTAAATTCGCTACAGCAGAGGGGTCATGGATTTCGAGGTAACTTACGCAAATGAATAGATGATCAAGTTGAAAGTGGGTCTCAAGTAGTACATCTTGAGGCTTGAAAGGCTAAAAAGCAGGAGGATACTGGAGATAGGTTGATTGCTGGCCTGTGCGATGAGATCCGGTAGATTTAGGCTAATATATATATAGAGAGGTAATTCAATTATCGGAATCATTGCAAACGGAAACCTATAGTAAAGATAATGTGACAAGGTATGCCTTTTAGGAGGAGGATTCACCAGTAAAGCTTAGTTATTAACCTTCCGAACGTTGGTTTTCAAGGAGAAAAAGCCATCTAAAGCGTTTTTCTCTTTCCTGGTGCTTGGATCGTCAAAAATCAATGTATTTGGAAATTTACCATCTCGGACGCTTGGAGACTTGGAATGGGCAGGATTACTTCGCGATTTCCATTGGTTTTTTTTTTGACACAACTCAAGAGCTCTCGTAAAAGCTTCGGCCTGCTTAACATCAGGTTGCAGAACTTCTGATCACGTGATAAGACTACGGTATTCTCGAGCTCTTTGCACCATAGCCTGATTTGCATCAAAATTCTATCTGTGTAGTGGACTATTGCATCACGCAAAATACGAATGTGCTCCTGGCCTTGTCCAAGATCTTTTGGGAGTTATACTTTTCGACTAGAGACTATATGATATATTGATCAGGCTAACGACAGTTTAGTCCAAAGTGATGTTTCTTTCTCAAGCTGAAAACGTTTATCATATCCGATCATCGCGGCACACCTTCATGAAATGTTTAGATCTTATCGTTAAAGAGGTTTCTTATGTGTATCAATTTCGATTTCTTCTGTAATACAGAGGAGTTACCAGTAGATGGTTATGAAGAACTTCTTTATTCATTTTGAAAACGGGTTTCGCAAAGACGAGAGTACCTCTCGACTCAAATTCATCGAACTTTCATCTGCTTCAAATGATGTTAATAACTCAAGCTTCTAACATTGTTAACTCTTCTTATGTCTATCGCTAAATCAATGACAGTGATTATATGCACGTGATGAGGTGACAGCGACAGAATTTGACGTAAAAACCAAGAAACTTGAACAACTACGAATTTCGACCACTATGAAGCCAATAACACTAGATGGCATCGATTAACTAAATTTGGCTCATACAGTAGTTCAATTGGTCGTGATTTGCTTTTCACTCTAAATTCACTGTCTAAGCAGCTCTTCGATCATTGCTGCTCGTATAAACGTATATCGAAGGTCCTAAATTGCATGTTAAATTTTAACTCACCGTCAAGATACACATCAAAGGCATCAACATCAGTGTTAACTTCAGGTCCATAACCACGTCTTTGTCAGTCTAATAGCATCTCGTGTGCTCGCATCAACTGTGAGGAAATTTAGAGTCAAAACGAAACGGTATCGAAGATGGTGGTCAAAGCACTAAAACAATCATCTATTGCCAGAAATGGTGTTGGAGCATATATCTTCCCATGCAAAAAAATCGTACTGCAATTTTGCAATTGGGGTGGTTCATCGCAAGGAATGCGTAACTTTTTGAATAGTAAAAGATTAGATCTTCTAGCACGCAAATATCCAGACATCGAATTTAACATCATCAAGCAGTCCGGTCATCCGCTGGTAAGGGCTCACTACACTAACGGCAGGGAAAAGGTAATTTGTGTGAGAAACTTGAACATCGACAACGTCGAGAACAAGCTGAAAATGCTCAAGGACTCTTCAGGTGAAATTCTACATCATCGTGTTTCCAACGATTACGTAGAGTCTCTCAACTCAAGTGTTAGAGGCGTATGGTCGCCAATGCATGTTGATCCTTCCGTTAGACACAAGGTGTAGAACATCGAGGAACAAACCATATTCGGTATTTAGAAATGCATTATTTGTATATAGGAGGCGTGTAAATATAATTACAACAAGGAACGTAACGGCTGCTTTTGCTAAGCAGAACCTTTGTATTCTCGCAGAATCACTGGGACTGACGAAGGTGGTAGAGCACCAAATTCTGTGATGATCTTTTTGATGTACTCCGGCGGTGTCAGGTCGTACATGATGTTGAAAATGTTAAGTTTTGGAGATGTCTGCCAATCGGCGAGAATAGGCTTTTCGTCTTCATTTTCACTTTTGCTCGAAACGCTACTCTGGTTGACGCTCTTTCCGCCCTTCTTTTGGTCCTGAGATTGGGCAGCAAGCTCCAGCTCCCGTTCCTTGATGAACTGTTGCAGCAGGAAACCTTTGTTCCCGCGTCTCTCCACAGGATTTTTGGAATCGATAACCACTAGGTCATTAGGATCTGCTAATTCATTAGACGTGACACTATCCAGCTGAACCCTCTGTGAAAACTTCAAACTTTCGCAGCACACCAAAACAGGTATATTTCTTCTCTTAGCACTCATGGCCAGCATGGCGGTACCGACCCTAGAATACAAGAAACCATTGGACAAAATGGAATGCGCGCCAAGAAAAACGTAGTTGATGTGCATGTTAAAAACAGTTCCCAAACTTGTTGTAAGCACGTACATTACATTGAGCCCATGATTTCTCAGCTTTTCGGTCATTTTCCGACCTTCGAACAGGGGTCTCGAATCAACAATAATAACTTGGAAATTTTTGTTCAGCTTTGTGGCATTATGAATGAAGAGGTCGCATAAGACTTTCGAGCAACCGTAAGTTAAGATTGTCGATCCATTTGAAATATGTTGAGATGCATTTTCAATAATCAGTTGGTCTGCAAGCTCGATCTTCTCCTTAGCGAACTGAGTAATCTGTTCGCATAAGCCTTCCTTGGCATCGATATCTGGAGTGTTAATATCGATGAGAGAAATTTCCTGTTTGAGCCACCGGATTGCATTACCCATCGTTACACTCAAGGGTCTGGCCTTCTTCAAAAAGTCGATCTGATGAGATAGATAACTTGTGAGATTACGACTTAATGTTGTTCCTTCAGGCGTCTTGTAGTCTTTAATGGCGGTTTGAAATGCTTCCAACATCATCAAACAACGAGGTATGGACCCGATGATCTTATAGCCCGCAATATCCGACGTGAGTTGGGCTATAGCTGGATGGAGCAAAGCTCTGTTTGTAATCAACTCCTTGATTGAAGAGTTTAAATGAGGACTGCTTAGCGATTTCAGCAAGGTGTGTGGAATAACGGTAGAAGTTCCGGCCACCATTGAAGATTGATCTTCCACCGCCATTGTTGCCAACAGTTGTGCAAGATCAGCCGTAGATGGCTCTGCTGCGGTGGTCACGCTGTGAGAAGGTGGGTTGGTCGAAGCAGTGGCAGAAACAATGCCAGAAGATGTTGGAACATGGCCTCCACTCAGGGAGCTTGCAACGTGAGGAAGCATCAGTCCGGCAGCCGTGATTTTAGATGCCTGGCTCGAGCTGATTGCACTTGTCACGGCCAGCAGATATGCACGTCTTTCCTCGGTGGTTTCTAGATGGCCATAAAGTGTTGATTCCTTCACTAACGATGCTGGTGCTGCCAATTTACCCTTCTGACTGCCGTTTCCTGATTGCAGTTGATCTCTCTTGTCCTGTTTCTTTTCTCGTTTCTGCTGTGCCTGTTGCTGCTGTTTTTCTATCGAAATTCCACTAGCTTCTTTCTGAGCTGCTCTTTTGGCTGCCTTCTCCTTCTTTTTCAACTCCTTCAATTCTTTATTCGACAATTGGGTACCTGTAGTGCTTGAAGAGGATGGAGCGGTCTGCGATGAGGCACTGCCTGTACTGGATTGTTCATCGTCTTTCCCCCCGGAACCGGGCTTGACTGCTGTTTCTTCATTCATTTTAAATCCCGACTAGTATTCTGTACCAATAACACAAACGAAAGCTCCTTACAAAGGAGAATCAACTCGATTGCAGTTGTTTAACCATTCGATGACTTGATCAGAGGCACCTTTAAGTATGGTTAAATTGAAAAATTTTTGGTCAACCATACTATCACTGTTAGTACCAAGTGACATCAACACTTTTGGACATATGACACATCTTAATCTTGAAAGATTCCACTTGCAACGTTAGGTTGGCGGCCAACGCCACTGAGTTCACTTAATCCTTTCGTGGCTTAGTTTGTTTAGCCTCTCCTCTTTTTCTTGGCTTCAAAAACTCTCTTTTTTGGCCCGATTACTTGTAGCTCGGTAGTGGTTCATCTTCTGCGTAGGCCGGAGGATGAGCTTCCACGGTAACGGATTCGCAGAATACGTTGATGAAATCTGTCAGCACTTCAAACTGGAAAGTATCTCTTCCATTGAGCGTCATGGTCAAGAACAGTTGAAACTTGAATAACCGTCGAATATTACAGGAAACGAAGCTGTACAAACGGTTTCCTCTGTATCTGAAATCTTCTTCGTTGAAACAGAACTTGCCGAGGTCTGCGAGTTCTGCAATGTTAATCGGGCATTCCTGATGTCCATCTGAATTGGTGTAGCTCTGAGAAAGATCAATCTGAAGATCCCCAGCACCCTTTGCCAACCGCAGGCTATTCAAATTGGCATTTGACCGGCCGCCAGCTAGGTAGGTGGCAAACTCTATGAGATTCAGCTCTACACGAACTAAGCTGAGGCTCGAATCCTCAGGAAACGGCGAAGACATCAGTAGAAAAACATGGTCGAACTTATTGCATCCACTGAGAAACATGTCGTCCAGTCTGTACACGGAGCGCAACTGTCGGGATCTTACCTCTGTCCAAAGCCTCAAGTCTTCTTCCTTGAATGTCACGTCGTTTTTTGACACGAAGGTCATCACAGGAGCGCTGTTTTGGTTTTGCATAATGGTTTGCAGCTGTTTCTGTGCGGAGTTTGCCGGGATTAGCTCGAAATACTTTCTCATGGTGAGATTCGACACTCTGAATGCTCTGAACCAAGAGTCGTCGTTTCCCGTTAAGACCGCTGCTTCGACATAATACTCGACTTTCCCCAGAGAATAAAAGTACAGATCCAGATTTTGGACGTGTTGCGACTTTAGCGCGCTGTTGAAACTTGGCGGCAGTACAATCGTTTCCTCGTCTTTCAAATAAGTGTACACTTTTTTAGGATGTGTAGCAATGCATTGGGGAGTCACTGGAAGTTTAAACTCAAAGCCAAAGTTGTACTTCCCATGTTCAACTTTGAATGCTTTTTTAGGACTACTGATCGCAGTTTTGACATTTTGAGGTGGGAATACGGACACCTCGGATTTCAGAATCTTGTGGCAAGACTTTTCATCCTCTAAAGGCACTTGTAAGCTTGTTCTTGTTCCGTTTTTCGAATGTTCGCCGGGTCTTACTAGCGTTTCTGAATTCCCCACCAGGCTGATAACAATTTCTCGAATCGACAGAGGCTTGTCCAACTCCAAAACGAGCTCACCAGTCATTGTATCCTCGAGAGTATAGAATTCACCATTTCCTGGTGGATCTAGCTGCAATTTGAGCACTGGAACCATGGCTGGAAGTGTTTAAATGCTGTTTGAATGTGCAAGAAACGCTATCAGGTTAATTCACTTGATGCTTTCGTCTAACATAGAACAGAGAGAGAACACTTTCAGACTGTAGAGACTGTGGCAGGTACAGTTCAAGACGTCGACAACTGCTTGTTATTAGTAGTGTTGTGAGCCTCTTGACTGATCTGAACTATTGTAAGTTAGTTTGCAAGTGAGTATATGACAGCTTTTATCGTGAGGATTAATGTTTTTGAACCAATTTGATGTTTTCAAGAAAAAGTCCGGCTAACAGAGGAAAAGTTTCCACGCCTCAGTCCTGGAATTTATATATACAGGGTCTTTATACATTTTACTTTTCAGCAGCTGGATGAGGAGCGGCGTTTGCCACAGAAGTTGGTACAGTGGCCAAAGTCTTGGCATTGACGACATATTCTTCGTAAATGTCAGGACGCTTCAATTTCTTCATAATGGCTTTGTAGCTTCCCACAAAGTCAACAACAGGCGGAGTAAGGTTGCCATACTCTAGTAGACTGCGGGCCATGATATATCTGAATCTGTTCTCGCTCAAAAAAGAAGCGAGTTTTCCTTTTGACCATTGCTTAACATCTGCAGTGGGGAGAACAAGTGGTACTTCAGGAAGTCCTGGAAGAGGCACGTCAGGAGCAAAGCCCTGTTGTTTGGCAAGGGCGGCGACCAGATGGGAGGTGAGCCCACTTTCGTTGTTTTTGTCAGTGACTTGGTTCCATGCGGTGAGCAGCTTATTTTGCGCTGTTGCAGCATCAGAAAGGTTTCTGGCGTTGTTTCTATGCAGCTGACAGGTCACCACGGAGTTGAAGAAATGTTCTACATCGAAAATGGCACCGTTCTGAGCCTCCACGAAACGGGGACGCCACAGATACAGATGTTTGAGAAACGACGAAAGTTTCCCCAGCTTGAATGTCGATGCGAACAAAATGTTTTGAAGATGACTGGCGGTGAAATAGTGCCAGATCCCAGTTTTTCTGGTGGTCAATGACGTCCACTTGTGCAGAAGATCCAGCAGCTGTGAAGCCTCTTGTGCAGACCATATGTAGGTATTGAGTGTTTTACGACTGAGCGGTCTCACTGGTGCTCTGGGCTTCAATGGAGCATCCGAATCTGGGTCTTTCAAATCCAAAGTTAGAAGCATGTTACTATTGCGTGGTCTATAAATCCACGGTCTCAACGACGCCTGGGTAGCGTGATACTTGTAAAATTGGTCAAGCTTGGCATCTGCCTTTTGGAAAGTGGACGCACATCTTCTAGAGCTAAACTTGAGCATTGTGCGTTTCCCACAATGTGTTCTTGATACACACACACGCACAATAACACACGATGCTTGAGTTCCAAGAGATGATCCGATGCCTCTTCACCTAGATGCTGGTTAGATTTGGTCTCAATTTTCCAAAACTTAGAGATAGTTTGGTCACGTTAAACGGCAACCCGACGTTAAAAATCACTTTCTCGAGAAAAGAACGGTTTGATCCTAGAAATTGAGCTTATGGTGATGTGATGATCTCTACGCTGACTCGGCTCTTCAAACTTTCAATTGTCGCTGACTTACCTTTCACGTAGAATTTAGAATATTCAAAAACCACGTGATACCTAAACAATTCAAGCACCTTGTACGAGGATAGCTCATCTCATCTCATCACTATAGGAAAAGGTAGAATAGCTACAATGCATAGGTAAAAACCTCCGTCAGGGCCCACTAGCTGCGAATTATTTGGCTTTGAGATGGACGGAATAGTAGATTGGCTTCCCTACGTAGACAGTGCACCTCCAAGTCTACGACAGCACATCGAGACCCTTGTTGAAAAAGAGCTCCTAGATGCTGACCTGAAAGTTATGCATCCCGGGGTCGAAAGTCTGCTTGGCACTGTGCCGGTGTCCAAATACGCGACACAGGCTACTTCTCATGCTACTAAAAGGGAACAAGATGCTCAAGACCAAAAAAGAAGTGCCAAAAAACCGTGTTTGGGAATCGATAAAACGAGGTTTGACGTTCAAGGTTGCAATACAGCAGACCAACGAGCTGTGTTAGAGTCATATTGGAGCCACGAGGAAAGCGTGCTGACCGAAATACTCCAGCGAACCTTGGGCAGACAGTGGGTAACAAATAACGAATACATGGAAGGCGTGCGAGACGCGCTGAAAGAAATTTCTGATTCTCAGGATAGGAACCTTCAGGATCTTGAAAATCATAGAAAAATGATACAATCGGAAGCTCAGCGGGATCTGGCCTACATGGATGAACGGTGGAAAGAAGCGCTGCTGCGCAACGTAGAAAGCGCGCTCAGCAACGCACAATGAGAGAACTGGTTTAATCTTTTAACAGTGCAAGTTTAGAATTAATAGCATACAAAAAAAATATTGGTTTTTTATACACTCAAATAATAGCTGCTTCTCCCATGATGAGAACGCGCTTATTTGTCGACAACCTCGGCGTCGTATCTCTGCTTGAACCAGGCGACGGTGTCCTCCTTGGAGGTCTTGTGGTTGTTACCGACAACGGCTCTGCATCTCTTTCTTCTGGTAATTCTGTTACCTGGTCTGCCAATGACGACGTAGAAGTCCATACCGTAAATACCGATATTAGGGTCGTACTTGATACCCAAGTCGATGTGTTCTTGGATACCGAAACCGAAGTTACCGGTCTCAGAGAAGTTTCTGTCTCTCAATTGGTATTCCTTGACCTTTAGACCTCTTTCCAAGATTTCCTCGGCCTTTGGACCTCTGACGGTGACGTGGACGGCGATCTTTTCGTTTCTTCTGATACCGAAGGTTCTGACGGTGTAACGAGCCTTGGAGTGGACTGGGGTTTGACCGGACAACTGTTCCAAGACCTTGGAGGCTCTGGTCAATCTGTCACCAGATTCACCGACCGAGATGTTCAACACCAACTTCTCGATCTTCAACTCACGCATAGGGTTCTGGGTCTTAGCAGACATTTTTGGCAGCGGTTATCGGGGTTTTGAGGAACTATTCAAAAGACGTGTCGATCCAGAAATGTTTAATTCACTGTTTTAGAGTGAGTTTGTAGGTCAGGTAGGTCCATCGCTGCTGGGCACTGGGACTGCGACCAATAATTTTTCAGGAACAAAAAAGTTTGCGTGGGTTGAGACAACTCGTGAGGAGTGATGATAGGGCCAAGTGTCACATAAATATCAACGACACGAAATGATGTGCTTGAATTTCTTGACTATAGAATAGTAGTGTGCGACTTTAGCTATGGAATATTTAGTGTTCGTGTGACTGGTGTGAAATGGTGCTTTTTTGTAATGGGGTATGACTGAGGTGTCACATAGGTGTTATTTTTCTGCCCGGACGGGGACGTTTGCCAGGACCGACAGTAAAACAAAATTGCATTTCGAATTGGAACGGCAGAGAACGCGGCGGGGGGAAACAGAGAAAAGAGGGCGATTGCGGATGGATTGGATTTGCTGTGTAAAAAACAATTGATCGAATAAGATATGCATTGGAGACTACCCACATCACCCTGACACGAACGTGTCGCGAGGCATGTGACTCTTTTGGAACAATGGCGACACTGGTCACATGGTCTTGATATATGGGATTCCAGGAATTTTATTTTTCGGATCCGTATTTTTTTTTTCAAACGGAAAAAAACATGGTCTGTGAAAATTCAGAACATGCATCCGTACACCAGGGAAAAGACAGTCACAAGAGAAGCTTTGGGAGTCAAAGAGTGAGTACGATAGAAGATCGATGATGACAAGCTCATATAGCATATAGAAATATAAGGAACGTGTAGTAATTGTGGAGAATCATCGGTAGCGGGTCAAGCACGCGAAATTATCCTCACTGGTGAAATTAACAGGCTTTCAGCTTCTAGATAGATGTCTAATCAAGAAGGCACGTGACCCATGCATTTTGGCTCATGAATGAAATGCGTTTCGCAAGTTCGATGTAAAATTGACAGCTTTTCGATACTGGTGTGTGCGTGTGTATGCGCGAGTTGATGAAAGCTTCTCATGGGACGCCCGTGTCTATTTTGCAAAGTTCTGGCACGTGACCCCGCCTCGCTCGTGTCAGAATAAGTACAAAGTGATACATCCATCAACGTCTGTCACCATTAGACACTCCTGGCGTTAAGACAAATACAGCACACTGTGTCGAATGTTATCAAAGAACTGCCAAATTTCACAGCTTTACACACCCTCAAACACTCACTTCTCATCCGCCATGTGAAAATCAATACACTGACACCCGCGTTTTTTGCCGTTTTACTCACCCATCCTCCAACATCCGTCCTAAACTAATTGTATGTATTATCGCACGCTTAACGCTACACCGCTGCTCCACACTGGTATCCCTCACTGCTGTCCCTCACTACTGTCTTATCCAACGTCTCTATCGCGCTGTACTCGTGCGTATCGTCATGTACTCGTTTCTATCTCGCTTCACCGCCACATTTCATATTTTTTCCACCTATTAATGAAAAATACCCAACATCGTTAAGCTTCAACCCACCTGTCTACAACTCAGTTTGATCTTGATTTCAAGCACAATCCATCCGTAAACGTCCCAAGACACCTCCAAAATGAACCCACAGATCACCAATCTCGCCATCATGCTTGTCATGATGCAAGTGTCGCGCCGTATCGATTTGGAAGACCCCAGTATCCTGCTTTACGTACGTATTGCGTACTGCTCCAGTGTGGCGGTGGCGTGGATCGTCTACCAACTAGCCAGAGCCCGGATCGTCAAGAAGAACGACCTCACCACGCTGAAGTTCGTGGCTCCAGCCAACACCATGGCTGGCGAATCTGAGGGCAAATTGCAGGTCACAACCGTCAGAGACTACGACTTGAAAGAACTTGACTCGGCCATCAAATCGATTTACACCGGTCTGGCAATGATGGGATTCATGCACTTGTACATGAAGTACACTAACCCATTGCTAATGCAATCGATCTCGCCCGTCAAGTCTGCTCTCGAGCACAACGAGGTCAAAATCCATCTGTTCGGCAAACCCGCCACAGGCGACCTAAAGAGACCCTTCACGGCCCCTTCGCTCTTCGGAGGCTTTGGTGCTGCTCCAGCCGCCAAGACAGACAAGAAATCCATCGAGGAGGCCGAAACTGCCGGTAAAGGTGGCGTTAAAGCTGAATAGACTGGTTTGGGTATGGATTTTTGACAAGCTGGCCTCGTACAGCGTGATTAGCAACAGCTACGCTCATCTCTCATCTATCTTAAATTTATAAAATATAGCCAAGTTATCTCTCGTTTTTTTACTGTCATCGGCCAGATCATCGCCTTCTCAGTGCTTTTTGGCCGTTTTGATGGCTGACCCGGCTACCTCCGTGCTGGTGCTGGGCGCTGGCGGACTTGGATGCGAAATCCTAAAGAATTTGGCGTTCCAGGGCGTTCCAACAATCCATGTCGTCGACATGGACATTATCGAGCTGTCAAACCTGAACCGCCAGTTCTTGTTCGAAGAAAAAGACATTGGACAGCCCAAGGCAGTGATAGCAGCCCGGTATATTAACGAGAAACATCTTATTGGTCTTGGAGACCGTCCCGTGTGCGTGACAGCACATTTCCAAGATTTGACACTTCTCAGTGATTCGTTTCTGTCGCAATTCACCTTGATCGTTTCAGGGCTGGATTCCATACAGGCACGCAGAGCGATCAATTCCCGGCTTGTGCGCCTCACGTTCGATTCCGGCTACGAAAAATGCATTCCGTTAATCGACGGAGGCAGTGACGGGCTGCAGGGCCATTGCAAAGTGATCATTCCCGGGTTTGCAGCATGTTATGAATGCTCACTGGCCACTTTGCCTCCAGAAAATGAGTCCTATCCATTGTGCACAGTGGCCAACAACCCAAGACTGCCCGAGCACGTGATCGAGTACTTACTCACTGTACAATGGGCTCAAGAGCATCCAGATCGGAGTTTCGACTACTCCGTTGATGAACATTTCCAGTGGCTTTTGAATCGGTCGTTGGAGCGAGCTGCCCTATTCAAAATCGACACTTCCAAATTTACGGCCTCGTTCGTGCTGGGTGTGGTAAAAAACATCGTTCCCAGCGTGGCCAGCACGAACGCGATCATCGCCGCTCAGTGCTGCAACGAGGTGTCCAAACTCATGTACAACGACTACGACATAGAGACCTCGAACAATTTCATGGTGTACAACGGACAAGACGGATGTTTCACGTACGCTTTCGTTCACGAACGCCGTCCCGATTGTCTGGTGTGCGGGGAATTGACCTGAGAGCGCTGTTCAAGATTTACAGAGGTCTCATCGAGTCTGAATCATGATCAATTATTCTCCAAAGCTAAAATCTCGATTCACAAGTTCTTCGGAGTTTCCACCAATTTTGATAACTGGTATGCCAAGAACGACATTAGAGACTCACCGAGACCGACAGATCTATTCTACTACGACTGTCTTAAATTAGTAGACCATTAGACGACATTAGCTCATGATCCGAGTTGTCGATCGAAAGTCTTTGGAAACAAGAAACAAGATATCAGAAAGAAGTGCAAAGCAGCGATTCCAGACGGATAATCCAACTTCCTACACTCACTACCACACACTAAATGAGACTCACTAAACAAGACTCATAACGCTCTAGTCGTGTGAACGTCGTTGTTTCTCTCAGACGTCGTTAATGACGTTCCATTCTAGGTTTAGTAAGGCTATATAGTGCTATCAAAGTCATCATGTCACTAGCGATCCATTACGGTTTATGTAGAACTGCTGTCGTAATGTTGTATATTAGGCCAATGTTAAGGCATGCCAGTCCACTCGCAAGAAATGCCAAGCTTTGGCATGGCTTTGGTCTGCCTAGATTCAATTCCTCTGCTTCTCTAGATAACTTTGCATCACCTTCCAAGATCATCAACGCTCAAGACAATTTGAGCATAAATATCACTCAACGGGCGGCAAATAGGCTTGCAGAGATAGCCAAGGAATCCAACGAGGCTCTCCGGGTGTGTGTTGAGAGTGGAGGGTGTCACGGCTTCCAGTACAACTTAAAACTCATCAAAAAAGATGACATCAGGCTGAACGGGTCTTCTTCGAGTCCACAACCCACAAAGGCCACAGAAACCGACGAATTCGACCAGGATTTTGAAGAAAACGACGCGGAATTTGAATCTGACCAGGATACTGTATTTGAGCTTCCCAACAATGGAGGCCAAGTTGTGCTTGACGAGAAATCGCTCAAGATTCTCAACAACACAACCCTTACATATTCCACCGAGCTCATTGGCTCGACGTTCAAAATCATGGGTGGCAATATGAAGAACAGCTGCGGGTGTGGGAGCAGTTTTGACGTCGAACTGTGAAACGAGGCCTTTAACTAGGCCTATAGCTACATCAGTTTCCAAGTCTTTTGCATATTCGTTTGTCACGCACTTTTGTATGTTGCGTCATAGCGTCTTCACTCATGGATTCTTAGCAATAGCCTCTTGGTAATGAGCATTGAATAGGTTCAGCAATGGTCTAGCAAGCTTTTTTAAGACAGTGCCGTCACCGTCAAGAGTGCCGAGCGACCGTGAAGTCACAACCAGTCGATCCTGGATCCTTATTTCCGACAGGGGCAAGGCGTGGCACCGTATTCCGGTCTGAGATTGCAAATAGGGGAAAATGCAATTCGACAGCGCCTTTTCTGTGTTTTCACAAGTTTGCACCAATTCTTGTACATCGGCCTCTGCAAAGTCGAACTCTAGTCTTTTGAGATGATTACGCTGTGTTTGAGGCTGGTACAAGACCCGAACCCCTTTCGAACCCTGTTGAAGGACGCAATCTGCAATAGCGATCATCAATGAGTTTTGAAATTCCATTTTTTCCACGAAAGAGTCGGTGTGCTGGGCAATCCAGTTTCTTAATAGTATTCCGAGATCTTCGTCATCGGAAAGAAAACATGCTGGAAATTTGATTGTCTGGCTATTGCTGTCATCCTCATCATCCTCGGACTTTCCTGTATGTATGATCACTTCACCTCTATTCTTCGAAGTCAGCTCTATATGCCAACATTTCAATTGCGGATTGTCCGGTTTTGTGACTATTGGTGTAAAAGTCCTTCGGTCGAGCTCGTCAATAAAACTAAGCAATACTCGTTCGGAAATCAATTGAGTGACGAGCCAGCACTGCCAGTTCTGCCTTCTTACCATAACTGTCTTGACCTTTATGAGTTTCAAGAAATCTATATTCAGCTATACAAAACTCGACCTTATTTCATAGCCATCGACCGTACAGTGAAGAGAAGTCACCGACTTGATCTTCAAGCTTTCGATCTGGTTACGCACTCCACGTGATTATTAGCGATATCACAACAAGATGGGCCACCCGGTTCTACGTATTTGAATGGATATTCACTTGGCTGTTCCCGACCTTGAATTTGATGTCGCTGTCTATCGATATCGAAACCTTGATAAAATACGCGATGGTATTAAAATCGTGCGAAAAAAAATATGGATAATGTTGGTAGCTAGCTTGTGGGGAATATTTTAGGGTTAACAGTTCTGCAACGAGATATTTACCGCCTTGCTACATTAGGAAACTTGCACTGCTGACGCTTTGATTTGTTGTTAACGACAGAGTTCAAAGAGATCGAGGTGATGATTAGGAAAAGACGTCATTGATATTCCTATTGTGGCGAGAAGTACAAGAAGCATGAGCAGTATTAACTGCAGAAATCTCCAAGTTAGTTTCATCAGTCGAAAACGTCCCGCAACACTTATTTCTGCCGGCGAGAAGGATGTCAAGACTGCGTATGGCTGCGAAAATTGTTCTGTTTTATTTCGAAGCCATGCAGGGACGAATTCTTTAAGACGTCAACCATGGACTCTGCTACTTTGAGCTTCAAATTCAACAACTATGTGCTTACCATAGCGCAACCCACTGACGCCATCCAGGTATCCTAGGTTTAGGGTAGCTGTTCACTGACACCATTACCTTTAAGTTATCACTTTGTACTAACGTGTCGTCGTATATCGAACTCAGCTGGTTGAACCTATTGTGGGTAAGCAAAAGCTCTCAGCAGTTGTTTATGACTGGCATCGTCAATCATTTACTCAAATTGTATTTTAGAAACCTCAGCTGGACGTTGAGTATTGATGGTGGATATTTTGAGGTTTGATCCAATTCCTCAGGACATTTATAAAAACAGCAGGGCCATCAGGACTGCACCGGAGCTTCCACTAGCTCCAAAGCTCAATAATTTTCGCTCAACTGTTCCAGTTTCAGCTCTATCTCTCGCTTGACTCATGGACAACTGCAAGTGTCAGTGTCCAATGATTTTCAATTAATCTCTTGCTTTTCGTCAGCAACAACTCTCCAGAACTCGAAGTCTTTCAAGTTTGGTATCCCCAGAATCACAAAATTTTGCTTATTCCACTAGCATTCTTTTATACTATCGTTGAGCTCTTCAGACTGTTCTTTTCTGTCTGCAATCTCTTCATTTTTCAGTAGATCAAATAGTTATTAAGAATAAGGTTGTTAAATTAAACCCTCCTAACCACATTCAACTTCAATAGGTCCAAACTCCGCGATATGAGCGACTTCTGGGACCAAAATAAGGGCTCCATCAAGTCGGGACTAGCGACAGCTGGTAAAGTTGGGTACCAAGGTACCAAGTTCGTAGCCAAGACTGGCTACAAGGCTGGAAAACAGCATTACAACAATAGTCGAGGGATCACCACTTCTGAACGATCCGATAGTGATTCCAGCTCACTCAGAGAAGCCACGCCTGTATCTTCTTTACCAGATGTGTCAAATCTGCCTCCTCCGCCACTGAAGCCGGGACAAGCATCCTATCATGGGAAAAGGGAACTGGGCAACACTAATACTACAACTACAACTACAACTGCAACGACGGTGAGAATACCTCCAACAATGCCCCAACGAGCTGTTGTCCCCCAATCGCAGAGGATGTATCCAGAACCCATTCAAATGCGAGATAACAGCAATGCGCCTCAAGATCCAGTTTTTCAACCTTTGCAAGACCCTATTCCTCTACAATCGCCCATTCCTGTCAGTTCAAATGCTGCCATTCCTCCTACCAGTCAATTGGGTCAAAACCTATCGACCAATGTGCCAATTGCGGCCCATCCATCAACACAAATTCGACCCGGACTCCCAACTCGAGCCTCAACCACTAGAAGCAGTGTGCAAGCCTTACATCTTGATACAGCACCTTTAGTAAATGATGTATCAGGCACAACCTCTGCGGCTATTCCAGTGGCATCTGTGCCCGCTCAAATATCAGCTCCAGCGCAAGTTTCTACCCGGTCTACACCTTCGGTTCCAATCGCTACGTCCGCGCCAAATGTAGACCAGAATGTGTATCCTGCAGTGGGCCAACCAGATTCAGCACAAGTCCCAATTATACCACAAAGAAATTATTTCAGAGCACCAGCCGCGCTACCAATCACAACTTCTCAGCCACCGGCTATTGAACAAGTTGAAGTTTTACAGGATCCTAATTCCACACCTCCAGGAACTCTCGAAGAAGTAAAAAGTCCTTCTATTACAGTGCGTCCATATGAATGGAAGGATCCCGAGGAGAAGCGGGAACAAGCACTCAAAAATAAGTTAGCAGAGGTCGATATTTCGGCGCTGTCGCCACCACCTACACATCAAGATCGCTCGCCGGTTACATCTGGCTCCTCTTCACCTCGACAGACACTCAAGAGCCCTCTTTCAACAAAACCTCGGGCTTCAAGTATCTTAACTCAGCACTCCGGAAAATCGGCCAAAAGTGGAAGTAAACCTGAAGGAAACGAAGAAAGGCCGCTTGAGCGAGGAATTGCTGGAAATTACACCAACACGGGTGTGGTAAACTTTCCACCGCCACCAAAAGCATCAAGAACGGGCATGCAGCCTCGTAACACAGCTTCTAGTAAGCCTTCCACTCCACAAACGACAGGAGGACGACAATTGCCAAGAAAACCAACTGGACTACCTCCGAGATCAAACGTGCCTACTTCTGTGTCTCTGGAGAACTTGCCACCCATGCCAACAAAGTTGGAACCACAAGAGGCCCAGACATTTTTCCAACCTCCACCAAAGCCATTTAGAAAAGATACAAGAAACTCACCACAGCCACCTCCTGCACCACCACGCCGCAGTACACCGTCAACGAACCTTGATACAGATGAGACCAAATCTGTTCCACCGCCATATTCAGTAGTAGCAATACCTCCGCGGAATACGGTTGATGTTACCGCTAGAAACTCTCCAAAACCCAAGAAGGCTCCACCTCCTAAAAAGTCCCTTCCACAGCATCTGCAAAATATCAACAATGATACAATTACTTCAACGGTGACCGACGATGGCGAGAAAAAGCCTACCAAAATTCCACCGCAAAAACCTGCCCGTAAGAATATAGCAGCTCCTCCTCCAAAACCTACGAGAAAACCAAATCTGCCTTCTACCAACAGCAACGAAGAACCCATTGGCGATACAAATGGTCTTAACGCGGAACTCATGGCGAAGTTCAAGTCGAGGCAACCAACTGTCAGGCCGCAATTAGCCCAAGTTTCGACGTCGTCTTTTATCGCATCTGACAACATACGACCAGCGGCACCACCTATTCGAGCGGAGCAGTCTACAAATCCAGTGCCGGATCTTGACGACGGCAGCGAGAACCCATTCCAGCGGTACTTGAAAAATGTAGTTCCAATGGATGACGATAGACTACACAAAAGTTAATTGTAAGTTGGAAATAGCATTTATAAGATGACACACATTACAAAGATGAAAGACATCGGAAGGACATTAGGGAAGCAAAAAAGGACGACTCTGGAGGCAATTGACGCTTTAGTATATCCTCCATCCTCTTGATTAGAAAACGACAATTGGCGCCTCTGGTTTAAAGGAAAAGAAGACAAATAAAAATGACGGCCGTTATTACCCCTTCATTCAAACTCTCAACGACAAAAAGGGAAAATTACCTAAATTTTGCACACCTCCGTTTTGAAAAAACAGCAACACTGTTGTTTATTTCGACAAAAGCGCAGCAAATTGCTTGATATTTATTTCGCCCCTACCATCGCTCACTTCCCGCAGCATTTCGTCGACTTCGGCGTCCGTGAGCTTTTCACCGATCGACGTGAGCACATGCTTGAGCTCTGCAGCGGAGATCAGTCCGTCTCCATTTTTGTCAAACACTTTGAACGCTTCAAGCAGTTCCTGCTCGGAATCGTTCGACTTCAACTGGCGCGACATCAACGCCAAAAACTCGCTGAACTCGATCTTGTGGTTTCCGTTGACGTCGATCTCGTTCATCAGATCCGAAACCTCCGCCTCACTGGGTGATAGGCCCAAAGATCTCATCACAGTAGCCAATTCTGACGAAGAGATCGATCCATTGTTGTCCTTGTCAAAGAGCGCAAAGGCTTCCTTAAACTCGGCGATTTGTTCTTCGGTAAGATTTCCAGACATGCTAATTCGCGTGGTGCAGTCCAATTAGGTTCCAGATGGCCTGTTCGAACGGTCCGAGGGGCTCCGTGTAACGTTTTGGTTTGAATTGTGGATTTGGTAGAGTTTTGAACAGCTGTCAGCGACGACATTATATAGATATATATATATATTTAGACTCATTATTCGTGAATGATGATGAAATTTAAAAAAGGATCACGAGTACTTATGTACTCATAACAATTTGGTACTCGAGTACTCTTCAATGCTCAAATTTCAAGCTGTGTTAAGGTTAACTGACCGACAGGAGTTCAGCTTTAAACAGGACGGAGCTGGTGAATATAGAGACTTCACTGCACTTTGTAATGGTTCTGGAGTCAGTATCACCCTACGTTTGGTGGGGACTTGGCCTGTACATTTCTGTCCCGGTGCTTTTTTACGTAGTGGTGCCGTTTTTATTCTATGGAGACCGCGCGACCAAAAAACGCATTATCATCTGCGTTTTGGGCGACATAGGCCATTCTCCGCGTATGTGCTACCATGCACAGAGTTTCAGCAACCTTGGGTGGCAGGTTGAGCTTTGCGGGTACGTTTCGGACGAAAAAGCGCCCGCAGACATAGAATCCAATCCGAATATTACCATCCACGGTTTGACAAACTACAAGGCACCCGAGGGTCAATCGTTTGTGAAAACCGCGATTTGGAAAGTAGCAATTCAAATGGTATCGATCGTAAAAGTTTTATGGCGATTGAGGGGCAGTGACTATTTCCTTTTGCAAAATCCACCCAGCATCCCAATCCTGCCAATTGCGAGCATCTACTGCGTTTTATGCCGTTGCAAACTTATTATAGACTGGCACAATCTTGGGTTTTCGATCTTGCAGTTGAAACTAGGCTCTTTTTGGAACCCGTTGGTGCTAGTTTCGTTCCTCATAGAATATGCTTTCTCTAAGTTCGCAACCTATCATCTCACGGTCACTAACGCCATGAAAACATATCTGAGCGAAACTTTCGGACTTCCGTCCGGTCGTATTGAAGTTCTTTATGACAGACCTGCAGCTCAGTTTAGACCCCTAAAAGGAAATCGCACTGAGGCGTTGCAACAAGATTTCATTAGACAATACGTGCCTGCTGATTTCGATGTTAAGCAAAGCGATCGCATTCTCGTAACGTCGACTTCGTTCACGCCCGACGAAGACTTGGGCATTTTGATTGGCGCTTTAAAGATCTACGAAAACTCACATAAGAAGTTTGACCAAGCATTGCCGAGAATTCTGTGCTTCATTACCGGGAAAGGTCCTTTAAAGCAACAAATCGTCGAACAAGTTAAGGCTGAAAAATGGGATCGTGTTCACATCGAGTTCTTGTGGCTTTCTTCTGATGACTACCCAAAGCTTTTGCAATTATGCGATTTTGGCGTCTCTCTGCATACATCTAGTTCAGGCCTTGATCTGCCGATGAAAATCCTGGACATGTTTGGCTCAGGCCTTCCGGTGATTGCCTATAACTACCCAGTTTTGAATGAGCTAGTGCAACACAATGTCAATGGTCTGAAGTTTTTGGATAGAAGAGAGCTTCATGAAGCTCTAATTTTTGTTACCAAGGATAAACATGTAAGCGAAGTGCTCAAAACCGGTGCATTGACAGAATCCAGAAATAGATGGCAAAGCTCGTGGGAGAAATCCATGGAAAAGCTTTCGTTGATAAGACGTTAAAGAGGATCCTTCAGAGCGTTTTAAGCCGCGCTGTAAAATTGCACTAGTTTTTCAAGATCAGCGCTGGTATTGTCGTTCTTTAGAGAAGATGTACGGCACCCCTTGTTGTCATAGTACCAGAACTTGTAAAACTCTTCCTTATAGAATTCAAGAAATTCGTGGTCAGGAATTACGTCTTCATCTTTATCAAAGAGATTAGAGCCCTCATATGCGTTCGAAAATTCGGAAAGAACTTTCCACGTTAAAAACGTGTAGAATCTACTAACCAGTCTTTCATTGTAGCCACCGCCGCCTAGAAGAACTATGTTGGCGTTAGGAAAGCTACGCATTATCGTCAGGATGTTCTCAGCTAGGCCCTCGATTGTCAGCTGCCATTCACCATATTTGTCACCCATCAATCCATCTGCGCCGCATTGTATAATAACAACCTGTGGTTCGTGACTTTTCATACATGGCACAATAACTTTGTTGACAAGAACATTCAGGTCGTTGTCATCAAAGCCATGCAAGACTGGGAGATTGACCACATTCTTCCCTTGGCGAGCATCTTTCAGTGTTCCTGATCCGGGGAAGAATCCCGGCTCGAGTAAGTGCACGGATATGCTCTGAACATTGGCAGAATATTGAAAGGCACGTTCCACCCCATCTCCATGGTGCAAATCAAAATCTACATAGCTCAATGCCTTGATACCCAGTTTTCTCAACCTGATAATCAAGAGTGCAATGTCATTAATGTAACAAAATCCACTTGCCTTCGATCGAAGAGCATGGTGTCTGCCGCCATCCCAATTTATTGATATGGTACGTTTGCCCTGAGGAATTGCACGTTTTGCCAAAGCCAGTGTTGCGCCCGCTATGACTTGGCAGTACATGGGTAAGTATTCGAAAACATGACAATCGTGCGAAAGACCATATTTCAGTAGATTTTGAATTTTTCTTGGAGGACCATTGTTTTCATCATGTAATTCGTCTTGCGAAGATGGATCAAGTTGTATAGTCCCAGATCCATCAAAGCTGTTGTCCAAAAAGTACTTGTAAAGCGAGGCCCCGGAATCAAACCACGGCAATCTCTCTTCTGACAGTTCAGCATGCGCTTCAAGCCAATCGGTTGCTTGTGACGCAATTTTTGTAATGGTCTCATCGTCCACTGCATGAACGCTCCGTCCATGATCAAACCCTGAGCTTAACAATACTTCCAAATACTCCTTTGAATGGAATTGACGCAGTTCTGCGACTGAAGAGTGTGGCAATGCAAATACCTCGTCGAAATAGCTGAGAAGTCCATAGGAATTGAGCATACCGTAAAGAAGAGATGACTTTCCATTATTGTTGCACGGTAGAAGATCAGAGACCTGAGACTGAAAAGGCGATGCAGAGATGAAAAACTGCCCCATTTACGCCATAACCAGTGGTCTACAGTAGTCTTTCAAGCGTACAATTTAGCGAACTTTCTGTCTTTCAGTCAAGAGAATTCTTTTTACAGTGTTTGAGGTGAAGAGCAGTGAATTGTGAATATTTACTTACTAGACTTGAAATTATTTACTTCCAAATAAACATTGAATTTGCGCGTCACAGCTCTAATTCCTTGGCGGCCCAGGTTGGGAGAACGAACGAGGCTTCGTGAATTTGTTTGTTGTAGTAGCGGTACAATTCCACCTCTTTTTCGTCTGATTTCTCACGCAAAGGCTTTTTGACATCGACTTTAGCGTCTTTAGAGCACACCATGAACCCGATTTGACCAGATGGATAAGTAGGAATGGTGGTGTAGGCGTATTCTGCCACTGGGAAAACTTCTGAGCAGGCTTTCTTCAAATCTTTAATAATTGGCAAATGCAACCAGATGTTTTCGGCCTGAGTAGTGATGACACCGTTGCTGGTCAACGCACTGTTCAAAAGTTCAAAATAAGCTTTTTGAAAAAGAGTTTCAGCGGGACCCTCAGGGTCTGAAGAGTCGGTGATAATGACATCAAATGAGTTTTGGTAGTCTCTCAAAAATTGGAAACCATCGCCGATGTGGGTTTTGACCTTAGGATGAGAGTACGAAGCGGCCATATCTGGTAGATATTCTTTGGAGAGTCTTATGACAGCCTCGTCAATGTCACACAACCATGCTTCTTCCACACATTCGTGCTTGACAACTTCTCTGAGAACACCACCGTCACCTCCACCGATAACCAATACTCTCTTTGGGTTAGGGTGCGAATTCATGGCCAAATGGGTGATCATTTCCTGGTACGCAAATTCGTCTCTTTCAGTCGCCTGAATGACGTTATCCAAGACCAAAACATTGCCGTAATTAGTCGACTTGAATATCAAAACGTCCTGGTATTTAGACTTCTCATGGTGCAAGATTTTTTCAACTCTCAAAGTTATGGCTTGACCGGGCCACATGGTGTCAGAGATTTCTCTGAACCAGCCATCCTTGATGGTTGGATGCGTTAATTGAGCAGACATCTTAATTGAGTAAAAAAGACGTGGTATACGTGGATCTTTCAGTACTTGTTGAAGTTCAAGAAATTTGAGAGAAGATGAGATGATCTAAAATTTTGCAATCTTAATTAGTTGATATGGGCTTGTATAGAGATGAAAACATGATAAGCGAATAAGTAAAGGTGAAGCTTTCCGAAAGAGCTGAAAAGAGTGTCAGAATAACTCTCATTTATGCTTTACAATGCAGTTTAAGTTTGGAGAGTTTCGTGCGAGATTTGAGAAAAACCCATTGAAAAGTTAAAACAACGAGAAACTCCTGGCATCTATTCCTTGAAGGGTATTATAGTAATATCTAAGTACATTTTTGGGTCATTAGAGTTGAGTTGCGCATATTTTGTGGTTAATGCCAAGAACAAGGAACGCTTTGAGGTAGATGACAGGGTTTACATACCTTTCGTTCGTGGCGATTTAACCTGTCCTACGCGAGGTATCTAAAAGCTTGAGAACTATGAAAACGCATCATATGCTGGGATGTGTGTTTAAGACTCTGGTACGAATTCCACATGTTTCTCTTGCGCTTGCTTCGAATCGGTGCTAAAATGTCGAAATCTCTATCATCACGAAATGGCGACAGATTATATAAAAAGTGATATTTAACACACACTGCGAACCAGTAGTCGGCAATGGCGAAACAAGGAGGGAAGATGCTTGTTACGGCGTGTGATACACAGTTGAAGTGCCAATTACCATTCAATGCAAGCTCTTTTGAATTGTTTTTCCGACATTTTCCAGGTGGGAGGCATTTAACACCCAGAATCCTAACTAATGATGAGTTGGCTGGGTCAGTATAGCTTAAGATCTAGATAAATCGAAGCAGACAGTTTCATGCAATTGTTATGACGTACGACAACGTGTTAAGCATGAATTTATCTATACTAGCTCCGCACAATAAATTACAGTACCTTTTCGAAGCATTTTGACCAAAAAGAGCGTCAACAGCGAGCTGAAGTTTCCCAGTCAGTCTAAAAAATGTTCTTACCCACTCCTAATAGTACAGAACGTCCTTCTCCTTCACAAATTGTTCATTTTCGTTGACATTTTCTTGAACTCAACAACAAGCGTCACATCGAGCATAACATGCTCAAAATGGATCAAAAAATCCCTGGAAAAAGTGTCATATAACAACCTTAATTTTCATAATTGTTTAAAGGCCCTTGCAGTACCTCTAGACCTGTTAAAGCTAACCTTTTACTCCTATGAAGTCTGCTCATCACCGTTGACGTTACTTGTATGCTCATATATTGATCATTATCACTATCGGCCGTGTCAAAGACTGCCGCTCCAAATAAGACATCAAGCAAGCCAAGCCTCTTCTGCCATGAGCGATGCTTACGTCGAGACCCTTGGGCAGATGGTTTCTGTTCTTCAGGAATACAAGCCTGGCTTAGTTACTTTGGACAATGTCACTCGATTATGCAAGACATTACGGTTGGAATCTTTCACGGACAACATTGACAGCAACACAGTGCGTCTTTCTGCAGCATCAAATATCATTGTAATAGATATGGACTTTCTGAAAAACGAGAAACAGGTCAAGGACGTCAAACTGGTGCTTGCAAGTAACTTCGACAATTTCAACTATTTCAATGACGGTGACAATGGGAATATCTTATTCAATGCATTGAAGTGCTTTCCTGACTTACAAACGTTTTATTATAACCTGAAATTCTTATCGGTGCTGGACGCCCACTCTAGCGTCGAAACGGAAGCGTCCAGCTCTTCCAAAAGTGAAAAACTGGATCTTTTCAAATATTTCACTGAACTACCAGAACAACTGCGATCCTACTTCTCAGATACGTCTTTCAATGCAGAAATACGCACCAACGTCGATAACAGATTTGGGATTTATATTTGGAGTGAAGGAAAGCAAATCGCCAAAATTTCGATCGAGGAAAGCATTGGTGCAGACACTGATCGATTGTACGACTACCGTTATTCTGGTGGTACGTGGAATTGCGAAAGTCTTGATAACGTTGCTTCAGGCGTGATGTTAAGCTTGCAAGTTTGCGATTCTGATCTATACTTTCCCCAGGAGCTCATTTCTGAAGATTTAGTGCTGGATGCTGAGTACCAGAATTCGTTTTCCGTGGTAAACCACCAAAAATCGATTCATCTCTACAATGAGACAACCACTTCTTTCATACAGGCCTCAAAATTCAATATCAGCAACGATAAGATCGAACTCCTGGCGGAACTTCTCAAGTGGGTCGGTTGGTGGCAGAATGTGCTCTCCAAAGTGCTGCAAACCTTGAAATGTCCACAGCCTTCAATCGAGCCGAAAAGACGCACTTCTTCGAATTCCAACTTGATGGCATCGCGAAGGCGTGCAAGCACTACTCGCCGCCGCAGATCCTCTCAAATGGGTCACCGTCCCAGCCTGAACGAATCCAGTATGATGAAAGACGGTGGGCTACAGCAATTTACTTTGAACGAAGTGATGAGCCAAGCTGTCATCGAAGATGAGGAGCCTTCCGAGAAAACCGACCTTGTTTTAAATGAAGATTCTGTGACTCTCGGCAACGAGCGTTGTGATAACAGGATGGGGCTGCCAGAATGGGAAGCATTTATGCTCAAGTTCTCGGAAGCCGTTGTGTAGCGAAGAGGACGACAGCGTTATGAAAAAACGGCCTTCTTGCATGCATACATATAAATATATAAAAGGTTACTAGATCAGGGAACCTTCCACAGTCCTACCAGTCAGAGCTGATACTGTTGGGCGAGTCTAATACCTTGTGCCACGTTTTGCACACGCGCGTCTAGCTTGTAGCCCTGTTGAGCTAGTTTTTCCATTTCCACTGCGAAGGATTTCAATGGCACCGTGAAGCACTCAATGAACTCGTTTTCCTCGAGCTCAGTTTGCGGGTTTTGGTTCTCAGGAGCCGTAACATCGACTTCCACCGTTACCAGGGACAAGTTGGTGTTAGTGAAGCCCGGGTCATTGAAGATGATAGGTGTTTTACTGACAATCTTACCAGAATATCCCGTTTCTTCTTTCAGTTCGCGCAATGCTGCCACGTCGACCGATTCGTCTTTGTCGATCAAACCTGCAGGCATCTCGATACAAACACCCTCGACAGGTGGTCTGAACTGTTTTTGAAGTAAAATTTCCGGTTCTTTGCCCGGAGCTTTCAAAATTGCCAGAATTCCAACTCCGTCAATTCCACCACTGTTTCTGGTTAGTCTCACCGCACTATCCCATTGTCTCTTGTTTCCAGCTGGGTCTATGTACTCTAGTCTCTCTAGTCCTATCCACTTGCACTCATCTGCGTTCGACACCGAATATGACTTTAAAAACTTGGCATCTTCAGGTTTTCCCTTTGCACTCATTGTATATCTAAAGCTACGTCTTCCAATTGATACGAACGGTCTACACAGCCCTAAACTGATTGTAAATGCTGCTCTTGACATGTAAAACCCTATTGTCAAGTGTGAATGGTCAATAAGATTGAGATATCAACTTATAAAAGCTAACAAACACACTGCTCCAAAAACAAGAGATTCCATTCAAATCAGTCCAAGAACTAGCCATTGCCGGAACTTTGAGCCACTTGAAAAAGCCACCGGAACTTCAGTTGATGATGACTTCTGGAGACTCGAGCACAATTCAAGTTAAGGCTCAAATCCAGCAACATCTGGTCGAATCTGGAAACTACGAAATGTAGGTAAAATTGTACACACACACACATATATATACATACGAGTCGTGCATTCTGAAACGAAGGGGCAACAATACGATAATTATGTGGGTACAGTCCGCAGTTTCAGGCCGATCGTTTCACATTTATTAGTCTTACTAACAAGGATTGGTTTCTAACGCTAGAATCTCAAACAATTTGAGTCAAAGGCTGCTACAGGAAGGCTGGACCGATCAGGTCAAGAAATTAACGCAAGATGAAATCAGCAACGATTCAAGTGCTACGTTTACTCAGATTTTGTCGAAAGTCGAGCCCAAAGCAAGCGGTATGTTTCTACAGTGTTGAATGCAGGCTCTCAGCCTAACGTGGGATCGAAAATTTACTAACCATTCATATGTGTCTTTAGAACTTGTGTCTGAATCCACGAAACAAGAGATTCTCGCCAAAATCGAGGGATTCCTCGCAGAAATAGTCGACACCGAATAAAAAAAGACCTTACTGCGTTCGTTTCCCGTTCTTTAGTTTTTCATTTTTATAGTTACATCCACTACATCTCAATCGTCATAGTTTTCATCTTCTTCGACCTCGCGCACAGCTCTTTCGTTAACGGCAGGCTTCGAGTCGCCGTTCTGGCCGGATTCAGGCTCGTTGAGCAACGATTCTTGCTCTTCCTCTTTCCGTAGTTCGGCTTCTTCACGAAGTTTCTCAATTGCATCAGGACTCGCCTTAATAACGGTCTGATCTTCAGGCAACGGAGGATTGGCCTCAGGTTGCGACGCAGTAGTATCAGGTTGTGTCTGCTCGGACTCTGTAGTTCTATCAGTGATCTGAGTTTGAGAGTTTTCCTGTACTACTGGGGGTTCAGCAGTCGGGGCATCACCTTCAGGCTCTTTTGCAAGAGGCGCTGGGGCTTCCTCTGGCCCTTCTGAAGCGTTTGTGATTGGTGGTGCACCCGAACGACCTTGAGCCGAAATGGTCTCCTCATCGCCAACCACCGAGGGCGTTGGCACAGGTGTTTGTGCTGGTGTTTGTGCAGCGGCCTGAGTAGACGGCGCGGATTGTCCAGTAGCCCGTGTAGGCGTTTGCGTAGAGTCTTGATCTAAAACAGAAGCAACGGATACCGTCCTGGGTTTAGTGGAGGATTGTGGAGATTGATTGCGTGGTTGCTTGGAAGTAGAAGCGTTGCGCTTGTGTTTTTTCGGTTGTGAGCTTTCTGAGGCAATGGACGCTTTCCGACTTCCGACCGTGGTTGGAGTCACTGAAGAAGGCGTAGCCGCATTGGAAACAGCCGCATTCACAAGCGTGTCCATCCCCGCCTCTATAGGCCTCTTTTGAGGTAGAGTAGGAGCGGCAGCGGCAGTATGAACAGTTGGATTCATAATTTGAGGTAATGAACTAGGGTTCATAGAGCCTTTTACATCGCGGAATGGACTTAACGTGCTACCGACAGACGAAAGACCTGAAGGCTGGGGAACTTGCGGGTACTGATGCCGCAGGTGTGCTTGTGGATGTGAATGCACGGCTAATTGGGGCGGTTGTGGTGGAAGCTGCGGTTGCGCCAAAGGTGGGTGTTGAGGAGATTGCTGCTGAGGAGCTAATTGCTGAGGAGGTACCTGAGCTTGCACATGAGTTTGCAAGTGGGCTGGTAAAGTAGGTTGCATTTGACCCGGTACCTGAGGTTGGACATAAACTGAAGATTTATTCAGAGGATTGCCATCGTCGGTAGATTGCAAGGTTGGTTGCAACATCACGGGTGGAGGATTCGAGACAGTCTGTGGCTTTGGTTGAGGAGGTAAAACACTACCCCCATTGGATTGGTTGGCCAATTGTTCGGTCAGAGCCTCTAACCTTTCCCGAATATGCACATTATTTGTATCGAGCCTAGCCGCTTGTTTATACGCATCCAAAGCATCCGTAAGCTGATTATTACAAGTCTCGTAAAGTGTTCCCAAATCATACCAAACCTCACTGATGTATGGGTTCAATCTAATAGCTCTGGTGTAAGCATCGAGAGCATCTCGATATTGAGAAATTTGATAATACAGTACACCAATAGAGCACCAAAATATTGGATTCCTAGAGTCCCGATTAACAGCGTGTTGGAACGCATCGTATGCGGCAGTATAATCATTTCTGACCATATGTATACGACCCAAATGGTACCAGGTAGTAGCGTCCGTTGAGTCAGTTTCCAACGACTTGAGCAAAAGGTTGAGCGCGGTTTGAGTATCGTAGAATTGAACATTTTGCATTCCATACAGACACCCCAATTGTTGAAGTACCTTTGCATGTCGCTCATTTTGGAGTAGTACGTGCTCGTATGCTTCCCGAGCACCTTGCCACTCGCTCATGCTTTCTAAGACGCTTCCCAGTTGAAACCACACATCCCATTCTTGTAATGGGGCAGGTGGTTGCGTCAGAATGTATCTAAAACATTCTAAAGCCTGATTCCATTTACCTTGGTGTTTGTAAATGATGCCCAGTCTAAAATAAATTTCATTCGCCTTTTCGAACTGCGGATCGAGCTCTAATACTTTGGCGAAGGCCTCTTCTGCGTAGTCCAAGGACCCATACCGATCGTACAAGATCCCAATACCGTGCCACAGTTTTGGTACGTTAGGATTGCTCAAATGATATAGTGCTTGTTGGTAAGCAGCGTATGCACGTTGCAAATCGTCAAGCATCAAATAACAGTGACCCAACGTTGCCCAAATGTCGCCTAGTTCTGGGTTTACCGATAAAGCACGTTGGTACAGCTCTGCAGCCCGTTGGAACATATCACGCGATCTGTATAGATGCGCAAGTGATGTGAGGGCTTTTGTTGACGATGGATTGTATTGTAGCGTTGCATCATAGGCCATGGCTGCTCTATCTGCATCTCCCAGGGTTTCGGCCAAAGATGCGATCGAGAGCCAAGTTTCTGCCATTGACTGGGTTACTGGATCTGCCGGAATTTGTGGTTGTACTTGTACCTGAACGATGGGTTGAGCAGGAGTAGCGGCAACAGTGGCCGCCGCCGATGCTGGCGAAGCCTGTGCTTGTTGTTGCTGCTGCTGCTGTTGTTGTTGTTGTTGTTGTTGCTGAGGTGTGGGTTGCGTTTGCAACCCTACCGAAGGTCCCACAAGTCCCACAGGTCCCACGGGTCCCAGGGTACTATGCTGAGAGGGTAGGATATTCATAACTAGCGGTCAAGATCACACAACCTCCCAAAAACTAAAACCCCACGGCAAAAAAGTACGTCCTGATTTCCTAGATTTTTTTTTACCAAAAACTTCACCGAAAATTCTTGATCTAGGCAATGTGTTCACTGTGAAGACAGAACTTGTTCTATCGAAAGCTTTCTGTCGGCCCCACAATCCACGTTTCCGTCCCACCGCTGTACAAACTTTGTTTCAAAAGTCTATTGGGTGGTTTCGCTTAGAGCTTTTGCCGCCCTATATTGCCCAAAATTGGCTTGTTTTCGCCCGTTCTTTCGACCCGTATCCACTTATATGTGTACCTCGCTTCGTAACTGACCTTACAGAAACGGTTTGGATATGTTTAGAGTCGCTAATGGACCTTTTTTGCCTGCGTTTGTGTGCGCTTGTAGATGTTGTTTTGATGAACGTTAAGGTTAATTGAATTATTATACAAATTTAAAAGTCACCTGTCAGGGTAACTTTTTTTTTTCAAGATCTTTAAATTTCGAGTTATTCAAACGATATTTAAACACCGAGAAACACATGAGAAATGGAATTATTTAGCAGGTAGTTTGAATGTTGCGAAGATGGAAACTGGAACATCGGAAAGCTGGGGATGGAGGCTAAATTTAAGGTTTTCCAGCAACCCGCTTAGGAGTCTTTTTGGTTCCGAAAAATGCGGTGTCAGTGGATGTTTTTTGAATGCCGAGACGTCAGGAAACCGACAGAATGATCAACGGTCCCTGTTGTGACGACGTATTTCGGTTAAAGAAACTGCACCGTGTGATGCGGGTAGCTGCGGTTGATAGTGCTACGATCAGGTACCGAAAAGAAGAAAAAATCGGGAAGAGAGAGAGGCAGGGTAGGAGAGAGCCAAAGAGGCAAGGGAGAAGATAAAGAAAAGGAAGGACGGCAAGTAGAAGGGAAAGGGAGACAAAGAAAATAAATTTTAGGCGGGAAAATACCATTTTGTTGGGAAATGCTGTGAGAGGGAAAAAAAAGGTTTAGATGACGAAAATGATATTCAAGGTTTTGGAAACAGGTGGCGGAGAGGAGTTGCTAGTTGTATTGGACGAATAGAAACTATTCTAAGGAATCGATGTATGAGAGCCCCTTTAGCGAGTTTGGTGGAGAAAGACTGGCTGGCGCGTCATAAAAGTACAAAGTGACAACCGTACGACATCAACGTATTTGGCCAGCCAATGACGCTAGTGAAACCTGTGGCTACTAAGTGGATGTCAGAAATCGACGAATGGAATCTGCAAATGGAATCATCGTCAGAGCTTCAGTGGCTTTCTGAAAGTTTTCGTAAAAATGGTACCTACTTCGGCCTCACATTTTGTCAGAGCACACAGTTCACAAGCTGCACAATCATATGTTTGAACCGTTTCCCGTATTCCCTTGCGCGTCTTGGAACTTGTTTTCATGTTTTCGGCGACTAATGTACCTTTGAGGGTGGTGCTACTACTGCTGACGACACTTTAATAGTAAGTGACTTGAAATTCGATTTCTTTGGAAAAAACGAGATAGTTTGTACCCAAATTTCGTGCCAAGCGCAGCTGGTTGGTGTATCTGATGGTGAGGGAATTGGCACTGCTGTGACAAAATGGGCGAGGGTCCCGAAGTGCACTACAGAGATTTTACGATGAAACTTTCGTATTTATATCACGTGACCAAATTGTTGAAGTGACCGGGTGGACAAAAGTGATAAGGCTATGGACGCTTCAAATGGTACCTTGACTACTTTCTGTGAACGCCAGGCTCTAGCAAGGTGACAAACGGTATCCACCCGTTGTCCACAGGGACGCTTTGCATTGTGTGTTCAAAACTGGTCCAGCTTACTTTTCAATTTTCGTAACATCTTAACATACCGAGAAACGGTTGATAAGTCTCTCGGCTCATGCTCAACCTCTTGGGGAGCATGTTTACCTCCGTTCACAGATCAAACAGCTTCACCTACACTTGATTGAAAAAATGCTCCTCATCACGTCGAGTGAGATCAGCACCTGTTAATTTCTTCTATTTTCCATCCCATTGAGTACTCAAACTCATCCAAATTTTTAACGATTCAACACCGCTCGATCTCTTGATTCTACTTCAAACCGCATTGCGTTGTCATGCTTCAACACTCTCTAACTCTGTCGTATCTTTCCAACAATCTTGCGATGACCTCTACAAATACTATAAAAATTAAATCTTCAAGTCCTGGCGCGGGCATGACAGAGTTGGCTTTCTGAAACTCCAAGACCATCTTCAGATACCCTGCATTTCAAGCTACATATTAAGTTCAAGGATGGTTTCTCAAAGCTCTCTCAAGATCTCATAATCCTCCAGATAGCTTCAATAGCTACAAGGTTATAATATCTGAATTAGTGAAAAATCGCACTTCAAATGGAACAACCTTACTAACTTCAACTACCGGAAGATCTAACTCCAGGCTTTCATTAAGAAAACAAGTCCTGCAACATGCTAGAAGAAGGTGGGTTCATTAGAAAACCAAAAACCAGACGGAAACGTCAAGTTGATTATGTCGAAATAAGTGATGGCGAGACTACTCAAGTTGATAGAGCAATAGATGATAAAGAAGACGACGACGATTACGAAGAGATCATCATCAAAGAGCGTACTCCTGTACTGATAGATTCTTCAAGGGATGAAAAACCGGTCTTAGAGGAGTTGATGGAGACAAAAAGCGAAAAGGACGACGACGATGACGACGACGAAGACGTGCCTTTGTCTAAGAGACGTACACGCAAGAATGCAGAAGCTGAAGAAACGGAAGAAACCAAGCCGAAACGGAAAAGAGCAAGTGCGGCTAAGACCAATGGTACTAAGAAAAAGACCAAAAAAGAACCTAAACCCAAGAAACCCAAAACGACACCTTACGAAAGAAACACCGCTAGACTTTACGAAAACCATCCGGAACTCAAAACCGTCTTCACGGATTTACACGATGCACCAGCTTACAAAGCAAACCGAGCACCACAACCTTCTGGGATGACCATCAAATTGCTACCTTTCCAACTTGAAGGTTTGCATTGGCTCATTACTCAGGAACAAAGCTTGTACGGCGGTGGGGTGCTAGCGGACGAAATGGGTATGGGTAAAACTATTCAAACCATAGCGTTGTTGATGAATGACGTTTCCAAGAAACCCTCTTTGGTAGTAGCACCTACTGTTGCTCTGGTACAATGGAGGAATGAAATTGAGCAGCACACTGGAGGAAAACTTAAGACCCACATTTTCCACGGTGCTAATCGATCCTCAAATATGGGTGAGTTCAAAGATGTCGATGTTCTTCTGACTACATATTCCGTCCTCGAGTCAGCGTTTCGCAAGCAAAACTATGGTTTCAAACGGAAAAATGGTGTATACAAGGAAAAGTCGCTTCTTCACAATATGAACTTCTATCGCGTTATCTTAGATGAGGCCCACAACATCAAAGATAGACAAAGCAACACCGCGAAGGCCGTCAATAATCTTTTGACGGAAAAACGATGGTGTTTAACCGGTACACCACTCCAGAATAGGATTGGTGAAATGTATTCGCTAATTCGATTCTTGAATGTCAATCCATTTTCCATGTATTTCTGCACCAAATGCGATTGCGCTTCAAAAGAATGGAAATTTAGCGATAACATGCATTGCGACAAATGTGCGCATGTCGTGATGCAACATACCAACTTCTTTAACCATTTTGCGTTGAAAAACATCCAAAAACACGGCATGGAGGGTCCTGGGCGCGAGTCCTTCAATAACATTCAGCTTCTGTTAAAAAATGTTATGCTCAGAAGAACAAAAGTGGAAAGAGCCGATGACCTAGGTTTACCTCCAAGAATCGTCACTGTACGGCGAGATTTTTTCAACGAAGAAGAAAAAGACTTATACCAGAGTTTATACACGGACATCAAGAGAAAGTTTAACTCTTACGTGGAAGAGGGAGTTGTGTTGAACAATTACGCCAATATTTTCACTCTAATCACAAGGATGAGGCAGTTGGCCGACCATCCTGACTTGGTTCTCAAGAGAATGAAAAATGGACAAGGCCATGACGACAGCGTCATAGTTTGCGAACTTTGTGACGATGAAGCGGAAGAGCCGATCGAATCAAAATGTCATCATAGGTTCTGTCGGCTATGCATTAAAGAATACATCGAGTCCTTCATGGAAAATACCGAAAAACTGACATGCCCTGTGTGCCATATCGCGTTGAGTATTGATTTATCCCAACCTGCTCTGGAATATACTCCTAGATCTTATTCCAGACACAGTATCGTGGATCGTCTTAACGTTAAAGGGAGTTGGCGGTCTTCCACCAAGATTGAAGCATTAGTGGAGGAGCTTTACAATCTGCGAAGCGATCGAAGAACAATCAAGTCCATCGTTTTCTCACAGTTCACCAGTATGCTGGATCTAGTTGAGTGGAGACTTAAAAGAGCGGGATTCAAAACCGTGAAGCTGCAAGGTAGCATGACACCCACGCAAAGAGACCAAACGATTAAATATTTCATGGAAGATATTCACTGCGAAGTGTTTTTGGTGAGTTTGAAAGCCGGTGGTGTTGCTTTGAATTTGTGTGAAGCTTCTCAAGTATTCATCTTGGACCCCTGGTGGAATCCGAGTGTCGAGTGGCAGAGTGGAGACAGAGTGCATAGAATTGGCCAATTTAGACCGGTCAAGATAACAAGGTTTTGCATTGAAGACAGCATTGAATCCAGAATTATTGAACTACAGGAGAAAAAGGCTAACATGATTCACGCTACGATAAGCCAAGACGATGCGGCCATCAACAAATTGACTCCCGGGGATTTGCAATTCTTGTTCAACAACTAGGACGTCTTCAAAAACCTACAATTAGCATGTATAGATCGGAAAGAAAAGAGGTATTTTGTTCACATTCGTTATACATCATCATTATTTCGACGCTGCAGAGCTGCCTCGAGCGCCAGCACCTGAAGACACGAGTTCAATCTGTTCCTCAGACAACTCAATCTCAGGTATGTCTAGAGTGCCTGCCTGCGAAGGAGGAGGCAAGAAACCCACCTTGATCAAGAAAGCAATATATATTCCAATTTGATCAGAAGTGGCGCCCATACCGCTTGAACGATCTTCGCCGGTCCATTGAGCATCTTTACTTAAGGAAATGACCGCATTAGAGTCATCCAACTCAGGTGCCTTGGTGTTTTCCGGCAAGTTATCCAGAACCATGTGCAATAAGGGATACAGGGCGTTTTCCTCTTGGCGTCCGATGACGGATTCTTCCAAAGACTTTCTCCATGAGTCATAACTTTCAACCTCCACAGAGTAGCCATATGTTGCCAGCTCATATAGGTAGTCTTTGAACAAACAACGTGGATGAGCTGTGACGTGGGCAACCTCTAAAGAATTCTCAGAAGGAGGATAAAATCCGGCTGCAGTGACTACACGGGCAACTTGATCGACAGGAACCATGTTGACAGTGTTTCTGATATCCGGAATTTTACCCAGCTGGACAACACCCTTCAGACTTCTCAGCAAAAAGTCGTCGGTGTTGGACGAACCGTTACGAGATGCACCAGTCACGTAGCCCGGCCTTACGATGCATCCTCGCAAACCACGCTCACCAGCGCGTCTAATGATATACTCGGCAGCCCATTTGGATTGGCCGTATCCACCACCCAGCCCAGTCGAAGATCCCATTAGATCATCACTTTCGGGCAATCCGTGACCTTCTGCAGCTAGCTCATCAGAAAGTTTGAAGTAGTGCGGAGTGTCTATCGTGGATGTGGAAGAAACAAACGTGAAATATTTGGCCTTGGAGCCACAGGACGCGAGCTTCATAACATTGATGGTGGAGATGACATTGGCATCTCTTAATTTTGCGTAGGGATAGACCCAGTGAACCAGGGCACCATTGTGAATAATAACATCTACCTCGTTCGCCAGTTTGTCCCATGCTTTGTCTTCAAGACCGAATTGTGGTTTGGATAAATCCCCCAAAACAATTTCTATATGAGGGCGGAAAGCGGGAGACCAAGTGCCGTAAACAACACCAGCCTTAATCACACGGTCCAACCCCGCAGCGGCGTCTTTTGCACGAACGTGTGCGAACACTTTAACTCTCTTCGAGTCCGGTCTGCTTAGGAGATCTGCGAGGATGTAAGAACCCAAAAATCCTGTTACACCTGTCACAAATACGTTAATGGTATCGGAGTCGCAATCGATGCTTTTACGCGAGGGGAAAGTTTCTGGCAACATTGTTTTCACAAGCTCTTTTGCGTCTCCGAAATAGTCTGCAGTAACAGTATCCTCAGGTGTTGAGTTTTTCTCAGACGCTCTAGCTCTCACTACTTCATTAGCAAAAAGCTTGATGGTGGGATACTTGAAAACTGTTCCCAACGGCAACTCAACATGCAGCTTTGTTTTGAGGGTGAAAATCATTTTTGTCGCCAAAATAGAGTGTCCCCCTAGGTCGAAGAAAGAGTCATCTGGTGTGATGGTGGCAGGTCTGGTTGGAAGCACTTCTAACCAGAGATTACGAACCTCGATTTCGGTTTCAGAGAATCCTGAGTCATCAATCTCAATCGAGCTATTCTCAGCGGCGGCTGCGAGTTGCTTTGAAGTTGGGAACTGCAACTTGGGCTTGTCGACCTTACCATTTGGATTCAAGGGTAATTTTGCGAGAACAACGATAATTGTAGGAATGGCGTAGCTCGCTAAACGCTTCTTCAATCCAATCTTGATATCCTGAGCCAAAAGTCTGTATTTGACGAGGCCGTTGACTACAGCATCTTTAGAAACTTCATCAGAAATCTCTGATTCAAAATTAGACAGCTCATCGCCTTTGTCAAAGCGCGGGACCATGAAGGTAATGAGTGTGGGTTCGTTGTCGGCGTTGCGGCGCACTAGGGTGATGTTTTCACGCACAAGAGGGTGTTGAGAAATGTGGGTGTCAATCTCACCAAGCTCAATTCTGAAACCACGGATCTTGACCTGGTCGTCGGCACGTCCGCAGCACTCGCAGTTGCCATCCGGTGTATACCTCCCCAAATCACCGGTTCTGTATAAGCGATCACGAGGCCCATACCAAAACTTACGCCATGGCTCGCCATTATCTTTATCCAAGTAGTCCCAGTGTCCCGATTCCACAAACCAGTTCTGCACAAATTTTTCCTTATTGAGGTCCGGTAGGCCGCGGTAGCCCTCTGCCAAGCCACCAGCTCTTACATATATCTCACCGATCTCTCCAACACCACAGATCTGCGTTGTGTCGTTACGGTTCACGACAAGTAGCTGAACGTTAAGCATACCTTTTCCGGCGGGCATCACATCTTTCAAAGATTTCAAGGATAGAGGATCGTCCGATCTTGAATTTACCTCGAAAAATGACACGGCTCTTTGCGTCTCTGTAGTACCATACATGTTGACAACACGAACGTTTTCAGCCAAGGTTTGAAGTCTTAAACAGTCCCTTTTGGTTAAGATATCTCCAACAAAGAAGGCATGGTGCAATGAAGGAAACGAGGAAGTGGCTTGGGCGGTAAGCAGCTGACCCATGGCTGGGGTTAAATGTGTTACCGTCGCGCCGTACCTGCCCATCCAATCTGCTAGCTGACCCGGTGTCCCAATATCATCCTCAGTGGGTACCAGTAGCTGGGCACCTAGGAACAAAGGAGTGAACATATCTCTTTGTATAGGGTCGTGAGCAATACCTGAAAGCATTGTAAATTTGTCAGATGCTGATAGGTTGAATTGTTGGGACATCCAGTTGAAGTAATAAGCAAGGGAGAAGTGTCTCCCTAAAACACCTTTAGGAATACCTTCTGATCCAGAGGTGAATGATAATGTTGGGTTGCTGTCAGGTCCCACGATCACGCCCGAACGCGTGTCTTTCAAAGACTCGAAGCGGTCCAAGCAGTCCGCGGACGAACCTGGTAAAACACCGCCTTCAACCACACCGTTGCTTTGGATTGCAATAGATGGTATCCTTGAGATCACATCTAATTCACTGGAGATGTAATCTTCAACTAGTTGGTCCAACTTGCCGGCGGCACGAATCACGATCAAACCTTTAGGCTTAGCAACACCTAAGTAGATGGTTTGTCTTGCGGGTGGATAAGCTGGATCAATGACCGAAAACGTAGCTCCAGCCTTCAACACACCCATAACGCACACCATCAAATCAACACCTCTTGAAGAGTAGATCATGACTACGTCCCCTATCTTGATACCGGTATTGATCAAATAGTGAGCAACCACGTTGGACGCTCTGTTAATGTCTTGATACGTGAATACGCGAGATTGAGCATCAGAATTCAAACCCGGAGTTTCTACTACGCATGTTCTTTCTGGAAATTTGGCAGCGTTGTCTTGGAAAATGTCGTGAATGCATCCTGCAAAATCACACCAGCCCAGGTTTTCGGTTGGGTCTGGCAATGCTTTTTGGCTGGACGGAGTGATCAAAGAAACCTTAGTGAAATATTCTGAAGTATCCTTCAAAACCGCGGAAGCGAATTGGTTAAATTGAGATAGCAAAATGTCAATTCTGGTGTCGGAGTAGAGTAGTCCATTGTAAATTACTGTCAAATTGGAGTTTCCTTGCAGATTCCAAGCCAAATCCAGTAATTGTGTCTTGTACTGTCCTTCGAGTGCGAATTCTGGTTGATTTTGCAGACATCCCAGGCGGAAGAAATGAGGTGGCTGATCTCTTTCTTGGGATGTTTGAACGTGTAGAGATAATTCGTCGAAACTAACGGATGATAACTGTTCCACACGCTGCAATTCTTTCGAAACCGCCTCGTAAAGAGCGGCAAATGTCCAAGTGGGCTGTACGGTGAATCTGAGAACTCTGTTTTCCCTGATCAGCAACACGATGTCATCGTCACCAGTGAGTCTGAACAGGAGAGAAGCCCAAATTGCTAGTACGAGTGTATAGTTGTCCTGACCATGAGGCAGCTCCAGTTGAGGCAAATGAATGCTTTTTTCACGCCTTTCGACTAGCGGATCGCTATGAGGACGTAAAAAATCATGCGGTAAAACGCTGAGTGTTGGATTTTCAAGTTCTTGCGTCCACAAGTCCAATATAGACATGATTTCCACGTATCTATTTATTTTATTGCGGAACGTGTGTCGTGCGTATTAGGCCTAGTTGGATTGATTGATTGAACAAGCTTTGAAGTAGTTGGGTCTCAAGGTATTTGAAATGTGATCTTTTTTAAACCCTACTAGTTCACGTCGATGGGCTTACAGGTTTTTCCCATATTTAACAAAAATTCCGGTGGGAAAACGAAGGAAAACTACTGAAAGCGTGAGGGAACGTGACTCAGAGGGAATAGACCCAGTCAAAGAGTCATAAGTCATGTTTTTAAAGGAGTTTCCATAGTTTTTGTGATCTTGGTTCAAACTGATCGCTAGTTGCTGGGAATGCCGTCTTTTTTGGTGATTGCAGAGGAGACTTTTTGAGAACCAGTGTGTTACAGGGGGACAAAAGATGAGGAACATGCGAGAAGTTGGCGTCCAGTCTGCATTGCAGCTTTTTATTTGTGATCATAGAGGCAATAAAAGCTCTCTGTGAAGTATGTTTCCCATTTTAGACGATCATACTTCAGGTTTGGAATTAGCCGCCCAACACATAGCACTGCGATTTTCGTGCTGGAAAAGGGAAGCATTAGCGAATAGAGCAGCTGAGGGACGAACTAATGCGAATCGGAGTAATTTATCATGAGCTGGTTGTTTTAATACCGCTATTTGGGATTTTTTGATGGTGGCTGTGGTGGTGTGAAGTTGGGAAGCTAGAGATATCTGCTGGTACTTTAATTATATTGAGACAGTAGTACACAGTGACATAATGGGTCACGTGATTCACAGGACAGTTTTTCAGGGAAACGGACGAGAAACACTCCTCGTCCGGTAATACTATGCGTAGTCTAAGGAATGTCGTTTGGACTAGTGCTGTATAGACGTTTAGGTAAATGTGGCATCTTAAAGAGTTGACCAGATAGAATCACTATGTACGGAGATACATTAGAACAACACTTTTCCTTTACCTTTGCCGGTGGTCATTTCCCACCGTTGATTGGAAACGGCAAAAGTCTGCAATTACGGGAGTCAAATTGTGTCAGGTCAACTAGTGAAGCAGTTCAACAATTGGTGTGGTAACAAACATCACTGTATACGGAATTTGCGAAATCTGCAGGTTTGAAGCTTCTGTTTACAAGCCAAACACGAACCTTCGGCTCCTCAAGTTGCCTTGTTTTTTGGAACCATGTGAGGATGTCTTGTGATTATTGGAACGGTGTTCCGACGAGGTGGCTACGTATGGATGTGTCCGAAAGAGTTATTTCGATTGAGGGATATGAAAACTTACACACGCACACAGGGGAAAAGAGTCTCTAGATTAGTGTATATCTCAGGCTAACCAACTACTGTAACGCTACTGTCGATTGCTGGCTTATAGAGTTAAAAACAGTTACATTTCTAGCTGGCACGTGATCTCTAATCCAAGAAACTCAATCTAGTACTGTTCGGCTCATCGCCAGTACAATTGAAGACAAACGAATCTATATCCACGGCAACTGTACGCATAAAACAATCCATGGTGGCAGTTACGTACGACTGAGTCTGCGCACCAATTTTAATCCTATGGACCCACATCGAATGCCGTAAAGGCTTTGCGATTAGCACCAACGCTGCATGTTCAAGACTGCGTCTTCAAGAAGGAGTACTACTATCGAGGCTCGACCACGTCAACAGTGTTCGAGTTGTTAAACTGCTTCGTTTGCTCAGTCATGATTTGCTCTAAGTGAATGGTTATGGTTATGGATTCTACTTATCTCTCCGTGGCTCTCTTGGTTATAGGTTTGGTACGTTCTGTTTGACCAAACCACTGATATTTAAACGACTTTTGTAGCAACAATAGCAAACAGTCGGTAACGTTCCAGATCCTAGCCATTAGTAAGGACTGGATTGCTTGCAGATCCTGCACAGCGTTGGCGTGTTGTTGCTTCATATCCTTACGATTGGCCCATTTCACCTTAGTGCTTGATATGTCATTTTAGACTAGTATGTCATTTTCTGATTACGCAATTGGCACTATCCCATATAGTTTACCAATCCCAACAACTACTTCACCATCGATGGAAGTGGAAATGGATGTAGGGAAATGAAGATTAAGTGGGTCACCATAGAGATAATGAAATTCACCTTGGTAGTGAAAATTCGTGATTTTGACCTTATGTCCATGAGAATGTCTAGTTGTAGTTATGCAAGTATCTTCGCTCATTGTAGTATGTAAGCATCTTCGCTCGTTGTAAGTATCTTCATTCGTTGTAAGTATCTTCGCTCGTCGTAGTATGTAAGCGTCTTTCCTTCACTGTCTCCGAATCTCGTGCCTCCAATCTTAGTGATGAACAGTACTTGGAAAAGGTGAACTAGAGAAGTCTTCAAGACACTCTTATAAAAATGATAATGGTTATGAAAACACTCTTAGTACCCCCCCGGTTTGGCTAGTTCACTATGGTTCGCGTCGCGATGTTCATCCACAAGATCAGTTACATAGTCTCAGAGACGGGCGTCACATTTCCAATAAAGTGATCTAAGTAATATAAATATAAGCGGGGTTAGGTACGAATAACAAAACACGCAGCGTTTATGTTGTTCAGATGTTTCGGCTTGATCATCAAGCTTGGCAGATTAAAGCGCCCGAAAACCTCCTAGTTACTTTTGTACGCCAGAAAGGAGTTGAAGAGTTGTCTCATTTGTTACCACTGATTCTACCTCGTGAATCGGCTCGTCATTATACACGGCTGCTCTTTCTCTCTTCCAGTCCTGGTGGTGAAGATAACGCTGTAGTTGACGGGACGAGTTGACAGGTCATATACAAACGGTGGTAGCTGAAATGTGTAGCTAGATGTTGTGAAATCAATACAATGTCCGATCTTGAAGCCACAAGCACGCCGAAAATAGAGGTGCCCATTGTCCAACCCGTTAAATATACGCCCTAACTCTATCGAACAGACATTCCCAAAAGTCTCGTCCACGGCAAATAGCTCTACACATAAAAACAAATCTCTCAATCTAGTGACACATAACAATCACGTGACTCTCCCACAAAATGCGTTCTTTAAATCAAAACATTCAGGTCACCATGTAAAATAGCCGTTAAAAACTCAAACCCGTCTACACACTAGAGATCACGGAGTCTGGACAATAGAATGAGAGAAGAAACATGAACATTTACAAAATCTGTATATTTTCGAAATCGGTTTCGTGAAAAGCGACAACATCTTTCAACGACTAGTCTTACCATTTATTTCCCGCGTGTAATCAACCAATTACCGTCTTCTACTCACGTCTACCAGCTACATCCACCAAATCCTAAACTCCCTTTCCACATCACCAGTTTCCCGCTTTAACCTTCACATTTCCCTTTATATTAATAAGTTTTTTACCCTTAGTGCAAATCCCCATGCTATAAAAGGGGCAATTTGAAAAAATCACGAAACTTGACTATAAAAACAAACGCTGTGTGTGTAATCCACTGTTTTGACAACACTTTCATACCAAGAAACCCTTGCCAAAAAGCGTTTGTATACTGAATTTTGAAGCACCAATTGATCGTGAATTTAGCGATACTAACAAGCACTCCTTCAAGTTCAGACTTTCCGACTCTTTATTAAAGTTTTTTGGTTCATCTCCGCCGATTGCAGCGATTTTCAGCAGGAAAATAACATCGAAAACCAGTAACGGTATAAAAGGGCATTTCCGAAGCAAACAAACAAAGTTTCTAGCTGTCTGTCTCGTAAGAATTATCAAGAACCACTCAAAACCGATTTCAAATAATGTCAGCTGTCGTAAGTGAAGAACAGATTCAAAATACCGGCTTGCAGCCCGTGGAAACTCCCAGAACGATTGTGGATCCTGAAACGACGATTTTCGTCGGAAACGTGGCCCGGGAATGCCAAGAAGCGGACCTGCAAGCGGTTTTTGGCGACCAGGTGGAAGTGGAGATCCCTTCCGCGAAAAACGGGAAATCTTTCAAGCAACGTTACGCTTTTGTCAAGTTTCCTTCCAAGATCGATTTTGACGCTATTAAGGCCCAATACGACAAGACCGTAATCAAGGACAGAGGTATCTACATCAGACGTGCGCAAACGGAAGAAGAACGCGATGAAAAACGTCAAGCCCGGATCAGCAAGTCCAGGAAACAACAAGCTTCCAAAAATCAGGAAACAGAGGCCGCAGCCGAAACTGGAGCCGGAGCCTCTTCCCGAGACAACCAAACTGACGCCGCAGCAGAAGACAGAAAACCGGTTAGATCTGCGATTCCAGCACCTCCAAAGAGACAGGAAAAGCCCAGAGCACCATTGGAGTCCATGGAGAGAACCACAGACACGCTATACGTCAACAACGTGCCCTACATGGCGACCAAAGAGCAAGTGGCCGAGTTTTTTGGCACCGAGCCCGATCTCGTTGTCATGCCCCTAAGAAGAATGCGCAACGTGAAAACGAAGCAGTATTTTTACTCCAAGAAGATGAACAGAGGTATCGCTTTTGTCACTTTTAAAAACTGCTCCGACATCGCTCAGAAAGTGACCGAATTCCAAGGCAAATCCTTCAACGACCGTGAATTGGCTGTCGACGTTGCTGCCTTGAAACCTGCTCATGAAGATTCTGTTCCAGAAGAAAAAGCTACCAAGACTCAAGAACCCGTTTCTGAACCGACCGCAGCATAAGCGGTAGCAGCAATAGCAGCACGCTTTTCTTCTTCTTGCAGAGTTGCCCGAAACGCCTAATGAATTACTACTGCAACATACATCCTTGCAATCGACTTTTCAACCTCCGTTGACTCAGGAATGCGGAGGAAACAAAGGTCTGTAACGAATTGTACATAACATTTTAAATGCCATTTCGCACCCCAAATAAAAGCTTTATTTTACTGTCTTTTCAACCTTGAATGGCTAGCTTGTCCAGCGCATACGTCTTGTATGCCTAATTTGTCTATGGCAATAGGAAAGTTAGCCAAGTTGAAGTTGCAATCCTCAAAAACCTAACAATCGACAGCCAACTAGTGCCGCAAATGAGCAGTCAGTCTTTCAGAACTGCCAATTATATAAACGCCCAGTTTCTGGGTCGTAAAAGACCTACAATTGAAGTAATAGGTGATGAAGTAGAAGAGATGCGAAGTTTACCCGTTAGCATGGTTTTAATGAGTACTGAGACCACGGAGGACCGCGAACATGTTATGTTAGAGTGTCAGGAACTGTTCGAGAGTCTGGAGAATACTAAGGTTGTATTATTGAAGGACTTTCACCGGCAATATCTCGACTTTTCCTTCAGTAATTCGCTTCCGAGACAAATGAAGGCATTGGATGCATCACAGCCATGGATCCTGTATTGGATTGCATGCTCGCTACGGATGTTGAATAGAAACTGGCTGACAGAAGATGTTCAGCGCAAAATATACACCAAGCTCTTTGGTGCATCGGTGCAAAAGGGACCTTTCTGCGGGGGTTACGGCCAAGATCCGCATTTGGTCTGTACTTATGCAGCGATCAATGCTTTGGCATTGTGCGATAACGTTGATGACTGCTGGGGCCAGATTGACCGTCAAGCGATTTACAAGTGGCTTTTGTCACTAAAATGCAGTAATAATGGGTTCAAGACGGGCACTACGGTGGGCGAATGCGATTCCAGATCAACGTATTGCGCGCTCAGCGTTGCTAAAATGCTAAATATACTCACACAAGAATTATGTGAAGGTGTTGCCGAGTTCTTGTTGCGATGCCAAACTTACGAGGGAGGATTTGGTGCTTGTCCTCAGGACGACGAAGCACACGGTGGGTACACATTTTGCGCTTCTGCAGGTCTGGCCATACTCGACAGCCTGCAAAAGAGCGACCTGTCAAAGCTTGCAGAATGGTGCAGTGCCCGCCAAACGGCGGAGGAGAAAGGGTTTTCAGGACGCAGCAACAAGTTGGTGGATGGCTGCTATAGCTACTGGGTGGGGGCCGTTAATTCGCTTCTCGAGATAGCCGGATTTGGATCCTTCATTGAGAAGACGGCGCTACAAGGATACATACTCAAGTGCTGTCAATCTTCAGAAAGACCCGGTCTTCGAGACAAACCGGGCAAGTCACCGGACTATTACCACACAGCCTACGTTTTGATGGGATTTTCGCTCACAGAACATACATTTGAAGCTGCCAATGCACAAAAATCGATCAGCACTCTACCAACAGCCAAAGAGACGCAATTGCAACCTGTAAACCCGATATTCGGACTTCCTATCGACGATGTATCGAAATTCATCGCTTTCCATTCCAAATTACCGTCTGTCCACTAGAAGGCTTTCGTTCTTCCGCAGAAAGTGCGGAATCACATCATTCAAATGTTAAAGGCAGCGGGAAAAAGATGCGTAGCGATAAACAGCGCAACAGAAAGAATTGATCTTGTTCGTGTTCACTGAGCGCTCGTCAGTCTTTTTTCGTCATATATATATGTAAAGAACGGCTAAAGAACGGTAGAAAGAGACATATACACAGGAAAGGGATCTTCAAGAGTGGGAAAGAACCTTGTCGAATGGCCAATGTCGCCAAGCTAGTTGCACAGGCCGTGGTGATCAGCTTAGTAGCGATAAGTAAAGCTTAAACAAGTCTAGATCACTAAATACGCTATTGAAGTTAAATCACTGTAATTATATAATGGCCTCTTGGGAAGTGTCATGCGACCCAGTGAAATGCTCTTGGAAGTTGGTATTTTTAGCCGTCTTTCCTCGCTAGAGCTTGTGTATCGATGGACTATATTCAACGTTTGCTTAGGCCCGGTGGAAACCAGGATTTCCAGCGAATTCCGGGGTCATTTCCCACCAGTGAGGACGAACATCCACCCACACCCGGTTCCCCAGTACATCGGTCACCATTCGAGAGCGTAACGAGAGTTTGTCTCAAGATTCCCCTTCTCTTGATCTACTATGCCATGGCCACATTGGTACTGCTGATTAACGTACTGCGACCTTTTCACAAAGTTTGGTCGTTCTACGACCGTAAGAAGAGAACTCTGGATCACGAAGATGCCCTGTCTTCTCTTCTGGATACTCTGTGTTTGGAACACAGCTCACAGGTAGCCAAAACTTCGGCCGATGAAGCTCGATTGGAGGATTCCTTCAGCTTTGCTTCCATTTACAGTGCAGAAGATGGAACTTTGACACCTCATCTCGTTCCATCGTATGCGAAGTTGCTGCAGTCAAGCTCTGCACAGGTCAAATTTGGCATCGTGTACCTTCACGATCAGTTGCTGGACAATTGTGGTGAGTATTTAGGCGCTCTATGTTCTGAAAAGTTCGTCAACATGGCTCGTAGATACGAGGCCCTGATCTGGATGGGGGACGTGACAACTTCTGAAGGGCTTCAGGTCGCAAATGGCTTGAAAGTCAGAAAGCTACCTTTTCTAGGCTTATTGGCCCCCAAACCTGGAAACAAGATACAAGTCATTGAGGCAATCGAAGGTGAGAGTCCAGATCGGTCGCTTGCTGGGTTTGAGGCCAAAATGGCAAAGTTTTATCAAAGACTCATCGAGTTACGTCAACAACAGCAAAATATAGAGCTTCAGAGACTTATGCGGGAACAACAGGATTCGCGGTATCAAGCGTCGCTTCGGCAGGACCAAGAACGCAGTCGCATCAGACAAGTTGAGGAAGCCAACCAGAGAAGACAGGAGCGTGAAACAGATTTAAAGCAACAGTGGCTTTCCTGGAGAAGACAGACCTTGAATCAGGAGCCAGATAGTTCTGAAGGCTCCTGTAGAGTGGCCATTCGGATCGCAGATCAAGGTCGTGTTGTTCGCCATTTTGACGCTAAACTACCCATTGAAGAAATATACGCATTTGTCGAACTATCTCGTCTGGGATTGCTCAATGAAACATCAGATACAGACCGGGTAGACATCAGAAAGCCCAATTACGAGTACAAATATCCGTTTAAGCTCATAACCCCGGTACCAAGAGTGGATTTAGATCCACAGGCCATAATTAAGGACGTTGATGCCATTTATCCATCGGGAAATATTGTTATGGAGTTCAATATCGCAGACTAAATTATTACATACATGAGTGCTATGTTAGTCGAAGCACGGTACGGTGCATCTTTTAGGAGCTTGCATCATTACGAATGAAACCGACTTACTTTCGCAACGACTTTTTCGCCTTTTTATTCTTCTTTTTCTTTACCAGTCCAGTCATACCACTTTTGATGGCAGCAGAGTAGTCTTGCCAGAATTTATCTAGGTTTTCTGCCTTTACCACTGTAGAGTGCTTAACTAGAGTGTCACCATTGCCTTTTTTGATCCGCACTAGAACATCGTACTGTTTTTTACGTGCTTCTGAAGGAATACTTGTGAACTTAGACTTTCTGGAAACGTCAGCAAGTGGTAGCTCTGTAGCGTTAAACTCGTCGTTTCCCTCTACTACATTTCTTTCAACCAGTCTTTTCACTGACAAGTTCACCGATTTTTTGGCTGCATTGGCCTCTTCGAATACGCTAGGTACGATTTTGAGGAACTCCTCAAGAGAGAGTTGATTTGAAAGGCTCATTGCGAGTATCCGATTCGCCAATGTGTCGACCTTTGATTCCCTAAGTTGTCCACTGCAAAATGTGTGTTCGTAGGTAGTCGTGATGTTGAAGAAATCCAAGGCATATGTCACGAAACAGGCTATTCCAATGTTGTTCGAAAAGTTGAAGATACAAACCTTCTTGTTGGCTGTGAGAAGGACCGCAGTCAACAGGATATCGGCGTACTAATGATAATGGCCGTACTTCTTTCTTTCAGAGACCTGAAATGAAAGTTTTGGGCGAATCGCGGGTTTGTCTCAAAGAAAGTGATTTTTTCCATCAAAAGCTCAAAGACTTCGACCGTGAAGCTCAACCTTGAAATTCAAACCCTTAAATTCTCCGAAGCTCTCCTGTCTCGTTGTTGCTTCGACCGTGGTATGGTTCTGAATACATGGGTTCAGCATTTTACGACAGAATAGTACAAAGTGACCAGTATCTCGCTCTAACGTCCAGTAACCGTGCGGAAGATATGTTCCTAGAGGAAAGAGAAGGTACACCCCTCATATTCTGCAATCTCATTGACAGTGACGTGGGTAGAAACCAATGCTTTTTTCCAAACTAGAATTTCTCTTCTTATTTGGCCAAACACTGTCATCGAACGGATAAGCTCAAATGAGCAAGAAGACAGGCAAAAGCTCGAGGCAACAAAGTGTTAGGCTGAAAAAGACCTATAAAACTAGCTTCTGGGACCCTAGTTGTGAAACTGATATTCCCATTTTCTGAAATCTCGCTATTTATTCAAAATCTTGTGTTTACGTCCCAAAAAGACGCTAAAAGTGTTCCCGAAACCGCAAAAAAAAGGACAATTCAATTCTCCAAAGGAAATTAATAGTTCACCATTTCGCAGAGCTTTATTTGGCCGTTTATGTCTCTTCCATTGTCACTTTCTCTCTGGTCCCGGGATACGTATAATGATCGAGAATTTAAACCATTTATTTCAACCCCGTTACTCAACCCTTACAAGAACAACAAAATGTATAAAAACACAGCAAAAGATGCTTTTTGAGGACCAATGAGCTAGGCTGCTGTTGATAGCGTGTTCAGAATTAGTTGAGGGTGTTTACTTCACTTCCTTCTCGCTGGTATAATGCTGTTTTCAGCCGTCAACTCACAAAAGTTCAGCGGCAAACGGCTAATGACTCGAAATAAAAGGCCTGTCTCATCACTTGTGATGAGAATAGGTCCCGACTATGGTGGTAGCAGACTCATAAAAGAGCTAAATGGAGGTTGAGAACATCATAATGAGGTTGAAAGATGTATCTCAACCAAATAATTTGATGCTACACAAAGATCAGTGAACAATAACCAAATATAAGAACCAATAACTGAATATGTGTCTTTGGTGGTACTTTTGGGTGTTGTCGCTTTAAATTGAAATCAAAACAACTTTAGAAGCAACGATAGGCATCTTCAATCACCACTTGTGTTCCTCAAGGGTGATAGCATTTTGCACTGGGGAGTATAAACCGAAACGAGACTTCTCAGCAAAAAAAACAAACTAGAGTGGAAATAAAGCGTACAGTAATCTTGTTTTTGGGCATTACAATTGATTTTAATCCTCCATCATTAAAAAATAAGTTTTCACTACATTCGCAACGTCAAGCATCGTTGTTCGCAGCCAAAAATATTGGTTCTAACAGCCCAAACCATACAAACCGAGAACAATAACTTGTCAGACAGCTTTCCGTACAGCTTTCTCCACTGTCATCGGTCTTGGCTCCGATCGGTGTTCCCATCTGCATCGCTTTACACTAAAAGGGATTATCTAATCGTCCTGTTTTGGTGAAGACACGAAAGATAAGCAAAAAGGTAGGATTCCACGAACTCTACATGTTGACAGTGAGATTGAACCGAGATTTCCATTGGTTGTGGTCTAGCGGTACATTAAGGCTCCACTTTTGAGACCCCAAGACCACTTCTTCGGTAGGAATTTCAACGTGGAAGTGGAAGCTAATGGCATCACCGGCTGTTGCACCGCCTTCAAAGGTCCAATTACTGACTTGTTTTATTGGCAGCAACATTGTCGCTCTGGGAGGAGGTACGCCTTACCTTTTCAGTTTCTACGCACCAGAGCTGCTGAAACAATGCAAAATTCCAATTACTGAGTCAAGCACTTTATCTCTTGCGTTGACTATTGGGTCTAGCGCTTTAGGTTTCATAGCAGGTGTGGTCATCGATAAGAAATCTCCCCAGCTCTCGTGTGGCATTGGCGCTGTCTGCACGTTTATTGCCTATTGGATCTTGAGAACATGCTATGTACGACAGATCTCCAACATTGCACTTCTATCCGTGGCGATGAACTTGATTGGGTTTGGTTCGGTATCCGGTTACTATGCATCGGTGAAGTGTTGCACGACAAACTTCCCACGTCATCGAGGCACCGCTGCTGCTTTTCCGGTGGCACTTTATGCCCTTGCAGGGTTGATGTATTCCTCTTTGTGTGCTTGGTTGTTTCAAGATCGGGTGGACGCCGTTTTCACATTTCTGATGTACACATGCCCGGCTATGATTTTGAGCGGTTGCTTCACGGTCAGAATTTATAAGCCTCATACTGTAAAATGGCGAACCTACTCGTCTACCACACAGAATGGTAGACCGATACCGAACCTTGCGCAGAAAAACTCACCTGCCACTCCACCAACTACTGAGCCCATCAATATTGAGAACTTCTCATCCCATCGCGATTCCCGTGGCTCATTCAGCAATTTCAAGCACGCTATGAAACGTTCGGCTTCCAGAATATCTTCGTCCTCAGATTTACTACTTTCCTGGGGGTCAGGTCAGAAAAGATCGGACTCCTCGGTTTGGGCTAAGGAACTTCCGGGCTCGCTCTCGTTTTGGGGGTGGGGAAGAGCTCGACCCTCAGACTCCGATGTCACGAATCCCTTACACAGAGCAGTGGATCCTGGCGCAAGACCTGTGCCCACTGCAGTGACAAATTCTTCACAAGATTCGGGTCGCCCCAAGACTTTGCCAGGAACTTCTGTGGATGTTTCTCACACTGCAACTACACCGAATGTTACTGCAAGACGCGATTCTTTTTTGAATCTTTCACCACGGACGTCGGCCATTCAAGAAGACTTCGATTCGACGGCAGTAGAGCCGCAACCCGAATTGAAGACCAGTTTCAGAGACAGTCACCTTTACCAGACTGTTACACAGCCAAAATTCATTGCCTACTACATCATATTGGCGATTCTTCAAGGCATTGGTCAAACTTATATTTATTGTGTTGGGTTTGTCGTCGAAGCATTAGCCCATTCTCACTCTGACTCAGGCATAAACACCAAGGCGACACAGTCCCTACAGGTATCGATAATATCAATCCTGTCATTTACGGGTAGGATTTGTGCTGGTCCCATATCGGACCTACTCATTAAACGCGTGAAAGCGCAGAGGGATTGGTGTGTTGTTGTTGCCGCTGGACTTCTGATATATGGCTCAAGGCAGATTCTAGCTGATATCGTATCCGTGAAAGGTAGCGCTGGTTTAGAAAAGGCTGATTTCATAGAAAACTTGTCACTCTCATCGCTCATATTTGGATTTGCATTTGGCATCACATTTGGCACTTTTCCGGCAATAATAGCAGATCACTTTGGAACTGAAGGCTTCAGCACCATATGGGGCCTGTTTACTACTGGTGGAATCGTAAGCGTCAAATATTTTTCAGCAATTTTCGCTAATGATCTGTCGCGCAACACCAGCGCCGGTGATACGGTGTGCGATAAAGGCTCTCTGTGCTATGCGCACGCCTTCCGCGTTGATGAGAATTTTGCCATTGGTGTGAGCCTCATGGTTTTGATTCTTATTGGCGTTGGATACGCAAGGAAGAGACAGACCAAACGGCATGAGCACACCGGCGTTTTTATTCTGGACGATGAAGATTCACTGGATGAATTGCCTTAAAGAACGATCCAAAAAAAAGCGTTCTTTTATCCAGTTTAGTTCAAGCTTTTATATCTGAAAGCTTTGAGTAGTTTATGTGACTATAGATAACTCTGTAGCTAAAGATTATAAAATATCGGTGTGGGAACGATGTTCAACACTTACAACCGACCCACCGTTACCCAACACGTCTCTTACCACGTCGGCAGGAATTTCGTTACCATTTTGATCCACAAATTTTTTGAGTCCCGGGGAAGCCATTATAGCGTCAACGTCCAACTCGTCTTCATCGGCAGGTTGTAAACTGCGTTCTGAGACGTTTTGAACGATAGAGCTAGCAGCGGTGGTCGCTGGCTTAAGAGCCTCCTCTGCTTGTTCCCTATCATACTTCTCGTAATCTTCGTACGAGGACAGATAATTGCCACAAGGGTAATCCCATCCGGACAACCATTGAGATTTTTCGCACAAGTCTTTAGTCCATGGAGTTCCATAGATTAGTGGCCGGTAGGAGAGGAAAAAGTATGCGGTTCCAGCAACCATTGCGCTTACAATCGCATAGCCGTAAATTTCTCTTCTGCGAAGGGTGTAAGTCACACCAACTTCTAGGGCATGAGCAAGAGCTAAAATTCCAAAGTAATATGCTGCCAGGTAATGGTGTAAAAACAACTGGCGACCCATCAAAAATGATGGGGCATAATGCAAGGCAAAACCCAGAAGATAGTGGATAGTTTGTACATGGAAATTGACAACTTTTGGATCCTGTAAAATTTTGTAACCTAGCTGCCATGAGATCAACTCGTATGCGACAATGAGACCAAACAAACCAATGAAAGCAGTCACCGACCACCAAACAATGGGGTTTCCTAGCAGGTAAACATTCCTGTGATCATGACCCCAGTAATTGATACCACGGAGCAAAAAGGGCCAAGAATGAGGTTTGGATTCATAGATATGTGGCTCAACCAAATTTTTGTTGATATGCCACATCTTCTGATGAGACTCGATTAACTTAGCAAAAAAGCCAGGCGTCTTATAGGAAACACGTTCAGCATCTTCTGGTAGGAAAGGGTGACTGTTTCCCTCGATATACCACAATGTTAGGTGTTCTTTACCTTGGCTTGCACATGTAACCTCTTGCTGCTCAAATCCCCATTTTGGGAGCTTTACTTCATGTGAAAACAAATGGCAATTCATCAATGGGTGCTTGAGTCTAAATTTTGTTTCCAAGGCTTTTACGCGGGCTCTGGCTTCACCGGGAGCAGAGGCAGCTTGGTCAATTTCGACAATCCAATCATCGTTTGCATCACCCTCAAATCCTTCAAAACCGTAGCCGGATACTTCTTTTTGCCAATCGGCGCTTTCGGAAACTGGTGCCTTGTGGTCATGAGAATGTAGCCTGCGTTGTGTTGATACATGTTTCAACCTAATAGCGGTTCCATCAGTCAAACCTTCGAATGAGCTTACAGCGGTGTTAGGTTCGTCACGTAGCTCAATCAGCCAGTCGTTATTTCCATCCAGGTGAGGGTATAAGGTGATCTGCTGTTGCTGAGACCCCTTCTCTAACATGTGGTCATGAGAGTGCAAATAACCACCCATTGTGGCAATGTGACGGATTGACACCACCGATCCAATACCAACATCAGCTAATATATCTTTTGGTATGGTATTACCTTTCAAACTAGTTCTGAAGGCGGATGAAAAAAACCCAGCACCATCTGAGTACACGGTCAAGGTATCGAAGTGGACATAAAAGAAAGCCAGGTACAAGATGGTTGGGATACCTAACAAAAACACCAGTTTTCTCACGGCTTCAACAAAGGTTTTACTGACGGGTTTGGATAGATCACCAATCATAAACCAGAGTCTCCATACACATAGGAGCCCAATCCAGGCAACAGTGAAAAGGCCCACCCATTTGGAAGAGACTGCCATTCCGAGAGAGATACCAGCTCCCAATAGAGCTTTCAATGAAGGCCATGAGCCTTGTGGATAAAGTTCGTACTTTTTGAAAGCATAAGCTGCGGAAGCAATGAAGAACAGTAATGGTGAGTCAAGTAGAATGTATCTTGAAATTGTAACAAAACTGTTTTCCACAGCGAAGCACAGCGACGCGGCAAACGCAATTGGAATTCTAACACCCGACGAACGTAGAGTCAAGTACATTAACAGCACGGTAATAATACCCAAAACACTTGGAAATAGTCTCATGAAAAAGAATGGCGTCGATTCTGGATACTTATCGCCAATGGCTTCAAAGTCAAAGTCTCCTCTAAAACCGGCAATTGAGCCCACTGCGGCGAAAAGCATCTTGGCTAGCGGAGGATGTACGTCCATGAAGAAAATTCCCTTTATGTATTTGGAAGCAAATCCCCCGAAATGAACCTCGTCAAAGACCACGGAATCTGGACGCGAAAGACCATACAGTCTCACAGTGGCCGCTATCACTACAAGTGCTGCAATGACAAGTTTTTCCTTTGAACTGGTAGGAGTACGCGTTTCAACAAGTGTCTTTGGAGGTTCCGTTACAATATAAGATCTAGCGGGACCTCTTTTGGTCTTCAGATCCGGAACTGGATCCCTAGGATCACTCCCTTGATGTCCGCCATCCGTTTTAGAAGGCATGATGCGATTTGGTGCTCTTCGAGGTTTTCGGAGTGTTCAGGTTTTGAAAGTGTACACGTAGTAAATATACTGCACTCGAAAATTTTGAAGGACCTAATTCATGTTTATGATGTCCGGTCATGTGAAGGAGCAGGAAAAGGGTGGGACAGAGAGTTCTTTAAGCCACCGGAGTTTACCTGATATACCAAGAAAAGCGTATGATCCGGAAAGTTCTATTCCAGGGAAGATGCTGGAAGAACGTTTATTCAAACTTCATTGGTAGGTTTCAATTGCAGTGAAAAAGGAGGGTGCAAGGTCATGCAGAGGTTCTGTGTGGAGAAGTGATAAAAGTCGTGTTGTAAAAGAGCCCTGACGTCTATCTTGAGGGGAAAAGAAAAGCTTACAGCAAACTGGCAAAGTGACTCACCAAGATAGCTAAAGTCGAGCACATCGCCTATTAACGTCTTTGGATAGTAGATGCACAGAGGGTAAACAATACTGGATCCTCTAATTTCACTATTAGAGGGCTAATCATGTGGCGTTTTTTGTGTTTGGTACTACTCCAGCGCCATATTCACGCACCAATACTGTTATTTTGTTGACGAAGAAGACGGTGTCTTAACTCAGAACCCTTTCCTAGCACACTTGGCAGCAATCATGGCCCACTTTTTTCGAAGCGTTTCTTTCGAAAAGAGCGTCTTGAACATTTGGTAATGGTATTCATGTAGCGATTATGAGGGAAGAGCCATTTGTTACTCTTTAGGTGTATAGCTCATAAGTGCTGTGCATTCGCGCCGTGGAAGTGTCAATAATGAGCTTATTTCCTATTCCTTCTTACTTCATGACGCTCATGCTGTTATTTGTGGCTGGTAGATGGTTAAGTTTTGGAAATACAGGTCAGTTTTACTTTAGCCGCCGGTATTGAGTGACAGATTAGTACAAAGTGATACGGTTTTATCGCCCGTTGAAACGACACGATATTAACAGTGGGATTTGAGCATTTGGAATGGTAGAGGAGTAAAGGAGCTACGTTGCGATAGAAGTGGGACATCACACATTCTATCTTTTCAGCGTTTTTTGTTATGGTGTGTGCGGATTGAAGCTTATTTATATGGCCACGCGAAAACAGCGTTTCAGTTTCAAATTGAAAATGATGGCGAGCACTCTCAAATAGCTGGCAGTTGTAACAGGGTCCTTTGCTGCATTCGTAGCGACCTCTAAACTTAGCTTTGGCTTCAAAGAGTGCAGCTTGAATCTTACATCATGTGACTTTGATGACAGCGACAGAATAATTATAAAGTGACTAGTCTGTGTCGCACTGTGGCCACTGCAACAGATCCCATTGACACAGTCCAGCGGTCATAGGACATCAACGACTCATCAAAACTCTAAAGACATGCGAAGAACTCAGCCAGGCTTTGATCGTTGTTGGTGGAGCAAAAAGCTGTCTCTTGAGTCGTGTACGCAGATAAGTCATGCATGAGTATGAGTGACATTGTCAATGATTCGACTAAGTCGGTTGCATGCATATCACATTCTCTTGAACCTAAACATGTTCGAGAGCTCTGTGTAATAGTCACATTGTACTACAGTTTCCACAGATGGCCTGTTAAAACTCGAAATGTGGAAAACAGAAACGTCAGGAAAACGGTATCAAAACTGACAAACAGCATATAGGAAGAAGAACGCTACTCACAGATACCTTGAGCTCCTTCAATATCGTCGCCAAACATCTCCTTTCTTCAAAATATAAAAACTCACAAGGCACAAATCTGGAAACCGATCTTGAACATCTGAAAAAAAACTAAGAATTGAAAAATCAGCTCTCTTGAACTAGCCAAAACCATTTCATAGCTCTTGATATAATTGTAGTGTGTTATCAAACTTCCTGTCAGTTCTGGTCTGGATATCACTACAAACGAAAAGGTATATGGCACATCGAATTCAAAAATCATTACCAACTTACAGGTGGCAAACTGTTAAACTTCCACAACAACCTTCCACACAGTCCATTGTTTCCACTATGGCTACCATTGATGATGCCAGACTACTTGTAGAAAAGAAAGACTATGCAAATGCTGAAGAATCGTACCAGAAACTGCTCGAAGAAACCAAGGTGCCTGGTAAAACAGGGAAGACCACTCAAGCCCAGACACAGCTTCAGGAAAGATGCATAGTCGAGTTGGGGACTCTATATGGACTTTCCAAACAGTCTGAGAAATTGGCTGGCTTCATACCAGAAGCACGAGACATTATGATGCAGTATGCAAAATCCAAGACCGCTAAAGTTCTCAAGACCCTTATTGATCAATTTGAACAGATTCCAGACTCACTTGACACACAAATTGCAGTGTGCATAGATAGCATTGATTTTGCAACCCGTGAAAAACGGGCATTTCTAAAACATGCATTGTCGATCAGACTTGCTACTTTGTACCTTCTGAAAGGACGGTACAACGAATCGCTGCAACTAATTAACGATCTGCTTCGAGAATTTAAAAAGCTAGACGACAAATCGTCCCTTGTCGATGTTCATTTGCTGGAGGCAAAAGTATACCACAGACTCAGAAACATGGCTAAGGCCAAAGCCGCTTTGACCAGCGCCCGTACCGCCGCAAACTCCATATACTGCCCCACTCTCACGGTTGCTGACCTAGATCTCATGAGCGGAATTTTGCATTGCGAAGACAAAGACTACAAGACCGCTTTCTCCTATTTTTACGAGTCCTTTGAAGGCTACCACAACCAGTCGATAAACTACCAGGAGAAGGCGGCCCAAGTGTTGAACTACATGCTGCTGTCCAAGATCATGTTGAGCTTGATTGACGAGGTCAACTCGATTTTGAACGCCAAATATACCAAGGAAAGCTACCAATCGCGTGGTATCGAAGCCATGAAAGCGGTAGCCGAAGCATACTCCCATAGGTCGCTACTGGAATTCAATGCTGCCTTGAAAAAATACGAAAAGGAGCTGATGGGCGATTCTCTGATCAGATCCCACTTCAACGCGCTTTATGACACCCTTTTGGAGTCTAACTTGTGCAAAATCATCGAGCCTTTTGATTGTGTGGAATTACGTCACATCAGCAAGATGATAGAGCTGGATATTCGTCAAGTGGAGGGCAAACTTTCTCAAATGATTCTGGACAAAGTCTTTTACGGTGTGTTGGATCAGGGCAATGGGTGGTTGTACATATATGAAACTCCACACCAGGATGCCACCTATGACTCCTCATTAGAGCTAATTGGCCAATTGAACAAGGTTGTGGAACAACTTTTCGAGAAAGCTAGTGTTCTTAACTAAATCCATATTAAGTATACTTACTAGTTAGTCGAAAACAAAGAAAAGAGAAAATGCATTATTGTGGTGGAGTTCTTCTTTGGTTTTACCGGGGAACGAACACCTCTTCAGGCGATAGAAACTTGGCCTCGATCGCCAATGCAAATAGTTTATCTGAGTCGCTGAAATCAGTTGGGCGTCCCGCTGCGTCTCCACAGTAATATTCCAGTTTGAATTTTTGACCGAAGTCTTTGGTGAACTCTTCAAACATTCCAACATTGGGCTTTCGCATTGACTCAAAAATAAGACTGTCAGCCATAGGTTGAGGTGTCTTCAGTTTAGAAAACGGGCTATTTTTCATTACTTTGTTTGCAGTGTTGCCCTTAGCTTTTTTGTTAGAAGAAAAAGACGCAGGTTTCTTGGGTGACGCATAGAGCCAAATTCTTTCCTCCAGCTTCAGACCACGATCAGCAATTGCTTGCAAAATAAGCGCTATTTTTCCTGTAAATTTCGTACAGCTTTTCGAGGTTGGTGGTACCGTCACCGTAGCGCCTTGATTTGAAAATATAACAACTTGCGTATTTTCATTGGCACTTAAAAGATCCCTTAAAGTGTCGATTGTCTCTACTGAGCTTTCATCTTGGCCGGATTTGAATGTCATAAACGTCCAGTCATTTTCGCTTTTGCTGAACCTTCCACCAAACTTGGGCTTTATAATAGTGTGGTCCAAGTCGAATGCATATACCTTAGTCTCGTCTACGGTACGCTTAGAATTATAATTCTTGGGTATGTACTTGATTAAATAAGGCAGTATAACAGCTTTGTGAGAAGATCCCGATGCTTTCTTGATCGCGCCCATCGTCGATATTAGTTTGTTTGATATTCTATGGACTTGACTACTTGTATTTAATGTCTGGAAAATAGGCATCTAGCGTGAAATTCTTCCGAAATCTGTCCTGGAAAGGCAATGAATGACTCGAAATCTTCTGAGAAGTCGAGTTTTGGTCGGAGGACTTGGGACCGGGAGGAATACGCCGAGTTAGGACGAACCTCAAACGTTTCGCCAAGATCGCATCTAGGTGATTTGAGCGAAGCTCAATTGCAAGCTTTAAAATCAAGGTATACTCACCATAAAGAATTGTTGACAGATGCTACACAAAGTGCCAATAAGAGAGTACTCATAGGATCTTTGACCTCTTACAAGAAGGGAAAGCAGTTTGGGTTTTACTGCGAGCTATGTGATTTGACGTTTAAAGACACTTTACAATTCGTGGACCATCTAAACCATAAATTACACCAGATCAAGTTTGAGACTATCTTTGGGGAACCATTGATCTGCGATCTACGTGATAACGACGAAGTCCCGCTGCAGGAGTTTGACGAAAACTATTCCGCAACGATGAGAGCATTTTTGAAGGCTTGTGGATCCTCTGCTGGTGCCAAACCAAAAAAAGGCCCTTTAAGTCGTACGGATCACAGTTCAGAACTTGAGGGGCGGTCCACACCCGATAATACTGGTGAAAAAACTAATCTCAGCGGTGTAATGGGATTTGGCGGGTTCGGAAGTACGAAAAAGTGATTTTTTTACTATTTGCAAGGTTACTTTTTACTTACATGAGGAATCATTCAAGGACTTCTACCTTGTTCACTGTCTGGTAATACTTGCTCAGTTCAGAGTCCGCGTGAGCTTTTGTGAACAGAGCTTTGTCGATGACGCTAATTTCGTTCTCGAATTTGATAGCATCCTGCATATTGAGTGGGAAATTGGTCACTACCACGCTGTCGCCCTCTTTACAAATTTCCTGGAGGTAGCGTCCAACAAGCATCACCTTTAAACCACGCGGCAGATGCTCCTGGTAGCCGGTGCCGTGGGTATCCTGAAGATCGTTCAAAAGCGCATAATACTTATCGTTAGGCTGATGTCTATAATGATCCACGACTTCCTGTACGTCCACTATTGAGGCTCCACCCTCAGCTTTTTTCTGCACCAGACTTGCTGAGAGATCTGGTGTTGCCAACACAATGTGCAATTGGCCCGGTTCAAACATCAATTTCCGGCGCTTCGTGCCCTGCATGATTTGATCGTATTCCGATACCGAGTATGAGGTTTTGGGCTGGTTTTTGTCGAGCGATTTCACTGCTTCGACAAAAATAATGGTACCAACAACCCCTACTAAAGCTATTTTCGTGAAGCTAGGCAAATCATCTCCATTTGGCGCCTTTTTCTGCCCAGCAGAATATGTCCTCACAGTACCAGTTCTTGCAAGTAAACTACTAGCAGGGCGTAATTGTCGAAACAAAAGTCTATTATTGACCGGACGTTTTAAAAACATCTCGTTTCCTCTACAGTATAGATGCTTTTAAACTCCAAAAACCCGTAATGTCCCCGGCCTTTAAAGTTCCCGATTCTAAACATCTTTTTTGACTAAAAAGTTACCATTTTGAAAACTAATTTCGTACATAGTGCTATCAACACGTTTTTTAATTATACTCTTCATCATCGAATTCGAAAATTTGACGATATGCGGATGGTAAAAGTCGAATTTTTAAACACCTGAATTAGTTGCTGGCTCAAGCTCAATTGTTTTGGGAAATCTGCTTATAAGAGCTTCACCTCTTTTCTTTATTAGACACACCTTGGGCCTCTATTCCTCATTGAAGTTATGTCGTTAGTGCACTTGGCTAATGCGTGTGCGCATTTGCAAAATTGTTCCAGGGCTAGAACGTCACTTACTTCAATTCCGTACACGAAACTACATCTTAACTTTGCTTACAACTTGTACAAGCACGGTTTTCTCTCAACGCTGCAACGTGGCTCGACCAAGGGCCCAGACGTGGCAGCAGCTGAGGTAACTCCAGACAATATTTCTACCCGGAGACTATGGCTGGGACTGAAATATAGAGAAAATAAGCCGGTAATAAGCACCTGCAGACTCATTTCCAAACCCAATTTGCGGATAGATCTCAAGTACGAGGATCTCAAGCAATTGTGCACTGGTAAGACGGTACGTTTGATCAAGCCACTGCAACCAGGTGAACTGATTTTAGTGCGCAGCGGAAACGAGCTGTTTGACATTAACGACGCAATTGCACGCAAAATCGGAGGCGAAGTATTGTGTCGCATCAAGTGAGAAACCCTTAACAAAGAAGCGAAGCGATAATTGTTTCGCAATAGTGTACATAAGTAGCATTGTAAATAGTGTTTAAGACGCCTCGGAGAAGGCAACTGCATTTCCGTCACTTTTTTCAAGCGCCACACGAGAAATTCTTTCGATAAGGTGAGTGGGGTTGAGACTATAGATGCACCACTGGCCCGGATCCAATGCTTCTCCATTGCGTCATGTCGACATTCCAGCCCCTCCACTTGTCAAGCACAGTACGATCGATTACAGGAGCAAAACTTGGCTGTTTTGTAGGCTCCAAATAGTCTTGGGGACCACCAGTTGCTTGATACCCTGCATTATTTTGCTTTTCTCTTGAAAGTTCCAGCTGTGACGCACTCAATTGGGCCTCTAGTTCGTGCACTTGCTCTTGCAACTCCTCTATTGTGGTCTCTTGTTCCATATTGACAAACTTTAGTTTACGAACTTCAGCTGTGAGAGTAGTCACCTGTGTTTGGAGGTCTATCAGTGCGATGCGGTCGTTTTCGCGTTGCAATTCTGACAGAAACGAGGTTGTCTCCTCAGGGAACAAAGAAGAAGTTTCGTCAGGAACAGAACCATGTTGTGGCACTTGTGGCTCTTTCTCAGCTGGGTCTTCCTGTTTCGACTCGTTGGACCCCCTGTTTTCTTCAGTAGTTGCGGTTTCCTGGACTGATTTCTCCTGTGCTACAGTGGAATCAAGATTATTCTTAAAACTCTCTGAATCCAAAGCATTTGTCTGTGGCGCAGCATTAGATTCCACTTCTGGTTCCACTTCAGGTCTCACTTCGGGTATAGCGTCTTCTGATTCCACCTCAGGTGCAGCGTCTTCTGATTCCACCTTTAATTCTGTTGTATTGGACTCCGTCTTTTGCCCACTTTCGACATTTGAAGCAGATTCGGCATCGGCCAATTTTGACTCAACTGCTTCTGGCGTTTTTTCCTCGGTTTCGTTGCTACTTTCAGCGGGTTCCACTTTCTTCTTCTTCTGGTCCTTCTTCTTTCTTCTGTTCTTCAACTCTTCCACCCGTTTTCTGGCTTCTTCCAGCTGTTTCGTGCGTTTTTCGTCGTCCTCAGACATGTTGGAATCTCAATGGTCAGATATAAAGCCCACTGGATGATTCAAAGGACTACTCACAGGTTGATGTCGCTTTCCAGATCTGGTGTGGTCTAAGCTGAGATTCTACGATCTTGGTGAAATTAATGAAGCACTTAGTTGTAGTTGGTAAGTTTAAAAAGAAGAGTGCTTAAAGTTAAAGGCTTGTGCTTGAGAACTGTAAAAGAGTTTTGCGTGAGAACTGGGAATCTAGCGTGAAACTTTGGTAGTCAAACCATGAACTTGAAGAGTATAAATGCATTATTACGAGGAAATTTAGAGCTAGTGTGTGCTGTCGTCACGGGAAAAGAAGGAAAAGAGAGAATGAATAGCGATACGAAGAGAGTTTAGTTTTAAGATCATGCCATGGGGATAAGAAGTTCTCATTTGAGTATCTGTTGATGTCTCGTTCCTTGTCTGCTCAAGCTGGGCATTTCCCATCATTACTGACGTCCGCTGAAACTTTCATCAATAGAAAAACGTTGAAGTTTGAGTTAAGACAACATCTTTTGTTCACACTCACCAATCTGTAAATATGGACTACTCCGTGGAATCTAACTTGCACGAATTGATCAACTCGACTACCCACAAATGGATCTTTGTCGGTGGTAAAGGTGGTGTGGGTAAAACCACGTCTTCGTGTTCCATTTCGATCCAAATGGCATCAGCTCAACCCAACAAGCAATTTCTGCTCATCTCTACTGATCCGGCTCACAATTTGAGTGATGCTTTTGGTGAAAAGTTTGGCAAAGACGCTAGAAAAGTTACCGGGATGGACAACCTGTCGTGTATGGAAATTGACCCTTCTGCTGCGCTCAAGGATATGAACGACATGGCTGTGGCGCAAAACGGCAGCGGAGGAGACGGGCTCGGCGATTTGCTGCAAGGTGGCGCTCTTGCTGATATCACGGGCTCCATTCCAGGTATCGATGAGGCACTCTCGTTCATGGAGGTGATGAAGCATATCAAAAGACAGGAAGAAGGTGAGGGTGAGAAATACGACACTGTCATTTTCGACACAGCTCCTACGGGCCACACTTTGAGATTTCTGCAATTGCCCCAAACGCTTTCGCAGCTTTTGGAAAAATTTGGAGAGATTGCTGGCAAATTTGGTCCTATGCTCAATTCTTTCACTGGCGGAGCTCAAAATATGGATATAATGGGCAAGATGAACGAACTTAAGGCAAACGTGGAGAAAATAAAACAGCAGTTTACGGATCCGGAGTTAACTACTTTTGTGTGTGTGTGCATAAGTGAATTTTTGTCGCTTTACGAAACCGAACGTTTGATTCAAGAACTGATGTCTTACGACATGGATGTCAACTCTATCATTGTCAACCAGTTGCTGTTCGCCGATGATGACAATGAGCACAATTGTAGACGTTGTCAAGCGCGTTGGAAAATGCAAAAGAAGTACCTGGATCAGATTGATGAGCTCTACGAGGATTTCCACGTTGTTAAAATGCCGTTGTGTGCCGGTGAAATCAGAGGGTTGAACAACCTTAGAATGTTCTCGCAGTTTTTGTCCACTGGTTACGAGCCAAAGACTGATGGCAAAATTATTTACGAATTGGAAGAGCAGAAATGAGGGTGTGTAAGTGAATAGAAGTTGAAACTGAGCAAAGAGAGGAGGGAATTTTTGTTGTCCAAGGCTATTTCAATGCCGAGGACAGCTGTATATAATGTAGCAAATGCGTGAAGCTAAGAAAAAAAATAATTCTGCTCCAGGGGAGGTTCGAACTCTCGACCTTCAGATTATGAGACTGACGCTCTTCCGACTGAGCTACTGAAGCATTTTTCAGTTTTGTCCAATAAATTATAGTATCTAATTCCTACAACATTAAACGTGCCTTTAAGACCAACTTCAAAAGATATCTCTGGACATGCATTTTATGCTGGAGCCTTGTTTCATATGCCTACTTATTCCTTATGATATACAGCTCTTACATCCACAAGGCTCCACTACTTTGAACTGTTATTCTAATCGAGAAATCTTGCTGTGACACTCGACTCTGTCAGTCTAGGGTCTCGTTCATGGTGTCAGCCTCTAGCTGAGCCTTTTTCAACCATCTTGCAACAATGTCGTCCCGCTCTTGTCTCACTTTCTCGTACCGTTCCTGCAGCAAATTGTTTTCGATGTTCAGTGTAATGATCTCGTCATTCAGCCGTTCTGAGTCCTTGTTTTTCAATTTTAAGGTAGCCACGAGGTCGGCGATATTTCTTTCCCGACTTGCAAGCTCTTTTCGCATATCTGTGAGTGGATCCGGCAACTCTTGTTGAAATTCACCGTTTTCTTGCAATGCAGATGCCGTTTCGAACAATTCAGAGAAGTTCTTCTCAATAGCGTCTCTTTCAATCAGTTTTTGTTGTAGTATTCGCTCCATTGAAACTGGTAGAAGCTCAAATTAGCGTCACTGCTTATAAACCTTGATTTGGCCATTAACCTGGCTCCTCTAAATCAAGTTCGAGTTAAGGTTTGATTGAACTTGGCAGTAGTAGACATTTATCCAATTTAATTCATCTTGACACATCAAACAAGAAAACACTCTCAAGAGTGCCTGTTTTGACTCCAAAGTTGTCCGTCAATGCATCTGTAAGGTTGTAAAATACCCTTTTTCAATAGCTGACTGAACCGGAACTACAGATGAATGAACCAGTAGTTGCAGGCGGTAGCTCTGTGCCAGAACGTAAGGAACAACGATGGCCAACGTGGATGTCATCTCCTATCAGTGGTATAAGAAGTCCTAATTATCAAGCAGCTCTCGAAACTTCGAATGCAAAAACTAATGGAGGAACTGGCCCCGCTGAAGCTACGTCTTCATGGCTTGATAATATAGGGAAAAACCTACCGTCGTTTTTATATGGGCGTTCCGAAGAGCCTGTGAACATGAATGACCTGGCAGATTACGGCCGTCTTAGCAGCAAACAGATTCAATTGCTTGAATTGGAGGCTCAACAGGGTATTCGGAAGAAAACTGACACATGGTGCTGGTATGAAGATGTCACTCTCATCGCACCAGAAGAATTGGCACTACCTAATCCAGGAGAGCTAAGTGTGGCTAATACGGGCTCAGCTGTGTGTCCCCTGCCACTTGTAAAATTTCCAATCTCTAGAGATTCGTCTGAGCGATTCTACGTCCAGAACTCTCTTATTCTGCCTAATGTGCTACCGGGTGAGCTTTTTCATGAGAGGACTACATTCAACAAAATATCCGCGGCATTGAAGAACTATTATAACTTCGACGGTGAGAAACACACTTACTTGGGCCGTGGAACCGTCTCTGGCAGGCTAGAGCGGAAAAAAACCATTATTGTATCCTTTGTTGGCGGACTGCCAGAAAAATACGAAAAGGCGACCTTAGGGAAACAGCTTTCTGCCAAGCATCTTACAGGTAAAATAGCCGCAGCTCTAAAACGATATGATGCTAATAAAGTTGTCACATTTTCAATAGAATCACCATTGGACCAGAAATCATTACAGGACTGTAGTAGCGAGAGCACTGAACTCCTGAGTAATTGGAGGCATCATTTCAGCGGCGCTGACTTAATACTATTTGCAGGGGTGTATTACAGTGTGCCATTGCAACTTCAAGTTGCCAAAAGGATTCTCGAGCAACGAAGCAATTTTGGAGTTCCAGATACTGCTACCATCGGACTACTTGGAATAGAGTCGTGCTTAGGTGGCTACCAATTTTGGGACCACAGTTCGGATTCGAGTGGGGACACAAACTCTTCAAACTACCAGGCTAATAGAGAGAAGATTTTGCTACAAGGATGCACGCGAATAGAACAAGACAATTTATCCAGGATAGCACAATATCGAGACCCTAACTCTACGGAATCCAAGCAGGTACAGTGTACTTTGGACTGGATTTTTCGTCACCAAGCATGCGCAAAACTGGTACTATTTGGTAAGCTCTATGATAATTTTATGACAATTGCCGAAAAGCTTGCGATTAATCTCCACCACCCAAATATTATAAGGCATGTATGGTGCGAGGGATCTAGTCTAGGTCTCGATTACAAGAAAAATCCCACCTTTCTTCCTGCAGGAGAAAAAATCAGTAAAGGACCGGTCAATTATCAAGGAACGCTCCAAGTACCTGACGACAGAAGATTTGAGATATCGCTGGTCGAAGACCTTTTGATGGCCATCAACTTAGGCCACACCCAGCTGGTACCAATGCTGAAGATGATCAGTCCGTTTTTCATTTCACGCTCCTTCAACAAGCATACCGTACCCGCGACAGTAAAAAAGCAGCAGCAATATGAACTAAAAGCATGGCTGCAAGAAATGGATCAGAGATGGAAGAATGCTGGCTTGGCAAAGAATGGCACCTTACCTGCTGAAATCGAAACTGTCGACAATCTTTTGACCTACGTTTTTTATAAGGCCAATAAACCGGCCCCAGACCGTTTCAAGATAAAAGAAGGTATTTTTGACGACTCCCAAGTATTCCATTCGTTTTTACATGATACACTGTTGACAACTGCACTGCTAGAGCCGCAACCAGTTGGATTTCTTTCCAAAACTGTCACTCCTGTAAGCATTCTGAACAGTCAGAATCAATACGATCTGGTGTGGCAGATTCACGACTTCCTTTCCTACTTCGCTAAGATCAAAAACTTGCCTCTCTTCCCCGACCCATTGTTGCTCTTTTCTCTAGCGCACGACTCGTCCACCATGTCGTCTGCCGAACCACATTCGATTGAATTTCGTCGAGGTAAAGAAGAGGCCTCGAGAAGAATTGAAAAGTTTTGGGAGTTATATCAACTGTGGAAACCACCTACCAAGGGCCTCAAGCAATTACAACGCATTCTAAGCTTCCTATCCCTCTACTCATCCGGCCGTCATCTGCAAGTGGACCTCAGGCGTATACAATGACGCATCTCAGATGTACGAGTTATTCTTATTCGAAGAGCGATCACTTGAGCTGAACAAATACGCCAATATCATCCTCACTAGGCCATGACTAGCTCTTTAAAGCGGGTATGTGATCATCAGAAGAATCCTTTGATCAAATTCAGTGAACTATTCAGGCTAAATGGACCATTGGTAACTAACTTGACATTAAAATGCAGCTAACTTCAAGTGATGCTGAGGATGCTGAGAAGAAGCGATTCCAAGGCAATGATAGTACCCCAACTTCTGTCGCTGTTCTAGTAAGTCTAATACCAGGAAGAGAAGGCAAATTTACTATTCAGGGGAAGCCGGTGACAACTATCGGGCGTAGTCGGAATTGCGATATTGCCCTAACCGAACCAGATATTTCCACGACACATTGTGAACTCTCTGTTTTGAGCGTTGAAATTGATGGTGGTAGCAGACAGATTGTGAACATCGTGGATCGAAGCCGGAACGGAACTTTTGTGAATGGCAACAGGCTTGTTAAAAAAGACTATATCCTACGAAATGGCGATAGAATAGTGTTCGGAAAAAGCTGCTCCTTTTTATTCAAGTACTTGATCACCGAGGAAGAAGAGGAAGAAAGGGATGTAGACGTTTTTGATGTGCCGTCCGAAGAAAATAACAGTACCAAAATCCTGTTCAAAAAGCCGTCATTAAGTAGCCATGACGTCCTCATAAGAAATACCATGTCAATGAGACGACCTACCTTTTTCGACAGATTCGTGATAGGAAAGGAATTGGGGACAGGCCATTACGCAATTGTGAAGCAGGCAACTGACAAAGACAGCGGTGATGTAGTTGCCGTTAAGATATTTCATCCACAACAGAATGACGACCAGAAAAAGACGAAACAGTTCAGAGAAGAGACGAAGATCTTAATGAGCATACAACATAAAAATATTGTCAAGCTTATTGATAGATTTGTTGAGCCTGTTAGCAAATCCCAAATGCAGACGTATCTGGTTCTGGAAAAGGTGAATGATGGTGAGCTGTTTGACAGAATTGTTAGGAAAACGAAACTTGGACAAGAGGAAACTAATGCTATTTTCAGACAGCTCCTTCACGGGTTGAGGTATCTTCACACCAAAAATATCATTCACCGAGATATTAAACCCGAAAACATACTTTTAAACATTAGAAGACGAAGATATGGAGAGGAAATACAGCTAGGGCCCTGGGACGAAGACGAAATCGACATAACAGTTAAGATTGCTGATTTTGGCCTAGCAAAATTCATTGGTGAGATGCAATTCACGAACACACTGTGCGGAACCCCTTCTTATGTCGCCCCGGAAGTACTTAAAAAGACTGGTTACACCTCGAAGGTTGATTTGTGGAGTGCGGGTGTTCTCTTGTACGTGTGTTTATGTGGGTTTCCTCCTTTCAGTGAGCAGTTGAGCCCGCCCTCCATGAAGGAGCAGATTTTGCAGGGAAAAGTTGCCTTCTACTCTCCATATTGGGATGAAATTGACGATCATTGCCTTCACTTGATATCGAACTTACTTGTAGCAAATCCTGCTTTTCGATTTGACGTCCAAAATACGATTGATCACCCTTGGTTCTCAAAATCACATCGAGAATCAGAGTCGGAAAAATTGGCACCTCTCCAGCGGCAGGCCGTTGCCCTCGATAAGATTCCCAAAACATATTCAGAATTGTCCAGTCTTCAAGGATGACGTAAAATCTATCTATACAAGTGCATTTACAAACTCACGAATTCCCTTTATCTACCACTTACTTAATTCAACGACCTTTTCTTGTACTTCTTTCTTTGCTTTGACCCTCATGTAAAATATGTCGCAGTTCTTGTTTGAGCATAAAACTTCATTGTGCAAACTACCAGAACACCGCTGGCATTGCGTCCACAGTCGTGCGAACTTTTGCTGAAGCTCTCTCACGTCAAAGAGAGCCCGCACATAGAACTCACCTGATCTGCCGACGCAATTGTGACACAGAGGACCTTCATCTTTCTTCAGTGGCCGCTTACAGCCTTTGCAAGTTTGGACTTTCTTGACAAATCCCATCAAACCTTGTTTGGTGCTGCCGGCACTGATTTTGATAGATTTCACGACAAACATAGAATTGGCGTGTTTTTCACCGATGATCGGTGCGATAATGCTAATGATTGGGTTTTGTAGCTGATTTGTCAGATAGTACTTGGAATCGATTTGAATGTTGTGCTCCAGCACATATAGCGGATCCTCCGCTCTGTTGTAAAGTTTATCGTTTCCTCCAATGACCACGTAGTCGACACGGTCACCAACGTTTGGTCCAACACCATCTCTTTTTATCATGCGCTCGGTGAGCACTGCGTGGGGTTGTGGATTGGTGTAATTGGGCGCCAACGTTTTTGAAATGATCAACTTCGAAATATCTGCTCTGTTGTGAAGAATATCACCGATAGTCTCTTTGACGAAATTCAACGCGTCGTCAACGTTACGGTCAATGAGAATCTTCTTCAAAACCTTGTTCATGACTATGGAAACCAATGGACAGGAGTCACGACGGACTGAGGCCAGACCTTTCTGGTCCAGCTTATCATATTTCTCTGGTTTGGTCCAATATAGGCCCGCGTACCGTTTCTTGTTGATGAGCAGGTATGGAAAGTAGGCCTTCTCAAATTCCAAGTTTATGGGATTCTTGAATAGGGCTGATACGTATTCGGCTGCCTCGGCACCGAGATCCATTGCAGTTTTCAAATCGCTTGTACCGAATTTGACCATGACAGAATCTGTATCACCATACACTACAACCGCGTCATGTTCGTACCCGTTTTTTATGCAGTACTTTTCCTCCACCGCTTGCTTTGTCCTCTCGATCATGGTTCTTCCAAATGACGTTACGGAAGAAGAAATAGCAAGGCACGGCAGCTTTCCAACTGTAGCACCAGTAAACCCGTATACCGAATTGGCAGAGATCTTAAGTGCCAGTTGTCTACCATTCAAAACGTCACGTTTGAATGGATCTTTCTCGGCGCCTAAATCTTTCTTAGCTCTTTTACGTGCAGTAATCAGCTCATGCAAAATTTCTGGTAGGATTCCTCGGCGCAGTTTAGCAGTTACGAAATAATCATTATTGGGAGTTACAATAAAGTCTTCGTCTTTCACCAAGTTCAACTTTTCAACCGTAGCTTTGTCGCACAGCGTTGTGTAGCAAAGATTGTGAGCCATCATGATACTGGGATAAAGAGAGTTGAAATCTAACGTAGCAACTGGTACATCGTAATATCCTCTGATTGGCTCGATGACCGTAGCACCCTCATATTGTTCATCGGAGCCCTGCGACTGCATATTTGGGATAACCGTGTCGATTTGCAAACACTTCCGAAACAACTGGGACACAACTTTAATTTGCTGGCCACGCGCCAGCAAGTATGAGAACGGTACACCTGTAACACGAGCCATCTCGGTGTAATTAACCAAAGCCATTAGTTTCTCTAGAAGTCGAAGTGGTAAAAACGCATCCTTCAAGCAGTAAACTGCTAAACGTCGCCTCGTCTCTGAATCCCCATTTTGGAGCGTACTGATAATACTGTGGTGAACATCCTCTTTTTGTTCGCCAAGAAAATGAGCAGAGACTGCGTTCAAAGTGTAGGATCTCAGCTTGTATTCACGCTGGACGAATTGCAGCAAATCGAGTTGCAGCCGACCATCTATATTGATGATTTTCGACTCGCGAGTGCCGTATGCTTTTGACGAGAACACTGCCTCTTTCACTTCTTGTTTGACAGTTTTCAACCTTCCAAAATAAGGAAATTCTTCAATCTTGAGCGCCCGGCCACGGCCCAGCAGATAAGGTAGATCGAAATTTGTGGTGTTGTAACCAACAATGACATCTGGGTCAACTTCTACCACAAACTTACGCCACTGTTTGAGCATTTCATTCTCAGTGGTATGATCGAAAATTTGAGATCCTGTAATGGGTGAACAGGTATTGACAGTGAATACATTTCGAACAAATGATTTGGATGCCCCAGCAATACTCACAACATTCGCAATTTGGATAACAGGATCGATTTCAGCTTCTGGAAATACCCCCACTCTTCCGGAACACTCAATATCAAAGGAAAGAATTCTGAGCGGAGCAGAGAGCGACCATTCGCCATCAGCAGGCCGAGCAATCAGATCTTTATAATTTACCATCACTTCCAGTTGGCATGTACTAACTTTTTCCCGCTCTGCAACCAGATTGTATTTCTTTTCCGGCAGAGTTATCCAAGACATTCCTGTGATGCCGCAATCTATCATGACCCTTAATGGAAATGCAATGTTGTCGTACGTTGATGCACCGCCTGAAAACCAAGTATCATTGTATGAAATATGACCACGCTCAAACCCGGTTCTTATCTTATTTATACCGGCAGGGTTTGTTGCGTAAATTTTTAGAAACGGCAGCTTAGCTGTTCCCGAGTAACCCCAAATGGACTGACGCATCGTAATCTCTATTTCATCCACAACGTAATCGTAGGAGCTGTTCAGATAATTTTGAAAAGCGTCGATATCTCTTTCTGTAAACCCAGCAGGTGCTGGAACGTAAAGGTAATGTCTGAATCCGGTAACACTGCAAAGCACCGAGTGGCCTTCGTCAGTAACTCCGAAAAACCGAACTGCGTGGGACGTATTGTTGACTTTGACACCGGGCAAAAGACACTGTTCGGCATCAAGTTGCTGGAACGAAATAGCGTGCGTTTGAGACGAAAAATCTTTTGGCAAAGGTTTACGAGCCCACGCTGTTTCATGACCGTGTTCTTGAGCCACTACAGCATCGTGGTCCATATGCAAAAGCTCCTGCTCGAATGCAGATGGATTTACGGATTGGGATCCATTGACTACACCTTTTGGAATGAAACCTTGCGTTTGTTGCTTGTTGAACTTGTCTGTTGGAATAATCTCGATGCCCGAAACAGGCTCACTTAATGCGCTGTGATCAAAGGATTGTGGCTTGAGACGTTTCTCCAAAACTTCTGAATCGCGCGACTCAGCTTCCCCTGGTCTTTTAAGCCCATTAGTGCTCATTTTCAGCTGCCTTCGTGCTGAATCTTTCTGTCTTTTGCAATTGAATGAGATGAGATGACTTTCCAATTACTATTTTCAATAACGCGTCTTTATTCCTATAAAGACGCGTCAGTAAGTCGAGACAGATATTTGTTAGAGGAATTATAGAGTCTGGATCTGTTTAAGTTGAATTACTTATGAGGATTGATTTTCACGGAGTTCGCAAAGTTGTGAGAAGTCTGGAACAGATTCTGGAGGAGTGTTTTCTGTAGAATAGGATATCGTCACGAGATGATGAGTTTAGTCGATATTGGGGATGAGGAAGTAGTTTTGTCTGGATGGGGTGAGCTATCCCTAGTTGATGTAGGATTGTAGGCCATTTTTCTACTTGTTTGAGTGTTAAAATACGGTTTTTTGCACTAGAAGATGCACTGTTAATTTTGTAGTGACATTGGTAGTGGAGACGGTTAGTTTTGAGATAAATAGTCGATTACAAGTATATTGGCAGCAAGTAGAGACTTGGAAAACTATTGAAAGTACCTGGTAAAGCTTTTAATAGCGCTGTTCCGCCATTTTTTGATGAGCATCGAATTTCGTCAGATAAATCGATCTTGTTGCCACTACCAGTATTTATCGAAATCATTCGAAATTGCACAGTAGTGGATGATGACTCAGTGGTTAAATTCTCGTAACTTTCATTCACGCTGTACGCTTTTCCTAGTGATTGTACGTCAAAAGTTGTATCGTAGCTAAGACCTCACCGAAAAATGACAGAATAGTACAGAGTGATCTAAGTTTGGAAAGAATCGTTGGAGTGCGATTTGGATTGGCATATTCACCAGAGTCTAGGCGATATGGCTTTTGGCTTCGAGAGACGGGATGTGACGTTCAAGATGTTATACTCGCTGTGAGGCTCTGTCTCTGATGGCCGTTTTCACGATAAACGTCTCATACCTTTGGTGATCTTTTCCATTACTATCATGTGTTAGCTATCATTCTATTGAGTTGAGAGTTATTTTTTCGTGTTTTAGTAAGCATAAGCGAGATGAGATGTAGGCTGGATAAAGTAGCCCTTCTTATACAATTTTTGGGAAGAATTTCGGGCGCAATTACGTCAATGGATTCTTGCAAATGTAATATCATCAGCGCAAATTGCAGCACCCGATAAAGTTGGCGTTATTTTCATTAGATCTGGAGCAACTTGTAGTCGCTCCAGATTCTTGACTATCTCGTCAACTCCGTCGCTGTCATCATGTCACGTGTATGTGAGCACTTCGTCATTGATCTGACGCTAGGCAAACAGAGATTCAGGCACTTCAGGAGCGTACAACAGTCTTTCATCAGAGTAAAAAATGAATCTCTCGGCTAAGTAATTTGAAGCAGAATCTCCGACTGGAGGTCGTTAGAATTTCGTTCCATTTTTTGATTTGTGATCCGAATTGAGTTATTAGTGTATGCGTCACCTCTATCCAAGACACGCTTCAACCTTGATATCGTTTATACGATACGTTTGTGCAATAAGGTTTTAAAAGTAAATGTGCATAGATTCTGCAGTGAAGAAATTATTCATCTGTGTCGTGCTCGTTCATTCGTGATCCTGGTGAGATAGCGAGTAGTCTCTGATGGCATATGTCCCATTGGTAGGAACTCAAATTCTGCGTATCCGTCCTGATGTTTGTTTCTTGAGTCTGATCTATTGTTGTGCTTTTCACCTTTTCAAACTAATCAAGACACACACTGGAATTTGTCAATGTTACTCCTAACTACATCTTGTAATCACTAATCAAAAAAAGATCCCAGCTCAATGAACTTTCGATGTATTTGCAGTTTATATGGTCAGATTTTGATGTATTTCTTCCAATGACAATTCTTTGCCGAGTAGCTTTAAAGTTTTTGAGTTTTGATGATTTCCGGCTCATTGTAAGCTAACAACTGTGTCATGAGAGAGCCTGTGCGCATTTTGCAATTTCATCAAGCTAGTCGCACTATCTCCGTACTGATCACAGATCTAACGTTAATTAAAATTAAGAAACAATCCGAAATTGTTTCTCAGTTGGATCTTAGAGATGATGTTACAGTAGATACTGCGTGACGAGTAAGCTTTTAGCTTGATTGCTTTTCTTCGTCGAGTTTCACTATGCCCTTTGAGTCTCATTAGCTCGGGCACTGTAGACCTCATCTTTGGGTTTCGGGCATTCACTTCTAATATAACAGACGGGTCTGCCAAAATTAGAAACAGGAGCACCACTATCCAGTAGTAGGAGAAAACAGTCGTGTGGCATACTTTTTGTCAAGGCCTTTGCCGTTGAAGCCTTTCTAAAGGTGCCTTTTTGGGTTCTTCTTGCTTCCATGTTTGTCGCGGCCAAAATGATCTTTCTCGGTGTCTCTAGTACTAAAATCCCTCTTGGGTTCCTTGGGTTTTACGCCGGGTAGTTGACTCCAGTCATAGTCGGTTCTCCACGTAGCTCTATTGTTAAAGGAGCCATAATAGCCATATTGGCGGAATGCATCTAAAACTAAACTCATTGAGTGCGCAATACAGACTGAATTGAAGTCAAGAAATGTGTTTTCATGAACTTCAGGCCGGATGCTTTTAATAATAAAAGATTTGGCTTCACTTGGGTGTTGCATGTATCCAGTCTCTAGGGATCTTTCAAGTAAGATCTCAACATCCCTAGCGAAGACAAAAGGGTTGGTGCGAAGATCAAACTTCAAGGCCTTCCAATCATCGCCTAGGTCGTTTTGCGATGATTCGGAAGTTGATCCGGCAAGTTGTCGCCAGGCTCTATAGCCAGATCCTTTCGCTCCGGGTCTTTCCACTTCTGGTGGATAAGCTGAGAAGCTAACAAATTGGTTCATCAGTTGATCGATGAGCCATAACTCCTCAATTGTAGGTTCTTGAAGACAATAACCATTGCGATTGGGGATCAAATATCCACGGCCTTCATTTATCAAAATATCGTTAATTTTGGCAATATGAGGCAAGAATCCTGCCTCTTCTTCGACAGCAAATAAGGGACCATTAGCCAAGTCGTTGATACGGGAGCTGTAACTACTATTAGATCCTCCACGAACGTCGGCACGGGCAATCCATTTTCTCAAAGTAGAGTATTTATCAGGAAGACCATTGTCATTGTCATAGTCATTGTCAACGTGCATAGTGTTAGTAGCCCCGAGAGGAGCTCTTTTCTCGAGACTTTCAACAATGGAAGGTTTATCGTCTTCAGACAAGTTTAATTGAGTTTCCCTCGGAATCTCTTCGCTTTTTGGGATATCTGTGGTATCATGAACGATTTTAGGGGCGCTACCAAGTTGAGACTCGTCTTGAGACTCTATTTCTAGAGTGTCGTTGCCCGATAGAGTGAGTCTGTAGAGTGCCTTGGTAGAACCGTTCTCTTTCCCTTGGGAGGTCTTCAATTGAGTTTGATTCATAGTCTTAGTTTCCTATGATCTAAAAACGTACCTTTTCGTAGTGCGTTGAGTATATGATATTCTTGAGCACTTTTGTATGATTCTTGAAAACCTACCTTGCTCCACAAAAGAAGAGAAAGGGGTGTAAGATACCATCAGTCTGTCCGTACTTAGGTGCAGTCTGGGTGATTGGTACCAACATCCGTTCGTTTAGATCTCTTGGCTATTCGTGCATTCCCATGTTTCCAAACATATCGTCACGTGATCTCGAGGATTGTACAGTAGATCTGACGCCAGGCGTTAGAGGAGTGACCTACAAGTCTGTAAACCACTTTTATCTTGGGTATCAGGGGCAGTACTACTTTTATCAAGAGTTTTGCAAGCTTTTTAGGCGCTCTAACCGAACGATATGGCATTGTTACTAAAATCCAGACTGTCATCATTATATATTGATGTGTCGCTGACACTAGTCACGTGGGTTTTGGTTTTAGAGAATCCTTACACATCTGAAGAACTCAGTTTTGAGCCACCCATCACGTTCAAACCCATATTTTCACAATTCTCATCATTCTAACATTTTAAACCCACGGTTTCCTTTTGTCTCTGCTCCTACCGTTGTTTCCCTCAACACACATCGGTCATTTTCTGTAATAATGTCATCGTCCAGAAAACGTCGAAAGACACCAGCAACACCAAACCCAAATCAGAAAAGAAAGAGCACTGTGGGGATAATTGGGAGTCACGGATAAGCCTACTCTTCACTCAACCAACCATTTCAAATGTGTTTCAATGTCCCATGAACTTTGTTTTAAAACACACTTCCTCTACTCTCATTTTTTCATCGACGGAAAAAAGAAGAGAATACAAACCTGATAATTCCCAATTCATGTCTCTCCCTAATAAACCTTGCAACTCAAGTGCCATCTCACTTTCCTTCAAAGTTCAACTCTCTTGTTCTATCATTTTGATCGCAGTGTGTCGTTGTCGTACAAAACGACCTTGAAATTAGCTAATAAAGTCTAAAAACCTGATTGAACACGCACTACATGAAGAACTGAAAAATCACCAGAATCAAGCCAGTAACTCCTGCTAGAAATCGTTTGATTTACGTACGGACTTACCTTCCAAAGCGTACTACCATTTTTATGGCTTGTTGGGTTTTTCCACTTTTTTGAACTACCCTGAAAAGCTGAGTTTTCATCAAGAAAATCATCAGGTCAATCGTTCAGCCATTGTTCACTCATTGTTCCAACGAGGTCAAAGTTTCGTTTGACAACTAAAGAAAGAAGAACACTAGGTTTATACAAAAACGATACACGAATAATAGGAGACGCACACATCCAAGCTGAATTCTTGGTATAATGACTGACGAAGGGTATACGAAAGAGCAAGAGGTTCTCACGAAGTCGATTGTGGGTAAAAACAACCATGCGTTTTACGAAGTGCTTTCTGTTGAAAGAACAGCGTCCGATATCGAGATCAAAAAGGCGTACAGAAAACTGGCCGTGAAATTACACCCAGACAAGAATAAACATCCACGGGCAAGTGAAGCTTTCAAACGCATCAATAGAGCTTTTGAAGTTTTGAGTGACATTTCCAAAAGGCGTATTTACGATCAAATTGGTAGAGACCCAGACGACAGAGGAGCACGCGATCCGTCAAGCAGCGGGTTTGCCAGCGGATCCTCCTCTTCTTCCTCCTTTTCACCAGATGGCATGTTTTTCAGAAGAGCCCAACAGAATGGGCCTCCTCCCGACATTTTTGATTTTCTGTTTAATTCGCGAGCCGCAGGCGGCGGACACCCTTTCAACAGCGCTTTTGGAGGTGCACCATTTGGTGGTGGTGGACCCTTTGATGGACCCTTCGGTGGCCACGGTGGAACTACATTCACTTTTGGCGGACCCAACGGTTTCAAAGTTTATACTAATGGCGGGCCAAGAGCTCGAGCGTCGCCTGGAGGCGCTCAAGATGCCCAGCAGCAACAACAGGAGGAACAACGTGAAGTGCAGCAAATAATGAGAATACTCATACCTATTTTGGTGATTCTGTTTTTACCGATGTTAGAGAGATTCCTTTTTGGTGGCTAACAAAAACTGATTTTTCTTCGGCACCTTTGAATGTCTGGTCTCTAATTTCGAGGAATAAGAACTTTCACTCAACTCGAGAGACCCCATTGAAATTCAAAATAGGATTTTTCCCTCATACGTGTATAATAAATGTTTAATGATAATAAATGCATCCTGTTTGATATACTAAATGTGTATATGATGTAAAATGTTACAATAGCCATGATCGCTGAAGTTTTTTTCGCCAAAAAAGATGGCAAAGTGTAGAAGCTGTGACTCTACTTCCTCTAAAAGCATGTGCTTATTCTAGATCTCTGAGACGTTCCGCGATAATAGCATCCACGTCTTCATCTTCTTGTCTTTTGATCTTGAACCTCAGCTTCTTGCTGATCTTTTGGCTTAAAGCCCCGGGGCCGCTATTTTGATCTGAGTCAGGTTTATGCCGCTTTATCACTTTACCACTTGGTAGCACCTCATACTCCTCGCTATCGTATTTAGGACCATTCCGTGCGCCGACTTTTCCCAATGTACCTGCTAACGTCTTACTATTACCAGGGATTGTGTTTTTTCTCGATCTCGGCCCGTCACTGGTATCGGAATCAATAACGCCTTCGTGCCGATGCAAAACTTTATCTGTGTATCTAGAAAGTGTGCTAGGGTCCCTGTCCCAAGTCCAGCCTTGTTTCAGTTCGTTGAATGCTTTGATTTCCAATTTCTTGCGCACGTCATCCTTTTGCTCTAATTCCATGAAGACTTCGGAGTTGGAAGGCTTGACCATGATTTTAAGAGCCTTTATGACAATATCAAGTATCAAAGGAAGCAAAATCAAAACGAGGCACGAGCACCAAAAGGTTGCGTCGTCGCCAAATTGGTGGTATAGCCCAACCAAGACATCGTAAGGCCCGTCTTGTGAGTAAATACCTGGCAGTAAACATAACCACACTAGCCAACCCCCAACGGAGATTATCAAAGAGCCAAGAGCCAGAAAGTTTCGATTGTGAGTTTCCAGTAGCTGACACTTGACGTTTACGAGCGCTACAATCGCGGTGAAATTGATGACACCGATGGGGTAAATCGTATTGTCCGAGAGCGAAGATACCGCCCAGATCTTCCAATTGAGAAACGAGATAACCACCGAGTTCAATGCCGCCTCGAACATCCAAAACAGAAATACTTTCAGGTTGAAACTTTCCGACAAACGACCAGATGAGTATAGCTCTGGGATAGCCAACAAGGTCATTGGCTTGAGATCCTTTTCAAACATCCCTATGCATAAAACAGGGAGCGATGTGAAAAGTGTGTTGAACATTGAAAGAGACCAGGGCTCATATAATGATGTACCAGAAAACAGGGTGTGTCTCTGATAGATCATTTGAGTGATGTAAAAGAGAAGCTCTTTGTAAAACGTACAAAGAACAAATTTCGAAGTGCGAACATAATTGTAACGGCCGTGCACGAGTAATAGCTTGAGAAGAAATCTGAACTGACCAATCGAATAGTCCGATGACCTAGACGCCTGAAGCCCCTCTTTCCCAGCAATTCCAACACCAATGTCGGCCGATTGGATCATGGCAATATCATTTGCCCCATCACCAATTGCTAAAGTCACTAAATTCTTATCGGTCTTTCTAATGTTGGAAACCATCAAGGCTTTTTGCGATGGTGATGCCCTACAACAAATGACCGAATCAGTCTTGGTGCAGAGCTCCACAAATACAGACATCAAAATAGGGTTCGTCTCGAATGTGGCCAATGTTGAGCCATCAATTACTACAACACAATGGGCGACATTTCCTCTCTCGATCTCTTGAGTTAAAGCGGTCAGCTTAGAAGACATGTTTTCATCCTCAGCTGACAGAATAACCACTGTCGAATAATCGTGAATCAAATTGCAGGAATAGCCGATATTAATCGCTGTTTCACGCTTATCACCAGTCAGCATCCACATTTTGATGCCAGCTCTTCTTATCTTGTTGATAGCATCGGCAACACCTTCTTGCAATTTGTCCTCAATAGCGGTTACACCCAGTAAATTCATTGAAGTTTCTACAGTTTCGCCAACAGACTGCATTTTCTCCTTCCTTCGCTCTAAAGACGTTTTCGCTGCATTATATTCATCAGCCCACTTTTCGTAAGTCTCGGCATCAATCCACTTGTAGCTGTAGAGAAGGGTTCTGAGTCCATTTGTTGAAAACTCATCAATTGCTTGTAACGACCGCTCCAGAACATAACCTTCGTTTTTTAGTAATGTTTCGTCGCCAATATAAGATTCAAGATCAAAATCACTCAAGTCTCGAGTAACATCAGGCGGAGTCGCGGCTAAAAATTCGGAAGATAAGTCGGTAGATCCAGATCCCGCTGAGTTCTGGATAGTAGGATTGTAGCGCTCCTTCTGTTGCTTTTGGAGCGACTTGCGACTTTTGAAGTAAATGTCATGCACCTCATTGTCAGCTCGTTCGACGTCATTCAAGAATTCATCAATAGAATTTATTTGAACCTCTGGATCACCGCCGCCCATGCTTTTTCTGGATAGACTCTTTATAGACAGACTCTTTCTTGCCGCTTGAAGAGATACCCTGACACTTTGTCTTTGGGATGACTTTCGCCTAAGAGATGTTTTGGGTCTGGCTTGGGCCGCCAATTCCAAGGATTGTCTTTGTTTCAAAATGAGATCTGCTTCTGCAGTCTTTCTCTCATTAGTAGATTCCTGCAGCTCCGAAATTTTCTGGCTTGCAAGATTGCTGTTGTGAAGGCGTTCGAGAATCACATTGTCAGCACCCTTACAAATCAAAAGTACTCGATTCGGTTCCAGTGGCATGCGAACTAATACTGACATTCTTTTGCGGTCAGAAGTAAAGTCGATAAAATGCAAAATTTCATAATCCTCTATTACAGGATTGCCTTCAAATCCAGACGGGTACGATTTGATCGTTAAAACAGTGCCATTACGATTCAAAACCGCATAACCCATATCCCTAGCTGCAGTGACCAGTGCTAACTCGTCTGGAGAAGATGCTTGATACTCGACGGTATCTTCCTCATCTGCATCGGACGCTTTTCGCGGTAAACAAGAGTGACAGAGGGCTAATGCCATGATAAAAAACTTGGCTTTTTCGCTGTAATATGTGTGAGGGTGGCGCTGGATGTATTGTATAAGCTCATGAGAAGATCTCAACTCGTCATTTGCTGCAGGCCGCTTCTTGATGCTTGAATCGACTCCAACTATACCGCTAGATCGTCTTTCCTCTTCCATTTGAATACGAGATGCCATACTTGGTCTGCCTGTATAAGTAGCTGAACTGTTGCCCTTGTACTCTATTGATGTTTTCCTAGAAACGTCGGTCTTGGCTGAAAAATTCTTGAGAAAGCTTTTGTCGTCAACGGAAACAACGTCAATGTTACCGCTTTCATTAGACTCGGTAGTTCTCATTGTGTTGATTGTCTGATCTATGTCGTGTACCCATGATGTACCACAAATCGAGAGCGCTCTGAAGATCATTTTGTTGTCGGTAAGAGTTCCTGTCTTATCACTGAAAATGTACGATACTTGGCCCAGCTCTTCGAGAATTGTTGCTGTACGGGACTCGCATGGAGTGTTGGATGGAGCATGATACATGTCTATGTCCCATTCCATTAATTTGCTCTGCATCGCTTTGATAATTTCCATCGTGACATATAAAGACAATGGGATCAACGTGTTGTACATGATAATGAATGACATCACGGTTGGAGCAGCACCAGCATCTTGCTGAAACAAATACCAGGCATCGTTATTGTCAATCCACCTTTTTTTCAAGATTCTTTGAGCCAAAAACGATAGCAGTGCCATCAAAGCAACAACCAAAACCATAAACAAAACAATCATGTTGATAGCCTTCTGAAGTTTTGGTGCTTTGATTCTTGGATTTTTTATGGCATTCATGCGAATTTTGGTTTCCTCTCCTGTGAAAATTACCATCCCAATGGCATTTTGAGTATTTCTTACAATACTTCCACGATAAATGATATTGTCAGGGCCTATTGTGACCTTTCTCTGTTGATCCAGTAACTCCAGGTTACCTTCAAAATTATGCAAATCGATGTTAGGATCCTCTACGGTGATCCTGGCTCTAAATTTGGCCAAACCGGCAACCGTATCCATCTGCTCGCTAATCTCCCTTAAAGCTTGTTTGTTTTTCAAGTTTGTTTCTCCGTCCAGCGCCATAGTTTCTACAAAACAATCGCTGTTCTCTCCATCACAGGTCAAAAGTAACAGATCAGCCGGAACCCAATCGTCCTGATTTAAAATCACATAATCCCCAACCCGAAGTTGCCTCCATTGCTTTTCTACAACCGATACGCCAAAGGAGCGTTTCAACACATCCCAATTCGTGAATGGCGTAGCTGTGGAAGGTAGAAGACCTCCATCCTCGATAAAATTTGACGGTACAGCATTCAGTGCACTCGTCGACGTGGTGCTCTGCTCCCATTGCTGTAGGGAATAAATACTTCCTGAGCTTCTCAGGTCGCGATTGGACCCTGTCGATGGGCCTCCAATGTCATCTTGATCTTGCACCAAAACTTTCACGGGTTTGTTGTTTTCGTCACGATCGAGTTTGTGTCTACGAAAATCATCCCAGGCTTCTCGACACATGGAAATGCCCATGAATATCAGAAGAGGGATAATAGTTGTGTAAGTCCCTGTTGTGGACCAGCCTGGGATCATTTGCAGAATTGCGACTAAAAGAAAATACGAGTTGGCCAATCTGGAGAATTGAGCAAATAGCTGTCGCGGCAGAAAAGTGTATACTGTGTAGCGCGATGATGTGATGATGTTATCGCGGTACGGTTTTTGACTTCTTTCATCAATCAGTTTATTTCCGTAGGCCCCGGTGAGATCCTGAAATACTGAATCTGAATGATCCAAGCTAACGGGTATCAGTCTTCCAGCCTTAGTATGCAGGTTACTATTTCTTCGCAGAATCCAATTAACAAATCGACTGGTTATGTCAACCATGAGAGCGCCGCGAGGAACATCGTCTAAATCTTGACCAAATTCGTCCGGTCCTTCTTCTACCTCGTAATCCTGCTGAAATTTGTCGTGTAGCTGCTTATTAAATAATTGAGTACGCAGCGAAAAAGCCCTCTGACGTTTCATTGGACCCATTGGTGAAGGCTGAGTAAAACCTGATCTTTCACAAACCCAGTTTATCCCAAGATGGGAGAGAGAGAGCTTCTGTGATATAAGCCTAGCCGTAGATGTTGATACCGATGCTGTTATAGAGGTCATGTGATGTTAAGCAGCCCTACTGAGCAACAACTTCAACAACGGCGTGAGGGTCTGTGAAGTAGCATGATTACTTCTGGCTCTTAAGAGAGGTCAAAGTTATACTCCTAGCTCTTTGGCTAGTGCTTTCCAGCACTTTCCGGCACTTTTCAACTTTTCAAAATCGTGACACTAGCGAGTGAAAGACGAGATGATAAGTTTGCCAGAGGATTTTACCTCTAGCTTAGGTTACGAACTCTGCACTTTTTGGGTGTTTGAAAAGTTGACAAACCCTAGAAATTTGGGTAGAAGTGGTGGACGATTTGTCTTAATTGGTGGTTCGTGAATCGTGAAAGCGTCGTTTGAAAGTTAGCAGAGGAATTAAATTTGCAATGTGAAGTCGATTCTCAGCTTGAGACCTACCTTTTTGGTTTTCTCGTTCATGAGTCTCTGGAAAAGGGTTTTAGACATCTTATCTTTTGGTGTGTCTTCTTTTACCGCAGAAAATCTATGATTGGAGGGCGTAATCGCAAATTTGTGGCCAGCCACATTCAAAGAGCCACTCTAGCTGTATCATCCTTCAATTGCATACTCATCAAGGTGTTAAGGAATCTTGCCACCAACATCTCGTACCACGTCGTTTTCAGAAAATAATGGTGAGCGGGAAGCCTCGGATTTGCGGTGACAGCCAATTCAGTCTCTGTGTATTGACTGGAGGATACTTTCCTCAGCATCAACACCTCCGCTTGCCCCTTCGATCTGGGTTTATCTAACCGCCAATGGTTCTATCGCTGCTCGATGACCAATTCGACGGTTACTTGCAATAAATTACAGCGACATATTAGGAAAAAACGACCACTGGGTGCTTTACTATTACGGTAAAAACTGTGTTCGAGCAAACCGGTGCGGTTCAATAGGTGAGTTTTGGGTTGAGTGTTCGAGGAAGCGGTTGCGTGTAATGAATTGTAATGTATTCATGTTCTGTTCATCTATTGAGCCGTTTTGAAAGCCATCGATTAACATCCTATGGAAAAGAGGCGAGAGATAATCCCGCTGCGTAAATAGAAGTGGAGATACTGCAGCAGTTGCAAAGTGAGTTTTAGATTAGGAAGTCTTTCTTTTACAGTTCCTAATTTGACTCGCATTGACAGGAATTGTCATCTTCGAAAACTCTTCCAACGACAGACTAGCACATCGAAACTTAAACAACTGCCAAAAAAAAGCAGTTCTTCTCTCATATAGTAAAAACCGAGCTTGGATTTGGTCTTCTATAGTTTGCGCCTTTTATTTTGGGAAATTTTGACGAAATGGCCCCTACCTGAACTATAGCCTGAATTTCCAATAAAAATAATCATTATCGTGTCGTCGACATTAGACAGAGAAAGCGTAGACAATACTCATTTAAACGGGCGGAGTAAACAATTTTTTGAAATGTATGTCAACCTAAATGGTAAACTAATGACTGACTTTTGGGATTTCAACTAGTGAGGGCTCCAGCGTCATGAAATTGATGCTTTCTTACTCGTAATAAGATATCCTCCTGACACAAAAGCTCGAATTAAAGAGTTGATAGCAACTGTCAGATAAGCACCAAAGATCCAAATTCAATACCATTCTATATCTGAATTTCCCATGGGCACGACCTTTGATACTTACAACTGTAACTGTATCCTGTATATTCAGTCACGTGGCATGTGTCAGTAAATCAGCGAAAGGATAATATGGCACATCTCATGCCAATAGCTGCAACAATTTTGATCAGAATTAAAAGCGATCATTGCTCTATCGCTGTGCTCGCTCTTTCTCCCCATATTCATCATCACTTTGTTTTAAACTGTCATCAGATATTTTGGATTATGTAATATTCCGTATTTTAATATGTTACCGTTAATTTACAAAAATAGCACATACTCTTGAACTTCAACCTTGGATCTACTACAGCCAAAAGTCACCAAACAATGGGCATCCAGGAGCTTTACGAGGCCAATGGCCAGTCTGCTCTATTCAAACATTTAAATTCTTTGAACAATGCTGAAAAGCAGAAATTTGAGCTAAATTTGGAAGAGATTGCGACTAAAAATGACCCAAAAACGCTTCTGCAAAACTGTCAAAAGGCAATCGAGTTGAGCTCTGAAAACTCAAATGATACTGATCCAATTGTGCCATTACCAAGTACTTCTTATGAGTCTTCCGTGGGACGTCCTGATCTGGAGCAGAAATATCGTGAAATCGGTCTGCAAGAATTGTCCAATGGCCGCGTTGCTGTCATTTTGATGGCTGGGGGTCAAGGAACAAGATTAGGTTCTTCCCAACCAAAAGGCTGCTACGACATAGGTTTGCCTTCGGGAAAATCCCTCTTCCAAATTCAAGCGGAGAAGCTTTCGCGTTTACAGAGCATTTCTAAAAGTCCCAGCCCTATTCCGTGGTATATCATGACTTCTAAGCCAACCAGAAACCCAACAGAACAGTTTTTCCGCGAAAACAACTATTTTGGGCTTTCTAAGGACCAGGTTATTTTTTTCAACCAGGGAACACTACCAGCTTTTGATCTAGAAGGCAAGCATTTGTTGCTGGAATCTCCAACACAGCTGGTCGAATCTCCAGATGGTAACGGTGGTTTGTATCGCGCTATAAAAGATAACGGAATTCTACAGGACCTCGTGGAAAAAAAAATCAAGCATGTTCATATGTACTGCGTTGACAACGTGTTGGTGAAACCGGCTGATCCTGTGTTCATCGGCTTTGCTCTCAACAGGGGATTCGATGTGGCCACGAAGTCGGTTCGCAAAAGAGACGCATCTGAGTCCGTGGGTTTGATTGCTAGTAGAGGAGGAGCACCTTGTGTTGCTGAGTACTCCGAAATCTCGAAAGAAAATGCAGAGGCTACAGATGATGATGGTCTTCTCAGCTTGAGAGCAGCCAATATAGTGAACCACTATTACTCTGTTGATATTTTGCAGCGTGAACTGGACGAGTGGTGCTGCTCGATGCCATACCATATCGCAAAGAAAAAAATTCCGGTGTACGACAACCAAACAGACTCGTTTCTGAAGCCCACGCAGCCGAACGGTATCAAGCTAGAACAATTCATTTTTGACGTTTTCCCCTATGTGCCCATGAACAGGTTTGGATGTATGGAAGTGGATAGAACTAGCGAATTTTCACCTCTGAAAAATGCACCGGGCACCGCCAATGACAACCCTGAAACTAGCCGTGCGGCATATTTGGAATTGGGTACCAAATGGTTGAAGTCTGCTGGGGCCCAGGTCAGCTCCCGATCTCTCCTTGAAGTCCCTGGCACAATCACTTATGGGGGTGAAAACTTGGAGAAATACAAGGGGAAAAAGTTCGATGAGCCTATTTCTATTTTGCATTAAACGTCTATTATAGCATACTTACCAACGATTCGAACAAAACAGTCATCGCTTTTCCAACATTTGTCTCAATTCGTATAACACGGGGATGCTTTCTTCTGAGGTAAACTTTTTCCACTTCGAGGGCCGGCCCTCGACGGTCGATTCTTTGATATTTTCAGCCCTGTTGCTATCCAGTAGTCCAAAGCTCTTTTTTGTACGCAGTTTTTGCTTGCCCTGCTTGTTTTCAAAGGCTAAGCTCATTATCCTTTCATTGAGTTTGATCCGAAGCTCTTCATCTGTGAGCTTCCGAAACTCACCCTTGTGCTCGATGTTTTCATTGGCAAACACCACTTCGGTGATAGTATCATCTCCTTCCTGATCGGACTCCGTATCCAGTCCTGACCCTCCCACCTCGGTGAAGTCAACAGCCGAGGCTAAAACTGGCTTTTCGCTAAAGTGCCATTTTTGGTCAGACTCGGATTCACTGCCACCCAAAGTAGGTGATTGTAGAACATTCAAATTCAAGCCACTGAAATTTCTTTCTCTATTATGTGTATGACAGCGGCCTATCCTCAATGGCGCCGTCTGATGCCACATTTTAGAAATCTCGTCCAAATATCTATTCACTCGCTCAGTTAACTCATCTTCAGTCTTGGTATTATGTGTGATAAGGAATTTTTGCAGATTTTGCATCAAATTCAAAGTCGTGGCGGTGCGGTAATCGTGATGGTGGTGATCCTGAAGGTTTTGTATATCGCTTGGTAACGGTGTGTTGTCGCTCAAGTAAGATTTATACTGTACCAAAAATGCATATACGGTATTCAGTACTTTGAACAAAATATTGAGCTGATTTAGTAGCACACGTAACCTCTTGTACTCCGAATGCTGACCAGCCGCTTGATAACTTCCAAATATTTTTTTCAGTGTAACTTGATACTCTAGCTCCTTTTCGTGAGAGTCGTCCCTGCATCTTTGTCCAACTGATAGAAAACTACAGAGCAGGAACTTTTTCAATAAATGTGTTCTGCTGGCTTTCTCGCTCACGCCCACAGCATCGCCATTGACTGCAAAATAAAGGTCCACCAAATTGACATCATACAATTGACAATATCGAAATAGTTCACGATTTCTGAGAAGAGGAAGGGTCGCTTTGGTAATTGAGAGCAGTTCGTAGAACATTAGATCGAGAGATGCTGTAAGAACGTCTTCTATGATGGATAAGTTTGATCCTGAAGGTTGACCGGCCTGTACCAAGGCAATGGGCTTGTACACCGTAAGTTCCTTGTAACGAATATGTGAGCGATGAAGTAGCTTATCCAATGCTTGCAATCGTTCGACTGTGTCTTGCAATACAATCAATGCGGAAAATTTGGTGTAATGCGTGTGAAACAACTCCTGTTGTAGTGCCAAATACACCGCTATGCAAACAGCAAAAAAAATTCTTTTCTTACTTTGATTTGCCGCAGCGCATCCTTTGAGAACACTGAGACAACGACGTGCGATTGACAAAGTTGGGAAAAAGGGCATGGTTTTACGAAGAAACTGCTGTTGATCTTTGACCAGCAACTTCCCAAATTTCGTGGGCGCCTCTAGTCTGTATTGGGACCCTTTGAATGACTTTCTATTACCGATGGAATTCAACCCCATGCTAGATTTCTGAGTCCTTGGTCGTGCTGCCCAAAGTGGTCGTATGGCATCTGTGAGTAATTGAGATGCTATTATCGTATACTGGAATTCATCCATGAATTTTTGATCATAGGGCACACCTCTTGCAAAAATCTCGCAAACGACTTTCTCGAGTTTTGAGTGGCCAATATGGCAGTGATCGTTATCCAAAGAGTCTCGAATCTTACTTTTTGGATCGGTTTCCGCGAAAACGTCATGTTCATCACTGCCAAACTCCGAACACCCCACAATCGTCGGAGAACTATCATTCAATGCATCGATTCCCCATTCAGAGAGTTTTTTACTCTGGTACTCTAAAGCATTCATAGGTTTCGCAATCGACATGTACAGCGAGCTGGATGACTGGTTCGTGTAAGTTTTAGACGAGTTTAACGTCGAATTTGAACGGTGAAAAGAACCATTCTGAAAAGCTGGTAGATCCTGGAATCTAGACTTGTTCTCATTTCTATCGCAGTGCATCAAAGTATGGCCTGCTGGCTGAGTTTTAACGTTTTTGATTTGTGCGATGATGTTTCTTGTGTAAGTAGATCAACTGTTTGTTTATAATTGGATCAGCGACAGTATAGTATATAGTGACAAGGCGGATGACAAGACCGTTCGATCCAGATGAACATAATCAAACTAAAGGGTATCGGCCTCTGTGACACTGTTTCAGCCAAGAATTTTCCGTTGTGTTGACTGTTCTTAGAGCTATCGTTTTCTATCTGAATGGGCGTTTGGACTCCATCCGAAAGAATTAAGCCTAATTGATTCAGTCGTTGATAATTTCGGTGACAACTGATATCGGGCACAGTTAGCGTCCTTCTTATCACGGGAGGCCTGTCATGTTTTGAGAGAATGATCAAAACGTGGAGAAGAACGATACCTTGTGAATTTGGCTCCCACTCGACCTATTGGTTTATATGCCCGATCTATTGAAAAGGACACATTTACTGACGCAAGCTATGGTCGTGGCAACTTCAAAAATCCTGTTTATCTTTTCAGACCTTCTTGAAATGGCACGCAGTTCGAAAAGCTTTTGAAGATACGGCATGGCTTTATACTGTATCAAGTTGATTAGAATTGATATTTTGGATTCAAATGTTGACTTTGAACATTGTGTCGGATGCGCCCACTCCTCGAGTTGAATTGGACCATTTACCTTCATTGACCATCTATTTAACCCGAAAGAGCATCTATCAGCCCATTTACTACAAATTTGTTTGTTTCGCGCACGAATACCTGAAGACTTTTGTCTAGCTGTGGTGAGACGATGGAGGCCGTAGTGAGCCGCCAAAACCCATTATGTCACCGGTTACGTTGTCACTGTACTTGTCAGTAGGAGGAACGTCTTGTATGTTCATCATTGGAGTATCACCAGAAACAGTTGGTAAGATCCCCGGTGAAAGAGCGCTAGGTGACTGATGCATCATCATCATATTCATGTGACCCGTTGAATCCAGTGCATTTACACCTCCTGGCATTGCCAAAGGACCTTGGTCAGGCGTCAAATCAGCAGAGCTTTGGTACCCAGGTCCACTAATCTGTGTGGCAGAGTTATGCCGATGTACAGAGCGACGCTGCTGTTGTGGTATTGCATCTCGCTGAGAAGTTACTACTGCACCAGGTCGAACCTGTTGTGAGTTCGGAAATCTGCTCTGGTTATTTGAGCCGGCAACCGGATGTTTATCAGTTAGCGGAGGATTTGAGAAAGACCGATGTGGCTGAGGCCTTCTAGCAGCAGGTGGTTGTTGTGGCTGTTGTTGTTTTCTCTGAAGAGGATTTTGTGAAAGGTATGGTGGGTACTGAGAGTACTGCTGGAACTGCTGATGTTGTGCCTGCTGATACTGCTGTTGCTGCTGTTGCTGTTGCTGCTGCTGCATCATATACATAGACTTTTGGTACTGGTCATGTATGTGCTGCTGGTTGGCGTTCCACTGAGCGCCGTCCTTAAAGGCATCGTCGTCACCGCTATTCCTTGAGGCCATCAAATCTCGCCGCTTCTGCATGTACATTATCGCATTTTCAGGCAAGTCAGGCGTGTTACCAACGGAAGATGGACCTATCCCACCATGTTGATAATCCTTGTAAGAAATTTCTAGCCCATTCTTATTGGCATTAAGCGGCTGTTCGGCTGCCGCAATAGGATGCTGCCTCGCAGCCGGCGAAAAACTAGAATACATTGTATTAGCACTGACTGGAACCTGTCCATTGGGCGCACCGAATTGGTGAGAGGCCAAGGGAGGTCCTGTTGGTAAAACCGAGGATTGTACACCGGCTGGAGCGTTCGACACCTGTGGATAAGCTGGTACAGCTTTTCGCAAAGATGACGACGGGGTAGTGGCTGAGCTACCGACTTTGACGTCGTTCATTCTTGGTGGGGCCATCGAAGATTGCGATGCTGCCGATGGCGGTACGAAAACCCCACCATCAGGCACCGCGAACGGCGAGTGTTGTTGAGGGTGTTGGGGAAGCTGCTGCTGCCGTTGTTGCTGTTGTTGTTGTTGCTGCTGTGCGTAATGGTAGTGATACTGTTGCTGCTGTTGCTGCTGTTGCTGTTGTTGTTGTTGTTGTTGTTGTTGTTGTTGTTGTTGTTGTTGTTGTTGTTGTTGTTGTTGTTGTTGTTGTTGTTGTTGTTGTTGTTGTTGTTGTTGTTGTTGTTGTTGTTGTTGTTGTTGTTGTTGTTGTTGTTGTTGTTGTTGTTGTTGTTGTTGTTGTTGTTGTTGTTGTTGTTGTTGTTGTTGTTGTTGTTGTTGTTGTTGTTGTTGTTGTTGTTGTTGTTGTTGTTGTTGTTGTTGTTGTTGTTGTTGTTGTTGTTGTTGTTGTTGTTGTTGTTGTTGTTGTTGTTGTTGTTGTTGTTGTTGTTGTTGTTGTTGTTGTTGTTGTTGTTGTTGTTGTTGTTGTTGTTGTTGTTGTTGTTGTTGTTGTTGTTGTTGTTGTTGTTGTTGTTGTTGTTGTTGTTGTTGTTGTTGTTGTTGTTGTTGTTGTTGTTGTTGTTGTTGTTGTTGTTGTTGTTGTTGTTGTTGTTGTTGTTGTTGTTGTTGTTGTTGTTGTTGTTGTTGTTGTTGTTGTTGTTGTTGTTGTTGTTGTTGTTGTTGTTGTTGTTGTTGTTGTTGTTGTTGTTGTTGTTGTTGTTGTTGTTGTTGTTGTTGTTGTTGTTGTTGTTGTTGTTGTTGTTGTTGTTGTTGCTGCTGCTGCTGTTGTTGTTGCTGCTGTTGCTGTTGTTGTTGCTGGTGTTGCTGGTGTTGCTGATGATGTTGTTGTTGCTGCTGCTGTCGTTGTTGCTGTTGCTGTTGCTGTTGCTGTTGCTGTTGTTGCTGCTGCAGCGGCGGCTGTTGTTGCGTCCATTTCGAACTAGACGTAGCAATGTCCTGAGTCATTGGCATGCGTTGCGGCAGAATGGGCGTTACCGGGTCATGAAAAAGACGATCTCCGGATATTTTTTCCACGGGCTGCGTTTCAACAAAGTGGTGAAGAGTCCACAGAGATTCCCACCATTCGCACAAGAACGTATCCTTGGAATTCATAAGCATTTTGGCGTGCAAAAGTTCGTCATTCTTGGGCTTATCGTCCGGCACATTCTTGGAAAGCGGCACGTCTGCTTCGTCCAGCAGCCTTCGTGCCGTCTGGTAGAACTTGTGCTCAATAAGATAGTTGTAAATGTGTGCATACAGCAGTTGTCGCGAATTTTTCGCCATTGCGTCAGAAACCAAAATGTCGCGGTTGAAAGTCGGTCGATCCTGATCCTCGCCCGATTTTTCCTGTGCATGAAACCCTCCATTCGACGCTCCACCGTTTGGCGATCCTGCCGCTTGCAATATATCTCCCGTGGGGCTCCAGTCCCCAGTTTTAGCGTTATTCTTTGCGCTTTCCCCTACGCCATCGCTGGTTCCCAAATCACCCATTATATGGTCACTGTACCGTCTGTGCCTTACGTACCGGTACCAGAAATTTCCCGTCTATTCTGCGGTGCTGTTCTGACCTAAAAGCCAGTAGAATTTCGCGGGTTTGTGTCCTTCAATGGTGTCAAAACCGTCCTGTTCTAAAACTCACCTAATTTCTCTCAAACAAGAGCTAAAATGCCCGGAAAACTCGCAATTTTTACACGATTTCAGCTGCAAAAGCTTCGAACGGGTTCCGTACAGTAACGAACTGGTTTTAAATGGCAAAAGAGACACTTTTAAGCTTCCCTTTCACTATCGGTTATACTTTAGTTGTTTTCACTCTTAGACTATGTTTTAGCGCTGGGAAGATGATTTATATATTATGTTGAATATATGAAAGCTTCGAGGGTCCCGTCGATGGTGATTTGATATCACATGATACCAGAAATTATGACACGTGAAAAGAGCGTGACCTTAGAGCTTTTAGTTACGACGCTGGGTACTCCCAGCTGATTGTATACACACGGTGTCAGTGTCATTGTCCAGTGAACTGACGAACTTTGAATCAGAATGATGCAATAATCATATATATGTCGGGTTGTTTTCGTGTGTCGGTGTTAATTGTGGTGGGAGTAATTTGCACCGTTTCGTCTTTTTATTTTTTGGAATTATGTTTGAGCATCACCACTGACTGTGGTCTTCAGTCCCCGTTAATCCCTAATTTTGATTTCTTGTGGTACAGAACCTTTCAGACTCTGACCGTGGTCCAGGTCTTTGTTGATTGATTTTCGTTCAACGCCTTCAAATCTGTGCGTTTCGTCCTCGTCATTAATATCATCCTCGTCTTCATCCTCGCCTTCATCCTCGTCTTCATCCTCGTCTTCATCCTCGTCTTCTTCACCTTCCTGACTATCCCCCTCTTCGTCCATCCTGTACGGCTCATAGTCTTCGTCGTCTTCGTCGTCGTCTTCAAACTCGTCCTCGTCAAACTCGTCGTCAGTGCTTTCCAGATGGCTCTTAGACACTGGGAAATCCTTCTGCAATGTTTTAGGATCAACTCCTGACGCACGAGAGTCGTCGAGGACATGCAGTGGAGATACGTGGGTACTAGGCTCCGTGGGTTTCGACAAATTGAGTTTTTTCAATTGTTGCTCCACGCCCTGCACGGTGTCCATGTAATTGAGTTTGGGCGACGCCAATGGCGAACCAAGTTCGAGGTAGAATTGCTTCCCGGCAGTCTTCGGATTTCCAGAAAGACGATAGCTTTGTAGAGCGCTGTTGGGGGTCGAAGGAGAGTTTGTGTCGTAGCTTGTGCTCTTCGAGCTTTTTGTATCGGAAAACACCTCCGAAGAATGAGCAGGACCCTCGCCAGCAACCTGTTCCTCTGGGTCAACGCTTTCCAGCTCTGACAGATCGTCCAAGTCAAGAATTGGCTCTTTCCAAAAGTTCACATCCGTAAACTGTACTTCGCGGGAACGATGAAACGATCTGTCCTCCATGATGGTGCCAGTGGGAGACCCTGGTGCGGGGGAAAGGCTTCTGTGGTCATCGTCGCGATTAGCATAGTTGAAATTCACAGGCGGGAAAAAATGATCAACCAATTCGTTGATGTGAATATACGAACTCCTGTAACCCGCAAGCTCTAATAGCTCCATGTGCACTTCGCCATCGGGGTTGATGGTGAAAATTCTTGAGCTGGGTATACCAACAGTACGATATGCAAGAGCATCTGTGATTCGGTTGCCAAATCCAGCCACAAAGGGCGTGGGGCAATCGTTTTGTCTTGCCTCATCGTCTAGCTTGGCCAGATCGGATTCTCCAAGATAAAGTCTTCGAAGGTCATTCAAACACGCAATTTTGAACACCTCGGGCTTTTTCAAAATAACTTCCCTCCTGAAGGCTGCCATGGTCCTATCGGGTGACAGTATAACTGGACCACGCGGCAGCTTGAAGCCAGCTTGCACGATGCTGTTTAAGTAGCTTCTTGTAGAGTCTGCTTGTCCTGCACTTCTGGCCGTCAAATAAACAACGTTGTAGCCGTTCCTCTTGATCTCTGTGAAAAGCTCTGCAACACCCAGGTGTGTCCAGTCTCTTCCAATCATAGTCAAGACGTGTCCCAATGCGTCAGATTTTGTTATCGTACCGTCAATGTCTGATATAACGAGCGGGACGTCCCACCGCCATAAAAATAGTTTCGCACTTACAACAGCTCTGCTGTTATCAACAGAGAACGAAAGGTCGTTTTCACCGAATTTCAAATCCAGGCACTGCAACTGCTCAGATGTGAGACGAATAGTTTTGATATAATTTTTTGGGGCTGTAGCAGAGGGCTGTGGCGTGAATTCTGTCGAGGTGGTGATAGAAGTTTGTGTAGAGGTTCCGGAGAGTGCTGAGGTTGGAATATCTAGTTCATCACCGGCCTGGGGTGTAGGAGAGCCAGGAGGTGACAATAAGGAACCGTCGTCTCCAGGATTTACAATCCGCATGTTTCCGCTGCGATCTTCTTTGACAAACGACGAAATGTCAAATTCTGTGCCCAATTCATCCTGCAGCAACTGTTTCAGCATAGCGTCCGTATTTTGGACCTTATCCTTGCTAGGTTTGTAACCTTCGATGTCCAGCAGTAAATCGCCGTTATTATCGAATTTGCTAGGTATTTGCTTTTCCTGCAGTTTTTGATTCAGTCTGCGTGCCCGTTCTTCGAAAATTGAATGTCTTCTGGAAGGTGGAGGTGTTGAAGGGATTAGTGATTCAACTTGTGCAGGTTTACCTATATCCAAGAAATCCGGTTCTTCCAAAGTCGTGCTGGGAGTTTGTGTATCATCTGGCAGCGAAGACGGACTGCTGGCTGCACTTACGACAGGTGAAGAAATGAGCTCATCAGGTATGCTTCCAACGTCTGCTTCCGTTTCAAACACAAAATAGGCTTCTCCCGAGTCTCCCAACTTCATGGGGATATTTGTGGGCTGTCCGTTCACAGAGACCAGTACTTTTTTCTGCGAAGGTTTCAAAATTTGAAACTTACCAAACCGTACGTGGAAGGGTGAACATGCCAGTCTACCATCCGGATGCTCAACGACCACCACGTCGATAGCTCCAGAAAGCGTTGCAGGGTTGATAGAAGACCAGGTCTTCGAAACCGAGCCTATAGCACGCTCAACAAACTGCATCTACTTTACCAATGATGGAAAGATGCCCAGAAAGCAGTTTTGGGTTGATTGAAGAGTTAAAGGGTAGTTACTGGGATGAGTTAGTTTCTATGTATATTAAACGATATTTCAATATTTCACCATCTGGAGACGGGAAACTAAAAAGTGATAGCAATATAACCTTTGCCGGTGTTCGAATTTCCGTAGACGCAAATTAGGTTTTATTGTCATCATTCATGTCTCTATGATCAAGCTATGGAATCAGAACACCGATCTCATGGGACTACGAATATCAGTAGCGGTTCGATTGTATGGCTTGCTGTGCATGGATGCTATTCGAATATGTAATAAAATGCAGCGGAAATAGACGTTGCTAATGGGTATGCTTTCGAATCCCAAAGCTCTCGGGGACCATGTCCGTGAATAGACTGTATGTACAAGAAAAGGTTCAGAAATGGACATTGTACGGACAGCGATGGGTGATGCAGAGGGCGTGCACTGTTCTAAGCACTGTGTAATCGCTTTTCATGAAGAGGACCGGTCCAACCATTTGAGTGTAACCTGGTATAAGAGCAGCATGATACTGCTCTGAACGCTTGTCCATATAAATCGCGGTCCCACACCGCTGAAAAAGCCCAGAGTACCTTCAGATTTATAGACAGCCGCAAGGCCCTTCAATAACGAGTTCTCAATACGTACCAGTTGCTGGTTTTCCGCTGTCCGGCCTGAAGGCATTTGGGTTTGTATACGCGTCTTGATCACGTCCATCGGTGTCGTCAAAATGCCTGCAAGACCCCCCGCCGCAGCACCAGTAAGCAGCTCGCTTGAAATGGATAGATCTTGGTTCTGCGACTTTTGTTCGAGCCTAAAGGCCCACTGCCGAAATTTTTCGTAGAATGCAAATTGGAATGCGCTAAACGGCAGGTCTCTACTTAGCGTTGCCTTGTATCCAAAAAACAGCGTCTGCCAGCCTTCGACCTTCACGATGGTCGCTGCTGCGTTTCTGAGGTTGACGTAGTTGTAGCCAGAGTTAAAATGCGGGTTACCATAACGTCCCTGCAGTTGCAATCGCGTTTTGAGCACTTCGCTAGGTACATATACCACGCTGGAAACCAAATCACCGCCCAGGCCCGCTGTGAGGTGCGAAACGGTCTCGTTAACGGCCCAGTCGTCGATCAATGTGCGTTTAAGAATCTCGTAAGTGCCGAAAAAAATAGCTGCGCTGGGCATTGAACCCACCATTGCAGCACTGTATCCTCCGTACAAACCTTTGCGTAATCCTTCTTCTACGAAAATCGTTTTGTAAGCTGAAAGCATGTGTCTGTATTTCACAGCATTGGGAGCACCTTGCTGTCGTGTTTTAACGGTATCTAGTGAGTGCATCACAGAATCGCCTATGGCGCCGCCTGTGCCACCGGCCAAGATGCAATGCAAAATGGGACTGTATTCTGAGCTTTTTCCACCAGCTTCTGGATATCCATCGGTGATGCCCAGGTCCTTTGACCGGCTACCAGGGCTCCTAGACGGCTGCTCATGGGGTCGTGTTGCTGGTATTGACGAAGTGAACGAGAACATCTGCCCGCGAAGTGGTCGATCCAGAGTCTCAATGAGAGAAGGTAGCCCCTATGGGTCACTCCAGGGCTGTTTTCCAGTTACGAGATTGATATAGTTACGTTACTACGCTATTTCAAGAAATATGTTTTCATAAATCTCGAGGCGATTCAATTTTCGACTTGCGAGTAGATAATCAAGTAGAAATCTGACTGGAGGTACGCCTGAAGGACGCCTTGATGAAGTAGACTATAGAGAGAACGAAGATCAACGTCAATAGATTCCGACTCTACAAGAACCATTAGAGCATTGAAACTTTTCTATAGAATGGTACTCGAGACTTTACTGGAGACCGACACAAGATTTTGATCTTTTAACGATTTTATCTTGAGCGTATGATCAAATGAGGAGTTGAGTACATCGGACAGAAGTGTATATACGCAGCAGGCAACTTCTCGATGGAACCTTGTGAGAGGGCAAAGGAGAAAACCTACCGTTTGAGTATCAGCAGGATGACGACGATTTCAAGAAAAGTATTTATACTCGTATTGAGACTTTGTCTCTGGATTATCGTGGTAGGATTAACTTCCCATACCATGGGCAATATTAATAGTTGATATGAACCATTATTTGGAAGAGGTTAAGGATCGTTTCTCAGTGCTCTCTTGAACGTACAGAAGTTTGTAGTGTAGGTTGGCGAAAGCGTGTCCTTCGATGCAATTCCGGGAATCGCTACAGCATCGGGAAGTGAGATGGTTCCACCAAAATACAGGTAATACGACTGCATATCCGACCGTGGTGCTAGAGAAGTTGGGAATGGGGTATCTCAAGTTGTCAGTTCATTATTCCTGAAGCTGTCGTTTGAGCACGTGATCGATGATTATTTGACATTAATCTGACGCTAGAGAGGCCAGGATTCTGGTAAAAGGAGGCTTTATGAAGTCGAGAGAAGTCTGTAAAACCACAGTAAGCATCTAGTGAGCCAAATTACCCCGCTCCCCAGCCCTTTCTGCTTTTGCTTGTGCAATTCACTTCAGCATTTCATAAAAATCTTCGAACGACATGCAAAAACGTCAGGAAGAGCATAAAAGTTTTGAGAGAGCATTCAATTGCGTCACTGCTAATGCACATAGAACGATACCAGAATATATTCAAAGCAACAGCCGAAATGACGCTGTTAATGCCAATGCATCTCGTAAAAAACGAGCAGCGTCAAGATCCAAATTCGATGCTCCTGGAGGAAGAATCGCTAATGGAAACGCTTGCTTAAATCCCGAAAATCAGAGCGCGAGTGCCATCTTGGTCGAGATTGTGACCCACTACACATGCTATGTGCCACAGGCCGCTACTGCGTTAGTTTCAGCACCAGGAATAGCTTCACTAGCGGTGTTCCTCCCACGTTTCGAAAATTATCCAGATCTTACAAGGTTTTGGCGATCGAAACCAGCTGCGATGACACCTGTGTGGCGATTTTGGATCGTAAAAGTCGCGAGGAAGCACCCCAAGTGCTGACGCATTTAAAAGACACTCTTGACAGCGGGCGAGATGGAGGAATAATACCTACACGGGCCCATCTGCACCATCAACAAAAAATTGGGCCTTTGGTGCAGAAGGCACTGACAACAACGAATTCACTCGGTGAAATAGACTTGGTGTGTGTCACTAGAGGCCCTGGAATGCCTGGATCTCTCTCAGGGGGTCTCGACTTTGCAAAGGGTCTCGCTGTAGCATGGAATAAACCTCTAATAGGTGTGCATCACATGCTGGGCCATCTGCTGGTCCCGCGTATGCAACATAATGGTGCCAAACCACAGTTCCCGTTTGCGAGTCTTCTTGTCAGCGGTGGCCATACTCTTGTTGTCCTCTCAAAATCTTTAAGCGAGCACGAAGTCCTCTGCGATACCATGGATATCGCTATTGGCGATTCACTGGATAAGTGTGCGCGAGAAATCGGAATTCAAGGCATCATGATTGCCAAATGCATGGAAACCTTCATTGATGATAACCTGGAAGATGCTCGTAGTGGCGCTTTTCCAATGGTCCTCCCCTCGCCGCTCCGTAACCAAAACGGACGCATAAATTTGCAGAAATTCTCTTTTGCTCCCTTTCTGACTGCTGTACGCCAAAACCTGCAGAAGGATATTCATCTGTACACTGATCGCGAAAGGAGATCGATGGCGTACCAAATCCAGGAGTCGTTGTTTGATCATTTGGTTACTAAACTAAAACTTGTCATTCGCATAAGACCCGAAATTTTCCAACACGTCCGGCAATTAGTATGCTCTGGCGGTGTAGGAGCCAATAAAAGGCTTCAGCAAAAACTTGAAACCGATCTGGTAAACCATTTCGATGAAATTTACTATCCTGAGCCCTCTTTATGTACTGATAACGCAGTTATGATCGGATGGGCTGGAATAGAACTCCACGAACTACTTGGCCTTACGACAAATCTCGACACGAGTCCCATCAAAAAATGGCCAATTGATGAGTTACTTCAACCTCCCGGTTGGATCCAGCTTTGTAAATAGTCCCCAGGGAATGCTAGGGAATGAATGAACCTTTTATATCAAACCTGTGTATCAGTTGCTTCCAAGTGGACATGTCCATCTGAAAGATGAGATGGTTTTGTCGAGCGTCACTGTTTGCGTGTCTGGCATCGCCCGATTCCCCAGGATTATTGCTTGCTGCGCGAATCGCTGGAAACCCATCTTTATCTTCTTCAAGAACAACTTTGCCCTCTTTTATGAGAAAACTAGTGTAGAAAAGGTTTTCAACGGATCTTGCAAAAGATTTGGGGTCAATCACAAACTGAAACAGTCCAATTTGATTGTGACCTTTCCTATTGATCAACGTTTTGTAGCATTTTTTCACCTGCCCTGGTGTTGTTTTTTCTTGCGTGGCACCAAGCGCTTCTTTACTGACCCTCTGTGCCGTTGCTGTAGTACCGACAGGATCAGCTGCTGCTCTGGTACCTTGTGTGAATGTGCGTATTTTCTTTTCTGCTGCGAACGGTCCCAGAAGATGATCCACGACGGCCGGCGCCCTGGACTTGGTTTGGTACAGCATGCCGAGCTTGAACCAATTGAATTGCGCAAACCGGTCGTATTGTTCAAAGCGCTGCAAATTCTCCCGCTCTTGTCCATGCTGCACAAACTCGCTGATTTCACTCTCGTCACTGTCAACTCTTTGTCGTGCTGCTTGATGACCTTGGTCGATGTCATTTCGTTCGAAGTATTCATGTAACATGTATCGTTTCGCGTATCCCACTATGTCAGCTCTGTTTACAACCATCTGCGAGTTATCCAGTTTCATATTACGAACACTGAGCTCTGCAAGTTCACTAACCCCCAAAACCGTCCTTGAGTCCTGCTCGAACAAAGAGTTTTTATGGGTGCTTACCACTTCTAGTCTTTCGAACAACTTATCAGCAGCTTTCAAACGCTCCAATGCAGTTCCAATGTCCCCACTTCGAGTGGCTTCTACTCTATCCTTCCCGATGTTGCTGTATAAGTCTCTGTAGCTGGCCAGTATTTCATATTCTGACGGCCCATTGTCGTCGCCAGTGTCCGGAATTTGTGCTAAAGGCGTAGGGGTAGCAGTATCGTCACTTTCCTCAGATTTGGCACGTTTATATGCCTGCTCCTCAGGGCCAGAGGCCCTCCTCTTTGCCATTGTGTTCTGATTTTGAGTATATGTTGACTATGATGATAAGATTATGTGAGATGAGATGGTGATTTCATTTCGTCACTACAGTCTAATAAAACAATTTCTCGACACAGAAGCCTCAAAAGATGCCTTCGATTATCAAAGTAAGTATGAGCTTGTTAGTTCAGACTTCAGGATTCTTTTGAATATACTTTTGACTAACTTTATCGCTATTTGAACCCTAGGCATTGGACGAAACGGTAGTTAATAAAATCGCAGCTGGCGAGATCATCGTAGGACCCGTGAATGCTCTAAAAGAGATGATGGAGAACTCAATTGACGCTGGGGCATCGACTGTCGACATTTTGGTACGAGATGGGGGTTTGAAAGTGCTTCAAGTGACCGACAATGGGTCAGGAATTAACAAAAATGACTTACCGGTCTTGTGCGAACGGTTTACGACATCAAAACTTACAGCGTTTGAAGACTTGCGTTCGATTCAGACCTACGGCTTTCGGGGCGAAGCACTGGCTAGTATATCTCACATCGCCCGTGTTACGGTAACTACGAAGACTCAGGACGAAGCTTGTGCTTGGAAGGTATCTTACGCTGCGGGTAAGATGGTGGGAAGTCCAAAACCTACAGCAGGGCGTGATGGTACGGTGATTCTTGTAGAGGATTTGTTTTACAACGTTCACTCAAGATTGCGTTCGCTGAGGTCTTCAAACGAAGAGTTTGCCAAAATTCTAGATTGCGTAGGTCGTTACGCAATCAACGCCTCTCATATCGGGTTCTCTTGCAAAAAATTTGGTGAGGCCCAGTTTGCTTTGGCTGTGAAGGCCACCTCAACAACTAGGGAGAGAATACGAACTGTTTTCGGTCGCACAGTAGCTGAGAACCTGGTAGAATTGAATATAGCGGAAAACTCAGAAATTGGTGTTTCCGGACGGGGCCAGGTCAGCAACCTCAATTTTGTAAGCAAAAAATCTGGTTCCCCTGTCCTGTTCATCAACAACCGACTGGTAACTTGCGATCCACTGCGACGTGTCCTTTACCAGGTATATGGCTCTTACCTGGCCAAGGGTAATAAGCCTTTTATCTTTCTCAGCCTCAGCATACGTCCGGACTTAGTAGATGTGAATGTACACCCAACAAAACAGGAGGTACGTTTTCTGCATGATGAGGAGATCATAGGGTTGGTAGCGAATCAGTTGGAAGACGCCCTTGCAAGCGAGGACACTTCGCGCTCTTTCAAAACTACATCAATATTTACTCCTAATCCGGTTTCCGTTAAGGAAGGATTAGGACTGCCGCATTCACATTTGATCAATAACATGCCAATTTCTACGAGCACAAGCAAGATCAAGCGCCAAGAAAATAAAATGGTCCGGATAGACTCTTCGCAAGACAAAATTACCAACTATTTGAAGACCTTTGACCATAACTCCGACAAGGTAAGAATCGCTTCTCAATCGCAACCGTCTCATAATGATAGTATCAACGTGCTAGCACCTTCAACTGCCCACGAAAATGAAATCAACGATTATGCTACAACCCACAAGGATCTTGCTTATTCGATATTGAAAAGTGAGCGGACTGACGTCAATCTTGCAAGTATCAAAACTTTGAGAAGAATGGTTGACGATGATACTAATAAAGACCTTACCAATGCTTTTGCCAATATGAACTATGTGGGAATCGTCGATGAACAAAGGAGGTTAGCAACAATTCAACATGATTTAAGGTTGTATCTAGTTGACTATGGTTCAGTTTGTTTTAACTTGTTTTATCAGATCGGACTAACCGAATTCGCCAATTTTGGTAAAATCTATCTGAATTCCGAGAATGGTGAGGGGATCTCTATCTGCAAGATGTTGAGTGAAACGCCCAATGCTAATGAAAAGTTTGTATCGTCATTGTTGCACAAACTTTGGGAGATGAAAGATATGCTTGATGAATATTTCTCAATAGAGCTCAGTGGTAATGACAAGGATTTGGATTCCATTAGAGTCACAAGTTTGCCATTATTATTGAAGGGCTATATTCCTCCCTTATCGAAAATTCCGTATTTTCTGTACCGACTAGGCAGCAAAATCGACTGGTCTGACGAGATGGCATGCTTGAAGGGCATTCTGGTACAAATTGCCCTTTTGTACGTTCCCGAAATCATCGAAAGAGTAGACCTTGCTGACGAAACGGTGGACAGCGATGCGCGGGCCGCATACATCACAAAATTGGATCTGATGACAACCACATTGGAACGAACAATTTTTCCCTGCATCAAGAAAAGGCTTCTAGTACCTAATCATTTGAAGAAAAGTGTTATTGAGGTGGCAAATCTACCTGGTTTGTACAAAGTTTTCGAGCGGTGTTAACTGTACTGATATTGGGCTAGGATCCTTCGTAAGCTGAAGGTCTTCTCGAAATTTTCAACGATCAGCGTAATGTCACGACCTTGTTTGTCGTCGTCTTCGTTCGATGGAATTCTGTCACGAACTTGGTCCCATTTAAGAAACAGACGGTTTTGTCGTCTGCTGTTTTCTTTCAGAAACAGCATGTCGTTCTGTAATATTTTGTAAACAGGATGGCCGAAACCCTCCCCGTCATCAACTACGCGGACCTTACGCCAAATATTTCTCAGTTCCCTGAGCCTTTCGGCCAAAGCGCATGCGCCTTTCAAAAATTTGTTGTTTTTCAATTCCAGAATTTCGCATATTTCTGTCAAATCGAAAGCCAACTGCTCGTTCAGCGCCGAGGTGTCGAATATAAAACACAGAGAGTGGAAACTTAGCGTAGCGGCGATGTTTTTTATCACAAAGGGTAGTTTGTTTAAAAACCCCATTCCAGTCTTGGTGTTTTGGAGTATTTGGGCAACCATCACTGTTGAAAACTGATACAGCTTAACATGTCCAGTTTTTTGGTCATAGTAAGTATACGTGAGGTTGCTGATTTTCCAATTGATTGCGTTGAGTAGGAAGCTAATGATAAAGCTTTCACATCTAACGCTAGCGGAGCTTTTAACATCGAGCGCCTGCGCCTTGTGTAAAAAAATATCCACTTGTCTTTGTACGGCATCCAAAGTCTTCAATGGAGGCTTCGTCTGTGTGTGAACATATTTATCAATATCTCGATCCAAAGACACCACTTTCCAGAGAAAAGCCTCAAAGGTATCTTCACTCTGGTAGACATCGATGTTTGGCTTGTCCATCAAGAAAGCGGCATGGCTGAGGAGAGAATTGTTGATTTCGTGAACAGACAATAGTTTGTTGATTCCGGATTGCCAATAATCGTGGACGCACAGGCGATACCATATCTTCTCGCACGCTAGCTTCACCAGCCTCATGTCCGTTGTATCAGCCACAGAAGGTCTGAAAAGATCGAGCTCCAAATACTTCGCGAGATGTAGACACTGTGTCAAGAGACTGTTGGCGAGGGCTGGTTCGTCCATCGGAAAGGAAGTAGATGCCAATACCAGGTATGTTTGAATCGTTTTTACATCTGGAAACGCCATGAAGTTGGCTCTATGAAGCATTTGTAAAGAAACGCCTCTGAAAGCATTCACGACTTCTGTTCTAGTCTGTTCTGTCAGTTCATTTATTTTAAAGTCTAATTGTATCGCATCCAATTGAGATTCTAGCATTATCGTCTCCAGAGTGCTCAGAGGTGCGTGATACACGGCTAACGTTAAAATCGACCAAATGAGTGCATTCCATAGATAATTTTCTGGTGTAAATTCATGCCTAGGAACTTTAGACCGGGTCCAGTAGTCTTCTAGCTCGACATATAGTTCCCCAACATCGTTCAATATTCCAAAAAACAAAGCACCCAATCTTTGCACGGAGTAGTCAAGTAACTTGAAAGACATTTCTGAATTTAGCAGATTGATCCAAAAATCCGATCTTTCAGTTTGCACTTTCCAATCCCATCTGGTCTTGTCGTGACGTTTCTTTGCCCAATTTTGGCCATTCTGTTCCCATAAGCCGTAATCAAAAACCCATGTATAATAAGAAGTCCAAAGAGCCAAATATTCCTGTCTGTTACCGGTACTACTCGCCTTTGCTTTATTTAGAGCACCCTTATGAGAAGAGATGCATTTGTCTTGTTCACCTCTTTTAACACAGTTGATGCAAGGAACTTCCCGATCACATTTGACTTTCCGTTTAACACAAATCAAGCACGGCCCTTTCGATTGGGTAGGTTTATATTGAGGTATCATGGTCGTGAAAGTGCCATTGAATGGCTATAGACCATCTGTTCCAGCAACATCTTGGACAACTTGATGATATATGGTTGGTTATGTGCATATATTTACGGTGGTGATGAGCTATACCACTAACTTTGTACGGGTGTGTCGCCGGCGAATCCAAGACCATCTGTCATAGGTGGTTTCCGCGTCGTGGGTAGCCTCACAACTCTTTAATGGAGCTCATTTTGATAATGTTTTGTTTAGAGCTTGGAAATGTTAACATGAACGGCTTTTGTTTGAGTGTAAGCTTCAAGACCGCTCTCACCAAGCTCACGACCAATCCCGCTCATTTTAAAGCCACCGAAGGGAACGGAGATCTCCTCATCATTGGATGAATTGATCCACACAGTTCCGGCTCTGATATCTCTGGCAAAAAAATTGGCCTTGCGAATGTCTTCCGTGAAAACAGCAGATGCCAAGCCATAAGCATTGTTGTTGGCTAGGGCAATAGCTTCATCGTAATCCTTAAATTTTAGCACTACTGCCACGGGTCCAAAGATTTCCTCCTGGGCTAGTTTGGACTCCGCTGTGACGTCGATAAATATCGTGGGAGGGATGAAGAACCCTTCACTTTCTACAGGCGACCCGATTTCTTTTGAACTGAGCTTCTCTTGGCTTTTTCCATGCTCAATATAGCCCTGAATTCTGTCGTATTGCGCTTTAGAGATAACGGGTCCCACGGTGCAAGATTCGTCGAATGGGTCGAGACTAGAGCCGAACTTCCATTCTTCTTGCGCATATTTGGTAAATTTCTCCAAAAACTCGTCGTAGACAGACTCATGCACTAACAGACGTGAGTTGGCGGTACAGTTCTGGCCTGAGTTATAGAAGATACCAGCGGTGGTCCATTTGACAGCTTCGTCGAGGTTTGCGTCGTCGAAAATCACAGCGGGTGACTTACCACCGCATTCCAACGTCACTGCTTTCAAATTAGACGTCGCAGCAAGGGCCATGATTTTTTGACCCACTGCGGTACTACCGGTGAAAGCTATTTTGTCGACGTCGGTGTGAGAAGCCAAGCTGGAGCCCGTGACGGCTCCCAAGCCTGGCAACACGTTGACCACACCCGGAGGGAACCCAGCCTTCTCAATAAGCTGGGCAAAATACAGAAGAGACAAAGACGTGTTTTCTGCAGGTTTAATTACAATGGTGTTGCCGGCCGCCAAAGCACCTTGAATTTTCCAGCTGGCCATTGCCAATGGGTAGTTCCAAGGCACGATCTGGGCAACAACACCATAGGGTGAACGCACGGTGTAGGCGTATTTTTCGTGGCTGATAGGGATCATTTGGCCCTTGTTGTACTTATCAGCTGCGCCTGCATAGTAGGTTGTGAGCTGAGAGATCTGGTCCAAATCCGCGAGAGCGTTGGTGTAGTAAGGCTTTCCCGAGTCTAGGGTTTCGATTGCTGCAAGCAGCTCTTTGTTTTCGACGATCAATTGTCCCAAATTGTGCAGCAATCTGCCCCGATGTTCTGCCGAGGTTTTGCTCCACACTTGTTCATACGCTTGGCGAGCTGCTGTAACGGCAGTATTGACATCGGCGTCCGAAGCAGCGTAAAAAGACGTGATAACGGTGTTGGTGGCCGGATTGACCGTTTCAATCTGTTTGTGGTCGCTGGATGCCACAAACTCGTTGTTAATGTACAATCCCAAGGGTTGCTTGTAGGTAATGTTTAGTTGTGGGATGGAAATATCAGTGAAAAGGGACATGATGAAAGGTTTTTTAGAGCAGACAAAATGGGCGCAGATGATTATAGAATAGCGATGGGTAGTCAGTTATCGCTTATACACAAGCAACTGTTACGCTATCTTTTGAATTCAAGTTTTCCAAGAAGATCTATCTGCCAGGGCCGTAAAGATGAACCTATTTATATATTGATGTACTATTTGACATGGAATATAATCTAAAGACAATGAGATAAGACAAAACCAAGCGCGATTGTGACTTCAAGTCCGTTGCAATGGCGGGAAAACGAAGCTGCTACTGGCTTGGAAATCGAAACTGTCGAAACCGTCAAAACCGTCGTTGTTTAGAGTTTTTCTCTGTTTTTCGTGAAATTTACGCTTCTCAAAACTCTACACATGATATAAGTGAATGGTAGTGGTCGAACAGATCAAAGGTCTGGAACACTCAATTCGAGACCCAGAACCATGTTCGCCATAAGTTGCTAGTTCAAGAACGCGATTTGGAATATGACTAAAAGTAGGCCACTCACTGATAAGCCATTTGCTCATCGAATGTAGTCTACGTCTATTGAAATGAGGGTCTCGAGTAGGCACGGTCGAGACTCACCGCGCCATGGACGCCGAGACTTACCAATCCGTGAGTGGTACAATCTCAGCGTGCCATGTGTTCTTCTCACCAACAACAACAGTCTCCACACTCATGAAGAGTGGCTTTACAAGCTAAGCGTTACATAGGTCATAAAGAGCTTGGTCAATATTCTCTTATCTAATAATTCTTTATCAATCTTCGAGTTGTTTCGCGAGTCGTTTATCTAGTCAATGCTCCAGATCCAAAAAAGCGCTTAGATAAGATATAGCCACGTGACTACTTTCCTTATCTATTACGGCGGGTACCCTTAAAAAAAAATTGAGTTTTTGTGACTGGTTTTTTAGATGGTGGCGGGAAAATTCCCAAGTATAAAAGGGAGCGACAATTTGGACCCTAGAGGAACATTTCCTGATTGTTCTTGTACACTTTTTTAAGCGCTTAAACATAAAATCCAGCTTACACACTTGCTAATGAAGGACCTTTTCCAGGAAATCTCGCTGCCGGCAGGCGGCTCGTACAAACAGCCGCTGGGACTATTCATCAACAACGAATGGGTTGCATCGTCAAGTGACGACACCATTGAATCTATCGATGCATCCACGGGCGAAACCATCGTGGCGGTCCAGGCCGCCGACGCCAAAATCGACGTTGACAAAGCCGTCGAAGCGGCCCGTAAAGCGTTCCCCGTGTGGAGAGACACACCTGCGTCACAAAAACGAGACCTATTGCTCAAGTTGGCGTCATTGGTGGAACGGGACGCAGAACAGCTTGCCAAGGTCGAATCGCTCGACAGTGGCAAACCCTTCGAGTCCAACGCCAAAGGCGACGTTTTGGCTATCGCAGAAGTGCTCAAGTATTACGCCGGATGGGCCGACAAGGCCCAGGGCCAATCTTTTAGTCCCAACCCAGACACCTTGACCTACACGATCCATCAACCTTTGGGGGTCGTTGGGTGCATTATCCCCTTCAACTACCCGCTGGCAATGATGGCGTGGAAATGGACCGCGATCGCTACCGGCAACACCACCGTGTTCAAGAGTGCCGAACAAACGCCGCTCTCTATTCTTTTTTTCGCAAATCTCGCCAAAGAAGCCGGTTTCCCACCGGGCGTGTTCAACGTCTTGTCCGGCACAGGCGCCAAAGTTGGTGACGCCATGGCCAAACACTTGGGCGTTGACAAAATCGCTTTCACCGGATCTACTCCTGTGGGCCAATTGATTCAACAGTCTGCTGCCGTGAATTTGAAACCCGTCACATTAGAATGTGGTGGTAAGTCACCCAACGTTGTGTTTGAAGACACGGATTTCGAAAAAGCCGTCAAATGGACCGCTGAAGGTATCTTCAATAACATGGGTCAAATATGTTCCGGTACTTCCCGCTGTTTTGTTCAAGAATCCATTTATGACAAGTTTGTGGACGCTTTGGCCAAACATGTGGAAAAGAACTTTGTTGTAGGTCCACCTACGGATCCCAACGTGAAAGTTGGACCTCAAATTTCCAAAAAACAACAGGAGCGCATTCAGTACTATATTCAAAAGGGTGTTGACGAAGGTTGTCGGGTGGTACTTGGTGGCACTGGATTGCCTGACCAAATCGCTCAATCTGACAAATACAAAAAAGGCTTTTACGTCAAGCCCACCATCTTGGCAGACATTACTGCTAATCACACTGTAGCACGCGAAGAGATCTTCGGACCTGTAATAGTTGTGGGTAAGTTTTCCACTTACGAAGAAGCTCTTCACATTGCCAATGATTCCACCTACGGTTTGGGATCCGCTGTCTTCACTCGCGATATCACCAAAGCTCACAAATTCGCTTCACAAGTCGAGGCAGGTATATGCTACATCAACTCTTCAAACCTTCTAGATTTTGCATTGCCATTTGGCGGAGTGAAAATGAGCGGCCATGGACGTGAATTAGGAGAATACGGACTCACAAACTTCACAAACGTGAAGGCTGTTTACGTGAACTTGGGCGATTAGTCTCAAGGAGGGAGCATACTAAATTTTCAGGATTGATCATAGACTTTTCTTGCATATCCCGTCAACCTGTGATAAAATGTGTATAGACCAAAATAATAAAAGTTTTGATTGTTTGAACAATCATTGCAGCGAAGTGGAAAGATGTGAGCTGGTTATTGTTTTTGAGAAAGGTCCGCATTTCAGGACACAGTAAGATATATCTACGTATCGTGTTGATACGCATTTTGCTGATGTGCACTGGGGAATTCATCGGTGTTAGCTGGGCGTAGAAAGTAAAAGAACGAAACAGACCTGCTAAGTACGACCAAAAACAATGAGAAACGTCTTAGAGGGCAGCAAATACTACACTGAATATTCTGACAAGACTTCTTGTTGCTGATCAAAGCAGCTCACGTGAACACCCGTTTGCTGGGGGAAGTTTTCCATTGCACATACAAAGCACCTTACCATAGTGAGGAGCATGGTTGAAAGGACTGTTTGAGGGATATAGAGAGGAGCGGTACTTCATCCCGCTGGCAGCGGAATGAATGTAAAAGGTTGTTTGTTCCCAGGAAAACGGTCACGGTAAGACAGAATCGAGAAACATCGCTGCTTGACTCGGAGAGAAGTCCGCTTTCAACACTGACACTGATGCCTGGTGCAAGCTACCAAGCGGTTCTTATGATTTGAAGGATGAGTGCTCAAAAAGCGTCACATCACACTTTCCACTTAGTATGTCGCATATACAAGCTGGTCACGTGGAGATCGGGATTCAAAGTATCGAATGCTCTCTTCATCCTCGTATGGTAAGGCTATTCCAGACTCTCGAGCTGAGGCTTATTGTCCGAATATCTCACACAGTACCATTCAATCCTAATTCGACAAATGCCTATTTTTCAAAGAACCGAATCTGAATCGTTGTGAAAAAATTTCCAAATTTCTGCCCTTTCCTCTCCAAGAGCACTGATTTTACCTCCGATTTAGCCAATGAATCAATAATACCATCAGCGCGGACAAATAATCTCTAATCCACTCACAAATAATATTTTTCGATTGTAGAGTTTTTTTAATTCTTCCCTCCCAAAAACAAACAAAAGAGCACCATTATGTGATAGCTTTAAGCTTCAAACTCCAAGCTCCGAACTTCGCGTTCCCAAATGCCATTACTGCAAATCAACATCTCCTGTTTACCCATCTTAAACTTTCCATTCCCAATATCACTTTTTCCGAAACTGTCGTTTTTTGAATATTTTTAAAAAATTCAAAAATCGAAAAATCGCAAAATTTGTCGTCAACAATGACATATCCTATTTTTTCAAAATCTTTAACGATTATAAAATAATGTAATATAACAACTACTACTCACCGAAAAACAACAAATCGAATCGCGAAAAACCGGGAAATTTAAGCAGGAATTGCAACCGTTAAAGCGATAGAGTTAAAGCTTACGTCTGGAGATCGAATTCGAGACCCGGATACTCTACGAAAAAGCCCGTTTACTGCCGTCTTTTCCGCATCGAATTAGCGTTAAAATTGGTAAAGTTGTGGTAATAAACTGTCAGATTTTTAAACTTGTCGCCCATTTTTCATAGTAAGATCAAGCCATGGAGGACTACAGCGGCAGCGGGATGGAATACCAGAACCAGTACCAGGACGCATACGACGTGGCGCCCGGTTTGAACAACGGAGACGCACAAAATAGCAACAACAACAACCACATAGGAGGGGACAATCACAGCAGCAACGAAGCGCAAAATATCTCGCGTTCCGGCAGCGCACAGGGCGACACAGGTGACAGACCAAGAACCAAGAGAACTAGGGCCACGGGAGAGGCGTTGAATGTCCTGAAACGAGAGTTTGACGAAAACCCAAATCCAAATGCTCAAAATCGTAAACGTATCTCGGAACTGACCGGACTACCTGAGAAAAATGTCCGTATTTGGTTTCAAAACAGACGTGCCAAACATCGTAAATCTGGGACGGCTCCTGGTGGTATCGGTGGTACCGGTGGCAGTTCACACAGTCGAGGGCTCGGAAGAAATGGGAATTCAGTAACAACTACTTCGGATGTCAGTGCCGCCACTAACGCTGCATATCCAGCAGCAGACTTTGACCGGATTCCGCTAGATACAAATCCAAACTACTGTTTTCTGGACGTGAAATCTCTCACCGTGGGTACGTGGAAACGGCTGAAAAGTGGAAACTTGAAAAAGGAAGAACTTCCAACTCTTCAAAGCCTTTCAAATTTGTCACCATTTTCTATCAACGAAATTATGGCCAACGCCACAGATCTAATGGTTTTAATTTCCAAGAAAAATCATGAAGTAAACTATTTTTTCAGTGCTATTGCAAACAACACCAAGATACTTTTCCGAATTTTTTTCCCCATGAACACTGTTGTGAATTGTTCAGTGGTGGTCGCTTCAGAGGAATCGCCTAACCCCGGACAAGATGATGACGAGGACTCCCACTCGACGGACGAGGTACGAAACAAAGATCAACTTTTCGAGCTTCGACTCAACGTTACAAAATCACCTACTTTTGCAGTCTATTTTTCAGATGGGGTAGATCAGTATTCTTCGAATCAATGGTCCATTTGTGAAGATTTTTCAGAGGGAAGGCAAGTGAGCGAAGCTTTTGTCGGTGGCACCAACCTCCCTCACGTTATAGTGGGTTCGAAGGAGCACTTGGATTTTATGAATGAAACGATACAGGACTACGGTGGGAGGTCGAGGGACCCCTTGAATGCTTCCGATGCGCAACCTCTAATACTCCATCCTGAACCTCACTCAATGGGTCAGCACCAGCAACCTTTCTTCGACAGTTTCAACGATCAAGATGGGATGTATGGAATGAATGAACAAAACAACGGCCAGTTTGTCTCTTCTTCTACAACCCAGGCTCAGTCCTACACTCAACAACCTCAGTCATCTACCGAAATTGAGCATGTACCGTCCAATTACACTGACCCTAATGTGCCACGAACTCCTGATTTTTTAAAATCAGACGTTGGCAGCGAAGAGCAAGGAGGCCTGAATAATCTATTGATCTTTGACGACCAAAATAACTCAAACACCAAAAATGTTCAAAACTACTACTAATCACCTTTTGTACCACTCGCAGAAGGTTTTTTACACGTTTTTCCCTTAGTTTGAGTAGTGAACACATTTCAGCAGCATTGTATTATTGATTAAGCAAGCATAAAGATCCGTTTAAAATTCCGCTAACTTGGATTCACACACTACAACAGCTATACATTTTCTAAAACCAAATAAAAAAAACTAGTTGACAGTTCGATAGGCTCTATAAAAATTGGTTGGCCATAGTGTTTTTTCCCAGATCATTTTTACCGTAAGAATCAATTGGTTCTTCATCTGCACTAGCAAGAGCTTCCAGCTCTCGAGAAGTGTCTTCTTCTGCGACTTCTTCTTGCTCGTCAGAATTGTATATCGGAGGTTCAGCAGGAAGGGAGTTGAGTGTGTACTGACAAACATTAGAAGGTTGCGGAGAAACACTAAATTCAAAGCCCGGCGGGGGAGGTAGTAAATGACCGTCCTGGTCTATAATATCACCATCAGTAGTTGATATGCTCTCGTCATCTGTAACGTCATCTTCGTAGCTGCTTTCCAGTAATACATCATGATCGTAATTGTCGTAAGATGGCGGTGGCAATTTCACACCTTCGGATTTGGCATAACCCCACTTTTTGACGTTTGCCTCGATAAAGACAAAGCCATAAGTACCGAAATTGGCGTGTATTTTACATGGTACGTTGGTTCCCACAATTGGGTACAGGTATTGGAACTTCCATCCTCTAATATGACCACCGATAGATTTTTCGCTCAATTTCTTACCATTCCGTGTAAAGAATACCGTACCGCTATTCGTACGGTAGCCTATTCCGATAACATCACCTTTCTCGCAACGCGGGAATATTGAAGAAAGTTCGGAGGACAGTTCGAAGGAATCGTTGAACCTACGTGCTCCGTTGGAGTCATATGCCAAGGAATGGTGATGTCTTCCAGGAAGTCTGAAATATGGGTATGGAGATGTTGACAGCCCAAATGATATCATTTCATTTCTTGAAAGGTGGTTGTCCGTACTGCCAGCAGTGTTTAGCTCAAAAATCTTAAACTCGCAGTAATATACCCGATTCAAGCGTGGAATTGGCAGATTGGTCGTCACTGAAACATCATAGTTAAAGTTAAGGAAAGTCAGCTCTGACTTGTTTTCTACCAAAACACTATCATTCGGGAGCTTTGGATCCGGTTGGAACTCCCACGCATAAGCACCTTCTTCATTAATAAACTGCAAAGTCTGCTCATTTATTATGGGATCTGAAAAATTGGAAGCCCCAGCACCAACCCCTGCGCCCGAATACTGTTCTGGAAGAACAAGTGGCGGATTTTGGCGAATGTACTCCTCGCCTTGTTTGTAATAAAACTGCTCCTCTGAAGAAAGTCTAGCCAGCTTATCTTTTACCATTTCAGCGTCGTCCAGCGAGCTTGTCCATCTTGTGTTCCCCATTGTACCCGTAACATCAGCTTCGCTTTCACTTCCCAGAGTGATACCTGCACTGAAATAACGTCTCAAAACAAATCTTACCCCAAAATAAACCAACGTTAACACTAAATAGCACACAAACATGAATGCCAGACTGAATATCATCAAATCTATGTCCAAATCCTCGCTTCCACCGTCTCCATACGGGTCTGATGGCACATAGGTCTGATCAGACGCACTGATAGGTACAACGCTGCTGTTCGCCCGTTTTGCCCAAACGAAAATGGCTAAAAAGGGCTTCAGCCCCAGTGGCACAATATTGCTACCACCCATAACCAGACTTAAGCTTAAAATGGTCTGCTGTGAGCGTTGTTCCGATGTTTGGAGAAGTTGAACCGAAGTTGAAGGGCCTTCATTTGTAAAGAGAGTTAATTTAGAGACCTCATTCACCTTCAATCGTGAAGAGTGACATATGGCTATCCAATGATAGGTTTAACCTTCTTCCTCCAATGTGTTCTTCATGGTTGAGCTCAATGCTAGCTCTCAAGCTTCTTTGGTTCTCACGACAAATCGAAACGGGCTTCAGCGTTGATGGCGTAAAGCAGCTTATTTTTGAGCGTTTGGCGGTCTTGATAGTCGGGCAATTTAAGCAGATTAACGCACGTAGACGCAGTGGGAAGTCTTGAAATGTCTTGTCCCGCATTGCGTATCCCAAATAGTGGGTTGAGCGAGCTGAAACCCTGTAGCGGTGCTCTGGGAACCGAGGTGACGAATTTGACGAGGTTGAGCCGCTCCTGAGGCTGGAATTCAGCCATAATGGACCAGAAATCTTGAATTGTTCGGTCTTCGTCAGAAAACTCTCCATACTCGGTATGTTGCCGGAGATCTGAGAGGTCTATGTCTTTTCCGCCACCGGAAATCAGCATTTGGAGCTCGACAGAATTGAACATTTCAAGCCAATGGGGTGGAATCATAGTGTAAAGACCTCCCGTGAAAGATCGGGTTCCTAAGCGTAGTTTCCGGTTCAATTTGTAATCCGCTAGTGCCAGAAGATACTGAAGTGTGTTTGTTTTGTCCACAACCTTGTTAGATCCATTGGGAACAAGTTCCACAGTCTGAAAGGTTTCTTCGTCAGTGACCTCGAATCTCAATCCCAAAGCCTGTAGCTCAGAAGGGCTCATACCGAGCAGCTTCACGACGTTTGCATATAAATCGGAATCAAAGCTTGAAAGATCGTCAAAAGAAGAGTTTGAGCTGTTCACATTTAGCACCTTCTTCAAAAAAAAATCGGCAAACGTTACATCCACAAGAACGTGGTCATACAGACATTTCCCCAGTACTTTACCCAGAAACCAAAGATATCTTAGACTTTGAGCAGACTTGAGTTTCCCCGAGGGATAGATCTCATGGCTATCATTGTGTTCAAACAGCTTGTGTCTGTCGGTCTTAAAGCCTTCATCGGAAACACTGGTCAGAAATTCTTTAGTTATACCACCGCCATCGATCCCTGCTTCTGGTCCAAACTCATTAACAAAGGTAACAGAGAGTTTTGATTTAAAACTCTCACCAATCGGGTTGTAAGCGTTGTACGCGTCTTCCAAGACGTTTTCTCGAGAAATAGTAGCGGTTTGTTTTGCAGCTATAGGGTTTGCACTCCAAAAAGAAAACATCGCTGAAAGGTTATTGGCATCAAGGTCAAGTCTTTTGCGATCCAGGGAGATGAGAAAGTAAAACCAGTCAACTCTTTGCTGGAATGGTATGAAAAACGGTACTCGGAAAAGAATGTTGAGTTTTTTGAACTGTCGGGTAGTTGCTCGATCAGCAAACGATTTTTCAACTTCGGCAAGGAACTCGAAGCGGAGGTCCCCCTTTCTTCTGAAGACCTCTGCATCTTCCAAATCGTCATCTTCAATTTGCAGACCAGTGACACGGCCACGATAAAACTGCTCGTATTCTTCAATGTATTTCGTTATGTTAACACTCGAAAAGTCGGAGTTGGTGACACTCCAGTAATCCGTACTTTTGTTTCGAGGGAAGAAGTGCAGTCTCGAATCACGCAAATGTATCTTCTTTAGCGTGTTCAAGAAAGATCCCGAGAGTGTGCGACTTTGATCATTTGAATCCCACAAGCCATGGAAGCACAGTTTCCTGAGATAGTCTGTCGTTTCTTTCAGCAGGTGAAGGGGGTACGTCGTTTGATTATGCATGAGTTCATAATCGCTGGCTATCGAGAGGTAGATGTTGAGAACCTCTACGAGTAAAAGTCCTTCGGCTTCGGGTGAAGCCTGCTGAAATGAATTGCCGAAAAATCTCTTATGCGCCTGAATCATGAATTCAGACCTTGAAACTAGATTGATTAGAACGTTAGTTTTGCATTCCAGGTTGGGAGCATGACCTATGAACACCGACAAGGCTTCAAAAAGTCCATCGAATTCGCTTTGCATTATCGTATCCACAAATTCCTTTGTATAAATTTGCTGGAAAAAGGGCATTCCTGACATGCTGTTCGCTTCTACGTTCTTCAAGCAGCGCAAAACGAGCTGACCGTAAACTTCAGCACTCTTTTCGTTGTTAAGTGACAGAAACAAAAATGAGAGGTTCTCAACCAGGTCAGGAGTGGCTTCACTTAAAGAAATGTTCCGAGGAGAGCATAATGAGCCCAGATAATGTAGGAACGTCTTGACATTTTGTGAGTTTTCTGCATTACTTATTGAGATTCCAAAGACACTTGATATCAAACTTGTTTGCGGGATACCCGACCCACCAATGAGCTCTACTAGTTTCTGTAAGGCAACAGCGGGTATCGGGTAGGACGCCTCAGCAAGCATTTTCGAAATTGCAGTCACAAACTTAGGGTTTGGCGGGAATTCAGCGGCGTACCTGCTCCAAATTGTGAGGAATAAATCCTGGCAGGTGTTTTTTGTCGCTAACCTGGAGATCAGTTTAGTCAGGCCTCTGTTGATTGCAGGATAACTTCCATCGTTGATTACACAGTTCAAGATTCGCACTAATTCAGGCTCTGGCAGAAACTGCAACAGTGGCTCTGGGAAGGCCACAATTAGTTGTATTGCCGTTTCAGGTTCCACATGCTGTGCAAGCTTCTGCATCAAATTTTCGTTACTGAGATATCTCCGAATGCATCGCTGGATCTTTATAGCGTTTTCCTCATTTCTGCGATTTAAGGCCCTTTTTTCTCGCTCGTTTTTAGCATCATTCAAAATGTCTTGTTTCGTTCTACTCGTCTTGGTACCCAGGTTGACATTTCGACGCTTCGTTTGTCCCGAAAAGTTCAACATCTTTGATGTGGCATGGTGTGTAAGGTTATAAGATCAAGTAGTATTGGATATTTCTAACAAGAATATATTTAAGGTTAACGATGAAGTAAAGAGCAGATGGGACCACAGGAGGCTGGAGCAAAGATCGAGGAACCCACAAAGCATCGAGAGTATCATGTTGAACAAGCAGGAGAAAAAACCCGGATTTCAAACAGCTCCTTTTTGCGAATTTTAGTCTTATTTCGAGTCATCAATAGCTTTTTTGTCAATTCATTCTTTCAACCCGATGAGTTTTGGCAGTCCCTTGAACCTGCGCATTTCAAAGCGTTTGGATATGGAGAATTGACTTGGGAATGGAAGTTCGGACTGAGAAGTTACGCTTTTTCGTTTTTGTTCGAATTAGTTTACCGTTTGGTATCGCTAATATCTACGTTTTTGGCATCAGTTGTAGGCTTTGCCAGTAGCATATTCACAGTGCTGGTAAGAAATCTGATACCGGATAGCAATGGCGCTTTGGAAATGGTACTGGAAATGCAGAAGTTCCCACAAGAGATAAAAGAGTTCGCAGAATACCAAGGTATAATTTATGGTCCAAAGATCATGATGGCGGTCTTGGCAGGTTTTGGGGAATGGTATGCCATAAGTTTTGCAGCCAAAGTCTACAAGTCATGTTTTGAGATTGACATGAAAAATAAGACCCGCGAAAGCGCCCTAGTCAAAAGAAATGCGTTAATAATCTCAGTGACCAATTTTTTTAACTGCTTCTTCATTACCAGAACTTTCAGCAATACATTCGAAATGGATTTGACCTGCATTGCTCTGTACTATTGGGATTGGTCCGGTGGTCACAATGTGACATCGACCAAGTTTACCGTCAGTCTAATTTTGGGCATCTTTTTGTGCTTTCAAAGGCCGACAAATGCATTTATTTGGTTGCCCTTCGGCCTTTTCCTCACTCTGAATTTGTTAAGAACTCACCGCTTTAAAACTTTAGCCCGTTTGATCTATAAAGTTCTGTTCACTCTAATTTTCGTCATAGCTGTGAACTTGGCGGTCGATTATTATTTCTATGGAAAGATAATGTTTCCCGCGTTGAGATTTATCAAATTCAACTATACTAGCGCGTTATCGGAGTTTTACGGTACAGCTCCATGGCACTTTCACCTGTGCCAAAGTGTGCCACTCATAGCTGGTTACTCGTTGCCCTTAGTGATCCTCGGCTTCTATTCTTTGAGATCCACCACCAAAAACAGCCTGTTTAATGACCCGCTAAAGCAAATTAAGCTTGTCATCATTCTTGAGATTCTCATCTTCTCTGTCATCGGCCATAAGGAATTCCGTTTCATGTACAATTTGCAGCCCTTTTTCCTTGTGATTTCCAGTATTGTCCTACTGGGGGTGCTGCCCAAAGCCCAGAACGGACGGCCAAAACCACTCAAATGGTACTTTTGGATGCCTCCATTCATATCTGTGGTCGCAGCCCTGGCTCTTTCTTCTCATCATGAGACTGGTGTGATTGAAGTTACCAAATATCTGCATTACATCCCGAAAGTACACAGCATAGGGTTCGTGATGCCTTGTCATTCTACCCCTTGGCAATCCTATATTCACAGGAATAATACACAAAACTTATGGTCCATATCATGTGAACCACCTCTACACTTGCTACAGGATCCATCAGCCAGAGAAAAACTCCACCATTACATGGACGAAAGCGATTGCCTCTACGATGATGCCCCAAAGTTCATATATCAGAATTTTCCTCCCGCATTTCGCAAGAACCTTAGGTCACCCGATAAGAAATGGACCTACGAATGGCCAGAGTATTTGGTAATATTCGAGCAACTCGACGACCTGTATCTGAACAGCTATCTTGCAGATAGCGGTTACAGAGTAGATGCAAGGTTTTTCAATACACTGAGTCATTGGGATTCTAGAAGGTCTGGCGATGTGATAGTATATTACAAGCCTCCCTGGTTTTGAATGTCTTCACAGATCCCATCTATTTCCCTTTCCCAACGATGAGCCACTATTTAGGTCATTGCCATTTATATACAAGTCCGTAGCTTTTACAACACGAGTGGTACGGAATTCCAGTAGCTTGATCTGCTCCGCTCGAGAGTCAATGAACAGCTTGAATGACTTTTTTGCTATTTCATTGTTGCTTGATAAAGTTTGCATGCTCTGGAGACACTTTTTGGCCTTTTGATACGATTTCAGCTTAATACTGCAGTCAAAATAACCTATGAAGCACTCGAAATCGAACAACTCCATACCCAGCTTGAACCACTCCAGGGCTTTTGTATTATCATGAAAATAGTTCATTTCCAAGAACCCTAACAGCTGAAAGCTCTCTTTGAAACCCTCGCTAGCTGCACTTTCCATCAGACACCTTGCCTTGAGTGGCTCTGAATCCATGTACAATTGGGAAAGATGGTAATATGACTGAACGACTTGCTCCAGTGGACAGAGGCGAATGCTTTCCAAAAAATAGCGTTCAGCTTCCCTCAAGTTTGGCTTTCTGAAATTGATAATTCCCAGTTTCCCAGTAACTTCACCTGCCCTGTAGGTATCGCTTTCTAATTCCAAAAACTTCTTGTAATATTGTTCAGCACTGTCAAAATCGTTTCGCGTAAACGCGAGATCTGCCGTTAGCTTAACTGTGAGCGGATGTGAAATTTGGTATAATGTCTTGATGAGTTTTTTAGCGTGTGTGACGTCTGCTGGTGTATTTCGGTGTGCGTTTTCCAAAACCTGGAATGCGAGAGCAGAAATTGCATCATTGTTGCCCAATTCGGCAGCGTTTTCAAGCAATTCGTTTTCAAGAACTGTCAAGTTCTTGTTGACCGTCTTGGTTCGGTGTCGCACTTTTTCAAGCACTTTTTTCATGATCAACACATCTTCGCCTTTGAAAGACGTAGGTATAGTCTTTCCAGATACTTCAGACTCTAAAGAATTGTAAACAGCCTCGTAAACTGGATATAATTTAGAAAATGCCAGCCTGCTATCCATTTCGAATAGTAGTCTGTTGACCAGTTTTTTATTCGGAAACACATCGCGGAAAGGCGGTCTTTTAGAGGAGTAAGCTCTGGAAAATCTTCCACGAAATATATTCAAGTGCCGGTCCATTTTGTACAGCTTTGGAGCGCTCTTTGTGTGATATCTTACTACAGCACCAATATTGACCTTCGATGGATATGTTATGCCGATTAGCAAATCGATCTAAGCACAGCTGTCTCCTCCTAAGAGATCAAACCAGATAAACAGATTTCAAGCGGTTTCAAAGAGTTCCTCTTGAGATCAAGTGCCTGAACATGGAGCCAATTTTTCACTCTGTTTGGTAAGGTTTTGTTAGAATGAACTAATACTATTGATATAGATATCGAATTTAAACTTCCACATTTTCGTAACTACAACGCCATTACTTGCAATGCAAGTTCATATAAGAACAGTAAGTTCATCCAATTCATGGGTCTTGATCGAGCAATAGATGCTTAAAGCTATAAGATCTCGACGTATATATAAAAGCGTTGTGTCAAGCACAATTTGGCGTGGATTAGCCACGTCCAATAACGACACAACTGACTTCTCGCATGCGATCATAGGGGGAGGAGTTGTGGGTCTGTCGATAGCGTTTGAACTAAGTAAGGTAGCAGGAAATCGTGTAGTTTTGATTGAGAAGAACACAGCTTTAGGTATGGAGACTTCGAGCCGGAACAGCGAGGTTATCCACGCAGGTTTGTATTATCCACCAGACTCTTTGAAAACTCAGTTGTGTATCGAAGGAACGAACATCATATATAATGAGTTGACGTTTCCTGAGACAGGTGTAGTGTGGAAACGGTGTGGAAAATGGATCGTGGCTCAAAACGAAGAAGAGATGGCTTACTTGGAGAAACTTTATGATAAAGCCTCAAGGCAATTGGGTCTGCCTGTTGAGATGATATCAAGCAGCAGAGCTGACCAGGAGGAACCCAACATTAGGGTGAGAAAAGCTGCACTTGTTTCTCCGACCTCGGGCATCATTTCTTCACATTCACTCATACAGTATCTAGCAACGCATCTGGATATCAATGGTGCTGAAGTGGCAATCGGTACACAGCTAACCGAGATGAGTTACAACCGCAACAGGGGCTATAATCTGCTGTGCAAATCCGTGGTCGATTCGTCGGGAGACGCGGTTGAAATATCCGTGGAAAACGTGGTTAACGCTGGTGGCCTTCATGCGCATAAAATAGCTAACATGCTTTTGCCAGAAGACCGTCACAAGCAGCAATACTTGGGAAAGGGCAATTATTTTTCCTTATCCGGTCGAGCGTCCTATCCTGTGAAAAGGTTGATTTACCCAGTCCCTCCCAAAAACAAACAGTCGTTGGGAACCCATTTAACAATCGACTTGGACGGAAAAATAAGGTTCGGTCCCGATCTTGAATATGTCAGCTCGCCCACAGATTACGAAGTCAATGGCAATAATTTGGAAAATGCCGTGCACGCTATTAGAGATTACTACCCTCACGTCGAACCAGCTGATCTTCAACCCGCGTACAGTGGCATACGACCTAAGCTGGGTGGACCATGCGACACCACTTTCGAAGATTTTTACATTCGGGAAGAGAAGGGGTTTCCAGGCTTCGTGAACTTGCTGGGGATAGAGAGTCCAGGGCTGACCGCAAGCCTTGCCATAGGACGTTACGTCCGTAAAATATACCATGGATGATTGATAAACACGTTCTAGCTGATTACAATCATTTTTGTTTGAGTTTCGGCAGTTCAGAGGGGATTGTGGGCTCCGGAAGCTCAACAAAGTACTCGCTGGTGAGACATTGTATGGGACTTAAACGCTTGTGTGGATTCATTGTGAGCATCCCAGACATGACGTCGAGAGCATTTTCAGTAGCCGCAATAAACCTTCTTCTCAACTCTTCACGAGAAGGTGGTGGATAAACCTGAATTTTGTTGTAAGTACCGAAAGTCGAAATTTCGGGCCAATCTCTATCGGTCGGAGTCCCCAGAGCGCGAAACGTAACATCTATTTGGTCCACGTCATCCTTTCCGGGCAAATAAGGTATCCTCAGCATAAGTTCAGCGAAGATTATACCAACAGACCAAATATCGACGGCTCCAGTATAGTGGCGTGCACCGAACAGAAGCTCCGGGGCACGGTACCACCTGGTGACAACGTTACTGGTCAGAAACTCTTGTGGCGACCCCATGTTTCTTGCCAGCCCAAAATCTGCCAGTTTCAGCTGTCCGTCTGGTGCAAGTAATAGATTATTAGGCTTCAGATCTCGATGCAAGATGAAATTACGATGGCAGTGATGAACACCTCTCAGGGTCATCAACAGCCAGGATTTTATATCGGCTTGCGTGAAAAGAATAGACGTATCTTTGATGATCATTTCCAAGTCTGCCGGCAGAAACTCCAGCACCAAGTTCAAGTTGCTCTGTGCCATGAAGACATCGATCAGTTCGATAACGTTCACATGTTGCATCTCTTGCAAATATTTCACTTCCCGTATAGCAGACATATCTAATCCATCCTTGAAACCTGAAGTCTTGATTTCTTTGATGGCAATTCTGCGTTCATTCGACTGCTTTGTCCCAACGTAAACCACCGCATAAGTACCTTCACCAACTTTTTTCTCTGTGCCGAAAGTTGTTAGTATAAAAAAACACTGCAAGTTCGCGATTCTGCATCCAACATACCCTTGGAATACTCTGTCTGGGCTATCATTTCTTGATTTATTCACACTTTTGAGTTCTGCTCAGTTGAGATGAGCTTAAATTTCAATAACATTTATAGAATAGACTACGATCATCTCATCGCATCGAATAAGATCCAAGAGGAACTTAAACATGCTTCATTCGAAGCTGAAATCAAGTATTTTCAGTAGAATACACTTCAGAAAACTGTTGGTGTTGAACAATAGTCTTAGATTTCAAACAACGGTTAGTTTTGGTGACTTTAAAGAGCTACATCCGCTGCTATTAGAACGAGCGAAGAAATATGCAAGTGAGCTGCAGTTGATGGAACAGAAGATGTCACAGGGCTCGTTGAACTTTGACGTTGAGCGAGAAAAACATTTCTCGAGGCTTTCGGCAATTGTAGACTCTTACAGAAAATACTGCAGTGAGATATCTACTGTTTGTGAACTACAAGTGATGGCGGAAAATGATGAGAGTTTGCGAGAAGAAGCTCAAGAAGAAATAAAGGAAATCATTCCGGCTTTGGTAAAAACGTCAGGTGCTCTTTTGGGACATCTTCTGCCGCCACATCCGTTTTCAGATAGACCCTGCATTTTAGAAATTCGTCCCGGCGTTGGAGGAATCGAAGCCATGATTTTTGCCCAGGATCTACTGAACATGTACACAAACTACGCACACAACAAGAGGTGGAAGCACCACATAATATCACACAATGAAAACGAGAGCGGATCCGGAATCGTCGATGCAATTCTTAGCATCGACGAGCCAGGCGCCTACGAAATGCTAAGATTCGAAGCCGGTGTGCACAGAGTACAGCGGATTCCGGCGACTGAAACAAAAGGTAGAACGCATACTTCAACTGCAGCTGTTATCGTGCTACCTCAGATGGCCGCAGACACAGAAAAAGAAGCACAATCGTACGAAAGATCGTTCAAACCGGATGAAATCAGAATAGACGTCATGAGAGCTAGCGGGAAGGGCGGGCAGCATGTAAATACGACGGACTCTGCGGTGCGACTTACCCACTATCCATCTGGTATTGTGATCAACATGCAGAATGAGAGATCGCAGCATAAAAACAAAGCCAAGGCTTTTGCCATTTTGCGGGCCCGCTTGGCAGAGATGGAACAAAAGGAAAAGGAGCAAAAGGCTAGGGATGCTAGAAAGGGTCAAGTCAGCACTACCGATCGCTCGGACAAAATCAGAACCTACAACTTCCCTCAGAACCGCATCACTGACCACCGTTGTGGGTTCAATCTTCACGACATGGAGGGTTTTATGGCTGGAGAACGGCTGGACGATATAGTGGATGCAATGCGTAATTTTGACAGTGACACGCGAGCTAACGAGCTTCTAAAAGATGCCGAGGATTTCAAGATGAATAGTGAATGAAATAAGTGTCAAATGTTTTTTCAGAAGAGGCAAAAGAGTTAAGCATTGCTGACTCCAGTTCTTCTGCTTTGGCATTTCGATTACCACCGCTTATGGCACACCATGCGTTTTTTTTCCTGACACTGGGATATCACTCTGTACTAATCTGTCACCCACAATATTCGACCAAATCATAAACGCCATTTCCCAGCTTTCAAAATGCAATTTCTCCAATCCTTATAGCTTACTGCACATCGTAGAAAACTGTAAGGGTGTTAAAGCTCTTTATCGAGCCCTTTTGCGGCGTCGATATCTTGAATAAAGCATATGCTCAAACGAAACGTCACACTCGAAACAAACTCAAAAATACAAAAATGATAAATTGATTCCCATATTCCTACGAACCGTCCAGCATGAATCTTCATGGTAATAGCGTAGATTATTTGTACAGTTGACACCTCAAAGTACCTCTACTTCTTTAGCCTAAACACCCGTTCCTCCTTCTATTTACTGTCACATATCAGTCATGTGATATCCTGTCATCAAGGACACTGTATATTAGTACCGTATACCACCTCGCAAGTTGAAAGATGTTCAACTCATCGCACCAAACCAACACTCCAAAGCTTTTTCTATCGCTCGAAGTGAATGCGTGAAGAGAATGTCGAGTTCCCGCAACGATGGGATTTTTTGGCATCATAAGTCTAGCGTCAGAATAGGTGAAATTGAACGCTATATCATCACATATCAACTTTACGACGATGATGAAGGGCTTCCAGCAGACTTATCACTTAATTCGCTTTGGCTGAGGGTTCAAAACATTGAAAACTTGACTTATAGGGCAGCTTACTTGATGGGACCTTATCTACTTTACTGCGATCTGCGAACTGAAGAATACCACCATTCCCAACATCTTTTCGTTTCGGCAGATCAGCCTAAGTTCGAGCCGGCATTGCAACCGCAACAGGATTTTTACGCTGAAATGTCATTGCATAACCTCAAGAAAAAATACGTTTGGATTCTGGACATAGCAAGCCAGATCATTTTCACTAACACAAGTCAAATCGGCTTTGAGATTTCGATCGGGTCGTCCAAGAAAAGTCTAGAAAACATTTATTTTGGTGAACATCTTTTTCCGTATTCGGCTAGCTCGAAACTGAGTGTGACACGGCTAGACACTTTGGATCAATGGAACCTCAGCGATTATATGTCGCCTCAAGCGGATCAGAAACAACATCTAGTCATCATGACTCATGGATTGCATTCTAACGTCCCAGCAGATCTATTATACGTTAAAGAACAGATTGAAAAGTCCCAGAAGTACTATAAGGACGAACAAATTGTCGTCAAAGGTTTCACTGGAAACGTTTGCAAAACTGAAAGAGGTATTAAGTATCTGGGCACCAGACTAGCCAATTATGTGGTGCAAAAATTATACAACGAACGAGTGACCAAAATATCTTTTATCGGTCATTCATTGGGTGGCCTCGTCCAAACATTCGCAATTGCTTATATCTCAGTGAACTTCCCCTGGTTCTTCGAAAGAGTTCAGCCCACTAATTTTATTACTCTGGCATCTCCGTTACTTGGTATTGTGACGGACAACCCTGCTTACGTTAATATGTTGCTATCTTTTGGTATTGTTGGAAAGACTGGACAAGACCTGGGTCTCAAAGGGCAGTCCGAAGGTGAAAAGCCGCTTCTATATTTTCTTCCGGGAGAGCCCACCAAAACCATTCTGAAAAAGTTCAAGCGTCGTACGATTTACGCTAATGCCGTAAACGATGGTATTGTTCCGCTTTACTCGGCTTCATTGCTCTTTTTGGAGTATAAAGAAGTCTTGGCTCAACTCCAAAGAATGCCAGACATCGGTCATAAGTTAGTGACCACTGCGCCAGGTGAATTCTTCATGAAAAATTTCATTGCTCCAATCTCCAAAGCTATCAGTCTGTGGGCTCCTCAGAAGTTTCCAGATGATGGGGATGGCATTTCGAAAATTCCGAAAGCGTCCGTAATAGAATCTGCTACCTCCATATTGATTCCACCAGCTCCAGATAAGTCATATATCATGGATCCTGCAACTCGTGCTAATGTCATTATTCATGACAAGCTATACACCGAAACCGATATTCCGGAACGCAACTCAAACTCGGAAGAAGAGTTGCTGGGTAGTAATAACGTACTTTTACGCACATTTGTCGCGAACGCTGAAAATTCTCACCAACAACTAGAGGAAGAAATCGCGAGACGTTGGCACGAGGGTCTCGATTGGCGCAAGGTAATCGTCAGTTTAAAACCTGACGCTCACAATAACATTATCGTAAGGAGAAGATTTTCCAATGCGTATGGATGGCCAGTAATCGACCACTTGATTCAAAACCACTTCAACGGTGTAGACAATGAATTGCATTTTCCAAACGCCCAACCTGAGCTGGCAGAGAGCGGCCCCTCGAATAGTGATGGCAGCTGGGTTAATTCTACAGATAGAAAGAGAATCTTTGACGTGGGGCCAACTGGAATGATTTCAACGGTCACTGACATGTTCGATTCATTGAGCAGGAATAGGCCACTACTGAATCGTAATATGAGCTCATCCCGCAGGCGGGAAAGTACTTTCAGTCAAGACGAGTTGTTCAGATATGAACTTGAAGAAAATGAGTTAGGCGGAAATCCTTTATAAATTTCTATACAATGCATTTGCTAATTCACTATCAGTTGAGTACTTTATCGCAAGACTTTCTCGCAGATCTGAGAACTGTCGGCGGTCGATAAAGGACTTAGTCAAGAAATTCCGGTATCTGTTGTCATCTCTATACTTGAGAGCCAAAATTTCTAAAGTTTCAAAAAATGAGCCTTCCTCGGCAGTCTGAGGACTGGAGTTATGCGAAAAGCGCAAGCTTTCTTTCAGCATGTCAAAATCTAGTCGAAGTTGATCCAATCCAAACTTGTTGAACCTATTGAGATTTATCACATAGTCCATCATATAATGAATCAATATATTCAAGATGTCAGTTTTGATGGCCAGAATGATATCAGGAGTCAGGTCAACTTTTTCCAGTGCAGTGATCAACTTATTAGATAAGTTTAGTGGTGAAACTATCTCGGCGCTACACTGCTGCGGCGCGGAGCTTATTTGATTCCATTCGCTAACTTTGAAATAATTACGAAGGGCGGCGTTCATGAGTTTCTTGTATCTGTGGATAATGGACTCTTTTGCGGTCGTAATAGCGTTTTCATAGAGATTCAAAACATCGTCGAAAATTGTATCGTATGATGAAGAAGTAGCTGAATTCAAATATTCAGTGAGCAAGATGAAGTTTAGCTTATCCGCAAAATTCTCCAATGTGATCCTGATGAGCTGTAAATTATGAGTCTTCCAAAGAGTTTTCTCGAACTGGGCCTGCTCTGAAGAAGCTTCACCAGGCTCATCCTTTGAATTCAAGAGTATGTCGCGATACTTTTGAGTCAAATCCATGAAAATCGTTTTGGTAGTTCGCAACTTATATTCCATCAGTTTGCCATATTCAACATTGAAGAACGGCTCAAAATACAGATAAAGATTTTCCAGAAGTTTTGCGAAATCTGAACCGCTCTTGACAAGATTCGCCGTCTTGGTGATTTTTTGAAATTGGTCGAGGGAAGAATCAATCTCGAATGACAGCCAGGCATTTAGTACCTCCTCGGGTATCATTGCGATCAAACCCAAACCGTCGTAAAAGTGTTTTTTCACCAGTGCATTGTCAATTATGAAAATTTGAGAAATCAGCACCACAAGCGTTTTGAGGTGATTACTCGAAGCACTATTGGCGATATTCACCAATGTAACGTTCACTTTCTCACGTATAGGGACTAGAACGTGGTTTATGAATTGTTGATGTACAAAATTTTCGTCAAGGTCTGGCACGGATGGATCGTGGAAAAGGTTGACACTTTTGTAAAGATTGAGTTCCAGGTATTTCTCGAGAAATTTGAAATACATTTCAACAGAGTTTGGCTCTTGGATGGACTCCTTCATGAAATGATAAATGAACTTGATTTTGAAATTGTTCGCAATACACTCAAAATTCCAAATGTCGTCGGAACCTCGTTGCGGCAGCCATAGCTGGTTCAAGCGATATATCCGCGACGAAAGCTGTTTCAAAGACGACCTAGGTAGCTCAGAAACAAGTACACTGTAATCCTTTCCCGGTAAATCCCAACCAGAGTCTAAAAGTACAGATTTCAATTCCTCACGTAACGGAAGGGCCTGTTGTTGTAATAGGTTGTTGAAACTCTGGAACACCGATTCCAAGTCCGAATCTTGCAATTGAGATTTCAAAACATCCAAGTTGTCATGCCACTGTTGTAACTGTGATTCTTGAATCTCAGATTCTTCTTTAGCGGTCTTAATAGCGACAGAAATGTCTTCCAACTGTTTTAAAGCAGATATCTCCGCCGTTTTAGCAGCTTTTTGAGTGAAAAGGGTATCAATTTGATCCAAAACTGCGAGAGAGCCGTACTGCGCTCTCAATTTTGCTGTATCAGAGCTCGAACGTACGGAAGCAATATTTTCAGCCAATGCTAGCAGCTGTTTGTCCGCCCGATCGAGGTCATACAGAACGGCTTCGTTTTGTCCCGTTCTGGTCTTCAGTTGAAGGGCAAAGGTTTCTCTTTCTTTCTCAATTGCATCTGCAAGTGTCTTGACCTTTGGAAGTTCATCAACGGACGTTAAGATCCTCAAATCCTGCATTGTTCTGACACTTTCATTCTGATAGTCTGGTTGAATCTTCAACTTCCATCTCCAGATTAGCTCAACAATATTCTATTCTAAATTGGCGATGATGTCACCTCAGACGGAAAAGCAACTGTGGCACACCCCTAATTTTTAATTCAGGGAACTATAAAAGGGTTGAAATCTGGAGAGTGTTGAGACACACAAATGTTCAACTCCTCAAAAACAATAGATCTGCTGTAAATCTATACGTTTCAACTGTAATCGTTTAGACACTCGCAACGGTTGTCATCGCCACGATCCAAGGATTAGCGTTATAGGTTTAAATAGATATTACTGACATATATAAAACCACAAAAATGAGCGAAGCCACGAGTATTAGAAGACCAGTGGAAATCCCAGAGTTCAAAGAGGTCATAAGCGATCTTCCAGATCAACAATTGTCTAAAATTCGGGCCGAACTAGAAAATAGTGTGAAACATCTGGATCGCTCAAATCTGCGTCTCAAGAAATACATAGCGAAGATTGAGGGCAAACGGGAAGACACCCCGGACGGTGTAGACGAAGAAGAGCTCGACAAGATCGACGCCAACGATCTACAGTTGTTCGAGGACTCTTACCACGAAAACGAAATAGTGCTGAAAAACCACTACGAAAGAATCGAGGCGCTTAACCAGGAAGAGTCTTACCGTGCCAGTGGATCCAAGGAACCTCCAACGGCAGACGCCCAGAAGAAGGCCAAAATCAGAGCCGCATCTTTCGACACCGACAACACCAATGGTGATGCCAATGCCGTGAACAGTGTATACTTGTGATTCGGAACGTATAAGGAAATAAACAATGGCAACTCTTTAGTAATTTGATTCCAATGATGCAGCTTTAATTTTTACTTTTGCTGGAAGGGACTTTCTCAGTAGAGTTGTGTAGCGAAAGACAACTAAAACAGTCAATGGGGCATACGAATATCTGTTCATTTTAACGTTGTGTCAGAAAGTGAGCTGGCCGTTTTTTTGACGGGTCTGTCTTGACAAAATCTGGACACTTTGTGTCGATGTCTTGATGGAGTCATATTGGGTCAATGCAACTATACAGATCAAAAAATCGTCTTTTCACAGCATGAAGAAATGCGCAATCATAAGTGCGCTATGTAGTGCTGCTCTGGCTGTAGCAGACATTTCCCAGGAGCTGTTGCCACAACCTCAGCTGTCGTTTGTGTGCCCACCCATCAAAGCGTCACTTTTGAAAACCCAGGAATATCGAGAAAATTACACTTGCATAAGCTTCGACGCACGGGAAAGCACCACTTCCACAGTCACTTTCTCCATCATGGTAACAGAATTTTTGGATTCCAAACAGGATTTGGGTCGTTTTGGGCTCACCAGTTGTGAGCTAGGCAGACAACATTTAGAGTTTACAATAACAGCGCCAAATGGAGAGCTGCTCCGGTCGCACCGCGACTTAAAGTCTGGACGAACAGTAGTCCAATTACGTCGCATTGTTTCAGGCTCGAACTTTGAGTTTTGTTTTTTGAACATCGTCTATGATGCATCTTGGCGCTCTATCGACACACACAAGGCAATCACGCTGTCAGTGGTTAATCAAGACACTTCAAAACCTCATATTTCAAATCGCTTGACCGAAGATGCGGTTAACGCTTTGAAGAATTCCGCAAACATTTTGTTTTCGCTGGTCAACGAAGAAAGCGGACAAGAGCTCGGGAAACTGGAAATTCAGCGCCGAGACATCAACGAAAATACATTTTCATGGCTTCTTACAGCACAATGCACGCTTTTGCTGGTAATCGTATTTGTTACCTTGTTGTGTGCCCATTCACTTAGTTCCAAACGTTGGAGGATGATGACGTCATCTAGTCAAAAATGCAGTTGAAGCTCTACTCGCTGACTCGTTGACATTTGTCTACGAGTACTTTTGGACTCAGCTCTGAAAAATATGAAAACTATATACCAAGAGTTCCACCGCTAACCAAGAATATTCACCTAACCGATGAGCTAAACTTAGGAACCTTCTGTGCCACTTCTAGCCTCAAATCCCTATTTAAAATGGTTATGTCATTAACAGAAAAACGTTATTTGCAAGAATGTTTGATCTCGAAGCCACCTTTACGCCCGGACGGCAGAAATGACGATCAATTTAGACCAATTGAGGTATTCACCGACTTCCTTCCGACGTCTAACGGCTCTTCCAAGATTGTGGCCAGTGATGGTACTGAATGTGTGGTGAGTGTCAAAAGCAAAGTGGTGGATCGCTCGCTTGAAGACGACCTAATTGTGGTGGACGTCGATATCACAGGGCGTCGAGATGACTCTCCACTTGTACAAGAGATAGCGTCAATTCTGAATAGAGTGCTCCTTTTACAAATAGACCAAGAACAACTGCGACTTACACAGAAATACAGCTTCAAACTGTATATAGACGTGCTAGTGTTGTCAAGCTATTCTCATCCTCTGACACTAATATCGTTTGCCATTTATTCAGCACTCAATTCCACGCAACTTCCAACGCTAATTTCTAGTGAAGATGATCTTGATGTTGCAGAACTGCCTACTTTCCATGACTACGATATGAGTAAATTGAACATCGATATTCCCATCATGTTCACACTAGCTGTATGTGGTCAAAATGTTATAGTGGACCCAGCTTCCAGCGAGAGCGATGTTGCAAGTAACGGGATTCTAGTGACGTGGTGTAAAGGTAAAGTAGGTGCCCCTATAAGAACGTTGAGTTTGAACGAAGAGTACACGCGAGGTATCCATCCAGATAGATTGGCAGAGAGCATTCGATTGATCGAAATTTTGGCTCCAAAGGTCCTCCAGGCTTTGGATGGTTGATTGTAAGACCATTATTTTCATTTATACTATATACAAGAATCAATGGTCTCGCAGCAGATTTTAATCTTACGTATGCTGTGCCGAGTATGAGTGCACAATTACTGCAGTTGCTGTTTGGATATTCATTGACCGGATCACTCCTGACTGTTTGATCTCCAAACACAAATCTAGTTCACTGAGCAAGTGACCAGGAATACCTTCAGCCTCTGTTCCTAATAAAATCAAACTCTTGGCGGGAAATGAATAATGGTTGTCTAGCTTTAAAGACTTATCTGTTTGCTCCAACCCTATTAAAGTGTATCCTTCTTTTTTCTTTGCCCTCATGAACTGGACTATCTCATCGACAGCTACAGCCTCCATTGGCATCCAGCGATCAGCGGTGACCGCTACGCTTTTGAATTGAGAGTTTTCCTTAACTCTTATGTCGTGGACAGTAAGAAGCCCGGCACCCAAGACATCGCATAATCTACAGATACCCCCAAGGTTGGGTGCTTTGTCCACCAAAGAGGCAACTACAATCAGCGGCGTGCGCTTCACGGTGCCTCCGGATTTTTTCTCAGCTAGATTCATTACCGCCTCCCAAGCACCACTTTTCGTTTGAAGTGGTGAGCCCTTCTGTGGGAGTGCTTCCGTGGGCTGCTTTAAACCTGGTCTTTTGTCTAGCCACAAGTCAGACTCATCTCTGCCTACTGGAAATCTGTCTCTCGAAGTCAGGTACTTGTTGAACGTAAGCGCATTGATATATGGAACACTGTGATCGCTTAACTTCATCAGTACGCCTCCGAAGATGCTAGTGAGATTCAAATCTTGTTCAAGATCCCATATAACTGCATCGCCCAGCCTAAATTGGCCATGCACTTGTAGCCTTTCAGCATTGGAACATAGATTTTCTATGACACTCAGCAGTGTGCTCTCGACCACAAATTCTCTCACCAAAGGCCATAAAGTTAGCATCAGAGAGTTCGAAAAGTGCCTCACCAATGGCTTGTTGGAAGCACAGTTAGGAATGACTTTGGAAAGAAATTTTTTAAGCAGTCTTTCGCAGTCTTTTTTACCAAGGGCACTTTTCAGCGTAACAAAAAGAATCCTTGTTGCGGTCACTGCTAAGAGTGGTTTTGTCTGATCTTCCAACATTTCGAACAGAGCAGTTTCAGTCTCACTAGCGTTGACACCGGAGCATGTCTGGGAGATATCGAATGCGACTATCCACTCTGAATAAACGCGCACAAGCGGTGAGGTCTCAGTTGAGACGCTCCGCAAAATTTCGTTGGAAACGCAACGTCTTAAAACCTGTGAATCGATATTTTTAATGCTCAACATTAAGAGCTGCCACTTGAGTAATCTTTCAAGCTCTTCTGCCCCGTTTGTGCTCTTGGCTGGCCTTAAAAGGTTGTTATCATTTTCCATCATTCTGACAAAAAGATCCTGAAGAAATTCGTCACTTGAATTGAGCACCGAACTTATGAGATAGACCCGGTACGAAATTTCTGGAATTTGATAAACCTTTTCGTAAAGTCGTCCAAATCTGCCGCGTAAACTGTCGACTTGCTCATCGAATATATCTGAAATAATCGGCTTCAATCTAAACGCGTTGACGGTGGTTTGGCCCTGGACGAATGCTTGGAAAATGAGGTCAATCAACCATAAGTAATCATGTTCGTTCCCATGTAGTTGCTTTCCGAAAGTCTCCATGAACTGATTGATTTTTCGGCTGAAAGTTGGGAGAAAAGTACGTCTTGAAACTGACTGAGCGATTATTTCGCCGCCGTACTTGAATAGAGTTGCACCGAGTTCTGTGCCAGTATTACGGCCCGTCGCGAAGAAAAGAATGGTGGGATGGAAAAGTGTGTCAATGAACTTCAGGTGAAGCGTTCTTTGGTTTAACACCAGTCTATCTTTGGCAACAAAGTCCCATATCGTGCTGAGAATATCAACGATTTGCCGGATAATAGAAAGATCATTTTTGCCTCTTCCATCAAAATCTTGCAGTCTGGCTAAAATGTAGCTATCTAGAATGTATTCGCAGACCTCAACAATTCGAAGATTTCCCTCGTAATTCCCATTGTCATGTTGAACATTTTCAGTCATGAGCGCAACTACTTTGTCCAGTTCATCTTCAGTCGAATCGGAACTAATCTGTAGGGCAGTTGTTTTCAAAAATAGAAGTAGTAGCGAGAAGAAGTCCCCATAGATGTGATCCTTGTATTTGAAGGTTCCTAGCATCGTTTCTTTAGTGTGCACCTTCAAAATGTTGTAAAGATCTAACAAGCTTTTAACATTGAGGGGAACCAGATTCATGCTGTGTTTTACGGTTTGTGTGTAACATGCGGTGAAAAATCCAAACTTGTCGGCATTGAACCTTTCCAGGATATCAGAGTAGAGTGCATCGAGATTTAAAATGTTCCAGGTGCTTGTACTGAATACTTGTAGCTCTGCAAGATGCTGCGAATCTTGATAGTCGGCTTCATCCGCTTTCGCATTGACCAAATTGTAAAACTCGTTGGCATACTCAGTTTTGAACTGGTCCAGACCGATATTCAGCCTCCCAAGCTCTTTCAAAAACGCGATATCGACAACTTCAGGTTTCGTATCAAAAATTGTGTATACAAGCACTTGCAAAGTTTGGTCATCTGTGGCGAGCTGGGAGCAAGTTTCTCTGACCTGGACCTTATTCAAACATTTCAAGGAGACATCCACTAAGTCGTCTAATACAGGAGAGATGTACTGATAGCTTCCTTTATTCGCACGGACGTGTCTCGCTAGCGAATTTATCCAGGTTGTGGGCGAAATGTCAACTTCAATGTACATGAGCATTTTTAGGTAAAGGGTCTGAATTGTGCATTCAAAAACGCCTTCCTCTGAGGGCACCTCGAAAAGCTTCGAAATTGTGGCTATGTTGTCTTCGTTCAAAACTTGTAGTCTTGTAGCTTTCAATGCCCGGTATAGCCCGAGGCAAATATATATTCTTGGAGGATCAAATGCCATCCTATTGTCATATAAGCATTTCAGAATAGACGACACCATGGCTGGAACCTTGTGAGAATACTGACTATCCTTCGTATGAACAACAAGTTCTTGCACAAAGGTGCTGAAAGCCTCGCCGTAAAGACATTTTTCATGCTCAATAATAAAGTAAGGGGCGAACATGCACACTGGTAGGTAGTACGCGGCTAACTCGTGTGTGCTCGAGTGAAAAACAGACTTATCCTTCACTTTGAACATGAGCTTGACGGTATGCCGTCTTACACTTTCCATAGCAGCTTTCAGGCCGGTTGAAAAAAGCACAAGGCCCCATTGAGAGTCAACATATTTGTTCTCGAGTAGATCCAAAATGTCCCCACTTGCAGCCTCAAGCTGATTGAGAGCTGTGTCCAGCGCTACAATCTCATAAAGAGTGATGAATTTTGCCCAAGAAGCTTGAGCCACCGCATGGGCAGATACACTGGAATCCCAGTGCATGAGATCATTGTTTATGGACTCCTCCTTGGGGAAAGATGATAGAATAAGTCGCAATATTGACAGAGAATATTTGCGGATTTCGTGGGATTCGTGAGCAAGGCCAGCCTTCAACGCCTTCCAGAATGCACCACTTTTTAATACTGTCAGTTGGCCGGAGCTGTACGTGAGTTTTGAGAGCAGTGCTCTCAAAACGAAAAGCAGACCACTTTTGAACTTGGCTGGCGAGCTGTCACCGAAAACAAGCAACTTCGGAATTTCGGTCCAAACAAAAACGTCAAAATCAGCATCTTCCAGTGAAAGACGGCCCAGTTCTGTGGCTTGCCATTTGAGCACTTGAGAGCTTGCTTCTGAGATTTTTCGCTCATCATTGGCTAAGAGGCCCACTAGAGTCCGATACAAAAGTGGGTCGTGCAGAGATTTCTGGCCACTCCGCGCCGTGAAAGTGGCCTCTAGCAGTGCCAAAATAACTAGCGTCCCTGTAGGTGCATCCACAAGCGCTGGGGCCGCCCATTTCTGAAATTCTGCAAAGGTCTTGTCGAGAATCGCTAGCAACGGCCCAAAGTGATGGACCTTCAAAGAGTCATTTTCACTGCTCAAAAATGCGTCTAAGCCCCCCAGGACCTTTGAGGTCGCCAATTCCTCGATCCTGGCCACCACTTCCGACTCAAACTCGATTTGTCCCAATACATCGTGCATTTCCTGGTACTGTTCCAATTCCAGCATGTTTTCCAGCATTTCCAGCTGTTTTGGAGCCGGAAAAAAGGCACCCACCAATTTAGATATGCCCATTTCTATAAATCACCTTTCTAGTTCATAAAAAAAGCTTTCTGGGCTTTGAATTACTCGTTTCTTCTTGATCTTCTTTAGCCCATCGCATAGACTTTCAACAATCATGAACTAATCTAAATTATTCGATATTCTTTATCATTTTGTACTAAGGAACCCATTCTCAAACTCAGGTATATATATATATCTACAATCCCCTAGACAAGAGTAAAACCTCATCGGTAGTTTCTCAAACCAAGCGTCATATACCAAGACCACACGGGTGGTCCAGAGTAGAGCTATGGATAAGATGGCGCCTACTGAAGAGTCCCGCAATCATAACGATTTGGAAAGTAGAGTTAATGAGTCTAGCGTGTTGATTGACGTGAAACGCGTCTTGGGAGAAATCGAGAATGGAGCTACTGAACAAGCGGCTTTTGAAGAGCCCACACCCCTGGAAAGTGATGCCCAAGCTGTCAGCATGGTGCACACGGAGATTTTCGAGCAGGATAACCCGTTTTCGGGCCAACAAGCACGCAGAGGTGAGACGAACGGAACTGGTTTAAAAGATCAAAAACGGGTTTTGCAGAACCCAAACAAAGTGTTCGAAGATGATGATGATGGAGCACCGATGCTTTTGGGACACGGAACCCGCAGTAGCAGCTCCGGAAGTATCGAAATGAGCCCTGCCGCGTCGGATAATGTGGATCGCGGTGTACGGCGCCCAGGGGACGAAGTGTATATCCTGGAAGCCTCCAAGGCTTCAGAGGGCCAAGGACGCACTTTCATTGCGTACACAATCAAGCATGGCGATGCCACAGTTCGTAGGCGCTATAGCGACTTCGAAAGTTTACGCAAGATCTTGATCAAGCTTTTCCCCATGACATTGATCCCACCCATTCCTGAGAAACAGTCCATCACAAGTTTCGGACGGGCCATGGCCGGCTCCAAATCCAGCTACTTGCTGCCCTCAGAAACCGCAGGCTCGGTTGACTTGTCTCTCTCGGTCATAAACGGTGCAGTAAACACAAACGATGAAAAGCTTATCAGACATCGCATAAGAATGCTAACCAGTTTCCTGAACCGCCTTTTAAGGAATGAAGAAATAACAAAAACTTCTATCGTCTCAGACTTTTTGGATCCCAATAACTCCAACTGGAATGATGTCATCACTAGCTCCGCGACGATATCGTCGCTACCCAAAAGCGTTCTTCTTTGCAACCCACTGGACCCGACCAACACCACAAGGGCACATGCATTTCTGCCAATTCCTTCGTCTTCCACACAGCTACTTCTCAATAAGGAACTTCTCGCCAATTCAGCACAAGACGACACCGAGGATGGGTTTTCCAAGATAGAACAAGAATATCGTCGTTATGAACATATCATGGAAAATGGATTTTACAAGTACAACAAAAGAATCACCAAAAATCTTTACGCTATGCGTCAAGATATGAAGGAGCTAAGTGAAGCGTTCGCAGCATTTTCCAACGATCAAAAGCGCGGAGCAGAGCTAGCAGAGCAACTTTCACATTTGAGCAACGTATTTGACGAGTCCTCTCTAGAGTTGGAATCAGTTGTCGGAAAACTCTACTACAACATCAACGAGCCACTCAGTGAGGCTGTGCATATGGCCGGAGCAGCTCAGGAGCTACTGCGGTATCGCAAACTCAAGAGCATGCAGAAGAGCATTCTTAGCAGAACTTTGCTGTACAGAAAGGCTCAATTGAAAAAGCTTCAAGAGAAAGAGACCGAGGCCAAAAAGATCGATGCTTTTGTGGAACAGCAATTGGCAGGTAGTGAGCACGTGAACCTCAAACATCCAGAAGCGCGGTCCTATAGCGGGAAACTCATGAACAAGATTAACAAGTTGGCCACCATGGTCAAAGACACGGTAAACTATCAGGAAAGCGACCCTGCAACGGCGATCGAAAACTTGGAGAAGGACATTGCTCAACTTTCAGAGTCACTAGACGTAAGCGAGCGGGATCTCGATACTATTTCTACAACTATCAAGAATTTTGAGCTTCCGAAGTTTTGTACAAGTAGAAACAGCGAGGTATCAGAGATTTTGAAAAACTATTCTCGGTACTTGAAAGCACATGCCGAAAAGAACCTTAAAATCTGGAAAGATGTCAAGGAGCAACAAGGAAACGTTTCACGCAGTTGAGACAAATACTGTAAGAGAGGATCCAAGTCCATCCATTTCACGAACGGGAAACTGGTGTCGAGTCTTGTGGATCCCGGTATTCCATTGTTCACGATGACGATGCGTATATATATAGGGGAGCGGGAAACGATAAATTCAAAAATAAGGCAGCATGACCCCGCATAAGGTTATCCCGGCGGTAAATAGCGACCATCACAGGAGTTAGTAGGTATTTTTCATTAGGATTGTTGACTTTTCTAGGGCTCTTGAAGTAGCTCAAGTTCAAGTGCTAAAAATTGATGATAATTTAATTAAAATAGTCATCTTCGAAGCATCTTGTTTCTTCAGAGGGGGAGGCTCGTCACATATAGGTTTGAGTAAGCTTCATCTAACTAAGATGGGCATAACTGAAGCACCTGGTGTTATAAGAGTCAAACGGAAAAGGGAAGACGACTCTGTGCAAGCATTACGTATGTTTTTTTTTGGGTTTCATGACATGACAGTCAAGTTCAACAGCATTACAATCAATGATAGTATAGTCAACTAACATCTGAGATTTGTTAGTACTTCAGGAGAATGGATCAGCCAAACGAGGGAAGTTTGTCTTTCGCTTAGCGAAGACGGTTGAGTCTGAGTTGGACGGACAGAATGAGGAACTGGACACCCCTTTACTGAAGCTTTCAGATGACGGGGAAGCAAGACATTTCATTTTAGAGCAAAGGAAACGCAAACGAGAAGAACAGCAATTACCTGCAGAAATCTCAGAAATGCTCAATAACTATTTGAGCCTAGCTCCAAAGCCAAGTGCCGAACTTGGCACACTTAAAAGACCTAGTCAAAGGAAATCTAGTCACCTGCCGAAACCGGAGACTCTGCCGTCACTTTCGTATGTTTACGACATATATTACAAAGAAGTGGTCCCAGAAGACGAATTTGTTTTTGACTCTAGCACTGTGGGATATATCAAGATTGTGGAAGATTATGGCGAGCTCTTGCCTGAGGACGATGAAGATGATAAGAAAAGCGTCTTTTCTGACGACCAGGACTCTAACGAGGAAGCTTTCTACCAGAACGACTACCCAGAAGATGAAGACGATGACAGGTCGGTACTTTTCGGAAGCGAAGCAGAAACGGGTGCACGCTCGAACAATGAAAGCTCTGATGACGAGCTCGAAGCTGACACCATACGCGATCATATGGTGGCCGGACTTGGAAATGAGGAGACTGATGTTCTATTCGAACGATACTCAGAGGCGCCCCACTTGTTGCAAGTCAAGACCTCCAATTTTTTAGATTTGGATGACGAGGAATCCGAACATGATGATAATGATGATAATGATGATAATGACGACTACGACGCCGATTTCAAACGACACAACTTTTTCCCAACTGATTCAGATGACCCAATGGCCATTCATCGCGACAAAATATTTGGCAAACTCGAAAATATGATAGCACGAAGATGAAGTGACGTTGCCTTGAGAAATTAGCGTGTTTGTTGTTTTCGACAATAAGCTCACATTCACACTTTAGAAAAGGTTTTGTTGGCTCCACATTGATTCAAGGCCTGACAATGGAATAAGGACGAGAGGACCAGCTCTAGATGTTGACCTAAGGATGCGCTCTGACCTTTGCATGCATTTATGTCACTTCTACTTTTCCTGGCAGGCTCGACCACAGCTCTCCATTTTTCACCTGTGACTGTCTTTTTAAGGTGTATGGGTTCTCACGCTTTATTTTTTTGGAATTGAGTCTCTTTCGAAGTTCGAACGCATGCTGAAAAATGTGAAATTTTTAAAAAATTATTTCCGCATTCGTCGTGATGAAAGAAGCGTCCAATTTTCTGCACGTGATGAATTTCACGTGACTGTAATGAACCCACGCAAAAAAACGTGAGTGAAAAACTCCCAGCGTTTAGCTGCCCTGTAGCATGGACGACGGCAGCGGCTGGCGATGCCCTCTGACCGAGCTAGGTAGTCTAACTCTCACATCCAGGAAACTGACAGGGTCAGAATAGACAGATTTTTGGTCGATTACACCAGCTTGGGCGAGCTTTTGAAGTCAGATTTTCAAATCCACCAGCAATACCTGTCTTTTGAGAAATGAAGTACATCCAAACTGATCAGCTCCTAGACATCCCAGAGGGTGTCACCGTGAACATCAAGTCCAGAGTGATCAAGGTCGTTGGTCCAAGAGGTGAATTGACCAAGAACTTGAAGCACATCGATGTCACTTTCGCCAAGGTCAGCAACAGACAGGTCAAGATCACCGTTCACAACGGTGACAGAAAGCACGTTGCTGCTTTGAGAACTGTTAAGTCGTTGGTTGCCAACATGGTCACTGGTGTCACCAAGGGCTTCAAGTACAAGATGAGATATGTGTACGCCCATTTTCCCATCAACGTGAACGTCGTTGAGAAGGACAGCTCCAAATTCGTCGAAATCAGAAACTTCTTGGGTGACAAGCAAGTGAGATTGGTTCCAGTCAGAGAAGGTGTCAGCATTGACTTCTCCGCCAACCAAAAGGACGAGATTGTTTTGTCCGGTAACTCCATCGAAAATGTCTCTCAAAATGCTGCTGACATTCAACAGATCTGCCGTGTCAGAAACAAGGATATCCGTAAATTTTTGGATGGTATCTACGTTTCCGAAAAGGGTTTTGTTGAAGCTGACGCTTAAACAGACACTGCCGCTTTTTTCTTCGGATTTTAAGACTAGAAATAGTGTGTAATTTAAGACTTTTTACAAGTTTGATCTCATCCTTAGGTTTAAATGCTGCTCTTTTGAGCTCTACTTACGCTTCATGCTTTTATCATTGTTGCTGTCCTAGCAATAAGCTGTAAATACTCCTCTAACCTTCCACAAGATTGAAAGAGAAGATAAATGCGATCAGTCTCGTTTGCCACAATATTCGCCAATGCTAGTGCCTCTGTGATGAAACTGGCGACCTTAAGCGCCTCTGAGGCGGAAATAAAAGCACGGTGAAGTTCAATGACCAGGTGAGGGGTGTATAATGCTCTGATTTCGTAGATCACTTCTTGATCCTGAGAGGTTGATGCTTCTGAAAGATCGACCAGGAATGTTTTGATGACTTTGTGAACAAAACTAGAAATGTCCCGAAATGACGTTAAGAGGTTTGGCAAGTTTGTGTCCGATTTCTTTTCGTTGGAGATCTTCTGCCATTGTTCAAACCTGTTGAAAACTTGTATCAAAGCGCGGTAATTTTCAATCTCATTAACAATTGTTCTTTCATTATCTGCCTCCTTTATCGTGTCTATCTCGTAATCTTTTATCAAATTGTCCAAATCCTGTCTTCCGTACAGATACCTCAACGAATTGATTCTACCGTTCAAAAGAAATCGTCTTGATAAAACGACGAGTGAACTGAGGGCATCCACTGAAATGTGACCTTCAATTAACCATTCCGCAGCCGATATCAGTTTTTTATCGGTTGCATCAATAGGCGAGTGCACGTCAACTCTTGCTCCAGGGGCGTAGGCATTCTCCGTATCGTCGAAGACTCTTTGGGTTGTACGCCTAAGAATATTAGCCACAGGCAAATGCAATAAACGACACAATTCTAGCTGCTTCTTACGGGCACTTGCTTCTGTCAGGTTGGACAAGAAGAACGAATAGGCGTCTAGGGCTTCGGACTCCTTGAGGAAGCTAATGTAAATGGGTATGATATCATTGAGTTCGTAAAATGAAAGAATAGTCACGTATGCAGTAATCAACCTGGACTTATCTTGTTCTTCAATTGAGCCTGGATAAACTACGTCCATCACAATTGCAAGATGCGTTACCACACGAAGTAAGTAGGGTTCTTCCGCCATATCATTTGCTAGATCAAAGCCTTTTATAGCGTCTACTAGCATTGTAACAGAAGACTTGACCACCGCGGGAACTTTATCCAGCATTACAGCACCCATTAAAACTCTGAGCGGGTGCTCGCTATCATGGGGGTGCCTCTTCGATACAATGTCTAAAGTAGACTGTAGAGATAAGTACTGACCATCCATTGGAAGTATCATTTCCTCTGTGTCGACCAGATTTTCGTTAATCAAATGATCCTCAAGAGCCGTTTGCCATGAGTGGTTCAAGTGCAGCAGAAGTTCTGTATCCCATTCCATCTTTATATTTTCTGTGGTCTGACCAATTTCGCCACATAGATAGGAATAAATGGCCCTTTCATATACGTCTAAGTCTTCGTTTGTCGACAAAGAGTAAACAGCCCTTCGCCATAATGTTCTCTGTCGATAAAGGTCCGTTGTCTTTGGGCTATCAGCGTCAGATTCCGGATGGTTATCTACACCACACAGTATCAATGCCAGGGTAAGATTGTCGCTATATTCGCACTCTTTTCTTGCCTCATCCATTTTCCCCGCTACTATGAGTTCGTATGCATACTTGAAAAAGCTATGATCTGCTTGTTTATCCCGGGAGTCTAAAACACAGCTTGTATCTCTCAAAGGGAAATCTGAATCACAGCTTTTGAGATCCCCAGCCAAAAACGAGTGCGACCATTTGGTGGTCCCCAAATTATCCGGTTTATCTGGAAATCTGGCATTGGCTTGAATCCATACAATAATCAACCATACTTCGTAAAGAGAGCGGTTATCTTCCAAAAATCTTTTATGGTACATTTTCGCAGCTGGGTTTTCGTTTTCTAGGTCCACATCTGCTGTCCTGTAGTTTACCAAAACCTCGATGAGATGCCATAGTTTAGCCTCTAAATCCCAATTTACAAAAGCTCCGCTCCGCTTTTCAACGTCATCCGGAACAAAGTTGAGCGCCTTCCCACCTGCCACAGCTCTAAATTCCTTAACCACTTCGAAAATATCTCTCGATCCTGGATCATTTAGTTCGCCAGTCCTAAAATCTTGAAGAACGTTTGCAAGCTCTACGAGCTCCGTGAAGTCACGTCCCTCGTCAACTTCCATGATATTTTTTATCAACAATTGAATGTAGGCCCTGATAGACCTCCGTGAGAAAGTGGGCGTCCGTCAATGGCTGATTGGAAGCTCTTGACGTCGATTAGTTTGCCCGGTTAGTTGTTCGAAGTTCATCCATATAGATTGGTAAATGGTTTTGATATCACTTTGGACGCTAATGTCTGTAAAAATTATTATTATGTAACTTGGGACGACACTTGCCAGATCTGACGACAGCATTAATGACCTTGACATTGAGATTTTACCAACCCAGTGCTGTCATTTCTGTTCGGCTCACCTAGCCATGAGCAGATTTGAGTTACTCTTGGCATTTGTGAAAGATTGACATCCAAGACTGAAGAAGAAACCTAAAAAAATGAAAAAAAAAAAAAATTGATGAGAAAAGATGAGTCTGATAGCAGGATACCCAGACGCCCAAATCGTCAATGTAGTCGAGCCACTGTGTGATTGTTCTGTAGCTCAACGTTTTTCACTTCTGTCTCTTTGATTTTCCGTCAAACACTGTCTTTTTTTTTCGTTTTTACATGCATTTCCATTCTGCGAACGAACACCAGCCCGCACCAGCGTCTGATGTAGCTAAACCAGTCCATATCCCAGCCTCCATGTCTTTGGCCCCGACTGCTATTTCCCAGGTTCCGTAGTCGAAATTGGGATCGCTCTTGCGCATCAAATGAACTTTACCAGAGGGAGCTTGTACTGCCAATGCATGTTTCGACGACTTGCTAAAACCGGGCGAGCCATATATAACACCATCGCAAGGATGCTGTATGACCTCAAAATTATAGTCATTCTTGGCAAAAAGGTACTTGTTTTGTGGCACTTTAACGTACGTGTCAACCTTCTGTAGACCTTTGCTTGGAATTCGCGTAACAAACTCGTAAGTTTTGGAAGAACCCACACGCTCGAGTGGTATTATTAGTGAGAGTGGATGGATATTCACGAGCGTCGTTTGCGTGCCTTTGATGCCCGAATGTATATGAAGCACTCCACGGGAGGTCCCTGGTGGTAGAATGGCCTTCACTACTGCTAGTCGCTCCTTCTTGCGATGCTTGATCTGCACAAGCGAGAAATTCATGTTCTCGTAATGTTGCCGTTTTTCGGTATCCTCGACAACAACAGACGAAAATATCTCGACGTCGTTTGGTATTGATAATGTACATTCGTAGATTTGATTGTCCTCCAATCTAGCAAGACCATTGCTAAACTTGTAGAGTTTCAGCTCGTTGTGGAAGAACGATGGAAAAACCACGGGAAGACTTAATGCGATTGTCTGATCTACAATCGGCATGATATGTTGTTCTTGGTAGAGCCTAGGAACGTGTGTGTATATGCATTGCAGTGGCTGCATCATAAAATAAAAGGCCTCTGCGTGATCTGATTTGCTATTATTGATGTATTCGTGGATGGGGTTCGTCATGTTTCCAAGAATGACATCAACCATTCGCCACTCTTCATCAGCCAAAACGCGAAGCCAACAATGGTTATACTTGAACTGCATGTTGTCAGATCCTGGAGTTTTCAAAAAACCTATGACGATTTCGCAAACTACACCGAGCGCATTAGCCATGCGTTTGAAAATCCAAGTGAGCTCATATGGGGTGCAATACGCCTTATGAAGCGCCTTACTCAAATGAACGGGCTCCTTACCGAAATCTGTTTGCCCGTGATCGTCTATTAAAGCAAATGTTTCGGTGCAGAAGATGAATATGGCAAAAAGCATTTCGATCTGACTTTTGTATGAGGATGCGAAAATCTGGCGCGCAAATGATTCAATCGATGATGGGCCTCCTTTTTTGGCTTTGTTTTTGATTGCCTCGGCAATAAATTCTTTGTCGATACAATTCAGCTCTATATCGACTAGACCAGGCTGTCTTCTGTGTCTAACTTCATTGGTGGTGATTTCATCTAGAATGTATTCCTGAGGGTGCAGCACAAGATCTCGATTCTCTTCGAGAGCAAGCATCTGTCGCTCGTGACGCTCTTTAGAATTCAGCGTTTGGGCTCTGTGAAGATGAGCTTTTGCTTCTACCCATCCGTGTGCCTCATTTTGAGATGTATCAAGTTGTAAAGAAGAGAGGTCAGGCAGTCTTGGAAATGAATCCGTGGGTGAACTCGCTGAAGATACATCACCACCTTGGGAAATAAACTTTTTGAGAATGTTATTAAGCTTTCTGGGACTATTGGAAGCATTCTTAGACCTGGCGAGTCCTTCTTCAGCAACCAGCTGCGATCTATGCACTGAGTCACTGAATGACTTTGCGAATCTATGCCTGGCAAAACTGCCAGCGCTTGTTGCACTGAAATCGCTCATCAGCGCAAAACTGTCAGCACTACTCCCAGTCGAATCAGCCATATATTGTGAATGCGAGAATACATTGGACGAAGAGCCACTCAGAGATTCTCTGGGGCTCAGGCCATCGTAAAATTCTGCGCTAGCCCGGTGATTAGAAATCTGTGTCGTGAATTCCGCATTTGCAGCCGCTTCTGGTAAATCGTTAGAGGAGAAAGATTTAGGTACCGCAGTTTTTGACTTCAATTTTTCTTTCAACTTTGGAACAGGCGGCAGGGGCGGTAGGTCATTATTTCTCCTACCAGAAGATTGCGTAATTGCATCTCTCTTCTGATAGTCCGTTCGAGACCTACCATGACTTATAGGCAAAGTAGAATGATGTTTGGAGACCAGATTTGAAGTGGAATAAGACTGTTGCAGCCGTTCTGTATGTGAGTGTCTGTAGGAAAGATTTTTGGAACCTTTGTGCAACGTGGAAGGAGACGCTTTTTCTCTGCGGACGGCAGTCGTGGAAGTTGCTTCCGGGTGGCGACTTGGAGTTGGCAGGCTCAGTCGTGGTTGATTTGACACTGAAGGCGGAGATTTTTCTTCATGGGGTGGAGCTGAAGATTTGAAGTCATTATACTTTTCCTCAATGACGGTGACGAAATTGTTCGGGAAGTAGCCATATTTTCTAGAGTTTCTTAGCAATGTTCCAAAAAACCAGTCTCCTTTTATTTTTGTGACCTGTATGATATCATTCTCTAGGAATCCTAAATCACCACGAGCTTCTCCAGACCACGAATAATGCGCTTTGACCTTGAATGGCGGATGGAGTGCAAGAGGCAATGACATGCAGATCTATGAGAAAACAAACCGATAAAAATACCAACCAGACGTCAATGCAGCAATTGGTGCAGAATTAATTTACGTAGTCAGCAGGGAGTTGAGATGTTCTAGCCGCAGGAAAGATAGAAAACAATGCGGATTAAGGATAAGTATTAGAAAATGTGTATCAGATCAAAAATGGCTAACAATTAGCCGTTTAATGCGGTAAAAAGGGGACCTGACAGTAGAAAAAAGCTTTCTGGTAAGAATGCTGGGTATGCGAGAGCAGGACGTCCTCAATTGGTGGATAAACCTCTCAGAAAGGAAGGGCGGGCGCTTGATTTGAACATTTTAACGTCTCTGCTTTTGGCTCTGCGATTCTGCTCATTTTTTCTCTAAATATCAATAAGGAAGTTCACGTGATGTAAACAATAATAAATCTTTCAGGTCACATGATTTTATTATGTAATTGTATACGTTTGAGTTATGTAAGCAGGATTTCGATTGAACGATTTTCGCTGTGAATATTGAGAATCATCAGACGCCAAGAGAATGTCGAGCGCATTAAACAGCATTTTGTCTTAGTAGCAACACACTTTTAATGGCCTAAAACGCGGTCTCTATGTCCTCCTCTCTCTTTAACTTCTTGCCGCTGTTCTTTCAACTCACAATGTTCTTGCCGAACTCACGTGCCTTCTGGACCAACACAGCATCTGCGAGCACAAGAGCAGCCATAGCCTCGACGATGGGGACGGCTCTGGGTGTAACGGAAGGATCGTGTCTACCCTTGGCGGCCAGAACACCGTGCTCACCGTCGTAGGTGGCAGTATTTTGTTCTTGGGAAATTGTAGCGGCGGACTTGAAAGGTACGGAGAAGTAGATGTGTTCACCGTTGGAAATACCACCTTGAGTACCACCGGAGTTGTTGGTCTTGGTACGTAGCCTCTTGGATTCCTCGTCAAAGTAGAAAGGGTCGTTGTGCTGGGAGCCGGGCAGCTGCACACCCTCGAAACCAGAACCAATCTCGAAACCCTTTGAGGCTGGAATGGAGAGCATGGCATGGGCGAGCAAGGCCTCCAACTTGTCGAAACAAGGTTCCCCTAGTCCCACTGGAACGTTTCTTATGACACAGGTGACCACACCGCCGATGGAGTCTTTATTGCCTCTATATTTTTCGATTTCGTGCACCATGTCTTCAGCGACAGAAGTGTCAGGACACCTTACAGGACCCATGCTATCGACTTTCTCCCTGGTGATGGTGTTCAAAACGTGCTGGAATTTGGCATTCAATGGGTCGCGATTCATCTTGATGGAGCCGATCTGAGTCACGAATGCAACAATTTCGACGTTCGAAACCTGTTTCAAAAATTTCTCAGCAATGGCACCGGCAGCAACACGGCCAATGGTTTCTCTAGCAGAGGAGCGACCACCACCGGAAGACGACTTCACTCCATATTTTTCCAAGTATGTGAAATCCGCGTGCGATGGTCTTGGGTACAAATCCATCTCGTTGTAGTCGTGGGGTCTTTGATCCTCGTTCAACACATACATTCCAATAGGGGTTCCGAGCGTTTTTCCAAATTCAGTACCGGACTGGATCATGACCTTGTCCTTTTCGTTTCTAGGCGTTGATAGTTTCGATTGGCCTGGTCTTCTCCTGCTCAGCTGAGGCTGGATGTCTTCCTCTGTAAGACTCATTCCTGGAGGAACACCATCCACAATGCACCCCACAGACTTGCAGTGCGATTCCCCATACGTGGTAACGGTGAAGAAACGACCAAAAGACGACATTTTCTCAAAAGCTATCTCACTGACGGTTTAAAATCTTTTTTCGACAAACGCAGAGCTCGAGTAGAAGAACTTAAGGTTAGTTCTATTCGTAATCGAAGCAGTGCACTTGAATGTAAGTTGAATGAACGAACAGAGCCTATAAAGTTTCACTCCTTTTAGGTCATCGAAGGCATCGTCAAATTTAATAGTCATAAAAATTTGATGATGAGTTTTTCGTAGTAGTGTAGAAGTTTCGTCAGGCAGTGACAGATTTGGCGAAACAATTTTTGAAATATCCTGACCGTCCACTTGTCGAACTCTTGTACAGTATTCTTGGGTCACTTGTCATTGGGAAGCAGACCTGCGGTTTGTTTTAATACTCGTCACGGCCAGACCCTTTCTGCTCAATCGAGTTTTGTAGAGTAACACGTTGATGACAGCAATGTAGAGAAAACTCTTCATCACTATTGGCTCGGTAGCATCTACCGCCACAAGCTGTAGGCTGAGTTGTCTAACCTGTTTGGGCTCATTGGGAAAACCTTTTGATTCGGGTGAGACGAAATTGGAACTTGAGTCACATCGATAGCCGCGGAGGATGGATGGGTGCGAAGTTCCCGTTTGGTAGCGAGGAAACTGCCATGAGTATAATTCTGTATCGAAATACACTTTAAAAGTCTAAAGCATGAGCTCAGGTCCCACTAATACAGGCTAAATTGTGGCATACGCAAACTTGAAAACATACCAAATCCTTGTAACGAGGAGCTCACCGTTCAGAGATTGGTGTTGTTTGCAATAATTAGAGTCTCCCTGAAGTTATATTGTCTCACCGAAAGTTTTTATTTCAGTCTCTACGTTTTCTGATCTTGCCCTGAATTTGGTTAGGCGGCAATTTGAAGCTGCCAGCCAGGCAATTCTCTCCCTATGATGCACAATTCCATAGATTTGTTTCTCACAATGTTAATACACTCGTCAATACGATTCAAGGAGCTCTGTGCCCTCTCGTTATGGCTTTGTTTTCAATTAACCTGTGTAAATAAGAAGTGTCAGTAAAAGTTAACACTGACTAAATCATTCACTATTTTGATACAAAACAAGCCAAAGTTGAAGAAGTAGCCTAGTGGGTGATGCTTGTAAGCGATTCTCGTGTAGCAATGCCGGTGATATGAATCAAGGACTAGAACTCCTGGCTCAAATTTGAATTACATGTAAGGTCCACTTTTTTGGATTTTCTGAGGACAACCGAGCACATATTCATGGTTATTGGGAATCTTGAGCGAAAATGCGTTCTGAAGCACTTGGTAACTCAAAGCGTATTTCTCTTCTTGGCTTGTCACGATCAATATTGTTCGATATTCTCATTCGACGTGCGATTGGTAAAGAAAACTGCCGCTGTCACAGCCACCTTTCACCACTTACCTCGTTAAATTAAATAACTCAAGCAACTAAAAGGCATCTATAACTATGCTATCTACATTTTTTCATCAATCACCCGTCTAGAGATATGTTTGGCCAAACCTGCTCAAGAATTCTTTTAGAGCAAGCCTCAAATCGGTCGACAAGCTTTTGTCGAGAATTTGGAGCGCCAGATCAAACATAACCGAGCGGTTTTCCTTGAAGTCTTTGTCATCGAACTCGACATATCCTTGTAGAATCTCAACCACCACAGGACGCCACGACACTATAATGTGCTCCATGGTCCTGTCATCGAGCTTCACGTACTTTTGAATTATGCCCACTGAGATGGCGACTAGCCTTTCTGAGAGTTGCTTCCTCTCTTCCTCTGACTGTCTTTCGCTGTTCAAGAGGAGCTTGAACATGATGTTTATCAATACTGCTGATGCACTTGTTTCTTGTCTCACGAGATTTGGGATTCTGTCTACGAGACGAGCGCTTAAAATGCGTGACCTCAAGCCAAAGTCATCATTGAAATCGCGGGCAAACGCAAAAGTCTTCTCCAGTAAATTCGTCATCTTGATGGCCTCTTTGTATGGAATGTTATTAGAAAACCCTTCGTCCTCGAATAGCTCGCTGAGAGATTCTATCATCAGCAACTGCAGGACGCACTTGACAACAATCGCGTTTTTCGTTGAGATTGTTCGTTTCAGATTCTCGCTGCTCTTGGTCTGAACCAGGCGTCTAGTGGGCTTCTCAACCTCTGTGTCCGCATTACCTACGTCTTCTCCATGTTCTTCTTGATGTGCTCTTGCGATTTCTTCTTCAATAGAAATTTCACCGTCCACCTCCGTGGTGCTATGCGATGGCCTTCTTCCCTGATGTAAGGGATCTAGGTCGAACAATTCGTTGGCAGTGGTCAACTCGAAAAGGCTGCCAAAAGCAGCAGTGATTTGATCCCAGTGTTCGTCGCTAAACTTGCTTGCATTCTGGATAATGAGATGTTGTAGACATGACCGTCCTATCCTCGCTATAGTATCGTTTTCTTGACAAATACAGGAAACGAGAAGTCCCAAAAAGCCGTCCAGCATATCTTTTAAGCTGTCGAAGTAATGCGTGAAAAGTGCAACCATGTTTCTCAAAGCCTGAATGAGGGTCGTTGAAAACCAGACTGATAAGTCATCATGACTGTTGAACTGATTGATCTCCCAATGCTTGGACAATGCCCCGAATATAGGGAATAACAGCTTCGTACAAATGCTTGTCCAAAATTCGTCGCTGAGTTTACCACCATAGGCCACAAGAGCGTCAAACATATAGTTCAACGCTCTCGATCGTACCTCTAAATCCTCTGCGGTCATTATCGTGTCGTTGAAGCAAAACAAGACTGGAAACCAAACATCGTGGAAAAGATCCTTTCCGTGCAGTAAATTCGAAGATTCCTCATTTGAAAAACAAAGATCAGCTACCTTCTCAATGATACCTTTCAAAACTTCTAACGAATGCAAAGACAACTTTTGGAATTTTTGGCTCTTAGTGATTTCTCTGAGAACATCGACTAAATCGGTAAAAGAGTTATCTTGAGCAAACACACTTTCAAAATGGTACTTTACAATATCATTTGCCACCAATTGATAAGTCTTGACAACAATTGTTTCATGAGATGATTTGGCGGTAAATTGAAGCGACTCAAGTATAGGTTTCCACCCAGACTTAATTTTAGATGACTTTGTGAGAATGAAGTTTTTGAAGCATTCAATGCACATTTCTTGAACTTCAGGATTTAACGTATTGTAAGTTGCGTACTTGAAGGGCTTCAAAAAATCTAACTGAAATTCGAAGCCCGACAATTCCTCAATATCCAAGAACCTCATTGACAGTTGGCGAAGGGAGTCTATTGCGAAAAACACGACAGCCAGATTGGAGTTTGTAACAATTTTGTTAAAGGCATCTCCCATCACAGCCCAAATCGGCGTCCACTCTACTCTGATACGATCCATGTTGTAGTATGAGACGTCTACCATTTTCTGTAGGGAAAACATCCTAGGGCTAGCCGCATTGTGGGAAGAATCGATCTCCTCAAACGAAACTTCTGTAAGGGCCTTGATGAAATCGACAATAGCACTCCCAGTCAAGCTCGAGCTATTGGTGAAGATCCGGTCAATCAAGAGAACGAGCTGGCTTGAGGAAATGTGCTTCGAAATCTCAGGGGATAAGATCTGATTATGATGTTTCTCTTGCGCAAGCTCGATTGGCGTATATTTTTTGGTCCACCTTTCAAAGAACCCCATTGATGCTGATCTGTTGGAGTCAAAGGAACTCCGACTATTTGCTAATCTTGCTTGTTTGACGTCGGGTAGAAATTGACCATCAATACCCTTCGAGATAAGCTGTAGTCTCTCAACTTGCGAGACAAGTAACAATACGTCTTTCCATGAATCTTTGAGAAAATTTCCTTCTGTCAATGAGAGCTCAAGGAGAACGATGATGGCATTGATATTCTTTATTTTGAGCTCCTGCAAATTTTGAAGGTTTGCAAACTGAACCAGTGCACCGACGAACGAAGCTCTGGCATAGTCATTTCCGAAAGTCGCGGATATCTTGATTGACAGTTTTATACCGTCCAAACACATATCTGTTGAAGCAAAATCGTCATACTCCTTAAAGGGCGGCGTCAATGCAGCCAAAAAGGACATCCACAAAGTGTCAAAGACCGATTTCACATGTTCGATGTGAGAGGCAGCGTGATATACGACACTTTCGTTGCCTTTGGTTTTGGGAAAGTTACGGAAAACCAGCTCAGTCTTTGATGAAATCTCTTTGGAAACCTGCATGTATGCTTCCCTGTTAAGATCGCGACTGCTGAAAAAGCTGAATGCAGATGGTTGCTGTTGAGTCGTACTTGCGTCACTCGAGAGCATGGCCTGGTGCTGTTCTGATTGCAGCTTAATTTCATTCTCCGCGATCTCATGAAAAAGTTTCACCATGTACTCTTCGGCAATGTCATTCCCATTATCGATCCCGGCATTGTTCTCTATAAACTCCTGGAGCGTCATTTTGTTTTTTATCTGAGACGAATGCAAGTCCGTATTCAACATAATGATGGAATATGATAAAACGTATGCTGTATCCGCTTTTGCAAACTGTCCTGGATTTTGTTCCGCAAACCTTTCGGCAAACTTCAGCATGAAACGATCGATTTTTTGACCCTCTCCAGGAAGTCTAAACTTCTGCAGAAAAATTCTCAAGGCGTCTACAAGCGATAGAGCCTTGAATTCAAACCTGTCAACAAAGGAGTGCATGACAGCAATGTTTTTATCGTCGCCTTCGCCTAGATAATCGCCGACTGCAGCCAAATCGAGCCCTTCTGTATCTAGCAGCCACTTCGCAATGGAAGGAGGAGTGTCATCGGGAATGAAACCCCGTTCTATCAACTCTTTGAGACCTCTTTTCGGCTTATAATTGAAAATATTAATGCAATCCTGTAGCTCTGTTTTGCGAAGTTTTAAGTTTTCAAACTGGGCAGGATCATCACCATCTTGAGCGGCATCCGTTTGAGATTGGTCGATCGACGCAGTCCTCGAATCCCCGTTGGCATCGCCGTTGACGTCTGTGGACGAGCTACGCGCCGATAAAGTTTTCCTTCCGTTTGCTACTGCAAAAGTAGAAGTAGACCTTGTTCTCGCTTGTGTGAAATTTGCGCCTGAACCATTGGATTTCAGAGCTTTGTGAGCCCAAGAACTTAACGATCTCAACACAGCAACCATACAGCTGAGAGATTTCATCTTCAGCGCAAACTCGACGGGAAAGTTCAGATTATCGGAAGCACTTGAAGAAGACAAGTTAGAAGTCGATAAGAGCGGTAGTTGGGCCAGGTTATAACTTGCCAACGGCTTCGACCGCTGTTCATCATAATACGCTCTTTGTGAAGGAGTGATTTCTATTCTCGTCAGAGCCATTCTCGTAAGGTAATCAACTATTATTTCAACAGTGTTAGGTAGATGAGGATCACAATCGTAATTGAGATAAAATTCAATCAAAGTTCTTGGGTCATTACAAATGCGTTGTATGACGCTGAGGAAATACCTTTTTTGATGGGGGGTAGAAGATTTCAAATCCGAAATGGGAAAATAGATCTCGGTAAGAAACACCGGTATTTCCCTTTTGAACTCCGACCTCAAGTTTGAGATCATCAGCCACATTATTTCTAACGTCACTTCAAAAACTGGTGCAACGGGTGAAGCGGCATTTCGTGACAGCAGAAGACACAAGTATTGTTTAATGGAATTCACCAAGGACGTCTGATCTTTACCTGGTAAAATGATGTCTTGAGATAGAAAAACGTCAATATGGTCTCGTATGATGGAATGGATGATATGAAGCGATAGCAGTTTGGACCTTACCGCATGCGACCTCATGTCAGTGTTATCTTCTAGGGGCTTGGCGGATATCTTGGTCATTGCCCTGAATACTAAGAAAGCATCTTTGATAAGTAAAGCTTTCTCATCTTCAAGTTCATCTGAATCCTCATCAACGATCCTCTCTTGCTCCGCATTCAGATTTTCAAGATTTTGTAATGTCAAGGGCCGGATAGAGGTTTCAGAGGCTGTGACAGGTAGAGTTGCTCGGGAAGCTGACGTGGTGAGAGAAGGACCCGAGTTGAGACCACGTCCTACTTTATCAAAAACAAGGTTGACTATTTGAGTCAAAGTTGCCTGTGCGATACCTTGGTTTGAGGAATTGAGTGAGTAGATGAAAATATTGTAGATCTGGCGGATAGCTTTGAGCAGAGGTTGGCCATGGCACACCGTGACCGAAGCATCAGTCAATATACAGCTTGCAAGCGCTCTCAATACTTGGAGCTCGACTCTTGAGTCTGTGCCTTCGCCTTCGAAGCAGTCTGTGACGGTGTCAATAGCTGCGTCTATGAGACGCTGTTTGGGAGGTGGGGTAATACCTGAGTTCGTGGCATCATTTTGATCATTAGAAGCCATTGAATTAGGCGGATTCACCATAGTATTCCCATCCAGTGCTTGGAACGAAAAAAGCTTGGACAGACAGTCGAGTGCGCTAAGCACGATTTGAGTAGATTTAGTCCTACAGCACAACCTAAGCGGCTCAAAAACCACAATTGAATTCAAAAACCTGGGTTCATTGTTAGTGCTTGCCAAGCTATCGTCTAGCGCTTTGAGGCTTCGTTCAATCGACTTTTGCACATCCACGCGTTTCTTCATGTCTTTCTGCTGTAGTATATTCTCAAAAGTGGCCTTTACAAGCCCGATAGTTGAACGCACATTGTTTTGGCCCACCGAAGATGTCGTTGACAGCTTTCTGGAATGTGTTTCGTGGGCAGCACCATTGTTTCTCGTTGGAGTGTCTGGCGTGCTCGATGAGGTCTGTTGAAAAGATAATGACGCCACCGAGGCTGTTTCTTCACCGGCTGAATCCGACCTATTTTGACTGGACTCGCCTTGGGGCATCTTGAGCGACGTTTAGGTTGTATTGGACCTACAGCCAAGCTTGGGACGTTGTGCTGGATCGCTGTAGTTCAGCTTGCTGGAACATAGGGGAAATCCGAGAACTTGGTTGGCCTGAAAAATAGATAAATGTATTTACATACGGCATTTCTTTGTCATTTCTAACGTATTCTGGTCACATGATATGTGTCTGTTTTAGCCAGAACGAATACAAAATTGGCTGGAGCAATGAGCATTGCATCAAAGTTTCGAAGAAAGGAATATTTTGATGTGGTTTTGTTGGCTGGTTCAATGCATGGGAGATTCTCGTTTAGTTTTGATGAAGCGTTGGTGTCAGAAAATATCCGTCACGTGCGTATCTATTTTAATCAACCGATAAATCGGATGAGAGAATTTGTCCTTGTATTGCGAGCCCTAGAAACCTCATACTAGGTTTCGATGACTGTGTGTTTATTTTTCGAGTGCGCAGCGAATCGACTAGTTGATATAGTTTGAGATTATCTTCCGCGACACGCTGGTACAAAGTGATATGTACGGATACGCAGCTCGATAAAGAGGAGGACATACATTGACTATGGCGCACGGCATAATGACGCTTAAATGTTTGGTGGTTCGTTTTTAATCCCAAATAGGCTTTTGTTTTTGTTCGTAACACTTTATTCCATTAGGAGACGCTCACAGTTGTAGATTCTCCTCTAACCTATAGCGTCGATCGATTCTTGTTAGAGTGTTTATAGTCACGTGACCCAACGACAGTGATCAAGTTGGCCGAATAGCCAAGAAACCTGAACAAATACAAGTTACTAGCTCTCTAACGACCGTGAACTCAACAGCGCTAAGTAGCGACGCCCACCCAAAATTATTGCCTCTACAATGGTTTGACTTTTCACCATTTGCACTTCTATCCAACTTTTGAAAAGCTCGTCACTACCAGTGATGGGTGAATACCAGATTCCGAACTTCTCGGCGTCACAGTTTGAAGAGAAACAGATCGTGTCACCTCAATCTGAGTGATAAAATTCCGCCTCCATCGATGGTGGAGCAATTTCCAGACCAGCCTTTGTACATCTAGGAGAGCACAGGGGATACACTTTTCACTATAGATAGACATTCTCACCTACAATGAAAGACATCGTCAAGGTTTTGGAATGTCTAACGTATCAAGACACTTCTGAAGTTTGCTAAGAGCCTCGCAACAAGCATAAATAAATGGTTCCCCGAATTGAGCGGTATAGCTATCTGAATGTTAAATGAAAGTCGACCATGAAGTGTAAGCTATGCTGCGTCCTTTTTGAGTGAAATTCTAGGTAATGCATCCCGGGGCCAAAAAAAGGTACAGAATCAACGTGCTTATGTATGACAGAATGCGAATTGTTGATTCAAATTGGAGCTTGAAGGTCGGGGGTGAACCTGATGCCGTGACAGTGGTTTTCACATACAACATGTTAAAAGCTACTATGGGTCACGTGATTTGTAGTGACAGACATATCATAGTAAGGATTGCTAGATCTGGATTGAAGTTTCGAAAGCGAATTTCCTCTAGCATGAGGACCGTGATGAACTCGGATTATCTCATCCAAAATCCTGATCCGGTTGCCAAAACTCTCGGTTTCATCGGGCAAAGACGGTTGTAGCTGAACTCATTTCCAGGCATCAGTGACACTGATCACGTGGTTTATGCTTCGGACACACATCCCACAGGTTGCAACATTTCTACATACTGCTCGATACCACTTTTCGTGCTGTGAATTACAGCAAGGCATTATCAAGACAGTAATGTTTGTGCAACTGACACGCCGTCGATTTGATCAAAGTCTACGTATCGTGTCGTCGTGCGATTCCGGGTCGTAATAATCACGCGACACTTGTTTTTATCGCCTCCAAGGGTCCCAAAGGACTCAATAACTTACACATTTTAGCTTTCAGAAGACTCCAGGTGCACTGTGTTTCTCACCGACAGTTTGTCTATTGTTAAGGATTTTAATTTTTTTACTTCAATTGAGACATTCAGGATGAACAAAGGAAGCCCTTGATAATTAAACAACAATTACATATGATGATATCGCGAAGAATAAAGGTTCCTCGCAAAAACACTCAAAAATAGCACAAAACAACCTATCCCACAGCTATAAACACAAAACAACCCATTTCACAGCTATAAACCCTAACAACACCTTGATTCCAGTCTCTACATACACGTTTCTCAATACTTTCATCTCCTCAGTGCCAGTCACGTGATACATCTTTCCAAATCTCCCGAAGCTCTTTTTTCACAGCAGTCGTGGTAACTAACGTCTAATAGCACGAGCCTGATGAGTACATATCATCATCACCTCTATCCCCCGCCTTTCTAGCTGTGTATAGAGCATCTCATACTATTCTCTCCAAATACACTACTATACTACTTAATCACCCCAATATCGCCGCCAAAGCCGACGGACTTATTTTGTAACGCTCTCAACCCCCTTCGTTCGAGATGACCTCTGCTCCCCGACGGCTTTTTTTAATTGACATTATCTCCTTCTCCACGTTCGCTCCCCTAAAAATATATCCGCCGGAGATATTCGGGAGTGGCAGAAAGGTAAATAGCACGAGGGGGTAAACTCTCGAACACATACACACGACCAGAACATTATAAAAAGGCCCAGGATGGATTACAACAACTCTCGATGTTTGAATGTAAAAAGTATCAATTATAACAGACATCAAAGGGTATAAAACGAGTTATTCCAACTTCTTTTGCCCAACCATTCCACCGTTATAAACACTCGATTCTTTGTTTACGCACGCTTAACCGCCTGATATCACCAAAGAATACTCCCATTCACACAATCCGAATCTTACCCCCCTTACACCCCATCAATGGTTCCAGTTTCACTTCTACAGGTCACTCCTAAGGAAACCGTTGACGTTAAAAACGACCCAAAAATCAAGGAGCACGTGACAAAGAGCGAGGGCATCGTTCTCGAGGACGGTATTGCACTCACTACTTACCCAGAAGACTCCAAACCTTTAGGACTTGAATGGGGTGCTGCAGCTCCCGAAGTGCGTGGTCCTGTGGTGTGTTCCCGCTATCACGATGGACTCTCCAAGCACAATGCAATCGGTGCCCATTCTGGTCCTTACTGCGTGTACCACGCTCTAGCGGTGGCATCCAATCAGTTGGATCCTCACCATGTGGCAGACTACACCAACTCCCAGCCTGCATTTTCGATCCCTGAGCAAAAAGCCTGGTACAACAACAAGGATATCGTGGCAATGGACCCAATGGGCCATCTCACTCCGTTTTTGTTCGACGAAACCGCCAAATCCGAAAACGTGGAGATCAGACCTTCGATCTCCGTTACCAAAGCCTCCTTGCAACTCTTCGAACTAAAAGATGCAGTGACCAACAACAGGCTCCAAGTGGATGGCAAAATCGTTCTCAACCAAAATGGTGATGTGGCCGTCTCCAAAGTTGCCGTTGAACCAGTTTGGTATTTGCCCGGTGTTGCTGAACGGTTTGGTGTGAGTGAGGATAAGCTCAGAAAGGCTTTGTTCCAAGACACCAACGGAATGTATCCAGAACTCATCACCAGACCTGACATCAAAGTGTTTTTGCCACCAGTGGGAGGATTGACCGTATACATATTCGGTGATCCAGCATACGTGTCTGATCCTACCAAGAGAGTTGCACTTAGAGTCCATGACGAGTGTAACGGATCTGATGTTTTCGGATCTGACATCTGTACTTGTCGTCCATACCTAACCTTTGGTATTGAAGAAGCTGTCAAGGAAGCTCAAAATGGTGGCTCTGGTGTTGTCATCTACTTCCGTAAGGAGGGCAGAGCTCTAGGCGAAGTCACCAAGTACCTGGTCTACAATGCACGTAAGAGAGGTGGTGACACTGCTGACGAGTACTTCCACAGAACCGAGTGTATTGCTGGTGTTCGTGATATGCGTTTCCAACAGTTAATGCCAGATATTCTAAAATGGCTTGGAATTACCAAGATTGACCGTATGTTGTCCATGTCCAACATGAAACACGATGCTATTGTTGAGCAAGGAATCCCAATTTTGGAGAGAGTACCTATTCCAGATGAATTGATTCCAGCTGACTCCCGTGTCGAAATTGACGCTAAGATCAATGCAGGTTATTTCACAACTGGTAAAGTCATGAACCAGGAAGAATTGAAAGCCGTTCAGGGAAGAACTTGGACTGATGTTGTTTAAAGCGAGCTGTAGTACCAACGCTACGGTGCTGGTCGCCACAATTCAGAAAACAATTCGAGGGTAGATTTTGTAAAGTTAGATAGATAGACACATACTTGTAAGGTAAGAGTAACCATTAAATATGAGAAGAATTAAACGTTTAAGGTTCATCAGCTTCTGGATGTCACATTAGTACAAAGTGATACGACGGAACAAACACCGTCGAACAACAGTTTCGGGTCTTGAAAAGCGCCGTGGCAATATCTGATATGTCTCAAGAGACCCCTGTATTCAAAACTTTGCCCAAAAACAGAAACAGACCTCACTGCAAACCCAGACACTATGTTCGGGATTCATCAGAAACTGGGGAATCGACTATATCTCAGAATCTCAGTTTCATTCTGCAAAGTATGCATTTAAAAAGTCCATAAGTCAAATATAATGGTGTTTGAATGTATCAACTGGTTGAATGATGTCAGTTTTATCCCATAGCCATTGACACGTGACCGACGACAGCATCCGCAATTTGTAATATATACACATATATTACTATGCATCATTTCTTCGATACGTTCTTTAGCGACAGTTCAGCTGGGACAATGTTAGCATTGGTAGAATCTCAAAAGTGACTCCAGAATATACGTAAAATTGTGTCATTAATTGCGACCACTCACACTCTTTTATTCGAGACCCTGTCTTGCTACGAAAATGACAGTTGGTGAAGTATCACCCGAGTCGATCCGATTCGAACAACTTGCCAATAAAGTCCCCAGAAAACCCGTCGAAAGTCGTTACAGACCTGAATCATCTACAGCATCCATCTCATCGCAATCTGCGTTCGCGAAAACCACATCTTCAAAAAAAAAACAGTAATTGTAGGTATCACTACGTCATTAACTGACACCGTGGAACGTTCTACGGAGTTCTAGATATAAAGGGAACCATGTATAAAAGGGCAAAGGGCATCATGTTCCCGGACACTTACGCTTGCCATCAGTGAGCTTTTAAGCTAAGATCGTTCACAAGAGCAGTGACCCCATCCGTTTGAACCTTTAGTCATCCTACCATGAGTTTTTATCAACCTTCTTTGTCGCTGTATGACATTGTAGACGCTTTGGCAAACCAGGCAGCAGTGAGAAACCAAGACAGGCCAGATGTGAGAAGAGTTAACCACCCAAGAGGCCACCAAGGCCACCATGGGCACCATCACGGTGGTGCAAGACATAGAGCTGCTGTGACGAACCCCTATGGACAATCATACGGTCAATCACCTTACTATTACGTGGAAAGACCGCAAACGTCGTACTATCGTCCAAGCTATTACGAAGAGGACGATGAAGAGGGTCCCTACTACTGGACTGGACTTATTCCTCAGCAGGGACCCCATCAGGGACCCCAGCAAGAAACTCAGCAACGATCTTTTGACTTTTTGCCCGAAATTTTGAGGGCTTTTACCGGTTCAGCTGATGTAGAACAACAGCCTCCACGCGGAGCGGATGAAAAAGAGGCTGGCCAGGAGATGGGTGAGATCTCTGAAACAGCACCCCCCGTTGCTGAGGATCCAGCCAGTATCGTACAAGAGCTAAAACGCGCCGTTGAGAGCAACGATGCTGAAGAAATCGCTGCGGAAGAAGAATCGGCTCGTTCTGAAGCCCCCAGTCCTGTTCCAGAGCCTCTGCAAGTGTCCAAGCCTCAAACTCGTCGCGGGGCGCCGTTTTCTCCCCAGGTGAACGTTTACGACGAATCTGACACGTATGCTGTTGTGATGGCTCTTCCAGGTGCGAGTTCCAAGTCTTTCAAAATCGATTACCATCCTTCATCGCACGAGCTGCTCATAAAAGGCACCTTGGACAAGAAGTTTGGATTCGACGACAAAAACGTACGTGTTTCTGAGTTGCACACAGGCAAGTTCGAAAGATCCGTCAAATTTCCCGTCGTACCCAGAATAAAGGATGAGGAAATCAAGGCCAGTTATAGCAACGGGCTGTTACTGATCAGGATCCCCAAGATTCTCGACGAATCTCTCCAGCATCCTCCAAGAAGACACATCGTGATAGAAGACGTTCCTGATGAAGAGTTAGAATTTGAAAAGAATCCAAACCCTCAAACCTCGTTGTAAGCATATATGGAGCTCGAGCAAGAAGATTACAGACCATGAATATCAAACGTAAATATAACGAATCACTATGAAAGTAGACAATACTATGAATGACGAGAATTAATCGCGTAAATGAAGAGAAACAATCACAATATAATCCCAAACCGTATTTCTAACTACAATTTGTTAACTGATTACTTCTAGGTCGACCAGTTTAAACTGTCGTCGTTGTCGTTGTAGTTCTCGTTGTCATCTGTCGTCTGGTATTCATGAATCCCTTCCTCTCACTAGATATTCACATCTGAAAAATTTTTGGTGAAAAACAAGAAATGACTTCTATCTCAACCATTAAACTCATCTCATCGACCTTCAAGACTGGCTTCTAAACCCTCCATTTAACGCGCCAAGATGTCTGAACAGAACCAGGATCAGTCGCAGAACTCGCAACAGAACCATTATAACCAATACTACCAAAACATGGGCCAACAATCTGGATACCAAGCTCAGAACAACGACTATTCGCAATACTACCAGAACTATGATCCAAACGCTCAATCGTACCAGGGTTACAACCAGGGTTATAATCAGGGATACAACCAGGGATACAGCAACCAAGGCTACCAGGGATACAACCAGGGCTACAACCAGGGCTACCAGAATTACAACAACAACCAGGGCGGTCGTGGTGGTTTCAAGAACAATCGTGGTGGCTACAAGAATTTCAACAACAGCTCCCAGGGCTTCAATACCCAAGCCCAGTCCTTTCAGGCTTATGACCAGCAAGCGGGTTCGCAGGGCATGACTTTGCAGGATTTCCAAAACAAGCAGACCTCAGGAACTGATACATCGGCACCGGCTGCAGCTCCAGCCCCAAAACCCAAAAAGACTCTGAAATTGGCGTCTGGATCGGGCATCAAGCTAGTAGGTGCCACCAAAAAACCAGAGGTGTTGAAAAAAGAGGAACCTACCAAAGAAACAGAGTCTAAGGATGAAACCAGACCCGAAGAAACCAAAACGGACGCAAACAAGCAAAACGACGATAAGCCAGCTCAGGAATCGCTGCCTAAAATCGACAAACTGAAGATTAGCGACGAAAAGCCTGCAAAGAAGGCAGCCGCCGAGTCTTCTTCTGTCGCCGCTGCAGCTGCCAACTCCGCCGAAGCTCTCATCAAAGAACAAGAAGACGAAGTGGACGAGGAAATCGTAAACGACATGTTTGGGGGCAAAGATCATATGTCCATCATTTTCATGGGCCACGTCGACGCCGGAAAGTCTACCATGGGTGGTAACCTGCTGTACTTAACCGGCTCCGTAGACAAGAGAACGGTCGAAAAATACGAAAGAGAAGCCAAAGATGCCGGTAGACAAGGTTGGTACCTGTCTTGGGTCATGGACACCAACAAGGAAGAAAGAAGTGACGGTAAAACCATCGAGGTTGGAAGAGCCTATTTCGAGACCGAGAAAAGACGTTACACAATTCTGGATGCACCTGGTCACAAAATGTACGTTTCTGAAATGATTGGTGGTGCTTCTCAAGCAGACGTCGGTATTCTTGTCATTTCCGCCAGAAAGGGTGAATACGAAACAGGTTTTGAAAAGGGTGGTCAAACAAGAGAACACGCTTTGTTAGCCAAGACTCAAGGTGTCAACAAGATGATTGTTGTTGTAAATAAGATGGACGACCCTACCGTTGGATGGGAAAAAGAACGGTACGATCTTTGTGTCAAGAACATTTCTGTCTTCTTGAAAGCTATTGGCTATAATATTAAGCAAGAGGTTATCTTCATGCCAGTTTCTGGTTACACTGGTGCGGGTTTGAAAGAGCATGTGGATCCAAAGGATTGCCCATGGTACACTGGTCCCTCCCTATTAGAATACTTGGATGGCATGTCTCATGTAGACCGCCGCATAAATTCTCCATTCATGTTGCCTATCGCATCTAAGATGAGAGATCTTGGTACCATTGTCGAAGGTAAGATTGAATCCGGTCACATTAAGAAGAACGGTAGCACTTTACTGATGCCCAACAGAACTCCTGTTGAAATCGTTAATATCTACAACGAGACCGAAGCCGAAGTCGATATGGCCATCTGCGGTGAACAGGTAAGACTCAAGCTGAAGGGTGTTGAAGAAGAAGACATCTCTCCAGGTTTTGTTCTAACATCTCCAAAGAACCCTGTAAAGAACGTCACCAGATTTGTTGCCCAGATCGCTATTGTTGAGCTTAAATCTATTATTTCTGCCGGCTTCTCATGTGTCATGCATGTCCACACTGCCATAGAAGAAGTCACTATCACGAAACTACTACACAAACTCGAAAAGGGTTCCAATCGTAAGTCCAAGAAGCCACCTGCGTTTGCCAAGAAAGGTATGAAGATCATTGCGATTTTGGAGACTGAAGAGCCGGTGTGCGTGGAAACCTACCAGGATTACCCACAATTGGGTCGGTTCACGCTAAGAGATCAAGGTACCACTATCGCAATTGGTAAAATTGTAAAATTAGCGGAGTAATTCAATCGTGTATATGCATTATCAGGTAAATATAGCTTAAAGTACCAATAAGTGGATTACATCTGTGCTTGCCTTGTATGTGCTCTATGATGATATGTTCGAAAAAATCTGTAAAAGGGACTCAACTCCCATGACAACATTTTCGTCGTATCCTTGTCCAGGAACATGTCTGGAATGTGCAAAGTCAATTAACGAGAGAGAACTTAGGCATTTGCTACCCGCATTTTCATCCTCGCTATCACTTGAATCAGGGTCGTAGTTAGCTTCCAACAGCTCGTGACGGTCACCAAGTTCTTCCCAACTTGACGGATCGCCTTCGTAAATGAAAAGTAAGCTCGAAGATATGAGTCGCACGTCCTCATCAAGAAGCGTATTGTAAAGAAGCATTAGACGCTTTTGAAAAACATCACAGAGGCTCTCTCTTTGCAGCTGAGTTAAATAATCGCGGGCAAAGTACATTTTGAAAGCATCCTCAACATTGTCTGCGGTAAGCGATCTTCCGTAGAACTTATTAACAGCCACGTAGTCCTCATCATCTGATTCGCAGAATTTTGTGTCCAGACCAATCGATAGTTCGTTTTTTTGAATTTTTAAACCGCAAATACGGAAACCAAGTGTCCCAGATGTAGTGTCATTGCTTACTTTCTGCAGCCTTGATTTTTTATCTTCCGAGCATGAGTCGTCATGCAACACTTTACCTAGTTTAACGTCCATGATATTTGGTGATTTGAACTTTCGCAGCAGATTATCCAGGACAATGATGGGTTTTTCCTGGTTGGCTGCTATCGATGATGATGAAGATGCATTGGTAATTGACGCAACGTTTTTAGGCACCTCCATGTCACTGCTTTGAAGAAAAGCATTTGCAGAGACGTTTTCAGGGAATCCAAGTTGCAAAGTGCCCAGGAAAGTAGGCATCCAGGAGCTCAAGTTTATGCCTTCGCTTTCTTCTTGTCTTGAACTTTGACTGAACTTTTGGTAAAAGTCGACCTCAATGGCATTGGTTGGTTTGAAAAAAAGCGTTTCCAACTCGTCCGTAAAGTTTCCATCGTGGCCGGCTGCTTGATGTTTGGCCTTGACGTATCCACCGGCCATATTTCGGGTAGGTCGATACAGGTTCTCACAGTTACGACAATGATGGTGATAGAATAGGGCATCATCTATCACGTCTTGAGAACATGATGGATCGAAGGTAGTCTGACATAACCAGTTGTTCGAATTACAGTATTCTTGTGGATCAGAGGAATTGATTTTGAGAAATGTCGTACATTTGATGCTGAGTGGTTTCTTTGTATTGCTTCTTCTCATACCCATGCCTTGATGAATATTTAGAGAAAGTGCTGAGTATTGATACAGGCTTGGGATAACAAGAGAGAAATCCACACCCGACGTCAAAATTCATATCGGGCTTGTGTTTGAAATGGTAGTAAGCGTCTACGGAGATGTTGGGCGATTTAGGAGGTTAAACTCTTGTCTTTTCTATGTATTAATCAGTTGCAGTTGTCAATCTTTGAAGAATAGGCAGTCGGTCGAAGAAAATGCACACAATCGTGTACCTTGAAATATAGAGACAAAACTCTCAATAAACCGAAGTGGTTGGAAATATCCAGCGCCCACCACTTCGGCTTATCACCATTTTCAAAATCGTCGAGTTGATATATTGCTAAGTAGAACGTCTTGAATAAAGCTATAAACCGCTGTTCAGATTTGAACAGAAGTGAATAAGAAATATGAACCGTGGTCTCACATTCGATGAACTGGTACCTGGATGAATGCTTTCCGCTTGATGTTCCCTACTTGCAATCGAGCTGTTGACCTTCGATACTCATCCTTTCTTGTCACTTTGTACCTATTTGACATCCGTCATCTGTCGTCTGAAAATGTTAAATTAGCAGATTCGCACCATAGAGTACAGGACCCTGATGTCTCTTCCATATTGAACGCTAAGTAGCCGAGCATTCACAAGAGTCTTGACCCCCTCGCGTGTAGAGTTCCGATACTACCATGGTCCAAATCTGAAAAAATGCATTATTTTCCACCGGAATAGTTGTTTTGGGCTCAACAGCTGTAAAAAAAAAAATCGAGCTCTTTTCCGCAAGGGTTCCTTGCTATTCTATTCCAAGTTTAATTATTATCTTGTTAGTTACTGTTCTCTCGTTTCGCACACCATTTATCGCAGTCTTTGTTTGCCACAATCCATGATCAAGTCTCTCATTCGCCCGAAACCGAAGTCGTATCGCCCTTACCCAAAACGGTCTGGTTGTCGCCCCAGGTGATGGTATCATTCAGACACCTTGCTATCTTAGCTTGGCTTTGTAGACCAAATGCTAAGTCCCAAAGCCAAGCTTTCGGGAGATTTAAACGCTCTTATCTCTATTACAAAGTCTACGATATCACCAAAGAATTGATAATGACTAGTTGAAATCGCTTCTTATCACTCAGATGATCTAATTTCCACCTCATGATCCAGGGTCCCGTCAGGGACCACTCATTAGTGTTATTATCCCTGGAATCCAGTGCACATTATCGTACCGGTACAGCTGTTAGGCCAATAAACGTTGCTACTCGTAGAATTAATGGAACAATCATTCTGGACCCTCACTTCTGAGTGCCTGTTTATCTGCAAAAGATAACTATCAGCTTTTGCATGAAGACAAAGGTCTCTAAGTTGACACGATCATCCGTAGAACGATGTAAAGCTCGAGCGACATGGATACAGTGTTCGAACGTATATAAATCAACAGATGTGGGCGAACGGGCTGTTATCCAGCATCTCTGAACTACTAACTTCCTTCAACTACCACACACGGCAAGTGCAAGATGAGTAAAACGTACAGTGCGGAAACGAAAGAGGATAAGAAAGATTTGACTCAGGTCAAATCTGGCGAGATACAGGAAAGAGGTTCTTTGTCTTCCGAAAGTCTAAGTAGAGGAGAAGTCGTTATTGCAGATGAACATGCTGTGGGAGCTGATTTATTTCGTGAAGTACTTAACGGTGATATTGATGCTCAAAATGATATAGACTATGCGCCACTTAGACGCAAAATTGACCGTTGGATACTGCCGCTACTTTGCGTAACGTACATGCTACAATTTCTAGACAAATTGTCGTTAAATTATGCGTCTGCTTACTCGCTATCCAAGGACTTGGGCCTAAAAGGCAACGATTATTCCAACATCGCTGCAATTTTTAATGTGGGGTACCTCATCGGGTCCATCCCGGGAAATTGGCTTATACAGAAGCTACCGGTGGCTAAGTTTACCGGATGCACACTTGTGATGTGGGCCATTTTACTCATTGGACACGTTGGTGCGACTAACTACCATTCCATGATGGCTCTGAGATTTCTTTTGGGATTTTTGGAAGCTGCCATTTCTCCTTCTTGTATGATTATCTGTTCGATGTTTTATAACAAGCAAGAACAGCCCTTCAGAATGTGCACTTTCTTGAGTATGAACGGTGTCGCCACGATGGTCGGCGCTCTTTTGGCATACGGGTTGGGTCACTCGACAAATGCGTCGCTCAAGCCTTGGAAACTGATTTTTTTAGTCATTGGTGTGATCAACCTTGCATGGAGTCTGGTCTTTTTGTATCTGGCTCCAGACTCTCCATCGAATGCCCGGTTTTTAACCCACGACGAAAAACTGAGGGTTGTTCAACGTGTTTCAACTAATAAAATGGGTATAAAGGATACGAAGCTCAAGCCTAAGCAAGCCCTCGAAGCGTTGAAGGACCTCAACTGCTGGATTTTGGCACTGATCGGTCTGGGCTGCGGTATCATCAACGGTGGCTGTTCCAACTTCATTTCCACGCTGATCAAAGGTTTTGGGTTTACCGGACTCAGTGCTACTCTACTTCAATTGCCTACCGGAGCTATCGAGCTTGTCTGTGTGTTTGCTGCTGGTGTCATCGCGCTGTACAGCAAGAAAAATATTAGGGTCATACTTCTGTTTCTTCTGTGCGTACCAACTCTAGCTGGTCTGGTTGGTATTCATTTGATTCCATTGAAACACAAGTGGGCGCTGGTCGGCTGTTGTTGGTTGATGTACATCATCGGAGGGCCCGTTATCATGTGCTGGATCTTAATGAACGTCACAATTGCGGGCTCCTCCAAAATGTCTACGGCCAAAATAATGTGGTTCCTCATGTACACTGCTGGAAACATTACCGGTGCCAAAATCTTCTACGCCAAAGAGGCCCCCAAATACATCACAGGAATGAAAGGTTTGATAGCGTCGTACTCCTGTATGATGTTTTTATGCATCGTTTACTACATCATGATGACTTACAGAAACAGATCCAGGGACCGTAAGCATGGAGTGCTGACGCCAGAGTCTGAACAACAAGGTATCATTGACGGTTTCAAGGATTATACCGATTTCGAGAACAAGAATTTCAGATACGCCTACTGATAACACCAAATTTTCGTTTTACACCCATCAAATAGGATAAATTTTCTCACTGAAACAGGATTTCAGTGTAGCTTGATTATATGGGGTCTCGATTCGATTCAGTGGAACCAAATGGCAGGCATGGATGACAATCAGACATCCAAGCCGTTTATTGTCTGTCGCAATCGATCACTATGTCTTTAGATGTCGCTGACATCAATAAAATAAATTATACAATCAATTATGTATACACTACAGAAGACAACAGCAAACGCTGTTCAAATTACAACCTCTAGTGTAAGGACAAGGAGCAGATCTGAACCACAAGAATTTAACGATATCCATTCCAGAAAAACATAGTTTGTTTGATTCTTATAGTTTTATAATCTTGTAAGTAGTTGCGGGCTATGACACAACCGTAGAAAATGACTCTTCACGCTTTGTTCTGTCTACTGAGCTAGGCAGAAAATTTTTTTCTAGACAGAGAGTTCACCAACAAACTAGGCAGGAACCAGCCTAACTTTCCTACTAAACCTTTTGAACTCTAGAAGGAGAACTTTACTTTAAGCTCAAAACATCACCAGTAAGCGTCACAGTCTACTGGAAACGACAACTTAAAGGCTCCACGTGATGTCAGAGCCATCTATCAAGCTTAGGGCCGCTAAGGACACCGTATGCTAACTATTGTGGACTATTCTTTACTATTGTTGACTATTGTTGACATTACTTACTAGGTATTGTCGCTGTTTCGACGCCAGCGTCAGCAAAATGAAAACACTTTCAGGTTACTAACAAAAACATTGAATACAGCTGGTGTCGTCGTTGTTTGAACTGTCAAAGTCCGCTAACCAAACGGCTTCGTGCATCATCGACTTCTACAATGCTATTGGCGAGGACGAAGAGGACAAATTGGAAGCGTTCACAACGCTAACAGAAGCTTTGCAGAAATTGACGTCGGCCACTAACCAGATCCATGGAGTCAGCTCAGAATTGACAAACCCTCTGGAAGACGACAAAGATGTGATTCCGGCCATTGTGTCGCCAGTCAAAGTTACAGCCGCGAGAAAGAAGCAAGAACGGGATCCAAACGCCCCAAAAAAACCACTCACGGTTTTCTTTGCCTATTCAGCCTACGTTCGTCAAGCACTACGTGAAGACAGACAAAAAGCGGGTCTTCCTCCATTGTCATCCACTGAGATCACTCAGGAAATTTCTAAAAAATGGAAAGAGCTCAGTGACAGCGAGAAGTTCAAATGGAAGCAGGCCTACAACGCAGAGCTTGAAAATTACCAACAAGAAAAACTCAAATATTTGGAAGCCAAGAAAAATGGTCTTGCTCCAACTTTGGACGCTCCCAGTACAGCTCCAGTGCCTCTCCCAGACTACTTGCAAGTCGGTCTAGAAGAGGAATTTGAGCCCCCAAAAGAGAAAAGACCCCACGAGGACGATGGTAACACTGGTAGTTCCGAAAAGAAGAAAAAGAAGAAGAAGAAGGATAGAAAGAAGGAAAAACACGGCAGTAGTTCCATTTGAGTACTTCTTTCCTATTCGCTTTCAAGAGCTGGCTCTGTATTATGTTTTCAATACGTCAAAGGTTGAAAAAAAAAAGTCTGTAATCTCATCCAACCCAAGAGGACAACAATAAGCTCTTCAATAATCCTTGCAATATGGCCTAGCTTTGGCTTTATCGGTGCACTGTTTTATATTTACAGGTATTTAGGTTAGTAGTGATCCACTATTTCTGAAGCTGTTCCTGAATCAAATCTGTTAGGTTTACCAGCTCCTTTGGCGCGTCTTGCGGCCGCTTCCATTCCTCGGGGAACTTATAATTCCGCGTGTTTTTACGTAAATTTTTGGCTGTAATGTGTCTGGTGTCCAAAGGAACATCTGCAAAATCATCTTCCAAATTCTTGGCCTCTTTGATGAGGGCCTGTAGTGTATCACTCAAGTAGCGTGCATTTTGAGCAGCTTCTGGATACCTATCTGAAGACATCTTGAAAACGTCTGTGAGATGATCGTAGCGCGTGCGTGCCAACAGACGAAATTTGTGAGTTTCCTTGTCGTTGAGCTCCAGGTCTTTGGTTTTCAAGCTGAGCACCACTTTCCGTGAATTTGGATGATCTTCACCAACGTAGGTAGTGTAGCGGTATGTGACTGGGTTAGTACGTTGCGAAGGTCTCTTGTATTCTTGCCGGTACTGTACTAGAGTAGGAAGCTCGTAAGCTGCCAGCCTGTTGTAAAACCTTTGCTCACGATGTTGTTGAACCAAATTCTGCGCTTGAGAGGGCAAATCGTCAAACATGAACGGCGTGGGACGGTAGTCGTTTTGAATGTTGCTCCCTGCAAGACTGTGAGCAGCTTGTTCTCCGCCATAGTACAAAGAGCGGATGGATGCAGCAGGAACTCCCGTATGTTCTGATGTGGACAGTAGTGCATTCAGCTCTTCTTTGCAAGGTTTGTATTGCGAGCCCAACTTCACCATTCTTTCCCTGTAAAGACCAAAAATTTGGTCGGGCTTCAAACGCTGCCATTTCGATGGATCCAAGTACAGATCGGCAGCAATTCCCCCACTCGTTTTTATATTTTCAACAGCAGCATTTTTGCACGTTGTGGTGGAGCGAATGAGAAGCGGAAAATTCACACGCATGACCGCTTGCTCTAAAGATAATAATCCCCACTTCTATGAAGGCTTTAAGGTATTAGAAAGCCTGCTATTTGCAGAGTTGTTCGGGTCTTTTGGTCATATTGATGAAGTTCATCAGGTTTTACTTGGGAAATATATTAGGATTGACGACGAAGAGCATATCACTCTAGACGCGTGGATATAGCTCGACGAGTCATGATGTTTTATCAGCGACTAAAGAGAATGAGACGATCAAGACTGCTGAAACTCTGTTGAATTAGGTATATTCCCTCTTTGTATACTTTGAGGATAACAGTATCTTTCCTTTCTTTCACAATGTGTGAAGCCAGTTTGATAGTTTGAGTCACGTGACATCTAGAAATTATGACAGATAAGTATAAAGTGATCAATCTCATCGATCATTCAGCCTTGTCTAAACTGTCAGTGAAAGCTTCTGGGCCCTTGAAAAAGCCTCTTGTTGAGAGTTATAATATCTGCACTTTGACACGCTTCAAACAAGAGTGCAGAGTATCAATGATTATCTCGCTGTCAAAAAAATAGAAATGACAAATTATTCAGTACATGTTGATAATTTCTGACAGTGGAGGTTGAAAACACGCTAAAACTCTGTCAAGAGCTATGTCACACTAGTGTGCCAGGATTTATTGCCTATGAGGTTGACTATAGTAGGCTAACTCCAATATAAGTGCCCTTCGAAAAACTGAAAGTTCCAGCGAGCTAATACCGGGTGTGGTGGAGAAAGCCGCTGTTTGAGACCTACATTAGTGCGCACACATAGTAGAATGAAGTCCAGTGCTCATACCAAAGTACTAAACAGATGTGACACTAATGACAGATAGGTGTCACGTGACTAACCAGCTCAAGGTTGGAATTTACGAAACGTGAGTCTAAAAGGAAACTCTTAGTGTAAACGCCTATGAGTGCTGTTTAACCGATTCTGAAATGGTTAATTAATCTCCTGCATATCTTCGCCATCTTACGTGCTTCTTCACGTCTCACAGTTTGACACTACGTATATAGTGATATTGTAATTAAAACTGAATATTGTCTATAAACCTACAGCGAAGAACAAGTTCAACTGGTTAAACGTTGACTCCGAGAATCGTTAAAAAGGGCGTTTCGCTGATCCTCAAATGTCGCGACCACCACGTCGAGGGAAAGGTATCAAAGAGGAAAATCAGGACGATGAATTGGCTCATGAGCCATCGCGGCTGTTGACCTCCGTGTTGAAGACACTTGATCTAACATTTGAAAGAGATATAGGCATGCTAAATGGCAAAAATGTTCGATCTTTGCCTGGATTTCAATCCCTACAGAACTTACGAGGACATCTTGATAAACTAGAAACAACTTTGGAGCGTATTTCCGTCAGTGACAAGGCGACGATCACTACAATACGGGAAATCCTGGAAAATACTATTGCTGTAGAGCCATCTCCGAAACCTGCAGGCGAAGAAGAAAACCACCAAAAACTGGATATTCTTGATACACAAGAAGGAGAACCAGAAACACATGCAAGCGATGATGACGCAGATGCCAAACCGGTCATCCAAGCTAGTCGAAAACGATCACTGAAGGTCGAAGATGAGGAAGACGAAGCATTTGAGCATAACAATAAAAGGCCCGCCAACAAAGCACTTGAGCCCTCGCCAGATGTAGAAAAGAAAATTCAAAGCGAACTAGATCGAATAGAAAGTGATCCTTCCGTGAAAAATCCGAAATCGGAGTTTGTTGTTTCCCAAACTCTTCCTGCAGCTGCTGTAAGCCTTGGTCTTTTCACCAATAAAGGCTTGGAAAGCACGGGCGAGGAGTTCCTTAAGAAAAAGTACGGAGTATCTAGCTATCCAGCGAGCGATTTGAAGGATCTATTGCCTGGCGAGATCCCAGACATGGATTTTTCCAGACCCAAACCCGCCAATCAAATTCAATTAACCACTTTTCTCGCCTCTGTCGATAGTTTTTACCGTGAGTTCTCAGACGATGATATCAAGCTTTTGAAGAACAAGTACCTCATACCGCCAAACGTAAAGGTAGAAAGGTCCTATGATCCAGAAGTTACGCCATATATCATTCCCAAACTCGGCCCACTATATGCAGACGTTTGGTCCAAAGAAGACAACAGTCAAAATATTGCGAACCTTTCGCCACCACCATTACACGACCCCACAAGCATCCTACCCAAGAAATCCAGCCGAGAATTAAGCGATCAAACCTTGGACACTGAAGAAATTTCGTGTGGTCCTTTAGTTTCTAGACTGTTATCGGCAATTTTAAGAGACGACACCAAGGACACAAATTCTACCGAGCCAACTACCGACGTTGACGTTAAAATGGATACCCCAACGGCTGGGAATCCAACCCTCACTCCTTCGAGTGAAATGGACGAAGATCGATCCACAAAACTTTCTTCTACGAGTAACATTCCCCAGCAAGCTGGTTGGAAAGTCAACAGTGTCAATCTTGACTACCCAACTTTTGAAGAGCGCTTGAAACGGGAGCTAAAGTACGTTGGTATTTACATGAATTTGCCAAAAAGTGAAGATAGTGGCTACAGTGAGGATCCGGACTGGCTATCAGGACGTGAAGATGACGAAATAAGCTCGGAGCTGCGAGAGCTGCAAGATGAGCTGAGACAGGTCACGAAGGTTAATATAAAACGAAAAGCGACGCTGGTCCCTTTAGTAGAGCGTCGACTAGCATGGCAAGAATATGCTTCCATTCTTGACGATCTAGATAAACAGACCGATCAAGCTTATGTCAAGCGAATTCGAGCGCCGAAGAATAAGAAGAAGAAACAGCAGGCTGTCACATCAGGAATAGGTTCCACCTCTCAAGCTGCGATTCAAGCGGCACATCAGCAAGCGGCAAACTCAAGCTTGAAATCCCTCCTTGACAAGAGAAGAAGGTGGGTAACAAAGATTGGACCTTTATTTGATAGTCCGGAGATCATGAAGCGCTTTCCAAAAGAGAGCGTCTTCAGGGACATGGATCAGGAAGAGGAGGACGAAGAGGGTGATGTTTTCGGGAGCAACGGCAATAACAAAGATGATGAATTGACGGATAGTTTACAGAATAAAGACGAATGAATGGATGCATGACATTATCTACAAGATGATATAACGGAAATTTAGCTCGATATAGGTGAAGATCGTAAGAAGAATTTTAAACGTTCAATCCCTTCTCAATTTCTTTCAATGAAGGAACAGTAGCAGTATTTCCAAGCGCGACGATGGAGATCGGCTTTCCCTTCAACCTATAATTGGCCCAAGTAATTATGTCGCCCTTGGTTATCCGGTCTACCTGCTCGAAAACCTCCTCTGGGGAGAGCCTTTTTCCTGTGGTGACGATTTGACGTCCGATGTCTTCCACAATGGCGGTTGAGCCGTCTAAAGACAATAGCAGAGACGCTTTCAGCTGCGCTTTGGCGCGTTTGACTTCCTCGTCAGTGACATTCCCGCTCTTGATTCTCTGCCAATCTTTAAGGACCTCGTCAATAATCAATTTGATGTTATGTTCCTTGGAATCTGTAACAATGTACATGCCCCATAGACCTGAATCAGCGTAAGATGTAGAAAAAGACATATAGGAATTGGCCAAGGTTCCATTACTCGACGCAGCTACTGCTAGGGGCGATGGAGAGTTATTACCTGATCCGAGGGCTCTATCCCAATTCCCGACGATTGCCTGAGTGGCAAGAGCTGTGAAATAGTCAGGAGCTGACCACGAGACGCCTTCAACTGATAGAGCAACGTGAGTTGTGGGTAAAGTGTCTTCTTGAATTTTGAGCTCGTTTCCGTAAAAAACCGGCAGAGGGCCGCGTGGGGAGCCTAGGGGCACTGGTGACAATGATTTAGGAATATGTCCAAAAAACCTCTCAGCTGCTTTCACCAACTCGTCATGATCAACAGCCCCGGCACCAGCAAGCACCATTCTGTCGCCTTTGTAGTTTGTGGAGATATATTCCTGCAGATCACGCTGCTGAATGGTTTTGATGTTTTCTATGGGACCCAAAATAGTTCTACCCAATGGCTGGTCTTTATAAGTGATAGCATGTAAATGGTCGAAAACCACTTCATCGTACATCTTGTCCACCTCCTCACTTTCCCGAATTATGACGTCTCTTTCTCTTTCAATTGCACTTTTGTCCAGAACGGATTTTGTCAAAATGTCACTTAGAACATCCACCGCATTTGGAATATTTTGGTTCAACGTTTTAGCGTAATAAACCGTATTTTCTCTTGACGTGTAAGCGTTCAAATGAGATCCTATATTTTCTATTTCCAATTCGATCCCCACCTGAGTACGGTTCTTGGTACCTTTAAAAGCCAAATGTTCCAAGAAATGTGCCGTTCCATTATTTTTGACATTTTCAGCTCTTGAACCGGCATCGACGAAAATCCCCACAGTAGCACTTGAAGTGTTGGGTATCGTTTCTGTAGCTACTGTAAGTCCATTTGGAAGCACTGAGGTTCTGGTAGTTGGTAAACTAGTTGCCAACTGTCTGATAACGCGGGAGCGTGGGACCAAGTTGCGAAGCATTATTCTGAGTACCGGAAGTGTGGGCAAAGATTCGATGTAGAAGTGGTCGACTTTAAGCTCTCCTTGGTATTTATAATGTTGGTAGGAATTGTTAAAGATGACGATGTCTAGAATTCTACATATTCATTAAAGTAGATGTGCTTACAAAGTAGATTATCGACTGGAGCATCGGGTAGAGTATCGAGTAGAGGTCCAGTGTCAGCGCGGGTTATGGGAGGCTAAAGAAAGGGATTCAGAGCAGATAAAAGGTATGGAAATCAGATTGGATTGTAGAGAGTTTCATAAGAGAGCTGTCAATTTGTGGTTTCTTGGTGCTCTGTTTGCGGGTTTTCGCGAGTTTCGTTGAATTATAAATTGTATTTGACACGAAAATACCTGATGTCGAGTGTTGTTACTTTTACCAGATTCAGAGCACAGCTGTCAGGATCATAGAGTGTTGGTGTGAATTGGAGGACCTTTTGTTTTGGTGTTGAAAAATCATGAGCTTTACGATGGTGTGTTAAATTATATTGATTGAAGTGTGAGTTGACATTCGATTGCATGTCACATTTAAAAAAAAACGGACTTGGGAGCGACAGATAACCAGAACTCCATTCTAAGATAGATATCCAGGAGAGTAGGTAGGTGATTCCCTCTTGCAAATCAGCTTCAGATATTTCCAGTGATCACAAGCACTTAATACGATGACAAAGATGGAAATGATCAACCATCAGAAAAACCCTAATCCGATGCTTGATTCTGCTCATGTAAGCGCCATGAGGGTGTGTAATCAATCGACTCTACGTCAAAGCCGTCTGCAATCAGTAAACAGGCTGAGAATAGAATTTAGTCACGTGATCTAATAATTTGTCACCTTGAGTGTCAGCGACACACCTGTGCTAAAGTGATAATACACATGAAAGGTCCAATTTGGTACTTAATGACGTCTAAACACCGTTAGTGAGAGCACATGATGTTCCAGAGAGTTGAGAGAGTAAATTACTATGGTCTACAACCATCACATACTGCAAAAACCTCTCCCCATAGGTTCCAGGTTTTTGAAATATTTGGCACCAAAAAAACAGGAAATTCATAAATTGGAACCAAAAATGTAATAAAATCTAAATAAATCCATCAACGTTCAGTTTGTTCGTGCACCACATCGTCTTTCGATCCGAACAAAATCGTCAAACTTCAAGACAATTCACACATCACTTCTCACGGGAGGTCATGAGGTATACTCTTATATTATTTTCGGATCCGATCTCGATGACAAGCTAATCTCTCAACTCTGCTCATCACTTCATCAGAACTTATTTGAAGAGAAACCTTTCCAATTAGTCTGGTGCATCGAGCCTGTTGAGTGGATTGTATTGTTTTGCAAAGGGCTAGATCCTACCAGTTGTGTGTCAGTTTAACGTTGTATTTCTCCCCCCAACTTTCCCAAGTTACTTTTAAATGTTTTCCAAAGGTTTGATGCAGAGACAAGCTCTTAGAACGCTTCACCAGACTGGTAAGAAGTCTTTGACGATTCCATTTTTGTCGACGCTGCCTCAGAATCCTGGTGGTGTGAAAGGGGATGTGAACGAGGCGTACCAGCCTCCATCCCCTAGCAGAATCCATGGGTCCTTACACTGGGATTTCCAACGTGTCACTTCGGTCGCTTTGTTGCCTCTTGTAGGCAGCAGTTTGGCTGCTGGTGGAGACGTCAGCGTGGTGGCCGATTCGGTCTTGGCCACGGTGTTGTTGGGTCACATTTACGTGGGTTACCAATCTTGCATTGTCGACTACATTCCAGCCAGAGTGTACGGCAAAAACCACAACTATGCCATGTACTTGTTGACCCTTGGGTCTCTGTTTGCTCTGGGTGGTATCTACAAGCTGGAGACCGAGGAAGATGGTCTCACAGGCGTGGTCAAAAAGCTGTGGACTGCGAAAAGCGCTACCGAGGAAAAACAGTAAAGGCCCTGAAACTCAAAGATAAAAGAAAACTTTGGCGGGCTTGAAATCCCTATTTTACTATTTATTATTATTACCATTATTATTTATTCCATACAACACATTTCGCGACGTTAGATTTCATTTTCCAGTCGTTTTTTCCAAGCAGTGAGATCTTCCAGGAGTGTCAACCTTGTGTCGACATCACGGACCAGCCGCAACTGTTTTTCACCATTATATACGTCTCGTCCCTCGTAGCACCTCAAAACCTGTATCTCTCTGTTCACTTGATCTATTTGAAAATCAACCCATTTGCCCACACGCATCGCAAGTTGTTCGACTTCAAACGCCGATTCCAATTCACATTCAACTTGCACTTCGGCAAAACTTATAGTTCGATACCGGCAAAACAACTCCAAAATTGTTAAAACCCTAAGTTTTGTCCACATACGATCTGTAAATTCGCATCGTAGTTCCTCGGGCACATCTTTTACTCTACCAAAACTGAATATTTCCAAGATGGACTCTTCGAGTTTGTCGTTAGAGGCCAGCCAAAATGGCTTATAGTTCAGTGTCCCAGCATCCTCGAGCACATGGACGATAGGGCCTTCACGCATCACTTACTTGACTATTCGAAGGTAGTAGTACCTTACTTTCCATTACTCTAAAAACCGTCCATCTGATATATAATTTGACATGATAAACCTCAAAGTTAAAGATAGTCAAAATACTCAGACATATCGGATCATTGAGGACATTCCGTTGATGTCATGAACTGCTCGTCAAACATCTAATGTCTACAATTCTTTACAATGCGAATTCTACGTTAGTTTCGAGGTACCAGCGTAAGGTGAAATTGAGAAATGAGCTGAACCAGCAGGATTGTAGCGATGAGGTGAGGTTTGAATCGAACCATGCGAAGAACTCGCCACAATATCTCCAAGATCTGTGCAAATCTGTGTATCCAACATGCCTACACACGAGGTTCGAAGAGATGCAATTCCCCGCGCTTTGCGTTCACGCCTTTGTTGCCCTAGTTTTCAAGAATTTCATCAAATCCTGGTTCGGTACCAAAGTGCCATCTCAAGATCCAGAGTTTTTGTGTGAAGTGTTCGCACTTGTGCAACGGTTGATAGTTCACGTTGAAAGCCATGAAGTTCACTGGGAACAATTGATTCTCGATGACGTGCCGTTTGTCGTGTTCGAACACTATCAAATGCCAAAGAGTAGCCGGCTTGATAATGATAGAGAAAGAGGGCCTTCTACAACCGCAAACTATATCTGCTCCTTTTTGGGCAACAATTCGACTTTAGAGCACGCCTTTGTGAAGTCATTATACGAATCTCTGCTGTGTGGTAGAATACTTGGCAGTATTGCAGAGCCCTATCTGATGCTCGAAATACTTAACGAGGCTGTTCGTTCGAGAATCCACAAATCTCAATCCAAATCCAGTACCTTTTTGGGTAAGATTCGAACTACAGTCGACTTCGTACGTTTAGCGCTGAAATCCCAATTACAGAGACCATCGCAGCTGCAACGACCCTTCGCCCACCGATATTTATTCTCGTGTCTCAGAAGACTAACTCAATTCGAACAACGCAGACCACTGCTGTACTGTTTGTTCAAATATGGTGAATCAGCCGCTGCCAAAATATCCGCGGTGGACAAAGTCCTTTACTGTCTTTTCCAGACAAGCGTGAGTGGCAAAATAGCTTCTGGCCCGCAGGTTGGCCGAATTTTCCTCTCTCTTCGTCGACTGGTGTTCCCCACCGATACAGCAATGGGGCCGCCAAGGCCAGTCCTCGATGACCATAAGAAAAGGCTTTTGCGCGAGGAATGCGAGCAAAACTTACTGCAACTTCTCGTGTTGTACAAGTTGGACAGTCTTGTCGGTCTTAGCGCAACCGATGTTAAAGAGTTTGTGGGTGCTATAGTCGCAGATCAAGATGCCAATGCACACTTGCTTGAACGGCTCCTGACTTGTGCCATAGCGCATATTGCTTAGCTCTATGTCTCTAATCGACTCCCCAGTCTTCAACAAGCATTTTTTGCACTTGTGGATTGAAACTGCCTGTCTCGTCAACGTAAGCCGACCACAAAGATGTTCGTCCTAGATCGACTGGGATCAGGTGGATTTCCTTTTGCAGTCCCACTTGCGTGTGAATGGAAGCCGAATGCAGCCCTATTAGGTAACCTGCTGAGGGGATCGGTCGTGCCCCGTATTTGACATCGTTCAAGATCGGCAGACTCAAGTCTTGTACCAATTGTCTCCTTATCTGATGTTTTTTACCGGTTCTGAGCTGCAGCATCAACGCCCCAGAATCAATTTTCCGATACCAGGTTTTCATGCCATTACTCTCCAGCACTCCTTCGTTGGCCAGCCCACTTGCTGTTCCATCTACCAGAGCTACGTACTTCCTTACAAGCTTGTGTCCACTGTTGCCGCCTTTTCTGAGATATCTTGAAAAAAGAGCTGCTGCGTTCTTGTCCCTAGCTATAAGAACGCCGCCGGTAACGTTTGTATCTAATCTATGAACAGTTCTCAATCCGTCACATTCAAGTTGGTGCTGTCGCATCGAAGAACGTACCATATCTAAAAGCAAAGGTGGTTGACTTTCCCCATGGTTTCGACGCCATTTTGCCATATCTGGAGGCTGTGAGAAAACGCCAGCTGGCTTGTTGACTACTAAATAAGCTTTACGTACGTCCAAGATTCCTAAAGCTGATCCTTTGCTCATTTATATAGCTGTCGATTCTAGATCTTTACCTCGATTGTTGATCTTCAACGGTGTATAAGATAATTTCAATGGCGTTCTTAAATTCACTAATTCTGATCAACACTTTCCGATAGTGCCAAAACCATAAAAAAGTTCACAAAAGTCCTGAATACGGCTATTTTGAAGAACTGGAAGCATATAAAAGCTTCAAGGAGTGCAGGTAAGGTATCATAAGCGCGAAAACTGGTTCAAAACGAAGCAAATCGGTTGATTTCGAAGACAGAACGGTTCTCGAGGGCGGCTAAACTGATTGATGACTACGTTTCCTGGAGATGACACAAACATTCCTAAGCGTTTGAGTGAGTGCTTAGAGTTTCAACCGCTGAACTACTTGATTCCCAAAGGTGGGCTTTGTGACCTCATGAGATCGTCGCTACGCGTCAAACCTCATTACGACAATATCGCGTTTGGCGAAGGGTGTACCACTGAGATTTCCCAAAAAAACGAATTGAGACCTGGTGTTCCGTTCGAATTGAAAAACGGTCTCAATCTGCATTTCAGGGAGATTGGTATTACAGACGGTAGCGCGGAAAGTGTGTCGAAAGACCTTTTCGAGGGTTTATCCGAAAAGGCGCGACTTTTTTTGAATACAGCGTGTCTCGAGGCATGCGGCAAAAGGCCACATTCCAGTGATGAAGAAGAATCCTCAAACCAACTGGGAGAGCACAAGGGTGTTGTAGACGCTGATTTTTCCAATGTGGAACTCAGGACCTCAGCCAAGAAAAGTAGAATCTCGCCTGAACCTGTCGTAGTTGATCAACATGTATTGTACGAGCAGTACGTTAAGGAGCTCAACGACATTATTGCGGCTTTGGATAAGGCCAACAATCTTGATACTACTGATGACTATGTGTGTTGGGCGCAATTGGATCAAGGCCGAACGCTCTCTGACGCATGCCTTGAGAGAATCGAGATCATCATGAAAAATATTTCGAAAACAGACAGCTTCAACCAAAATTTTGACTCTCGAACCCTGAGTACACTTTTGAGAGCATGTTCCGAAAGTCTTGAAACCATTTTGAAGGCTGAGGATTTCGCCTCCCTCACAACAGTTGCCTTCAGAAGTCTATCCATCATTTTGACCATTTTTCTACTAGACCTGGATGACAAGCGTCTATACCTTGAACGGTACCTTGTGTCAACCATTTCTTTCCTGCAAAGGGTAAACGAAGAGTTAAGTGAGGGCTCCACGAGCACTGTTGCGACAGCTGATAACTGCTTGCAGCTGAAATCCTCACTTTGCCTGCTTTCACTTTACGTAGAAAAGAAATCGCTTCAAGAAGAAGAGTTGATTACCAAGTTGGTTTATCTTCTCTGTGACTTGCTCACTTTCAGTCCTGTTCAGGTTCAAGGAATGGCTAAATTGTCGACATGGCTAGAGAGCTTGAAGAGGGAAAGCTCAGCGGGACTCATATCACTGTTCAGAAAACTGCCCACCCAGCGGCACTTCATAGTAGACGAGATGCTATTCAGACTCGACACCCTCCCGACCAACAGAATTCACAAAAAGCTTCAGAAGATTGATACTTCTGTCTACGCTACCCATTTGTTCGCAACCTTAACGAGCATGCTTCAATGTATCAATTCTATCAGTATTCGGCCTAAACAGAGTAACATAACAGAGGATATGATTGCCGAGTTCCAGAAAAACTACAAAGATCAGCAGTTGCAACTGGCGTCACTCATTGATCATATCAACCGTTCTGTAATCAACAGAACCTTCGTGACAAACAGTACTAAAAAGTTTATCTTGGATAACTACGTACAAGATCTGGTCTCAATGGTTCTTTATCCTCGTTGGAGCGTGGCCGAAAATATACTGGCCTCTTTATTGAGAATGATGCTCCTGGTATTCAGTCCTTCCAATCAAAACTCTTCGATCAAAGGAGCAACAATCCTTCAAGTAGTTACCGGAATCGGTAGCGCTCTGCAGGAGATAAGACTTAAAGGTAGATCTACTGGCAAGCTCTCGTTGGCAGAAATACACGAACGCCCAAAGCTATTGGATACCGTTCTTTTGCATTTCGAAATTTGCATGTCATCGTTCCCATCCGATAGTAGAGAGGCAGGTACTCTTTGGGACAGGAAGATGAATTTCCTACTTGCGCTATCTGAGGTAGAAGAAGAAGGGTCTATATTGGCAAATATGACGAATGAAGCCACTGTCGCTGCTCTTCGTGACAATACAAACAGTGACCGAAATGGTCAGCCACCAATTAATGTCGAAGACTTGGACGTCCATTATTTTGCAATTCTTCAGGCGTCGGAACTGGTTAATTTGTTCGATCCTTACATCAAGCTCGTTTTATCCCTCTTGGACAAACAAAAGACGAAGGTCATGTCAGCGGCAATCAAATGCCTTAGCCCGCTAATAGCGAGAGATCCAGAATTACTTGCAGTCCCCTCTGTGAGAAGCGTCCTCGAGCAAAAATTGAAAGATTCGTCGGCCTCAGTAAAAAGCGCGATTTTGGACCTCATTGGTTCAATTCATTTTTCCAAGTACTATCGTTTGATAAATGTCAACTTCAATGACGAGAGCACACTTATTCGGAAGCAAGTTTTGAATCTCAATTTGAAGATATATGACAGCTCGAATGATGTTGACGTCAAAGCGTTTGTAGCCAACAGAATTTTGAGAAGAGCAGAAGATGAGGAGGAGGCTATAGTTGAGAAAGCTAGAATATCCCTACTGGAACGCTGGTTTTTGCCTCAAGAACAGCAGTCACCAGGTACCAAAAATGACATCGGATTCTTGGATGAAGTAGTGCAGATAATCTCGGCTCTCGTTGGCGCAGACGAGGGCTCCCAGTCGTTTGATATTTTCTTGAATGACTACGTTCTTAACAAAGACCTTCACGAAACGCAGCGTTTTGAAACAATTCTAAAAAACACACGGCTCATTACATGCCGACTTGTTGACAGCGCCATAGAGTGTCACTACGGCAACGAGAAAAGGTTGCATGCGCATGCGCTAAACATCTTCCATTTACTCTCAATTGTAGCGGCTTGCGATCGTCCTTTTATCACCAAGGATCACGTCACAACTCTTTACCCCTACCTGCTTTCCTCCGAAAGATCTCAACTTCAGTTTTATATTCTGAAAGTTTTCAACAGCAGCTTTTCGAAGCTCTCATATTTCAAGTCTGGGTTTCTAATAGAGCTAGAGTCTGTCATTTTAGGACGCCTTCCGAAAATGAGCGTGGCAGAAATGGAGGAGGCGATACCTTTATGCTGGTCAATTTCTTTTCATAGAAAAGATCATACAAGAGTGTCTCAGGCATGCTCATCTTGTCTTGCTTTGTTGTCTCCATACATCAATTCGTTGCGTAAGAGCCCGGCCTCAGTCAAAGCCGATGGAAAGCTACAGCGGCTACTGTATCTGGCGGCTGGGTTTGCGAGGTTTTGCAACTTTACAAATACACCTGACAACTTTCCGCATTTGAAAACCAGAGAGCCAATTTTTGAATATGTCACCAAATGCTTACTTGCATTCAGCATGCGCGAGGCCGCTCCTGACTTGAGAAAAAATGCGCTTCGAAATCTTCTGAAAGTGGGTGCGACATATCCCAAGCTGTTCAACTCCGCCAAAGTTCTAACTGTTATAGATGAGGAACTTGCTATCAAGAATCTTGAGACGAGCTTGATAATTATTCAATGCCTTTGCGACTTCTTCGTCAACGAGGAAAGGAAGAGCTTGAACCTTACGCGACCTGTAAGGTACTCGACTTTAAAGTACCAGAGAGGTAAATCGTTTGATGCTGACGCGTCTAGCGATGCGATTTCCGCAGCCGTGGCGACTCGGTACCTAAAGGTCGTCCTTGAGACCTCTCTTCTTGAAGAAAAGTACGATTCCTGCGTTAGCTTGAGATATATCGAGCTTGTCATCGAATTTGGGTATTCTAATCCGGCAAAGTGTATGCCCGCTGTCATGGCACTGTCAGGATCGCCTCACGAGAATACCAGAAAGCTAGCTTTGACTATAATGGACAGCGCATTCGCGAAAAATACCAGTATGCTGTTCAGTAATCTGAGTAGTGGAATCAAATGTGCTGTCGATCACGGAAAATGGCTTCAAGACAAAAGGCTATCGGCTGAGCCTTTGTTCTTGTCTACAACCCAGAAAGCTCTACTCAACGTGGGCATGAAACACACTAAGCTTTTTAATGCTTTGAAAAAGGTTCTGACGTCCTACCTGATGAGATCTAAGGGCGTGTTCTCGAAGGATCACGTAATAATCTTTTGCTCTAACTTGGCGGTCGTCACATTTGAAAGCTTGCTTGACGTGTCTAATTTGATAAGGTTTCTAGATGTGAAAGCCGAAGAGGTTTCGGGACTTGTTGAACGACATAGAGGCAAAGAAGGTCCCACATTCAAATCTTATGTCTCTGACCTGGTAGTGGCTCGTGAATGTCTTTTGGATCTTCGAAGATATTTCTGTCGAAAATTCGGCATCACCGATGAAAACGTTTCAGTAGTGGGCACATATGAGGAGGAAGAATTAAAAGCCAAAGCTGCGGAGCCAAAAAATTCCGATATTGAATTTGTGTTTCCGCCTTTGGGTTTCGACGAGAAAAAGGTACGTAACCAGACTTCTTCATACGATAGTTAAAACGATAACGGCGTTGAGTGCATGTAATGTCAAGATTGTGTTTTTTGTTTACGAGTCTTTTTGACTTGTTTTGGGGAATTAAGAGACACGACTGTGGGTCCTTTTATCTCATCGAAGGTCCTTTTTTCGGGACTTTTGTCGACGTCGTTTCCGTTGTAATCGGCATGAGGCGGACTGTGAATGCGCCTTGACGTGTATGTCTGTGTTGGAAATTGCTCACAAGATTCGAATTGAATGGGCAGCGACTCCGACTTTCGCGACCACACCTCTTTTTCGGCTTTGGTGCATTTAACGATGTAAGCAGATTGTAGAGGCTCTGCGATTATAGCGAAATTATAGTGACTGGAAGCACTTTTGCGGAGTTGAATTACCACTGACCCACCAAATTTCTTCTCTTTCAAGCGCTTTCTGTGGGCCTTTATTTCTGCAATGGTCATTGATTCTTCTTCGTCATCCGAACAGAGATTGGTGTCACCGTACCCGAACGGTGGTCGTCTATAATGGTTAATACGGGCATTGGGGAGCTCCGTAGAAGTACGAGAACGTGCATATGTGTTTTTCGCATTTCCTAACCTACCGTTACGCCCCATAAAAGTTACTCGATTTTTGAAGTCGCTAAAATTGGCCAACATGTTGTTGATGGCATCCTGTGTTAGCCTTCGTTTGCAGGAAATTTCCTCGAAATCTCCAGAATTGCGAATCTTGGTCGTATGCAACAGGGTTTTGAGCCAGTTTTGCGACTCAAGACCTTCCAGAATGCCTCTCAGCCGTTCTGCCTCCGTTTCACTTTGAACTTTGTCCTGGTTGACCATCCGAACTTCCTGTCTCTGCATTTTCCGGTGGTACGAGGTGTACAGTTCATCTGAGAGTGGATCTGCTAGAACACCTTCTATATCACCGTTTGGCCACTTTCCCTCGCTTTCGTCAACCTCATCATCCTCTTCCAACGGATGCTTTTCCATCACCAATTCTTCCATCTTCTGCAATTCCTGCTTCTTGCGTTCTACCTCATCGCTATTGACCCAATCATGTACCTTTTCTGTTTCGCCAGTAAGGCGAGACACCACCGTGAGTCGTCCGCTCGCTGGAATACCGTTTTCGTCGTTGTCAAAGTCAAAGAGTCCATCGCTACTGGTGTTCGAGGGTGATGTCGATCTAAGCTTGCGTTCAGGCCGGCGTGTCATCAATTGAATGCGGGCATTGACTGTTGGCTCGTTAGCGCTCGGTAACTGAGGAATGGGCCCAAGGTTTATCCAAGCTACTAGAAAATGGCGTCCGTTACTGGATCGATCTATCTCTCTCTATCTGATCTAGTTCATTCTTATTCATCAAATCAAAGCTTAATCTACAATTTTTGATCGGATTGGAAACATTCAAACTGGAAACAAATGGGAAACAAACTGGAAACAAAAGTCATAAATTGAGATATTGCAGAGGTAAAGGCTAAGATAGAGAAGATCGCTTGAAATAAGAGCGCAACGAGGTGACCAGCAGGACAAGTTTGCGTTCCGGGGCTCATTTCAGAAAACTGCCAGCATATAGGACGAGATATGTCTTATCGAAGACGAGAACCAGATGAGAATTGGCATTTGAATAATGCATCTGAAGTAAAGAAACATGACACTCTAAGGCCTAAAATAACGAGGACATCTTTCGTAGAGGTGAATTCTAAGTGGCAATTGCTGCGACAAATGGTAGCGTGGCGGTATTTGGTATCATGGCTGTGCTTTTGGGTATGTCTCGTGCAGTATTACGAAAATACGGTGGTGAAACGTGCAATGGGGAAATGCCAATGGTCAAGCTGGGAAGCCTGGCCACAATCGGCCACGCCGCACCATATGGCCGTGTTGGCTGATCCGCAGATCATGGATGCACATTCGTACCCGGGAAGACCATGGATAGTAAATTTCTTCACACAGAAAATTGTTGACAACTATCACGTCCGCAACTGGAAGTATCTGCACCATACTTTGGACCCAGACTCCACATTTTTCCTGGGCGATCTGTTTGATGGTGGTAGGTACTGGGAAGATTCGGCCTGGATTGCAGAATATTCGCGTTTCAATCGCATTTTCCCGAAAAAGCCAAATAGGCTAGCTGTAATGTCACTTCCTGGCAATCACGATATCGGATTCGGAGACACAATCATGGAGGAAAGTCTGTCGCGATTCAAAGCCTATTTTGGAGAAACCTCCAGTAAGTGGGATGTCGGCAACCACACCATTGTGCTATTAGACACCATTTCACTGTCCGACACGCAGAACGAAAAAGTTTCTGCAGCACCTCGCAGCTTTCTCGATTTAGTGGCTCAAAGTCCCAAATCAAGTCCAAGGATTTTATTGACCCACGTTCCCTTGTGGAGAGACCCAGATGTCCAGACATGCGGGCCGGAACGTGAATCACCAAAGCCGTTTCCAGTCATGAAGGGTGTGCAATATCAGACGCTCATCGAATCCGATTTAAGCCAAGAAGTGCTACAGAAAATTGGGCCTTCGTTAGTTTTATCAGGCGACGATCATGACTACTGCCACGTCAAACACACATATTCATCCAAAGGAGACACTGAAACAGCTGAAGAAATCACGGTCAAGTCGTGCGCTATGAATATGGGTATTTCGAGACCTGCGCTACAGTTGTTATCATTATACAATCCACAACAGTCACCATACGCAGATGACACCTACCGCACTAACATTTGTTACCTGCCCGACCCCTTCAAGGCCTTGCAGATGTATGTTTGCGCCTATATTTTGACACTACTGTTTATTGGTTGGATGTCGGTAGCTCCCAAGTCTTTCAAAAAGGTGCTAGGCTTTAAATTAAGGAAGAAGACAAAAGATGGCATGTTGGTTTTACCCTTAGCATCAAAAAAGGGGTCTGTTCCTATTAATGACCTCTCTGATATGTCTAACTTGAGCGCTGTTGGTAAGACTCAGAATTTTATCGTTAATGCTTCTGTCATGAGTCTAATGCTTATGCTTGTGTTTACGTTTCAATATACAAAGGCTTAAGAAAGGCCTATTTTGCTCACAAAGCTGTTTTGATTGAGATCATCCCGTTTTTCCACATAAGCAGAAATGATCCTTCGATCTAGCGTTGCTAGATGGCCCTCATCCGTCAGGGAATTCAATTCCTCGGGTTGCACTGTGAAAAGATTTGCCAGCTCTCTCAATGTCGCAAAGTCATCAATAAGTCCACCAACCGACCATTCCTCCACAGCTGTTTGAATACCGATGATATCTTTTGTGAGAATAATGCCCCCCACGGAACTCACCTGAAACTTTTTGTAATGATCGAAAAGTAGGCGCGAAAGACTGCTACCGATTTGCTGTAGAAAACTTTGCAAATTTTCGTTCTTCAAGTACAAACGAACCTGTGAAAATAGTGTGTTGAGATCTCTTACTATCTCAGAGGCAGGAAGTGTATCGTGGTCGAGTATGTCCTGTGTTTTGGGCAGAAAATCTCGTTTTTTCTGTTTAGCTAACGACCCCAAGAATCTCTGTGCGAACGCAAGTACAGTCTCGTCTATAACAATGTTCATAAGCAGTTCACACCTTTTGAGATGGTGATTTGATATCATTATGACCGCTTTTTTAACCTCTGGTGCATTGACAAACAGTGGTAACACCACAGTCTTTATCGTAGCAGATATAAGACTCAGCATCTCGGAAGCCCTTGAGATGTAGTTGAGATATGACAAATTCAGCTCTGGATTTTTGGGTAGGTCCTGTTCTGTCATTTGTGAAAATGATACCTCCAACCCGCACTCCACGTATGAGTTAACTGTCCCCACCAACAACACTTCGACGATTTCGTAAGTGTACTCATTTGCTTTACTAGGAACCAGTTCCATTATGCGTGCCACAGATTCGATAGCGCACTTCAGCATACCGTCTATACTCTGTAAGGAAAATTCTTGACTGGTTGGGACTCCGTCAAAGCTATTCGACGTCCTTCCTATGTAGTCAGAGGTCAACAAATTGTCTGCACCATTGAGTTTCCTCTTCTCTCGCTCCAAATGGCTTTTCAAAAAGTTGTTAATCTGTGAAAGCTTGCCGCTCGAAGTTGGGCCCGATTCTTGGAATGCAATGTCATTAGCGAACGAAGAGCCATTCATGAGTTTTGTGCTCAAGGCTCTTGCGTAAATTTCCTTTTCATGAGCCAAACAAAATTTCGAGGTCTTTTGAGCTAATGCAAGTTCCAAACTCCGTTTCTCCAGGTCAAAGTACTTGGTTCTGTCGTATATTGTCTTGGAGAAGAGATCGTTAAAAGAGCGCTCAAGAGCAGAAGTCAAATCTGCACTGTCTTCAATGTCTCCTAGTTGGAAAAACTCCGATAGATCCTTGACAAATTGGTTGAGCAATGAAAATAGACCATGTAGCATCCTAACATAAGCCAAGCCAGAAAGCGATAGTGCGGCATTGAGTCGTGCTTCGATACGCGGTTCGATTTTTTGCAAGAAGATCTTTTGAATTAGTAACTGTAATACAAATGCACATCTGCTTTCGAAAACCCGTCCTACCACTTTCGACTCGTTTTTGACCAGGGTTTCTATTTCATCCAAAATGCGTACCATGCTTGACTCGTAAGAGATGGCGTGATGGTTCAAGTCTGTCAGACTATTCTTAAAAGACTCGTTGAATGCAAAATCGTCTTGATCAACCCCCATGAAGTATTCGTGCTGGTTAACGAAACTTTGAATCACATTTAAGCCATTGTTATAGCGGTTGAGAAGAATGGCAATTTCTGTCAACTGATCAAAGTCGTTTTCACGGTAGGCAGTGTTGAACTCCGTTAGAAATTCAGTTTCTAACTTTTGGGCATACTGCTCGATTAAAGCCGTAGTTTCGATTGTTTTTGGCACTGATTTCGTTTCCACTTTCCTGGTAAGAATCAGCAAGTTTTTCACCAAAATTGAGGCTCTAGCCCTGGATTTCCAGTTTTTGGATGTCCTAAGTGCCTCCAACTCTGAGGAGACTCCATCGGTGTGGAATGCTGAATAGTACGAGATTAGCTCAACGGACTTGGCGTACATGTTTTTCCGTTTGATCGATTTCTCGAGTTTCTCACCCAAGGGGGATACCACCTGTGTAACATTTGTGAGCTCGTTGTCTAGAACACTGCTGTCTTTGACGATCGTCTCGAGATTACTTCTAAGTTGCAGAACTTTTTGAGCATGCAATAGTTCATATTTCGCCACTCCTTGTTCCAATTGACCTTTTCTGCTTTCCGCATCTGTGTTGAGCTTCTGTAGCTCTTTCACCGTCGATTCAAACGTCCTTATATATGGTTTGGGATTCAAATGTTCCCATGTTCCGGTATGTGCAGCTCCATCCTTCAACGAGTTTTCGTTGCTGATCTCTTCGACAAACTCGTGGACGGTCAAACCATTCAAAAAGTTATCCAGGTTCAGAAGCTTCCTCCACCTGGCGTCCAGCTCATAAAGCGAGTTCATTCGGCTACGATCTCAATGTACTTTAGCGATATGAATCAAGGTTCTGGTTTAGATGTGATAATATTATTTAAACAATATATGGAGCTCAAGTTCTTGATTTGACCACTGCCATAAGACAGGAGCGAATACGACGCTGTAATAGGCCTGATGAGCAAACTAGACCGTTACGAAAATCGGCTCGTTACCAATGCTGCCAATGGTAGTTCAGGTCTTGAAAAGAGGCAAGATGTGAGTGAAGATGATCCCAACGACAGCGATGCATCGCTCGATGAGATTTTGGAAGAGTTGGACTACAACGATGACAACGAGTTTCTACAACAGTATCGTGAGCAAAGACTGCAACAGATAGCAACAGAAATGCGTAAGATCAAAGATAACGTTGAGACCGAGCATTACGGTCAATTGATTACAGTAGATGACGAAAATGAAGTTATGAAGCTTACAACCAACACAGATCAAGTGGTGATTCATTTTGGGCTGGAGAATTTCCGCAAGTGTAATGTGATGGACTCTAAACTATCGCAGCTTGCATCAAAACACCTTTTGACCAAATTTTTGCGTGTGAGTGTGGATAAATGTCCATTTTTGGTCGCTAAACTACAGGTGCAGGTGCTGCCGTTTGTCGTGGCATACAAGAAAGGTGTGGAGAGAGTCAGAATAGTGGGGTTTTCGAGACTTGGAAATCAGCCGGACGATTTCGACGTGTCTGTATTGGAAAAAGTGCTATTTGACGCGGGCGTTTTGGCCAAAAGAGCTGGGGCCGGGAGTGGACACCAGGGCGGCTCAAAGTGGAACGATTCAGAGGATAATGGGTCGGATTTAGACATTTGAGATGGGGTCGGAAGCTGGATGTGTGTAGTGGATCGAATCATGTCCCACGAGCGTCCAGGCTCATCAACACCGCTAGTTGCAGCAGTCAATGACGCCAAAGTTTGAGACTGGCAATAGCAATAGTTCAAAAAGCGTTTTGAATTGTCGACAACCTGTTCAACGGTATATCTACAGTCTGCGGAATGGTCACAAACCGTGGCACGTGACCCGAAATTGACAGGAATTTCTCACTGCACGCTGTCGCCTCAGAAAATGACGTGGGTTTCGATATCGTCGATTCAATATATCCAGGTCAAAAGACAGTAAAGGCGGACAACCTACAAACAATGCTTCACAACTAAGAATAAAACCAAACATCTTTCGTTGCTTAAAACGTTCTTTCTGTCACTGTGTGTTTCTCATCATCACGTAATGCTCAACTTGATCACGTGATCACAAACACCCGGACACCCAAAGTTTTTCACCCACGCAATTTGTTCGATTTCTTTCTTTTCTCATCGTCTGAAAAATTTCAGTATAAAAGCCCAGCGTCAAATCCCAAACGCTCTCCTCTCATCACCACTTTTTTCTCTCGTTTCTAAAGAAATCAGTCAACTTGGTCTGAAAGAAGCACTATCACTAGTTTGCCGACAAGCCAAGATGCAAATTTTCGTCAAGACCCTAACCGGTAAGACGATCACCCTTGAGGTGGAGTCTTCTGACACCATCGACAATGTCAAGTCCAAGATTCAGGACAAGGAAGGTATTCCTCCTGACCAACAGAGATTGATCTTTGCTGGTAAGCAGTTGGAAGACGGCAGAACTTTGTCGGACTACAACATCCAGAAGGAATCCACCTTGCACTTGGTGCTAAGATTGAGAGGTGGTGGTAAGAAGAGAAAGAAGAAGGTCTACACCACCCCAAAGAAGATCAAGCACAAGCACAAGAAGGTCAAGCTTGCTGTCTTGAACTACTTCAAGGTTGACTCCGAAGGTAAGGTCACCAAGTTGAGAAGAGAGTGTCCTAACTGTGGTGCTGGTGTCTTCTTGGCCAACCACAAGGACAGACACTACTGTGGTAAGTGTCACTCCACTTTCAGAATCAAGGCCTAAGTTCGGCGTATATAACTTTTCCTCGTTTTTCCACTAGGATAGCGTAGGTGAGTAAATATTGTTGTAATTGAATCGACCTTTGAATCTACTTTGCTAGTGTAGTGTGTCTTCTGTCAGAGCAGAGAACCGTCTGCCATATACTCAAAATGAGCTAGTTGACTTGGTTTCTTGATAATTTACAGGGTTGTTATTTTAAATGCTAATTGTTATTCATCTTATCGCGGATAGAAACGAGCTGGTTCCATGCCGATTGTTGTAATGCTCTTATTTCTCTTCTCTTGGTTTAATTTGTAATTTCAGCTTTAAACGTCCGAAATGTCCAATTTTTCGCTTTGTTCGATGACTAGTCTTCTGAGTTGCTCATTTTCATGCAAAAGGTGAGCTCTATGAATTTCACTCTGCTTCAATCTCAACAGGCTTCTTTTCAATTCCACGCTGGTCCTAGCATATCCGTCTTTAAGGAAATTGAAGTTAAGCAGGAGCTTATGCGTACTGATGATTCTCTTTTTCACGTCGGCAACTTGGGCCATTGTGAATTCTTGAGAGAACTTGACGGGCTGCTCCGTTGTGGATTTATGAATTTTTTGCGTCAAAGTCGAAATTTGCTTGGTGTTTGCAGCCGGAGTCTTCAACGAATGGGGCTGATGCTTCTTATGCTTGTATTGGGACTCAGTGTCCGAAGTAGGAGACAAACTTGCCGGAGTCAACGTTTGGTACACACCTGAAGTCTTATGCGTGTGCTCATCGGCACTGTTCCCATTGATAGGAGCGTCTTCAGTTGCTTGCTTGGTTTGTATGTTGCCCAAAGTTTGTTCTATTTCATCTTGTATTCCTCTTTTTACCCTATCCGTGACTTCCACGCCATGCAAAGTATGCTCAGCAAGAATTCTATCCACGGTCAGTTGTGCAATGCTACTACTGTGATCGCCCTCTGTGTGTCCCAAATGTTCAAAATTTCCTTCTCCATCTCCCAGAGAATCCCAGTCGCCGGGAGTATCGATCATCATTTCAGGAAGCTCCATTTCAGCAATACTCTTTTCGATAGCACTATGTATAGGATCAGAAACTTCATGGTGATCGCTAGACTCAGTCAAAAGCGCATGCAATGTCATTTCTAGCTCATCGGTATTGTTGGAAGGCTCGCCTTTGACTGAAGCGTCGAAATCAGCTCCTTCGATTTCGACATGATCCCCGTCGTAGGTATCGTTGCAAACCATGAAACGGTAAGCTATCCAAGTCTTTACGGCTAGTTCAAGGCTCTCTGATGTTTGCTCATCGCGAGCTCATCTCATCTCAATATCCAAAATTTTTCACTATTAAAGGTTAATCTAGTTACAAGTGAGAAAACACTGTGGCGCCGTAGAATAAGCGCAGGACGGGGAATCTCAAATGAGCTCAACCTGGCTCGATCCAGGTCAGTTGAGCTAGACTTCGCGCTTCATTCTGTTTCTATCGAGTAGCCTGGCGATGATGAATGTATAAATAGTTAGAAAATGATATGTACAAATGTATTTCCGCCCTGCGATTTTGCCATTTGTAGGTGAAGAGGGTGCTGCTCACCCAAGCCAAAACACAGCCACTGGTGTGTGATTTGGTCCTAGTTAGTGTACAACCCGATTTCTCCAAGCGATTTGCGTGCGTTGTAAATGATTAGATGTGATGCCCTTTCATAGGTTTTGCGACTTGCGCAACCAGTGCCAGTCTAGTCTGTCTTCTTTCAGTTTCCTTGATTGAAGGCACGTTTAATTTCTCTGGAATAATGCGAAATTAACGATGTCGATTTGAGTTCCGTTTTCTTGATGATGTTGTCAGTGGTGCTGCGAATTTCGTCCACCGTACCAGCCACTTTGGTGCTCAATTCGTCTACCAGCTTGTCGCGATGCTCCCAGTTTTCGCTCAGCACCTGCAATACAGAATCGAACCCCTGGCGTCCCTTAGAAGCATTTTCGTCAAACCTCTTTACAGACCATTCTTCGATTCGATTGCACAGAGTGCTGATCGTGGCGTACGCCGTTATCTGCGCCTCTTGCTGAAAAAGCGTCTTTTCCGGGTCCGAACCATGAGGCAGGTATTTTACCGTTTCGTATACCTTAAGCAAATGTGCACAAGTTAAATTGCAACTTTTCAACGTGAGTGTCTTGGCATTCATATCCACCACCGAAACTTCTCGCACAAAACTTCTGTTTGAGCAACCTATCAACATCGAAAGCCATTTGGGAATAGACTGTTCGCACGTTATAAGCCGTTCGCTGGTCAACTTCGTTCCACTAACATCCAGTTCTCTTCTGAGCACATCTACAGCAACGACATGCGTCGAAACTTCGTTTGGATACTTCCGCCAATTGGCAGCAGTTACTTGATCCCAAGGATAGTTGAATTCCTGAGCATTCTGGAACAGTTTCATGGCCTTTGTAGTTTAGTTTAGATGCTTTATTGTTCGAGTGTTGCAATCGGGATGAGTAACGGTTACCTTGAGCTTTTATTTCAGAGATGAGCCGAAATAGTGGTGAAAAAAAAGAAACCCGGGCGTCAGTAAAATATCCATAACAGCGAACAAATAAGTGATCGAGATTTCTAGTCTCCAGAAACTAGTTTACTAGCTTACCGGTGATTTAGAAATGCGAGAAATCTTATGCGAGGTTTTTTTCAAAACTGTGCGGTTGCGGTAGGTTCAAAAATCGCCAATCGCCAGGACCGTGTCTTTCACGAACGGACATGACGCTGACACCTCGTGGTTGACATGCCAAAGAAAGCATGTTTTGAACAGCACTAGCATGGTCAAACGGATTTGTTTCTGGCGACGTAAGGGTGTGGAAAATGGCTTTTTTGGAAGGTAGATTTTTGAGAAATTCGCGAGTCGTCTGCTGTGAAGACGTGGCAACAATGTGGAATAGCAGCAGAAGCAGCGGATAACACAGAGCCAGCGCCGAGTACACAATCAGAAGCGTGGCTACAACTGCAGAGTTGATGTGTGGAACTTTGGAGACATGGATTGCACAGGCAATAATGCATAGTATAGCACACACAACGCTGGCAGCCAAAAACGTTAGGAAATACCGGTAGTTCCGCTGACCAATGCAGTTGTTGGTCCAGATGCAATGATGGTCGTGCATCAAAATGCACGCGTCGCAGTTGGGACAGTGTGAGGCCCGAGGCGGCCGCCAGATACGGCATGTGGTGCAGTATTTCACGTCTAGTGTGCGGCCCTCCGGATGAGCACTGGGCAAGGTAATGATATTGTGGTATTCTTGCGGAATCTCGAAATTGTTGCCAACTGAGGGCACATGCAGGTTTCTGGGCAACATACCTGGATCACCAGTAGCGGTTTTGATGAAAGAAGCCATACACAGCGCCCACGAGTAGTAGAAAAGCACCACCAAAGCTCTGCAGCCTTTGCCGTATTTCCATAATGGACCAGCCTCAAACACAGAGAACAGAACCACTGGCACAAATTGCACCGCAAATGCCACAATAAAACGACTGGATAAGTCAGAAACGGTTCGCAGTCGTCCACCGAAGAAAAACACATAATTGCTGACTTTCGGCAATGCCCGGTAGTTTCTACTACCGGGAGAAGCCGTGTCAAGCGTGACAAACCAATTCAGAAAGTATTTAAACGAAAAACGGCCATTGGTTCCAATCTTTTCGTCCCCAGTTCCTTTCACACCAGGGTTGGTGTACTGGCGATGAGCCTGATGATATCCATATTCTTTCATAGAAAGTGCTACCTATCGGGATTGGAGTAAATGCTGCATCAAATTGAAAGCCACACGAAGATTTGTTCAAATACCTACAAGGGCCAGCTAGACCCGGTTGTTTGGCTACTCAACAGTTGTTTAGAAATCATCTTAACTACGTAGTTCGTTGTATTTGGCTCCATCATTGGCCATATATACGGCTGTGGAAATCATGCCACGTGAAGCAACTGAGCATACGTCGAGAAACACTGACACTGGTGGTCAGGGTCCTTAGTCTCGAATCATTCCGGTGGCAAGCATTCTTTACAGATAGTACTGAATGCCCACTATCGAGTTTGGGATTCGAAATACCAACTCCGCACCATAAATTGTATCAAATATCAAAGCTACAGTAAAATATGCATTTATATGCCAGCGTATTTCCTTTTACACTGATGAAAAACAGCGATGATCCTATTCCTGTCCCGCTTAACTACCATAGACGACAGCAGTCAGCGTGCGGAAACCCTAAATCAAGCCGACAAAACCAAAAAAAATACCCAATATTCAAACAACAATTTATCTTGCAAACCCGCCTAGAAGCCAGCCCCCATTGGATTGCATTTCGTCATCGTTATAAAGGTCAAGCGTGAATTTCGGCTTCTTGTATGTTGTCTTAGCGGGTGTCAGAGGCTTGACTGAGCCGGAACGCGACTGCGAACGTGATGTGGACTCTTCGTCTCCATATATCTGCAAATTCAGCGGTTTTAGCGAAGGTGACTCAGAAGTAGCATTACCATTGGCGTCCACAAGCGTCGATATGGAATCTGGATTCGATTTAGCATCTTCATCGGACGTTTGTTCGTTCGCCCTCACACTCCCAAACATCATCCGATCCTCGTCATCTAAAACCTTCGCGTTAATTGGTATCGGCTTATTCGCTCTGAAATTCAAGGCAAATCGATTCATGTCGTGCGGTGCTAGAGGACTTACCGTGAAATGCTGAGGCGATGGCTTGTTTGCGAGTTGCGACGAAGACCCCAAGGATCCTTCTTCCTCGCCGGCACTATAATCACCAGGTGTGCTCAAAAGTTTCGAAAATGTACCAGGCAAAATGCTAAGATTACTCAAAGACGTGTTAGAGCTGCTATTGCTGGAAGATGGAGATGAAAGTCTCGAAAAAAATTCCGGTGGAATAAGCCCAACACTAACGTTCGTTGCCGACTTTGGGCGGGGCAAGCGCCGGCCACGCCTTGGAACCGTCGAAATAGGTTCCTCCCCAAAATGGCCGTCGTGGACGTATATATTAGAACACCCCTGATGCAGCCGATTGGCGTTGGGAGAGCTCATTTCGTCCTCAGCAAACTCCATTGTTGGAGGATTGCGGCTTCTTGACCCTTGTTGCCCAGGAAAGTCGTGTGACAATGATTCAGTCTGTGTGAAAGGTGCTTGTAAAGCTGGATCCATCAAACTTAATGATCTAAACCTGCGAGCGGTAGATTCGGCTTCAGGAGACTTTGCGGTTGTGAAATCCGTTTCCGATCCACAGCGCGATAGCCTGCTCGGCACCGAAAAGCTCAGACCGTCGTCGTCTTCGTCCTCCTCTTCATCTTCATCTTCATCTTCGTCGTCGTCATCTTCAGATTCTTCTTCGCGCTCAAACGGTTGCAGTTCTTCACTACTTTTCTCCGGGCTCATGCTCTCCCTAGCTAGGTCAAAAACGTTAGAAGAGCGGGATCTTGCTGCACGAGGATTGGACAGAGTATATGGTGAAGTTCTTATTTTGACAGCCTTATCCTTGTTTGATGTCAGCAAAGAGTTCTGGAAGTTCAGAAGTGAAGAAGAATCTCGTTTCAAAGGTGTCTCTTCATCTTCACTGTCTGTGGGTTCAGCGTCTTGTGCTTTCGATGTCTTTTCCTGTAGAGGATTACTATGCAGTGTTTTCAAAGAATCGTTTGAGAGATAACTGGTCAGGGGCTTGTCCGATAAAATGGTTAGCAGAGCCTTTACACCAGTGCTGTTGGTCACAACAATGATGGAATCCAGAGTTTTACCACTTTCCGTTGGTCCAGCTTTAATGGAGACTGAGTGTTTTTGGGTATTGAATTTCTCTGTGAGTTTGGTATAGTACTCTTTAAACGGTGTAGTAGACGATGTGATCATATTGTAGTTGCCGATGACCTCGAACTCAACATTGGCGCCTGCCAGCAGTTCCTTGCTGAGAAAAGTCTTAAACCAGATAAGAGAGGTTGGAGAAACTTGGATTTTGAACACGGCGTGAACAAATCGAGATATTGGCTTATGCGTTTGTATGCGATGCCAGCACGATTCTACGAGGAATTTGATCGTTTCAACGTACCGGAGTGCACCACTGGACGATATGGACAGCGTGACGGTCACGGGCCAATCGGACGAAGAGCGTTGCAGCAGTGAGTCCCAAACGGAATCGTCAAAATCCGTGATACTGGCGAAAATTCGTTCCCTCAATTTATGGATTTTGAATTTCTTGTTGATCTTGGAGAACCGATTATGCGTGAGCTGGTCGTTGTAGTAGTCAATCGTCGGTATGTCAATGTACAATGACACATTAAATTTTTGAAAAGACGGCAGAACAATTGGTAACCTTGAAGCGTTGGCATCTGTGTACGAAATCAAAAATAGCGAGTTTTCACGGTTTACTTTCACTTTTGGTTGCAGTTCCAAGCCTTGCGGGGTGTGATCAAGCGCTTTGGCCATCAAAACCTGTGATGCCAGACTTTTTCCATTGTTCGGTTGTTTCATGGTATGTGGTATTTGTTATATGTCATAAAGTCGAAAGGAATGGCTGAAGAGGACTGTAATTTCCGACAAATATGTCAGCTTTGAGCACCACACACAGCAGCTGGTTTTAAAGGTACTATGACAAGCCTAGGAGGCACTTTTCTTGAAAAATTCGATAGTGTCAGAAACTGATGATCTGAGGCTTAATATGATTGATAATATCAAGTGCTAAAATTTTGAATTATTACAGAGTAAACGACAGTGAAATAAGAATCAAGTAGTGAGGAGAGGAGTTGGTAGACGGATGATACTGGAAAGGAGACAAGCGTGTGAAAAATTGAAACATTGTTATGGAGAATTGAGATGATCACATTCTTGAAGCTTAAAGATGGTATTGTAGGCTTGAAAAAGAAGTATCGTTATGAACGAAATCAGTTGAAATAACCTATGGTATCTACCGTTTCCCTCGTTTTAGGAGGGGTCTGAATTTCAAATAATGAGTTTCCAGAAATTGCGTATTTTTGGGCATTTTTTGTTTTGGTGCTGCATCGATTATTGTCCTTGAAGTCCGCTTTTCGGAATTGTTCGAAAATTCGAGCTGATTCCCGAGAAGTCAAGTTGTCAACACAAGGACATTAGAATTCCAAAAGAATCAAGATAACTGGTATCGATTCGTTTTCCATTGAAGTTCCATTTTCTGAGCCTTTTTGACTGACACTGACGACTCTATATAGTTTCTGGAAGAATCGCGACAGATTAAATATAAAGTGATACAGAAGGAGTTCTTGAAGAAATGATCCGATTTAGTAAAAAACGAATGAGTAAGATACCGAGCATCATACCCGCTGTAATCAGCGCTTAAGCAGTCGATTGAAGAAGTCTGTGGTCTTGATTTAGTAGCAGAAGGGCCATTTTTTTCAGAATGAAGAGCCAAAACAACATGATGTCACATTAGTACAAAGTGATATATCCCGTTTACGAGCGTCTTTGAATACAGACTCAGGAATACACACTCAATGTCAATACAACATCCCATGAACACGGTTCAACTACAAAATTCAACTCTGCTGGACCACTCTTACTTATCAAAAACTACCAGAAATTTGAGTTTCCAGACTGGGTCACGTGACGCCTATTAATGATACCAGTTATCACTTACTTATCGATAGCGGACGAACCCATCAACCTGTTTTGTTACTAGTTGTTCTCAAGTTCTGAATGTAATTACAGAGGAATCTCATACATTTACCATACGCTCGACTACAAATGCAAACGAATATTGCTCCACCCGGTTTAACTGACTCGGATTTCCAAACTTTGAAAACCAGCGCTTTAAGGGCGCGTGAACTTTCGTACAGTCCGTATTCCAAATTTCGAGTTGGATGCAGCATAATGACAGAATCCAAAACATGCTTTTTGGGTGCAAACGTTGAGAATGCAAGCTATGGTGCTGGTATATGTGCAGAGCGAACGGCCATCGTCAAAGCCGTTACAAGTGGCCATGCCAACGACTGGATATGTCTGGCAATCAGCGGTGATGCGTTTGACACCTGTATTTCACCGTGTGGAATCTGCAGACAAGCGATTCGCGAGTTTGCAAGTCTCAAACTGCCAATTGTGATGCTCAACGGGGATGGTTCCAAGTGCATTGTCAGAACGCTCCAAGAGCTGTTACCAATGAGTTTTGGGCCAGAGGACCTTGAAAAGCAGTAAAAAGAAGCGAGTGTAGTTTGTCGTGAATAGCAACAACGCTGGATACCACATCAACTCATCCAGAGACCCTGAAGAAAGCGAAATGCCCCATACAAATATCATTTTTATGGGTTTTTGAAGCGCACGCAGTTGGGCCAAATCTCACCAAAACGAAACATTAATATCTGTTAATGCAACCGATTACGCATCACAATAACCACAGCTTTATAAACCGTTTAAGTTCACTCATTATAGCCGTTTTCTTCGAGCGATGAGATGAGGACCCTAGCGATAAGCTTTTTCAAGAAATTATTACCAAGTATTAACAAAATTTTTTACTCCGGTCAGCCAAGATCAAAGAAAAACCCAATCACAACTGCTCGTTCTGTTGCTCTAGAGATGTCCGACAGTGTTCGTGTGTGTTCAGATTTACAGTGTGGATCAGAAACTACCTCTGGGCTCAAATGCCCCATTTGCTTGAAGCAAGGCATCGATCAGCCGTTCTGCGATGAGGGCTGCTATAAAAACAGCTACAAGGCTCATAAGTCACTCCACTGGAAAGATGACAAACCAAATTCGTACGATCCGTTCCCCAAGTTCAAGTACACGGGTGACCTGAGAGCCGCATACCCTCTTACGCCCAAAAGAGTGGTTCCCAAGGGAATCGATGTGCCAGAATGGGCTGAAGATGGGCTTCCTCGTCTAGAACAGCGTAACGATGCCACCAACAAGATCATAATCTACTCGAAGGAAGAGATCAAGCGAATCCGTAAGGCTTGTATGCTTGCCAGAGAGGTTCTCGATATGACCGCTGCAGCCGTGAAACCCGGCGTGACAACCGATGAGCTTGATCGCATCGCACACGAGGAAACCGTGAAAAGACAATCGTATCCGTCGCCTTTGAACTACTACAACTTCCCCAAATCTTTGTGCACGTCCGTGAACGAAATCGTGTGCCACGGGGTTCCGGATCAAACCGTGTTGAAAGAAGGCGACATTGTAAATCTGGATGTGTCGTTGTTTTGGAACGGCGTGCACGCGGATCTCAACGAGACCTACTACGTGGGCGACAACATATCGAAAGAGGCGATCAACACGGTCGAGACGTCAAGAGAGTGTTTGAAGGCTGCCATCAAGCAGTGCAAGCCCGGCACCACGTTCCAGGAGCTGGGTGATCACATTGAGAAGCACGCCAAGGAAAACAAATGCTCTGTGGTCAGAACCTACTGCGGCCACGGTGTGGGCCGATTCTTCCACTGTGCGCCCAGCATTCCGCACTACGCCGGAAATCGAACCTCAGGCGTTATGCAGCCTGGAATGATCTTCACTGTCGAGCCCATGATCAATGAAGGTTCTTGGCAGGACGTCACGTGGCCCGACGACTGGACCTCTTCTACTAAAGACGGTAAGTTAAGTGCACAATTCGAGCACACTTTGCTTGTGACAGAACACGGTGTGGAAATTTTGACCGCCAGAAACAAGAAATCGCCCGGTGGACCCAGACCCCGGAGAAAGTGATAATAAAAGCAAAAACCATCACATCATGACAAACACACAGTTGCGTAGAAAGGGGTTCCCACTATACCCCCCTGAACATACTGCTATACTCGGATCATAAGAACACGTCTCCTCTTATGCCATCCCATCCTCATCGACATTTATCCAGCAGCATCACTTTGTACTAATCCGTCATTTTTTTAATCTCGGTTTAAAACCAACATATAGAAAGTAATTACACCAATAAACATACACGCACAGATACTGAAAGACACACAATCAACTGAGTATGTACCACGCAATCTCGGTAGTCTCACATCCCTACAATATCGAACAAACCGTGAAATATTGCAATAAACAAACCACATCACGTGATCCAAAACTGATCCATCACTTTTTAGTTTCCCGTCGCCAGAGTATCCGGGTAACGAAGTGGCGAATCTGAAAAATTTCCATAACAAGCAGAATCACATCTAACTCAACCAACGATCAACGTTTCTTGTAAGAGCCCAAATCGGCCCTCAATTGACTGGTTTTGACCGTTTGCGATGTCCTTACAATTGCTCAACCCCAAGGCAGAATCGTTGAGGAGAGATGCGGCTTTAAAAGTCAACGTTACGTCTGCGGAAGGCCTCCAGTCGGTGCTGGAAACCAACCTGGGCCCTAAGGGAACTCTTAAGATGTTGGTGGACAGTGCAGGAAACATTAAGCTTACAAAGGACGGAAAAGTACTTCTGACGGAAATGCAGATCCAGTCGCCCACTGCTGTGATGATAGCGAGAGCTGCGGCTGCTCAGGACGAGATCACCGGCGACGGCACCACCACTGTGGTATGTCTGGTGGGAGAACTGTTGAAGCAAGCACACAGGTTCATCCAAGAAGGCGTCCATCCTAGAATGATCACAGACGGGTTTGAAATCGCAAGACGTGAGACGATGGAGTTTTTGAACGGCTTCAAAATCGACAAAACCGTGGATGAAGAAATGGACCGCGAATTTCTATTGCAAGTGGCTAGAAGCTCTCTCTCAACCAAAGTCACACCGGAATTGACCGAGGTCTTGACCCCTATAGTGACAGATGCGGTTTTGAGCGTGAGAAACGCCGACGATCGCTCCTTGGACTTGCATATGGTGGAGATCATGCAAATGCAGCATTTGTCCGCCAGAGATACGACTTTCATCAAGGGTCTTGTGCTGGATCACGGTGCCAGACATCCAGACATGCCTACGCGCGTGGAAAACGCACACATTTTGATTCTAAACGTGTCACTGGAGTACGAGAAAACTGAGGTCAACTCCGGCTTCTACTATAGCTCAGCAGAACAGAGAGATAAGCTTGTTGCAAGTGAAAGAAAGTTTGTGGATGAAAAACTGAAAAAAATCATAGATATCAAAAACGAGGTTTGCGGGCTTGACTCCAACACTGGGTTTGTGATCATTAACCAAAAGGGTATCGACCCATTGTCACTAGACGTGCTCGCAAAGCACAACATTCTCGCGCTAAGAAGAGCCAAGAGACGTAACATGGAAAGACTACAGCTTGTTACGGGAGGAGAAGCGCAAAACTCTGTAGACGACCTGTCGCCCTCCGTGTTGGGATTCTCGGGTCTGGTGTATGAGCAAACTATTGGCGAGGAAAAGTTCACCTACGTGACGGAAAATCGCGACCCCAAATCCTGTACTATCTTGATCAAGGGCGCCACTTACCACGCTCTCAATCAGACAAAAGATGCTGTAAGAGATGGTCTAAGAGCCGTTGCCAACGTGCTTAAAGACAAATCTGTCGTTCCCGGCGCTGGTGCCTTCTATCTAGCCGCCTCCAACCACCTCAGGAACGCCAATGCTGCCAAGCTAGGTGCCAAAGGCAAAGCCAAGTCTGGTGTACAGGCTTTTGCAGAAGCACTACTGATTGTTCCCAAGACTTTGGTCAAAAATTCGGGTTTCGATGCTCTCGATGTTCTAGCCCTGTGCCAAGACGAGCTCGACGAAAACGCCGACAGAAGCGTGGGTGTCGATCTGAACGTCGGAGACACCTGTGATCCTACCATCGAAGGTATCTGGGACTCCTACCGTGTCATAAGAAATGCCATCACCGGTTCCACGGGTATCGCCAGCAACCTATTGTTGTGTGATGAGTTGCTAAGAGCTGGCAGATCCACTTTAAAAGAGGGACCTCCACAATGATTGTCATTAGCATGGGATAAAATATATTGTACATATCAAAGTGAGCTAGCATCTCTTGATGTTAAATTCTTTCTCTTTCCCTTCGGCCATCGTCGAGCTCGTCGTTGCAGACGTTGTTTCCATCCTGTGGTGGTAATTATCACCTCTAATTGAGATTTGAAGACAGCGAAGTAATTGGCAATCCAAACAAACAAGTCATCCGAAACACCATCAATTGAGCCGTCAAGATGTCTGATTCGGATGAGAACAGTCTGAGAGATAGACAGATTGGTATGTAAATGTCTTGTTACCTCTTTTCAGCTTGAAAAACGGCTTGTTACTAACGAATTAACCTAATTTGAATAGCCCTGATCAATAAGATGTTGATGTTCAATCAGGATACGTCGACATCCGATTTGACATCTGGATCGGACTTCCAAGAGGTTGTTTGGAAAGCGCTTGTGCTGGACGCCAAGGGAACAGCCATTGTTTCGTCTATTTTGAGGGTGAACGATCTGCTAAAAGCCGGTGTCACGGTTCACAGCCTCATTCAGCAGAAAAGATCGCCACTTCCGGACGTTCCTGTCGTGTACTTTGTACAGCCTACACAGGAAAATATCGATGCCATTGTTCAAGACTTGATCGAGGAGAAATATGCGGAGTTTTACATCAATTTCACATCAGTTTTAAACCGGGAGCTTTTAGAGAATTTCGCAAAGCAGGTCTCTTCGAGTGGCAAGACCGACCGCATCAAACAAGTGTTTGACCAGTACGCGGAATTTGTTGTCACGGAGCCTGATCTTTTCTCTTTGGAGCTTCCACTTGTGTTTCGCCAATTGAACGATCCTAATAGCACTGAAAACGCAATTAACAGCTTATGTGAAACCATTGCCAATGGCTTATACGATGCCATCATGACCGTGAACTCAATACCAATAATCCGTGCGCCAAAGGGTGGCTCTGCTGAAATAGTAGCAAGAATACTAGAAGGCAAACTTAGAGACTACGTCATAAATACCAGGGCTAACTCAGCGTCGGTTTCCCACTCATTGGAAAGATTCGTCCTGGTTATTCTCGATAGAAACATTGACTTGGCTTCGATGTTCGCACATTCTTGGATCTACCAAAGTTTGGTCTTTGACGTGTTTAAGCTTGCAAGAAATACGATTACCATCCCCACTGAGACTAAAGAAGGCCAAGAGAAAGAAAAGAAAATGGATTTAGACCCCAAAGATTTCTTCTGGTCCGCAAATGCTCATCTTCCTTTTCCAGATGCTGTTGAGAATGTTGAGGCTGCATTAGCTGCATACAAGGCTGAAGCGGAAGAAATCACAAGGAAAAGCGGTGTCAGCGAATTGAGTGACCTGGATCCAAGCGCCGGTAATGATACTCTAAACATTCAAGAGGCCGTTAACAAATTGCCCGAATTGACTTCGAGGAAAAGTGTCATCGACACTCATATGAGCGTGCTGGCATCATTGCTATCTCAACTGGAGAGCAGAGGACTGGATGCATTTTTCGAAATTGAACAGGGTCAGGACTCTCCTAAATCTCGTCAGCGCTTCATGGAAACTTTGAAGGACGGTAAGACAAATAATCTTGAAGACAAGCTCAGAACTTTCATTCTCCTTTATTTGACGTCTACCACTGATTTGCCCCAAAGTTTTATTAAAGAAGTCGAGGACTACTTCAAGGGTCAAGATTATGATATCAGAGCTCTGTCATACATCTACAAGTCTAAAGGACTGATGAAGATGTCCGCATTGTCTTTGCAAAATAAATCGTTGGAAAGCAATGGAACTGGTAAAAATAAAGCATCAGGTACAAATTCTTCGGTATTACTCTCTGGATTGTCGAACAAATTATATGGCTTGACAGAGGGAAAAATTCAAGGTGGGGTAGGCTCTCTGATTTCTGGTATCAAGAATTTCCTGCCTGAAAAAAAGACGATACCTGTAACAAATGTGGTAGAAGCTGTTATGGATCCGCTTAATAGCTCTCAGAAGAATTTGGAAACTACCGACGATTACCTCTACTTTGATCCAAAAATGGTTCGTGGCTCTCATAGCAAAAAACCGAAACGTCAATCTTATACCAAGTCGATTGTCTTTGTTGTAGGCGGTGGTAATTATCTGGAATACCAAAATTTGCAGGAATGGGCGCATTCGCAGCAGGCCAACACTAAGAGTGTGATTTACGGTAGTACTGCGATTGTTACACCTGCAAATTTCGTGGATGAAATGGCTTCTTTGCAATGAGTAGTGGAAGTGTCAGTTTGTACATATCTAAGGTAACGAAGGACGCAAGACATCTAGCATACTACAAAAAGTCGCCACTAGATTGTACAATCTGTGTCGATCTTTTGGCATCGAGGAACAACAATTTGGCCTCGTTGACATCCGCTTGTGTGATTTCTGAGCGGCCGGAGGTCTTTGCTAATATACCACATGGTGATAGTAGCTGCAATGCATAACGAAGTGAGGTTTGAGACCCCATGGTGGCAAGCAAATCTAGTGCTTCGGAGTCTGTCTTGAGGTTTTCAACGGCTGCTCTCCTTTCGATGATCGTGCGGATTTCGTCTCTGGAGTAAGGTAGCGTCCTGACAATGAGCAATCTATCAACCAAATCAGGAGGGATACCGTGAGGCGATACAATATCATCTGTGCCACGAACCGTCGTGAGACCGCGGTTAGATGCCAGTACTACTACCGGGGCGATGGAAGACTCTAGTGCACGGTTTAGATATGTGAAAATCTCAATGTCTAGCATGTTGACTTCATCAATGAACAAAACACCAGGGATGAGCTCTGCAACACCTTGGTCTATGTACTTTGCCACCACGCGGTTAACTTCGTGTCTCAGTTTTTCAGTAATTTCTGTTTTCTTGGGTTTCAATAATTGGCCCATCATCGACACCACATCTTGACCACCTTGGGGACGGGCGTTTGCCACATCCAGATCATGTAGCGTCACATCTTGCACAATTTCTTTCTTTTTGTGAACTTCACCTTTGGGCAATGGAACATATTCCTCGGCTTCCAAATCGAACTCTGTGGCGTATGCATCTGAACGCCCCACACGCTTCACAGCACCTGTGTTAGCCTCGATGTATACGACGTCACCAACACTGACGTTTTCGCGCTCGATACTTTCGTAAACCGTAGGATCCAATCGCAGTGTTTTCGTTCCCTTAGCAGATTTCAAACCCACAATAACGTGAGCGATGGTTTTCCCGTAGCCTCCCAGTGGATTTTCAGCGGCCTGAGGGGCCAACTCTGTTACCTCACCCTCATAAACTTCTTTGGTCTCTTTGATCCTCAAACCAATGGCTCTTCTGAAATTTTCCATAAGTGCTTCTGTTTTTTTAACTTCAACTGAGTAAAGTTCGGATCCTACTAGAGGGCAAAAAGGCACCTTGGGTCCTAGTTCTTGCGAGATTGCTAACGCCAATGCGGTTTTACCAGTTGATGGCCCCCCTGCGAGTAAGATGGCTTTTCCGGACATTTTCTTAACTTTAATCAGGTCTACAACGACCCCACAAGCCTCCCGAGCCTCCACCTGTCCCACGAAGCCACCTTCTACAGGTTTAGCCACACCTTGGGCATCCAAACCGAGTCCTTTGATATGTGTGTGTGCCGCAGTGCGGGTGGAGCCTTGATTTCCAGCACCAGATTCTTTTACTTCACTTACCTGGACCATAGCTAACGATTGAGAGCTCGAATTAAAAATCGAAAAAAAGCTACCTGCACAGAATGAAATGACCTTTTTGAATCAAGTCTAACTTCGATTGATTTGATTATCTTTGCGTTCGAAAACTTCAGTTTTATATAATCGAAATCAGATTTTGAGTCAGAAGATGTGTGTCTCTTCTTAAATTGTTCTTCCAATATTAAAATTTTAAAAAAGTGTTGATGTCACTTTGTACTAAAGGTTTTCTGATTCTAACTTTTGGGAACTTTGAAGACCATTCTAATGAGTCAGGACAAGCCTAAAACAAGACAAACTTGGTCGCTGCTTCTTTTCAAAGCAGCCTTTAGTGGTGGAATCTAGAGAAGGAAACTAATATCTTTTCACTTTCAAATTTGTGAAACGGGTGTTATTCCCTACTTCGCATTTGAGATCCAGTTTCTTTACACAAGCCGCCATTTTTTGCTCAGATTCTGTCTTTCCCGCTTTTTTTTCGGCCTAAGAAAGGAAAATAACACTTTTAGGTGGGGATATCAGCCAATCACACCTTTACATACAAATCCACCGAACTTTTTGCATTCCTAGGGAACTCCAGGATCAGAAAGCTACATTCATTTGACGATGGAAAATTCGCCTGAAAATTTGCTGCGAGAAAGAACAATGCGGCACGCCAGCGTTAAGGGACCTGCTGGAAAACAAACCGACGTTCATCTTAAATCTTCGTCTTCATCTTATCAGCCCGTTACACCTCCATCAACGGTCAAGAAAACGGCGCGAAAAGAGAATGTGCTTGACGTGCCAAAGCCGATAAAACTGTTACCGGCGCTGCGAAAGTGCTCCTCGAAAACACGCAAACCACGGCTGAAATACCGACCTCAGCCCAATTCAGTTTTCGATTTATCCCTTTACATCTCTGGTGAACGGCACTCTTCGCAGTGCAGTGAACCTAATGCAGAGTTTTTGCGCTACGCTTTGCAACACAGCAAAAGAACGGTGGTAATAGCGGGCGCAGGAGTATCCACGGACGCTGGAATCCCCGATTTTCGTTCATCTGAAGGCCTGTTTTCCACGCTGAAAGGTCCTGGCGTAAGTTCAGGCAAAGATCTTTTCGATTACAACGTTGTGTATTCCAATGCGGAAATGGGTCTTCGGTTCAACCGGTTAATCGCAGGTTTACATGAGAAATGCCTCCAGGTTTCGCCAACGCGATTCCACAACTTTCTGAATTCTATGGCACAAGAGGGACGCTTACGTCGTTTGTACACCCAAAATATCGATGCTTTAGAGGATCAAACTACACATCTGCATTCGAAGATCCCGCTAGAGAAGCCATTCCCCGCCACAATCCAGCTCCATGGAAGCATCAAACACATGTCCTGCAACAAGTGCTCAAAAATTTACGGACTTGACCCAAGCCTTTTCAAGCTACATGAGCACCACGTTGATCGTGAAGTAGTACCGCTTTGTCCTCAGTGTTCTGAATTCGAAGCTGTACGTGTCGTTGCCGGCTTGCGTTCTCAGGGCGTTGGCAAACTACGGCCACGAGTCGTCCTATACAATGAAACACATCCCGAAGGTGAAACTATTGGCAATGTGGTGACAAACGATCTCAAGAACAAGCCTGATTGTTTGATCATAGTTGGTACCACGCTCAAAATCCCAGGCGTGCGGTCGATGTGCAAACAATTCGCTCGCAGTGTGCACGATGCCCGTGGTATCGTGGTGTGGATTAACACTGAGTTACCCGCTAAAAGTATTGAAGATTTCGTTGAATGCATCGATATAATCATCGTGGGTGATTGCCAGATGGTCTCAGAATTGTTGGAACAGGAATAAAGAAATAGAGAGCTTTCTATAAAATCGTCATTAGCATCGCATCTGCTTAACCTCATGCTACCATTGTATATTACTAATACAAGCCCTAAACACTAAAGAACTGAAACCACTCAAGTAACTTCTATGCTTACATGTCTTCAAGTTCAATCTGGTCGTTGGGTTCCTTTGGTTCCTGACCTTCAGCCCATTGAGTCACATCATCTACGTAACTCAAAATGGCCGATACGCTATCTGGGTTTTTGGCCTCCAGAGGCAAGAATTGAACCATGCCAAAATCGTCAACCAAATTGGCGATGGTCTTGTTCAGTTTTTGAAATTTCGGATTCCAAGTCTCGTTCGTCGAGTCTAACAACAATGTGGGGTCTGGATTCAAATACCTTTTCAATCTCTTTTTGCTGTATTCGTCTTTGATCACATCGATCTTACTCAAAATGTTGATATGCGGAAGCTCCAAGAGAATCATAGCAGACATTGCACTCAGGGCTCCGCTGAAGAACTTTGATGAGTCTATGACAAATGATGCTTCCAGAAGGTATGCAGCGCATAAACTGAAATTCAGCTGTGTTTGCAAATGACGGGCTATAGCAGGCAGTACCGGGATATGAGTGTACAGCTCTATTTGTCCCGGACAATCGAAAATGAGGTATTCATCGTTATAATCGCCTAGTTCCTCCTCTAACCAATCCAAATTATTCATCAAATATTCAAAACAGTAAACCAATGAGCCGTTGGGACCTAGATTCAGCTCCTCCATGACATCTTCGAGTGATATCAGGTCTCTGATATCTATTGTGAATTCGTATTCTGTAGCTTCGGCAGCTGGATCCAAATTCACGATATGGGCTCTACGTCCTATCGTTTGCATGTGGGAAATGATAGAAGTGCAAAAGGTACTTTTCCCAGCACCAGCAGGGCCTAAAACGAGTAAACCGACTCTCGACATAGCTTTACAGATACTGGATGATGATTTATCGCTGATTTACAGCAGTTTAGTCCCAGCGATGATCGTTCTTGAATGTCAAAAATTGTTCAAGTAAGTATGAGTACTTCTTTGAAAAATCACGAGTACAAGCTTGCCAAATGACAGTGTGCTTCCAACTACTGAGATGTCGGTGTTCTTTCGTGGGTATTAGATGGTTCTTGCTCTTTGACTCACGATAGGTCACTCCAAGTTCTATCATGGATGTTCATTGAATGCTGCGATGCTAACTTTTAGTTGAAGGTTTTGCGTGCATATGGAACCCTGTTGCTCGGCCAATACGCCAACCATTGACTTTCTGCGGTCGCTGGACTGAGTTGGAAATGCATATAGTTTAGTTTATCAATACCAAAGGAGGTGCAATATCTGGAACCTTTCCGAGTTCGAATCGGTCTGCTTTGAAATAGGTGACAACCTCCTTCGGGAGATCTGTTTCTGAAAGTTGTTCCGCCGGTGGCAGACCTTGAACAAATCCGGTCTGACTGCTGATTCCGGTGGGAAAGGAACCCATATTGTTTGGCAACTGTGTGGGATTCTGTACTGAACTAAATGGGTTTCCTGCCAGTGCGGATGTAAATCCTCCGGACCCCATATTGTTATTCTGGCCGAATCCAAAAGCTTTCGGAGCCTCTGCTGGTTTCTGGCTGGCTTCCAGTGTGTTCGAAGTTCCAAAAGGTGATGACGTAGTTGTGCTGTTGGGTTGATTAGCCATGGAACCAAACGGTGATGCATTTTGCGTATTTTGTATAGAACCGAACGGTGATGAATTTTGGGTATTTTGTATGGACCCAAACTGAGAGCTTCCGCCAGAACCTGTTCCAAACGCTGGTTTTCCAAATGCAGACCCTGAAAAAGGCGATGAAGATGTTTGGGGCCCGGCTGAGCTGGATGGAGCAGCAAACCCACTGCTTCCAAAAGCAGGCCCTTGAGGTGAAGACGTGGAGCCAAAACTTGGTTTCCCAAAGGCTGAGCCCGCAGGATTCGTTGAACCAAAAGCGGGTTGACTAGGTGCTGGGCCTCCCGGCTGGCTACCAAAAGCGCTGGGGTTGGCTCCAAAAGAAGAGGTAGAGGGTTTGCTCCCAAAGGCGCTTGCTCCACCTCCAAATGCCGAAACTCCAGGTTGCGTACCGAAGGAACTAGTCCCAAAAGCAGGCGAGTTGGAACTTTGATTTCCTGAAGAACCAAACTTCGGTTGACCAAACGCCCCACTGGCGCCCGATGACCCAAAAGCAGGTTTACCAAAGGCTCCAGAGGACTGCTGTGTATTTGTTGTAGGTATTCCAAATGGAGTCCCATTCGTCTGTTGACCAAAAGGATTTTGGGTACTACCACCAGTTGCACCAAACAAGTTTGACGCACCTGAGTTGGCTGTTGGAGGTGGGTATGAGTTTCCTGTCAGATCCAATGGCCGGTCTATGAACCCCTTAGCCAACGGTGCTCCAGTTTCAAACGCTTTTTGCGTTGCTAGCTGTAAAAACCTGGCAGCTTTCCTAGTGTCTGCAGCGATGAAATTTCGACAAAACTGTGAATCTGACGCCCGGGCCTGCATCTGTGTTTCATAAGCGGGAACTGAGTTTTGTGCTTGTGCCTGGTAGTACAGAAACCTTGATTCTTCGGGTGACAAGTCTCGATCTTGGATCAAATTCACTGCACACGGCGTGCCCAGACCGTAACTTGACGTCAAAGGCTGAAATTTCAACTCTGAAGCCGAAGCCATGTCATCCTCCACTTCCTTGGCGTATTTACCCAGGTTTGAAGCATTTATGAAGTTCTGATACAGGTCTCCACCGCCATTTTTACCTCCACTACCGTTACCATTGTCGTTCGTATAGACATGCGCAAAATTGCAGTTATTTCCCTTCTTACAACGGCCTTGCTGGAAATACTTGCAGGGAGTCTTGTTTCGGTTGCCAAATGACATCTCAAGCCTGTTCTGAGGCAGCGTTTAAGGACGTTTAGTTGAGCTTTTGAGCCTTAAAGTGCAAGATCAACTGGATGATGATGATGTTGCAATTATAGAAAGTATTCATGAATACACCATCTTGTAGAATACATCAAGAAATATCAACTTTACCAACTTTACAGGCCATTTAGACAAACTTAACCTATTCAATAGGCTCCCGTGAGCTTCCGTTCATCTCTAGTTAAGCTCAGGTCTGTGATTTGGTGTTTTTCCCGAACAATAATGATATGATTTGCATAAACTGCTGCCAAGAGGTTAACTGTCTGTATGTCAGGTATTCCAACGATCACATTCGACTCACGGATTGTCCTAAATGCAAAGAGGTTGTCGATCGGTATGTGGAAATAGACAACGTGCTTTTGTTTATTGATTTGTTACTACTAAAACCTGGAGCTTATCGACATCTGGTGTATAACTCACTGGAGATGGAATTGTCGAAATTTCCTGGAAATCAACACAACGGTGGTTCTGCTTCCAGCCAAACTGGGAGTGACCGCTTAATACAGTCCTTTTTGAATCTCTTTTTCCGTTTAAGGGAGTGGTTTGTGAAATTCGACAAGTTGAACCGTGTTTGGATCATCATAACGGCATTCGAAGTGTATTTGACATGGGTTTCGGAAGAACGACGTTTTCAGACGCAGACCCAGGCCCAAAGCTTAGAAGCTAGAGGCTTGCTGATGTATCAGCTACTTTCTCAAAGTGCATTGGCACAATATCTGTATTTTACCGTCTATTGTGTGGCGGACTTTATGATTTTGCACAATATTGCCTACTTTCTACTTCTGAAGATATTTCGCTGGGGATCCAACGTCCGCTACGCTAAATACGTCATCTCTTACACCATTTTACTTTCCTACGGTGCGAAGATATATCCGATACTAATGCTGATCTGGCCCTATGATACCTTTTTTACCACAAATGTCATCAAAATCGTGGCCAACATTTACATCATAGAGGCTCTCAAGATCGTCACCAATAAAAGCTATTTTGAAATTATCATCCTCTTTTCGCTTGTCTTTTTGGTTCGATCTCTCACTGTGAAGCCTCTGCTTGCATTGCTTGTCACCAGAGGCGATTTCGCTTCGTGTTTCCAATACGCTAAGTCAGAGCTACAACTAATGCATTTAGAGCTGCTTCCTAGCGCCTATTACAATAATCCTTAATGACTATAGATATACTTTTAAGTTTGCTACTAATTGACGAGTGGCCTTTCCAAAGGTGTCACCAAGTATGGGTACTGGTAATTACCATTCCCTGCCACGCTGGAAACCATCGTGTTGTCTCTCTCATTCTCACGAATTGAACTTAAAGCGATGAAGTTGGAGAGCGGTAGATAGTTCTTCTCGAAATCCCAGAGGAAGCTAAGTGTAATTAGTGGTAAAGGTGCCAAGAAGCATGATAAAATCCAACCACCTTGGAATCCAGCCAGGGTGCCTGCCATCGTCAGCTGGAATAGCAACAATCCAAGTATTACTCTTCTGAATATTAAAGGCCAGACTTTTCCTGTGGAATGTGGTAGATGGTCTGTGGCGAACAGCAATTGATACTTGTAGACGTAAAACCCTATTACAAAGTAGGCAAGTCCAGAAGCTAGAATCTTGGTGCTCATCACGCTATAAATGAGCGTCACGATTAAAACGAGAATTGGTTGTGGTAACTGTAGGCCAAAATTAAAGATTGGGGGCTTCATCAATTCCTTTTCTTGTCTCGGGGTCTTGCATTTGATTTTCACAAAGGGGAATCCGAGCAGACTTCCTGCCAGAAGCAGCTTGAAAGGAAACATCCCTATTCCTTGTAAAATAATCAAATCGACATAAAAGAGCGAAAATTCTTTAACAGAGGTAGCCAACTGGTATGCTATTTTAGTGGTATCGCTTAAATAGCCCCAATAATTGGAAGCAGTACCAGCCAAAGTGAACACCAAGAACAGGTTAACAAAAGTATAGAAGAAGTTTTTCGAAACCAATGAAACCTCCTCTTCGCTGTAAGATACCAGGCCTTGCCTAGATGTCAAGAATTCATAAAAATATGGAATACCAATGTTCAAAAGCGTGAACAGATAGGTTGGAAGTAGGCCCGTCACAAGATTTTGGGCCCACTGTTTTTGCTTCAAAAACTTCCCCAGCTGAGGCCAAAATCTTGAAATAGTTTTTAAATTCAGCAATGTAGCAAGGTAGGAAACTGGGATAATGAGGAAGAAGCTGCAGAATCCAATGAAAATAGTTACCGACCACACTTTAGTCAGCCTTTCCTTTCTCGATAAACAAACATTGTCCCATTTAATATCATGAGGTGCGGGCGCAAGTCTTGTAATGAAGTAGTGCACACGGGGATCGAGCACAGCCTGTGCGGCCATCTGGGCATTGGCCACAGAGTCCATAGTAACGAATGCAGTAGGCGTCGCGGGATATGATTTTTTGCGCGCTTCCACGATTTCGTCGTCAATAAACTTGAGCTGTCTTTCCAAATAGTCAATAGCATCCACTTGTTCGCCGAAGAGTCCAAATAATCCAGTTCTAGTCTTTTGTCTACCCTCAAGCTGAATGTGAGAGTAAAGACGATTTGAGTCTGGAGCGTCGTTATCACCTTCACCGATAGATTGAGTATCGGCGTTCTCCAAATTATCTCTTGAAACTTCGCTTCTAAGCCTATAGCTCTCGTCGTAATGCTCGACGTCTCTGAGGGCTTCAGGACACTGTGCGTACTTGAGCTCCAGCTTTTCGAGAATTTTCTTGCGGTAATGGAAAAGGTTGTTCAATGGGCCCCATTCACGACATATACTGATAGACGCTACGCTCCCAATCTCTAGCTCTTCTATTCTAGCTTTCAAAGCTGCTGCGTCTCTGAGTTCCACGGGAATTCCAGTCAGCCTGATAGTTCTGTCTGTTAGAGCGTTCTGTCTCCCCAAGTACCGCTGCCGCGTATCCACCACAACTTTGGTTTGCTCGATCAACAAGTACAGTGAGAGAAATGTGAAGAAGGATGTGAAGATGACGTACATCCACAGATATAGCTCTGCTGTTTCTGGTCCTTGACCTTCACCCAAGCTATCCCTAGGCTCATGATACAACGCATCATTTGTGCCAAAATAGCTTTCTTCGCCTCCATCGTCATATCTGCCAGTAAAGTGATATCTAATGGGTGAAATGAGGCAAACCGAAAACCCGCAACAGATTGCCAAAAGTTTGATGCACATCTTGAAAAACCCTAGGAAAACGTACGCATCCAATCCAGCACTCTCCAAAACTTGGCTGTCGTTGATCTTGTATACCACGGGCACCCATGCAAACAACGAACTATCATCCCAAGTCGGCAGTGAAGTCTGACTTCTTCCCATTCTACTAGCATACAGCTTTGGCATTTTCTTCAAGAGAACGGAAAACATCAAAAAAGCTGATAATCCCAACCCAGAAGCAATCAACAACTGGGTTGTGGCTACTCTCGTCGCAGGTTTTCTAAAATCGGGGCCATCATGATCCACCTGTGACGCCTGAAACTCGTTCAAAAACTGAGTAACATTCCAGAAGAAACTCATCAAGGAGTTGAGATCCTATTCAAGATAAGAGAGCGCTTCAAATTACCGAATCACCTCCGCTTGTGAGCTTTAGTTCAAGGTTCAAGGTTCAACTAGTGATGATGCATCGGATTTCCACTTACCGTCGAAATTCATATGGTATTTTGCTGACCCGGGTAATTCATGTGACAATAGTTTAAGCTCGCCAGTACTGAGCCAAGTTGTGAAGACGGTCGATGACGAGCGGTAGAAGGGCACTGACGCTTGCATTGATGAGATTTTGGAAGTGTATAATTGCCTCTTCCTCTGACATATCAAGACAGAATTTCTCCTTCACTTTTAGCATAGCTCCATCTGGATCAATTTTGATGTCAGGAATATCGGACGGCTTCATGAGCTCGAACAAGTTCAAGATCAAGTTGGCATTTCTGCGTAGGATGGAGTATGCGACAAAGCAGTAGCTGCGAAATTTGTTGTAGTTTTCGGAGTCTGCGCCTCCGAAAGATTCGATGATTTGCGGTGGTAGCTTCATTAAAGGTGGGAACGGTTTTGGATCCTGACCCAAAATGTAACCAAAATCGGCGTGGAAGAAATGGCCATCCGGTGTGACAAGCAAATTATCCAGGTGACGGTCGCCAACACCCAAAATGTAGGTGATCACGCAATAACCGGCACAGGATTTGACAAAATTGTCAATCACGAAATCTTGCACGCCCAAGTCGGTCCCAGAAGAGGGATAGTGAGTTCGCAGATAGGGCAAGATTCCGTGGTGTTTGCTCAAAATACTGGCGAGGGTGTCGTTGGGAATGAATTGGATAGCGCCCTCTTTGGATCCGGTCGCTAGGATTTTGTACGGCGTCAACTTCAAGTCAACGTTCTCATTTTTCAAAAGCTCGTTCATTAAGGAGATGATTTGGACAACAAGTTGGTCTTGCCGCAAATCATCACCAACTTTAAACATGAGAGCGTATTCCGGGCCATGAAGAGTGTTGAAAGCAATCTTTACGGGTGACAAAGAGCTCTTAAAGACTCTACAGTCCTGTAAAATGACGTCAGTGACAGTAAAATCGGGATCCAGTGGTAACTCCACTGGGGCCGATCTCAAGAATGGCCGGAGCTTCGACGTCAAAAGATGCATTAGAAGCTCTACTTTTTTGGGTGTTGTATCTCTCAAGTTCTTTACTTCCAAGCAAAAGCTTTCCAGCATGGATATGAAAAGAGATTGGTGCTTAAGCTTAGCGCGTCTTTCCTTGGGTAAACGACTGACAAAGCTCTCCAAAATATGCGTCAAATACTGGTTACCCTCGGATTCTGACTTCAAGTACCAATAGAAGAAGTTTCCCAAACGTGAATTTATTATCGCGCGCCTGATTAGGAATTCTGCAAGAGGCGATATCAAAACTGAGCTTTGTCCTAACTCTGAATTATTCAGTTCGTTCACGGAATTGCTGCCATTGTTCAATTCGGATATAGGTGAAGTTTGCGCGGCCGCTCCACTTTGAGCAACATTGACAATCGTAAACTCGCTTGCTGATTTGTCTGAAAGCGGCTCGCCGCTTTCGAAACAAACAGCCTGCACCAGCTGCAAAAGATACAGTTCTAATTCGCTATCTGAAGCCTTTTTGAGCCTGTTTACAGCATACGATCGCAGCGATAGATTTCTGTACGCCGATCCTAGAAGTTCAAGGGCATCTTCTATATCTATCTCAGCCCATGCATCTACTAGTTCGAGGACCTCTTTGCGCTCGCTTTCCTCCGTGAGATTGGTTACCTGTAAAAGCTTTGTCAAAGCCTTCTTATTGTTCATTAGATAGTAGCGGTATTTCCACACCAACCCTTTCTCATGAGCTGTCAAGTCGCTACCTGGTGGATACGATATAATGGTGTTCAACGCATCTCGCTTTTTCGCGTCTGGTTTGAGTTCTTTCTCTAAGCTAGTATTAGTACTAGCCCGCTCTAAACGTCTGAACTTCTCTTCTATTGGGTCTGGGTTGAACTGATCAGGATCGTAAAACTTTAAAGTGGAGTCTGCGGCATTGCCAATTGAAATTTTCGCCTGTGGTTCCGGGCGCGAGGTCTGAGTGTCAGTGTTTACATCAAAGTTGTGGTACGTGGGGATGTTTCCTTGAACGTTGCTTGACAGTTTTTCTGCGTATACGACCGGGAGGTCGAATAGCGGGTATTCAATGTTCAGAATAAATGTACCTTGCGGAAGTTTTCTTTTCTTACTGTTCTTGCTCAATTGCTGAAACGTAAGTTCATCTAGCCATGGAACGGCCTTTATCTCGCCCTGTTTAAACTTGTTGATGAGTTGCTGGGTTTCGTTGGTCTCAATTGTGCTACTGTCAGGTTCGTCGTACTTGAACTTTATTGACTCTGAACCTCTTTTCAAAGTTCGACTGTTTTGTTCAAACAGCGGTGTCTCGGTCGAAAAAAATTCCACCTCTTTATCACCGTCAAACTCCCAAAGCACAATGTGTAGCGTGCTGTGCGATGTCAGTTGTTCTAAAGTTATCGGTAGTGTCAGCCAAACGTCCCACTTTCGTAGATTTTTGAAAGGTATGTATGGCGTGTAAACCGGAATTGTGAGATTCCTACGACTTTTCATATCAAAAACCTGTACCGAAACAAACATTTCACTATCTGCTTGTACGTCTGATGTTCTTTGAATCAACGAAGGTTGTGTAAGCTTTTGAGACGCTTTCAATAGAGGTTTAGACCCCTCCAGGGAGTCAATTTTTATTTGCAGCGGTAATGCCACTTCATTAGATACGCAAAAAGTGACGCTCTTGATGGACATCAGACCTCAATGGAAACCGTCAGTTCACCAAAGTCGACCAGATGTTCAGGTCAACTTACTCTTGATTTTCCCTTACATTAGTGATGGTCTAAATATCACCATCTACGCTGTCATCTAGTTGATCCTTCAGTCGTCGAGTGGCTCACTTAAGTACATGACACTGTTAAATCGTTATAAATGCAAGTAGCGTCAGGACAGTGTCATACAGTGAACTCGCTAACGGGTCACATTCTTCTTTTCGTATATTTTACAGTGTATTTACATGGTATTTACAGTCAGAAGGACGTTCTTTCCTAAATATTGTTGTGTTCAGAAAAACTTTTGAGTTATTCTAACCTGGGATTGTGGCCACCGTAGCTCGAGCGAGCACGTCTATCATCGTACCGTCTATTGTCCTTTTTTGAGTCCCAACGACCGCGTGTTTCTTTATAATTTTTGCCACGAGACTCAAACCTATCGCGATTGTTGTATCTGGAATTGCCCTCGCTATCGTCGTACGAATCTCTGCGCCTTGGAGCGCCGCAGTCGAAAATCTCTTCAACAATCCTACCCCTCAGCCCGTATCTCATGCTGGCAGTGTCGCGACTAACCCGAAGCTTTTGAGTAGTGTCAAGTAAACCCTCACCATAAGCGTTGGCTATCTGACGTGCAATCTTGGGCATGCGGAACCCATAGGCCTGTTCGCAATTCTTATAAAACGAGAGCATAGACTCTAGACCCTCGGAGAAAAGGAACTCATCCCGCAAGCAGCTTTGAAATTCTGCGGCGTCACTCTCGCTGGGAATGAAGTCCCGCTGATTGTTGACATTAACGTTTTTTTCGGCGGCCAGAGCGTCCATGAAGGAAAGCTCGTCTTTGAATAGATATATCGAAGCCTTACCTTCCTTCCCACCACGAGCTGTTCTTCCAATGCGGTGAATGTAATTAGAGATCTCAGAAGGAACACCCACTTGGTAGACTTCCTCTACATCGGGGAAATCCATACCACGGGCGCCAACATCTGTACAAACAAAGATACCTTCTTCAGCACGTTTGAAAACTTGTACCATTCTCGTTCTCTTTTTCTGATCCAATTTACCGTGAAATTCGTGTACGGGCAAAGATGGAAACATTCTCTGCAACACATTACTGTAGAATTTCGTAAATTTGACTGTAGGAACAAAAAGAATAGCTTTGAGAGGGGCTTTGCTGTCAAGACGAGCTTTAATGGCCGAAATAGGAGCGTACATGTTATGGGCAAATGTTTCTGAAATCACCAGTGTTTGGTCGATTTTTTCGTGTGCCTCAGGCTCATTTTTGTTCACGGTATCTATGAACAAGCATTGTTCGCGATTCATAATTCCGCCCGCGAGCTTTTGAACATTGTCACCCAAAGTCGCCGAAAACAATAAGGTTCTTATGTGTTCTGGACCTGTTTCATTTAACCCATTGAGAGTACTAGAAATATTGCGTAAATCTTCGTCAAACCCAATTTCCAGTAGTCTGTCGGCTTCGTCAAGGACTTTGAAATCAACATGTTTGAAAAACTGGTTGGAGAATTTCGACAGCACGTCGATGAGACGTCCCGGGGTCGCCACCACAATATTGGGGCGATCTTTGAACATTTTTTTTACTGCAGCCTGGAAGTTACTACCTCCAATCAAGGCAATGGAGCCAAATTTTTTCAAAGCATAGTTATTTTTCTGTAGTTTCAAAATCTCGGAGTCGATCTGCAAAGCCAGATCTCTGGTTGGGGCCACAATAACACATTTGACCATGTAGGGTGATTCCTTCCGAGTCTTGAGTAGATGTTCAAAGATCGGAATGAGGAACGCCAGAGTCTTACCCGTTCCGGTCTTCGCGCGCGCGATAACGTCGTCTTCGGTTTTGAGAATGGGTTTAATGGTTTTCTGCTGCACAGGCGTCAAACTGGCGAAATTCATGCGTTCAACCGCTTTGTGGAGCTCTTTTTGAATGATGCCTTCTTCGTGCAGCGCGTCAAGAGTGATATCCTGTGCGTTTTCCTCCAAAGGCACCTGTACGATGTTGCTGATTCTGGACGACTTCAGTAACGATGCTGCTTCATCAACGGACTCGTCTGATCTTCTACCACGGCGAACATCGCCGCTTTTCCTGTATCCCCCGTCTCTAGAGAAGCCGCCTCTAGAGTTTCTGGAATTTCTGTTCGAATAGTTCCCACTTTTTTCATAATAGCTACGAACTCCGTTACTCGAGCCGTTCCAGCGGCCCGAACTCAAACCGATGCTTGCTACCGCAATTCTAGAGCCTCGCGAGGCCATTTTTCGTGCAAGCCACGCATTTCGCGGCACAAGTGTGGTAATCATTCGCTTCCTTCTTTGATAGATTTCAAAGTCTGAGGAAGTCCAAAAAGCGTTCTCAGCGAGTAATTTGTATCCCTAAGATACTTCTAAACTACTTTTGAAGCCTCAAAATGTCACAAACAGTCCCGCTATGCTATGAACCTGTCTCTTTTGTTCACTTCTTGGCTCATCGCATCTCATCTCATCACCTCTCTTTATATATAGACAATTTTTCAAATTATCACCAGATCGATCACTTGTAACGAAGGGCCAAATTATTGGAAAATAAGAAACTTGGACGATCAAGATACACAGCACATGTGGGTGAATGTAAAAAGTTGTAAAATTACTCATAATATAGCTTGTTTACGGGCTGTAAAGCATTGATTGAAGGCATTTCAACACATTGAGCGCTTTTGGTGCGTGGGCTGTAGAGAAAAGCTTCGAAAACGCTTCGAAAACGCTTCAAAAACGCTTGAATAACGCTTGAAAGAAGCGTCTTGAAATAGCTCTTTTTTTTTTATTGTCATTCGACAATGTCTGAAAGCCCGATCCCGCAGCTCGTAAATATCTCGCATGCTCTGCAGTCTTCGTTCGTGCAGAAGCTGCGTTCTGAGGTGAAGACGTTCAACGAAACAGAAAAACTGACGGATGTGCAAACGCAGCAGATCGACAAGTACATCACGTCTCTGGAAACGGCGTTTGCCGAGTTCACACACGACAACGAGCATATCGAACGTAGGGACGCCCAGGTCACAGCCGTAGACGTGCAGCTATACAAAGGACTCAAGACCATGTACGCAGATTATTTGTCACAACTTGTAAAACTCAAGCAGCGCAGCGTTAGCCAGGAAGAACACGTTGGCGGTGACCGTCCCGTGGACTACGTGTGTGACGAATTGCCTTATAAACAGCCCAGTGAGCGAAAATCATACGTTGACAAACTTTTAAGGCAGCCAGAAACAACACAGATCGGTAAGAACGATCGTTTGCTTGCCGGGATCGCCAGCTTGGCAGTCCTCGACTCCACCGTGAAGGAAAACACCCAAGTATATGCCGATTTGCTGCTTAAAGTCGGGTATTCCGCTGAGGAGGTTGATAAAAACATGCCCCACTACGGAAACGGCACGAGCACAAAGGTCAATGAGCCCAAAGTTACAGAGGCTATCCAACCTGCCACACCTGCAGTCGCCAAAAAGAAAATATCTTTTTCAAAGTATTTGAAAAAGGGTGATGGTAACGACGCTGCTGCTGCTGCCAAGCGTCCCTTAGAGGATGACAATGGCAGTAGTGATCAAACCGATACAAAACGAACAAAGACCACAATTTCAGTAACGGATCCGGTCTTACCATCTATCCTAAAATCACAGACAAATGCAAAGAAACGCAACCCAATACGATTTGTCAGTGATGAGAAGCTCCTGACGGTCTATGGTGACGAACTCCCAACGAACGGATTGGTTGTGTCACCCAGCAAGCTAAAAAAAGTTCTCAAGCCATTCAAAGATGGCGAACCTCGAGAAATCACCTATTCTGCATGGAACAACCAGAAAGTACGAGAGCTCTCATTCCCCAAACCTCCTTCAGATTCAGATATAGTAGACACGTTAGGAGGACTAGTACCGTGCGAGTCGCGCGTACCACTGGGCTATCGATTGAATTTCACCACATTTAGTAAGTCATTAGCAAAAACTCCTACAGATCCCACGGATATCGATAGCACAGATCCAAGTTTATCACAGAAGCCTTTAATTGTCAGGGCCTTTGGCAAAAATGTTCTGCTCTTACAAAAAGATCGTGGCGGAATACCATACAAGAGAGTGCCTGAAGTTCATGTTAATGAATACCCCATAAGGCCAATATCATCATAAATTAGCCAGGCGTGAAAGAGACATATGTAACATTAAAAACCGAAATTTAGTCCTTTGTTTGTTTGTTTGTCTTTTTGTTTATTGAGATACTCTTGACGCTGCACAGCAACGCCATGTTAAGAAGATGCAAATGACATTATAGTTATGAGATGTAAACAGCAATGGCATAGTGAAAAAACGTTGAGGTTTCAAGCTACATGGAACGCAGATGTTTAATCATTACAACGGCGAGACCGCTCACAAAGGCAAAGGGTGGGAAATATTCTAGAATTGTGCGAATCCATGACGGTTTGATTTTACCAATTAGAGACTGGACTCGCCCATAAAGAAGCACTGGAGTGCTATCATTTTCCAAGACATAATCTGCACGTTGCGTTCTTTCTTCTTGGGTCATTTGAGCCTTGATGCGATTCTCTGCTTCTTCAATCGATATTTGAGGGTTTCGAGACCGTATTCTTTCAATTTGGGTTTCTTTTTTGCACACCACCGTCACAGTGATCCCGCAAAACTTGTCCAGTCCGCTTTCGAAAAGTAGAGGAACGTCCAAGACGCACATTTTCTTGCCCTTAACATATGAAATCAAAATTTGCCTTAAAATTTCAAATCGCACAGCAGGATGAGTGATTCCGTTCAGGACTTTTAAATCGGAATGGTTCGCAAATACATGTTTTCCAAGTGCAGGCCGATTCAAAGAGCCGTCTTCAAGAATAAGGTCTGGAACTTTGTCACGAAAATAGTGGACCACACGATTGTAAGCATCACGGTGAGGCTCCACTATTTCTCTCGCAACTTTGTCAGCGTCGATAATAGGTATGTGGTAACTCTTTTCGAGCCTCTCTGAGACGGTTGATTTCCCGCAGGCGATGCCTCCAGTCAACCCGATTACAAGCATTTTTTTTTTTCAACCAAAAGAACAGAAGGGATGTAAAATGTGGTTCTTACCACAGTTGATTGAGCTTGAAGACAGCGAAATAACGGCAAATTCAGAACCCGGATGCATCTTTAGTCAGTTGTGTCAGTGGTTTTAACGTGTAGAAAGGCCAATTTAGAATTCCTTCATAGATCACGTGACTATCTTATTCGGATCTCTCGAAAGAAGTTGACCAACATCAAGCCCTGTACAGCATTATATGAGGTCACAAATATAGATTTATGATTCAAGTAGTCCCTTCTGGGCTGGGTTCGAGGTTAAAACTCGCAGAACGTACAGGATACTTTATTCTAACCAAAGTTTTCTTTTTCACAGATAAAAGCCAGGGAATCTTTGGCAATATTGAGGGCCTATCAGTGGTCGAATGAAGCTCTAATCGGAGCTCTTAAAACCCTTTTGATTAGCTTTTGTTGCCCGCGTTTTAAGAATATCACTATTTACGCACTAGCTCATCGCCTTAATTAAAATATACATTGTCGCTCTTTAACATCACCATCCTACATACCAATACCAACAATACACATCCGAAAAGTAGAATTACCGCTTCCAGAGCATGGTATGAGCGCTCCGCGAGTATACGCCTTGGGAAACTCGCCCTTGGTGTATTTAATGTGCAACGAAATTGCGTCTTTGAGCTTTCAGCCACGAGTCCCAGAGCTTGTTCTTTTATTACAAGATCAAAAGAAGTTGAACCGATTTTTGCACAATGAGTCCAAATTAGTCTTGGAGAGACCAAAAGGAGGCTACAAAGGCTCTAATCAATACATGGCATCGTGTTCCCCCCCTAAATTTGCTTCTGGAGAAGTTGCCAAAGTCGATAACGTCATAATCGGAGAAAAAACGCCCAAGCTATTCACAAACGCACTGAAAAAATACACGAAATCGATCCATAGTGGGACTAATGTACTTCTTTTGAATCCAACGGTGGGTCTGGTGGACATTTTGCGTAAAAATGTATGGCATGAGAGAGAAAATAGTCCCAAGGTGTTTATAGGCGTGACCAACGAGCGACACATTTCCCAGCCCAGCGAGTTCACAACCCACCTTTCAAGCTATAAAAGCTCTCTCCAGGTTTCGGCAGTTCCAGATACACATTTGGGATATTCATACCAGGAAGACGTGCAACAGGCCCAAGAGTTGGCGAAAACTAACTCTTTACTACGATTGCTCAAATCTATAAATGAAGAGCAGTCAGGCTCCGTCTTTGGAGTTTCGAACAGGTCCTACGGCGATCTTCTACTGTACAGGTATGAAGAGCTCATCACTCAAAGTTGTGTTCTTCCTATCACCGCGCTCTACGGTCCTCAACCGCATGATATCACGGCCTCAGGAGAGTTGATGAAGATAGTACGAAATCTGGTGCAAGAATTCACATACACTATTCAAGCCACAGACAGATTTGTCAATCAAATACCGCATTCCTCAGGTGCTTTAGATCAAGAACGATTGGTTTCCGCGGTATGGCGAGCTCTCAAGAGTGATAGACGAAAGCTGTTTTATGAAACGAACTTTCACCACATCAACCAATTCAATGGTTTTTTTGCATTACAGGCCAAAAAGCGCAATATAAAGTGTCCCTTTAATGAGGCAATGATGATATGCGCCAAAGCCAAACTCGAATTAGCACACGATTCCAACTTCAATCACAGATCTTTGTAGGTTAACGCTTTTTTCGTTGGCGCTTTGGGTTTACCGGCTCACTCCTACGATGCATGTCACGAAACTGCGTACAAGCTTCCGTGGTTCCTTAGTCATATAAGGCTTCGAAGAATTCTTTCATAGCCCTGATAAATAATAAGAACATTGTTTGCACACATTGGATCAGCATCGGTCAAGGCCTGGACGTTTGAAATCTGACTCTTGAATTCTTCATCCAAAACGTGTAAAAAGTGTTGCGTCAAAGTCTTCATGTCAGGGTCAAATGAACCTTCTGTCAAATATCCCAGCATGAATTTCTCCACCTTTTTGAAATCTGGACACACTTTTGCAGCGAACGCGACCAAAAGCCGAAAGCTAATATCGCCTTCTGAGATGGTATAGTCACCCCAGAAATCATTCGCTTTGAGGAAATCCTGGACCATTGTGTCATTTATCAAAGACTCACAGTGTGGAGAAACATCGACGTAATTCCATTTGTTGGTTGGCAGAACGAAACCATACTCATTGAGCAAAAAATCATTGGAGTGCGCCCCGTAGCTCAAGAGTATTTGCTCCCCATCCTGTTTATACTCATGAGTTCCACCAACTATGCTAAAGGTGCCAAGCCCGCATTTTCCCCGCTTGAGCTTGTTCACTTTTGGTGTGCAATAGCGTTCCGAATCGGCATCATGGTTCAGAAAATCCACATACGGAACTAGTGTAAAATTATCAGCGATGTTGTCTTTCAAAGGAATTTGTATGTACAAACACCGCGAATTGATCACAAAGTATATGTGCAAGAAATCTGAGTAAAAATCTTGCGGCGTAACATTCAGGCCATTGCCTGTGTCAATCATGTCGCACCATTTCTCAATGATAGGTTTTATCACTGTCCAATCATTTCGCACCAGAGCGACGATTCTTTCAGCATGAGACTTGGATGCAAAAGGTAGACAATTGAACAATTGCTTGTTAGTAACGTCGTTGCTGAGTTCCCACAGAGCCGGGATCGACTTGAGCTCATCTGCAGAGGGGAAAACGTCAAAAAAAGGTTTCCAGAAGGATTCTGTCGTACAGCAGAGCGATAACAGTTTCCATTCAAGTATAATATACAGACACAGCAGCTGGAAGGAGCTCAGTTCCAACACCTCTTCCTTGCTCAAAATTCCGTACATTTTGAAACGTGGATCCGTTGTGTATATCTTCTCTATGTTAGGCTGCTCACAAGTTATGCCTTCGAAATCCAGATTTGGATTGAATTGAGACATATGGTAAACTACAGTATGGAAATTGAGCTGGTAGTCACTCGGTATTGTCACGACAACATCGTTCTTGGTAGTTTTCCCACTTTTCTGATATAAACCTCTTCCTGATTCAGGAAAGTCTTGTAAAACAACGTTTTCACTAACTCTAAAGTCTCGAGACCCGCTCAACCATGTCTCTAACCTTTGGAGCTTGTCGTTCCAGCAAGACTGGCTACTCTCGTAGTTATTAGAAGAAAACATGTATGCATCGATGCCGTTCAACTAGCTCATCGCTTCTGATCTTGGGAAAACTTTCACATTTTAATGAACCGAAGTTAGCTCATCGCACTGTCATTTCGTAAACACAACGATGAAAGCATCTTTACAACGGAGTAGAAAGCCAGCTGATCGAGTACTGTGGTTGAATCGACCATTTAAAAATGCAAGACTCAACAGCAGTTGTTCTGCCACTCCAACAACATTTCCAGTGGAGGATTCTTCCCGAGTGCTAAGACACCTCGAGTTCACGAAACCACTGTCGTTTGAAAAGGGCATCAGAATCCAAGAGAACTTTGTTAGAGCCCAGCTGGACATGAAGCATCTACAATCTAAGATAGATAGAAAATTGAATCAATTGGAAACCGAGCATCCGGGAACAACTATAAATCAGCATGAACAATGGATTCTGAAAAATATCACAGACATGAAACCTCACCCGATAGCTTTGACTTTCGAATTTGAGCCTACGTATACGGGTGGAAAACGTAGCAAAAAAGCTGTTACTCTGGAAGACATCGCCCGATTCGAAAACTTCGTGCCACAGCAGCAGCACCATGCAAACCAGAAACGTCCAAAATTCGTTCAAGTGGAAAGAGGTGGCCAAGTGACTTTCCATGGTCCTGGACAAGTAGTAGCATATTTGATTTTGGATTTGAAATCATTCAACAAATTCCCCGCAAAATGTCTAGTGTCAGCCATCGAAGATTCGACAATAAGTGCGTTGAACAAAATTCCAGACGGTAACAGAAAGGCTCCCCTGGGCATTGAGGCAAGTAAAGCTACGGAAACGGGCGTTTGGATAAACGAGCAAGAAAAAATCGCAAGCATAGGAATCCACGTTAGAAGATCTATCACGTCTCATGGAGTGTGTATTAATGTGGACCCCGATTTATCGTATATGAACTCTTTCGTTATGTGCGGACTGCAAGGCACAAGGGCAACTTCGATACGCGAGCAGCAGCCTGAAAGTAATTGCACCACCCATGATGTAGCAGTGGGATTTGTTAACGAGCTGGCCAAGAAATTAGGGATCACAACTGTAGAGCGTATTCAATTAGATGATATAGAACTGGACTAAACCGCTTCATTTTTTTGAGCTGTATTGAAATGCCGCAGCTAAAACTCCTATCGTAAAGGCGCTTAAAAGTATGGTAGATCTGTTTCTCTTTACGCCCGTGTCTTTCGAAAGGTTTTCGGTTTTGTTCAGCGTCTGGCCTTCCCGTGAATTACGCTTAGTAGACACTCCTATGTCCTCTGTGTTTTTCCGTAGTTGGGTGTTCTTGAATTTCTCTACTTCGAGTCTAGTATTGAGATCTTCTATTTCGCGTTTCAAGCCCGCTATTTCGTCCGACCCATGCTTCTCTGCATCCACTAATTGGTTCCGCAAGAGTTTATTTTCCTGTTTGGCCTCGTCAAGTCGCTCTACATGCGCCAGGGCCGATGCTTCGTGTTTCTCATTTAGTTTCTGTTTGAGTGCATTTTGTAACTGCACGAGTTGTAGGTCGTTATTCTCTACTCGCAGCCTATTGATATGTTCAAAGCTGCTGGAAAACTGAACCAGGAACCTCTCTATGGATTTCATTTTCTCGTATTCGAGCTTCTCGAGCGAGATTTCTGTGACTAGGGTCTTGATGACATTGATGAGGTTCGGACTTGTACCAATGGAGTTATTGATGAATATCCCGCTTAAAATTTCTGTTTCCGATCCCAACAATGATCCTTCCAGATCGAGGTTATTGACGTCTCCAAACATTGCCGCGGCAAACGCAGCTCGTTGTGCATTGGGAGCGATGGCATGGTTTTTGCTGGGTATGCCGTTACCTGACACTCCCAGTGCACTGTCGATCCCGTTGAAAAGCACGTCTTCGTCATGTATCAGTGGGATCACAGATATATCCTCTACCAAGGCACTGATTTTACGGTGCTCGAATTTTGCATCAATGTCTGTCCCCAGATCGATGATATCCCCCACTTGAAGCTCCACGTCGTTTTGCGTAATTCGAGTCCCGTTGACAAAAGTTCCATTAGACGACTTCAAGTCCCGTATGTATATTTTCCCAGAAAAAGGCTCACAACTGAGAGAAGCATGGTTTCTGGACAGCACCCGCGAGTCGAAATTTCCATTATCGGGCCTTACCTGTGATTGTAAATCTTGTTTTGCGCCTTGTGGCAGAGCCGAGTTGGCGATGGGACGGCCCAGTTTCAAACCGTCCGGTTTGAACGGCACCACCAGTATTTTAGTTTCAAACGTGTTGTTAAGCGACTTTAAAATCGTTATGTGTGTGTATTTGTTTCTTGGAGTGGCATTGGGTGTCATTCCTACTTCAGATGTTACTCCGGAACTCGTTGATCCTTCACTACTCGAATTGGTTCTAGATCGCGTTCGAACTTGCTGTTTTATCTCTTTGACGCCAGTCTTCAACATCAACGACTGTTCCTGCTTGTCATGGCTGATTGATGGCATAAGTGGTGCTCTAAATCGACCAAAGTCTTTAACTTTACCAACTTTCTAGTACGATGTTCTTTAACTTGAACATCAATTTATGAACTTAAACATAGAGATTGATGTTCTACAAGATACTTGACGATAACTTCGACTTTAACTTGAACTTAAGTCAGCTTTAGATGTCCGATAGCCTGTCACAATGTGTTGATGCTCTGAAATCAAGTGTTCAGTGTTTGGAAGACACAGTAGTGAAATTGGGCAACGAATCCAGGACGAGTAATTACTTGACCAAGAGTCTTCTACAATCTCGAAGGGTGTTTGAATTGGTGCCGGAATATGATGTCCAGAGAGCCAAACTGGACTTGATTGAGGAGATTGAGCCGTTGGTGAACAATCTGAGCAGCAAAGTAACGAAAAACCTGTTAAAACTGGAAAGAGAGCGGGATAATCTTCAACAGACGTTAGAGTTGAATGCGTTGAAGATGAAAAATAATAGATACAGCGGAGAACATGAAGATGAAGATGTGGACGTTTTAAACCAGGATGCGGGCTCAGACGTGGTTATCATGACATCATCGACACCGGAGGAATTGGATCAATTGAAGGAATTGAAGGCTCAAAAGGCACAATTGTTGGAACGCATACGGGCTTTTGAAAATACGGTTTAGAGAGTGTTATGTAATGTTGGAGATCGGGACGTTTGCTTGCTGCCTATTGCTTGCTGCTTTCTCCTTCATATCAGTGTAAGATTGGTATAATAGTTACTAACACAATTTTCCAATGCGCCAAGTTTAGACGTGATGCTAATCAAGCTTGGATCGCTTGTTGCTACAGACACTTTTTCGCACTCAGAAACCAGTCCTGACTCGAACGTCACGCAGCGTGCCAGCACGTTTTGCGCTTCGTCCAGAGTCGTTGCCATGTGTGCATTCTTGTGTGGGAAGACGTTTCTCAACAGCGAAGGTTCCTCAATTTCCAAGCCTTCCTCGTGCAGAACGTCGCTCACTTTTTTGCCACGCTGAGCCTTCAGTTTGTCGCGAATTCTGTCCGTAAAAGTTTTGCCCGTTGCCGTGTCAAAATCGCACCATGGTCTGGTGGTTATCTTTTGCAAATTGCGGAAGTCCATGCTTATTTCGTTGCGTAAGATGACCAAGTCAATGTTCAGGATATGATGAGCTGTTTGAAATGATGCTTCGCTGTTTGTGAACATTTGTTTGAGCAATGCGTTCTCGTTGTACGGGAACAGTAGGCTTTGCGGTGGGAAATGCAGCAGATTGATAGATTTAGATAGCAGGTCCAATACTTTTACCAAGTCAGTCTCGAATTGGCCCGCATCTTCGCATTGCTGTAATACGTCCAAAAGCTCTGACACCGTTGTCAAATTGTCCGTCATCGTATCGATCTGTTTCAATGGATACGGTTTATTGGTGTCCATCTTGAAAGCGCATTGTTTCCCACGATTAAAGTGTTTGAACTTGACGATGAGCTGATAGTCTGTAATAAATCCACGTTTCCTGGTCAAAATTCCTCGCACATAAGCGGCGTTAGGCTCGTTCGGTAGTCCAGAACTGATTGGCATCTTAAAGTGTTCATCGCTGGTCAACAATTCCAAGCATTTATCCACATTATCTATGATGTTGGGCAATTCAGGCTTTATAATCTCATTAATCAACCAATTTCGTTCATCACCTTGTTGGTTTTGTTTCGAAGCGTCACCAAAGTAATCTCCAGGGTTTAGTTCTGTAGTCATTGAAGCGTCACTGCTCGAAGTCAGGCGACTCGTCTGCTATCAAAAGGGCTGTCTCTTGTAGGGTGTCTTGAATTTAAAGATATACTAGGATTGACAACGAACATTATAGTTAATTTACTTCAATTTGACATGAACATCTCGAAATCGTTAAAAGGTGAGTTGTTTCAATGCTTAGGAGGGCTAGTTTTCAAGGTTTGAAATCACCTGGATCTACACAGGCCCGCCAGTTTTTTTTGGCGAGCGCTCTGACCTTTGGAAACCTCATTTTTGGTCGTGATGCTCGATTGGCAAATGCCATGGACAGGGGAGAACTGCACAACAAGAATAATACTGGAGAACAGTTGAAATATAAACCAATTGCTGATTCTCGTCCCATGAAACCCAAGTACAAGGGCCATATCCCATTATACCCTCATGAACGGGTTCTACTGTTTGTCATTTCAGGACTAAAATCGTATTTCCATCCGGAAGATGGTGACAACATCGTTCAATTGGGTGAAGCATCGGCGTTTACATTCTTCCTCGAGAACTTACAGCAGACTATGCTTTCAGATAAGACTGGAAGGCGCATTTTGCGGGAACAACCCGATATCACGTCGGAAAGTCTCGATATGAAGCGTCTAAGCAAGATGCCATCCAACACTTTGGGGTACAGCTACTACAAATGGCTCATCAAGGAAGGCGTTTCTCCAGATACCAGGGCCCCCGTCAAATACATTGACGACCCGTTGCATGCGTATGTTTTCAAACGGTATCGCCAATGCCATGATTTTTACCATGCCATCAACGACCTGCCAATCATCATTGAAGGTGAAATAGCAGTCAAAGCCCTCGAGGCAGCAAACATGGGTGTTCCCATGGCCGCATTGGGAGCTGTTCTGGCGCCCCTACGTTTGAAGCCGGTGCAAAAAGATCGTCTATACAACGTGTATCTGCCCTGGGCAATTAAAAGCGGCCTGAACGCTAAGCCATTGATAAATGTCTACTGGGAAGAGCTACTGGATCACGACCTGGAAGACATTCGTAAGAGCTTAAATTTGTCACCGCCTCCAGACCTCAGACAAATTAGAAAGGAAAGAGCTCAGCAGCGCAAACAGTTTAAGCTCAAGTATGAAAAGCACGAAGCCCAACAATTTGAATGAGGAATCAAAACCACCATCCTTTTTTGTTTTGTATTACGTCTATCTAAAAATTAAAAAAGCTCTAGCATATGTTGATACCTCACTTCTGTTTATCCAGCACCTCATGATCCGATTCAACGTCAGCCGTTGTCAGAGAACTCGAGTTTTCTAAACGCCCGAGAGGTGCTTCATTCTTCTGGTAATCAAATTCGTTGACCTCCTCGGGTAGCAGTTCCGAGAATGGAACCAAACCTCTTCTTCTGGCCTCTTCGTCCGTGAATGAATTGTAGTAGTCTTTGTCGTCTTGCTCGATCTTGATCTTGACTGGGAAGATGAGACATACAATCCAATAGGTGAAGAATGAGATCGCAAAGGATGTGAAGGAGTCTGCAAGGTAGAAATTTAAAATACCTTGGCTAACCTTGATGTTGGGATTGGCCTCCGAAGCTAAACCTGGGAGACCTGGTGTCATGCCACACACAAAGGCAAACATCGCGCGCCAATTGATACCCCAGGTGTAATAGTATTCACCGTGGAGAATAAACGCTTGTGAGACAGAGTATTTCCGCTTCCTAATCAAAAAGTTATCGCAAATCATGACGGAAATGATTGGAGTCATGATAACACCAAAGGAGTAAGCCACTGTCAAGAAAGTAGAGGAGGAATTGTAGAAATTCCAAGGCTGCACTGCTATGCTGAGAACAGCACAGAAAATAGCACCCCTGAAGATATTGATGTATTTGGGCATTACACCACTCAAGTCCATACCGGCTGCGAAACCGCAGTTAGAGATCGTGTAAGAAATTTGGGAGCATAGGAAAGCTAATCCACAGAAAAATGTGGCCGCTCTGGCACCTGCAGAGTAGCCGTTGGTTAGCCAATAATTGCAAATATCCATAGGCATCCAAAAAGGTTCGCCGTATAGATCATTTGACGTCGAAGCACCGATGACACCGTAAACGGGGATCAAAGTTGTTGGAATTAATAGGGCCAAAGTGGTACCGATGTAAACGGCCTTCTTAGACGTCGAAAATCTGGAATAATCGCTCTGATTGGTGGACCCTGGCGAAACTGAGCCAAACCAGTAAGAAACCATGTAGACCCACGCCCATGCCCTTTCGGAGCCGTGGATAGTGGTCTTGGTGCTTTTGAAGTAGTCGCCCACACCTCCGTTCATTTTGCACAGATAGATGATCATGCACGTCATAGCGACACAAGTAGCACAGCAGGATGCAATCAAAAAGTAGTTCATCTTGTAGGGTTTCATGAGATAGAAAAAAGATGCAATGACATGGAACAACATGAATCCGATGACTTCTTTGGTCTGCATTGCAACGTGTTTCGTCAAAGTGTTAGGAAGCATGAGATAATGATGGGACCACGAGTCCAAAATCATGTTTACACACAAACCACCTAGCCAGGCGTTCGACCCATAATTCACGATACTCATTAAAAACCGCACCAGGATGCCTAAACCGGAGCCGTAAATTCCAAAAACAAACCTTGACGAAATTGTGTAACCCACTTTCCAGTCTGCACCGTGGTAGGAGTTTGCTAAAGTGAAAATGATTGTAACCACATCGCCAACGATAAACGTTCCGATGGTCTCTGGATACGACAAGTTCACACTTAGAGCAGCATTTGCACTAATCCAGGTCCCTACACTGAACGAAATGATACCCCAGTATGCCAAATTGGAAATCCAGCCCCTGTTGGAAAAGTTTTGTTAGTACTTCGTTCCTCATTTCAAAATCTTGCAACGGCTTATTCCACACCAACATACCATGTCTGTTCTTCCTTTGGAATAGGCTGCAAATCCGGGTTTTTCAGCACACTCAAAGTTTGTCTTTCATGAACAGGAACTTCCAGGAAAGCCAGACACCGTGACACACCTCTTCTGAAGCTGCCAGGGGCCTCTCTAGATTGCACACTTTCGCTAGACATCTAGGATAATTATCTGATGTAATTTTTAGTGCCAACCACCCAGTTGTTGGATGCTCTAGTGTGAAAGTTCGGATTTTAATGACAAAACTTAAAACGGTCGACTACAACGACCAGATTTTGATGTCTTTGCCAAGAGAAGAATCAATTTATATGATCCATCATGAACTGAAAAAGGTACTGTCGAGAAACAAGCTTTTTTAGTGTAAAACTGATGATTTTTTGCATCTACATGGTTGTTGCAGCGGTCGGGAAACTTAAAGCATCGGTATGCGTTTATGGGAATCAATTAACTATGAGGACTGGTGATAATTGAAAAATTATTGATACTGACAGACAGCGTCACACGGTACGGGAACGGGTTGCGCGGTGGTGAGCATTTCCTCAGAGGACTAAACTACATCAAGAAATTCTGGTATTCGTGGTGAGAAAGCGAGTGCTTCGCTGTTGTTGTAGTGGTTTTTTAAATTTTTCGAATTTATTCGGATACATGGTTTTGGGGTCCCCTGTACTGATGTATGATGGGGCGTGCTCGAGAAAAAGGGTTATTCCAACGCCAAAGCTTAATATGCAGTTTGGTAGGGTTTCGATACTGAATCTTTTGACGTAGTTTCGACCAACGACAGTTAATGTTAATGCCAAGAAACTGGCGCGGATGGTCATTCTGTACGTATGTGTCGCTCGAAATTTTTTTGGGTTGTGAAGACCCGTCTGTCGAGCCAAGAAGAGAGTGAGTGACGACAACAACAAAGGAAACTTGTCTGTGTGCACAATGGTATAACATCATCATGTTCGATGTTTGTTTCCTTACGAGTTTTGTTCGCGAAATATACGACTCTGGATTTTGATGCGTTTAGCGGTAAGGACAAAATATGTATTGTGGCATGCCTCGTCATCTGACTGCACATAGTGATGAAAAAAAGGAAAACTCCTCGTTGTCGTCGCTACGGTCAGAACCGTAACAACGTTGAAAACCCAATAAAAACTGTCGCACCACTGACCAACTCCTAGCTTCATACGCGCAGAGAGCTCCATAACTGTACGCAACGAACCTCCATCACTAGCATCGCATTTAAGTCACTTTATACCAATCCGTCGTTGTCGCTACTCAATTACCTAATACCGAGTTATCAGTGAGGTCACGTGAAAGAGAGGGTTTAGAGGCCTTTTTATTTCACCGTCATATATCAATTGATCTTTGTATTGGCCTGATTTCATCCTCCTGCTAACGACGAGCCAACCGTAGAGCATCTGGCTCAAACCCTCAGCTTGAGAGTTCAGGGGGGTTTAAATCTCACGATAATCAGTGATTCTAACATCATCTTCCACGATTATTCCTTTCTCGATGTAGCTGTGAGCTCACCAAGGCAAGAATGACTCTAGAGTAGCTCAAAGTTCCGCCCTTAGTAACTTTAATAAAAGCTGATGGCCAAAAGTTTCGTTCTTGCATTATCCTTGCTGTTTAAAAGCTGTATCACGTGATGCGATTTGCAACATTCCAGCTTCACCTCACGGATTGGAAACCTTTGAGGTTTAGCAACGCCCTTGATAAAACATCTCATATTGAATATGCATACTGTTAACCACAACGCAGTGGCTACGTGATGTTCTCACGCTGGCTCAATGACTTCCTATTGTTGTCCATACATATATCATTTTCTACGCGCAACCTCGAAAACTGAATTTATCAAATCCTAGCTCATCTCATCTCATCTTCTTCCGAGAATCAGTCAACAAAACCTTTGGTAGTCACTCCAAGTGGCCTGCGTAACTCAATTCATCCCTTTTTATGTCTGGAAAAAAGCTCAAAAACAAGAACCAGCTTTTTAAGCGGCAAAAAGTAATCGATGCCCGTACCATACGGACAGAAGCTCTGAACTCGACTTCAAATGCTGCCAACGAGCTTTCAGAAAGCGGAAGTATGCTTAAAGTACCTGAGTTCATGCTCTCGCGTGAATTTGAAGTAAAACAGCTCCAACTGGCCATCCACAAATCAAAAGCGGTGTCTTCAACCCGAGTTTTTCAATCTTTGCCAAGAAAACTCCGCCGTAGAACAGCTTCCCATAACGTGAAAAGAATACCTAAACGTCTCAGAAATCGAGCTCTTCGAGAAATGCGCAAGAGTGACCAATCAGTCACCAATGGAACCGAAACGGCGTCGAAAAAGAGGAAATATGGTCTCACCGCCAGGCAGTTGTATAAGGCGCGCATGGCTGTCAAATTACTCCGGCTGGCAGCCAGATCCAAAGCGATGAAACTAGCATTTCCAGCTGACGCCACTGCGAGTCATCACAAGCTGCGAAAACGGATCAAGGCGTTGCAGAAAAATATCAAAGAACACTCAAAAGGTAAGGTGTGCGCAACTAGAAACAATGTTATGGGAAGTTTAGACTCAACCGGTGTAAACGCCGCGGCTACCAAACCCACGGGTCGCATTAAATTTATGAAGAGACAAAAGACATTTTCTTGGCTGCCGACTCATGTATGGAGCGTCAAAAGATCGCACATGCTGAAAAGGTGGGGGTACCAAATACCTTGGTCACCCACTCAAAAATGTTTCAATCTCACACACAGACTTGGTAACAGTGTATCTACCTCTGACGGTGCTTTATGTTTGGACTCGAGCTATATTGGAACCATGATTCTGGCATGCGAAGATCCGGAGCTTCTAAAAGAACAAATTTCTCTACTAACCAATAAGAGAGGTTCGCTACCGAAATACCGAAACTCACAACATTGGTTTGAGGGCCCAATATTTGATGAGCAAGGGATTACTCTAGGACCTGGGGAGCTACTTTGGATCAGTTCGCAAAAATGCATACTTCGAATTCACCCGGCAATTTACGAGAGCGTCTTTGAACGAATAACGGCACTAGGCAGGGCTGAAATGACCGTCTACGACTGTCGTTACGCTATCTCGAGTATTACTCTCACCGGTGCCAAGTCGCTTAATGCGCTTTCCCAGGTACTGCGTAGCTCAGAAACTTCCCAATCATACAGTCAGTTCAAAAAGTTTTCATATGTAGCAGATATTAATCTGCTACCGCAAAGAACGATATTTGGTTTCGACGCAATGGATCCAAGGCACCTTTCAAATCCGAAGCGACTGCTTAAATCGAGCCCCAGTGCCGATGATGTATTGAAACTTCAATCTCAGTACCCTCAAGATGAGATTACATCGATTCTTGATAAACTCTCCGATTCAAAGGAACGTGAAAATTCATACTCCAATCAGCAGACTTTGAAACAACTAGCAGCGCGTCGCAGAAAAATGCTAGACTCAACAACACACACCAATGCTATTCCGTTTGTGAAAGATTCGGATCCCCTATTTCCGGTCGTAATCTCAAAACTTCCCAAACGCGAGGCTTGGCTTGTTCTCATTCCATGGTTCTGGCAGCTTCCTCTATGGTATCAACTGCACAGGATTTCCCGAGTGCATCATATGGGGCTACGTCAAATACAGCAGCTAGACTTCGAAAGTGGCAGACTCTTCTTTCCAGACGATTATCCTTTCACAAAAGCAGGTAATGATGAGAATTTGCTCAAGAGATCTACGCAAGAAGCGCGTTGGAAACGCCAGCCGGTTGGCAAACGACTCAATTACTCCAAGATTCTGGGAATACATATGGAAACACCGGTAATGTTTCCTGGTGAAATCGGGGACCCCTTCTCTTGTGACTGGCGATTTTTACAGATTTTGAGAAACGGCTTGTCGTACTTGGTTTCCAGTGGCGACAATAGCTTGAGAATGTGCGATCCTAAGCGGACATCTCAATTTGACGAGTTGAACCAACGAAAGCTGGAGTATATCAACGATGTCGTGGAGCTTTATGGAGACGTCTGTGCCGAGAAATATAAGCCTGCTGGACTACCAATTGAGCTGATTAATCAGCCGCTATCCAAATTTCAGTCCGATGTACAAACATTTAATGGTGTGGATCGATCCCTGCAGCAAGAAATTGTTTCTTGCCCACTCCCTATCATAGCAGTTAAGTGTTCGTTCTTGGAAAGAGGACATCCCAAAGACTTGGCGCGGATATATTCTATTCCTGAAAAGGATATAAAGTACTGGCACTCGATCTCACGGTTGCAGTCACGCGCCAACGGCAAGAGGGATCATGATACCGAGCATCCGCTTCCACACTTGTCGAACCTGATAGGGTTTGCTACATGTGGCACGTTCCATTTGGGAGACGGCAAGGGCGTCTGTACGGGTTTTATCGATGCGCGCGAAGCCCAAGAAAAAAGTGAGGCCAATAATCTCGTTTTGGTCAGAAATGTGGGCACGAACGTTTATAGACTAGCCCAATGGACACAAATCCTGATTTAAAATCTTGGGACTGAGCACTGACATCACACAAGCAGTAGCGAACAGATGACAAAAGTCACTAGGTTATTTGCCCAACGACTAAGATAGTATTAGCCCTGATTGATCATATTCACGAAGGGGCAATTCAAAACGAAAGTACAATTCATTGACAGCTGTAGTCGCTTTCCATTTCTTCTTTACTGACGCTGTCATCCATTGATGACACATTAATAGTTTCGTGACAAAAAGTTATTTTACACGTGATGTTTTTTTTTCGTAGTTTCTGCTTTGTTTTTTTTCGTCTAGAAAAATGTATAAATAGAGGTCAAAACGTTAGGAACTTCCTTCTATCCATCACACTCTTTTGAGTTTTTGTTTTATCTCCTCATACTTACCTTAAGATGTCAGAGGAGATCAAGAAGTCCTTCTGGCCAGATATGTCTTTCTTAAGCGATGCCTGTGTTTTTCAGGATACAGGTTTGCTTGCTGGGTCTCATTTATAGACTGCACATACGTGCGAAAGGTGTATTTGCTGACGTTTCGTTTTCTCGTTCTGCAAGTGTGCCATTTTCTTTCTTAAGGAAGACAATGGCATGCTTGTTGGAGCCCTTTGTTTCTTCTGCCTGGAGAAGGATGGTGCTGATTACAAGTCAGCGCTGGGAAAGTCGGGCGCGAATCTTGGCCGTTCTAAGTGCTGATACTTCAGCTCTCTGTGACAACAGTCGATTCCTGTGTGTAGGCATTTCGTTGGCGGTTGTTTGCGGCTATGGTCCTCGGATGATGGCTTCAGATGGCTGCTAAATGGGTGCCGTTATTGCATGGTGAAGGTGTGCTGTTGCGAAGTTCGGTATAGGACAGGATTCACGCACGGTAGAAACGGGTAGGTCTTATAATTTTTGATTTCATTCTTTTTCCCTTTTGGATTGGGAAGTATGGGGAGGAGTTCGCGAAGAGAGAAGTCTTGATAATTGACGGGTTTTCTTTTAGTTTTAGAAGAGCCTTCAAGAAGAAAGCTTCAAAAGCTTGATTCTTCGCCAGTTTTCGTCATATCAGTTGATATGTTTGAATTGGCAAATTTGATAGGGTGGTTGGTTTCCAACCAAACGTTTTCTACTTGCTTTTCTTGACATAAATTCCATTATTTTCGTTTTAAGCTTGGCTTTGACATCTTTAGAAAAGATGTGACGCTTCGTATAAATTGTCAGCATTGAGGAAATCCACCTGGAGATCATACACTTGTTGACTCCAAAGCTGTTTTCTGAGAGTGTTAGGCCAGTCAGGAACTCCCCAAATTCGTGTTTTAAGATTCCTCCGGTGTGCGTCCGCGATAAATGGCTTGATGCAGTCGATTTCATCATTTGAGAGACCATTTATGTGCGCAGTTGGTTTGGCACTACAGTTCCGTAGCAATTGCGAGAGTGACGCGGATGCTACCACGGACAGCTGCTCGTGCTGATCTTGTAGATCATACAACGGGGCATCTAGAAAAACGAATCTCTGATTAGTGTGTAAAATGCCATCGCCATCATTCCCATCCAAGATGTTCAGATCTGTGGGATAATCGCCAGTCAGAATCACGGTGATGGGATTCCATTCGATATGTTTGGCCTGTAAGTCAAAATAGGTCAAATACCCGGCTTCTATCAGGGGCCTGAGATGGTTTTCAACCAGGTGAGAGTAGGTTTGGGAGCTGTCCTCGGACTTGAAATCGATATACAGATAAAGCGTTGTTTCGGGAGAATTGTAAAAGACGCCGTATTTGTGATCTTGCACGTCCTCGAGACAGTTCACCTCATTCAGCATCGAAAGCAGGGGTCCCGTATACAGCGAATTGAGTGTTCTATGTTCAGGATCCAGAAACGCTTGGTTGTGGCCCACAGCCAATTCCTCGCTGCCGTCTATCAGCCACACATCTGCTTCAACGCTTGCAATTCCATAACATAACGCTTCAAAAAGCGGCAAATCGCGCCAATAGTCATTGTGAGAGTGCACGTTAGTTACTGGGTTGACGTCTCTGTTCAACTTACTGACTGTAGAGCCCTCGGGAAAACAAATTTGGCCCTTTTGAGAATGTGTCACATCCGGCGACAGATATTCCACGAAGGCGTCGTAAAAACTTGATACCAACACATCGTGGGGCTTCTCCAATGTGGACCTCGGCATAACCTGGCTTTTGAAGTAATCCAGCAATCCCATCCCGGTGATACCCAAATTTTTACCGGTATTTGCGGCACTGGCCGTTATGTGATTCGTGAAAGGGAACAGAACCGGTTTCCCATGTACGTTAACAAGCGTTCCAGCCCAAAAGACCGCGGCCATCAATAACGCCCCGGTGGCTAAAGTTCTAAACATAGCTTACGAGCCTTGTGAGGCAGTGGAAAGAGAAGTGTCGTGTTCGAGAGCAGAACTGTGAAGTCTATATGCGTGGAACTGGATGCCTTATATGATCAATTTGAAGGTTTTGTGTCACGTGATACATTATCAAGTACTCATCAAGAAACACCTGTTTGAGGTTCGAATTGTAGCTATTCCGACTGTTTGGATCATTCGAATGGCTATAACACACTTGGAAGACGAAGATTCGACCGGTGTTGGAACGAAAATTGCGTCAGTGGCTCAAAAGATGCCGTTTTGATGCTAAAAGTACCGAAATGAAACGCGAAAAAACCTGTAAACACCATAGCTCACATATATCTGTCCGGTATCGAGTTTGGAGCTTACTCGCTGGTAGTTGGACTTTATGATAGCTCGAGGTTTATTATCATCATATACGAATTTCGAGATACAGTGTATGGATCATTAATGAACAAATATTAACGTCAAACCACACTTGACGTGACATCTGCTGGAGAAAGATCGACTTCACCAACCGTATAGTAACTGTTTTAGTGGGTGCTGGACATTCAAATATTCATGGCTACCAAGGTATGAATTTTCAAACAGCTCAGCGATGTCTGAAGCTGGCAGCAGACGTCGCAGCTGAGACTGAGAGCTATTCACCAGAACGGGATTCGCGCGACCCTCCAGGGGAAGAAGGAGAAATACCCATGACACAGGTTCCCGATGATTCTGGTGCCAATGTTCTGCTGAGCACTCAGATCCAGAGCAAAATCGACGATTTGGAGCTGAAAGATGGGCTACGCAAAAACCTGTCTCAATTTGCACTGGATACATCTCTTCCCGCAGCCTCGGAGACAAGTTTAAGGACCAAAAAAGCAAAAAAAAAGGCTCCATCCAACAAACAGCGTCCTAGTAAGAGACGCAAAGAGAGCTCAACCCAAGTGAAAAGCCTAACGCAGTACAAGACCGAAAATTACGAGGCCATCAAAAACCAGGAGCGAAGACGCCACATCATGTCTCTTCTGTCTGGCAAGAAAGGGAAAATGAAGGACATTCTGGAGTTTGTGGATGCCGAAATACCAACTGCGGGCGCATCGGCTCAAACACGGCATTCGTTTTCTACCTTCAATGCTCAAGAATGGTCCAACATGCTCAAACGCTTGAGTTCTCGATTTCCTCGTTACCTTCCGTCCCAGGTGGACGCTGTCTTTGACTACCTTTACGGTGAAGAAAATGACGACTTACATGTTTGGTATAGCTCCCAAAAACCGCCTGCTGGCTCACAAGAACAGAGCCAGCCGCGTGCCAGGGGCTCTCTTTTCTTAGCTGAGTCTCCTTTGGCCCTCACTCTCTCTCAGGCCGTTGAGGAAAACAGAGACGATTTATCAGTCCATGACTCGTTGTCTTGTATTCCCAACACCACGGATGATTCGGATTTGGAGATACCCATTGAAGAAGATGCGGCACAAAAGTTCAGAGAACAGATGTTGCGCTCTGCTCCAGCGAGTTCCTCAAGACTTTTGTCCTACAATATTGCGAAAGAGCCCTCGTTCGAACCGTTGCAATCAAGCATACCCACAAAAGCTTCTGAACTAAAGCAACCATCGATCATTGAACCCTGGCATCCTTCGAAACGCACAATTTTGGCTTCACCGCCAAAATTGGCTGACCGAGATCAACTCATAGATTTGACGCAAAACTCATTTCATGTCGTCACTTCTCTGATGTCGGTCGTGAAACCGGATCTTCAGATTCCTATGACTAGAACCACCACTTGGAACGACAAAACCGTCTTTCCGGGTCCCGCTTGGACAACTCTGTTATTCCGAAGATATGAAAATGTCAACCGAAGTTCCGTTTTCGCCCCAATTAGGGGCTTCGAGCACATTCGCTGGGAGACTTTCGAAACTTTTTACAATGATAGTGAAGAGGATGAGGGGCAAGAAGATTACGAACTGCTGCGTGCTACTTTTGATTCTGGAGCATCCCGTTCACCCATTCGCACTGAAAAAATAGTTTCCGCTACCACTTCACGAGAAAACACAGTCTTTTCGGGCTCTACGCAGCCCCCGGATGCACAGCCTAGGGAGAGGTCTCCCTCTATTCCTGCTTCTATCGCGCTATCTGCTAAGGAGCTACGTCACAGCTTAAAATCTATTGGCTTCAAGCCCAAGCGTACACGATCTGGCATGCTACAACAAATTGAAACTGCATCTCAAACTTTCACGGGAGAAACCCACGAGCAGCAACGTGAAGAGATCCATCATCACCTGACAGCAATTGTGCGGGATGACAGTCAACTTTTAGAGAAGGTTTACACCTTCGAGCCTTTGATTTTCCCCGACCTGCTACAATATCTAATCGAACGAAATCCACTAATTGCTGATCTCGAAGAAACTACCATAAGAAACTGGGCAGACTGTATGGGGATATGTTTGAGGAATCCTACAGATACCAAGGCCGTCTTGTAGAGCTTCATAACTACTATAGCTGAGTGTTTGAGAGCTATTCTCTCTCAACATCCGTTCATTCACGTGACATTCCTTTTCAACTGTCATTATTTTACGGTATATATATAACCTGAACAATTTGATCCCGGTAAGCAGATCAAGATCTACTCTTTGATTTTCCGATCCCAAGCTTTATCTTACTTCGAGTTCCAAGCTGTTTACTCCAGAAAGCTTTCTGCAATGCCACAATTCCGTGGCCAGGGCAAGAAAAGCAGGGATAGCGACCTGAGATCGCAATTGGAAGATATGCAGAGACGAATCGACCATGAAACAGAAGAAGCATTATCCAAAAGAGACTCCAAAAAACACGCTCCGTTCTCCAATATCTTGAGTAAGAGGGATAAGCGGATGTCTATGCCCGTTTTTGCAGGCAGTTCGACGCATAATAACGTTGTGAACAGTGATTCCTCCAAAGATGTCAACTTCATGGTTGGGCTGAGCGAAAACCTCTTGATGGAGTGCCGGCGTCTTCAGGCTGAGAACGAGAAGAAATCGCTCAGACTAAAGTCTTTACAGCAGGAGTACGAATCTTTGAATTCCAAATTCAACACTTTATCTGCTAAATTTCAAGGTACCCAGCAGGAAGGACTGTCTTTGAAAGACACGAACTGGGAGCTTGAAACGAAGCTGCAGGAAATTACGGAGGAATTGAAAGAGCTGAAGGACTCCTCTGAACGCACCAAGAAGGAATTGCACTCAAAAATGAGTATGTGCAGGGAACTACAGAATAAATTTGACGAAACGAATTTCGAAAAACAGGGCCTTGAAATGCGGCTAGCAGATACACAACAAGAAAGCGCTGCAGATCTCGCGGGGCTCAAGAAAAACATTTTAGAGCTCAATGAGGAAAATGACGATCTTCAGCGCAAAGTAGAAGCGATGTCCTCTGAAATTCGTCACCTCACAGAGAAGCATGAAAAAGCGAAAGAGCCTGAAAGTCTTCTTGCAAACAAGCCAGGAAGCTCGGGATCCAGGGCTTTGAGTGGTGCTGGTTTAAACGAAACGCAGGTACCAAGCAAAGAACCTATCGATGGGAGACTAGCTGAAGCCCATATAGTCATCGAAAAGCTAAAACAGCAGATCTTCCACCTACAAAAGACGCAAAAGGTAAATACGTCACAGGACAAAATTTCGAAAGAGAAGGCAGTCAGAAATAGGGAATTTACAAGTGACGCAATTAATACATCCTTCGGGAGTACACCGCATTCAACAACTACCCCCGTCGACAACTCAATTGACTCTATTGAAGTTGACAGATCTTTCAATTACTCTTCTGATAACGATTCTGTTGGTGATGTCACTGATACCATGGACGTCCCGCGCAACCCCATTTTGGATGATCTGTCCTATGATGAGGGCCATAGCTTGGAAATCGAGGACGTAAAAAGATTCGCAGATTCTCATGATCTCGTTCTGCTTTCACAAAAAGAATATAAATCTCTCCAACCTATACAAAAGGGCATCGAGAAAGAAGCCCTTGCTGGTAAGCACGCAGAGAGTCAAAATATCGAACCAAGTGAAGAAGTTATGATCGCTCGTCTCCAAAAAGAAAACTATGTGATTTATGATTCAGGAGCGCATCGAGAAATTGAAAGGATACTTTCGCACTGGGAATCACCTCCAAGTGAATATCTGGAGGAAAAAACCATGAAACTAGGGAAGCATATTATCAGTGCAGAAGAATATAAATCTTTCAAGTCACCCACACTAGCCACTCTGATTAAGCGAATTGCTGAATTTGACTATATCGCTCTGCCGACGAATGAGCTTGAAACCTTGAGGGAGACTGCTGAAAATCCTTCACAGGAGTTTCTAGAGCGAAACCTAAGCAATCACAACAAAGTCACAGTTTCAAGCGATTTGTACAAAGAACTTATGGAGCCTTCGATGGATAGTCTGGTTTCACGGGCGAAAAATGCTGGATGCAAACTTATTAACAGTCGCGAATGGGAGTCTACGTTGGACTCTTTGGCGAACCCGACACTAGCCTATTTGTCAGAGGCTGCTGAAGCGAGAGAACACACACTCATCACTAAGGCATCGCACGAAAACCTACTTCACCCTCCTTTAGCAGACGTCAGCCGACGTGCAGCTGAGCTCAAACATGCCTTGTTATCAGAGAAGGACTACGAAACTTTGAATGCTACTGATCGAGCTTCGGTCGAGGAAAAGGCCGGATCCATAGGATTAGTTGTCCTTACTGAAAAAGAGCACATGGATCTTCTCCAGCCAACTCCAGAACAGCTTAACGAAAAGGTCGAATCCAATGGATATCACGTCATTAAAGATGAGCAGTACTGTACCTTGATCAACCCCGATGCGGATTGCATTGCGCAGATGGCAGCAAAATTCGATCTCGAGTGCATTGCGAGTCAGGAGATCACTGAGCTTCGCCGAAGTTTCTCTGATCCTGACGATGCCTACTTAAAGGCAAAGGGGATGGAGCGACACCTGAAAGTTCTTGAAGAGCATGAGTACGAAAAACTAGTGGCTGAGTCGGAGCTTCCAGCGCTTGAAGCAATCGAAAGAAGTATCACGACACACTATTTAGAACCTTTGCTTGATTGGCTAAGGGAAGAGATGAATTTTTCCGTACTTAGAAGAGAGGAGTACGAAGAGCTACGGCGAAAAGCTGAAGACCCTTCATATGACGAATTACAAAAAGTCACCCACAACAGAGGTCAAGTCATGCTGACAGTTGACAGGTACGAAAAACTATCACATTCCTTTGAGCGGCCTGGTCTTGATTTCTTGCAGAACCATTGCAAAGCATATGATAAAGTCATTATAGACCAAGATAAATGGTCGGACGTGAACACCATGATTGAACATCCCACACTAAACTATCTGGAAAATCATGCAAAAAACAAGGGCTTACACTTGTCTGATTTCGATTCTTTAACCACGCTGGAAAATCAGATCGATAAACCCGGCATTGATTATCTCAGCTCTAAATGCAAAGCATTAGATTTCGAAATGATAAGCGCGAAAGATCTTCATGAACTCAGGAAGAACGCAGAGAAGCCAGAGAGGTCATATTTGGATTCAAAGCTACAACTGTTTGGGTGTGTTTCCATAGATAGTGATGAGCTTTCCCGGCTTCAGAGGCAGTTGCAAGTTCCTGAAAAAGCATACCTGGATGAAAAGCTGAAATCTTTCGGGTACTTGGCAGTTGATGAAACAGAATTATCAACAATGAAGAATCAATTGGAAGACCTTTCTGCTATGGAGAGCCAATTAAAGATGCCAAAATTGCCTTATTTGGAGGATAGAGCCAAAGAACTAGGCTTTGTGATAATTCAGGGAAAGATTTTATCAGATCTATCTGCTTGTGTGGAAGACCCTGAATTATCGTTCTTAGAAGAAAAGCTTAAAAAATTCAATATGGTTGCGGCGCAAATCGTAAAATCGGAGGACGGTCCTGAAAGCCTGGCAGGATTCATCGCTGTTAAAGATGAGGAATACCAAGCTATGATTCAATCCTTTCACGATCCTCCTCAGTCCTACCTTGAGTTAAAGTTGAAGAGTTTGGGCCTGGAGGCTGTTGACGCGAGTGAATACTCGGAGCTGAAGAATCTCCGAGATCATCCCAAGCAGAACTTTCTCGAAGAAAAGCTGGCAAAATTCGGCTTGTTTGTTATTCAAAGGGAGATGTTCTCTCAGCTGAGCGTTAATGGCGAAAAGGCAGATCTGGAATCACTAAGACAAGAGGCTAAAGTTCATGGCCTTGCTATGATTGATCAGGGTGAACTGGACGAATTGAAAGAAGCTGTCACATCCCCTCGCATGTCGTTTCTCGAGGACCGCTTAAATGGAAGGGGTCTCATGTCTATGAGCAAAAGTGAATACAAAGAGTTGACGCAAGCCGCGAGTGTTCCAGATATGGCCGAAATAACAACTATTCTTGAAGAGCGTAACCTAATCGCCGTTGAAGTTTCAGAGCACTCGAAGTTGAAAAAGCATGTGGAAGTTCCTGAGTTGGTCTTTTTGAAGGAAAAACTAGAAGAGAAAGGTTTCACCGCTATCAAAGAGAACGAACTTGATGTGCTGAGAAAGAACGCCCTAAATCCACCAACCTCTCTGATGGAAGAGAGGCTAAAGGACTTAGGCTATCATGTCATGACAGTTGCGGAGTATAAACGATTGGAAGATTCGGTTGAGAATCCAACCTTGACTTTTTTGCATCAAAAAGCAAGTGACTTGGACTTATTACTTGTACCTGAGGTTGAAAATCGAAAAATGGTTGAAATGCTGAACGAGCCTCCTTTGGACTACATACAATCCAAAATCAAAGGGTATACTTTATTACCTACTGATGAAGTTACGCTGCTAAGGGCCACAGCAACTTCGCCTAGCCTGGAGTTCTTGACCTCTGAAAGTGAGAAATGTGGTTACACTGTTATCAAAACAACAGAAAAACAGGAGCTAATAAACAAAGCGCAAAGTCCATCACTGTCAGAAGTAAGAGGGTATGCGAAAAATCTCAAAGCTGTCGTGTTAACAGATGATGAATTTCAATCTATGCAAGACATTGTGAAAAACCCTTCAGAAAGCTTCATTAGTGAAAAAGCGGCAGCTATTGGTCTCACTGTTCTTTCTGAAAATGAGTACACGACTATTTTAGCTGCTTCCGAGCAGGAAGCAGCTCTGCAAAAAATCGAAAAATCAGGAATGAAAGTGATCCCGGAAGAAGAATATTTAAAACTCCGCGATGGGGATGTCAATAATGCGACAATTGAAAAACTCGAATCTCAACTAGCCAAATTCGGGAACGCTATGATTAGTGTGACGGATCTTGAGAACTTGAAACGCCCATTACTCGAGAGATTGGATGACGCGCTTGTACTCGAATTCTGTGAAAAACGTAATTTGGTAATGGTATCGCAGCAGGAGCTTGCTTCTTTGAAAGATGCTATATCAAAACCTTCTGAAAGTGTTGTTGAGGCTTGTGCTGCAAAGAGCGGCAAGGTCCTCCTTTCTCGGCAAGAGTTCGATGTTCTTAAGGAAGAGGCGCATTTACCGCCTCTAGAAACCCTCCAACGTGGATCGGAAAAGCTAAATTTAGTTCTCGTCGATAAGTCAATCTATCAAAACATGATGGATCGGCTTGCCAATCCTTCCCTAGAGTGGTTAGAAGTTCAAGTGGGCGGAATGGGCAAAATTTTGTTAGACAAAGCACATTACGACGAGCTTGCCGAAATTAGCGAGAATCCGTCGATTGAATACCTGGGAGGGAAAGTGGCTCAGCAGGACCATTGTATCCTATCTTTGGTAGAACACCAGAATTTGCGAAACCAGGGACAACACCCTGATGAGAGCTATATTAAAGAAAAGGCTTCTGGAATGGGGATGGCTACCGTGGACGTAGCTGAACTCGAGGACTTGAAAAGGAGAGAAGCATATCCTGAACTTGACGAACTGGAGCTCAAAGTTCAAAAACTCGGAAAAGCAATTGTCTCTAGAGAGCAGATCGATCTTTTGGAAAGCCCTTCCCCAGAGTACTTGAAATGCGCTGCGGAGAAGAACGGTCTAGTCTTGGTAGAAAATGACGAATACACGGAGCTACGCTCATTTGAGGACCGAATTTCTACCGAAGACCTTGCCCGTATTGCCTCGAGACTATCATGCTCAATTCTGCCCAATGCTGATCTGGAAAAAATGAGAAACAATATCAAAGAACCATCTTTGGAGTTTCTCTCCAGCAAAGCTGCATCTTACGAGAAGACAGTGATTGATACTGAAGAGTTACATGCACTTAAAGATGATAGTAAGAAGTTGAGCGACCCTACGCCAGAGTTTGTGGCGCTCCTTGCGTCTGCGATGGGTCACATACTCATCGATAAGATGGAATGTGAGGAAATGAGAGCAACAATTGCAAAACCAGGACAGGACTACCTAAATATGAAGGCAAATGACGTGGGGTTTGCATTGGTAGACAAGGTTGTCTACGAAAAGCAATTATCTACACTTGACTCCCCGAGCATCCACCATTTGAAAGAGAAAGCAAATAAGCTACAATGCGAGGTTGTATTGGCATCATTATGGGAACAGTTCTCAACCACGGCCGATAGGCCAACGCTTGAGTTTCTGGAAAAGAAGGTAGGCCTTTATCCTGATCACCTCATTATCTCAGTAGAGCGTCTAGAAGCACTGAAATCTGCAGCCGGCGAATCGTCAGGAAACAAAAATTCCTTGGATGGTCCTGATAATAGGGTGGTGGAAACAGCCCCTACACCGAACGTCCAAATCAAGCCTCAAGATGGCAACTTGAATCTCAACGTCAGTGACATATACGATGCAGCAAAGTCCTTTGGCCTGGCTGTAATGCCCGCGCAGGAATTAGAGTCCCTGTTGGAAAAGCTGGAGTCTGTGACGCAAGTAGCGTCTTCTAAAAAGCTTCCGCTATCAGACCTACGGGATACATTTGGCAATAGGTTACAAAATGATACTGCCTCTAGTATTCGTTTGAGCCGGACTGTGACGGATAGCAGCGATTACTTTGACGCTTTACAGTCCGAACCGAATGATTCCATAATCAATGGAGCTTTTGATGTAAGCTCTGCGTACTACACCGACGCTTTGAGTAATCCGCAGCTTTCCCGCGCCTCCACCCTCAGCAAAAAAGATGAGGTCGATTGCATCTCAAAGATCCACGAACAGGCAAGATTATTAGGTTTTGTTCTGGTGAAGGAAGATGCTGTAGGTTTTGAAGATCTGTCGAGCGTACAGGACAACACATTTTGCCACGGAAGCGCTGCTCCCGCCATCGAAGGAACATCAAACCTTTTCGATGCAGGCTCCTTCTCTGATGAAGCGAGCACAATGTCTAGCTCAGAGGATGAAAATGCTCTAAAGAAGCGGGCAGCTAAACTAGGACTGGTGATTATAACAGAGGATGAACATGCCCAGTTCATGACGCTGAAGACCTTACAAACCGAAAAAGCCCGGCAAGAGTCAACCAGAGTTTCTGGACACGCCTCTGAAGATGATGGCTTGCTCGAACACGTTTACGAGACCCGTGCGAATGTCGTTTCGAGTATAGCGCAGTCTTCTATCACTGGGGGGAATCATGAGCCTGAATCGCAGGTAACCAAAAGCACCTCAGTTCAGACAGACGAAAAAGCCGGTTTGGGTTCTCGCTCGATCCATATTACGCATGAGACGGTTACTAAACAAGATGAGCCTGCTTATCGGGGTATTGAAGATAATATGTCGAAGATACAATCACACAACTCGTCTGACAGCCTTAAAGAGGGCAGCGTTGCCGGGAGCTCAAAAGAACGAGAAAACAGACATTCATACTCACCAAGTGTAAGCTACACCTGGAAAAAGGCTGAACTGATTGAGAAAGCTCATGAGTTCGGTCTAGTCTCTCTTGAGGCGGAACAGTTTGCGCTGATAAAGGAAGAACTTGCAGCCGCGCCTAAAACCTTGACGTTAGATGACCTAATGATCAAAGCAGCAGAATTTGATTTGGTCCCGATACAGAAAAAACAATTCGAGCAAATCAAAGATGAGCTTTCAAATCCTTCATTAACGAAGGAACAAGTCTTAGAAAATGCTACAGTATTTGGCCTAGTTGCTGTGGACAAGGAAGAATTTGAAAGGTTGACGAGTAGGAAGAGTAGGAGCGAGGACGACGAGCTCACCTCTTCTGGCATTGACGAAACGGAACTTTCTGAAGATAATGAAGATAAGCTGCACCTTGATGCGCTCGCCAAAAAGCTTGGTTTGATGTGTGTTCCTGAAAGTGCGTTTGTCGCCACCACAAGTGCGGGCGGTATGGATCCACAGAACGTTGTGGTACTACCTTCAACGTATTACGATTACATTCTTGCTAAAGACCAAGAAGGTCTGAAAATGGCCACAAATGAGGAGTTACAAATGGAAGCAAAGAAGCGTGGTTTGGCCTTTAACGGGAAAAGCAGCTCTACTCAATCACATACAGATGCGTCGCCACAACGATTTAGAATCAGCAGACAGTCGACGATTCGCTCGAATCTGTCATCGGAATCCAGCAATAGACGGACTTTGGCCGAGGCAGCTGCAAATGCTGCTTACAACGACTACGATATGGTTACCATACGGTCGCGTGGTGGTCGCACCTCAATGTCATCTGGTCGTCAGCCTATTTTGAGCGCCGAGGTCGGAGTGCCTCACATTCGTCAGACTTCCTTCGACGGTGGCATCTCACTGGCCACAGTTGCGTCACTAAGCGAACCAAGCATTATCCCTGCTCTTACGCAAACAGTCATTGGGGAATACCTCTACAAGTATTACAGACGTCTTGGACCTATATCTAATGTCAGCTCACGTCACGAAAGATACTTTTGGGTGCATCCGTATACTCTGACGTTGTACTGGTCAACGAATAACCCAGTTTTGGGAAATCCTGCTACGAACAAGACCAGGGCCGCGGCCATTCTTGGTGTCGAAAGCGTGGATGATCCTAATCCTTATCCCGTGGGATTGTACCATAAAAGCATTGTCATCAAAACCGAGACGCGATCTGTTAAAATCACATGTGCTACGAGACAACGTCATAACATCTGGTTCAACTCCCTACGTTATTTGATACAGCGGAGCATGGATGGCATTGAATTGGACGACCCTGCGGCCGACTCAACTGACACAAACAAGATTTACCAGCTTCCAGGCGAAACACCTCAACTCACCAACCAAAGGCTGTCTTCGACCCGACGTGGATACTCTGCAGGCAGTGCAAAACGGTCCGCTTCCTCCAGGACTCTAAGACCATAATAACAGGTTTGAGCTCACATCAGTTTTAGGTGAGCCTTAGGGCTTAACCTTCTCCGAAAAGCATCGTGCACTACAACAATCGAAGAAGTATACATATTACCAAACGATGTTGAAGCTTGCACCAAATATTCCAGACAAAGTCTAAAAAAAGTCCGAAAAATACACGCTCGGGCTCTAGCGAACACGGTTGATTTTGCAGTTGAAAGGGACACTCAACTGACGTCGATGACAGTATTCTTGCCGTCATATCTATATGGGTCCATCTTATCTCACCATCACGTGCTGTTGTCCTGTGGTGTTAATTGGGACTGTAGATAAAGGAAGGGATTTTGAACAAGTTGACACTCCTTGACTACCTTTTGGTATCAATCAAGTCGCGGCAGATCGATCTGATACTTGACTGGAACATGAGGGATGAGGAGAAACTGAGTAAGTCTCTCGGGGCTGAGAAGCAGGGTTCAAACAGACTTATTAGGAGCATTTGTCAAGGAATTATAGCAATCGTGGGAATCTGTTGGATCACCATAGGACTTGGAATTTCCCCTTTTTCGCATGGTATTTTTGACTATGGGAGCTCTGGGGAGTTGGGAGTCGCTTCTCCCATCGAAAATGCTTTTCTGAGCGCTTTGGACGTGAATTTGGCAGGCAACTGGTCTGAGAAATATACTTCGGTTCCGCACTTGGCCGGCCAAGGCATCGAGTTGGTGGATTGGACAGCTAAAAAATTTGAAGAGTACGGCTTGTCGACTGAAATTGAGGGCTTTGACATTTATTTGAACTATCCTGTGGAAAACGGGCTGGCCTTGTTGAAAAAGGGCAGAAATGGGACCTCTGTAGCCTACAAAGCTTCCTTGCGTGAAGATGCGCTTCCAGAGGACCCCACGACCAATGGAGATGACTTGGTCCCAGCATTTCATGGTTACAGTGCCTCTGGCAACGTCACCGCAAACTACGTGTTTGTTAACTACGGCACTAAGGAAGATTTTGAGCTTTTGAAAAGCCAGAAGGTTAACCTCAAAGACAAAATAGCGATTGCAAGGTACGGTAAAATTTTCAGAGGACTGAAAGTAAAATTCGCGCAAGAAGCAGGGTGTGTCGGGGTTCTTCTCTACTCCGATCCAGGGGACGACTATTATCAGGAGGCTAAGGGTGACAAAGCGTATCCTGAAGGACCTGCAAGAAATCCTTCCTCTTTGCAAAGAGGCTCGGTCCAGTTTCTGAGTGAAGCTCCGGGGGACCCAACCACTCCTGGCTACCCATCTCAAGGCGACGTTGAACGTGCGGACCCTAAGGGACTCATCCCTGACATTCCAAGCTTGCCAATTTCGCATAAAGAAGTAGCACCTATTTTGCAGAAATTGAACGGTCACGGTCTAAGTGGCTCCAAAATCGGTGGTGACAAATGGAAAGGAGGACTTAAAGGTTTTGATTACTGGACTGGACCGTCTCCAGACTACTCTTTGAACCTATATAATAATCAATCCTACGATATTCGTCCAATTCACAACGTTTACGGAAATATTACCGGAAGTGATTCCGACGAGGGATACATCTTAATTGGCAATCACCGAGATGCGTGGATCAAAGGCGGAGCTTCTGATCCAAACAGTGGATCAGCTGCGTTGCTAGAAGTCATTCGTGGTTTCCATCAACTGCAGCTTACCGGATGGAAACCTCGTAAGACAATAATTTTCGCATCGTGGGATGGTGAAGAATATGCATTGTTAGGATCTACGGAATTTGGTGAAAAGTATGGCAAAGATCTGCAGGCTAACTGCTTGGCGTATTTGAATGTCGACGTTGCGACCTCAGGTAAGACCCTTGGGATACAAGCTTCGCCATTTTTGAACAAAGTTTTGAATGACTCTCTTCACCTGGTAGATTATCCTCTTGGGGGTTCACTTCACGATCATTTCTTTGAAAGTAAAGAAAAGTTTGGGATTTTGGGCAGCGGCTCAGACTACACAGTGTTCCAAGAACACCTCGGTATTGCATCTGTGGATTTGGGATTCAAAGGCGGTCCTGAGGATCCTGTGTACCATTACCACTCGAACTATGACTCTTATCACTGGATGTCTACAGTGGCAGATCCGGGTTTCAAGTTCCACAACGCTTTAGCCAAGTACCTCGGAATTATCGCGCTCAAGCTCACCGAGCGTAAAGTCATACCCACAGAAGTTGCGACATATGGCGCGGAATTAAAACTCTACTTCCAAAGGTTGGTCGATAGGGTTCCAGCAGAATGGCTGGATGTCCCGTCTGGAAAATGCCATCGCACGGTTTCTGACGTTATCACTTCCCTGGGAGATGAATTGAATGGCTTTTTAGAAAACGCTGGTGTTTTCGACCTGCGCTCAGAGGCGTTGCAATCCAAATGGGATTCTTCAGAGGGTCAACCATTTTGGAGACGGATTGTGTTGCACTATAAGATCAAGAGTTTGAACTACAAATTAAGATATCTGGAAAGAAGATTTCTGTACCGAAAGGGTCTTGACGGAAGGCCTTGGTTCAAACATGTGGTGTACGCTGCCGGCAGGGACACTGGATACGAAGGATTTGCCCTACCAGGCTTGAAAGAGGCGTTAGACGATGGAGATATAGTTTCCTTCGTGAAGTGGTTGAAAATTATTCGGGCGAAGGTGAGGAAATTGAACGACGACTATGCTTGAGACATAGTTGAAAATACTCGTACGGTGCATTCTTAAAGGAAAGCATCGTGATCACATTCTAATGACAGACAATTCACAAAATACAAATCTCTAGATCACAAAAACGCTGAGAATCATTAGTTTGACAATTTCTATAAACCAAATAAGCGATATAAATAAGATTTGAGGAGCTTCGTTGCGGAAATTCGTAGCTGAACTTTGTTTTCTTGTAGAGGTGTCCTTCTTCACCAGGCCATTTTTTGCAAAGCCTGGACGTTGGCGTGTTTGTTTCTGCGTCCCGACGCAGGGCTGTGCGAAAAATGATTGTGGTGGTGTTGTTGTTGGTGTTGTAGCGGTGAGTTCGAGATGTGACCTGCCTGCAGGTACACTTTGATGTCGATGTCGTCGCCGTGTTTGAAGCAGCACCGTTGGCCGTAAGGACACGAGCCCGTTTTGAGCCAATTCGCGCAGGGTTTAGTTCTGAACTTGTTGCTGCGTTCTTTGAATTTGAGTTCCTGCAGTCCATGGGCAAACTGGCAATTATTGCCGTACCGACATTGGCCTGTGGTGGAAAACGATTCGCACAATTCGGTCTTGTACAGGGTCTTGTTGCATTTTTCAGATGCAGCACCCAGACACTCCGGACGCTGTGGGGCCAGTTTGGGGTTTTGCAAAAGTTTCAGATTTTCGCTTGTCAACGGCAATACTCCGGTGGCAGGCATGTAATGAGAATTAATCTGCACTTCCAGCTGCGATGCAGCGAAAGCAGAAGGAGCAGCCACCTGGTCTAGATCTTGGACCTGTCGTTGCTGGTGTACCACTTTTTCTTTCTGCTGTGACCAATCCGGTTGTTCCTCATCCAGCAACGTACGCATGTAGTAGTCCTCGATTTCCTTGATTCTGGCATCGAACCCGTCATCTTCACCGGAAAACACCGACGAGGTCTGGGTAGTCTGTGATGAAATACTGAGATGTGAGTTCATATTATTAGCTGTGTGATACCTTTTTTGTCTATGATACTGGTTTATTTCTTCTATACTTCTTCTATACTTCGTCTTTTACTTCCTCTTCTACCAGCACGCTCTTGCTTCGCTAAACACCACCTATATATATAGACAATCCGCGCTGCTACCACTACTTCCACTACACCCACAAAAAACAACACGCTATAACCCTTGCCACACCAATTTGTCAACTTCAGCACCCATTCTACAACAAAATAAGCCTAGTTCCCGACACAGGATTCGTAGTGTTCATAGTTGTACACCCAAGTATCATTGAGCCAGACCCATACTGTGAGCAGATTGTTGCGGGCTGGAAGACGCAGTTGGGAAAAAGTGCACCTCGAACCGCTGACGCGCTAGACGGATCGTGGGGATCAACGGATCTGGGTGACAATTGGGTGTCATTTAGATGGCTACAGGACTGCTCGAAGAGCCAATATAGTTTGCACCCAAAGATAGATAGGGTCCTCTTTTCCTGTGTTTCCCTTTTGGGAACTGGAAAAACAGGTCGAGGGTAGCACGTGTGTGTAGCACTTTGTACGAATGTGTTTACATTTGGTGTCTGGGTGTGACACAAAAACCAAAAATTTACAACCGAAAATCGAGTATAAAGGGCGGCTAAGGATCCCATTTGCGACCTTTCCCGGTTCATACCACTTGTTGGGGACAAAAACGACAAGAGCAGAGAAGAAATGTCCCACCACGAGTATTTAAAGTTTTACGTATTGCCTATATAACGCTACCTAACCTCTCGTGTGCACGAAACACTGCCGCCGATGTCAACGAGTGTTGATCGCTCGCAAACAGGTTGTCCGACACTAACGCCAACGCAGTTCATATGCGTATTCACATAGTAAGTCGCCAACCGCCCTGTGTGCGTTCAATCCCCAAAGCCATCGAGCGTGTGACTCAACCAGTCAGCCTTGCGAAACCCAAGACGTGCAATTCATAGTTACAGTAAATATCAAGAACGACTACGAGAGCTCGGATTCAGGTGGGACGTAGATTCCAATCGCCTTTTTTTGAGTTTGAAGTTGTAATTCGGATTCTTTGTCGAAACTGGGGCTCAGCTCTACTGCTGTCGATCAAGTTCGAAACATCACGATTCGAACGGGACTTTGATGTCAGGCCCAATTCGAACATCCACTGGATACCGCCAATTCCAAGATCTGGTGATGAGGAGGTGGGTCTTTGGGTCGCTAGGGGCAATTAGAAGACCAACAACATACAAAATTGTTTGAATTAACCCAAGAACTTTGCTGATGAACGTAAAAAACAGCTTCACAGACTTGTATCTAAGCGTCGATTATATCGAAAAAAAAGGACTTGCTGCATTGATGATCTCGCCCAAAGTATCAGAATCTGACATCGATGAGGTCAACAAATCACACTTGTGAACTCCAGTCAAAAGACCCAGATTGAAAAGGGCAAGGTCGCCTTTGGATGATAAAAGATGGCACTCGAACGAAGTACGCATTGAAAAATGAAAAATTTTGATTCGAGAAACGTATATTTCGTGGGTCGCAGCTTACCATTATGACAAGGACCGTATTGCAAAATTGATGCAATTCTTATTTGACGAGTGACATTTTCTATCAAAGAAGTAATCATTCTTTGAAGGCTCTAGGCTTGTGCAACAACCTTTAATGCTGCCTTTGGAAGCTTATCTTGCGTGACCACAATCCACACTTCGTGTGTTGTAGCTTCGTGTTCTTGTAAAGTCATCTGAAATATGCATCAAGACATTCTAGAATACTGTACGCTATTCGTTCAGCGGCTTCGTTAACAATTGTTTGCCGGGCAATGAGCGATCTGCTCTCATTTTGGCGTTTGTGCTGTGTTATCCGTGCATTGCATAGACCCTGCAGTGACTATTTGACGCTACAGGTTTGCGTCACCGGAGTAACAGGACAGGGTCTAAGGGCAATATCAAAGATACGTCACGTGCTCGTCGTTAGTTTTCACGTTACTACTCACGCCCTTGACTTTTTGGCTGCCTTTTAGGACTACAATACCAACAGATATTGAATCGAGTTTTGCACAAGGTCTGAGGTCTTTCCCAGTGTATTGACTCTTGTGTAGTCATTTGGTTCCGATGCACCACGTCTTTCAGCGAGGAAATTTGACATACGTAAACGGGAAGAACTAAAGTATGCCAAAGGCTATAAAACTAAGTTTTGACAGTGTTCGTGAATGATATTCATGGGAACATATACTAAGAATTGGTGCGATACTTGAGTGGTAAGTGTCTTGTTCCTTTTTGAACAATCAAATCACAACATACGTAAGAACGAACAAAGAATACCGTTGAATGTGCAGTACATATGTTGAGTTACTCTCAGGAGACCCAGAGCCCGGTGATCTAGTCCTCATTCTGTTCTTTGCCTCTAAAATTGTTGTTTTAGAAAGATTTGTACATCACCTCGAGAGCAGGTGCTTTTTCATAGTTTGGAAGTTAAATACAACATTTGGAATAATTCTTAAAAACAGAGATTTTTCGAGATGAGTAACCGAGAGCCTGGAGAGATGGACATGGCATGTGTTTATTGAGATGGTATGAAGGGCTTTGAAAGAAAAGGTGAAACAGGTACTTCTTTCGAATCCTTCTGATCAGTTTTGGAGTGAGAAAAGAGAGAGGGTTTGTGTCACGTGATCCAACGACAGCGACAGTTTATTTTTTGGCAGTTGATCAAACATCAAAACGACGTCAAGCGCCAAGAATGCAACGCCAAATACAGAAGAGCTCTTCATACTTCTTCCATGTTCTATAATGACCCCCGGATCTTTCAAAATGAAGAAACATATGGGTTCTTCTTCCTACAGCTGAATTACTTCTGAGAATAATACAAATGGATGGCTACTTTCGAACATATTTGACGTCCAAATGAAGTTAGCAGGAAAGTATAACAAATGTTGACTTTTTCGAGGTCTTTTTGAAAATCTAGGAGTGTATGTTACTCACAGCTGTTGGTCCAACCTGACACTCTCCCCATTGAAATGAAAGTTGAAAAAAACCACAATGCGACGTTTTCGTATACTTTAGCGACATCCACATATTGAAGCCATCAATTTTGCTGGAAACAAATGCATTAAAAAGTATTATTCCTCTAGTAACGACGACCGCCACAGCAACGAGAAACCTTCCCCTTTCGACCCATCCTGGTTCGAGAGTTGCTCTTCAATTTTGCCAACTTGTGATCAAAGAAACCAATCTGAACGCCCTCAAGCTACAAGCCTATTCTATTCAATCACTCGTTCTGAACATCGATGCTTTCCCAGTACCACATTTCCTTTACCTTGGTTCATCATTTTGTCCGATACTGACACCATCTGCTGTATGTTTGATTAACACTTTTAAAGATGCTCTCTTTTCATCCAAGAAATATTCACCAACTTGGTCTCGAAACTATTTCTCTCCAAACCATTGCTTTAGTACCCAACCGCCACCTTTCGCAATGGATTATAACGAGGAGCAGACTCAAGAATTGGAAGTACTGGAATCCATTTACCCAGATGAGTTGACCATTGTTAAAGACAGTTTCCCAAATATTCAATTCGAGGTTAAACTTCCGCTGGATTTGATTCCTCTAGATAGTTCATCATTCACTCAGGGATCGTTAACCAAAGACCACTGGGCTGCGATAAATATAAAACTGCCAGAAACTTACCCAGATGTTGCTCCCATAGTGAGCATATCGTGTGAAGAACTGAAAAAAGACGGTGTGGAAAGCGAGGACGATGATGAAGACGATAGTGATTCAGAAGTAGAATACGACGACCATGGAAATCCACTTATATCCAAGCTAACCAATTTGCCTGACCAGGTCGAATTCGAGGAACACGCCCGTGTTCTTGAATCTCAAGTGGAATCTCAGGCTTCCGAAGATATGCTTATTGGCATGCAAATGACCTTTGCACTGGTTTCGTGGATAAAGGAGTCACTGGAGCAGTTTTTCCAAGAAAGGCTAGACGAACTAGAACGTGAACATGAACGGACCCTTGCTGCTCGTGAAAAAGAGGAACAAAAAAAATTCCATGGCACTCAAGTCACTAGAGAATCGTATCTGGAATGGAGAGCCAAATTCCGTGAAGAGACAGGTCGTAATGAAAGAGACGCTGCACGCAAGAAAGAAGCTCATGGCGGTAAATTGTCCGGGAGACAGCTCTTCGAACAAGGTCTGGACGGTAGCGAAGACGTGGAAGAAGACTAATGAGAATTTATCTTTTGGTTATCGTTTTGATTCCTGCTACCAGAGCATCGTTGTGTCTTTCTTCTTCCTGAGCATTTGCATTCCATATAAAAAAAGTAGATTACAGAGTTAAAAAATCACTAATGGCCTTCGACAGAACAGAGCTTTTTTATAATGAATAATAGAGTTCCGACGAAGCAGTCGGATGGAATTCCTTATTTTGTGATTGAGCCATCAAGAATGATTCTTAGAATACGAAAACAAGTCCGCAAATGCATCTTTTGAGTTGCCATTGGTTCCGGTGCTTGGCTTGCTGTTGGCAGCAGGTTTGGTAGCGGGAGCATCCCAATTCAAAAAATCCATACCCCCCATCGTGCTATTTGTTGTGTTGGTGGTAGACGTAGTTTGGGCGTTACCATCGCTTTGAAACTCACCAAAATCGTCATCATCGTCATCGTCAAGGAGGCCATTTGAGGGCTTAGAGTGGGTTGCCGAGGGTGCTGCGGTTTGAGAGGATGGAGTCTGCACAGCAGGTTTAACATCATCAAAGCTCAAAAGGTCCACAGGTGGTTCCTGAGCCCTTTTCAAAGATGCTTTACGCTGTAGTTCACTGGCCTTAATTTTTTCTCTCAAAATCTCCCGCTTCTGGCGTCGCTGCTCATCTGCAGCAGAAGCTCTGCGTCTTGGGGCTGGGGTATTGGATGGTGAAGTAGTCGCCTGGACCCTGTAGGAATCGATGTCATCGTCGTCGTCATCGTCGTCATCGTCGTAGGAGCCGTAAACAGGGTCTTGGCCCGCTACAGAAGGAGAAGATGCCGTTGTTGAGTAAGCACTTGCCGAGTGGTGGATTTTAGCGACATTTTTGACATGTTTGGAACGCTCTTTTTTCAAGAAGGCTGGATCTTCCAAGTACTGGATTAAAGTTTCGCATTTCTTTTTGATTCCCCGTTCATGTACCTCCATCTTGCCATCTGCACTGAATTCCACGCGGAAATTCATCACATCACGAAGTAGGATATGTTTATGCGTGAGTAAGCAGCCGGTGACTTGGTCGAGCTCAGATCCAGTATCAACGTTCAACAACAAAAACTCAAGCACCACCATACATTTAAGAACGACCCGCCACTCAGCTCCATAGTTGACGTATTGTTTGCGGGCCTTTTCATACAAATTTTTGGGTCTTGAAGCGATATGGTCCACCAATCTTTTCAACGTGTATTCGGTCATTAAGTGCAGTGGGACCTGGTATTTGTTGCGCATAACTTTGAACAGATGTTTGGGCGTGGGACCCCACGAGTCTGTGTTTGTTGCACGTCTAATATCAACCTGGTAAGGTTCATATTGAACAATTACGTTTTGCGCAAACCGGGCAGCATTTCTAATATCATGAATTCCCAAATTTTGAATCTTTTTCGATAGCGAATCCATCGGAACTGAGTTAGGAGTATACTAAAAGAATTCGAGCCTGTTCTCCAGCACAATGAACGCAAGCCCAAACGGTCTTATGTCCGAACAGGTTACCAGTGGGTTATCGGAGTTGTTTGATGTGGTAGTGTCTTATAGAATTTGGAAAACACTCTAGTTTAAAATAGAGTGGGAAATACCAGATATCACGATACACGAGGGCGTGAATTTGAGTTTAGCAAAAATCTAGAGAAATAAACCTGACATCTAGGCTTAAAAGATTGATTTCGGGGGCAGCGTACAATGGATAGTATTTTGTAAAATTGGAGGTTTCATATGATTAAAGCTTGGATAAATTTGACCGAGATTTGAGAAAGTTTTGGAAAATTTTTGAAATGGGAGGGGAAGGGGGATTTTTAGTACTATCTGAGCTCTGTTTTTCGAATATAGTGCCATTATGGCGTTCAAAAAACTTGTGTGAGTGATTTACCATTGTTTTTGGATTTCTTTCCCATTGGCGCATTCAAAACTCTGTCTTTTGCATCGGGTTAGATTATATGGGATGTATTCCCAACAAAAAACGCTTAGCAATCGGACCATTGCAGCTGAGACTGGCAGCTCACTTCGGTGCAGTTAGGAAGTCTACGGGGAACAAAATCGACGCTCTTTGACCACTGAATCCACATTTGTTAAACAGGGTCACATGACCGCGACGAAATAGGACAAAGTGACAAAGATTTGTTTAAAATATACATTTGTCTATGCTAAGGGTACTAGCCATTACTATAAGGGTTGATGATACCAACTCTCCAGTTTTATGTTCGCAGCATAACGGCACTCTTCTGTCTATCTCTCTCTCTCTCTCTCCAATTACAGGAGTCCTTTAAGTCATATGTAGTACGTGTACGTAAGAAACCCGGGGAGAAAAAAAAGAGGGAAATCTCGATTTTTCTTTTTTGGTCGGTTAGAGTTTAGATCGTCGCTTACAACTCACCAGACTTGGCAATCACAATGCGACCTCTGGTGGTACCGTGAGGGGAACCTAGAGACTCGATCTTCTTGACTACATCTTGGCCCTCAGAAACTTCACCAAACACAACGTGCTTGCCATCCAACCATGGGCAAGGCACGGTGGTGACGAAGAATTGGGAGCCGTTGGTGTTTGGACCAGCGTTGGCCATCGACAACAAACCTGGCTTTTCGTGCTTCTTGACAAAGTTCTCGTCTGGGAACTTGCCACCGTAGATGGACTTGCCACCGACACCGGTGCCGTGGGTGAAGTCACCACCCTGCAACATGAAGTCAGGGATCACTCTGTGGAATGGACATCCGGTGTATCCAAATCCCTTTTCGCCAGTACATAGAGCTCTGAAGTTTTCAGCGGTCTTTGGCACAACATCGTTGTACAATTTGAAAGTGATGCGACCCAATGGCTGGCCGTCAACTTCGACGTCGAAAAATACTTTAGACATGGCAAAATTAGTTTGAACTTGAGTAGATTGTGAGAATGAACAATTCAAAGCTGCTCTCAATCGAAAAGATAGGGTTGGAAAGAAGTGGTAGGTAAATGGATGACGTCCAGGGTACTTATACTTGAATATAAATTTCAAAGGGCCACCAATCACGGTGCGGCCGGGTAATGATGAGTATTTGGGGTCACGTGGGACTTCAATGTTCTAGAACTAAGGCCACGCAAGGTGAAGAAGGGGAAGTGGGTAGATTTTACGTGGGGAACAAGTACATCGGTGGTGGCGGTGGTGGTGTTAATGAACCGAGAGTGTAGAGCGAAGTTAGGAGAAGACCAAAAAATTTCAGCTTTGAAAAATCTAGGTCATTCTATACGAGATTCTATAATTATGGGTAACACCATTTGACCAATTTCTAGTTTCAGCATGTCTCAAATTCACTACTTTTTCCCCTGCCAATCCGCTCTCAAACTGGCTTTCATCCCTTCTTCTAGGGTTTCTTGAACCTTTCCTTTAACGTCATTATAGAGACTAATTAACCACCACGTATTATTTATTAACAGCTGGCTTATGAAAGCAGATATGTGTTAGAGCAGTCTTGAGAGCCACGAGTAGAGAAAGGCTAGAGCAGAGGAATAAACGGGAGACGCGGAACAGACTAGTTGTGTGGAGAATAGCACAATAAGAAAACCACTTCTTGTAACATTGAGAATTGAAAGAGATTCGCACATCATCATGTACGAAATGATTTTTCTTCACGATTTTGACATCAGAAAGTAGCCTTTTTTTGGCTGTTCAACAAGCCTGTTTCCTCCCACATACATTCGCACACACTTTTCCTTTTCTCTGCTACCTGTGTCGCCATTTGTTATTGCATCACGTGACTCCGATCTTTCACTAATTTCTCTTCACATCGCATCTCATCTCATCTCTTGAACACTTTACCCACACTCACACACACAAATCCACCTACCTCTCGCTTTACACATCACTCTGCAATCACAAATCACCCCCATGAGAGCAAGAAGACCACCCCACAACGCTTTGGATCGTCCGGTTGTAATGCATGTTGGCACCCGTCAGCACGTTTCTGAAGACGAGGTTCTAAACTTCCTAGCCCAATTTATCCAAGAACGCGAGATCGATGGCGATACAGATGCCACCGGTGCCGTAGGACAGCTTCGCAGAATAGAACGCGATTTCAAGGGTCTGCCGCCCGCCGTGCTGGACACTCAGTAGGTTTAGAGTGTATAAGTTCAACAAGTTTCATAACTACATAAATCTGGCCTTTTGAAATCTTCCCACAACTGCATGAACATTATTTTCTCAAGCATTCTTACGCGTTAACGCTCCAGCATCAACGTGAATGGCTCGATACTATCTCTAGTAGCATCGATGACTCATGTCAGTATTCATCCTCGACCATTTGTACTTGAGTCCGTACAAAATATTGTCAAATATCTGACAAAATTTCATCAAAACCTTCGGCATCGAAATCGCTAAAGATTCAAAGATCTGTAGATCCATAATCGTTCTTTACAAGTCTCTCACATCCAAGACTAGATCCCTCAGTTCTAATATGTGTGCCAAAAAAATAGTTGGTGTCTTGGGAGCCACCGGTTCCGTTGGACAAAGATTCATTTTGCTGTTGGCAGACCACCCAGACTTCGAACTCAAAGTTCTGGGAGCATCGCCCAGATCTGCTGGTAAAAAATACGTGGACGCTGTTAACTGGAAACAAACAGAGCTTCTACCAGAATTTGCCAAAAACATCATCGTTACCGAATGTAAAGCAGACGCTTTCAAAGACTGTTCAGTGGTATTCTCCGGTTTAGACTCCGACTACGCCGGATCCATCGAAAAGGAATTTAAGGAAGCCGGCTTGGCCGTCGTGTCCAACGCCAAAAACTACCGTCGTGAAGTCGACGTTCCTCTAGTAGTGCCCATCGTCAACCCTGAGCATTTGGACCTAGTGGGCCAAAAGCTCGACGCCGCGCAAAAGGCCGGCGCCAACAGGCCGGGGTTCATCGTTTGCATATCCAACTGTTCCACTGCTGGTCTTGTCGCACCACTCAAGCCCTTGGTTGACAGTTTCGGCCCCATCGAACTCTTGACTGCAACTACATTGCAGGCCATTTCCGGTGCCGGTTTCTCCCCAGGTGTTTCTGGTATCGACGTTCTTGACAACATTGTGCCTTACATTGGCGGTGAAGAGGACAAAATGGAGTGGGAAACCAGAAAAATTTTGGGCTCTCTTTCCAGCGACAACACCACGGTTGTCAATTTGCCCGATGAGGACATGAAAGTGTCTGCTCAATGTAACAGAGTTGCAGTTTCTGATGGCCACACCGAGTGTATCTCTTTCAAGTTCAAGAACCAGCCTCCACCATCGCTTGAGCAGGTCAAGAAATCGATGCAAGACTACGTGTGTGTTGCTGGCAAACTCGGTTGCCATTCTGCTCCAAAACAAACCGTCCACGTCTTGGAACAAAATGATAGACCACAGCCAAGACTTGACAGGAACCGTGACAATGGTTACGGTGTCAGTGTTGGCAGAGTCAGAGAAGACCCTGTGCTGGACTTCAAAATGGTCGTCTTGTCTCACAACACCGTTATTGGTGCCGCCGGTGCTGGTATCTTGATTGCCGAGATCTTACTCGCCAAGAACTACATCTAAAGTATATAAATGTACCTACTTTTGTAATGTTTCTTACGTAGTCCACGCAACTTTATAGAACAGAGTTACCAACTGTGTTTATTAGTACCTTTTGAAAAGTATAGAAGAATCGTTAACCGTAGTACATCACGTCGGTAATCTGAGGCTAAAGTTGAGGATCTCAGGATCTTTACCTGCGCCTAAACTTGTCACCTCATCGTCAACCAGTAATGTCGACAAATCCAGCTAGACTAGTACTGTTAGATGAGGACACAGCATTCGAACATGTATTTGACAGATACACAAATTTGCAGAAAAATGCCAGTAAACTGAGTCAAGATCTTGGCATAGTGTCAAGATCGACTACTTCTGTGAATCTTGAGTTTGGGCCTAGAGACGAGAAACAATGCCTTAGAAGGGAGCGCTTTTCTTTCGAAATCTCTCAATCCCTGTCGTCACTGAACTCTTCGCAGAATAACAACAATTCCACAACAGGCTATGTGGTGTGGTCGACGACTCCTTTTTTCCTGCAATGGCTTTTGTATTCTCCGACAGGACATGTCTTTGCCCATGGTGGGACGCTAGAGTGTGAGACAGAGACTAATTCCAAGACATGCATCATTCCAGCGATTTTCAGCGATATCAGATTGGAGTCCGAGGAACAGCCATTGAGGCAAATCGTAGAGCTGGGGTGTGGGGTGGCGGGTATTTTAGGCATAACGTTGGGCAATTACGTCGACAAATATGTGTACACGGACCAAAAGGCGCTCTTGGATCGACTTAAGCACAATGTAGCAGCAAATGTTGACGAAATGAGAATGCGAGGCATGGAATCATCTACATTGGGATTTGATTTGCCGCGCAAAACCCCACTTAGGACTCAAATGGACGTTCTAAGTCTCGACTGGGAAAAATTCGATCCCAGACCTGCAAAGCTGCATCCTCTACTCAAACCACAGCGAACAGCCATCGTGACTATTTTATCTTTAGACGTGGTCTATAACGAGTATCTGATAGAGCCCTACTTACGCACCGTCCAGGGACTCTTGAGGGCTTACAAAGAATTAGGCCACGTATCATATGCACTGGTCGGTATCCAGCTGAGAGACCAAGAAATCATCCAAAGTTTCCTCGAATGCGCTATAGTCGAATTTGAACTACTGGTCCGTGCTATAATGGACCCTGAGATAGAAAGCACAAGATTTGGCCTTTACTACATCGAGTTGAACGAGTAGAGATCACGAAGGTCAGAGAGTAGACAATACCTCCGGGTACTGCATCGCAATGAAAGACTAAAGATTTTGAAGGTCAAAGAGCAGACAATTCTTCTGAAATCTACTCAACGTTGTTGGATTTCTCCATATGACTGCAAACAACGGAGCCAGTGTGTGCTTGGACCAAAACCGCCTCCAGCAGGAATCGAACGGCCACTTCACGCCGTTATTCAAAATACCAGTCTTGAATAACCGTATAGAGGCATGCTTAAATTTGATGATAGTGATGAAGATAGAACACTTGGACGCCGTTAAAGACCTGAACCAGTGAGTCTGTAGTCATCGAGCCAGGGTGCCACGTTGAACTTTTGTGAGCTCATAAAGTAGCATGAGCTTTGCTATCGGAGCAAAGAGCCCTTCTTCAAGCTTCCAGTTTTTTGGCAATGGTAACGGTGCCAATGGTGAAAAGGGCTTTTCTCGGGCAAACAAACGGGACGGAAGTCAGGGAAATAAATCACTCCGCAAAAAGAACCCTGTTCAATTGAAACCAATGCAATCTGATGGACCACCCATCAATTTTTCGGCATCCAAATCGCTACAGCAGCCTTCAGCTTCCCCTAAGAGAAACTCAATCCCAATAACGTCCAAATCTTTCTTAAACTTAACTCCTGAAGAGCTTGGATTCACGAAAATCGCACACAGACCACGGGAAACACCAAAATACTTGATTGAACAGAAAGCCAGCCTCAAACCGCGCCCTTTTATCCAGGATCCATGGGACTATGAAAACCAACAAAAAATGCTCGCTATCGAAAGCAGAATTTCAGATCCCACTGAGCTGTGGGAGACATTTAAAAAGATGCGTGAGACGGAGCGACGGGTCATGGAAGACAAAAAACTTGTGGATCGCGCTGATTCGGCAAAGGATCTGAACGACGCCATTGTCTTCCAAGGCACTTGCCAGGACATGTGTCCCATATTCGAGCGGGCCCGCAGAAGTGTGGAAAACAACGTGGTGCGATATGAAAGAGAAGACGTAAACTCTAAAGCAATTTCTAGAGCCAAGGCGCTCAAAGTCTTCGCTAGACCTGCAGCAGCAGCAGCCCCACCCCTACCCTCAGATGTCAGACCCCCAGAAATTCTTATAACCACTTTGAACTACATCGTGGACAACATTGTAGTCAAACTGCCCGACTGCGAAGGATTTCTTTGGGATCGTATGCGCTCCATTCGGCAAGATTTCACGTATCAAAATTACAGCGGTCCCGAAGCGGTAGATTGTAATGAAAGAATTGTTCGCACACATCTGCTCATATTACATGTTATGGCAACAAGTGAGGTCGAATATAGTCGACAACAAGAACTAGAACAGTTGCACAAAGCTCTGATTACGCTCTCCGAAATCTACGATGAAGTTCGCGCCAGTGGAGGCCAATGCCCCAATGAGGCCGAGTTTCGCGCATATTCCTTGTTGAGTAGAATAAGGGACCCGGAATACGACAAGATGGCACAATCCCTACCAAAAGCGATTTTTGATGACAGATTGGTACAAATTGCATTATGTTTCCGCAGGATACTTTCAAACTCAACATTCTCGGAGCGGGGTCATATCAAGACCGAAAATGGCCTGAATTTATACAGAAGGTTTTTTGAGCTGATCCGATCAGACGACGTTCCCTTTATGATGGCATCTTTCTTAGAGGTTCACCTCAATGAGATTCGGTTTTATGCGCTCAAATCTCTTTCTCATGCAATTAACAAGAAACACAAGCCATTCGCGCCGGAGTTCCTGGTTTCTGAGCTAATGTTCAACAGTGTGGATGAGCTCTTCAAATTTTGCGATCATTACTCGATTGAAGTAGATGCGGAAGGTGTGAAGTTGACTTCATTTTCTCACCACTCGCACGTAATTTCAGAGACTACCCCACTCAAGCAAAGCTATTTGAAGGTGGTTGGTGAGAAATTAGTCATGTCTAGTCCAAAAGAATTAATCAACTGCGGAAAGCACAACTTCGATACCATTCCGCTGCGTAGCGTGAACGTCGCGAACGAAAATCAAAGTTCGAATAACCCAATCCCGGCATTTACGTCTATTGGTGCAGGAGATTTGACGTCTGCGGTAAGTACCGAGTGGCCTGCTGCTGCTACAAGTCCACAGTTCAGTTTTCAGATAGGACCTAAAAGTGATAGTACTGGAAGAAATTTAGGTCCAGGAGGCACTGCAACGAATATCATTACTATAGCCCACAATGTAGAGGCGTCAAAAGAAAAACCACAAATCATCAAAAAAGATGAGCAAAATATAAGAAAAGAAGTGCTTGGTTTCCATAGCCAAGATCGAAACGAAAAAATACAACGGGAAAAGGGAAGTTCGCCAGGAATTGGAGAAGTAAAGGAGAACAAAGACTTACGACAATTGCAGCGTAATGAAGCGAGTCAAGTAGATGCTGAAAGGCAACAAAAGGCGGCTCGTGATAGGTTACAGTTGAAAGAATTAAAAATGGTGGCAGAAAGTATGATTCAAAATGTTGTACATGACGAAGTTTTGACGATCGTAGAAAGGTCTTTGGCCTCGAGTTCCAAGAAAAGACGGATTGTCCAAGGGCTTGCGGAAGATTTATTTCAGGCATTCTTACATGAGAAACTTTTTCTTTTGACTCTTGAGGCGAAAGCGGAGCGATCTTTCAATAAGACCTTACTGAAGCAAGCGATGAAAATCTGGAGAGGAAAACATACCAAGAGGAATGAGCAAAGGAAAATCGAAAAGAAAAGGCGCGAAGAACTCATCCAGGTCAGCAAATGTCTCGGTGTTCCGCTAAGTAAACGGTATCGCATTGATTCAACGCCAACCTTCACTTCTTCATTTTCGCTACCACCTGCAAATCAAAGTCAATTGATGCACACACCGGTCGCTAATGAGATTAGCCAATTTAAAACACCAGTGCATGGAAATAACGCAATCTGGAAGCCAATCAACTTGAAATCGTTATATCTGAGCGTTATAGAGAGAAATTTGAATAAGGTATGCTCTGAACACCAAATCGATTTACCTAAACCAATGTTGATAGAACTGTCGATATTTGCAAGGAATTGGGATGGCATATCATCACGGTGGTTGCTAGCTAAATTTGATTTACAGAACACCCGCAAAACGATGGTTTCATCTAATGACCATATTATAAACCTAGCTGTCAGCGCGTTGAATTTCGACTTTACAAGCAGGGAATATGAGAATTTGCAATTACTCGTGTTCAATAGCGGTGTGACTGAAAATGATATTTTTGACCTTGAGGTCAAACTGAAGCAAGACGGAGAGAAGCTTATTGAGCTTATCCATGCAATTGCGCTCCACACTAATTACAAGGTGTCAATCGTAGTCCTGTACTGGGAGTCCACCGAAAATCCACTTTCTGACAAACAGATCTCGAGATTACTTAAACTTGACCGTATTTCCGAGATCTTTGCGGCTGCTTTGAAAAATGTACATCTTGTAAAGCTGGCGGGCGATAGTCCACATCGGATTTTGGAAGAAAACCTGGCAAAAATCGCGGAGTCTTCTAACCTGGAACTGACTGAGCGGGGCAACTACAACCTGGCCATCCGTAGTAGGAGCTTGCAGGCAAGTTCATCGACACCCGGAAGCTACCGGACCGCGCGGGAGATTGATTACAAGCTTTCCAAGGCCTTAGAAGAAGAAGTCCAACGATACCAGCAAGAGCGGGACCGGAACAACACGTATGCGCACCTGCAGTCGCATGTGGCTGCATCTCCACGATCGCGTCGCAGAAAGCTGCCTGTATTGCTGTCAGATCGCCATCGAAACCGTTTCAAGACTCCATTGGCTGTGCGGCCGTTCGTCAAACGCACTTCGTCGACATCGTCGACGTCCTCTGCTCTGTACTCCGAGCCCTCCCATCTGGCAGCCAAAATAAAAACCGAAAGGCCTCGTTCTGAGGCTACCAGCTCGCATTGGGCGTCCCCCGTTCCATCTCGAACACAGCCAGAAGTCGCTACGGCGGTGACCCCATCTATGTCCATGCCAATTGCGAATACCAGCGGTATTTCCAATGTTACCTTTGACTCCCCATTTGCCACACCGACCCTCAGAATGGCTCCGTCGTCTATAACAGTTCCGCAAGACACCGAGTCGAGTGTGTCAGAATTACGAAATTTGGTGGCCTCTGTTAAAAAACGTTTGAGCCACACATTTAACTCATAAGACTGTACACTAGTGGAAGGGTTAAGACCACGTTAACAGTCATTGTCACGGAAATCGTATCTAAAATGTCACGGAAATCGATTCTATCGCTGTCGCTGTCGCTGTCGCTGTTACTGTTCATTCTTCACCCACACACCCACACACGTCACGTGCCTTATCAAGGGTCCTAACACGTGACTACAACCTTCAAAATCTTTAGCCCCGGGTTAACAAGTTCAAGCAATACAGCATATGGTGATAATTATAATCTTCAACACTACTCATCTCAAGAACCAAACTAATCTTAAAAGAGGTGTAAAAGGACAAATAGGTCAGCTTTGCCAAGATCCTAATAACCGGACACTTCTAATAATGGCTGTGTGGGATCAGCTGGAGGTACGTATTCTAGTGGTCCAGAAACGGGAACCAGATGGCTTCTGGTTGTTGAGAAAAGATCATTTTGTGTCTCGGATGACACAAGTTGCTCTGAACGTCTAGGAAGCTTATACTAACGTCTAATCTGTGTTTTGGAATCAGGTTACCAGTGCACATGTTGCGTATGCGTGTGTGGGTATTTTTTCGGCGATTTTCATGCTGGTATCGCTGTTCGCAAAGGAGAAACTTTACATCGGTGAATCGACTGTGGCGGTGATTTTCGGGCTCATTGTGGGCCCCCACTGTTTGAACTGGTTCAACCCCCTGACATGGGGTAACTCAGACTCGATAACCCTCGAGATTACACGGATCGTGCTGTGTTTGCAAATTTTTGCGGTGGCCGTTGAACTTCCAAAAAAATATATGCTGAAACACTGGCTGTCAGTAACGATGTTACTGCTGCCTGTGATGACGGCTGGATGGCTGATTATCGCGCTATTCGTGTGGATTGTTATCCCACACTTGAACTTTCCAGAGGCCTTACTCGTGGCGTCGTGCATTACGGCGACAGACCCCATTTTGGCGCAGTCTGTGGTGTCTGGTAAGTTCGCACAGCGTGTTCCGGGCCATTTAAGGAACCTTCTATCCGCTGAGAGTGGTTGCAACGACGGTATGGCGTTTCCCTTCATCTATCTGTCAATAAACTTGCTAGTTCACTCGGGTAATGGCGGTGAGATTGTCAAAGACTGGATTTGCAAAACCATCCTATATGAGTGTATTTTCGGATGCATTCTGGGTGCTGTGATAGGCTATGCAGGCAGAAGCGCCATCAAGTTTGCCGAGTCGCGCAAGCTAATCGATCGAGAATCGTTTCTGGCGTTTTATGTTTGTTTAGCATTCATGTGTGCGGGATTTGGATCGTTACTTGGGGCAGATGACCTTTTGGTGTCGTTTGCTGCGGGAACTGCCTTTTCTTGGGATGGCTGGTTCTCTACAAAGACAAAAGAAAGTGAAATCTCAACCATTATTGATTTACTATTGAATTTGGCGTATTTCGTTTATTTCGGAGCCATCATTCCTTGGCAACAATTCAACGATGGCACACTAGGCATGAATGCCTGGAGACTTGTGATTTTAGGTATTGTGGTCATCACTTTGCGTCGGATACCTGCCGTGCTCATCTGTAAGACCGTGATCCCGGACATCAAATCGTGGCGGGAGGCAATGTTCGTGGGTCATTTTGGGCCTATTGGTGTGGGTGCCGTTTTTGCGGCTATTTTGGCGCGTTCTGAACTGGAAAAATATGCCACTGGCGAAGAGACACCCTTGAAGCATCTTCCAGAGGAGGGTACTAAATACTGGAAACTGATTGCTATTATTTGGCCTATAACATGTTTCTTCATCATAGTATCCATCATCGTCCATGGGTCATCTGTTGCTGTTATCACACTGGGCCGTCACTTGAACACAATCACCTTAACCAGATCTTTCACAGTGCAGACAACAAATGGCAAGGGCTCTTCCTGGATGCAAAGATTGCCCACTCTTGATAAGTCTGGCCGCTCGTTTTCTTTACAGAGAATTGACACGAAAGCTGCACCTGAAAGCCTAAGCCGTCAAGAAACAGCTGTTGAAACAAGCGGCGTTCCTGCAAAACCTGCTGGCGGTATGAAGAGAAAGCGCAGAAGTTTGGGGAATAAGTTAAGAAAACTGAAAAAGCGGGGCGCGTCTTCTGCAGGTGAATCCGAAAGTCCAGATCTTGCAGGTAATGAAAGACTACAACGGGAAAAGGAAGCCCAGGCTGCAGCTTTTGCCCTGAGCTCCCAGCTTCGTCCGCATGATAGTGAGCCTTACGAAGACTCAAACATTGACGAAGATGACGATGCTGACGATACTCTGGACTCCATCGATGTCTTGAATCCCGCTCAAGCGTCTCAAGCGATAAGCAGGCTTGATGCAATTTCGGGGGTTCGCCCTGATGCTGAAGCTGAGCGTATTGAAGAAGATCTTAGTCGGATTCAACACACGAAACCAAAATCCAGCTTTCCTGAAGACAATCTTCAACTACCAGAGGGCGTTACTAGCTCCTCATCCAATTTTGATGAAGAAAAACTCGAGAGATCTTCGCGGACCGCATCTCTGGACAGCTATGCTCATGATCTTGAGAAACTCAAAAGAGAGATGGAACAAAAAGTGGAAGAAGAAGAGGGAGCTGTTGCATATGCCGAGGGCAATAAGATTATAGTCGAAAACAGCCAAGGTGAGATTATTGACCAGGCAGAGCTCAATAGAAAACCCAAAGACGAAGAAGAGGGTGCTGCCTCATCCCCACAGCGCACCACGAGTCATGGCTCCTCCAAAATGGAGGCTTTGAAGCGTGCAGTCACACCACCAGGTATGAGAAGGCAGACTTTGATAGATGAGAAATCTAATACGAGGTACTTTGCCTATAAGATCGACGATCAATTGATCATTGAAAATGACGATGGCGATGTTCTTCGAAGGTACAAAATCAATCCACACGAGCTTGACGCTCAACGAAGCAGAAGTACCAGCAATAGGTCAAGGACAGGAAGTGTGGTGGCCAAGGCTCTTTCTGCAGTGGGTCTTTCAAAGAGCCCTACTTCACCATCGAATGCACCTGCCTCGAAAAGTCACACTCTCGAACCAGCTGCCAAAATAAAAGGACGCCGTCTGACACCTGTACCGACTTCCGGCGCTATCGACGATCTATCCGAAGAAGACGACGACGAAAATGAGGGGACTGACGAAACCGAGGATGATGACGAGTACGACAGTGACGCAACTGAAGAATCAGACGAGCAGGCGGACTATGATACGGGGGACAACCAAGCTTCCACAGTGGCAACTGATTCCGATGCTGGTCAACCTGAAGACGAATCAGAGACAGCCATCGAGCGTTCTCGAAGACTCACTGCCTTTGGCCATGTCTCTGCTCCTAGACATGAAGACGACGAAGAAGAAGCAGTCGATGCTGCTGCTGTAACCTTCGACGCCCCGAAGAAGAAGCAAACGGTAAAATCTGCTTTTCAACGCACTTTGGGCAAGTAAGAGACATTAATTGCATAATATAGAGTTGACATATAAACCGTTTGGATTTTAACTTAATTTTACTCTTTGTTTTATACTATGGAGCTTACCGAGATTTATAAACTTAACTATTTAGTGTTAAGTCGAAGGAACTTGAACTCCCAGAACTACGGAGTAAACAAGCTAGATGACTGAAAGCCCTTTATTCAGACATTTTCAGTGCTGATCAAGAGCCGGTGAATGATATGAGCAATCGAAATGGCCTCTCAGGGCTTTTTCCTGTTCTTGAACGCATGCCAAGCGCACAATATTCGAGCACTTCTAGTTCGATAGATATTCATGATGAAAAAGGTCCAAGGGCTCAAGGAAACGAGAGTTTGGAAAGTCTTGATAGACAGTTCTTACGAGAGCTGCTCTTTGAGTTTGATAAACATGATTCGTTGGATTTAAAAAGTCAAACGAAGGAACACAACTTTTATTTGAGTGAGCTCTTCGCTAAGAAAACCGGTACCTTGGATGCAAAAGTCATGGCAAGTGATGAGTTGGAAGATTTCCAAACGTATAACAGAAAGGTCCAACGGGAGTATGTTTTGAGAAGAAAGCTGGATGAAATCATGTTGCAACGCAACACGCAGGAACCATTAGAAGTTCTCGGCTCAGATAATTTGAGCGCCAAGTTCACAGCAGGCGAAGAAAGTAGCGGGTCAGATAATGGTTTCTTGAGAAAAGGTCAGGATATTGCCAATTTTTTGCTGTCGCCGTCGAAACCTGCGGATGCTGCTCACAGAACGCAAGCGTTCAGAAGACAATCTAACGACACACAAATCATTGATTTAGAGCACAACGCCGTTGGTGGGATTGATAGAAATCCGAGATTGAGACAATCGGAATTGGACTACCCAATTTCAGCTTCTACAGATAGCTTAAACTCCAGATCGTCCTCACGTTTGTGGAGGAAGATCACTTCCGCTTTGAACAACTCTGAAAACAAATATCAACTACAAAGAAAACTCGAGAGAAGACATTTACAGGCCATTGCAATTGGTGCAACTATGGGGGTCGGACTCTTTTTGAACTCTGGAAAAGCTTTATCCATCGGTGGACCTTTTGGCACAATTATTGGATTCGGTCTCTGTGGGAGCATCGTGCTGGCCACTATGCTTTCGTTCACAGAACTGGCAACTTTAATTCCGATTTCCTCCGGGGTTTCTGGATTGGCATCCAGGTTTGTGGAAGATGCTTTTGGATTTGCAGTTGGCTGGACTTATTGGCTCACATATGCTCTCACTTTTGCGAATCAAATAGTCGCTAGTAATTACATGCTGAGCTACTACAGAAACACCGCCTTAAGTGCAGGCTCTATGGTGGGCTTCATAACTCTTTTCCTGGTCATCGCAATTGCTGTGAATCTACTTGACGCTCGACTCATGGGCGAAATAACATACGGATGCACTTTCTTCAAAATTTTGGTGACATCTATGATGATCCTTGTGATGGTAATCTTAAATGCTGGTGCTGGACATCAGACGCATGCACGCGTTGGTTTCAGATTTTGGGATGCATCAAAATCGGAGGGCGATTTGACATTCGGATTATTTCGACCTACATTTGACCTTCGCGACTTGGGCTCCGGTAGTCGTAATGGAATTGGTGGTGCAAAGGGGCGGTTTCTTTCGGTACTGGTTGTGCTAACTCTGTCGTCGTTTTCTTATAGTGGGGTTGAAGTGGGTTTCGTCGCATGCGGCGAAGCCGTAGACCCAAGACGGTCGTTACCTTCGGCAACCAAGCGAACATTTGTTACAATCATTATACTTTACCTGCTTTCCATTTTCATTATCAGCCTAAATATTTACAGCGGGGATTCTGGTCTTTTACGGTATTACACGTCCGCAACTGAAGAGCCTAACAGGAGTTTAGTTACTGGATTCGACACATCCTGGCACATTTCCCAACGTTGCTCAAACAGTGACGCCCGGATAATTAGTGATTACAGCAACGGTAGTCAAAGTCCCTGGGTCCTGGCTCTCAAAAGCTTCGGATTGTGTTCTTTTGCGTCCATCTTCAATGCATTTCTCGTCATTTTCGGTGTTTCCTCTGCGTTTTCCTCATTATATGCATCCAGCAGAACCCTTTATGCAATGGCAACGCAGGATAAAGCACCTGCAACTTTCAAACGCTGTTCTCGTCGCGGAGTGCCCTACGCTGCGGTGATTTGTTCTGGCTTGTTTGGCACTTTAGCATATCTGGCTCTGAACTCAAGATCTTTGGAGATATTTCAAGTGCTGGCCAACATTTCGGGGGCCACCATCTCGATCATTTGGCTGGGACTTAATGTTTCCTTTTTGCGCTTCTACTACGCCTTGCAGAAACGACCTGACATAATTTCCCGAGCAGATCCGTCTTTTCCATACCGGTCACCGTTCCAACCTTTTACTGCATGTTACGGACTTATGGGTTCCATGGTAATCGTGCTGCTGATGGGGTTTGTCAACTTTTTAGATGGGTTTTGGAGCACCAAGATGTTTTTCTCGTCCTACGGTGGTCTACTATTCTTTGGTGCTACATATGCCGGCTACAAACTATTGAAAAGCTCCAAAATTCAGAGGCTGGACCAATTGGATTTAGATACAGGGCGTCGTGAGATGGATAGGATGCGTTGGATAGAGCATCGTGAGTATTCTGGTTCTTGGAGAGAACGCACGAAGATGTTGGTGTCATGGCTCATATAGAGACAGAAACCACATATCACGTGATATCAAAACAGATAAATTTTATCACTTTGTATTTACGTGTCATCTTCTTCTTCACGTGATACAAATACTTTTCTTTTTTGATTGGGTTTTTTTTCTTCAAGATGCCCGATGAGCTTCAATTCATACCAGCGATGAGCTTAAAGCTAGACCCAACCGGAAAACATCAGTCAAAAAGCCAAAGAACTAGACTCGAATGAGCGCTCAATTGAACGAAGCTATAACACAGGCGAAACAGCTTGTTTTGCAGAATAATGCTGACGCGGCTTTGCGGGTTCTGAAGCCGTTCCGGAAGTCAATGAAGGGTGCGAACTCATCGCACATTGGACTACACCAGGCATTTGTGGAAACGTATCTGGAGAAAGGTGAGCTCGAAAAAGCGTACCCGTTGCTGGTAAAAAGCTGCGAGCTGGATCCGCAGGGCGAGATCGGTGGCTCGGACAAGTTTTTCACATTGGGCCAAATTGTCGGAGGCAGTGATGGGCTCGGATTGATCACACAAGGAATAGAGAATCTGTCGAGACAGGCTGGAGATTTTCTGCAGCAGGAACAGGCTGAAAAGGTAGTGGCTGGACTGTTGTCGATGGTGGAGATCTGGATGACGGATCTGTGCATGGAACCGGGTGCTGAAGAACAATGCGAAGAGCTTGTCAGTAAAGCAATGGAAGTTTCCGAAGAGCAATCAGCCGAGGCGTGGGCCTCATTGGGATCCATGAGAATATCGCAACAACGCTTCCCGGAGGCCGCAGAAGCGTTTGGACGTTCGTGGCATTTTTTCCAAGCTAAAAAGACAGCGTTCGACAATGAAGAGCAGCAGTCTAGTAACGTTCATGTCGAATTTGCCAACATGCTGCAACCTCTACTAAACCTCGCAAAGATGTGTATTGAGTTAGGACTCTACGACATGGCCTTGGAAATTGAGGCAGCCATCAAAGACATAGACGAAGACAATCTCGAAGGACTGTATCTAGAGGCCTTCACGCATTATCTCATTTGCAAACTGGAGCTTTTCAAAATTCAAAATCCTCAAGTCGAAGTTACTCCGGAAAACGTTTTCGAATTCAACCAGCATTTCCAGGAGCTGCCCTTTGCGGCAGCAAATGATTTGATTAAAGAACACGCCCAAGAAGCTCGCATTTTACTGACGTACATGATAAAACTGGCAGAAAATAATGACGCCAATGACGAAATCGTGAACGAGCTGGTCAATGGCGCTACAGAAGTTGTTTCTGAATTGGGAGGACTCGCAGATATCAAAGACGTAATTCGCTACAAAAAGGGCGAAGAGGTCGGTGACGAAGAGGAGATAGAATTCACTGAAGTTGACCAAGCCTCATAAGTACTGTTTGTAAGCATCTAAAATATTACAACCATGAATTGAAAGGGAGCTCGAAAGAGCACCAGAAGAGAAAGCCTCCAAAAATGTGGAATGAAATGCAAATGCTGCTTCATTGACAATAATATACAAACTTAAAATTAACGCCTTAGAAGGCGTATCCTTCTTTATCACTGAAATAGCCCTTAAACCCTTTTATGACTTATTTGGCGTCTTGTCATGATTCGGAGACTTTCAAATTTTCCTGCAAGGAGGATCCAACATCGTCAATGTCTTCCCACTCTTGATCCGGCTCGTCATGATGTGAAGGGGCTGCCATAGACTGCGCAATCATATGTGTAAGGTAAAAAGGTCGTGGTTTGGCATCGTTGTCATCATCAGCAACATCGTCACTAGCGTCGTAATTGGGAATTTCATCTCCCTCCGTTGTGTAAGGTTCGTTATCGGAGGCACTTTCCGGTGCTTCTATCAGAGTGACGTATTCTTCGGGTACCAGACCCGTGCGTGTTCGTTCTTCGTTTTCGGCCACAAGCCAGCCTTGACCATGTCTGTAGCCTATGAAAAGCGTGTCTCCTTCGTGCAATTCCAATTCGTTATCATTTTCGGGAGTGAAGTCATAAAGTGCAATTGCTTGGCTATTGACTATTTGATTAGCAGGTAAGACGATGCTTTGTCTTTTGGTCATGACATCTTCAGAATCGCTGTCATCAAAATCTTCATTATTGTATTTGTCTCCATTGGAAGTAGAGGAATCTCGCAATTCTGACCCGTTTTTTTGAAATGCAAAACTCGTAATGTTCCCTCCTTGTTCACCAGATGATTCATCACCACCTCGGTCCTGACCATCAAGTTCTTCATCTGTGTCTTCTTCATAATGGTCGCCAAAATATCCGTAGTGAAGAGCATCTGATTTGTCGTACGCAAAATCTTTGATGGAAACTACTCCTGTATCGTCAACATCGTTCAGGCCATTACTTTGCTCGCTATCGCGATCCATGTCTGCAGGTTGATTACTTCACACAATATTGGTAGTTGGCAGACAGGTCAAAACTTCTTCAAAAAACCTCGAGAAAAAAAGGTTTCGATAGTCAGCTATTCGTCCAGTTGTTCCAATTATGCTAACGTGAGTTTAAAAAGTACCCAAATGTGGGTTTTTGCCTTGTCAATCGATGGTTTTGAAAGATAAATGCTAAATAAAATAGGTATATTTGAACTGAAAATTATCAACAGGATTACGTATAAGGTGATATAAGTATAAAGTGGTTTCGAGTTGAATTTCGGGTTTCAAGCAATCCGTTCTCGTTATCGAATCGGAAGAACACATATAAAGTGCGCAAAAATATCAATGTTATTGGAATCGTGAGAACCCTGGGTTGAAAAAGAGTATAATCATTGCCTGTTTGAGGAAATCAAAATCTAAAGCGGAGGATAAGGTATCAGATCACTGAATACGATGTGTATTTTTCCTTAGTCAGTCCAATTTATAGTGTAAATCATAATCCGATTGAGATCTTCAAGAAATCTTGAACTTCAAACAAGAACAGCTCATCGACGAGTTTTCCATTCAGATATGACCACTTCACATAGACCTCAACTCGAGGCTCGTAATGGTGCGAAAGGCAGTTACGTTCCTACCAGTATCCAACATGCCAGACTGCTCCCGGGACATACAAAACTCAAGTATAGAAAACGCAAGCTGGACGATGACGAAGAGGTGTTGAGATCAAAAAGGCATGGAGTTAAAGCAGGAAAGGAGTTCAAGGGTGATGAACGTGAATTCGAAACGGATCAGAATAAAGAGGCCTCGCAAAATCGCGAAATTGATGTGAGTCAGAGAGGGCAAGAAGAGGAAAAAGACCAGGAAGATGAGGAAGAAGAAGATGAGGGAGAAGAAGATGAGGGAGAAGAAGAAGAAGAAGAAGAAGAAGAAGACGACGAAGAGGAAGAAGAAGAAGACCAAGAAGCTCTCTTGGAAGAGCTACATAAAATACGACAAGAAAGAATGATCAAAAAATTAAAAGAGGATCGTGAAAGACAAGACGAAGAAAATGAAAACCCCAGTATCAAAGAAAACAAAGCAAGCCGAAAAAGTTGGCGTTCCCAAACTGTCTTCGGTCGTCAGAAATCCGAAAAGCCCATCAACCAATCCAGCGATGACCCCAAAGCCAAATACACCAATGACATGACCCGAAGCAGTTTCCATCATGATTTTATGCGCAAATACGTCAGATAAACTGGTTTTTACGGCCAGTGCAGCTTAATGAGGTTGGTCAATAGCAATCTCAGACCATCAAAATTGTACGAAAAGAATGTCCATTGAGACCGGCAGCAGGTTCTGCTTCGTGCTTCACGCAATGCTGATGCGTGCTTCTTTATAAATATTCTGTTACTTACGTTCACAAGACTAGCTGGTCTATGAGTCTATATCATTAAAATTTTGACAGGATATTTCAAACTTTACCGCGTCAGATTTAAGGCATCCTTTGATCGCGTCGCTCCCATCCGTCCTCCAAAACCTTTACTAGACCTAGTCACTCGTACTGAAATTCTCGCTGTATGGTTTCTGGAATTCCTTCTTCGTTCAAATGAGCATCAGAATCTTCCAGTTTTAAAGGTTGAATAGGTGCATCCTCGCCTTGCAAAAAGGCAAGAAGCGCATGTTGGTATTGCTGTGAAAGATGAATGTCATGCCGTTCTAGCTTAAGTGTTTCTAGATCGCAAAGCTTTTTTTCGAAAGGGTTATTGATCTGATCAAATTTATCCTGAACAATGAAGCTCTGATCATCCTTCCTTTTTCCGTTCAGCTGGAAAAGCTTTTGATGTATATGAGCAAAAGGTTCCGTTTGTGAGTCCTCTTGAGCGTTATCGGATTCAGATTCTTCTTTTCGTGAGTTTTCGAGGTCGTGAACGGCTTGCGCATGAGCCAAAATTCGTGGCACCACGCCCATAGCCGTTCGATGGGTCTTGAAGATCCGGCCCTCTTTATGCTTTAGTTTGAATTTTTTTAAAGTGGAAAGTACACTTTCTGCTAGACTTGGAGCTGCCAAACCTTCTTGTCGCATCGTAGCCAGCCCTTTCCAAACATCTTCTTCTGTAACGACGTGGGGGAGATTCGATTTGGACTCACCTATCACTACAACTTCATCTGGTTCTTCCGGACGTTCTGAAACCCGGAATGGTTTGCCTTTCAGCAAGTTTCTTCTGGAAACATGTTTTCGGTCAAGATTAGGCAAAACGGTGTAAAGCAGGATTTTGCGAAGCTGAAGCGCGATACACTTTTCCAAAAAATCCTGAGATTCTTGCGAGAAGGGCAAAGCCGTTCTCGAAGCTGGCTGAAGCTCTTCTATGCCAGTTTTCGAGTATATGGGGTTCCAACGTTTTGACCAATTTTCGAAATTGATGATACCGTCAAAACTCGATTCGGAGCTTTCATACTCCGCTGCTTGCTCTTCATCAACGGCGTTGGCTATATTCTCTTCAAGTGCCACAAAAAACTCGTCCATCTCGTATGCAATTGGGAAGTCCATTTTCGTCAAAATGGCGCCATGACGCTTAGTATCTAGATTTTTGAGTTCTTGCAGATTTCTGCGCAACACTTCGTGATACGCCATGATCTCAAACTTAGATTTCTGCGGGAGAAATTGAGCCCAATCGTCAAGTCTATGGATCGAAGACCTCGACAAATGATGAAAAAACACTTCTTTTTCCTCACAACTCCAAAAAACACCCTGATAATTCCCTTCTCGGTCTTCTTCATTTTCTTCTTCTTCTTCTTCCTCATTTTCTTCCTCTCCATCACTGAAGTCCACCCTTTCCGCTGATTCCAAAACCCCCATGTTCAACCATTTGGCCTGGCTGTTCACATGCAAATATGAGCTAGAAAGCTGCGATCTGCACCATAAAGGATCCAAAAAACGCCTCAATTCGTTGTTAAAAACTAGGAAATAGTCTGATATTACATTGTGTGCTTCAATTGACGTCTTTGGAGCCATGTTAGCCGCCCATCCCCATGTTTAAAGAGAATATTATCAAATCTGGAGTGGTTTAGATGCCTACTTTATATAGTCTTCTGGTCAAGTTTCTTATTCTACAGCTAATTTAGTGATGATTGAAAAAATTCAAGCTCATCGCCCGAAATTTGACATATAAAAGCGGTAAGAATCGAAACTCAAAGGCGCCACGAAGACATACAAAAGGTCTATAGTCGCAGTTTGGGAGGTTGGATCTGATAATGCTTCTTTTTCCGTTCAGAAAAGTGAGATTAGGGTCCCGATGTAGCCTGCCCATATGCTGTCCAAGACGACTCTCTGGAACAACCAAGGTAGCTAACCAGAGAGTAACCAATTCCACAGTAGCTCCAGAGCTGCTCAACACAAGAGGTAAGAAATTGAAGCCTCAAAAGACCCAGATTGTGATCTTGGGACCCCGGGAAGCGGGTCTGGTGAAAAACCGTAAAAGAACTCCGGCCTATTTTCAGCGCGGTGATGGCCAAAAAAATCGGGAAAACCGTCTCAGTGCGCTACAAGGCGTCGAATTCGACCACGCAAGATCAGATACGTCACCGGCGGACGTAGCGCAAGAAATTGAGTCCCAACGGCTGAAATTGCTGGTCTTCAAGAATAATGTGCCCAAAGAACAGGTCATCAAGTCGATCCACGATTTGACACCGGGATCTGATGCACAACTTATGTCTGTAAAACGCTACGAGCAACTGCGATCGCTGTTAGACCTTGCATACACCCTCCCGCAGCTTAGAGAATACACCAAGCAATATCACCAATTGCCTATTGCGAAATCCACGCCGAAAAAAGCACTTATTTTAACCATCCTAAACAGACTTTGGAGGTGTCAAATCAACCAATCGGAAAGCGAGAGTAATGACCTCCTAGTGGAGCGGATCGTAGACGTACAAACAAGAGACATCTATCTGTTGCTGTTGACCAACAACGGTAAGATTCTTCAGAATTTCGCGCGTCTTGGAGCAACCGTTGCGGTGGCTCTCGGTGAAAATAAGATCATTGTTCGTGCCACCAAATCGCTGGTAAAATACGTCGAGGTATCGTTGCGCAAAATCCTTGATAATGTGCAGCGTGAAATCATGTCTGTAGACGACTTGATTAAAGATCACAGTTATCAAGGCGTTAAGCCGATTTCTCCAGCTGTTCTTGCGAATCTTGTTCAAAAGGAGAGTGCAACGTTCTTTGAGGAGTTGTCCGACGAGAACCCGGGCACTTACGCTATCACTAGTTTCGGCACCAAGCGTATAAGGCGCGCGAAGAACCTACTATTATGGGCACTGGAATACAGCCCACAGGTCTCTGAGACCGTGAAGTTTTTTGGTGAGCAGGACCAGTCTCACTACATGGCATTCCCATTCACAGAGATTGACGGTTTGGATTGGATACGAAGAAAAAGCGATTGGTTTCGCTTGCAGAGACCCATCGTAAAAGGACCTTCGCAGATAGTCGAAACTAGTCCGGGCTCTTCAGTTTTCACGGAAAAGAAACTAGATGAGCTCTACCAGGAGATAGCGGGAAGCACTGCAACGAATCTTATACCAGATTTCAAGAGTGATGTAAGTGCAAAGACGTGGAGCGTTACATTAGGCCAAATTTTGACAGATGAAAAACAGCAGTCTACTATTTTTCAGCCGAAAGTAAGCGGTATCGTTCACAAATTGATGCAGCTACCACTTTATGACGACATAGCCACCCAAGACGAGCTGTACACTGTTGATCAACATGAATATTACGTTCAATTAAAGCTTATTCCCAAAACTGACAGTTCGTTGCATGCAAGGAACATTCCGCCTTTGGAAATGTGGTTCGAACTTGACGACGACGACAAAGCCATCAACAGTTCTCTGCGATGCCTGCTGCATACTGAGGACAGGAATCTGCTTTTGAAGACTCCTCATTTATCGCATGATTTGAAAGTCACGATGGATCGCACGGTCGAAGTGGCCAGACCGTATGATGAAGCCCCACACAGCTGGCTGGAAGACCAACCTGGTTTGAAGGAGTTTCTCCTTCGGGCTCGTCTCACATTTCAAGAGGGCGAAAAACTGTCAGTGCCTAAGCAGCTGACATTTAATCTGCATTTTAAGGATGGTTTGGCTCCGGAACCAGTTGTTTTTGAATACGTGAACGTAAGATATCACCGCATTTTGAAAATGAAGCTCGACGACAAGTATCTAGCGCAGTTTTCGGACATCAACGGTGGATCCCGCGGTGGTCGCTTCAAACAAATAGATTTCGTCAAGCCTGATGGTGGAGAAATCACTCGCCAAGAGTTTGGTCAGTTAATCACCCGAGTAGCCGATTTCATGGTAGGACCTGTAGATAAACATTAACGCACTAAAAACATATCCCACATATAGTATAGAATGAAGGATATCTGGATCTTCCCGGTATATTCGTCGTTGTTATTTTTTGTTATAGTGTCGCTGACACCTCTTACTAGTTGAACTGGATGTCAGTTTCCTATTATGGCTCGGACTTGGGTTTCCGAGCGAGCGCCAGCGACACACCCGTACGATGTGCTCCAGGTGATGACAGCTTAAACGTATCTTTGAAACCCAACGTCAGCGTTTTGGATCTAAGAGGTTTGGATCGTTGTGCCAAGTTCTGCTGTACGTATTTCTAAACGTTGTGTTCGACATTCGATCCATGTTTCCTCCTCCTTCTTCCTACGTTCAAGAAAACCCGATTTTTTTTTGGTTTCGAATTGTCAACAATCGAACCACGAAGTTAACACAACAGAATTATAATGACTAAAGTCCATACACTAGAAAATACATTGCACAAACAATGCTCGGTAGTTGTTTCTGACGGCCTTTGGTCAAATCTATCCGTTCTATTTCTCTCACGTGATCGCGGAGTTGGCTTTCCGATATTAATTGTCACCTGCTGTCTTTAGTAGTAAAGGTTAGATAGATGTCGAAATCGGCTCTACAACGATAAACCCACCGACATATCAAACGTTAGCGGTGTAAGACCACAATTTTGTAGAGATAAAGCTCGTCTGAGTGTTTATCTTTGTTCAACTTGTCGCTGACCAACTGAACAAGTATTTAAACAGCAGGTTTTCCGATAGATTTCGGACCATTCGTTCTTGCAAAGTAGTACATCTCAGTACATCTCTAGTTCATCTCTAGTTCATCTCTAGTGTAGTTGCATACCAAAGACAGTTCTTGTAGCTTCATCTATCCGCTAGAGATTGAAAGATTAAACCGTAAACATTTTGAAATATGCTGACTACTAGACATTTGATCCAAGGAATAAGTAGAAGTGGTCGTCTTTTGAGGGTAGTGACGCCCCAGGCGATGAGATGTATGGCAAATACGCCCATCCACAAGAAACCGGCCGACACAGCTCCCGCTAGCCCATTTTTGGCCGAGATTGAAGCAGTAACGCCTTCAAATAGCGCACATCTCAGTCAACTCTCGACAAAAGAGCTTGTTTCGCTAGGTGTGATCGGATTTGCAACGATCAATAAGCCCATGCTAGACCTGGTACTGAGATTATTCCCATTTGTACCGATCTGGGCCATGAAACTACTGGTGTCGTCATTGTACTGCGGCGGTGACAACTTCCAAGAGGTGAGAGAAACCGGGAAAAGACTGCAGGACAGAGGCATCAACAACATGATGCTGTCGTTGACCATTGAGGACGCAGAGGGCACCAAAAACATCGACATCAACCATATCGTGTCTGAGACCATTGCATCCGTTCACGAAATTCTCAAACCCCATTTGCTCCAACAGCTCACCAAAACCTCAGACGTCAACAGCATTCCACCGGGCTACATCGCTCTGAAGCCCTCAGCTCTTGTATCCAACCCATACCAGACATTGTTGCACTTCAACGACCCAGAATGGCAAGAAAACCGTAAAGCGCTCATCGATAATTGTACCAAGATTACTCAAGAGGTGTTCAATTTGAACCAGGAGCTCGCAAAGCAGTTCCCAGAACGCAAAACGCCTTTTTTCGTCTCTGTCATCGACGCTGAAAAATACGCTCTGCAAAAGAGCGGTGTTTACGAGCTACAGCGCATTCTATTCAAGAAGTTCAACCCAATGAGCGCCAGCATGGTGTCCTGTGTTGGAACATGGCAACTATACTTACAAGATTCCGGTGCAGATCTCCAGAAAGACTACAAACTAGCCGAAGCTGAAGGTTACAAACTGGGCTTGAAAATCGTTCGTGGCGCTTATATTCACTCCGAACCAGACCGTGCTTCCATCATTTTCCCGGACCAAATCGGCACCGACAAAAACTTCAACACCATTATGTCCAGTGTCATTGCGGATCTGTTAGCCAAGGGCCAGGACTCCACATACGGCCACCTAGTGGTCGCTTCTCACAATTACCAGTCCCAGAAACTTGCAACGCAATTGCTCAACGGACAAGACGACAAGATAGGCAAGGCAAACGTGGTGTTGGGCCAATTGCTTGGTATGTCAGATAATGTCACCAATGACCTGATTGTCAACCACAAGGCCAAAAACCTGATCAAATATGTACCTTGGGGTCCTCCAGCGGAAACCAAGGACTATCTACTGAGAAGACTTCAAGAAAACGGCGACGCAGTGCGGGCAGACAATGGGTTTCCTCTAGTTGTCGCTGTGGCCAAAACTCTGTGGCAATCGCTATTGGGTAAGCCAAAAACAGCTTAGGGCCTCAATTTCTCGGTCAGAACTACCTATATGATGTCAAAAGAGGAGACGTCCGGTACCGACCCTCAATTATCGTGTGGGATCCACATTCACCGCCAAACTTGAAATTGACCACAGTTCTTTCTCTCAACCAGCGATAGAATCACATCGGCAGCTGGCTTGAAAGAAAAGCTGCATGTACATTAACGACTATATACAATTCAAAGAATAGTAATACACAAGGATCGGAGACTATACCTTTTGTCTGGATAAGTTGTTGTAGAAAGTTGTTAGCCTTTAAACTACGTCAGTAATAATTACAAGTCATCATCAAGCTCATCTCATCGACTAAAAACGACAATTCGCATGAAGTTCATCGCATTGGTATCTGGAGGCAAAGATTCCTGCTATAGCATTTTACACAGCATCAAGCAAGGCCATGAACTGGTAGCCTTGGGCAACCTTCATCCCTACGATGAGGACCAACAAGAATTGGATAGTTTTATGTTCCAAACGGTGGGACATGATCTTGTGAAATGGTACCAACAGTGCACTCAATTACCATTGATACGTCGAGCCATACGGCCCGAATCATCAAAAAATGTCTCATTGAACTATTATCCCACAGAAACGGACGAAATTGAAGATTTACTAGAATTGTTGATCGATGCCCAAAAAAAGGTGCCTGGTCTCGAAGCTGTTAATGCTGGCGCAATTCTATCTTCTTACCAGAGAACAAGAGTGGAGGACGTGTGCTCCCGTTTGGGTCTTGTCTCTTTGAGCTACCTGTGGCAGCGGGATCAGAAAGATTTGATGAGTGAAATGTGCCTAATGTCGAAGCAGTCCAATGAAGAAAACGTCACTCCCAAAATGGATGCCAGATTGATCAAGACGGCGGCTATTGGCTTGGACGGGTCATCTTTAGGCAAATCTTTACCGCAAGTTTTCCCTCTACTGCAAAGACTGAATGAAAGATTCGAAGTTCATATCTGTGGTGAAGGCGGAGAGTTCGAAACCATGGTGTTTGACGCTCCATTTTTCAAGTATGGATATCTTGAACCCCATGTGCTGAGGATTGAAGGTGCTGACAACTTTGATGGTGTGTATAGCGCCAGAATGGGTGTGACCTTTGTGAAGCGCGAAAGCCAGAAAACAATAGAGGAATTACTCTTGAACTTGCCCGTTCCACCAGTTTTAGAGCACCGTTGGACAGAATTGGCAGAGAATGTTTGTATTTCGGATGAAGCATCTATTAAGCCTACGTCAAAGACTGCTCAGACTCACACAGCGCAGACATCCATCAACAAAATTGGGTATATGCTGTATGTGTCCAATCTGAGCCCACGAACAGGAGACTCAGTTGAATCGAAAACGCAGGACGTTATCAACCAATTGAAGGAAATTCTGGAAGGAAATAAGCTGTTTGCAAGTCAAATCATGTCGTCTTCCCTTTTGTTAGAGAAGATGGTGGATTTCTCAACGGTAAATGCCCTTTACAATAGATTCTTCCAAGTACGTGACAATGGTCCACTGCCTCCATCGAGGGCATGCGTTGGTAGTAATCTTATTGGGGAGGGTACGACCCTTCAACTCTCTGTGGTGGTTGACACAGCGGCTGTGATTACCGAACACAAAGGCATGGCTTTGAATATGAGTAAAGACGGCTTACATGTACAGGGACGCTCTTTCTGGGCCCCATGCAACATAGGACCTTATTCGCAAGCCATTTGGAAAAAGGAAGATCCCAATCGGATAAGCTTCATCAGTGGTCAAATAGCTCTGGTACCTGCAACAATGGAGCTAGTGAGTTCGCTGAGTCCTGGCCTGGGTGAGGATATATCACAAGCTGTTCTTGCCTTGCGTCATTTTGATACACTCAAGAGAACCATTGATGCAGAGGTCCAAGTCACTACAGTTTGCTACGTTTCCGGAAACCAAATGGTGCCCGCTGTTGCTAAAGTATGGGCGCTGTACTGCACGGAAATGGCTGAAATTTCAGACGCTTGGTTTGACAAAGCTTTAGAAGATCCGCGATCATTGATAATAGTCAAGGTGTCTGAGCTTCCAAGACAGGCCAAATGCGAATGGGGCGGGACTGTCTGCAACAAGTTATCGGTGGTGGATGAAGACCAAGACGACCACGCCACGGAAATTGACGACAATAATGCTGGCAAGAAAGAAGAAGATAATGATGATTTTCTCCGCATTACTTCCGCGTCCTACCAGGCTACCATAAAAAATTCTACTAGTTCAAGACGAGTCGTTACAGGATATCTGGATTCGCAAGAGGACTTTGAGAAGATTGCAAAGTCTTGCCCACGCTTACAAGCGACTTTATTCTACTCACCCAGCTCTAACTTATCTGTCAGCGAAGGCCTGCCTGGGATTGAGCTTTATCCGGTCGAGCAAGTCTACGATTACGAAGGCAAAGAAAGACTTGCTGGGTTCCAACTCACAGGGGAAAGCTAGTACCCACAGTGAAGTCTAGCGATACAAGTTACATGATTGTCAAGTCTTTCTGGGGGACCGTTAGTTAAAACTTGATGAGACTGGCACAACATCCTCGTCAAGTGACAATTCATTCTTATAACTTGAAATCCCAGACTTCACAATGAACAAGACTACAATTTGATAAATATACTTATGTATGTAGTAGTCTTCTCTTCAGATAGATTCGAGAGCTTATAAGTTCGTGCCAGCCAGTCGAAAGTGTTAAAAACGTTTGTTTTGCTGAACTTGTGTGCTTCGAAGATTATCAAACTGAACAACGTCTTGACGATGAGCTCGGAACTTGACCAAAGTACCTGGAATGGAGAGGCTGAGAAGCTTTTAAAGTTTCGAGATGAGAAGGTGAATAGCGTGGATAAAGATGATTTGGACTTTAAAAGACTGCTTATCGAAAGACGAATCAAGAAAGCAGCTAAAGAACATTTGCGGGATGAGAACGCTTTTGCTAAGGGTAGAATCGATCTCGTCAGTGAAGGCTACCTGACGGCAATCAGCATGGACTATGATGAGCTGAAAACCGCTGGGGTCGCATACAAGGTAGAAAGTGAAGTATCAGACGAGCTGGAACAAGATCAGGACGTCGAGGGCGAAATGGACGAAAAGCGAGACAGTCCAGAACGTCCGGATACTACGATGGATCTTCTGATAGCCCAGGAGTTAAGCAACGATAAGGCTAGCAACATAGTCAAACATTTAGCTCGGAAAGAAGACAGGCTAGTAAGCAGTGCACGCAAGAATACAGAACTGGTGAAGACGATGTTGAATGAAGCTGATACAGCTGTTGAAAATACCAGAAAGCGTAATTTGGGAAGTCCGGACGATGGCATGAATTCTGACTATTATAAACGAGGTAATCAAGAGCATCACAAGCACGTACAAGATCCGGGTTGGTTTCCCCATCAAGGATCAGATTTGGGATTGTATACACAAGCAGCTCCATACGCCACTATGACGAATAGAAACGATAATCTGCTGTCCCATCAATCACACCAATGGGCCTTTGACACCACCCGTCCCCCGTTAACGTTTCAGCAAGAGTCTCTCCCCAAAATAACATCCACTAGTGGGATCAAAAAAACGAGTTCAGGGACTCTATCACCACGCAATCCACGAGCGTCGTCTCCTCCAAATTCAGATAGTCGGACCAAGAAACCCAAAGCTTTACGCAAAATGGAGAACATAGCTCGAAAACATAGTCTTTAAGTACATAACTTGCACAACCAGTGTACGGATACGAAACTAAAAAACGACTACGCATCAATGGCTACAGAAATACCTCATAATCATTTGATATGACTACTTCGACCGCAAGAACTTTGAAAGTTTTGAACGTTTTTTCTCTTGTGGAGGAGGCGCCGGCATCACAGGCTTAGCATCCGCGGTGGATCGCTGGTTTGAGGCTTTGTGGAGATGCTGGGTAGCCACTGGTGGTGCAATGGCTCTATCAAATAGAAAACTAGGAGCAGTCTCATTTTCCTTTCGATCAAAGTTTAAATTGAGATATTCTCTGGGTTCGCTCAACTTTTCGATGCTCTGCATCACGTCAAGAGGTGAAAGTACGGTATCGCTACCTATGAAAACGTCTTTATTCTTTAGTTGAGATTGAAGATAGGCGGATCTTAATTCGGCATGGGTCAATCCACCTATACTATAGTAGAAAAACCTCTGCCTTGGTGCTCGATTTTGAGAGTTTTTCCTTGTCCACGAAGCTTTGTGCCGAGGATTCCTTAGAGAGGTTGAGGAATAACTGTATGTGCCATCATCGACCGTATCCTCTTCTAGAACTTCGATAGGTTTATCTTTCACGTAAGGGAATGCACTTTCACTCAGTAACAGTTGGTTCGTTATTACCTTTGACAAGTTGTTGCTCACCACGTTGATGAAACGCGACGTATTGTAAGTATTAGGATCATTGAGAATGGTCTCATGTAACCATTCCTTCTTGTAAGGTTTATCCGCAGCTTTTTCTTTTACCAGCTTGAAACCGAGAAACTGGAAGTTGACAAACAGTGTCATGAAATGCTTGTAGAATGAATGGCCGGATGTGATGCCTATAAAGGACAAAAGCTTTATAAAATCTTCTTCGATAAGTCCTCCTCGGTAAAGAGCATATACGAGAATGAAGCGGATTTTGTCAGTTATGTTGGCAGTTTTACTCAAAAGATTTTCGAGAAGAGCCTCAGCGGGCGCCTTGAATTTATGGCCTTCCGCGTCCAATCCCAGCCCGGCCATTGCTTGTTCAAAATCAGCAAGCTCCGCTAACCTCCTCTCTTCGTTGACGTTCAGACACTGATCGATCAATGTCCTGTGTAATGTGATACGTCTTCTATCCTCATCAAAGTCTTTGAGATGGGCCACGACACTAAGCAGATCGGTTGTGGTTTTTACATTGGCGCGATCAACTAACAAAGGATTTTTGGCAATAAGCTCATTAACTTTTGCGTTGAGGTATTCTGTTGCATCCATGATGTGTTGATGTCTTAGCTCCACCCACTCAGGGTCATCAAGCTCACGAAGTTTTGCAAATTTCTCTTCTTTTTCGCCCTTTTCATTCTCGGCGAAGTAGTGGTAAACGTCTGTTTTAGTATCTACCTCCGGAACCAGGTCATACGCCATTGCTTGGTACGAGAAGTCGTGTAGGAAAAGCGAAAATGGATCCACAGAACGCTCGGTTATGACTAGTACTGCACGAGGTCTCGGTGAAGGTGGAGGGAAACTTTCGTCTTTTCTGGCATAATCGTCGATCGCCTCTTGGAACTCGAAGGCCAGTTTTTTTGCGAGCATTGTGGAAGGGCTCGTGGCAAATACTTCTGGAGACGGTTGCGAATAGCGCACCGTAGGGTATTCTCCCGTGACAATGCAAAGATTCAGTAACGCATTAACCGTCTTTGCAATACTTCTTTCTACCAAATCCGTGCATGCTCTATTATAAAACACTTGTAATGGCTGATCAATGCCTATTGTTTGGAAAAATATCGATTCCTTGGGCTGAAAAGAACATTGTACTTGTGCTAAAGTCCCAATATACTGAGGAAGGTATCTTTTAGAATCGTAAAACCTCACCAGATGATCGCTGAATCCTGGCAAAAACCTGACATGTGCCCTCTTGTATTTTGCTGGTCTATTGCTAAAGTCTGCATCCATACAATTTATGTTGAACTTCGTGGGTTCCAGTAGATATATCGCTTCTACGGAAGGTTGACCTTTTCTTTTGGGCGAATCAATTTTGTCCACAGCGGTCACCACACGTAATAGCGTACTTCTATCTGCAAAAAGGGTATCCAACAATGCATCAACCGTATCATCAATGATCAGGAACTTTAAGTTATGCTCCGTCTGAATTTCATTGATGAACGATAAAACGTCTGTAGAATGTTAGTTTAAAACAGCTCAAAACAGCTCCTTTGAGCGCGAATTTTGAATCATGGTATGACATACAGTTGCGTTGAAGCTCAATCAGGTCTGACATCAGGTTTCAGACCCTATTGGAGTGCCTCAAGATTATGTTGAGATCTTCGAAGTTGAACTGAAGTAGGACCCGTTCATGTTAATCAAAGGTCCCGGTAGTTTCTAGATCACGTGAAGGAAGAATAGGAAACACCCATACATTTTTATGAAGATTGGCTTAAGGTCTGTACTAGTAGAATAGACGTCGATGGTAGTGTGTCATACAGCTTTCTAGACCTTGCAGTTCCATTTCTTATCTTCAGCTCTGTTGTATCACCATTTTAAGCCCTTTCTTGTCATGGTTAATATACAAAGTGTCAGCGACAGACAAATGACAGCGAAAATAGATCGGAAAGCTCGATAAACCTACAACAGTTTACAAAAGACTATATACAGAAATTTGGCCATCATTCAAATGCAACGCGGATGGTCACTGAGCATATTCATATGAAGGCACCTGAATAAGTCAATGACCAAGTCTTACTTTGTCCAGGGTCCAAATAATTATTGGAAAAAGATGAGCCTGCGAAAAATGAGTAGGAAGAGCTAGGGTCAGATAGAGCCCGATTTAGCATGATGATACCTCTCCAGCCGTCTTGCACGTTGTTGACGATTGCAGCAAGTTTCTCGTTCCATTCTTGATCGACAAATGTGGGTGAACGTATAAAACTCGAAATCGACGTGATGGGAATGGCGTGAATCATCTGAATGTATTGTAACTCAGTTCCAAAATAGGTAGTGTGGTCGATCTTGTTTTCAAATAGAATGCCACTCACCTTGTTTGGGATTATTTGGGCCGGCTCGACAGTGTTGTTGTCAAGATACAAAAAGTAACTGTTGAGGGACCCCTGCATGATTCCAAGTTCAAGATTACCTATGTTCTCCAAATTCTGGTTTCCGGTGACATTACCCCAGAGCTTCACGGCATACGCGGCGTTGACGTCTTCGGAGCTGGACTCCTCATCCTTACCGTCTCCACTGGGGAATAGACCCTTTGCCCACGAATGACCTGCGAACCAGTCAAACGATCTGAAGACTGGGAAGTATTGATCTGCAGAGTTCGTGTTGGAATAATCTCTCAAAAGGTTCTCAACCCACGTCCTGTTCTGACTTAGCCAGTTCCCGCCATTATCGCGGTCAACTTTGGCTAGTATGGCAGCTGCAAGGACATGGTATCCATAATGGAAGTGGTGGTCGTTGTAGTACGAGTTTCCGAAATCCTGAGAAGAACTACCAGATGAGATTATACCACCCCATGTGGTATCGTATCTCAATGGCAGGATCTGCGAATTGTTTATGAATCTCGAAAACGCTGACTTTAAATTACCCATAAGTGTGTTGACCAAGTTTGAGTCCTTGAGAACGTACTGACAGCTGTAAAGAGTCCAAGCATACTTTGCTAGGATTTTGCCACCAAAGTACATTGAATCAACATTGGACTCGTTGACGACATTACCGTTTGCCTCGGATTGAGCAGCGGCTCTGATGTTGTTGAGAACGTCGGCAGAGTATTGAGGGCCAGACTTACCTGATATGGCCGAGTAAGGATCAAACCCAATCTGTGAGGGTACGTTGACTTGCAGCTCAAAAGTGCTCGTCAAATACCCTGTCATTTTTCCCATTGTTACGGAATCAAGACTTGAATTGATTCTCCGGCTTGCCATAGCAGATGTAAAAGATGCAACATGGTGGGGGCATGCATACATCAATGTCTTCCCGCCGTTGCTCGAGCCGCTCAACCCGTAAGAAATGGTGTATTGGCCAGTAGTACCAGACACGGAGCCAGATAAGGTTCCACTATTTGGATAGCAGCCGGCAGCAGCATCAATAGCAGAGTTGGTGTCAGGAACAAGTTGGAAGATACACCCGTTAACGCTTTTATTGCCAACAATCTGATTTGCATTGGACAATGCCAAGGCAAGAGACTGGCCAGAAGGAACAGTGACGTACAGAGACCAGGTAACGTTATTCTGCAAGACAATTTTGTATTTTTGAATTCCAGAACGAGGTGATGTTACACCTACAACGCTTTTATAACCTATTGGCGAAAAGAGGCTGGGAATCATATTGTAGTACACTGCAGAGGCAAAGCCCATACCTTGAACAAGTGGAACCAAGATAAACTGGTTTTGATTTTTAATCACTTTGACGTGGGCTTGCAAATGTGTCAAGTTTGTGAAGCCCAACGACATCTGTCCGACATTTGCAAAATCAGTTGCGCCGAACACAAAAGATCTGAGACCAGCGGGTCCAAAAAAGTATTCAGGTGGATTACCACCGCCAAAAACTCGTTGGGAGGCGCTGATGTACGACACAGCTAAACCTGCGTAAGCGTCTTTCGACCAAAAAAACGAGTAAGGATGAGTCCATGCAGGGTTCGTTTGATCGCCAATTAGCATGTTTCCATAAAACTTGTTCGTTTCTGTGGCTTTTCCACTGATGGTTGTATTGGCAGGTAATGGAACTGGGTGTGAGACCCTTGAGAAAATTCCAAGAGGAGCATCGGTGGAGATGGGTGATTGGAAGATGTTGTCGGCTTGAGTTGTAGCTGACATTTCACTTGTATTTAGTCTGGCGGAGCAAAGAGTTTTTGAGTTAGTCGAATTGCCCAGGAATCTAGGTGGGAGGGCCGGTGGTCGCCTAATCGGCACCGAAGGAGCCGTAAGATTTGGTAATTTGTGCGAAGCATCTGGCTCTACGTTGCTGATATGCAAAGAAGCCAATTCTTCCGGCAAAGGCATAGGTGGTCTTTGGTATGACATACTAATGGTGAAAGCTGAGGTAGCTAGTTGTTTTGTCTTTTTTTTTTGTATTTTGTTATGATTATCGCCTGGATCGAGCAGATTTATGGTTTAGACCTATAACAGATCGGTTTAGATGTTTTCAGGAGCTTCCTCAAGGACAGTCCTCCTTTTATAGCTTTTCAAGAGTGTCAATGGCACAAGAACGAGTGGGATCACAAAAAAAAACTGCTCGTTACGACGACAGCGTCAACGTAAACATAAACACAAATGGTAGTCTCTATATTGTTGTTAAAAAGCCTCTCAGTTCATCTCAAGATGACGTTTTGCGACGAATCTGGGCTTCGTAGAGGATTTTACAGTTATGGACGTCGATTGAGGGCCTCAAAACTGTCTTTTGTCCAGTTTGTTTGCTGACAGGGCTGAGATGAGCTCGAGAGATCATAATAATATCAGAATATATAAAGCTCATCTCATCGCTAGCCAAACGTAATGTAAGAGAAAAGGTATCAAAACGATTGAAAATGGTGTCCAAAGAACATGCTTTAGCTCATCAGCTTCATCAGGAGCTCCGATATATATTGTTGATCTATCACAGGAACAAAAACCAGCATAAAATGGCGATTTGGTGGAGACACTTTAATGAACTCAAGCGTAGTGCTGGACAAGTGTTAGTATTGATTCAAAAAGACAAACTTAAAAGGTCAGAAGTGACCAGGTTGTGGAGTTTAGTGGTCAAGCTGCGAAAACACCAAATTTCTCGAATGTACTATAGTTTCAACGGTGTAGTTGGCCTAGGTCAGTTTGTCACATTAGGAGTAGTGCTCATTGGAATTTTGGCCAAGATTAACGCTCTTTACAACGATATCTTTGAAAACTACAAATCAAACTTTGAATCAATCGGGTTGCTGAAACAGTGTGACGTTCCGGTTCCATTGGTTATTACCAACACACAATTGGGCCTGTTTGCCGATGAGGAATTAGGCGAGGAAGTAGAAATTCAAGAACAAGTTCCACCAGAGCCCGAACCAAAAAATGCATCGCACCTCCATGCAAATGATGCTATACCAAGGCAAAACCTTGTTAAGAAATTGAGGAACAAGAAAAACAAGAAAAAGAAGAAATCAAGCGCCATGGACGATATTTTTGGATAATCTACAAGCTTTTATGGATTACGTGATCTATGAAGTTTATGATGAGCCCAAGTGGGCAGCACAAATGATGCCGTGTGCATCTGTGTATTGTAGTAACGCATCTGGGAGTGTTCCGATTTGGTAGGCTGACGAACTGCGTGCTTCAAGTCTGTTCTCTCGTGCTTGGCACAAACGATCAAACCGAGCTGACCTGACGTGTATGTGGGGACCGTGGTGTAACAGTACTCGACTTGTGCAAATACAGAGCTCGCACTAGCCACAAGGTCGCAGATGTAGTCCAAATTTAACCACATGTTCTCGGACGCTTGAGCTATCACGATACCGTCTTCGTTGAGCGCACTATGCAGCAGCTGGAAATATTCCTTTTGGAAAAACGCACCAGCGGGACCTTCCGGGTCTGAAGAGTCTGTGATGATGATGTCATAACGCTGGTCGGTTTGGGCAACGTCTCGAAGGAACTGAAACCCATCTTGCAACTCAACTTGAACCTTTTCGTTGCCAAATGCGCATGCCATTCCTGGAAGGTATTTTTTCGCCAATTTTATCACCGTTTCGTCTATCTCCACCAGAGTTGCGCTTTCGACACACTTGTGCTTGACGACCTCCCGCAGCACACCGCCGTCACCACCTCCAACTACCAAGACATTCTTTGGGCTCCTATGTGCGTACAGAGGAATGTGCGAGATCATTTCTTGATACGCAAATTCATCCCGCTCTGTGGCCTGTATAATCCCATCCAAAACCAAAACGTTGCCATACGTGGCACTCTGGAACACCAAAATGTCTTGGAAAACACTTTTGGAATGATACAGGACTTTCTCGACCTTGAGTTCTAATCCCTGTCCTGGAAAGCTTGTTTCGTGAATTTCACGGAACCATCCATCTTTAATGTACTCAATATGTTCTCTGGTCATGCTGAAGCTCACCACACTTTGCTAGTTGGCTTTTTTCCTCGAGCCAACCTTCAACTCATCGCGGCTTACAAGCTAATCTCTATATCTCGATGAGTATGCGAGGTATATTTTTCACCGGAGATACTGAAAAATTTCAACGTCAGTAAAAAGCGACGGGAAAATATGAATACACGACAAACGCTGTCATCGGATGGAAAGTGACGAGGATGGGCGTTGTACGATCATACTCCAGTGTGGTAACGTATTTGACCTGTGGGTAACGCCCAAAACTGGTCAGTAGTCATGTCGTCAACTTACAAACTCAATCTTCCCTGAGACAATAACTTATGGAAGAAGCATCGATACTTGAAAACGGTCAGATTTCCCAATGTCTACGGAGGAGTGGTGAAAGTTAGTCTACTCTCCAAAGTAGGAAGGCAATAAGATGTGGAACAATCAGCTTTACGAGCGAGCCCAAAACAAAATGTTGCGTTCACCAAGATAAAGGCTAATCAAGGCTTCAACGAAAGCTCTTGTCATTATGGAAGGAATCCCAAACAAAATATTGGAGGTATGTTGATATCTGATTGCCACTCAAAGTTTCTCCCTGCCCTCACATACTCCCGGTCATTGTATTCATGTGCAGCAATAACGATTTTGATACTATTCAAAAGGTCTGGGTCTCAACATTATCACCAAGTTACAATGCTTTCAATGTTTTTAAACACTCATTGAAGTTTCTGGGGCCAAAGGAATAACTATTATCAAAGGGCAACGAGATTTCACATTTTTCGAACAATGTAATGATTCGAAAACACACCATTGACTAAGACCAACCAATGAAAGTGTCGAACTAGTCCATTCTGAATCACCTGAACGAGCCGATAGTCCTAAAGTATTCAAAATGGTCTGTAACTCTACGCCAACTTCACTATCGTTGCTCGTCTTCGGCGATCTAAAATTTTTTGGTAGTACTATGGCATAACAGATGAGCTGAGTTGAAGAAACTACAGGCGATGAGATGCTCATCGTCATATAAAAAACGACCCAAGAGACCTCCATTTGTATCATTATTGTTCAAGTCTTGAGAGAAATGCTGCATCCAATCCAGTCCACTGTCATGAGCCGTGACGGCTCTGTTGTGTTTTGCATCATCAAGAACATGATTCAGGTATTTCAATGGGATTCGACCAAGAGCGAGTTTCTGGCCATTGGACAATGGCACGACGATCAGGACAAGACGTCAACTATCCAAAAGACGGTTTTAGAGGAACAGAAACGTCAGAGAGCCGAAAACGAAGCTAAGAGACGTAAACTCGATAAGGAAGAAGCAGTGCCAGCTGAAACTGATAAAAGCTCCAGTAAACTCAAAGACGCAAAAGTTCCAATTCCTGGAACGGGAGCCCCTCCTGTTTATAACCACATTCGCAATTTGGCCTTGTCAAGGAACGAGAATCTTCTTTTCGCTTGTGCGGACTCTGACAAAGCTCTTGTTATTTTCGAACTTGACTACAAGAAGGAAAACTGTTTAGTACTCAAGAAACGTCAGCCACTACCGAAAAGACCCAACGCACTAACCAGTACCACTGATGACAAGCATGTGCTTGTTGCAGACAAGTTTGGGGATGTATATGCGGTCGATGCTCACAGTTCAGAAGTTGTGAACGCTACAAACGGCGGTTTAGAGCCAATTTTGGGCCACGTTTCGCTTCTTACGGCTGTGGCCATTATTAGTGACGCAGATGGAAAGCAGCTGCTTGTCACTGCCGATAGAGACGAACACATTAGAATCACACACTACCCGCAGACCTACATCGTCGACAAATGGCTTTTCGGCTCGAAACAGTTCATTTCCACATTGTGCGTTCCAGAATGGGGCACGAACCTCCTTTTCAGTGCTGGTGGTGACACTTTTGTAAGTGCGTGGAATTGGCAAACCGGCGAGCTAATTGATAAACTTGATATTGGTGAATTGGTGGAACCATATCTAGGAGAAGCCCAACTAGCACCCAGCAAGTTCCAAGACGAGTCCAATTCCGTCGTTGAGTACGCCGTGTCAAAACTGGTAACGTTCTCTACACTGACGTTTGTGGCCTTTTTCGTCGAACAGACAAAAGCCTTGTTCATTTGCAAGGTTGACCCTCTAGTCGGTAACCTAACTCTAGTGCAGACGATTGAAATGTCGCTCAATATAGTGTCACTGTCTAGTGCACTTTCGGCAGACACTCTTATGGTGACACTAGATCACAGTGAAGCAGAAGATGGACAACTTGTTTCATATGTTACCTGGGATGGTTCTGAGTTTTCTGTGGACGGTAAGAGAAACATAAGCTTCCACAACTACATTATTGATAACCTCGTGGATAATCCAATTGCGAACACGGAAGCTGACGACATTTATCCTTTGTACAACGTCGGATCTCTGAGGAAACGCGCTGAGAATTGATGGTCTTCACAAGAGCTCTCCATCTCACTAGGCCGATCACTGATGGTTAGCGAACTCGGTCTTCACCAAAAGCATCATTTAAAACGTATCTTATGTGTAGTCTTTTAAGTAAAATAACTAGACATCATCACCGTTCAGGCGTTCGGTTTAGTTTGACAAGCTTCAAGAAGAGACTAATGCCGGGATCAACTTTACAGCAAGACTCAGATCCTCGAAGCTCAGAATCTCACGCTCAATCGAAGGCCGAAGCGCTACCAAAGCAGTTATTGAGCGAGCTCTTGAGTCTCCAGGATGAGATTATAAGCCTTCACACACAGTTGAAGACCGATAACGCACAGATTAGAAAAGATGTATCAGAATTCTGCTCAATTGGTAATGATGATGTCCATGCAGCAACAGAACCTAGTGTTGAGGGCCCGTAATGCTCAGATGAAATGAAAAGACGAAGTTTCAAGCGTTAAGGCAATTTAGTCCAATGAACATGTTGATTGGCAAACGGTAGAATCATCTTCCTTGAACTTATTCTTACTGCACGTCCACTTACCCGTATATCACTTGAAAGAAGCAAATTGCGCACTGGTCTTCTTCAGATTAGCCGAGACAATTGGCTCAGTCTCATCAATGCACCTTTGCAGCCTGCTGTTATCATTCTGGAAGCAATTGTGAAGACAGGCAAGCAATGTTACCTCGGTTTCTTTCTCAAGGAGTGTGCCCAGCATTCTCAAAAGAAACTGGACATCAATCACGATTTGCAAAAGAGCATCTGACGAGAGATTCCCTATGTATCGTTTCAAAGCCTCAAAGAGATATTTGGAGATGAAAACTTGAGACTCCTTAAGTATACGACCGATCAATTGGGGTCCTATGCGGAAGCACTCGCTGTGTACACTTACTAAGTCCATCAGAGCCTCGATCATGTAGTCACTTACGCGGAATGAGTTAGAGCTGTAAGTTGCCCAATTAATTTCATAAAAGCGCTTTTCCAAAATATCTCGAATGCTTACCTTTAAGTCCGACAGATAGTTTCCAAAAATTGACGACTCCATTTTTGACAATAATGTGAATATTTCAAGGTTTTTCTTGCCCAGCTGTGTTTCGAAGCTTTCATCAAAGTATTGAAGAATCTGCGGGAAAATTTGTTCTCGCATGTACTGCAAGTTTGTCAAAGTCAGAATAGTTTTCGATGTCCTGGGGTTCTCTTTCTCCTTGGCAGCGTCTTTGAGTACAGATTCTAGCACCGCTTCCATTGACACTATTTGTTGCACTTCTATTCCCGACAATAACTGACGTGACGGATGGGAAACGACATATATTCCGTTGAGTACTGGTAGCTTCTCGTAGGAGAAAAGAACGTTTCTAATCGTGGAAATGCTCAATACCTGGAACATATAGATCACCTCAGGAAAGCGGGTTATTCCATAATCCTGAGCACCGAGGGTTCGGTACATGGGCTCTTCTTCAAATGTGTGGAAAGCGGAAAGGTCTTTGAATCTTGTGGCTGATATAGCAGCAACGGCCTTGTTGAGAATGAGAGAATCTGTTTTTCTCAAAGTGTCAATAGAGTTTGAAGATACGCTCAACTGTGCAATCTCTGTAGTAAATTTGAAAATTGGGTCAACAATTTGGGGCAGGTACCTCAGACAACCCAGACAATTAGCTTTCGGGGGGACAAAACCATAATCGCTGGGTTCTCCTGTCTCCTTCTCGTTTTCAACTTCACCTAGAAGTGAGGCCTGTGATGAATTGAAGAGTCTCCCAAGTCCATTGCATAATATGTTAACGTATTCTTCACCCCTTCTTCTAATATCTTGCACATCGCTTTCCTTAAACATCAGAAAGCTCTTGTAACCTCCTTGGCTTTCGAAGTATGTGCCTAAAATGTCATCCTTCTTCTTGTCATTAAGCAAAGACGTGCGATATGTTCCATCCAGGAATTTCTCGACATGTTCCCAGAATTCGACAAAAAGGTCAGACTCAGAGCTCAAAAGAGTGGTATATTTTTTGATTACAAGCCACATCTCGATGATAACGACAGAATCGCATAGTGTCATATTTGTCTGGGCCAACTTTGCTGCTGGGGGCAATTGAGCGACCTCGGCCAGAGCCGGATCAATGAAATGCTCGATTGAATGATAGTAGCTTAGATCTTCACTGTCGTCTGAAGCAGTCTTGGTGACCTTCTGTTGTGCGGCAACAATGGCAGCAAACATCTTGGATATTAGATCCTTCAGGTTTGACTCAAAAATGGTGAGTTTCTTATTGATCCATTGAAGAATCGGACTTTCGTCAGAGTCTAAATCAAGTAGTCTCGATATAATTGGCAGTAGTCTGTCATGGGCTTCGCCATATTGTAGATTCATTAGTGATTCCCACATTACATTGCGGTAACTACTCATCGTGAATTCTATTTGCTCCCACACTTTTAATAGAACGGGTGATCCATGACCGGCAGCCGAAAGGTCGCGGTAGATTGTACGTGCCTCTTGATAGTAAGCCATTAATTGAGGGGCATTTTGATCCAACAGGCTTTGTTTGAGTTGTTTCGGTATGTCAAAGAGTTTTTTATTTTCTTGGACAAATGCTATGGTAGCTTGAATATTGTGCAACTTGGAACTGGTATCGAGGATCGGTTTGACCTTTAATGCCACTTCCTGAACCGTATCATCGACAGCAACTCCCAATTTTCCCGTTCCTAGCTCCTTGTTATCTTCCAATGAGAACCGTTGAAACTGTTCGTAAATCCTGTCTAGGTTGTTTTTGGATCTGACGTACTTCGAAAAATTGTTCTGGACTAATGCCTTGAGATCGTTGCTTTGTGACTGTAGTGAGCGATCCAAAAGATCTAACGAAGAGCTCAGATCATTGAAACTGTCTTGGGCGTGCAATCCTCTAAGGTAGAGTTTCGAATTGAATTTTTTAGAGTTGATGTAGTAGCGGTAGCGCTCTTCTGGAGGAATTCGGGAGCTCGTTAGTAGATCCTCTAATCTCAATTGTGGGTTCAAAGGGTCCTCAAGGTCTGCTGTTTCGATAGCGCTATTTCGGCCTGCACTATGCTCGTGCTCCTGCCGAAGGAGCTCATTCAATACAGCGTATGATACGTCCACAGACTCCAGAGCCTGTGGCTCTTGCAGCGTGTAAACGACACTGGAATCCTCCAACCACGACGTTTGTGGGTCAAGATCCTTGAGCTGGTATACATCACAGAGATCCTGATCTGAAACAGTAAAAGCTTGATTCACCATTGCGAAAGTGGCTCTTGAATCTTGTATGAACAGACCTTGTCAGCGTGAACTTGGTTGGCCCGTCTGTAGTATCTTGACCTTAACTTAGAGGTATAGTTCATTACGTGGTCACGTTTTCGATAAATCACGCCATTTCATTGAGGTAGTAATCCAGTCAATCCTCTAGGTGCCGCCTAGATATTTATTTCCTTGACGGTGGAGAATCCACGTGAATTAGAGAAAGAATAACGTCATTAAGTATAGAGTAAAAGTCCGAAACGCTCGAAATTCCACCATCATCGCTTACAAACCCAGGACGATTCAGTAAAGAGAGATCTTTGAAGCTACCAAAGGGAATGAACCATTCTTTAGCAAGTGAAACAGTACGAAAAGAGGCATGTAGAGGGCTTGTCCCATTTCAGCTGTGTGTGAGCCTCTTGCTGGTGTTTACAGTTGCTTTTCTATAGCCTTACCTACATTTTATCACCAGCTGTGGTTCAAAAAAAATGGTCTGCACCCATCGTGCTTCACTGGTCATAACCATGAGGAACTGTGACTCTATAGACATTTTTCAGCAACGGACGGATGTCGATGTGCATTTTCAGACTCCATTTCAATTTCATTAAATTGGAACGAATTCTGAGTCTCGATCAATTTTTCTTCCACCGACAATCTTAAGCGATCATATCCCTGACTCCATATTTGTAGGCATCTCAAATAGGATGTTCGATTTCGCTGGAGCTCTTCTCTAGGTTCCAGACCAACACCCACGCTCTGATTACCCAATTTTTGATACCACATTTTATCATCTTTGTATTCACTATCAATTTCACCACCTTCGTGCTAGAACTTCTAATCGGGTTCCGTTTCACTTTATCTAACCCATCAATAAGGACTAACACCTTGTGTGCCAAGAAATTATATTTGGCAACAATGTACGAGCCATACCTCCGCTGAAAATCCGTTCTGCGCAAGCCATCTTGCTGTATAAATACCACGATGGGTTCACCTTTTTGCCACACAACTTGAAAATCAAAGACGGTTTCTCTCGTCAACAAGAACCGATGGGCGAAAAAGTGTTGGTCACCGGTTGCAATGGCTACATTGCTCTCCATGTTTTGGACATTTTGTTGTCAGAAGGATACCATGTAATTGGAACAGCGCGTTCGGAAGGTAAAGGCGACAAAGTCAAGAACTCTTTTGCCAAGTTATACCCACCTGCCAAATTGGATGTTGAGGTGGTTACCGATATCAGCCAACCGGGAGCTTTTGACGCTGTTTTCAAGAAGTACCCAGATTTGCAGCATGTGGTGCACATGGCTGCGAATTTTTCGTTTGGGTCCGACCAGAGCAACGAAGAAACGTATTTGATACCCTCTACAGAAGGAACCAAGAGCATTCTGAACACTGTGGTGCAATTGGGTCCTAAGGTCAAGACCTTTGTGCAAACGTCATCGTTTGCAGCAATCAGAAACGAACACAACAAAACAAGTGTACACACCGAGGCCACTTGGAACCCAGTTACCTGGGAACAAGCCAGAACAACTTCGCTACAATCGTACTGTGCATCGAAGAAACTGGCTGAAAAACTGGGATGGGACTTTGTGCAGCAGCACGCCTCGCAAGTCAAGTTCAATTACACCGCAGTGTGCCCACCATACGTTTTGGGCCCGCAGATGTTTGGTTGGGGATTGGACGGTGAAAAGCTGAATACATCTGCACAGATTGTGAATGATGCGGTGAATTCGACGCCATCGTCTAAGGGTCCGTTCGATAGCCCCTCCGCTCTCACTGCTGATGTTCGCGATGTGGCCTTATTGCATATGCTTCCTTTGCGTAGCGAAAAGCTCGCTGGTCAGAGACTAATCCCAGTAGCCGGTGCAAGCCTTGCAAAACCTAACTATGATGACGGCAGATTCAATCCACAGCGTATCCTAGACGTTATCAATGCCAGGTTTCCCGAATTAAAGGGCAAGATCGCCGCTGGTAACATTGAGGACAACAAAAAGGTACTGGACAAGTCTTACCACTACAACACGGACCTCACTTGTAAACTCACCGGCGTCGAGTTTAAGAGCTTTGAAACTACCGTCGTTGACTCTGTCAAGCAGATTTTGGAGCACCGTCGCGACAAGATATAAAGGTAGCACAGTTAAGGAAGGTATGTAGGCGTAGTATCTATACATGAAGCAAGAACTTATTACATTATTTGAAAAGCGACTATGATCTGACTAAGTATGTCTATCTCAGCTTGTTGCAGCGGTTCTTTAAGATTCGAGAGACACGATCAGTAGTCTCCGATTTCATATAAGGTGCAAGGAAAACCCATCATTTTGTACTAAACGTTACCGATGAGCACCAGTTCACTTTTAAGTGAAAATCACCCAGTCCTCATAAACTAACCCGTTCGCTCACACCTCATCTATGACCGTCTCACTGCCTCCGCTGATCATCTACACCATGTAAGACATCTTTTATTGAATATCATCTTTGATACCAGCTGCATACATTATATCCCGATAGTCACCTGAGTAGATATAGGAAACAGCGACGAGGTTGAGTTCTGGCCGTAGGGTCACAAACGTGCTTGCTGGAACAATTGTGTAGCGGTAACAGCCATTGCATTGATATTTTTCTCACTTTCATGAACACCTAAGTAAGAAGAAATACTACTTCCGATGTTGTGGTATTACAACTGCATGCAAACTGTTTATCATATTCCTCTCGTCTATTCCTCACGTTTTTGTCTTATTATACATAGTTCGTGCTGTGCACAAATTCAGGTAGCACACGCCACTTTTCATCTCCTCTTGGGGCCCCGAATAGGAGGTGGAGGTTTGGAAACGGGACCTTGCTTGAACATAGGCGCATTTTTCAAAATGTCGGGAAGCACGAAGAACCGTATATTAGAGCCACGCACAAATACGTGGTCCATTCTTGTCACACTACCATCCCTGCCAGTTGCAGTCACGTCTCGCAGCTGAGCATTCATATTGTCTTCGCTATCTACCAACTTTCCACGATATAGCTCACCGGTGGTGAGCTCCAGTGATACTATGTGCCCCTGAGACTCCGTCAAAAGCTTAATAGGTATCCCGTTGACACTCATCTGTTGTGAATCTAGTTTACAAACGTCCTGCGATTGGTAGCTCTGAACCTTCACTAACTTTCGGTAGTTTTTGGATGTTAGATGGATGAGAGAGTCCATTAATATTTAATAAAATACCATACTATAAGTTAAGTTTAAAGATCATGCAAACTTCAAGTTCAGAGAACCTAGGTAATCAAGCTCCTTTGGTGCTATGAAAGCTATAGTCGAACATGTACAGCTACAATTTATCCCGGAGATCGACAGCAACGTTGCTTCACTCTGTGTGGAACAAAATGTGATGTGCTTTGCACTGAAGTCAGGATACTTATTCGTTATAGACCTAGCCACACCTTCAAAGGTGACGAAATTCCGATTCCCGCTGCTGGCAGCACCTCAAGAGAAAGTCCTTAAAGTTTGGATGGATTCCAGGGCCTCAATGCTTTTTTTGAAAACTAATTTTGCCAAATACTACAGTCTTCCAAGAGCCGTTCTGGGGACAGACAATTCAGACGGGATAGTACACTTGAAGAGACTTTCAAAAAAGAGCACCGATATCTTAGCTGTAGCATGGGTGGGTGAAAAACACATTTTGTGTGGGACTTCAGATGGAAACGTCTATTGGGTCGATCTGGAGCATGAAAATGCGATCTCAAGGGTGTTCAAGTCCAAAACACCGATTGATGGAATCATTTACAAGAAGGGACAAGCTGCATTGTTGAGCAGTAGGGACAAAATATGGTTCTGGAGTAAAGCTAACGACCCTTTGAAAACTTTCACTGGGGATATTGCCCCAGAAACAGAGGAGTTCGAGCAACTGGACACAGCGACAGGGAAAAGACTAACACTTCATAACGACACATTTGCCTGGATTGGTGGCCCGGGTGTGATTTTTGGGAGTGTTAAAAAATCAAATGATGTTTTGAGCAGTGCTACTGTTCTGCTGGCTGCTGAACTGCCTGCTTCAACGCATAAAATCAAAGACATTTTTCTAAGCAAGTTCCACATACTCATTTTGAGAGGAAACGAGATGACCATAGTGAATAGACTCAACAACGCAGTAGTGGGACAGAAGACCATCTGGACTAACGGCCCGGAAAAGATCTTAGAGTTTACGGCAGATTATTCGCAAGAGCCACCCACTTTTTGGTGTCATTCTATCAGCAACATTTACGAAATCATCATACAGGATGAAGCAGAAGGTATCTGGAAAGTTCTCTCTGATCAGAAACGCTTCGATGAAGCCTTGCAGCTTGACAATTTGAACTTGGAAGAAAAAAACCAACTGTATCTTCGCAAGGCAGATCATCTTTTTGCATTAGGCAATTTGGAAAAAGCTGCAGAGAGTTATGGCAAGTGTTCTATCGTCGGTACCGGGGAAGTAGCACTTAAGTTTATGAAGATTCCGACGGCAATGAATGCATTGCAAACCTATCTTCTTACCAAATTAGATGTTGCCAAGACGAAACCAAACAACGAAGTGCAGCTTATTCTTGTTACCAACTGGATAGTGTGGAATTTTGTGCAAATGTTGAATTCGATTGATGAATCTATATCATCAGAACAGAATGCTCAAAACTTAGAGCCTTTGCACAACGGTAAGAATGACTTAAAGTCTACATTTGCTACGTTCTTGGAACAGAACGTCTCCGTCCTCGACAAAGAAACGATTTACCAAATAATGTCTCACCAAAATCGGAAAATGGAGGTTCTAATGTTTGCGAGGCTCATAAAGGACTACAAATATGTGCTATCTTACTGGATTAGGTCCAAAAACTGGTACGAGTCCTTAAAAGTCTTAATGACCACTCAGGATCTCGAATGCATTTACAAGTATGCCACTACTCTGATCACAAACTCCCCTGATGCTACTGTTAACGCTTGGATGCATGTTCCAACAATAAATCCATCGGAACTTGTGAATCCGCTGCTCACTTACTATGCAAGGTATCAAAAGCTGACCCCTCAAATGAGTTCGCTGCATACTAACACAAATTACGCGCTGAAGTACCTTATGTGGTGTTTCAAGAAACAGGAATACCAAAGCTCACTCGAACCCGTAGTTTACAATGCAGCACTGTATATGATGATCGCCTCTCATGACGCCAAAAACAGAGAAGACGAAATCATAGCATTCATAGAAAATAACATGGGGCATTTTGATAACGACTTCGTTTTACGATTGAGTAACAAGTTTTCGAGAAACAGAGTTTCCGTTTACTTGTATTCGCAACTAAAACAGTATGAAGAGGCGGTGACGCTGGCAGTTGGGAAAGGTTTATTGGACGATGCAAAATTGGTTGTGGCCAGCTTGGAAGTGGATTCAAATTTTCGTTTGCGCCGTAAGTTGTGGTTGACTATCGCCAAATTCATGATGTGCGACCAAACTGATATCAAAAGCACTATCAAATCTATTTTGCGAGATGCCAATGATACTTTGACGATAAAAGATCTGCTACCACTCTTCAACGAGATCACAACGGTTGCGAATGTGAAGGATGAGCTTATTCGTAATTTAGAAGAGCACAACGCGGCCATGATCCATGTCACCCAGGAAATTAAAGAGTCAATCAAAATCAAAAAAGAAATCGTCGAGGATATTGAGCTTCTCAAAACCCGCTATCAAGCTCTCGAGCCCGGTGCATCGTGTGATGTCTGTCGCAAGGTTCTTCAGACTCGTAAATTCTACGTTTTCCCCTGTGGACATTCATTTCATACCGATTGTTTGATGAAAGAGATATTGCAATCATCCGACTACGCACTTCGAAACAAAATTGAAGTGTTCCAAAGAGCTACGATGAAAAATCGGGTCAAGGATTTGGTTGCCCTCGAAGAACTCGACAAATTACTATCCACCAAATGTTGTTTTTGCAGTGACATTAAAATAAACAGCATTGATGAACCACTAGCAGTAAACGAAATCGAGCAAGAAGCATGGAACATATGAAATCAAGTCGAATATCCTACGCGGTAATCAAGCAGATCGCATTAGCGGCAGTCTATTGGAAGTATCATAGCGGTCAGTAAATGGTTCACGTACAGAATGATTTATCAAAACTGGCTTCCAAATTGTCAAATTGACAGAACCAAACTAACAAAACGTTTCCGAAATCCGCATCCAGCACCAGCCAAGAGTCGCTAGTATCTGTCCCCACTGATCTGGTACTTTTGCATTAACAGCATCATATTTAAATTGAAAATGACTGATCAAGGTCTAATGGGCGATGAACTGAACGTCGACGAGGAAATTAACGAATTCGATGATAATGAAGAAGCTCCAATAGATAATGATGCCTTATTTCCCGGTGATGATGCCGAAACCGAGCAAGAACCAAAACTAGAAAACGGTGCTGGCAATCTTTTTGAAATTCCCGAATTCACTCGGAAAGACAAAACGCTGAACGAAATACTTGACATGATGGAGGACAATCCGCCAATTATCCCAGATGCGGTTATCGACTACTATCTGATGAAAAACGGATTTGACTGTGCAGATGTGAGGGTGAAAAGACTGTTGGCACTGGCTACGCAAAAATTCGTCAGTGACATCGCCACAGACGCTTACGAATACTCCCGAATTAGGTCTGCAATCACAGTTCACAACTCCAACAACGGCCAGGCTAGAGCCAGACAGCTAATTTTGGGCCAGCAACAACCGGGACAGCTCACTCAGCAGCAACAACAACAAAACGAGAAAACGAAAGCTAATAAGGTGGTTTTGACCGTAAACGATCTCAGCAGTGCTGTCTCAGAATATGGACTAAATGTAGCGAGACCTGATTTCTATCGTTAGCGAAGAGTAATGACGTCCGTTCTACAAATGTTCGAAAATCGCAATCAACGCCAATGGTGACAGGTGATGACACGAAATTCAAGCTACGCATGAGAGCCTGTGGAATAAACAAGACGTTGTACACGCTAACATAGCAACCGCTTGGTTGTCTAATGAAATTTTCCTAAACTTTGTCACTCATTATCAGTCTCATTGATCGGAATTTGGACTACCTATTACCAAAGGAAAGGCAAGGGCGACACGGAAAGGCTTACGACAGTGGTTTTTATTGCCTCAGTGGCCATCATATCCTGGAATGGATAGCTTCAAGGCAGGGATCAACAACGGTCAACTATTCACGTGTGAAGCATTAGCTATAGGCGTAAATAATGACTTGTGTTTTGGTGATTAAATTAACCAGAAGTTACATGCTTGTTTCTGGCAAACCTTCAATCGCAAGGACCGCTCAATCTCCATCTATCCTAACCCGCAAGTCTCTTCTGCTCATCTATAATGCCCATTGATTACTCCAAGTGGGACAAGATCCAACTTTCCGATGACTCTGACATCGAAGTTCATCCTAATGTCGATAAAAGGTCTTTCATTAGGTGGAAGCAGCAAAGTATCCATGAGGAAAGGGCCAAAAGGAACCAGGATATCAAGAACTTGGAATTTCAAGTACAAATGAATTCTAGACTTAACCAGAGAGTTGACAAGATGGTGGGTCAATTGAAGAATGAAGATTTGCTGAACAGAGATGTCGTACGAAAGTTTCTGAACGCCAACTTTGACAAAACTGAACGGGGTGAAGGTGACAATGTTGATCCCAATATGCCACCTTACAATGAAATGGTGGAGGATTTGTTTGAACAATTGGAAATCAACGCCAAGAAGGCTAATAAAGACCCTAAGAACGGAGCCGTTATTCGCGAGATGATCTTTGAACACCGTAAGAAGATCGACGCAGTAACTGAACAGGCTCACGAGAGATTAAAGCAACTTTACAAGGAAAGGGCATCGCTCATATCCTCTGATGATATCCATACCGGTTTTGATAAAGGCTTCATCAACAAAAAATCAGAAAAAGACGATGAGGAAGCCAGCAAGTACCTGCCATCGGCCAAAAGTACTGAAGTCGCATTACCCCCTCCACGTCTTGAATTTGTCAATTACGAAGATGATGTAATGAAGCTTGCCCCAGAAACCATTGAATTTGGGAACATATCGGTGAAAGATGTAAAAAAATCAGAGCAGTTTCTACTGAATAACCTCCAAATCGTATCCGAACAACAGAAAGATGCTTTGATGATGTCTGCGTTCGAATATCAGATGGAAAATAAAAGTGAGAAGACTTATCAGACAATCCACCAGTCGGAGCTTCTAGGCTATGTCAGGGAAATGTACGATATGAAAAAGATTCCTCATTTACAGGCCGAAGAACTTACAAGTGTGATCAAGCTGTTCTTTCAGAGAGTTTTTTATAACAAAGCCAGTGACCAGGGAAAAAAGTCTTTCCTGGATTCTGTACAGGTGAAGTTTGAGCACATTAAAAACCGTGTCAATGTCATGCAGGAAGAAGAATCACAAGAAGGAGTGGAAACCATTCAACTCAAATCGCTTGATGAGTCTACAGAATTGCAAGTAAATCTACCACAATTTGGTTCAGAAGATCCAGAAGAATTAAAAAGAATAGCAGCGTTCGAAAAGCTTCCCCCAAAAATGCAAAGTGCTATCAAGACCCAAAGTTTGGATAAGATCAATGAGGTTTTTGCCGAAATGCCACTTGAAGAAGCTGAAGTCGTGTTGGAAATATTCAACGAGGGAGAAATCATCGGAGTCAATGCTTTATTGGAAGATGAAAGTGAATTTCGAGAACTCCAAGCACAATATCGGGATCAACCTTCCGCTGAGGAAAGTGACCCGAGCAGCGTTCTAGAACATAACTTTGAGAACACTGTTGAAATCAACACCTCTGACGTTGTTGATTAATGAAACTTTTAAATATACGCTATTTGCTTTGTACCTAACGCCCATGAGAAAATGTGTGAAATAGTTTTTAACAGAAATCATAGCTTGGGAACGACCTGCGAGCCCAAGAGTTTATTTTCCATTTGATGATGCCATAGTCCGTACCAATGACTAGTGAGCTGCCCTCTTCATCCTCCATCCAGTCAATTCCTGAAATATTATTTTCATCATTGGAATTAGCAGACAGGTCGCTTCCGCGGGAATAGCGAGGAGCCGTTGGCGAAGCCCTGCTTGCATGAGGGCGAGATCGCGACGTGAGCGACTGAAATAAGGGATCGCTGGTGTCGCTATAGGCATCCACTACCTCGACGTCGTTTTCGAGAAAGACGTCGTTATTTTGGTCGGCTGTAACAGGATTGGTGTTGCCATTGTTCGACCCAACCCTTGTATCCTCACCGATATAGTTATAATTGTCAACTGCCCGGTAGTTTGGTGCTAAATATCGCGACTCCAGAATTGACGGATCAATTGATTCTAAGGAAACATGAGGAGTGTTGGAAGAAGTCGAGAATCTTCTCACTCTGAAGGAAGAAGACCTTCTACTTCTGCGCCCCACATTTTCAGGCTCAACAATGTCCTCATTTACACTGCCAGTATCTGAGCAATTGCTAGTAGAGTTCATTGCTTTCGGGTAGGGAACTAACTGCGGTTGAAGTTCCTTTACCGGTATGCTCGAAGCAAATGTGGTATGTGGATCGCTCAATTGAGCGGGCAAAGAGCTTCTTCGAGAAGGTAAGAGCGGCTCTCTGTCCCCCTTCGAAGCAGTGGTGCTATCTGGTATCATGATGACTTGGTGATTCATGAAGTTGCGCGTGTCGATTACGTGCACGCGCCCGTGATGTTCAGAAACGAAAAGCAAGTCGTCCATTCCCTCACTAAATTTGCAGACCCGAAATGCACCATTTTGAGTGTACTTGCGTGTCGAGTTGATTTCAGCCATCGGTGATTCCATTTTCCTGGCATCATAAACCCAGCACGTTCCATTCTGGAAAACAGTTGCGAATAGCATGTCGTTCTCACTGAAGCTTGTATAAAATCCGTGATCTCCTCCGGGAACTTCGTATATGTTGTCCACGAATCCGGACCTGTCAGGCATCGCATAGCGCGGAATGCGTTTATTTCTGATGAATGAGCTGCCCCATTGGGGCTGAGAATCGTATCTCAATGAGAAAAACCCAGTAAGCTCATTTTGGTGATAGATTGCGAATTTGCTAGAATCGCCAGACGTTATAAGGGTCTTGCCGTCGTGAGATAAAGCAGCGTTATTGAGAGAAAATTTCAAATCTGAATATCTTTTGGTTAGTTCGATGCCTCGATTACTCACATCGCATTGATATAAATGGGCATCATTGTTACATGCAAAAAGGTCATACTGCTGTGTGGTTCTGGGATGGAGAAGAACGCAGTTGTTGATATATTGACCTAGTCGATACGTTAAGCATGTGCCACTTTCTTCATTGTACAGAGACAGTAAACCTTTCCAGGTTTCGCTGTTACTGTAGGTGTTATGATCTGAAAGCACGGAACTGCTTCCAAGTCTAATAGGCTCAACACCCGAACCAGCAAAAGTCTGGCCAGCAGATCTGCTTGGTGTGGAAGACGTGTTTCGAAAGAACTGGCCCCAATTACCGTTGTCCTCAGCACCCATCAGACCGCCCGAAACGAGAAGCCCGTTTCGTTCTTGAAAACATCGGGATTTGAAATCGAACTCAACCAGTTTTCGAGATGGCGATTGCAGCTGTTCCTGAGAAAGAACTTTGGGAGAAGAACTTCTCCTTTTCCGGTTACGGATCGAAACCTTCGTTGTTCGAAGTTTTGTTCCAGAGCTACTGATCGTTGTATCGAGCACACGAATAGAATGGTCGTAAATGTAATAAATCTTACCGGGCTCACTGGTTGAATGCTTGACGCAATCTCTCAGTTGCCAGTGATTGATGGAAACACGAGTATCGTAGAGTTTCAAAGAAGGCATCAGATAATTTTGGAACACTTTGCTGGATCCCCATTGGGTCTCATTGGAAAAACCAGGACTTTCAAGCTCTTCTTGAATGGTCATTTTGCGGCCTTTAGGGTACTTGAATTTCCAGGATCAGATTGATAGCGAGCTTGGAATAATAAACACACAAAGTATGTATAATGAGAGCCCTTTGAATAATGTCTGTCGCTGATTATTTGAAAAATCACTATCCAGACCAAGAGGCAGACGAATGTGATAGACAAGACCAGTTTTCTCAGTTTTTGCAAAAAGAGTGACCAGGCTTGAACTTCTAGGCTCTGTTCCAGACTAGCTTTAAGCAAAGCGTTTGAACCCGTTTTGTTCAAGTATCAACAGATATGTTTCCCTTAGGTCAGACAACTTAGTGAAAAAAATAAAGGGATAACGAGCAAAAACCCATTCACCTGAACCGGAAAAAGTCGATAAGTTTAGCGGCGAGAACAAGAGCTGATGAGAATTGCCCTAATGTGCTGATAATAGCAGATTTAATGGTTTGTGCAGGTGGTAAGTTTATTCGACAAAGGGGGGACTCTCGATGTCCTTTATGTCAACCGTATGTTTTTTCCCATTTAAGTTTCCATGACATCCAGACTAAATTAGCTGACGTAATCTAAAAGATGAGTCCGAATCCGTATCATATGACAGTCAGTAGACGAGTACTGGTCACGTGCGGGAGGCTTTTTTGGTAAGTCAAAAGGTCCACCAGGGTATGCTGGTGAAGACATAAGTCCATGGCTCTTATGAGCCGTTTCGCTTTAATTTGTCTTGACTTTCCTTGTGGTCATAAAAGCTATCACCTTCTTTTCGTATATGAATTCTTTTATTTCTCTCAGGGTTTTTTTAGTACCTTCTCTTTTCTCATGACTTCAAGCTCATCAGTAAGAAAGCAGCGTCTTGAGTCTCGGCCTGAGGCTCCTGTTTGAGATTTGCCGCAGACTGGGACTTCGGTATTGATTCTGAGCCGCCAAGCAGCGTGGGTGGGCTCAATGACAGATGAGACGGCTGTCGTTCCAACCCGGGCCGGTTCGTGGCCAGTGAATGCGGGGACTGTACTTGTGGCGGTGAACGTATTTGGGATGTAGCCCTGCTATTTCTCAATGATTCAGCCCCGATGTGTTTCCAGTCCTCCTCGTCCGTGTCGTCGAGACGATCGAGATCCTCATCTTCTTCGATGGCAGCACCATCATCTTCGCCAATCGAGCTGGACAACCCATTTAATCCTGAAGATGGACTGTTCAGTCTGTAGTACGACAAATCCTTATTTTGACTGGAATCGATAGCACGTTGTATGGGACTTGACTTGTGGTTGGCATGCGAAAGTAAAGTGGACCGCAAACTAGATTCTTTGGAAAAGGATAACCGCGGCTCACGACCGCGGGTTTCTGCATCTTTGGCGGTTTTTGGCCCTGAAGAGCCCGTTGCGACCTTTGTATTTTGCTTATCAATGACATTGGCGGGCGAAGAAAGACGTCTCGTGATCGCTTCGAGACTGGCATTGGAGCCTCGGAAAGAGCTACGTTTGCTTACCGATGCTGACCGTATTTTTGAGGATGAGCGACGATGACTCTTTAAAGAGGGTCTCAGACTCGCGGAGCTGTGCAATGCAGCGGCTTCATGGTCTAGTTCGTCCGGAGGTGAGTTTTCAGCATACACTACAATGCTGGATTTGCGTTTTTTGAAAAAATCGTAGCCATTATCATGAAAGTCGTTATCGTCATCAATTTCGTCGTGATTTCCTGCCAAATCGCCCACGTTATCATCGTATTCTTCGTCATCGAACGCAAGCGCGTTTTCGTCCAAAAACATGGCCGCTCGACTACCGCCACGTAATTCCAGCTCACGTTTGAGTCCTGCTGCTCCTGCTGCTTCCACTTTTCTAGTCTGCGATACCGAGCTGCTTTTGCGGCGTTCTTGTGACATCAAGTCTTTGATTTTACTGTTGGCAATGTTGGTGGCCTCGCGTTCCTTATCAAAATCGGCTGCATTCTCGACTTTAGTGGCCGACCAATGCCCCCATCCAATCTTAGTGAACACCACACAACTTGTCCTGTCACCCATTTCAAGTGCTGCCATGATAAGTCTTCTCTGTTTGGACGCCGATAGCTCCGCAAATCCCGGCATTTGCTTGCAAAGCGCTTTAGTTATAAATCGGATAGCCAACGGTCCTTCTGACAGCAACAACTCCGAGATCTTGGCGGGTGACACCAGCAAATTGTTGGTCGTGGTGATGCTATTGGACCCGGCTGTTTCCACAAGCTCTTTCTCGAGCTTTACGCCATCCGTTAGATCGGTTTTGGGACAAAGGTCAATTTTGTCAACTCCGGCTGTCATTGTAATTTTTGAGCGTAAAATGTGGCTATTAAGACCTGAGAAAAAGCTTCAAAACGTGTGGTCGTGTTATATTTCGTCTACTAATGTTATTCCAGCGCCTTAGACACGCTTTATGATGTGTTTCGACGCGCAATTGTTTGACATTGATTGTCCTGTTTGTTTGACCGTTGTTGAAATTAATCTTAATATACCACTCAACTTGACTCATAAATAAGGCTTATCAAAGATTCGTGGGGGACTCTCTATGAAGAGTCCAATTTAAAATACGGCACGTGACTCTAGCCGAACAGTAGAAAGACGGAATAAGAATTACCAAGAATGTTTAAAGAGCACGAGTGTACTGGTTTTTATGTAGAATGCATTTTACTCTATTAGTCTGACGGTACTATCCATTTCTTTCCGTAAGTGGCGCAACAGGGCATGAGAAAACTCCATAATTCTGTACGATAGCATTGTTTCCAGTTTGTTTCCAGTTTGTTTCTAGTTTCCGATTGTTTCCCGTAAGCTTTATCTCGGCTGTTAGCTTCCAAATTAAGCGTTACACACGAAAAAATCCATGTGTCATATCATACGTATCAATCTCTGTTCGAACCCTCCGAGTAGCGCTATTTTTTTTTTAATTTTTGTCTTCGTCAATGATGACATATCCGAAAAAGTAGTCCCCTAAGGACCACGTTTTGCGCTTCAGACTGAGGTTTGCGCACCTCGCGACGCAGCGTTTTCTGGAAGGAGCCACAGGCTGGTTGCTACCCCTAGTGGTCACTAATTTTTCACCACTGTGAGGGAAACGCACCAATACCAAACCCATCGGCCAAAACTAGCGCATCTAAGAAACCCTTTTGAAGGTCGACTACGCAGTAAGATCTTGGAAAGTCTTGGTTCATATACTCTTGAGTTGAGCTTATTGATCAGGAATCAATAAATTATGTCTGTACGTATTTGATTTGCGTTCTTTTCCCTCCCTGGGCCTTTTGGGAATTACCGTGGTACCGGGTCCAAATCCAACACACTGTTTGCATAACAAATGCAATTGGCGACGACAAATAGCATTGAGGGCACCAAATAGCATTGAGCTCAGCTTAAATGCGGGCTCTGTTTTGCCTTGGCTTCTACCTTGTGTCCTCAACTTTTCCCCGCCCTTCCAACCTAATTCATCTACTAACATGGACAATTCTCTTTTGTGCAGAACCCATTTGATTTGCTAGGCAACGACATCGAGGACCCCTCCGCGGCGGCTCCTCTACCTCCAAAGGAGCTTGTCAAGAAGACCACATCGTCCAAGAAGGCCGATGTGCCTCCTCCATCTGCTGACCCATCCAGAGCCAACAAGAACAGACCAAAGCCAACCGGCAACGAAGCTGCTTTCAGAGACAAGACTGGTGGCAGAAAGGTCAACAGATCCAAGGACGCTCCTGCTGAAACTACCAACGCCAAGAGAAGCACCCACGCTGCCAGAAGATCCTCTGACCGTCAAAACAGAACTGGTAAGGTTGACACCGACAAGAGAGTCAGACAAGGCTGGGGTGACAACAAAAACGAGGTGACCGAAGAAGCCGCCGCTGAAGTGGACGCTCAGGCCGAAATCGAGGCCGACAAGGCTTCCGAGGAAGCTCCAGTTTCCAACAAGAAGTCTTTGCAAGACTACTTGGACGAGGTCAACAGCCAAGGACTAAACAAGAGCCCTGTTTCCAAAAAGACCGTTGACCAATTGGAAGACGCCGAATTGTTGGTCAAGAAGGAAGAAGTGTACGCTGAACCAACCAAGGTCAAAAACTTGAAGTCCAAGCAATTGAAGTCCAAGCAGTACGTTGACTTTGACGTTAACTTTGCTGACTCCAACGCCTCCTCCAAGCCAAGAAAGACCGACACCAGAGGTGGTGCTGGTCCAAGACGCGGTGGTAAGCCAAAGACTACCAAGCCTCAAGGTGAACAGAAGCCAGCTGTCAACGCCAAGAACTTCCCTTCTTTGGCCTAAGCTCGCTCCCCTTGCAGTTTCTCCAGACCGTTTAAACGAGACATCTGTGAACCCTGGAACACGCGGTCTAGCACAACGACAAATACACGCATGCGCACGTCTTGTACCTACACTTTTTAGGTAAAGCTGTGTTTTGTAACATCTAATTCGTTTCTACCAAAAAACAATGTTTTGTTAAACAAGCAAGTACGGGCTAGGAAGCTAACTAACCCTATTACTATTGCACAAGCCTTTTCTCTACTGTAGCCTAGTGCCATCGACTAAGAATTATCTCTTCCAAGTATCTTAAACTCAAAACTCTAGTACCGAGATATCATTTAGATGCTCTTTCGGGATAACATCGCTGTAGAACACTCCACGTTGGCCGCTGATCATGGCGGTTTCCCATTGAGAACGCTGACGATCCTGCAATTGGTTACCAAACTTGTGAAGTGCGTAGATCAATTCCTCATGGCCTTTGGCCTTGGTGGTTCCGGTATCACCGTGAGCTACATCGCTCAACTCCTGCAAAATTTTGGCCGTCAAGCCCCAAACGTCTTTGCACGGTATACCTTCGGCTTCCTCGTCGCCAGAACTAGTGTCAATGATCTCGTTGAGCCACGTAGTGTCTTTGATATTCTCATTAGGGTAGTAGTAGTGTTGCAATTTCCACGTCAATCCACCCCATTTGGCTGTGTATAGTTTCCGGCTCACGTACTCCGCGTGGAATCCAGCATGGGTATGCCTGTGAGCAGTGAAGTCCGCCAATGGAACCGAAAACAGGGACGTTGTCTCCCCAGGATTGAGTTTGCCGAAAAATTGGGATCCATCCAATGGTACTTTGTACCGACTGTCTAAAGGTGTTCCTGCGTTGTATAAAAACGAGACGATGGGTTTAACACTTAAGAAAGTTCGTGATAGGAAATGCGGGAACTTTGTGGTGACAGCTTCGATCTTCATATTGAAATTTCGTAAAAGCACTTCTTCGTCCCTGGGCAGCCCTATTTCTTCTTCAGCTTCTCGTATTGCCACCATCGTAGCAGACTCTTCTGGGAAATCGGCCTTCCCACCGGGCAATGATACATGTCCCGAGAAACTTCTGAGATTCCTACATCTCTTGGTGAGCAGTACTCTTAGTTCACCAAACTTTCCAACAAACAGCAGAACCAAGACTGCACTTCGTCTATGAACTGGCCAAGTACTTGACACAGGCAGTACTTGCTGCACTGTAAATTTAGCAAGGTTTGTGAGAAGTTGAGCGTTTTCCATCTTTGATCTTCATGTTGAAGAAGTGTATTGTTCCTGCTTGTCCTTGAACTGAGGAAACAAGAATTGAAAGAATGATTTATGGTCAGTAGCGAATGTTATTAATGAGATTATACACTTATAGCAAATGATGATCCTTTAAACTTTGAGATCAGCCTTCAATGCGTAACTTACAACTATTGACAATGTGATGAACAGCACTCCGTACTGACTCAGGAAAAGAATTGACAAACAATCCATCTGAACATGGCTACCCTCCAAAGGTGTATAAAAAGCGGTGAAGTAGACTTGAGCCGTAGCGCTAGGCATGGCCCAAGTGAGAATCACAACGAATTTAGCGATGTCGCTGTCAAGCCAATTGATGTCATATAGTTTATTAGCCCATGCTATGCCAATGATGGGGAGAACGACCAGCCTAAAAATCGTGAACACTATAGTTGTCTTCCAGAATCCAGGCGGTAGACTCTCAATTTCAAGTCGAGCTAAGGTACCTCCTAGCAACAGAAGCCCCAACGGCACGCATGCATTTCCAATGTATCCGGTGAAATCCATTAAAAAGTTTAGAACGGGTTGACCATCGGGAGCCTGATGCATGGGCACGTATGTATGGACGAATAGGGCTTTTACCCATGGTATCATAGAGCAGATAATGCCCAGGAGTGCTCCAAGCGATGCAGGACGACAAAAATTAATTGCGATGTACACCAGCCATCCCATCTTGTATTTCTTTATAAATTTGCTGAATCTCGAGGTTTTTTCAGCCTTGGAGCTACTAGATGTGTGTCTGGATAGTGGCGGATGTGATGTGGCATCCAGATTTGAATGCTGTGTCGGTTTGCGATCGAAATGCGCCTCTTCATCGTCACTTTCGGTGTCTGGAAAGGCGTTGTCTTCACCGACCTCTTGTGTCAATGACAAAGGTCTGGTGAGGTCCATTTCGCCAGTTTTGATCCTGCTGGCGGCACTGTACTCGTTGATAACGCTGTGCATGTTTTGTGATGGACGTCTTCTTCTCCCATTCTTTTTCGCACGCGAGCCGGCGGAGCTGGAGCTGGAGCTGAACGCAGAGTTTGCAGAGGACAGCTTATAAAGAGGTGCAGATATGGGGACAGGAGCCATCGCTTGACTTCTGGCTTGTGACGTTGTAGAGCGCCGACGTGGACCCTGATTGAAGCTATTGACGTCGCGATCATCATCACTGGACTCAGATTCCGAGGACAAACTGCTGATTGCATTGGATTCAGCCCCCATAGAGTGTCTACTGCTATTTTTTGCACTTTCGTGGTGCACCTTGCTGTCTTTATTTTCAGTTTCAAGGCTGGAATTAGTCGATCGAAGATCGCTGCTGTGACGACGTGTGTCCGTTTCCAGGTCGGTGTTGGGGTCTGGTTTGGTCCTCCCCGACTCCAAATTGTCGGTATTTAGGCCTTGTTCGGCGTCTTTTTCCGGTTCTCTGAAATCTAGTCCCACAAGTCTGAACATCCCGAAATTCATTAGCAAGAAACTCTGAGTGCAGAGGAAAATGCAGCAATAAGCCACACCGCGATCCACTTGTGAGGAGTCGAAAACGGTGCCGTTGCTCATACTTTGCACGTAGGCGATCGGAAGGTCTGAAATGTTGGGAAAAATGCCGGCGAACAGTAAGCCCCAATACCACTGTTTGGGCGACTTGGTGATCCATTTGGTGATGAAAGCACACGCCCCGCCCGTCACAAACATCACCAGCGCTGTTAGCACCAGAACACCCACTTCTTTGATGTCTCTTGCGGAAATGCTCCCCACGATTTTGTTGAACGTCAAACACGGCAGGATTGCATTCACCACCATGTTGGACACCCCTCTAGACGTTTCCACCGTGGCAAGGTTGTATTTAGCCAGCAGAAACCCCACAAACAGGATCACATAGATCTTCAGTACTGGTTTTACTGCTGCGTAGATGGCCACTCCAAGACCGATGCTCATTGTGGATGAGGGAAGTAGAAAACAGAGACTTCTTTGTCAAACCCGTCAAGTTCAGCTCATACACTTTTAACTGGGACTTTAAATGATCAGAGGGTTCTTTTCGTTCTAAACTTTCGTCTATTCTTTCCTCAGAACCTTGTTTGTTCTTCCTCAAAACCTTGTCTATTCTTTGTCTCTTGTCTTTTGTCTTTTGTCTTTCGTCGAATATCTATCCCATCACTATATGTTTTCGCCAGTCATAAGACCTAATACCTTGAGTAGTGATGATGATCCCTGCGAGATCGACGATTTCTTGTTCGAAGAACCCTTGTTGCTCGAAAAAGCCATTTGGGGCAGTTAATCGAATAACTTGCGTATCGGACAGTTCTTAAAAGGGCATCATTTTCCCCATGGTATCGTTCATATCTATCCAATTGGGAACTTTTTGACCATCTGTCATCAGTGATAGAGGCGATGGGCTAGGTAAAACTGAAATGGAAAAAAGCGCTATACGGAAGGTCACAAAAGAGTTACCTTGTTTGGAAAAACGCTAGCTTAAGTTTCAGCAGACATCGATACAATGGGAACCCTAACATAGTGCTAACACACGGAATAATTATCTTGTACTACGCCCGTCATCTATTGCTGGGGTATCGACGCTTGAGGTTTATGGCATTGGATGTTTCCAAGAGTTGGGTTTCAGATTGAAAGTCTTGTCGTAGTTCCTCACACTGCTCACGTCAAGTAGACTTTCTTGAAGGCTGATCCCAGTACACTTGACAAGATATATCAATATACAGCTGGGAAGTGATGGCACACTAACCGCCAGTGGGAACACATCGTACACGAGAAACGTTTCTCTAGTATCTAGTATCGAACGTCTAGTATTTCACGTCTAGTATCGCACGCAGTCAATTCATATACGACTTGACTGAATAGACCGTAGCCATCGCTTAACCTGAGTTTGTTCATTGAGGCAAGAAACGCATTGTGGGATATGGAGACTCATTCGTACTTAGTGATATGTGTATTTTGTCACTTTTCCACTTAGGTTTGAGCCATTGAATACGCTATTCTTACCTAGTAAGTGAATCCGCATCATCTACAGAGCTCTGGTTTTATGCCCATCTAGCTGCTTCCTCAACTTGTGCGTGGTGTTTGTATATGGGCAGTTCTCGTTCGAAGCGACATTGTTTCAAGTATCTCTTTATAGAGCCTCCAGGGCGTATGATACAACCCAGCAAAACAGCTTGGACCATAAATCGTGGTCCCAATGAATATTTGAGTGAGTAAAAAAAACCAGAAGTAGTTCATTCCGCTTCAATGAATCCGCTTTCGCTGAACACACCTTAGCCATCCAATCCCCGAGGCACGTGATATCAAATTACCGCTTACTCGAACCCCGTTTACAGAGCATTTATCGTCTTGGCAGAGATGTATATATATATATAGAGAGACAGAGACAGAGAGACAAAGCTTGAAGCTTCGACCTTCCCCCGCCTATTTCTTTTTCTGCGCCAGAAATTGAGTCTCCACAGCAGAGATGATGGATGGCACACAATCGGCGTTGGCCAATGTAGACATATCACCTAGCTGGTCCGCTTCGTTGGAGGCAACTTTTCTCAACACTCTTCTCATGATCTTACCGGATCTGGTCTTGGGCAAGTCGTTAACCACCACCACAGATTTAGGAGACGCAAATGGTCCGATTTCACCTCTCACTTGCAAAATTAATTCGCGACGCAAATTGTCAGGAGTGATATGGGCCACGTCTCCAGCAGAAGCATTGTCCTGCAAATATCCATCTTTCAAAGACACAAAGGCAATTACGGCTTGACCAGTAAGCTCATCGGTGATTCCAACCACAGCGGACTCAGACACGCCATCGTGTTCGACCAGAGCAGCCTCGATCTCCGCAGTGGAAAGTCTGTGGCCCGAAACGTTGACTACGTCGTCGACTCTGCCTCTAATCCAGTAGTAACCGTCGTGATCTCTTCCAGCACCGTCTCCGGTGAAGTAGTAGCCTGGGTAGGGCTTCAAGTAGGTCTCAATGTAGCGGGAATGGTTGTTCCACACAGATCTGGCCATAGATGGCCATGAATCCTTGACAGCTAACACACCTTCCACATCGTTACCTTTCAATTCCTCACCAGAAACCGGATCGATCAGACAGGCGTTGATACCGAAAAATGGTACTGTGGCAGAACCAGGTTTGGTGTTAACGGCACCAGCCAAAGGCGCAATCAAATGAGAACCGGATTCTGTTTGCCACATGGTATCGCAAATAACACAGTTTTTGTTACCAACTTTTTCGTGATACCATTCCCACAAATCAGGAGAAATTGGTTCACCAACAGAACCCAATACTCTCAAAGAGGAAGTATCGTATTTGGCAATTTCGGCTTCGCCAACTCTTTTGATGAGTCTCATTGCAGTTGGAGCCACGTAGAAATGAGTGGCCTTGTGACGCTCAATAATTCTCCAGTATCTACCGTAGTCTGGGTAAGCAGGTGTAGACTCGAAAATAATAGAAGCGGTACCCAATGCCAATGGACCATAAAGCGCATACGTGTGACCGGTAATCCAGCCCACATCCCCTGCAGTGAAAAGCACATCTTCAGGATGGATGTCAAACACGTATTTGGTAGTCAATGCGGCGCCTAACAGGTAACCCGCTGTGGTGTGAACCACACCTTTTGGTGAGCCGGTGGAGCCTGAGGTGTACAGCAAAAATAGCGGGTCTTCAGAATTGACCGGTGTGGGTGGTAGATAGCCGCCGTGTTTGGCGGACTCCTCGTGCCACCAGTAGTCACGGCCTGGTTTCATGGGGATACCAGCGGACCCGGTTCTTTGATACACAAGAATCTTCGAGACAAGATCGACGCCTGCCAGACCTTCATCGACTATTTTCTTGGTGTGTACGGTTTTGCCGCCTCTGCGACCTTCGTCGCAGGTAATAACGACTTTGCAGCCGGCATCAACGACTCTTTCTTTCAAAGATCCAGCAGAAAACCCGGCAAAGATGACAGAGTGGATCGCACCGAGTCTGGCCACGGCCAGCATTGCCACAACGGCCTCTGCAATCATGGGCAAGTACACTGCAACGGTGTCGCCCTTTTTCACGCCCCAGCTTTTCAAAACGCCTGCGACTTCAGAAACCTGGCGCAAAAGCTCGCCAAACGTGATAACGCGGTTTTCCGATTCGTCGTCTGCTTCACAGATCAACGCCGGTTTGGAAGGATTGGCGAACGCATGGCGATCCACACAGTTGTAGGAGGCATTGAGCTCACCGTTGAGGAACCATGCTGAATCCCCGTGCTGTAGGGACCCAGCACGCACCTGTGTGAATGGACGGTCCCAATGTAGATGTTCGCGAGCCATGGGTCCGAAAAACCCGGATGGGTCCTCAATCGATTGCTTGTACATTTTCATGTACTGTTCTGCGTCCTTGACGTGTCCTGGACGTGGCTGTGACTTGAAGAAATGGTGTGGAGGCTCACGAGCCACCACATTTTGGGCTTCGTGCACAACGGTGTGTTCTGGCATTTATTTCAAGCGGAGTAAGGGCGAAACGTCAATGCTTCGAAAAAAAGAGGGTGCGAGTGTGTGTGTAAGTGTAGCGAATGGGTGAAAAACAAGACACACGCTCTTATTCTTTAGTTATTGGAATTTGCTGTGACAAGTTGTTTTGTGCGATTGTGAGCGCTACAGACCTGCTTGAAAGCCCAAACGAAACGCGATGGATTAGACAACAAACGTGGCGAGTTTGTGGCGGTTTCGAAGAGTGTTTTGGCAAGGGCGAAACAGACGAAACGGACGAAACAGACGAGAAAACAGCCTTTTCAATGATAGCTTTTATGAGTCCAAAACTGTTGTATGTGAATTTCTTAAGGTTAAATTAACCTATGTCGAATTGGATTTTTATTTATGGGCTAGATTTCGTGTGACAACGGGCAGCAGCGGTTGATTGATGAGAAAACAGATGGGCGAAATCGTTGGTCGTGGGTGGTGACAAGGGAATCCAACAAAAAAATTTTCTTAGGGGCGCGGGAATTGACACGAGTACGGGCGGGAAAAGGAGCGAGTACAAGCACGTGAGTGATATGTAACAAGCGCATGGTAACATCCAGACACCCATAAAGCCAGTTTCCGCCCTTACACCAGTCCACCCATACCTTTGCTCACCCAGCCACCCGGACACCCATACCTTCTCTCACCCTCAAACCTGTCCACCCATACCTTCGCTCGCCCTTACACCCCTACACCCATACATCCATCCTTCATTCCTGGTTTCTTACCTCTTGTCCACCCAACTGTCCACCAACAAAGGACAAATGCCAATGTTTCAGTGCGACTTTCAACATCAAAGTAAGATCCAACCGTTTGTCTCACCACAACCGAAATCGTTTGCTGATTTTATGTGTGCACACACTCCCCTTTTCTTTCCCTGCTACCTTCAAGCTAATCGGTAATACAATAAACACTTCTAAACTTCTTGGCCAGTTGCCTTCCCCATCGTCTTGGCAAAATAGTCCCCCCACTGCCACAAATCCGGAAAAACCTTGGCCGGGAAGCCGGCCCTCTTGCAATTCTGCTTTGTTGTAACCCCGGATTTACTTCGGGGAAGTTTAGCTCTATCTCGGACCATTCCGGGGAGTGGACGGGCGCGTCCCATTTTTCCGAGATTTTCTTGTTGCTGCTGCGCAAGTTTCTGGGTCTGCACCCCGGATTTCGAGCAAAACCAAGCCGTTCGGAATTCCGAAGGCCATCACAGGCCTGGATCGAGACGATCGGGGGGGCAGGAAAAATTCTTAGAAAGCCCCGCACGGTTGTAGACGGAAGTTGCCATGGAAAAAAAACCTACATCTGCAAAAAGCTGGAGCCACTCCTCTCTTGAAACCATCACGGCATTTTCTGTGGGCCGGGTCCCACCCGCCCTAGTGCATTGGGAATGCCGCCAAAGACAAGGATGATCCAGCTGGAAAGATAGGAATATGAAAAATTAAAGTATAAAAGGCGAGCAGAATAATGGTTGGTTTTTAATTCCCCACATTTATTTCATGTTCAATTTCTAAAACCCTATCCTATTCGTTAACCAGAAAGGATTTAATATCCATTCTACTATAGGACTAAAGTTTTTCAGTCAAAATTACAGTCCTCTAAACAATCATAAACAATGAGCTCATCCACCCCTTCTGGTAGTTTGGAACTACAGTCCGTCAATATTAAAGATGAGATAAAACCAGCAGTTCTTCACCAGGAAGACGTGTATGAGGACCCAGGCCAGCCCAAATACGACCTGGACCTCGAAGGTCCACGCACACATGCGTTACTCGAAGATAAGCTCGCCCTCGATGAGGAAATCGAACAGCTCGATAAACTGGGCGACTCGTTCAAACGCGAACGTTCGATATGGCAAACAATCGCCTCTCTAGACATGGGAGTGGATTTCGAAGACAAACGCTACATGGTGTACATGCTCGGTGCTTTTGCCTCTGCAGCCGGTATTTTGTCCGGTATCGACCAATCGATCATCTCGGGCGCCTCCTTCGGAATGAACGATATGCTCAAGCTAACGGAACACCAGTCGTCGTTGATCTCAAGTCTTATGCCGCTCGGAGCCATGGCGGGCTCCATTTTAATGTCTCCGCTCAACGAATGGTTGGGCCGTAAAACCTCCATCATCATCTCCTGTGTCTGGTACACAGTGGGCGCCATCTTGTGCGCTGCAGCCACCAACCACCACATCATGTACGCGGGTCGTTTCATTCTAGGTGTGGGTGTGGGTATCGAAGGTGGTTGTGTTGGTATCTATATTTCGGAATCCGTCCCTGCCACCGTTCGTGGTAACCTTGTGTCCATGTATCAGTTCAACATTGCTCTGGGTGAACTTTTCGGATATGTCATTGGTGTCATTTTCTTCGATGTACATGGCGGTTGGCGATTTATGGTCGGGTCTTCATTAGTGTTCTCCACGCTTCTATTCGTCGGTTTGTTCTTTTTGCCCGAATCTCCACGTTGGCTACTTCACAAAGGTCGTGTTGGCGAAGCCTGGAACGTTTGGAAACGTCTCAGAAATGTGTCTTTGGATTCCAACAAAGTGGAATTTCTTGAATCTCGCCAAGCTGCCCAACAGGACGAAGAGCTTCGCAAGAACGAATCTCGTTTCCAAAACTGGTTCGACTTGGTGCGCATTCCTCGTAACAAACGTGCTCTCATTTACGCCGTGATGATGGTCTCTTTGGGTCAGTTGACAGGTATTAATGCAGTCATGTACTACATGTCTACTTTGATGCATGAAATCGGATTCAGTCATAAAAGATCGGTTGCTATGTCCATGGTTGGTGGAGCTGCTTTGTTAATTGGAACCATCCCAGCCATCTTGTGGATGGATCGTTTTGGAAGACGTGTATGGTCAATGAACCTGGTTCTATTTGCAGTCGGGTTGGTACTGGTTGGTGTTGGTTACAAGATCAATCGTGAAACCAACTTGCCTGCTGCGGAGGGTGTTTACTTGACCGGACAAATTCTTTACAACATGGCGTTCGGTTCCTATTCTGCCTTGACATGGGTTTTGCCATCGGAATCGTTTTCATTGGCAACCAGATCTGTTGGTATGACCGTATGTTCCACAATGTTGTACCTCTGGAGTTTTACCGTCACTTACAACTTTGAACGTATGCAACACGTTATGACATACACCGGTTTGACGTTAGGCTTTTACGGAGGTATTGCCATTGTCATTGGTATCCCATACCAATTGTTATGCATGCCTGAAACAAAGAACAAGACTTTGGAAGAAATTGACGATATCTTTTCGATGCCTACAAGGACTTTGATGAAGCACAATATCGCTAATATGAAGAGAACGCTAAAGCGGTTTACTTCCAGATCTTAGGTGTTGAAAAAAACCGAGAATTAGTACTAAAAAATAGATTTTAATTGTAAGCTACGTGAAATGATCCTTCGATTTATGTACTCGGATATTCCTTGTATGAGTCGACCAGTTGGGAATCTGGTAGAGGCATTTTTAAGTTGTGTTAGCCTAACATAGACATTTCGGAGGATTTCATGATTTGGTAACAAATTTTGTTTTTGAAATTGGCTCGAGAAGTCAATGTTACTGTCTGAAAGTACTACTCGGCAAGTTGCAGAAAAGACTACACAACTAGAATTTATAGTTGCTAATCGGAGATTATGGTCTAGAGTCAAATTGGACGTCTTGAAGGTCGTAGATCGAAGCGGAACGTTTTATGTCAAGGTTTGTTCTGTTCCATGTGACTATGACAGATGAACGTCACAGGTATAAAATGTAAGCGGACTAGGTAGAGGTGAATCGCGCGTTATGAACGCAATGGAAACGAAAGGGCCCTACACAGACATAAAGAAGGTACCTTGACTCCGCTCTACTGTTAAGTATTTAGTCGAAATGTTAAAGTCTCCTGTGTATCTAGCTACGTCGTCGGTAGGTATTTGACGGGAAATGTGAAAATGACATGAGATTGTGCCAGCTGCAATTGAACGGTGCAGTGAAGTAGCTTGAGAGGACCTTCAGGTTAGCGGTGGATGTAAATCGTTACGAGTGTGTCTTGGAAACTAGATCATGCTCGATACTCGTGTTGAGATTCTGTCTCTGAAGTGTCGTTTGAGAAATAACGTCGCAAATCTTGAGTGATTGTATCCACTACTGTAAGATGTGAACTGTTGTTTCATTGTGTTAACCCTCCGCAGTTTGTTTAGCACAAATGATATGAGCTTGTAAAGTGAATAAAACGTTTCTTCCTATGCGAAATCTTGAAAAGTGTTTTGGGTGTAGTTATGTCAATTGATCGCTACAGGGGTGATTAGATCAAAAATGATACCACGCGATGCAAACGACATCATTCTTGTTAGGTCAGTACTTGCTCTAAATTCTTCGGATATCTTGTTGATTTTGACACTGGCATGGTGTCACGTGATAATGAATCACTATGTCATGGATCTGACGTTAGCCAGACAGATGTTACGACAGATCAGTGTAGGGGCGCTGTTTTACTGTCTAAAGCCAATTCTTGTTTAAAGCCGTAACGAAATATACTGTTCGATGTGTCAAATGCCTTCTTGAAGCAGGTGTAAAAATGGATCTCAAGTGGCCACATACGCAACTTGTTACAAGCTCTACTGTACTCCAGGAGCGTCCTAGTACTGAACGTCTCCAATATATACAATTTGCGACAGATGAATGAAATTAACGGGTGGATTGCCCATCTACATTTTGAGCCTCCTCTGTGTACCGTTCTGCCATAATAAACCACTTACATTCTCAGTTGTTAAGCCTGTTTAAATACTCCTCTCAATCGACAAGATAGTGCATCTAAAAGTACTCATGCAACAGATCACAAAATCACAAATTCAAAAATGCTCACTACGTATTGAAATGCTGGACGAAGGTTCATCTGCTGCTATTTACAATTTTTCTCTATGTGTTCAACCGCTCGACAAAGCTTCGTACTCTAAAATTTCTAATAATCATTCTCATGCTCAATTGCTGGACTACGTTATGGTCTCAACTACTATCCATTGTTCACTACATGTTCACTACGTGTTCACTACGTGTTCACTACGTGTTCACTACGTGTTCACTACGTGTTCACCTTCTAAGCTACGTTTCATCCTATACTATTCGCAGTTGATCACTATCGTCCTCAACTGCTCAACCACGCTTCACCTACTATTCACAATCGATCACTGGCGTCTCAATTGTTCAGCTATGCTTCGTCCTCTACTATGACTCTCACCCCGCACGAAGCGTTTTGCACCTTCAATTTTCATAAACTCAAACCCTCTTACCGATAGCCCTAACTCAATCCTTCAACCACACAACACAACCTCATTAAAACCCACACGTCCCTGACAAACCTTACGTACTCGTCTCTCTCTCAGCCCAAAATCTTCACAAATTTCCCTTACACCCCTTATTCCTCGCTTTTCCAAGCATAATCCACTGTAATCATCACCTCTGTCTTTGTCTCTTTCCCTTCCCTCTTTTCCTTTCTCTCTCTCCACTTTCCCCTTTCCTATAATTTATCCTCTCTCCTATTTCCTTCTCCCTTCCCCCTTCCATTCTCCTTTTATGACACCACCACCACCACCACTCACTACAAGTATCTCTCTCTCTTTCCGTTCTGTATAAAATTTTTTTATATCCCTAGTGTGTATATCCCACTGATCTTGTCTCTCATCTGCCTTTGCACGCTTCGTCTCCTGGGTGGCTTGCCGTAACGGTTGTGATCAGCACCACAAATAAAATAATAATTAGGAGGTCGTCGACAAACTTGGTTTCGCAACGGAACGCAACACTAACTAGACTCATCTACCATTACCACCACTACCACCACTACCACCACTACCACCACTACCATCACTAAATATTAGTGAAACTGGGGATTACCGGGTGAGTGAACTGTGCTAGAAAGAAAATTTTTGTAACTGGGTAGATAGAAAGGACTGGGATCAGTAGGAACTGGAAAGGAAGAAGACCAGCAAGCAAGACCAGAGACCACATCGATATAAGCCTGAACCACATCCAGTAAAAAACTAGGATGTCGTTGGCAGGGCTGCTGAATGAGGATAAGAGAAAGGACGGGAATCAGATCAAGATCAAAAAGACTAGTCGTAAGAGTAGCACGAGTGGCGCGAGTAGCGTTGATAACAAGAACACAAGGAACGCCAGGAACAACGCTAATGGCAATGCCAACGGTAGTCTCAATGATGAGCTGCGAAACCGGTACGTGCAACACATGAACGCCCAGTTTAGGGAACTGGGCGCACGAGATCTGCGAGAACAACGATCGCAGGATTGGCGTATGTTGAGCTACCAGGAATTCGAACTGGTGACAGAATGGAACAACCAATCGCGGGACCTGGGATCAAACGGATGCGAAAAATTGCTGGCCAACATGGACTTCACGGCGCAGGAATGGGACCAGTTCCAGGACTACGTCAGTCACAGGGACGAAGTGGTGCGACAACAGCGTGAATTGCGGGAACGGCAACGTCGCCAGCAGGAACAAGAACGGCTGCTAGAGCTCAAGGAACGCGAAAAGTCGCACGAGCAACAACAACGTGCCAAAGTTGCAGCGGTAGCGGCCACCACGACAGGTGCGAAAAGACCTTATCAAGCCAACGGCAAAGATCATCCCCAGGATGTGACCGTCGATGAGGAAGCCCCAAAGAGCCGATTCACCAATGGCAAGACAAAATCAAAAGCAAACGGCCGTTTGTCTAACGGCAACGGTGGTGCTAACGACAAACAGGACCACCAACATGATCAAACCACTCACCACGGGGAAAATGACGACATTGACGACCAACCGGACCACGACCTTCACGACGACGACGACGACGACGACGAAGATGACGACGATATCGAGGACCAAGACGATGAAGACGACCACGACGTGGACCTGGACGATCTCAACGACATGCCCATCCCAGAAGACGATGACGACAACGACGAGGATTTCCTATTGGAAGACGACAAAATCGACACCCACGAGAAGTCTGGGAAGAAAGTGGATCTCAGCTCCGAACACACTAAGATCCGTCGCGAAATCGCACGCATGGTCAACAAAAACAAGAACGTCAAGGCCAAAAAACGTCGTTTCACCAACTCCACCATTATCGAACATCTCCAGAGTGAAAAACTAGAAGTGAAAATCACTCTCAAACAGTACCATGTACGACAGCTCAAACGTCTCATAGCAGAAAAACAACGGATCCTGGACGAAGAAGCTGCAGGACCCTCAGAACCGGCTCCGAAGAAACGCAAACCGGCACCAAGCCACGAAGAGACGGTCATACCAGCTTCCATCGATGGTCTTCCGACTTATGGTCTCAAAATGACCGTCAAAGAAGCCCGTGGTATTCAGCGACACTACGACAATACTTATTTCACCATTTGGAAGGATATGGCTCGTAAAGACTCCGCCAAAGTGGCTCGACTGGTCCAACAAGCGCAAACCAGTAGAAACGTCAATTTCAAGAAAACTTGCGCTTTGGTGTGTCGAGAAGCTCGCAAATGGCAACTCCGGAACTTCCGTCAAGCTAAAGATTTCCAGTCAAGGGCTCGCAGAGGTGTCAGGGAAATGTCCAGTTTCTGGAAGAAGAACGAGCGCGATGAAAGAGATTTGAAAAAGAAGGCTGAAAAAGAAGCACTGGATCATGCCAAGAAGGAGGAGGAAGAACGTGAAAACAAAAGACAGGCCAGGAAGCTCAACTTTTTGATCACGCAAACCGAGTTGTACTCTCACTTTATCGGCCGTAAGATCAAGACCGATGAGATGGAGGGAAATATGGCCGACACCTCTTTATCATCACAAACCGATGCCAAAGGGGACATAGACCTTTCCACGACCGAGGCTACAAAAACAGACTTCAACTCGATCGATTTTGACAACGAAGATGACGAAATGTTAAGAATGAAGGCTGCCCAAAATGCTTCCAGTGCCCTTCTTGCCAGCCAAACTAAGGCCAAAGAGTTTGATGCGAATCCAGATGAAGACGATGAACTCAACTTTCAAAATCCTACCTCGTTAGGTGACATTACAATCGACCAACCAAGACTGCTCACTTGCACCTTGAAGGAATATCAATTGAAGGGTCTCAATTGGCTCGCCAACCTTTACGACCAAGGTATCAACGGTATCTTAGCAGATGAGATGGGTCTAGGTAAAACTGTTCAATCGATTTCCGTTTTAGCACATTTAGCAGAACATCACAATATTTGGGGTCCTTTCATTGTGGTTACGCCTGCCTCAACTCTGCACAATTGGGTCAATGAGATATCCAAGTTTGTTCCTGAGTTTAAGATCTTGCCCTACTGGGGGAACGGTAACGATCGTAAAGTCCTTAGAAGGTTTTGGGATAGGAAACAATTTAGGTATGGGAAAGACGCTCCCTTCCACGTTCTGATTACTTCCTACCAGATGGTAGTATCGGATGCTGCCTATATTCAAAAGATGAAATGGCAATACATGATTTTAGATGAAGCCCAAGCGATAAAATCGTCCCAGTCGTCCAGATGGAAAAACTTGCTAAATTTCCATTGCAGAAATAGATTACTGCTCACTGGTACACCTATTCAAAATAATATGCAAGAACTTTGGGCTCTGCTTCATTTTATTATGCCTTCATTGTTCGACTCGCACGAGGAATTCAGCGATTGGTTCTCAAAAGATATCGAGTCACACGCACAATCGAATACGAAGTTGAATCAACAACAATTACGTCGTCTTCATATGATCTTGAAACCCTTCATGTTACGACGCATCAAGAAAAACGTTCAATCTGAATTGGGCGAAAAGATTGAAATTGATGTTATGTGTGATTTGACAAGAAGACAGCACAAGCTTTACCAGGTCTTGAAGAGTCAAATGTCGGCAGCTTACGATGCCATTGAAAATGCAGCAGGCAATGACGAGGCTGTTTCTGACCAAAACATCGTAAACACCGTCATGCAATTTAGGAAAGTGTGCAACCATCCAGATCTTTTTGAAAGGGAGGATGTGAGCTCCCCATTTGCTTTCACCGACTTTGGCCGGAGTGGATCATTAGCAAGGGACAGTAACGTCCTCGATGTCAAGTATTCGACAAGAAATTGCATTACTTATAGGGTGCCCCGCCTTATTTACAACGAAATTGTACTTCCACAGTTCGACAACACAGTCAGTAACAGAAACAGACTGCTTTATCACAAGCTTAACGTTTTGCATCCAGAAAACTCTCGAGAACTGTGTTCTGAATTGGCCTCTTTGAGTGGGCAAAGTTCAGGGTCGTTCTACAAGTTGTCTAATGAAAACCTTGTCCAGAAAGCGCTAAGCTTGAAAGGGGACGTGTCCTCCCATCCCTTAAATACCGTCTATGATAGTGATGAACTCAAGGTGATCAATCAACGCAGGTTCATCATTGAAGATCAGCAACAGTCGTTGTCAGATCTCAGCAAAAGTACGATTGACGATGTTCTGTCCAGTCTGATCAATGTTCAGCAAAGTGCTTATGAAAGGGAATACATGAATGTTTGGCGACCTGCATATCATCACATTGCTAGTGCCCCACCTGTTGACGTTGCGGTAACCGGATCGTCCAACTTCTCGCGCGTGAAAAACCTGGAGCTGTTCAATCCTACCTTAAGCCAAGCGCTGAGCGCCGTGCCCCCTGAGATTCAATGCGAACTGCGGACAAAGTATAAACTGCCAATCTCAATGTTCCCAGTCTCAGAGCTTTACCCACAGACTTTGAATAAGAACTTCACCTCTGAAATATCAATGCCGTCAATGGATAAATTTATCATGGACTCCACTAAGCTCAGAAAACTAGATGAGCTTTTAGTTGGTCTCAAAAAGGGCGACCATCGTGTGTTGATATACTTTCAAATGACGAAGATGATGGATCTTATGGAGGAGTACCTCACATACCGTCAGTACAAACACATTCGTTTAGATGGTTCTTCAAAGCTAGAGGACCGCAGAGATCTTGTCCACGATTGGCAAACAAAACCGGACATTTTCATCTTCCTGCTCAGCACAAGAGCTGGGGGACTTGGTATTAATCTCACAGCTGCGGATACAGTCATTTTCTATGATTCAGATTGGAATCCAACCATTGACTCCCAAGCAATGGATAGAGCTCATAGACTGGGCCAGACAAGGCAAGTGACTGTTTACAGATTGTTGATTCGCGGAACGATCGAAGAACGAATGCGCGATAGAGCTAAACAAAAAGAGCATGTACAGCAAGTGGTTATGGAAGGAAAAACTCAAGAGAAGAACATCCAAGAGATAAATGCCGCCTGATGAAACGAAAATGTGTGGACCAAAAGTTTATTACTCTAATTACACTATACTCAGTACGTCATATAGCATACTGTTATTTACTACACAGCGTCCGATCGTAGGATTTCGACGTATTTGTCATGAAGAAACTTCAACTCCTCATATTCTTCTTGAGCGATATAGCTCAATTCAAGAAGCGCTTTCTTGTCCAGTAGTAGATCGCAAAGTACAATGCTAAAAGATGAGCCCAAAAATATCGACGCTTTTAATTCGCTTTTATCGCCTGTTTTCGTATCATTAATCGCAATATCGGTTTCATTACCGGGAATACTGGTATCCTCGCCAAAAAGTATATCGAAATCTTCGTCGGAGGGTTGCTCAACTTTCGCTTGCGAGTTTGATTCCACAACTAACTTAAGACCGTTGGTATCGACTTCTTCTAAAGACGTCATGAAGTTTAGTAGCTCCACTTTATCCGAAGCTCTTCTTAGATCGTGCGTTACCAAAAAATGAAAAAAATAGTCTAGAGATGCTGATGTTTCCTTATCTGTTTTTCGAAATCGACCATTCGAGCGTAATGATCCGAATGCTTTAGATCGGAGACTGGATAGTGACGCCTCGAAGAAGTTAGCTGGCGTCATGATGTCAATAAAGGCAAATAGGTAATCAAGGTTGTAGTACGTGCTGCTATGCATGTTCCAAAATGAGTTGATCTGATTGTTAAGAATCCCATTAATAGAGTTTTCTGCTGTTAATGAGAAAGAACACCATGGTAGCTCTTTCCTCAAGTAGCCATTCTCAGAGCCCAAAGTACCGGGCTCAACACTGTAAAGATTTGCCGTAGAACATATACGCTCTAGGTGAGAAATTAGTGACTCTAACTTAGGACCGCCTATGGAATCCGACGAATATATGCCATAGTTAGAAGCAGATTGATTTAGAAATGTCCGTGCGGCTTTCAAGATAGGAACAGCATTCAGTCTCAAAATAAGCGTGTGCAAAGGCCGCGACTCTTCATTCAGGGTTGAAGGGTTGAGCACAGAGCTGAACATCTCAAAAATCGAATCGAGCAACTCTCTCGACAAATTTTTGGTTTTCAAGCTAGTTAGGTAATTCTCTGACCAGAAGACGATACCTAAAAGCCCCCCAATTAGAAAAGGTTGCAGGAAGTATTCGAAGCCTCCAGTCAAAGTGGAAATATCGCGTATGGCTCCTGCTTCAACGCTTAAAATGCTCTGCTTGAAAATGAAGGGAATCAACTTCGTTATGTCCCTGGCATCTGCATATTTTATGAGTGAATCTGACAAGCTTCCATTCACGAACAAATCACGTACCCAGTTTTCCAGTGTCTCCTTCGAGTTTGCTGTCGAATAGAGATCCAATTGAGGTGTTATGTTCCCTAAACTGGAGAGTAACTTAACTGTGAAGGACTTTGATGAAAGCTTGAAGCTCGATGGCATAGACTCAACCAATGGAATATTGTAGAGCCTTGTTATGTTAATAATGAGTATTAATCCGTATGAGAAGCAAGCAAATTCGGTGTTGGGTTCAATGTCGTCATTAGCTGCGTTAGATTGCTTCATATGTGTTTCCCAGGTTTCATCAATAAATTCTGTGGCAACAGCCAAGAATCGGGCCGGCGCTACGAATGTTAGTATGGTTGTCAGAGAATGCGAAAGATTGAAGCACATCAAACAACATATTTTGGAAAAGGTCTTGCAATCAAAGGTTCTCGCAGACTCACAAAAAATTTCGTGGAACGCTTCTGAGAGCTCCCTCTGTTTAGAAGCTGCTAACGTATCGAATTTTCTTAGGACTTGAACTATGTCACTATCATTGCTTTCCATAGAGCTGTCAACAATATCAAACAAGGATTCTACGTCCAGAGCGTAGATTTTTTCTTTTATGAAGCGTAAAAAGTCGCTTATGCTTTCTTTCACACCTTGTGCGTTTCGTATAACAACTGTGTCATTACAAAGTAATGATTTGGTGTCTACGACATGGTCTTCTCGCAAATAGTCGTTGAGAATTGACGGCGGTTGACATCCCAATATTATAAGGTTTTTGAGGAACTCATGCCTTATGTCCATGTTCTTATTGGGGACATCCTCAAACAGATCATTACCACCAGTTTTCGAATCGTCTTTATCAGAAGCGTAAGATTTGAGAACTTTGACCACCTTGTGGTCAAGGTCTTCAAGCGCGGAAACAACAGACTCTGGCGATTTTGGGATGCATTCCAGTATATGAAGCGGTAGTTGTTTGGTGATGAAGATCGTCCATTGCTTTTCCAAGAGATAGAAATTGAAGTTTGGCTGATGATAAAGCTTGTTACTGACGAATTGGGCGAAAGAAGTAAAAGATGTCTCAATCAAATCAGTCATCACTTTTTCGACGCTCTTAGATCCTGCGATCGCATCTACTATAATGGCTGCCTCGATTGCTCCATAGTCAGAAATAAAATCTCTGCTATTCGTTGACCAGTTTAAGATTTTGTTGTTCAGCCATAAATTCTTACAGAACCGGACGAGTTTACCGTTTTGTGACTTCGCTGAACTCGAGACAACAGAATTTGAGCCTCTTGCGGTGGCTGATGGTATTCCCTTAAATTTTGGTGATACAGCAGATGGCGAGACAAGACTGTTAGGTGAATATTCATTGGCATCGCTGGACGGGACACCGTCAAACTTGAAAATGGATTCGAAGTTATGGCATATCTTTCGATAGAGAAGCTTATTCGCCTTCGCAAGCTGTGACATAAAAATATCGATTTTGTCTTTCGTCTTGATGTCTGTGACCGAAATCGGATTGGTAGAAAGAGAGGAGACGTTACGCAAAAATTTGGCAACAGCTAAAACTATCTGGTCGCTTTGTGCACCAAAATCAACGGCAAAAATGCAGGGTATTATAAGATCACTCAAATCAGAACATATTTGATCGATAAGCAACTTATCATTGAGGTCTAGAAAAAAAGCGCTTGCCTTTGACAGAAGCACGGCCAGATGCGAGAGGTTTTTGATTGTGTAAAGTTTAGGAAACAGTCTATGGGCTAGTTCTGTATTGTAGTTGACAAGCAGAACCTCGTTGACATAATCTGACAGTAGCATACAAGGTTGTGATTCCAGAATTCTCAGCAAGCAGCCGGAGAGCTCCTCATAAACGTCTACCTTAAATTCAGATTTGGCATCCTCCGAACTGTTGATAATTGATCCATACAGCTCGTTCACAAGTTCATTGTAGAAATTAACAAACTGAGCAGGAGGTAAATGTCGTTTCGCGCAATTGAGCGCTAAAGCGTAGACGGAATCTCGTTTCTCCTCCATTGAATCAATTGATGTAACGAGCGGCAGTAGTGACCTTTCAATGAGGTTTGATCGGAGTGCGTTCTTTTAGACTCATCGCCAGCCAGGTTTCAATGTAATGTATGGGAAATGCTGTAATCAGCGACATATTCGTATAAGCGGATATCAAACACACTTTGACAGTGAATATCAATTGATACATAAAACTCCAGCTAGTTCAAGATTCGACTTCCGGACTTGGAGATTCTGCGTTGAGCATTGCCCTCTGCCACTCAGGAATTGGCGTAGAAGACTTTTCGGCGGTTGGTTTTTGCCATTCCGGTATGTTTTTGTCGTTCGTCTTTGCGGTTGCGTCGCGCGATTTTTTCCAAGCTGGAAGGTCAGAGGTGTCGCCTTTCTTTGGTAGATTCATTTTGGCCAAGATCTCTGATGCGGAAGGAATTACCTCTGCACCGGGCAGCGGTGATTTGTTATGATCTGAAGGAGTATCTGACACTTTCAGGAGATTGCTCGATTTGAGAAGCGTTTTTAACGATAAGATTTCTTCATTCAGCTTGCGAACAGCAGGATTGCTGGAGTTTTCTGCGATGAACGCGTCAACGTTTTTTTGGATACCTTCGATCTCGAGCCGCATAATACGAACATCATCTTCGAGTTTGTCACGGGATCTCGCGGAACCCTCCAATGCTCTTTGCAACTCGACCACCACTTGGTCGAGCTCCTGAAACTTATCATTTTCTTTCTTTACGGATGCTGCGTGTTCAGTTTCGATCGTATCGAGCAGCTGTTCCATGCGATCAAACTGTTCCATGATCTGTATTTTATCCTGTTCTAGTTTTGAATGAGACTCAGGAAGCAAGTTTGGGACCACGTACCTTTTAGCCAGTTGATATACACCGTAGCATAGTCCTGCACTTGCTGTAGCCATCACAAAGTAGTCTTTCCAGTCCCTCTGCGGCAGTGGTGGAGGAATTGCCTCATATTGCGGGAAATGGCCATTTGCACGTTCCCTAGTCTCTACAGTCTTGTTTGTGAAGTTAGAAGATCCACCAGACCCTTCACGAGGCTTATTTTTGGCTTCTTTCAGCGCCTTGTCTATTTCATCTTCGGTCAACCCTTTGCTTTGCAGAAACTCTATTTTTTTGGTCAAAGGCGCATCTGACACATTAGCATCGATCAGGAAAGCCACTGCAGACTTGTAAAGTTCATTGCGATCCGGTGATTCAGCTTGAGACATCAAGAATCCTGTCTTCGAGTCACTTCGGGGCTTTCTATTCGATTCTTCGATGTGGATTTGGAGTCATCGACGGTTGAACCCTGATTAAGATCATAGTAATTTAGATATTGAAATGCCCTTAGACGTCAAGATCAAGCCATTGTCTCACGAAGTTGTAGTAATGGCTCGAGCTCTCGAGGCCAATGCTTGCTCAAGATAAGTTTCACAGGCCTATGATCCTGGTGTGCGATAGTCGTAGTAAGTTTCTGGACGACGACTTTCAATTTGAAGCTCTGTTGAGACTTTTGCCGTTGCAGACGCAACGTCGAATTTTGAACAAAAAAGGTCAAGATTTGAAAAAAACAGCACTTTGTAACCAGCTCTTGCAACTATGTGGGATCTCAATGGTCACAAATCTTCCTACTCACGCGCTTAAACTAGAACTTTCACCTTATGGCAAACCAGCGTGTGCAGCGATGACAGGATTAGCATTTAACATGTCAAACTGCGACGGCAGAACTGCCATGTATATCGATGCCGCTTCTAGCGTAGGGATAGACCTTGCTACTACCAAGGATTGTAACAATTTTGGTGACGACTATTTGAACACGTTCAAAGCCATATTTTCCCCTGAAGAATTCAGCAGTCTTAACCAAATGACCCCAGGTTGGTTGCGAGATAAAAAATTCACGCACTATTGGTCCCTCAAGGAAGCCTACACGAAATTCACCGGAACCGGACTCAATTGTGAACTATCAAGCATCGATTTGGGCGCTCTTGAGACCTGGACCTCGGTAGACCAGGTCTACACCATGTTTCGTGACATCGATGGGAAACGTATGGTATTTCAATCGAAATGGCTGGACAGCAAGGTTGTTATTACATTGTGCAAGCTGGCCACCCCACAAGATGATTGCCGGATTCAGTTGTTGAACAACAGCATCGAACTTACAGGAGCGGAGCTTGCAGTCTACTTTGATAGTACGAAGTGATCTTCAATTACAGCTTGGAAGACGTCGTTAAATCCTTACTGTTGTCAAGAACTCGAGATGCAAAGCACAGAGTTGTTCCACAAGGCCGTTTGACCCATTTATATCTCGGTTACTGATAGTACGCTGCTGACACTTTTGACAGTATACCAAGTGCTTCTATTCCATGTCCGAAAAACCCAAGAAGACATCACATCTGATAGGTGGGTTTGTAGGTGGGTTGACTTCTGCTGTGATCTTACAGCCTTTTGATCTTTTAAAGACAAGACTACAACAAAACCAAAACACAACATTGTCCAATGCCATTAGGGTCATCGGTTCTCCTGCCCAGTTGTGGAAAGGAACGGTACCATCGGCTCTAAGGACGTCTGTGGGAAGTGCCCTTTTTCTTTCGACTTTGAACGTGGTGAGGACCACAATTGCTGAAAGAAAGGTTTTTGGAGCCAGAAACAAGAATGCAGATAGTAGTTTTCTGCCTCAATTGACCATGTACGAGAACTTGGTTTCCGGAGGTGTGACCAGAGCTGTGGTAGGAGTAGCAACAATGCCCATCACAATTCTAAAGGTGAGATTTGAGTCTACAATGTATAATTATCGCAGTATGGGCGAAGCTGCAAAACATATTTTCCACTCTGAAGGTATCCGTGGGTTTTTCAGCGGATGCAACGCTACGATTCTGAGAGATGCACCTTACGCTGGACTATACGTTCTCTTCTACGAGCAATTCAAGCTTCAATTACCACATCTTCTGCCCTCGCAAATGCTAAAAAGGGATGAGCATGGCATGTACTCTACCAAGACGTCAACCATCGTGAATTGCCTCGCTGCTTTTAGTTCGGCAAGTTTGGCAACAACTGTAACCGCACCTTTCGACACTATAAAAACAAGAATGCAACTGAACCCAACTCAATATTCAAGTTTTCTCCGAACGTTCACATCCATTATCGCGCATGAACGACCCAAAACCCTCTTTGACGGCTTAAGCCTAAGACTCGCTCGGAAAGCTCTCAGCGCAGGCATCGCGTGGGGCATCTACGAAGAGCTGATCAAAAAGTTTTCATAAGTACAAAGACATTACCATCACCATTTCTATCATTACGAATTTAAAATAGATTTCATGTTCCCACCTCTGCTTCCATCCTGATACGTCGTGAGAGTCTTTTAGGTAAAAACACTGTACCGTCGAATTCCCCAGAATTCAACGCGAGAGCTGCCAATCCTAGACAGCTGTGATAAAGATCAGGATCGTTTTCGTTGTTCTTGGCAAATCCTCCTAGCAGCTTGCTTTGTGTCTTTTCCAACAAGTATTCTGAGAGGATATCACCACGGTCAAATTTGGTTTCTATTCGTTTTTGGAGGATATTCAAGGAATTCAAACACCAGAAACAATAGCACGTATCTGCGAATTTGTTCTCCCTGCCTTGAAATCCGCCGTGGTCATCGATATCGTAACATTCATTACTATTCGTCATTAGAGTCATACTGCCTTGACTAGATACCTGGCGGTGCAACAACCAATCTATGGTCCGTTCGAAGAATGGAGAGGGCAATGTGCTCCATTGGTCGCCTAACATATCTAGAATAGAAAGTGCACAAGAGGTTAGCCCTGCATGAGGCTCACCGTACTGACCAAATCCACTGCCACACGCCTGCGCGTTAATGAAGACCATAAGCTTTTCTACGGAGATGTAACGACCAAAATCTTGTGTGTTTCGGCATCCCATCAGATATAGGATTGTTACGGCAGCGTAGGCATATCTGAGATCGGTTGGATCAATCGAAGAGGCCAAAATTCTGCCAGAAGCTAAGGTATCAAAGCTGGATACGAACGAACCATTTTCGCTCTGGCACTTCGATACAAATCGGCATATTCCTGCAACGTCCAATTCCTCATGATATGAATCCAAACCATCTTCCTCGAGACATATAATACACCAGAGCCCGAAAAGTGTACTCATCAGGCTAAATGATGGATTTTCTTCAATGTGAATCGAGATGCTAGGTATAAAACCAGCAATTGAGAAACCGTCGTACCGAGCACACTGCTGATGTTTGAGGAGCCATGCTTTGCTATTTTGGTACTTTTTGGAGGTGTCAATGCCCAGGATATTCAGTCCTATCAGTGAATAAGCCACTATGGCAAGTTTGTTTGGCTCATTGTCTTGATACTTAGAAGGCAGGATCAAAAGATGTCGTTCAAAGTATTTTTGGTGTTTCTGAACGGGAAACCGCTTAGCATCAATATCAGCTAGTGCCATTGAGTATGCAACGAGTAGAATGAACTGGTTCGAAGTTTACTAAGTTCCAAATCTTTAACTTTTCATAAAGATGAGGATAGTTTGAAAAAGTAGCATAGCGATCTTATCATATAAACAATTATTCTTCTACAAAAGTCCGTAACGAAAGCGTCAAAAGGTTTAAAAGACAAACCTGAGGGTACTAATTTCAAATGGTTTGAGTTTAATTTCCACTTTCTTTTCTTGAACGTTGTCTTCGAGCTGAGCTCCGGTCTTGATCTCAACTTGTGCTGTTGCCTCAAGTTCCAAGCTGTCAATCTTCGTAACACTTTTGACTGGTAGAGTCGTCGACAACGTAGCAGAGGCTTCACCGCCTAGCGATTCATAGATCCTAACAACCAGTGACTTCTGGTCCCAGGATTTGGATGAGTACTCAGAGTCCAGCTCTTTGTCATCTTCTCCCCGCTTGATGTTGCTCAAAATGACATTGGGATCACCCTGAATCTTTATGACGCCGTCGAACTTGCGGGAAACATTCTCTGGAATATGGTATTTGTGGCAATAATTGAATTGCAACGCCTTATGGACGGTTTCATGCGAAAGCGCTCCCTTGTGTGGGAAAATTGCATACCGCACGGTATGACTGCCAAGATCAGCGTGAGCATCAGGCTCCTTGGGCGCGCGGAGTAGTGACAGACGCATCAGATTGCCATGAGTTGAAAATCCGTATTTGCAGTCATTTATGATAGAAACACCTTTGCTAAATTCTGAATAGTCGGCAAACTTGTGGTGACATACTTCGAATTTGGCAACATCCCAAGAGGTGTTGTAATGGGTGGGTCTTTTCGTGATACCAAACTGCGTCTCGTAAGAAGCAAAGTCATTGCGAACGTTCACAGGGAATTCAACTTTGAGGAACTTGTTAGTTGGCCCCCAATTGTTGACGGTGGTTTCAATTTCGATCAGACCGCCACTTTGTTCCTCAGTTTGCTGCTGTACAGTGATTGTTGTGACAAGATTGCAATCATCCTTTACCTTGAAAGTAGCTTCAACAGTGCATTTTTCCGGAGAGTCTTCGGTGATGTGAAGCTTCTCCAAATTTGTGAGGTATTCGTATTGATTAGTGGAATATAGCTCAGTATCCCATGCCTGCCAGTCGAGAGGCTTGTCGTCAAATAAGACAAATTGGTTGGCGCCTAAAGCGTTTCTCCCGCTCTTCAAATCCAAATACTCCACATCCCGCTTGACGTCCTTGATCGATGAAATGACACCTCTCGATTTGTCAACAACAATTTCAAACTCTCCGCTCATCAATTTTATATTCTTGTCCGTTTCTTTCAAAGAAACAGAGGAAGGTGCTTTGCTCCCAGCGCAACCATCCTCAAAACATTGAAGTGTTCCGATTGCAGCAGATTTTTTACCATTCTTAGCCAAAACCTTCACCACGGAGTCTAAAAGTTTGTCTGCCTTTTCAATGACTTTCCGTAACATTGGCCGTGCCTCATACTTGTAAACAATTTCAATACAGGATCCCGGTAATACATCATGAAATTGGCACAGAAGGACATCTTCCCATAACTCATTTATCTCGTTGACTGGATACTGATAATCATCTGGGTAGACCAAAGATGCTTTTGTTGCGAGCCATTCGAGGTCGTGGAGCTTGATCTCGCTTGCTCTCATCAAACGTTTGACTTGTGCCTGTGTCGTGTACGTTCCTCTATGAAACTCAAAATAGAGCTCCCCAAACCATGATGGCAAGTCTTCACCGTTGTTGGTCTTTTTCAAGATATCATTATAAAATTCGTTAATTGTCGAACCAACATGCAACTTGGGAATCACATTTCCGTTACGGTTGCTTATGGATCTGATACGACGCATCTTTTCGATCATTTCACTTGTGGGACCTCCACCACCGTCCCCCTTACCATATAGCAAGAGACCCGAGCCATATACTTCAGAGTTTTTGTTGCCCTTGGCAGTGCGCAACACGTCCCCGAAATGAGACTGCGCGGTATAGGTATTTCCTGGTGGCATATGCGATAGTAATTGGGATCCATCAATACCTACCCAATTGAAGGTAGAATGCGGGAAATTGTTGATGTTGTTCCAGGAGAGCTTTTGAGTTAAGAACTTATCGATACCTGAAATCCTTGCGATCTGCGGAATTTGTGAAGAATATCCGAACGTGTCAGGAAGCCAAAATACGTCAGATTTCGATCCAAAATGCTTTAAAAAGAACCTCTGACCAAAGAAAAACTGGCGACACAAAGACTCACCAGATGGGATATTGGTATCGTTTTCGACCCAAGATCCTCCAATGGGGAAAAATTGAGACTGTTGGATCTTGGGGATCAAAATGTCATTGAAAAATTTCTTATGTTCTTTGAACAACCACTTGAACTGTTGTGCCTGAGATGCCACAAATTGGTATTCGGGGTACTTATCCATCAAAGTGCACTGAGATGTCCACGACCGTACGATTTTCCTGTGCGTTTCTGCAAAGGGCCATAGCCACGCGGTATCGATATGACAATTGCCCATTGCATAAACGTCGTTTGCTACACCGGTGTCCCCACTCTGGTACACTTCGGAACTGTACAAGAACTTGTCAAAATACTCTTTATGAAGCAGCTTTTGACATTTTTGCACGCTTGCTGGGTCTTCTGGATCGAATAAATCCATGACAGCGTTTCCGATTTGGCGAGCCCTGTGTTTCTGCCACGAATCACCGGGAAGCTCGCGGGCCGCGTCTGTGAGCATCCAAAAATCGATTCGCAAGGCGCGTGCGTCCCAATTCGGCCAAACCAGGTCTGCTTTGTCGAGATGGAAATACCGATTATCGTCCGGTGGTGAGGACCCAAACCCGCATCCAAACATGCCGTTGTTGCCACACTCGATATAGAACGCATGGTGTTTCTGGCCCTTGGGCAACAAGTACTCTGTTCTTTCATTCCCGCCCGAAAACGCCGTTTTGGGTATAAGCGTTTCGGGGTCGATCACAATTCCCTCGTTGTTGCAGTCCCATTCGAACACCAGCTGTTCCTCACTGTCAAGCCACTCATCGGGCACCACCAGACTCACTTTGAACCACGTTGTAGACCAGCTGGGCCCAAATGGTTGACCTTTCCATGCATCTCGAAACTCCAGCTCGTGATTCTTGTCACGACGAACGATTTCGTCCCAAGGCGGTCTCTTGTCAGGTGACACCGGCGATGAGCCTTTTTTGAACTCCACTTGGTACCATTGGACTTTGACACGATCCTGGTCGAGCGAAATGCGCTTTTTGTCGTAGAAAAGGGGGAGGTTAAGTTTCTTGTAGTTCCCGCCTTCATCAATGAACTGACGAAGCCGCCCTTCATAGATGCCCTGGACGGGCTTGAATTTTGGATCGCCAGACCGCTGAACGTAGCCCATGGTGAATGCAAGCAGTCTGTAGCGTGGGGAACGTTTCTGACTGAGAATATGCCTCGAAACAGCAAAGAAAGAGGATGCGGGAGCTTAAGACTGGCAGGTGTTGTGTCAGTCATGATACATGTCTTTATATAGTTGTGGGGGCCGGAAAAGAAGGGGTTACCCCGCCCTCCCCTAAAATTCCGTGTCGAGCGACCAAAGTGGTGATAGCACTTTGTACGGATCAATTTCGGCAAAGCAGGGGGGGAAGATTTCAAAAGGACAACCCAGGTCTGAGAAACAACGATGAAAAGCGAGTACACACAGAGGCGACAAGAAACACCTCCATCCAGCGCTCCTTTCCTAATTGGGGAAACCTAAATACAACAAAAAACACAAACAAAAACGAAAACAAAAAAAACAAACTTAAATTACTTGCTCATCTCGTATACTTGTCTTCGTATCTCTAGCTCTTTTCACGCTTGCGTGTGCACTTCTTGGTCCTCTTCAATATTGGCAATGTGGTTCCCGTGTTTTTCCTTGATGCTGTCGATCCCAATTTCCGGCACCTTGACCGTGAATCCCTTAATCAGCGAGAATTCGTGTATGATTTTGCCACCGAGATCGGTGAACGACTTTTTGATCGACGAAACGTCTGGTTCGGTGACTTGGTCTTTGAGTGTGACAATAAAGGTCTTGGCGGTCATATCTGTAACTATAGTTTCCAGTAGTGTTGTTGTTGGTAATTGTAACGTGTTTCTTACGGAACTCTTACGTGTCTTTACTTGTTTTAGTTGTTAACACCACTCTTTCTTATTCAATCGCTCGATATTTATACCCTCCTGATCTCACACCCCCTTCTCCTAGCACAGCAATTATGATCTACTTCTCAGATTAGCCATAACAGGGGCATAAAAAACAAAACTTAAAGACCATCACATCATCATCTACTACATAAATGTCACCACTACCACCACTACCACTACCATTACCACAGCTAGGAACTCGTAAGCTGTGACGACCTCAACACTTGGAACTACTCACCCAGTGTAGTGGTGTCAAGGACCTAGTGTTACGTCTCATCCGGCTAGGTTCACCGGCACTGGGAATACCTGGTCCAACTCTTGATTCAAAACTTGTAGCAGATCTGTTCCGTCACGTAGTGAGACCCATCGTTCGCGAAACAGATCGAAGCGGTTGGGTCCGGAAACCGGCGACGATAGCCAGATCTGCTTGTTAGGAGGCTGTTTGTTCAACACGTAGGTGCCAACAGAGGGTACTACCACGGTCATGACGCCCTGTGTTAGCTCAATGTCCGGCAGAAGTTGTGGATACTCGTCGCCAAGAGCTTCGAGTTGGTCCTGAAGGGCCTCCAGAAACAGGTCTGAACGGGTGTGGTATACGTCCATGTTGAGTGATAATACCTCGGCTGGCACAGCCTGGCCATCTGTAGAGCCCGGTCCACCCGTAGCATTTGTAGAAGCCGTAGAACTGCCAGAAGGTCTGGACGCCAACGTACGATGCAGTGGCATACGCCACTGCATCAACGATGATGTAGCGGGTTTCCGCAACAAGAAACGGCGTTGCACGGCTAAACTTCTCCTTAGTGCTTGCATTTTTGCCCTTTTGCCGTTTTGCCGTTTTCAAATGCTCTGGTACACTACAAATAGTCTCTGGATTCTCTCCAAACAGCAAGTTGTGTGTCTTTTCGGCAAACAAGCTAGAGACTTTCTTTGAAATCGCCAGCTCAAATGTGGAAAATTTCATTGCCAACGAGCAACACGGTTCCGGAACCGAAAAAATAGCGTATACCCGTACATAGACGCTTCCACCGTTCAATCTTAGGACACACTATCGCTAGCATGGATCTCTACGCATACTTGGTGGTGCTGTTTGTAGTCCTGGGCTTCATCCTGGTGCTTCCATTGGTATCCGGCACTTTCTCCTACAAGCTGGCCACGCCGGGTGGGAAAAAGGGCTTTGGCAAAGAATCGTCGTCTTCAAAGTCCTCTAGATCGAAAAACGGTGCTCGTTTCAAGATCGAACTGAATCATACTGGCCCCAACACAGCCTCTGGCTCTCGCACAAGCACGCTCCGGAAACGCCAGGGCTTCACAATCGATAACGATCCCAACACGTTCGACTACGATCTTACAGAATTGATAGAAGAGGACCAACGCGAAGAACAGCGTGAACAGGAACTACGGTACCAGAGACTTGCCGGTCGTGAACAAGAAAACAATGAGTTGTTAGTCTAAGAAATCAGCCAGAGGTTGTGTGGTCAAGTGCAACAAAATACATCGTCCGGATTTATTTATAAGTTGATGCAGCAACATGCCCTTTATATGTACATTTGAATATATGTATATACACCAGGCCATATCGGACCGAAAACAACCTAGTTTTCATCTGAAGATTCGTTCTTCTCATCCATCTCTGTCTCTTCCCATGGCAGGTCATCGTTCATCTTTCCAGCCTCTTCGTTGTAATCGTACTCGTAGAACATCATAAACACGCCAGGCGTAGACAAAACTTCTGCTTCCTCAACAACGTATACACTTTCATCTGAGATTCTCCACCATAGGCCCCTAAACTTGCGGAACGCAATGTAATGGCCGTAGTTGTGCGAACCATAGTGCACAATGACAGACCGCAGCGCATATGTAAGAGGGCCCACCGGCACCGTTGAAGCCGCGGGTGCAGCCCCACCATTGCCACAACCACCAATGGAATCAGCAACAGCAGTAGGGTTTTCCTTCTTCTCAATTGCGTGGTCCATACTGTCTTCCTCTACTTCTTCATCAGAAGAACTCGAGGCTTCGTCCACACTGGACTCCGGCTCGGCAGCAACCTCCCCTGTATTTTCCGCTTGGTGAACGTCTGGACTTGAAGTAGCTTTTTGGCGTGGTTTGTAAACGCTATTTCCAAGATTATCCACTTCGTAATCACCATCTTCTGAGTTTTCCTCTTCGTCGCTTGACGTGACTAGTTCTCCCTTCAGAGGATCATAATCCGATACGTTGCGGTCGTCACGACGGTAAGTTGTTTCTTCCTCGTCACTGTCGTCAAATTCCTCTTCATAACGACGATGCAACTGAGCGAAGAACTCGCCACCAACATTTTCGTCTTCAGACGATTCTGTTTGTCGTTGATCCTTTCTTGACATCGGAAGACGCGCATCCAGATTAATCTCGTCGATATCGCAGCACCAAGGTGCGAGGTTTAGCTTGGATTTGAAAAGAACTCTTGAATTGTTCTTCCTTATCATGTACGTGCGCACGTCAAAGACCGATCTGTTGATATGGATGCTCAGAAGAGGAGGAGGTCTAGAGATCAAAATCTGTTTTGATTTTGATGTTTTCTGTACCATATTCTCGGTATGCAGTTTTTTATAGTCTTCATCCGCCACTACATGCTTGGCTATGATATCTTTAAGCTGCTGAATTCTCGAATCCACAGCATTGATTAGTTTTTCAGAAACAGATTCGGCGGCCTGGTATTGAGCTAGAGTCCGTTCTAGATGTTGCAAAACCGCTATTAAAGCACATCTATTACATTCAACACCCTCAATTATTTCAGGCTTCGACCACTCATTTAAAAGTTCAGATAATTTGAGGCTTGAACCCATGTTGTTGTCGCTCGGTAAATTTAAACTCAAGCCAGAGAAAACCGAATAACGTATGCCACCATTTTCACCACACTGTAGGCAACCAATACGTTCGGCCGTGATACCGTCAAATGGTGTCATTAACTTGAAAGGTGTGTAGCATTGTTCAGCATCTTGGGCTAAGCCCAAGTTAGGCTCAATTTGATCTGTGGGTATATACACAGTCCCAACATTTCCTAGGCGCTGCTGACCCACAACCGCATTCTCTGGAAGTTCGCTCACAGGAACAGGTGTATTCTCAGCTTTTGTGGTCTTGCCATATAAGGATTTCACGTTTTTTTCAAGTTCTGAAAGTATGGTCTGGAAAAATTCTTGTGCATCCTCTTGATCGTAGCCCAGAAGGAGACTTTTGTTGGGGGTTTTTGACATGGTTTTTAGAAGTTTGTTGGTTCTGAAGAACGGCCTTTCTCTACCGTGCTTCTCGTTGAGCTTTTCCAAAAGTTCTTTCAGAGTCGCACTGAATACCACATTTACCGCTTCATCATCTCCTTCTGCCTCGGCAAGCTCCTTCTCCGTTGCTCTGCTCTGTCTTTTTTTGCGCTTACCATAAGTTTTCTTCTTAGATCCTTTATTTTTAGCCGGTTCGTTTGATTCAGCAACTGTAGCATTTTGGTCGGGCCCATCTGCAGCCATTTCCCCGAAGCTACTATCTTCAAGTTCCTTGTGTGCCTCGAGCACTTCTTCGTCCAAAAATCGAAGCAGAGCTTTTGACGACGCCAGATTTTGCAGAACAGAATTCATAAAGCAGGTATTGCCATCGTTCACAAGACCACCCACGTATCCACCACGCTGGCACATCTTTTCCTCTTGCGCAGAGTTTTTCGATCCCCATTTGTTGAACATGCTGTTGGAATAACCATTTCTAAAACCTCGTGTTAGATCGCCACCTACCATACCAAAGCACTCCATAATTCCCTGAACTTGTTGCCGATTTTTGTATAGCAGCAGAGCAGCAGATGCAATGAGCACTAAGGCGGTGGATTTTTTGTGATCGATTTGCTCCAAACTGGTAATCAAAGCGTGCCAACTAGCAGAAAGTACACACAGCTTTTGAAGCGCAAAATCCATACAACTGAATCCGTAGTATTCAGTCACAGTGCGGCCACGTTATCAACACTTGACTTGTACTTTTGTCTTCTCGATCGGTGCTAGAACTTTTCACGCTTTTCACCATTATATTAACAGAAGTGGATCTCGATCGATAATTATGGTGGTCAGGTGTGACGGGCGGGAAGAACCAAAATGCTGGAATGTTGAGCCCAAGGAATAGAATTGAAGGAGTCTGAACGCTTTGTAATGAAATTCTGCTCATCCTGAGTTCATTGTAGAGCTTTTTGGGGAGTTTCGGCCGGTTTTTGGTGGTATTTGCGTTAAAATTGGTGGACTTAGACTTACTTTTGGATTGACGACATGATGACTGTTTGCAATGTGTACCAGCAGCTTGGAACTAAGATGATATGCATCAATCGCTGGCTTTGACGTGAATATTTTGTGTATTTGCTCGTATTACCTGTATTCCCTGTACCATTCGCGTTCCATTCTACTCTTTCAACTTATGGAAGAACCATCTAGTCATTAATCAACCTCTCTGGTAGCTAGTTCTCTCTAAATTTGCACATCTCTCAGTTTGTGTATCGTTGTTGGTAGTTGAGCAACCGGATTCCCAACAAGTTAGAGACAATCAGATTTCGTGCATGAGACGAAAACTGTAGATAAACTACTCAAGATCCAGCATTTGTTGGCCCTCTCTGGTAAACAAGAACATAGACTTGCGCTTTTAATGACAAAGTAGTCCATCTTCTGTGTGTCCAACCCCCTTACAAGCCGTAGAGAAAAACTCCGGTGACAGTGCTATACTATCAAAAAGAATAGATATCTCCCAGGATGTCTGCCGATTTCAGTCATTGATCCTGCCGCTTTTACAGCTTCTATATGACATTTGATGCTTCCCTTCCCAACACATTATTTCCATTGTCTCAGCAGACCGTTTTAAAGAGTTTAAGGTCCTTAAGTCCACGCAAATCAGGATTTCCTAGCTCGAGAGAAAGCGGCTTGTATACTGTCGTAACAGCCAAATCTGTTACCTCCAGTGACGATTGAAGCCCCTCAAGCGAGGAAATCTCTTCATCTTATCATGAAGGTATAGCTATTGATGCCTGCATGGAAGGATGGTTCATATGACTTACAGTCGATTAACCATTGCGGTGAAAGACGCAGAAAGGGAGCTTATCAACGTCCAGACGAACAGTATGAACAAAAATTTGTCTGGACGTTGAAATGTTTTCAGAGTACTTTGCGTTGCTGTTGTCTTCGACTTCACTTCTTTTTTGGCGCTTTTTAGAGATGTGTCAGTGGACTTGTAATGAAGTAAGGGTCTCAGAGGCATTAAAAAATCGCTACAGTCTGCTATAAGCGGAAACGCTACGACACAATCAACAGATTCTAAGGGTTCAAGAGTGACCGCTAAACAATCAAGTGATAGGAATGATCCTGTTATTCTGCAAACCTAATGCTCTCAAGTAGAGTGGCTCGACTTAATTCATAGTTTTCGAATTGAAAACCAATATAGATGCCATACTGGTAAAGATGGAATGACATTTATGATTTCACGCCCACAGTCTTCAATTTGACTTGAATTTTGGGCTCTTGATACAAGCGATCAATGAATCGTATACACATATATACATCACTGAAACTCATCCTGATCTTCCCTTGGAGTTATGCTCATTGGTGGTGCTGAAGCCTGAAAAGTAACATCTTGTTCTACAGGCAGAGGCTGTCCCATAGCATAGCTCATATTCTCAGGCCTAGGCTGAGCAACGTAAGTGGGCTTTTCTTTGCCCCAACCGGTTCTCAGATTTCTACCCTGGAAAGGGAAGTTACCTAGAGATAATATGCACACAGCTGCTTGTTCGTGAGTTCCGTACTTTACAAAACAGCAACCTCTATCGGCGTAGTGCTTGAAATCCACAATGAACCCGAAACTTTGTAGCAAAGGAATTAGATCTTGTTCAGACGCAAAGTGAGATATGTTACCAATGTACACGGTTGTAATTCTGACTGGAGCGCTGGAAACCATGACCTCCACTGCTTGAGGTGGTAATTGCGGCAGCATTACAGGTCCTTGGGGCTGAGGCATCGCATGAGGAGGCATTCCCATAGTGCCCATAAGACCAGCGTGAGGAGCACCTTGAACGCCAACTGGAATCATAGGTCCTCTGTATTGGTGGCCACCACGTTGTCCGCCACGACGAGATCCAAGGCCCCGGCTATTTAGCGGATAACCGTTGTTATGGCTATTGTGATTGTTGCTGTGATGGTTGTTGTTATTCTGCTCACGTTTCGAGGCCCAGTTTATGCGAATGGCTCTTCCGTTTACAACCGCACCTTGATTGTGCTCCATAGCCTTCTGGGCTTGACTCTGGTCGCTAAAGGACACAAATCCGTAGCCTCTGGATCTACCAGTTTGCATATCCCACATTACATGGGCTTGAATAAAGCTGGGGAAACTTTTGAACGTGTTCGCAAGAGTCTCATCATCGACATCGACACTGAGGTCTCCAACAAACAAGTTATAGGTGTCATCTGATGACACCTGTTGCGATTGAAACGCCCAATTGATCTTGACAGTGTTGTTTTCGATCTGCCTTCCGTCCAAGGTTTCGAACGCCACATTGGCATCGTGAGGTTTCTCAAACTCTACAAATGCGTAGTTAGCGGATTTGTTGTTTTTGTCCATTAATATTTTCACATTCGAGATTGGACCCCCAACCTGAAAGTATTGTCTTAGCATGCCGTCAGTGATCGACAGATCCAGATTACCGACATATAGGATTCTATCAGAAGTTTCTCTGCCGCCTCTCGTGGCATTGGCCGGTGTAATGGCAGATTCGTTGTTTTCCGAGTCTTCCGATTGTTGCTGAGTTTCCGTAGTAGACGTTGCCCCAGCGTTTTGAGGCTCTGCGGAATCAGAGTCCTGCTCAGCCCGCTTTTGTTCAGCGTTCTCCACCGAATTCTGTTGGGGGACTTGTTGAGATGCTTCCGTTTGGTCAGCAGCCGGTTCTGCTGCTGTTGGTACAGCTGGTTGTTGACTTTGATTTTCCGTCATTTTCTGTAGATTTATAAGAATGCCGGGATAACTATGCAGTGTAGTAATACAGATGGATTATCTTTTAAAGCCAGTACAGCGATGTTTGATGGCTTCTTCTTTTCGGACGAATATTGTCAGTTACTGATAACGGGTTAAGTTCAAATGGCTTGTATTCACCAGCTTCGATTGAAAAAGAGCAGTACCAATTCAATTCCACGCGTACGGGAGGTTCGTGAACAGATCAATCCAGTGATGGAGTGAGTTGCGACAAATACGGCTCACAAGGGTGTTAAAATCTTGGATTTGAGTAATCTTACGGAAGCATAAGTTCTCTGCCAATTTTCGTATTTTTTTCTCTAATAGAGTAGCCCTATTAATTTTACTGTCGCGAGTATAAGAGACACGGGCATTATAGACGACCCGAGCATGGTTGAAACCACGATATGATTGAGAAAGTGAGCTACAATGAACCAATTAACGATTTTATATCGTTATCGTTGTTTATTTTGACGCTAATGGGGCGTTTGTCGGAATTGTTCTTTTGCTTGATATGGATTTTTTGGTCTTAAAAGCTTGTATATGGTATTACGTTGTGGGAAAAATGTAAGACGAGCAGTGCTGATATGAACGGTGACGCTCAAATGAAATGGATTTTATAGAAGGGAAGACGATACAAAGCCTTTTGTAGTTTTTGTTCAATAGTGTGTATCCAGCTGAATGATAGATTGGTGTATAGTGATCTGTAGTAAATATATTAGATATTAAAAATAGAAAAATGGTCTCTAGCGGGATCGAACCGCTGATCCCCGCGTTATTAGCACGGTGCCTTAACCAACTGGGCCAAGAGACCGTTTTATGATTTCGCTAAACAATTTTGGGATCATAGGCTCTTACGGTAGTCATCTGACTGACACCATTTTTTATTTTATTAACCCTCTTATATCCATAATACGTATCTTAATCAAGCATTACCACCGAAACACCTTCAATTTGCGATCACTACCTTCAATGGCTGAATCTACATAACGACATATTACTCAACAACATCAGTACCGTTCATTAGAAGCCAGTCATTTTCGTTTCTTCCTGATTTTCCTTTTTTTCCCGCAAGCGCTATGGTATATTGCAATGAAACGACAAGAATTATCTCAGAAGGAGCAAATGCGCGCTAGCCTGTTTTTGATATAAAGTGCAGCTGTGTTCGAATGCCGTGAATATTCTCGCACGATAAAACGTGCTGACGATGATCGTCAATTGCGTGCAGATACCATATTCAAAGAAAGACAAAACAAGAAGCTGAAGAGACACAAGTTGCTTGCAGACAGAGACTAAACCCTCAATAACACCGTTTCTGATTGATTTCACACTCAAACTGAAACGCTCAAGCTCTCCTAAATCATTATGAAGACCCGTGATCATCTCGCACGGTTCCGTCATTCTACCACCGTTTAATCACACACTGCTGTTCACCATCTGTCTATTATTCAACAGATCATCGAGAAAACCGATTAATCTGGAAAATCCAGGGGGTCTTGATGCCATTGTAACACTCTCTAGAAGCTGTCATAACAATGTCTATCCATACTTCCACCACTGAGATTTCTCGGGCAATTGATAGAACCTTTGATGTTGACGCTTTCCCACCTGCTGAGAACGTTGACGAAGAGAAGTTCTTCCTCACGAATCCGAGGCCTGAATACCTTGACGATCTCGTATCACAGGCAAACGACTTTATCCAGCTACAGCTATCCAAGGGCCGCAAACGAGTAGTTCTGGTCACCTCTGGTGGCACCACAGTTCCTTTGGAAAACAATACGGTGAGATTCATTGATAACTTTTCTGCAGGAACGAGGGGAGCTTCAAGCGCAGAACAGTTTCTGTATCAGGGTTACTCTGTCATATTCCTTCATCGTGAGTTCTCTTTGACTCCGTTCAATCGTAATTTCACGCACAACAGTGACGTCTGTTTTCTGGATTACTATGACGAAAATGGCGATCTCCATCCTAGCTACAAAGAGAAGCTTCTAGAAAGCAAAAGACTGTTTGACAAGTACATGCATAGGGATCAGAAACTACTGCTTCTTCCCTTTACCACTGTCAATCAGTATCTGTGGTCTTTGAAAGGCGTAGGGAAGCTGCTCAATAGTAGCGAGAGCTTATTTTATCTGGCTGCCGCGGTCAGCGATTTTTTTGTCCCACATTCAAGACTACCTGAGCACAAAATACAATCCCGTGAAGCTGATCAGCATGAGACTACTAAACATCATGGTCCAGGGGACGGTAAATTGATTATCGACCTGGATCCCGTGCCCAAATTCCTCAGAAGGCTAGTGGCATCATGGGCAGACGAAGCCATGATTGTTTCGTTCAAGCTCGAAACAGATCTTAACCTCTTAATCAACAAGGCTACGCAAGCACTCGATCGTTATCGTCATCAGCTCGTAATAGGAAACCTGCTTCAGACAAGAAATAAGGAAGTTGTATTTGTCTCTGAGAAGAATCGGAGTGGCTCGTGGGTCAAGCTCAACGGAAAATCCGGTGTCATTGAGGAGCAAATAATACCAGAGGTAATCAAACATCATAATGATTGGGTCGCACACCAGTAAAGCATATACCGACGCTTTAATTAATTTTATTTACAGCGTAAATTATCAGAGTTCTAGCGTCAGGTCTATAGAAACGATAGTCCTATTCCGTATTGGAATCCCTTGCGGACGGCGTCACTAGCGTGAGCCGTTAGTGGAATTGTGAAGTTTAGTTCGAATCTGGCAACTGAATGCCCGAATACTAAGCCAACCCCTGTTGACATAGAATGCTCTTGTGCAAGAGCCTGAATACAAGACTTCGCTGAGCATCCATTTGAATTTATTAGCCTGCCGCCATTGAAAAATGTATGCAACCTGAAACTTGAATCAGACCAACGAGCTACAGGTAAACGACTGAAAGCGCTGATCCCGTATGTTACGAAAGCATCACCACCAATGGAATCAAAAAGATCTTTGGGCCCTAAGCCCATGAGATTAAAACTTCGCACATCGTTGCTTCCACCGCAATGAAACCTATCGCTCAAATGTATGGATTTAGTCTCGGGATGGAAATTGTTGATATATCCAGCTTTCAACGAGCCGCTGACCGTAAAGAAGTTATTTTCGCGCCAGCTTTTGACTGCGCCAGTTTCAAGCCCAACTTTCCAAAAGCTGCTGAGTGCCAACTCATTGGATAGCTTGATATACTTACCAGAAGATGCGAAAACGGGTTTATCACGAGCATCCCAAAAAAGAGAGTATCCGAAGGCCGTCTTGATGTCATTCCCGCATTGCAGAAGAAGAGAATCTGAAGAGTGATTTCCACTGGCACCGAGGCTCCGCCAAGCCTGTTCGTATTGGAATTCATGATTGACGTTCTTATGTTTCTCAAAAGTTGATTTTAGGGAGGCACGAATACCTCTCAGAAGTAACTCTGAGTTTCCTAGAGCTCTTGAGTTTTTGTATAAAGCAGAATCTATCGACCAAAATGGCGATAGTGGCTGAGAATAGTCCACTAGATAGGACGAATGAGTTTTAGTGCCCTTAGTAGCATCGAATGTTAGCTTTTCCCCTCCATTGAAGGCATTCCGCCACTGAAACTGAAGATATCCGTCACCTTCACCGTTTCCCACGTTGGTTCCCGTCTTAGCGGTGAATTTTTTCAAAGGTTGAAGGTCGAGGATGGAAACCACATCTAAAACGGACAATAGGCTCTGTCTACCCAAAGGCGAGGCATAGGATGACTTTGGGTGCAATGAATTCAAGTCATAATGCAGTATCCCTCTGCTATCAAGAGTTAAAGTGCTATTTTCCACGAGTCCGTTTGATATCAGCTTCATGTTCAAAATATCAGACTCTTCACACAGCTCTTCTAAGTTGGTAGCTTGTCCCAATGTCTGATCAACATACTTTTGTAAAATCTCGAGACGCACACATCCTGAGTTATTTACTATGATATTCGAAACCTGAACTGGAGTGTGTGAATGCTGTGAGAACAAACTCGATGCATACTTAACCTGTTGATTTTGCAGCAATTGTCTGTGTTGAACATCGATATCCTCAATATTTTGAAGAGACTCATTCGACTCAAGAATTCTGGATTCTAAAGGCTCATCGCTGGATCCCGGAAAGTCCATGCTTTGTTGAACGAGGCCGTTAACTGAATTTTGAATGTTCGATGAGCTCGCTGTAAATATCAAATGAGCTTAATATATATAAGCTGAAGCTATGATTCTCGCAGCGATATGACTCCAGAATCCGAACATCTATCAAAATAGCTAGAAACATCAAATTACCTACCTCTGAATAACACACAGAGCGGTATATGTACTACAAAATCCGTCTATAGTTTTATTCTGCACCTTTCATGGTATTATAATGTTACAAGCAGAGACGGGTGTAGCGTGTGATGGATTAAAAAGTGGCTCTCTTGTTCGACTACTGCTTTTAAAAATCGATCGGTAGATCAACCTCGGCTTTTCGCCCGGCAGCTCTTTCACGAGTTACCTCTTCCCACAAAGGCGCTATGCACCGCTTTCCACCTTCGGTTTTCAAATGTCGTCCCAACGCATCGCTTCTGGCAAACTTTTTCCCACACCCCCATTGAGACCCGTCTTTGAGCTTGCCCTGACAAACATATCTCTTCTTTCCCGTGTGCAGATCTTCGTGTCGCTTACGATCATGTTGTCTGGCAAAGGCCTTGCCGCAAATACTGCACACAAACGGTCTCTCGTCCGTGTGAGTGCGTAAATGAGATTTGAGGTTGTAAGGCCTCGTAAATTTTTTGTCGCAAACATGGCATGCGTATATGGCTAGGTTTTTCTGGACGTTCTTGGGGTCACCAGACTCAATAGAGTCGTCTTTCAAGCCGGTTGGCTCAAAGTCCCCATTATAATCAGCATAGTCGTTTTGAGATTTGCTTGGCTTCAATGCAGCCAGTTCTAGTAGTTTTTCTCTATCTTCGCTCAAAGAGCGCGCTTTTTCATCAACTGATAAGCGTCGCCTTGTAGAGCTGGTTCTCCGAGCCAGTTGTATCGACTGACGTCGAACCTTGCGCCCATGCCGCATCAGCGCGTGGGCCTCAGGGTCCTCGTCGCTGAACACCGCTCCATCTTCTGTTTTCACGGACAGGAAATCTGTGTTCTGACGGGCAGTATGGAAAGAAACAGGAGACGATGTATTGCTCAAGACTTTATTATGCAATAGGTCATTTGGTGAAAACGACTTGAATTCTTCAATCGATATGTGCGGTTTTAAGAACTCAGAAGATCCCAAATCAAGTTTTCTTGCTATAGGGCTGGCACAGTCCAGCTGAACTGGCCTTTCTCCAAAAACGTCGTCGAGCGACCCTGAAAAAGACTCAAGCTGTTGGGCTGAAAGGCTTCCTGCTAGGGGCTCAATCTCAGCATCGTAAAAAGATTCAGCACCAGAGTGAACACTCAAAATTTCATCCAACTCATCATCGCCAATAGTAAGTCTTGACGGTGCTGGAGAAAGCGCCAATTTTTGAGGTTGCCATTCGCTAGTCAAATGGTCATTAAATGAGCTTGGGGAGTGAGCGGAGTGCAGAGAACCTGAATGGGCAGAGATAGAGTCATCAAAAGCGTTTGGCGACAGCAGACTTTGTGGCCTGCTGTAATTCGGGGAAGGCCCGTAATCCAAATGATATGTCGACGGCAGATGCTGCTGGTGCTGCTGGTGCTGCTGTGACGCCAGAAATGGTCTATGGATTGGGTCTGTGGAGTGGCTATCCAAGCTTGGATGTCTTTCAACGGATTGTAGCGCTTCAAAGTTTGTGTTGTCGTCAAAAGACTGTTCTATTTTTATAGTCGGAGTAGTCATAGTTGAGCTTAGAGGAAACCCATCGGTCGCTTCATCACTGACAGGTGAGAATAGAAAGCTATCTGGGTCTCCCAAGGTATCTTGATTAGGTCTTGGCGGTCTTTTTAGTCCTGTATCTACACTCAACGGCGCGTGTCTGCCGTGGGATGCCCCATTATCAACTGAGCCTCCATACTGTACTTCCTCGCTAGCACTCGGGTCAAAATTGTCCTTTTCACCCCCAGTTTTTTGCTGAAAGCTCATAAACTGATCGAAGTCCATTTTGATCTTCTTAAGAGCCTTGCAATCAGCCCTATTGTCTGTGTTTCTGCTCTTTGAAGGTAACTTCTCTAATTTTGAAGGATGTATTTTTCAATAATTCCATTTTAATAATATCGGGGCGAAGAGCTTTATGACAGTTTCCTGGGAAAAAAACGATAAAACTGAGAAGACCAGGAGGCAATCTCAATATTTGGCGCCAGATGACTAGGCCATTTTATCCTGCTCTTTCTGAAGTCAATTGAGATTTTTTTTCGGTAAATTTTGGAGCATTTTACGAAATCCTAATTGATGACAGTTAGGCAATGTGCTAACGGACTTTGTCACTTGTTGGCCTGTGAAAAGTTATGTTACGGGTTGTATTGGTCTCGTGTAAGGTCAATATCGAGAACGCAGTGCCAAATGTCCGGCGCAAACGTTTTAACTTTTTCGAGGTGTGTCGAGGTGTAACGGAAATCGGGTTCGATATCATGCAATAAGCTTAATGTGTTGCGAACGAACGCACCACTGGCAATATCATCGACGTGAATATTTTCATGAATGTGAAGCGTAATTACAGGGTCTGCGCCATATTTTTTGGCTATCCGAAGAGCCCATGGGTATCCTTGTCGACTGCTAGGCAAAAGACCCAAATTTATATGACGAGCTCGTACCGTTTGGAATTGCTTTAGTCGCTCTAGACAGTTCTCGTTGGACTCTTGGAATACATGGCATTGACCCAGAAAGTTGTTGAGGGCTACGCCACGCTTAAGGCCTTCGGTGCTCCACGGATTAAGCTCGAAACAAAAGACGCGGCATGCACCACGTTTGAGATAGCTCAGTGTAAAATAGCCAATCCCGGCGTACATATCGACCACGTCGTTGCCCGCAACGTCCGGGTATGCCGCGATGTCCAAGATCCGTTTCTTTTCCTTGATATTGCCGCGACTGAACATTGTGAAAACTGGCGACCAAACCTGGTGTATCCCATTTTGAACCACATGGCACCAGACAGAAGCGTCAAAATCGCGTGTAGTGGGCGTTTCCTGGACCCGCGACTGGATTATGCCCTGGAAAAGTACCCCCTCGAGCGAAATGATGTGAAATGGCCGACGCATCTCATCGTAGTCGACAATGGGTTGGTTCGTAGCCACATGGGTGAATTTGGGGAAAAGCTCCTGCAACATGCGCCGCATAAAACCTGCGTTTTCCGGTTTTGCAAGAGCCTCTTGCCACTCGGAATGCAAGAAGCTGCGTTCTGTAGAGTTGTTAAACAATACTAGTGGACTGTAAAGCGAATACCGTACCGGAATGTGTTGCAGTAAGGACTCCATCTCTTCTGCAGAAGTTCCGGTATTCCTCAAAAACTTGCTTGCAAACTCAGACAAACGGTCATTAGGCCTATCACAAGCCTCTGCAGTGTCACCAATCTGCTCCCTAACGGTGATAATGTCTCCATACGTTGAAAGAAGTTCTTTAACTAGTGGGTCTTCTTTGATCAAACTTGTTTTCACCAGTTTGAGCCCGTTTTCGCTTACAATTGGCTTGACAAAAGCGCTTTTGCGCTCCAGTTTGGTCTTGATCTGTTTCAAACAGCTCACATCTGCCACCAGGAGCTCAATTGTGGCCATGGCACTGCTTCCAACGCTGTTTTTTTTGGGTGATCTGTAGTTATTCAGTCAATAGGTTCTCAGGCAATATATAAACTGGTTCCAATTTGACATACTCATCACTTACAGACCATCGATACAAAACGGCCCAAAAACCACCATCTTCAGCTCGTTAGGGAGATGGCTAACACATCAGGCCAGCTTGAAAGTATGTTTTTAACGATTTTTAGAGGCTCTTAGCGGCCTTTTACCATTACTCAGCGTTTACTTAGTTGAAGCCTTGTCATACTCATACATCTGAACCTTTCAACTAACTGCTCTTCCACCATTTAAGATATCTCTAGGAAAGACAAAAGACGGCATAACTTTGAATCGCGTGTCAACAAGATAGTACAGAACTTTTCTATCGATAAGGATGTGCATTATCGTGATCGTCTCACTACATTGCAAACGACTTTGACCACACTACATCAAGGCAACAACGGCCTATTTTTGCGCAGTGTGCGGGACTTGGAAGAAGAACGAGACCTTGAGCTGGTGCGGCTCCGATTGTTTGAGGAATATCGTGTGGACAGATCGCGAATTGAGTTTCAAGAGGACATTGAAAAGACGAAGGTCGAACATGAAAAGATCATCAAGCTGTGCAAGGAGAAACTGTACGAGTCTTTGGAGTCCAAGATGAAGAAACTGCAGGAGGAACGTCTTCTGATGGATGTTGCCAATGCTCACTCGTACTCCATGGACTATTCGCGCTCTAAGTTCCAGAAGACCACACGCAGTGCCACCGCTACAGCCTGGGACTCGTCTCCAAACGAGTTTGGTAAAGAAGCGTCCGCTAACGAAAGCGCTACAGATACAGGCACCGAAAGACGCTCATTAAGACGTCGACTGGCAACAACGGTCACGTCTCGTGCCATGAGTGACGAGCCGGATTTGACATCTGCCAAAGAATCGTCTGCCCCTCCCAACTACGCGAGTGAAAACTCCGATTCTTTCTTTCTTCAAGGCCTCAGTGATTCGTCTGAGCTTCATGTGCTCCTATTTGGGGACAAAGAGAGAGAGAAGAAGAAGACTAGAGGAACCAACAGGCTTTCCACAAAGGCTGCTCCGCCGTTGCTGTCACTTAAACCAGAAGAAGTCACCGAAGACATCGCTCTCATTAGAACGCTATCGGGACAACCACCAGCACCGTTCAAGAATTGAGATTGGACTACTCCGGGTCTTCGTGGCTCGTCTCGCATGATTCTAATGTTCGCTTTTGTTGTTATAGTAAATTGGCACATCTAGTTGTCAACGTTCTTATCGGTAACACTTGGCCTTTGAACACTTCTTCGATCAGCTTTCAATGTTACGATCACGAGCAATTCAGAGGCCTTCTTAAGGATGCTACTGAGTCCTCAAAGACGAAATCGCAGGCGATGTTGGATACTGATGCTGATATGCTTGTTTTTCGTGGTAATATGGAGACTAGCTCGGAAACTGCGAACTCGATCTCGAGGTTCAGATTCATTCGGCTTCTCGAACATCAATACCAGTAAAGATTCCGTGTTTGCTGACGGTTGTGTGGACCCTTTAGTTTATCAAGATGCCCCACATTATGCGTCACAAAACGCTTCATTCACGATGCTTACTCGAAACTCTGAAATCGAAACGGTTTTGAAGACTGTTAGAAGCATTGAGCGACATTTCAACCAATGGTACCAATACCCTTACATTTTTTTAAACCATGAGCCCTTCGATCCAGAATTCGTCGAGTTGGTTACTGCAACAACTGGGGCCAAAGTGCAGTTTGGCGTATTGAGCGAACTCGAGTGGGAGTTTCCCCCTGGTCTACGCGAGCAACTCATTTTCAAGGAAAGTATAGAGGAACAAGGCGATCGAGGAATTTTATACGGAAATCTGGAATCCTACCATAAGATGTGTCGTTTTTATGCCGGGGCATTTTACAAACACCCTTTGGTGGCCCAGTACGAATGGTATTGGAGGATCGAACCGGATGTGGAGTTTTTCTGCGATTTGACTTACGATCCATTCTACGAAATGAGTCGGCGCGGAAAGAAATACGGATTTACGGTTTTTATCGAGGAGCTCTATTGGACGGTACCCAACCTCTTTCGCTTTACTCGAAGTTTTATCAGACGAAAAGGGGTCAAAGTGGGCAACTTATGGCCTTTAGTGGCTAAAAGTTACAACTCAGACTTCAAAAACGACGACCTTTTGATGAAGTTCATCAACTTTGACAGTGACGTTGAAAGAGAGCTTACAAAAGAACGGAAAATCAAAGATTTATTGGACACAGTTGGAAACACCAAGACATCAGCACTTGATCGTGAAGCTCTCAAACTATTAATCGAACGAGCTTCCAGAAAAGCGCCCATTTTCGAGGACAAATTTGACGACGAGGAATTCAACTTGTGTCATTTTTGGAGTAATTTCGAGATTGCACGCGTGGATCTGTTCAGCACCGGGTTGTATGCAGACTATTTTGCTTATTTGGAAGAAAGCGGTGGATTTTGGGCCGAACGATGGGGGGACGCACCAGTTCACACTTTAGGGCTGGCGATGATGCTAAACGTTGACGATGTGCACTATTTCCGCGACATTGGGTACCAGCACTCTACCGTCGTGCATTGTCCTATCAACAAAGCTGGGGAACAGCTTCCTTATGTGGAGACGCTGAAGCACCAGAAGTTGCGGCATCAATCTGGTGGTACATTGCAAACTTTCTTCGACGACATAACGAAAGTTCAAGAAAAGGAGAGTGAATTTGGAGTAGGCTGCCGATGCGTGTGTCCCACGAAAAGAGACGTTGAAGACACTAGTCAATGTTTCCGCAAATGGCACGACATAATCCGCGATTAGAGGGCAATTTCATAGCGATGTTAACAGCACAGTGAATAATTAATTAATAGCTACAAAGTGTTCTACAATGAAGCTATGGCCTGCGGGCTCTGTGCCCACTGTTAATGATACAAGATGGCACACCGTAGTGATGACCCCACTGTGCTAGCCTGAGAAACAAAATCGGAAAGGAAAAACCCTACAAACTTTTCAAAGCGAGAGAGGTGGCCGTTAAGGCATCCCGAATCAGCCAAATTTCCCATCCTACAAAGTCTGTTCTTTCTTCACGAATTTTCATTAACATATATAATACAAAGTATAGCCTTACACAACCTTCACTGGAAACATCCAGATCAACCACCGAAACCGTACAAGGTTCTTCCCTGTCTCTTCAACGCGTACACAACGTCCAAAGAAGTCACGGTCTTTCTCTTGGCGTGTTCTGTGTAAGTGACGGCGTCTCTGATGACCGACTCCAAGAACGATTTGAGGACGGCTCTGACTTCTTCGTAGATCAAACCAGAAATACGCTTGACACCACCTCTTCTGGCCAGTCTTCTGATGGCAGGCTTGGTGATACCTTGGATGTTGTCTCTTAGAATCTTTCTGTGACGCTTGGCACCACCTTTACCTAGACCTTTACCACCTTTTCCTCTACCAGACATGTTTATGTGTGTTTGTATGTTTTAGTTAGTAAAGAGAGAAGAAATGGAAACAAACCAAATTCACCAACTTATCTCTTTTCTTTGGTAAATTATGTCCCTCTTTTATACTAATCTCTGCTCTTTTCCTAAAGGTTTCAGACTCGAAAACCCACCCTTTTCGCGCCAATTGAACGCAATTTCGGGTATCCCCTTTACTATGGTGAGATTGTAGACAGCGGATAGTTGCGCACGTAGTACGAAATCCGCGAAAAAATATATGTATTTGTCAATTAATTAATTAGCTCGCGTATAAACTGGTCCGAGTTTACGCCCAATTTCGGGAAACCTTCGTGAACATTTGGGTCCTGAGTACCCGAATAGGAAAATATCCCGCGTATTCCTTCCCGTTAAGTAGCGAACATGGGAGCCTGGACACCGGACCCAAACGTTCACGCATCATGGTATTTTTCCCGTCGTGAAGCCCAGAATATATGCGGACAATTACAGTGCTAAAGCGCGTTCCTGAATGGGTCAAGGTCGTGGCTCATACAATCGGCGAAAAGTAGGGATAGCGAACGAGGCGAGAAAACTACGCCAAAAGGGGAAACCCGGAAAGAGCAGACAAATATCGTGGTTTCCACCCCCTTCTCGCTTCTTAATGTATATAAAGAGCCCAAGTATCTGGTATTTGACTGCAATTTAGCTCATTCACAGGTTTTCTAACAGTTCTTAGCACACAACACATACACACGCAATGGCCAGAACCAAGCAAACAGCAAGAAAATCCACTGGTGGTAAAGCCCCAAGAAAACAACTAGCCTCCAAGGCCGCCAGAAAATCGGCTCCATCCACCGGTGGTGTCAAGAAGCCTCACAGATACAAGCCAGGTACCGTTGCCCTAAGAGAAATCAGAAGATTCCAAAAATCCACCGAACTTTTGATCAGAAAACTGCCCTTCCAAAGACTGGTTCGTGAAATCGCTCAGGATTTCAAGACAGACTTGAGATTCCAATCGTCCGCCATCGGTGCCCTTCAGGAATCCGTCGAAGCCTACTTGGTTTCCCTTTTCGAAGATACCAATTTGGCTGCTATCCACGCCAAACGTGTCACTATCCAGAAGAAAGACATCAAATTGGCCAGAAGATTGAGAGGCGAAAGATCTTAGAGAGCAGGTCTCTGCAGTTGAGGTGGACGCACAAGTGTAGTATAGTATAGTTAAGTTTTCAGTATAAGTATGATAAGTTCATCTTGTTCAAAATGATTCGTTCATCTAGGTTCTTTCGATCTCACGAGTGCAACTACGGTGTAGTCACTTACTGTAAATTTACCTTCAATTGCCTACTGCCTTCTTGCTTCAACAAGCTGTGGAAAAAATCAGGCATCGTCAAGAAAAGGTTAGTCAAGTAAGGACAAAGAAAATCAACCTAAGCAGAGGATCGACACTATTCAACTGCTATGGACACTCTCAAAGATTTGAGTACTACGCCCTATTTGGCTGCTGCCAACTCCCTCATGTTGCTAGCAACTCCGGTAATATCGCCAGCTGTGGAATCTCCGGTATCCTCTAAAATCGGTTCTTCTAGTATTTTGCGACTTTGGTCTCGTCCCAAGTTTGTAGGGCCTTCTACCAAGACAAGCTTGTTGTTTGGCTCGGCACAAGCTTTGGGATCGTGGATTATCTACGATGGAGACCTGGAAAGCGGGTCTGGGTTTCTGGGTGCCTGGTCCGCCCTCTACTTGATTGTGGGTGGTCGTGGCTCTGTCAAGGCCCTCAGATACGGAAGAGTGTGGCCCTTAACGCTGTCTGCAATGGCCGCCACAAGCACGGCCCTCTACACCAGACGGTTCGTTGCTGGTGGCTTTACATAAGATGATAGTAATAAGAAATGTAGTTGCTGGGTAGATTTTACAAAACCGAAAAAGGGAAGGTAGGTCGTTATCGTCATCGTCATCGGAATGGTCATTGTTATTGTCATCGGAATGGTCATTGTCATTATCATTGTCATTCTCATTGTCAATTTTTTTTCACTCACCATTTGATCGGCAGCCAGTTGTTTTCGGCCGCTATCTGTTTGATCTTTTCATCGTCATACATCTCGATGAATTGCTGGTCCAACGCTCTTGCCTTGGGGAACGCAAACCGACGATACTCATCGAAAATCATCGTCAGAGACCATTTCTGCAATCGTCGGATGCACCCAACAAGACACCCAGTGCGGTGCTTGCCCCGGTTGCAGTGTATCAGTATTGGATGGTTTTCTGGGTTTATGGCGATCTCCAGAGCGCTGGTCAACAGGTTGGATGGAATATTCACAAACGGCTCTTTATTCCCGCTCATGCCTATCTGGAACAGCGTGATTCCTGCTTCTGCCATGAAATCTAGGTTCTCCTGTGGGTAATCCTCAGGGAAAAGCACCATTATGGATTTCAGCTTGATGCTGTGCTGTAGAAACGGGAAGTTTTCCGGTCGTGGGAAACTCGACCTGTAGATCTCTCCCACAATGTGACTAAAGTTTTCCGGCGGTACCACCTCTTGCACAGTGGAGGAGGAATCGACTCCAGCAGTTTTTCTAACCGCTTCGGATTTTTCTCGGTGCTCCTCTGCGTCGTAAACGTCGTCTACATCTTCTTCTTGTTCACCATGTCTTTTCTGCAAGGCTTCTCGAGGAAAAAATCTATCTAATATTGCACGTACTCGTTTCTTCAGTCCCGGATGCTCATTCATAACCCGGTGTACGTCCAGAATCCCACTGTCTAGTCCCAATTTGGCCTCCAGCTCATCATCTTCTTGTTTTAACAATTGCACAACGTCCAGTTGGTCTAAAGACCCCAACTCTTCGAGTCTATCGACCACGCTTTCGGCGCTATCCATTTTCTACTGATAAGAAGCCCCTTACCCCACTAACGAATTGTTATAGCCACTGATTTGACATGGATGCCTTCAAAATCTTGAAGTTCGATATTATATCTCTAAAATTGAGGAATATTTCTACCATTACTATATATAATGGATAAGGTCTATCCAAATATCAAGAGTTAAACATCTCGACTTAAACACTGATAGATAGGTTTTGAACCTTTTTGAGGAGCTTTAATTGATAGCTCAAAGGTTTCGGGTTTGGGTATATAAAGCTACGTTTCAATGGAGGCCAATGCTTCTGGCTTTTTCTCAACCATTAACTTGGTGAAAACCATCGTTGGTGCTGGAATGCTGGCGATTCCGTACGCCTTTCGTAGCGATGGAATCCTCGTAGGGGTGCTTTTGGTTCTTGTTGGGGCCATCACGTCTGGATTTGGGCTTTTTGTCCTTGCCAAATGCTCTAAGGCCCTAAAAGAGCCCAGAACGTCGTCGTTCTTCACGCTCTGCTCCATAACGTATCCGTCACTTTCGCTACTTTTCGATTTCTCCATGTTTGTGCAGTGCTATGGGGTTGGTCTGAGCTATCTGGTGTTGGTGGGTGATTTGCTACCGGGGGTCCTGGGAGGTACAAGAAACGGCTGGATTTTGGCCAGTGCAGTGCCCATTGTTCCCTTGGTGCTTCTCAAAAAACTCGATAGTTTGAAATATTCTAGCATCCTGGGACTTTTCGCGGTCGCATACCTGGTGTGTCTGATTTTGGGCTCATTCGTGGAAAACACACTTCTCACTGAGAATTACAGGGAAATAAGAGGTGACGTCTCCTGGATTAACGTTTACGACATGAAGGGCGTGGTCAGCACATTCACAATCGTGATTTTTGCATTCACAGGGTCCATGAACATGTTCAGCATCATCAATGAACTCAAGGATAACAGTTTGACCAATATCAACATAGTGATCTCCAGATCTTTGCTAATCTCCGCTGCTTTGTTTCTCTGTGTTGGTATTTGCGGGTACCTCACTTTTGGAAGCAACGTTTTAGGCAACATTATGCTTAACTACAACCCCGAATCATACTGGACCGTTATTGGGAAAGTTTGTTTGGGTGTGGTTGTGATACTGTCATTCCCTCTTCTCTTCTATCCTTGCAGAATTGCAACAAACAATATGATCCATTGGGTTCGCATCACATACGTGGAATTTGAAGAAGACCCAGTTGACAGCAGCGAGAACAACGACCCTACAGCCCCAATTGCCATGGTCGTAGAAGATGAAGAAGACAGGCTATTACTGGGAGCCGATAACTCCTACCAAGCTACATCGTGCCAAGATGCTTCCCACGATCTTGAGGAAAATGTTACGCGCGTAACAAACCCAGTTGCGGCTGTTCCTTTTTCGGACAAATCTTTTTACATCTTGACAGCGATTCTTGTTAGTTCGCTGTATTTGCTGGCCCTTAATGTGACGTCTTTCGCGCTTGTGCTTGGATTAGTTGGTGCTACTGGTTCAACCTCCATTTCCTTCACTCTTCCAGGACTTTTCGGGTTCAAATTAATTGGATCGCAAGCTGCCAAGCACGGTCAATTGATGTCAAGAGCGGATTTAATAATAAGACGCTGTAGTTTACTTCTGTCAATTTTTGGAGTCGCCGTAACATGCTTGTCGCTATACGTGACTTTGTTCTTTGGAGTGTAACTTTAAGAAAAGATAATAGATGGAGATGGCTATGCCGGTAAAGACTGGCTCTATTAATTCTCTTTGAGTTCAGTCTTGCTTTTGTATTTATGCAAGTGAAATCTATACATGCTGTAATTTGAAAGAAGAGACTGGCAACTCATGCGTTGCCTATTTTGATTTCACATTTTCCATCACGCCCCATTAAACTCATGTGTTATGCTAATCCATAGAAAAATTAATCGGTATCATCCTCGTCACTGCGAACATCTTCGGCAGAACCGCCTCTAATGATCTTGATCAATACCTTAACGATTAAGAACATCCATATGATGGTAATTACCTGCAGACCTCCAAGCAGCCACAGGAACACATCGATAATAAACGGTGTCCAACATCTTTTTTGATTTTCAGAAAATCCGCACTGGCCGTTGGCCATGAGGCCTGGAGCTTTCGTACCGGCATGATAGAAAATGTAGTTGTATGCAATGTGCCTCAGCAGAACCCAAAACACCAAGAAAACGGCAAACATGTAATCACAGGCCGTGGAGAACCCGCAATATTTAAGCATCTTGGCACTAGACAATAGAATGTCCACCACGTCCATGATAATCAAAATTACGTGCCCGATGCGGGTAAAGTAGTAATAATAGGACCCCATTGAGAGCAGACAGGTAATGATATGGTGAGCAAACATTTGCCAGAAATCTTTCCGTTTTTCCTCCGCATTGAGGACCAGAATCTGTTGCATCCAAGAAGCCATTTGGAGTAGATAGTAGAGCTTGAACGTACCGGATAGATAATCGTGGGGCCATTCCAGATATATGTGGTCACAATTGAGGAAATATGGCGATTTGTAGTACAGGTAAAACCCGTACACCCAGGAGAATGTGTAGTACACCAAAGACCAGCCTTGTTCCGCGTAACGTTGCTGTGACTTTTGGGACCGGACGTTGAAACGATTCAATGCAATAGGTTTTAGCACGAATTTTAAGAGAAACGAACGCACCAGTACTAGAACCACAATGCATGTGACAACAACGTACGCATCATCGAACCCAATATCATATGCGTCAACGGTTCCGGGATATTTATACTGCAGCGTGACGAACTTACGTGCCCATTCTGGAAATACCAGGCCCACCGCGTACAGCACAACGAAAAATGTACACGACAGAATCATCGAATAACGATCGACTTTCGAAACCGCTTTTTTGTTCGATTTGCGTAGCTTTTGCCGTGTTTCTTTTGATCCCGAACTTTTCGTTGCGACTTTCGGTTCAGCACCAGTGCTGCTCGCATCGTTCGTGCCGTTTGTAGCACATACTTGACGCTGTCTCACCGTAGTGTTCATTGTCTAACGTGTGTATCAATTCTTCCAGTTGAGCTGTTTCTATCGGTGTTTTTTTGGAAAACAATGCAAACAATTCTTTGTTTGAACCAAGGCCTGCCCCAATCACACTCAAAACAATAAATAGGTGGCCTGGAAAAGCAGAGATCAACAATGACCGATACACCTGCTAGAATGTGGTGTCAGATCTCATCGATGGGCTTATTTTTTTTCATCATTTTCACAGTATATTGGAAACACCACCAATTTTGACCATGCTCGTAGGTAACGAGTAGACGCCCTGTTCGTTTTTTGTTGAAGCTGGCAACGCTGGCAACGCTGGCAACGCTGGCAACGACGTTGGAACATTTAGAAAGGACATGGGGAGAAATGTGCTCTCTCTCTCTCTCTCTCTCTCTCTCTCTCTCTCTCTCTAGCCTCTGCGTAAATACAGAGAATGCAACAAAAACTTTATCCAAAGCTCATTGTATTTGTCCCAACAGTCATACAATGCGATGAGATCCTGTACGGTGTTCATCACTTCTGCCAAATCGACCTGCGACTCAGCCATGAATCTATTGAACGTTTCTTGGTGTTTGGCCCGGTATGGTTTTTGCAAACATATGATAACGAAAAAACAGGCCATCGCTATCACATGCGGTGGGTATATTAGATGAACATCTGTGATGTAGCTGTCATTGATCAGGGACCATGTATTTTGTAGATCCTCTGCTGAAAGTGTCAATGCGTAGGGCTCGAGCCGCAGCGCCTCGACGATCTGCTCCATTGACCGATACGGGTGGTGGACAATCAGAAAGCTTTGTAGCTCTTCAAGCAAGTAGAACTCGAACTCTGTGACTTTGGTAGGATCTGGAGGCACAAACTCGGGCCACAAAGAGCGCGCTTCGTTGACCAATGATCGGATGTGTTGCGGACATTCTTCCACTTTGCAGGCTAGATAGATGCACGTGGTGACCAGCAGATACAGGTTACACTCTCGTACCGAAGCCCGAAGCATAAACCGCGATAGATATATATGTGCTGTGGCAAGTGCGTACTGTCTTATATTTAGCCTTCGGCCGAGCTTCATGATCAAAAAATAGCAGTAAATCCGCAAGTTGTAGTCCTTATCGTAGTGCATGTCATAGTTCGTGATCGGAATGGTTCTTGTGACAGGTTGACCTGATCCTTTGGTGTTTTCCATCGTCACCGTCAAGCCTTGTGGAAATAATTGGCACTCTAAAAGCCATAGCTGGTGTCTCTCCGCTGACAAACTTTCCCTTGTATGCTGCCATTTCAGACGCTGTGTCGACTCCCAGTAGCTAGCAGACATCAACGTCCAGCGAGTTGCAACTAAATATAGAGCTGTGAGGGGCTCTGGTCTTGAATTGAGCTGAGTTGGATATAGGCTTGGCCCTCTTTTGAGAAAGTGCAATCAGTAATGAAGGTTGTATTAATAGCCCGACGTCATGTGATCTGTGAAAGATCGATAAGTTTCTAAAGCTAATGAAAGGCATGTTGAGTGAACAGCTTTACAGGAGAGGTTTGCAGACATACTTCGTACCGAAATCAGTATACCGCTAGCTTTGTTGCCGGTCGACGTTTTGGCATTTAGATGCATCAAAAATTTGGAACGTCTCATTCGTGGATAGTGACTTACAATATTCTCGGACTTCTGAAGGACGTACACCGTGGACTTTGTTCTAGTGCTAATATTGACTTGTTACCATACGCTGATCCACATGTGCTTTGCATTGAGAGCTCTTCGTCTGGACTTTTTCTGAGCTGCCGTTTCCCAGATTTTAATCTGAGAAGAAAACGTCCAGGTAGCTGGTACTTAATGAATGAACGATTCATAGGTAGAGCACTCCTAGAAAAACAAAGCTGCATCCTGTTTGTATTTGCTGTGACACACAAGTTGTCAGTATTCGATGCCCGTTGTATATACATTGAGCTTGAATTAATATCAGCTTCAATAGGCCAAGAAAACGCATTTTCCCGTACGTCAGGTGGTTTGCAGAGACTGGCCTCGTAGGTACGATTAACTGACAAGTAAGTGTATGGTAATGGAACATAGTTTGGACGGTATTTCCAGTCTTCTCAAGTTCTGGAAACTGCACTGTCCCATGGAACGCTGACACGGCATGGATGATGATCACGTGACTTCTGATGATTTTATCGGTGAATTGAACGCGTATATACAATCCAAAGGGAAGAGAAATAGACATGTCTCGATGAACAGACCCTAAAAGCTAGAGCATATGTCCAAACCTTACGTCCTTCTGACCTTTTTGCTTGAATCTCAACAAGTAGTCCAATATCACTTCAGACGAGCACTATGCCCTTTAAGCTCTGGGACTTTTGATTTCCGGGTAACGAGTCTAAGACTATATAACGCTAAGAAAATTTCGGAATCAACATCTCTAACTTACCTCCGTCTCTATTTGAACCTAACTGCGGATCCATAGTCGAAGAATCGTCACCGTTCGAAGCTTGCACAATGGGCATATGTCTCAGGCTTTTTAAAAGCCAACCAAGCTTTGGGTAGAAAGTCTCCCACCAGACCGTATGCGGAAAACGCGATGAGATTTAAAAATTTTTTATAAATCCTTTAAATCCACTCATCAGAAGCAGAAAAAGGCGGAGGGCAGATTTCGGTCAGCCATCATGTCTTGCTTTGTTTCTCCTGTCCCTCAGACCCTTGGTTCTGTAGGTGTCTTCGGTAATGAGACCTACACAAATGGGTTTCAAACCATAGTTATGACGATTGTGACAATGGCCTTTCGAGCCTTGTTATAACCCAATGGAGCTTACTGTTCTCGGCTCATGGATCCGCCTTTTTTTTATCTTTTTTTCTTCCAACAGTTTGAGGCCAGGACAACATTTAGTCTGAGAAGGCTTTAGCATAGTCAAATATGCCAAACTGAGTATTCTTTTTCTTTGCATCGCGCTCAGGAGAGCGCGGTAAGCGTTAGTGAGATGTTCTTAAGGTTCACCGGTTGTTTTTTTTGATCTCACCATCTTTCTCAGGGCACTTTTGATATTTCTACAGGATGATTAATTTATGCAACATTGAGTCAAGCTCTGAGTTCCATTAAAAATGGGCGTGGACGAGAACTGCTTTACAGTCTGATACGGAAACTTAAAAATGCCCCTGTTCAAATTGGAGGTCCAAAGAAAAATCAACCTCAAAGACATCACATTAAAACTTTCATCATCAAAGATTCTGAACGTACACTCTTTCGTAATACCGATAATATCTTGAACTCTATAATACTATTAACACCTCTGGACTTGCCTACCGAATGCAGTTTGAAATGAAGTCCATTAACTTTTGTCCCAGAGCTCCGAGGCGTATATCGCCATTGTGCAGAAAATATTGCACCAATTCCAGAAGCCCCATGAATCGGCTAAAACCTTTGAACTACTTTCATGAGACCATGGAAAGCATCCCCACAAACATAGATCGTTGTTCATTAGACCAGAATACTGCAAAATGAGATGAGTGTACATGGCAATGACGATGCAAGGGCTGTATAAATACAACAGTCGCATGAATCGGCGCGACCTCCGTTTATGCTTTTTCTGCAACGCCGGTATTATTCTGGTGGCAGAATAAAAAATCAAGATGCGGAAACACAAATTCATAACAACAGCAGGTGCAATCGCTTCTTTGGCCATGCTCCAAGTCAAAATGAAAAGCTCTTGAATCGAACTCGGTACACTTGAAGTGAAATATTTGAGAAACCTCCATGCGGGCTTCAAATGACGCCAGAGACGCTTTAGGGCAAGTAGAGCAGAGTCAGACGCAGATGTGCCTGTGACGTGAGTGGTTCTTTCCAAAATACTGTCCCAAATCATTTCCCCGTTGGATAAGATGCGATCGCGGAAAAAGGCCAAGCTATCGGGGGACTTAAATGTGTGATTTTGATTCTGCCATGTTTCCTTGACCAAATGAAAAATCTCATCCATTGCACTGGTCGCTAGTTGTGGTGAAATCTCATACAGGCACCGCACAATGTATGCGAAGAACAGTGATGATTCGATGGTTGAACCGCGTCCAGAAACAATTCCAAATACTCCAAGTCCACAAACGATAGAAAACGTGAATCCAAGCAACGAAGCGGTTTTCGCATCAAGCTCCCAAATCGGTGTAACATAAATCCTGTAGAGATAATACAGCGAAGCGGTGATAACGCCGCCTGAGGTCATGAGACCCGTGATCACCCACCAATTGGAACCCTGTTGCGTGCGAGAAAGCCACCTATTGGTTTCCCCCACCGCTTGGATTCCTAGAACGGTGAAAAAACCCTCCAAAAGCGTAAAGTAGGGCGTCGACCTCACCAGCATGTACTGCCAGGGTCTAACCACATACTGGTAGTAGTAATAGTAGAAAATCCACGATTGATTTTTTGGAGATCTGCGTAGCACGTTGATGAGAGATTCGTCCGGTCTTGTATTGGCGTCGATTTGTTTTTTCAGATCATCGTGTGAAAATCCAAGCAGGAACAAAAACAACAGTGATGGGATGAAAAAATGTTGAGCGTAGTACGCCACAGATGTCAGTTTTGCAATCCCTCGGTCTCCGAACATAATTCTGAGCGTTGTAGTAACCAAATACAGGTTGAACAGCGTGACTGTAAACGAAAGTCCGCAGTACAATCCTCCAACTTGAAATGAGATGGGAATCGTTATGACGATCAACAGTAGATAAAAAGTGGTCAACATAACTCTGCCACCTTGAAGAAGCCCATTGGATATCATTTCTGATGGAGAAAAAATGGCCTCAAAATGCCTGTAGTCACTTTTAGTTCAATAAATCCCGTCCTTATGGTGATCCGATGTGAAACCGTATTCCACTACTTGCTGATGATTCAGAGCTGAAACTTGCAACAAGCACCAAACTTTAAGCTTTGCAAACCGCCCAATTCAAGCTGATTCCCCTGAATTGATGAACAACAACGGCCTGGCTTTCCTTTCAATGCTTTTGTCGCGATGAATACAAGTTGTTCAACTAGTTTTACCGTTGTATGAAGGTTGATGTATATTTCTCTGATACCGGAGTGTGATGGACTTTGTCGCTATGTACGTTATGGTCGAAGTTTAAGACTCAGACCATACTTATTTGACCGATAGTCGTGTTATCTCTGAGGTAATATTATTGATCAAAGCTGAGAAGTACTGTGAGCATTAGGATGGTACATATATTTCGAAGTTGCGCTAGAACTGGCTCAAGTGTTCCTATCTTTTATCACGAAATAAAATATGCTGACGGCAGGTTTAATGATTTGCACTTGATGTGAGTAGAATAAATAACCATTGTAAATCATAGTGATTGGAGCTGTGCATTCGGGTTTTGACTTCAATACGTGCTTTTTAGTCGCGAGAAACTTCTTCATGTTTATCACTATGTACGGCTCTGTCGCTCAATTTAATAGATTATCGAGTGTCAGTAAAACAAGGCTAGTGCTCTCAAATAGTGTGTTTTGAACGGTGAGCGGTATGTTCGAAGCGAGTCCATACGACTGTTGCTTCTGGTGAGTATCAACGGTTAAATTTTTGTGTGGCACAAATAACCCTTCTAGGACTAAGAATCTTAACTTTGGGTTTTCTCGCCATACCGCACTTCTGGATACTCGGCTGGTCATTCAAATATTAGCGGAGGAATTCTTCGCCAAATTATAACAAAGATGGTGACTAAGAAGCTTCTCGTGTTCAGAAAGTAAAAGGACGTTGGGTCGCGTGGACTTGATGCTGTCTGTGACACATAATAATTTTTAACCGATATCCAATTATTCTAACCTCTGGCGTCGGTTCTTTAATGTCCGCATGATCCATGGTCTCGGTGTAAAACCGAGTGCTTGAGTCCGAGCTACAGATGGTCTGGAATCTCTGTAAGTTTTCATATATTGTGGTCACGTGCACCAGCTTTCGAAGTATCAAGAGGTGCAAAAACTAGGACTCTACGACGCCAATCTTGTATATCAGCTCCTCTGTAATCCCTTTTTTACCCCAAAATCCAATAATTGAGGAGTAAGAACTGTTCTTAAAGGATCTTCGAGGGAATTCAACATGTCGATAGCACTCAGCATGTGACTCAGCTCACCCTGGCCCACTTATTCAAGATCATATAGGCAACACTAGCCTGTCTATACCATGTCAACAACAGAAGAAGCCATAAGATGTGTACAATGAAAGTATCTAGACCCTGGATTACTACTCACCGATAAGTTGACCAAGTTTGTATTACTCGGTCAAAATTTCTACGATTGAATGAGATCAATGCTGACAGATCAGTATAATATCATTCACGGGGACTTCCCCGCTGATCCAGCTATATCCAAGTTTGTCAGACTATTCCTTGCTTTCTACTTGTCAGATGCATTGTGAAAACGGTTTTGTCGGCTTTCGTTAACCACTTCGAATATTGAGGCTGAAAGTAACAGCTTACTTGTAATCCAAACTCACCGATATGTACACTGAAGCTAACAAAATGGACAAAGCACCATCAGGATTTTTCAATTGGTCAACCTTCGTTTCGTTGCCACGTTGGGATCAGACATATTGTCACAAGCAAACAAAATTGGTTTTCTATTCTGAAAACTCTTGTCCAGCCCACAGATTTGAAATTCAGAAACGCTACCAGTCGAGAGGTACAGATCCAGCTCAAATATGCTGATCCTGTTCTAGACTGAGCTCAGACTACCCAGATCGTCATTGCCGTTTAGTCGTTAACTCATTGTTAGTCGCGTTATACGGCTCATCGCATGGCAGCGGTGTATGAATGAAAATATGCTTGATGGGAAGAACAAGAAGATTCTTGCGCATTGAGAACTCACGTTCAATCATCGGTTGAAGAGCAATGAAGGGTTTTAAACGCTCGGCAAGCCACGGAGATGATTCTCATCACCAAAAAGCGCCCAAAAGCGGCCGAAAACAGATGAGAACTATAAGAAAAGCAGCACCTCGAGTTCAAAATAATGAAATTCATTCACAAGATCAGCCCATCGAGACATCTTCAGGCGACTCTGCTCCTCGGCATGTAATTAAAATGGACGGTATAGACGACAAGGCTAGCTCAAAAGACTCGGATCAAACAGAGGCCTATGCAGCTCTTTTGACGTTACTGAAGGCCGAACATGGCAAGGAGAAGAAGACCAGAAAGAAGAAGAGTGACGAAGGCGATGTGGACGCTGTACAAGGCCAGCAAGATTATGAGGAAAGCTCAAGTGGAGAAAACGAAGAGACCGCTATTGAGAACGCTCTTATTGACGAACGAGATGACGATGATGAAGAAACGGAAGCCGCTGGTCAGGATGCTGCGAGTGAAGGCGACAGTGACGATGAAGAACAAACAGACTCTTTGAAAAAGCATTTTAATGCCGTCCCACAAAAGTACATTGACGATCTTGATGCCGGTTTCAAGTCTAAAAATGTCCGTAACCGTTCGACTAAAGTCCCCACTGATTCAGCGTCTGAAGAGTTTATTTACTCTAAGCCTGTCCTGTCTAATGAATCTGATGTTCGCATTACTGCTCCCCCATTAGCCCATTCGTTGCGTCCTCATTTCATCAAGCAAAAACTAAGAATGCACAACAATTTGATGGAATCGGACGAAGAACATCTGACGCCTCTTCAGAAAAAACTAGTGGATCCTATTTTCCAGTACCAAGATGTGCGCTATGAGTATAATGACTATGGCCTGGAACCTCAGTATCGTGATCTTTACTGTTTGCACATTTTGAACCATATTTACAAGACCAGAGATGCCATCTTAAAAAACAACCAAAAACTCCAAGAGAATCCTGATCTTGATCTTCTCGACCAAGGTTTTACGAGACCCAAAGTGTTGATCGTGGTCCCCACTAGAGACACGGCGCATCGCATCGTTACAAAGATTATAGAGAAATCAGGCATAGACCAGGTCGACAAAAAGGGCAAGTTTCACGATCAGTTCTATCAGTCGTCGTCTGCACCGGACTACAAGGCAAAATCGTTTCAACACATTTTCAGCGGTAACACCAACGATTTTTTTGTTTTAGGTGTTAAGTTCACAAGAAAGGCAATCAAACTGTACAGCAATTTCTATCAATCAGACATCATCGTTTGCTCTCCCCTAGGTTTGCAGCTCATTATTGAAAATACGGATAAGAAAAAGCGACAAGATGATTTTCTCTCATCTATTGAGCTACTTGTGATTGATCAGCTGCATAGCATCGAGTTTCAAAACGTTTTACATTTATCGTCTATTTTTGAGCATCTTAACAAGATTCCACAACAGCAACACGATGCTGACTTTAGCAGAATCAAAATGTGGTACATTAATGACCAGGCAAAATTGTTGCGCCAATCTTTGATCTTCACACGCTATTCCTCTCCTTTTTCAGATTCACTCATCAACGGAAAGTGTAGAAACTACTCAGGTAGATGGAAAAATCATTTAACCGTCAGTCCTGAAAAATCAAGCTTGGGTCAGCTGGGCATGCGAACTCGTTTGATTTTTCAAAGGTTTGAACTTGCGTCGGGAAACAGTGCCATTGAAGAACCTGACTATCGTTTCAAGTTTTTCTGTAGCGTTGTGATTGCAAATATTGTTAAATCCACCGGATACGAAGACGGAATTTTGCTTTACATTCCTGACTATACCGACTTTATTAGGGTCCGGAACTATCTGCGAGAAAAAACTAGTATTCTTTTTGGCGATATCAACGAGTATTCTGAATCGCCTCAAGTGAATGCTAATAGAACTTTGTTCCAGCAAGGTCGTGTCAAGGTTCTGCTTTACACCGAAAGACTGCACCATTTCCGCAGATACGACATCAAAGGTGTTAAGACGGTAATTTTCTACAAGCCTCCTACGAACCCTGAGTTTTTTGAAGAGGTTGTAAGGTTCCTAGGGAAGAGTGCCTTTTTGGGAGTAGCAGATCTGAATATTTCGGTAGTGAGGTGTCTCTACTCGAAGTTGGACGGTTTAGCTCTGGAAAAAATAGTCGGAACGGACCGAGCCGCTGTACTAACGCATGGGCCCAACGATTCATACGAATTCAAGTAGATAAAGTCAAGATTTTGTAGAGACAGGTCAGAACTTAATTTCTCTCAATGTTGGTGTAAGTGTCATAATCGTAAATTAAGGGCTCACTAGAGAAAACGATTCCTGGATGAAAAAATCAGCAAAATATTCAAGACTATACAGGTCGAAACCAACAATGGCCCAATTCTCCATAGCTACAACACACACTGGAAACATATATCTTTCTTTTATTCATTATCCTATCCTCTATCTAAATCACGCCTGAAATTGATTGATGGCCATGACTATACAAGCGATACTTACGTATGGACTAGCTCTTTCACCAATGCGGGCGCATTTCCAGAATGCTCCCAACATGCTATGATCTTTGTATCTGTCCAGTAGAGATGGCCATTGCGAGTGTATATATGTACAGGAGCATACCAGCAAAAGCAGAACTTGCAAAAGCGCTTGAAAATTGAAAAGGGCGCTCATTGAAAGAATAAGAGAGAATGCCGCACACGAATACCCAACTTAAAGAATAAACAGGGGTTTCTGAGCTAAACTCAATGGTTCTATCATGGTGGGTGTTAGAAGAGCTAGTTGATACAGCAGCTTGTACTAATTTAATTCGAATGAGTGTACTAGGTCATATGCTACGGTTTCAGCGAGTTAATGCTCCAGCACAAGTGAAACGATTTCAAGCTGTATCAAGAGTATCAATATCGATGTTTACTAGTGTTCGTGTTTCAGCTTCCACGGGAATTCATCAAAGATTTATCACACAGAAGTCCACGAATATTCGATATCTGGTGTCTCTTCTTTAAATGCCAAAGCGAGTTTTCCAAATGTGGTTGCAGAAAAAACAGATAGTTTACTTGGCACCTTTCATAATGACTACCAGAGCTCACCATGTTCTTACTATCAATTTTATCAGATTCGAAGACCTGACCCACTGACATTGCTGCCATCCAGTCGTTCCTCTACTCATTATTCTACTCGATCTCGGTCCTCTACTCGGATTCTGAAAAATTTCAGAAATTGACCCATTTGAACATCGATCAACTAGATCCATCCTACTCGAATAACGGCATTGAACGCTGTCGAGATTATCATGAAGGTCCAGCAGAATGCAGTCAATGTGCTTGAGCGGACTTCCTCTTATCTGAAGGCAGGCCTTTTGACCAAAACTCCCGCTTGGTACGATGTAGTGGCTCGTGTCCCACCATCGAAAAGATTTGTTCGTGAACCCCGTATGGTGAATCCTGCCACTGATGAGCCAACGTCACAGCTGCCAGAGTATGAAGATTTGTACGACCCTACGGTTGGAATTCACAAGACAAGAGCTAGTCGAGCTGATAAGAAAAGTCTGGCCAATAAACTGTACAAAGCTCCGAAGCTGAAATACGCAGAAGACAAACTGCGTGAGCTATTTTACGAACAGCATCCATGGGAACGCTCGAGGCCGAAAATGCTGGTAGAAAATGCAGGAACACGGACATACCAGTGGGATACGTTGCAACAGTTGGGTAAGCCATTGGATGGTGAAAGCGTGGTCCAAAGAACACTGCATTTGCTCAAAACGAAACAGCAACCAGAGCTCCTAGCTGCGTACGATCAAGCCAGATTTGAATTTTACCGTCTAAGAATACAGGAGGAAGTGCAGTCTCAGGTAGCTCAGGAAGAAGCAGAAATGTTTGGGAGCGTATTTGGACCTTCTGCCATCGAGTTTGGGGTGCAACGCGAGCAAAAAATTATCGACATTTGGAAACAGAAAGCCATTAACCAGTCAGAACTCATGTCAGCACGAAATTCGAACCCGGCTGAATCCTGGTCGAGTTCGTCAGCGCAGTCTGAAGAGGAATCGAAAACCCAAGAGTCTCAAGAAATTCAGCTGTGAGTCCAGCAGCAAGACTCAACCATCTATCTTAACATGTAAATATATATCCATGCATTTTTCAGAATACATGCGGTTCTGTTATCCTTTGTTATCTCAAACTACTGAAAGCGAACAAGCTGAAAGAGATATGTGCGCTTACTGGAATAGTGCTCATATCTATCGAAGTCCGTGAAAGTGATGATCTGGAAATGCTTTCGTATGCGCCGAAAAAACACCTTGTTCGCTTTCCGTCGCTTGGTGTAAGACATCAAGACAGTGGGTGGACTATCACCGCTTGTAAGATCGAGTAGAGTTTTTTCAAGAAGAGGAAAAGCGTCTTCCAAATAGACACAATCAGCAGCCAATACTAGATCTATCCTACTCGGGGTACCGGCTTGATATTTCTCCGCCAATGGCTCGCCCCACATCAAAATTTCTGGGAATACATACTTCTCCAGCCCGTTCAGTTTAGTATTTGAGTTCATCAGTTCGATCAACTTTTCGATGTCTGTAGCATATATTTTCGCCTTGAAACCGTTGGTTTTTGCCAAAAGGCCTGCACAAATACCTACTAGGCCCGTTCCGCTGCCAAGTTCCAAAATATTGGTAAATGATCCGTGGGTTTGCAGTTTTTCAGAGCACAAAGAGAGGAGGCCATTTGCATCGCTGTTGTCAATCAAGTGCTCACATAACAATTGACCAGCTGCCCAGATCTTGCCTCCGCAACCATTCTCACCTCCATCTTCATGAATTTTCAGTGGGAAGTCGATTCTTCCACCAAAAGTAAGATCTGTATCACCCAAATGCTCTATAGGCCTTGCTGGTGCTAGATCGGCAAACTGTGTGGCGAAATTAACGAGATCTGCCATTTGAACAACGGCATGTCAGATTTAGCAGGCATTGCAAATTCCCGGCAACCGACTTGTTCTTCGAGAAAACATATCAACGTCAGTAAAATAAAGAACGACGAATTAGTTCATCCTTCATCATGGCTCTTTACACACTAGCTTTACACTACTTCCAGGCTATCCTTGTCGTTTGCGAGAATCTTTTCTAGCACAGTGTCTAATGTCATTTCATGAGTTTGTAATACTTCACCAACTTCACAGCACACGACGTTATCAGCTAGTAATTCTTCTTGAACGAAAGCATTTATATGCCCTAAAATACGTTCAATGTCGGACTCAACGTTGGGACTTGCTTCTGCGTACTTTTCAATGAACACGAGAATATCCCCAGATGTAAGTCTTGCAAACAATGAACCTTTGAGCAACGTATGCTTCAAAATTGGGCGTATCTTGGCCTCGATTGTTTTCTCGTCTATTCCTGTAAAGACACCACGCACCAGTAAACCATTTATCTTGGCTACAGGAGGTACAATCTTATCCTGATCAGCGTTGTAATTCAGAATTCTTGTTGTAGTGGACTTTTCCATCTCCTTAAGCTTCCGTTCTTTTTGAGCAGCTTTGAAAGACTGATACAGCGGAAGAGCCTCTGTCAAAGAAAGTACAGGTATGTTGGAAGCCGCAGTCTTCTTCACGAAACACGACCTTTTTGGTTCTTGGTCTTGCGACTCGCAGTATAGGTTGAAAGCCTGGGCAAGCTCGTATATGAAATGTCTCTGCGGTGGCTTCATGGGCTTGAAATGCAGGCTTGGTCTGTCTTTATCTTGCAGTAGCTTGATCAATGTCGCTTCGATCTGGCTGCACCAGCCACTTTGCTTTGCAAAAATGGATAATGTCGCCTCTGTAAACGGTATCTGTAGTTCTTGGAAAGTGAGCGCGATTTCCGCCAAGCGTTGTAAATCGTAGAGCCATGATGATGTTCTCATTTCATGTTCCCCAACACCAAAAGCTTCCATCAATTCCGCACGTCTGCGAGCTGTATCGCATTCTTCATTGCATTCTAAAACAGCTTCCGAGGCGGACAATTGTGAAGAATTAGCGCCGCAAATTTTGTGACTACTTCTATGTCCACAATGGCACCGTATTTGTACGTCGCTACTGCAGGGTTTATCGGGACATGCGGTGCCTGCATGGCATCTGAACTTGCACGGGTGGCCACAAGATGGTTTTATAGCACCACAAACCTGCTTACAATTTTCCTGATGTTGACCTTCTAAGTGGCATGCTTTTTGACAAAGGTGTCGGCAGTTCGGTAGCTTTTCACCACAAATGCGTCCGCAAGAAACGTCGTCCTGGAGGCATAACGTTCTGACTTTATCGCTCTTCCCACATTTACACTTTTTGAAAACTGGAGCTGTACATGAGGGACAGGGCCCACTTAGCGGGTGACAAAAGTGAGGCATTGGAGGATGTCCACAGACCGATAGACCTTGAGTAGTCTTGATGCAGGGGTGGAAGCACCGTGGAAGTGTGGTACCACAACGAACAGGAGCAGGAATTACCGTTTTACCACAAGGACAGGCCAAGTCATTGGAATCGCTTTCCAGACATGGCGGACAGTTTCCAGGATGACATTTTCGTGGGCAAAAATGACGGCCGCATGCTAATTTGAGATTACACTGCTTGAGACAAATATGGTAAGCCTCGACGCGGGACTCATCTAGTTTATCACGGGTTAGGAAAGTCTTCTTCTCACGCTGCCGCGCCAATTCTCGTCCTTCGCAACACCTCTCTGCACAACGATGGCGTCGACAAGACATCAATGATTCGCATTTTGTTGTGCACCTTGGATCTCCCTCATATTTGCAAGGAACCAAGTACTTTCTGGCCTTGCATGAGCATGGTTTCTTGTCAGTGCATGTGCAATCTCGCATACACTCGCCCGTATGACATTGAAATGGACAAGTGTGCTTTCCACATTTCAACAGCTTACCGCATATCGAATCACAAGTTGGTATAGGATCTGTGCAGTCCATACGTTCTATGTTTAGGTCTCTGAGCGGATTTTTACCGCAAGGACACGTCTTGAGATTCTTTGGCGCGAATGGACAGGGAATACGTCCGTTTAAGGACGGGGGTGCTTTACAAATCTCTGTGAAAGAATGATTACCACAATTATACTCGATTGTTCGCATGGTGGTACAGGGGAAAACACCTATCCATTCCTGCCTAGAGTTATCATGAGATTTGCCCTGAACCATAACATCTTTGCATGCCATGGATTCTTTAGAGCTCGTACCACAATAACATTTTACATTGTGATGTAAAGTTTCAGGGCATTCGCCACAAAATCCTGTATGGCACACTTTTTGACAGGTGTGTTTCCCGCAAGGGAGTAAAAGTCCACAAGGTTTTTGACAACGGTAAAATCCCCGGTGCTCGGAGGCCTCCGAGCAAATAACGTCTTTTTTTTGTTTTCCACAGAGACAGTCAACCTCCACCATTCGCATACATACTGGATGGGGTCCCAGGTGGCATGTCTTGGAGCATCCATGTACGCAAACCGGAGCATCGCAAGTTTGACCGCAACTATTTGGATCTAAAGGATTTGCATCCGGATGAACGGTTTTGCCACACCAGCAGGAGGGCCTATTTTTCAAGGGCACATCGCGGCTCTCAAAATAGCAGTTGGGGCACTTCCAAGTGTTACTGGCACTTTTCTGCGTGGACTTGAGGGCCCATTCACGGATGCAATCGTAATCAAACACACGATAGCATTCAGGACAGCCATACATGCGACACGTATAGTCCATCTCAACAGTACAGATCATACATGTGTATGTATCACCCCGAGCGATTTCCCGTACTGCCATTTCGTAGTAAGGCTCATCTCCCAGGCTTTCAAGTTCATCTTGATCGTTCAATACAACCATCTGCTCAACATCTTCTAGATTTGGGGACCCTGGCAAAGATCCATCGACCAAAACATAGCTGTCGTCTAAATGAGTATCTTCCAGTGAATTTGGGCTCGAAGTCATTGAAGTTTCCTGTCTTGGAAGAAGCTTCTTCTGGAGGGCATCGCGATGAGCTCTTTTGATCTTCTATTCCAGATCACTATGTACGTAGATAGAGATCTAGATTTGGTCAAGTTCACGAATTCCGGCGTGCTGGCCTTTAAAGATGGATTGTAATGTCTTTCATTCGAAACTGAGACGAGATTCGTAATATTCATCAAATTATGGAACTGGTTAGGTAAAATTCGGTCACTGGAAATGTTATCCGGTCGCCGATGTGTGCCTCGATACTTCTGGATACATTTGAGAAGTGTTCCGTAACGATATTCAATGAGCAGACACACATCGCACATATAAGGAGGATACAAGTAGTTTGTTCGAGAAGCTTTGCCAACAGGGTTCTGGGAATCCATTCTTTAAATTGTAGTCTACGAGGTAACGACGGAATAGTACAAAGTGACACGAGGAAATTTCAGTGACAGTCGGTGATTTTAGAGCGACTTTTCTACCATTTTATGAGATTCGGATAGGCAAGTGTAGCTCTTTTGATATGCTTTTTCTGTCATAACCCAGTCGCCTACAAAATACAGAACATTGTTTTCTTTACAGCGAAAACGTTCTCCTTTCGGATCTTCAGTGATGAAAGTAACGATATAGTTCTTATAGATTAGGCTATTCGATTGCAGCCAAAGTTCCCGCTCTCACAGAGAACTGTTGAACGATGGCATGATCAGCAGCGATAGAAAGATAATCGCATATCATTTGTTTCTAAAATGGCACCGATCACGTGGTCCACAGTTCCAATGAGTTTTGCAAAAGACGCTTCGACAGAAAACTAGAAAGTCCCCAACTTTTGAAGCCATTCGTAGCCATCTGGTGTCAGTAATAATTTCACGGATGCACACTTTGAAAAATCGCGGCAAGCACCTCGTCAGGAGCCAAAAATGATATATTATTCGCAGATCGAGAAAATAGCGACTTCGAGATGCTTAACTGAAGATCGGACCTCCTTTAAACCTCTTCACTGTTATCACCTACCCTAAATACTACTTGTAAGTGACAACGGGACCCTTCTCTAATTCAGCCGAATATTCAATTTGTTGTCTGTCGCCCGTCAGACAAGGACAAAGTGATAAAGTTTACAAACCAGCTACAATAGAACTCAAAACCTCGGACAGTCTCACGGTATTGTCCGCTAGATGATCTCTAACAATCGCTTTCTGAAGTCCGATAAAGTGTGGCCATACAGCAAGTTGTTCTCTGGACGGCCATCCATACACACAATATTTTCCCGGAGAATCCAAATAGCCATAAAGAAAGGCAAACGATTTCAATAACTTGATAAACACTCCAGCCCTTTGAGCCTAAAGTAATCACATCTCATACCGCTCGTTCTCGACCTTTTGACTAAAACCTCTACCCGGTTTTCCAGTCGCACTATCCAGTCGAAGTAATATCTTGACGAAAATTCCATGGGAAAAGTGAAAAACTAGACCACAGGCATACACCCAGTGAGCATCATCGGCTGATCAGAGGGTCTGAATCATATTTTAGCAGTGAACTCTTATGATTTACGAACTTCATCGTAGGACTCTTTGTACATTTTCCAAGCTGTAGTTACTTCGAGTTTTCACCTTCTCTGACACACTTGTTCACCCACTAGACTATTAGCCATCATCAAATGTTGAGAACCTCTTTTAGCCAATTGGCACGCCGCGCCTATTCGAAATCTGCCGAATCGCTCACCATTGGGTTGATTCCAGGCGATGGTATTGGAAAGGAAGTTATTCCAGCAGGCAAGCTAGTGCTGGAAAATCTGTCCAGCAAACATGGGCTCAAGTTTAACTTTGTCAATCTGCAGGCTGGATGGCAGACGTTTTTGGACACTGGTAAGGCTCTCCCCGATGAGACCATCCAAATTCTCAAAAATGATTGTGACGGTGCGCTTTTCGGTGCCGTTCAATCGCCTACCAATAAAGTCGAGGGCTACTCTTCGCCCATCGTGGCCTTGAGAAAACAGCTTGGTCTGTACGCTAACGTGCGTCCTGTGAAGTCTGTTGAGGGAACTAACGACAAGCCCGTGGATATGGTCATTGTCAGAGAAAACACTGAAGATCTTTATATCAAGTCTGAGAGATCTTACATCGACGAGAAGACCGGTACCAGAGTAGCAGAAGCTATTAAGAGAATCTCCGAGACTGCCACCAGAAACATTGCCAACATCGCTCTGGAAATCGCCTTGCAAAGATACAAAGTCAATGGCAAGGCTACTTTAACTGTTACTCACAAGTCCAACGTCCTATCGCAGAGTGACGGTTTATTCAGAGAAGTCTGCAGAGAAGTCTACGAATCGAACAAAGAGAAGTTCGGCGTTGTAAACTACAACGAACAAATTGTTGACTCCATGGTCTACAGGATGTTCAGAGAACCACAATGTTTCGACGTCGTGGTGGCTCCTAACTTGTATGGTGACATCTTGTCCGACGGTGCTGCCGCTTTAGTGGGCTCTCTTGGTGTTGTTCCTAGCGCCAACGTCGGCTCCAGCTTCGTGGTCGGAGAACCTTGCCACGGCTCTGCTCCAGACATTGCTGGTAAGGGTATTTCGAATCCAATTGCTACGATCAGATCCACTGCTTTGTTGCTAGAATTCATGGGCCACCCAGAAGCTGCTCAAGAAATTCACAAGGCCGTCGAAGCCAACTTGCGTGAACAAGCTATCAAGACACCAGACTTGGGTGGAAAGTCTACCACACAGCAAGTGATTGACGATGTTCTATCTAAGATGTAAATTTGAGGGAATATGTACTTTTATACTTAAATGTTTTCCATTGTTGCCCGTGCATATAGTTGCAGACTGTGAAAGCCCTTGATTTCAATCGCGTTCAAAACAAACCGCGAAAAATCCAATGCCACCGTCTTCCTTCGGCGATACCCTGATACAGGCTTCTGCTAGTTCCTTGGCTTGCTCTTCGTCCCGAAAAACCTCCTCAAATTCGGTATAAAGTCCCCTCCTTGGCCACGTCGGTATGACACCAGCCCGTTTTCTCACACGCCATCCAGCCTCTTTCACTTTGGAATCAAGCAACAAGTCTATCACGATCCGTTCGTTTTCCTCCGCATGAACAGAGCAGGTACTGTATACCAGTTTTTTAGCACTAGGGAATGATAAGGCATACCGTACAATTTCAAATTGAAAAGAAGACAGTTTTTGAAGCCTCACTTTAAGGTCCTTTTCGGCAATATCTTCATGCTCTTCTTCTGAGGGATGGGCGGTGGTCTCATCATCTTTTTGTGCTGCGCCTTGTTCTTTATTTCTGTTACGCTCATCAAAGGCCTGACGACCAAATATTCCACTTCCAGAACAACTAGGGTCAACGATGAAGCCAGTGACTTTGGGGAAAAGAGCTGGTTTTGCAATTTTGGTGAAATCTCCCACATGAACCTCAATTCCATTGGAGCAACCGGCACTCTTGATCATGGTGCGCAATGTTTTTGCTCTTTCTGGATCCTTTTCAAATGCATGAACCTTGACGCTGTCTGGCGCTTCGTTTTGGAAAATGTGAGCTGCAACATGCGTGGTCTTATTACCGGGTGCGGCGCAAGCGTCAATGACAACGTCTGTTTTTTGAGCGTTCAGAATATGTGCAGGGAAACAAGAAGCCCTATCTTGAATGATGATTTTGCCCGTTTTATAAAGTTCATGAGAGGTTACTTTATCACCCGGATGCACGCCAAAGAGGTTAGGTATGTACTCGTCATGGTAGATGGTACCAGGCACAATCTCGGTCCAAGACTCGACCTTGGTAGGAAATTTCTTCTCAAGCTCTGCCAAAACTTCTTTTTCCTTATTGCGTGCACGGATTGGATTGATTCGGATCCATCGTACCGGTGTGATGTCAGAGCTATTATCGTTAACCAGTTGCCTCAGATCCGTCACTTTCAACTTGAGTTTTAGCCGCACGACCTCACTATTGAGACGAGTCTTATGCTTCAGCACAAACTCCTTGATGGGATGCTTACCCATTTGTATTCTCTTGCTTTTCGAAAACAAAAGATCATGCACCAGAAGTTTGATAGTGGTCTTGTTGAACGCTGGTTCGCCCTTCTTTTTCGGGATCTCTTTCAAAATCTTGGACCGCTGCAAAATCTTGTCGAGAAACTCTCTATAAAGCCAACAGGAGTGCACAGCGGCGTAAATATGCTTAGGATTGGTCTTTAGGTTGAACTTTTTGCATGAATTGAGAACCAATGTCTGTAGAGAACCAGCAACGCGGCCCTGAGCCTCGGTTTTTTCTACAAATTCAAGCACATACGTGGCATCCCGATAGAAATTCATGTTCTCGAAGCCCTCCGCTATGAAGAGCACAACAAAAGAACTGTAGTGAGTTGAATAGCGGGCGATGCGATGAGTAACGACATGCGATGCGATGAGCTTAACTTGTAGAGCGTATAGTGAAAAAATGAATTAACCGAACGACGCGATATAAGAAAAGTGATTAAAAATGACAGGTTAAAAACTTTTGGAAAACATGAATGTGAGGTGAGTTTAGCAAGTAGTTGACTCTTGATATCGAAACCGTTGCAGCTATAAACTTCTGATTGGTCTTTTTCCCGAGTTCTCAGCGTTTCTTTCGAGTCCTTCGCTGGGAGCTGAAAGATTTCAGATAAAAAACTTCTAATACCATAGTCTGGACCACTCGCCGACAGCTCTTACTACCAACTCATCTTTGGACTTTGTTGATCCTCTTTTAACGACTTTTAAACCTGACTTCTGTCCGAATATCTACACAGTCCTCTGGTCATTTATCTAACCGGTTTCCAACTTGACATTTTTCCAGTACACGGACATACTGTACAGATTTATATTATATATATATATATCGACGCATGGAAACCATACGAAGCAACGGTCCGATCTCGACGAAGAATTACAGGATCTCGAGCTCCTTGAGCTGTTCTTTCACTTATCCCATTAACGCTAATTCCATGGCCGATCTTGTCAAACAAGAGCCGGTTCCAAACGACCATCTCGTTCTCAAAAGAACTTTGAATGATGTTGTCGAAGACGACAACGATCTGCAAAATGGTGCCAGTACCAAACGACCTATAATTGTACCGGATCGCAAGCCAGATCTGCGATACACGCTTTTGAAAACTGGACTTTGTTACGACGTTCGCATGCGATACCACGCTAAAATCTTTACGTCATATTTCGAATACATCGACCCACATCCAGAAGACCCCAGACGTATTTACAGAATTTATAAAATTTTGGTGGAAAACGGGCTGGTTCACGATCCCACGCTGAGTGGAATTGACGAGATTGGTAACTTCATGCTGAAAATCCCTGTACGTGAGGCAACAGAATCTGAAATTCTGCAAGTGCACACGAAAGAACACTTGGAATTTCTTTCACGAACGCCACAGATGACCAGGGATCAGCTTTTAAAAGAGACCGAAAAGGGAGATTCCGTGTATTTCAACAACGATTCGTTTCTGAGCGCCAAATTATCATGTGGAGGCGCAATTGAAGCCTGCAAAGCCGTAGTGGAAGGGCGTGTAAAAAATGCATTGGCCGTTGTAAGGCCTCCCGGACATCATGCCGAACCTGAACTGGCAGGCGGATTTTGTCTTTTCAGCAACGTTGCCGTTGCTGCTCAAAATACGCTAAAAGCTTATCCTGAAAGTGTGCGAAAAATAATGATTTTAGACTGGGACGTTCATCACGGCAACGGGACCCAAAAGGCTTTTTACGAGGATGATAGAGTGTTATACATCTCTATTCATAGACACGAGCTCGGAAAATATTATCCTGGAACAATGCATGGAAACTATGATAGAGTGGGCGACGGGAAAGGCGAAGGGTTTAACTGTAATATACCTTGGCCCTGTGGAGGACTTGGCGATGCTGAATATATGTGGGCGTTTGAGCAGGTCATCATGCCCATGTGTCGTGAATTTCAGCCTGATCTAGTAATCGTATCGTCCGGTTTCGACGCTGCTGACGGTGACACCATTGGCCAATGTCACGTAACACCCAGCTGCTATGGACAGATGACGCATATGCTAAAATCTTTGGCCAGAGGTAACCTTTGTGTTGTGCTCGAAGGTGGTTATAGCTTAGATTCTATCGCCAAGAGCGCATTAGCAGTAGCCAAAGTTTTAATCGGTGAGCCTCCGGATGAATTACCCGAAGTAAAACAGCCCAGGCCTGAAGCACTTGAAGTAATTGATACCGTTATAAGAGCACAGTCAAAATATTGGAAATGTTTTAAAGGTTCCCATGCTAATGATGGGTGCTCACTCGCTGAGAAGGCCACGGAGACAGTTATCAATAAAAACTTCCCCCTCCAAAGGGCTATTCGTCAGCAGCAAATTCAGCTTCTTAAGGACGAGTATAGTTTCGTTACTCTACCATTAGCCAACATGGGTCTACCAGATGACACAGCCATGTTCTCCCCTAACATATATGACGCACAAGCAATATTGGTGTGCGTTCACGATACCCCAGAAATATGGGCTCGACGTAGTCGCGTCACAGGTAATATCGATCCGTCATCTTCTATTATCGTGGACACCACAGTGGATGTGATTAAATGGGGAATAGAGAAGAAGTATGGGATAATGGACATTAATGTACCCCAGTCTCTACAAGAACAGGACAATTACTCTGCTGTAACGACGGCTCAAGAACTGCTTGTTTTTATCTGGGACAATTACCTGAAGTACTTCCCAATGTTGAACAAAGTCGCTTTCATCGGGATTGGAGACGCTTATAGTGGCATTGTTCACCTTCTCGGACATAGAGACACGAGAAACGTGGTGAAGTGTGCCATTTCGTTCATTGATCGGAAGCCCTTGAGACCTTTGATACCATTAGTCGATGAGACTCTTGCGGACTGGTATTACAAAAACTCGCTGGTCTTTGCGAGCAATGAAAATGCGTGCTGGGGGAGTGACGGTAACGATAGTAAAAAGCCCAGGAAGAAATTTGGGCGGGTCCTGAGATGCGACTCTGACGGTCTTAACAACAATTTTGAAGAGAGATTCGATGAGGCAACTGACTTCATATTAGACGCCTTTGAGGAATGGAGTGACAGTGAGTAATCCTAGTGTATCTACACCTATATGATATTAAAAGTATCACACAATTGTATTATTAATGCTGGTGCGGCTGTAATTCAGGCAGCACTCGGAAAACGTGTTTTGAAATCTTTCTCGAGCTCTTCTATCTCACGAAGATTCCAATGATCTGTGTCTCTATCACTTTCAGAAGCGCTTGGTAAAGACAGCTTATCTCCTCTCAGATGGATCGGCTTTGCTGGCCTTTTTGGCTTCGGATGCGCTGGTTTGAAAGGCGATCTCCCTTTTTCGGGGGCTACTTTTGTGATGACCACACTAGAGTGCCTTTCGCCGGGCGATAACACTTTAGGCGTCGAAGCACTTGAGTCACCACGGTCTCGAAGCATAGTTTCATTGGTCAATTGTGGTAACAGTTTCGCTTCTTCGAATGCTGATGTTTCGCCATAGCCACTAGCGGTTTTGAGCACATGAGCATCTTCTGAGCTCTTGAGAAGGTCCTGCACTCGTTTTTGTATAGACAGCCGAGAGTCATTGTCATGTCCCATTCTAACTGGCGAGCGTGCCCTATAATATTCCTTTGCGGCAGTATCGTCTTCGTCCAATTTATCGAGATCTGAAATAATGGAAGCAGTACTGCTACTTCTAGAGTGGGATCGGCGCATCGAGACCCGCTCTTCTTCTATGGAGTCCGAAGAAGATATACGTGCTCTTTGTCCATTGGAAGGTGCAAGTCCTACAGGTAAATCATTTGAACCCCATTTACTCGAAAGGTCTTCTTTGAGACTGCCTGCTCTCGAAATACCACGACGAAGAGTAGCAAATGATGATTTGACACTTTCTCCTGTATTTTGCCTCGATTTGATGGGTGATATAGATCTTCTTTCACCAGTAAACACCTTTTTGAGTTTTTGGCCAAGCCTTTTTCCGACGCTGTCTCCGCTGTTCTGGCTTTCCAAAACATCCGATGTTCGGGATGATGACAGCTGCCTTGGGACTGAGCTCCGCAAGGCAGGAGTCGTTCCCAAAACGTTGTCGTTTTGCGTACGCGTTGATGAATACTTTGAATGCATTTCCAGAGTCGTTGGGTTGGCGCTAACGATTTTCGATATGTCTCCCCGCCCGCCAAGAGCAGGACTGGCCGATCGTCTCGATGAGAAAAGATCGGCTTCGGTAGAAGTCTTTCCATGAACAAGAGTAGGATTGTTTCCAGCTGTAGAAACGGCTGGAAGTTTTGTGGCAGTGCCATTTAAAAGTCTTGTTTTGTCGATCGCCTTGAAAGGATCAGCAAGCCTGTTCTGATGGGAAACCTGGTTTCCTTGTGACTTTGTTTGGGGTTGATATAACATACCATTATTCGATCCATTAGCGAATGACTTCCAAGAGCTTAAACCAGCGACCGGCTGCTGCGTACTAATATGTTGGATCACCTCGATTTTTGGCTGTGAACTGGATTGATGTATAGGAGTGGGGGAATGTGATTTTGTCTCATGGTGCTGCTGCATTGACCTGAGAATGTAGAAGTTGCGAAGAGGACAGGGCACATTTCTAACGCGAGAGACTTCCTCAAGAACTTGACAGATATTAGGTCTCATCAACGGATTTTCGGTCAGCATCACGCTGATTAAATGTTTTAATTTATCGCTGTATTGTGGATATGCAGGGAACTGGAATCGTGAATGCAAAATGGCGGCTTCGCCAACTTTTTCGAATGGGGTCGTATAGTAACAAAGCTTGTAGAGGAAGACACCGAGTGCCCAAATATCAGATTTTTCATTGATAGGGTAGCCTCTGTAAAGATCAATCATTTCTGGTGAACGATATTGTGCGGTGGTATTTTTCAAGATGTCGTGCTGAACATAATTGAATTCCTGTCCATTTTTTGGGGGTCTTATGATACCGCACACAGAGCCGAAGTCGCAAACTTTGAACGTGTTATCACCAGCGATCAAAACGTTCTCTATCTTGATGTCTCTGTGAACCAAAGGTGGAAGAAGTGCATGCATTGCAGCTATGCCCTGTGTGATGTCGCTCATGATTTTCAAGACCTCTGCTTCTTGAAGACGATTTTGGAGTCTGGTGTTCATGAAATCTATTAGTCCACCACCTGTGCACAGTTCCATGAGGAGGAAAACCTCGTAAGAGCCGTTTCGATGTCCAGATTTCGCGGCATGAGAATCGATGTAAGAAACTACGTGTCTGTTTCCACGAAGAAGCTTCATAGCGTCTACTTCCGCTCGCAGGACGTTCAAACTGGGTTTATCAGGTACCAGAACCCTTTTTAAACATGCGACGATAGTTGAACTATTGGAATCGGCCGGCGATATTTCCGCTGAATAGATATGAGCAAAGCCACCGCTTGCAAGATATTTGATGATTCGCGCTTTATGAGACCCCACCGTCAGTGCAGTTCCTGCCGGGTATATGTCAGGAAGCTGGTTGTTATTCATTTCATGAAAGCGTCTATTACTTCGTGCGCACAGATTGGTCAAAGGAAGCCAGTTTTTAAACTTTCCGAAATGTTTGAGCAGTTCGATTTGACTGGAGGAATTGCGCTAAAACGATAACTGCTAGGGTAAACCGAAAAAACGGGAATCAGCCGCTGGATGAGGTGATAATCCAATAAAGGCCGAAGGAATGCGCTAGTAGATCTGGATCAGGGTCCTGTCAGATCTGTCCTTATGAAAGGGGCCGTAGTTCGAGATACAACTATTCAATTTCTGAAATTGAAATCGAGATCGTTTTGTACGCGGATAGTCGGCGTCACGAAATCGACTCGAGGAATGAGTGTATCATTGGATAGATGAATGACTCAGGTATTGACTCAATAACTGGATCAATAATTTGATCGAGGATTGAATAGAGGCTTGGATCAAGGATCGGCTCAAGGATTGGCTCAAGAAATAGCATCAAGGGTTTCTTCAAGGGTCTTCAAAAGAACGGGTTTACAGCGGTTTTGAACTGCTGTTGAAACATCGCGGCATTGTATCACGAACGCACGTCTATAGACCTCAAGATGCTAATAAAATCTGTTAATAAGCTTTGGAAGACAAATAAGGGCGTAAGATGCCGACAAAACCGGGAATGGAACAACCTGAAGCGCTTTTACACTAGTGAAAGTGTATAGTTGCCGGACTAGAACGCTAATATCAACTGCTTTGAGCTCTCTTCTTTCTTCGAACGTAGCACGATGACGCCTTGTAGATCTCATTAATTAGCTTAGTACACCCTCATCGTGATTTTTCACTATATCAAAACTATACTCATCGCATTGAAAGTTCAACTTGTAAAACACGTTTGCATGGTCTTTAGACTGGAAATTGAAGCCAAGTTCGATCTGCCATTTGAAATCTGTGCTTTTTGAAGTATTCAGCCCCCCTGTTTCAAGCAAGCAACTGAGATTTTTGTTTGTAGAGCCATATACATTTATATATGTCATATTCAAAGTTGAGCTCAGTCTCTTTTGGGTCTGACAATTGGTGTCTGCGATTGCAACCCATATATAACCGTGGACTTTTGACAGCCTTGAGCGACGGGTCTCTGCAGATTATCGATTGGAACCGTAACGATGCTTTCGACAAAATCCAGGTTCATGAGACGCCTATTAACGATATGAAGCTCATTAATAGTGACACCAGTAATGGGAGTTTGGTGGCTACCGCGGCAGAAGACGCGGTCAAGATCTTCGATGTGAGAACCCGGGATGAGGTAGCAATCCTCAAAAACGAAAAATCGGCCCCGTTTCTGTCGCTGGACTCAAGACACGATCTTTTGGCGTGTGGAACTGAATTGAGTGGAGTGGATGCAGTGCTGCAACTTTACGATGTAAGGAAACTGGGGTCGCCGTTGCGATCATTTGTAGATTCTCATCATGACGATATCACGACAATCAAGTTCCACCCAAGCGATCGTAACGTGTTACTAAGCGGTTCTACAGACGGCTACGTGAATATTTACGATTTAACACAGGATGATGAGGAAGACGCACTGCACCAGGTAATCAATTTCGCATCCATTCACTCGAGCGGGTGGTGCTCACCAAAACGAATTTTTACGCTATCGCACATGGAGACCTTTGGCATTCACGAATTGAATGACAAACAAGAAGAATCGATAGAACCAAGACCTGTAGAGTTTGGGGATATCAGAGACCCATGGGACTGCAGCTACGTGGTCGACGTTTACCCCGGCTTCATTGCGACCGGAAAAAGTGACGACGGCCATGGCGAGCTCAAACTGATACCGTTTGCAAACGAAAAAGTCCAACTAGACGGAGCGGTGACCATTCCACAAGCACACGGCGACGAAGTGGTTAGAGACGTGCTTGTACCTGCTTCGAACCAAGAATTATTGTATTCGTGCGGTGAGGACGGTCACGTGAACATATGGAAATCCAATTTTGGTGACATGAACGTACCCACGGAGTTCTGGTCCTATTCAGACCGCATGGACGTCTTCCAGAACGACTTACCTGTAGTTGAAATGGATGATATAGAAGACGATACTTCTGACAAGACTCCAGGTTTGACCCCGGATCCTCCATTGACGAAATCAAGTCGCCAAACCGAGGACAAAAAGCGACAAAAGGGCTCGACCAGGTCTAACAGAACAGTATCAACCAAAGATCATCGATTCCAACCTTACTAAGACGAGAAAAGGGCCTGAAACTATCGTCGAGAAACGTCTTCATCTCAGGACTATCACATGACCAAATACCTTCTTACGAATTATCACGTGGATCATTGAGAGTCACGTGGATCACTTTTTTTCAAATTTCGATGAAAACCAAACCCGTAATAGATAAACCATAGAATTGAGATGAGCATCGCTCTGTTCAAACAACCGTGTTGATATCCAACTTTACACCCAACTAACCTTCTTTAGTGCACTTTTCTAGTCGTGGTGGACTGCACCCAACAAGTATGAGTAGCGTCGTCAATAAAAGTGGGACGCGTTTTGCCCCAAAGATCAAACAACGTCGGGCTGTCGTGACTGCTCCCGAGAAGGAGTCTGTTGTAACAAAGATCAATGAATCTACTGAAAACCGGAAACTAGACGATGGGGAATCGTCAAAAACTGCGGAAACGACCCAGGGTTCGCAAAACAATGCTGTCGTTACGGAAGAAATAGATCCATTGAGTCAGAGCACGCAGAAGACTTTGCCAGACAAAGAAACAAGCGGTTCTGCGAATTCTGCATTAATCGACCGTAGAAGAAGATCCAGCAGGCTGGACTCTTTGAGTAGTGCCAGTGCGGTGTTCAAAAGTGGGTTTATGGAACCGGCTTCCAATTCCGGGCTGTCAAGAGAATCAGCGAAAAACCGTCGATTGTCAAACATGGCTGGACCACAGATCAAGGGCAAAAAGAATCGAGTGAGCAGCATTTCTGAATCAGATTCGTCGTTCCAAGCTATCAAGAAAAGGCGTATGTCTTCCAGGTCGTCCATATCCCGTAAGACAGGATCAGCCCAGCGGATCAGCATTTTATCACAGCCCAACGGATCGCAAGATCATACTGGAACGGCTGGGAATGAAGCTTTGAAAAGCGAGGGCACAGAAGATCTGTTCCAACGCACTGATAGACTTTATGAGAAGTATACAATTGCAAACGCTACAGAAATACCGAAAAACATCGCAGATGATGATTCGTCGCGATATTTGTTGGATGAAGACAATTTCACCATTGCAGATTTGTGCAAACCCAACCTCCCCATTGGCGAAACTTCGGACAATTTTCAGAGAGCTCAGGAAGCTTTGAAAGCGAAGCAGCAAAATAGACTGAAAAGAAGAGCTATGCGATTAAAAGCGCGTGAGAATTTTAAACCGCTTCACGAGCTTAATAAGGAAGACGCTGAAAAACTGCTTGAAGAGCGGAAAAAAGCTGCTGAAGATATGATGAACGCCGATATCCCTGAGCCGGATAGAGGTCACAATGCGATCCAGCTTCGAATAAGTCAAGACGGTACCTTTGCAGTAGATGAGGAATCAACTGTAGTAGATCGTCACAAGAGAGCTACTCTGGAACATGCTCACAAACTGCGTATGGACGAAAATCCTTTTGCAAATTTGTTCAATTCCGCTACATATGGACGTCAGCAGTACACCGATCCTTGGACCATTGATGAGCTTTTACGATTTTACAAAGCGCTTTCGATGTGGGGAACGGATTTCAACCTGATTGCTCAGATGTTTCCTTACCGGACCAGGCGTCAGATCAAGGCCAAATTCGTCAACGAAGAAAAAAAGAACCCTGTGGTGATCGAGCTGGCACTGCGCGCAAAACTACCGCCAGATTTTGACCAGTATTGCACGGAGATCCGAAAAGAGCTGGTATCGTTAGAGGATTTCAACCAAAAATTCCAGGATCTTCAGAAAGACCACGAGAAGCATCTCCTGGAAATTGAAGTATCGAAACAAAGTGCGAAAGAAGAAGATTTACAGACTCAAAAGGTCAAGGAGATGGAGAACGTCAACAAGAAGACCTCAGGTGGTCTCAGACGGGACCAGCTGAACGCTTACAGAAAAACCGAAGTTGTACTGGGGACAATTGATCAGATGAAAAAGCAAAGGGCACAGGAGCCTGAAGAAGAGATGGACTAGTGGATCATTAAGTAGGATATAACAAAGGAAGAAGCAGCTATCAAATCTCTGTTGTTCAATATATCACATTTTTCTTCATTTGGCTGTGATCTTGGTATATATATTTATTATGACCTCTAACGTCTAACTATGCCTCCAGCGTTAACTCTTTGACAAAAGAAGGAACGACACCAATGGCATGCAGTATAGCAACGAATGGCAACGACATAGGCTCTTATAGAAGATACACAGCTACACCGGAGCACTACTCCCGGACTCGTTTGATAAGTTTGAGCGTTTTCGCTGTAGCCAACATCATATGCTATTACTGTACTGATAATTATTTGAATTGGACGACGCACAAGAAAATCGCGATCAGAGTTGTCTTTTTCGTAGTACTGCTGTGTCTAATTCGTGACCCAACAATTGAGACTCTGCAGGTATTCAGAGGTGCAGGCGTTCAAGTAGGTACTTTGCACGGATGTATATTGTTGCCGAAGGCTCTGAACCAAAGATGGCTGGAACAGTCTTATTTCATGCCGCAAGATACTGTAGTTGACATTGTCATCAACGAGGGGTTTTCCAAAGGGTTCCAAGTCATTTTCTACCTAGTCATTCTCAAGGATTCTACCGATCTACAATTGGTCTTTCCAGTATGTTGAACTTTCATGAAAACACTGTCTTTGATGCCAGGAAAGACACATTTGAAAAATACTAACTATATATATGATTACAGAACACCAGGCCAAGACTGGAAGATCTAAAACATGTCTATAACGACTCCAGGAAGTGCCTAAATGGCTAAATGTCTAGGAATTGAACTTCGGCCATAACTAATGACGAAAAAGCTAGAACTTCAGGTAATAAAATAAGTTGGTTAGCCAGGCGATGAGATGAGATGAGATGCAACATTAGCTAAAAGCGACTAAAAGCTAGCAGATAACCCAGTTTAAGATTATTAGCATCCACTGAGATACTCTTGAGATAAATGGGCAGAAAATTGAAAGGAAAGGCCAATCCCAAGGGCCTGAAAGGAGCCCTGCTTCGGCATCAAGCTAATGAGCAAGCGCAGAAAAAGGTAAAATCAAAAGCCGATCACTCTCTTCATAAGCAAAAGCCCACGAAAGCAAGCTTGGAACAGCGGGAATCGCAACGTGAAACAGCCGCCAAAATTATTCCGTTTGCTTCAAATAGCACACTTCTACTGGTGGGTGAAGGTGACTTTTCGTTCGCCAGATCAATTATCTCTCAACATTACATCGAGCCTGAAAACTTGCTAGTGACAAGTTTCGACAATTCTCCCGCCGAATTGAAGCTGAAGTACCCCAAGAGTTTCGAAGAAAACTACGAGTTTCTCACGCAAGCTGGTGTTCAAGTTTTCTTTAGAATTGACGCAACCAACCTTATCAAATCGTTCAAAATCAGTAAAAAAACCACTTGGTCGAAAATAGCAGGCCAAAAATGGGCGACCAAGCCGCTGGAGGGTATACTGTTCAATTTTCCACACACAGGAAAAGGCATCAAGGACCAAGATAAAAATATAAGAGATCACCAAGAGCTCGTTTTAGGATTTCTTCAAAGTTGCAAGCAGTTCTTCAAAGCTGTAAATCAGACCGCCATAAGTGGGTCGACCTCGAATTTTTCCCAAGGTTATACGATGAACGATGAGGCGGCAACAAACAAGGTATCGAGCGAAGGGTACGGCAAGGTTTTCCTTACTGTATTTACCGGTGAACCGTATGATTCTTGGCAGATAAAGATTATGGCTAGAACAGGAGGATGGAAGGTGGAACGATCCGGCAACTTTCAGTGGGCAAATTATCCCGAGTACGCCCATAAACGCACGAATAGTGAACAGGACACAACTAAGCCCGCGGCGGAAAGAGACGCTCGAACCTATGTTTTTGAAATATTCGACAAGCACTCCAAGGCTTCTAAGAAACGAAAGGGTACCGACAGCGATGAGGATTGACCGGTCATGTCGGGTACATAGTAACAAAATCTTTCTCATCATAAACCTGTTGATTAATTGGATCCATAACTTGATCTGGTTTCAAATCGTAAAGCTTTCTGCTGGCAAGTTTTACTGCTAGTAGCTTCAGTTTCTTTGAGTCGTAAATATTTCCATTTGGGAGCATAACAGGATTTTCAAATAAGTTGGATTGGATGTGGTGGGCGTAGGGCAGATCTTTTGTTATGGGTGCAAACTCTGGACTGCAAACTGGGCATTTCGAGTGGTTTAGCTCATTGTTGAGAAAATTGTGCAAATCTTCGTCCAGCTTTACGGTTGAGTACATGTCCTGTAAGCAACTTCTGGTTTTGAGTGTTGATATCCCAAGAGAAAGATAGATCAGTAAGGGATCGTGTTGAGATATCCCGTACATCGAATAAAATTCCTGCAAAAAAAGTCTTTTCAAAACGTTCCATCGGTCATCACTCAAAACTCGAGTGTATCGTACAAATTCCCCGTTGGCTGAGAATTTTGTTCTAGTGTCGCTTCCAAACGTGCCATTGCCGGAACCCAATTCTCTCGGCGGGGCTTTCCCGAAAAAATACTGGAAGAATCCGAACCTGGTCTTCATATTGGAGGTGTCGTTTTGAGACTCCGATTGCTGTGGCACTTGCTCTTTAAAGCTTTTGATAAACACCAGAAGGCCCGAGGCAAGTTGCAACTCCTCGAAGTTTGTGTTAATGAATTTTATCAGATGATTTTGAAAGCATCCAATAGCACCGGGATAATTTCTAGTTTTAACGAGCTCAATGTATTCTTGAAGCCGCGTTTCAAACTCTAGCGCAGAAGATCTACTGGTCAAATAAGCCTGGTTCTCTTTGATCCAGTTAACCAGGAGAGTGAGATCGTGATTCACGTCCAAGCTTTTCGATATTTGGTTTGCAGTAACTAGAATGTCCCAATCCAGATGGTGTTCTAGTCCTTGCGATCGGAGAAACTGAAGACCTGCATTCACAGGGGGAGGTGGTGTTGCCGGAGAATTATTTTTCCGTTTCAGTCGCGAACTCGTTTCGAGGCTGTCCCGGGCCAGTTCTTGATCGCACAAATTGTTATTCCTCACTAAATAGTCACCTATTAGTAGGTTCGTGTAAACTTGGTACCAGGAAATGAGGCCTTCCCGATTACCACTTTTTTTCAATTCTTCGAGCTCGTTGTAGTAGTTGAAACGGTACTCAATTCTTTTCAAAAGCTCGCCCTCTAAGTTAACCCTTTTGTCTAACTTTCTTTCCAGCAGTTCCACTGCTTTAATTATATCGTTGAGCTTGTTGATAGACACATGAGGGTCGTGGCCAGCCACGACGGCAGCGTTGAGATCACCAAAAAGCACTTCCAGTCGTTTGGTTTCCCGTTCCACCAGTTTCTGAACCTTTTTGACATTATTCTTTAAAAGTTCATTCGGAATGTGGAAGGACTGCTCATTGAGCTTTAGATGGAAGTCGACACTGGGCTCGTTCAAAAGCGACATATGTGTAGGAATTTACTTGCTTTCAGGATCCGATTTGAGTCCAATTGAAAACCCTGAATAGACTACCTGATGTTGTAGAGTTTGAGAGTCAATAGGGTGGGTCTCAGGGCGTTGAGAAGGTAACTGGATGGATCAACTCTTTTGACATCACATCTCAAAAGTCGCCCTTAGAAATGAGGAAATTTGGCCAATGTAAGACATCACGTGATGAATTATGGGATAGGTGTGTGAAGTTTAACGGCGTTTAGTGTAATCTATAAAATCTGACCCAATGGCTTGGCGTTTGAGCTCTTATAAGATGAAGGTTAGTGTTTCAATTATATGTTACTATTTATCCTATGCAACATCATATTTTTTGATGCTGGATATTTCCCGACTTTGTCAACTGTTAGATTCGAGTTGCAGTTCCGGAATGTTATTTGTAAAGGTGTAAAGAGAGAAGCATCTTTAAAATCGGTTTAAAGGGCCTTCAATTTGCCAATGACAGCTTCGGTAAACGCAGTGGTAGAAGCAGAACCGCCAATGTCCTTGGTAGTGGACTTGCCTTCGGCGATAACATCGTAAGTGGCCTTGGAAATACGGTCAGCGTAGGCATTTAGGCCTAGATGTCTCAATAGCAAAGCAGACGACAAAATCATGGCGGTAGGGTTGGCAACGTTCTGGCCTTCAATGTCTAGACCGACGTGTCTGGAACCAGGTTCGAAGACAGCGTATTCTCTGCCAAAGTTGGCACCTGGGACCAAACCTGGACCACCAATGACAGCAGCACCGATGTTCCCTAGAATGGAACCGTACAAGTTTGGAGTGACAAGAACATCGAATTGCTGGGGCTTGGCGGCAGCTTGCATGGAGGCGTTGTCGACAATGATATTTTTGACTTCGATTTCAGGGTATTCCTTGGATCCAACCTCGTTGATGCAGTTTCTGAACAAACCGTCACCCAACTTCATGATGTTGGCCTTGTGGACCGCGGTGACAGACTTTCTGTTGTTCTTTAGAGCAAAATCAAATGCAAAACGGCCAATACGCTCGGACTTGACCTTGGTCATGATTTTGAGCGATTCAACAACACCTGGAACGGATTCGTGTTCTAGACCCGAGTATTCACCTTCGGTGTTTTCTCTGATCACGACAAGGTCCACACCCGAATGGCGGGTCTTCACACCTGGAACACTCTTGAAAAGCGCCACGTTGGCGAAAATGTCCAATTGCTTGCGGAAAGCAACGTTGAGAGATCCGTGGCCCGTTTGGTCCACTGGGGTGTGCCAGATACCCTTCAAACCCACCTTGTTTCTCTTAAGGGATTCCACGGCCTTTTGAACACCTTCTTGGTTCTCTAGACCGGAGACTTCCACGGTTTCCCAGTCCACTGGCACATTTTCGGCTTTGAAAATCGACACTACAGAGTCTGTCACTTCTTTACCCACACCGTCTCCTGGGATCAAAGTCACAGTGTAACGACCCCCGTACTTCTTGGGCAGCAATTGCTCTGTGGCCACACTTGCCAGGTTTCTTCTAGACACGCTAAAGCAGTTTTTGAACATTATATTATTGATCCGTTTCTGCACTTGAACGTTTCAAACTTTCTTCAAATTCTACAAAAAGAGACACGTTATTAAAACAGTCTTTTCCTTCTTTCGCTGTCCTAGCAAACAAACTACCAGTAGTCTGCGTAACTCCTTTGAATGGTCGAAAATCGATGTTTTTAACTTGGAAGTTGAATCGGTTCTCGAATGTAGATGGTTATAGTTCTTTTATAGATCGGTGACAGGGTCATGGGAAGGAAATTGAAGATGTGGAAATTGGTAAAGTTCGGATCCGACTCGCCTTCGTTTAGAGTGATGAAAAAGAGCGACAGGGCTCTAAAGACAGTGACGACAGTAATGATAATCGTTGAAACTGGAACGCGGTTTGATTTCACTGTGTTTGACGTCTATTTGAGATGTGCCAGTTGATTCGTTGCCGAAATTTTGAGATTCTCCATGGCATTTTTGTGTGCAAAACGAAGGAAGGAAAAGAACGATGGGGGATTTTAGCTGTTGTAGGTGCGTAAGATAAAGCTATGAATCTAGATGATAGTATTGATGAATTGTGTATCCGATCGGTACAGAACGCCCGGTCTTTGATTGTATCACCTTGAACGTGTGTGTCATTGGACACATCTAGTATTCAAAACTTGGAACATAACCTACCTTCCATCAGCACCAGAAATAACGAGCAGCATTAAGGTCTTTTTGTGAGCCTCAATCGTTGGTACCGTGTATTGTGTATGCGGCCGTAAATAATCTGTGCCCGAAGTGTCGTCGCTCAGATCGCATCGAAGACACCGATAATCCCAGCTTCAGACAAATAAACTGCACTGAATCCATTGGGCTCGTCGTATTAAGCCTTCAAATCTTCAAACCTCATTACTACCCTCCCAGTCTTTTCCTGTCGCCTGTTCGTGCCACTGTCAAATAGTCAACTTTAACTTTGTCTCTCTACCACTATATTGAAAAAAAATCGTTGATCTCACCATTCCATCTCATCTCATCTCCGAGAACTTCCTCTATCCAAGTCCTAAAGCTCATTTCAACCAGGCCAGCAGCATGTCGTCCTCTCAAATTCTATCAACCTACAAACAGCTCATAAGATCTTTGGTGAAGTCCAGCAAACGTTCCAGGATAACCCAGATGCAAGAAAACAACAAAAAGCAGATGGCTCTCTTAACTTACAAGAAAATCGGGCTCATGAGACAACAAGCCTCAAACAATGCTGCCGTTTCCAAAAACCCTCACAGCGTTCGTGAACTCCACGAATTGACCAAAAAAATTGAGGAACTCAAATCCAGCAACCCAGGTAGTCTCAAAACTCTGCATTTTTACAATAATTCCAGCCGTCTAAGGCAAATAATTTTCCAAGATCTTTCGTCAAGCGAAACAGCTCTCAATAAGAGACTACAGCATTTACGTGACTTTGCCGGCTTCGTAAAGAACCAGTTGGAGTTCGAGCAACTTGTCGAAAGATATAATCCTGGTCTGAAAATGGACCAAGAAGAAAAAGTCAAGAGAACGGCAGCAAAAGTGGGACTGCAAGTACCAGCGTAATAAGATGAAAAATATCGCCTTTTACTGAGCGGTATAAAAGATATTCAAAAGTTTGTTCTAAAAGGTTGCGTCTTCTTGGCCATTGAGCTTCTGCAGCACCTGTGCCCGCCAGCGGCTTGAGCTCCAGAAAGCACCGTAAGACCATGTGAGATGTCTGGCACCTTGAAGATACCCAGTGTACCTGTTGAGCTGTTCGGACATTTCGCCGTCGGCGCTCACATGCTCTCTGACCTTGTCTAGAAACGAGTCTCCCAATGTAAATAATGAGACCATAGTTTGTTTGAAAGCGGGTGATCCATACGGTATCACCAGTTGCCATTCAGAAGACTCGTCCTTTGAAGTGAAATCAATTTTATCAAACACGCGACTCCAAAATTCAGATTTCCATCCGTCCATAGGAATCACCAAGTCTTTCTCCAGGGCGTAGTAACGCCATATAACCTTGTAAAAAACTTCAGCTGCAGCAGATGTTGCCAGGAACCAAGGGTTACCTTCAGAAGTTCCTACCCCGTCATAGACGTCTTCAGGATATCTCCCAAGTGCAACACCCAGATTGACATTCGCCCTCTGGTGATTGACAGGATATAATACCTCCATCTGCTTGGCAAGTCCATGCAAAGAGTTCAAAATACCACTGTCTTCAACATCGAATGGAATATTATCGATCGACGTTGGTTTCCCACGATCGTCGTGCGTCAAAATCGATCCTATCAGAACTGCGATGTCAAGACCCGATCTTTTGCCCAGGATTCCGGGTGTTTCGATGATGTGGTTTTTGTTGGCGTTGATAAATCCACCGCCCTCGATGAGGAAACTTAGTATGTCGTCGACATTACTTTGCAGAACTGCTGCAAATGAACTGGAACTATCATCAAAATCAGGCTGCACATTAACCAAGTAGTTCCATCCCAGTTTGACGGCTTTCAACTGCGCCAAAGTAGTAAAGAAATGCTGACCATTGATCTCTTCCCACAAATCGAAGCTGTCTGATTTCCAATTGAATGTCACAAATTCCAGATCCGGCTTGATAATTTTATCGTACAGGTCTCTCTCATTGGCAAACACCAAGTGCAGATCACTTTTGGTAGCGTCTTGATAAAGTTTGATGGCTTGTTCAACGGTAAGATCCAGGTCGTGCAAAACCTGTACGAAATTGAAAGTAGTGATGACTCTTAGCGGAGGGCCGTCGTTTTGTGGACGACCCCAGTTACCTGTGAAAGGGCCATTGTTTACTAGCCATTTGGGCTCTCCCAGTCCCTTATAATCAGGCGCCAGCGATCCCGATGGGTTATCTGTTCTCTGAAGCACAAATGAATTGTTCAGGTACTTGAGCACAGTTCCGACGAGAGTGAAGTTAAGAACTGGTTTCGGTTCCTGTGAGTCGTCCCAGATCTTGTTAACGACGGTGTTGACAGTTATTGCCCCGTCTCTGATCCAATGGTAAAAATAGTCAGGAGACTGCTTTGATGGCGATGCGATAACAGCACCTTCAGCCACTTGGTCCTTTTCGTGCAATTGGTTCAAGTTAACGTCTCCGATGTTAGCAAGCACCCTTTCAAAACTCACTGTGGATTGCAGTCGTAGCCATTCGTTGAAGTCGTCCCGTGCCACAGTGTGAGGGATCGAGGGCCTAAGTTGTATACGGTGCTGGTAGTACGACAAGCCTGGATTTCCGGTCGGGCTTGTTTGGGTTTGACCGTAGAAATCCACAATTGTGACGTTGCGGGTGGTGAGAGTTGTGAACGGCAGTTTGGGTCCAAAATACTGAGCTTCTGCGGTCCATCTGGTCCACTGGGAGGAATTACATGCAGACCACAGCACGAAACTCGCACAAAGTGTGAGCACTACGCTTTTAGTCCATTTCGTGCACGAATTGTGCGGCAACGATTGATAGCTCGATTCTTTTCCCATCGTTGGCTCCTTAATCGTGCACTAATCGTACTTATATCTCAAAGTGTTGTATATCTACTGATGATGCTAGAATCAAATCAGATACAAGATCAACAATGTAACCACTTAGAAGAGTAGTGTTTCTATACATATATATACACATAAATGTTGTACAATTCCGCACAGACGTCAGGGCTGCTCTTTTTTTGCCCCTCGCACATTGCTGCGTCGTTTTGACGGATACCGTCATCGCAGTAAAGAAGAGACGGACACTAGGTAGAAATTGGGTAGGTCAGGGTGGTGAACTATGACCATTTCGCCCACAGCTCAGATAAGCTAATATCTGGAACTTGGACTCAACTTTGTTGCCGGGAAACCGGTTGAGTTATTCTTCGCTCATGTCTACAATTGAAGCCATCGCCATGATTATAATGTATTAATTGATCACTGGGAAAGTTTAAAAACCAAAAGTATGGACTTGGTAAGACCTGCAAGAAAACGACGATTAAAGGCAGTCTAGGACGCAATGGTGCACTGGCCCTAGTTGTACCGTGCTCTCTCCAGCACTGTCGAGACAGAAACCAATTGCATGTCTGATAAGGAAAAAGTGATATGGCCGATGACAGTCATGATTCTGTTTCTACATCATGCACCCCAGCGTCTAACTACTGAACCTGCGTCGTTAATCCTTTGTCTATATGTACATGTCGTTTTTTATCCTTTTTTAATTATTCATTTATTACCTACTAGTCGTCTTCCTAACACTTTTTCTACTTGTTCTCTGAGACCTGCTCAACAAGACCGGTGGCCACGTCGTACAGAAGACCGTATACCTCGATTTCGGAACGGGCCAAAGCTTCCTGGACTGTGTCAATGGCCAGTAGGTTGTTGATCTGTTTCTGAACGTTGAGTTTCGAAAGCGTTCTGCTCTGCACCTTGACGTTGTTGGTTGTAGCTAGCAATCCGGCTTTGTTTTCATGGTACAGATCGTCCAGATCCTGTAGATACTGGAACAGGTGGTTGTTGGAGGTGTTTTCGAGCGCTGCTCTTTTGTGGGCCAAACAGGTGTTGATGCCGCCACAATCCGTGTGGCCGCAGATGACCACTTTGTTGACCTTGAGCACGTTGATGGCGAACTCTAGCGTGGCACGACAGGTCAGGTCATTTGCGTGGACAATATTGGCGATGCTTTTCCAGGTGAAGGCTTCACCTGGGATGACTCCCAGACAGTTTTCGTTGTAGCGGGAATCCGAGCATCCGATGAATAAGGTGTGAGGAGTTTGGCCGTTGGCGTTGAAGTCCCGGAACAGACTTGGGTGTTGCTGGGTGGTTTCGTGGCACCATTGCTGGTTGGCATCCAAGAGATCAGGAAGCTTGGAGTTGTGCGTCAGGGTAAAGATGTTGGTGGCTGCTGGAGACATCGCTGTGTGGTTATTGGTAAGAGGTGGTAGTGGGTTTTCTATAGCTTGTTGGGCTCACAGTTCTTACACAGTTCTTCCCAAAGTTCCCCCGTCCAAGCGAGATTCAGTCCCGCCTTATATAATGGCTTCGAGCAGGCCTGGCTTGCAATTCCTACATCCTATTGTTGATGTCATCGTGTGGCTAACACACTTTTTTTGTTGAACATGATGATGTTAGCGTTGAGTGTATTTTTCACACCTAATCTGAGTTACCCGTGCTTGACGTCAACTATAATCATACAGACGGTCAAGTGATCTTGTGAGGAAGACTATATGCGATATTACGTTATCATGCGTCAGATGTCATAGAAACGCCGGAAAAACCCGGAAAAACCCGGAAAAACCTTGTGCAAACCGGAGAAACTCGTGGCTATCAAGAGGGACGTCAGGGAGTCATGTGCATGAGTCAAGCATGACGGCAGGTGGAAAGGCTTGTATGAATATGATGATTTTGGGCTTTTGTCAGTGCACGTAATCGGGAAACCAGTGATGTGAAGCGAGAGAGAGAGAGAGAGAGAAGGTGTCAGATCATGTAAATGGTTGTGTCGTCAGGGTGAGAACTTTGAGGGTGTCTGGGTGTGAAAATGTGGGAGAGACTAGTCACGTATATTTCACGTGACTATACCCTCTAAAGTGCTTAATATAATAACCGTTGGCTGGTTACACATTTTACAAACCTGGTCCTTCCAACTTAACAACAACCCAAAGTTTTGACCCAATATGAAGGACACACAGGATACACATGAATTCTTGCTACAACAAGATACAGAACAAACACCGCGTTTGCCGCGAGACACCTTTTCCAGCGGTTTCCATCACGAACTGACAAAACGGAAACGGGCTTATACCGTGCTTGCTGTGATGATAGGAATAATGGGGATGTTGATAATTTTGGCATATGATGGCAATGATGAAGTTTTTATCGTCCTGCTTGTACTGCTACTTCTTTTGGGCGTCCCAGTGACCTTATACATGTTTGTTTCGAGTACACTTCTTTCGCACAACAACAAGCTCTTGATGCTGAAGCTACTTGTAGCGGAGGATCCAGGACTGGACTCTGCAAAATGGGACACCGTTGCAGCAAAGTCGAATTGGAACTTCCACAACTCGGATCCCTCTATGACGCCGTATTTCTTCTACGACGGGGATGCGTGTTTGACATATTTCAGAGAAAACATGCTGCAGCCGTACAGTAGGGCACAGGTCGCAGAAGGCAGTAATGGCACGTCACTGACCACAGAAGGCACTGAAGGCACTAATGGCACGCCAAATAGGCCACATTTGGTGCTTCCAAGCATCAAGGACGATCCGGAGCTAGGTCCGTGGACAAAGATCGCCGTAGAACGGTACCTGGCCCACCTTGAAGCTAGTATTCAAGAATTGGTCAATCCACAAGGTACAACTACAACGACAGAGAATTGAAGGCCCAAAGACGAAACCGAAAACTAATTCTTGACACGGTTGCCAAGTCTTCCTCACTCGCCCTCTCACTCGCCCCCTCATTCGCCCCCTCCGTCCTACCTCAACAAGCCAACCACCACAACCAACGTCCCAGCCCCATTGTCACACACAAACCACCGTACAATTAGCCGTTCCCAATGGACGTTTCTTCTGGCCCTAAACCGTTCACGTCATATATAGATGTGCCTACGTGTTTGTTTCGCTTGCCTTGCACTCCCAGCGACAGTTTTCCCATCAGAGTTCACCCCTCCTCATCATTATCATGATTTTCAATTTACAGACGTCCACCCACACACCCACCAACTTTCCACCCACACACCCCATGTCTTTTCCCGAGTCACTTTCTTCCACACCCCCCTGTTCTTTTTCCTGACCCGGCCCTCGAGAGCCTATCGTTTCACAAACGGCAGCAAACCCAAACCCGTTCCCCGACGAACAATGGCGCCACATACACATACTCACACTAGATTTGCAAAATCCAGCCTCTGCATTCGCCTGCGTGCGGATCCGTCTCAGCCAACCATTGTTGATCGCGAACGGGGCTGGTGCCGATAAGCGGTGTGTCTTGTAGCAACCGGCACAAAGGACCAACGCGCCTAGAAAAGCGGGGCCGGAACTCATATGCACGCTTTGCGGCTGGGCAGCCGGGTGTCACGGCAACTGCTGCCCCTCTTCTAACATACATCAAGGCCCTCTGCGTGTGTTTGACTGTAGACACATTGGCTCCTGCTGCTTACGGATGCATGAAACGTTTCCTTATCGGTGGACGCGCCCCTTGTCATACTGCAGAAGGATCCAGTATCCCGCTGTAATGCATAAAACAGGCACCGCACCTGCATGCGTGGGGAGTAAGCACAGGCGTGTGTGACAGCATGGAGAGGAATTGGAGAAGAAAGGAAGGGGGCCCAGAATGAGAAAAAAAAAAAAAAGGTTGGATCCCTTCCAGCGGGTATATAAGCACGTCGGAAAACCCGCTGAGGTACGGTCTTGATCCTGAACATCGAAACCCACCACCAACAAACAAATATCATTGCAAGGGGTTGAAGTACTCGAAACGAGGGAATTTAAAACTAAGGGGATAGCCGGGAAAAAATTCGGAAGACGTTGCAAATTAGCGCAGCATAGCACAGCAGAGCGCAGCATTGCACAACAGAGCACACAAAAATCATTTAATAAGTGTAAATTTACAACTCCAGGACCGTGAAAACTAGTAGGTTCGAAAAGTGTGACATTTTCATCTGGCTTTTCCACGAGGCTCCAAAATTTCAATCTTTTTTGCCGTCCCATACCACCAAATGTTTCCAGAACACCGTTTACAATTAGATCGGATCCATCTGACCGAAAATCCCGTAGATGATTACCAGCGCACCTGGCTCGCTACGGACGAACGACAGCCACCGCACGTGACGCGGTCTCGGTACCGCACATGTGCGGTGCAGGGGTTTCACGATGTGTTGACACCTCAACAACAAGAAATGCTGCCGATGTCGACGTCAGCTCCGTCGTCGCTAGTGCCCTCGTCGCCTCAGACGCGCTCGGGTCTCGATTGTTCCGAATATCTATTCCCAGACGTGCTATCGCAAGTGGCTTTGCCACAAACGCCGTCCACCCAGCCACCACAAGTGCAGCCGCAGCAGCATCAGCGCGGAACGGCCGGCAGCAGCAGCAGCAGCAGCGGCGGCGATTTGAACTCACTCACCAAAAATCAGCAATTCCGTCTGCGACAGATCCAATATTCAGACCAGCATGTATCGCGTGCGATCAATCCAAATAACTGCGTTTTGTGGGATCATCACACGGGATACGTCTTTTTCACGGGAATCTGGCGTCTGTACCAGGATGTGATGCACGCTCTGGTGTCGCTGGACCGACCTGATGGGCCCGATGCATCCGACGGACTTGACCGCAAAGCTCACTGTAAACTCGAACTCGACTATGTGCTATTCAAATGTTTGTACGAGCAGCCGCAGCCCGTTGACTCCGAAAACCATTTTTCTAGGCGCAAGCAATCCTCGAAGCGCGGAAGCCGTCGTACCAGTGTCCCCAACACAAGTAGCACAACAACAACAACAACAACAACAACTGCACCATCAACAGCAATGGGCGTAGCATCTGCGGCAGCAGCCGCGGCTACGGCGGCATCACCACATTACTCTGATATCCACTGGCACAATTTAGACCCGCAACTAAAACAAGACCTGTGTCGTATTTATCGCGAAAACTACCATCCCACCCGCGATTTTGAATTCCACGACCTCATGAAACGTATTCGTGGTGGCTACATCAAAATCCAGGGTACATGGTTACCTTTTGAACTTGCCAAAGCCATTTCTGTCCGGTTTTGTTTCCCAATTCGATACCTGTTGGTGCCCATTTTTGGGCCTGATTTTCCTCGCGAATGTGAAAATTGGTATCAGACATTTGTAGGTTTGTTTCCACCAAAGGCAAACAATGAGGTATCTCCCACATCCACAGCCTCTGTTGGTCCTGTCAAGCGTACACGCGATCGGCCCAAGAAATTAGACTTTTCCAATGTGCCCTCATTCAAGAAAAACCGTGTCGATGCTGAGCTACTTGACGCATCTCAAAACTTGCTGAAGCTTTCACGCAATAACATGAGCCCACAGACCACAAACTCGGCAGTACCAGTGCCCCCAGTGTCCCGAAACAGAGCTTCATCTTGGAGCCCCGGATTCAATACGACACAACAGCACATGCAGTCAAACCATTTGCAGATGTTACCTCCGATCAAACCCTTATTGGACTCGTTGGAGCGAAATTATCCTTCTCCACCAAACTCGGCTACTTTCAATACCAACAAGACCAGTCCCAGCAGCACTGAATATTTTTCCTCCCCACTTGGTAGCGAAACTCGTTATTTCAGTCCTCCTGTGTCTCCTGGTTACAGCTCGTTGACCACAGGACCTAGGTTCAATGGTTTGGGTATCATCAATGATTCGGATTTCAACTTTGTGGCTACTCCTTCTTCGTCTTTGGCAATCAGAAGACAAGCACCAAAACCGATGGCTGCTCCTCAGCGTCCTTCGATGGAAAACACCCGCACTGGACAGTCCACCCTCAGCAACATTGCCCATTTCTACAATTCCCACGGACACAAATATACCTATCCCGGTGGCATGCAGGTCATGTACCATCCACAAAATTTCCAAATCTCACAAGAACAGCAGCCACATCATTTGCACAAACCGCAACCTTCTGGTAAGGACGATTTCTCCGTTGGTGTGTAAATGCTGCTCGTCAACACCAAGAAAAAGGAAGATCTCGCATCTTGTCATTCCTGGTGAGAGTCACGTACATTTAATAGCAGCTCAAAATATACCACTCTTCAACCTATGTAATATGTCTGAAAGTTTTGTTTCCTGCGCAGCTTTGTTATGATAACTTCAAGAATCAGAGTGTAAGTAGCTCGCGGTGATGGTTAACATATTGTTAATATAGTGTCAGTCTCATCGATATTGCATAACATAACGTAAAAAGAATACAGACCTCTAAAGAAGGAACAGAACTCTTGTGAATAGCATTAGAGAATCCATTCAACTGAGGAACAATACGGTGCTAAAATTGCGGCGTTTGAGTGAATGTGAAGTCAGAGATAACATCGCAAAATTGAGCTTTGATGACAGACATCTATAATGATTAAATCCAGGTTACAATAGAGCGGGACCTCAATTTTAAGCTTTTGAATAACCCGGAGATAAAGGTGCTGATTAAAAGCCTGGTGAGATATGTTAAACTCATGAACAATGACTCTGAGTCCGTAGATGTCAATTCAAAATCATCCTTCACGTTGGTATTTTTCATTTGTTAGGCGGCTTAAATATTAATTAACATGGTGATAATAACAAGCGTGTTGGTACATCTTCAGCTTGAGACCACAGAACTTGTAGGGCAGAAAAGCTCCATTTGGGATGGACTTTCTCGATTATCAAACTTATGGACTAGAAGATACTACCACCAATGATTCTTCGCTTCCAGAGCCAGCTTCAAGGATCAAAATCCAGTCCGAACGGTCGTCCATACATCTAGAGAATGATTTCCAATTGCCAGACCTGAAAGCGACCAATCAGACCGGAGTGTCTAATTCCAGCACAAGCTTGCAAGGCCGCATGCAGAAATATGCCTCTCTTTCTCTTGAGCTGCTCACGGCGTCGGAGATTCCTCAGTATACGGGTGGAGAATCTACCCCATCTTCCAAGGGAACCTTGCCTAGAGGTGATAGTCTAAAACAGCTATTGAAAAGCAAAGAAGATACTGCCAGTGACGCAGATCTTCTTTTGTCTAAAAAACTTTCTAGAGTGTTAAGCAATTACTCCTCTGGTCCGCTGTCAAACATCCAGTTGCGGAAATCGTTTGAGATTCTAGAGGACAACAGAGAGAAACTCAAATTCAAAAGTGATACCATTGTGCGTGCTGATTATCTTGGATTTCTCGCTAGGAAGTCGTTGAGAAGTGAATTAGAGAACGAGCTGCTGCGATCCCATTTAACAATCATAGAAGAGCTCCAACCAATTGTCAGACGGGTCAAAAAGATTTCTCAACCAGTGAAATCATTACAAGAAATGGGAAGCAACGTCTTGTCAGAGCGAAGCTCTCAGAATTCAAAGAAGTTAAATTTAGACATGGAAGCCATCTTCGAGTTGCGCAAAAACATTGAGGAATTGCGTCTCAAAAAACAACTCCTAGATGTAATACGGGATAAACTCACCCTTACGCAGTTGGAAGAAGAAATTTTGGTCAACGCGCCAGTCAATGAAGAGCTTTTTAAGGTCGTGAACAAACTGATGGCAATAAAAGAAACCGCTTCTTATCTACTCTCTCTGGAAAATCCAAAGGCAGGTCAAACGCTTTTGACACAAGTCAATTCCAAAATGGAAAGAGCTAATAAACGCATTTACAACTATTTGGTGAATTTCTTCCATGATTTGCATACCACCTCCAAGACATTCGGAGAGCGTGCGTTCGCCTCAGATGACAAGAGCCTGATGACTTTCCAGAAATGCATGGTCTACTTGTCAAATGATCTCCCACTTTTCAATGAGGTGCTTAACAAAATTGTAAAGTTGAGGTCCCAACGCGTACTTAACGAATTTTTGTCCCAGTTTGATTTTGATTCTTCGAAGGGCTCAAAACCAATCATAATGTCCGCTCACGATCCTGTACGTTATCTGGGTGATGTCCTTGCCAATGTCCACTCTCTAATAGTTGACGAAGCCGACTTCATGGCCTCAATGTTCAAGTTTCAAGAATTAGACATTCAAGGTACTCCAAAGTCACTACTTCAAGAAAACGGAGAGTTTTTGGATGGATTAGGCGTGAAGCTACTTAATGAGACTTTTAAGCCATCGGAAAACTCTATAAGAATACGATTGGAACAAATTATAAGATTTGAAGACAACCCGCTGGTGAATTTTGATATTTGTGAGCTACTGAAACTATACGAAATGATGTTCATTAAATATGGAATTTTCCCGGACTCTTCATTGATAAAGCATTTAGATTCCTTGAAAGAGAGTGCAGGGAATGAAATTCTCACTGGAATTCTTAAATTAATGGACTCTGAACGGAAGGCAGAGACCGAAAACGGGCTTTTACCTCCGGAATGGCTGTCAGACTACTTGAATTCACTGTGCGAATTCTTCTCAAAGCTTGAAAAAAGCGGAAGTCTTGAGGAATCCCAATCTGTCGTAGATGCCAGCTTCATTAAGAAGACCGTGGGACAGCTAGTATATGGCAAGATATTAGAATATCATCAGGATAAATTCCCCCTGGCTAAGAGGAATCGAAAGGAAAAAATATCAATGTTGCTCTCAGAAATTAATTGCCTAGACTTGGTTTTGGCCAGAATCACGCCATACAAGAGTAGCATTTTCCAAGTGTTGGCTTCTGGTGATGTATATGGAAACATTGACGCTCAATTGGATCAGTCAGTTAAAAGTGCGATAAATTTGGAAACCACTGATCTCTTTGAGAAGATGGGCTTAGCCCTTTATTGCAATCTTTTCAACATGATCTTCCCTGTCGAGTCAGTAGAGGACGAGTTGGATTATGAAATGTACTTCCCGGCGAGGGATAATCCGATCATGAGCGTAGAGACAATTGGGACAAATGTTCATGATAAGCTCAATGAAAGTTTGCCTGATATCTCGAATGATATCCAGGACAATCTGATTTTCAACATTATTTCTCCCAAGATTGCTGATCGCATTTTGCTTGGCTGTCTTCAAAACTTATCGAAATTTTACGAGGTGTTTAGAAAATCGCTGCAACAGCTGTACCCGGATGCGCAAGAGGAAATCATTGGAATTCTAAACTTTACAGAGCAGGAATTTAACACACTTATAGGTCTGAGTTAAAAAAAAAAAAAAAGCTGGTTTCTCTGCTAGTTGCAAAGCTAACGAATTGGAGTTTTACCCCGGCCATAGCCACTTGATTCATAGTAGTCCATAGGATAAAAATCCTCACTGAACATACGATCCTGTTCTAACAAGACGTTGGCCTCATATGGTGTGAGTAGTGGTTTATTAAACGCATAACCCCAATCAATGGACAGTCTGGGACAGGCAACCTGAACGAAGACATCTATGTCATCAAACATGGCCAATTTCTGAGGAAAAATCTCGCTCAGAATGATTCGACACACATTTTTTCCAGTGGCCCTTAATTTCTGTTCCAAGTTGTTCACAGTAGCCAAGTTTCCTTGGCGACCCAAAGCACCCAAGATAAGTCCGAATGTCTTTCCCTTCTTAGCAGTGCTGAGGGCCTCGGCTCTAACCTGCACCAATTGTTTCTGATTATACTTTTCGAGGGTGAACTTACGGCTATAGGGATCGTAACGGAAGGCCGGTATGTCTGGATTGTGTATCATCGCACTTTCTAGATGGAATCTTCCATCTCCCACGTATACCATAGCGTCTATCTGGTCCTTTTCCAGTCTTTGAGAAGTGCAGCCCAAGACTTCTCCTTTTGAGAGTGGTTTTATTTGAGGAGGGATGATGTACAGAACGTTTTCACCCTGTAGAAGCTTTTCTTTGATACTATGGATGGTAGGATTGAACTGAATGGTACCAAACGTTGCTATTTTGGAGCCACTGGCAAAATTCTTCTGTAAAGTCTTGATGAGATGAGTCTCATCGATGTTGATGGTCACAAACACATACAGTACCTTAATTTGCGTGAGATCGATTGGCACCAAACAAGAGTGCGCGTAGTGAACGATGAAGTCGCAGTCCAGACTCCTGGCGGTGAAATCGTCGATGCAGCATGCCCCATAGGAAACGTCACCCATCACCACACTTTCGCAATTACAAAACTGCTCTAAAATGTCGCTCACCACCAAAGCATAGATGAGAAGACCCTCTGGCATCTGCAATGCAACTCTTTTTGCATTATGCTTTCTGATGTTCCACACAGTCTTATGTATTTCAAAATTATAGTTCGACGGTAGTAACTTGATAGCCTCGTTGAGGGCCGCGTCCTGTAGGATATCATCTGGGATTTGATTTACGGCCCGTCTCACATTTGTTCTGGCTCTTGGTTTCGTCACTATTTCGTTGCCCTGCTCCTCCGTTACCGTGCTGACGTGATCGCCGCGTTTTGTCCCAACAAACCGTTTTCTGGGCCTTTTGACTGGTTCGTTTTGTACCGTAGTCATCTTGTTCAGTTCACCACGTAATCCTGATCTTACCTCAGTTGTTTTGACTACTTCTCACCCCCAAAACTTGTTGTTTTGTCAACGAGTTTAGATTTTTCACTGTTCAACTCATCTCATCGCATCTCATCGCATCTCAATTCTTGAATATAATAAACTACAACATTGACCAGATGGAAACTCAGATATAAAAAGGCGTCAGATCGAGTCCACCGATTCTATCCTTAAGTGTCGATAGCAATGCTAACGCCCAAGTTCAGTGTCACTCAAGATGAGGAATTTTTACGTATAAGTATAGTAATAGCTACCGTTAGATTCAGCGCTTCAAGCGTTGAAATGGTCGTTGACGATAAAGTATTTATATTTCACCTGGCACCATATTATCTAAGGCTTCGTTTCACCCACGGTTTGATTGACGACGAAAGGTTCAAGGCTGAATTCAAGTCCCAGGATGAAACTATTCAGATCCAGGTTCCAAAAGAAAATAGAGGCGAGTTTTTCGAAGATTTGGACCTGCAGACAAAGCTATTAGCAAGACATGGAGATCTGGTTGGAGCGGACAATTTGGAAAACGCTTCAGAAACACCACGAAAGGGTCCGTTGATCCAGGAAGTGTCGTCTTCTCAAGACGAAACCACGGATTTGGCGGCTCAAGCAGCCTCTACAAAACACTCACACGCTGTGGAAGGTGACGAGTTCAATTGGGAAATTGAACAAACCTCTGCGCCAGTTTTCGACGCTGCCAATCTCTTGAAGCCCAAATACGGGTTTGACAACAAGTACGATACGGCCATAGGCGTTTCTGTTGCAAATGGGAATGATATCAACGAATTAGACGAACCGGACAAGTGCAAGAGCGAAGACCGGACTCAAGAAAGACTCCGCAAGGAAAATTTGAAGTTTGACCCCGAATACTACGTTTCTGAGTATATGACCGCGAAATATGGTGATAAAGAAGATGCAGAGATCAACGGGATTCAAACAATCCTAAAATCAACTCCGCCGTTGGCTAAAAAATTCCTCAAATGGTACAAACAAGCACAGGATAAAGACCAGGTCGTGCCAGTTGAGTTTTCTGAGCAAGAACAGAAACAAATGCGCGAATATCTGCCCAAGAAAAGCTACCTTGTGGACGATGTAAAGGGCCAATATTTCACCATTTTGTCGTTGCTGTTCGCTTACTGCTTCGAGCAAACTGAAAATGAAGGAGCCCATAGCACTGAGTCTGGCTGGACAATTGGGAAACTAGCGCCACAACTATCGTTTTTAGACCAGCAGATTGTTTTATCCGAAGATGTGGCGCAAGTGTCCATGATAAAGGCGATTATCGTGACGGGGATTAGAAGAAGTCTGAGCTATCCATTGCACAGAAACTTTGATCTATCATTAAAAGTTTGGAACTACGTCTATTATATTCTTCGCGGCGGAAAAAGATTGGTCATTCAGGCGCTACTAGATATTCACGAGGTTTTTCGATTCCACGATGTCTACTACGTTTACAATACGATTCTGATAAGTGACTTGTGCGCTTGGTTTATATCTGGGGGAAGAGAAAGTATAATCAGAAGCTTGGCAATCACGCTGAAAAACGAGTTGGATCAAACGAAAAAAGAGGACATTGACTTCGATTGTATTTGTGGCGTCGATGAAGAAACGGGTGAACCTCAATGGGAAAACCTAACAATCGAGGAGATGGAATATTTAGCGGAACAGGAATATCTAGAGAAACAAGAGGCTAATGCTTGAAGGCAGATTGATGGGGTATTAATGTTTGTAATTGTCCGTAGGAAATCTGCTTTTAACTGTTCAACAGGTTATTAGCAAAATTGGGACCTTTCGTAACTTGGGGTATTGGTGTCGTTTCTCGACTACTGTGTTCACTGCACGTTTGCTGATCGTCAAAATCGTTCTCGTCTTCGATATGTCCCTTCTCTTTCGGTGGCCCATAGTATTCTGGAGACTTTCCTAAATCAGGCAAACGAACTTGATTTGGCACATTCATATCTATCACGCCAAAATTAGGAGTTACACTCGCAGATTTAGTTTTCCGATGTTTTCTTATTGGGCCTGCCCGTCTCATCGCAGATGGCGGAGCTGGATCGTAACTCTGCCAAGAGCCAAAATTTATCACTGAGGTCATCGGATTGTGGGTTCTCCTTGCCAAATTTTGAGCAGGCATTTCCTGTGGAGAAAGATGAGCCGGTCTAGCAAGTGGTACCGAGAAATTCCGGCGATGAGAGCGGAATTGTAGAGGTGAGGGACCATTCATATGGTACGACGAAGGAGGAGGTGGTGGAGGGCGAGGGGGACGAGAAGCCAACGGCAGTTCGTCTTTGTCCTCTTCTTTCAGGTCCCGATGTTCAGACAGACTTGCTACAGCTGCAGCCCCGATTCTCGCCGGCGAGTTGGTTCTGCGATGCATACTAGAAGCAGAGGCGCCACGCCCGTTATAGTTGCCCGGTGGGAAACTATAATTCAGTGGTGCCGAATCTGACCTTGACGGCCTCAATGCTGTAGGTGGAATTTGGCTTCCAACCGCCTCTTGTGGTTTATTGTAATTTGTTGTCGACGATGGGTCCAATCCAGATCCCGATCCCTGGAACAGCTGTGCAATCATGGGACCCGGAATTCGAGCGTTCATAGCCGTTTTCAGTAGCTCGATCGACCTATTAACACATTCCAATTTGTAATACTGCTGTTTTGTCTTTTCCTGCTGCGTTTTGAACGCCAATGCCTGTACTAATGACGACTCCGAAAACGGCCATTCCAAGCATTCGTTGCCAAATAAGGATACCATTACATTTTTTTCGGGCTTCGACGGACCACCAGGGCTGCCCATTCCTTACTAGAGGCCTGTTGCAGTGATCTAACGCGGCTATGTAACCGTTTGGGGTTTGGTTTGTTGAGTTGAAGGTGATGCGCGTGTTAAACAGTTCGATATTTCGAGGTTGATTAATGATGGTAATCCAGTCGGTCGACTAGAGAAACGAGTGTATATTCGAGTAGATTAATGGGTCGCAAAAGTGTTTAAGGTGTCGGTGGGAAGTCATGGTCGATGTTAATCAAACTGATGGAGCTGGAGTGTGGACGTACTGGTGGTTTGCAGATTTTTGAGTGTGTTTGTCAACCCTTTGGTGTCTGCTATGCTGCCATTTTTTGGCTTATTTGGGAAACTTGGAAATCTATCGGAATCACACTCAGAAGTGGTCAAATATTGTCCCGAAACAACTTGTCACCACTGCACTTGACTAATGACGCCTCTAGATTTTTCGGTAACAAGGACTACTTCCTCTAGTACGAACATTTCCTGTTGTGTTGTTAATTTACATAGATATCTTTACACTGCAAAATCCAGAGTTCCTCAAAGAATTCTCCATAAAAAGCACCATCTACATTAAACGGTCTCTTCTTCAAATACTGTCTCGATTGGTTTCTCCACAAACGATGCATGGCCCAAGACGGACACCGCAGATGCACCGATCAGCCACATCAAGGTGGTAAAGGGCGACGCGAAAAATCCCAATGGCACAGCGACGCACATCAACCCGGTGTACAGCTGAGAGCTTTTGAAAGCACCAAACGGCGTAACCAGGTCTTGGCCCTCCAGTTTGTTGATTCCGTAAAGACCGAAAAACACAAACACAAGCACAAACAACAACAACAGGTTTGTGAGCAATGTGTAGACACTGAGCAGCCCCACAATCAATGCGTAGTTGGTCGAGAAGTGTCTTAGGTTGTAAGATACGCGTGATTGCAAATCACCGAAATTCTGGGGTTTCGAGACCTTTTTCACGTTGAAAAACTCCTGGACAGGACGCAGAGTCGATAATTTGCTCTGCATACCTTGCAATTCAGCCTTGATACGCTCCACGGACAGATTATCCGCATATCTTGAAAAGTTCTGCGAAGAATGGAGCAAATTCATTGTTAGTTTGATGCATATTGAAAGTAAACAAAGCTGATGCTTACTCGTCAAACATCGCTGGGGCGAGAAAACAACATACAGAAAGTTGAGAGAGCTGGTTCATTATGTCTATACGCAATTCTTCTTAATGAATACCACGGTCTATTAGTTTCCTGAGATGTGTCCTGAGTGTGTGTGTAGTATGTAATGTTCCAAGTATAGATCAGATACACTGTTATTTTTCACATCCCATTATGGACCGTGAAATATAAACCGATTGTGAATTTTAATCTTGCCCCGGAAGAGAATCGAATGGCCACCCAATAGGGTATTGTAACAACGTACAGAAGACGTTATAGACCCAGGTCCTGCTTCACCAGGGCCTTACAGATTGGATGGTACATATCCTTCAGTTCTTCAAAAGTTGTGACGGCCAGATCACGATCCACACTGTTGAGCAACCGGTAGCCTGGACGCACAAATTTCATACGACCAACGGTTCCCAGCCATTCTGCCAGCTTGCCGTAGGACTCGGTCAACCTAGCGGAAATCTCAAAGCGGAACGTGCGGAAAACAACCTCCGCATTTCGTGAGTTGACAGTTCGGTCAACGTAGATGGCCAATAGGGCATGTGCAGCGGTTGGATTCTCAGACCACCTGAAGGCTGATTTTTGATGTGCTTTCGTTGCAGGGACACCTTGAACCAGGGAGTCAAGCAACAGTACTATCTGGTTGGAATTGAAGTCTTTGACGTCGTCTGCTGCAAATGAACTTTCAAAATCTTTCTTGTTGCGACTCGTCTGGGCTTTGAGAATCCATTTCTCCGCCAAAGCGTATACGTCATCGGCCAAAGTGGTGATAAGTTCTGGTTTGGGCGGTAGACCCGGGGTGAAAAACCATTTCTCCCAGTCGACACCCTCCAAAAGATCTCTCTTGTCAGCGTAAAATTCGAATAAGGTGTCGAAGAATTGCCAGGTATCCAAGGACTGGCGTTGAAACTTTTTAAAGTAATGTTTGATGAATGGGTCAAATGCTTGTTTCCCACCCAATAGCGTCTCTAGATATAGCAGAAACGTGGAACCCTTCTCGTAGGGCACGGTAGAGAAGGCTTCGTCCGGGTCCGTACCATCCTGCAGATTTTGCACAAGCTTAGAGAAGCGGTCTGGGTTCTTCATGCTGTCGATCGAATTACCAAGATCGTTCCAGCCGATCAACGCACTAAAATGTCTGGCAGCCTCACCATGTAGAGCCCCCATTATTCTCCTTTCCAAATATACCGTCCAGCCTTCATTAAGCCAAAAATGGTCCCACGAACAATTAGTGACCAAGTTACCAGACCACGAGTGTGCAAGCTCGTGTGCAATCACATCCACGTTGCTCTTATCGTGGGCAATCAACGTAGGAGTTGCGAAAGTCATGTTGGGAGATTCCATGCCACCGTAAGGGTACGAATTTGGATTTATGAGGATATCGTAAGTCCCCCATTCATAGGGAAAAATGATCTTTTCTGCTGTTTGTATGAATTTTTCCACATCTCCGTCAAACTCCCATTGTGCGTCTTGAAGTCTGAACGGTTCGGTGTAAACTTTGGAACGGGGCCCCACGTCGGCCGCTTGTAAGTCTCCGGAGGCAATTCCAATCAAATAAGTTGGGATTGGGACATCTTGTTCGAAATGATACGTTTTCAATTCCGAAGACGTCTCAGTCTCTTCCTGGGATTTCAGGATGCCTGAGAAAACCGTTGGCAAGGGAGAAGTGACGTTCGCCGAGAAGGTAGATTTCACTGACGGTGAGTCAAAACAGGGAAACAACGAGCGTGCATGAATTGCTTCTAGTTGTGAAAACACGTATGGTTTACCAGATGTCTGATGGCCTTGAAGCCACTGGAGAGCGGTACACTTCTGAGTGGTTTCGAAGCTGCAAGAAAGCTTGAACGTGCTGGGTAGTGTGCCATCTGGCGAATGAACCACCAAACGTGATCCTAAGGGTTCCCTTCTGGGCTCCACTTTGAAATCCACCTTACTTCCGTCTATACTCACATCAGAAACCTCCAGAAATGAAGTGTCAAGCAAAATTTGGGATGCATTGGCCACATTGTGCAAGTTATAGTGCACCACGCCACTGATGGTTTGTTTTTCAAATGAGATTTCTAGGTTCAAATTCGAGTGTTGCACCTGGAAGGCCTTGTAATTCGATAGGGTAGAGTAGTCAGTTTCAGGGCTTTGCTGAGGTCTCCGTTTCTCTAAAACGGCGGGCAAAGTGGCCGACAAAGAAGATGACATTCTTAAACCTTTTATTAAAGATAACGGCGTGCAACAATCGTTGAACGCTCTCAATCTCTTGAACATCGGCCGTTGGCTTCGATTGTATGTTCTATTACAGTTACAAGATATTTAGTCGTTTCTTCTTGGCACACTACGTATACAGTGACCATATTTTCTATATATAAAAAGTCCAGCGGTAAGTCAACTTTAACAAGCTAACGTCCTTGTTTGAAGGTAACGAGAAGCTGTAGTTAGAGTATAAGTGATGGATAAAGTGCCTTGTGTGTTGTAGACTTTTGTGTTGCTCTTGTTTTCTTAAGTTCAAGTGCAGGGCCTTGGGTTTATTGTAAATGGCGCTGTTTGCAGTTTGTTTAGACCACCGATGCTATTCGCTATGTTCAAGAGCTAGCGTGATTTCCACAAGCCATACGAATCCTGCGTTTCTGTTCGCTTGCTCATTTCTTATAGTCGCTGGTTCCTGTAGAATCCAGGTTTGAGTCCTATGCATAAAACATGTCCTGGTCTCTACGTGACGGGAGTCACAGTGTTTCTGGCAACAGAAATAGTGCGCTTCAAATCTCAGAATAATGTAAGACTGCCTTCCCAGAGTTTATATGCAACTCGCTGCACAATTCTGACGACAGAATTGCGCTGTCCCGTAGCCAGAATCGTCCACATATCCCATTTGACACAGTGGCGTGCAGTCAATCCTATCTCTTTAACGATGAGCAGCATTACTGCCAGGCCAAAACATATCACAATTGCAACAGCGACCGATATGTCTACGTTATACAATGCACGTAGCTTTTTTTGATTGATTGGAGCCTGCTTTGCATACCGTTTCCCCCAGGGACGCCAAAGAAAAGATTTCTCTTGTACCGGCTGCTTCTTGACAGCTTTTCCCTGATTGCTTGGGTTTCTCTTGAAGACGGCTTTTAGACCACTCAAACTGGTTCGTTTTCGTGATTTTTGCAATGAAGTAGTGCTCATCTTGAGTTTATTGACCAATTGTCGCGGGAAATTTTTCACTCGGGCCGGGCGTCACGTCTATCAACGTCCGGTAGATGTTACAACCAACCAGACTTGACTGTTGTACACTACTGCCACGTAATCGTTCTGCTGGGCTCCGGGAGCCAACACTGACTGATCTTACTTTGTTTACTTTTTGATGAAAGAAATCCCTATATATTGGATATACATCGAAGCTCAAAACAATGGAGTATCTGAACAAGAACTAGGTTTTGATACAAAAACCAGCGGCCAGCTGACAAACTGTTGCGGTTAGAACATGGAACATCGCTTTTATTTTAGAAACGCTATTCGTCATAGAGACACGCACACTAAGTAGTGTGCAGATGAAGTGCACGCTATGCACAATGGCACTAGAACATGGACATTCCACATCTTAAACCTGAAAGTACACCAATTATGAAACGTACGAATAATAAATCGTTGTCGTCGAACTTGTATCGAAAGCAAGCACGGTTCCCGAACCTATGTCTTACCTTCCTGTAGTCTCTTATTATGCCTAAATGGTTTAATTTAATTTTTAGAACATCGGACATCTACCCACTCCTCTACCCATTCCTCTACCCTCCATTTCCACAACTGTCATCCCCGTATAAAAATACCTCATTTATTTCATCATTATAATAATGTTAGTTCAATCATCGCTAGAAGAGCACTCCTTCCAAAACAGCTTCGAAAAACAGTCTTCATATGAGATCAATGTCCATGAACTCGACGATTGCTGACCGTCGGTCATTCATTCAGCCGGGTCAGTCAAGCTCTGGAGAAAATCCCCCACAAAAAGGTCCAGAAGTGGGCTTGAAAAGCTTAACTTCGAATGACCCAAGTATTTATGAAAGAAGCCCGGAAAACAGAAAAGTCAACGGGAATCAGACCCCATATCCTGTGGATAACGCATCTTCAGTCGAAAAAGTACACGAAACGCCTCGAGCGGCCCACACAAATGCGGATATCTTGGAAAACTTGTTCCAACAGCAGAAAAGCCATGCACCTTCTCTTGCAAGCACCACGAGCGCAGGAGTGAGCAATTCGCGAATTTCGCAACAGTGGGTTCACAATTCCGTTAAACAGCAAGATCCCCGCTCGCCACTCGTGGTGCTAATCCCCACATCGGCCAACCCCACGGAAGTGCTCGCTCAAAGGTTCACAGCATGGAGATCCGTAATCCGCTCCATCTTAGTGTATATGACTGAAACAGTCTCCATTCAAGACGAAGTGGTTAGACAGCAATTGCGACTATCTCATGCAGTGAATTTTCCGTTTTTTTCCACGGAAAACCACTTGCAACTTAACACTCCCGAAGAGAAGGCCATTCAAAGATTTTTCCTGCCGTTTGGCAACGGTTCCGTTCAGGACCTGCCAAATATTTTGTCACAGTACCACTCTCAAATGGCAAATGCGGCTTTGAAGTCATCTAAAGAACTGGCAAATGAAGTTATTCCCAGGCTAGAAGATTTGAGGGGCGACCTGCTCATAAAAATTAAGGAAATTAGAGGCTTGAGCTCGGACTTCAAGAATGGTTGCAGCAAAGAACTGCAACAAACAAAGAATGACCTTAAGCAATTTCAAGAAGCTGTAGATGCAGCCAGATACGGGTCTCCAAAACACGACCCTCATCTGCTCAAAATCGCACTTGATAGACAAATCAGGAAACAGCTGAATGAGGAAAACCTTCTTCATGAAGCGTTTGAAAACCTTCAAGGGTCTGGAAGAGAACTCGAAAAAGTTGTGGTCATGGAGATTCAAAATGCACTTACTGTTTACGCGCGTCTTATGGGACAGAGTGCTCAACTTGCCTTTGATGTTTTGATATCGAAACTCGACACAGGTTTCTTCAATAAGGAAGCGGATTTTGAATGGGACAATTTCGTCTCCAAAGATCCCAATTTCATACAGCCCAACCTTCCTATAAGGCATATGAGGGATATTGTTTACAAACATCAGGAGGATCCTTTAACCTATGAAATTAAATCCGGATTTCTAGAGAGACGCTCCAAATTCTTGAAATCGTACTCCAAAGGGTTTTATGTGCTAACGCCAAGCTACCTGCACGAATTCAAAACCCCAGATAGGAAGAGAGATACTATACCGGTCATGTCACTCCCGTTGAATGACTGTACTGTTGCTGAGCATTCTAAAAAGGGCTCCTCTGGTTATAAGTTTATTTTACATGCCAAGCAAAATGGCATCATTCATCGAGGCCATAACTGCGTATTCAGAGCAGAATCCTACGAGTCAATGATGGCATGGTTTGAAGACCTCAAAAAGCTGACCTCGACTTCTAATCCAGCAGAAAAAGCTAAATTTGTCACCTCCAAATTGGAATTGAACTCTGATCACAAAGTCTCGAGAAAAGCTTCATCAATGAAACCTAATGGCAGAGCTTTGTCACGTCAACATTTATCCACACCACAGCAGCAGCAGGGGCAGGGCACTTTCCCAACACCCAACTTGGACAACCAAACAAATACTAATACCTCTGTTTCCATTCCCGAGACCGAGTATAATTTACATGAAGTTAACATTGCTCAGCCAAGGATGTCACAGGGCAGCAGAAATCATACTTTTGATGGAGATATCTATATTGAAAATGAACACGACCGTGCTACACGTCCCACAGATGCCAAACATTACTAAGTTCTTTTTGAGAACGCCAATACAACCGAATATATGGTTTGTTGTAATATTTAAATCTTCACAGGCGGCAAGAATAGGTTGAATCCTTTTACTTGTCTTTCGAACCATATGTTATTGTACTAATACCAATTTCGTCACTTTAATCATGATATGTATCATTCTCTATTTAGCTTCTATTGATGCGCTAGTTCGATCTCTGGAAGATCTTCAAGCACTCTGTTCCATTTTTCAGAAAACGTTGTATCCGAAAATTTACTGAGAACGCATTTCTTGGTTCTCTGTGATATGGCAAGCTTTTCTTCGTCACTCATTTCGGAAACCTGTAAAAATATATCCCTGAGCGTCTTGTAGTTCTTTGAAGTATATTTTGCAAAATCCGGATCCGAGGGATCTTTGAAGAAGAAGCCTGTCCTAGTTGAATCATTACACTCGGACACCTGTCCATTCAACTTAGTATCCCACGGCACTACAATATCCAAAAGGGGACCAGCGGAAGCGTGAACGAGAGGAATCAAGCCCGACGCCGCATATTCGACGACAGAGATACCAAAATGTTCGTTCCACATTGCATTAATTCCATAAGTAGAATTGCGCAAGTAATCTTTCATAATAGTGTATTCGCAATCGGTTTTGAATTCCACCAGCTCCTTGGGTAAAGTATATTCATCAAAGCACAGTTTCTTCAGTTTTTCAACGTATTGGCGATCTTCCTCGGTCCTAGTTGATCCAATGAAAACTAGTTTCGGAAGTTTCACATTCTTTTCGAGCTTTTGCTTCTCTAGAGCTGAGGCATACGAAGTGACGATCAGACTGTGTCGCTTTTCAGGTCTAAATTGAGCGATGATAACAGCTTGGTTTTCTCTTTCCCAACCGCTGCTTTCTTCTTTAAAAATAAGGTTTTCCGTTGAACATGGTGGATAAATAATCCTGCTGTCGCAAATAGGCCAGATTTTTTTGATATGGTTTTGAGTCCAAGTAGAATTTGTGCTTGCAATGTCCACATAGCTTCCGGTGCCACTGTATAAAATCATGAAAATCCTCCAATACAAAAACTTGAGTCTCAATCCAATGTTGCTTTTGAAGTTGGGCATTTGGGATAGTTTGTCTAGCATGTCTGATGATATTATTGGATAATGTGTGTATGTTATTACAGGAATCCTTGCAACCCATTTCGCAATTGGATAAGTAAATGGATAACCCATTGTATCACACCATACATCTGGGGAAAGTTTGTACAAGGCTTCAATAGCCAAGACTATCGATCCCATTGCCTGTCCTAGAAGTGTAAGTCTTGGCCATGTCTTGGGATCAACGTAGCGTCTCATTCTAAGGAACACAAATACAACCCTGGAACTTTCGAGCTCATAGCCAAACCTTTTGCTGACTTTTGAAAGTATTTCTTCGCCCGAGGTTTCGAAATCGCCCGTGTAGATTACTGTCACACAATTAGAGTCTTTTTGCAATGTTGTCTCAACAGCTTTCCACAAGACTTTTTCACCTCCACCACCAGCGTCACAGTAAGGGTGGAAAAATCCATAGATGACTCTGTTATACGTTCTTTTCGCAGGAATCATGCGATTTATGAAAGTTTCGCGATTTTGACGATCTTCAGGGCCAACGGCTATCTTAGAACCATAAACTCTGTTAGAGTAGTCAGACGGTTTGAATGAAGCCAAAATCATTTGTCTTCTCACGCTGCCTGTTTTCCAACCAAAATCAAGCACTGGGATCTTCTTGGTAGCCTTTTCAGCAGCTAGAATAGCGCGGTTGACTCTTTTTCGCCATTTCACCGGAGGTGTTCGAACAAAATGTGGTAAAAACCCACTTAATACCTTCAACGAAAAAAGGGCACCTGCTATTATCAGTAACAGCGTACTCAGTATCTTAGAGGATGGCATATTGGCCCTCAGTTAATGGTTTCAACGGTTTTTTTTTACCAAGTCGATGGAATTTATTCAATAGTCTCGAGTTTCTAAATTAATATCAGCTAGCAGGGCCTATCGGTTGACCGAAACCTGAGATAGTATACAAGAGCCTCGTCTATCCTAACGCTAATACGAGTGAAGCTGTAGCCAAGAGCCTCTTACTTTAATTGTATATCATTGACCAAATATAACGCCGGCGAGTATCTTCAATCAATCGTCTCGATAATATTAAAAACGCCCATATATATAAAATTACCAATCACCGCTGTAACAACAACAATGCACCTATTTTCCCTTTACTCTGAACTTATCTGTCCTTAAGCTCTTGTACTAGTTCAATGAGTGGTCCGTAATCTTGTTTCTTCAGCAGCTGATACTCCTGCGTAAAAAGACAGAAATGCCTGAAACTTGTGTTGAGGACAGTTTGTAGGTTTAGCTCAAGCATCTCGTTAAAATGATGACAATAGACATGGGCATAGATGCGGAAAAGCCTTTTCAGAATAGGTCTGGCGTTGCTATCGATGAAGGCGGAGGAGAATGGTATGCTGGGCTTAGAAGGAAAGACTGTTTCGTCGTCAAACTGTTCTTGACACCATTTCATCAGATATTCGACGTACTTGGGGGCAGAAACGGAAAGTGGGGGGGACCCGGGTTTGACGTACCACAGATATTCGTATTCGCTTGTGGCAATCATGCGGGGGCACGATTCTGGGGAGCAAAACTCGGTGATTGCACCATATAGCATATTAATTTGGTTGTAGAAATCGACGCAATGAACAGCAACCCATTCATTTACATTTTCACCCTTGGGCAGTTTGACGGCCTGATTGAGGACGCCCTGTGACCCTAACGTGGTTTCCACTATTTCTTTCAAATCTTTATGTGACGACACAGTAGTCCCTTGTGATGCACTCAAATACTGTTTTTGATGAGAAGGTGTATAGTTAAAGTCTGTTATGTTACCGTTCTGCACTTTTTTTTGCGGTGTTGAATAGAGCGGGTTTCCATTCTCGCCCAGATTTGGGCTGGATTGATCGAACTCATGGTTGGGAGTTTTCGCGGTATTCCATTTGAATCCTCTTGTGGATCTGATAGTTTGACCGGGACTTAAATGGCTATGGCGAGCAAATATTGTTAGTAACATAGTCTGAAATGAGGCAAGGGTGGCTATAGCGTCCCAGGAGGAAGGAAGGAAGTGAATACCTTCGCTTTCGCGCTCCATGGCATTAAAGTTGCGCGTCTCTCTCGATATTAAGAGATCCGTTAAGTACGTACAAGTTTTGTAGGAAAGACATCTAATGTTAAGGTCTATGAAGCGTTCGTACCAGTGAGCAATTGAGTTGGAGAAAATCGTCTAGCAGCTGGGAAAAATGGTTTTGATCCGCCCGTCAATGAGATTACTTGCGATCTGGATTGATTCAGATGTGGGATGCTTGAATATGTTTAGGTTTTACTAGTTTAAGCCAATTTCTCGTGTAGTACGATGAAGATAGACAGTCATTACTGAGAAGAATGGGCTCAGTACGGTAGACGAAGAGAAAGGAAGAAGAATGAAACAACCGGAATTGTGTTAGAAAGTTCAACGAGCCCCAGAAATGCTTTGAGTCTGGTTCGTGAGATCTTACAAAATTCTTGATCCACTCTCGTCATCAATGTATATCACTTTCTACGATTGTGACGATTTCAGATGCTCGACATCGGACGTATTCAAAGATGGCAAGAGACACTTCGTTATTGTATTCCCCGCACGTATTAACATTCGACATGAGCTCTTACGTTCCTTCTATCATAGTTTTTTTCGTAATGCAGGGTCCTATTTACTACGCTTTTGTCTTGGAAAACCCAATACTTTGCAACTGAAGAATTAAGGTGTTCCTCAAGTAGCTTAATCTTGGGCCCTATACGCTATTCTATTTCCAGAAGCTTTTAATTTCGTCCGAATGAGTTCTCCGCTGTTTACCTTACGCTCGTAATTGTGAGCATTGCAATAGCATGAAGCATATTACTGACAATTTAGAAGATTCTAAGAATTTTGAAACCGACGTCTCGATGACATGTAGTCATCGTGTTCACTATGACACAGTGATCAATCATTTGCCCCAACTTTCCATTGTGTCAGAGTTTCAAGATCGTCAGGTAGTGATAACAAACAGAATCGACACACTCTCAAAGATATCGCACCATTCAAAAATTGTCGAATAAATCTTTGCGGGCGAACAAACCTTTCCCGAGCCCAAAATCTACCTTACCTTCAGTTCAAGTTTGACCCGAGGTCTGTAACTCCGCAATCTTATGTAATGAACTGACAACGAGCGGAGTGTTAGTTTTCTCAAGCGCTGTGTTTTGTCTCTTAACGATTCTAATTGTAAACATTAGCCCTCGAAGAAAGTGCCACCTCTACTCGCTTTATACCGAGCCCGTAACTTCATCAGTACTCACACAAGTCGCTTTCCTTGATCATTGTCCTTCAAGCACATAATTTTCTACTGGGATACAATTCAGCTCATCGACGAATGAAGCATCAAACAGAAAATCAACAGTAGATGGAACACCAGTCTAGTTTCGTTCTCCTGCTATGACTAGTGGCTATGAGCAGACTCTTAATCTGTTGAACAAGGAAATCAAGAAAGAAAACAAGGCCACTAGAAATCGAATTCAAAGCATCTTACTTGACAACAGGTTTCTTAGCGAACATGTATTGACAGTGTTCCCAGACTTCCCGGTAATTCCCAATGAAAGGTGCGGTTTATGGTATTGCAAACCCGGTTCTTTCAATCAAACAAGTTACTTCAAGTCTACTGATGGGCATACAAATCAATGGGATTTTAGCTTACGACGTTTAAATCTACATTTGCTGCCAACATTGGCGAAGAATGGCGGAATTGTTGTTGTTGATAGTACTAGACGAGGCAAAAAGCTGCCCGATGCTCTCAGCAAAACAGTACCTATTTGGTGTGCGGTTCTCAACTCTTTGATGTTAGAGCATCTTGGAAGAGAAGACGAGGAAGTGCTATTTTGTCCTCCTGGCACTGTATCTAAACAAGAATACACGCAGATCAAGGCCAAAATCCCAAGTCTGGTAACGAAATTTAAAGCGATCAACGCCATTTCGGGTGCAGAGCTTGCCAGGCTCTTTCGTGGTAAGATTCTTCGACCGCTATGGGTGTATCCCGGCTCATCGCTATTAAACGCCCAACATGATCTTTTCACCGGGGAAATCGTAAACGTGAAATGGGAAAGTCCCGAAACAGAAACAATCATCCCCATTGTGCTCTGTGCAGTCAGCTACCAATGCCAGGATGGCGTCGACAACAGACACGGCTTTACGTATGTCCAAGGTGCAGCCGACGATCACGAATTGTGGTCAGAAGGCCTGACTGCCGATCTTCTTTGGGAAAATGTGTCTACGCTAGGGGACTTAACGCTTAGCGATCAGAGAATTCGAGACTTCATCACTGCTCAGACTGAACTGAAAAGGAACAACACCAGTGCGAGCAACGCACTCGACGATCTGATTAGCACCGATATTTTGACGCCGGAACTGCACATAGGAAAGATTGTGGAGCCATTAAGACTGAAAAAAGACCTTCAGGATCAATTACTCGCCACTTATTCCTTTGTCGTGATTCTAAGCGAACACGCAGAAGTCGTAAGGGACGCAACTGCAACACCCTCTGATCCTAGCTACAATCCTGCCATCACCATTGTTAAGCTTTCTAGTGGCTCCAAGAAGAGCTCCAAAAGTTTACGGACAACATTGACCGATATCTGTCCTCTGGCGGAGTCTCATCTCAACGACGCTCTTCCTATTTTAATTTGCTGTGGTGACGGTAAAGACATGTCAGTCAGTGTGTTACTCAGTCTACTATGTCGAAATTATAATCTCGAAACTTGGAAGCTCGAACAGCAGCCCCATGCCATAGACAAGACAATAATCAAAAGGCATTTATTCAAGATGATAAGCACACTGAACGGGAGAAACATAAACCCACCGCGAGCCTCTTTGAATAGTGTTAATGCGTATTTAATGTGACAAATAAGAACTTTTTAAGTACGACAGCATAGACCAATTTCGCCGGCAAGTTCACAAAACTTTCGTGAGCCAGATACATTCAAAACCGTTCAATTAGCGACGTTAACTGGAGGGGCATCGAGGGCGAATTGTGCACATTAGAATAGCGGGCGCACCTTTGTCAACATTAGGTCTTTCTTCGACGTGTTTGGTGACTACTATATAGCGTTAAAATTTATATAGAGATCTTATGATCAAGCGCTTACTGAGAACTGGTGCAACGAATAACCCGTGGGTAAGCTGAGAATGCTTTCCAGAAGACGCCTGTCTATACCATTCGTAATACGAAGCTGGAGCAGCTCATTTCCTCCTGTTTCTAGCCACATTCATGAGGATTTGAAACCCATTAACGGGCAAGCAATTGGTGCTCCATCAACTAGCGATGTATCAGGTAAAACGAACAGTTTGCAAGGCTTATTACTGAAACGAGCCACGAATGAAACATTTAAAGTGCAGCCAAATCCTTACAATAAGCACATCGATCCTAAAACCCCCGCAAGCCGATTTTCGGCTCCTATTCAAGCACAAGAATATGTGAAAGTTTTGATGGAATTAACATTGCAATCGAGACTGGACCCTGATTTCAACAAAATAATATTCACAGCAAATGTGTTGACGCCAACGGAACTTTCAACCCTCGTTCAAGGTCTGTTGATTTCAAGCCGTCTCGTTGAAAAACTGATACACGTTGCTCCAGGGACCCGCGGAACTGAAGTCATTTTCAACCTCTACCTCATTTACATTCAAACGGTGGGCGATAGACGCTTAACACCGCTTCAATTGAACGATTTGAACCGGTTTGTGACTTTTTTCATCGAAACATCGCAACTGCGAAAAGCTCAGACCGTTCTCGATTTCATTTTGGCTTCTTACGACAATCAAATTCCTTCGGACGTTACCACAACCATTCATTACTTACAACTACGTTGCGGTGCTTTACCTGAAAATTGGCCCGCGCAGCCAAAAGCTGGTATGATGCATAATTATTCTTCGCGCTCAAAGTACAAGGCATTTGACAGGAAATTCGTCCCTGCGCTCATTGGGCTACTCAACAGTCCAACGGGTGAATGGTCATTGAGAATTAATGATTCTTTGGAAGCAGCTATTGTATATTCATTGGGATTTATGGGACAACTGCCTGTGCTTGAGAAGTACATTAATCAGCGGTGGGGTATTTCATTAAACAGCCCAAGGGAACCCAAAATAGTTGAAACCCTTTCCACACCATCTTCTGAGATCCTTGTTTCAATCTTGACAAGTTTTGGTCGAAACGGTCGAATTGTTCCAGCTCTTGAACTAATGGATCTGTTCATTGAAAAATATCCAGAGTTGAACCTCGACACACCATTCTGGGAGCGCTTGTTTCATCTATGTACAAGTATGTGGGATGCTAAAATAGATCCTATGGGTCAGTTATCAAATGGATCGTGGGAAGTCATGAAAGAATGGCATTACAAGCGCGGAACAAAAGTACGAGCAGATTATACAGTACTCAAGGACAGGCTTACAGTCCTACGAGCTACAAATAATTACAGAGGAGCCGCGGACGTCATTACGCAATGCTTTTCACAGCTCCACCAAGAGGATTTGCAGTCTACCGAGATGATGGCAATTGTACAAAAGTATTTTAAGCTGGTACTGAAAAACCAAGCGGCATCTGGATGCTACCATCAGTCGCTGCGACTTATAAAAAATGCATCACCAAGCCAGGAACTGGCAAAAAGTTTCAGGGAGTATTTCAATTTGCACAGGCAGAAATACGTTCAGAGGACGCAAAAGCGCAGCGAGGCTGCTCAACAAAAAAGTAAAGCATTCGATGAGGACGAGGAGGAAGATATGCTTCTCGGGAGGCTGTGGTAAATAAAAAATATATTCTTTTTTTTTTGGAGTTCATTCACCAGAAAATGCTCATGACGATTTTCGCGGTTAGAATTGTTGTAATTCGTTAGCGTAGACATAGTTGCTGAACATCCACCATCCATATCTAAACCACACCATCTGTGACACATGTGCGTTGAGCATTGTTGCGAAGGACAATAGGTAAGTTTTAAAGTCGCTCACAAAAACTATCTCTTGAGATGATTTGTGCCCATACAAGAGGGCTGGAACGAATGCAGTATATTTCTGTAAAAACCATTGTTTGCTCAGCAACCGAAAATAAAGACCTTTTGAATAATGTCCTCGTAGTTGCTTGACTGTGTAGTAGCAGGAGATATGGTTAACATGATTGGAGATCCCGCGGTCATCAAAGGTGATGAAAGCGGGAATCGTATCCGTCACTAAAGATTTGAGACTGTTTGCGGTGGCTGTAAGGTCCCATTTCTCTTGCATTCCGTCTGCAAAATCTAAAACCTTGACTAAAGGATGTTTTCGACGCATCAACAGTTCTATAGATTCTTGTAATTCATGGGCCCTGATCCCGCCAAGGCCGTCTGCACCGCCATTCGTCATCGAAAATACGCGAACAGGCACACCACTGTCCAACAGGGCATCCAATTGCATAAGCGTAGGTGCAAAGAACATCACTTCATCATCCGGATGCGCTATGACTAAGTTGACGGAAGTCGGTATCGTCCCATTGAACATTTGTACATAAGCGGCCGTATTGGACTTCTGAATGAGCCCTGAACTACCTAGATACGCTATAAACAGCAAGAATACCAATTTGAGAGCATTAGAAAGTCTTGACATGACGTAAAGACTGGAGATCACCAATTGCCTGATTGCACGGTACTGGGAGCAGTACAGAGACTTAAGCGCATATCACGTAGGTATATATTGATTGAGTGGGATAGTTTCGTCGAAACTGATTTAAAAAGGTTAGCGACAGTCCCGCGCGAATTCGACAGGCTCATTATGAGATATTCAAAAGCCTATACAGTACCTATCTGGTTGTTCTTTACTTTGTAGTACTAGTATAAGTTCATGTTTGCAAAATCGAGGGAAAGAAATTAAATTTGACTACAAGAATTCGCTTCCAAATAGTTGACACCTAGATGTCGCACCCCGCTCTGCTATCACCCAGCAGTATTATTGCACTGCCTTCTCATCGAGACACCCATCAGCATCAGGAAGGAATTCATACGCCAAGCACTGACGAAAGGTTGGCTTCATATCATTTTATACTAATCTGTCGCGACACATTCATTGACAGTGACACTGTCGTCGTCCGGGTAGGGCATTAAGTGAAATGAACATCCCACGAGCCACATTCGACAAGAGCTGAATATGGAATAGAATCGGGGAGCTAGTTTACGTCATTTTTCGTATGTCGCTGCAACGAAGAATACAATTTCAATGCTTTTCTTTCGAACGTTTTACGATAGTTATTTCCTTCCGTTCAAAGATCTAAAGAGCAGTACAAACCACCAATCTGACTGAACAGCCTAACTAAACACCCTTATCACCTCACTGATTACCTTGTGACAGTGGAATAGTTTGGTTTCTGGTTTTATTAAATCATAAGTAGTATCATAATTCCAAGGTTTTTTCTTCTGCTGTCATTCACATTGAAAACCCCAAAGTTCAGATCTTCAACGCCTGACTAAGTGTATAGCATTTCCAAGCTCATAAACCTAGCCTCTCAATAGATTGAGTTCAAGAATCACCGCTCTTATCAATCTCTAAAGAAGTGGGATCTGGACCGTTTTTTGAGCTTTTATCTACCTATAGATCGCCAAAATTCGAAGTATCAATTCCGTCGTTTACACGAAGTCTCATGGCCTGTATTGTATCTAAAAGACCCCTGTCGTTCTTTTCCTTTGAAGCTGTTTAAACCACTGAAAAATCGTTGAATAATTAATATATGTACCTGACGAAATTCATCTTCACCATTTATTATAGACAAGCTTTCAATAAACTATAGACGCTTTGACCATCACAGGCCTTGCCAAGTTCTCGTCTAAGTGTGTTGACCTTTCTCTATAGCGATATATATCCAGGTGATCTAACACAGCTGGAATTTTCAAAATACTCAACTCTACCGTGACTTTTCGATTGTTCTTGTTACACTCAAGTCAAGTGCTGTGGTAGCATCCCGGTTGCACTTCGCTGAAAAACAAATAATTTACCAGGATGGGAATGGACGGTACTGATAGAGACGCTTTTGAACCGCGAATTATTCGTGCGATGAACTCGCAAGCAATCGGTATGTCAAATCCAGTTCTTAGCCAGCCGTCGTCGATATCACAATCACCAGCGAGCTTTCAACCTAGAGCAGGCTCAACCGCTAACGGCAGTTTTGTGGCCCCTAGCGTCTCGCCAACTGGATCTTCAGTAACTCCATCTACCAACTTCCGTGTTGCACAGGCTTGTGACCGTTGTAGGTCGAAAAAGACACGCTGCGATGGGAAACGACCTCAGTGTTCACAGTGTGCAGCAGTGGGCTTCGAATGTAAGGTAAGCGATAAGCTTTCCCGCCGTGCATTTCCCAAGGGCTATACGGAGACCCTGGAAGAGCGTGTGAGAGAACTAGAGGCAGAAAACCGTCGTTTGGTGGCATTATGCGATCTCAAAGATGAACAGCTGCATTTGATGTCACGATACTCGTCTTCCAAATCTCGCTTCGGAACGACTTCCTCTCCAGAGGACGATCGTTTGCTACAACAACTGAGCTCCTCTAACGGTGGTTCGCTGCGTGTCAGTTCCACAAACCTTTATCTTCTCAACAAAACCTCGCCTTCTGAAGAGGGAAATGCTGGGAGCCATAGATGCCAGGTCTCTAATTGCAGTGACTCGTCGCACCCGCATCTTCATGAAAAACCTGTGAGCACAAGCTTCACCGATCCACAGGCTATTTCCTTTGAACAAAACGAGGCGCCAGGACTACCGGCTGTTCAAGCTCTTTCCAAAATGGCAAACCACGAGTATTCATCGCAACTGGCATGTCTTGTTGCATTATCCATACCGCGCTCGACTGAAGAGATACTGTTTATCCCAAGGCTACTGGCACGGTTGGGACAAGTCTTCGGACTAACGTCAAAGCAGTGTATCTACACAGCTTCGCTATTGGCATCTTTGAAAGAGCCTGCGCAAGTGATGGTTCCGAACACTGATGGTCTCACACAACTAAGGGTAAAGAGTTTGTGGGAAATTGATGACTTAATGTGGTTCTTCACGCAAAGTTGCAGGTTCAACCTTGATTCGAGCAGCAATCCAGATACTCTGTCTTTTGTGGAAATCGAGGACTTGATATCAAAGTATTTTGATAGCTGCCATGCTTTTATACCGGTTCTGAACGAGAACGAATTTTACAACTACTATTTCAAGTTCAAGGACGATCTTATCCGTGATAAGGAGCTGTTTACTGAATCAAGCGCATCTTTTGCCCACCGCAGCAAATCCATATCCTATAAAATTTTCGGCTGTATTTTGATGGTGGTATGCCAGTTTGGAATCATATTGAAAGTAAAAAGCGAAAACCTGGGGACAAAACATAAGCTGAGCCGAATCATGAACTACTACAATACTTCAATTCCAGCGGTCAAATCTAATCCATATTTCACTGTCAAGACAACCTCTATCAAAATACTGCAGTTAATGTCATTGCTGTTATTTTATTTTTTGAACACGGGAGATGTATCATCCGTTTATGAGGTAAGAGGTAAGATTGTTTCCATGGCACAGCAATTGAGACTCCACCGTTGCCCAAGTGCAGTTTTAGGCACCGAGGGTTCTACAATGAGCAAGAACGAGCAAGGCGATCGAAGGTTACTATTCTGGGGCATCTATTATTTAGACGTTTTCTCGGCACTACAATTAGGTGTTCCGCGTTTGCTAAAAGATCATGAAATTGAATGTGCTCTACCGTTAAGCGATAATAGCAAAGAAGGTGTCACTTTATCGGACCAAGTAGTAAAGCTTGAAGGGCAAGTTTCAGAGTTTTCTTTATCGTTGTTACGCTTCTCAAAAATTTTGGGTAACATTCTGGACTCCATTTTCAAACGAGGAATGACCGCTGCTACTGCTCAACAGGTGGCTTTAATTCATGAAAATGCCTTGGATGACTGGATGAGAAGCCTACCGCAGAAACTCAAGTTTCAACTTGATGTGAATGGAACAGTCGATACCAAAGAGTTTAGCAGAGGTAATGAGTGGGTACAGGAACATGGACAAGGAGATAAGAGAGCTCTCATGATACTATATTTTATGATAAAGTGTTTGGTACATTTACCAGTGCTGGCCGCAAAACCTTTTTCGACAGGGCCACAGAATGAGATAGAATCTGAGGACACTCTGATAAGCGATGATTCAAGTAGATCTGCAGACCGTTCCTCGTCCCATGTACTCTTGCAGCAAGCCATAAACACCTTTTTGAGCGTACAGTCTACTTTGGGAAACCGGTATCTACCCCTTGCGATAAACATGCCAAGAATTAAGTCTCAGTTTGCATTACTGAGCGCTAAAGGTGCATTAGATTATACCAAAGGTGGGACATTATTTCAATACAGCAAGAATTTGTTACTTGACGTGGTGAAAGAAGTTGAAGATACGAAAAGACTCGAGATTCCTGGCTCGCTGTCGTGGCATAGCTTGATCTTATTAGATATGGCTATCAATGTCATCTTACAGCCGCCACAAACCAGTCCAGAAAAACTGGACAAGCTTTTGGGGAAGCGTCTTCAATATTACAACAAGCTAATGGGTCGGTCAAACAACAGTTCTGGCTCTAAAAGGAAGCATGAAGAACAAAACGGTGGGAACTCACTAAAATTGACGCCCGCAAGCTCGGAGTGCGAGTCTCCCGCTGAGAAAAAGGTCAAAACGGAACGCAATGACAAACTCTTACCAATTGGAGGGGATACAAAACCTCCGCCGCAAGGAAGAGACTTTGGCTCCAGCACCAGGGCCAATTTCGGCGGCAGTAATGCCCAGAATGCTATTGCTGAAGCCTTTCAATTCGATACGGTGCTGAATAGTAGCTCATTCAGTAACACAGATCTAAGTGCCTTTTTTACCGCAGATGGAGGGGTTACGAACATGGGAAGCGGTATCTCAAGTTTAAACCTCGCCGGAGTGGGAAATGGTGACTCCGCAAACAATCACCAAAATGGACCAGTTGCTCGCAACCAGCTTCAAACATCTTTTGACGATGGGCTATTCAGGGTTCCAAGTAATGGTGATTTCTTGAAAGACTACTATCGCGTACCTGGTGCATCGTCTTCGCAATTGAATCTTATCTTTTTGAACGCCCATGCGGGTTCAGGAGGACAGGATGCGTCTGTCCATGCCAAAAACAGTAATGACAATAATATCAATAATAATTTCAACGACCGTGGCAATGAGACAGCGTTGAGCTCCGCTGCTGGAACGAATCAAGCATCAATATTGGCGCGGGGGTCTGGCTTTACAGTGGATGCATCGCTTGGACTGGCGCCCTTGTTGGCTTGGAGTCCAACTGGCGCTGAAAATCACGATGCTCGTACCGCGTCTTTGCCAAGTTCTTACGCCTCTGTCAACGCTGCAATTCCAACCAGACAAGATAATCGGGGGGACGTTAATTTTGAGTCGATGGGAGACTCAAAACAGGAAAACGGGGACGATACTGCAATAACTATGCCTGCAAGGGCGCATCGCGGACCACGCCGGAGATGGAACACAGCGTCCGGGGCCACGGAATCTCCAACGCAGTATTCTCAGGAAAACAATAATGATAGCGAAGGTAACTTTCAAGATTTGTTTCAATGGCAAAATTCTGGATTTTAGTCAGTAAATGAGTTCCTCGAGCATCTTAAAGTCTAGTTGAAACTGGAAAGGTAGCAGTTTATTCAAAGTCATAGTTTCAATGATTTCGAGATGCACAGTTTGGAGCTAGCTTGAGTGACAGATTTAATAGCCATCAATCCAAAATCGTTGAGCGTTGTCTTATCCAGCAAGTAAGAGGGCCAACAAATAATTTGAAATACGGTGCAAAATTTAGTTGGAAAGATACCATTTGTGAAAAGTGTCTATGCCTTTTTGAGTGTGGATCTTAAGTGGTGTTGAAGGGATCTGAAGCAGATTTCAGTTCTTCAAAAACAATATCCCTTTGAAGGGTCTGTACCACAGGTGTAATAATGAAGCGTGCGTCATGGTGCTGGGAATTGATCTTGGTTAGCTGACTGGATCATATAAGCTAAAGAAACAATGAGAGATTAGGAGGCAGAACTGAAGGAATATTCAAGATGTAATATTTGTTTTAAATTTTGTTCATGGTAATTACAAAGACTGTGCAAGGGTTTGTTCGTCTTTTTGGGATAGAAAATATATTCACATCTTTGTTCAATTCAAACACCTTCCTCTAGGAAGCGTCGATACCTCTCTCGGATAATGAAAGTTGCATTTGTCAAAGTGTCCTACGCTGTGCCATCTTGCTAGGAAGTTCCTCGAGATGAGAGTCGAGATTCGTTGGGTAACGGTATGTGGCTTAGGTATTTAAATAAGAGAAAGCATCCTCTGTTTTTACCAGATGAATTGAATCGTAATCGCGGAAAGCGATGTAAAAGGAGAGGTTATAACGTTGTATCTTTATGGTTTGAAAGATGAGAGTTGCCAAGTAAAGAAGAAAGGGAGCTGGGACGAAGTTGCTCTATTCGTTGAAACCAGAGGTGACAGAAGGCGAATATTTGTAAAACGTCGTAGTTTATGGGTCACGTGACTGGTACTTTGCTTTGAGCTTGGTTTGTAACCGGTTGGTCATATTGAACTCGGTTCATCTGTACGTAGTCTACAGAAGATCTGGAATGCTTTTTCAGCTGGAAATGCAGGAATATTTATAGCTGTACCTGTTATCCGTAGGTATTTGGCTCCAGGACCAGTGGTAATTTTAACATTGTTTATACTCGTGTTGAGACTCTGTCTCTTGAGACTCTGTCTCTTGAGGGTCGTTGTACGATAAACGTCCCATATCTTGGGTGCTTCTATCCATAATTGTTAGGTGTAAACTATTGTTTTTATTGAGTTAGAGTTATCTCTCCGTGACGTATTTGGCATACCTGGAATGATCTTGTAGGGTGGACAAAGCGTCCGTTCTTATACAAATTCTTGGAAATGTTCCGTCGCGGAGAAATCTAGAAAGTTTCAAGCATTCCGGGTGCAACTAGTGAGAATGGTCTAGCCTGGGAGACATACGATCGATAGTTGTTCTAGATTCTTTGAGCATCTTGTTGATGATGACGCTGTCATCTGTCACGTGTATGTGATCGCTTTGTTATGGTTCTGATGTTAGACAGACAGAGTAACCGACAAACATCTATCCGCGGTATTTGCACAAGGATGTAGATTTTGTTTGTGTCACTGGGTTCCATGAGATGTGAGGCATTCGAAGCTGGATCGACGGTGTTTTGCTATAAAGTTCTCTTCTTAACTGCAGCGTCAAATTAACCACCAAGTGATACGTTCCACGTGACCCAGTGACAGCGACAGAATTGAAAAAGATCAAACCAACCATGCCATACTTATCGATTAATCAATGCAGGGAATCCAGTTTAATTCTTTCTGTATTCATGGTATAGCTCTCAACTGTAATTGATGTCCCGATCCCCGGATGGTCTGCACTTTGATAAGCTACCCATGTCTTTGGTGTTAGATTCCATTTTTGGCTGCGTGGATGGATATTGTTGGTATTATTAAACTGTTCTCAGACCTGATCCCGTAATTTGAATAAATTTTGGCCTTCGGAGGGTTCGGATCTGGGCACCGTGAAGGTCTAGGTGATTGGACGGTCAAATATGATCATGTGCCATATGCATTTACCAAGTCGAGAGGAAAGCTATAGGACCGTAGATTTATTATTCATGACAGCGGAAACTTTTAGTTATAATCGCTAGCTGTCAAAATTGGATCTGTGATTTTTTAACCATCAACACCAACAGCTCTCACGTATATTTGGCTACTTCGAGATTCTAGAAGTCCCAAATCGATTGACAACTCGTCTAGCCTCCATTTTGACGAGCGACGTATTTTCACTTATGATTATTGAAAACCTCAAACTGTTCACAATTGTGAACGCCACCAATCAATCGTGACAAGAAGAAGATCAAAAAGGAGCGCTCAGCAATAAAGTCTAGCAAACAAAAGACGATTAGGACGTGTTGAGCCAACCAACGAGTATCGGTATACCAATGAAAGCAAAAACACTCAAACGTTCCGATACCATAATTTCAGAAAGCCTCAAAAGTTCCGATACCACAATTGTAGTATACTAGGCTCGATCAACCAGCTTAATTCAGCCGATCTACCTTCAAAATCGACCGCTGACGCTCGAGACTGGTCACCTATCACGAAACATCGTTCCATTCTCTTTGCCCAAATACACATATATAATCTAAATTCAGTAAAAAACCGCGAAACCTGTGTTCAACCTTACCTTTTAACACTTCTTGATTCAAACAACACACACATTCACAATCCCAATTCTACACAAAAAGGTGTTGAGTGCGTGCCAAACAGAGTTCCCATACACACCTGGGATCAGTATCGCACACTCACACTCATCACAACAAGCTTTGGAAAAGCTGGCGGTCGGTTTTTGTCTAAATTTTTTTTTTGAACTTTACACTGGTTTTAACCGTTGTGAATCGAGCCAAACAACCGAGCGGTGGAAAGCACAAGACACACAAAACCCGTGGAGTAGACTCAATTGGTACAGAAGGACAATTGGTTGTTTGCACGGTTTTATACGGTCTTTGTCCCACACAAAACAATTGAAAAAATTGGAGTCCCAGATCACAAATTACAGGATTTTTTGGGTACCTTTTTTCTATAAAACCGTAACGGGATAAAACTTAGAGCATTAGGAACACAAGAACCAAATACAAGTGGGAAGAGGGAAAGATGGCTCTCCATGACGCCAATACCGGTATAAATAACACCACTACTGGAAAACGTCAAGAAGTTCCCGAGAGACGCGGGTCGTCATTTTACACGGAGAACAGGTTTTCACCTCGAACTGCGTATAGTAATGGGAATTTGCAGTCAACGCATCAACTTCATAACTACCACCACCGCCAACAGCCGCCACAAACTCCCTTCGATCTCACGTATGGCGCGTCATTACTCCCATCGCATCTGTTGCTGAACTCTCCGTACGTAGCGACGCCGCACTCGAACCCCATTGTAAACGGACGGTACCACCACCATAACATACCGTACAACCATCATCATCATCACCAACAGCACCAAACGCTGCCGCTGCGTATGCCTCCGGTGCCCCTCGACAAGCGTGGTCCCCGGAGACCTAAGGCCCTGCATTTAGTGGACGACGAAACACGTCAGACCGCTTACGAAATTGCCTACGAGGTGTTGCCACCAACGGTGACAGATGACGAGTTTCGCACGCCGTCATTGCTGTTCTCCAACCTCAGCCCGGAGCTGCATTTGCATGAGTTTTTGAGCAAATTCGACAAGTGCGACAGACTCGAAAGTGTCTATCGCGTTGACTCCGACAAGGAAAAACAATCCATTCTGGTCAGTTTTCTTACCCAAGAAACATGTTTGGATTTCTATAACGGCGTTCTGCAGAGACTTTCGGAATTTAAAAAACAGCTGAACTCCCAGAAATTGACTCTGAATTTTGTCCGACTACAAGACGCAGATTCTGGCCCCACACGACATGAAGTCCGAAACCAGGTTTTACGTTCAGGAGCAACTCGCTCTGTGGCTCTAGAATTTGGATCGGACGTCTCATCCCAAAGCTTATTCGAAAAACTACCATTTCTCGATAACCGAGGCCCTCGTTACATTGTGGAGTGCATCGAATTCGTTAACACCAATCGTATCTCGAGACATTTGAGCTCACACTACGCTGTGGTCTATTTCATTAGCATCGCTATGGCCATAGAGACTTCAGAATACCTCGAGGTACACAAGAAGTCAATACATGACTTGCAGAAATTCCAGTACGTCACAACCACTTCTACTTCTGGCAAGTCAGAGCTACGTACACTTTCAGGCTCACAGATAAATCTACGTGAATCTTCCAACATTTCCCACTTTACTGGCGTTGCTGCAGACGACTTTCCTCCAGCAAAACCTGATCTTGCTCATTCCAATGTCCCTACCAAAACTCTGAAAATTGAGCCGGAGCTGTATGGCCCTCCGACTTTGGTAGAGCATACTCAACATCCTTCTCATATCGCTGCATCTAAGCCACTTAACGTGGACTCTGTTGCAAACGGTTCATCTGAAAATGGGTCATCGCCAGCACCACAAGAAATGCTCATAAACGACTTTGACCCCTCTCCGCGCGGTAGCATGATATCCCTGATCCAGACTGATACTCCAGCTCAATCTCATCAATTCCCTCATTACCCGTACTATGTTGATATGGCAAAGCCTCTGGGACGTACTCTACAACAGCAGTTTACAACTACAGCACAAGTTGCGACAGCTATGGGTGGCGGTGTGGGCAATAGGACGGTTTACATTGGCAACATAAATCAGCGTTCAAAGGCTGAGGATATTTGTAATGTCGTTCGCGGCGGTCTCTTACAAACTGTCAAATTTATTGCATCCAAACAAATCTGCTTTGTGACCTTTATTGATGCTGCTGCTGCCGTTCAGTTTTTCGCTAATTCCTCAATTGAGCCAATCGTTTTACATGGAAATGTTCTAAAAGTTGGATGGGGCCACCATTCGGGGGACTTACCTCAATCAATATCATTAGCAGTGACTGTCGGTGCTAGCAGAAACGTATATGTCAGTTTACCTGAGCATGCTTTCAAGGACAAATTCATACACGACCCTGAATACCAGGACTTGAAAGAAAAATACCACCTCCCATCTAAGGATGCTCTGCTACAAGATTTCAAAGCATTTGGTGACATTGAGCAAATTAATTTTCTACCAGACGGGCACTGTTGCTGGATTAACTTCATGAACATTTCCAATGCCATAAAGCTCGTTGAAGATGTCAACAATTCCAGAAACTCGGAATCTTTTCATGAGAAGTTTCAGAACCGGTATCGAGGATTGATTATAGGGTACGGTAAAGACCGCTGTGGAAACATTAACAAAAACTTAGTTGCAAACAAAAATTCGAAGCATTACAAGAAGGTCAAGAAAACGAGCTATCAGATAAGAGCTAGACAACAGCAAGAAAAGGGCCTTGATGGTAATGGATCGCCCGCTCATGCTGGTGATGAGCCCAGAACTTTGAAAGCAGATGCCTTTGGCATTTCTTTATCTGATGATAAGGGGCCGGTAAGAGACTCGGATGAAGAACAAAAGCTGGAAGAAAAGGAGCTATTGCGACTTAGCCTTGACGACAACGAATTGGACGAAGGGCTGGGGATATCATTAGCTCATAATAGTCCTGGAGAACAATTCCCCAATGACGAAAGCGACTCATCAGACTCTTCAGATGTAAACATTATCGTTTCAAGCCATGCCTCTAATCATGGTGCAGAATTAGGAAATGGCAGAGATCAATTCTCGGAAAAAGGAGACAGTCGCCAGAACATTGACCACGCAAAAATTGCTGGCCACCCAAATGCATTCAGGAGGTTTTCGCCAATGGTTTCGAGCACATCGCTGGACGCTGTACCGCCGTTGGCGCCTTCAACCATGACCAGGCAGTTCAAAATTGCTCACCAGCGCGGTAAGCAAATTGAGTACTACGGCAACGACTCTGACGTAATCGACAGAACAGACCCCAAGCCGGGTAAAAATGCCAGACGTCCGCATCCACAGGGTTCATTACGACGTGGAAAGTCTAAGGCGATCCCAGGTTCGGATGTCATGGCCCAGTACCTGGCTCAACTTCAACACTCCACTTTCATGTACGCCGCAAACATTCTTGGAGTGGACGATGGAGAATCCCCGGTGTACTATGATGAGAATGGCTGTTTAGAGCAAATGGCGTGTAAACTTCCATCACCACGTCGCACGACCCGCTAATTATCATTGGCATTTCCGTCAAACTAAATGAGGCGAAACGCAGCATCGACTTTACAAAAGTTCTCGAACTAAAATCAGCGAATGGACAGTCACGGAAATGGATGAAATTAACCAATATATTATTGAGGCAGAACTTGAGGTAAGTACCAAGAAGTTGGGAGCACTAGTGGAGGTATCATTACTACTACAGGTTCAAGCTCAAATGACACAGTAAATGGTTTCGCCAACATTCACGTCATATATACGATTTCTAGACAGTCCACCAAATTCGAACACGAGCATTGTTACGATTCCCGAAAGATAGAAGCTGCAGTAAAAGTTTAATAATTGAAGTATCGATAATTCATCAGCGAATCAGAAGCGATTCTTGAATCATACGAAGAAACAGTGAGGTGTATGAAGCTTGGCTTTCTGTACTGGTCCTTGCCTTCGAGTTGAAATGAGTCAGTACTCATTGATGTACTCAGACGAAATTGTAAGTTTAAGCATCAAATTCTAGACCCATACATCGTGACTAAAGAAGTTCCGATCAAGACCGACCGAACTATCTGTTTAAAGAACTTTTGTTCTTCAGACCACATCCCGTTCTGCATTGGCCCTCGACAATACCTGGCTATAATTTGAAATAAGCTAGGCCTTTGTTTTTGAAGTTTTAACAGCAATTGACGCATTACATCGTATACTGCCGTGCACCTGCTGTCTCATTCTGTCGAAAGCTGCTTTAGTCTTTTAAACTACCGCTGAAGGCAATGTCTTTTGCTGAGAAGGAAGAAAATGATTCAAAGACTGCTGTGAACGAACTTCATGACTGTGCCGACAACGGCGGTGTGAGAAATCCTAATTTGCAGGATCAGACCTATCTGGACAGTAGATTTAAAGAAATCGTATTTGTGGGTTTCTGCATGCTTTCACAGCTACTGAACCAGGCTGCTGCAACTCAGGCTAATCCGCTTTTCAATGTGATTTCAAATTCTCTAAATTCTGGCACATCTCAGCAAACATGGCTCATGGCAGCATTTCCAATGGTTTCTGGATCTTTCATTTTGGTTAGCGGGAAAGTTGGAGATATATATGGGCTCAAGAAAACTTTGATAGTTGGATACATCATTGTCATTATTTGGTCTTTAATCTGCGGTCTGAGTTCTTATACACGCAATGTGAACTTCTTTATCGTTGCAAGGGCTTTTCAAGGCCTTGGCATTGCCTTTATTCTTCCCAACGTTATGGGTATCGTCGGTAACATTTACGTTCCAAATACCAAAGCTAAAAACCTCGTATTCAGCTTAATCGGTTCATGTGCCCCAATCGGAGCAACAATGGGTTGCGTTTCCTCTGGGCTGATCGGACAGGAGTCCAAAATCTGGGCGTGGGCATTTTATGCGTACGCCTTAACTGCGTTCTTGAATTTGTGTGTGGCAATTTGGATCATTCCCAACAATATACCGACAAATGTTCACAAGTTCAAGATGGATTGGTGGGGAGCACTCTTAGGTGTGGTGGGGCTCATTTTACTGAACTTTGTATGGAATCAAGCACCTATCGATGGATGGAACAAAGTTTATATCATTGTTTTGTTGATTATCTCGGTGATTATTCTCGCCGGCTTCTTCGTTTTCGAAGCGAAAGTGGCTACAGAGCCACTTCTGCCACGAGCCGCAATGCGCAATCGCAGACTTCTTATGATTTTGGCGTCGTTGTTTTTCGGATGGGGATCTTTCGGTATCTGGACGTTCTACTATATGTCATTCGTTTTGAACCTTCGACATTACAGCCCGCTATGGGCTGGAGGAACGTATTTCATGTTCGCAATATGGGGAATTGTAGCCGCCTTGATAGTCGGGTACACTCTTCACATCTTTGGACCAGCAATTATCTTGCTGACATCTATGATCGCTTTCGACTGTGGCTGCATAATGCTTTCAGTCACTCCGATTGATCAAACCTACTACAGAATGACCATGGGTATCATGATTATTTTAAGTTTTGGTATGGACTTATCATTCCCAGCTTCGTCAATTATAGTTAGTGATGAATTACCAAGCCAGTACCAAGGAATGGCTGGTTCACTGGTCAATACGATGGTGAGCTACTCGATGTCGCTGTGCTTGGGGATAGGTGGCACTGCTGAACACTATATCAATAAGGATGGCACAAAATTACTCGAAGGGTATAGGGCAGCACTCTATGTTGGCATAGGTCTTGCGTCCATAGCAGTTCTAATCAGCGCCACATACTTGATCGAGGAGCTATGGTCAAAACGCAGAGATTTGTATGCTGAAAACTCCAAGAATAGCTCTACACCTTTGGAGTAGTGCTTGAGATAGTCAAACAAACAGCCGAAATTCATTGCATGTCAAAAACTGTTTTCAGACTCGAGACATATCGTTGTCCACCAATTTTACGGTATAATTTATATAATATACAACTAATTTCATGTTAATACTGTAAAGTACTCATCAGAAAGTTCGCCTCCAATTTTGCTGACCTGAATGCATGGGAGTCAGTCTTTTCAGATTAAAATTTTAAGGTCCGCCGTCGGCGGTTCTCTTGCTGCCTCTCTCCTTCTCTGCGATGAGTTTCAAATCGTCATCACTTGGTTCGTAGATATGCCATAGGGTATAGTTTGGTAAACCGGCTACTCTATACCCCATCTTTTTAGCCATTTTTCCAAACGCCTCAGTTTCCGCATGATTTTCGAAAGTAAAAGCTGGAAAGTGAACACCATTTCTAAACAGTTGTGCTTTTGCGAGAATAGAAACACCACCGACACCATCAAGTTCGAGAATGTCTTTTGGGTTTCCATCAGGGTCTCTAATGTACCCCAAATGTATCCTGTATGTTGCATACTCAGCGTATCCTTCGACAATCACGTCATCTTCGTCCAAACTACTAGCTAAGCGTAAAGCATCTGGAGATTCGGGCCAGGAATTCAAGTCATAAGCCTGTTCTCCATCTAAGAACTCAGGCAAAGGACGCCACACGTTAGGAACTGCTACATCATAGTCGATGGCCATTAAATCTTGAATTACGGAGCCGGGGCATAATTCCACGTCTGCATCCCTCCAATAGACCCACGAATGGTAGGGTTTCAAAGCATTCGCTGTCAACCAGTTACGGGCGCGGCCCATGAGCTTTCTCCTTATTCCTTGATTCTTTACAGCATGTCTATCAGAAAAACCTTGACCTATCGCTTGGCCGAAATCTTTTTGAAAAATTTGAACCGAACGAAAAGGCTTGTCGTAATTGTCATGGAAAGGAGGACTATAGGCATTCTTGACCATTTCCAAGTAGGATGGGCGCATGTACTTCAAAAATAAATCTCGGGTACCCTTCATTTCTGAATCAGCTTTATTCTCAGTTTCGGCTAACTGTTCGGACAAAGACCCGCTCTGCATTTCCTGAGAGTAATCTATTAAGGCAGTCAAAGTATTATCGTCCTCTGTGCTGTCACTTACGAGAAACGCCAAATCTATAAGTTCGTGGGGATATGTTAAATTCATGAGATTTTTGAACATGAGAGGTAAAACTCTTTCCGCATTACGGAGGGGTACAAGCAGTAGAACGTGTTCTCTGTTCTTCACACCATTAGGAGAGCCTCGGAACGCTTCGAGATTGTATTTCTGAACCGTCGACCCGTAAAGCATATTTATCTCCTTATTGTAGAGGTCTTTATCCGCTGGTGTCAGAACATCCAAGCCACCATTGGAGATCAGATAGTGTTCAGAACCGAGGTCGTATTTTGCCAATGCTTCTCTATCAGTTTTCAAAAAATCGTAGTCGTAATATTCTGATTCTTCTAATACCATGGGCGACCCATAACTTATGTCAGAATCTCGGAACAAACGCCGTATGACAAAAACCCCCGCCAGGAGGAGAAGAATGATTACCACCGAGCTGTTGCTTCTCAGCAATTGCCTTGATTTTATCCGATTCAACATGCCATCGCCTTTGCGCTTCGGACTCAATTTCGGTTTATTTTTACTGCTGTAAGTCAAAGAAATGACACAATCGTTAGTACATTGCTTCCTTAACCCTAAAACTGACGTTTCAAGTCCGAATGATACAGTTTTGGTGCATCTTTTGACAACTTGTTCGACCTGATATGGGCAAATAACAATCAGAAAAAGCGTCTGTTTTCGACATACATTGGTAGCTCTAAATGGCCCTTTTTTTTCCCAAAGAGTATGGCCATCTCCCTCTGCTTGAACCCTTAAGCTTGGAGCAGAAACCAATCGCTAGCAAAGACTGTTGTGGGTTTGAAGTAGTTTATTGTCGATGATGGTTAGTTCGGGCCAGGCTAGCCAATTTTAGTTGAAATGTAAAAACAAAAAAAATCCGTGAAACGTGATAAATTGTGACTGGATAAACGAGGAGAGGAGTGACTCGAGCATTGGGTAGGGGATCAACTCGATGAATGGAGTTATCCTTCGATACATGATGGACAACAACATACGTGCATGCACCTAAACATAAGCGAGGTTTCGTAGAAGCTTGAGACAGTTCTTTGTAACAGGTAAGGGAGCTGATGCCGAAAGTAAATAGTAATGTATTTATGGAGGGTTTATGTGTAATGTGGATTGTAACTAGATGCGAGAGCGCTGACATTTCATCATGCTTTCCGCGCAAAGCATTTTTATCTTGCTTTCTATTTCGAGTGCTTGCAGACGGAATCACTGATCGTTTTGATGTCAGCAGGCGTAGTCCTGCAACATCCTCCAATGATTCGGGCTCCGTTGTCAATGTATTCCTTGACCAGGTAGTCCCAGGTCACCTCGTGCGATTTCTTGGACGTCCACACTTTCTGCACTGTATCGTATATTTCACCGCTATTTGGGTATGCAATGAGAGGAAGGTCTGGTAGAACTTCATGCAGCTCTTTGAGCATATTGTGGGAATGGTCAAAACTAACGCAGTTCACACCCAACAGTGTGAAATTGGGGTTCAGCTTTGGACCCAAAGATTTGATGTACTCGCCAATTTCTCGCAGGCTTGTGCCATCGCGCAGTTTCCCGTGAGAGTGAACGGAAAGCCCAATGCAAAAAGGTTTGGAGATCAGAGATTCGTCCCACGAAAGAATGGCTTTCAGCTCGTGGAAATTGGGGATGGTCTCAAAGGCAATCATATCCAGGTTCTCGTTGTTATTGAAGGCAGACAGCTGCAGTTCGAAATAGCCCAAATAGTCAATTTTGGCTGGCTCTGGTCCGTACTCGCCCGTGAACTCCGAACAGTTGTGAGCGCCCCATGGGCCGATACAGCCCACCAGCCACTTCTCGTCTCCGATGCACTCGCGCGAGAAGGCCACTATTCTGGAGAGCAACTCAACGTACGCATCTGGGGTCTTGATCACAGTATTTTCAGAAACCGATTTGAAGCTTGCCTGGTAAGTCACCGTCATCAAAGCCTGTGCGCCACTAGCCAAAAAATCCTCGTACATTTCTTTCACAATCTGGCGATCTGAGGAGGCAGGATCCGACCAGAACGACTCATTCACAAACGGAATTGTAGACCACACGGGATTGGCTACCTTTATACCTCTATTTTCCAGTTCCGTACCCTGACCACCGTCTAAAACCAGAACAGCATTTGGGTTGCTGCTCAAATACTCTTTTATGGAAGGACGACTCATGTTGTAATAATTTCTTGTTTTCTTCAGTAGGTGCTTACTCGCTTGAAATGACAGCTACAATAGTATCGATGCTTGTTAATATTTCAAAAAAATGTGTACTTTCAACAGTGCAGATTTTATAAGAGTTTTTTTTAACCCAAATGACTGAAAATGTATTTCGAAGCATCCACGAAGCCTTGAATGCTTCGACTTCTGGCAAACTTTAGTATCTGCGATGGAAAACGCATTTCTGATGCCTTAGTTCATTTTTCCATGACGACTAATTTTTTCTATTACCCATGACAACACATTGGGCATTAGAAAGAACATTGACGATGAGTCTTACGAGCCGCAGGGTTTAGAGAAATGGGCACATCTGTACTCGAGGATGCGATGAGTCATATACGGCGAAATATGGGCAGTATTTTTCATTCATGCGCGGAAACATCACCACTTTTTTTTTCCGTTGTCTCTTTAGGTAATTAGTGACACTTGACGAAACGGCGTCGTTCACCTGAGAACTGGGAACTGCGACCGGTGTAAACAGCAATCGAGCCGGTTCTTGTGCTGCGATCTTGATATCAGAACTTAATAAAAAACCGACATGTCGGAGACTTAAAATCCACGGTGCTTAGTTTTCATTTTTGAATTTTTTTTTTTTCGTTTTCGGGTCTTTGGCCTATTCACCATCACCAAAACATCTGCAACAGCAACAATGATGATGCTCTGTTTTCAAAAATTTGTAGTCAGCCCCATCTCCTGCGGTTTAAACCAGCATTCTTTTAGTGTATCCCAAGTTCTTTTCGCTAAAGCACGAGCTTTCTCCTCCGAATCAGAAATAGCTTCGATGTAGACCTTCAATTTGGGCTCAGTGCCGGAGCCTCTGGTCGTAAATCTCACGTAGTCATCCGAATGCAACCGAGACCGCAGAACGGCAGTGATCATCTGAGAGGAAGAATCGACAGGCAGTCTAGGCACATTGTTGGGAGTGTCCGACTGATAGCCGATGGTCAAATCTGTGAAGGTCTCAACAGTGAATTCGTCGCCCAGCGTCGAAGGATGCTGTTGTCCATGATTCCGGTACGAGTCGCGAATTGCCCCAAAAATAACGTTGGTGACAGTAGGATTGGGTACAGTGTAGTAGCCGTTGTACTCTTGGAAATAACCATAACGAGCGAAAGCGCGACGTAAAATGTCAATGGGTGATAGGCCCTTGGCTTTCCAATTGGCAATCATTTGTAAGAAAACAACAGCTGCACTTATTCCGTCTTTGTCGTGCACAACTTTCGAAAACATGTAGCCTATAGCTTCTTCGAAGGCAAAGGGAACGTAGAGACCCTCCTTTTCCAGTGAGCGAGCCTGATTACCAAGCCACTTAAACCCAGTCAAGGTATCCCGATATTCGAACCCTTCTACCTCAGCCATTCGTTTGATCATTTGCGATGACACCGTCGAGTTGATAAGTACAAGAGGGTTTGCACGTTGAAACTCCTCGTTTTCTTGCTTGTAAGAATCCCAGGTTTGTTGGGCAAAGAGGAAACCGATCTCGTTGCCGGATAGTTGTTTCCATTTGTTTTCATACTTGACGGCTGCAGAGAAGCGGTCGGCATCAGGGTCATTCGCAAGGACAAAAGATATGTCATTCTTTTCGGCCAACGAAATCGCCAAATCCAATGCGCCTTTCTCCTCAGGGTTTGGAAAACTGACCGTTGGGAACTCGGGATCGGGATTCTTCTGTTGCGGAACACATAGGTAATCCACATTGCCTTTTAGCCCCCAGACCTTTTCGACAATGCGTTCAAAGATCTCGGATCCAACACCGTGCATAGGTGTGTATACGAACCAGGGTTTGTTTTTGGTGCTGGATAGTTCTGTAAAAACAAGTCGCTTTGCGACCGCACTCACGTATTTCTGAGTGATGTCTGATTTAGCGTCAATGAGCTTACCACTTGCAATTGCCCCTGCTTTGATCGAATCGTAATTCCACGCATCATCCCAGGGCTTGAGGTTGTCGTCGATGGACTGCGCTATGAGGCGATCGTGAGGAGGAATTATTTGACACCCATTAGAATAGTAGACTTTGTAGCCATTGTCCAGTTTAGGATTGTGACTAGCCGTAATCATGACACCACCGCTAGCATTCAATTGATCAATTGCGAACGGCACCAACGGTGTGTGTACATAGACATCTTGAGTGCCATCATTTTCCACAAAGCACAAATCGTAAACTGTAAAACCAAGTTGAAGGAAAGCAGCAATTGTGACCTGGGCAAATTCTTTGGAGTTGAATCTGTGATCGTGTCCAACAACCACGCTCTTGTTAGTTGGAAACTTGTCCTGCAAGTACTTAGCCAATCCCTGCGATGCCTGAAGAACTGTTAATGTGTTCATTCTGCTAACCCCTGCTTCCATTCTAGCACGCAAGCCAGCTGTCCCAAATGCGATCCTGGAATCCAAACGTAAGTGCAATTCATGCCAATTCTGTGAGTTAACCAATTCCGTGATTTCCTTCCTTGTGTGTTCGTTCTTGTCGTTTTCGAACCAAGCTGACACTTTGCTTGCCAGTTCTGGTGGTACCTGAACAGCCCCACTGCTCATCTTGACTGTCTCTTGAGTTGCTTGGACTGAGTTATCTTTCTGTTTCTCTCTAAAGTTCTCACTGAAAGGGTCTCATGATATTACTACATGTGAAAGTATATGTGGTGTCACTGTCGTCGAGTTCAAGGTGACAGGAAGTAAGCCGATTTTAGAATCGTTTCACGTCGGGAGATGGCTTTACACAAAGTATACAGGTAAATGAGATTTTTGTAGCTCAGTGCGACAATTGCAGCTGAGGAATGGCTTGCGAGAAGAAAGTAGAATTGATAAATTTCCTGTTACAACCTGAGCCATGATAGTTCTTTAGCGAGAGCGCTACACTTGGCCAGAGGTTAATAAACTTGACCCCGGTGAGCGCATGACTTCATTGTAGTCGGCTCTCGAAAGGTTGTGCTCAACTTCACTCCAGCTGCTTGTCCCCCACAAAAAAAAAAAAAAAAAAANNNCCCCCAAAAAAAAAAAAAAAAAAAAAAAATTGAAATTGTGTGAATGGATGGATGGTATGCTGTCAACTTCATCCTTCCAGCTCGAGCAGAAGCTCTGCTTCTAGATCGTCATCGTCATTTTCGTCTTTGTCGTGGGATTCATCCGCACCTTCATTCTCTAACTCGCGGTGTTGACGTTTATGATCTGAGTCCTCATCAGAAGAAATTGATCGCTTTCGGTCACCAGGTCCGTCGCTCACAGACGCCTCTCTGGAGTACTGGGGTGAATCAAGAGCCGTCTTTATTTTTTGGCTTGCCTCCGAGTCGTTTTTATCGATTTCGTTCTCGTCCTCATCTTCGTCCTCGTCTTCATCATTGAGAAACTCGTCCATTTCGTCATCATCGTTATCCAGCCACATATCGTCGCCGGCCAGCAGATCAACCTCATTGACAGAGGCCTGAGTGGCTCTTTCGCGAATGGTATGTTCGGCGGCCTTCCTCTTTTCTAGTCTTTTTTTGAAGTCCTCAAGCTCTTCCTCCGTGACCGCTTGTTCTGTGAGCAGTTCGTAAGGCTGCTCGCTTGTCCTTTGCCACTGGACTAAACACTCGAATATCCAGTCCGGGTGAACGACTTTTATGCTGGGGTTAAAGGCCTTCGCCAAGCGGGCTTTGAATGTTCCTGGAGTTTTGGTGACGATATGGGTGGTATTTTCGTCCACATCACTTGAAGTCACCGCCCCAAACATACCCGTCCATAAAGCAATGTCTGCCTGCCGCACATCCGTGCCCAAAGGAATCAGGCCTGAAAACACGAAGTTGCAGCCTTGTAAAACTTTGGCCTTCATGGCTGGCAACAACTTTTTGATATCGGGCAATTCTTCGTCCTTGGCTAGCTCCTCATAATACGTTTTATGAACTCTCAATAGTATTCCCGACAGATGCGGAAGCTCGTCATCGTCATCAATTAAAAGCTTTTGATTATGCATGTGCTTCTGTAATTCCGCCAGCGGCCTATTTTGTTGTTGGACTTCCAGAGAAGCGTTGTGCTCCAGTTTTTTAGCCAGATCTTCCTTTGAAATGGGCCGATCGGTTTGATTCTCTTCTGTTATTTTATTGAATTGTTCCTCCTGTTTTTTAACCTCTTGATCAATCTTTTCCTGTAGTTTTTTTTCCGTGTCCATTATGTCTGTTAAAAGCTCTTCCTCTTCTGCCTTTTTGCGATGTCTTCTGCCCATATGCAACATGGAGTTTTGTTGCCTCGGCAGGAAGTTGGAGTTGATGTCACCAACACCTACGAAAAAATCGTAAGGTACCACTTTGATCAGATTCGGACACCAGCTCCATACGTCACCTCTGTCATCGATGATAACAACCATGGATTGATCCATTGGGAACAATCTCTCAAGAGACTTGTGAGTAAGGGAGCCATTTTCGTCGCGCGACAAGATCCGGTCACCGAAAAGCTCACCAGCCGGGTCTATTATCTTGGCAATTTCCAGAGCGTAAGCCCTAGTAGCCATGGTATAAATATGGAGCTCAAAGTGAGGAGCTACTTTTTCGAAAAACTCTTGTAATCCTGGTCTCAGCTTCACGTAGTACTGACATTTACGGGTTGGTGGACGGGGACCCATATAAAACGGCGGCAGCACCGGGTCTTCGTCAAGCGAAAAAGATTGAACGTTTTTAAGGGCATCAAAATTCGGGTTGGAAGGATCGTTAGCCCACTCTTTGATGGTAGGGTCCACGCCACAATGGATCACCGTTTGGTCCAGATCTACCACCAGAACCAACTTTTTGAGTTCCCGAAGTTGCTTTTGTGTAGTTTTCTCGATCGACGCCGCCTGGCGCTCCGAAACTTTGATGTTCGTGTTATTATGGGCCATGGTCAATTTACTATTAGAGAATCCGGTGTTGTTGAGATTCTGGTCTTCGTATTCTTCCACAGCTTTGCCGCAAACCACACATAGGGACCCATATGTAACGTCGTGCGTACAAGGTTGGCTAACCTCCGCCACCACCGCCGAATCACTCACAAATTCGTCTCCTAAGCTGAGGTTGAGTGCCATGATGGTGCCCTCTATTGGCGAGTCAAAAGTCCCCACCAAATCCACTCTTACCTTTTTCTTGGTGCTTTCCTCATTCGGAGCTGTTATCACATCTTGTAGTTCCCAGTACTTGTAAACAAAAAGCCTCTGGCCTTTCTTGACCTCATCGCCTGTTGAAACACACAATTTCGCAATAGTTACAGGGAAGGGTAGATTGGAAGGCAATCTTATAGGAGTTGTCATTCTACCCGATAACTACTTTCGTATTAGGCCTTCTGGTAGACCTCTGTAGCTCTTTCGTTGGTGATCTTTGTTTTAGTTGGAGGTCTGCAAAGAAGCATGTTCATTAATTTTTCAGTCCTAGCCCTACAAGCTCAGAACGTTTGAGCAAGCAGAGAAGTGTTGATAATGAGCACGACGGTGTAAACCACGAAAAAGTAGTATCCATTAGAGAACTTCGGTCTTGAAACTGTACACTAAATTCTTGTCAGCTTATGGGACCTTCATAGGCTTATTTGAACGGTGTTTTTCCGTTAACATTGGCCCATTCCAAGTAATCACAGGTACCATGTAATTTTGAGTAGGCACAGGTACTAGGTTACCACAAGTACGTACATTTTTAAGTATGATGTTATCGAGGTAGCATCTTGTTACTCGATTCAAATCGCTTGCTAAAAGATCAATGCTGCTTCCCCTGCATACTTAGGGCGAAATTGCCCATAAAACACTTTACCTTGGGCAATAGTGTTCTTGCCAAAAACAGACGGCACATTACAGGACTTGACTGGAGCATAGAGAGCTGCTGAACAAATCTGTGGAGAGTCGCATTACAGCTATTCTTTGGGCGAGCTCAAGGACTTTGTAAGTCATGTCAACAATCGGCGTAAGAAAGGTGACAGCACACAAACGTAGCAGCTGAGCAGGACACTGAAGAGTGCTTTGATCGACCTTATAGTAGTTGCTTCACCATCGAGGTGTTCTGTTTTCTCACCGGGAGCTCATGGTTTTGTTGAGCTAACAGGTATCGATTTCAACTGGCAGTGTGAAGCAAATTCTCGTAGTCATCATCATGCCCAGCATGTTGAGATAAACATTATCCTTTTAGCGCTTGCTCTTAATTGGGTGACTGTGTCTCTTGATGATATTTTTCTTCGTCTTTCGCCTCTTTTTCAGTGCCACAGAAGCAACTCTTCAATCTGATCTTGATGCGTAACGAAAAACAGGTCCTATGAAAAACTCTGAGACAGTTTAGCTCTGTTTTTGTGTTTGTTGTTCTTCTAGAAGTCCCAGAAGCAAGCAGCTAGTGGCATCGAGGAGTGCGTTGGCATCATCCTCGGCGGCTACGAGTCCTTTAGATAACTTTAGCAATTATCATCAACTATGTTACCTGCACGGTCTTCGACTGTCTCATAATATCAGGTTCGATGACTGGGTGAAATCAGATTGTGTCTTACAGTGGCCTTTTTATCCTCTACTGGACGTATAGCAACGAAACACAAAAGAGTAACAAGCAAACATGGGTCAAAGACACTGATCTACATAAGTCCTTACTTTCGTTTTATCTACACGGTGATTTAAGATGAGTATTGATGCTTAAGTTATGTATTGACAACCTCTGAAACTTCCTCAACAGGCTTTTGCTCCATGATCTAAACACGTATTTCGATGTTTTATATACCTCCGCAGACACGAGACTGTCTTTTTGAGCTTCAGAAATGCAATGGCAAAGTCTCTGTCATTAGAAGGACGTTTTGATCTTGGCCGCATTATATGCAACTGATAAACACAGGATCATGCATAATGCACCCTGCTTAGCAAGTTCGATGCGAATCGGGTACCTGGAAGGGTCTGGAAGTACTCGTTTGGCTTCGACAGAATATCCGATGATGCACAGGGAGCTTCAAAATGAACGCCTTGCCTATTCCGGAGAAATAACTTCTTCTTGTGAGGAAGCTAAATTATTGCCGTCGTCTGGCTTTTGGCCCTTGATATCCTCACTGCTATTTTCATTCATTAGCGACATGTTGCCCTGTTCGTTACCATCTACTATGAGACCAGAGGCCTCATGTGTGATATTGTCCTTATCTGCAGTGTTTTCCGTTCCACTGCCTTCTTTGTCGTCGACTCCAGAATCTTTTGAATTTGTTTCTCCACCGTCAAGTTCCTGTTGCTCTGAACCAAATTCCGTATCTCTAACGTTCGGCTGTTGCTTTTCTGCCTCTGGTGGCTGTTCTTCGCCGACAGATGCTAGCATCGTAGCATCAGATGGCGGTGCCCCACCATTCGGTTGCATTTCATTCTGTCCTGGCGCTTGTTTATCTTTGTCAAGGTCTTCAGGCTCGTTTTCACTATCGCTACTGCCGAGGCCACCAAAAAAAGGATCCTCGTTCAAATTGTTCAAGTCCAGCTCATCGAATTCCTTTGACATTTTGCTCCGCTCTTCTCTTTCCCTCTTTGACTGTTCTTCTCTTTCAATTCTCCTCTGTTCTGCTGCTGCTATCTCCCGTTTTCGTTGCTCCTTCACTAGTGGGGCGGTTTTTAAGAAGCCAACATAGCTCCGATGCAATAAGGACCGTACTTCCTTTTCAGCTACTTTACAATTTACTCGTTGACTCACAAAAGGGGAAAGAAGTTGGGTTGCTCTCATAAACGGCCCCTTTTGGATTTGTAACAGACGCCTTTCATGGTCCTTGACCCGTCGTCTGGTGATCTCGACTCGACTTCGAGCATATTCTTCCAGATTATAGTGGTCTTGCGGCAGAGTCCTTAGCAGATCATTTACTTTATCGACATTTGCAGCACGCGACTTCTTTACCTGTTTGAAGATCAATTGAGTCTCTTCCTGGCTTTCGCGGTAAAGTTCGTTGTTGTCCGCTACGTTTAAATGAGAATCTTCGTTGCTGAGACGCGAAAGGTTGATTAATGCTTTCTCCGAAAGATTTGATTCCTCGGCTAGCTTTCTTTTCATTTGTCTCTCGTCAGTGATGGGTTTATTGTACAATGATGTGAACCTGTAGGTATGATCTGGCGGAAATTCAGGCAGCCACTTGGGTACATGCTTCGCTTCTTTCACAGATGGTGGTACTAGCTTCAGAATTCCTTTGCCCTTATCAAAAAACTCAGGATGTGACGAGCGCAAAAGATCTTCTTTGGGTGCTGGAGTTCTTTCCTTATGTAAGGCATCTTTACCTTCCCTTTCAACTTTTTCCACATTGTCCAGACACCGAGACCTCACAAACCGAGACCTCTCATGCTCGACCATGAGATCAGCGCATGTCAAATTATAGCCCTCTATCACCAGTAACAGATCTTTTTTCGATATGCAACGTCGTCTTTGGATGTTTGCAACCTTATGCAAGTCCTCCAGCATACTGGAAAGCGCTTCTTCCACTAGTAGAATGAGATTTTCAAAGGCCAGTTGTGAAACAGAAACATCGTCATTGATTGCCTTGAGCTGAAGTGCTACTGCTTTCTCTAGAATCTTTCTCAACGGATCCTCTAGAGTCTTGTTCGATATCTCAGTTAAATTTGGCAAATGCTTCAATTGAACCCTGCCGCCAAATTCTCCAAGTTGAAGTGACGAGTCTGGTTCAGAGTTTGTCATTCTTCTAAGCCGTTATTGCCGAGGTATTTAATCCACTGTAGAGGGAGAATCACTGATCCTTCTAGATTGTTTTTCAATAGGTTTCTCTAATGGAGTTGTTGTTAAATGAAACTACGTTATTAAAGATCACTGTGTACTATGAACGATACTCTGGGAGTGGGACGTTTCGTAGACTAAACATCTCCATTGAGCAATGCATCAAGGGCTCCTTGAACTGAGCCACCACTTCTTCTGAGAGCAGCAACGTTTCTATCGAATTCGAAAAATCCCATGTCGTTCAATTGTCTAAGCTGCTGCTCGTAACGTTCCTCGGGGGGTCTTGAGTCTTGCTGAGTCTGGGCAGGGGCACCAAATCCACCGCCACCAAGAAGCGAGGAAAGAAGAGCAGGGTCGAAGTTAGGGGTAGCGCCACCGGCACCAGCGTTATTACCAGCACCGCCTAGTAGGGACAGGAATGGATTGGCAGATGCATCGAAACCGGATGTGGATCCCGCTGCGGGTGGCTGTGGCATGCCACCCAAAAGCGATGCAAATGGATTAGCCAATGGATTCGACTGGCTTGTCTGCGCTTGAGGCTGCTGTTCTTGTGGATTTGCAGATGCTGGTTGGCTGGAGGTCGTATTCTGGTCTGTGGAACCTGGGGCTGGGAAAGGATTAGCTTCTGCGGCAGGGTCTCCACCACCAAACATGCTTGACATCTGCATGCTTTGTCTTACCATCTCTGGGTTGGTCAACATTTGTCTGAACATGGGACTTTGAAGAAGCTGTCTTGCCTGGGGGCCCATGCTTTGGAGTTGTGGACTTTGCTGGATGAGAAAATCGATCATCTGTGGGTTGCTGAGCATCTCGCTCATCTGTGACTGCATGACTGGGTTTTCCAGCATTCTGAGCACTTCGTCAGAGTTTGGAGCGCTTGTCATGCCCCCGTCAGGGCCAAATGAATCTGCGGATGGCAGATTCAAAAATCCGGCGTAACGGGCACTAGTGAGGTCGGCCAAAGGATTGAAACCGCCCGTTTGGCCCGTGGAGAGTGTGGACGGTGCCGCAGCACCGGCAGGAGCCTGTTGTTGCGACCCAGTTGCGCTACTAGAAGCCGCGGCAGGGCTTCCGCTTTTTTTCACGCCTCCGGACTTTACCAAATGGATTGCATGGCCGTCCTGTATCTTGTAAGACTCGATAGTCTGGTCATCTTTCAAGATTTTGCCAGAATAGATCAAACGTTGATTTTCGGCTGGTATTTCTGAAAGCCCAGCTATGGCCTTTTTCAGATCGTCAATTGAGCCCGTTGGATCTATCGAAACGTCCCATTTGTTCTGACCTGATTTCACATGGATTGTGATACTCATTTTCGTAACGATTACGCTGTAAGGCTTGTGAAGTGGTCTAAACAGTTGGAAAGCTTCACTGGTTAGGGTCGTTTGAAGCCATGCTGTACTATGTGGATGATATACATATATTACACATATATATATGAGCTTAGGAATACTGAGATACGCAACTATTGCCTTCGTTTAAGATGACAATTATTATAGGCCATCAAACGCTTCTTAAACGGACGATTGAACAAGTATTTAAACGTCTGGAAACCACTTCTGCCATTTGGAGGAGTGAGAATAGCGTTTAGCGCTTTTTCGCTCTTTGCAAGGGTTCTTCTTTTCTGTTGAACTGAGTTCTTCGAAAAAAGAGTCAAAAACAGGATTGAAGAACTTTCAGTATTTTCTGGGGATTTCTAACACACCAGTGGATCGGGGAGTTAGCTGGGGAGTTCTGCATGAGAAGCGTGAAGACGCTTTGCCTTCTTGTACAGTTCTGATTACATAGTATATAACATAAATTATATCATGTTGGCGACAGAAAAACAAAAAGAGTAGTGAGAACTGAAAAGTGGGAAAGAGGGGTATGAGATGCTTCAGCGAATGAAAGACTACAGTAGGGGTCATGAAAACGATTAAATGGACAAGGTGAGTTGTGAAGGTGGAATCTGAGCAGTGTGATTGTTGTTGCAAGTCTTCCATATCACGTGCTACTTGTCAATGACAACACAGGAGACAAGTGATCAAGAAATAGTTCAAAGATCAGATGGTGACGATAGAGAAATGTTTGGTTGAGACCTTGAGCAGTAGAGAGGATGTGTGTATTTGTGTTTGTACTCGTATTGAGACCCTGTCTCTGGGTGTCGTTGCACGATCAGAGTCTCGTGTCTTGGGTGAATCTATCCATTATTGTAAGAGGTCAACTACTGTTTTATTGAGTTTGGAGATTTCTTCCCGTGATTTACTTAGAGTAAATGGAATGCGCTTGTAGGGTGGATGAAACGTCCCTTCTTATACACATTTCAGGAAGTGTTCGGTCGCTGACGAATGTTGAAATTTTCAAGCATTTCGGGTGCAAATAGTGGGAATGAGTTGATCTAGGAGCTATGAGTTCAACTGCAAGTGATACCACTCATTTCCATCAATGTCGTTCCTGTCGGAACCTCTGTCTGTCTAGCGTCAGATCCATGACAAAGTGATCACAAACACGTGACACGATGACAGCGTC